TCGAGCGATACAACCCGCGAGAGCACCGCATTGATTTGACTCAGGCTCCGTTGACGCGCTTTGCCGTTGCACAGGACGTCGATGGTCGGTGGGTTGTGGTCCAGATGCTCCATCATCTCATTGGTGACCACTCGACCCTAGAGGAGATGGAATCGAGATCCAGGCATTCCTCGAAGGCCAGGCGATACCTGGACACCCCAGCCATTCCGCAACCTGATTGCCAGCACGCAGAGGACTGAGCATCGGAGACACGAGCGGTTCTTCACAGAGATGTTGTCGGACTTTGACACTCCGCACTGCCCTTCTGGTGTGCGAAGTCCACCGACGGAGTCGAGGTCACGGAACGTCACATCGCATGCTGCCTCAGGACTTGAACGACCGTCTGCGTGCTCATTCGAAGCAGCTCGGAGTCAGCCTTGCCAGCTTGTGTCACTTGGCTTGGGCCCAGGTCATTGCCCGCACCAGTGGACAGCAGAAGGTCGTCTTTGGAACTGTGCTCTTTGGCCGGATGGCAGGCGGTTCTGGATCCGACCGCGCCATGGGTCTGTTCATCAACACCTGCCTCTCAGGATTGACTTGGAGATGTCAGTGTCCAGGAGAGTGTGCACCAGGCACCACGACGTTTAGCATCATTGCTCGAGCATGAGCATGCGTCCCTGGCATTGGCCCAGCGCTGCAGTAGCGTCCCATCTGGCACTCCATTGTTCAGTGCCATGTTGAACTATCGCCACAACACTTTGCCATCCACAGACACTGCCAGCATTTCCGGTATCGAGGTCCTCGACGCGACGGAGCGAGCCAATTACCCCTTCGTCATGTCCGTCGAAGACTTTGGCACATCCCTCGGTCTTACTTCGCAGACCGTACGATCCTATGACGCAGACAGGATCTGCGCGTATATGCAGGAGGCACTGCAGAGCTTTGTCGACGCCCTGGATGACTCACCTGAGGCGCCAGTCCAGAGCCTCAACATCCTGCCTGCAGTTGAGCGCGATCTGCTGGAGTCGTGGAATGCTACCAGTACCTCGTTCCCTGAAGACCTCTGCGTGGACCGAATCTTCGAGGACCGTGTGAAGCAGACGCCAGAGGCCATCGCCCTTGTGCATGAGGACCAGTCGCTGACGTACAGGGAACTGAGTGTGCGTTCGAATGCGCTTGCTCACCAGCTTGTCGAGGCCGGTGTCTGCGCTGGCGACTGTGTGGGAACGTACCTTGCTCGTTCGATGGAGCTTGTCATCGCACAGCTGGCCATCCTCAAGGCTGGAGCTGCATATGTGCCTATTGATATTAAGGCACCGCTCGAGCGCCAGACCTGGATTGTTATGGACTGTGCAGCCCGCTTGGTAATAACTAACCTACACATAGTGGTCCCCGTTACCATTGATACGCATGTGCTTCGTTTCAGTGCAAACCAGGCGGAGGGCCTCATCACTGCACTGAATGGACCCCACATCGATGCTGCGCGCTCCGGCGAGGATGTCGCCTATGTGATGTACACCTCTGGCTCTACGGGTGTTCCCAAGGGCGTCGTTGTCCCACACCGTGGTATCTCTCGGCTGGTCATCAACAACGACTATGCCGACATAGGTGCAGAAGACTGTGTTGCCTTAGCAACTAACCCTGCCTTCGATGTCAGCACGTTTGAGCTGTGGGCACCTTTGCTCAACGGCGGTCGTGCTGTCATTATTGATGCAGATACCATCACTGACTCGCATCGTCTGTCGGAGGCGCTGACTCGCCACAATGTCACTGGGCTCTGCCTAACACCTGCGCTGTTCAACCAGCATGTCTTAAGCATCGGTGCTTGCCTAGCCAAACTGAGGTATCTACTTTGTGGTGGCGAGGAAGGAAGCTTGGCTTCATTTCCGCGCTTTTCAAGCATGGGGGACCATCTCATTTGGTTCACTGCTACGGTCCTACAGAGGCGACCACGTATGCCACTAGCTATGAGTTCAAGGCGATTGAAGAGGGACAGGACCGCCTGCCAATTGGTCGTCCTATCGGCAACACCACCGTCTATGTCTTGGATATGCACCGTCAGCCTGTTCCTATCGGAGCTGTTGGGGAGCTGTTCATCGGTGGTCCCGGTGTGGCCATTGGCTACCTCAACCGCCCAGACCTCACTGTCGAGCGGTTTTTGCCTGACCCCTTCAGCAGCCATCCTGGCGGACGCATGTACAAGACCGGAGATCTCGTGCGCTCACTCTCTGACGGCAACCTACTGTTCATGGGACGCAGCGATGACCAGGTCAAGATCCGTGGCTTTCGTGTCGAACTAGGAGAGATCGAGTCGCGGCTGGTTGAACACCCCTTGGTCCGCGAAGGATCAGTCACCGTACTGGGAGCTGGTAATGATAAGCGTCTTGTTGCCTACGTCGTCGCTGACCCACAGGAACAGCTGACCCACACTCTGCGCACCTTCCTCGCAGGCTGTCTCCCCGAGTACATGGTCCCCAGTGCATTCGTCCGCTTGGATGCGCTGCCTCTGACTGGCAACGGCAAGGTCGACAAGCGTGCACTTCCTGAGCCTGACAGAGACGCATTCGACACCCAAGGCTATGAGGGGCCCAAGAGCGATATTGAAATGGCTCTCGCTGCCATGTGGACGGAGCTCCTCAAGGTCGATAGAGTTGGCCGCCATGACAACTTCTTTATGCTCGGCGGTCACTCTCTTCTGGCTGTACGTCTGATCAACATCGTGCGCTCCAGCCTGGGCTTTGAGATGACACTGCGTACTTTGTTCGGAGCACCTACGATTGCAGGATTGGCCCAGCAGCTGTCGCAGGAGGAGGGTGGTCAGGACGACACATTTGATGTGCTGGTGCCACTCAAACCCAATGGCAGCTTGGCTCCTCTATTCTGCATCCACCCCGGTCTTGGTCTCAGCCGGGGCTACTTGGGCCTGTCCAAGCACTTGCACCCAGAGCAGCGTTTGTATGGTCTGCAGGCACGCGGTATTGGCGGAATTGGAAAGATGGCGGAGACGATCGAGGAGATGACACAGGATTATATCGACCAGATCCGCCACGTTCAGCCTCATGGACCCTATCACCTCCTTGGCTGGTCCTTTGGCGGTAACGTGGCTCATAGCATGGCGGTGGAGCTTGAGAAGGTGGGGGAGAAAGTTAACATGCTAGCCTTGATTGACTCGGCTCCAACCAACGGCAACGCCATGGAAGTGGCTACCAGCGATAATAATGGAGAGCAGTACTTTGAGCATCTTTCTCGCTTCATGCACAAGGAGACGATAGATGAGGGAAAAGAGATCTGGAATTTGGTAGAGGCGGTTGGATTGAACAACTCCAAGCTCCGCAGTGAATACGTAACATCGACCTACAGTGGCGACATGCTCTTCTTCCGCGCGACGGCCGGTGTCGATGATACTGAGGCAGTGGTGAACCCTGCAGAGTGGACGCCTTATGTTCAGGGCGACATTGAAGTTCACGAGGTGAAATGCGGTCATATGGAAATGGACAAGCCTGGCCCAATGGCTGACATCGGTCGCGCTATAGCTACGAGGTTTGAGAAGCTGCAGCAGTAGCGGATATCCTAGACACGGTCGTTTATTGCTCATGCATACAGACACACAGCTAGACTATAAATTCGATTGTCTAATAACTACACGATTTTTGCCTTGAGACCTGATAGACTGCTTGACTCTAAAGCAATTATCCTTCGGGCCAGGACCATATATGTGTTATCTTCTTTATTGACATAAAGCGCGAAAAATCCAGAGACTGCCCATGAAATATATTTTGCTCTTGCAGCGTGAATGTCTACTATCTTTTTTTGTTTCGCCAGGGATGTACCTGCACGCAAAGAGTTCATCCTTCACGTTCAACTATCCATGTCCACAGGTGATTCCATCGATGCACCTCTGAGCAGCTGGCTCAAATGGCTGAAGAGCTGGCTCGTCTTCAAGAACGCAACATTACTAACAGAGATCCTCAGATCGCGAATCAACGCCCCAGCACTGTCTTTTATCCCTCCGAAGCTGAGGCCCATCGCTACCCTCCAATCAAGCCTAATGACCTCCTCTCTCCCAGGAGGCAACAGCCAGCATGGACAAAATGTCAGATTTGTTGACCAGAGGAGCAATAGAATTCGCGAGTGGGCCCGGCTTTATAATGTTCGTTATCCCCAAGAAGACAAGGGACTTTCAACCGGTCCTCAGCCTACGAGCAGTAAATCAATTCCTGGTCACACGTTTGCCATTTAATAAACCCAAACGAGTATTTGACATATATCAACACTATTTTGGGCGGGCATGATCACTAGAATTGATGAAACTGGCGACCACAGTATGGGAGTGGTGCCTGACAATGGGGACTAGGATCCGGACAACCTACGTTCTATAAGCGTTCAATCCAGCGAACGCACCTTCACACCACCTGACAGGACAGTTGGAATGGTCAATCAACAAGGCATTCTTTAAAAAAATGAATCACAAATGGCCGATCAACCGCCAGCTGCCACGATACATGACCTAGAGACCCACACCAGGCGCGGCCGGACACGACGCTCTTTGACATCGTTGACGACTTCTAGTCAACGTCTACTTATGTCCGCCATGAAATTTTATCCCTCTAGCTCTTCAGATAATCCGCCAGGAGAAGGTAACAGCAACCACTATAACACTTCACTGGCCATCAGTAGTGTAGTTCCCTGTCCTTTTTTTTATTTTTATTTTTATTTTTTTTATTTTATTGACGCCAGATCCCTCCAGGCGTGCAGGCGTGCCACATGCTGCGGTGTGGTTCCCTGTCCAAAGCGCCGCCGATCCCGATACCGCACCATTAAGTGATTCCGGCACTAGGAAACACGCCCAACATCCCAACATCTTGGCAAAGAACCCCACTAGTCGTTATGCGTCTGGAGACTAAGCGGCGTAGACACCTAGCTAAAGGATGGGACGCAGACACAGCGTCCATCATCATCGACAGCCCAGAATTGAAGCGAAAGCAACGTGATTATTTAAGTATCCAGGATCGGTACATCAAATGGACTACCGCGCGCGAAATGGATGCTATGGAGCCACAACCAGTGCAATTACTCAACTGGATCACATCAGGAGTGTCGATCAACAAATGAACGTCAGGCACGGTGGAGGCATACAAGTCGGCGATTATTCACATGTACGATGATAAGTCATCCTTCGACGACATTGATTTTCAGTAGTTTTTCCTCGCACTGCGTCGGCGAGAAATCAAGCACACCAAGGAGTCGAACATCGACATTACACCGGCGATCGATTATTTTCGGCAGCAGGGCCAGAACGAGGGTCTCAGTACACTGATTCTCACTCAGAAGCTGTTTTGGCTACTCAGCACTTGCGGCTCCCTGCGGCCTAACGACATTCTGTGCATTGATTTATCCAACGATAAATTCCACTTAGACCGGATCACCTCTATCCTCCCCATCTTGATCCCCAAGAAGACGCGAGGCGGCAACCGCATCTGCGAATACACCACGATCAAAAGCCACGATGACCCCTTCCTGTGCCCGGTTAAGACCCTCACCGAGTACCTCCGACGCATTCAAGGCCACGATATTGATGTCCTTCACCCCAAGGACCCGCTGATACTCTATCGCCCCCTCCTGCGCGATGCCAAGGATCCTGGAAGATATATAGGAGCTGAGTGCATCAGCGATCAATCACCTCCATCAGTCGAAAGCTCTCCTTGCCAAAGGACGTTAAGTTATCTAAGGCTCGCGCCATTGGATCCACGGCCGCCATCAAGCAAGGCGCACGTGTTGACAGCGTTGTTGTGCATGGCAATTAATCCTCTTCCGTCCTATTCACAATTTTTATCGATTGAATGCCGCTACCGCGACCAACTTCACATCGATGGTTCTTTCTTAATTCTGCTCTGGATTCATAAATATGGTCCAGGCCCTCGGATAATAAGCTTGAGCCTTCATGTTCTTCGACCCTGTCAGCTAATACTTAATATTGCACCCCATTAACATCAGACTATACTCAAAAGCAATAAAAAACACATTTACGACGACTTATTTTATGCTCAAGTCCTTTCTCGCTTTGTCAGCGTGTAATTCATGTGCATATGTTGTAGTTGACCAATATTCTACTTTCTTTTTAAAATTCTAAATGATTTTCGCGCGGGAGCGATATACAAACGCGCAGCCAAATTGCCCATTTTGGCCTCGCTTATTGTGGCATAATTATACGGAGACATCAATGAAGCCTTATGTCCTGGAAGAACACCGCATGTTCAATGCTTCTTCAAGCAGCGTTATCTCTATGTCCGACCTAGTTACTGCTCCGTCATATTTACGGGAGCGATAATGAAGTAGAACGTATAGGTGGATTATGGCCAGATCCCGAGCTGTCGTCCTAGTGAGCTTTTGGTTTGATTGCGCGAACGTATTTGAGGATTCCCAATACACACTGACTGTGCCTTGCGCGGCGGAGTCGCGATGCTCCTAGAATTGTTTGTCCATTAAAGTTCGCGGCCATCGATGGTTACCGAAAACAAACAACAAGAACTCGCGTCCATTCTAACAAAAACAGATATGGTGTCGATCAGCCGTGGTCGACAAGACTCTCCAAAGCAATGAGGGAAAACAAAGATCCGAACTTAAAATCATCTTCCAGAAGGGATAGGATATCACTTCACAGGTAAAAGGGCACCATGCATGTTGGGTATGACAAGGTGGAGCATGGGACGATATGGTCCGGGTCTTTTGCTGGGATCCATTTGCATATTGGAATTGCATACAACGGGTGCGCTCAAGATGAGAATCGAACGCGTTGGCGACAACTGTTGAATCTATCATTGGATTATGTCAACTGTCCTGTAAGCTCATTTGACAAAGAACGGTAAACAGGGGTGCGAATGACATTCAAGGCTCTGGATCTATGAACGCGACAGATGCGCCGGCCGTTGGTTAAATGCAGTGCTCATTTTGCTTTTCGCTGTGGTGGTGAACGTGCTCCTTCCTTGATTGCTGCTGAACTCAAGTAGACTAGCTGATGCACGTTCGGACACATCAAAAAATCCCCGCGCAAACAAACAAACAAACAGACAAAAAAAAAAAGGCGGGTTGCTCACAAGGCGGCGCGAAAATAGTCGGATGCATGCAGTTGGGCGGGAATGGTATGGCCGGCAGCCGTTGTCCCCAACTTCGTCTTTTCTCTTTCGTCTTCCCATCCTCATCCTCACCATCCTCTTCTCCATCAAACTCGCTCCTCATTCTATGCATCATCCGCAAGAGAATGAACCCGATCTCATCATTCATACCACGCATCCCTAAACCTCATTCGCTCCAACCTTCCCTAGCCCAAACACGCAAACAAATATAAATAAAAAAAATCTCTATTCAATGCTGAGAACGGAACGAAGGAAGGCATCCGCCAGCAACTCCAGCATCGTCAGTACGGCTGGCTCTGGATCTTTGTCTGCGAGCTCTGTTCTGCGACGCAAGCGCAAAGAGACAGAATGCCTGGTAACCGCCCGTTTCGCACTGGATACTATGCATATGCTTCGCCAGCAGCGTGGGTAATTCCAACGATGACAGTTCACTGATGCTCCTCTGGTGATCCTACGCCCACATAGCTTAAGCTTGAACGCGTCCTAGGACTGACCTCAAACAAACCCATGATCCTCTCCGTCAATCCGACTCATGATCTGGTGGCCTATGCAGCAGGCTGCGTAGTTGTTCTCTACAACCACAAGCGCGACAAGCAGATCGGACTCCTGTGCACTTCCACCCTCAAAAAGTCGACCGCTAGTGATCCAGGAGCTGCTTCAGCTACAGGAACAGCTAGTGTCAGGGGAGTGGCGGCGCATAGTGGATCTCCCAGGTCAATGAACAACATTCAATGGATGAATAGCGGTATGTCGGGCGCCAATATCAATCCACTGGCGGGTTTGATGCCCATGGCCATGTCAGACAGCTCGGTGGCGTCCAGCTTTGGGACTTCGAACCCGACCAGCAATAAGAACGTTAAGCCAAAGCCCATTTCCTGTCTCTCGTTTTCCCCTGATGGGCAATTCCTGGCCATCGGAGAGGTACGTGCTCTGCTATGCATTTGTTTGCTCTTTGTCAATTTTTAGAACATGGCATTCGTTGGTGCTTGGCCTGCATATTGACCAGAGCAAATCTTGTTTACTATAGACTGGACATCAACCGCGGATACTCATCTGGGAAGTAGCATCCCAAATGCTAGTAGGAGAGATCCAAGGACACAAGTTCGGCGTGCAGGCTGTCCATTTTTCTCCAAACTCTAAATTTCTAGTGTCCCTTGGGTTTCAGGTACCGTTGTCACCCATTTCTGTGATACATGTTCCAACCGGCTTACGGAATAAAGCCTTGTCGATGCACTAACACATGGCTTTATCCATTTTTTTCTTCTTTTTTATAGCATGATGGATACATTCATGTCTGGAATTGGAGGACTGGCGCGCAGATCGCGAGTAATAAAGTCACTACAAAGGTCAATGCTCTTGCCTTCTCTTCGGACGGCTCCTTCTTTGTCACCGCTGGTTTGAGGCACATCAAATTCTGGTATTTGAACGTCGGACCAAACAAAGGGTCGCTCAACACTCAGGTCCTGGATGGTCGTTCAGGAATTCTAGGAGAGCTACGCAACAGCAACTACGTGGATGCGGTGTGCAGCAAGGACGGGAAGTCCACATATGTTGTCGCCTCTAATGGCATTCTCTGTCTCTTTAACGAGGGGCGTGCCATAGAAAAGTGGATCGACCTTCATGTCCGTGGGGCATACTCCGTCAACCTGGGCGAGGGGTGCATCATTTGTGCATGTACAGATGGATTCATCAGGTATGTGTAACGTCTAGCGACAGATGGAGATGCTAGAGTGCTGTGTGCTCTCTCTAAAAGATGTTCTGCTCTAATAACGAAAATAGGTTATTTGAGCCCGAAACATTGGAGTACATCGGGACCATGCCTAAGCCGATGGCAGTTGGCGCCTTTACTGGGACGATGCAAACGGCTAGACAGGAGGAAGATGATCCAAACGCTATATACGCCGATGTTTTGGCTTCGCAATACGACACATCCTCAAATAGCTTGATTTGCATTTACTCGGACCGTTCTCTCTTTGTTTGGGACATGAATGACATACACAATGCCGTCGTTCTGTGGAGTCATTTGTTTCATTCTGATTGTGTCTGGGGAGTAGAGGTAAGAGTCGCTCATGGTACAAAGTTGAACAGCGGGAGGATGGACTATATCTAACGAAACAGTGTTTGTATAGATGATACCCAACTCGCACAGCAAGGAAATTGCTCAACCATTTCCGCCAGAGACATTTGTTACCTACTCTGCCGATGGATCAATCAAGTTCTGGAACTTAGACGATAATATATCTGTGCTATCACCCTTGTCAAGTCCCAAGGCTAAAGTTCAGACTGCACCTGCGCCCAGCAGGGAGATTCTCAGTGTTTTGTATGCGGACGAGAACTGTAGATCGTGGATTCAGGCACCAGAGAATCAAGGTGCGTGATAGTTGTCGCGGAGCAAAATCTTTCGTGACGTGAAGCTGGACTTTGAACTACTGCCTAACGCCGATGTTGTATCGTCTTATTTTCCACGGTTTAGATGGCATGGAGCCTGGATTCAACATTGTGCCTTTGGAGTGCGGCATTCGTACTGTCAAAGTCAGCCCAGATGGACGATTTCTTGCCTCCGGCGACAAAGGAGGAAACCTAAGGTAGACTGGCTACATGTATCCTGCAACTGTTCTAGAGAATGGCTTGTAGCATGGCAATAACTGACAGCTTTGTTTTGTTTACATAGGGTGCACGTTCTTTCAACATTGGAGCAAATCACTTATCAGGAAGCTCATGATACGGAGATTCTAGCAATCGATTTCACAGACCCCGTGGACAAGGAGTCGCCGCTATTAATCGCCACCGCTGGCCGGGACCGATTATTGCATGTGTTTGATGCCTTGAATGATTATGCATTGGTGCAAACACTCGACGATCATTCGTCCTCGATTACATGTATCAAATTCACCGCTAACGGGTCGCGCATGATGAGCTGCGGTGCAGACAAGAGCATCATCTTCCGTAACTGCCTGAAGGTATGACACGCGCCGCATGATGGGAAGTTGGACAGCGGTGTATGATAATGAGTGAACAATTAACAGCTACTGCCCCTGTGACCGATATATAGAATCCAGATAGCATCGTCTATCAGCCCTATCATCAAGCCCCTGGCCGAGCTACGTTTTATGATATGGGTATGAATGATGCAAGTCAGACCATAACAGTCGTAGCGGGCGACAGAAGATTCAATGTTTTTGCTTTGGATTCCGGAAAGAACATCAAATCTTTTAAGGCCGAGACAAAAGGGGACGATGTGACAGCAGGGATGGCGGAGATCTGCAGTATGACACACATCAGCTTAGACCCCACTGGCACCATTGCTGCAGCCTCGGGCAGTGACAAATCTATCAGGATTTACGATCTTCTTCATGGGACCTGTTTGGCTCACACAATATGCCATGCGGAACTGATAACAAGCGTTAAGTTCACAAGCAATTTCGACCGCATCATTTCCACGAGTGCGGACGGATGCGTGCTGGTGTGGCGAGTGTCCAAGGACGTTGTCAAGCGGATACATACCAGAATCCAAGAGAACGTGAACCTACCAGGGTACCTCCAGGCAAAGGCAGCAGAAAAACAGGCAACTCTGAACCCCAGTATGGCAACATCAAGTCCGAGAACATTGAGATTGAAAAAAAAATCGACTGACAGAGTAGGCACGTATGGCAGCGAGTACTCTGGGGCTTCTCGCCGGAACTCGACTGCGTCCATGATGAGTGAAGACTGCGACATGCGCTCTGAGGAAAACTTTGACGATGTTGCGGTACCAAGCATTTCAAAAGTGGAGGATACGTCAAAGGAAACTTTTTCACCTATAACTGTGAACATACCCGCGACCAGCGCCAGAGCACCCGGTACCCGAGCGAGGGTCACCGGCTCCATTTCAAAGACTCCCCTCATACGATCACGCCAAAATTCGCTATCCCAGCCAAGTGCACCAAAGCCGCCAACGTCGTCTACTCGGTCAGGGGTGCAGCAGGACCCGCCACGATGGAACAGGAGTGTTGCCAAGGATAGGGTTGCCTCGTCCCCTTCTGCAATCAAGCCATCTAGGTCAAGCTCACCGGGACCACGCACCACAAAAACTGCGGTCAGCAGCAAGTGGCTCTCGCCCAATGCCTCGAGACCTAGAGCGACTTCGCTGACAGCCCCGAATGAGGCGGTCCTGAAGTTGGATGATGCGAAATCAAAGGGCTTGCAAAGGCAAAGGCAGTCGTTGAGCGATTACAGTCATGATGATCCGCCACCTGCGGCAGGACACAGGAATGATGATGACCTCAGTGACGAAACGGAGCATGGGTCCGATGCTGGGTCGCTATTGGCTCACCAACCTGCCGATGCTGCCGCCGATACCCCCACCGATACCCCCACCGATACCCCTACCAATATCCCCGAGACAATGGACAGGACGAGCACTACTCCCACGCGACGCAAACCTCTTGCTATTACGATCAAATCCCATGTGCTGCCACATAAAAAGGAACATGCTGTGTTATCTCGATCGAACGAGTCAGACCAGGCTGGAAGCGAGACTGGCGGATCGGACGAGAGGGATGGGGATGATGAACAGGCAGATGGAGAGGAGAGTATCAGCGAAGCAGGAAGTGACAACGATGTACTATCGCCGCTTCAACGACGCAATATTGGCCCGGGAGTCATCAACGATTTCATAGACGCAAATGGCGAGATTGTTGCGTTCGAAGACGGCGAGCGACTGATTGGTTCGCCAGGATCTGAGAGGAACTACAACGTAACTTCTCCTGGCGGCCGTGTGATAAGTATACGGCCCCTTGTTGAACGACGGAGTCTGAGTTCGAGGTTCTTGGCGGCACATGCTGCCGCACTCATGATGGGGCTGGTGCAGGGGCAGGGGCAGGACAGTCCTTCGCGTGCGGAAGATGACCGGCAGGACTCGGGACTTGATGCTGGACAAGATGGTCCTTCCAATACGGCGGAGAATATGACAGCTGAGAGACCTGATCCTCATGAGAAACCACTAGAGGAGCGCCTCAATCTTCAGTCTCTTAATGCAGCCGCAATGAAATGGAAGCAACGTGGGCTGAAGGCTTTGTCGAAGGAAACCAATCGAGAGGATTCTGCAGGACAGCAGCTCAACCCTGAACAAGAGGGTGGCGATACCTCGATGGGATCATCAAAGTCCGATGACTATTTCCAGGAGGTGGAGCGAACTAGGAAGCGGCTCGCTGAACTAGGGTATCTCACCATCCCTGGTGGCAGTAAAAACGTACAATCCTCGTTCGAGACCTCTGCTTTATCTGAGACGATTTTATCAAGCGCCACTGCAGAGTCGGACCTGAAGGCACGATCCTCTGTAGACAGTGACCGGGAGACAGAACTGCCCGCTACGTCCCCTGTCGTCGGAACCGATCCACCAGCTCAATTGCAGACTCCTCATGTACTGGCCTCGCCGGTGATTATGAATAGTCCTGAGGAGGAGAGAAAGATGGCTCCTGGCGGTATGACATTATCGTTCAATCAAATACTGGATATGCAAGTGGAGGATCGCAAGACACCCGAGCAAGAATCGAATCTTGATGCGACAGATAACAATACCAAGATACAGACAAGCCATACGGACGGCGAACAGAGTCTTCGGGACGCCTTCCGGAAAATCTCTTTCCTGATCTCGCATCAGGCCACGATGGCGACTCAACCCCAGGCACAGAGCAAGGATGACCGCGTGGAACGTATCCGCGAGACGAAAAAGTGGATGATGGAGACACGAGAGGGCCTGCTTAACCTCGTGGGCGAGGTGCAGGGCCAATTGTGGGCTCTGGAAAAGAGCCAACAGGATGCATAGCTCCCTGGGGATGCTGTACACATCGCACATTGCTCGTTTGTTAGATAGAGGAAAGATTCATGGCGCCTTTAAATATAATTTGCGATCGGTTATGAATGAGTTTGTGCTTGACGCCTTGACCGCAGTCGGTGCCTTCCAGCCTGAAGGACACTCATGAGACTGAGAATGAACCTTGATTGGCAAGAGTGCAGCGCAGCTCTGTTCCTGCACTGTGCTCATGGATAACCAACCACCTTGGTTGCACAGGAAACCCAGCCCTGGAGAGGGCGTAAAGTATGCATGCTCACTTGCGGCATTTTCTTGTTATCAACCGGACTCTATTTAAGCATGACGGTCTGCCTCCCTCACTCCCTTACACCTCCACCCGTCCCACTTCTCCGTACGCAAATAAAAACACCAAAGGCACCATGCACTTCTCTATGTCCGCAGCAGCGATAGTCGTTGCTGCCGCCTTCCTTACTGCATCAGTCAACGGCCAACCCCCTTCCTGGATACCCCCTTCCTGGAGACCCACCTCCACCCACATCCAACGGCCTAGGCCAACCGCGGATCCCACTCCCACTCCTGGCGATGCTCCTCCACCTCGAGCCTTCGCCAACTTTGCCTTTTCTGAGCACCAGAAGCTATTCATCAGCAACGGCTGGTTCGGTTGGGCCTCAAACTGGAAGGGTATTTACAATGAGTTCCACTCCCTTGACTTGTCTGTGCCCTGGACATCCGATAAACCGGCCTGGGAGAAACTTGCCTACCGAAGCACTGGCGAGGGCGAAACTGCAGGGCAATTCGGAATCTCCAAGGACAATATGACCCTATACTTCTTCGATGGCAAAGTCCACAAGTACAACGTCAAGACTAACACATGGGATCTCAACATCGACAGTGTTTTCACTCGTCCCCCAAAGAATATCTCTGATGACCCCGCCTTGGACCTGCACAAGGGCAAAATGTACCCCCATGGCGACATGCGTTCTTTCAAGGCCGATGTTGCCACTGACCCCGAAACCGGAGTGATGTACGGGTTTGGAGAGTCAATTCAAGTGTGGGATGAAGTATATCGATGGAGGACTTCTCCATATGCTTCCATAGCGACGTTTGATCCGGCGACGAACAACTACACGCGGCCCTACGATAACGATGCGCATCGTGTCAAGTTGTCCGATATCAGGTCCGGTGTAGTGAACTCGCTGGTGCTCAGTGCGGCTGCGAAGAAGCTGTATGCATTTATGTGGGAGATGGATGATGGCGAGAGTGCGTTGTTTGAATACAATATTCTGTCCATGAAGTGGACCCAGTTGGTAAGCCAAGAACTGTTAAAAAAAAAAAAAAAAAAAAAAAACGAGGGCGATGGAGTTACATTTTTGACCCATTTTTGACCCATTTTTTTTTTTTTTAATTACCACATGCAAAATAGAACACGACAGGAGATATCCCATCTCCACGAGCAGGTCTTTGCTTTGCACCTGGTAAGAGTCAATTATACGAACATGGTCCACTTTATTGTCGTCTCCCCATATCTAATCCGTGGATCTAAACCTCTTGTAATCCATTCGCCCGTCCATAGCCTACGGTGGCACAAAACTGATCCTGGCTGGCGGAAGGTCCAGCACCGCTCCAGACGATGATACGAACGCGGCCCTGAACGACGTTTACCTGTATGACGTCGCCACCTCCGTCTGGACAAAGATGGCGAGTGCTCCTAGTCCCCACCACGGTGGCGTCTGCGCCGTCTCTGGCGACTCCTTCATCATCTGGGGAGGATACAGCGCTTACAGCAACAATAACGAGGTTATCGTCGCAAACGAGGATGGTCCTGCCATTTTCAATATGTCCTCCAACACCTGGGGGACCACCTATACTCCCACTCCTGTTGGCGCACGCTCTCCTTCTTTTGTATCTCAATAAATGCGCAATACTTTTATGGCACCATTGTTTGTAGTGTCCTGCTTTGTTGAGTAGACGGATTTAATCTTCTCGTTCTAGCCCTACTTTTTTTTTATATAACCGCGAACAATTAGCTAAAGAACGGCTCAACGGCACTACATTACGTTGCATACTCCCAATATCAATGCCAGACAAGGCGCAGATAAGGATGAGATAAAAGACGAAGATGTAACTTCGATCAGAATAATCCCAAGGAATGAGGGACTTTGGGACAAGCGGAAAAAGAGGCAACCAGCAAGAGAGAGTGGCCAATAAATGTAGATCCGCAGGACGCCGAGTTGATGCTGTCTTTGTATGCTCAACTCTTGTATCTGTGAACCCACTCTGCGTCTCGAAGTGCGCGATTATAACTCGTTTGTCCAATTAGCCGCCTAAGTTTTCTTTTCGAGTACCTTGCTCAGCCGAAAGCTGGGAAGCGATTCCCCTTCGAGTATGAGACGAATGGCTGGCCAGTAGAACTAGTCTAGGAAGTTTGATTTAAGTGGATAAAACTCGAGAAGTCTCTAATAACGTTGGCGCTGCGCCCACCTAACAAGAGCCCCTTGTCCTCTTGGCTCTTGGGCCCACCGTCTAACAGCCAATTTACCACAGGATCCCCAGTCACTGAATTAGCTAGCTTCAACCATAATCCAAATTCTGCGCTCGCACTCCTACCCAACGGCAACAGTGTCCTAGTAATGAACTATTCAGGAAAATCTGGCACGGACCCCAAGGCAGGAATTTTGGATTCTTGATGCCCTCCAACGGAACCGATCTGGCTGCTAGCATGGGATACTCCACTGCGACGTTTAACCCTGCATACCATCCATTCCGCGTGTTCCTTCAAGTCCCCGTCTGGTGAGCCCAACAGTACGAATTCGAACTCGCTGGTCTTCAGTGCTACCACCGAGAGTGTATGCATTTGAGTGGGTGATGATCTAGAACGATGGCTCACTGTTCTAGTCTGAGATTGCTACAAGAAACTGGACTCGGGTGGAAAGTAAGACATCTCGAATTGAAAAGAGAAAGGGTGAATTAGAGAACCACTTTTTAATGAAGCGCTTTTTTATTTTCTCAGGCTCTATGTAGATCGCGACTGGGGATATCCCCCGCTCTCGCAGCGGCGCGTGCATAGCCTACGATGGTAAGGACTACCAAAAACAACAGTGCCAACGGTATCCTGAATGAAGTTTACATCTATGACGTTTCTACCTCCGTTTAGGAACAAAAATGGACCTGCCATTCTCAATATCTCTGCCAAGGCCTAGAGAACCACTTACTTATTCACCCGCCCCTGTTGCTGTGAGGCCCCTTCATAGATGGATCTCACAAGCTCAGTCTTGAAGGTCGTTAGTCAGGGTAACTTGATCTCCTTAGCTGCGGTCATTGCGCTTCAACGGAATAAAGACAACAAATTCTAATGCAGGGACGCGTTTCACTGTAAATTCATATGTACTAGCACGCCATGAACACTCGTCCCAAGGCATGCAAATTTGGCACGCGGTAAAGGCCACTTATGTACGGTTGGTCTGCCCATGACCCATGTTCCCTGCGGGAAGTGTCTGTCTAAGATCTAGGATAGTCTCTTTGAGACCAGACTTTCAGCTACTGATGAGATGAAAAGAGTACGATGCAGCATTCACCATCTCTTGTGCGTCATTCCGCAAATGTTACTGTTACCCGGGTTGCGCGCAGAACTGTTGCAGCGCTTCCCGAATTACACTTTTCTTCAACGGGAACAAAGTGAATACCAGTTCAAGGGTACTTCAACGGAAGGCTATTTAAACACAAACGACCGCCATGGATGTGCCTGCCCTTCCTTTATCGCCCTCCTACCCTCCCCCCCCTCCCCCCCCCCTCAATTCCTGTTCCATACATACAACAATAACAGCATGCGCTTCTCTCTGTCGACAGCTACAGCAGTCCTTGCTGCTGCTGCTTTCCTTACTCCATTAGCCAATGGTCAACTCATCACTGAGGAACCCTCAGTCGCTCCAGGACCAACGTCCACTCAAACCCCAATCCCCGAGCCGACCGCAGCTCCCACTCCCGGCAACGGTCCTTCACCCCGAGGCTTCACCAACTTTGCATTCACTGAGTACCAAAAGTTGTTTGTCAGCGATGGCGTACGCCGTTGGGCGAAGGAGGAGCAGGCGCTCTACGCAGGGCTCTACTCACTCGATCTGTCTGTGCCCTGGACATCCGATAAACCGGCCTGGAAGAACCTGACCTACCGAAGCACTGGCGAGGGCGAAACTGCGGGGCAATTCGGGATCTCCAAGGATAATGCGACCCTATTCTTCTTCGACGGCAAAGTCCACAAGTACGACGTCAAGACTAACACATGGGCTCCCGATACTAGCGCGCCGTCCCTAGGCAACGACAGCGTCCCTTTCGAATTCGCAGATCATATTGTCACGGATCCCGAAACAGGAATACTCCATGGGTTTGGACCCTTGGTTCCGCTATGGACCATAGCAGATCCGGAGGCTGATGGTTACCTTGTTTCCATGGCAGCGTTCGACCCTGCAACCGGCAATTACACCTATTCATATAACACTAATTCTGGTGGACCCAACGGGACGAACCCAAACTCGCTGGTGTTCAGTGCGGCAACGAAGAAGCTGTATGCATTTGAGTGGGAGAGGACTCAGAATGACAGCGCGTTGTTTGAATACGACACCTCATCCAAGAAATGGACTCAGCTGGTAAGTTGGAGATTTAAAGTTAAAAGACAAGGAACAAAAAAAAAAAAGAGATAGATCTAACAAAGCACGCTTTATTGGTTTCTAGAACACGACCGGAGATGCACCCACCTCTCGTGGCGGCGTGTGCTTCGCGCCTGGTAAGGACTACCGCAGGATTGTGTGGACTAAACTCTTTCTCCTACGCCATCCCACCACTGCCCACTCACTCGGTCCCTCACCTCTTCTTTCTCTCTCTCTCTCTCTCTCTCTCTCTCTCTCTCTCTCTCTCTTCCATAGCCTACGGTGGCACGAAACTCATCCTGGCCGGTGGAAAATCCGTCACCGACACAACCGGCGCTAAAAATGCTGCCCTGGACGACATCTACGTCTATGATGTCCCCTCTTCTGTCTGGAGAAAAATGGCCAATGCCTCAAAGCCCTATCACGGTGCAGCCTGTGCCGTCACTGGCGATTTCTTCATAATCTGGGGAGGATATAACGTCTACGCGACCGGAAACTACACCGCCAACGAAGATGGGCCTGCGATCTTCAACATCTCTGCCAACACCTGGGGAACCAATTATTCGCCCACTCCTGCTGGTACACCCCCCTCCAAAGATAGTTCCAACAAACCCTCGACTGCCTCCCAGACTTGGGCTGCCCTGATCAGGGGCGAGATGATTCTTCTGGCAGCAGTCGTGGCAACTCTGTCCTTGCTTTAATATGCCGACTTTTTTTTTTTTCGGATCCGAATCCGTCCAAGACGTTCTTCACGTCTGTGTATATTATATATCGTAATATCTATCGGCTGAACTGCCATAACCTAGAATAAAGAATGAATCGCCGGCACTCGTAAGGTTCTCCTCCGCCTCCCAAACCTCTTCAATTAAATCGAGGGGGGGAGGGGGCCTGAGCCGCTAAACTTCTACTACACTCCCTTGTCCATAAGCTCTCCATGACCCGACCCCATGTCCTTTCTCGGCTTGCGGGAAGAACCAGACCACTACAACCATGAATCCTGTTAGCCATTCAAGGATGGTTTATAGAATAAATAACCTTGGGATTGGAGGCCTTTATAGTACGGGCGGTGTAAATGGTCGACTCACTGGGTTTTTTGACCAAATATTAAGAAAACGTGGGGAGTTTTTCATAGTTTTGCTTTGGCCATCGTATCCTCCTATGCAAGTAGCTGGGTCCTAATAAACGGTACAGGCCATAATACTCCACTCCAGCGCCGTGTGGAGACCTTTACTTCCAGATACCTATATTCATATCCAATGTGATATGTGTAGAGTTGAGTGCACTCGCAGACATTACCGCGATGAACGATGAATGCCTCCGAAAAAAAAAAAAAAAAAAAAAAAAAAAAAAAAAGAAGAAAAGAAAAAAATAGAAGCGGGGAGAGAAGTGGGAGACCGTAAGAGACACAGTAGATGGAGCAAGAGAAAAAAGGGAAGGTGGTGTGAAGAGGTTTACAAGTATCCATGACATCTACGCCTAACGTTTCTTTGCCGCGGCCTCCATTCACCCTTCGCTCCGCCCTCTGTATCTGCCTGCAGTTGGTATCACTGCATAGCCCGTTCAAGCATACTCTCTCTCTTCATTATTCGATCACCATAAAATAAAGCTTTCTTATTATCACTGCAGTGAAAATTTCGACCAGAGACTTCGAATGTTCGTTTGTGTGTTGGCACCAGCACTCCTGAATCACACCAAAACAGCTTAAGGATTTTAGTCTCGCAAGGTCTAATGCCCCCTTACACACACACACAGCCTCACTATCTCATACAGTAGTTTATTTTCGAAAAAGGTGGCCAAATTTATAGGTATGAAAACATAGTAATGGATAAGACATTACTGGATGCTACTACGGCCGTCCACCTGTATAGTCCTGCGGGTGACGTCCCGTCGACTCTGAGAACGTCAGAGCGGTATGAGGGTTCCGACTCGTAAAATTGCTTGAATTAATGGTATCGAAGGAATATCCTGGTAACGCTTGATGTGGCTCGCATGCCGGTAGGCCCACCCAGGCGTCTGTGCCGATCGGTGCCTTCTGGCTCCCCTTCCATTCATGGAGTGGATTTGAATCGAGTGCTTGGGCCGAATTTCCTGATGAGGCTTTCTCATTGCCTTGTTTGATACCAACCTGCTTCGCTAGCTCATAGCCTTTGTCCTGCCTTGCGTTCCTCTTCCTCCTGTAGATGAACCACGCTCCCGCAAGCGCACATGCCGCTAATCCGCCAAATATGCCTCCCAGAATAGCACCTAAATGAGTTGGCGAGGATGATGTTGGAGCTGTAGATGTTGGAGCCGTAGATGTTGATCCTGGAGAAGATACGCTCGGGCTGGGAGAAGTGTATTTGTTGACCCACTGATTCTTGGACAAATCATAGATTATGGGAGGCCCCGAGGTTGTGTTCTGGCCGTCGCTTCCTCCCCATACCAGGAATTGATCGCCAACAACGATACAGGCCATATACAGTCGCTGTAGCGTCGCAGGCCCTTCCCTCCATTTAGCGGTCGGTACATCCAATATGTATAGTGATCCCGAGAAGCCGGACTGCGGCGCGGTAAGTCGACCTCCAAAAACAATGACAGTATTGCCATCCTCGCCTATTGATTAACAAGGGGACTTTGTTAGAATTGAAATTAATATTAAAAATATGATTTATCGTCGGCAACGTTGACATACTTGCAGTCATGCAATGATCGGTCCTTGGCGTTGGAAGGGAGCCAGTTGTGGACTAGATGCAGATGTTTTAGTCGTTAGGGCCAATACAAAGGGAGGGGAGCAACAGATGTCAATTGATGTACGTCGCCTTTTGCCTGCTTACGAAATTGGACCAGGCGCCTGTGCCAATGGAGTACTCTGTGACATAGGTGGTCTGTTCATTGGTCGCAGAGTACCCGCCCAGATACATAATCGAGTTCCTGGCGTTATTGAAAACCGCCCTCCCATAAACCTTCTGGCTCAGTACGTTGTCCGGAATGGCAGTGAACCCCCAGGTGCCGCGTTGTTCATTATAGACATTCATCAGTTTTGATCCGGCAATATATACGTGTCCGCTCCGGGGATCTGCCACCGGCTGCAGTCCATACTGAAGTGTCTCCGGCGGTGATGCCACAATGCTCTGCCAGGTGTCCTGTGGGATGCTGTACCTAGCAATTGTAGTGGTGCTATCCGTGATCATGAATGTGATCAGAGTTTGGTTGTCGGAAGCTCTGGTGCCTGCAAACAGGTAAAAGGGAACACCGCTGGCGAGCGCCTTCCATGGGGGCGAGTCCACGGACCAGGATGTGGAGAGATCAAGAGCAAAGAGCTGAGGGGATATTGCGATATCGGTGTTGTTTTGAGTGAATTTACCGCCCTGGATATATAGATTAGATCCTGCGCGGATGAAGGCCATCTCCTGCACAGGGGAGGGGGTCTCCGCAAGAGAACCGAGGACAAGGAAGGACAATGTGAGGAAGACATGGAGTGAAGCGCAAAAGACGGGTATGGAGTGGGTATAGGGGCAGTGAGAGGTCATTGTGGATAGAGGACTTCGTTTCTGTGCAGATGCGATGGGTGGGCTGGGGAGAACAGAAAGGAGAAAACAAAGGGCGTGTGGGGACATGGCCTCGAAGACGTTAGTTGAAAACGAACTGCCTCAGCCCGGCAAGCTCATAATTTCCATACTACGGCGAAAGGGGGAAAGGTTCGCATGGAACTATTTTTATCGCAGCAAGGAAAGAACTTTGTATGATCCAGATCTTTCGACCCCAAGGAACATATCCGATTAAGTTACTAAGGCACGCGTTCTACATGGAAGCTCCCTTAATCAGATTAAGAAAAGCATTTCTCCATGGTGGATCGACGGAGATGTTTCCTCTGTAGAGACTGGGCAGCCTTGGAAACAAGCTTTTGGGTGTATCGTGATCCTGGAACTGCCAGAAGAATGTCATTTGCTCTATCGCCTTTATTGCCTGCACGACCCCTTATTCGGATCACACGACGATCTTAGGATAGGCAGAATCGGGACTCCAAAGGGATACTCTCTGTAAAGGAACCAACGTCTCTGGTCGCAGTTTTTTTTTTTTTTTTTTTTTTTTTATAGAGTCGACTGTAGCACTTCCGCGGATGATGATGTATCGCGGCGCAGAAATCATTCGCCATCTCCTTATCAATGGTTGTTGCTTCGTATGAGCAGCCGCCCGACCTCGTTTGCTGTGTTGTCCGCGTATGAGCATATCCCAGAGCAATGAAGGTGTCTTGCAACAGTTTTATTATCTGTGCTAGCTGGGCTGATAAATTATAATGCAATTGGATTCTGCACCCGTTGCGTGCTATCCTGTTGTCAAAGTGCCGTGTATTTCAAGCCACTGCCCTCTATCCAGAACCAGTTTGTATTCAGTTCATCGCCGCGGTACATTTTTGCGTGTTAAATTGCCGAAGCAGAAGACATACGCCTCACTCCAGATCCAGTTTCGCATCGGCCAACATTCCAGCTCAGTTATGCGCGCCTCTTTCTATCAGGGCTCCTGTCCTTATCCCTGCTTCTACTCCTACTTCTGCTCCGACTCCTGCTAAGATCGTCTCTTCGGCGACGGCTCGATTTGGGCTCCCTGCTTCGGCTTCGGCTTCTACTCCTACTCCCACTCTCGCTTCTACTCTTGCTTCTATTCCTGCCTTTGCTTCTGCTCCTGCTCCTGCTCCTGCTCTTGCTTCTAGACGCCAAGCGAGCGCGGTTACGAGGACGAGATCCAGATCGAGACCGAGATCGAGAGCGTGAATGTGATTGAGATCGAGACCGTGGGGATCGTGATCGTGATTGGGAACGGGATCGAGAGACAGAACGAGAACGAGAACGAGAACGAGAACGAGACCGTCCACGCTCCGCTTCCTCCTGCTGCTTTCTTTCCTCTTCCAGCTCCATCTCCAACTTTTCCAGCGTACTGATCCTGGGATCCAGCTCGCCAGCATCCTCAAGCACATGGCGCTTAACCAGTCGAGGCAAGACCACATCACACACACGCTCCTCCCGTAAGAGTTCGTCAATAAATTCGTCCATATGAACGATAGAGTATCCTCCTATGGGAAGATAAGACAACGTGTGCGTTAGAGAATGTTGAAGGGAAGCACCAGATCTGGGTCAGTTGGTCAAAGGGCAATGCCGTGGATCCATCCTTTACCGTAGCCTCGCCTCCTTAGTTTGCGGCTGTCATCCAACAGGGGCTCCAGATAGTTGTAAACGTCCACTGGTTTCCCGACGAGTCGCAAATAGAATGCTCCCAAAGCTCGTAGGTACCTAAAATGATAGAAAATACATGGACGATGATGAAATGAATTAGGTTCTCCATAGAACATCACCTAGATGTTACTGCTTCCCCGAGATGTTTTAGAGGCAAAGCGACCCTTACTTGTTGTTTTCGGATTCGTTCAGACCTGTAATATATTTTATGACAATTTCCTCGCGAGGCTGGATCTGAAGCAACTTGAGAACGAGGCAGATGAACTCTGTGGGCTTTTGAACGCCATACTGGCCACCAATGTAGGTGAGCTCATAAGCCTTTTCAATAATTGTGGATTCTATGAATTCGCGAAAGCGAGAATATATATTGAAAAATAAACGCGACTTTGGTTATTGAAATGAAGCTTCTGGGGTCCTAAGATGAGTCCCGCAACTGGTGGACGTGTGATGTCTGCTTACCAGTCAAACCAAAGCAATGCTCCTTCCAGTAGGTGGACTCGTAGATGCGCGTCCTGAGAATCTTCTCAATCAGAAACTGTGGATCGGTTCCGCGGATCTGGATGGCATCCCGCACAGTCTTATTGTCCATGGCCATGGCTGTTTGAGTTGTGTCTCGGTTCTCCTCCTGTTGATGTTTTCTGGAGCTGATGAAGCGTCGCTGAGTCGACTTTGAACGTGTAGGCGGAGTGAGAGTGCAGATCTTGTTTGCTCAAAACCAAAAAATGAAAAATGAAAAATGAAAAATGAACTCAGCCACTCTGCCCTTTTATGATTCCCGTCTCGGGATTGACCTTCGACTCGTTGATTCCTCCCCTTCCATCCATCCCCGCAACCCAGGAACAGCTATGGTCGTCAGGAATATTGCTATCTTCGCCGGCGGTGCCGTCATTGGCGCCATCGCCGTGGGTTCGTACCTCAAGTCTAAGCAGGAGACCAGCCCCGTGGCCCTGACGACCAAGACTCAGGCACCTGCGGTCCCTGTGCCAGCACCGGTCGCACCCCTGCCTCAGGTCCCAACAAGCCCAGCGACTCCTCCCCCTGTCATTGCTCGTCCTCCTCCCGGCACATCGGTCGGTCATGCCCGTAAAATCATGCCCCATGGATTTCCAGGTACTGTTGCTGCACTCTGCTGAGCTGTTTCACACACTTTAGACCTGCGACCATTATGTTCTAAACTTTCCTTGACATCCATTGAAATATATCTTAGGCCCTGTCAATGATGTCTTTACCAGAGAAGGCTATGTTGCTTCTTACAACGCAAGTGCTCCTTTGATCCAACGCTTCAAAAGCAATCGCAGCGCGCAAAGGAACACTGGAAACGATGTGTGATTAACCGGACCCAACTCTTTCTCCCCTCAATATTCTGCTCCCGATCCCAACAGCGTCAACTCCGTCATCCGAACTGGGTTGCAGAGCACCTCACTGCGGAATCATTGAAGGCAAGCGAAGGTGTCGGTCGTGGCAACTCCAACTTCAAGGAGGACCCCACGGTCCCTGATCTGTACAAGGCCAAGCTGTCAGACTACTTCCGCTCAGGATACGATCGCGGACATATGGCCCCTGCCGCAGACTGCAAAAGCTCACAGAACGCCATGGACGAAACCTTTTATCTGTCCAACATTGCCCCACAAGTCGGCGATGGCTTCAACCGCGACTACTGGGCCCATTTCGAAAACTTCTGCAGAATCTTAACCAGGAAATATGCCGACGTCTATGTGATTACTGGACCCCTGTACTTGCCCTATCAGGATCCTACCGATAAGAAGTTTTATATCAAGCACGAGGTCATTGGAAACCCTCCTAACATTGCTGTACCCACCCATTTCTACAAGGTCATCTTGACCGACAAGGGTAATGGCGAAATGGCGCTCGGCGCGTTCGTCTTGCCCAATAATACCATCCACAACGACGTGCCCTTGACGGCATTCCAGGTGCCGATCGAGGCCGTTGAGAAGGCTTCAGGACTCAAGTTCTTTGAGATGCTGGAGCGGAGGGCGTTGAAGAACCTGTGCATGGATACCGACTGCAGGGTCATGGCTCACCCCAAGAGCTTGAAAGACAGAAACCAGAAGGCGCTTCCTGCACAATAAGCACCCTATCCTCACCTCAGCATTATATAATCCTTACCTATAGATTATTTGTTTAACCTTCAATATAGATCTTTCAGTTATACTATTTGTACAAATATGCTCGCTACAACGGCTTCTTTATTTCTTATAAGCGCTGCGCGCCAGAACAAGAGTTCTGGAAAGGATCGAATATGTACAAGAAGGAATCCACTTGCGGACGGAATCAAGATAATGAATGCTGTGATGGCCTCATGGTATGGCAACCATAATAAAGAGTTGATCTCGTGCAAGGATATGTGTTGCCTAACTGTCCTCCAGCTGCTCTATTTGTTCCTCGAGCCGCTTCAGATGTATATTGGCCTCTGTTCCGCTGCCTGGGATCGAGCTCAACGTCAGATCGCCGTTGAATAGTCGCGCATACTGTATTGGCCATAACAAACCGAGAGCAGGAACAGTAACGTTTAGTACAATGTGTGCTGCGATACAAGAACTCAAAAATGGTGATGGGGGGAGGGTTTTTTCGTGCTAAAAAAAAAAAAAAAAAAAAAAAATGCTTACCAGCTTTGAGGTAGCGAGCCCAAAACCAAACCCGCAGAGAGGCAGGTTCTCTCCCAATGCAGCATTCTGAGGCTTCTTCTCAATAGCCGTCATAATTGAAGGAAAGTCTATCATGACGGTGTTAGATGCCGTCGTAAACATATAATTAAACGGCTTCGCAGCCTGTGCGGGTGGCATTCCTACGAGGAATAAAAAAGGATCGTTAAAATAAGTAATTGAGGGAGGGGGGAGGGGGTCTAGAAACAAACCAGCGTAAAAGTCTTATGGTCACCGTGCCTCCACCGTGGTCCTTGATTATGATGTTGAGATGGCCTTCTGCTGTTGACGACAACTTAACCTCGATTTCTATTCCACCGCGCCGAGAAAGAAAAAGAACAGAATGTCAGTGATGGATCATTCCTATGCATGAGATACTCCGTCATTTCCTGATCCTCTTATACCTGGATATGACGATTTGTCCAGACCATGAAACTCGGCTGTTGCCCTCATCGAGTTCTTCAGCAGCTCAAACAAAATATGGTGCAGGAGCGCTGGAACCACTGGGAATCGCACCTTCCTGCCACCGACCTCTTTCGCGTGCTCGATGTGTACATTGGGCGGGAACACTGTGTTATAATGCTGAAAGAACACAAACTGCGCAGACTGGGCAGCTTTCAGAATCATGGCTTCAATATCGCACTGGGGCTCAATGATGCCGATTCTCCTGGAGTGAGCAGTCGATGGCGTCGAAAGGTAGGCCGAAGACGTAGGTTCATCCAAATGGTAAAGCTGGTGCTGAAGAGCTAGATGGTGTCCGATCATGATGCGGATCCCGAGTCGACCGCGATTGAACGAGTTGAGGAAGGTCTGGATCTCCTCTGATGGCCTGTTGCGATTGCTCTGATAGCGCTTGAACAGGCTGATACCATGGGCCATGTAGATCACATCTGCGTATCGGCATACAACGAAAAAGACCATGTTTTATTATTATTTTCTCAGCCCAATTCAGGTTGCTCGTTTCCAAAAAAGAACGAACTATTCTGTTACCTTGCTTATGACGATTAGTGATAGCCTGTAAAAGATCCGCGTATTCGTTTTGAACCGCGATTTGTAGAGCCTCGTTTTCATCCAGATCTAGATCTTCACGATGGTAGGCGTTCGGCGACAGTGACCTATTATCGTGCGCATGCAGTGGGAAGAAAATGTGGAGTAAATTGAATTATTTTCAAGTCCGCTCGATTTGGATTCAAAGAGTGTACATATAAACTGGGGCGCAAAAATGCAAAAGCGATGGGTCCAGTCAGCACCTACAGCAAGCGGCTGTTGTCGGAATATGTCTGTAGTTCCTCGAATGAAGCAGCATAGTTCTTGATCAGGTTCGCAAAAGGCTCCGTCCCCTTCAGTTCGGTCGGCAGGCCATTAAGCTCAACGATTCGCTTTGAAAACCTGACGGGCAGCTCACGGTTCAAAAACGTCAGGTTCTTGACAAGGGCCTTGGTGCTTAGGGATCGACCAAGCTTGAGACATTGAGCAATTGACAGTGGAGTAACAGAGCGAGCAGCGGCGAGCTTTATCCGTTGCGAATCAATGATTGAGGTGGGTGATGATGCAGTAGGACTCTGAGATGCGGCTGAAAGGTCGTCGTGGTCGTTACCGTCTGTGAGCGGCTGCTGCGAAGGAGATGTCGCGTGGGCAGTCGAAAGCATGCGTGCTTGTGGAGCTGTCTGGGGTGTTATACGGACATGGCGGCAAGTTGCAGAAGAGAGTCTTGACACCTTGAGGGCAGTAGTGGACTTTTGTACGAGTTTTGATAAGGTGTCCCCGGCAAGCATCTGCTGCCGTCGCCATGGCCCTTTGAATGAGCGGAGTAATGAGAGGGAAGTTGACGCCATTAAGTCGACTGGTTGCTTGATGCAATGGGGTGGATGAGGACAAAGATGAATGAGTGCCAAAGTGGCCTAGTGTGTTTATGCGCGTTGTTTGTAGGGAGTGTGTGCTGCATTGGTTAGTCAAGCGCGTGAAATCGGCTCCGAGTGTTCATTCGCCCGCCCTTGCTCTTCCGCATCCCTCCACATCAATTGCTCCGTGCGCAACGTCCCTTTTTTTTTTTTTTATTCAGAGCGACCCTTGCAAAAGCTTTGATCAGGGCTTTTATCATTTTGATAAGCTGCCTCTCTATTTATTTCGAACACTCACTTCCAATAATTCGCCCTCCTCTTCTGCAGTGGTCCCTGAAGACAATGCGGATGCCAGAACCTGCGGATCCCATGAGCCGACAATAAATTCTATGACCTCGAATGTAAAAATCCCCTCAGAGCTGTCTAATTGCTGACCTCCGTTCGCTTTCATTTTCTGTAATAATTCCTGAGCAGGCATGACAACCATGCGTTCATATTCCTGTACTCTTGACTGCATCTCCAATTCAACTGAGTTCCATTTTTCGCCTCCAAGGGTTCGATCCGCTGTACGGTCTGTTTGAAGATCACATGCTTGTTCGAGAGCATGTAGCTGCTGTTCAAGAACATTCATTTCCTTCTTAAAGCGCGCCTGAGCGTAGTCTACTGAGGACCAATTAGACACGCGCATCAAATGTCGAGCTCGCAAAATGCTGATCAATGCCAGGATAGACAATATCCTTGGCTTCCTGGGCGATATTGACGATAATTTCGATGCAGTTTCTGGCGCTGAACCTGACTCTACACTCGCTGTGGCAGCAGATTCATGCAAGCATTCTGCAAGGGTCCTCCAAATAGCATAGTTACTGCTCCGTGTCTTCTGATACTGCACTAACATCAAGGCCGCGTCTATGCATTCAAAAAAAAAAAAAAAAAAGGGAGCAACAGTTAGGATCGGTTTATATAGGCACGGTCGTAGTGATTGCCATAAAGCTAATGGTTTTACCATTGTATCGACCAACTGCCATATACACCCTTGCCTTAAGAAACAAAGTGCCAATATCCTGCAAGGTCTGTAGAATTATAATGTCAGCGCATGCCAATCGTTATCAGTTCCATGCACATGTAAAATGCTCCGACACCAACGTACCAGATCGTCAGCCAATGCTTCAGCTTCGACGAATTTCCCCAGCTTCACGGCACATCGAAGGGCCATCTCCTGCATCTCTTTCGAGTCCGTCACTTTGAGCACTCCAGTCTTGTCAGCACATGTCTTGGGTGATTGAACCTCCCTGCTTTCTGTCGCTGCGCCCAAATCGTTCCGTGCGATGATGTAACAATATTCCTGTGCAATGTCGTATGCGTCCTGATACTTGTGTAGCATGTAGCAATGATCTGCCTGCATTTTGACCTTGGTGGCACCATTTTTGTCATGTAGCATGAGTTCACGCACGGATTTGCCTGTACGATGGAACCACTATCAAATTTCAAGTCATTGAATATTATTTAAGAACTTGGTCGATCTCTTTACTAACGAACAGTATTTTCCTCATAGCCCATTGTTCCTGAAATCCTACCCCATCCTCGTCAATTTGGGCGTAATAGGGCTCCTGATCGACAGGTGCCTTTGTCCTTTTCCCGTTACCTTTCGTCTTTAGCGCGCAAAATAAGCCATCCGAACCCTCGTCCTGGTCTGAGACGTTCCCAAAGCTGAATGGAAAGTCGTCTTCCATGCTGTGAATCGCCGTGGTGGTGAAATGAGTAAGAGATTCAGCCCATGAGCAACTCCAAAGAAATAATAATGAACCCTTAAGTCGTTTGTATCCGCAAACGTCCTGAACTTAAATTGGGTAAGTCCCGCCATGGCCAACGAGGCAAATTATGGGAACAGCTTCTTCCCAAGAACTGCTATTCAAGACTGGTGGTAAATGAACAGGAAACCTGATTTACGACAATAGCAAAAAAAAAAAAAAAAAAAAAAAAACCAGGTCACTTGGGAAGAGAGGGGAGGCTCGCTTTTTAGTTATGACTGGGGTTTTTTTGGTCCGCACCCTTCATACCGCGGTAAGCTTGGTAAAAGTAAAAGGACACGATCTTGCTAAATCTGAACAATCCTCATACCAAACACGAGAAATCTAGCAAACCGCTTAGTCATTCAGAGTCGAGCGGCGGGCAACCTTAGAAAAAACCTCGTCAAAATATCAAGAGACTAGGACTCAGACGCATTTCTAAGGTAACAGTGTCTTCTAACCTGCATTGACATGGCGAGACAGGAATGGCGGAAATAGATAGATAAAATGACTCTACATCTCTAAACTCTTTCTCCTGTCGGGCAAACTCAAGCATGGGATCTGGGCTTTTTTTTTACTTCGTGCGTGTGTACATAACCGGTCATACCGCTAATCAAGCCAAGGCAAAAGGGGGGAAAGTAGCCCGCTCGGAGGTCTACGGTCTAATTCGCATTCACCATGCGATTGTAATAGAAATGGATAGAAAAGCTCAATATGCACCCGAAAATACTCTCTCTCTCTCTCTCTCTCTCTCTCTCTCTCTCTGAAATGGCGTAGGACCAACTTTTTCATTTCGAGTTTTTTCGAAGATCTGCGGCGAGTTAGCTTCCAAGAAAAATAATAATAATAAAGAATCAGGCCACTCAGAGATCCGCGCTCTAGTTCACATTTACCATCCCGTTGTAACAGAAATGTATAGAAAAACTCAATGTGCATCCGAGAAAGACTACCTCTCTCTCTCTCTTCAGTTCTCCCTCTCTCCAATGGCGTGAGATCGGCTTTTTTTTTTCTAGTTATCGAAGATCTGTGGTATGTAAGCTGTAAAACCGGATTTTGCAAAAAAAAAAAATCAGGCCACTTATACACTTATGCTGCTGTGATACCTATTTACCATGGGAAGTTTATCACATATTCCAATCCGCGTCCATAGTGTGGTGATTGCTGGAGTTTGGATAGGAAGGATTAACGCATATTTGGCATATTGTTCTCCAAGGGCGCAAGGCCTAGTACACCCTTAAGCGGTTTTAAGCTGGCGGCAAGCAATCTCTGGAAACCGGATTTCGCACAAAAAATCAGGCCACTTCTTTTATAGAAGGCGACCCTGCAATCAGATCTCTCGCTCCTCATGCGCCTCTTCATACTTGGCTCCTCTCTCATCAACGTTCTTCCTTTTTCTTTCGCTTCGCCATAACTCTCATTCCATCACCTGCATTCCAATTCCTAGAGTCACAGTCATATGGCAACAAAAAAGACAACCCCGTCCAAGGGTCGGAGGCGCACACCTCCCAACCCAAATCCTGAGTACGAGTTCCTTGGCCCTCCAGGTGCGGTTGCTATGCTCATAGCGCTTCCTCTGGTCACCTACGGACTCTACTTCAACTGTCGCCCAGGATTCGGATGCATTCCAGCTTACTGGAACTCCAAGGACGGATACTGGCCCTCGGTCGGTACCGATCCTTCTACCTACCCTACTGATCTGTGGAACTTTTTCGTCTCCACATGGGACACAGACGCCTTCTACACCTACTCGGCCTTCATGCTGTTTCTATTCATTTGTTACTTTGTTATTCCCGGACAAGTTGTCGAGGGTACAGTGGTCGGGGGAGTGGGAGGATCGCCCTTGACCAAGGACCGATCTAATTATAAGTTGAAGTACAAGGTCAATGCCCTCAGGACTTTGCTTTTGATCGCGGTTCTGATTATTGCCACTTTGTTCATCAAGGGCGTCGAGCCATTCCTGTTCTTGCATGATCACTTCCTGGGGCTGATTACTGCCTCGTTGGTCTGGACGTTCGGCGTTTCGATTTTTGTCTATGTCTGGTCGTTCATTCCTGACAGCAACGGTCAGGAGAAGATCCTTGCCTGCGGTGGTAACACCGGCAATAAGATTTATGATGTATGCTGTGCTCTGTGCTTCCAATTGATCCGATCGCGTGCATTTGTCCTCTATTGACTACGACACTAACGCGCTTCAAATTCTGGATTCATTTCCTTGATATTTCATGGTAACCAACTAGTTCGTGCTTGGACGTGAGCTCAACCCTCGCTTCAGCCCCTCGCCTGACTCGACATTCGACATCAAGTACTTTATCGAGCTCCGTCCTGGTCTCATCGGCTGGATTCTGCTCAACTTTGGCATGGCCTGCAAGCAATACCACGACCTCGGACGCATCACCAACTCCATGATTTTTGTCCAAACCTTCGAGACCTTTTACGTCGTGGACTCACTCTGGAACGAATCTGCTGTGTTGACGACCATGGATATCACCACAGACGGATTCGGATTCATGTTGGCGAATGGACTGCTGACCTGGTTGCCCATGAATTACTCGTTGCAGGCGCGATACTTGGCTGCTTTCCCTGTTGACATGAGTTTGACTCATTCCTTGATTGTCGTTGCAGTGCAGTGCATCGGCTATTATATCTTCAGGGGCGCCAATGGTCAGAAGGATAACTTCAGACGCTACGGTGCCTCCGCGCCTCAGAACAAGGGTAGGTTTCAGCTTGGTGCGTCTGTATGGGATGCGCGAGTGTTCAAGGATCGAAATACTAACCTGGCAACTATGGATATCTCATAGGCCTGAAGTACATGGAGACAGCAACTGGGTCCAAGCTGCTGATCAGTGGATGGTGGGGTACTGCCCGCCATATTAACTACTTTGGCGACTGGCTGATGGCCCTTGCCTGGTCATTGCCCTGTGGTAAGCCCCATTCGCTCCCCTTTGCGCGATTGATGGAAAGCTCGTCCGAGATTGAATAAGGTTCTAACTCTTGCTCGTAATATCTCCTTCTTGTTGCTCGCGCTTGTAGGTCTTTTAAGCCCAATCCCTTACTTTTACCCAATCTACTTTGCCGTGCTGTTGTTCCACCGCGAGCGGAGGGACGAGGAAAAGTGCCGCAAGAAGTATGGCAAGGACTGGGAGAAGTACTGCGAGAAAGTCAAGTGGCGAATCATTCCCTACGTTTACTAGATGTGCAGCACGTATTTTCTTTGCCTGATTTTTGTCTGCTTTCTATCCTTGATGATTAATAAACGCGGAAATAACTTCAATAAATGGAGGAAAGGTTGCTCTAAGCAAACGCGCGAGACCATTTGCTTTACTGTCCTTGAGATTGAGTGTTCAAGATGTAGGTTGTGCTTGTAGGAGACAGATAATTCTGTGGGCATGCTTCGCTTTTCAGACTGCGCTGCAATTGAGAACAGGTCCAGAACGTGCCTTTCTTGGTTTTCTTCCAGTAATATGTACAGCCTAAAGGTTAACCCAGCGAAATGGCAAAATCCACAAACGTGTCTTTTTTGCTTTCTATCTGCAGAATGATGCAGGCGGGTCATTGTACCACAGTGTGACAAGGGTGAACATGGTTTCGCCTACTAAAGTTTAGGTCGCGTTTGCATAGGCCATGATATACAATGGATAGGTACCAAAAAAAAAAAGGCACTCAATTCAGCGATGCCTACAAACATAGCATCAAGGAGAAACTGGACGCACGTTGACCAAAGTCGCGCAATGTATGGCGAGACGATCTCATAGACTGTCTGTCACGCAGCCTGGACATGTACACGCTACTTGGACGTGTATGTCCTATTCAAGAAATGAAAAGATAGGGGCTTCTAAGACAGGCACATCACTGTGGAAGGGAGAAAGGGGTTCAGTAGCGAAAGAGTCTTACCAGGATTTCTCGTAGTTGCCCCTGACACTAGCCATCCGCTTGTGCAACAGATCGAGCTTAGTTGCTGTTCCTGTGCCCTGGACGCGGCAATTGTCTGTGTGAGGAGAAAAAAGAAGGGGGAACAGGACACAGAGGAAGGACGTAACCATGAACACAGCTTTTACGCGGATTGCGAGACACAACTGTGTCTTTCATGATGTCCACAGTTCTTGCAAGCGAGAAAGAGGACACACGCGGTAGGTCTCCACATTCCATAGACACAAAGATAGACACGAGGGAAGAAAATCGTTCCAAGGTTCTATGCAGTAAAGGATGAACAGGACAAGACGAGAGTGTCGAGAACAAGGAGCAAAATGGGAGGTGACAAACAGGACTTGCCCCTGGCCTAAAGTATAACGGGGACTGGGGATGCAGGAGACTGAGGACTTACCGAGGAAAAAAGAAAATGAGATGCACGCGGTACTGTGGCATCCATAGCAGCAGGTGTGATAGTAGAAACTAAGTCTTCCCTTCCGCACACACACACACACACGCTTATTGCCCTTGTCCACGACTTGTTTTTCATGGTGACAGACCGGGCTGAGGATGGACAGAGAACAAGGATAAGGACCGACACCAACGTGTGTACAGTATCTGGTAGGTGTCCGATAGTGCCGTCTGTAGTCTATCCTGGTTGCTATATTACTCGTTCTATCATCTCATTCGATTGTCCTGCTCTATCTTTGTTCGCTGTTTATGTACAAGGCTTTGACAGGATAACTACGACGATGATGACGAGGAACAACGGACCCTTTGTAAACATTTAGCTCTTCCTCTCCACCTCCGGAAAAAAAAAGTATATGAGGGGTACCGTCCGCCACTAATCTCCACCTCACTTTGTCCACCGTCACCTTGCTATTGTCCTCCTCCTCCTTGTTCTCGCTCTCACTCTCACTCTCACTCTCTTCTTCTCTTTCCTCATTCCTCTTCCTCATTCCCCTTCTTCATTCCCCTTCCTCATTCCGCATTCCCCATCGCACTCTCGCTTGGACAACCTTCCGCTGGTAGTTTGTAAGTTCAAGAGGACATAAAAAAAATGTGACTAGCTCTCATGCAGGACGACACTTCGCCCTGCAACCTCATTATTTATCCTCAGAAGGACGCGCTATTGCCTTTTAGTGCTTTCCTTATCTCTCTATCTTATTGACATATGCATGCCTTTGATGGGCACCCTTTATCATCGATTAAGCATGTCGCCAGCATGCCCTTACTTTTATTTTATTTTATTTTTTTTGGAAGAAACGATCAGTCGAAGCAGACATATTGTGGAAGAAGGAGAATAGCAATGCTGAAGGTTTAAGAAGAAGAATGGCGGACATGTTGCGCCATCGTGTGTAAGCCTTCCAGTATTTTCCCCGTTGCAACAGCCCTGCGCTTCACCCTTTTCACTCCCTCAGCGCACGTTCGACAGACCCAATTCTTCTTGTCTCAATCGTGGTCAGGAAAATACGATTTTGTGGGCTAGGGATGTCGATCTAAAGGACCGTGTCAGCGCAATGCATTGCAGCGTCGACCACGCAATTGACTGGATAGTACCATGTGCTTTATCCTTGGTCACTGTTGTTGCATTCGAAACCTTCTCACCGCCCATGCAGATGTGCCTCGATCATGCAAAAGGGATTCTCTTTCTTCTCACCCACTTTCTACTCGCCCTGCTTTACTTATTAAACTCATTCTCTGTTCGTCCTTCTCTACTCAACATTAGACTTAAGAAATAATACCTTTCAGTAACCTCTCTTTCGCACATAACACATTCAAGTAAAGGTATCCACCAATGGGTGCAGCGCCAGGTAAGTCCTAGGAATGCTTGTACTGATAATCATGGACACCTCAAGATCCCTGCAGACTCCTAACCAATGCCTCGCACCCTCATCCCCACTCGCAGGAAGCGTCCTGACGGGACTCAACCCGACTGAAGTCAGTCCGTCCGATCCATTCGTGCTATTTGTCATCCAGGTAAGAACAGCCCTTCATTGAGTTTGCGTTCATATTCCCTTGATACATATGGATATGACTGAGACGAAGTTTCAGAGTGGTCACACCAAATAACACTGTACCACGAAATCATTGTCAATAGGCTGTAATCATCATCGGGCTATGCTACATCCTGCACTTTGGCCTGCATAAGATGAAGCAGCCCCGCGTCGTCTCCGAAGTCATTGCGGGTATTATCCTCGGTCCCTCGGCCATGGGCCGCATACCCGGCTTCGCCAGTACCATCTTCAACCCTGACAGTTTGCCCTACCTGAACCTGGTCTCAACCATCGGTTTGGTCTTGTTCTTGTTCTTGGTTGGTCTGGAGTTGGATCCCGCCCTGGTTCTGAAACGCGCTCGTTTCGCTCTCGGCATATCATTTGCAGGCATGGCCTTGCCTCTCGGAGTCGGTGCCGCCGTCAGTTATGTTCTTTACGAGGAGCTCGGTCCTGATACCGCGGTTGGGTTCGGCCAATTTCTGCTTTTCTGTGGTGTCGCTATGGCCATCACTGCGTTCCCGGTCCTGGCTCGCATCCTAGCGGAGCAGAAGTTGCTGACGACGAAAGTCGGCTTCCTCACTATCTGTGCTGGCGCAGTCGGCGATATTGTGGCCTGGATCCTGCTGGCTCTCGTCGTTTCCATTATCAACAGTGCTAGCAGAATCACTCCCCTGTACGTTGTCCTGCTATCAATTGCATGGATATTGGTTCTGATATTCGCGGTTCGTCCCTTTTTTACGCTCATGATCAGGGTTACAAAGTCGCAGGACGAGCCTAGTCAGACCATGATGGCCTGCACCCTCGCAATCGTACTGATCAGCGCCTTTATCACGGATATTATTGGTGTGCATTCTATCTTCGGCGCCTTTCTTGTTGGCCTGATCATCCCCAATGATACGGGCTTCGCTCACGGAGTTACCAAAAGAATCGAGGATCTTGTCAGCGTCATCTTCCTCCCAATCTATTTTGCTCTCTCAGGACTCAAGACTCAGGTCGGGCTGCTGGACAATGGACGAATTTGGGGCCTGGTGATCCTGACGACCGCCGTCGCGTGCTTTGGAAAAATCATAGGATGCTCGGTTGCTGCACGCGTTCAAGGCATGGAGTGGAGAGAATCTTTCGCTATCGGCGTCCTCATGAACTGCAAGGGTCTGATTGAGCTAATTGTGCTCAACATTGGCTACGACGCTGGCGTTATCAACGATAAGGTCTTTGTGATCATGATCGCCATGTGTTTAATTACGACCTGCATGACAACCCCAGCCGTGTCTTGGATTTATCCCATTCATTACCAACGGGCTGCCGCCTTGCGCGCCGCTGCAAAGGAACGTAAGAAACATGGCGACTTTGGCCCCGAGCGAGTCGCGTCCCCCACTGGAGCCAATGGAACGAACCAGGGATTCATGCTCTGTCTCGACAAGATCCATAACCTGCCTGCCATGATGACATTCCTGGAGATGCTGCACCATGCTGTCCCCAAGTCCTCAAGCGTCAACGGTAGCGACTCGTCGCTCACAGTTCCTGGATCATGTACTCCGCTGACTCAACCTGCGACGAACGAGACTATCTCTGGTCCTAAACTTTTGGCCTTACGACTTTTGCATCTGACCGACCGAAGCTCGTCCGTACTGCTCGCTGCGACGGAGCGCGCCGAGGTTTTGCGCCGTGACGCATTGATGACTGTGTTCCAAGCGTTCGCCAAGCTGAACGGGATCTTTGTCCGTCCACGCGTGACCCTTTCCACGGATCCCGATGACTTTGCTAACAGCATCTATGATGAGGCGCTTGAGAGCGGCAGCAATGTCATTATCGTACCCTGGAATTCGAGTTCACTTCCTGATCCTCCTATGAGCAACTCGGAAGAGGGCGAGAAACCTGTCTTGTCGCGCCCTCTAGTCACATCCAACACGCAGATGGTTAGCCGCCTATTGAGCACCACAGCGAACACTGGCCTGGTCACCGCTGTCTTTGTGGACAGGGAGTTTGGGGGAGCAGGACACTTTCCCAACATCATGATTCCACTCTATGGTTCCCATGACGACGAGGAGGCTCTGAAGATTGCTTCAGCTATGAGCCATAACCGATTGTGCAACATTCTCATCGTTCGCATTGAGGTAGCCAAAGGGTCCCTTACGAAGGAAGAAGAGAGTCGTGGTGTCATGGTGGATATTGATGCGCAATCTATTGACACGGACATGGATGAAGCGGTCAAGTTACCGGAGGACAACCAGGCCCTGGTCCGGTCCTATTTTCCACATAGGGCCTTTGCTATTGGAGACAAGCGCGCGGATGCTAAGCGCACCTCAATTGATGGAGCAGTGGAGGCTGGTACTGGCGTTTTTATTCACGTTGTTTCGACTGTGCGTGATGCTATTGGGCTCTCGAAGGCATTGTTGGGATCGCGCGACCTCCTGGTGATGGGACGTGGACTGACGACCAAGCGAGCGAAGCACAGCTCTGCCAATTCTATGTATACTCCGGATCCTACGCCCCAACCCGTTACTGTCCACGGCGTGTCTACCAGCATCCAGGCAAGCTCGACCAAGCCAACACTGCATCTTGACAATTTGCCAACCGGATTTATGGTGTCGAAATCGAACGTCAATACACCTACCCAAGTCAACGATAATCCGTTCAATAGCCAAGAGCCTGGATTGAAGCCTCGCCAGCTTCGTCCCCAGCAGTCCTCTCGGGACCTGCACTATTCGTTCATGACAGTGTCGAACATCCTTGGCGTGGTTGCTCAGAACTACTTGACCTCCGGCATTGCCCCCTGTTTGTTGGTCGTTCAGTCTGGATCCAGGCACTCGAATGAGGCTGAGCATTCGAGAGCGCACACGTCGGGTGTAGCGGGGTCACTTCGTGTTCCGGTACAGAACTTTGCCAATGGTCGGCCCTCGATCAATGGCGGAAGTCGGTCCGTGAGCTTTGAGGACAACAATGCACCGGCGTATGTTACAGCGGAGCAACTTCGAGGCGTTCATGGTATGGACGAGAAGCGAGGATGATGGTGGAGAGGATGCAGTATTCGAGGACAAAGAGGACTCATTTACACAAACAGCCATCTGTACATAAATTGTATATTTCTTTCTTTTCTTCCTACTTGTCGTTTTTTTGTAAAAGCATAGTTATTCAATAAAAAATCGATTTAAAAATATTAATAGCCAAACCTTTTATCGTGCACAGACTCGACGCGTTGTGGGGAATTTTTTTTTTTTTTTGGTGGCAAAGATTCTCAAAGAGTTTCCCCACACGTGATTGGTCGAACACAATCGCTCTCATTCTTCCCCACATTCTCATTCCCTTTCCTTCGTTTGACATTACATTTCTCACCGACATACCACTGCGGCGGCCAGGCGTAATGCGACTATCGCAGAGTCATTGGTCGTGACCCCTCAGACGGAACCTTCGTAGGGTTAGATCCCTATGTAACGTATCGTACCAACCTCCTCCGCGTATAACACCATTTGCTGCTTCATGAACGCTATGGACCCTTTCTAATCAGTCAGTTGGTTGATACTTGTTATCATTTATTAGACTAGGATCGTGCTTCTATCACATTGAACCGCAGCGTTTTTTTTTTTTTTTTTTTTCAATTGCTGCTTGTGGGTCCATCTCTCTCAAGAAACGGCAAGCAGCCGTTCAAGAAGTGCAGCGGACAGGTTCTCACGGCAGATGGGGTTCCGAAAAATAAACACCCCCTGCTTTTCTGATGGGTGAGTTGTAATCTTATGCCGATTGACTTTTAGTGGCGATAATGCATACTGTAAGGTGCACTAACCCCATGTGTTTTTTTTTTTTACCTCTCTACCTGCCTACCTACTTGCTTTGGAAGCAACAGCAGACGATATACTCGCATCCTCGTGTCAAACGGCTGATATGGTCTCGAATTGAACTCGGCACACGTATAAGACGCTTATACGAGATCCAGTATCGATCGATGTCGTGCGGTAATTTTAAATTCCTGTAAAATGTGAGGAAGTAAAAAAAAAAAAATCGTAGAACTAATGGCCTTTCGCCGTCCCCCCTTTATTTGCTCCGCCATTGGTTCGATCTGACGCTGTCCTGTTCAGACCACGATCCCCTCCCCTTCTAGTCAGCACGGCTAGTTGGGAAGCGCGATACAGCACAGATGCTCGTTGGGAGTCGTGCTGAACGCGTACAGGGTCTTCACAAGTCGAACCAAGGGAGGGAATCGATGCACGCTCAAAAAAGTGTGGCGGCTCTTCATAAAAGTACACAGAATGTGGTGGAAGCGGTGAGCCACATGCCTCCTGATCGATTCAGTTGTCTGATCATATCTATTTTTATTTCTTTGACTTTCTTTCACCAGGAATGCACTATATCCATCCACCATCCTACACGACTGATCAACAGATCCTCAAGAGATAGATGGGACAGCATCTGCACAAAACACATCGCCGCGACCTTCAATCGGGAATGAGGATGGTCCCACAGCGGTCTCTACACCGTCGCCATAGATTCAAAACGTTACCAGAGAGCGCGTTTGAATAAGCGGTGGAGCCGGGTATGAGCTTGAGTGTATCTCCAAGGCACTCGAATACACAGCGGAGTACCCTCCGCGCGGGCGCCGAACTCTGCAGCCGGACATGGGCTCGAGAGTATTTCCAAGGCGCTTGAGTGCCTTGCGGAGATGCTTCTCCCTATGGCGCGCTGTCAAGGTCTAGGACCACGCACTGAAATGTCTAAAACTGCTGCGTGTCAGTCGAACAGACGTCGAGACGTCTTAGCCGCGATCCGAGGCAAGCTGATCGTGAGGCTATTGCGTGCGTCTTAGCCGCGTCGCGGGCGATCCTGACTAAACCCGGACTTTATCCGACCCTCAGTGCTTGCCGGTGTGGTGTGGTGGATCCAACGTGGGATCCAGACAGGGTATCCAGGGTGGATGGCCCAGCTACGTCACTTGGTATGGCACGATGAGCGAAATAGGTACAGGATATTCATACGGTCATATCCGAAGGACCAAGCACCTCTTTGAGGTACCGTCCCAAAAGGATCTCATTATAAGTGTTCTCGGTGTCTGGAGTCTTTATTTGCTTCTACTGTAGCCCCGCAACTTAACTCTAGATCTTTTGCTTCCCAATTTCTTTCCGTAGTCCTCTGTTATACGGATTGTGGTCCTCAACCGAGACCCTCCCCCTTCTCGTCGCTCATTTATTCGTGACATATATTTACAGTAAGACAATTACTATCTAGAGACTTCGTTGGCCAGTAGAGACCTTTATTGAGCAACTTACAGTGCGCAACCAAAAGATTATATGGGCATAAGACTTTAGAATCACATAGAAGTCCATAGAGTCATCAGATTCTTCTCGAAACTTGCATAGTGGCGAAAGTAGTATCGACGTACAGTCTGCTGAGGCTCTGGAACAATCGAATGTACGAACGCGAATTTTGCAAAAGCATGTGAACTCTTTGTTGCGCAGCTATATTTGCAGCTAGTACTTTTACCTGATATAGAGCGGCACCGCCACACCACTCGAGGTTTTTTTTTTATTTTGAGTGTTTGTAAAAGATTTAATATGCTATGATGTCAACAGATGCTTCGCCCAGTTGCTATTGATATTGACATTGACCCCACAACTATATATGAGCCCTATCTACACCTGGAATTAGATACACCGCCCAAATAAAGCCCTTCTGTTTACCTCAAATTCACTCCTCCTCCCTCCCCCGGTCTCATCGTTTGCACTTACCGGCATGAACATCTGCAGCACAGCACTGGGCTCTACAGCACACATCCCTTCGATATCTTTGTCAGACTACGCAGTAATGGGAACAGCCGCCGCTAATTCGAATTTCTATACGATCAATCTTGGTGCGCGTTACATTTTTTGCCTCTCTGCTGAGGACATTCAAGGGCAGTGTGAAACTTCAGCTGCGACGCTGTTTTACTTGGCACCCGGGTCGCGCCACTGCCATCGCCGCCGCCGCTGCTGCATGCTGCTATGTCTCTCTGGGGGTTTCAGCTTTGTTATTTGGTCTCTTTTTCCTGGTGTAATGGATTGGATCTTTTCATTCTATTCTTATTTTCTTCTTTTAGTTATTTGGGTTTGATATCGACAATCCTACGTAAGGAAACCGGCGACATGGAGTAGTAACTATGCACTGCCTTAATCTTGACATTGCTCATGTCACGGCTTTGTGCTCGTCATGTTTCTGTCGAGATTCGTCGTCATCGACCATGTCCATTCCATCATCGTCCAACAGAACAGCTTCCTGAAAGATCCCTTTCTTATCTTGTTGACTTTCCTGTCTGTAAGTGAATATAAGGGTAAAATATTGTACTCTTATCCAGAGTCATCACAGGCTCCGGCGGTCGCTGATCATGGCAGAGCACCCCCCATATATGACTCCGTTCGCGATGATGTGTTGTATAGTGATATATTGCTGAATTTGATTCTTCTTTCCATGACCCGTCAGCATATGCGTTATGAGATTGTTGTCAAGGAAATTGTGAATAGAGCTGCTGTGGATCTTGGGCGACGCTGCTTTGGCTCAGGTGTGCTAGCACCACGCGCTTCTGGTCGGTAAGCGCTTGCCCTTGTCACTTTCAAAAGTCGCTGGTTCTCCAACATGCCATTGTGAGAGGCGTTCCTATCCTCGGCTGTCTTGGTCATACTGTTAGCTTATGTCGTTCAATATATCGATGAGTGTCTCTGCTGCTGCATCGCAGTGAGTACTTGTACTAAGATCAACCATAAGTCACCATCTATCTGCAAAATACTGCGTCGGGACGAACAGTGGTTGCTTGCACGAAGATCCCGCCCAAGATGCTCTGCTGAGGTACCCATATCGAGTTTCATAGAGTACATTCCTTGGTGTGTTTGCTCCAAGGTAATTCTATGTTGATGGTCGCTAACCTGCGCCCTTGCTTCTAGTCTCGTGTTGCCTGCGATATTTTACTCTTATATTCACTTACAGACAAGAAAGTCAACAAGACAAGAGAGGAATCTTTATTTCCAGGGGAGACGGCACCTTATAAAGCGGTTCCCGTCTGCACCATATTAAGGGTACTCCTATCTACTCTTACGTACTACATAAGTCAATATAGTGCAACGCCTTCTCATATTCCTCCTGGCGTCTACTCTGCTCTCGGGCTACCTCTTCGGCTTCTTCTTGGCGCCTTCTCTGCTTTAGGGCTGCCTTCTTCCTCTCCTCCCGGAGCCTTATCCTCTTTTCTGCGTGCAGTTTTTCTCGGAGCCGGTAATGGCTGTTGTCTGCTGGCTCCACTATGTCAGGCGAGAATCTGACTTTCTTGCGTGATGCCTGTGGTGAGTAGGACGAGCCTGCATCTTCGACGAGCAAGCGTCTCGGTCTCTCGAGGAATATTTGCCGCACCGAGTTCGCTGCTCGTGGACTGCAACGGTATCGAGGGGATCTACATCCTTTTGTATAACCGGAGACAACGCGCGCTCCTTATCCACCTGCTCGACTGGGACTTGTGGGCCAGCACCAAGCCCAGTCGAGTCGACTCCGGCACCTCTGCCCCCGAGTATGTCTTCGAGTCTGTCAAGGTACGCAACGGACCCCCCCTTGGGTCTTGCGCACGCGAGGCTGGGGTCAAAAAAGGGCCGTGCCGCAGCAGGGGCGGCGTATCAGGCTGCGTTGAGGACTGTGTTCACAGTGGTGGTTGTGTTTTCTTCGGCAGCATCGCAGTCGACGGCAAGCTGCTCTGGCGAGCGTGATGGGCTCCCAGAGTGATGCTTGGTGGAGGCCGGAGAGAGAAGAAAGTCAAGAAGTTAGCAGTGATAGGGGTGAGTGAGTCTGAAAGATTTGATTGAGCGGTAGATCATGGTGTTAGTTGAGTGATGGTTGAGTGACGGTTGAGTGGTGGTTGAGTGATGGTTGAGTGCAGTATGGGCGCTGGTGAGCGCTGGCTAGCTGGTTGGTGGTTGGTGGTTAGGTGCTGATTGGCAGTGCGTGTGGGGAAAAGGGTAAAGAGCGCGTCTCTTGTTGTTGACGTGTTTAAAAAAAATCAGGCACCCGACAGGCACCTGACATGGTTCGTGCACAGTCTCGTTTTGTCAACAATTACGTCATTGGAATGTATCAGTCGGGCCCACTGAGGCCGGCGCCAATAGATATTAGTCGCACCAGTCTACCAGTCTATGCTGTGCTGTATTCACGAAGGAGCGCTTTGGCCATCGCAGGGCGTTGTTTAGGGTACTTGTGCAACATACGATAGATCAGCATGCTCCTCGCCTCCCTTTCTCTCACCTGCAAACTTGCATCCGTCCTGAAGGAACTAATTTCCGTCCATTCACGCGTTGTACAGGCGAACACGTTCACGCCGCGTAATTGCCCTGTAGAATAACGGAGGTAGAAATGCCCAGAACGCCCTTTGCGAAGCGTCATTGACGACAGCACAGGCGATCAAGGAAATAGACAGGGCCCAGAAAGTCCACAGGAATGCTCGTCAGCCCATGCAGCTGTTCGAGCCCATCCATCTGATCGAAACAACGGGCTCCGGCATTGGCAACAGGATATAGGGTCATACACGAAGGGAGGCGATAGCAAGGTGCAGGAAAATCATCAGTGATACGGGTCTGCCGCCATGATAGGCGAGCATAGGTCGCTCCAGACGTGCACGTACTGCTTGAACCAGATGGACGCGCATATTGTCACTACAGCTGTATTGAGATGACCGGTGACTCCACGCTCTTCAAGCAGATCCTCTTTCACACTTACGTCGGACACCTCCATAAAGACTCAATAACCTTCTAACCGCAGTTACCTGCACTTCAAAAAGAAGATTGGGTCCGCCACTTGATATAAAGCATTTCAAAATATCAACTGCTGCATAACACCAGATACGCTCAAATACTAAAATTCTAACGAAGCAAGAATTGAAAGAGCCGACATCGAAGGATCAAGAAGCAACGTCGCTATGAACGCCTGGATGTCAAGCCAGTTATTAGAGAGTTTTCACAGCCTCCATTTACCAGTCTATTTTCTACTGTACACTGCACTCTGGTGGGGATATGCAGCACCATTTTTGAAAAGCCGATTTCGATAGAATATGTTTTTGCGTTGAGCTGGTCAACAAAATACTCGGCTACCTTGGTGTACGCGACCCTGTTTCCGATACCGTTTGACTTGCCATTGTCGTAGAGCAAGTTGAAGATTGATTCGTCCTGCTTGGATTCGATCAGTGGTGATCTGTGGCTGTGGGGGGGAGGGACGATAAACAGACGCGTGCCGCTTCCTACCGCCCTGACAGCTGCTCCCTTTCTCTTCTTTTGCGTATGTTGGTGCTTTTCATTTTAATGGCATGATAGGGGGTTTTGCGTGCGCACCATTCCTGAGAGCGTGTTTGTGGAAAATTTTTTTAGCTTAAACTATTATAAACCTGCTTTGGCTTATTCCAAGGCTCATGGGAGGGCATTCCAGGGACCTGCATAGCAACTTTCTTTCACCTTTACATGTAATGGGTCAACTAAGTGTGTTATCTCTTTTGTGCCACCGCGTAAAGCATTTCGCGAGCGAGGACGTCCATTTCCAATTCGAGACTAAAGAGAGTAATTGCGCGTGCCACGCTGGCGAAAGATGATCTGCACATGTTGAGTGTGGAATGGTCTTTGAGTATTATATTTAGCCAACCCGATCTGGTCTTCCCCGCACTTGAGCAGGGCCAGCTGCACGGCCGGGGATTGTCTGAGTGAAGGTGACGTGAGGATGAGAGAACATAAAAAACAAAGAACCTTGTTGGGGGAAGGTTCATGTGCCTGTAAATAGGCGTGCTCCGGGGACAGGATTCGGGGCACCAACGTATGCACCATTAGGTCGCATTCTCACTTGAGAGCACTGTCTCACTATCTCCGCAGGAGCCACATGTCAAATAGCCGAATGATGGATGCGGGTTTCTGCGACGGGACAAGGTCTGCATTTCATTCGCCGCCGGGGTGCTCCGCATCCGCGCCCTTCTTTTTTCTTTTTTTATATACCCACGTCTCCTTTTTTTCTTTTCTTTCTTTTCTCTTCTCTACCGCTCTTTTTTCCCACACATTCACCACCACACATCTCCCTCTTCTCCCCCCCCCTTTTCTGTACTCTCAGCATCACCATGGGTCTCCTCGATATCGTCCCCGCCGGCGTCATCACCGGTGACAACGTCCGCAAGGTCTTTGCCTATGCCTCCAAGCACGGCTTCGCCATCCCCGCCATCAACTGCACCTCGTCCTCAACCGTCAACGCCGCTCTTGGTAAATAATGCGCTCTCTCAATCGTCCGCACCACTCGCTTGGGCAAGGAGCATGGAGGCCCTACGGGCGAGTCCTGTTTGTTTTCTCGCGTTCAAAGACACGGAAAACCTGACATTGATATTTTTATTCGCGTTCTTGTTTCTTTTCGCGACGCGTAGAGGCTGCCCGCGATTCCAAGTCGCCCATCATCATCCAGTTCTCGAACGGTGGTGCTGCCTACTTTGCCGGCAAGGGTATCTCCAACAAGAACGAGCAGGCCTCTATCCTGGGAGCCGTTGCTGGTGCCCATCACGTCCGCGCCGTTGCCAAGGCGTATGGTATCCCCGTCATCCTGCACTCGGACCACTGCGCCAAGAAGCTGCTCCCATGGTTCGATGGCATGCTCGCTGCCGATGAGGAGTACTTTGCCAAGCATGGCGAGCCTCTCTTCTCGTCCCACATGCTTGATCTCTCGGAGGAGAGCAAGGGAGAGAACATCGAGACCTGTGTCAAGTATCTCGAGCGCATGGCCAAGATCAACTGCCATCTCGAGATGGAGATCGGTATCACCGGAGGCGAGGAGGATGGTGTCGACAATTCGGATGTCGACAATGCCTCGCTCTACACCCAGCCCCAGGATATCCTCGATATCTTCAACGCCTTCTCCAAGATCACCGACTTGTTCTCGATCGCTGCTGCCTTCGGTAACGTCCACGGTGTGTATGCTCCCGGCAACGTCAAGCTCCACCCCGAGCTTCTCGGCAAGCACCAGGCTTATGTCAAGGAGCAGCTGAAGCTCGAGACCGACAAGCCCGTCTGGTTTGTCTTCCACGGAGGCTCTGGATCGACCGAGAAGGACATCCAGACCGCTGTCGGCTATGGTGTCGTCAAGATGAACGTTGACACTGGTAAGCTTTCTGTTTCTGTTGTGTTACTTTCTGAGAGTCGGGTCTCATTGGGAAATCGACCGATATGGACACAGTCCCGATGGAACTTGATTGTCTTGAGCCATATCATCGGCCCTCGTATAGGGTCCTTTGTTGGGGAGGAAATATATGGGCGATGAACTTTGTTTGGGACGACTGATTGACACCGACATGGGACTGTCTCTAACCATCCACTTCTGCTCTGTTGTTTATTCCCAATAGATACCCAGTGGGCTTACTGGGAGGGCATCAAGAACTTCTACGAGAGCAAGAAGGTAACGCGGCTATCCCGGCATTCACGATCAGACCGTTTGGTGTGCGGTGTGCTGGCAGCATCGTTTGGATCAAAGATCTAACCTCAATTGTCTGGTTTTTTTTATGGTGAATCTAATAGGGCTACCTCCAGGCCCAGGTCGGCAACCCCGATGGTCCTAACAAGCCCAACAAGAAGTTCTACGATCCCCGTGTCTGGGTCCGTGAGGGTGAGAAGACCATGGTCGAGCGTGTCAAGGTCGCTTGCAAGGATCTTAACAACGTCGATCGTCTGTAAATATACATCATCTCTCCTTTCCTTCGCCATTACTTTTTTTTTCCACCATCGAAGCATTCACCCCCTCTCTTGACCAAAAATATTGAAATATAAATAAAGAACGATCCTTATTTGTTGTATTCGATCTGGTCTCCAACTGAAGGCTGAAGGAAGTGTCATTTGTAGCAGAGAGTTAAGCTGACTGATTTTTTTGGTTAAAACTTTTCAACTACAGGGGTTTTGCTTAACAAAATATCCATAATTGACAAGGTCTAACCAAAAAAATCAATCAGCACAACTCTGATTTAGAGTGACGGGCCTTTGCATTAAAGGGTTAGTCTGGGCTGGGCCAATTTGGTCGTCATCTGCAAAGACTAAAGGACCCTTCGCTAAGAATCCACTACTGAAGGATCCTAATCTGACGTCGACCATTACCTCCATTTATCATTGCTGTCAATGGGCTTTGAGCGTCATGTCGGGGCTATCGGGAGACGGTGCTAGTCGCTGAAACGGCTAAGCCGAAATGGAACATGGGTATAGACGCAGATTATTCGTTATGTTTCTTGGATGTCTACTGGGGCACTGCCAAATCATGAGGCCGTGCACTGCATCCGAACTATCTCCCTGTAGAGGTTTCTCGAAGAGTTGGTGGTCCCAGTCGAAAGTTCATTCGACATAAATACACGGCTCGTATCCCGGCCACGATCCACTTTCTCTCCTCCTCACTTCTTTGTCTCTTTCCTTTAGCAAACACATACCACACTCGTGCCTCCGTTCTTTCTGCATCTGTGTCTGCATACATACCATCAAGCACAACCCCGCCTGTATTCTACACCATGTCCGCACACTCCACTTCTTTCCCAATGTCTCTGTCACTGCAGCACACAACGTATCTTGAACATTACATGCAGACCCAGGAGGCAGCCAAATGCTTCGAGGATGATCTCGACTTTTGTCCGAGTCTAACTGCATCCGAGGTAAGCACCCACAATCCCTTGACTCTTCCCCATCTTCTCTCTCTTCTCTCTTGCATCGTCTTTCTTCGGCAATTGCACCCAGTTGAGACAGTGAATAAGTATCTCACATCTTTCATAATACACTTGCATGACCGCCACCACAGCTATCAGAAAGAGCGTCTGAATACGCCTCTGCTCATGCCAGAAGGAGAGAAGCACGATGGTCGCAACTGGATCATAGCAGCCCCCTAGCATCGCCTCGAACACCATCCCAATGTACCGTCAGCGGCAGATTCCCTCCTACCTCGAAAGCAATTGCGATTGTTGACCCAGCCAGCAAAGCACCCGTACAGCTCCCACCACCAGGGTTTCCATCGAGCAAAGCATGTTCAACTAGCCCCTCCATTATAACACCATCCAGGCACGGTTCCATCAGCTCAGTCAGCTCAGTCAGCTCTGGTGGAGATACCATGTCGCATATTGATGCCCAGGACACATCTCTGCTGGATTGGACAATGCAACAACAACAACAAGACCAACAGATGCTTCAGATGCAACAGCTGCAGTTCTTGCAGCAGCAGCAACAGCATCAGCATCAGCATCAGCATCACCATCAGCCATTCGCGTGTGATATGATGTTTGCACCCTCTGCCGCTGCCCAGGGTCCATTCTTTGGTCAGGACATGTCCTCAAGGGGCATGTTCTATCCTTCGAATAATGGAGTCTATTCGCCGCCCTCAAGAGCGACTTCCAGGATCCCGATCGTGAATCCAAACAATGGTAGCACTGTCTCCCTCTCCGAGGCACCAGTAGCACCCATGCCAGCGATGCCAGCCTGGCATCATCCCCAGTACTTTGTCTCTGTCCGATAAAGACAGGAATGTGCTATACCCTTTTTGATCTCAAAAGCCATGTACTTTTATTCCTTCACTGTCTCCTCCCCTCACAATATATATATATAGTCGTCTAACCTACAATTGACCATAATAAATGCAAGTACCAAACATGATGAACGACTGGATACGTGAGGCGAAAGGAGGAAAGAGGTACACAGAGAGCCCCAGAGTATTTTTGACCAAAGAGATGAAGATCGTCCATGTTGCCAAGTTCCCGCCATCTCTTTTTTTTCATTTTATCCGCAGGCAGGATACTGAGTGATGATACAAAGGGGGAATCCACTGTTGGTGCGTGTGGAGAGTTGTAAATAGACAAGGCGACTGAGCCTGAGGAAGGGGGAGGGAGGGGAGGGGGGATGGGTAGACTAGGTGAGCCATTCCAGGCAAACAAGGGTGTCCTTTTTCTTCATACAACTTTTTTTTTTTTTTTTTGGCTGAGATGTAAAAAAATGAAGGCAGGGCACAATCAACCTAATTTTTATTTTCTTTTTATTTTGGGTTTCCATCTCTCGGTCGTTTGTTGCCTCCCTCTTTTTTCTGAATCTCAGTCCCCATCGTCTTTCTTCATCCACCCAACCCCATCTGCTCCTCTTCCGCTCAAACCCCTCCCTCGCTATCCCTCGCTATTGCTATCCCCCTCCATTATTTCTCTCTCTCTCTCTCTCTCTCTCTCTCTCTCTCTCTTGCCTTCTTAGCGACCTCGCATCCCTTGTAACGATCTCTTAATGACCATCGAAGCCGAACAAAACGCCACCACTGCCGCTGTAGACACTCCAGCAACCGAGAAAGGAGACGCCACCAAAACCATGGATACCGACAAGGTCTCTGCTGCCATGGGCAGCTACATGCTCCAGGGATGGGTACGTATCAATTGTCTGTCTTCTAGGGGACTGATCTGTCTGCGCTGTTCATATCAACCCCCTCATTATTCTCTCTATATCGCCTCGTGTATGTACTTTGTGTACATGTCCTCGTATTCATCCGATCCAAAGCTGTGCACAACAAATATCTGACACCCCTCTCTTTCTTTCTTTCTCTCCACCATCCGCCGACGATTAATAGGCCATGCTAAATGACGGATGCCCTGATTGCAACGTATGTGTTCCTGGACAGTGTGGAGAAGCTGTGTTATGCGTGTTTCTGCAACCGGAGACCCCTCTTGAGCGCTGCATTACGTGATGGTGCTCTCGATGCTCGCTAGCTCTCTCTCTTTCCTCTTTTTGGTCGATGGACAAACAACTTTCTGGCACTTTTTTTTTGCTGTCCGCAATTGGTCTAGCCTCAGCGCCCTGTAGTGCGAAATAGCTACCCTGAAGCGTTTTTTTTTCTTATTTATTTACTTTGCCTCGATTTGCAAAAGGCTCTCTTCTCTTTGAGCCGAATAGAAAAGGCAGAAGGAGGGAGAGGAGACTGAGAGAAGAACGATTGATATTCCTAATGCAAGTGCCGCCTGGTAAAGGCGAATGAAAGCGCCCGCGTTTAACCAGGTTCTCGGTGTTCTTCCTATGTCAATAGACACCCCTGATGCGCAACCGTGAGGCAACCAGCCAGATCTGCGTCAACTGTGAACTGAATCCACCAGTCGACCCCGAGGAGGGCAACAACGACAATGACAAGACCGCACAGCAGACAGAGTCTGAACAGTCGGCGCAGCCAACAGAACAGCCTGCACAGGCAAACCAGCCTCTGCCGCCACCACCAACCAAACTAGCTCCCTCTCCACCAGGCCCTCCCCGTCCAAATTCGCCCCAAAATCACCGCGCATCCGTGCTGGATCCGATGATGGAAGCACGCAGGGCGCTGCGCCCAGTCGGCAGTCGCAACATCGGCAGCTCTGGCGGCCCCCAGCCTCCTTCAACACCTCCTCCACCAAGATCGTTGACATCGCTGCCCATGCCCCCGATCACAGCACCACCGGGCGTCGCCGCAAAGACTGTATCGGGACCCTTGCTAGGAAAGGGAGCTACGATCCCTCGTCCTGCAGGAACCCCGCCAGCCTTGCCATCAACACCTCCACCGCCAGCCGGCACCCTTCTTCCTCAGCTTATACCAAGGGATATGAGGCGCTCTCCTCAGAGTTCAGTGGTTCTCTCAGGCAATATTCTTCCACCCTCCACACCCCCTCCACCTCCACCCGTGTCAACACCGTCTTCAAGCTCCTTCCCCAATCCTCCCAACCACCCCCCTCCTTCTCGAACGTCAGGTCCCATCTCTATCCCTGCCTCCAACGGTGATTCCGTCGTCGTCGCAACCGAGGATAAAGAATCGGTGCAGACAGCAGAGGCTGTGGAAGAGAATGTTGTTAAAGCCGACAGTGCGGAAGCAGCACCAGAAACGACAACGGAAGAGACCGCGGAGGAGTCGCCGGCACCGGTAGCCGAGAACGTAGAGAAGACAGAGGAGATGGAAATAGAGTCAACACAGGAACCTATTCAGCAGGACGCTGCTCCTGAACTAACTCAGAAGGCCACACCAGAAACTGTCCAAGAAGCTGCACAAGAGTCTGTTCAAGAGATTGTTCAAGAGGTTGTTCATGAAGCTGTCCAGGAGGCTGTCCAGGAGGCTGTTCAAGAGGCTGTTCAAGAGAGTTCCCAGGAACCTGTCCAGAAAACTGCCGTGGATGCGACTCAGAAGACTACCCAGGAAACCACGGAGGAGGCTACTCAGGAGACTGTTCAGGAATCTGCGCAGACTAGCGCTCCGGGGCAGGAACAGCAGACTGAGCAAGCAGACGATGAAGAAGAGGATGACAAGGGCGCCGAGAGCGACGACGACTTTGAGGATGCGGAGGAGGAGGTATATAAGCCCTCTGAGGAGGAGATCAAGGTTCGCGAGACCAAGAGGGAGCAGAGTGAACATGCCTCAAAGCTGATCGGACAAAAGATGCTGCAGGGCTGGACCATGTTGCAGGACCCATGTCCCAATCCTTCTTGTCACGGTGTAAGTAACATGGATGATATCTCCTGGTTTAATACGCGCACTCGGTGTGGCTATGCGTGTTATTCTAATTTCATCTATCGGTTTCTGTCCAAATAGGTGCCACTGATGAGGAGTCGTGAGAAGAAGGAGTACTGTGTTGTCTGCGAAAACTATTATCAGCGGGAGGAGGACTTGGAGCAGGGAAAGTACACGATCGTATCAGCAGATAACGGTAACGCTGCTCCTGCTGTTGCTGCTGCACCAGCTGCCCCAGCTGCCCCAGCTCCTGCCGTTACTATGCCGGCACCTGCAGCCATACCAGTACCTCCTGCGGCATCGGTTCTGCCTGCAATGCCATTGAATTTCCCCCCTCCTCCACAGGCGCCTTCGCCTGCGATCCCTCCTCAGTACCAGGGTACCTCGAACGCTACTTCACCTGGTATCAGGGCTGTTTCCTCGCCTATCTCAAGTCCTTCCATGGGTCGCAGTCAACGTGAGCTCCTTGGTCGAGTATCAAATTCGATCATTCTCCCTCCAGCGACTTCATCAAATCTTGGTGGTGCTGGTCAACAGATCCTAGGGAAGCATATGAGCGAGGATCTGGATGTAAGTTGTTCAGGTTTTGGAAAACATTGTCCGCCTGCTGTTTGTTGTTGCAAGGTATTTGGTTTTCGCTCACTAACGGCTACTTGAAACTGTTTTCGTCTGTTGTTGTGAATGTGAATAGAAGTTGGCATCAGAGGATGAGGAGTCGAGGAGACACATTCAGATTATTCGCAAGGTTGGCGAGTTTTCCAACAAGTCGCTCCCGCCGGTCCCTGTCCCTGCAGCAACGACTTCACAGTATGGATCGCGTCCGATATCGACGTATTCGAATTCTTCGGATATCCCGTCAGAGTACGAGAGACAGGAGCCAAGGAACTATCGCCATTATCCTAGCCAACGTCAAGGCTATGGACAAGGTTTGTCGTCTCAGCTTGGATCCGGAGGTCAAGGTGGTGATAGCAACAGCAGTACGCCAACACCCCCTCCGCCTGCACCGCTGGCACCGGAGGTGCAGGCTTTAGTTGCAGCAACACACAGGACGATTGCGACGATCTTGGTGAAATTGGAAGCCTACAGATTGGCATTGGAGATGGCTGAAAGCCCCAAGGAGTGCCAGGTGTTGACAGCACAAATCAAGGGCCTTATGGAGTGTCTCAAAGCCTGCCGCGAGGCCCTTTAAAGTTGTTGAGCTGCACTGTGTCTTTTACCACCACTTTTTCAGTTATTAGTTTTCTGACTGATTTTTTTTTTCTTTGCCATGCGCATACACTTTATGAATCCCCCTACGACTCTTTCGATTTATGATATCCTTTACGACCTCGCCGCTACGACCTTGACACTTTATAATTCATCAAGTATTTAGACAAATAAATAAACAATAAATCAAAAACATTATATACTAGATCCATCCAAGAGGGAAGGAGGGGGATGAGAAAGTGAAAAGGAAGGCGATGGTGAAGAAGCCCTTGCCGTGTATCCAAGTGTCGTGCTTGTTGAGGAGAGGGAAGAGGAGACAGTGGCGTAGAAGCAGTCGTGCATGGTCTTCATTGAGAGAGAGAGAGAGAGAGAGAGAGAGAGAGAGAGAGAGAGACACGACAAGACATCATGTCTCTGAATTTTTTTTTATTTTATTTTTTCTCACCGTACTCCCCCAATTCCTTCTTTCTTTCTTTCTTTCTTTCTTTTCTTTCTTCTTTCTTCTTTCTTCTTCCTCTTCTTCTTTAAATCCACACTCCACCTTCACACAAAACTACCCACCGCTCTCTCTCTCTCTCCACATCCCACACACCCACGTTCTTTTTCAATTCCCTCCCTCGCCCCCCTCCCCCACACTGCACAGCACACCGAAAAGATGTCGCGTCCATGGTCCCCACCTCTAGACCTGCGTACACGGACACTCAAGTCCCTGTCCATCATCCACGTGCGTCCCGAACACCTGCCCGCGATCCACGCTCTCCAGCTCCTCGCCTACCCCGACCGGACCGACTTCCACGAAAGCCTCGAAGTCTTTCGATCCAAACTGGAGGCCTACCCCGCCGGGAACTTTGTCGCCCTCGCGACCACTTCTGTCGTCACGGACGATGACACCTCAACCTGGGCCCGTGCAGACGACGAGGCTAAAGAAGAAGAAGACGAAGAGGTGGAGAAGGGGGAGAAGAAGGAACAGGAGAGCAGACAGGGTACTAAAGAAATAGAGGAAGATGAAGGAGAAGGAGGAGAAGGAGGAGAAGGGATGATGGAGGGTATCCATGGGATCACAGTCGTCGAGATCTCCGAGACGGACCTGGATGGCACCACCTCGACCACGACCGCGACCACGACAACTGGTTCCGGAGACCCCGCCCTTGAGACCCTCCAGGCCGAGGAGCCCATCATCATCCGGGCGCGTACCCCAAACATTTTCGAAGGCGGCGATGATACGGATGAAGACGACGACAATGCCACGACGCCGACGACCCGTCACACCGCATCCTCGACTCTCGCCCCCGAGACTCCTCCTCATCATCATCATCCGCACCAGCGCCGGCACCGGAATCACAAACACCAGAAGAAAGCCCGTACGGATAAAGAAAAAGAAGAAGGAGGAGGAGAAGGAGAAGATGAAGATGAAGACGACAAGGATATGACGACGATCCTCTTCCAGTGGGAAGAACCCGTCGGCTACTTGTTCTCACACCCATACTCCCGTGAATCCGTTACCTTACACCGTCTCGGAGCCGGAATCCCTAATTCGTCTGCCTCGCCAGCAGCAGCAACAACAGCATCAACAGCATCAACCACCAAAAAACAGCGTCTTGATTCGGAACCCAGCCCCTCCGGGGCCGAGAACAAAGAGGCAGAGGAGGGAGTGGACGAAGACGAGGAAGAAGAAGACGAAGAAGAAGACGAGGAAGAGGCGTACGAACATGACCAAGGAATGGAGAGATATTACATCCACGATTGTACGATCCATCCCGACTACCGCGGCCAAGGTCTCGCTTCCAGACTCTGGAAAGCCCTCGAAGAATCCCTCCGTCCGTCATCGTCGTCGTCGTCCTCCCTTGACGAATCTCTCCTCGCCGAACCCGAACCTGGACCACAACAACAGCAACAACAGCAACAACAGCAACAACAACAACAGCAACAAGGAGAAGAACACCAGCATGACAGGCCCCACCATCGCAACCGCCCTCATCACCGCCGCCACCGAAGGGGAGGTCGCGGACGTGGGGGGTCCAAGGGCGGCGCTCCGAATTTGAAAGAGATCGTGCTAGTGAGCGTGCAAGGGACGAGACCGTTCTGGGAGGGCGCCGGGGGGTTCGAGGTCGTGCCTGAACATGATATGGATCTGTCCATCTATGGCGACACCGCCTTTCTCATGCGCCGACCGTTTTCTTATCTCTGAAGGATTATTTTTTTCTTTTTCTTTTTTGCAGATTTTTTTTTTTTTTTTTTGCATTGGTATGTTGTTCACGAAAAAAAAAGGGAGAAGGGGAAATGGGGAAATGGGGAAATGGGGAAATGGGGAAATGGGGAAAAAGAAGGATACAGAACAGCAAGAAGCCGACCAAAGAGGACTTGGCTGCGTCCTGGCCATGTAGTTGTTCGGGGCGACGACGCGACTCTTACTTCGAGACCAGGATCTACATGAAAACAAAATAAAATAAAGACTATGCGAAATAAATATATAAAAACTCCCCCAACGCGTTGATTAACGATATAAATGCTATGGCATACATCTCTCTGCTCATTCTTGGTTCTCTCTAACCTCTAACCTCTAACCTCTAACCTTCTAACCTCTATCCCTTACCCTTACCTCTTCTGCCACTTTGTTGTTTCTGCTCGTTCTTTTCATGCTTTTTTATTTCTATAAGGTAGTCAGTTGTACCAGAGCGACTTTCTGCACTAGGGAAAGAAAGGGAAACTATGGAAAACTACCAAGGGTATAATTATACTGCACAAGCGGTGTCATCGACCTCTGTCCATGTCCATGACCATGTCCTGGTGGTCCATGAGCGTGCCCTGTCGTCGGTATTGGCCTCGGCTGATTAGATCCCGAGCCAGTGATACATCCCTGCTGCTGCCCCTGGTTCAACCGATTTCCAATATTCGTCTGTAGTCCCGGACAACCTCCTGGGGATGGATGCTGCAGCTGTTGTTGCCGACCGTTATTCCCGTTTTGGAACGTCTGCTGCTGCTGCTGCTGTTGCTGTTGCTGCGGTCTTTGGTGATTCGGTCCCGTGTATTTCGTCTTGGGTTTGAACGCCATCAGCGATGGTGTTGGCCCAAACGACGTCGGCAACGAAGAGGATGGACGGTGCCCCGGTACCGTAGGGCGGGTCGAATTCCCAAACGGTGCTATCGCGGCCGTTGCAGTTATTGGAGTCGTTATTGTTGGCGGTGGTGGTGGCGGTGATGGTTGGGGTGAGGGGAAGGAACGCTGGTGCGTTAGCGGATGCGGCTGTGCATGGTTGTTATGGGTACCAGTTCCATGATGGCCCACATAGGCAGCCGGGTGGTGGTAAGTGTTCCCAGAGTATTGTGCTGGTGGTCCGGGTGTGGTTCTGTTGAACATGTTCACGGGCGGCGCGTGCGGTAGTAGACGCCCTGGATGGGCGTTGCTGTAGCCTGGCTGGGTATGGCGGATCGCCGGGTGTGGGATGGTCTGGTGCTGTTGAGGGTGTGGTAGTGGTCTGGCTCCAGCCTGGAGTGGTTGTTGTGGTTGTGGTGGATGTTGCTGTGGATGTGGAGGCGGAGCGAGTGCATAGAAGGTCAATTCGAAATAGATGTCGCCTGCGTGGATCGCACCCTTGTGCTTGATCGGGAACCACACTACTCGTCAGTAAAGGAAAATAGGGAAATTGCGGTTAAGAACGGGAGAATGCACTATTGGCGAGGAAGAGAGAGAGTGGCGATGCTGCAGCTGCGGGACTGGAGAGGCGTGCATTGAAGGAGAAAGAGCATTGGAGGATATAGGCTTTCTATTCCTGCACCAGCACAGCCATGCCCCCTTGGTCCAGAAGAAGCTTGTTTCGGACCCAGCATACCAGCCACTTGGACAGTGCAGTGCATCAATAGAGGTCGATTGTGTGCATGCATGCATGCATGCATGCATGTAACAATAGAAACGACAACAGCAACAGCAACAGCAACAAGGCCTTACCATCGAGCTCGCCCCTGTCGAGGACTTCGTGCAGCAGCAGGGTGCCCTCGCCCACCAGCTCGTCCTTCTTGCCCTCGTCGACGACCGACACCCGCATGGCCAGACACCCCTGGTACACATCCAATCGGATCTAGTGAGTGAAAGATTGAGTGTTCCTGAGTGGTTAACAGCGGATTCACCTCTTTTTTTGTTGTAGTTGTTTATTGGTGAAGAAACATAAACAGGCAGAAAACACAGGGGGAGGAGGAGAGGTGCTGCAATCCCTTACCTCCTGGTCCCACTCTGGCTCGAGCGACGCTATCAACGAGGCCTTGGTCCTCTTCTTCTGGTCCGCGCCTAGTCTGAGTTGGACATAGGGCGACTGCTTCCCGCCAGAACGGTTGAGTAGCATCCTGCCCTTGATCGGAATTGCCACGAGTGTGCCCAGTTTCCGTGGCATAGTCATGTTCTGCTGGGGGGATATGGGGGCTGTGAATAAGAGAGAGTGTGTGTATGTGTGTGATGAAAAGAGAAGAAGAGAGAGGGGGAAAGAGAGGGCAGTCGAGTGAAGCGAATGAAGGGAATGAAGCGAGTGGCGGGGGAGAGAGTGAAAAGAAGAGCAGAGTGGGGAGTGGGGAGTGGAGAGAGAGAGAGAGAGAGAGAGAGAGAGAGAGAGAGAGAGAGAGTGGAGAAGGAAGAGGGGGGGGAAAAGAGTAGAAAAGGGCAATCCACAGAATAACGACTATCACCCAGTTCGAAAGTACATCACTTTTCTACACTCTGCTGTATATCGACTATATATATAAAATATATATATACCCGCAACATATAGCCCTTACAAGTGCGCAACAAGCGTGCAACAAGTGTCTTTGTAGTGTGTGTGTATGTAAGTGAGTGCCACACACAGCCCGGCCTTACATCGACAGCATCCACTCCATAGACTACGCTGTACACATACACATACACATACCATACGCATACACGCGTCATCTGCAAATCCCATCCTACTCATGCACTCCTCTCTCTGTCTGTCTGTCTGTCTGTCTGTCTGTCTTTGGAGCAGATCAGCATCACACTCCATGGACCATGGACCGGTCGCCCTTCTCCGATGGGCAACTAGCAGACGCAAAGGTCAGTCAGTTCCTATCTTCACCAGGAAAAAAAAAAACTGTCTTGTGTGTGTATCCCCCCATCCTACGTTTCACGTTCATTTGTCTATGTTTCATCTAGCACACAGCACTGCACTTGCACTGCATCCATAGCTCTCTCTCTCTCACTCACACACTCATTGCTCTTCTTGTTCTTCTCCTCTATCACAGCCTACTCCCTTACCGGGTAACCAGGCATTCAAGACAGTCTTTCTTCTGTCTCAAGATAAACCTCCTCCTCCCTCTCGCCCAGTATTTCTTCCTTGCTTAATTGTCATACAATTGCATGCGAATAAAATAAAATAGAATAAACTAGACATAAAAATAAAAATGGGACGCAATAACATGCAGGTACCATTGGGCGTAGGCAACACAGACACGTCCAAAGAGATGAATGGGCTACATTTTTACGCTCCTCCATACACGGCCCCTCCCGCCCCCCCTCCTCACACCCGCCGATGCATGAATATTCATTGTCCTCATCGCAATTTCCAATGCCAGTTATTATTACTGTAATAGTGTAATAGTGCGTGTGTTTTATTTGAGTGATACAGAGAGAGATAAAATGTGTGTATGTGTGTGTGTGTGTACATATGTATAGCAAGTAGAAAGGAGAAGAAAAAGAAAAAGGAAAAGAAAGAGGGAAAGGCCGAACTAAATAAAAAAAAAAAAAGAACACCGGGGGAAGTCTCTCCTTCATTGTAGATCCCCCCCCTCACCATCATTCTTTTTTTCCTTCTCCTTCTTCACTCTCACTCTCTCCTGTCCTGTATCAATCTCGCAAACAGCATCTCCTGTTTGTTTGTCCTGAATAAAAAAAAAAAAAAAAGGTCCGCTGATCCTCGACCATTCTTTCTTCTTTCCTGTTTTCTTTCTTTCTTTCTTCCTTTTAGGTTTATGGCTTTGTTGCCTTGACAATCGACACTATCACAAAGAAAAAAAAGAAAAGAAAAAAAAATGAGAATCAATCAACTTTTCTTCACCATGCCTCCTTATCAAAAAATAAAACATGGATGATCCTTGAGTATAAAGCCCATGCAGCCCAAGTCAGGTCTTTTTCTTTTTTCTTTCATTCTTTCTTGGACGAGTCAAAAGTCTTACCGATGATGATCGCCAGGATGATGAGGATACCTGCACCGACAATCAGGCGCCACTTCATGTTCTTCCACCACATCTGGCGTCTCACTCCCGAAGCGCCCTTTCTGAATTGAACGGCGCCCTGCTCAAGGTCAGCTAGAAAGTGAAAGTTTTTTTTTAAGTGACAGTGGTATAAAGATTCATGTTAGAAACAGCATATCCTTCCCTCTATTTCCAATGTGTCTGTTCAGACAGTGCAAAAACGTCTAGTATGTAGTGCAATCTGTCCTGATTTCGTCCGCTGTTGTGTCCTGGTGCGTGAACTATTTTTCCTAATTCCGAATGTTTGTCCTGCTCTGTCATGCCATACTATTATTGTTGCTGTTGCTGTTGTTGTTGTTGATGCGTTGTTGGAGTAGCAGTGTGTGTGTACAATCAGCACTACATCACCGCCGTCAAAAAAAACCCCTGTCCCTGTTACTGGAATGAGAATTGCGCGCAAAGTCGGGTTTGTGTGTTGGTGGGACTCGGCTGAGCTGGACTGGGGGGACTCGACTCGACTGGACTGAACTGGACTGGACTGGACTGGACTGGACTGGAACAAAAATCCCTCCCCCTCCCCTTGGAACACAAAAGAAAAAAAAAAGAGTCCGAACACAAACAGATTCTAAACATAAAACGGGATACCACCCACACCCGTCCAGGAACATCACAAGAGCAGTTACAGTGATAGACTGACTATACTGTCCGTGGGTAAACAGTAGCGCCCTCCCTTCCCTCCTCCTCCCCAAAAAAAGAGCGGGATGAAGGAGCGGGAGGAAACTTATAGGGAAGGGGCATGAAAAGTAGAAAGAAAAAAAAAAGAAAAAAAAAGAAAGAACTGTCGACTTACAGGTCTTGTGCTGCAAAGAGTCGAGTTTCTCGCCACGGTCCCTTACGGAATCAATCTATTATTTGATATAAAAAGACAAAAAAGACATATACATATACATGTAAAAAAAAACGCACATGTCATTATTATTGTTATTGTTGGTTCTTGGTTAGTTTGTTGCTTAGTGCGCGTATTGCCTATAAACTCCCCGATGAGACAGGAATATATAAAAAAAATAAAAAAACAAATAAAAAGTGCACATTACGTTTTGCTGCATGATGCCGACGACATCATTGACCTGCTGCTGCAACTGGGCAGTCTTTGAGGATGGGCCGGGATGGGGGTCATAGGGAGTCGACGACCTATTGTCAGTTCAATTCACAAGAGTGAAAAAAAAAAAGAAAAGAAAAAAGACAGCAGAGGCAAGCGAGGGTGAGAGAGTATTCATAGCATAGTATATAGTCAATTACTTTCCGACAGCCAGATGAAAAAAAAAAAAAAAAAAAAAAAAAAAAAAAAGTGGGAGAGTGAATCTCTCGTGGTTAGAGAGCGGCTCGCAGCCTTGTGGAGAAGTGGGCGTGTGCTTTTTTTTTTTTTCCCTGAGCCGAGCAGGGTGATGAGCACTCGAGTGGTACTTACATTGCGTGGGCTGGTGTGGGGTGTTGTTTGGTAAGGTGGGGTTGTGGTTGTGGGTTGTGGGTTGTGGGTTGTGGGTTGCTGAGTAGTAGGGGACAGTTGGGATGAGGGAGGGAGGATGAATGAGAGAGGGGTGAAAAGAAAAGAAGTAAAAAAAAAAGACGAAGGGGCGGTGGGTGGTCTTTGACACACAGCCCACAAAGAATAGCACGAGCACAATCACACTTCAGAACAAGTCCGGGGACCTTTCTTTTTCTTTTTTCCATTCCACTGACGACATTGGATTCAAACGGGGTCCCCCGTTGCTTTTTACTGTACACCCAAAGGACACTCTCTCATCTCATTCACTCCACCCGCTGCTTCTTGGCCGCCCGCTGTTCCTCCGCCTCCTCGCCTGCGCCCTTCTCCTCTCCTCCACCTTCCTCGCCTTCACCCTCTCCGGCACCTTCCTCCTCTTCCTCTCCCTCCTCCTCCTCTTCTTCTTCTTCCTCCTCCTCCTCCTCCTCTTCCTCCACCTCAATGCCCTCAAAATCAGGTCCGGGCAACACCCTGCTCGAGCTCGACACCACAAGCGACATGTCCAGGTAACTGTAATACGCCGGCTTGGCATAGTAGCTCGTCACCTTGCACTCGTCGATCGTATCTCGCTCACAGCGTCTGAACACTCCTCGCTTCGAGAACAACGACACCTGCTGAGGAAGGATACCCCATTGGAGCTCAATTGCCCCTCGTCTCTCCAGCTCCTCTGTCAAATCATCCAATTCCACCGCCAAAAACATCTTGAAAAAGTATTTTGACAGTGTGCCCTAAATATACAAACCATACCAAATATCAAATAAAGGGTTGTCAGCTTTTTGCACTACATGACATGAAAGCGAAAGCGATATGATCTGTAGTCATGTTGCACTCGTCCGTCTCAAATCCTGTGCATACCTTGGAGACGCCAGGCTTCTCGGCAATGTGTGTAAGGACTGCATGCAGACACGTCTCATAGATCGCTTCGTCCACCTCTCCCTCCAGGGTCCTCCACATCCGAGGCACAATCCAGTTCCGCGGATCAGACGTGTCCTCCGCGGCGGCCCGCTCTCCAGGCATCCACCCTTCCACATTCTTCCTCCGCTCCATGGCCGCGCGGTAATTGACGGTCCAGGTTTGATGATATCCAAACAACACATAGCGTGTGTGTGCCGTACCAACCTTGACCAAGATGGGTCGAGGCGCATTCAAGAGTGTGCGGATACACTCCATAATCTCATTGTCCGCATACGAAACATCTCCTCCTCGCAACGCATTCTATACATACATATCAAACTGTTAGTACGCGAATGAGATCAAGGAGCAGAAAGCGACAAGAGAAAGAGAGGGAAAGCGTACGTACTTTGATGTCTTGGGGCAACATGCCAGAGGTGCAGGACCGGGAGATAATATCATATACAGACTCATACAGTCGACCACGAGCCGCATCCATATCCGCCATGCTCTCGCAGATCTTTACAAACTCTTCCTCTGTCCGACTAATTGCCTTCTGCCAGACGTCCACCACCTCTTTCTCTTTCACTGCCGACTCCTTCTTTGCAACATCGCCATTGACCCTATTCAGCCCCTTCTCCTCCTCCTCCTGCTTCTTACGGAATTCTTGTACCCTCGCCGAAGCAGGTAACGGCACAGGCTGACACAACGCCCTCGTGTTCTTCAGAACCACATTGAAATGAAGCAACACACCTTGCCCATACGGCTCCTCAAACGCCGGTGCCAGTCCATCCCCGTCCTCGAATGCCATCGAAAGTTCCACCGAACCCATACACAAATCCGTCAACAGAACCATCATCTCCGCTGCACCCGTGTCCATCTGAAACGTCCGCTCCTGCGCCCCCGCATACATCTCATCCACTCCTGAACTCGCCGCCGTTAGTCGACGAGGATAAGCGCCATTCAGGAGCGTGATAAAGCGCTCGGATCCGCCTACTTTTTGCCCAGGAATCCGGAACGACGAGCTCCTGATCGCTGAGAGGATCTTCCATTCCTTGGCCAGATCACACGTGTTGAACACTGTACTCTGTGGGAATCCCTCCAAGATCGCCCTAATCATCCCTCGACGTCGCTTATGCCGCGGCAGACAGTAGATCGCCTTCACGAGCGCCAGAATAAGGTGCTCCATCGCCAATTTTTCGTCCCGTACAATTAATGGTCCCAGTGTGCTCTTGTGGTTACTGTGAACTATCGTATCCTCAGTAATCACCCGTGCGTCCCCTAGGTCCTCTGGCCACTCGTCCAGCTCTTGACTGACCATCGATCGGAGTGTGGGGGGCATCTGATGCAGCAGCTGCATTCGCCTTGGCAGAGATAGGTCAGGGTGCAATCGATCTTCAACGTACAGTCCTGAATATGGGTCAAGATGTGTCACAACATTCATCGACTCGATATCCTCCACGCTACTCAACAACGGTGTCTGGTCTGCTGTCTCGCCGCTATAATAAAAAATAAAATAAGAAATAGCACATCAGCATAATCTAACGAAAAATTGAAAAGGCATCGTTTTGCATCCAAACCTCCAGATGCTCCTATCTATCTCTCTTTCTCTCTCTCTCTCTCTCTCTCTCTCTCTCTCTCTCTCTCTCTCTCTCTCTCTCTCTCTCTCTCTCTCTCTCTCTCTCTCTCTCTCTTACTTACACGGGCAGGTCAAGGCCTGGTCGAAAGTCGTCGAGAATGGCACTCGGATCAAACGTCTTGAGGTTGCGATCGATTTCATACTTCTCCGTGTAATGAGGCATGACATGCGTAAACTGCGCCCGGTAGCTCTCCACCCGCTTCGAAAGCGTCGTTTCCCTCATCAGCTTGTCAAATCGATGGCGACAAATCTCTCGGTCTCGCTTCCCATGAAAAGCCTTCGCAACTGCAAACCAGCTGAATTTGACATTGAACGTATCCGCAAAGCAACGCAAAACAGCATAGGTGAGCAACAGCCGTTCATCGTCCGCATCCGTCCAGAGGACCTTCTTATTCCGTGTCCGCTTGGGTCTCCCCACACTGTATTTCCCTCCTAGTTCCCTGAGGGAATTTTCTGGGTTTTGTACGGCCTGTTCGTGGGAAGAGATGTCTGTCGCAGGCGCTGTAGAAATGGTGCTCTCTTGGGCTGGCGGTGTTGCTGATGTCGTTGCAGAGTCCGCGTGCGAATCCGAAGGAAGTTCCTCCTCGTTCTTGGTAAGCGTCCGTTGGTTCCTGCCCACTCGAGGCAAGCGTGATTTCGCCGTAGGCGCTGCGATAGGGTTGGCATGCCAGGCAGCCTTGATGGCCTTGTAAAAATGGACGACGTGGTCCCTCGGGAGACCTGTCTCCTTTGCCATCTGATCCATCTTTGGGTCGTGTGCCGGTGGAATATACCGCATTTTCTTGTTGACCAGAACCATGAGCTTTTCCCGCTGTGCGTGCGTAATACGGATCGGGTCCGCCCAAAGTCGCCTATTGCACAGATTGAGCAAAAAGATTTGTCGAATCTCGCTCCAGGGCCGCCCAGTTGTTCTCTCCGAGGGGATATACTTCATGCTCGACGCGCTCGACTGAAGATCCATCCAAAAGTCCTTGCATTCCTTGACGGACAAAAGCATGTACTGTTTCCGATCCGTAAGGTTCTCCTCCAACTTCTCAGGCACGATCGGATTCAGTGGTGCCCTGACATTGACATGCAGCTCGTAGTGCGTATTGAGAACCAAATGGTTTGTTGCGTAGTTGATCAGCGCCGGGTTGTCAGGCGTGCCGGGTGCCCTATCAAGTGGTGATACCAATCCAAGGGCGTCCAACACTTCCAGCACTTCTCGGAGCCGCTTCTTGAAGTGGTAGTTGGGAGCCACTATTCCTCTCATGTGCTCTGGCACGCTGTGCAGCGGGATGTTCGACGTCCGGTTTGCGTCCAGGTAGATCCTGTTTTCGCCCTCAGGGAGCTGTATTATACCGACGACGATCAAGAACACTCGCAGAGGCATCACCTCAAACAAGGAGGAGGCCATCAAAACGTTGGGATAGGAAGGATATGGAAACACATTCCTGTCCGCTGAGCCGAGTCGATCCAACAAGAACCGGTGAAAAGCGAGCGCCCTCATCATCTTGGCTCTGTTCCAACCATACTCTGCCGCTGCTGCCTGCCCCTCAGTCTCGTTTCCTCCGCGAACGAGGAGCTTGGGCATCTGTTTTAGTGCATCCCTGGCCCTGTAGGCATCCACTGAGGCCAGCGGAACGGATGGGCTCTTGAAAAAGTCCTGCCCAAGACGCTGTTCCATCTCGTCCAGCGTCTCCGCCTCAAGATCCACTGTTTCAGCCTTTGGAAGAGACTTGTGTGCAAGTGCTCCGAACAGGAAGTGTCGATCGCTGCACTCCTGCACAAACGTCTTGACTTCTTCTGATTCTGAATCGACCGTGTGATGAAGGCAGAAGGTCTTTGTCATTGTACCGCCTCCAACCATGGGGATGTTATGGACCTTGAAAACCTTCAGAAGACCCTCCGCCTCCAAGATACTGATGGTGCGATAGAGTGTCTTCCTGTCAATCACGCCGGACTCCTTCTCTGCTGGGTAAAGCCGAGCTTTTTCCTGTTGGTACTCCTGCACAAGTGCTGACTGGAATTCGACTATCCGCCTGCGCTCCAGGATGGAGAGAAGGATCCTTCGTCGCTTGATGAGTGCCACCGAGATGAATCGCTCCGGAGCCGGGGGCTGGGCCGGTTCTGAAATCTGTAGCCGAGCTCCATTGGTCGCTGAGGAGTCTTGCCCAGATGCGTTTGCACCTATGGCTTCCGGCTCTGCACCACCTGCTGCGTCGGACGAGGCGGCATTCGACTCGGCATTTGCATCGGGCGATCCTGCAGTGCCAGAAATAGCGGACGCGTTCCCTTGCGAGAGCCCTGAAGGAACTGTAGTTTCAGCGGCCAATGTATCACTCGAAGTAGGCGCCTGGCTCTGCTTTGATTTCCGTCCCGAGCGCGCCAAAGGAGCTGTCTTGGCCATCTCAATATAATCCTTGTGGTCATCGACGACACTCGTCTTGAAGCCCTGTTCCGAATAGTAGCGGTAACGGCGCTCCCTACCCACAAACTCCACAACGCGGTTGACAAGAGGTTTATCCGATCCAGGCACCGGTTTGCTGAGTGTATCCAGAATGCGAGCCAACAGTTTGGCGTTCAACATGTTCATCTTGCGTCGAATTTCCTATCAGCGATAATATGAAATGTCAGGCAGGGATCCCCAATGAAGCAAGTTAGACACGTCCGTCTTGGTATAGCTCTTACTTTGGCAATCGTGCCTTGCTCCTTCGCCTCCAGGACATGTTTGTAGACCTGATGTTCTATTGATGTGTCAATGCATATGCCACTTTGAGGAATATCGTCCGCGATAACGCTTTTCAAGTTGAGTTGAACGGCTTCACCCTCTACAAAAGACAAAGGTGAAGATATATCCAGTCAGTAAGGGTAGGTCTCATGCTTCCAATTCTAATCTAAACACTGTAAACGAACTGTACCATCGACTGGGGTATCTGCTCCGTAAAGGCGCAAAAGCTGGACACATCTGTAGTACCCAGGTGCATGGACACGCTTGATGTATTTGAGCTTGCAGAGCAACTCGATCTGTCTGTTGAACCACCTGTTCTGGACCACATTCATGTCGGACAAGTCCTACAACAAAAAAAAAAAAAAAAAAAGCACGGATGCAGAGGAAAATAATGCAGGCGTTAGTTCCCAGAGCAACTTTAAGCATAACGGCTCACGATTTTCGGCATTTCATGCACTTACCAGTGCCTTTGCAAGGTCCTCGACCATCATGATCTGATTCTTGGAGCGCGCAAGAATGTGCGTCAGCTTCTGCTTGATCAGTCCGCTGTAGTAGCTGACCTTTTTCGTATCAGACCTGAGCAGTCCCTCGAACCGTCGACCACCGTCATCCTGGACAACCAAACGTCCGGCACTTGAATAGTTCTCTTCAGAGTTCATGGCCTTGTATCCGGGGTTGAGGGACGCGAACTTCACATGGAGACAGAGAAGCGTGTATTGACCATCTGTTGTGACCGGGATCTTTACGATGAGTTTCATCTCCAGAAGAACTTTGAGAAAGTGGAACATGCTCCTGGGATCGATTTTGAGCATCCGTGCGAGTTGCGCCTGCGTGGTGCCGACTTCCCGAGTGGCGGTAACGGTCTGTAAAACCTGGAGAGTTTGGCTCGAGATCTGGGTGACAGCTCCAGAATATCCCAGAAGAACGTATCGCTGCTGCTCCGCGCTTGCGACGATCCGGAGCGTGTCCTGGTACTCTTCCAACACGCTTTCGTACGAGATCTCAGAGGGGTCCACTGCTGTCAACTCGTTGAATGGGATATATGAGGCTTTCGACTATAAAGAATGCAACAAGGCGGGCCATCAGCTACGTGGTCCATTTCATCTTTTGAAGCGGGCAAAAAAAAAAAAAAAAAAAAAGCCGAGGGTCAGCTCTTACGTGGTCGGATGCCTGTCGAGAAGCGGCCTTCGATGTCTGATCCGAGGCGCCATCAGGGTCTTTGTTGTGGATATAGAAGAACACACCATCCTCCTGCATAAAGTTTCGCCAGAAAAACTGCCTGAACTTTTCGTCTGTCCTCTTCATCTGCGAGTGCCTGGCTGTGGTATCCGTTGCCGTGTTTGCGTTCGCATCCCGTTGTAAAAACTCGTCCACAATGTACCAAAATCGGCCCCAGCTGGAACCTATATTACCGCGCGAGAAGCAGAGACTGGATTGTTAGTGTCATCTTATCTTGCCAGGTATGTCTTTGTCTACGAAGCTCGCTTCCTGTCCAAGAACACGCAGCTTGCCTGATTCACCGTCCAGGGCGACCTCATTCTGCACATGCAGCGCAACGGTGTCCATGTCGCGTGTAGGCGGCGGTTGTAAAAGTGATGCTGTTCTCGCGTCTTGCTCTCAGTGCCCGTTCCGAATGAAGTCGCGTGTCGCCGAGTATGGCCTTGTTCTTTTGCTGATGTCCCTGGTACGAAGCACGGGGCAAGTGTCAATGGAGTGAGCAGGAAAAAAAAAAAAAAAAAAAAAAAAAAAAAACAGACACACGGACGGCTACTATGCTACTATAAAAGGCAGGATTAGTGGGATTGATAGGGTTGAATGGAGCTGCTGGATCTCGAAAGCCACTTCTGCTGAGAAGGAGGAGGATAAAAGAAGAGATCAGTTTCCTTGTTTGCCATCGCTTTTTTCGTCCACTAACCAGCCCCACTTCGAGACCAAGCCCAGGACGCCGCACGCCCAAAGTCGCGGCAAACCTCCAACAACACAGATACCAGCAGCACCGGCACCGACACAGAGTCATGAAGGATATTGTCATTGCTTGCGTCGGGAAGCCATCCGCAGGAAAATCCTCCTTTCTGAACGCAGGTTCGCCTTTGCCGAGGCCCACATGCTGTCGAGCAACATCACCAGTGCTCGGAGCGACATCCTCATCTAATCGTCCCCTTTCTCTTCTTCTTCTTCTCCTTCTTTGCCAGTAACGGATGCGACTGCCAAGGTCGGAAACTATCCCTTCACAACCATCAAACCCAACAACGGCATCGGTATGTTCCTCGTCCACCAATTGAACCCTCCCAAAAAAGAAGAAAGAAAAAAAAAAAAGTCTGCCGATCAGGACGACGCCAACACCACCCACTACAGCTTCTCGAAAAAAAACACATGGACGGAACAACTCATCTTTCAACTTGTAACATTTCGTCCGCTCTCCAGCCTACTTTCCAATCAATTGCCCTTGCAGGCGGTTCGACAAGTCCAATCTCTGTGCTCCCCGATATGGTACGGAACATACAATGAACATGGACATGACATTCTGCTTTCACCGCCATCGGTTTGACTGACATGATTTACCAAACCTGTGGTTCTTTTGAAATCCACATAAAAAAAACCCCCCTCCCCAATGATAGGTCGCTGCATTGATGGCAAGCGGTTTGTGCCCATTCAGATTCTAGACGTTGCCGGCTTGGTCCCTGGAGCGTCCGAGGGACAGGGTCTCGGCAACCAATTCCTGGATGACCTACGACATGCCAACGCTCTGATCCATGTCGTCGATGTCAGTGGAACCACCGATGCGAACGGCAAGGAAACTGTCGGCTATGACCCCATTGGAGATATCGAATGGCTCAGGAGCGAGATTCACTCTTGGATTTTTGGGAATCTGAACAAACGATGGAGCCAAATCGTCCGCAGGCATACTGCTGTTAGTACGTATGATTGGCAAGAAGCCCTGAGAGATGGATTCGTTGACGTCGATTGTTCCTATGCTGAACACATCGTTTTAAAATTCAAATCGAATCATTGCGCGTATTCTCCAATGTATAGAGGCGTCGACTGCAGAGACCTTGCACAATCAATTTTCAGGATATGGAGCAACATTACTGTTGGTACAACGGAGTCTTGACAGGAGTGGTGTGAAGGAATCCATGGACACCTGGGATAAAGAGACCCTCCGTAAAGTGGTTGATGCGTTCCTGGACGAGCGCTTCCCTACGATCATTGTAAGCGGAGTCAGCCAGCCATTTGGACGATCCCCAACCGATCATCGCATTAGCGAAATAACATGATTCTTATTATCTACTTGATACTCCCCTCCGTCCCTGTAGGCCCTCAATAAGATTGATCTCCCAGATTCTGACAAGAACATTGCCAAGATTATGCGCAAATACGACCAGGTACACGTCGTAACCCTTCTTTGTCAGGGATGCATCGGATGCAGGAAACATCAGCTTTGACACTCTTTGATCCTACCATCTTCTGCTAATACCCCATAGAACAAGATTGTTCTCTCCAGCGCTTTGGCAGAGACGTTTCTTCGGAAGCTGCACAAACAGAAATTCGTCGTATACGAGGAAGGAACGGATAATGTCCAGACAAAGGAGGACCTCGTACGTTTTGCATTTGCTTCGACAACGCCATAGGTTCGGACATACGCATGTTACACCTATGTTGCGTCTGACCGAGCTTTATCTACTTGATCTTTCATCCTGTATAGCCGGACTCTGATCTGAAGCCACTGGACGAGAAGTTGCAAAAGTATGCAATGAAGCTGTTGCCGCTGTTTTCATTTTAGGTTTCATTGTCTTTTTTCTCTCATCGAATAATGCCACGCAGGCAGGCACTGAACGCCTTTTTGTTTCCTCTTTTTTACTATAGCCGTATTGAAAAGGTACAAGATCTAGTACTATACCGCTATGGCTCCACCGGCGTACAAGACGTTGTTCTAAAGGCGGTTGAGGTCCTGGGACTTGTCCCGGCCTTCCCAGTCAAGAGCCTGACAACATTCGCCAACGCGAATGGAAAGGGCGTCTTCCGGGACTGTGTTCTATTATGGCCAGGCACCACCGTCCTCGAGTTTGCGGATATTGTCCATCCAGAGATTGCTAAACACTATCTGGGCGCAGAGACCATTGGCAATCGCAAGGTAAACAACGCTGATCACAAAATGATGCGTGTTCTTTCTTATCTATTTTTTTTTTTTTTTTTTTTTTTTTTGTACGCGTTGGCTTTCCCGATGGATTAACCTGCCTGGCTTCACATGCTTTCTCGATTAGATCGGAGAAGACGATGTGATCACACCTGAAAATAACATTATCTGCTTCAAGACCTCGCAGGCAACCCATGCCAGTGCATCTGGGTCGACGACATCCAATACAGGATCCAGTCAACCCAGCAAGAAATAAAAAAAATAAAGTCTCCTGTCTAGAAAAAAAAAAACTATGCTTCGCTTCTTCACAATCTTTATTTACATTCAAGTATTTAATAGTTAGTATATTACAGTTACAGCAAGAGAGGGAGAGTCCACTGTACAAGGACGATGGGAGGGATGGGACACTTGCTTTAAATGTAGTTTTTGCAGGCCTCGCGAGTGCTCTTTGCACTAGCCTCGACCATGGCCAGCTCCTTCTCGTTCATTTCTGGGTACACAATGCGCTCGACGCCGTTGGTGCCCAGGGAGACGGGGAAAGAGAGGCAAGCCTGGAAACGCTCGCAGTAGGTCGACAGGGGGATGACATTCAGTTTGTTGAGGGTGATACAGAGGGCTAGCTCAGAGACGACGGCACCGATACCAAAGTGCGTAGCGCCCTTGAGGTCGATGATGCTGTAGGCCTTGCGCGCAACCTTCTCAGCCTCCTTCTCAGTGTCGAGCTTCTGGATTTCCTCAAACGACAGCAACGGCTTTCCTCCAACCGTGGCCGAGGACCAGACCGCGACCTGTTTGTCACCGTGATCACCCACAATGTACGCATGCACCGAGGTCTCGGAAACCTTGAGGAAATTCTTTATCGCCACGCGGTAACGGATCGAGTCCAAAAACGTGCCCGTTCCAATGACCTGGTGCGAGGGCAATCCCGAGAGCTTCTGCGCCATGCAAGTAAGGATATTCACGGGATTGGCGACGAGGATGAGGATCGCAGAGGACTTGATGGGCTTGAGGCCGTTCAGGACGCTCGTGAGGATCTCTTCGTTACGGTGCACGAGCTCGTCGCGGGTCTCGCCTGGGCGCTGACGCGCACCGGCCGTGATGACGATGATGTCGGCCTGACCGCATTCCTTCGGGGTGGCGACATGGATGTTCGTCGACGAGACAAACGCCGCATCCTGAAGATCCAGGGCCTGACCCTCACAGACCTTCTTGTCAAAGTCGTTGATGAGCAGCTCAGAGACCACGGAGCGCATGAGACAGGCGAACGCGATCGTAGAACCGACAGAGCCAGCACCGATGATGGCCATCTTGGAGCCTGGATTATGTGAAGACAAAACAGGTTATGACGAAGGGGGGTAGATTAGTTTTTTTTTTTTTGCGATGATAGTGAGAGATTCGGCGTGGGAATCCCTTTTAGTGAACAACAGGTTCAGGCAAATGGCTTCATAAGACGACGCGTACCAGCACGCTTATCAGCAGAAGCAGACATGATTGTAGGATATGAAGATGGAGGGAAGGAAGAGAGATAGAGTGGTAAAAGGATTAGGGATGTAAGGAGGATATGTATGGATGAGGAAGGGAATGAAGAGAAGAAAAGAAAAAAAGAAAGAGAAGAGAGAGAAGGAGGAGCGTACAGGAGGGTGCGATCGCTGATCTTTTATACCGTTCATTGCCCAATGCACCGAATGTTCAGAGAACAATTAAAAAAAAGACGTTGTTCATCAAAAGGTTTTGGCCGTGTCTTGCATTCAAAGAAAGGAACACCGCGTTTGAAAAAATAAAAATGAAAAAAAGAAAAGAGCGCACTGCGGACTCGTTTGATCTGCCTCAAGAACGATTCACCTTCACTCCTCTTGTCGTGGCATTGCTCCGGTCCAAGGAGAAGAAGGGCCACTGGGAATTGGGGGAGGGGGGGGGGGGTACCCTTGGTCATGGTTTCTTATGCTTACCAGGGGGATTGACCATGCATATCTCATTCTGCATCCATCCAAGCCCACTCTGTCCAGTCTAGTTCTTTCTTCCCACTCTATCCAGGCAGGTGTAGTCTAATCAATATAGACTACAGTAGGTATTCTCGTCCTTCTCTTCCTCTCCTTTCCCGTTGGTGCTGGTGCGGCTGTTGATGGGTGGGGGGCCAGCAAAATCCAAGGTCGAAAAAGTAAAACATATTGTTGTCTGTCTCAGGCTCTGGGCGATAAGATAAGAATGATGCGGTGGTGAGCGTATTTTGCCCACCCATCCACGCACGCACCAAAGCATAGAATCATTGCACAAATGTGGCCACACCGAGCCGACCTTCATGATTTACCGCCACCACCACTACTCACGAATCCAACTTTTGCTCCTTAGCTCCTCCTCTGGTCTCAACAGTTCATTGCAGTGCATAAAGTATCGATATTTATTATATTAGGAGTGAATGCAATAAAAAAAAAAAGAAAAAAAGTAAACGATCTCAGGCACTAGTCGTTGTTACTGGAAATGCCACTCCTGTCGGCGATAACCCTGGCTTGTCAGCAATATGCGTCGTTGTCGTTGTCGTCGTTGTTATTGTCGTTGTCGTTGCTGCCGTCGTTGAATTGTCAGGAATGGTATTACTAGCACCAGTAGGGGAAAGTTGGCTGCTGCTGTTACTGTTGCTGCTGCTGTTGCTGCTCATCGATGCCTCGGCCCTCTTACGGTGCAGCTCAATCGTCCGGATCCATCGCCTCTGCTCGTGCTTATCGTGTGCCAACAAATAGACGGGGATGCTGTGCCGGAGACCTTGTTGCTCTTGACAGGAGATCGTCAGCACGTCTAGGCACTGTCTGTGCGCGACGTATTTGCAGGCTACAAATAAGATCAAAACGCGCGCGCGAGGCGTGATTAGTTTAGAACCTGGCGAACCAAAAGGGATCAAACCAAAAAAATAAAAATAAAAAATAGAGTCGTTGCCCATACCTGAGCACTCGTAACCAGACTTTTGAGATCCCCAAAGGACATCATGACATTGATGGCACGATTTGGGGGTCGCATAGTGTTTGAGATGGAAGGTATGTCCATAAATCTCGCGCTGTTGAGTCCACACTCCCTGTAATGACTGAAGAGGCGACGAGTTCTTGGAGCCCTATTTTGCGTGTATTAAAAAAAAATAAGCGTGAGTTGTCTCTACATCAATTACGACTCACTCTGGTAACCCAGCTCCACATGGGTAGGGAGTCACTTACAGAATTGACCTTTTCCAGTTCCGCGTTGAGGGACGCCAGCCGCTGTCTCGAACTGTCCATCTGCACCTCGACCGCTGACTTCCAGTTCCGACGGGCAGCATTATTGGCAGAGTTCATGAGTGGTGCTGCCATCTTTTCCGCAGCCTCCAGATGACGACGCTCAATCGTGATCAGTTTCTCCAGCTCCTTGACCCTATAGTTTCGTTCTGCTGAGAACAAATCCTGTGAAGTTTCCGGCTTGACCTGGATGCCAGTTAACAAAAAGAAAATCAAACAGGTCATCTTTGAGTATTTTTTTTTTCCCTCGCTGCAAGGTCTGCAATCCGATGTAAATATATCATGGCTGTGATCCCTCGTACCTCGGCAGTGTTCAGCAAAGATGTTAGGCGCTCCATTTCTGCAGTCTTTTCCTTGATCAGTTTGATGCATATGTCTACATTCTCCCTGGACTTCAGGTAGGCGTCACTTGTACCCTTGGAGCTCATCCAGGCAGCCTGCATCGATTCAGCGCCGCGCTTGATCTGCTCCTCCTTCTGTATTTCTGCCTTTAACACGTCGATTTTGTTTTGAATTTCCGAACGACTCAGACCTGCTGTTGGTGTTATATGGACCGACGAATGCGTCGAGGCAGCGAGCGATACAGCGGTATCCGTTGTTGCTGTCTACAAGTGTAAAGTACACGCATATGTCAGGAACCACACTTGTCTGCTGCATAAAACGCCTGCTTTGTTGTTGACATGCTCCATATTCACAAATACGTACCGAAAAAGTCGAGGTCGTTGAAGTGGTGCCGACATTTGAACTTCTCAGCTGGAAAATGCATTCCAGCTCTTTGGCGCTTGCGTGGATTAGCTCAGACCGATTGACGGTTCGGACGCAGAAAAAGTCAGATCTAGCAATGGTCAAAAGTATTGGACCAGCTCTTCGTTAGATATTACGTCCCTGACGTCATTTGGCACCAACTCGAACTGGATGACCAGCATAGGCCATTACCTCAAATCGGCTAACAATTTGCTGTTCGGTGCTGAGCTTGGATCGCCCTCCCTCTCGAGCGCAAATATCTTGAGGTCTCTCAGCACGATAAATTGTTTCTTCCAGCTCTGCTTGGGGGCTTTCTTTTCTGCGGACGGCCACGACACACGAATCCATCCAGAGATATCATTCGGTGCACAGATCTCCATCAGCGCCTTTGTCGGACTCGCCAACGAGGCACCGTCGTGGGTCCATAGGGAATGCACTGGCGATGATACCCTGTCTGGACTCCGAAGAGCACCCTGGCGGCCCTTTTCCTGCTCCAGCTGCTTGATCTTGTTTTCTAACTCGGTAATCTTCTCGCCCTGCTCTTCCAGCTGCTGGGTGAGCATCTTGTTGCTCGCTCGCTCACGTTTCAACATGGACGGATAGATGGTCTTGATGCTGCCGCCACCATTGGCCCCAACCGACGATGGATCCATAGCTGCTGCAGCTATTTCGCAAGCTTTGGTCAGCTGTACCACTTCGTTGTCTTTTTGGTCGAGGTTCTCAAGCGCCTTGTTGAGCGATTCCTGGAGGGTTGCCCTGGCCTCGTTTTGTTGATGGAGCTCCTCTTCAAGCCTCTTCCGCGTCTGGAGTTGAGATGTCACGTCCTCCTGAGCGCCTCGCAGATTCTTTTTCAGTTCAGAAATCGAGTTCCTGTATTCCAAGCTCGACTGTTCCTCCTTTCGTTCCAAATCGCGGATTTGTAATCGCAAGGTCTCGTTCTCTTCCCGTAACCGACTGCCTCGCTCCATCTCTGCCAGAAGAAGTTGGTTCTCCCGCAGTTTATCGTGCTCCTTTTGATTCCTGAGCTCCTCGTTCTCGGCCTTCAGCAGTGAAACCTTGCCGCCATCGATCTCCTGCTTCAGTATCGACTCTCTCTGGCGCTCAATCTCATTTTCCAGCTCTCCACATTTCGCCCGCAAGGTCTCGTTTTCCTGCTCCAGCTGCAGAGTTTTCTTTTGTTGCAGTCCAAGACTGTTCTTAAGGTCCAAGGTCGCCTCCTCTGCCTCCACGCGCTCTCTCTCAGCAACGGCTGCGATACCCACCAGTTTCGCTGAAAGTTCTGATTCCACGGCTGTTGCCCTCGCGACCTGTTCGTCGTATTGTGTCAATAGCGCCTGGTGGACTGTGTTGAGTTCACTTAGTAGATCTTCTTTAGTGGTCAACTCGCTCGTTAACCGGAATATCTCCTGCTCCATGCGCAAACGCCCTACATCGTCCTTGTCTAACCCTGTATACGATGGCTCTCTTCTCATATTCGCTCTGACGTTATCCTTTGAAGCAGACGCTGGTCTTTCGTCTGGAGACCGCAAGTTGCCAAAATCGACAAATGTCTGATATGTATAGCCTATGAATGCGAGGTTGTATCCCTCAAACCGACGTAACTGACCACCTCTGTAATCCACAACAGTCGACTGCTTGTCCTGCAATGTCTCGTCGCTGCCGTCCAGCTCGTCGTCAAATCGAAAGTTCGAGGTGTCATCTGGGGCCTCGATGATAGGCAGGAAAGGTGGTGTTGCTAGGGAGAGCACACACAAAGGAGAAACAAAAGACAATTCGTATTAGCCACCACAGATACCTTACTTCGTACAGTTTTTGATCCACGTTCGATTTCCGCTTGCCAATAACGTTCGCTACCTACATTTACGAATATTGTCCCAATCGATTCCTTTGAAGAACGGGTGTGCCTTGATTTCCTCGACGCCGTTCTTGCCTAACCGATTTTCTTTTCTGGCAAGCAGCCTTGAGACATATGCAACGATCCATTTTTTAGAATTAGTGTTCTGGTCGATCCAATAACTCTTGATTACGATGTGTACTTCATCCACAAAATACTCACCGAGTGATAAGGTCCTTACACTCGCTACTCAGGCTAGGCCCCTTATCGAAACAAAGATTTTTCTAGAGGAAAACGCAAAATTGTTGGACGGGCTCGTCAGGGGATGACGAAAATAATGCTATCGCCTCGGATCCCAGTTCTTAGGATAGAAAGCAGCAACATACCTCGTGGTCCCGCAATAAACGGATGATACCCATAGCGCTCTCAGCAAAGAATGGCGGCTCTCCTACCAGCAACTCATACATGACCACTCCAACCGCCCACCAATCGACTTCTTTACCATAGGGCTTGCCGCCAGATTGAGCATCTACAACTTCGGGAGACATATAGTCCCATGTTCCAAGGGGAACTGTCTGGCCATGCACCTATTTATTTTTTTGGATAGCATGAATGAAAAGTGTGCACTCATTAGAAAACCGATATAGCTTCATGATCCCCGCAGTTTGGTTTGACAGGCGTACCTCTCCTCCCGCGTCGAGCCTTGCACAGGCACCGAAATCTGCCAGCACGATGTGTCCTGTTGCATCCAGGAGAATGTTCTGGGGTTTGAGATCCCTAGAAATGCATCCATATAAAAACTGTAAGCTGCATGTTGACGGAACATTGCGCAAAAAAAAAAATTCATGTCTCCTTTTTTTTTATACCTGTGGATATAATTGTTGCGGTGCAACTCCGCAACTGCCAGGACAATCTCTGCAATGTAGAATCGAATCTCGTCTTCAGACAACGTCGTGTCTTCGTCATCGTCCTCGTCACCTTCGTCATCACCACCATTGCCGCCCTGACTGCCCTCCGCTACTCCTCGAACCCTATCGATCTCGTCCTGCTTTTTATCCAGAATGCTGTACAGATCCCCTCCTGGCGCATACTCCATCACCAGGTACAGGTTGACTTCATCCTGGAATGCAGCGTGCAGCTTCGGGAACCACTCGGATGTGATGGCGAGCACCTGTCGTTCTTCCATATACAGAATTTTCTGGAAACCAACAACAAACATTGGTCAGGTCATTATGTTCGTGAACCCCCAAACGTGTAATAATAAAAGGGGTCCCACTTACATCTTTCTGCGAGAGAATATACATCTTGTTCAGAGTCTTCATAGCATATATTCCACCGTCCAGTCGACTCCGGACAATTGACACCTAATGTTCGGGACTCAAAGTTTCATCAGATTCACTCCTGATACGCAAAAAAATTAGGAGGTCGATTTTTTTTTTTTTTTTTGCTTTAACTGCGTCAAACAGTGTTGTACCTTTCCATACTGGCCGCGTGTTAGAGCTTTGATAGTCTCAAAGTCATCCTTGTTGACTCTGAGCAACTTCAGCGTCGCTACGATCTTTTCAACTGGCAAAACAGATGCAGATGCAATGAGCAACAGCTTCTAGGTACAATTGAATTGATACGCTATCTTTCTCAGGCACTTACACCGTTCCCAAAAGGCGGGCAGAGCGCCCCAGTTCTCTGTGTGCAACACGGCCCTAGTATCGTCGTGAATTGCAATGAGTCCATCCACTAGGGCGTCGATTCCTCCTTGAACTTGGGTGTCTCCTTCTGCTTTGCCGGCAGCGATCTGCCCGTTCCGCTGTTGCTGTTGATGCTGAGAAAGTTCCAGGACACATTCCTTGTATTTTTGAAGGCGCTCTTGAAGGAATGTTGCCAGTGATTTTTCGCCGCTGAACTCTAGGAACTCTGTGTAGTTTTGACCCAAGGGTGTCACAGGAAAGGACTTTAGCATGGCGGATTGGTGAGCGAATGTCGAGAGCTGTATGTGCGCTGCAAAATGACTCTCTACGGCGTCCTGAAGTGAGGTGACGTTTTTGCGCTCAGAAGGAGTGTTGAGTTGATTTTCTGGGTCGCAGCACGACCTTTGAGTAGGTGCTCAATTTCTTCCTCGTCCGTTCCCTCTCTCTGTTCTTCTCTGATATGATCCTGCGCAAGAGCGGTGATGGGTGAAGGGGTGGTCAATTGCTTTGGCAAAGGTCGATTATCCCGGGGAAGCGTGCTTCGCGCAAAATATAACACTGTGGCCCTATCGTGCGGCTGCTTCGAACAAAAAAAAAATAAAGAGGAAAAATCAAAGTTGAAATAAGAGGGCGGGCGAAGCAAGGGTAGATGGAGAAAGCCAGTCGCTTGGGTTGGATGGGAGCAGCGATGAGGAATGGATCAGATGAGGAATGAACAAAAGTGAAGAGGAAGGAGTAAGTAATGTCGTTTTTCGCACACTATGCAGAAGACATTTTTTCCACTGCTTCATCCTCCACGCGGCTCCGTGTTGGGTTGGCTGCCCCTTTTTTTTTTCTTTTTCTTGTTTTTCATTCAGGGTCAGGGTCAGGGTCAGGAGGAGGACGGCTTGCTGAACAATGACAGCAGACTGCAGGCGACGCGTCTGTGCATCGCAACTACGCGGAATATGAAAAAGCTTGCGACATTGCTATCACTTCAAGTGATACTACTTAAATCGCTGCCGTGTTCTCTTCAAATCAGGATTCAAACACAACGTGGATCTCAGAAGCACGGATGACCATTGTTGTTATTCAAGCATGGCGATGCCAATTTCACCCAATACATGGTTCTCCGTGTCCACCTTGGACTCGCGCTCTGGTCCTGGTCTTGGTTATCAGTCAGCTCTGGTTCCAGTCTAACTCTGGTTCTGGTCCGCGCTCTGACCTTTCTCGTCCATCGTTTGCCAATCCTCTGATCGGATCCACTCGGACGAGGACGCAATCGACTGCCACTCGTACTCCAGCAGAGAAATGCTGTTGCCCCATGTGTCGTCCTCCAGCGTGTCAAGGGGTTCCAGGATATTTGTATCTCCTGGATTGGACGGCGACTGGGCCGGGGAGACCGGCATCGATCCATAGAAGATTGGACACACGCTCTGATTCTGCACTTGTGCCGTAGTCCAGTCTGGTGAATGCGCTTCCGGCCATTGAAAACGTCCGGTGGCCCCTTGATTAGCCGGCGGCCATTCATAGGATAACGGCTCGAAGGTCTCGAAGCGCGTCCTAACAGGTTCCGGGGTAGGACTTGAGACCAGGGGCGAGATATCATTTTCGTTCAGCGCCGGCTGATCGCCAACACCTCCGCTAGTACTGCATTTGGGGTCGACTGGAACGGACACTGGCGATAATATATCTCCATTTGCGTCCTGCTGCTCCTCGGCACCCACGGTATCGGTAAACTCATTTTGCAGTTTGTCTACAATTTCGGCATCCGTGTTCATTGCATCCTGCTGTTTCTCTGCGGCCGCAGTGTCGACTTCCTGGGAGTTTGACGGTATCTCAATCAGTGTAGAACCCTCGATTGCTGGGTCGACAAGGATGTCGCCAGGTGCGTCTCTATGCCCATCGTCATGCTGCAAGCGTTCCGTTGCCGAATCAGCACATAAATATCTTCGAACAATCCGAATATCTCCACCCTGACGTGCTCGTACAGCATTGCAGATAGCAACATGTCGTGCCTATCAATACAAGAAAACACACCCATTTCAGTAAGAAAGACATCCTTTGCACGAATTCATCTCATCTTCAATGTAATACCGGGATTTGGAGGGTCTCCTCCTCCTCCTCCTCCTCCTCCTCGACTTCGTCAATGTCCTCCTGCCCATAGTCAAATAAGTCTCGCTGTCCGTGCTTGGTAGAACTGTCTTGTTTATGTTCAGCGGTGAGTCCCTGCCCACAGTTGGTTAGGTCCTCCTGTCTATGGCGAGCTTGATCCTCCTGTCCTGGACCGGTAGTTCTCCCTTGCCCAAAATCGATCAAATGCTCCTCTTTATGCCCGACGAGGGTGTCTTGTCCATGGTCGACTAGGTTCACCTGCCCACGTTCAATGGAATCCTCCTGCCACTCCTTTTCCTGTTCATTTTGCACAGATTGATCCGAGAGAGGCTGATAGAAGAACGACTTGCCCTGAACACGATCCTTGTCTTCGCCATCATCGTCACTTTCGAGCCTGTCATCAACGCGCCTTCGTTTCTTAGGCAAATTCGGTGTTGGGGGTGGTCGCAATAGATATGGTTCTCCAACCCAATCGAATGAAGACTGGAGCATGTCAATGCACATTTTTCTCGCGGTTTCGTAGTCCTTAATGTCGGACACGCTGCGCGAATGCTTCATATTGGTGCAATGTTAGTTTCATATGCATTGCCGCTTCTTTGGTGGCCAAAATAATATCTGTTACAGCGCCTTACTCGCTGAATACCAGTATCGGGATTTGACTTTGAAACTTGCGTATTAGGCCTTCGATTGCGAGAACACGACGATGGCCACCTCTGATTCGTATGCTCACTGTTACGAGGATGATGCCGATTGGTTGCAGGTGAGGTTTGGCTGGGTGCCAGTCGCCGCTGCCGCTCAAAGTGCTGCCTCTGCCTGAGTTGTTCCTGAGTCGCCTGAGCTCTGGTCCTAAGCAGTTTTGAAGCCCATGTTGTAAATGAGTAAAAGCGAGAGAGAGAGAGAGGGGGGGGGGGGGGGAGGGGGTTGTAGTCGAGTCATATAATGGTCGTTTACCGCCTTCCGCCGGTCCAATTCATGGTTGCTTGATATTACTTAGCAGATCGCGGAAAGAAGAGAAGAGGACTTGAAGTGCAAAAACAAGGATAAAAATTCTTGGTGGCAAAAATTGCACCGAAATTTATTGAATGTCTGCAGAACGAATAAAAATGAAAAACTGCATCACCAAACATTGTATCATTGGCTTATTTGAAGACCTTTCCGTCCTTGATGGGCTTGCCATCGACGGAGCCCTCCCAGGCAAAGACCTGGTCGATCTTCTTCTTCTCTGCATCATCAACCTTGACCTTGACCCAGTTGTAGGAATCATAGTCCGCAGCATCTGTGATCTCCTCAATCATCTCGTCTGCGTTACCGCGCACAATGAAGTAGCCGGTGATGATGTTGGCATTGTCCTCGCCAGCGACGACAAGGCATCCAAATGCATACTTGCGCGCGCGCTCGAGGCGGTTCATCAGGCCACCTGCGAGGTTATTGGACATGTAGAGCTTTGTAAGCTCGTCGTTGTACTTGTAGTCAACCTTCCAGATCGAATAGTCCGTAGTGAGATCGATGTTCTCCCAGAGCCACTTCATCGCAACAGAAGTATCGTTGTTAGAGTACTGACGCTTCCACTCATCGAGTGGCATCTTGGCAGCAGGCAAGAGATCCAGCTTGGACTTGGGCTTGGGTGCATCCTCGAATTTCTCCTCGGGCTCTTCCTCGGGCTCCTTTGCCTTGGGCTTTTTCTCTTCCTTAGCAGCCTTGGGCTTCTCCTCCTTGGGCTTCTTTTCCTTGGTATCCTTTTTGGGTGGGGTGAACTTGAGGGCAGCCTCGCAGAGCTGAAATTCGCCTGCGACGGTCTTGAAGTTGGGCTGGTTCACAATGGTGGTAAACCAGCGGGTGACCGCGGGATATTCCTTGCGGAATGTAGCGTCAAAGACATTCTTGAAGCCATTATAAAGTGTGATTGCAGCAGAAATGTCGGCCAGAGTAACGCGCTCTCCAACCAAGTAAGTCTTCTTGACCAGATGGCGCTCCAGTGTCTGAAGCTGAGTCTTGACTCTCTCGATAGCCTGAGTCTCGGTTGCCTTGTTGTATGGCACGCGCTCGGGGGCGAGTAAAGGGATGATCCACTGGCCAAGGGACGGTCCGACGGAGATGTCGACGAACTGGATCCACTGCTGGATATGGGCCTCCTCGGCCTTGGAGCGACCAATTAAGGACGAGTCATCCTTATAATGGGCCACTGTGCAGTTGAAACAGGAGGAGCAAACGAAAACAATCAACGTGAGTCATGCTGCGCTTTGTGATATGGCGTCATTTACCTGCCACTTTGCATCAGTGTGGACAGCAGAAAAAACACGTACAATAGTAGGCGATGGCCCCAGACTCGATAATGACTGTGCCATCGGTTCCTTCGAAAGCTGGCACCTATTCCGATGTAAAATCAAATCGACAACGAGGCATATTCAGCTCCCGTTGGAGGGCCAGCGCTGGTTACTGCGGCTGCACTGTGAAGACGAGGAGGAAGACTCTTTACCTGAGATGCGCCAAACTTTGCGAGCCACTGAGGAGTCTTGTTGGTGGTGCCCATAACGAACTTGTCATCGACCTTAATCTCGAGGCCATTGTACTTGGCAACGATTAGGGACTTGAACACGCGGGGGTTCTGAGGATACGAGTAGATGGTCTATGGAAATACACACAATAGAGTATGGTGCGTCTGCGTCAAGCTGCACATGTGCTCATAGTTCTATGACAAGAGGCATACAGTATTAACGAGTGTCAGCAGCAGGACTTACTCCTACGATGGTCATGGCGGTGTGGTCCGATCGGGTTTAAGGAAGAGAGATGAAGAATGAGGGATGAGCAGGTGTTGGGAAAAGAAAAGGACGGAAAGAGAAACATGCGGTCCGTGCGATGCTCGTCACGTTCTCGGAAATACGCGTTCACCATTAGCACTCAGACGCGACCGCGACGACGGCCGGCTGCGTCCGCATCATCCTGCATTCTCTCTAAATAAACTCTGTCTTTACTAATTTACTAATCCTTTAATGGATATCAATGCGTACTATCATACTGCGTCTACTACGGGCGTGCTTTCCGCGTCCTTCTCCTTTTTCAGCTTCTGCTCCTCCGCATACCGCTTCGACATTTTCTGCGGCAAAATAGGCAGCTTGGCTGGGTTGTCGACGAACGGTAGGAACGTTGCCTGTGGTCTATATTCTACGGATTTTATGAAGCTACTTTCTTCAAAGCTCCTGGGTAGCCAGTTGAAGACTGCCTTGCGCATGAACTTCTCGAACCACGTTTGACCATAGAGGACCCTTCCAACCATGTTGCTGATCTGGACTTGCTTCTTCGCTTGGCCATAGCGCTGGGCTTTGTAGTCCTCCAAAGCAGCGGCAATGTGTTTTTGTGACAAGGATTTAAGGTCGTAGAGACAGTTGGCGACGATTACGGCGTCTTGCATCGCGTTAATAGCACCTAGACCAGGAGTGGGGAACGAACGTAAATGGAGTATTAGTGATGCGTAGGACAAATAAAAAAGTACTCCATGCACATGTTAATTGGCAATGTACCTTGACCAGCGCTTGGTAACATTTTGTGGCACGCTATGATAAAGTGTCGAAAATCTTATTTAGTTCATTCATGTTGTCCAACACGCTTTTTTTTCTTTTTTTTTTTTTGAGGATGGGGGGGGAGACAACACAATCAACTCACCATCGCCAATAAGCGCGATACGCTTATGGGTCCAAGTCTCAAACAATTTCTCCTCCAAGTGAGTCTTTGATATGAGTTCCTTGGGCGTAGCATTGATCAGGTCGCCGAGTGTGCCGCCAAAAGGGATCTTGTGGTGCGCAACCTGAGCTACCATGGAGTCGATCGACTCCGGTCCCCATTCTGAGTTCCGGAACGTCTCATCTTTCTCCTCGCCCTTTAATTGGATCACAATCCCAAAGCATATTCTGTTTCCTGGCACTGAGATGATAGTCCACTATTCGAAAAGGTTTCTCCGGATAATTAGCACTCACATAAAATGCATATGTTTTTGGCACGATATAAAAATAAAGTTATATAGTAATAAAGGAACTTACAGAATGGGGTTTACCATCTGCAACAACGACAGCAAAGTGCGCATGATTATCCTTCAGAATAGGGTACTTTTCAGGATCTTGTGGGAGTGTTGTTCCCACCATACAAGAGTATCCAAGGTTAAGCGACTGTGAATCGCTAGCGGGCAACATCCCGTCCTTCTGCAGCCGGTCATACAAACTCTGTCGCACCGCACTGTATGCGCCGTCGGCTCCAATGAGGATATCTCCTTCGTGTGTCTGACCGTCTGTGCATCGAATGAGAACCCCGGTATCACTCTGTCCGACCGACAGTACTCGTTTGCTATAATGGATTTTGCTAGCAGGAACCTTGGACAGCAAGAGATTGTGCACGTCCGGACGACTGAACATGATAGGATCGTATCCACTCCTATAGACGAAGTGCGGAGGACGTTAGATATCAAGAAATGGATGCATTCTGGCATGATATTGATACTTTATCTCCGCATTTGCCTACCTCTGTTTTATGAATGCGGTATTGTCCGTTCTTCCAATGAGTTCCATGTTCTCTTTGTAGACCTCCATAGTCGTTGCTGGGAGCGAGACCTTCATGATCTCGTCAATCAGTCCAAGCTGCTCAAACACAGGCAGGATGTTAGGGCCAATACTCATTGCGGCACCTTTTTAACAACCACAAGTGACATGTTGTGTTAATTAAACTGGCATGCATCAAAACACTTGTGCTGCAAAAGAGCCGTGTGTTTGCAGTGCCTATGCGACGCTTCCTTACCTAAGGGCTTGACGCACTTTGCTCTCTCAAAGACTTCATAATCGATCCCGATTCTTTCGAGCAGGAGCGCAAGTGTGATGCCACCGATACCTGCGCCGATAATTAAAACCTTGGGTGATGGAGGCATGGTTTGACTGGGTATAAAGGAATAGAAAAAATATCAGAGATAGAGGAGTGGAGGGGCGGTAGGGCGAAGGGGGCCGTCGGTATTTAAGTATGTTGGGAAACTCAATTAAACAGCATGCACCCACATGAAGATGCTGCCGAACTGGTAAAGTTTCTTTATCTTCTGAGAGCAAAGATCGGGTCGTTTTTCCAAAGTTATTTGGAGCCGGAGCCTGTAACTCTATTTCTCCGAACTACTGCTGCATTGTGGTACAATGGGAGCATATCCTATATCCAGCAATATCCAGTTGTAAGCATTTCACCAATGCCGTCCAAGCACCTGATGCCGTCGACCTTGCTTATGCAGCAAAAGAGAGCGCTTCTTCAATGGTATATTTAAAAAAAAAATCCGGCGAAGACAGCTGCGCATGCATTCCGGGCCTAGACAAATAAGATGATGGGTCTCCTATGCGTTAGACATTGTAAGCAAGATGCAAGCCATTAAGTATTTGCTCGAACGCGCGGTTGTGTAACGGAACGTGAGGCCCTATATCTACCTCCCCTCCATCAGCACTGCCATGTACATCCAGGACCTCCTCATCGAGATCATCGAGTGCATCGAGTGCATCGAGTGCATCGAGTGCATCGAATGCATCGAGATCATCGAGTGCATCGTCCCTTCATAGAGTCCCAGCAGCAGCTTGCTTGGTGTGTCCGTGTCTGTCGCATTTGGCACGCTGTCTTTATCCCGCCATTATTTCGTAAGATACCCTTTCGTCCCGGAATCCATACGGGTGATCGATATCCTGTAGAAGTCGTCCTTCGCCGCTATAAACACCTGGTCTGTCGTCTGAACTTCCACGCGCACTATCCGCCCGAGTATATGAGACTCTTCAGACATCAGCCATTGCAATGTCCAAGCTACCCGCCTGAGTCGGAGACACTTTCAGAAGGCTGACAGCTCGAATCCCTTGCGGTTATCGACAACTTAGCGGGTATGATCCAAGCCAACAGCCCTACTCTGACGACGATCGAAATCGCCTTTGGCAAAGCCAACTTGCCATACGTCGACCAGATTTGGGAGCCATCTCGACCTGCTCCAGTCTCCAGCACTTAGTCGTGTGAAATGGGTCCATGGCACGAAAGGAGCTGGCGTCGTTTTGGCAGGCATGCTCTCGCCCAACTATACTGGATTTGTATGGCCTAGCATTTCTTTTGCCCACAGCCTTTGCAGACGCTGACGCCTAGGACTTGACAAGACTGTTGCGGCTCCATTGCGCAAACATACATTTCATAACCGCCTCAGATTTTGTTACCAAATTCCTCAGGCGCTCAATTCCTGTCCTGTCAAGTGCCGATATTAACAATGGAGGTGTAGACGTTCTCTACGAGGGATTTGCCACCAGTATATGTCCAAACCTCGGTTCGCTCGATTTTCAACACGTCTACTACCTCCTTGATAACGAACTTTCCTTGTATCCTTGATGCCCTCAAGAGACCACTAGCCCTGCAGCACACGCCCAGAGCCGATTTCTCAAACCCAGCGTTCCAATCGATGCATCGCCGAGGATTCACTTCAACTGTCCGCGGACTAAAGCTCAACAACTGCCTTAAGGTCACCAGCCAAATAATACAGATGATCCTGTCCTCGTGTCCGGCCCTGGAAGAGTACTTCGCAGGGTGGCAGCTTCGAATTTACGATATTGTCCATGGTTAGCCTTGGATCTGCCGCTATATGAAGAACCTCTACATCAACATTGATGTCGACGGAGCGGTTGAGAACTCTGACTACATGGAACAACAACGCACCGTCTACAAGCAACCCTCAGTCGTGGGTAAACTAAAGAAGCTTGCCGTCAACCATGAAAAGCCCAGCATGCAGTCCTCCAACACACTAGACTTGCGCCTTGAGTCAGGACTTGAACAGCTGGCGTACCTGAGCCAGTGGGCGGAAATTTGGTGCAGAGGCGACCAAAGGATGGATATGGAGGATGTCCAATGGATCGCACAGCACTTCCCGAGGCTACGACATTTCACAGGACGACTACATGTAGAGGACCTTCTTCTTGAAAGAAAAAATAAGGAATAATCTACCATTTGCAACGTTGAGCATGCGATAGCTTTACCTCTTTGCACTAATGGCCAAAAACTGAACAAAAAACGCTCCTGGGTGGGCTTGAACCACCAACCTCCTGATTAACAGTCAGACGCGCTAACCAATTGCGCCACAGAAGCTATTTTGCTGTTGAAAACCTGCCCTAAATCGGGGCAATTTAAGCGGTAGACCTATGACCTCGGAGACCATGGCAGGGCCGTCTACCGCTGCACCGCCACCAGCAACACCGCCACGACGGGTGGGTACACCAATTGCTATCCCAACCAACCCGCCACGCTGGAGCTGATGACGTCAGCCCTACCCGTGTGTCGCCGACCTCTTCATATAAATAGACTTCTCCCCCCTGAGGAGTGGTTCCTCACCTTTATCACCGGAACCACTCCCAGGTATATAGCTCTACCCTGACACCTACATACCCCCCGCATATAGATATGCTAATAAACACCTTTATCACCGGAACCACTCCCAGCACGTGTCTAGGTCAGTCAACGCGAAGCCTACTGCTACTGTGTCCTCCGACCCTTTAGGCCTCGTGCGTTGCATTGGTAGCAAAGGAACTACGATCTTAACGAGCCCAGTGAAAACGGGTATTTATGCACCGGGCATACGGCCTGCGCGATACTGACGATTCGGAACTGTCAGATACAACAAGTGATTCAAGTAACGATAACTTTATGGACGCCAACACCAGCCTTCATGCTGCCGAGTTCGGCCAGCAACAACAACAGCAACAACAACAACAGCAACAAATGGACGCAACTCAATTCGTGCTAACGCTGCAGCAACAAATCGAAACCCTTACCCAACAGCTAGCCCAGGTCCAAGCGCAAGCCCAAGCCCATGCCCGATCGGCTGTACCACCCCAACCCCCAGTTAGTCGATGGCTCGATCCTAATCGCCCCGCACCTCAGTTCTCCGTTAACGTTCCGACCTTTGCCGGTCACGAGATCACCTTCGATCTCCGACAGATGCTTGCGCAGATAGAGCTGCAGTTCGAGAACCAGACATGGCCCGAGAATAAGAAGGTTTCCAGTTTCATTGGTCAGCTCAAGGAAGGTGCCCTCAGCTGGGCGCTGCAATATGTCAAGGAACGTGAGAGTCAACTCCCAGAGACGAGCAAAGACTGGACCGCATTCAAGCAAGCACTCCTCGATAGGTGGGCCCCTCTCCACCTCACTACGAACCTCCGCGCGGAGTTAGATGCCTTGAAGATGAAGGAGGGTGAAGCCGTGCAGTCGTTCGCTGCCCGCTTCAACGCTCTCGCGGGACGAATCACCGATAAGACGGACAAGGACAAGAAGCTGGAGTTTGCCGGAAAGCTGCCCAAGTACCTCCGCACCAGAATAAGCGACCTCCACAACGACGCCGATTCCGTCGAGACGTTCATCCAGAAGGTTGTGGCCAAAGAACAGAACATTCAGGCTTATGAGCAACAAAGCTATAACGGTAATGGTCAGCGCGGAAGTTATAACGGGGGTCAGCGAGGAGGATTCAGCCAAAGAGGCCGAGGAAGCAATCGAGGAGGCACTGGTCAATTCCGTTGGCAGCAACCGTGGTCCACGGCCAGCTCCACATCTAACGCTGCGAACGACGATTCGATGATGGAGGTGGATAACATGCAACACTTCTCCCCCGAAGAACTCGATCTGGCTGCGATGCACACGCGCGAGCGTTACGAAAGCCGTAAGTGCTACAGTTGCGGACAAGTGGGACATTTAGCGCGGCAGTGCAGGCAGCCCGCGAAGGTGTGTACCCAGTGCAAGAACATAGGTCACGTAGCTGATTTCTGTCCTGGCAATAAAAAGAACACCTCGTCAGGCCCGGTTGGCCAGTACATCTTGCAGTCATACCATATCAACAGCGGGGTGGATCATCCAAAGGAGCAACAGGATCTCAACCATCCGGTACATGTCGTTTGCGGAGAAATTGGCGGCACCGAAGTCCGAGTTCTCATCGATTCTGGTGCCTCAGGAAATTTTATTTGCAGCAATCTCCTCAAACGTCTAAGGAAAAGGGATTATCGTATGTCACCGCTATCGAAACCAGTCAAAATCCTTTTGGCCCGAGGGCAGAGCTCTACCTCCGACACCAAAGCATCGGTGGACCTGCGCCTGGGTACGGATGCTGAGCGCGAAGCCGGTATACTTGTCCACAATCTGCGATACGATATAATCTTGGGACAACCTTGGCTGCGTCGATGGAACCCTACCGTAGACTGGAAGACAGCCGAGTACACCTGGCAGGGTCGCCGAGGCCCCCAAGTAGTGCGCAGCGAGAAGCGCGATAGTCCATTGGTATCCCTGTCTAGTGCCGAGAACCCAGTTGAGACGAGTACCGCCAGCATCACGGAAGAGCTAGAGGAAGCAGTGGAGACGGGAACAATCCAGGAGGAAGTCATCGCTACGGCCACAGAGGTGAACCAAGCTTCGATCGAGAAGAATGAGCCTAGCGCAGATATTCAACCAGATGTCCGCATCGTGGGGCATAAGCACTTCAAGCGAATCCTCAACTCAGCTACCGATTATGGCGTCTGCTTTTCGGTCGAAATAGGCAACCAAGCTGAGCTGAGTGCTGTTGAGGAGAAAGGTCGGCTCACCCTGGATGCCGTCCCTGAGCAGTACCGTGAGCTGGTGGAAGAATTCTTGGATCCGGTGTTTTCGGAGCTGAACGAACTTCCACCTCACCGCCATGTCGATCACCGTATAGAAACAGGAGCAGCGTTGCCCATTGCGGTGCCTGTTCGAAGGATGTCACCTCAGGAACTCGATGTCCTAAGGGAGCAGTTGGCGGAGATGCAGGAAAAGGGGTTTATCCGCCCGAGCATTTCGCCATGGTCAGCACCAGTGCTCTTCGTCCGGAAGAAAGATGGCGGGCTTAGACTGTGCGTCGATTATCGCGCCCTGAACGCCGTCACCGTCAAGAACAAGTATCCTCTGCCCCTGATCGACGAATTCTTTGATCGGCTGTCTGGTGCCAGAATATTCTCCAAGCTGGACCTACAATCAGGATTCAATCAGATACGCGTTAAACCGGAGGATGTAGAAAAAACGGCGTTCGGCACCCGCTACGGTCACTATGAATACCTTGTAATGCCCTTCGGCTTAACAAATGCGCCGGCAACCTTCCAAGGGATGATGAACGAAGTGCTCCAAGGAGGCATCGATAATTTCTGTCTCGTTTTCATGGACGATATTCTCGTATTTAGCGCAGACAAGACTCAGCACAAGGAGCATCTCCGGTGGGTGCTGGAACGCCTGGCGAAATTCAAGCTCAAGGCCAAGATGTCGAAATGTGAATTCGGCAAGCCCGAGCTGGTCTTTCTGGGTCACATAGTCAGCGCTGAAGGATTGAAGGTTGATCCCGCCAAGACCCAAGGTGTTCAGTCGATGTCGCCCCCCACCAATGTGCAAGAGGTCCGCCGGTTCCTCGGAGTGACCGGCTACTACCGCAAATTTATCAAGAACTATGCCTCGCGTGCAGCACCGCTCACGGACCTGACCAAAGAAGTCGACAACAACAAGACCAAAACAAGGCCTCTACCACGTCCGTGGGGTGAAAATGAGCAAGCCGCCTTCGAAGATCTAAAGGCAGCCCTGATCTCCGCGCCCGTCCTCCGTCTAGCCGACTTTGAACGTCCCTTCTTCATCGAGACTGACGCATCCCTCACTGCTATTGGCGCCGTCCTGAGCCAGGACTTCGGTTCAAACGGCCGGAAGGAAATGCACCCTATCGCATTCATGTCGCGAAAACTTGACGCAGGCCAACAAAAATGGCCAACCCACGAACGAGAAATGTACGCGATCATCCGTGCATGCGACGAATGGAGAACCTACATTCAAGGTCGAACGGTCAACATCCTGACGGACAACCACAGCCTCATCTTTCTCAAGCGCCAGAAGGGTATGAGCCGGCGCATGGCCGAATGGTGTTCCCACATGGAGCAGCAGGACCATGTCATCACCTATCGACCGGGACGCGACAACCCCGTAGCCGACGCTCTCTCTCGTCCCAGTGGAGAATCAGGAGGCTCACAGGAGGACTTTGCCTGCAATTTCATAGAGCTGGCAAAAGGTGAACACTGTCGGGAAGATCCTGCGCCGGTCGATGTAGCCGCTTCCCTGGAATACGAACTCTTGGCGATCACAGAAGAAGCCGAATTTGACGAGACACTCGAAAACGCCGACTGGCCCCTGCTGATGGAGGAGTACAAACGGACAGGCACATTGGCGGACGCTAGGCATAAACACCTCTTGGATACGCTAAAGGTCGAAGAAGGCAACTTCGCGGTCGAAGACGGGAAGGTCTACAGGCAGAACGGCGAAGAAAAAGTCGAATTCCTTAATTTCGCGAGACGAGCAGATTACATGGCGAGGATGCATCAAAGCATGGGGCACCCAGGAGAGCAGGAGCTATTCAATCGCATCCAGCCTCGCTACTGGTGGCCACGCATGCGACGCGATATCAAGGAAGCATGCCGTACCTGCAAGGAGTGCCAACTGACCCGAGGTGGAGCCACTATCACAGAACCGTTGCATCCCCTCTCCGTGGTTAAGCCCTTCCAACGTTGGGGAATCGATTTCATCGGACGGTGCCCGAAGACTCAACGCGGCAACATGTGGATCCTGGTAGCAGTCGACTACGCAACAAGTTGGACGATAGCCAAAGCGACGCCTGATGCTACGGCCGAGACGGTCGCCGACTTTATCTACGAGGAGATCGTGATGAACCATGGATGCCCAGCCGAATTAATCTCCGACAGAGGTAGCCAGTTCATGTCTGAGGTGCTGCGATCGTATTTGGAGAAGCTAAAGGTCAAGCACCGACTCACCTCGGCGTATCACCCTCGGACCAATGGAAAGACCGAACGGACGAACGGCATACTGGGGACGGCCCTAACGAAGTATGTGGGCGACAAGATGAAGCACAAATGGGATCAATTCCTGGACCAAGCAGTGTTCGCATGTCGTACCCGAACCCATAGCGTATCCAAGAAGTCGCCCTTTTACCTGGTCTACGGCGTTGAACCGACTATTCCGGGAGACACCACTAGACCATACGTCTTCGACGGGACGGTGTTTGCCGAAGTACAAGCAGCGAGAGAGGCGCAATTGGAAGCATTGAGACTGGAGAGATTGACTAATGAGGAAAGGCAGGAGGAGGCGAGAAGGAATATGGAGGAAGCATACAACGAGAAACATGATATCGACCCCGAAGCACCTCGGCAGAGCTATGAGATCGGCGACTGGGTGCTGGTGAAAAACATCGCCAAACAAAAGTTCGAGTACCCTTGGTATGGCCCCTTAAGTATCTCGATGACAACACCCTTCGGCGCCTACAAACTCACGTGGCCCGATGGCAAGGTGAAGACGGACCTCGTACACAAGGATCGCCTCAAACCAGCACGATTACCCGCGAATAGCGAGCCCCCTAAACGCGCCTGGTATAAGACGCGTAACAACCGTGATGAGCTCACTGTACCAATGGAGGTCATTCGAGAAGACGATGAGGGCGGACCTCAATCAGAGTCGGAGCAGATAGCCCTAGCGCGACCAACTTCACTCCGAGGTACGACGGCTGGAACAGAGTCCTTAGCCAGCCCCGCTCCGCCACAGCGTCCCCCTCGGTCATCCGCGCGCGCTAACCCCAGCATCGACGCCGCAGGGGCGGCTTGGATTTCTCGCGGGGAGCTTGCCCTAAATCGGGGCAATTTAAGCGGTAGACCTATGACCTCGGAGACCATGGCAGGGCCGTCTACCGCTGCACCGCCACCAGCAACACCGCCACGACGGGTGGGTACACCAATTGCTATCCCAACCAACCCGCCACGCTGGAGCTGATGACGTCAGCCCTACCCGTGTGTCGCCGACCTCTTCATATAAATAGACTTCTCCCCCCTGAGGAGTGGTTCCTCACCTTTATCACCGGAACCACTCCCAGGTATATAGCTCTACCCTGACACCTACATACCCCCCGCATATAGATATGCTAATAAACACCTTTATCACCGGAACCACTCCCAGCACGTGTCTAGGTCAGTCAACGCGAAGCCTACTGCTACTGTGTCCTCCGACCCTTTAGGCCTCGTGCGTTGCAAACCTTGGCTTGAAGGTATTACATATTTTCAAAAAATCTAGAGATCACGTGGCGATTTGTGTCCAGGCTTAAGGGGTCCATTGGCCAAATGCTGCGGACCGGAGGTTGTCAATCTTGAAAGTAACCTTTTTGTAACAGGTAGTCTTCATTTTTCAATACGCTGGCATTTGTTGCGCAGATCCTGGGGCAAGCTCAAGGAATCTGGCCTGTGCTTGCTAGTTTGTTCTGGTAGATTCGCACGGTCAATTGACCTGAGAGACGAATTGTTAAGAAAGGGTGTCTAGACAAAAATACATAGAATTCATTGTGGGAGAGCTATTACGAACGGCATGTCTGGTAGGACTGTACGGCTTCATGCCCTAGTGTGTTTTTGTTGACAAATAGCAAAAAAAAAAAGGAGAGCGGATCAAAAGGGTCGGCCAGGCGCAAGAGAACAGGCAGGATATTCTGCTTTTTGCATCAATACGAAGAAGTAACGCTGAACGTGTTTAATACATGCAGATATAATAGCGACTGTGCTTTTGCTGCAGATGGTCGAAGGATAAATGCGCTAATGTACAAGTTTATGATGGACAGCCCTCCCCCCCTATTTTTTTGTCTATTGAGTGCTATTATATTGTATCATCCAATATTCCAAACTTCTCCATCGACACTCTCAATGCCTTCATCCACTGTTGAGTCGAACCCTCGTCCCACTTCACAGAAGATGCCGCTGTTGCTCTCGAAGATGCCCTCAAATTCGCTGTCGGTGCTGCTGTAGGAGTAAGCACGGATGTCGGCGAAAGCCCATGTGCCTTCGAAGCCTCCATCAACACCAGGACCATCTCCGCCGAGGGCTCGACATTATATACACGTCCCATCTTCGTGAACAGCCCAAAAGCAGCTGCCAACTCGTCCGATCTCGCATACGCCCTGATCGCTGCCGCCACTAAATCCTCGTCCATATCAAAACCCGTGAGAATAAGGTCCGTCGCCATCTCCTTTCCGAGCTCGAGCTGATTTTCCCGATCCAATTGCGTCATCAATTGCCTGCAGAGTTTGGCCAGCGACGGGGCCATCACCGATGGAGACGATGAAGTGATAGCTGGGACCGAAGTCGAGGACATGGTTGCGCCTCGGGCATACGACAATCCAGAGCCGCTTTTGTCCCCGTGGTTATCAAGTTCAGGGGGAGTGCCGTTGTCGTTGAGGTTGCATCGCCGCAAAAGCTGATAAAACTCATATCCAGCAACACCCTGGCGTTGCTTGCAGCTCTTCTCGATCAGCTCGCGATACATGCTGGGAGCGACTCGGCTGGGATAGGCGGCATCCAGAGCACCCTTCAACAGTTTGAGCGCCGGCTCCACTCCATGACGATCCGCGTATTCATTGACCAAAAGTCGAAAGGTCTCAGGATGACGAGAGGCCCGCAACGATCCATCTGCCTTGTCCATGGCGCCCTCCACGACCGAGTGGGTTAGTTCGTGATACAGTTCCTGCGCCAGCAATACGTCTCTGGCACGGAACGCACCGCTCAGAAGAATGTTCCATGTTTCTGCATTCGGATGGACTCGCTGCGACGACATGATTTCCAATATGCCCACCACGGTGGCCGGTGAGGTACGACGAACAGCTCCTTCGAGCAAGACGTTGATATGCCTGATTTCAGTCTTGACGCCGGCACGGTCCATGGTCTCGAATATCTTGATTGCCCCTTGCAGATTCTCCGTGCGAACATAGCAGCGCATAAGATCTTCATACTGTTCCCCATCACGTCTGACTCCCAAGCCCCTTAGGGTGGACAGAATCCTTTGAGTCATCGTCAACTGTCCGTACGAGGAAGCCAGGCTCATCAAGTTGCGATACATCTCCACATCGGGCTTGAGGCCGTGGTTCTCCGTCAGGTCCCGAAACACCGCTACGGATTCATCCAGCATGTTGTCCCTGATCAAACCTCGCATTAGGATGTTGGCAGTTTCGATTGAAGGTATCCACTTGTCCTGTAAAGACTGCTCCAGTACTGTCAAGGCCGAACGAACATCATGGCTCCTGGCCAACCCCACTATCAATCTCTCTGAGGCTTCAGCTCCGAGTGGGATTCCTTGACTAGCCATTCCTTGAGAGATCTTCCGGGCGCGGTCAAAATCCCTCTCGGTGCTAGCCTGCTTGACGATCTCCTGAAGCCCAACTTCCGCAAGAATTCGAGAGGTTGAATCGATAGTCTTTTTTGTCCTGCGTGAACCTTTTGGGGACGATGATGTTGCAGCCGAATCCTGTTCGTTATTTGTTGGCGCAGTGAGCGGGGCAGCTAATGAGGCCGATTTTGTCAACTCGACCAAGCGCCTCAAAAAAGCTTCTGCATCCTCGGAGGATCTGCACTCGGCAATGTACCGCGTCAAAAACCGAAATCGTGTCTTGTCCAGCAGATGTCCTTCCTTGAACAGTTCCAGAGCCAGCTCCGTGGCAAGTGTAACCCCATCCTTATCCTTATCGCCAAGACAGATGGCCTCAATCAATGCGGGGTTGAAGGTCATCTTCCATTCCTGCAGATAGCCGGCACTTGATGAATCAGTATTGGCCGAGTTGGACTTCATGGTGGCCTCAGATGTGTGCTGTAATGCTGTGGGTGCCCTGAGACTCTTCTTTTGGCGCTTCGGAAACTCTGAACGCTCATCGACTGCGCCTACCTCCAATTCGCCTTCTCCACTGCCACGGCCTATGCTTGCCGAGATGCTGCCTTCCACGACTTTATTATCATTCTGTCGCTGTTGGATCGCTGCACTTCGCTCCAAAATCGACTCAAGTAGATTCCCTGCCTTTGACATGTTTCCCGAATGTAGATGGCATTGTAGTGCGTAAGCCATCATAGTGATGGAGGGAATAAACAGCTGTTTTCCTTCTGCTATCATTCGGTCCCAAGCTTCGATTCCTTTGCGCCAACTCCTTTCCTGAAAAGCCGACTTGAGCCAAAGTTCATACAGATCCATGCTACGAGGGATGTCCAAAGACTCCATCCAGTCGATGGTGGTCTGAACAACCCCTGAAGACGATTGCAATGTTGTGTCGGAAATAGAGGACGATACTCCATGTGAGGTTGCCTCTAATCCAAGACGTTCCGAGGTGGTTCCTGCATGCGGCTCACTGCTCATCAATCTCACACGTCCTTCGGCGAGACGGATATACGTTGGCGTACTGCATTTGCTGCCCAGCTCAATATCGCTAAGCATAGCCCTGTGAACGACGCTCAGTGTCCGATAATCCTCGTGGTGAGACAGCCAAAAGATGAATGAGTTCCAGTCCGCAGCAGTGAGCTGGTCAACATGATTGGACGACTCCAAGTACGCGTAAAGTTGTTGCAGGGCTGGAAGAGGGGGAATAATAGAGGAAGGTATACGGTGTTCTGATCTTAAACTCTTATGGTAGAGGAGGGCGTCAGATCGCATCTGTTGAGCGCAAGAATGATCCGAGTGGACAAGCATTCGAAAATTGGTGAGGGCGATTTGACCCCTATCGGGAGATGCTGCTTGTGTAGTGGGCATTGACTGAAATGGCGTGGTATCGTTTTGTAATAGTGATTGTCTCGTCCTCCTTGTCTTCCCGACCTTGCCAGATACAGATGACTGGATGAGATCTGGATGGGCTGTTTTTCCGGCTGTATGTATTTGGCGAAGTCCAGAGCGACTCTTGATCAAAGTCGATCCTATCCGTGGTAACGTTGCTGGCGGGTGTATTGATGAAAAGAGACCAAAAGAACATAAACATGGGACCGAGTCTTGCACAAGTCGGATCGAATGTCGCTTGCCTGAGGAGGATATAGCCCTGGCAGATCCAGGCCATTGGCATGTCGGAATTGATTGAGTCGACTGTCCTGTAGTGCTCCTTGGCACGGAAACTCTCGTAGATCGATTCCTCCTGCTACAATGACGCGCAATAGTTGCTGGGGGCTGAACTGCCTTGCGTGCTGGCCCTGGACTGGACAAAAAATTAGTGAGGACGACTGGCCATTGGAGGGCCTTAGACTTAGACATGCTGCATCTGATTACTATCCTCGCCGCAATTGTCCTATGGATGATAGTTGATAGAAATGCAACAAGACTTAGTCCCTAGTTTTGATACTCCAGTGCTCCTGTTGGTTGCCGCGTTGATCTCCCCTGTCGCGCTGATCCCGGTACCTTATGGATGCTTTGGCACGGGCAATGATAAGCGGCCTGTTGATATGGCTAGTTGCAAAGATGAAAGTCTCAGTCGACAAAGTGTGAGGAGGAAAGTAAGCTCCTCTCGGAGGGCCCATCCTCTCTATCAGGAACACGTTAGTGACTGCCTGCTCGTAAACAAACCCAAAGCCACGACCCGCCGCTTGTTGTACCAGCAGGGATTAGGGATAAGGGCCACAACCAGCACCTCGAGAAACACGACATCCATCTCTTCAACACAGTCGAAGCCATAAATCCGTAGGAAGCAACCAGTGGACCTGTTAACAGCTGACAGGATTCAGGAAAGACAGCGCCGCATACCTCTCGATCTAAGCATTAGCCATAGCCTACTCGATGACACAAACAGAGGTCTCAGCGAGCCCGTCGCCGGCGGTACCTGTCGCATCCACCGCATCCTCGTCAACTAAACCGTCAGAAAAGGAGGCCAAGGAACAAAAGTCATTTGAGCGCTGGCGCAGGACTATATCCCTGATCACTGGAGTCGGTCTCACGCCGGAGGAGTTTCGGCAGGAGATCGAGAAGGCGGACCGGAAACAGTGTGAACTTCGCAAGGAAAAACTCATCAAAAACAGTAAGCATGCAATTTCATATCCATCGAACAATTTATGAAACGCACCACTGGAATGATTATTATGGTATCTCGCTTTCCCCACTACACTATGAGCTGACTTGGTTCTTTGTGTGTGTATCTGTGAACGTAGGTCCTGGTGTGCGGTTTATGATGAACAACCTTGTTAAAGCCGGGTGCCCTTTGACCGAGAAAATGGTCGAGTGCGCACCATGCGACAAAACAAAGTCAGGAGGATTCTCCAAGGACTACGGGATATTGCTCTGTCAGAACGGCTTCTTCAGCAAAACACACCAAGAACATACTATGATCCACGAAATGATCCACATGTACGATCATTGTGCCTTCAACGTTGATTGGGACAACATCCGACATCATGCCTGTAGTGAGGTAGGTTGCCCATGATCATGGTCCTAATGATAGATCCAGTCGAGTTTCGTTCAACTTGAAATCTATTGCAATATCTCTAACGCCATACTTTCAAAACCAATCCCTCCAGGTGCGCGCAGCAGCATTGAGTGGTGATTGCAATTGGTCTCGCGAGGTCAGGCGTGGGTTCTATACCTTCACGAAGCAGCATCAAGAATGTGTCAAGCGTCGGGCTATCATTTCTGTAGTGGCGAATCCTAAATGTCCATCCCACGCTGCAGCGGAGCGGGCCGTCAATGCTGTTTTCGAATCATGCTATAATGATACTCGTCCGTTCGATGAGTTTTATTAATAAAATAACTGGCCACGATAGCCGATGTAGATACCAAAAAAAAAAAAAAAAATCTTAAAGACACAATGTGGTCTGGTTATAGCGAGCTTTTGTCGTTCATCTGACTATGGACCCACTGAGTAATCGATTCGGCGACGACCACAAGCTGCTGAATCTGCTCCATTGGCACTCCTACGTTTCGGGCACCATAAACATGGCTCTTCAATTGTGGAGGCACATTCTGCGCTACAAGCGTAGCTACGAGACACAGCTCCGTCTCCGGCGTCGAGATCAAGGAAGTGTCACTCAAGACCTTTCCATAAGTGTCTTGCAAAATACTTTGGACCAGGTCCTGGCTGCTTGCTCCGATTTTTGTCAAAATCGGCTCAGCTATGAATGCGGGTGGAAAACGCTCAAGGGCCGTCAGTTCTTAGCGTTTACAAAAAAAAAAAAAAAAAAAAAAAAAAAAACTGCATGTTCAAGCTGACGATAATATGTAAAAGTCAGAATACGTACTGTGATGTTGATAAATGGTTTGGAAGAGATTCCTTCCTCGTTGATAATACATGTCGGGGGTTGCGGCGTTCTCTGCTCCGCGCACGGGTCCATATTCATTGACAGCTGCAGAAAGCTCTGGATCAAGCGCAAAATTAACGGCGCCAAGGGCATTGATGGTATAAGGCCCACCGCACAGGACAGAGACCTTGTATAGTGCCTCTCTAAGTCTGCGGATGAACCGGACTTGCTCTGCAAAGGGGGAACCGGAGGGGATTGCTTCGTCCAGCGGTCCCGAAGTGGCCGCAGAAGATGGAGCCTTGATGGACGGTGCCATCAAGGACTTAGTGCTAATATCGGTGAGAACTTGGTGGACCAGTGGAACTAAGATCTTGGGGTAGTTGGCTGCAGTGACAGTGCACGCCTAGAAGATCACAATTGAGCATGGAGAGGTGAGCCGAGGGGCTGGGTGATATGCGCCTGAAATGACTGAGAGACAACGAGGGGTCCTTACGATAAGGATCGGGCGCAGCTCTGCGGGCGTGAGCGAGAGTGCATCCCTCCAGGAGGAGATGATTGCGTTGGCTGCAGTGAATGGAGAGGAGGTCATGGATGAGGAGGACATGGGGATTAGCGGAAGGATAAAGGAATAGCGGACTCGGGTGTTCACTTTTTTAGGTCAATTCGATGAATGCGCCCAAAATGGAAGTAAAGTGTCAGAACGCGTGCGGACAGACACAAATTTTCGCGTGTTACTTGTGGCGATTTAAAGCAGCATCCTCACCGGTTCAACAGGAACATGTTCGAAAAAAAAAAAGTGATAGGCCATCCTCAGTTTGCGGTAGTAGCGGGTATATTGGCGTTTTAATGATAACGAGAGGGAGAACATCACTAAGAAAAGGCACGGAACGTAATCTCAGGTCGAAGCTGCCTCACGGTTGCCTCAAGAGACTGACTAGAAACGCCCGAGAACTTGACTGCATCCATCACAAACACTTTCATGTCTGGCCAACAATAGCCCACCTCCTCCTCATCGTCATCGTAGCCCTTGCGCTCCCTCTGCTCAGCACGTAGCTTTCGCCTCTCTAGCTTCTCCAAAAACTTGCTAACGCCCTCTGGCTGGAACATGCTGATCAGCCGCTGGATAATCTGCTTTTCATCCGCACGCTCAAACCTGGAAGCCAATGTAGAAGAGTTCTCCGCAGATGTAGTTGTCCTTGATCGTGTCATGGCCTCACCTTCGTAGCCATTCTTTCCAAAAAGCTTCCTAGCGACCCTGCTGAGTAGACCCTTCTTCCCACTGCTAACTGACACTCGTGTCTTGCTCCGTCCAAATGAAACCGCCGATCGGGAGACCAACGAGCTCCGCGTGGTTGTTCTGCTGATGTTCCTGCTCATATTGTTTTTGCTGGTGGCGGCAGGCTTTGCTGCCCTCGATCTCTTCTTTGCTGCTGCTGCTGCAGCGGCCTCAGCAGCAGCTCTTGAAGACCTCTGAATCCACCCTATATCCGACACGTGCTTGATCCAAAAGTGCGTCGACTGTAGCGTCAGCGTTTCCAGGCTTTCCATAGCCCCTAAATAGCAGAGCCCGCCTTCCAACTCAACATTCATCATCTCCCTCGTGATGCTTAACTCGCGCAGGTTTGGACAGACCAGACACAGATATGCGAACATGACTCTGGAGTTTCGACCGGATCGAGTATCGCCAGAGTGCCCTCCAATTTTGATCTGAAGTGTTTCCAAACTGCGACAGGCCCACACACGCCGTTGAAGCCAGAGCTGACTTGATGAATTCTCATAATCCCCAGTACTACTCACAGCAGGTGTTGATGAGGTATCCTGGCAGTTCCTGGGGGAGTATAGTCCTTCCTTTCCTTCAGCCACAGGTTCGAGGTCCATGTATTCCGCAGGGTAGACCATATTGTGGATGCAGAGACGACGTAGCTGAGGCGAGTTGCAAAGATACTCGTGCAGTGTCATTGGGGACACAGTGCTGCTGAAGCAAGTCAGTTCCAAGGATATCACATTGTTTACATAGGTCTGAAGGGAGACAAAGGTGGACGGCAGGACATCGGAATAGGGTAAACTCCATCGCTGGATGGTTGGGAAATGCCTGAAGAGCAGGGCCTGGTCCTGTTGCCTTGGTCGACAGTCGAGAAGCGAAAAGTGAATCGAATTCAGGTACGGGCATAAGCGATGGATGGTGTCCAATATTTGCGATTGGTAAGCTAGGGTGGCCGCGATAGTTCGGCTGCCTTCGACTGCTTTTTGTTCTTGCCTAACGACTGACTGAGGCAGCAGCACTATGATATGCTCCATTAAAAGCTCGATTATCCCTGGCATTGGAGACTTGGAACAGCTGCCAGCAAGAAGGCGCTCCAGCTTTGCGAATTCGACTTCCACTCTTTGGAAACTGATACTCTTCAGATTTGTTGCCGTGCTCCGCTCGGGTAATTGCAGTCTAGCTAGCTTGCCCTTCTCGCTCAGCGTGTCCTGGTCTTTTGTCTCATCCTCAAGTGTCTGCTTGCGGCAAAAAGTCGAGTCGATGTTGAGGCGCTCCAGTGCAACACAACCCTCTAGGATAGGCCCGATGTCGATGGTTTCCATCCAAGAGTTCTCAATCTTCACACTTCTGAGTGACGAAAAAAGCACCACCACCGGCTCAAGTGCTGCTAAATCCATAGACAGATTGCCTGCGATGACGAGCTCTTGAAAGTACTCTGCCGCATTCTTGACCCACAACTGTGCAATCTGCTTCTGCATCAGCCCCCAGTCGCTACGTTTGGTTGGCCGAACATAATAGCAACTTGATGTTGAGGAGATGATGGGCAGTGTCTGGATGTTCCTGATGCCCTCAAGCAGGTATTGTTCCGTGAGTGGTATCCTGCCAAGCCAGTAAAAGTCCGTAGGATGTATGAGTGGGCGGCCAAGGAGATACCATCTTTTGCATACAAAAGGTGCTGCTTGTAGAAGGTCCCTTCGGGGGAGGGATTTGAGGATAGTAACGACTACTTCTGGGATGGACAGAGCCGGTGGAGTCTTTTTCAGAAGCGTAGAAGGATGCTGGCTGTGAGGCATGGGTGTGTGAGCTACTATATTTGGGGTGTTGGCTAAAGAGCGGTTTGAGGACGACTGAATGGTAGGCGTGAAGGAGTGTGGAGGAGTGTGGAGGGGTAAATACCAGGAAGAGAGGAAAAGATGCTCGTTCGGTACATCAAATACCCATTTCGCACAATTGTTTTTTTTGTTTGTGTTCTCACCAAATTCCCTCATCTGCCGCATGGGCACCCAGCCTCTAAGATAGACAACTCAATATGGCCTGCCGATTCTGAGGGCGGACAGATGGCTGCCCCATATCTCTCCTTTGAAGTGGCAAAAAAAATGGGGGATGACTAGTTGCAGGAGGTGGCCCTTGAATAAGCACATCTTTGGGAAGTGGTTTTATTATCATCTTCAACCGCCATCCTGCTCAGTCTTCTAGGTCGATTTGGCGGGTTTTGAGGATTGCCATTAGTTCGTAGTGGCGCATCAGATCCCTGTTCAATCGGCCACGGATAATTTGCAGATTCTTCCAGTGCTCCATCACCCATAGAATTTCACTCTCGCCCATGTCCTGGTCGACTCCATCGAATTCAAATACAGATAGCCGTCGCAAGGTCCTCAGTGAGTCTATGCCCTTTTCAAGTGAAAACTGAAGCGACCGCCCAGAGTACTCGCCAGAGAGCTGTTTCCTCGTGCTTATGTTTAGGTTTTCCAGTTGTTTGAGGTCTCCTAATCTCTGAAGTATGTCCATCTGAGAATCCAGCCCGCCTAAATCGAGACACAAACTCAATTCTTTAAGTTTCGCGCATACCCAGGGCTGACCGAGCTCGCTCTTGCCGTCTCCTTGAATAACATCAGTTCCACAAATCATTGGCGCTCTCATCTTGATCAAACTTGGGCACGACACCATGATGGCATGAACCATGGGACTACTGGCTTTCGGACAGTTCTCGATATCCAGATATACAAGCGTTGAAAAGTGTTTCGAGAGCGCCTCGAACGACAGAAGAGCAAACCCGGTGGAGTTTGCCTGTAATACTGTCAATCGGTTGATTGAAGTCAGCAACACAGATAGATCTTCATCTCGGATTTGCGTGTCCTCCAGATTGAGCTCCTCCAGCTTCGGCCAGACACCCTGAGCAGCTTTGTCACATAGGGCATTCAAGGGCAGCTGGTCATGCATCCCACGCCAGGTCAACCTTTGCAGTTGCGGACATTGCACCATCAGCTCCAGCTGCCTTTCCGGAGACAGCCCACCACGAACCCAGCTTAGCACTAAATGTTGAATTCTGCTGAAGGAGTGCGTTGCGAATGATGGGATGTCGGGTACTTCTGCGAAGGCGATACACAAGAACTCCAGGCGGGTGCATGTCTGCCAGAATATGTCTGCGAGCTCTAGCCCCACGATGGCATATGAAAAGTGAAGTGAGTCCAGACTGCGAGAATCCCTGACGGCCTTCCAAAAGTCCATGTTGTCGTGGATAGATAGGGAACTCAGTATTAGGTTCGTTATGGAAGGATGGTGCCTGATCATGATAGTTTCCCGACTGATCTCGCCTGCGCCAGGGATGTTTGGTCTTCCTGCCTTTTGGTGAAGGGTGAGTCTCAGTGTTTCGAGGGCTGGAAGGTGGATTTGGGTGTGGGTTCGAAGGATAAACCCGTATATTGTTAGTCTCTTGATGAAGGGAGCATTTTTAAGGAGGAGTGCTAGGGAGGGATACCGTGCGCTGCTGGAGTCAGCAATGATGCGGATATCTCTCCAGATAAAGAGTAAAAGGGACCGGTGCCAGAGTCTGCACACACGAACGCACTTTGTGAGCTCGCTCCTGTCGAGGTAGCGTGCTATATGCACGATGAGCTCTGGTAATTCTAGGGGACTGATGGGAGGGGGCGTCAATATGTTGTTTGTCGGCGCCATGGGCATGAAGATGAAGGACGATTCATGGAGAAGTTCTTCCCTCTCTCTTAAATGACATCGCACGTGCCCTCGCCCTGCGGGCGGTTGCACATGTACTCCGCTCTGTATGTTCCAATGCCGACGCATACACGCACTATTTTCGTCCGCTCACCGTGGGCAAACGCATCAACACCAGCTCTATCCGTCCTCACGACCTGAGAACTTTCATGCACTGCCTGTGTGCGGGCAGCATACGAGGATGGATAGACTCTGGTGATAAAAATAAACATCCTTTTTACAGAACATGAACGACAATTGCGCCGCTGTTGCTCTCTGTGTAACATGCGTCGGCGTATTCAACATCCAGCCCCCTATCCTCCATACTTGATTATTCGCCCGCTCTTCAGCTCTGGTACATGTACAAAAAGAAGGACCAGTGCCACTTTTTTTTTTTTTTTTTTTTTTTGAAGAACGTCCTTCCCCTCCACCTTCGCCCATTTCGATCCCACACCTTCGCTTTCGACGCGGGAAGACGACAATGCGCTTCTATACTCTCGGTGTCAGCGCATCGCTTCTGCTACTCGTTAGCCAGCTCACATCCACATATTCTGTTACCCACAATATCAATATCGATAAGCAGGACGCCCCATCTACTGCTTCCAACTCCACCCTTGACTGTCTACAGTCCTTAGGCTCCAAGGTCCTACGGCGCAACACACCGCTCTTCGAAAGCAATAGATATGCCTTCGATCTGAGATTCACCTACAATCCTGAGATGATTGTCATGGCCAGCTCCGCGGCTGATGTCCAGACGGCCGTCAAGTGTGCAAAGGCTTCAAATGTTCCTGTTGCACCTCGTTCCGGTGGTCATTCGTTCGAAGGCTACAGTATCGGCGGACAGGATGGCGCCGTGGTCATTGATCTCTCTGGAATCTCCTCTGTCGTCGTTTCTGGTGACCAGGCTAAGGTTGGCTCCGGCATTCGACTTGGACCCCTCTACCTCGCTCTTTACAATCAAGGAGGATGGAGTATTAACGCAGGAACATGTCCAAGCGTCGGTATCGGTGGACACGCATTAGGAGGAGGATTTGGACTCTTTGCTCGCAAGTACGGTCTCTTGATCGATCGCATAGTCCAGATGGAGGTCGTCAACGCCGACGGGGATCTGCTCACCGTTTCTAATACCCAGAACCCAGACTTGTTTTTTGCCTTGCGAGGCGCCGGTGGAGGATCCTATGGTGTTGTAATCTCATTCACCATCTTGCCGTTTAAGCCCCCAACTGCAGTGACATCTTTCAGCTATACTTGGAAGCTGCCGGACTATGCCGCGGTGTTGCGCGGTTATGTCAATTTCCAGGCCGTAGCTTCAAGAGATGTCGGTGTTGAGATGAACATCGGCCCAGATGGTTTGGAGCTGTACGGAATCTTCCAAGGCGCCCAGACCCAGCAAGCGGCTGCGCTCGCACCTTTTCTCCAGACCGTACCCGCGCCCCTATCCTTGGATGTGCGCGAAAGCCCTCAAATCGATGCACAACTGCGGTTTGCCTATGTAGCTGGCGATCCCAAGGACATCAATGCGTTGGGATTGACGGGATCGTTCAAAGCAGGCGACTCACGTTACACCAAGGGCAAGTCTCTTGTATACCCAGTTGCACTCAAAGACTCGACCATCGCCCTTCTTGGAAAGTGGGCAGCCATCAAACCCGTGGGATCCACTTACAACTATATCATTATAGACATCTGGGGAGGAGCCGTTCAAGACACCCCGACTGACGCGACTGCATTTATCCACCGGAATGCCCACACCGTTTTTGAGTTTGTGTCTGAGTGGGACGAGAACCCGAACGCCCTGCCTGGCAAGGCCGATTGCCTGGACTGCCTCAAATGGATGGATGACATGTATACTGAGTTCTTGGCCGACTATAATACCAACTATGGCCCCGTTCGCGGTTACCAGAACTACATCGATCGAGATATTCCCAACTGGCAGGATGCTTACTACGGCTCAACACTTCCTCGTCTCATGCAGATCAAAGCCGCAGCCGACCCCACAAACATCTTCCGTTTCCCCCAAAGCATTCCCCTCCCCTAGACAGCCGTTATCTTATCATATATTAATACATTATATCTCTATCCAACATTTTTTCGTATTCTTTTCCAATGCATCGTATGGCCGGTCCAAGTGCCATGGAGATCTACTGTTCGCCTGCAGAGGAAAATATCAACCTGTATTTGGTTTTAAAGCGCATTTGTTGCTTTATGCAGGCAGCCTTATGGAAGAAATACCACTGAGCTATGTTCATAGGCAATATGTACTGGCGAAGTGAAGAAGATGGCACATGCATAGCGCTTTGAATATTCAACTTTTGACCGCTTCCTAGTTATCCGTACGACGTCTATTTATTCCGTGTCACTTAGTTTCTTCCATTAGACTGTGCATGGAGTATTGAAGATGAAGTCCACGATCTGCTTTTTAGCCTCCTGAGGATCCGATGAAATACTGAAAAGAAAAGAAAAGAAACGAAGGACAGGTTAATATACTGGCATGCCACGATTTAAACAATGTTCACTTCATTGACTAGGACGGATCCGCCTACTTTTTCAACTTGATATGGAAGTTGTCGTTCACAGGCTCGAAATATCTTGGAACATAAGTCTCTTCCCGCTCTTCACGCTGCTTTGACCTGGCTCTTTGAGCATCTTCGACCTTGCTCTTTTCCTCTGTAGCCAGGGGTTGGTTGTTCGCTTTCAGAGCTGCAGTCAACTTGCTCCACAGTCGGCGCGATTCATGTGGCTCCTGCGCCTCCTCAGGCGCTACGATTTTTGGATGAATGCTGGCCGTCCTCGCATCAAAAAATACCTCCTTGTTGCCCTAGATAAGATACGATGGAACAAAAATATTAACAAGGTGGCTTTTGCATGAGGGGCATCATAGTACCATGACATCCTGTAAGAGCTTCTTTTTTTTTTTTTTACAACAACATACGTCCTTAGTGATGTAGATTTCATCCGACCATTTTCCAGAGATATCGTAAAGGACCTCGCCAGTGGAGATTCTCTTAATCTTTCCGGCAATGCTGTTGTAAGATCCGGAGAAGTACCCCTAATCAGCGAATATTCAAATGAACGTGGCAAAAGTCCCTGTCAGTATACTTGTAAAAGGATTATATGTAGCCAGCTTCTGCCTTGCCAACTTGCCACCTTACCTTGACCTTGAATTCCAGAGAGCAGATCAAGTCTAGCTTGGGACATTTGATGACCGCAGCGTCCCCCAATTCCATCAACATCGTGCCAAACAAGATACCACGGGCGTAGACATTGGGCATGGTAATGAGGTAGTTTTCTCCAGGTCGGTTTGTGAAGGAGACATTAATCTCTCCCTGCATCAACGTTGCAGCACTGTTGCCCAAAAATTTCGACTTTGGCATCACATCGCCAACGATGCTGAGGTGGTTCTCAGGGCTGGCGTAATAGTAAGTCGAAATTGGAGGGTGATGAGAGACCTGCTCCGCAACGTAGAACGCCTCTGTACCATCAGCAAATATCCACTTTGAGCGAAACTGTTCCCCAAGGATAGGATTGTACGGCTTTTTCACGCCCTATTGTAATACGACGACACGGTGGAGAAGTCATGTCAGCAAAAGCTATCGTAGCAGGAAATGCAGCCAGTGAATATAATGTTTCCTGAACAATACCTTGGGCTTGATATGCCAACCGGACAAAAAGTAGCGAGTGACAGCTACAAACCGCTCCACAGGATCGTCCATTTTGTTTGCTCTATGAGAGCATGTGTTTGTGCGGTTAGTTCCTTTGGAGATGTAGTAGCGCATGGTGGACCATCCCCGGCACACTAAAACTAAAGCAGATAAGGTGATGACCCCCAGGAAGGGCCGCGTGAACTAAAAAAGAGGGTCATCCGTGTGAAGGAAGAGCATGATTCAGCAATAATGAGGCGCTATAAGTCACCCCTCTTGCGACGTGTCGACGTTGTAGGACCAGCACGGATTCAACGTAATAAAAAAAAAAACGTGTTGATGCAATAGACCACCGCTTGTTTTCACCCTAAAGCAGATTGGCTCGCGTTGCCCTGAATCAATTATATGCACCCAATCTTGTCTGGATTCATGGTCGCAATAATTGTTTCGGCGCAGCCATACTCTGCGCCAAAGACAAGGGCGATCCTTACTTGATGATAATCTCAGGATGGGACATAAAGTCGGTGATGCGCTCGAGCATGCTCCTGGGTTCGAGAACAAAGGTTGGCAGGGTAATTCGATGGAGGTCGCCTCCCTTGCTGAGCTGAGAGATAATATCCAAAAGGATACTGCGATTGCCCTCGTCGACGACCTCGGTGTCGTCGTTGGTAGAGGCGCAGTTGTGGTTCTTATTGATAGGGTCAGCCATATGGACAGAGAGCAAAAGCCGGGATGAGACAAAGGACGGAGAGGAATCGAGTGTTGATCTGCGAGGGGGGGGGGGGCGAAAAGAGATGGGGAAGATGGAGTAAAGAAGAAGGGAAGCTCATCTACCAACCGAGCTGTTCATAAACAGAGCGCGGCTCTCATGTTCTGTGCCGTGGTGCGTGAGGGAGAGGACTAAAGCTATGCGGACGATATGCGTCCGGTTGGCAATATGCTTCGTGAATCCCATGTCGCCTCCCCACCCTCTTATATGTCCACTGTCTCCTGTCCAGGCGCCATCCTCACCACGAAGGTGATGCTCGTGTCTCCGGCGCAAGGAACATTCGTCCGCGTCCAGATTCAGGGGTAAAATGCAATTGGCGCGTTTTTTTTTTTTTTTTTGGTGGCAAACCCAATCCCAATGGGATGGAATGGGAAATAGAATGCCTATTTTGTTGTTGTTTGTTATTGTTGTCTCGAGAGAGATGAAAGGCTTTTTCGATCAAATATGAACCCCAAATTAGTATAATGAAACTGCAATGGATGCCGGAAGATCCAGCGAGTCTTTCGATAGCGATGGAAGCATGGAGCGCGTATTATGGATACCGCTGCACTGCATCGCACTGTACTGCAGACAAAGGCACGCTCACGGAGAAAAGTCTTTCCAGCGAACTGACTATAAAACAGAGGGGCTGTGATCGGGGTATCTACAGTCGCCAGGATCTTTTTATTTTTCTTTCGATAAATAAGGTTTATGTGTCATGCCGTCTCATCGTTTTTTATCTCTCACTCCCCAGATACTGGCTCCGCCTATAAATCAAGCCTGAGTCCTCCTCTCCGATCTTTTTTTCCTTTACCAAACCCACGCCCTTTTTCCTTGACCCCACCCCCCACCAGTCTTCTGTACTGATCGATATCCGACCAAGTATCATCTTTACCTGAAGGACAACTAAACCGCTTCAAGACCAGCATTTACAACACATCCAGTCGACCACAGGATCTCTTTAGTAGCAATGTACAAGCAACTCTACTCCAAGGCCCCCAGGACAGCCTGCACCAAGGGCTCATCTGCCTTGCTCTCCAACTCGTTGATCGCCTCTGCTCAGCGTACGACCTCGAATGGCCTCAGCAACAGCACCGTGCCCTTACTTTCCACAAAGGCCATGCTGCACCACTCCGCTACCTCTGGGCCTGGAGGCCTTCGCACCCCGCTCCTCGCCTCGCTTTCGTCTTTGCGATCAAGCCAGCAAAAGTCGATGGCATTTGGACAGCTCGGCATGAAATCCATGGCGGCATCGCAGGCCCGCTGGTTCTCAATGACTCACGAGCGCCTCCAGGAGCAGCAAGGAGCAGGATTGTCCGCCAATAAGACCTCGCCCACCAAGAAACTTGTCTCGGAGGCAATCCTTGCGGACGTACCTCTGGTTGAGGTCAAAAAGGTGCTCGTTGTAGGATCCGGTGGACTGACTATTGGACAGGCTGGAGAGTTCGACTACTCAGGTAAGAGATGTTGCTCTACGCTTCTACGCTGGGTGTCAATATTTGGATTATCATATCGGGTGCAGATGCCCAGTCACAGTTTGGCTCTGACCGCGATCTGCTCGCTCATGATACTCTTCTGCAGGCTCCCAGGCGATCAAAGCCCTCAAGGAATCTAACATCGAGACCGTCTTGGTGAACCCCAACATCGCCACTATCCAGACCTCGCATGCGCTCGCAGATACCGTTTATTTCTTGCCCGTCACCCCTGAATACCTCGAGTATATCATCGAGCGTGAGCGTCCCGATGGTATCCTCCTGACCTTTGGTGGACAGACTGCCCTGAACTGCGGCATCCAGCTCGACAAGATGGGTATCTTTGACAGGCTTAATGTCAAGGTCCTTGGTACCCCCATCCGCACCCTTCTCGTCAGTGAAGATCGCGATCTTTTTGCCAAGGCTCTGAATGGTACGCCGTTATTTCTGTGTATACTCTCTCTTTCTTTCTCCCTTTGTATCCTATATGATCAATGTGCTGACATGTCGTAATCTATAACGAAAATTGATGATCATAGAAATCGACATTCCTGTGGCCCAGTCTGTTGCCGTTGATAACATGAAGGATGCCTTGGCTGCTGCTGAAGAGATCGGTTACCCTGTCATTATTCGATCTGCATTCTCGCTTGGTGGCTTGGGCTCGGGATTCGCCGCGAATGCTGCGGAGCTCACGGCCCTTGGAACAAAATCCTTGACTCTGTCGCCCCAGATCTTGGTCGAGAAGTCCATGAAGGGATGGAAGGAGGTTGAGTACGAGGTTGTGCGTGATGCTGCCAACAACTGCATCACCGTCTGCAACATGGAGAACTTTGATCCACTCGGAACCCATACCGGAGACTCGATTGTCGTGGCGCCTTCGCAGACTTTGAGCGATGAAGAGTACCATATGCTTCGCACAGCTGCCATCAAGATCATCCGACATTTGGGGGTGGTTGGAGAGTGTAATGTCCAATATGCGCTGCACCCAGAGAGTCTCGAGTACAAGGTCATCGAAGTGAATGCTCGCCTGAGTCGCTCCAGGTAAATATCACGCACTATATTTTTGAATCTGCCTGTATGCTGATGTGATCTTCGGCTTTAGATACTCATGCACTGCTCTCTATCTCCCTGATTTACCTGAATATCATAGTGCCTTGGCCTCAAAGGCAACAGGATACCCTCTGGCCTTCATTGCTGCCAAGATCGCTTTGGGTCACACTCTGCCCAACCTCCGCAACTCCGTCACCAAGACCACTACTGCCTGCTTTGAGCCCTCGCTAGATTACATTGTCACCAAGATCCCTCGCTGGGATTTGGCGAAGTTTCAGCACGTCTCCCGCGAGATTGGATCCTCGATGAAGTCTGTTGGTGAAGTCATGGCAATCGGCCGTACCTTTGAGGAATCCTTCCAGAAGGCCATTCGTCAGGTTGATCCTCAATTCAAGGGTTTCCAGGCATTGGAGTTCGCGGATATAGACAAGGTTATGGCCAACCCCACCGATCGTCGCCTCTTCGCTATCGGTGATGCCATGCTGAACAAGGGCTACACTGTCGATCAGGTCCATGACATTACCAAGGTTGACAAGTGGTTCCTTCACAAGTTGTCAAACATTGTTGCTGTCCACAAGGAGCTCGGCAAGTTCAATTCTCAAAACCTTCCTTTCGAGCTCTTGCACGAGGCGAAGCGTAAGGGCTTTGCTGATGCTCAAATCGCTGGGCTGTTGGGCGAGAAGACTACAGAGGACGTCATCCGACAAGCACGCAAGCAGATGGGCATCACACCATTTGTTAAGCGCATTGATACCTTGGCCGCCGAGTTCCCCGCTGACACCAACTACTTGTACACAACCTACAACGCATCGTCGCACGATGTCACGTTCAGTGACAAGGGTACCATGGTTCTGGGATCCGGCGTCTACAGAATCGGATCTTCGGTCGAATTCGACTGGTGTGGCGTGTCTTGCATTCGAGCTCTTCGCGAGCTCGGAAAGAAGACGGTCATGGTCAACTACAACCCAGAAACGGTCTCGACGGATTTCGACGAGTGCGACCGTCTTTACTTCGAGGAGCTGTCTTATGAACGTGTCATGGATATCTATGAACAGGAGTCTGCGCAAGGTGTCGTTGTCTCTGTGGGTGGTCAGCTTCCTCAGAACATTGCTCTCCGCCTCCATGAGAACAATGCCAAGGTCTTGGGTACTTCACCAGTCATGATCGATGCTGCAGAGGACCGTTACAAGTTCAGTAAGATTCTCGACACCATCGGAGTTGATCAGCCAGAGTGGAAAGAACTGACGTCTTTGGATCAAGCCTCTGCTTTTGCGGATCAGGTTGGCTACCCTGTTCTCATCCGTCCCTCTTACGTTCTCTCTGGTGCGGCCATGAATGTCGCTCACACCCCCGAGGCCCTTCATCGCTGCCTCACCCTTGCTGCGGATGTGTCGCCTCTCCATCCCGTAGTCATCACCAAGTTCATCGCTGGTGCTCAGGAAATCGATATTGATGCGGTTGCGCACGATGGAAAGCTTATTGTGCACGCCGTCTCGGAGCACGTTGAGAACGCTGGTGTTCATTCCGGAGATGCCACGCTGGTTTTGCCCACTCGCGATATCCCAGACCAGACCAAGGGCAAGCTGAAGACGATTGCGGAGAAGCTTGCCAAGGCCTTCCAGATCACCGGCCCGTTCAACATGCAAATCATTCACAAGCCTGCAGCTCCAGGTGATGCCAACCAGGACCCGACCTTGAAAGTCATCGAGTGCAACATTCGCGCTTCCCGATCGTTCCCCTTCGTTTCCAAGGTCCTTGGCCATAACTTTATCACGACAGCCACCCACGCCCTCTGCGACAAGGACGTGCCTGCCCCTCAGGACTTGATGACCAAAGAATATGCCTACCAAGCCGTCAAGGTCCCTCAGTTCTCGTGGACGCGCCTGGGTGGTGCTGATCCGTTCTTGGGAGTCGAGATGGCATCTACAGGAGAGGTGGCTTGCTTTGGCCGCGACAAGGAGGAGGCTTACCTCACTGCCCTTCAGAGTGTCCAGAACTTCAAGTTGCCAGCGCCAAGCTCGAGTGTCCTGTTGAGCTCTGATGAGCTGACTACTACCAGCGACTTGACCAAGATCGGCCAGGGTCTTCAAAAATACGGCGCCAAGATCGTAACCATGTCAGAGCACACACAAGAGAAGCTTAAGCAGGCTGGCATTCCATGCAAGTTTATTGCTGCACCGGACGCGCTGCCTTTGATGCACAAGGCGATGGCCGGAGAGAACGTGCAGATGGTGATCTCGTTGGCAAGGAATCGTGCCCAGCATGTCGCCGACAAGGAGTACATGATCCGTCGCGCTGGTGTTGACTCGGGCATCTCTTTGATTAACGATGAGAAGTGCGGTGTCTTGTTTGTCGACGCCCTCAACAAGAACGTGGAACGCAAGGCAGCCTTGGCGACAAGCAACGAGGCTACCAACATCCCAGCAGAAGTGAAGTCCTGGGCCGAGTTTGTCGGTGGTCGCTACTAATAACGAGGCATGGGCCTTCGTGAACCGCTTCCCCTTGTCATTTTCATTCGTTCATTGTATCTTATAGATTTGTTTCCCTTTTTTTTTCTTTTTCTTTTTCTTTTCTTTTTTTTTTCTTTGCGGTTGATCACCAGAACACCAGACTTCATTTGGACTAGTACTCTCTTTTTTTTTTTTGCAAAACATTCGTTTGGTCAACCCCTCTTTGATTCGGTTTCTTTTTGCCATATTCCTTCTTTTGGTCGGGAAGGGACAATGGTCGAGCCTTAGAGGACTTCTGACTGCTGCTGGTCTATCATCCTACCAGCAACGCAGATGTGTCGCCGAGGTGCGCTTTCTTTTGGTCGAGAAGGCGCATAGCTCAGACACGAATACGTCTACTGCAGGGTTTATCCTCAATTGCAGTTGCAGTCTCTGTTTTTGCATTTTTCTTCTTTGCCCTTATTTTCTTCTCTGGATGCTCTTTTATCGTTTTTTTCTCAAAAGCCTGTTCCAAACTCCATTCAGGACCATCTTCGCCTTTTTATTTCAACTTTATCAGATCGATCGAGTTGGCCCCTGCATTCTTATTAAGCCTGTGCTTCTTCCTTTTGGTCGGGGAAGTTGCTTGCAGGATGATTGCAAGGGCAGGGCCGCTATGGATCCCCAATCGGTTTGAACTTACGAGGCTTTATTTTAAAGATGGTACGGACAGATGGGATGGTCAGGGCAAGTTGAGAGTAGAGTAGTACTGACTTGAATAAAGTCGGCCGTTGTGGCAACATTCACTCGTAGACGTTGATATCGATGCAACTCTCATACGATATTATTTTGATGTGCACGCGCCTCATTGTTGAAAAAAAATCATCCGCGCCTTTAATCCAGTTAAGGTTTGGCGCATTTTTCTACCGCGTCCTTGACCGTAAATGGACACACCAATATGCATACACTCACGCTAAAAATAAGAGGATATCAAGGAAGAGCTTCTGACATGAGCAGACATTACATCTCTCGTTTTACTCATTTTCCACTTCATCCCACATCCACATTTCCTCATGTCCAGAACACCAAGCATCTACAGCGACGCCCTTGAGATACCGCCCCAGGATCCTATGAGCGTTGGCACAGAAACGGGCTCTCACAGAGACAGCTCGCAAGATCATGTCAGTGTAACACCAACCCCCACACGACAGATAGACAGCGCGGACTTTCGACACTCAGGTAGAATGCATCGTCATTCCAGCAACGATATGGAAGTAGACGAAGAGCCGCAGACAGACGCAGATATGGATATGCAGATCGATGCCTCGGCAGGCGTCAACCATTACACAGCTCTGGCTTCAACATCATCGTCAACATCAGTCCAAGAATCATCCGCTGGAGGCGCCAGAGAAAGAGCCCACGTAACCACCCCGCAGACAGAAGGCAGCTTGGGATCCAACGCATCAGGCATAGCAGCAAGCGGAAGAAGAGTCTCTGTGCCGGTGGTGGATGAGAAGGCTCAGAGTGAGCTGAGACGCAAGATCATGGATATCCAGCGAGACTCAACAATCAGCTTTACCGACAAAGCGGGGATGATCCAGGTATGCCTTCGAGTTGGGTCTGACCTCGTTTTACAAATCAACTATGACATTTCATCGATCGCATTCTTACACACATTTGGTGCTGTGCTTAGAAACTTATGTCATCCAAGTGGCATGGTTCTCAGAGGTCGACTGAGAGCCAAGGAGATGGGTCGGTGGAGGCAACTGCCGACGATTTAAGAAAAACCTTCCATGTGAGTTGACCAGCTCCTGATTCTAGCAAAAACAATCCATACTGTCCTATACCAAACAAAAATATTCATCCTTTCTTTATCTAGAACGAAGAACAGGGACAGCTAGGGTGCAAGCACTACATCCGTGGTTGCAAACTCAAGGCCGACTGCTGCGGCAAATGGTTCAATTGTAGGTTCTGCCATGATGATGCTAGTGACCATGCCATCATAAGGTACGCTGCGAGAACGCTTTTCTTCCCTCCATGAAAAAAGAACTCGGATTTTGGAACTTGCCTTGATGACGCTTGCAATACTTGCGTACTTGAACAAGTAGAAGCGAGACTAAGACGATGCTGTGTATGCATTGTCAGACGGTCCAAGCTGCTGCTCAGACATGCAACTCATGCAAGGCTTGTCTGGCAACGCATTATTGCGATATCTGTAAGCTATGGGATGACGATTCCAAGAAGAGCATCTACCACTGCGACGATTGCGGGCTCTGCAGGATAGGTCAGGGCCTAGGAAAGGATTATTTTCATTGCAGGAAGTGCAACGTGTGCATGAACATTCAACTCCAAGGAAACCACAAGTGTATCGAGCGCAACCTGGAGTGCGACTGTCCTATCTGCGGCGAGTACATGTTTACTAGCACCACGACGGTGATCTTTATGGTGAGCCTTTCGCTTCTATGGCTCATTCTTTTAGACCCTGTATTGCTCCTACTGCTCCTATTCATTTTTTTTTTTTTTTTTTTTTTTTTTTTTTTTCCTTGCGATAGCCCTGCGGTCACTGCATCCACTCCAAATGTCACGAAGATTATATCAAAGCTTCTTATCAATGCCCGACATGCTGGAAATCTCTTGGGGATATGTCCGTGTACTATTCAAAGATCGATTCCTTGCTGGCAGAGCAGACCATGCCTCCGGAATATGCCAATATTTTTTCCATTGTACTGTGCAATGACTGTGAGGTCAAGTCCGAAGCGCCCTATCATTTTCTTTACCATAAGTGCGACAAGTGCAAAGGATACAACACAAAGGTCCTGGAGACATTCAAACGAGTGGTTGAAGGCCAAGCACAGGTAGTCGAAAATGCAACTGCCGCGGGTGCCGCAGCGGCAGTTCCTGAGAACAACATCTCGGGTAGCAGCAACGGCCTTGCGGGATCTTCTGTTGCAGGACCCTCTGCGGTTACCGGCGGACCAGGATCGTCGTCAATTGCAGGACCCGGCACTACCGCAGTCAACCTCGGAGATGTAGCTCTCCCTAGATCCCCACTGATGGATGAAAATGCCTCTGGAGACATGTCCATGGCCGGTATTTCCAGCAACTCGGCGCCGTAGAATTATGCAAATCAACCAGTACTTCAAAATAAGTTGCCAAATAAATGAATTGGTGGCACGCTCCGGAAAACTCAAAAGCCCAACGGGACGTCACTCTTTTGCATAACAAAAAAACCCCCCAATGTCATTTTTTTTTCTTCCCATCACTCCACATTCGACGCGCTCAACATCAGGAACAACAGCCCGTCGCCATCGCCATCTCTTTACTAGCGGTCGAGAACTGGAAACACGGCCTGGAGCGCACCTCAGCAAAAAATGACTGACAATCCTTATCCCGTTGGAACAACAGTCTTCGCCAAATTGAAGGGCTACCCTTGGTGGCCAGCACGCGTAACGACTCTTGCAACTCTGACACACGCGCGATTGACACATGCTCCTCAACTGTAGGCACTCATCTTATATTCGTCGTCGGACGCGTTGCGCCCACTTAGATTGAAAGCGACGAAGACTTGCCACTCAACGTCAGCAGCAAGAAGCCTAAGCAGAGACCTATCTGGCCTGTATTCTTCTTTGGTTCTTATGACTAGTAAGTAAAACGCAAACAAAAGGAAAAGAACAAGCAGATCTGATAAGGACGCCATCGTCAAAGGAAGGATTCAGCAGCAGCAAGATAGGAGACATCGATACGAGCGATACAATTGACATCCAGAGGCGGCAGCAGAGGACTTCGTACGATATCAGGATCATCATTAAAAGTCATTGCTGACGGCCAGATCCCGATGAATCTTGTGCAGGATCACTCCTCAGCATGGCGACTGGGCATGAGGCTGTCAAAATAATCCATGATAACCTACATTCCGCTGAGCTTTTCATCGAATCGTAGCAAATACCTTCATGTTGAGGTGGAGAACAATGGGCAGGGTAGCGGAATGCAACAGGGACGGGGGAGGGGTGGGATTTGGGATTGAAGTTTTCAGAGGCGCTCTCTTTCTTGTTTGTGCGACAATGCGACGAGAATAAACAGGGAAAGGACTCATGATCATGCACTTTTTTTTTGAGTTTGGACTTTGGAGTCACTCTTATCAAATGGCATTTTACGCGATGAGAACAAGATATTTCGATTTCATGGGTGTCCTGAGCTTGTGCGTCGCTACTTGATAGCCCCAAGCGCCACACTAACGCTTTCTTTCGCTCTTTATCATATTTTTTATAGCGGCTGGTTTGGCACATCGGAACTCAAGTCGTTTGATCCTGTCTCAGCCGAAAAAGCAAAATCGGCGCTAAAGAAAGGGAGTGGTTTGAGAACAGCCCTCAGTGAGGCACTAGACCCAAGCCTAATCGCACAAAGACCGGGATCCAATGCGGAGCTGGACCAATACAATGACGATGATGAATACGACCAGGAATCGGTCACTCCTGTGAAGAAAAAGGCATCCAAGGTCAAAGCGGCGCAGAAGGTTGAGACATCGGCGGCTGAGAAGAAAAGACGACCAAGCTCAACGGAGGATCAGGCAGCAAAGAGAAAGGTGTCCAAGAAAACCTCAATTGACGAAGACCATGGCGAACTTGACTCGCCCAAGGTAAAATGTCAAAACAGGCTGAAAGCGCCGCGGAGATGTATTGACGATTGCGAACTGTGCATTTATGGTACCTGTTTTTTTTTTTTTTTTTTTTTTTTTTTTAAAAAAAATACAACGCTAGAAACGTGCCGGTCCCGCTAGCCGCATTCGTCTCGAATCAGATTTTAAGAGCGTAGACGATGATATCAGTATTGGCGACCCAAGTAACGGGCGCTCAAAGAAATCGGAGGATGACGCCGCAGACTCTGATCTTCGCGCCAAGAAGAGGATGCGTAGTACGTTAATATAATGTGCTCTTGCAATTTTTACGATTCTGACAAGGGCAAGTGAAACTGAGTTTTAATACGCGATTGTATTCTGATCAACCTTGCGTAGGTGGTCAGCCTAGTGAAAGACTGCTGAAGTTGCGACACAAGCTGCAAAAACTCCTTCTAGTCGAGGGACTCTCTGACGAGGTGCTAATTCAGGTATATGTCTTGACAGACTGCTGCAAGTCTCGGTGCTTATACTGTAAAATTTTAACGGCATCAACATGCTCTACGTCTAGAATCTGGACCGTGCAGATCCTATCATGGCGGAGGTGGAGGCATTTGATATTGATTTACAAATGCTCAAGGTACGCTGCTGCTCTGTTTGAGATGGTGTTTGATGGACGATATTTTGCAATTCACAAAGCGACTGACTGGGCTGCACTCTTTTACAGGACACGAAGGTCGGACGCTTAATGAAGAAGATCTCAGTGCTTCAGTTCAGTGAGGACCGGCACGGTATTGTTGAGCGATCCGTGAAATTGATCAAGCAGTACAAGGGTATGATGGAGAGGGCACAGGAAAATGGCGAGGCAGTAAGCCCCAGGGTAGAAAAGACGACAGAAACATCAACGCTCGCAATGGAATCGACCATCATTTCGACCGTTGTGCAGCCAACTCCCATGGAAATTGATACGGAAATAACAACTCTCGAGTCGGTCCAAAGTGAAACACGAGAAGTACAAGTGGATACATTGGCGAGTTCGAACAACGATGTAACAGATACTTCGGCGCCCGCGCCAGAGGCTGTAGTGGCAGCTGTGGCAGCTATCGTGGAAACAGGCGCTTTCAGCGTTGCCCGCTCATCAGAATCTGTTGAACCGCAGGAGAATGGTAAATCGACAGAGCCGGATTCAACTATTGTATGAATAGGCATCACAACAGACTGCATGCCGACCGTGCCTAATTTCAAAGGCGTATTGTAAATTCATTTTTGAAGGACGTAGGGCGTGAAATAAAGAGAAACGATCGTACATATTATCAAAAATTGCTCAATACAAGTATAAGATAGTTCTTTATTGGTATTATACAACTGCCGCATGCATGGCAAGTCCATCTGAGGTGCCAGATGCTATAGCAGAGATCCGTCTCCACATTTGATGAAGCACCAAGACAGCTAAGAGGAAACGGCAGCATGCCATCCAAACGAGTCCTGGATGTGCTCCAGTAAGGGCCTTCTCTACTACTACTTCTTCTTGAGAGTCGAACGACGACCTTGACCTAGATAAATCATTTCCGCGATAATGACGGGGAGATGGGTGAGTCCTCAATAATTTCATGTCTGTCCGTGACCGAAGGGAAGAGATTTCTGGCAGAGTCCAGCTGCAATAACAAGCATACCTTTCTTGGGGGGTCCCTTTCCACGCTTCTTGCGCTCCGCCAGATCCTCCAGACGGACCTTCTCCGCCTGGTCAACCAGATTCATCTCGGGTGCCATCCTTGTGATCTCACGCAACCTGATCTGCTTGACATTGGGGTAGTATGAGTTGACAGTTGGTCCGACAAGGCGCTGACGAAGGATTTTGTTGCCCGTGCGAAGTCCCTGGGGATTGTATACGTTCCCGAAGATGGCGCATGATAACTTGTTGAGCAGCGTGAGCTTGCCCGCAGCCGGGGTTGTCATCGACATGGTGGAGTGATTGAAACTTGGGGAGGGGGGCCGAGAGTGAAAGATCCGATCATGTTGTTATGCGCGCCCAGTTCAGGGACAGTCCCTCATTCAATTACGGAATGATGTCTAATTGAACATCCGCTATCTGGCGGATGTCTCACTCAACTTATTGCAGTGCCCTTTCATCTCGAATGCCGCGAGCATCTGTTGTTTCCTGCTTGCTTTCTCACCGCCCCATTTGAAGATACATCACATCTCAACCCGCTTCCCCGCTCGACAAAATCTTAATCCCGCACTAGCATCCTCACCTTTCTCGACGGCGATATGAGCGTTACCAGTGAAGAAATAAATTACTTGATATTCCGATACCTTCAGGAGTCAGGTACAAGTTTTGGCACTCATACATGGTTGCTTTGCAGATACTTCCTTACAATGCCGAGAACCTCTTTTGGGATGTTAAACGTTGCATTCAACCCTGGTTTTGCTGTTGTGACCCATAGGTTTCGTACATACTGGATTCGCGTTCCAGAACGAGTCGCACATCCACAAGTCGGAATATAGAAATGCCAATGTACAACCTGGAGCGCTCGTGAGCGTTATTCAGAAGGGCTTACTGTACATGGACTTGGAACTACACGTTAATGAGGTACGGATACTACAGGATACAATCAGCTCTTAAAGCATAGGAGATGTAAGGAAATAATGCTTGGCATACGCTAACCAAAAACCTGACCCGCTTATTTTAAAATCGACATAGGACGGAACAGAACGGGAATGCACAGGGCCAGTGGCGCTTATTGGACCGCACCGCTGCGACAAACAGGCCAAGAAGCCGAAACGCGACGAGCTGGTCAGCAGAGGAAATAAGCGGGATCGAAAGGACACCAAGAGGGCTCAAAAGCAGCAGCAGGAAAGAGAAAAACGCGCAAAGATGGATGCCGACGACGAAGAAAAGGATGAAGAGAATATGATGGACACAGACCAGGTCGAAGATGTCTCTGTGGTCGGGACCCGTGCGTATATTATAGCTGGGCTATGTTGTGCGGTACAATGTGTTCTATCAGATAAAGTAAACTTACCGCTGCTTGGCCTTTTATTTTCATCGCCCCGTTCAAAACTCGTGTAGCCGCAGAGATGACCGACATCCCTGAAGTGAAGATTATACCGGCAAGCGACGCCATCACGCTTAAGGGACATACAGCAGATGTCTTTGTATGTTCATGGAATCCAGCCTCGCCTTCGTTATTGGCATCAGGGTATGTATGTGTGGAAGCGGAGCTTGAGAACTCTTTTTGCGTATTTGAACTCGGAAGCAACTGCGTAGTTTTATCCTCATAATATCTAACCGGTTCTTAGATCTGGAGATGCAACAGCTCGTATTTGGCAGATACCAGCGAATACAGACGAGCCACTCAAGGAGCCCATTGTGCTCAAGCATTTGCCAGCATTGACAGACAACAACAGGGACGTGACAACAATGGATTGGAATGTAAGTTGGCAGCGACCTCTATATGTTTATGGCGCTCTACGTCTTTATATATGAATGAGAATTGATCCGCTAATTCGGTTTATTCGATTTCGTTAGGCTTCTGGAACACTGCTCGCTACTGGATTTTATGATGGGCAGGCACGGATCTGGACACAACGTGGACAGCTACGATATCTGATGAGCCAACATCGGGGCCCAATTTTCGCTCTGAAATGGAACAAGAAAGGAAATTATATCCTGACTGGCAGCTTAGACCATACGACTATCGTCTGGGACGCTACCACTGGAGATGCCAAGCAACAGCATGAATTCCATACTGGTGCTGTTCTAGATGTGGACTGGCTCGACAACACAACTTTTGCGACTTCATCGTCAGATGGTAAGGTCTATGTCTGCAAAGTGGATAGCATGGATCCGCTCAAGGTGTTTGAGGGACACAAGGATGAGGTCAACGCCATCCGATGGGACCCTCTCGGAGAGTTACTTGCGTCATGTTCTGATGATAGGACAGTCAAGGTACGTGGGTTATACGAGCCTGTTGTCGCGGTGTGGTCCTAGTCTTGCAGTATATGACTGATTTACCTCGATATTGTTGGTCTTGTGTTGTTCTGTATAGATCTGGAGCATGGCACAGGACGAGTGCGTGTTTGATCTAACTGCGCACACGCAGGCAGTTTACGACATGACTTGGGCGCCGCGCGAAGCTTCATCCAGGATCTTAGCGACGGCTTCCTTTGACACCTCTGTTCGACTTTGGGATGCAAACACAGGAGACTGCTTGCGAGTCCTCTCGAGACACGTCGAGGCTGTATACACTGTGGCCTTCAACCCAGCTGGAACTCATCTTGCTACTGGGTCACCGGATTACACTATCAACATCTGGAGAGTACAGGTATTGTAGCGCATCCGCCAGCATCGCAGCATTTGAGCTCGTGCAGACATGGGTTGCAAGCTAATGTCCACGCATATTTCATACTGGATGGTATAGGATGGAGCTTTGGTGAAAACATATCGAGGCGAAGGGGGCATATTCGAAGTCGACTGGAATAGCACAGGGGACAAACTTGCAGCTTGTGTTGCAAATGGAACCGTAAGGATCACATTGCGGAAGATTGCAGTGGCAACGACGCATGTCCGACCTTTTTGCGCTAACTGCTACACTGTTTACCGATCTTTTTAATTGCTAGCTCGTTGTTGCTCATATCAAGCTTTGAACATGGAGAAGGGCGGGCCTTGTCCTCCATACAGTCATATAGTTTTTACGGAGCCGACTCACCGTTTAATAGACATCGACATCCCATGCGTATGAATCCAAACACCGAAAAATGATGATGGCCCATTCAGCTGTGTTCGACAGGTCCATCTATCGTCCACTCGCGCTAAAAAGCGCGTGCAAGACTGGATGTCCAAAATGAATGTTAAATTGCTATGAGAGTGCCATGTTGGACCCTCGTGGACGCTCGATCCAAACTTGAAATACCATCTGAACAATGCTAGACATTCGAAGGCGCTTTTTTTTTTTTTTTTTAAGAAATAAAGGCTCAGTCCCTTCGGAATAATCCAAGTCGGCCTTTCGATATTGATATCGCTTAGCCTTCAAAGGCGAGTTGCTATCTTTTACGCATCACCACATCAGCTCGTTGGAATGCATCGCTCGCGCGTGCTAGCTACTACTCGCCGCAATACCGCAGCACGAACTTAAGCGTGCCTCCCGCCTCCGTTCTCACTCGCGTCTCGCGTGTTATATCGGATTACTGCCTGCTGCACCGAGCTTTAATCGATCATCTAGAGCATCGCTGGTTGTTAACGAGGTGGAGTGAACCGAACGAAGACACTTGAGCTCAACCGGCGGCTCTGGTACGCGATGTCTGCGCTACCTATGTCATAGGGCTCTTCCATAGTAACCTTGAGCTAATCGCAACATTGGATCTGGGCAGTTATTATTCGGAAAAAAACAGCCGTCTACAAAAAGTTGAAGGGGCTCTTCCTGGGTAAGTTTCCAGAACCAAAGTCTATTCTCATCGCAATTCATGTGGCATTGGTGAAAACTGCTATCGAGTAAATCCAAAGTGGAGAGACCGTTGTACTGGATTACGAATGCAAAAGATGAGTAAGAGTGAAGGAAGACTAAAAGGTTGTATGCTCGCTTTCGAGTTTAGGATCTTCAGAACTTGACCGGATTTTACTGCGACAGTTGTTGCTCGAAGAAGTGGGACACCAAAAAAAAAAAGGTTCAATGCCTTATCGGGTGGCAGATCGGATAACGAAGTCAAGACAGCGATCAGTTACAGGTTCATTCACCACAAAAACGAGATAGTAAAGTAAACTTGGAACGATGGAGAAGTTGCTCATAGTAAAAGTAAGTGTCTTTCGAGTTTTTTTTAATTGATGTTTCTGGAATATATCTGAACCTGAGCTCATGTTCCTGCTCTCTTTGTTGCAGCATATAAAAAAAAAAAAAAAAAAAAGAAAAAGAAAAAGAAAAGGCCAAGGTCATAGATGTGGATTCAAGAAAACCAGCGTTCTTGCTTTATTATTATCACCATTAAATACTCGAGCAAAGTATGCATTATTGGTCTTTTTCATCCGCCTGATTCTTGCTGGGCTCGTAGAGCTCGTGGAACTCATCGATATCTCCGTCCTCTAAATTCGAGACGCTAAAGTCGCACTCCATCAATGGCACCAACTTGGTCTTATAGTAGAACTTGTAACCCAAATACGTGAACAAGAAGAACGGCAAGCCAATGTAGCAGGCTACCAGATTGACTGCCTGGGGATTGGGCTTTGTGAACTCGGAGTATCCTTGCCCACAGACGACGACCGTGCACAGCAGGAGTGCGTAGATAGGACCATAGGGAAACATAGCAGCCTTGTAGGGAAGACGGGAGACATCTCCACCCTGCGCGACATATGCTCGACGGAAGCGATAGTGGGAAATCGCAATACCCAGCCAGGCAATAAATCCCGAGATGGAGGAGATATTCAGAAGCCAGTTGTAAACCTGTCCTGAGCCGAACAGCGACATGCAAAAGCAAATGGCGGAGATGACAGTGGTGCAGATCAGGGCCGGCATGGGAATGCCTCGAGAGTTGACACGGCTAAAGATGGCTGGCGCCTTCCCGTCACGAGCAAGCATGAGTAGAGTTCGTGTCGACGCGTACATGCCAGAGTTGCCGGCGGAGAGAACTGTGATCAAGATAACGGCATTCATGATATGCGATGCTGGTTGGAAGGCCTTTTGGAGGACTAGGGTGAAGGGCGAAACAGCAATAGCAGACTTGTCGACGCTTCCGCTGTTGAGCAGGTTGGGATCGTCGTGCGGGATGACGAGGCCGATGATAAAGATCGAGATGATGTAGAACAGGAGAATGCGCCAAAAGACTTGCTTGATCGCCTTGGGAACGTTCTTACGTGGGTTCTCGCTCTCTCCAGCGGCAATACCGATCAGCTCCGTGCCCTGAAACGAAAAACCGGCCACCAAGAACACGGCGAGGATGCCGCCGAAGCCATCGACCACGGGTGCGCCTGGAATAGTCCAGTTACTGAATCCGATCTTGTGGCCTCCGATAACCCCTGCGTCCACCAAGACTCCGACGATGATGAAAATGACGACCGTGAGGACTTTGATGACACTGAACCAGTACTCTGCTTCGCCATAAGCGCGCACCGACAGAAAATTAACAAAGACCATGATGAACAGGAAGATTAAGCTCCATACCCAGCCTGGCAAAACGCTCGGCGAGACCCAGAATTCAAGGATCATGGCAGCTGCCGCAATCTCCACCGCAACTGTCACTGCCCAATTCAAAAAGTAGTTGATACCAAGGGCTATGAAGACAAAATAAAAAATGCATAGAGGTCAATACCTTTTAAATAATACATGCTACTACGAGTGCTGACAACCTGTATATGTGGGCTGAAAGAACCGATCACTCAGACTTACCAAAACCAAGTGCAGGGTCGACAAAGCGAGCAGCATAGGTGTTGAAGGATCCAGCCGTTGGGATGAGGGTTGCCATTTCGCCAAGCGAGGTCATCATGAAGAAGACCATGGATCCGATCATGATATAAGCAATCAGGGCACCCAACGGTCCAGCCTGTGCGATGGAGGACCCAGATGCCAAGAACAATCCTGTGCCGATGGTACCGGCGATAGAGATCATGGACAGGTGCCGAGCCTTGAGTCCTCGCTTGAGTTCATTGTCGGCTGGAAGGATAGGTTGTTCATCTGTGTGGAATGAAGGCAGCTTAGTTGTGCTGCCTACCTTTTTTATGGACCGTGATGACTGTGAGGAGGCTCTAGAGGCCGCAGGCATCCCTGCGAGTTCGATGGAATTCCTCATCATGGGTAAGGAGGTGTAGTGCGATGTACAGAGAGAGAGGTGAGGTATACGATGTATGAACAGGGTATTGGCGCGAGCGAGAAAGGAGGAAGGGAGAGGGTAAGCGGGAGAGATTGAGAGAAGAGTGAGAGAGGAGTGAGAGAAGAGTGAGAGAGGAGTGAGAGAAGAGCGAGAGAAGAGCGAGAGCGAGAGAGAATGAAGGCTAAGAACGTCATGTACACATTTCAAAATGAAATAGTCACCCACAAAAGGAAGATTATCTATGTTTCGGCCACTGAACAGCAACAAAAGAAAGATGGCCTGTATCCGGACATAAGTAGTTCCCTGCTGCAGCTTAAATATTAACTACCACCTGGGGATGGACGCACGTTGATACAAGTCAACGTTGCCATTCGCACTGTTGCATTGCATGAATAATGCATGGCATCGAGCTGTGCTGTTGTGGATGGATCGACGCTCGATGGATTCTCATGGAGATTGTTTTCTGCTTGCTTGGTTTTTTTGCATGCTTATTTGCTTGTTACACCAAACATGGGATGGGGGTCAGTGCATCGACAAGAAGGGCAGTTACCCACGGTCTATCTTATCTCTTGCAACCATCCACCATCTCGCCCTTCCTGCCCTGAGGCCTGAAGAGCAGCCCTGGTCATCGCTATTACATGTTCCTCTAGATCTGATAACCCTCTGGTTCCCGTTACTGCTGTTAGTTTGGCCCATTCCGCCGTCTTGGCTGTCTGCCATGACTGTCAGTGTCGGACATTGGTTTTTTTCTTTTTCTTTTTTTCTTATTTCCCACCCCTCCTCATCGCCAGGGATTGCTGTCGGGCCTTAGCCTCATGCACCGAACACTCTGTATAGTCAATCTGTGACGACTGATGGATAAGATAAAAAGAGCATCCTAATAGCTCATTCTAGGTCTTGTCTTGACCGATTCCAATGCAGTCGAACATGTATTTGAGTTTTTGGACATAGGCTCCATGGCGCTGGTTTATTTTGTTTAATAATTCATTCAATCGGAGAGAACCATGTCATCGTGGGCTACATTTTCAACATCATACGCTCCTTTTTGGTCCTCCATTTCCATGTCCTTGCTGTCTTCGTTGTCCTCATCATCTTTTTCCTCCTCCTCCTCCTCCTCCTCCTCCTCAGCACCCACAGCTGTGCCCCATCCGAACGTGTCTTTCGATGCAAGAACATCCCCTTCGCCATATGGCGCCATGACCGGAGCGATCTCCCTCATGATCTGTGATAGTCGTCGCATATGCTGTGCACTCTCTAGGTGTCCTTGCCATCCCCTCTGTTTTTTCCAATGCGATCCACAGACGGAGCAGTCCCACCATCTTTGAGTTGGAACATTCGTTGTATCCGTAGATGTCTTTGAGTCTGGATGCTTGGCCTCACTGGGTTTATCAGTAGTGCAAATCACCCTGCTTGATACGGCGGAAGATTCAAACTGCTCCTTGGACACTGGTGCAGATATTAGATCTGTCGAGGCAATCGTAAGCGGTGTTCCTGAAGATATAGGTTTAAGCGCGGGCTTAAACTCATCAAAGTTGGCAGGGGGGAGTGTGGTATCGGTGGCAGGCGCATCCTGATCCATGAGTGCATGTCCCTGTCGAGCCCGTGCCTTCTTCCTATCTCTCTCGGCTTTCCGTCTTCGCTGCTTCGCCGTTGGCGTCCGCACTCCACACAGCTTACTCGAACCTTCGGCTGCACGACCCCCTTTGTCATTTGACGAGCTCGTAGTATTGTCGGTACCAGTTCCAATATCACCCTCCTTGTTCACCATAGTTGGGCCCTCGTGTTGATCGGCGTCCTTCATTTCAGTATCCTCGCCAGATGATCCAGGTGCCTGCTCGGTGTGCATACTCTCGTGTGAACGACCGTGTGGCCCTTGCTGCCTGTGCTCGCTCTGCATTTTGACGCGTACAAGATGCTTTTTCGATGATAGATGTGTCGATAGCATGGCCATGGAGGTGAAGTGGGCCGCTGGACAATAGTTGCACTTCGGTGGGTCTGCCTGGTTCACGTTCAAGGTGTGTAAATCAACAAGAAGACGATTAGGACGGTGCGCATGTTATGGTATTAAATCTATCCTCCATAATGTGGGCACTGATCCAGAGTAAACGTTACCCTCAACCTCGCTTTCTTTTGCTTCCTGGAGTTGTAGGCGATCCGCTCGAGTTCCCCCTGGGATAGCAGCTGCCAATCGTAGGGTGGCAACCGCTTAGCAGCCTTTGCAGCCTTTGCTGGGGGTCCATTGTCTGCAGACCTGGGTTGACTAGTAGGTGCCGTGTGCAAAGATGGATCAGATTCATGTTCGGCTGTCTGTGGTGATGGATCTACTCTGCTGTGCTGAGGAGATGGTTGATTGTCCTTGTCTGGTGCTTGTCCAGGATCGGTCGTCGTGTTGCCCATGGGTATTCAAGACATCCTCGCTGGGTCGTCCGCTGTCCCTGGTAAGCTGGGTGGTCGTCGAAGGGCATACAGGCAAAACAAACAAGCAAGGTCCTTCGGGGAATAGGAGGGCCGTCATTTTGTCCTTGGCCTTCCTTCCTCAGGAGTCAAGTCGCGACCCTTTTCGCCCCCTCTCTGCAAGCCACGACATTTCATTCCTCTCATGCGTTCCTGCACCACTATTGCTCCCTTTTTCACAGCGACCACCACCTCCTTCCATCTTCCCTGGACCCTTTCTACCATCACCAGCCAGTCCCTGCTCGCTCGCTTCGCTCTCTTGCTCGGCTCTGCACTGTCTCATCAGTGGTGCTCGTTGTCGCTGTCAGCCTTCCCTCGCGGTCTGCTTTGCTTCTCATCAATATAGCCCAGTCGTCATCACTCCCTCCACACCAATGCTCGACTCGTCCGTAATTCAAATCCTCATCGTCCTGGGATTCCCCTATGCCATCGGCGCCCTCCGCTCCTTCTTCGCCAAGGCGCCTCCACCGTCGCCGCTTCAGCGCATCAACAACCAGCAGGGTGAAAAGGTGTCTTCACGGACAAGGGCCTGGAACCGTTCCATGCTCCTCCTCCTCGGCCTGACAGCACTCTATCACGTCTTCTATGTCGTCTTCTACGATCCACCCAACATCTTCAAGACCCTGTCCCTTCCAGCAGACTGCCCCAACTTCATCCTGCACCAATCCTGGAAAGAACGCGCGGCACTGGACCCGGCCTTCATGAACAAGTACCCAGACTCGATGCGGGAGCGTTTCAAGGCCATGGAGAATCGATTGTGGTATGAGGTCTATGGTCAAGATGCCTTTTTGAACTGCGAATACTGCACAGAGCGGTCGGATTTCATGCGCTACTTGATCCCGGGTGCCATGGCCTCCTATGTCGGCATGGCTGTCATCCTCGGCATTGCCACCACCCAAACCTCGCACCTGAACAAGTATCGGACCTGGGGATCTGCAGCCTTGGTTATTATCTCCGTGCTCGAATACGGGACCTATCAGAGGAGCGCCGATATCGGATCACTGCCTGGTTTGATGAAGCACGAAGGTTGGATAGTTGGCTTCCGTGGAGCACATCTTCTCCGACACGGCTCCTTAGCCATGATGTCTGTAGTCCTCATGGGAGTCTTGCTGAGATCAACCCGAGGCGGCGGCCTCAGAGACGAGGTCGAAATCCTGAACGACCTCTGTCAGGCACAGGAAGGTATGATTCAGCGACACAGGGCCCTTCAATTGGCACGGGCGGCCTCACTCAGGGATCCTGTTTTGAGAAAGCAGTTTGTCGACTATTGGAAGAAGCGTGAGGTCGAGCATGGCTTGCTATTATCCGATATGGAATATAAGGAAGCGCGCGACTTGGCACTGAGCAGGATAGATGTTGAGACGATCACTCAGGAGGCTGATGAATACATTGACGCGATCATCAAGGCCGGAGAACGCGTGTCTGAACCGATGGAGGCAGACGCGTCAGCAAACCCAGCCGAGCAGACAAAGACGGCTGCGTCGACTTGATCTTTAACAGACATCAGTCGACATTGAACAATAAACACGCATGCATATCACAATGAACCAATGAATCCTTCTTCATGGTTTTACATTTTAGCATAATCTTCTAAGGAGGACGTATTTTATCATTTGCAAACGGAGCCAAAGATTCTTCGCACGACGACAGCAAAGCAATGTATTGAACAGACTAACGTCTGGCTGTAACTATCTCTGATGAAAAATGACTGTGGTGGGTGATGATACAAAAAAGAAAGGGATAAACAACAAAGAGCAAGAGAAGAGTACACATAAAGAGATATTACAGGGAGAGAAGCGAGGAAGCCGAGAGGCGGGCAGCCCTTTCGAGCCGTCCGTTGACGGGCTTGACAGCTGCCACTATCCCTTCCATCTCTTTCTCTTCGCTCCTTATTTTTCATTGAAAACACAATGCTCATGCAATTCACAGGTGCGCAAAAGAAAAAAAAAAAAGTGGGAAGTAGGAAGGGACAAAAGGGTCTTGGTTCTTTCATCTAATCAGACTCATATGCCTCCAATGATGAACCGAACGTGTTCTCGCCAGAGTATGTAATGTAGAGGAATCCGTCCTTGTCCTGATGTTCCTCGTAGATGGATGACATGAGTGCCGCTGTTGGGGGTAGGACCTCGTTGACAAAGATGAAGATGGCCTTCTCGGGCGAAAGCTTGATGCGCTTGCGGATAACGTAGACAAACTGGCCGACAGTCAAATCTGCGGGAACCAGGTACTTTTTCTTGTCAATTGTGGCAATATCGGACTTGTCAACCTTTTCACAAATGACCTGTAATGCACAATACATTAATATAGGGGAAGAAAAGATGGTCAGCCGCATGCACATGCAAGATATTCACCACATATGGTACAGTTGTCGTAGTCTTGGCACTCTGATATGTTGTGTGTTGAGTCGAATGTTTGGATGATTGTACGGTACACAAAACCAAAATAAAATATCCCTCGATTTTCTCATTGTGTGCCCGATGCCCGATAGTCTAAGTCGTCATATCATACAAATTATATCCCGTCGCCTTTTTAAGAGGAAAACGGACAAGGTTACTTACGGGAATGCGGTCGGGGTACTTTTGACGGATGCGCTCTGCTTCTGCCTTGCGTTTCTCTATTAGAAAGAAGATGCAAAAGGAGATAGTTGGGTGGTCAGTATTGTTGTGTGGCATGATAAACACAAGCGCAGAGCCATGTGGACGAGTGGCGCAAAGCAATAAGCTGCGCTTAATAAGCAAGAAAGAGCGGTAACAAGTGAGATAGATGGATAGGGAAAAGAAACAGATACATACCAAAGGCATGTTCTTGCTGGAATGCCGAGCGAACCATGATGTATGAAGTGTTTGTGGGGAGAAGGGCGAAAATGTATTGAGGTGGATGTGTATGTAGCTGGCTGGCTGTTGTGCTTGAAAGAGTGGCGATCAAAAAAGACGCGTCAGGGATTGAGGATTGTGGTGAATGTGGCGATGAGTGAGAGGAAGAGTGTGTGTGTGTGTGTGCGTGTGTGTGTATTGAAGAATGGGCTAAAACGACTTTGCTGGCCAAGAAGAAGAATGGAGGGAAGGATGAGAAAGAAAGAAAAGAGAGGAAGAAAGAAGGTCCTGGTTATATATTTTTGCATAGTCTCTACTCCTTATTCATCGACTTCAAGGCGTACGTTGGCTCCAAAAATCGAACCCGTGCTTCTGCTCCACCTGGCGCGTGACTGCGATACCTGATGGAACGGATTTCACCGTCGACTTTTATTCAAACATCCCGTCGACTCAATAGCATCCAGAAATATATAGACAGTCGACCAATCATAGAGCCATGCTCCTAGGCCTGACTACAACCACATATCGAAATACATCTCTCCTCAACAAGGCTCAGAACCCGGTGACCATGGACGAAGACGAGTACTCTCATCGTTATCATCATCAGGACTCGTACCAGCATCAGTAGCATCATTCTATAATCAACCTTGTCACTAATCATGGGGGCCGGGCCATTAATCCCCCCTTGTCTCCTTTTTTTGAGTCGTGTCTCGTGTATGCGTCGACTAATTTGTTGCGACAGTTCAGGATGTGACCCAAGTCGATGGTTCCCGCGGGGAAAAAAGACTGAGTAAGCACAGATCATCGTACTTTGTGCCCCCATCGATCGAAATAAAGAACCCTGCTCTTGGCTTTGTGGATCCTTGGCTTGCCTGAAATGGCAATTTTGGTTTCTATTTTAAGCTCCACCGGAAGCCAGGGTCTTCCAGCAGCAAGGTTGCCAAGAGCCGACCAGGAATCCTTCCTCCACATCGTTAGACCTGATTTCTAGTTCAGGCACAGCAAGCCGAATAAGGATCCGTCCTGTATCAGTACCTGTGCGTAATCATGGCCATCCCTGGACTCAAAATACACGTACCCGCATTCAAACTGCCCACGATGCGCCGCGATTACTGAACTTTCTAGGGAGTTACGTTTTGTCGATTCTGGTCCTTGACCATATGGTGCCTCGCTGCTGTTCCCCCATCGGCTTATCTCATCAATAGAATGGGGCGCAGGGAGGCGCAACTGCTGGTCCGTTTGTTGTAATAGGACCCGCAGTAAACGTTTATAGATTTATGCGCTTCGCAGAACAGATAGACAGATGTGGACAAGTCGCAGTATCAGGGATCCTGAAAGGCATTTTTACATACATTCGAGTATCAACGTAGAGTATATTTGAGCCTGGCATCGATGAGCCATGATAGTCCATCGTCCCCCCTCAATCCTTCGACTTTCCTGCAGCTCCACCCCAAAAGTCCTTCAGACTGCGGTTCTGCTTGTTGAGCTCCTCCACCCGTTTTTTTGTCTTGTAAGGGCCACGCTTCTTCCGTGGAGAGTCCGGGGTCACAGAGGACGCTCTCGAGGACGACCCCAAAGGCTGACTTGACTCTTCAGCCTGCTGATTCTCTTCGACCGATACCTCTTCACTTGGTGGTTTCGCATTAGCAGCTCGCTTTCCCTTGGCTGCAGCAACCTTCGTTTTCTTTGCTCTCTCAACGCTCGTTGCTATTGTGGTAGACAAAGCCGCCTCTTCTTCACCGCCCTGCATTTCAAAGTCAGGTGCAGCCTGTGAAGTCTCATCCTTATCAACGTTGGCCTCCACACCGGATTCTGTTGTTGCTGGCGCAGTAGCCACTGTCGATGATGCTAAGGAGACTACTGAAGGTTTCATTACTGAGAGAATGTTCTGGCTCGATGACGCCGTCTCAGCAGCCGCAGTAGGAGCTGGGTGCTTCCGTGGGCGTCCCCTCGGTTTCTTGGGTGGCACGGGCTCGCTTGGCGTTGGCGGCGCTGGCGCATCACTTGGCGGTTTCGATGACGAACTCGCTTGTTGTGAAGAACTCTCTGCCTGCTCGCCATCCATACTCACATCTGCAGCCACATCTACATCCACAGAATTAGTCGTGGTGGTCGTGGATAGTGTTCGTGTAAAGATGGGCGCCAATCTAGTAGATTGCCGGATTGCTCTCTTCTCCGCCGATGAAACAGATGACCCAGGCTGAGAACCGCTGACATCCTTAGCGTTCGTGTCCCCTCTAGTATGATCATCGCCTTCTTCCTGGTCCGAGCTGTCGTTTTGGTTCACCTTGGACTTGCTACGTGTATTCTTGGGCAAAGCCCTTCGAGATGCTGGCCCTCCTGTTTCCTTGGTGGTTCCCGTCTTGGGCCTACCCAGTTTAACAGGCTGACCATCTGAATTAAGTCGCCTGCCCAGTTCGTCCACCTTCCCAAGGGCCATCCGCTTCTTCAAGATATAGGGTTCTGGTGCGTACTTGATCTTGTTTCCATAGCCGCCCTCCTCCTTGCGCAACATCGTGTTGTCGATCCTGACTATCCCACCAGCAGATCCGGAAGCCAGCCATGCAGCAGAGTGATAACATCTAGACCACTGGACCTTTATAGCAGCATCACCGGCAGAAAAAAAAAGTATATAGCAGAGTGTCAGCAGAAGTCGCTCTCAACATTCTACAGTGTAAATCAAATACCATGCCGTTTTTCTACCTTTTGAATGGCCACGTTGGCGCCATAAAAGTTCAGGAATCCGTCCGTTTTGCTAAGGTACTCCTTCTCTTCGCCCTCATTATAGCGGAAAACCGAAATATTTTCCGTGTCGACTTCTTCCTCGCGCTGCTCTGCTTCGCCTAACCCATTTTGTACATCGCCGGCAACCTCCTCGAGTTGATAAATGTGATTTTGCACCATGCCCTAAATGCAGCATAGCCCAGCAGGGCGTGAGGAGAGGCGAGTGTGGCAATATATGAGAGGAGCCCACCAAGGTACGAGCTATTTGTTCATTTCAGAAACGGAGGCAGTGCACTTACATAGCCGCGCTTGACCTTGTACGCCGGGTTGGCGATCTTGACTCTACCATCCGAGACCGCAGCTGCCAAAAACGGCTGGTAGTCGGAATATGAGAAGTCCCAAATGGTGCCTTTGGCGTTGAACAGTCGGAAGCCATGCGTCTCACGGTAGAGCTGATCGATCTTTGCTCCAAAATCAACATCCACATAAATAGTAGCTTCAGCCCATGGGATACAGATCGAGGTCATAGGTACTCCCAAGATCGTTTTGATATCGATCTGCGTAAAACAGTCGTGCAGGTCTGTATATCGGACTCGACCATCGTATCCAGAAGTGACAACGACCCAAGGAACGCTCTCTGCATCACAGCTTCTGACCCAGTCTATACTTCGCACACATACATCGTGCACCTGAGGCAGGTATATCGGGTCCAGATATTCTACAAATGAACCGCATGCAGTGTTAGTCCTATATCTATTCTCACATTCACAACCCAACTGTCACCTGCGCAAATACGCACCGGAATCTTTTTCCGCCAACGTTTCTTTCGACTGGTTGAGCATAGTCTTCATATCCCAGATGGCAATAGTTCCGTTCGTCACTCCCGCCGCCAGCCTTTCGGCCGTTCCCCAACTTATAGACATAAAGCTGACATCCCCAAGGCGTATCGTCGCATACGGTTCAGGATACCTGACTTTTTTTTTGTGCAAAGATCCGAGCAGGCGTTAGAGATATAGTCCTTTCAAACAACAGCCAAGAGTGTCATGATAAAACAATGCGAACTTAAAGTACTTACTGTAAAGAGTCTCTGGCGTTGATCCCTCCGGTATCTCTGTGCCTTTGTGACCGCGGATGCTGCTGGGCTCCGGGACGCTGAATATCCGGATAGAGCCATCGCTAAATGAAGCTGCGAGTATGCCTAACCGCGTCAAATCTCCCGGTTCCATGCTCTCCGTGTCCTAGCACAGTTTTTGCAAAACAAGTCATTAATGATCACCTGTTGCATCTTTTTTTTTTTTTAAAAAAAGCAGGCTCGTGAGCAATAGTGCATGAATGCGGGTCTCATATTTACCGTCTCCATCCAACCGCCTGTCGGGCACCACTTCAGGTCAAGCACAGCACCGTAGGGATGCAAGATACACATATCTAGATATGCGCTGGGAGCGCCCCGCAGTTCTCCTTGGTCATTGGTCTTGCAATTCATACTCCAGAGCTGAATCATGTTGGGATGCGCATCCTGTTTTCCAAGTGGATAAAGCTGATCTCGCTTGATACAGTTCTCCGCTGTGTCGGGAAATCCGCCGATGGCCACATAGCTTTTGTTTCCTGCTTCATTATTCCTGTCGTAGCTTGGGAGAGGACACCAATCCATTGCCCAGACTGAGAATCCTGCGTTCAAAACATAGCAGTCGTTGACGCCCGCTTCTATTGCAGTTCATAATAAAAATTAAGGTAAAAAAGAGTTATACGATTGTCTCCAAAACTACTATCGCTCGGTCGTATTCACAGAATACGTACTCGTAGTTGTTTCGACATAATGGGATGCCATTGTCAGCATCTCAAACTCCCCGTCTCGTGCATATATTTTCGTGGTCGCCAAGACAGGCAAGTACTCGTCCAGATCAGACGGATCACTACAAGATCCCGAGAAATGTCGATTATTAATTCCACAGATATCATAGTTGTCCACCCAGATAGTCGTACCGTGGATAGATGTGCACCTACGTGAGCTCGACAAAGTCCTTGATGTTGGATCTCATCCCTAGATAGAGCGTCCTTTTCAAAACCTCCTCCTGCATGCTCATATAGCTCACATCCTCCGACGTTGGTGCCTGGTACGCAACCTTCCAGTTATGGGGTATGCGATCCGAGCTGAGTATCTCGCCCTTCTTGTGCGACTTGCTCCTCGGTAACTGCCGCTGGACCTTTTTTGGAGTCGCTGGCTTGGCCGACTTGCGCGATATTGTTGCAGGCGTGATCTTTAAATTCGAGTTAGATGGAGTCGTGGTTGAATGGTCATGGGTACTCAGAAGCTTGTCCATCTCTTCCTGGGACACCGTGATGATGTTCATCTTGCGCCTTCTATACTTGCGCTTATGCGTGTCCACTTCCTCCCCGCTGCTGGCCGCGGCATCCTCTGGTTCGTCCTCGTCCTCGTCCTCGTCCATAACCACGTCCTCATCCTCGTCGTTCTCGTTGTTGTTGGTGTTCGAGGGCTCTACGTATTCATCCGAATCATCGTCATCCTCTGGGATAGGCACATCGCCCTCATCGAAAGAGTCAAGGTCGTCATCCCCACCGTCATTGACTCCTTGCTTGTTCCTGCGTTTCCCTGCCTTGGAAATATCTGCCTTGTAAGAGACATTTTTAGTCGTGGAGCGCTTTGGTCGAGAAGACATCGTCTTGCCAGGTCGATTGAGGAAGGTGATTTCGAGAGCAATCAGTCCTGATGTTGACCGGAACTTTACTTGCTACTTGTTTTGCACGCCCGGTTTCGTTTTCTGCCCGTTTCCTGGAGTTCTGGCTGAAAGTGGAGACAACCCTGCAGTGAGTCCAAGTCCGCGTACGGATATTAGAGACTGAAAGGCTGCATTGGGCTAGTGGGCGATGACTGTTGTTTATGCACACTACAGCACAATTTTTTTTTTTAGTCTTGGTACTTGGCCTGGGGAGTTCCTTCTCTTTCCCACCCAGTTAAAAGGGTCCACCACCAACTGCCGCACTATCATCTCTCTACCAGGTCTTCCTGTCCCCACTCCTCCACCAAGCACACATCAGCCTACAACTGTTAACCATGGGAAAAGCAGGAAAAGATCGCAAGAGAAGGCGTCTCTTGGCAGAGGTCTCAGCAACGGGTGTAGGTATACAGCATTTGAAGGTCGACCAGGAAAACATGGCTGACCCAGTAGACTCAGAGAACCAAGCGCTTCAGCACTGCAAGAACTACGGCGGTGTGGTCTCAGAGGAGGACATGGCGACGACACTGCGCACGCTGCTGGCCTTGGAACAGCACACTGAGGTGTTCCGGTCAAAGGCCTGCAAGCCTCTTCGTGCTGTTGTCCATCAGCTCCAACAGACAGCCACTGCTACCACTGGCATGGGTACGATCCAATTGACAGTTTTCTGAACTACACTTGGCCACTGAAAAAGCATAGAATCCGCAGTTTCTCACATCTCTTTTGTCCTTTAAAACACTAGGACAAACACCTATCGGCCGTATTTCGGATGCTTTGGTGGATGGTCGTTGGAACGATGCCCTGGCAGCTCTAGAGGAGATGAGAGCTCGCGGGCAAGTGCCGAAATTGGGCGCTCTGCAGAGATGGGTCCGGGACTGCGACGCAGCCTCGGCCAAGAACGGCGCCTTCGGAGACCCCGTCGTTCTTCGGGTATTGGATTCGATGCTCAGAACCGTAGACCCATCTATGGTGCCCAAGAGGATTGGAGTCGATGGTAAAGAGGAGCACCCAGTCAGGACCCACCCCATGTGGCAAGCTTTCCCCAGGATGGATGATAACGTACAAAAGTATGAGGCTGCATTGGCGAAGACCCTCTTCAGTAAGTCACCTTCCGCTCCTCTCTCCCCAATTGGACCACACTTGTACTGGCATATTGTTAAATCGCAAAAGAAGCCCCATTAACGCTGTTTCTTTCTTACCTTTCCATCGCCGCAGCGGAGGAAGAGGCCGAGAGGTACAAGTCATTGTTCAGGATCGTTGCCCACCAGAAAGGCCCTCTCCGTAGGACGCCGAATCTGCACGACTTTACGCTCTATCTCTCCAACCCCGGCACCATCCGACTCTGCCACCAGGACGATCTTTCCTTGCAGCCTCCAGTTGAGCGCATCGACATGCCTCATGTCCCTGGGGCATTTTTGCTCAAGGATGTACTCACGCGCAAGGAGTGCCTCCAGATGATTTCGGCCGCTGAGGCCATTGGATTTACGCCGGATGTGCCTATCGTTGGGACTGCAGCCGAGTCCATCTCGATCCTGGCACATAACTTTTTCTGGATGGCAGACGACCAGCTGCTCGGACATATCTTTGATCGGTGCAAGGCGCATTTCCCAGAGACGAGAGGCGATGGACACAATGCAGTCGGTATCAATTCGAGATGGAGGGTCTATCGCTATGTACCTGGAGCCATTTATCGCATCCACGTTGATGGACAGTGGCCCGGAAGTGGGTTGGATCCAAAGACTGGAGAATATCTCTATGATGCTTACGGCGGAACGAGATGGTCCCGACTGACGTTCCTGGTTTACCTGAACGATGAATTCGAGGGCGGCGGAACCACATTCTTCACGCCCTCAGCCGATGTCGGGTTCATGGATGCTCGGGCTGTTTCCCCAAGGGCAGGCAGCGTACTATGCTTCCCTCATGGCGAGGCGGCAGGAAGTTTGCTTCATGAGGGATCTCCAGTTTTGAAAGGCGCCAAGTATATCATTCGCGCGGACGTCTTGTACGAAGTCCCAGTTCGATCATAAGCGGTCGAAAATAAAGACAGTATTGGACATTTTTGATGCGCATTGTGTTTGGATGATGAGAAATGATACGCATATTTTGTAAAATGATGCTATGCTAGTCTACAGAAATAATAATGATGCGAAAACCGTCTTCTCGTCCCAGCTGCACACGGCGATGAGAAGCCCTTTGTGAATCTTTGATATATGTAACAACGCTCCGCCAGCAGCGAACAGTGTGCGAAATTAGTCCATCATCATATCCTCGTCGTCCTCGCCCACGTATTCGTCGTCAGGTCCATCATCCAGCTTGAGACTGTCGAGCAGCTCGTCTAGTTGAATCTCGGGGAAGTCCTCCTCCTCAAAGTCAGACTCATCCTCGGTCATAGCATGATCGGTGCTCTTCTTGACCTTGTCAGCTATAGCACAGAAGAAAAACAAAAGTCAGAATAAAAGTGTTAGAGTTGGAATTGACGTTCCCAGTTTTTCCATATTATCCAATAGATGGGCAATCTTCTTATGATGCCTCCTATGACTTACATTTGTAAAGGTTGACGGTAGCACGAAGCTCAGGATCCTCCTCCAGATCACGCAAGAACATCTCATAGTCTTGCTCGAGACGTTCCTGGTCCTGCTTGCGAGGGGTCATTTCTTCTTCCTCCTTTCGCAGCTGCTGGAGCTCCCAGTTGCGACCCTTGTTGCGCTTGCGATGATTTGGATAGGCCTTCTTGATCAAAATGACATCGGGCAATGAACCACGGTGAAGGGCATCAAAGGCGTCGTTGTTGAAATTCGAGGATCCAATGTCGTAACCCATGACAGAATCGCCGGGATTTAAAATACCTCCCAAATGAGACCGGGCGAAGAACGTTGTGTCGTTGCGTCCAACGTCCTGTGCACGCGCGACCTGGATGTCTGCCAAGACGTATTTGCCACGGACGGGTCCGCAAGGCTCGACATCCAGAACATAGTACTCGACCATCTGTTTGACCGATGCTAATGCCATGAAGGGTGTGCGCCAGTAGGTCTGTGTTGAGATCTCGGCAACGTTGAGGGTGTTGACATCCATGATGTGGACAGAGTTTCCGATCCTATAGCAGATGACCAGGGGGCTGATGTTACCCATGGCCTTGGCGATCTTGGGAGGTAAGCAAACCAGATCATCTTTGCAGATGGGAACCAGCTCAACTGAGTAACTGAACTTGTAATTCGAGGTTCCAGAGTGGATATCCGTAGAGATCAGCTGCTCTGAGGCCTTGCTCTTCAGAGGCGTGATCGCAGTTAGGAATTCGAGCATCTTGAGCGCATGGGATCGGGAGCCATAATAGAAGTCAATTCCGTCCTTGCACTCCTTAATGTTGATAGTATCCTTGTGTGCGCTGTGCTTGATGATCAACTGCTCCAGGTACAGGAATGTGCGCTTGTGATCAACCTTCTGGCGAACCTGAACCATAGCTTTCCAGGTGTTCTGGGCCATGACCTTAGCGCAGTCGTCGCATTGCTGATGCGAGACCACGAACTCGACCTCGAAAATCTGCTGAAGAATCGTCGACGTGAAGACCTCCTTTTGAATTGTCAGCTTGAGTTTGATGCGTTTCGAGTGGGGCTCTGTCCAGATGAATCCTGCGTCGACCAGTCGGACCTTGTTCAGGCCCTTCAGCTTCTTTAGACACAGGGCAAGGAGTTCCCTGGATTCTAATTGACAGGAGACCCAAAGCATAGGTGGCTGAAGGTAGCGCTCGCAGTTGCGGCAGAAGCAGATGGTGGCGTGCTTGGGGATGCCCTCGGTGATATCGACCTGGTTGCGGATACAGTTGATACACATGCTGGTCGGGTTTGGAGGGATTGTTGTTCCACATGAGCAGCAAAGACTATGAAAGATATCATGAGTAGAGCGATAGATAGGTTATGAGCAAGTGTATCGACGCATGGTTCTTCTGTTGAGATGTATCCAGCCATGTTCATCGACCATGGTGCTGGGTTCCAGCACACTAGGTTGCCGCAGTCAAATATGAATACTTACATTTGCTGCTGCGTAAGTTCGGGTTTGTACTCCATTGTGATGGTTGATATGTGGGGGTAGGAGGAGGGTATGAGCGAGGATTGAAGGAGGATAGGATGAAAAAGAGGGATAGATAAAGGGATGGAGAGAGTAACAGGACAAGGAGGCAAGGGGAAAAGCAGGGCCTGACAATGACAAACAAGGAAGTGAGTGTCGATAGAAAGCTGACAAAGACCTTCGACTTTTTTTTTTTTTTTTCTTTTTTATGAGTAAGTGTAAACACAGGACTGTCCAGGTCACATGAAAGCCATGCCTGAACTTTCTTCGCACGGCTTTGCCACCAATATGTATGTCAGATCCCTTGCGCGCCATGGTCAGTGTCTGCCCATCCGGCCTAAAATTGCCTGCGTCCTGCAATAGCATGTAGAATTTGCTGCTGTGCACGACCGAGGCCCTTCACTAGCCAACGGAGTTTCTAAGATGTCTGGCGTTGTACTGCCAGAAGATAGACACTATTCAGCACTCTCAGACGAAACAGCCAGGATCCGCAGCTGTACCTCCTAATGGTGCTCGAGGAAGTACCCTGACGGCGCTCGATTAGCGCCCATGACACCGGCCTTGTAGAGGGACTTTGATTATTGCTACCGTGGTTTGTCCTTGCGTAGTCACGGCCACCGAGATGATGCAGACATCTTGATCCTTTAACGGTAGTCTACTGCATCGATTCCTATGTTTCTGTCTACCGCTCCTGCATTTTTACACTTACAATGCGTCTATGGACATTGTCTGACTCTAGGAACTGTATCTGTGGGCGTGTCAACACCCTAAACCTCTTTAACTATCCTTCCGATGTCCAGTCAGCGCAAAGTTCTTGAGCACATTTTCATAGCATTCCCGCTTTTGGAGCCTCTTTACATCCGTCTACACAAGTTCGACTTTGCGCTCGAGAGTGGACTCTATCTGTTTGGCATCCATAGGATCAAGTTTACAGCGCCTTGAGATCCTGTAGATCAGCATTGCAAACAAGGGGCGATATCGCGTAGATGTGTCACCTGCTGCCGACTCTTTTTTGCAGAGGGATATGAGCACCTTTTGCCCAGTTGAGTTAATGGCGCAAGAGTCCATACACGGGAGCTAGCGATACTGGGAATCTGCAGCCGTAATAGCAGCCCCGGTCCTGTACATTTTAGAGAAGATGAGGGGGAAAAAGGCGTACTTTGATACTGATGGTATTATTAGTGGTAGTCTATGTGAGTATTCATCTAATAAAAACTAACAACAGCAACAACCACATCCTTGATGAACCGCTGGAGCTCCTCCAATGAGTAAGGATTGCCGACCGAGGGCAGGTGCACAAACAAGCACGTTCTCTCGTCCTCACCCTCCTCGCCCGCAGCGACCCTCCGATGTCTCTCTGCCATGCTCAGATAAAAGGTGTAGTCGCAAAGGTAGTTTCCGGCATCTAAGCTCTGCTTACAGATCCAGCCCTTTTCCGTCTTCAGGTACTCAGCCAAGGCTGCCGAGTCAACGGTGGTAGTCAGCAAATCAGGGTCCGCAGCCCAAGTTTCCTTCTTGACCGGGGGCTCCTTTGCGGACTCAGGCGACCACTTTGCATTGTCCGGGTGGCTGTATCCGATACGGTGGCCATTTGTTTCAATGACAGTGTAGCCATCCAGGCCAACACCAACGTGGATGTAATAGGTCTTCAGGTAGTCCTCCTCCTCGTGCTCCTCGGTTACGTCCTCGCCACTTGCAAGAGAGGGGACTCTTCGACTGTGTTGGATGTGCAAGGCAGAGACTAGGTCGGGGACTTTGCGGTACTCGACAGGCAGCTCCTGGGAGACGACGTAGGCCTTGGTGGCATTGTGATGTTTGGAGTTCTGTTTGGCAGCGGCGATGGTGGGGAGGTCGAGGGTGGTGTTGTTCAACGGCTGGACAGACAACCAGGACGGGTTTGTCAAATGTCTTCCAAAGGGCTGTCGAGCGGAGGAAGGATAAAGTCAGGGTTAAGAAGCTGATGCAAAACAAGATAGGTGGCATTCGGGAGGAATGAGGAAGGCACAACGGGTTACCTCGAAGCCAGTAAGGACGACCTTGACCTTGTCGCTCTGTTTCTTGATGGGTGCCATGGATGCGAGTGGTAGGAGGGATGTGAAGAAAGTGGAGGTAAAGAAGACGAAGGAGGTGAGAGAGATAGTTCGTGAGAAACTGAATTTTTTTTTAAGTGGCTCGATTCAGGGCGCAGGCGAGAGGCGAGAGCATCTCTGCTTCTTTTGGAAACGATCGGATCGCTCATCCGGATCGCACGACTACAGCGTCTTTGCTCAGGACTTAACCTCAGGATCACGAAGACATGGAGTCCATCCGCTGCATTACAGGAGCTGCAGCTCGACATGCACATCACCATCGCTGCAGCCATTATGGCATCAGGCACTGGGCTTTGTTCTTGACATCCATCCCCAAAGCACACCAGCAACGCGCAGCCGACCAACCCCGGAGGTTGTACGCTACCAAGAATACCACACACGAAAGAGCCACCCGCAAACTCAACCTCGCTCCAAGAGTGGCCTATCAACCCACCAGCGCTACGACCTGGATTATATCCGATGGATTGGTGAGCGCGGACAAGGAGGCTATTGCGCTGGCTAAGGGATTGTCACTTCCTTGGACCGTAAAGCGAGTTCAATGGCGTCAAGGTACGACCGGCAGGAGGGAAAAAAATAAAAATTAAAGATGGGCAAGCACACTTAGAAGCTGACATCAATTCTCACTATGGTCACGCCCAGGGCTTCAATGGCTTCCGATACCGTTCAAAAAACTGATCATGGATTATCATCATGTCATGAACCGGAGACAGAGTAAGTCGCGAGAAGTTGTCTAGCATCATGTGCTCTCTTTCAGCATCGAGGAATTATCACCGCCTGCCACTAATCTCTTGATTGCGATCGCGATATATTAGCGGATAAATTGCCGTGGTTCCTAACGGGCGATCCATTGGCCGCTCCTTACCCCAGCTTCGTGCTCGGCTCCGGCACGAATGCGGTACCTGGATTGCTCCAAGTCTCTCGAATGAGCGGAAAAGCATCCTACTCAGGTATGTTACCGATTTTCGTTGCAGTGCTGGAATACCGTCTTTCGAATAATTCCGAGATTCTTTCTTTTTTACTTTGTACCAGGGCACACTGTTCTAACGCTGCTCTATTTTCGTCCATTAGCCCATATTCACTTCCCTGCGCTACCCTTTATCCATTTCGATCAAGTATTTCTTCAGAGGCATGAAGTTGTCGTCCAGCTCGGTATGGGATCATGCGACCATGCGGATCCGAAAAAAATAATAATAATGTGACAATGGACTTGAGAAATATGGACTGACAAAAAGACCTTTCAAAAACACTCAACCAATCCTCATGTAGCTGCATTAGGCTTAATGAAAGACCAAAAAAACTACTTCAGGATCAATTCCACCCTCAACACTATCACGCCCAAATCTCTCGTGCTCGCAAGGACCAAGGCACTAGATCAAGGCCTCATTCCCAAATCCTACTTTTCTGATCGAAATTCCTCATCAATTGTCGCTGTCCTGATCGGAGGCCCCAACGAGGATTGTTCACATAACACAGATAGGATGGTTAATCGACTCGCTCGGCTTATTGACGTACAGGGTTGTAGAGTCTTGATCTCGTTCTCTCAAAGAACGGCCGCGAATACGAAGCAGGCCATCGCTCAGTTGCGAGAGCGAGTCCAGGATGACGAGAAGATCTTTGTATACGATCCGATGGCTCCCCATGGTACTGGTACGACTTCTGGCGGCAATGAAGGAAACAGGGGTGCAGTGTCCTGGACTGGCGTACCAGGACCAATTGGAGCAGCGGGCTTTTTGGAGCGTGTGAATCCTTACGAAGCCATGCTGGCTCTTGCGGACAAAATCGTCGTCACTGCAGATTCGGTTGCTATGACAAACGAGGCGTTGGCGACAGGGTAAGTTTTCTCTTTCTCTCATTCGAAAACTTCAATGTTCTAATGGCAGTGTTAAAAAAGAAAAAAACTCCTCCCGGAATTAACTATCTTGGTCCCAATTGTGGTTGCTTACATGCCTTTTTTTTTTTTTTTTTTTTATCTCCGCTTCTACAACAATAGAAAACCAGTGTATGTCCTCGGCGGCGAACTCGCACGCGGCAAGCTCAAGGTTTTCCACCGTTACCTCGCTGACAGCCATGCCACGCGCGCGTTTCGGCCTGGTCGGATACCGATCATGCCGCTGACCTCGAACAGCAAAAACGGTAACGGTACTAGTTATGGAAACGATACAGCCGATCCTCTGAGCTACCCAGGAGACCATCCTGCGTGGAACACTTCCTTGGCCGGACAGGGCCCGGATGAGATCAAAAAACTTGCAGAGCGTCTTCGGATCATGAGAGAGAGCCGGATTACGGGCAGGAGGGTACCGGAGCATATTGCTGAAGCGACGTGTTAGGACATGCCATGGAAATAAAATCCCCCCAGTATCTTGTTGGGCAAGCGATTACAATGAACGGCATTAGATTCTGGCCATTTATTATGGATAAAAGAGAGCGGGGAGGGTGGATACATATCATACACGTTAGAAATGGATGCGAAAGAAAATATGAAATAGAATAGAATAGAATAGAATTAATAAAATGAAAAATGCAAATGAATGATATGTAAAAGGAAAAAAAAGTACAAGGTAAATAGGGCTCTACAGGCGCATTGGGATGTCCTCAAGCGCGAATCGTTTGTCAATCATAAACTCCTTCTTGATCACCCTGAGCGACTTTTCGTTCAAGGTCCTCAAGATCCTGTCGTCGCGGCGATAGTAGTGATGGCCACGATCTAATCGATGATGATGTGCGTGTCGGTGCGGAGATCGTTGTGAAGCTGTTGTAGAATTTGCCATTGCTGTTGTTGTTGTTGTTGTTGTTGTTGTTGTCGGTGGTGGTGGTATGGTCGTTGTTGGAGTGATCGTTGGTAGCGGCTCGATAGCCATGAGGATGGACTCTTCATCTTGTGAGGGAGGGATATACTGTGTGCCTTGGGGAACGAGAGACAGCGAAATCGGCGCCAAGATCGAAGATGGTCGACGGTTATGGTGGTGATGCCCTCCGAATCGCATAAAGATGGTAGCTTCGGCTTCATCGTCCGCATCACCATAGTCTTCTTCATCGCCCTCTTGCTTGATGGGTACAAGGTCCATGTCTCCGTCAGCTGTCTGCATCTCTTGGTCGCCTTGACTCTCGAGGTCCAAGCCCACGTCCTCGTCCTCGTCGTCAGTCTCACCATACAGTCGCTGGTATTCACTTTCGATTTCTTTGTCGGTACGGTGCAAACCCATCATCTGTCGAATCCTAGACCATTGGCCCCGGAGTCTGAATCGGGTCGCCGCCAAGAACAAGGCCTCACGTTCAGCGGTCGTCCATGCCGTAGAGGTAACGGCCGCGATGCCTGGATCGGCACGGAGGGCCGCTCGAAGATATTCATCGTCCTCATCCTCCTGCTTAATGTGTTGTTGTATCGGTGTGAAATCCAGCTCCGGCTCCCTTTCGGACACACGCATTGGGATATCAGAGGCGACCTCCTTGCCCTTGACTGAAGTTATCGAATCTGGAGAGGAAGGTGCTGACTGGCTGGGCGTGTTAGTTTTCGAGGTTGGTGGAGAGGGATAAGAAAAGACGCAAACGATAGGCGCCACCATGGATGGGATAAACGAAGGAAGTGCAGCGTTCAGGACTTGAGAGGCGGCAATCGAATAATTGTGGTGTGTTGATGCTGCCAAGAACTCGGAAGCACCAGCCTTCGAAATCGATACCGCGCCAATGCTAGAGCCTTCATTGTTCTCGACGGCCTGACTTTGTGCCGCATGTTTCATGGACGACTCTCCTCCAGATGAAGATGACGATGAAGGTGACGATGAAGGTCCTGACCCACTTTCGGCTGAAGAGGAAGAAGACACCAAGGCAATCGTCCCAAATTCATTTGACAGCTGTTGCGAAACACCCGAGTCCTGCCTCTGGTGAAGCCTCATCAAGGCCAACTGCTGTTGATAGCTGAGTTCCTCCAGGTCATCGATATCATCTAGGTCCTCATCCTCATCGTCCTCGTCCTCGTCGTCTTCATCAAACTCGTCCAGTCCAGCACGCCCTCTCAAAGTCGTTAATGAATTCGTTGTCCTTCCTGCCACTGTATCTGCCACAGCAGAGATGGCGGATGGCAAGATGGTATTTGAAAGGGCCTGAGGGAGTTGCGTCAGGAATGTATGTGTCAGGGCAAATGCGTACTTTGAGCCCGGTGCATCCTTGAGCCTGCTTAGAACCATCTCCACCTGTTTGTGAACCTGTGCTTCCACGGTTTTGACGCCCTGATGCAGGTCGTACAGGATGGTCTCTCGAGCACGAGTACGTCGCTGATGAATCCTTTGCGAGAGTCGGCGGAGATTTTCTTTTGCTGCCTCTGCGGAGGGCAATGGGGATTGGGCATCGCGCGCCCTGGCCACGTTGGACAATAGACGTGCGCGCTCTCTCTCTTTCACGTTGGTCCATTCTGAGAATTGGTTTGGCCGCTGAGGGAGATGTTGGTGGAGGCTGCCGTGGTGGTGATGATGATGGTGATGGTGCAGGCTTGGTGAGGATAGCAGGGAAGATGTAGAGGAGCTGCCAGGTGTCGTGAGTGGTGTAGAGGATTGCAAGGATGGGGACGATGAAGCGGACGAAATAGAGGATGCGGATGCAGCTTCGTTATATTGAGAGGTAGATGGGGCCATAGCGGTCGTAGAGGTATTGAGCTGACGAAGCTGTGCGTTGACGTTGGGTACCAAAGGGCGGACATGATAATGGTGATGGTGATGGTGGTGGTGATAGTGTTGTGGCTGTGCTGCTGAGCCTTGAAGCGGTATAGACATTGATGGCGACGACGACGACAACGACGAGGTTCCTGCGCGCTGTTGCAGCATCAGCTGCTGTGGTTGCTGTTGCTGCTGTTGAATTTGGTAAAGTTCCCGCTGGCGATGGAATTCTTGGTGGGCCTGTTGAAGTCGTAGTTGCTGGCGATACTTGTTCTCGCGCTCGATCTGCGTTTGCTGCTGCTTGGGAGGATGCCGATGATGTGTGTTCTTGTGGAACAGCGTATCCTTGGAATGTCGGTTGGAGTACGATCCTCGCTGCACTAGCCCTGCATCACCCTCAGGAAACTGGGCGCCAGCGCCAGCGGTGGTGCCGCTGTTGCCGGGGAGAGTTAGCAGAGATCGATTGGCGGACGCGAACATGGCATTTGGCAGCTTGGCTGTGGATGCATTGAGGCCAACTGCAGTTGTGTTGACACTGAGTCGTTGATGGGTCGGAGAGGGTTCTGTGGTGTGATACGAAGGAGCTGTAGGTGTTGCTTTTGCGGATGGCGGGAGTAGGGGATATGTGGAGGGGGCAGTGAAATCTGACGACCTGGCCTCTGGAGGCATGATCCTCGGTCTCTTGATAGAATGCGGGTCCATTCTATATTAGGAGGTCCTTATATGCTGCTTTTGCCTTGTTGTGGAGCGTGAGCGATGTGGAGAAGACAATGATAAAGAAGGCGGCTGAAAGGAGCGGAAAGGAGCGAAGAAAGCCAGGGATGAGACGAACCGATCCTGCAATAAAATGATGGAGTGGTAAAGTGTAGAGTATGTATTCAGCTGTGTCGGCTGCTGTTTGTTGGTTTTGTCAGGTTATTTCTTGCCTCTGCTGAGAGAGCGTGCAGGTGAAGCGAGAGTGGAAACTATAAGTGAGATATGTAGGGGTTTGTGTGCGGAGGAAATTATAGGCAAGGTGTAGAAGCAATTGAAGTGCGATGGACGTTGTGACAAGAGGGCGGAGAGAGAAGAGAGCGTCAAGAAGAGATGTAGGTAGAAGATTGAAAGAGGAAGAAGAGCGGTCGGTTAGTTATATCTCCTATGCTGTACATCTACATTTGCGAAGCGAGGTAGCTCTTCTGGAGCTGCCGGTGCTGCTATCGCTGCAACGACCGATAGGATCGTCGGTCTACCTTCCCCATCCCTGTGCTGTAAATCCTCCTGAAGCAAAGGCCGACCAATGTAAATGATGGCAACAGCGCGCCAATGAAACCGCCTCAAACCCCATACAAGCTATCCAGGAAAATGACAACGACCACCAAAACACAAATGAATGAATGTAGGTCCTTTTCATGTGCCGGAACAGCCCGCTCTCAAATAGCGTATCTAAGTTGAAAGCATATGTCCCTTCACAAACACATGCCACGCGCGAGCGCACGAGCATACTGTACCCAGTTCAGTTATCCGGATACACAGATAGCCATGCACTCCATCTCGAAGACATGACACCCAAGAAGGCGACAGACCAAGTACACACGTATACACTGCCCCACATACATGCACCTCAAGCTTACAAATGTATTGGCTTGCTCGAATTAGAAATCCTCTACTAAGCCCTATGATTCTTTGCTGCAATCATGCCTGTAACAGGACCCCTTTGACCCCCATGGAGCTTGGTCTCTTCTGTCCTTACCTGTCTGTTTCTTTAGTAATGCACTGAATCAGCATCCATTCCGGATCTGTTAGCTAGTCTTATGAGTGAACAGTGGTGTTTTGGAGGCGAAAAGAATTTCAAGGTGTGCAAAAAAAAAAAAAAAAAAAAAATCAGGGACAGACGAAGTAGGCTGAAGTAGGCTGAGACGACTTTGTGGAGGGAAAGCGAAGAAGGAAAAAAAAAAAAAAAAAAAAATTGACTGGATAAGGGAGTCGAGATGAGAATGTGCTGAATGAGACTGACGGGGACCGATGTAAGGATGCGAACAAGAGGGAATGAATGTGATTTGATGTAGGTTGCTGTTCTATTATTATTGTTGTTGTTTATTATGTTTTCGCTGATGGGATGGTGGACAGAATCAAATATCGGCTGGTGGGGAAGTCAATTGTGAGGGTGCCCTGAAACATTCCTGTCTACATAAGAGTAGGTGAAAAGGCAGCCTCTTGAACTACTATCGCCAGAGTATACCGCAGGGAGCCGGTAACGATCGGCAGTACCTGGTTGAAGGTACTCGCTTCGCACTTTAAAGAATAAGCTACGGATCATCTCTGATAGCGATTTTATTTTTTAAGAAAATCGGGTACCGGCAATGTTCGTTCATGGTGACATGCATGTGCAAGGTCTACTCTGTTTGTTACACAGACGGGTCCCGAACCCACCTTCAGAAGACCGAGGAGGGCCGACACGAGTTCCGGCAACATGTAATCTACCATTGCACTCTACATAGTCCACCAGGTCTACCTCTGCCTGTTTTTCGCTTTTGCGTTGATCTCTCGGCTCGCGACGCGGTTCGGAGATCATCTTGTTCACTTTGAGTTACCTCTATTTGATTGGCTAGGCGCAATGGAAGCGATTGGTTGCACAAGAAATCGCGAGCCGCGTTTTCTTTTTTGGACTGAAAATGACCCGCACACCGAAAGATCGTACACGTCCACACACACTCCCATGTGCTGTGCCTCCTTATCCTAGATAAAGCACCACCTGATTAAAGCCGTCATTCGACATCTATGGATTCATGAATATGCCTGGCCGCTGTGTTGTGTAAGCGAAGAGTCGTTGCTGCAGACACCGTCTACAAAGGATAACTTTTAACAAAGAAGAAACTGTATTTACTTGGCATGAAGCATCCGGTATTACAAAAGTTTATGATATGGAGGACAATGGTTCAAAAGAAAGAGTGCGCCGTAAACAAACTTCCAGAGTCTTCGCCAGGAAGTCGCAGGGCGCAATATTTTCACGCTCATCCACATCCTGTCCTATGCCCATCCGTTATCAAGCTGCCAATATTCAACGCAAAATGGAATAGCTTATAATTCCAACATTCTGTTTCGGCTGCTCAGGGGAAGGGTCAGCCACTACGCTTTGAAACAGATCTAGAAGCAGCGATATTTGAAAATATCAATGGCGCAATTCGTTTGGGACCAGGTCGAAAAGCCTTGGTTCCTACCTATGCTTAGACCGTAATCCAGGCCCCATCTAGAGTCAAATCGTACAACAAATCGGCAACATGTTTAAAACCATTGCTGAGCAGCCTACAGCACTACAGGGTCAGTAATGTGAGACACTGGAAGCGAAGTTGATTACTTGTGGACATTTGAGAATACCACACTCGGCTACTACTAGTGCAAGGCCAAAAGCCGGGCCAAGGGAGACATCAACCACTTCGGGTATATCGAAAATAGACTTGAGGCTTGAAGAGCGGCCAATGCTGGCTCTAGATCTATCGTTCAGTAGACTCGCACGCGCTTTTTTTTTTCAAGCTATTTACGCGTGTCTATACATACAGTTCCAGTACATAACCCAAATAACGCCAGAAAGATGTGGTGGGTGTCTGTACGCCTTGAAAACAGAAGAAAAAAATACGAGTGTCCATGCAACCTAGACTTCTGTACTCCTTTAGCGCTGAAGCGCCAATCGGCGGTGCCTCGGGAGTATGTATATATAAAAAATAATAGCATTAGCGAATTGTGCAATACCCATGTATGCCGAATGTCTTTCAATCCCGACCAGTCGAACCGCAGCTATGCTCCCGGACGAGCACGAGAGGAATGAAGCTAGCCGCAGGTATTGTTTAGGTGTAGCGGTAAGAAATGAACACAGCTAAGGAAAAAAAAAAAAAAAAAAAAAAAAACTCCTAAGCGCTAATTGCAACTAAACTCCTCAGCAGTCGAGGAAGGATCGAGAAAGCTGTTGTTCGATGGCAAGGGTAGAGCTATGCTCGGCTGAAAAGGAGGACGACATACAGAGGGCTGATTTATTTCAAATGTTGCTCCATTGCAGGCGTTGATTAGAGGATGGAGAGTAGCGATGTACAGAAGTGATGTTAGTACCGATATGCGGTGTAAGGCGCGATTGGGTGCGTACAAATGTTCTCACGATTCACCTTCTCAGCTTCGAAACTTAACGAACGCGAAATGAATGCCCCTGTCACTATAGTCTATATACCTAAAACTGAGCAAGCGCAGTTCTCGGCATTAGCCTTGAATTCTGAAGCGCCAAACATCCCCAAGACGTTGGCCCCGCTTTAAATTGCCGTAGGGCAGACTTGGCATATCGACTATTGCTGGCCGTCAGAGTACGTATCTTTACTTTTTTCATGTTCTAAAGTCGCGTTCCCATTCTCCTTAGAACACCGCGACTCATCGTTGCTGCGCAACCCGCTTTGTCCGCACAAATAAATACCATTGAAGCAGTTTTGGAGGCACACCATCCGGAAAAATGAATTTGTCGTATATTCCCACGTCCTAAAAACGCTGCACCATTACTTTGTGTTCTTGCCCTTTGCTCTGTGGACAGCTCCGAGTCTCTTCGACAGACCTCTGAGGAGATCGCGTGGCAGAGCACAACCGAGACCCTGTTGTCGCGTTTAAATAGCTCGAGAGAAAGCTGATCGCGGGAACAATGGTCAAAAAAACAAAGGAATGTGGTATTTTTATTTCGCGTCTGGATAAGGTTACTCAAGTTAACGCGTTTTACGCCACTAATAATGTCTATCGAATAAAAAAAAAAAGGGAAGTGACCCTATTGGAGTACATTTCCGCCGAACCCAATTGTTGCACTTTAGACAAACGCGAATGGGGAAGAAAAAGAAAAGATCATATACATTAATGGCGTGCTCTTTAGGGCATGTTGCGCGGAGAGGCTCCTCCTTCAGATCCACCTCCAGCGCCTATACTACCATTGCCGCCGTTGACCGACGATGCTGCAGGTGAAAGCGCCGGTGCATCGCCATACTCAAATTCACTCGGCAGATACATGAATGTGCCGAGATCGTTCCTGGGATCATCGCGAGCCAGGTTCGGATTCAGGTAGATGTTGTCGTGAAGAGTCGAGATCGACCAAGATTGAAGGATCGACTCTTCAGAAATCGATCCGCCAGGTGAAGCAACCGATTCGGGCGATCCTAGTCTACCACTAGCACTACTATTACTATATGCATAGCTATTGGTGCTGCTCAGGTTGTTTGCGCCATTCGCAAAATTATTGTGATTATAGCCCTGCTGCCGCTGCTGCTGTGTCTGGGGCTGGACTGTTGAGGTAGGTGAGGGCATACGGTTAAAGACTTGTTGGCCCATGCGAGGATGGCTGGACATACTCCTGGCGTTAATGGTCGTATCCGTGTTGGGATTCAAAAAAACATCATCGAGTAGTCCGCTGCTGGTTAATGTGGACGATCTTGTTGAGGACGATGTCGGAGCAACTCCACTCCCGCCCCCCTGACTCAGAGCAGAGGAAGACGCAGCAGAGGAGAACAGCATCTGCTGCTGATTATTGATCATCATGTCGCCAAAGTCCGTCATCGGCTGCTCTTGACCTTGGACATTGCCTTGACCACCAGCGATGCTTCCTGATCCTGGCCTCTGCTGAAAGGAAGGACCTGTCGGATAGTATACGTTGCTATTGCTATTCAGACTCTGGCTGAAGGCAACAAAGAGTTGCTGTTGCTGTTCCTGCGAAAGATTGGCAAACGCTGAGGGGTCCTGTATATCCAAAAGCGGGAACGACAATGAGGATCCGTTACTGCCACTGCCCGTGTTGCTGTTGGAGTTATTCATTCCTAACGGCGATGCATAATTTGGCGGTGACTGCCCCTGAAATAGGGTCGAGTTTTGAAGCATTTGCTGCGTCGGAAACGGCTGCATGTTCCGCTGTGTCTGCTGTTGCTGTTGTTGCTGCTGACGAGAGGGCTGCATTGGCTGATGATTATGCGCGAGAGTGCTATGCTGCTGAGATACTGATGGTTGCTGTCTGTATACATGCGGATGGTTAAATTGTTGATGCTGCATAAATATATGTTGCTTATGCTTCGCCATTGCAAGTTGTTGAAAGTGTTGGTGGCGCTGGTGATCCATATCGAGTTGTCCTTGACGTTGAAGTTGGTTAAGTCTAGCGAGCTCCTGCTGGCTGTGCTCCTGGGTATACATTTGAAGGTGGAGCTGATGCTGCTTGTAAGACTGCTGCTGGATATTGGGATGCTGCTGTGTTGCCTGCATGGAGAGCACGATCTGCGAAGGAGAAAGAGGCGCATTCTGTGAACGTTCGTCAAGCTGGTGTTTTTGCTGCTGTGTTGGCACATTCTGCGAAGCCAGGACGGGTTGCTGGATGGCTTTTTCATGAGCTTGCTGCTGCTGCTGCTGTCGTTGTTGTTGCTGTTCTTGCAAGAGCCTTTGCTTGGCTTTCAGGGCCTCCTTCTCCTGCAGCATCTGGCGGTGCTTCAATGCCGCAGCCTCCTTTGCCAGATCCAGACTTGACTTTTGCTGTGCCAGGGCAGCTCGACAAGATGCTAATAAATCCGTCATGTCCGATTTTTTGCTGCGGTTGATGCGGAAAAACTGCAAGTCTTCGACGCGCTCAATGTAATCCATTGTCCTCTGCAGATCTCGCCGAGATTCCTTGGCCAGTGTTGGGTCGACCAAGCACTTCGAGTTCCGAAGATGGATGCGAATGGCAAAGTTGAGCGCATAGCGTGATGGCGTGTTTTGCTCAAACGTCCGCGGCGCCTCTTTCAGCAATATCCCCGCAATCTTTGTGATCTCCTTAGCGGCCTGCGTACAATAGCCCTGTGAATCTGGCAGACCTGGCGCTGATGGTTGAAAGGCTTCCTTACTCTTTGGGTTGGGCAAATATGGGTGGTGAAGTAGGATAATGAGCGCATAGCAGAGGAGTTGGGCGCATGCTGCCAAAGACGAGATGTCCGATATGATGCATCCATCGACAGGCAGGAAATCGAAGGCCTTAGGTAGGTTCTCCTGCCATTCCACGAGCTCGTTATCGAGGCGGGCCAAATTATCCAGCAGAATAGAACGCGGCGGCGGCGGCTGACGGACAATCAACTTTGAGTTCTTTCGGATCCTCCTGCAGATTTGCCAGCCGTGCAGACAGTGTATGATGTACTGATCTGAGAATGTCTCCGTGTCGGGTCCTAAATCGCCAGCTTGAAACATGTCGATGCTAATTTCCTCGTCGTTGATTAATGCAGGCTTCCCATTGATGGCGGACGCCGTTGAGTCGAAGAGATAGCAGCACCAAAAGACGCGCGCTCTATACGCCCTCACGAACGGATGTGCGCTGCTGTCCAGTCGAGTGTGCAATCCCATGTCGAGCGCCATCGTGATCGCTTGGCTGATAAAGGCAGAGCGCTGTGCAGGCGATTTGTGTCCGATAGCGAACAGTAACAGAGCCTGAATGGTGCACAGATGGGCCGTCAAGTACTTTTTCTCCAGTAATACTAATGGGTATTATTGCAGGGTTGCGGACGGAATAGAGTAGTATTAGCAACAGTTTCTTTTTGCACAAAAATGGACGATGTAGACCATGACGTTCGATGCCCTTGACAAAGGTGAGGAGCCGCAGAGTGCGCTCGAAACTCAATATCCATATTTGTTATCCTGCATTGTGTTGTGCCCCTTTACCTTGTCCTCGCATAAAAAAGTCCTCGCCAACAGTGCCTTCATCGTTTCTGTCCTTTCGTAGGGAGAGAGTATTGGAGGAGAACATGGACCCACAATAGAAGACAGCGTTGCAAAGCAGGAGACAGTGTGGGATATGAATGTTCTCCTGACAGACACGGAGCACCTCTCGCTGGACCATCGGTAGACTGAAGTAGTGGTTCTGAAAGTAGCATCCACAATTGCAAACAAGTCAGAAACAATGCTTAGACAACAACAGTAGGTTTCAGCATATTACTAAAGTAACATAATCAAAGAACATTCGGTAATGTACCTTGTAGTAAAGAGCGATTAGATATTCGCGCGTCGCAAGGTCTGGGAGGACCTGCATCTCCTCAGGGACGAGAACATCTCCCTCTGTGCTGGCGGCTCCAAGCTGTGGGCCCCAGAGATCCTCGTCATTGAAGACACTGGCGACTGCGGCAGCACTGGGTCCATAGTAGGCGACATTGCTGAGCGTAGTCTCGGCCAGCATGGAGGTGACAGCTTCCAGGTCCTCAGCACTTGAGTGGTCCACGACGTTGACGGTTTTTGGGGTGGCTGCCGGGTAGTCCAAGAAGCTGCTGCCGCGGGTGTCGAGCGAGCTATTGGTCGCATGCCGCTGGGCAAAGTCGACTCCGTTGGTCGGTTGATCTGCCAAGCGGGTCTACAACGGGCCGAAAGGATGAAAATCAATCAGCTTGGCATCCACTCCACTGTTTGGTCTAGATCCTTGCTTCCCCTCCCTCGTTCAAAAAAGCGTACGTGCACAAAATAGCCTCCTTATTGACCGACCCGTGCCTTCTTTTCTTTTTCTCCACTGGTCCCCAAGCCCAGCGTCTATCTCCTGTGCTGGTTAACTCCGTCCTGATGTCCCATAAGTGACTAGAACCTTCCGATATCCTGCAGCATGCGTGAGTTATTTACAAGCACGCCCTTCATGTAATAGGCAATACCAGTATCTGTTGCGCTTCCATGCCGCCCTCATTTGCTATTTGCTCGTTGTTTTTGTTTTTCTTATTGCTCTTGTAATTGGAAGATACTGAACTCAAACTCAGGTTGTATACAAAAGAAAGGAGACGAGGCAAGGGCCTACATGTAGCCCTGAACGTATCTTTCGGAAAATAAACTAAGAGAGCAACTGGTCTACCCATGGTAGAAACCAAAAACCCCCCTTCCCCCTTTTTGGCCCCATGGAAGCAAGGGTGTGAACCACCATCTTCGCAATCCAGGTGCCTGGTCGTCGACTCGAATGTCTCGCATCTCCACATTTCCCACGCGGCCATCGTTTTGTCTGAATATTAAACTCTACTACCTTTGCTCACACTCTCATAAAAAGCACTCCAACCTCCTCTCCACACACACATCACAGGCTGGGCATATTAAACTCACCTCGCCAGATATTGATCCATTTCTATCGCCATTGGTTGTGCTACTGCTGATACTGCTGTTGCGATATTGTCGGAAGTTCTCGCTATCGAATATGGACTGGTCGAGCTGCAGTGGATGAGAGGGTAAAGGGTGGTGCTGGAGTGACTTTGGCTGCTGGTAGACCATGCCGCTTGTGGTGGCGCGGCTTTGGCTCGGCGGATTTGAGGCTTTCAATGACCCAATTGCGTTAGGTGACACCGGGCCTGCTTGGGCATTGGAAGGTGGGGACGCAGTCGAGTTGGTATTGGTGGCGGCTGGCTGTTTCCTCTTTTGACCGCCCTTGAACCGCTTGGCGGCCTCGTCGTTTTGAGGGAAAGGCTCGTCGACTTCGGCCATGGTGGTGTGGATGTGAAGGAGATACTTCAGAGAGAGAGAGAGAGAGAGAGAATGAGGGGGATGTGGGTGGGATTTTCGAAGCACGAGTGGATATGGGTGAAGAATTGATAAAAAGGACGGAGAGAGATAAGGGAAACAGTAGACAATTGAGAGAGAGGGGGCCGAGGGTTATGGCAGCATGCGGTGAGGACGGAGTGAGTGAGTGAGTGAGTGAGGAAGAGAAGAGGAAAGGGATGTCCAAAATGTCGAGGTGTTACAAAGACGAGGATTATCAAATCAGGCTGCCCAGGAGCAGAGAAATTGATATAAAAAAGTGCGGGAAGGATCAGGCCCTGTTGACCCAGAGAGGGATGGAGTGGTTTGGGGCAGATGAGAGGAATGAGTTTACGCAATTGAACGATCAACACCTCCGGAGGACAGCAAGAGCAACAAGGACCAATAATGCGGGGGGTAGTCAGTCAGGTCAGTCTACAGGGTTATTGCTGGCCAACCCTGTTTGTATCCCTAGACTGTGTATTCCCTCGAGGACCACTATGCAATCAACCAACATAACGGCCGACTTTGTGTAGGGTGTTCGCTTGGGCGACTCAACGAGGCAATGGGCCTTGACCTCCCTCGCATGCTCTCCTCCGCAGAGGACCCGAGTAGAAAGTTGTCAAAAAAACATGCGGCATGTAGACCATTGAGAGAGTGTTCGGTGTAACGAGGTTGCAGACAAAGGCCTGAGAATGAGATAGCACCTTCCTTTCGATTTATTTTTATGAGGATTGCTTGGGTCGCAAAGAATTGTAGTGCTCCCCTAATCCATACATATGGCGATGGTACGATACCATCAAGGGAGTCTTTGCCGAGTACACATCTGCCGACAGCTTGATAGTCGGGCTTCCCATCTGGACCACCCAGATTGGTACCTTGTGCACCCTCGACAGAGCAAGCAACTACAACCAGAAGATATAGCAACATATTAGTAGCTTATTCCCCAATCTGCACTCATATCCATATTGCAATACAATCTGATATGCATTCTAATATTCAGTCTGATATCCAGTCGAGATATTGATATACCTCAGGTTGACCACCCCACACAGCCGTTGTCTCTAGATCTTTGCAATATTCTGCAAAGTCCTCAGGTGACATCATGTCTCCATGTTTGTTGGTCAAGAACGGCAAAAAGTCATCGGAATTTTCGCGCATATACTCTGCTGTAGAGTGTCGAAGATCCTTGACCGTGGTCTGTACACGATCCAGCCGCAGCAGAGGAGGCATGATTAATAAAACGTGTCAACGACTTGCGACGCAACAAAAAAATTCCAAATGAATGAAAAAGCTGAGCAACCCTTTACCTCTGTTCGATAGTGCTGAGAGAGCTGGTCCGCAACGGCATTGTACAGACAGTGTCCATCCGGAGTGACGTCCTTGACAGCTACGTTCATGACTTCGGCGAGTTCCTCAATCGCTTTCCGCTCAACCTCATTCATGTTGACCTGTCCCGCAGCCTCTTTCTCGGCTTTGTCCTGTATCTCCTTCAATGCCTGCGCTTTACGATCCTTACGTGCCTTCTGGCGATTGGACTTTTTGCCTCCAGTGGACTGCTGCTGTTGTGGTTGCTTTTTCGGGGTTGGTTCGATAACAAGATGATCAATGGGAATCTAAAAGTGGAACGAAGCCGCGACGGTCAATATGCTTTCCATAGTCCAGTTGAACAGGCTGAGAGGGTTAAGAATAGATCATCGCCTTACATTGTTCACGTCGAAGTCGTCCTCAGAGTCGTTATCTTGCTCCGATGTCGATCCCTGGCCAATGGCGCCGCTGCTACTGCTACCGCTGACAGCACTGTTTCCATGCAGACTCAACCATTCTTTTTCCTCTTTGTCGTGCTGCTGAATCAGACTCTGTTCCAATTGAGCTACTTCTGCTGCGATTTCCTTCTTCTTCTTCTTATCGCCCTTGCTGACAGTCTTCTTGAGTGCCGTCACCTTGGCGGTGAGATCACGTTGCTCCTTCTTGTGTCTGGCCTTAAGATCCTCAAATGTCTCTGAAGGTGGTGCGGCAAGATCAGTGTGCTGGTTCTGAATAGGGATGTCCTCCTGTGAAGCTGTGTTGGATCCGTCCTGGTTCATTGTGATGGTAAAGGTGTATGAATGAGCAAGTGTTCGATCTTTGCTTGCGACAACAGGGTGTTTGTGCAACTTGAATCACGGCTGTATGATGTTTAGGGTTTTTTAGGGATTTTTCGCCACTAATTTTTTGCCAGCGAGAACGAGTAGTAACTTGAATAACGACTCCAAACAGACTCAGGCGGGGTTATCAATAGCTAACAAAGTGGCGCCAGGGCCCACGATTTTACTGTGTCATCTGGAGTCTGAGGATGGAAGGAGGGGAGACTTGGGCAGGCTGCAGGGTTTTACAGGTTTGTGAGGAATTAATGGGTTCTTGCGATGGGCTCCCACGTGAGCAGCATTGGAGGCACAGCGCGGTTGAGTCATCATGAAGAGACTGCAGCAACGGACGGAGACATCCATCCCTCTCTGTCGACTCCCTGTTCCTGGGCAAATTGGGCATGGCTATCTGTTTATATCATCCAATGCTCATCCTGCTTGCTTGCCTGCTTATTTGCTTATTTGCTTACTTGCTTACTTGCTTACTTGCTTGGCACATTATTACTGTCATTATTATTATATTATTCATCCACGCTCCACTTCCGCTTTCACTTCCCTCCACTTCCACTTTCACTTCCGTTGTTCCTTGTTGTTCCTCTCCACTCCTTCGACTCTTCTCTTCTTTTGTCGCATTCCGGCCAATCCCTGTCTCAAACAAAAGCGTCTCTCTTGCCTCTTGCACACTCTCTTCTCTCTTCCCGCACGCACTTTTCTCTCCCACTCCCAACCACACTTTCCTCTCCGCTCCACAAAGACAGCTCTTAGCCATAAAACCTCTCAATCACAGCAGCTCTCTTTATGATCCACCACTCCTCCACACCGCCATCCACTCATTCTCCTATCTGTTTGCCACCACCCATTATCTCCAATATCATCATCGCATTCTCCTTGCATGTGCTCCACCTACAGCACTCACACCTCCAACTCCACTCTCAACTCCTTCTTGAATACCAACATCAACTGCAGCACCTCCCTTTACCCAATTACCATCCCTATCGCCAGAGCAACAGATACGATGAAGGGCAAGACCCCCGTCATGGTGCTGTCTCAGCAGCAGCAGCAGCAGCAGCAGCAGCAGCAGCAACAACAACAGCAGCAACAGCAACAGCAACAGCAACAGCCTAAGTCCTTTAGTCGCACCTCCACTTCCTGCAATCGGCAGCACTACGCCGCCTTCTCTCGCTCTTCCGCTTCCTCTTCCTCTTCCTCCTCCTCCTCCTCTCAATTGCAGCGACATCAATTACAGCGCTCACCACAGCTTCGGAGGGCTAGCGGCGGTGCAGAGCGGAAGCATCAATGTTATCAGCAGCAACAGTATAATTATCACCTCAATTTCGACCAGAATTATAGAGAGCCAGAGCATCCTCACAAAGGGGTGTACGATAACCATAGTTATCATCGCAGTTTCTATTGTAATAATATCCGCCAGAACGGAAGACAGCCTCATCGGACACCCACCAGCAACAACCATAGAAACTCAATCCAGTCTCGAACAGCGGCAGCGCCTGCTCTTGGGACTTCTACGACAACATCATCTTTGACGCAAAGGGATGCACCTTTAGACCCTTCGATAGCCCCTACGTTAGCCTCTGCTGCAGTAGCTGCTACTGCTACGGGCGCAGTAGTACCTTCTTCTATTGCCCTCGCACCTCCTACTCCTGCCTCATTGTCAATGGCGATCTCGTCATTGTCGTCATCCTCGCCATTTTCTTCGACTGTAGACATGCCCTCGTCTGCACCATCTTTTGCCACCACTTCCTCTGTACCGGCAGTCACCCTGGTCGCTGTCTCAAGAGGGACAGGGGGCTCTGAAGCTCACAACAGCGACCCGGAACCAGCCTTGAGCGATGTGCAGCAGTATCTACAGATGCAGCAACATGTTATCCAATCCAACCGTCAGAGCCTGGCGCTTCATCCAAGCGTGTCTAATCATATTTCTGGAGAAAAGTATGAAGGAATTTTTTGTTGTTGTTGCGGGGAAAACATTTGCTGCTTTTTGCGAAACAATGTCTAAACAGGCCTTTTTTTCCTCTGCCCCTTTCTTATTTTTGCATTCCTGCGCAAAAACCCCAATCAAAACAATGGCATTAACAGATCCCAATTGGCTGTTGAGCTGCGTTTGAATGCCCTGCGTCCTCCCCTTCCTCCTCCAGCCCTTCCTCTCGAGACGGATATGTCCTCTTCAAATTCCAGCATGCGTGAAGGCAGCGACTGCGACACCTTCGGGACCGAGGAAGATGAAGATAAGGCTCATTTCCTAGGAGGGAGCGACTCGAACGACACGGATTACTCGGCTGTGAACGATTCCTTGGCACTGGACCGACGCTCGAGGCGGAAGCGGTCCATGCAGAGACTCGTGGCCAAGAACAAGACCCTAAAGTCCTCGTTGGCCCAGGCAAAGGCGGATTTGGCGGCCGAGAGACATAGCCGGGCGATGATTGATCAGATTTATCTCAAGATCAAGAAGGAACTCAATTCGAAACTGGAGACTGAGGAGAACAAGGTGGCGGAACTTAGGGCGGAGCTGGAGCAGATGACGACGGAAATGGAGGAATTGAAGGCCAAGACCCAGAATACGTCGTCGTACCGGATCGGGTATGATAGCTCCAACTACTCCTTGTCGTCAGCACTTGGGGGAGGATTGATGCTGCATCCTTCGAATTTACTGGGAGGACAGGATGAGGAAGACAAATTCTTTTGTCCGTCTAGTATCCATGCTGGCAAGTCCAGGACCAACAAGGGATCAAGCACATCACCCTCCGTATCGCCACCACCACCACCACCACCACCACCAACACCATCCCAACATGAAGACAGGGTCAATAATAAGGACATGGACCAGGATAGTAATACCTCCTCGACAACTTTCCAGCAGGACAAAGAGAAAAATCTGGAGCATGGTGCAGTGGAAAAGGAAGACGATGTGGAAAAGAAGGTCACCTTTTTGTCAGAGCCCCTCGATATCCCGGAACGCATCCCGTCTTCTCTTCCGACATCTATCACCGAATGTACGGAAGCTGGGGAAGAATCAGAGGACGACGATGACGACGATGGCACTGACGATGACGATGAGGAGGATGCGCCGTGTACCATGATGGAAATGCTGATCAAAAAGGAACAATCACGCTCAATGGAGGATGAGGCTCAGGACCCACCAGCGGACGCCAATGAAACGTTTGATTCGATGGCACACAAGTTTCTGTACCAGGCACTTCATGCCAAATTTACGCCAGCGCGGATGATTTTACAGCTGGATGATCTGTTATTAAAGTACGATGCTTCGCCGGAGGAGCTCGTCCTGGTCTTGGCTCAGGAATCGATGAAGTGGTGGGAGAACGAGCGCGTGGAAGCCGGAGGCCCAGCGACGGGAGGGTGGGGCACTAGTACGGTCCTGATGGCGGAGGATGGCAATCATGTGAGTGTCAAAGTCGCGGTGGAGACCAAGTTCAAGGCGATCTATGTGCCACTGCTGCTGAATTATGTGGCATCGCATCAGGAACAGACGATGCTGCTGGAAAAAATGGAGATCACGGCCAACTCCTGCGACAAATGGAAGCGCAACCATGTGGCGCAGATGATGGCGTTGTACAAGTTTGATGTGCTGGATGCGCCAGCGATCTTGGAATGGTGGCGTCTTCTCAAGGAGTCCGAGGGAATGTTTGGGCATAGCCAAGGGCTTCGCAGCATGGTAAGCAACAATTTTTTTCCTTGTTTTTTTTTTTTTTTTTTTTTTATGCTGACATTGCTTCGGTTGCAGTATGCTTTATTAATTTACTCCGATGACTTCTATTAACTTTTTCTTTTTCATTGTTGTTGCTAATAATGGTGTTTTATTTTTTAGAGCTCCAAATTTGTCGCCTGGCTTGAGGACGAAGAGGAGGATGACTCTGACGACGACTCCGATGATGACTCTGAGGAGGATGAGGACGAGGACGAGGGATCCGACTCAGAGGATGAAATCGAGTGCGATTTCGACGACGACAACGATAATGATGACGGACAGGGCAAGATCGTGGGTCTGAATTTCTTGGCACAGGAAGAGCTGATGAGTCCACGGGACATCCTTCAGTCGCTGGACGAGGATCTGGCCAAGGCCCAGGCGAAGAAGGAGGAGCTTTTGGAGATTGGGTCGGACGATGATGGGATGGACGATCAGGCCTCGACTACGTCTTCTCTGGAACGGATCGAGGAATGTGAACGCAAGCGTCGAATCAGTTTCTGCACAAACAATGTGTATATCCATCAAGATGGGCGTGTTCGTGTCGATCATGCCTCTTCAGCAAAAACGGAGGCTCAGGGACAAGGACAAGGGCAAGGGCAAGAGGCAAAGAAGCTGGATCAGCATCCGGCCATGTCTAATCTGGACGAAAGGCTGGAAGACGAAGACGAGGAAGAAGAAGGAGAAGGAGAAGAAGAAGAGAACGACGACGACGATAATGATAACTAAAAAGCATTGGGAGTTGAAGGATAACAACCACTCCCCTCCCCCTCCCCCTCCCCCACTCTTCATCATCTTTACACACACACTCACTCTCTATTTCCTGAGTTTAGACGTGTAGTTTCCCTTTAGTGTATCATATTTTCTGTACCATAGACACTCTGCATTAAGAACAAATGAAAAACGAGTCATGATCATTAGTTTGACTCAAAAAAAAGAAAAAGAAAAAAAGACGTAGCTCCAAAGCCTGACCCAACAGTAAACTCTATGCCCTATGCGACTCGCCAAATCAATTCACAGCACAGGCTCCGATCGTTCCATTCCTCAAGTTCAGGGAAGGAGCAAATTAGATGATTTTTTTTTATTCTTGATGACTCTACAAAGGCCGAGGATTTGTTTCTTGCACACCCTCATTCTTGATGTCTGTAATCTGAAGAGTCCTGTGGTGGGAAATATACATATGCCAGGCGGGTAATCGAGATATTTGTTCATAGGCTAGGCTTATTGGATCCGCGAGGCAAAACATATACAGAAACGAAGAAAAATTTACAAGAAAGAAAGAAACGAAAGAAGAACAGGACAGAATGGGGTTCACGGCTACTGTGTAGATGGTCCGACCCGAATGTGCGCTTGAAAGAGGTAAGAACCCTTCTAAACAAAGTGTATACGACGAAACAAGAAGCAAAGAAATGAAGACGAACAATATACAGGATAACACATCTAGAAGGGGTGGAAAGTCTTGAAACCGGAGTAGAGAGTAGGGCTGTGCCAAGAAGTATTGAAGGAAAAGAAATAATAACATCTCACACCGTTGATCTTTGTAGACCTCCATTACATGAGAGGATGTGGAGGCTGAAGCGGATACGATTGCTCATAGAACGGGCGATGCATCGACTCCTCTTCCGAAAGGAGGCGTTCGTGATGGAGACCCTGGTAAGGTGATCGCTGGGATGTCGAAAAGTACTGCGCTTGCATCTGGCGCATCAGATCTTGCAGTTGAGGCTGTTGATAGTAAAGCCCCGCGTGCTGCTGGTGTTGCTGATGCTGCGCATGCTGTTGTGGGTGCTGGAGGTGCAGAGCCTGCTGCGACGAATGGTGATGGTGTAGAATCGAGTGGTGTGGCTGTGGGGATGAGGGAGACGCAGTAGGCGAAGACACGACGCGAGGAGGACTGGTTTGTGGACCAGCGTCGCGTCCCATAGAAGCAGCCATAGAAGGGTTCACGGCATACATCCAAATACGTGTCTTGTAGATCTTGAACAGCTCGCGAACCAGCTCGCGGAAGTCAATTCGGTGCTCCGCCTGGAAGTAGAACGTCAGCTTGCGGCGATCCCTAAATATGTCAATCGTTAATACAAAAACTGATTAGATATGCTCCGTGTATAGATGCGGCTAACGAAAAAAAAAAAAAAAGGTGTTTTAGACCCTTACCATTGGTATTCCGCATCTACGACCTCCATGGGAAGTTTCTTCTGGCGAACTTTGGTCTGACACACCATCATGGCCTTGATCTCGTCCTGGCTCTTATTTACCAGCTGCGCAATCTCAGTAGGGTGGGCCATTCGAAAGATGCGCTTCGGATGAATCTCCTTGGGGGCGCGTTGACCTTCATGTTGGGCTGCTACTGCTGCTGCCTCTGCATGTTTCTTTTGCAGTGCCTGGACCTGTTGAGGCGTGATCGAATCGTTGGTGATTTTCCCGAGATCCTTTCCGCGATCTGCCTCCACCATGACCAGATCGCCTCTCTGCAAGGAAAGGCCACTGTTCTCTGAAACATAGAACAAATCGCTCCGACCGGCCTTGAACTCAACAACGTAAAGCAATCCGTGCTGAGAAAGCTGAGCCAAGCTCATGCTCTTGGCTAGATCGCTGGAGCTTGATGTCTGGCTGTTCTGGTATTCATCTTGCTCATACTCTTCACTGAGACTCCATTTGTTCACCGGCTCTGTTTCTTCCAATTGCAGCGACTCCAGCGAGGATGTAACACTGAAGGGTGTAATACTAGGTCCAAAATACGGTCCCGATTGCCCAGCCACGGAATGTCTTCGCTGCGTATGCCCGTAGTCGTTGACAAAGGGGCTAGTAAGATGAAATGCAGATGTAAAAAATACGGTCAGATCATCAAGCGTGCATAGACCAGATTGGATAGTCGGGGTTCCAAACCTAGCAGGATTTGCCGTAGCTCTCGCGTCGTGAAAGCAAGAAAACCTTAAAAGCATCAGATCTTACTTGCTGCTGTAGCCATTCGAAACCGAGGGTCCCCCATGGTGTTCCGCTTCGAGAAAATGGTCGTAAGCCTGGAATCCAGAGGAGGGTGCCACAGAGAACCGCCGGGGAACTCGCTGGCGCTCGATCCGCTCTTGTTCAAGGGCAGGCTGCACGGAAGGCAGCTGTGCATTGGACGTGGAGGCCGTGGTGGCTGATTCCCAGATGGGGGCACCATAGGTGCTCGAAGTGATGGATCGACGATGGGCTGGCGCTACGCCAGTACGGCTATGTTCGTCACTGCGTTGAGAGGCGCTAGGCCAGGCGGATCCCACCGAGAGCTTGCGATGCACAAACGGATGCTGGTTCTGATTGTCAAGAAGCCCCAGGGAGCCCGAGGTTGCCGTGGAGGACGCAAAAGGATCATTGGTTATTGGAGGCGCAAACGTGGAGCTGGATAGCGATCTGTAATAAGTTCCTGGCCCAAATGCGGCAGAAGTAGAATAGCTGCGGGCTCGACTCGCACGAGAGTGCTCAAATGTGTCTTCAATCTCCTCCGCCATCGTGGGCAGCGACATTTTGTACGCTCCAAGGGCGTCCCCATCGCCCTGGCCGTAACCGCTGGGTTTGCTAGCAGTACTGTTTCTGCTGTAGGTGTTGCCAAAGCCTGTCTGATATCCAAGAGGCTCAGAGAGCGATAGGCTTCGCACAGGGCGGCCGTGCCCAGGCACGAATGGATCGGCATGAAGAGCAGCTGACATGGAGAAAAACTGATTGTCTGCGCTGGTGGCATCCTGTCCAAGAGTGGTTGTCAAACTGCCAAGGGCCGTAGCCAGGGTGGTTGTGGGGCTGGCGCCATGCTGACCAGGCACATGGCCGCTCCAGATAAATGAAGACATGCTGAGAGGGGACTCCAGGCCATTTCCTGCGGCGGTTGTCACATGATCGGGCTCACCGGGTCCCTTGGACACGGCCTGGTAGCCTCCATTATTGCCATAACGCTGCTGCTGCTGCTGCTGCTGCTGCTGCTGTTGGTATTGCTGCTGATATTGCTGTTGATATTGCTGTTGATATTGCTGCTGCTGCTGCCCTTGATAATTCTCAGAGCTGTTTTCGAGTAAACCAAAGGAAAGATCCTGACCGCGTCGGATATCTGAAGGGCTCGCGCTGGAAGTGGTCAAAGTGGTTGCATGAACCTTGGGTCCCGAGTCACCGAGCAGACCATCAAGTCGCAAAGACGAGGTAGTATAGAGGCTCCCTATCTGGGGTGGTTGCGAGGTGAAGGCCTGGAGGGAACTCTGCTTGGAATCAAGCTGCTCTGGGGGCGAAGGTAGTGCCGAGGCAGTCGCGTGTGATGGTTTCGAATCCAAGGGGTCGCGTGCGGTGGGGGCGGTGTCTGGGGCACGGGACACGACTGATTTGGACGATGCTTTATCAATGTTCTCACGAAGGATTGTTGGCTCTGATACAGCAGGATTAGCCGCCTTTACTTGCCGTTGCTGCCGCGGTTGATTCTGACTCTGGCCCAGTTGCTGGTTCTGAGGGTCGTGCGACCGTTGAGAAAGAGATTGCTGCGTGTCCTTGTTGTCTTTGTTGTCTCGCTTGTCTTCAGGCTGCTGATAATGAGCGCTCTCGCTTTTGCTCTCGGTCTCCGTACCCTTGGGGACGATGCCCTTGGCGTGTTCGCCGGGCGGAGAAATAGAGGCTCGTCGGGGAGGACTGCCGACGGCCTTCCAGCTGCTGTCTTGAGGCGCATGGTCGGGGGTCTGGCGGGTCTGGATGGGCAGAGGCGCGACGAGCGGGGGCGTCACCAGACCGGACGGTTGCTGGTCGCGGTTCATTTGAAGGGAATCAGCAGAAGGCGAGCAGGGAGGAGGCGGTTTTTATATACGAGGTTAGTCGATGGTGCGAATGAAAAGAATTGAAAAGAAAAAGAGATGAGCACAAGGGTGCGAAGAAGAGAAGGAAAGAAACAGCAAAAGGGACTGAGTGGGAAATAGAAATAGACTTTGAGGTGGTCGGTGCTTGCGGTGGCGAATGAGGAACCCACGACAAAGCGAATTGGTTGAGGAATGAGGAACGCACTGCACCAAAGATGATAGCAAGGAGGAGGAGGCACTGATGGTGGCCGTGATGGCGGTTGTGATGGGGATGGGGATGGGGATGGGGATGGAGATGGAGGAGAGAGCAAGAGGACGGAGAGGGGAGAAGAAAGAGAAAGACTTCCTTCCTTTAAACAATGGACATTTCATTTTCCATTCTCATTTAGTAGAGGAAAAAAAGGGCTCCATCCGTAGAAGCGAACACTGCCCTTCAACAGCTACGGCGGCGGTAGGGACAGCAGTTGGAAGGACCATCGACACCCCTACCGCCCTTCTGCAGCCCCGGCCCAGCTCGCCTTCGTCCTCGTCTTCACTCTCGTCCTCGCCCTCGTCTTTCCTTGCTCCATTGCCGTCTACTCGCTGCCAACCCGCCTCCTCAGTCAAGAAAACACAGGGTCCCTCAAGGCTCCGCTCATTGCCTCATGCCTCATGCCTCATTAGATGGTCTGTAGTCCCTCGTTCCCCCACTGTCTGCAGTGATAAAATGAACTTTGAAATGAGAACTCCTAGTCCATATGGCTGATGCTGATAAACCGAGCTGTCAGCGACCTTATTCACATGGGGGCGAATGAGGGCGCACCGGTTACCGTCATTGGCCCAACTGGTATATGCACCTGCCTTCTTTTTCTCCACGGCATGGTTCTAGCTCTCGATCTCATTCTCGTTCTCATTCTGCCTCTCGTTCTTGTTCTCGTTCTCGGTCTCGGTCTCTTGAGCTCTTCGTCATGATATATCGAAACAAATGAACGGTCTCTTTGATGCGGTGAAATGGCTGTTCTCCACATCGACCTTTTTCTTTCCTGTGGTTGCACAGGGCAACCAAAGACAGGCCTGCAAAATGATTGGTTGCCATCAGCAATTCAAATCATGCAAACAGCGCTTTTTGTGTTTTGTAACTTTTGTTTGCTGCTTGCTGCAGAGGACCAAGACCCGAGACCCACGGCGACCTGCAGCATTGCTGGGCGAAATGGACTGACTTTCTTCTATCCTAGGCTCAGAATGCGGCCCAATCAATGGCCTGCACAAGTCCATTGTCCGTGAGCCGCTAAACTAAACCCTGCATCCAGCATCCAGCATAGTCCGGCCTATACAGAGCATCCGCTATCTGTAGTCTCACGACTCTCAAGGGCCCTCTGGAGCTGGTGGGCTCCTCATGTGTATCGAACAATGGCACTGCAGAATGTGGATGTGATGGGGAAAAGTGCATAGTGGGCCTAATGTAGAATTTTTGCGCCTGTCGCCAGGAACTGCCCTTAAAGATTCGATGTGACCTTGGACTTAAGAGATGACGCGTCTTGGTACGGCTCCACCAGGAACTTGAGTTAGCCGTCAGGAATTTCGGAAGCAGTCATTGGCGTAGGATGTCCTGTAACACATGGTACCAGATTTTCTTAAGGATCTGTATCTGCTTTGGGTAATCGATGAACGCGTATCACTCTATAATCCTTGGTATGTGCAGAGCGATTACAGAATCCGCGTCTATCTTTGATTCCCGGGCCCAGGCGGACCATCTCATCGACGACTAGCAAAGTCACCTTCATGCAGTTTCTCCGGTCGTTTTGTCGATCGACATATTGCCGTTCAGCCCTTGTTTGAGCCGCTTTAACAGCACTCCACGATTCTGAGCGACAGTTACGTTCCTCAATTTGAGGATCTTGCTGAATAATATCGAAACCCCCATGTTAGGGACGGCGCTGATAACACATCCGTATCTGCTGATTCCTTCTGTTATACCTGCTTCTGCTCCCAATCAGCGTATAAATTTACTTTCTCTAGGGTCCCAGCTCCGTCAAATATATAGAACTGCAGTTTCAGGATGGACGGATGTCCTCAGCTATTTTTCGACAAGACGCGTCAATATCCACAAGATGACAAGGTTAATATTGTTGAGTGAATGTCCTTAGCTCTGCCAACGTCCCATGGGATCATATGCGAGATGAGAAGCGACTAATTGTCCTGGAACAGCCTAGAACATAGAAGCAATACCTTTGCTGCATATGTAAGGACTGTTGCTTAATGGAGACGTCCTAGGTAAGTCCATTAATAAGTATGTGTGTAACAGGTGTATAACAACGCAAGGATGGAAGCGGGATGAGAACGAATAAGCCCTTGGCTGAGTGGGATCGCTGGAGAGAAAAATGCCGTGTAGCTCTGAGGCTGTGGCAGCAATTATGCTACATCCATTCAATTTGCTGCGCGTCGGAGCCCTCATCAAAGCACGGAAACATTCCTTAGCGTACAGAGTGCAGTAGGCCATTTAATATCATGATAGTAATCCAATAGTCAAGGTATTTTCATGTCATCAACTCCTGTTGAAGTTGGTCAGTGCTGTGAACATGGAGAGACGGGATGGCGACCGAATGTGTTGAGGAGACAGTGATCCTCTTATTCTCTGCCACGTACATGCATATTTGCTCTGTACCAAGGACTTCCACTTGGAGTGTTGGATTCTCATGAAAATGTCAGTGGGCAGTTGAACCGAACGCGTTGGTTGATTGTCAACATGGGCTCAGAGGGTCAATGTCAGCTGGACAGCGGATAACATGGAGAATGCTTTACTTTTTTTCCCACTAACCAAGCTAACCAAGTGGAAAGAAGTGTTCAAGACGCAGAAGCAGTGTGTGGAAAATAGCAAAGGGCGTCAAGAGTAGACAATATACACGTAGACAATGCGTTCGAATGAGTAAGTTGCCCATGCATGGGTACGTGTTGCGACTCTGTGTATCACCTTGATTCGTGGGAAGAAGTGATAGCGATCTCTTTGGAATAAAAGACGAAAAGCATTTCTGGATTCCGCCATTTTTTCCTCCCTCCTCAACCCAACCCTGCCTTTCTTTCTTACACACCATGGCCCCGGAACGCGTTGTCTTGCCCAAGAATGTCACTCCTGTGCATTACGATTTGAAGCTGTGGCCAAACTTCGAGACATTTATCTTTTCAGGAGAGGTTGCCATCCAGTAACGTCTCAGCTCTCGCCTTCCATTCGCAAAATACTCCTGTTTGTTGACTAAATTCTCACGCTTCTTACATCGTATCCTTATCCCTTATAGAGTCAACGTTCATGAACCCACACATGAGATCAAGGTCAACGCCAAAAAGCTGACCATCAGCAAGGTTACAATTACTGTCGCGGAAGAAACGTAAGCCACTTTTATGCTTGGGGTGGCAGGACCAGCAAGAGGCGCTGGTTTTTTTTATCTCATCAAAATGTTGCCAGGACAAGACAGGGCAGAAATTCACACGCTTTTCTTGGTTCCCTCGGCTATAGACACGAGGCCACCGACATCGACTGCTCGCAGGACCAGCTCGCGGCTTTTACCTTTGCACAAAAGATCCCCGTCGGTCCTGCGGTTCTCGAGATCGAGTTCAAGGGTGAACACAATGATCGCATGAATGGTTTTTATCGTTCTTCGTACAAGGATACTGACGGAAACACAAAGCACATGCTTGTCACCCAGTTCGAGGCCTGTGATGCCCGTCAGGCCTTCCCTTGCTGGGACGAACCCGCTGTCAAGGCGACTTTTTCAGTCGTGTTAGTTGTTCCTTCTGAACTTGAGGCTTTGTCCAACATGCCCATCAAGGAAATGACTGCGGTGGACCCAGCTGTCAAGACAGTGTACTTTGAGAAAACGCCCATCATGTCGACCTATGTAAGTGTTTCGCGACCTGTAGCGCCTCAAGTGGATGGAAGACAAGTGCAACAACGCCATGCAATGGCTATGTGAGACAAGGCCAAGAGATACATGGACAAGAGAAGTGACAAAAAATCAGTATGGAAGAAAAATAACAGGGATTGTCTAAATGGACTGAGGCATCGATATGAACATGGTATCCGTAAGAGTGGATGGTGATGAAACAAATCAATGGGAAAGTACTTACTGTATGCCTACACGAGTCTAAAGTCCTCGGAGAATTTCCTCGTGTTGGCAGAACGCGGCGGTGCATGCTTCATTGTTTATGTATTTTGGGTTTTTGGTTTGCATAACATATATTTGTTCGCAGGTCGACAACTTCTTGATTTGGTGACACGGCAGCTCAGGGCATAGACTGCTACGGAAATGGCACCTTAACTCGTCTTGCTGGCTGCACGTTGGCGTTGTTCAGTTGCTTGTTTACTAACACAGGGCTGTCCGCGTTCCTTACCATAGTTGGTTGCGTTTGCAGTCGGCGACTTTGAGTACATTGAGACCACCACCACCAAGCTCGAGAAGCCAGTGACCTGCCGTGTGTATACTTTGCCTGGTCTCAAGGAACAGGGGCGTTTTGCCCTCGAGATCACGCCCAAGATCCTGGAGTACTTCACCGAGATCTTCGGCGCAGAATACCCACTTCCCAAGTTGGATCACATTGCCGTCCCTGACTTCGATGCCGGCGCCATGGAGAACTGGGGTCTCATCACCTATCGAACTGTCGCCCTCTTGTACGACGAGAAGACCTCGGCGGCATCGAACAAGGAGCAGGTCGCTTCCACAGTCGCGCACGAGATTGCGCATCAGTGGTTTGGAAACTTGGTCACGATGGAATGGTGGGAGCACCTTTGGCTGAATGAGGGGTTTGCCACCTGGGTTGGAACCTTGGCAGTCGACCACCTCTTCCCCACCTGGGAAACCTGGTCAAACTTTGTTATCAGCGAGTACCAACAGGGACTTAGCCTGGACTCTCTTCGCAGTTCGCATCCTATCGAGGTCCCTGTCTCGGATCCTCACGAGATCCACCAGATTTTTGATGCCATCTCCTACTCCAAGGGTGCCTCTGTCATCCGTATGCTGAGCAACTGGCTCACTGTCGACGTGTTCTTGGCTGGAATCCGTCGCTACCTCAAGAAGCACGAGTACGATAATGCCTCCACAAATGATCTCTGGGACGCGCTCTCTGTGGAATCCGGTATCGATGTTCGCGAATTCATGAACACCTGGACCCGCGTCATCGGCATTCCCATCCTGAACGTTACTGAGGCTGAAGGGCTTGTTACTTTGGAGCAGCACCGATTCTTGTCAACCAACGATGTCAAGCCCGAGGAGGACGAGACTGTTTGGTGGGTTCCCCTGGGTGTGTACCCCAAGCCTGCTTCGATTGCTGACCCCAACCAGACCTTGAAGACTCGTGAATTGAAATTCGAGGCACCACGATCCAAGGATGGCGAAAAGTTTTATTTGATCAACAAGGGCTTCACAGGGGTCTTCCGCACCAACTACCCGCCCAGTGCTATTCGCCAACTTGGCCTGGCTATTCAGGCAGGAGATCCAGACTTGGGTGTCACTGAGCGAGCAGGTCTCTTGGCTGACCAATCTAGTCTGGCTACGTCAGGTCACAGCGGCGTGGAGCATCTTTTGGACCTGATCCAATACTACAAGAACGAGAAGGCATTTGTGTAAGTAAACATCCTTTCGTTGAAGTTTATTTATGTGTAGTTAGTTACGCGCGAAGGCAATGACCTGAACTGACATTTCATCTCGCGTCGTGTGCTCTCCCAATAGTGTTTGGGACCTCTTGCTCAATAAGCTCGATAACATCACGCAGGTATTCAGTGTGAACGAGCGTACACACGAGGCCATCAAGCATTTCCAACGCAAGTTGGTCCACGACCTCGCCCATGAGCTCGGCTGGGAGTTCCCCAAGGACGAAGACTACCTTCGTACGCGTCTCCGTGGGGCCATCCTCTCGTGTGCTGGTCGATCAGGCCATGAGGCCACCGTCAAGGAGGCCCTTCGTCGGTTCAAGCTGTTCTTTGAGGAAGGCGCTGATAAGGACGCGATCTTACACCCGTCGACTCGTAGGACGACCTTTGAGGTTGCTGTCTCTCATGGTGGAGTGAAGGAGTTTGAGCAGATCCTGAGCTATTACAGGACGACGCTCAAGCAAGACCAGCAGGTGATGTGCCTGATGTCCCTGGGCTCTGCAGTCCATGGCGAGGACCTAATCCAGCGCACGTTTGATCTCGCGATGTCGGACGACGTGCGGTCTCAGGACTTTGTGTATGTGCTTGCGGGTCTGGCCACGAATATCAAGGCGCGTCATGCAGCATGGACGTGGATCAAGAGCAACTGGACGACGATTCAGGAACGTTTCACTGGCAACATGGGTATGCTGGGCTACTGTGTCAAGATTCCGGTCAACAAGATGGCAAGCGTTGAGGTGTTGAAGGACCTGGACGACTTTTTCGCAGACAAGGACGTAAAGGACTTTGAGCGAGACCTAGAGCAGGCCAAGGAAGGACTCCAGATCCGTAGCAAGTGGGTGGCTCGAGATGGCGCTGCTCTTGAGTCGTGGTTGGTGGAACAGGGATACTAAGAGCTCGGTTTCCTATCAGAATTTGCGGCGACAATCCGATCTGTTACTGTCATTATCTGCGAGACCCACCCTTGACACCATTTTCAACCGCGATGGGCTGCGATGGTGAAGGAATAAAGCTTACCTTTTAAGGCGTGAATTGCGTTCACACGGCGAAGATGGTTTGATTGGATGGCAATCAATGCTCAAAAAAGTTGTGGGGGAGGAAAAGATGAATCCTAAAATAACCCTCCTTCCCCCTGCTCATTTTTCGAGCGGCTTCCATGAGGCGATACTGTGACGGGGCACCGCACCGTCGGTTGCTGAAGAAGGTAGAAGGAATGTTCAAGCGATGGGGGTATCGCAGTCGGCTGCAAAACCTGTTTGCACTGGTACTAGTGGCACATGGTCTCGTTCGATCCAAGGAGAGGGTCGCACAACACAAGGCCATAGGCCATTGAAGATGCGATCTCGTTATCGAAAGTGGGCGAGAGTTTCCGTTACCTTTCCTTTTGCCAAGACCCTCATGTGGGGGGGGGAACGCATACAGTGGGCCCTACTGCGGGTGGCACTGGTGAGAGGATCTTGCTGCGAAGGAGCGATGTCTTTATTTATGTGCGTGCGCGTGTGTGTATGTGTATTTTGCGTACACTCTGGAGTTTATTTCATGCGTTGGTTCCATGCCAAATTTGGCGGGATTGATGGCATGGCTCAATTGCGCCAAGGGGAAGGGATGGTTCCTCCGGGGAACGATCGCATATAAATATCTACCGCCCCTTTTTTTTTTTTTTCTTCCCTCCTCTGTTCTGCGTCCTGTCCTCTCCCTCTCCCCCGCATTCATTCAGTGCTGTGCTTGAAAGAGTCCTCATCCTCATCTATTTATTCATTCATTCATTCAACTTACCCCAATCCAATTCGACTCATTCGCTCTTCATTCAACAAGAGATTCAGTCTTCATCATGTGCAACAAGCCTGGCAACCCCAACCGTGTGGTGCTCCCCACGAACGTGACGCCCTCACACTATACCCTGACCATCACCCCAGATTTGGAGAAGTATACCTTCCGCGGATATGTCGAGATCAAGTACGTTGCACCTCGTTATAGACACAGCCCCTGAAAAAGGCTAATTGGCATGCGATATTGTGGAGTCAATTGATGATATTCTGGATCAGAAAGAAAGGCCCGGGAACGGAAACCAATGCTCGTGGGAAAAAAATAAATGAAACAACTGCCAGCACTCCAGGTTTGTCCGGAGGAGTGATGAGCTGGAGAGGGAAGGGATATGAGCCGAGTGGTGCAAATGGGATGTAGCGTGTTCAGTCCCTAAATGCTCGGTAGGGTTGGTTTGATAGAAAATAAGTATTTCAGGGGTACATAGTCTTATCGTTTTTTTTTTTTCAATCTCTGCACACAATAGCATCACCATTCACGAGGCCACAAAGACTATCCAGATCAACACCAAGGAGCTGACTACCAGCTGGGTCAACGTCGAGATTGATGGCAAGACGTAAGGACAGCAATTGAGTGTTGGACATCTGAACAGTGCTGCCGTTGGCCCAAGCATCTAGTCTAACCTGACAACTGATGATGGATATTTTTATCGGAATAGGCACGACGCCGCCGAGACAACCTTTGATGAGCACCGCGAGACCACCACATTCACCTTTGAATCAGAGCTGCCCAAGGGTTCAGCAGTGCTTAGCATGCACTTCGATGGTATCCTCAATGACAAGATGGCCGGTTTCTACCGCTCCTCGTACAAGGATACCGAGGGCAATGCCAAGGTCATGGGTGTCACGCAATTCGAGGCAACGGAGGCCCGCCGCGCCTTCCCCTGCTGGGACGAGCCCTCGGCCAAGGCCACCTTCTCGATCAAGCTGGTCATCCCCGTGGACCTCGTTGCCCTCTCCAACATGCCTGTTGAGTCTGTCACCATGGTCGAGCCCGAAGAAAAGACAGTCCACTTCGAGAAGACCCCCATCATGTCCACTTATGTAAGCGACACTGACTCTTGGCGCGAGTATGACGAAGGATATAACGACCCGTGGTACTATTTTATTAACAGCACTTCATTTATTTCTTTGGATCCGATGATAGCTCGTCGCCTGGGCTGTTGGAGACTTTGAGTACGTTGAGTCGACCACCACCAAGCTCGAGAACCCTGTCACTTGCCGCGTCTATACTCTCCCGGGACTGAAGGAGCAGGGTCGCTTTGCTGTCGAGATCACGCCCAAGATCCTCGAGTACTTCTCTGAGATCTTTGGAACAGCCTATCCTCTTCCCAAGATGGATCAGATCGCTGTCCCTGATTTTGATATGGGTGCCATGGAAAACTGGGGTCTTGTCACGTACCGCACTGTCGCGCTCCTCTTTGACGAAAAGACCTCCGATTTGCGCTTCAAGGAGCAGGTTGCATCGATCGTTGCTCACGAGCTGGCCCACCAGTGGTTCGGAAACTTGGTCACGATGGAGTGGTGGGATCATCTCTGGCTGAACGAGGGGTTCGCTACCTGGGTTGGAACCTTGGCAGTCGACCACCTCTTCCCCGAGTGGGACACCTGGTCCAGCTTTGTTGTTAACGATGTTCAGCGCGGAATTGCACTTGATTCTCTCCGCAGCTCGCACCCCATTGAGGTTCCTGTCAACGACCCTCATGAGATCCACCAGATCTTCGATGCCATCTCTTATTCAAAGGGTGCCTCTGTCATTCGTATGTTGAGCAACTGGCTGACCCTGGACGTGTTCTTGGCTGGAATCCGCCGCTACCTCAAGAAGCATGAGTACCAGAACGCTACCACTGATGACCTTTGGGCTGCCCTTTCAGAAGAATCCAAGATTGATGTCGGCGAGTTCATGGGCACCTGGACTCGTGTTATCGGTCTTCCTATCTTGGATGTCTCAGAATCGGACGGCGTCGTCTCGGTGGAACAGCACCGCTACTTGTCCACCAACGATGTCAAGCCTGAAGAGGACGAGACCATTTGGTGGGTCCCCTTGGGCGTGTACCCCAAGCCCGAATCGATTGCCGATCCTAACCAAACACTCAAGACGCGCTCGCTCAAGTTCGAGGTCCCTGAGGGCCCTTACCTGCTCAACAAAAACTTCAGCGGCGTCTTCCGCACCAATTACCCACCTAGCGCCATTGCTCGCATCGGCCAGGCCATCTTGAATGGCTCAGATCTTGTGTCGTTGAGCGATCGCGCTGGACTCGTCGCAGACATCTCGTCCCTGGCCAAATCTGGCCACACCGCCACCAAGAACTTTTTGGACCTCGTTCAGTATTACAAAAACGAGGATACTTACATTGTCTGGGAGCTCCTCGCCCAGCGTGTGGGAGAGATCGCATCCGTCTTTGCCGATGACGAGCGCATTTACCAGGGTATCAACCACTTTCAGCGCAACCTGATTGACGGTATGGTTCAGAAGTTGGGATGGGAGTACCCCGATGGCGAGGATTACCTCACTAGCCGTCTTCGCAATGTGATCCTGCGCACTGCCGGCCGCGCTGGCCATGAGGCCACGGTTGCGGAGGCCAAGCGCCGGTTCGCCATCTTTGTGTCGGACCCCAGCCAGGATGGTATCTTGCACCCCTCGATTCGTCAGACAGCCTTTGAGATTGTCTTGAGCAAGGGTGGGGAAGAGGAGCTCAATCATGTGCTCAAGTACTTCCGCAGCGCACCTAAGCAGGACCAGCAGGTGGTTGCGCTCTTGGCTCTCGGGCATGTGCAGAAGCCTGAGTTGATTGCGAAGGTGCAAGCCCTTGCGATCTCGGAGGAGGTCCGTTCTCAGGATATCATGTACGTGTTGAACGGATTGTCAGTCAACCCCAAGGCGCGTCTGTCAACGTGGGAGTTCGTCAAGGCCAAGTGGCCTTTGTTGGAGGAGCGGTACAAGTCCTCGATGGGTCTGCTGGGCGCATGTGTCAAGGCGCCGTTGTCGCAAGTGTCGGACAGCAGCCTAGTGAAGGACGTGACAGAGTTCTTTGTCGACAAGGACACCAAGAGCTTCCAGCGCGCGTTGGACCAGGCCATTGAGAGTCTGAACGTCAACTCTGCCTGGGTCGCACGCGAGCATGAGGGACTCACCGCCTGGTTGACGGCCAAAAACTACTGAACTATGGAGAGAGGGCCCCATTGAGCGAACGTACTACAACCGGTGTAAATGTAAAAATAAAGCGTTTAAATTTCGATTTGAGGAAGAGGTTGTACCTGAATTGGGAATGCTCTGCAAGTTCCATTCGATCTCGCATCGCCTGCCCCCTCGGGGAGGAACAGGCTATCCTGTTAGATAGGGAGGACGATATATACCCTGCATATATATACACGACAAAGCCGCGTGGGCTGGCGATCACAGTCAACGCGCGTACAGCTACATCAATCAACAATTCCTCTTACCATGACTACGCGTGTTTATAAATATTTGATCTATATCGGGCCCCTCACATTCCTCTCTTTTTTCAACGGAGAACACGACAGGACTAGATACCCCCCAAATACATTTCGCTCAACTAGGCAAGCGAGGATGAATGCCTACGACAGATACACAGCTTCGATTCACTTCAATTCCCATTCACTGCGCACACATTTCACACCATGGTGTCTGACAAGGGGCCACCTCCTATGCGTACTCCAGCAGCAGTTTAGAAACGCAGCAGCAGGGAAGCGGGCACTCTATCTATCTATCTACCGACCATCACACATCGAAATGATACAAAACTGCACTTTACAGCTTCAGAAGCCTTTTGCTATGGGTGTTCCCCGGAGAAGGAAGAAGGGAAAGATCGATGTGACGATGGCTGTCCTGGTCAATGCTCAGAAACGTTGGAGAGACGACTGGAGTCAGTTGAAAAAGAGATCTTATGGACAGTCTTCGGCGAATACGTCCTTGTGCTAGGGGCAATCAAGCCCTCATACAGTAGAACAATTACTTTGCCCTCCCACTCTCAAAAAATTAAAAAAAAATTGGGTGCTCCGTATGATTCCAAGGCACTCTCCATGCTAAACGGTGCTCCATTGTGTAAAATGACGAGGAAACGCGACAGACAGACAGACAGACAGAGAGTGTGTGTAGACTGGTCTAGGCAGTGAAATGCTACGGGTGGATGCATAGAGACTGATAGGGTGCAACGTGAACGTGCGGAGTAAACTATTGGGGCGGGATATATATATATTTTTTTTTTTTAAAAAAAAAAAAGAAACAATTATCGTTGCCCATCTTTTGTTCTGGCCGTCATTGCAATCTCGAGTGTACAGTCCTTGGAGTGACAAGCATAGCACAGCAGAATAGGAAGCCAGTCGGTCGCGGAGCAATTTTGTAAAGAAAGTTATATTTGAGCGCACCCGCGAGGAATATTCGACTGATGTGTGTATGGGGGGGGGGGGGCAATGACTGCAGGCATGAGTCGCCGAGTAACGTAATCTTACACAGCAATCTACGTACATGCTGAAGAGCGGTGCGCCCAATAACGCGATCGCTGGGGCCGTAGCCGGTATATTGCTCCTTATTACCGCCACTGTTGCTGTTGTCGCTGTTGCTGCGGTGGGTAAGGTGGAGAATTCGACCAACCATAGACTCTGTTTGCTGAAACTGTTGTTGCAGTAGACATTTCGTTGGTTGTTCCAAGGGCTGCTCATCTGGCCGTGGTTGGCATAACAGCGGATAGCATCACCTTCGCTTTTGCTGTTTTTTTTTTTTTTACGTTGATGTCGCTGTCTCTGAGCTTATTGGAGTCAATAAGTACGTTGATGGTAAGTTCACAACTCGTTGGATATTTAGTGCGCTCTGCTTGGAGCTGTTCTGGGGTCAGTTATGGAGAATTGGAAAAAGGACAAGTGAAAACTGGGAGTGTGGGAAGGTTACACATACTGGGGGTTTTTTTTTTCGCCTTTCCTTTCAAGTTAAACCCAGTTCAGTCAATGAGATGCATAAGCGTCAAAAGCGACCGTCAGCACATCCCAGGTCGAACCGTGCGATATTATCATCAAAGAAAGCATCGTTGAATTGTCAGTGTGCATGCCATACAAGATGTGCAAGCGGTTAAAATTATTACTAATTGCGTCTTTTATTACCAACGGATGCCGCTAATATCGAGAGGAAAAAAAAAAAAAAAAAAAAAAAAGACCATGAGGGATTGCATAAAGAGAAGAATGTAATTGTAGGAACTGTAGGAGTGGGGAGAAAAAAAATCTTAGGGGGATATACAAGATAATGCATTTGGATTGGATAGTGAGAAAATGATATAGCACAGAAGGATCAGTGAGAAAGAATGAAGAGAGAACGAACAGGAGAACAAAAAAAGAAAATGCGTCGAGATGTGGTTGACTGAACCATGTTGAAAATTCGATCGCCCGAAAAAATAATAGAGACGGCATCGCCTCGTCAAGAGGGGGGTGCGCGTCTTGCTAAACGTTCGGGATTTGTTCCTAGATGATTACATAGCATCGATCCCAGGACCAGCCTCGCCAAGCTCTGCAGGAACAACAATTGATCGCGCCTTCGCTTGCTCTGCCGAGTCCTGCTGCTTCAATCCTTGGTGGTTCCCACGCAACTCACCTCGGTTTGAGTTAGTCGACCACAATACGCTCTTCTTGCCACCCTTCTTCTTCCTGCACTCAGTACTATCCCCAGCTGTCCCTATGGGGCCTGTCTGGGTGGATTCGGGCTTGTTGACAATCCTGGCAATATCCGCTAAGCATAGCTCCACTGCTGCTCTGGGTACTTTTCCCCCATGGCCTCCATCGCGGTTGTTGCCGTTGGCCCGTCCATTTTTCTGACCGCCATGGCCCTTCGGTCCTTCGCCACCATGACTCTTGCCTGTTGATTTGTGTCGAGGAGGTGAAGCCGGTGGCGATGATGGGGGCCTGGATGTTCCATTCCGCTCGCCTTGCTTTCCAACAGTCATAGACGATCCTGCGGTGTCATCGCGCGTGCGTATGCTGGATTTCCGTGGCCGGTTCTGTGCAGGACCTTCAACGCCGACAGCATTGCCTTCAGCCAAAGCCTTCCCGGAGTCGTTCCTAGGAAAATTGATAGCAGCAGCCTCTTCTAATGTTGAGCTCGTGACTCCGACCTCACTACAGGTAGTTGCATCCTTTCTTGTGTTGCTTATTCGAGTCGAGGTCAAGGACGGCAGGTCCTTACTTGGAGGGGACACAGAATTTGACCGTGCCCGCTTTTCGTGCCCGGCACGATCATATCGATTATTGGATGCGTATGAAGAGTTGTTTCCTCGAGGGCGCCATGATTCCGTATGCCTGACAGTGTCATCAGCGTCCGCGCTCCCCTCATTTCGTCCATGGAAACTGTGATGATGGGACCTGTATCCATTAACATAGCGTCTTCCTAATGTGGAATGGTTGTTGGCAGAAAAATTGCCGACGCCGCCACTTCGGTTGTAGACACTGTTATTGTTGTTGTGATAGTAGCAAGGGGGGAACACCCATTGCTCGCACACTTGATCCAAACTGCTATTGTGATTAAGAATATCCAACGCCCGTCGAAATTCCTGCTTCAGACCCTTGCTGCTAGCCATATCGCACGAGTTTCCAAGGTTTCGCGTGGTGTCAAATGGCTCCTCGATACAAAACAGTCGATAATGCTTTCCAGGGATATGCCAGCCCTTCGACTCCTTAGTCAAGTAGCATCCATGTCGGACCGAGACGACGTGATGGTCGTAGTCAAACTCGATCGCAAACCTACAGAATCCATAAAAATGCATTAGACATCTGTGAAATCGGGTATTATTGTGAAAAAAGGAAAACATCGACACTTGTCATTACTTACTTTCGGAAAAAGGCATAAAGCAGCCCTCCTAGCGACTCTTTGTTAGCATCCCCAAATCCCTCTAGCTGCGACAGGTCGCTAAAGAACGATGTGTTATTGCCGTTGATGATCTGATTATCCGGCGATAGCTCGTGAGGCATGTCATGGAGGGAGGGCAGAATTGGTGGCGATCGCATCTGTAAGAAATTGATGACCATGCAAATCCATGTATATGTCGATATCGTGCCTCCGTTCGCTATCCGATTGTAAGGACGGTTGGGCGTGTCAGTCCAGAATAATGCGATGAAGCACAGATAGATACGATCGCGGTGCCAAAATGAGACATACCGGCATCGTTCAGCACTCTCTTTCGCGCCCAGTGCTTAATGATCATCGCAAAAGGCCGGACGCGAGGGTCGATCGCCACATATGTCCTGACCATCCTCGAATTCATAATCCCCAGCTGCGTATTAATGTTCATGTCGCAAGAGAGTTGCCTAACAAAGAACAACAGAGGGGATATAAGTATAGGAGCTCCTTTGTGATCCTCTTATTGTTGAGCAGCTGAAAATAAAAAATAACAAAAAATAAAAAGCTTACAACTGAGGATCCCACAGTTTGACGATGGGGACCTTTGCCCCGGGGACGCAAAACACATTTTCCATGCCATGCTTTCGGAACACCTCCGCCAACATTTCCACACCCTGTAGGCCTAACCAGGATGTCAAAATGCAGATATCCACATCGCTTGTATTGGTACCGAGGTCATTCACAGTCGATCTGAGAAGTAAGAAAGAACCTACGTGTATTAGTAAATGCGACTTTTCTTTAAAAAAAAATGGACAATAACCAGAGAGCTCTGCACTTCCATCTTTTCTCATAAGAAATAAGTGGAAATTCATACCCAAATGGTAGCACTTTGATATCCTGCCCAGGCCATTCAGTGTGGATGATGCCCTCAATCTTGCTGATCAACATTGTCCTGCGCTGATGGCTCTCTTCAGTCGGCAGTAGATTCTATTGATTTTGAATATAGCCAAGAAGGAGACCCAGTTAGTGTACATGTTTATACAACCTCAACGGCGCACGACCCGTGTGTAAATGTGCTTGTGGCATGTACACAAACAAATCTCTTTGTCTTTGGTATGGGGAAAGTGTGAATTGCGGATATGGGTGGTGAATTGCGGATTGCAGACGGGGATGGCACGTTGAGGAAGGGTAGTCGCACGTGGGCTTGAATACTTTCATTCTAAGGATCAACCATGAAGACCAAGTAGCCTCCACTCGCCTTCTCTTTGAGTATTGCAGATAAACATACCTCGAATAGCCTGTACATCTCCATTGTTAGGCTCGCTTCACGCTCAGGAGGTAATACAATTGGCACCTGTTGATGCAGCCGTTGCTCAGTGGAAATATTTGGTGTAGACGATCGCATTGGCGGTCTGACGATCGGCCTCGGGTTCACTCGGATGGGTGCAACCCCTGGTAGGAGTGCGGTCCAGGCCGAAGCAGGTTGCGCTGGCAGGTGAGATGCAAGGGAAGATATCCTGGGCGCCATCAGTATTACAGGCGTTACTGCAGGAGCAACTCTCGATGATCGAGCTGCTCTTGTTGCTGGTGGTGGTGCTGATCCTGCTCGTGCTCGGGCTGGAGGGGTTTTACTCCACTCCTCTGGTCGAACTTTTTCGGTGCCAGGAACTTGGACTTCGACTGGCTCCTTAACAAACTGCTGTCTGGTTGGGGACAGAGGGGGCGTGGCTATCATCAGACTGGGCGCAAGATAATTACGCATGTTGTTGCTGTTGCAATCCTGAAGGGTGAGGATAGAGACAGGATTCCGAACCAAGCTGCTTGAGAGTACATCGGCACTATTCCCAGCAGAGATATAATCATGCCCATGCTCGAAGGCATGGGCTGTATTGACGCCATTTTCTGTAGAGTCAGCAGAGTCAGCAGAGTCAGTGGAATCGACCGAGACGGTATCGGCGCCACTTTCTGAGAAGGAGTCTTCGAAGCTGGTAGGCGAGTCTGGTCGCTGCTGTTGTTGCTGGTGGTTTTCCTGGCGTTTCTGAGACCGAGGCTGACGTTGCTGCTGCTGTTGATGTGGGGTGTGTAGACTGACGACAGGGTGCAGCAGGGTCTGACCGTGCAGAGGCGAGTGTGGGGGGCCCATGGGGTGCTTGCCTTGATCGCAGATAGGGGGAGAAACCGTGGTAGTGGAACTGAGACGCTTGTGCTCGCTGTTCAGAGGTAGCAACATGGACGAGGACAAAGGGTTGCGAGGAAGAGGGGTCCAGCTATCCTCTCGTTCAGCGGAAGAGGGTTCAGACGGAGGAAGAGTGTTAAGTTGGGGTTTTTTTTAATTTTTGTTGAGGGTGAAGTTGTGGTTGCGGTTGTGGATTCAAAGGAGGATTGATCAGAAAGAAAAGAAAGAAAAAGGGAATGAGAGACTGGATGGATGGATGGATGGATGGATGGATTGGTGGCAAAGGCGAGGAGAAGAGAGATCGAGGTGTGCGGTGGGAGAGAACGATGGGGGGAGAAGAGAGGGATCAAAAAAAAAAAGAGGACCAGTCCGGCGCCCTCTTCAGAGAGAGTGAAGGAGAGTGACCCGCAAAGGGAGGAGGACAGGAAAGAAAGAGAGAAGGAAAGGAAAGGTAAAAGGTAAAGAAAAGGCAGAGAAGAAAAGAGAAGAGAGGAGAAGGGAAGAAAAGAGAAGAGAAGAGAGGAGAAGGGAGGATGAGGGTAATGAGAAGACAGGTCCACAGTTGGTGGTTGTCTGCTTTTGTCGAATGGAAAGGACGTTGGTGCATGCAAAGGAAGAATGGATCCCACGATGATGTCCTCTTTGTTGTGGACAGACTCGTCTCCACGGTGCACCAAAATGAACTAAATAATAATGGCTTTCTTTCGCGCTGCTCTGGCACAGGCACAGAAACTGCGGGAAAGAGGGAGAGGGAATTGCATTTACCCTCCCCCTTTCTCATCCTTTTGGGCGCATTTTGATATTCCTCCAACCATATCATTCGATATCTCACACGCACGCACACACATACATATACAATCGATTGTGCCCACCAATTTGTATGCTTGCATATGTGTACGTACAGATGTATGCATACTCATATATCACCACTCCCTCATCCGTGTCGTTACTGACCTATATCCCTCGGCCTCTTCCTCATCAGCTCCATCATTTCCTCAAAGCCCCTCTTTCTTTCTTTCTTTCTTTCTTTCTTTCTCTCCTCCCTGCATCTCTCGCAGGAGCAGTTGATGCGCAAAAGCATGCAATCTTAAAATGCGACAGCATCTCGCTCCAGAGGCACATGCAACAATCCTGTCAATTCCCGAATTTCCGGTTCATTGTAGCATCATCATTCCTTCTCGATCCTCAGAACTATCCATGCTCTGCTGCGCCGTGGGTCGTTTTTGAATTCAATTTCTTTACAAGGAATGTTCTGAACTGCGTTCCTGACTTTTATTATTCCTCTATCGCGTTCCATCTTCCTTCGCTACTTCTTGCCACTCTTCTTGATGCCGCCACCAACTTGAAAAGTCGAGAAGAAGAGGGAGGGTCCATATTGTGAGAAAAAAAAATGCACTGCGCCACGCGAATATGAAAAAAAAAAACCCCCCTCAAAAAAGGACAAGAACTTACCGAGGGGTCCCTTTCCAGCGGCCTTTTGCTGCATCTCTTTCAGCTTAGCCTGCTCTTCCTTCTGCTTGGCCTTGTAGGCGAGGTCTTCCTGTAGGCACGAAACAAAAGAAAAAAAAAGCCGATTCAATATGAATCGCTTTTGCATTCAGGGCCTGACCAAAGCATACATGTGCTTGTAACGGAAAGGTACCTCGTCCAGGTCAACAGCCTTCTTCTTGGGTGCCTTGAGGGGCTTTGCTTTTCCTCCAGCGCGTCCAGACATAATGGCTTCTCTGTGCGAGTGTGTGTATGAGAGAGTGAGGGAGTGAGAGAGTGAGGGAGTGGATGAGAGAACAAATGAGTGAATGTGTGAATGGAGTGTACGTGTGTGTAAAAAACGACAGGGTCTTTTTTCAATGGCCAATCGAATTGCCCCCAAAAAGAAGTGACTTGCATGGCCCTGCTATTTCCTTTTTTGTCACCATAGTCCTCCTTTTGTCCGTCTCACCCCATTGCTCTGTTCAGTACATTCCTCTGCTCCACTCTCACCCATCCCAATCCGAACATGTACCACACCCTCAGACCCTCTCTCAGGGTTGGCATCACCGCCGCAAGGGATCTGTCAGGTATCCCGGAGCTTCACCTTCCTTTGCCCGTGTGTTTGATCCGAGCTGAGCTGAGCTGATCTGATCTGAACTCATCCCATGTCCTCCTCACTAACCCAACCTTTTTATTGACCCACCAACAGGCCCTCACTCGTCCGCGTTGCGTATGAATGTCTCGACTCCCTACTACCGCTCTGTCAAGGTCCAGGTCGTCCACATGCGACAAACCAACGTTCAGGGGCTCAAATACAGCAGTCAGCGCCATGCCTTTCACTCGTCGCCATTTCCTAGGATCCCCAGCTCCCTACGGCTTTTACGCGCGACAGAGCAGCAGCAACAGCCACTCCTCAAATCGACCATCGAAAAGGAGACCCTTGCTTCTCGTTCCGCCGAGATGGCCAAGGCCAAGGCAGCCAAGGAGGCTACCGAGGCTGCCAGTGGAATTGCAGGCGAGGGTGCCGTTGTTCAACCTAAAAAGTCGCTCTGGGTGAGATTCAAGAACGAGATGATCCATTATTGGCACGGAACAAAACTGCTCGGCAAAGAGATCAAGATCTCGACCAAGTTGGCTGGTCGGCTGTTGCATGGAAACAAACTGACTAGACGCGAGCAGAGACAGGCAAGTGCATCCTATTACAAATCATATCGTGTTCTCACACGGTCGATGAAAAGTTATCAATTGAATATCTAACCTCCCCAAATTCCTTCATTTACTTCTTTAATAGCTGAGACGAACCACTGGAGACCTGCTTCGATTGCTCCCTTTCTCGGTCTTCCTGATTGTGCCCTTCATGGAACTGTTGCTGCCTGTCGCATTGAAACTTTTCCCCAATATGCTGCCCTCAACCTTTGAGGACAAGTACGCGGAGGAGGAAAAGAGGAGAAAGCTGCTCAAGATGCGACTCGAGATGGCAAAGTTTTTGCAAGAGACAATCGAGGAGTCAGGAATCCCAGGGTCCTCGCGTGCAGAGGCCGTCAAGGAATTTGGCGATTTCTTCAGGAAGGTGCGCACAACTGGCGAACAGGCCTCGACAGACGAGCTGATCCGGGTCGCCAAACTGTTCCATGACGAATTGACACTTGACAACCTGTCCAGGCCCCAGCTCGTCTCTATGTGTCGCTACATGAACCTCAACGCGTTCGGAACAGACAACTTTTTGAGATACCAAATCCGCAACAAAATGAACTCTATCAAGCAGGACGACAAGGTAAGCCTGCCCATACATACATCATAAGCAGTCGCGCAGACGGACAGTTCCGTATCTTTCAATATTTTTAGTGCCCCCCATTCAACTTGTGGTGGAAGAACTATTTCCGTGAATTCCGGGACGGCTTCTCATGCCGGGTCTTTGATCTTTCTTTTTTTTCTTTTTTTTTTCTTTCAATAGTTGATTATGGCGGAAGGCGTCGACTCATTGACGACGCGTGAACTCCAAGCTGCTTGCCAGTCGCGCGGTATCCGTACAGGAGGCGTGTCGACCGCCCGTCTTCGAAGTGAACTCCAGCAATGGCTGGAGCTCAACTTGACCTATGCGATTCCATCTTCGCTCTTGATTCTCTCGCGCGCATTCTCGTTCTCGGACTTTAAGGAAATGGCCACGCCCGTCGAGGCCCTTCAGGCGACCCTTTCATCCTTGCCCGACAGCCTGTTGACAGAGACAGAGCTTCATGTGTCAGAACTCGAGGGCGCAGCTACAGCTCAACAAAAGCTGGAAGTCTTGGAGCAGCAGGAGGAGCTTATCGCTGATGAGTTGGCTCAAGAGGAGAAGGAAGAAAAGGCCCGCAAGGTCCGCAAGGAGGAGGCAAGGATCAAGAAGGAGACTGAGGGAAGAGAGAAGCAAAAGGTACAGGATCAGCAGGAGGCACCTGCTGTAGCGACCTCGGCCGACACTCTCGCTTTTGACAAGCCGATTCCTGTGGCTACTACTGCTGGTGCTCCTGCGACTCTGGCGGGCGCATCAGAGTTATTGACGGACGCTCAGGTCGCTGCACAGGTGGCCAAGGATGTTGGTGCGACTGCAGCCACAAAGGAGTTGCTTCAGGCTGCAGAGTCCGTGAGTACCAGCCCTCCTGCTCCTGCTCCTGCTGCAGTTGCTGGTGCGGCCCCTGTTGCTAAACCTACCGAGGATGAGGAAGACACTGCCCGCATGACGGAGGAGCAATTGCTCGAGCTGAGAGAGGCTTTGTGCATCATGTCATCTCGTTCGGCCGTGTTGGAGGAGCGCGAGGAACTGGAGGATCTAAAGGAGGATCGCATGGACTACAAGGAGGTAATGTACCGCTTATCAAGAAGGGATCAGAAGATGGTGTAGGATGTGCAGAATAAGGAAGACTAATGAGTGTTTTGATCTCTTTAAATGTTTATAGGACATCGAGGAGTTGGCGCAAGTCCAGCGCAAGGAGCACAACGTGTCGAAGAGACTGGGTAGCCGCCTCGAAAAGATGATTGCGAAGCTGGATCAGGAACTGCAGGCGTTTGATGCGGAGGGCAACAAGTTGCAGGCGTTCCAGGCCAACGAGCGCGGAGAGTTGACAGTAAAGGATATCGAGTCGGCCTTGAAGGTGATCAAGCACGCGCCGGACGAGGAGAAGATTAAGCAGATTGTCAAGAAGTTGGATGTGGACGGCGACGGACTGGTCCTGCTGAGCCACATCGTCGAGTTGGCGGACCTGGTAGAGCAGGAGGAGGGCACGGGTGTCCTTGTCGAGGGCAAGAAGGTCCAGGGCAAGGAGACCGAGACCGAGAAGGATAAGAAGCTCAAGAAGGAGGACGTCCTGAAGGAGGATTAGGCAACCATTCTGTACTTTCTCAACCTCGCCCCTCTCTCTCCCACGCCATCACTGCCACCACTGCCACTACAGCGGCTGCGATTCCGCGGTTGCCCATGTACACTTTACACTCCCCACATCCACTCACTCTTCTCACCATAAATAAAACTTTCATAGATTCTTTGAGGCCATGCTCTAGACTGCCACGTTGCCATATGGGCCATTACGGGGCATGCGCCGATTGTCTATATGTGATGCTGAGAGCGCTCTAAATTAAAGAAAAAAAAAATCTAGGCCGTTGAAGAAGGGTCTCACTGCTCTTGCACACATCTTACACTCATCTTGTCATTTCCCATTCAACCATTTCCCACCAACACCCGACACAAGGATTCCTTCATTGCAACGACAACTGTCCATTGGAAACCTCTGTCATCCACACCATGACTGCCTCTACAAAGCTCTATCTCACTCTCGCCCTCGCCCTGGCTGTCCTTGCTACAACCCCTGGTTCACAGGCCGCCGTAGCTGACGCAGCCCCTGCGCCCGTAGCGCAGACAGAGGTCTTTGACTACACTGTGTACCAGTCCCCTCCCATCTGGCAAGGTACGATGATACGTCCGCTTTGATCCTAATCTCTCTATATCTGTGCTTTCACAAACACACAATGTTACCTGTACTGTGAGGAGGAAGGGAGGGGGAACCACTGTAACCAGTTGGTAACCTCACTCCGCGCAGTGGACCGACAGTTTGAAGTGAAAAAATAATAATAATTAATTAATAATTAAATATACACATGTCTTGTGAGACCTATAAAAGACGGGTGTGCGACATATCCACTCATTCATTTTTTGCACGTTCGAATTTTTTGCACAATCTAGAGGTGAGCGCCTATGAGGACCAGGAGATCCCTATCAATTACCGCCCCGGCGGTGCCCGTGGAGGAGACATTGGACGTCGTCGTCGTCGTCGTCGCAGCGCCAGCATGGCCAAGCGCGCCGTCATCTATGACAAGGACGCACATCTGTCCCTGGACCAGGATTTTGGGGACCTGGGCCTTGTGAATGCGCAGGTGGAGACGACGATTCAGAGCTCCATCGACTTGAAGAAGCGTCTTGTTAAGAGAGCTGAGGATTATGAGGGAACACAGGATGGGGATGATGAACAGAACGAGGAGGGGGATGAGCATGACGAGGAAGTGGAAGAGGAGAACGGTGCGAGCTTTGATGGTGAGACCAACTCTGAGGAGTCCCAGGAAGAGACTAACGACGGAAACGAGATTGGTGGACAGGGAAATGAGGACGAGAATGAGGAGGATGAGGATGAGGAGGATGAGGACGAGGACAACTTCGAGTCGATCGATGAGAACGAGGAACGTCGTCTTGATAACGAGGCGGGTCTGCAGGATTGGATCGAGGAGATGAAGTCGGAGGAGTACTTTGACCTGGCAGGGCACCCAGACGGCAACGGATTCGATGGCGCGCAGGAGCAGCACGAGCAGTCGTTCGACTATGAGCAGGAGGTGAGCTCCTCCTACACCGAGAGCGAGGGCGAGGACGAGCCCTCGCCTTCGGAGGAGGAGGTCTTTGCGGCCTCGTGGCACCACTAGACAACTAGACGTCGGACATACACACACACACACCCCTTGCGCCACCAAAAACGAAAGAAGAGACACGATATTCCGACCATCCCCATCCCCTTTTTATATACCAAGCTATATCTTGCCTCCATGGACGACCTCCTCCTCCTCCTCCCTGAACGATATATATTTATGAACAAGACAAGGAACAAAATAAAAGACCAAGGCATGCGAGTACCTTTTTTTGCATTCCCCACCCGGCGCTATAAACATATTTATTTATTTTTTCATAAAACTCACACATCTTGACACGCTCTGCTGTTCTTGGGACCATGTATCCTCGGACACACGTTTCAAAGAGATGTACATCTATGTACATCTCCCCATCGCCCATACCTTCTTCAAAATGTCAATGTAAAAATATAATATCGCACAAAAAAGAATCTTGCCCCCCCTTCCCCCTCTCCCCTTCTTCCTCCTCCTCCTCCTCCCCTTTGGTGGTGGTGATTCTCTGTTTCCTTTTCCCATGCAAGCTCCTCGGAATTGCAAAATCGCGATCGAAGGAAATTCGCGATCAAAGGAGGCAGGTCCTGAGAGCGTTCACACAATTTCTTTTTTTTCTTTTCTTTTTTTTTTGGGAGGGGGGAAAGGAGAGAATGAAGGTTACAAAAGCTATCCACAAAAAAAAAAAAAAAAAAAAAAAGACGATACCTGGTGCTAGACTGATTCCAATCCCCCCACTCCAGCTCACATATCCATCCACTTATACTATAGCCTACTTTCTGGGTGACAGGTATGGTGGTATAGAGGACTAGACTATCTTGAAGGAGGGAAATCGCGTTTTTTTTTTCTTTCTTTTTTGCTTTCTAGAGAGCACAGGTCATCAAGGATTAGCTAAGTTTTGCTGTTGAGTTGTTGTTTGTTGTTTGTTGTTTGTTGCTGGTTGGTGTTCTTTGGAGTTGGTTGGAATAAGGTGTGTGCGCGCGCACAAGGCGTGACGGGGTGGGGATGAGCTACTTTTGATCTTGGGTCCCCTCCTCGCACCCCGTGTTCCTTGTGTAATGGTCAGTCACCAACGGTCTGGTCAATCATGTGCGCTTTTCTGGCAGTCTACATGCAGACTCGTAGACTATTGACTGTAGACTCTCGTAGGACAGTGAGGCAGTGAGGAAAGAAAGAAAGGCGCAGAATTGACCTCTTTTTTTTTTTTTTTTTTTTTTTTTTTTGATCCTTTGGAGGCGCGAACATTTCTATGCCTGACAGCTCCCTCTGGCCCTTCCCTCTCTCTCTCTCTCTCTCTTTCTCCGAATTCCGTTCTGTTGGGAATAGATTGGGTGTGCTGTTTTCGTACACACATGTTTGTTGCGCACAGATATCTTTTATTATTTTCACTGGAACAAAAAAGGAGGTGAGCCAAGGGAGAGAGGGGGGGGGAAGGGGGTCTATTTTTTTCTGGCCATCTACTCCACGGCGCTCATCCGGGTCCTCAACCCCCCACCCCACGAGAGCCACCCCCCCCCCCCCCCCCCCCCCCCATGGCGAAAACCTCTTTTTTTTTTCTTTGGGTTCTCGTTTTACTTGTGGGATACAAAGAGCTTCTTGTTTCTGAAATGCTTATTTTAGATCTGTTCTTTTTGGTCCGTGGTCACTCTTCTGGAAAATGCGATTTCCCCACTATTGAAGTTAAAAAAAAGCGCAGATAGATGACTCAGCTGGCCTTTTTTTTTTTTTTTTCATGCAGACGTTTCTACGGGTGCAGAAAACCCTTTGTGGAAAAAAAAAAGAAAAAGAAAACGCAAAAAGAAAAATCAAAGAACACGTTGGCGATCCAGTCAGGTTCGTTGTTTTCAGGGGAATGCCCGTTTGTCCTTTGCTTGGTCCATAACTGAGCCATGGCTGGCGTTACCACATGTACTGTACATGTACATAGACTGCTGTAGTCTACTGTTAGTCTACTGTTAGTCTGCTGCAAGTGTATGTACAGAAAAGAGGAGTGGGGGAAGGAAAAAAATCCTCCTACTGGCTCGATTCACTTGTTTTGTGTGCTTTGTTTACTCTTTTCCTATGTGTGTGGTGTGTGTATGTGCTCCCCTTTCTTGTTCCTGCGTCCCCTTGATGATTTGTCTGTGCTTTTTTTTATTCCTATTGGTTGTTGGCGTATAGGGCATATTTCATTGGCCAATTGAATTGAGTTTCTTATTCATTTTGTCCGCGCACAGGCCAATCAAACCTTGATTTGATTGCCCGACTCGCTTTTTTTTTTCTGGAGATGTGGATTGTTTATTCTTTTTTGTAACTGAACATGTGTATCTAACTGTTACGCTGTTGCTGTTATCCATGCCATGCAGGCGCGTGAAAGGTGGGCTAAAGGGCACCTGTGTCAGAGAAGATCAGACATGAGAGCTGTGGAGGGTACTGGATGTCTCTGTCCTCTACAAGAACAAACCCCTCCTCCCTTGCATTTTTTTCTTTGTTCATATTAAAAGGAGGCTGAATCGGCCCTGCTTTTTTTTTTTTTATCCCGGTTTTCAAAGAGAAACAGTACATACAGGTATGTATGTGGAGAGCGAGCTTCGATCATGGTCAATGAGAGCATCCTACAGCATTCTATATCGGCGTTGGAACATGCGTGCAGATTCGCGCATATCTGTTTATCCCCTCAAAAAAAAAAAAAGAAAAGAAAAAGGTGTACCTCTTTTTTCTTTTTTTTTTTTCCTTGCAGTGAGCTGTTGCTTTTGTTCGCACAGATGGAGAGATCTGGAATAACTCACAGTGTAAAGACGGAGATATGAACCATGCTGTCTTAGCTTTTTTCGGCGTGTTTTCTGAGCAATTGAGCGCGCCCACCGCGCATCGTTTTTTTTTTTTATTCTTGACGAATGTGTGTGTATGTGTGTGTGTGGCGGGGGGGGGGGGGAGGGGGGAAGTATTAATGAACATGTACATCGATACATCAATGAGAGCGTGGTGAACCTTTTTGAAGGTGTAGAACCCTCAGCACGATACAAACTAAGACAACTGACTGGGGGGGAGGGGGGCCAACTTCCGCTTCCACTACAGCAACGGCGCGTTTTCTGGCCACAGAAAAAGAAAAAAAATAAGCTCGGCATTGCGGAAGAGATGGAGATGGAGATGGAGATGGAAGAGGAAGGGAGGGATGTTGGGGAGGGGGGGGGGGGGAGGGTGGGGGAGGAGCAACATCTTGTACGAGGGCAGACTGCAGTTGTCACCATGACACCTGCTCTCAGCTTTTGATGCCCTTTGAGGCTTCCCCCCCCCTCTTAGAGTCGAAAACACTCCCTTTCTTAGTATTGGCCTTAGCCTTAGCCTTCTCGCATACGCGCACGCGTGCTCTTGTCAATGAACCTACGCGTGAAAATCGTGTCCTTTCTATTTAGCTTCAGTCCAAGAGGATCTACAATGTCAGCAAAAAAAATTTGTACTTTTTCGGAACAAGAGATCGTTTCATGGCCCTCGTTTTTTTTCTGTTTTTTTTTTTCCTGCATTATCCAACGTTCGAACTACAACGTCTATCCGCACGACGGAATAGTCTATGGAGGGCTACTTCATGCTGAGGTGATGTAGCACGGCAGCTACTTGGAGGATCTGTTCACAAGCTCCAAACGGGTATCCGTCGCTATGACGTTCATGCATGCACATAGACTACATGTGCATGCATGAAATGAGAAAAAAAAAACGCGGAGACCAATGGACCAGTATCGTCATTGAATGCGTCCGAGTCGTCATCAAGCCTAAACCATGGAATCATGCCCTTACGTTGTGAGTTTACAGCAGCCCTTCTGACGGTTACTCCAGATGATAAAAAAAAAAAAAGTAAAAAAAAAGTAAAAAAAAAAAGGCGGGAGTGTCCATCTTCCTTCCCCACCCTTCAGTCAACGTCCTTGGTTTATTATTAAATGCACCAGCAGAGTGAAGTCTAGTCTGGAACATAGACCGTGGTGGAAGCTGGCTCTTGTTTACATAAAAAAAAGCGTGGGAGACATCTATGGAGTGTGTTCTAGTCATTTTTGCTCATGAATCCAAAAATGAAAAAGCAAGACGTTTATCGTGCGGTCCTTTGGGGTCTGTGGGGACGAATGAATTTTCACCGCGCTCCTGCCCACTTCCTATCGTGTCTTTCCTAACCCAGAAAAGAACAGAAAGAGAGAAAAAGGAAAGGAAAAAGACCACCCGTGTCTACGCAAATAGAGTTGGACGTGCTGCGCACGAGGTACCGGTTAATGTCGCTGGGCAGATTTTCCTTTTAAGGCAGAATGTGCTGGGGGTCTTTATCCACGCTCTAGAACTCCAGCACTCTTTTCTTCTCGACATCTCTCTGGACATCTTGAATCTTATGCCCAGGTGGGCGAATCTGCTGTTTCTGTCGTCGTCTGCTCCCTGAGATAGTCCATCACACTCGGCTTTTTCTTACCCGCACTATCCTATCGATTTCCTTGTTCTGCTGAAAGTTCAAGACAAAAAATGAAGGCCTTTTTTAGCCATGGACGAAATGCAGGAAAACGGTGGCTAAAAGAAAAGAGAGAAAATAAAAACGCACTTTGTGTAGTTCCGGAAAGTAAAGAAGAATGAGCTGCAGTTCTATTAAAAAAAAAAGAGCGAGCGATTGAGCGCGGTGAGGGTGTGAACGGTTTTACTAGGCGTGCAATAAGATATCGGCTGCCCTATAGACGCGGTGCTGCTGCACTATGACAAGAGAGACCCCCCCCACCCGCAGTCGAGTGTCACGCGTTTAGATCCCTAGGGAGGTGACGACGCATGATTTTGGGGCCCAGACTCTTTGCATAACGACTGGCGAGGTACCCTACGTTTGCACTTCCACGTCGCGATAGGGTGCGACAATTAGGGTTCGCATACATTGTCTGCCCTCATTGACGAAAAATGCAAGTGCCGGGCTGATTTGACTTGGCCTGGCTTGGCTTGACTGGTTTCGTTGGTTCGGCCGAACTGGAGGGCTAACTAGAATCTACTATCTACCCCGCTCTATCCATCCTGCCTACCTATGTAGGTGAGCATGTGTAAGCCAAGTACCCCACTCACCCCCCTGAACCACTCTTCTTTGAGGTGCATGTGTGCATGTGTCAACTAAATCGCCTTGCATATACCAAATCGCCATGCATATGGATAGAACGTCTTTTCTATGGAGAATCTCTTTACAGCCCTGCCTCAGCTATAGCTTCCAAGGGGGAGGGGGGAGGTCGATGGGTCGATGGAAGCGCAAATTGAGGAATGGTAAGGACAAAAAAGAAAAAACCTGCAGTGGACGCAGCCCTGCTTCATGCTGGTCCATGTATAATTACATCTCCTCCCTTGTTTCCGTGAAACTGTCAATAGTAGAGGCGACGCGCACAATTGCCACATCCACATTAACGCGTTCATTTTTATTTTTATTTTTATTTCTGGGGGAGGGGGGCGAAAGACTGGTGATTTGCCACTAGAACCCGCTGGTCAACGCCACCCTTGGAGTACCTTCGCCACGGGCAGCCATCCACATCGAACTTTTTTTGCTTTTTTGTTCCAAATTGAAATGTAGACAGAGCCGGCGACCGTTTCATTACCATCATGGCTCATGGCGCCTAAACTCCGATGAGCAATTTAGAGTTCATTGAATAGAGCAACTAAATTGATTATATTCCGCGTAGAATTGGAAACAAAAGAAAATGTCATTTACTCCTGCCGTCATCTATATCGTTACGGTTCTCACCGCTGCAGTGCTCCCTTAGCATGGTCGACATTTATATTGGCGCCTCTTATGCGGCGATACAGTGGCTCCTCTTTAACGTCCGCCACGGGTGCCATAGGACTTTATCAATGTATCCTTCTACTAATGCATGCGTAAGCTCAATAGGAGGCCAGATGGAGAGATGTTTACTTGGAGGCTCGTAAAGTGTGGTGCATTTCATCTGCTGTCCTTGGTACCTTGTAGATGCTTGGGGTAGTGAGAGAGACAACTGCCTGAGGCATAGACTAGGAAGAAAGCGATCAGGAAACGCATCCTCTATTCCTCTTCTCCCTGTTGCCCTTCGACTAATTCGACGACCTCCTTCGTCTGTGCTCCTCTTTCTCCTGTCGTTGAGGGTGAAATAATCCTCTGTCGCGGCCCCCCCGCCTGATCCGTTTGGCCAGTTTGCGCACTGTTTTACGCTGGTCTTTGTTGTCTGGTGCAGTTGTAGATTTCATCCCTTACTTTTTTTTTATTTTCTTGCTCGCAGCACATATTATGACCGATGGTTCAAAGCGATACGTTCCCTAATAACCTCAGACTCCTTTTCTACTACTACTATACTACTACTGCTACTATATGCTATTGCGCTGTCTAAGGAGCTGTTGCGAAAGGGTTAATTTGGTCGCGCTTTTTTGAATCGTTAGTCCATCTGGCCTCTTCCTTCTTTGCTCTCACTGTCTCCTCAACGATCAACTGACAAATCTACGTCCCTTTTGGGGGGAGTGAAAAGAGGGGAGAGCGGTTCGTTTGGAGCGATGGAGAGTGAACGAGAGGGTGTCGCCCTCTTGATTTGTCCGTTACGGTATAGTTCTTTGTTTCTCCGTGGGTGCTCTTTCTCTCTGCCGCATGCTCTCTCTCTCTCTTTCTTTTTTGAACATCTGGCACAGCTTTGCTCAGCCTGAGAGGGTATACGGGAGAGAGGGAGGGAGGGAGAGGAAGGGGGACCAAGACCAGACGCTCTGGCGAGCACCGTTCCAGAGGAGCATCAAGAGGGGGACTCCCCTGGTTACCTGGTCCGCATCCAGGGTTGGCTGGCTGGCGGATGGCACGGTCCACGGGCGGCGGATGGGCTGGGATGGGTAGCGGGTGAGAAGGTTTGGGCACATCTAGGACTCAATTGCCCAATGCTTGGCGTTCAATTGTGTTTGTAGTGGGAGGATATATATATTGACCAGCAAATCAATTGCAATTGGGTATTGATTGCAATTGAATCCGTTCGTTTGACGAGACAGAGGGGCCTAAACCGGATGGCGCTCTTATTCTGATCGATTCAATCGCAACGTTCCATACGTCCTGCCCTCCTCCGCTGGCCCTCGAGCCCTCCGCTGCAACTGCACTGGCCCGCGTTTCGGTATAAAAGACCCAAGGGACTCGTCTTTTCTCTTTTCGTTTCCTTCCTATTTTCCTATTTCCTATTGTTCTTGTTCTTAATCTCGTTCTCGCTCTCGTTCTCGTTTTCGTTTCTCGTTCTCTATCCTTGGTCGCGTATCTTTCTCTCTCTCTCTCTCGCGCGCTCTCTCTCTCTTCTTCTCCTTCACTCGTCACTCGCCTCTCTCCACTCCTCGCTCAGTCCCTCCCTCGTCCCACACACTCCTTCCCTCTCTCGCCTCGATACCACACCAACAACTGCATCGCTGCATCCGGTCACATCCACACCCTGGCAGCAACACACACACCAACACACACTGCCTTCACCCCGGCCCAGCAGTTCCTGCTCCATTCAAAGGACGCCCTCTATCCACTCACACCCCCCTTTTCCTCAACACAATGCCTTCTCTCGCCGAACCAAAGACATACTCGAGTCGAGCCCTTGAAAGGCTGTTTCGAGGCCCGGTCACCCAACAAATGATCGGTAAGAGGGTTTGCTCTTCTATCCACCTCAACTGAGCCGCGACAGCGCCTGCAGCACACTATACCATGTACTATATCACGCTCTCCAATGGGCGTGTTCATGTGTGTTTTGTGTGATGGCGACACCTGTTCGGCTATGTATGATATGACGATACGATGATCGACTTGTGTATACACTACATTTTGTGTACTCATTCGTATTGTTACATCCTCCTCGCGGTGTTTGTTCCCTGCTGGTGCTCCCGCTATTCCCCCTTCGCTTAGATCACATTGCCAGTTTTGCTAGCACGGTCATTGAGTGCAGTCCCCCGCCTCCTGCACTCGCGGATGTCTACAGCAGCTCCCTCCCCTCACCGTCAAGCACACCTGCCCGTCGCAGCAGCACTAGCAGTAGTAGCAGCAGTAGCAGCAGCGGCAGCAGCAGTGAGTCAGCGATGGTGGCGGTCCCTCCACTGAACGAGTTCATTCGGACTCTGGTCGTCAACTCGAACGTGCAGGCCTCGACACTCCTCCCTACGCTAGTCTATCTCGAGCGACTGAAGTACAAACTTCCTGTCGCAGCCAAGGGTGAGTTCTCGCTTCCTTGTTTTCTCATGCCTCTTCGTTTCGTTGATTCCCTCATTGCCAACGTCGATGGCAATGCTCCTTTCTCCCCAATTATCTTTGTGCCTCTGGGAAGAGGGTGGAAAGGACAAAAATGGATAGATGGTGGTCTGTACATAGGGTCTGCCCCATGCACCCCCTTTGCGTCCCTCTGCTCTGTGCTCAAAACCTTGTCAAACTCAGAGTTTCCCTTTCCTCCCCCTTCCCCCCCTCCAGCGCTCAATGCCATTGACACACCCCTTGCCCCTTGCCAGCCCCCTCCCACTCTTTTGTTCTTGCTTCCCATGCAGCAAGCATTGCAGTGATCGGGGATGGAGAGGGGGGAAGGAGGGGGGGGAATGCAGGGATGGATTGACTGTATTCTATTTTCTATTTCCTGCCTCCCTGGGAACAGCCTCGCTGACCCACGGGCTGTGCCTGAATATTCTATGGACAAGCGTAATTTATTTTTGCCACCACCCGCCATTGCTGCCCCCTTTCTCTTTCATGTGCATTCCCTCGCATGGACACCCATGGGCAGGACTGGAGGAATTACCATGGCCTCCCGGGGATCACGACCCAATCACCCAAAACGCGTGCGCGTGTGCGCAACTGATCACAATCACGCTCAAACATTCCGCAGTGTCCTAATCGATCGTATTGAATTTCGCAATCTCCATCTGCTATCGATGGCTCTTAGGCATGCATTGCACCTGCCACCGTGTCTTCCTCGCAAGCCTGATCGTGGCAGCAAAGTACCTCAACGACCAATCGCCAAAGAACAAGCACTGGTCGGCTCACTCGGCCGTCTTTTCCGTGGGGGAGGTCAATTTGATGGAGAAGCAGCTGCTCTCGCTCCTTGTAAGTACATCACGACTTCAGTCTAAATGGCATCGACTTTGTGCGCAGTTCTGCAATCTTTTTTTTTTTTTTTTTTTTTTTTTTGTTGGGCTATGTCTATTTGTCTATTTATTTTTTTACTATACGTGCCACGCTGCAGAGCCTGTTTGTTATTGTTTCCTAACCCCGATCTTCTGTATGATGATGACAACTGTTTACAGGACTTTGACCTTCGTATCACCGAGGCTGACTTGGCATCGAGTCTACAAGGTTTCCTGCAGCAACAGACAAAGACTTTGGCCTCCGCGGTGTCCTCCACAGACCTACCGAGCGGCCGTTATGCCCCACCTCCATCCATCAATACCCATCCGGTCCAGAAATCAACCCATGTCCCCTCAACACCTTCGCCCAAGAACAGCATCACGCAGCCCTTGAACCAGCAGTGCACCAACAAGAGGATTTCCCAGAGTCGGGCGCAGCCTCAGCAGAGCCGGACGCAGGTCCACATGTTGCAGCAGCAACCCCATGACGCGTTCCGGAGACGTCCCTCGTTGCCGAACCAGCCTTGTCTGGAGGACGGAGAAATTATGCCGGTCGTGAAGAAGGCCGTCCGCAGCCATCAGAACCATTACCCTTCACCGGACGGCGGGTCGGAGCAGCCCCCACATCGGTTGCAGGACGAGGAGATGATGACCCCGGCCGGATCCTCGCACTCTTCACCCGAGAATGTCGGGCATGGCATTTCACTTCAGCGATCATGGACCCCGGCATCGGGAAATCTCTACGGCCGCCACTCGCTGCCACCCCTAGCATCGCTGACTTATACCAACCAGGCCCACGGCCACGTGCACCCGCATGCCTATAGTAGCATGGCTCATCATGAAAGTGCCGGCCGCAACGGAACCTGGACGGGCTCGAGCCGTGCCATGTGCTAAAGAAAAAAGATTTTTTCTTTTGTGGTCCTTGCCCCCCCTCCTCCCCATGCTTATGCCTCTGTGCCTTGTGCTCCCGGGCAAAGTTGCGTCCCGTTCAGGACCGCTTGCAATCATTTCTTTTTTATGATTTCGCCCCTCTATCCATCCATCCATCCATCCCATCCCATCCCATCCCTTTACACGCACATGTTTCGTCCCGTCTGCGTTTTATTTTACCAGCGTCTATGTATTTTTAATGTAGTCATCCAAACCTTTTTTCTTCTTTGCTTGTATATTACTTCACGCCTCTCCAGCAGCCGAGAGTCACCTCCCCACCGAGCCATAACCTCGGATCCTTATGATAAAGAAAACAGAAACAAAAAAAAAAAAAAAAAAAAAAAAGATATTCTCGACTCGAATGGGTCCCTCAACGATTACTTTGTAGTCTATGATTGTATGATTGTATTTGATGATTAAAAAAAAAAAAAAAAAAAAAAGACTCAGCTTACCCCATAGAGTCTACCTAATACTCCTTCACGAAATAAAAAAATAAAAAAATAAGAATTTGTTCCTCTGTAGACTTGTGCATACTGCACAAAAGAAGTAACAATGTACACAGGAAGAGAGGGGGGTAAGGGGCAGGGGCGGTACCATGCAGGGGTTTACAGTTACTTGCTTCTGTTGCATGTGGTTCTCTGCATCCTCCACTCCAACATCTCACTTCTAGCGCGATCCATCGGGCAATCCATCCCCAAAACTTGTGTTCGATTGTCTTTATGCTACCTACTAGACTAACCCCCCTCCCCCCCTCATGCTTGCCATAGTTATAATATCCCCAGCCCAGATCTCGGCAAAAAAAAAAATTACTACGCGCTACCCGTTTCATTGCGTCCCACTCCCACTTTGATATTCCCCCCTCCCCCCTCCTCCTCCTCCTCCCCGCTCTTCTTCTGCCTCTCTCTATCTCCGATTTTCTGTCTGTAAAGGTACCATGCAGTTTCTTCCGATATGGAGCTATGTCATCGTGACGAACTCAACGCGACTAAGAGCTCTTTCTCTCTCTCTCTTGCTCGCTCTTTCTCGCTCTCACGCGTGCTCTCTCTCTCTCTCTAGGTCCATCGCTTTCCCATTGAGCAATTGCTGCAAGAGGGGGAATGACGATGATTACGATAAATTAACCAAGCAGGTAGATTTTTTTTTTATCGTCGCCGCACAAAGTATCAAAAATTGAATTTGCCTCAAAGGACCAATAATGGACATCCATGGTGTTGAAAAAGGGACCAAGCAACAATACACGGGATCTCAACGTTCAGATTGCTAGGGACAGATAGCCAAGATAGATAGCATATTGCATCCACGCGTTCACGTATATAGATAACAACAAAAAAAAATTGCAATTTTTTACATTTATTTGTTTTGGGTAAATGTATGGTATGATACATGAGGAAAGGAAAGGAAAGAAAAAAAAGAGGAGACCACTTATTATTGTTACAATCTACTTCATGTGAAGGACTTCCACAACCCACTCGGAACTCTCGCGGCCACGCGTGTACGCAACCTTGTATCCCGTAGGGTACGCAATACCCGTCGCGCGCTCCACCATCAAAAGATCCATCTCCGCGTGCGCATTACCCTCCCCATCGTGCGACGCACGCACTTCACACCCATAGGGCAGTTCAGCCTCCAGTCCCATCGGGCGTGACAACAACTTGGCCGTCTCGGTCTTTTGAGCTGATCCCGCGGAAGCTACCTTCTGCTGCTGCTGCTGCTGCCGTTGTTGTTGTTGTTGTTGTTGTTGTTGTTGTTGTTGTTGCTGACGACCAAAGGTGGCATTAGCCTTCGTAGGGATCTTTGGCAGCTTGTCCTCAACCTGGAGAGCCTCCTGCTGCTGCTGCTGCTGCTGCTTCTTGCCCGCCTCCTCATCCTCAGAGTCCGAGACGTTCTCATCATCCTGTTGTTCTTGATCAACAGCTTCTCCTTCGGCCTCGCCGCCGTTAGGAAGAATATCCTTCACCAACCGACGTCTCATATGCACTGGGCCATGCTGCGCCAACCAAAGCTGAATCGGTCCCTCTTCGTCCTCCATAGGCTGGCGGACATCCTCACATCGCCTATAGACAAACTCCGAGAGCGACAACTTGCGCTCGTAAGGGTTGTCCTGGGACGCCCCGCGAAGACGGGCCTCTTCCTCTGCGGGCGACAGTTTCTCGAACACGTTCTTGACCTTCATTACCAACTTGTTGGATTGGCTGTTGTATCGTGGAGGAGTGAGCACCTGAGGGACCTTGCGTGGGTCGACATCTGTGTCGATCGAGGTAGGAATAGCTCCAAAATACGTATAGTCGAACTTGGCTGTAGAATAGAAAATAAAATAAATTAAAATGTCAGCAACCACCTCAAACTTGTCGTCTAATGCTTGCTTGCTTGCTTGCACATTTGAATGATCCATAACGAGACATGGGGGATCCTTACCAATACCCGCAATGGTCCAGCAGACAAAATCATCAACAGCGACGTTTTCTTGTCCCTTGGGAACTCGCACGGGGCCACGCTTTCCGTAACCGGACTCATCGCCATAATAATCGCCCTCATCATCTTCAGGGGCCTCAGTCATGTCCATGATCGACGCCTTCTTCGACGACGTCCTGTACTCCAGCAGTGGGCTGCGGTCCATCGCTGCCTGCAGTGGTATCTTACCCTCGATCTTGGGGCTTCCGATCGAGGAGGCACTGAGGTAGTATGGACGACCATCCTCAGGATGGACACGGTCTGGATGCTGCAATACAATCTTTTGCATCTGACTCACTGGACCCGTTCCGTTGCGGATGACCTTTCCATTCTCGACCTTGCGAATGATCAAACGGTCCGTGGTGACGCCCGTTAGGTCGTTGATGAGAATGATCTCAGACCCATAGAGGACAGGTTCCGAGTTTGAAAAGACATAGGTAGGCTCCTGCTGAGGCTGCTGAGGCTGAGGCTGCGATTGATGCTGGTGCTGTTGCTGAGGCGCGTCGTGTTGCTGGTGCTGTCGAAGATAGGACGGGTCCTGCAGATAATACTGCGGCGCGGGCGAATGACCAGATGCTTGAGACAATCCGGTCGAGTTCTCCAAAGGTCTAGGGCTGGAGGATGACTGGCTGTTGTCGCCCTTCATCCGGATCGGTACGAACTTGGTCGAGTGGCTCGCTGTTCTGAAAACACCCATGTTACCAGTGGGCGCGAGCTTAACTGGAGGTGCTGGTGGGGGCTTCACCATCTTGATCGTGAACGAGGACCACGAACCGATCTTGGCGCAGACCTCATTGTTGCTCACAGCCATATATTTTGTCCGCACCGTCTGTGCATTGATGCGGTTCAGCAGAGAGACACTCATGCCATTGAGAATGAAGCATGAGGCGTTGCCAGCCTTGGCTGTCTTCTTTGATGGCTTCGAGATGATTGGGATCGGATTTGAATCCATCAGCGCGGTAGGGATGCTCACATTCTTATTCAAAAAGACCTTGAGTCCCAGCTTGAAGCGCTTAGAGCTGTCGGTTCCCGTACCGGTGACATGGAGATTCCTGAACGAGCACTTCAGGGTATCGTCCAAGGTGCAGTCCTGCTCCATCAAGTTTTCACTGCCGCTTTGGCTCTGGTGTCCACTGCTCAGCTTCTCGTGCAGAATCGACATGGTCACATGAGGCTGTTCGGTGCGGATGTGCTTTGCATTCATGCCTGCAGAGACCTGGACCATGGGTGGTGGGCAGAGATACCGCTTCTCAATTCCATATGACTTTTGGGCAATGGCACCGTGCCAGCATCGGATGGTCGTCATTTGATAGCGCTGCATTTTCGTCCGCGGGTACTGGCTGCTGCTCTTCTGTGGCGACGCCTGAGTCTTGCTCTGCGTGGGCAGTGTCGTGCGGCGCGACAGCAGATGGAGCTCTTGTGAGGCAATCCCGTCTGCCTGTTGCTGCTGCTGTTGCTCCACAGGGTCGACGCAGACCTTCAGACGAGGGCCCATGCGAATGGAAGTGTGGTCCCCAGACCACTTGCGCTTGCCCTCGGCGTGTAACTCGTGCCGCTGCTGAGAGTGCTGATCAGACTGCTGATGCTGGTGTTCGAGTGGTCGCCGAGGTCGATAGTGCTGCTGCTGGTAGTGCGAGCTCTGGGAGAACTCTTGTGGCTCCATCTTGACCGATGGATTTCTCTCCAAATTGTAAACAGCCTTCTTCTGGGAGGAAATAGCAGAAGTTGGCGTAGCTGGTGGTTTCTGATGAACCAGGGAGAGAGGGCCGGCATTGGATGTTGGTGCTGGAGCAATTGAACGAGGCTGCAGAGCCTTGATCTTGTTTGTCTGGTTGGATTGCTGCTGCTGTTGCTGCTGATATCCCTGGAAGTGATGACCCGGCGCCCGTGATTCTACAGACCGAGTGGGCGATCTTGCACGTGATGACATATAATCATAGCTCTGGTCACGAGATTCGTGTCGCTGAGGAGATTCCGGTGACAGATTGCCTGGCCTCTGCTCAGGCAACGCCGCGTACAGCGAAGGCAGGCGCTGGCCTTGATGCTCTTGCTGTCGCTCGCGCTCGCGTTCGCGCTGCAGCTGACGTTGTCGGGCAGTCTCGAACCTCTCCAGGGTCTGGTTGATAGGCGGGCCATGTCCAAAATTGCCAGTGGTATTACTTGGGGCAACATGTCGGGCGGAGGAAAAGAATCCATCGCTGTTCTCGCGGTCTTGGCTTGTCACCTTGCTAAAGTAGCGCATATGGCGACCGGGCAAATCGCTACGGTAAAAGGGCTCCTCTGGGACTTGGATAGGCGGCAGGCTGTATTTGAATGCTGGCGCATCCTCATCGACGGATTCGAAGGGCGTGCGCGGAGAATGCTGCTTCAGATATCCGTAGGTGGGATCGCGACGAAATTGGTCGTGGTGGTGCTGCTGGTCTCTGGCGGAGGGGTCGGTCATCAAATGATCGTTGTGATCTCGGGTCGTGTTGCGTACTCGACCCTCATATCCCTCAGTGTGCTTGACGTGCTGTGAAGATGAGTCGTAGGTCTGGGTATATTGCTGATAGGCACGATGAGGGTTTGAGGCAAGAGAGGGATAGGAATCATGCGATGGGGCCGGGCGATGAGGTCCCTGTGGATAACGCTGAGCTTGATGATGGCTATAACTACTTGATTGTTGGCGGTACAAGTGTTCGTCAGAGGTACGATGATGTGTATATGCTGCGGATGATGATGAGGAAGAAGAGGCGTAAGATGTGCTGGAGGAAGAGGAAGAGGATTCCTGTCGGGGATGTTGGCTGTAGTTTCGCTCAAGGGAAGGTTCACTGTAGGCCGCGGAGGAGGAAGACGCAGAGGATGAGGAGTAGTAATGGTCATAAGGTTGAGCAACCGGTTCCAGGGCCGTGGGTGCGGTGGCAAATGCTGGCTTCATGGTCGACTTCTAGAGTGAGATGAACAAAATTGATCAGCGGGAGGACTTCTTTGGCGTGCATGCATGTGGACATATCCATAAGAGATGTGGTAGCAGGAAAGATAAATAGGCTATCTGGCTAAATGGATAGGCGGTGATGGGGTGATAGGAACAAGAACATCGCATGAGGGTTATGGACGACTGAAGGAAGGGTCGAGGTCAGGTCGGTTGAGTTGCAAATGCAGTGCAGTCGGTGTAAAAAAAGGGGGAGGGGGCCATGGAATGTCCCTGGACCGAGTCCTTTTTGGGAAAAGTGTGTGAGGTACCGGGATGGATATTCTTTTGGAAGTAACTTCTTCTAATGGCACAGGGCGATGAATAGGGAATGTATGTAGGGGAAGATGTGCGCCAAGTATCTTACAAAGGAGGATCCTGGATGATGTCAAGGAAGGAAGAGTGAGGGTGGTGGCGGTAGTGGGAATATATCCAGGTGGAGCGTGAGCGTGAGGGATAAGTGCGCAATTGAGTGTGAGTGACCGATAGGAGGGAGTGGAGAGTGAAGAGTGAAGAGTGGAGAGTGAGAGAAGTAAAGCGTGAAGAGCGAAGAGCGATGAGTGAGGGACAAAGAATGAGGGTGAGGATTGTCGGATGGCAAAAGGCGAGAGAAAGGGAATAGTAGAAAAGACAAGAAAGAAAGAAGATGGATGCGACGGAGAATACTTTTTTGGATGTGCGCCCTTTGTGCCTTTCTTTCGACTCTCTCATTTTTTTTCTCCGGTCCGCAACCATTCGCTTTCTTTCTTTATTCAGTAATGAAAAGACTCACAAATAAGAGCGCAGTGGCAGCTGCAGCCAAAAACGAAGGGAAAAAACAGTAAGGACCAGGCCTCATTGAATGCATTCAATTCACACACTTGCTGAGAACATGTCCTCACCAATTGAATCCAACAATAATACGACACAAACCAGGCTAGAGGAAAGTGTATTCGAGAGAGTACCTTCGCTTTCTCCCCCCAGCATGTGTGGGAACAACAAGGCCAGGGGGGAGGAAAACAAAACAAAACAAAGACGCAACAGCAGCCTGTGTCAACGGGGATCTTTTGTTTATTGGAGGTTCATAATCCAGTCCACAGTTCTTGCTTGCAGATGGCGCAGACAAAGACGAAAAAGTGCCCACGCAGATATGCAGTTGAGCGTGAGCGCCGTGTCTTTGTTGTTGTCGAAAGGTCACATTCAGATAGAGAGCTGCATCGCCAGTATCATCTTCCGCAGCCATCGGGGCTCCAGTCCTGGTGTACCATCAACTGGGCAAGCTCCTGGAATGGCAGCGGTACCATTATTTCCTTTTCGCGATTGTTCTCCTATTGGTGATGGTGATAGTGGTGGTTTGCGGGACGTTCCCTGGACTGTCCAGAAACGGGCCCTATTACGTGAACCCGTCATGTTTCGAGTTGGCGAGAAACAATGAGAAAATCCACTTTTTTCTGCATCTGTGGGAAACAACAACAGAAAGCTAATCATGCAGTCTGACCAACAGACCGCGACCAGAGCAGAAAACGTTCAGCTTTGGAGGACTGAACAGCATTACGGTCAGACACAGACCAATGACACTCCCCGCACTCAAGGAACCCGCCCTGTTCTCGGATAGGGCAGAGCAATGTTCGCAAAGGGCGTGACTAAATCAATTGGATTGGACAACAGACACTAAAAAAGACGGAACCTTATTGTGGGAGCCCAACCCTCAACCAACTCTACCTCGAGTCTATGATTCGCTACTTTCTTGTGGGGATAGTACATGTACACACCAAGGGAACCAGGCAGTTAGAGATTGACTATTGACTCAAAGTGTATTTGATAAACCCTTTTTCTACTGCAAAGATTCCTTCATTTAGTCCTTTGCCTCGTCATACACTTGATGTTACTTGATGTGAAGATTGCCACTGGATGAAATGTGTCCCCTTGTCTTCTCTTCAATTTCGCCCGCAAGGCGCAAAGTGCAAAGTGCAGTCGACAGAGAGCCCTGTCTCGATAAATTTTACGATTGGCCCAAAAATACCCTGGCCAGGGGCTGTGGACCCCTTGCATGCTAGACTGCAGGAGTAGGTCCAACAGTGGACCAAGGCGCCATGTCTAACGCAACTGATGCGGACTAAACTATCCCCTTTGACATCATCCTCATAAACTACATTGCCAGGGGTCAGGCTTTTCCGGGAGCCAAAATAAAGTGTGCCGTGTGCCCTTCAGCGCTTGACGCTTGAGTTGTACTCAGCGTGAAAATAGTAACACCATCCTAGTGGATCTCGGAAAATAGCGAAATTGCGGCTCAACAACATTACCCATGGTGCATTTAAGATAAAAAAAAATGCGATGTGAAATCCATATGGTTCATTGGACATATTTTCTGCTACGTTGCAAAGCTACAATTCCATTTCCGCAAGTGATGGTACTGTCTTGTGACAATACCCTTCGTTATCAATGTTCTTCTGACAAGACGAGTGTCAATCGTCGAATAATTTGCTTATCGGAACGGATGAGGATGCCGCAGGGCTTGCCGGGACCTTATCTGGAGGCTTTTTTTTTTTTTTTTTTTTTGGGGGGGGGGGGGTCACCCAAAGTTCTCCCATCAAACCCATGCTTAGCCTTAAAAAAATGCGGGCTCGCCCATGAATGCTCTGGATACACCTTGGCTTGTAGGGCACCTGGACTACATGCGGACATCACAAGATGTAATGCAGGTTTCGTTACTAGTTGCAAAATAAAAATAACAAAGGGACGAGAGCAACCTTTCCCATCAAACGGACTGTTCTCGGCCTCGCTTCCGGGGGCTGTAATGGTTTGACAAAAATTGACAACAGCAACATACGAGAAAATCTCCTATGACCTTTGTTGGCGTACAACATGCATGAGCGGCGAGAGCCGAGACATGAGAAATGAAAAAGCAGAAAGCACAAACAAATGTGTACGAAGGGTACACATCGCTTTTGCAGCTCTGAAGGGGGACCAATCGGAGAAAAGTAGATGAGATGAAATATGTCACGAATATTGACCAACGCCCACGGTAATCAACTGCGCGCAAATATGAATGCCAACGAATCAGTATCTACTCAGGCTAAGCGACACAGACCACGTCGTGTAAATATCATCTGCACCTGGTTTTATATGAACTTATGAGGAACGGGAGCGTAAACGTTGAGTTCAAGGTGAGCTGCAGGCTGTACGTTCCAATGGCACAGCGTGGGCTTTTCTAGGAGTCCTGACTCTAAAGAGTGGCGTCGACAATACAGGGAAGAAACCAAACATTGCCAATCAGCCCATTTTCATATCACTCACGCTAACTCCACGACTTCAGTATGATCCATGAAGTTTTTTCTCCCGAAATCGCTTACTTTGGTCTCTTCCTCGTCTCGCTATGGCTCTCAGGAACCCTGTTTGAACAGGTCCTTCGCTGTCGACTCCTTGGCGAACTGCTCATTGGCATCATATTCGGCAACCTTGGTATTGGCACCCTTTTACCGGCCGACAAGACGGTGTTCGTTCTCGCTGGAGACATCGGTGTGCTCGGACTGATCTTCGAAGCAGGACTCAGTACAGGACTTCACAAGCTTCTGAGGGCGGGTCCTAGAGGTGCTTTGGTGGCTCTAGTTGGTACTATGGTTCCATTGGCGACTGGGTATGGATACATCTACGCCTTGTTACAACAACATGCTATCCAGGACGGGGGCGCAGAGGGAACCACTCCCAATATTGTCACAGAAGCATTAGCATCGGGTGCGGCGCTCGCCTCAACATCGGTGGCATGTGCCATATCCCTGATGAAGCAGCAGGGACTATTAGAAACTTCAGTGGGAACGTTGATTACGACAGCTGCGATGATTGACGATATCGCCAGTTTGATCCTGCTGGGCATTGTTGCTGGATTTGGAGGTTCGGAATCTGATATCGGAGCCATGACCATTGTGCAACCCATCCTGTCAAGTCTCGGAGTCATCTTGGTAGGTCTCCTTGGATGTATTGCCGTGACCAAGTCCAAGACTCGACAGTCTGTGAAACAAGCTACAGAGATGCGGGTTGTCAGCGAAGCAGGACAGGAAAACTCAAGCGCAGATGCTGCTCAGACGGGCAAGGAGGAGGAGGAGATAACAGACAGCCCCAACATCAGACGTCATGAGGCATTGTACAAGTATACATTCTCGCCAGCCGTTAAACTTGCGGCGGTGTTGACCGTGGGACTGGGATACAGTATCTTGGCAGAGTACTTGGGCAGCTCCCGACTCCTTGGGGCCTTTGTAGCGGGAGTCTTTTTTTCGCCATTCGAGGCACTCAAGGCGCTTTACGACGAGCAGATTTCCCACAAATTGCAGCCAGCCATGAGCGCCATATTTTTCGCCACCATCGGATTTGCGATTCCACTATCGAAAATCTTGGATCCGTCGCTGTTTGGCTGGGGAGTGGTGTACGCTGTGATCGCATCTCTCGCTAAGCTGGTAACCGCTCTGCTGGCTCCTTCAGAGCCTGGTGAGGCCCAATACTCCAGCACGCGAAAACAAGGATTGAGCGAGCGCTGGATGGTTGGAACAGCTATGATTGCTCGCGGTGAGCTCGGGTTGCTGATGGTGCAACAGGCCCTCTTGCAAGGTGTGATGACCCAGGCTGTCATGATCGTAACGACATGGTCGATCATTCTCTGTACACTTGTAGGCATAGGTGCTCTTAGTCTTGTTATGAGAAAGATATCAGTTCAGAGGCAGGACTAGCCTGCACAAAAATATTGGAATTCAGATTGTGCTTGAAGAACTTTTTATTTGCATTATGCTGGGCTGTCCATAGGCCCCGCACGTCCGTCATCATCATTATATGTTTCTCCTTAGACGATGAAACCGTGGTTCTCCTCCGTGACAATCTTTGCGCTGCGCTTCGAGTCCAAGAACAAGTCTCCGGCCTCCTCAACATCACCCTTGAAGATATCGTCGCGCCCGTTGATCTTGGCCATGACGTTAGCGGGGGCCAAAAGCTGGATAGCGTAACGGAGACTGGTCTTGAGACCGACATCCGCCAAGTAGTTTGTAGCCTCATCCTGCACGGTCAACCCTTCTGTCTTGGCACGGATGGTGATGATGACACGAATCTCCTCCAGTGTGTAGGGAAGAGTGCGAATGATAAGCAGGCGATCCAAAAGGTCGACAGGGATTCCGTGGGGTGATGCAATATCCTCTGTACCGCGAATGGAGCACATGCCGCGATTGGTGGCAAAAACGACAATGGGCGAGAGTGTTGATTCGAGAGCGCGGTTGAGGTACGTGAAGCACTCGATATCTAGCATGTGAACCTATTCCATACAGCCATACCGACAAGGGTCAGTATCCATAGTCTTTAAAATTCGCCCACAAACGGCCAAGTCTTCAAGACTCAAAATACTTACCTCGTCGATAAATAATACTCCGGGAACGAGTTCTGCAATGCCCTGATCAATATACTTGTTAACGACTTTGTTGATCTCCTTGCGCAGCTTATCCGTGATTTCTGTCTTCTTTGGCTTCATGAATTGTCCCATCATCGACATGACATCCTGGCCACCCTGGGGTCGGGCGTTAGCAACATCCAAATCATGCAGGGTGACATCCTGAATCAGCTCCTTCTTTTTATGGACCTCTCCTTTGGGCAATGGCACGTATTCCTCGGCTTCCAAATCGAACTCTGTAGCGTACGCATCCGAACGACCGACCCTCTTAACGGCTCCAGTGTTGGCCTCGATATATACGACATCTCCAACAGTGACCTTCTCCTTCTGAATGCTCTCGTAAATAGAAGGGTCCAACTTCAGTTGCTTTGTGCCCTTGACAGTCTTCAGGCCAATCAAGACGTGCGAGATGGTCTTGCCATAGCCTCCCAACGGGTTCTCTGTTTCCTCTGGTGTCAATTCTGTAATCTCCCCCTCATAAACTTCCTTGGTCTCCTTGATTCTCAATCCTATTTGGTTGCAGAGAAATTGAATGTCAAAAACATTCTATTGTAGAGTATTCCAGACAGCAAGTTGAGGCAGTTTGCAACATACCAATGGCTCTGCGAAAGTTCTCCATCAGCACTTCAGTCTTTTTAATTTCGCTCGAGAAAACTTCGCTTCCAACCATAGGGCAGAATGGAACTTTGGGTCCCAGTTCTTGTGAGATGGCCAATGCGATCGCTGTCTTTCCTGTCCCAGGGGCGCCAGCAAAGAGCAATGCACGCCCAGACATCTTTTTTGATTTGATCAAGTCCACGACAATACCACATGCCTATTTACACGATTAGAAACGCAGATCAGTATCCCTTGTTCGATGTTGCTCTGTACAGGGTCGCTTGAAATCGTTTAGGCTATAAAACCACCCTTGGTGTACTGGACGCACCTCACGAGCCTGCTCCTGTCCAACGAATCCTGAAGCAATCGGTTCGGCGTATCCATCATCTCTCAACCCAAGTCCCTAAAGGTAATGGTTCGAGCAATAGAAACATATCTGTCAGTCAAAAGCCTGTAGGTTATTTCTTGAACAACGTAGCGCAATGACGCGCTTCGGCAAAAGTGATCTCAGCGGCGTAGACATAAGCCAAATAACCTAGGATGATTACTTTGATGTGTGAATGAGCAGCGATGCGCTGCTCTCTTGAGTTCTTGACTTCGGCGATACGCATGCTTGCAATTGTGAGCTTGTGGGTGAGAAGGATGTGTTTGGTTGGTGGATAGGGGAAGCGAAAGCAGTGAAGCAGTCTTTTTTTCTTTTTTTCCTGGCAAGTTTGTTTATCTTCCTCCCTCTATTATTGCACACGATCCGTAATTGCAGGTCAGTTCAGTCACAACAAAACTGCCTCTGTGCAGGCCTTGAATATACTCCTCTTGACCCTCCGTTACACATCCTTTATCCCCATGCATCATGGCCATGGATCCCATCCATTCCCATCCCATCCCTTTGCAGGAATACGCAGTAGCACCGACTCTTCCACTTTACTTCTTCGGTCTCACTTGACTGATTATGCGTTCCATCGACTCATCTTCATGCCACAAGCTGCCCCCTCCGCCAGCATCACATAAAACTAGCACTGAGGATCCCATATGGTGGTCCGACATATGGATCCTCTGAGACCGGCCTCGCTGACAAAAAAAGAGATAAAAGGACTCCACTGGGACATTGACGGCAACAGAAAATCCTTCTTCATTCCTCAACCATCTGCCTGCTCATTCCTTCCCCTGAACTCTTGACCGTCTTCTCGACATCGCCACTGTAACCCTCCATCAACTGATCCGAACCAGACTCCTCAAGGGACCTACCACCGATCGCATCGGCGCACATCCCAACCTACTCTCGCACTTCCCTGTGGCACATTTCTCAAGTCATCAACAGCCTCTTGGCAACGGCGCCGGCACCTTCCTCCCTCACCGACAGCTGGGCTCCTCATTCTTTTTCTCCAAACTCCTCCACTTCTGCTTCGCCCATACACTCCTTTGTCTTCTGTTTCGGATCGAATACAATAAAATGGCACTGTACTCCCTCGGTCTTACTCCTAGCCAGACCTCACGCTGCAGTGGCCCCGTAACTCTGCCACCTGGTAAGGATCCTGACCCTGTTGTCATCTCAGCTCTTCTCCCATATATTCCTCCTCCCATTCCTATCCTCATCTAAAGGTCTTTGCTGAGTTGCACCGCTTCGCCTGTGGCTGTGCGCAAACCGGAGGTTCATGCAATGGCAAGCATTCTTTGTGTTCTTCTGGAGTTGTCAACTATGTGGACCCGGGTGTTGCCCTCAATCCAAAAAAAGAGCTGCGGAGAGCAATGCTATCCATAGGTCTTCTTTCTTCTCCAAATGAATTTGTATGATTCCTTTATTCCTTTGTATTCGCTCTCGTCATCATCCACAACCGATGCAAACCACACAAAGTTGTTTGTTACAAGCAATCTCTTTCTCCGATATTTACTCAGATTCAATAACATCACTAGAGGTCTTGAAATTGATTGCCCACCGTCTCCGGGATAATCGACAAGCCCTGCATGCTTGTCTCCTTGTCTCTCGTGCCTGGTCGAAGGCTGCGGTCGAATATCTCTACAAGGCCCAGCACATGATGGATTATCGCAGACCGAACTCTTTCTCGACTTCCTCGGCACTGTCATTGTCCTTGGAGGGACTAAGCCTTGAGGAGGGCAACCAAGGAGAGGAATGCAGACGATCAACCATGCTGGAGCCCATTGACCCTGTTCTCTCTGTAGCCATGACACAGCAGCTACTTAAGCAGACACTCGAGGCCTCGCTGCTCCACGATGACACTTGCTCTTATGATTACATCTCGTACTTGAACAAGATCTCATGTCCCGTAAGTTACTCTTCTTTTTTTATATTGAGCATGCGGTCTCGATCTGTGGTCTACAGCCTTCTACCAGTCTCTTGGGAAGGTCTCGTGTGTACCAATGTGTGTGAGTGTGAGTGTGTGACAACAGCATCATAGCCGTCATTGCTCCTTTCCCCCTGGTCTATTTTAGTCCATTTGTCACACATCATCCCTTCTATTTCCCCCTCCCTTTGGTTAGACCGTCCATGGCATTAACATTTGGGATCGTCCCGGTATTAATTGCATACTCCTGTATCTGTGGAAAATAGTGGTTGACGGAGCTGATTCAGGACTGGGAAGCCTTCTGTGCCGCTTGGAAAGACCAGCACTCGGGAACGGACCTCTGGGATGGCAGCGAAGCGCAGGTGGAGATGGTTAAGACTGATCCATCGGTTGTACTTCAAGAGTACTGCTTCAATCAATTGGTGCGCAGGGTCGCTGAGCGGTGTACGTTCGTGGACGGGTATCAGTCCTCTGCGATGATTCTGCCAGACACCCACGTCTATGCCATTCGCCATCTCAAGCATCTTACTCGTATCGATCTCAAGTACAGCCAGGACCTGAACGACAATGTCTTCCATGCGCTTGCTGAAACTGTGCACTCTCTTTCCTACCTTCGACTTCCGGGATCAGAGATGGAGGACGTTTCGGCCCAAGCGGTTGCGGACATGATCATGTCCCTACAGAAGAACACGCTCCAGCAATTCAAGATCATTTACGGAACAAACATTTTCAAGGATAACTCGGTCCTCAAAGCAATCGGGCAGAGACACGGTGGATCAATGCAAAGGCTGACATTAGCGATCTGCGACCTCGAGAATGCGGGATTACAGGAATACGGACCGCTCTGCACCAAGCTAGTCTCCCTTAACCTGGAATATTCCTCCGGAGTGACCGATGATGTCGTGCTCCCGATACTGGATGGCTGTCCTCAACTGGAGAAACTTGATTTGACAGAGACAGACTGCACGCATGCGACCATTCATGGACTGTCGACCGCCTCGGATTCCACGAAGCCCCATTCCGGCCGTTTTGCAGCAATGAAGCGCCTTGTTTTGAACAACATCGACTCGCCCTTTACAACCAATTTGTTTCTCCCCTTGGCAGACGCCTGTCCTATGTTGGAGGAGCTTCATATGAACAGCATATTGGCGGACTCCTTCCAGGATTTTGCGCTCTTTATCTCCAAGACAAAGCACCTTCGAGATTTGGATATTGGCAATGCATTTCCGGAGTTTACAGATGACAACCTGATCAGCCTTGTGGATGCCTTGCCGAATTTGCGCTGGCTTTCGATCGCCAATGCTCAGATCACGAACGCGTCGGTGGTGTATCTCGGAGAGAAGGCCCATAGTCTGTGCGACCTTTGCATTTTGGGCTGTGATCAGGTTACAAAGACAGGCTTGATTGAGTTTCTGGATAAGATGAGTAACAAGGCTGGGTTCAAGCACCTGGATATTACCTATTGCCGATTGGACGATGGGGCAGTTGTAGAGATCCGCGAGCGGGCAAAGGCTATGGCCATCGGGCACGGATTGGTGGAAGTGGTGGAAGTGGAAGGAGACGACCAGTTCTCAGACAGCCTTTTGGAGGAGGACGGTGAGCGGGACGATGGTGAGGAGGCTGACGATGATGATGACGAGACCGAAGAGGACAGCGATGGTGAGGACCGCGACAGCGCTACAGAACTGGAGGAGGAAGACGACGATGAATATTAGGCCGATTACATTGTACACACCACAGTGGGAACCGCGGATCCCATTGCCATTTTTTGCACTTTAAGAATAACCAAATAAAGCGCCATATCTCAACTTGTAGTCGTAATTGAATGAGAAGCACACGACGGATCAGCGCCACCAAAATGAGGATGGACTGTGATAGCAGAGCGGAGCTGGGCGTAGTTCTATTTATCAGCCAGCCAGGGACCCCAATCTGCTTGTACCGCACTTATCTGTCCTATTAGCACACACGTTGACATATACAAGTACTTTGCTCCAGGATGAGCGCTATGGAGACAGGCCCATGCGTTTGCGGGTCATACGAGGACGTTGGGTTTATGGTATATGCACTTGCTTCCATTCTCAGGATGACGCGGACGAAATGCATTCCCATTCTCATTCTAATCTCTTTGATCTGACATATATAGATTTGCTGCGATGGATGTGAGTCGTGGATGCATGGTTCCTGTGTCAAGATCACCAAAAAGTTTGCGACAGGAATCGACGACTATCTTTGCCCGCGCTGTAAGCCAGTCGCTACTCGGAAGCGCGCAAAGAAGTGTCTTGACGACCCAAGGATAGAACCATCAGCGCCGTGTGTGGTCCAGACCTCGAAGCTGCTGGAGATGAGCGATGAGATACTTCTCTGGATCTTGACCTTTGTCCAGTGTCAGAAGTCGATATGCAGGGTCTCGAGTACATGTGTGCGACTGTGGAGAGTCGCGCAGGACCCGTATCTGGTATGGTAGACATGGTAGACAACCTCAGTCCGAGATGGTTGTTGTGGACAGTATACATGCATTGCAGATGTTACAACAGCGTTCTAACTCGACTCTTTCTTTCTTTCTTTTTTACTTAAATGGCAGTGGAAACATATCACACTAAACCACGACACATCCCTTCGCCAATACTGGGATACGCTAATACAACCGCGGCTGCTAAAGTCGAACATCTGCGAATTGAATCTGCTGGGCGAGGTCTCATCCCCGGTGCTCATCGATGCATTGAAACTGGAGCTCTTCACAGGACTTCAAGTGCTACGGCTAGAGGATATCCAGACTTACACTGTTTATCGACTCGCAAGCAAGTTACCATGGCTCTTAGTCTTTGAAGCACGGAAGATTAAAGGAAACAGCGACAACTGGGACTGGCGGCCGTTTCAGAATCTTAATCAAATTGAAGAGCTCCTTCTGTGGAGGAACGAGAAGCCACTGCAGACCTTTAGTCTGTCCCAAGACGCATCGATCGAGGTGCCGGACGACATATACCCAATAGGCGAGCAACATGTCTGGGGTGGCTTTGTACAGCTCTCAAGCCCGGCCTCCTCAAGTTCAGGCTCGGGATCCGATAGCGAGGAGGAACAAAGTGTGATGGACGATACGGTTAGTGTGCATAGTACCCAGAGTCTGGTCGAGTCCGAGGATAGTCATCTATCGGGACAGCAGCGGAAACGTCTAAAGATGATGCCGAATCTTAAGCGACTGGCACTAATCAACATTGTGAGTCCGTCGACACATCGCGGAACGGATGGGGTGATGCGGAGCCTGGTGTCACGGGTGAAGACTTTTATTTACTGGAACAGCTTTAATATCCTTTTTCCGGTCATGCGAACAGAGTATGAGCACCTGGCACATCTGACGCTCATTGAGCCATGTGAGCCGGCATGGCGTGAGGGCACCTGGCAGGAACATGCGGCTACTTTCCTGAGGATGAGGAGTCTGGAATCGTTCACGATGATCAATGCCAACATGAACAGGCGGTTTCTGATTCCAATTCTCGATGCAGTACTCTCACTGGACCGCTTACGGCTCATTCGGCTGGTGTCGACCGAGGATCTGGAGACGATCAAGACAGTATTTACACATATTCTGGAGACGACGTGGTCTGGACGATTAGCCGTTTCGATCCAGGACGATTTGGGTGCGGATCCTGTCTCAAGGGACTGGTGCGCCAAGGCTAAAGATCTGGTGAGGCAGATGGAAACACTGACAGAGACAGACGTCCAGCGGCGACTCGATTTCGATGTCCACTTGTTCAGAGCAGAATGGGATGAGGATGCAGGGTTGAAGAGGCTATGTCTCAAGGCATGGCAGAGCACGTTGTAGATCCGATTTTCTTATTTTAGCTCAGGCATGTAGCACAACATCGCTTATTTGTGTAACAAATACATTGTTTGAAAGAGGACATTTTATTATACAAGGGGCGTGCTCATTGACAATGAGTATAGGAGGAATAAGGTTGGCGAGGTCTATGGTACAAAAAAGGTCTGAAGAGGAAGGAAAGATAATCCACTTCTAATTCTGGGCATCGTTCTCAAAGCTCGTCTTGAGGGCCTTGATAGCATCGATAGAACCGATGACGGCACTGATGAGGCCGATGATGACGATGATGGCGCACCAGACGAGCTCGTACCACTTCATCTGTCTCCATCCAATCAACTTGAAGTAGCAGAGGATGGGCAAGACAAAGATCAAGGTGCAGTTGCCGAGAGCACCCAAGAGCGACAAAAAGTCACCAAAGTAGGGGACAGTGCAGGCAATGCCACCGCAGACACCCACGACAACGAGGCGAATGATGGTGCGGTACACACGCTCCATGACCTTGCCACGACGGGCAACAGTGACATCGAGCAGACGCTCAAACTCGAGGGCAAAGGAGGTCAAGAGAATGGGGGCCGCGAGAATGACGTGGACGATAATGACAACGATTCCGACCTTGGTGAAGGCATCCTGGGGCAAGTTGCTGAGGATGGGCGAGAGGGCCTGGTCACCATAGGTGATGTAACCGGGGATAGCGGTAGCGAGATAGAGAATCGAGCAGGTGCCGAGGGCGGCAGCGACGACACGGTTCCAGCTGCGAGGGTATCTCATGGCCTCCTCGACGTGCATATAGACGACGTTACCTCCGAAGCAGATGGAGATCGAGGCGACGGTGGTGGGGAGGTTGGCGAGGACGACATTGTCGTGATGGATGTTGGGATAAGTGTGATTGTTTAGGTCCATGATCGAGCCACGGACAGCGACAATGACCAGGATGACGGTGGCGAGGGCACCAAAGACAGACATGACGGCGACCTCCTTCAAGGTCTTCATGGCCACGAAGGGAACAGCGACAACGGCAGCGGCGATCCAGATCCAGGCCTTGGCACTGATATCAGCACCGGTGACGAGGCCCTTCATCTCTGTGCCGGCCAAGATCAGGTACATGGTAGGGGCACCCAAAACGATGGAGGTATGGAAGAACCAGACGGCGATCAAGCCAGGCTTGCCAAAGGCATGGCGACCAATTTCCTGGTAGGACGAGAGGCGGTACTTGCCGTTGTAGTAGAGGCACTTCATGAGCAGGATGGCGGTGTAGACACTCATGATCAGGGAGAGGATGAGGATGCCAACACCAATCCAACCACCCAACTTGAGGGCGTAAGGCAGACCGAGGGTTCCAGTACCTGGTTGTGGATAGGATAGGAGCGAATGTGTTAGTTTTCATCTGGTTTGTAGACCCTTGATGATGATGATAGGCAGATCAATTGAAAAATTAAGTACCTGCGACAACGCAGACGACATTGGCATAGGCCAGGAAATTGGACCCCTGCTCAGGTCTCTCAGCGAGGAGGTCGACGATGGACTCCTTGTCGCTGTGGACGCTCGAGGCGTCGTAGATCTCATCGTTCTTTTCCATAATAGAGGGTGTTTGCGGGGGACTGTGGAGGAAGAAGTGTGATGGGTGAGTTATTTCGTGCGGGTGGATGGATGAGGGAATATGACGCTAGCGGTCGATTAGGATCGGAATGTGATCGGTGCTTTGTTCTTTTGGGTTGTGGTTGTTGTGTTCCTCGTGGGAGGGGTATATAGAGAGACGAGGAAGAGAGAAGGATCGGGGGGCGAAGCGGCGGAGGATGAAGAGGAGGATGACAAAAGAGGAGGAGGAGTTGTGGAGTTGGAATGAAGAAACCAAAAAAAAAAAAAGAGAGAGAGAGTGCGACAGATCCTTTTATAAAGATCGGTTTTCCGTGCCATCTGTGGGGAGCAAAAAAAATATATTAATTGGACTAAATAATACTACTTCATTGGTATGACCCAAACCTACCTGATCCACGGTAGTCTAACGGGCTGCTAGCCGTACTCGCTCACTGGTGGGGTGTCATCATCCAAGGAAAGTCATCTTCCCCTTCCTGGTCCACAGTGTTGAATCAGATAGAATGGCCGTTCTACCCGGCTCACGGGCAATACCATCCTACGCCAATATCCGGTTCTGTCAAACATTAGCCAGCTTCATCTAAACCAATGTAAACAAACCGAATACAAACTATTCAATCTTCCGTGGGCAGGGGCCTTGTTTATTTGTTATTCTGTACCTGGCTGCTGTGTTCGCAGATCGAGCGATCCTCATTCTGCTGCTTGCTTTCTTGATCTGTAGCAACGGTAAAATATGGCCGCAGCTGGCATGCTGACGCTCTTTAACGGAGCGGGTCCATTTGTGGGGTGCGTAAAAGACCGACGCATGAGTAACCTGACTAGGCTGGTAAGGGAATAACAAGCGGACACTGGATTTTGGGAGAGACGTGAGTGTGCTGAGTGAACCCAACATAAAATGAGGCATACACGGACTGGACAGCCGAGGGATGGGACAGCGAATATGTGTTGGGGAGGTTTAGCGTACAACAGAGAGTAGCGGACGAGGAAGGGTAGATAGAGAACCTAGGCAGAACGGCAGAACATTCCAACAAGCTGCGTAACCCGTAGAAACCCTAGCCCGGGTATATAATAATGTATAATATGTCTTTAAGAGAATTCTATATGAAATGGGATCGGTAGAGGTGTTGGGCTATCTCGATGTCGTCAATGCTGTCCATATTAGGATTGAAGTTTTCTTCCCTTTCCGTTTGGCCAGTGTTACAAGGCTCCAGGAGTACATTTCATGGGATTGTATATGCCGCGCAACAGCAATAGCAATAGCAATAACAATAACAATAACAGTCGAGGAAGGAAGTGGATACAGTCTACATGTCTGCATGTACTGAATTGACTGAGAGGATCAGATCGAGCGTAATCAGCGAGCGTGCCAGCCAAGAGCCGTACACATGTGCACTATGCCAGCCTATGGCGATGATGAAATAAAACTCCGGTGCCCAGGTTTGGCGCGGATCTTTCTCCATAGAAACCCAATAATAGATCACCTGTAGGAAAAAAAAGAGAAAAAGAGGCCAAACAGCTAAACTCCTGGACCGTTAACGGCCCAGCCAATCCGAATGTTTTCCCCAGCCCCTGCCTCTCTCTCTCGCATAGTCTACCATGAAGGTCGGTTTCTGCTCATGCACTTGCTCTGCCCAGCGAATTCAAGTTCAAAGTCCTCCCCAATGGTCATGCTGCTTCGAAACAGCCATTCCCCAATCATCGACCTTCCTGCGGCGGACTTTAGGCAATTTCAGGGCCTGACCATGGATGGAGGCACTAGCTATCAGATTCGCCAGATTCATCATATTCGCCATCAGTTCTCCGTGCGAAATCCGGGGTTCTTCTGTGGAAGAGAAAAGAATAAGCGCTGTGCGCCGAAACGAAAGTAAAAAGAAGCATCAAATTCGAACTCCTGCTGTGGAGAACCATGTGCTCCATGGAGAACAAGAAAGCGGGGACTCCTGCTTGGCCTGCAACAATTTGACTCGATGTCAGTGATCTGTCAGGGAGATATAAAACGAAAGCTTCCTTACAAGACAGCAGCCTTCCATGGTGAATAGTAAGACTAAGACGGTATCCTGTTGGCTTCCGTTCCCTCCCTCTCTCACTCTCACTCTCGATGGCCTTCACCGTTGACAGCTCTGCAGCATCCCCATTTCTATATATGCTTGCGCGCTCATCGCTACGGGTCGGCAGCGATTTTCCGCGCAAATGATCTTCCCACGTTTGTTTACGGCCCTCTTCTAAACATGTGTAAGGCATATGTGTGTGCTACAGGAATCGATCTACGAAATTCAAAATAAATGAGGACCTCCGAAGATCCGTAATCCTCACACACATCGTGCAGGATATCGCATACTGGAACTCGGGACTGACCATATCATCCTATTCAGTGCTAATGTGAGACATCTGTGTGTCCGCAAGCACATCTCACAGCCGGCACCCCATCCCCATCGAGTCCCATCAAGGTTTTGCATCCGAACATGTACCTCTGCATGCAATACCCATAAATTACAATAATTTAGTATACGCAAGGATCATGCATAAAGCCCATAGACTGCGCTAGTCGCCAAACGGCTGGGCAGCCCAACGGCCGGCGATGGCGATGGGAGGGCGTAGCACTCGATGAACCCGATTGCCTCCCCATAACCCCCTTAAGCCTGTTAAGATTTGCTGCTTCTGCACCTTTAAAAAGCTCATGATGCAATCGATCGCTAGGGTGTCTCCCGCCTAGCACGGTCTTTGCAATCTTTAATAGCTTGATTGGTTCCGGTACAATTGGAGTCGTTAGCAGTTTTCTCTTGTAGATCCATGAATGTGGGGTATGGGGGGATGAGGGAATGACGGGGATAAGAAGGATCCTCGATATTCCGAGATTAACAATCATGACATCTGTTGGGAAAACATTACGACAGCGAAGTGATTCGTGTCTAGGGTTTCCTAGGGTTTCTTTGGTTCATGAAGCAGGTATATGAGAAAAGCCATGAAACAAGAACCGTTAAATCCTCACAGAGAGTTTGCATCATTTGCTGCTGTCTACCTCTCTGCCTCGTTTTCGACCACGTTTCATACTTGACCGGCCCTTGCCTCTATTGCTCCCAAGGCAGTTTACAGCGCTTCCCAGCTCATGTACTGGTATTGACGATATATAGCATATCGCCCTCGTTCTTTCAGATCTTCGGTCAGTTGAACAACTGCTGACTCTACGGGCTGTCGACGGTGACTTCCACTCTTGGGTCTTCAGGTTAGTCCGCAGACATAATTTCGATCGGCATACTCGTCCATGGCATACCCGAGATCTGCGACGATATATACATCGTAGCCGGTGAGAGTCGGCTCCATGCCGAGGCATATATGAGATGTCTCGGCCTCAGCACTTGCTAAGACAGATGGACCGCCGTATTTGATTGCTCCGGTTCGATGACTCTCTCATCCGTAGTGTCTTTTTTTTTACTGACGCCAGATCCCCCTTAGGCGTGCAGGCGTGCAGGCGTGCCACAGGCAGCATTGTCCAAGCCTCGGCTTGGGCTGTCAGCCGGCCGCTTATTACCTAAAGATAGAGACTAGACTCAGATCTCTTGTAAATACCTTCGAGTTGGTATTTACCACGTGGGACTACACGTGGACTACACTGGAAACTGTCGCTACTGACAAAAAAGATGCGTTCCTAAAATAGGGTGCGTTCATTCAGGGCCATCTGGGGGCTCTTGACGCTTGCTTCAGAACGTCAACACGTACACGTATTCCTTACCTATTGGGGCTGTAGAATCCACTTGTGAAATACCTTCCTTCTACCGTGTCCCAAACGAAATGCTGCCTCAATGACTCGTAATGAGTACTTTAAACCCTAGACCCGCCCACGAGACTCCAGGGGAAGACTAACCCCCAAGCGTCTTACTCTAGTAATTGGCGTTGGGTGCGCAGACCATACAAGAGGCCATTCGATTGTTCACTGCCAACAGACTATTGGTCGCTTGCTACAGTAAATGAACCCAAAACTTCATTTCACTTTGTTATCGCTCAATACATACTGGGCCCCGGGTACGTAACCATCGCGGGGATATTTCCGGGTTTCCAGAGAACATGTATATCGGGCGTAAGACATGCATTGGGCTGGGAGCGCCACTTTCCGCCTAAATCCTTAGCTAATCCTGGAGCAAACACTCGCCAGGAAATCGGACCCTAAAGTAGCCCTGTTACTTGCTTCTTCAATTATCTGAATAACATATTCTTGATCTACACTGGGTAGCCAGCAGCATCTCTTCTTATTATCTACTGCACCATCATCTCTTCATCTGTCATATTTTCTATGCTAGAGTCATGAACATTCCGTCAGAAAATCCACCCAAAGACCGGCATACATGAAATCCGAACTATACAAGTTGATCATCCCTCTGCAGAGTACACCCTGCCACTCGTGCATGTCAATCAACCTCGCTGCATTCCAATGATAATGGTGTATTAAAAAGGTAATGTATTAAAGATGCGCAAGGAGCTTTAGGACTTCTTTTAAGAAAATGATATTGACACTCTGCTAGGGGATATATATGGATGGTTCCTCTCTACATCTGCTATATCTCTTAGACAGAGGTGGTGACCTGCTTCATCGCGTTCTTCTCATCTTGAGCAGAGTACGTTGGCAAGGAACCCGCAGAGCTGTTGGCCTTGGCGGCCTTGGCAGCGCGACGGCGACGGACCAGGAAGAAGGCACCGGCGGCCAAAAGGACAACGACGGCAGCAGAGACACCTCCGGCGATGCCACCGACCTGGGAGCTCGAGAGACCTGTGGACTTCACAGTGGTGGAGTCAGAGTTTCCGTGGGGGAGCGACTCGTAGCATATGATCTCCTCACGCTTGACACCCATGCACATGTCAAGCTGACCGGCCTTGCAGGCAGATTGATCCGCGGTGCATTTCTTGAGGAAGCAAATGTCACCGTGGCAGTCCTCCCAGGCTGGAGAAATAGATAGCAAGAGAAAGAGATAGGAAAGTGCAGAGGTGTTAGATTTTATATCTGTCGATCGCGAGGCAGCCTTTTTTTTTTTTTTTTTTTTTTTTTTTTTTTTACAAACAAGAATACATGAACATGTATCAATAGAACGTACACTCGCATCCCAGGGGGCACTTTGTAGTCTGAGTCTTGATCTCCTGGGGCATATCGCAGTAAAGCGAGTAGATATTGTCGATACGGGCCACAAAAGGAGCAACAGTGTCCTTAGCATCCTTGCAGGTCTCACCGGGAGCCAACTGTGGGATACAGTACTTGTCGTAGTGGCACGACATACCTGCAACAGGGCAGACAGTGTCCTTGTTGCAGTAGTACTTGGTCCAGGGGGTGTTGGGGTTAACGGTAACGTTGGTTGCAGACATGGTGAAGTGTTACTGTGCGAGGAATCAGAGGAACTGAAGAGGGCTAGGCAGAGAGAGGGGCCTGGTTATGAAGTGCGAGAGCTGAGAGGGTGAGAGGGTAAAGAACAAGCAAAGGGGAGGGGATGGTGACCTTTTATAAGCGAACGATGGTCTCGAGAAGCTTCAAGCGAGGAAAGATTAGGAACCGAGTTCACATATGAGAATAAGAAAATAGCGCTTTCAATAGCGAGGTCGGGCTTCAATCGCTTCGTAGGAAGGGCACCCACTATACCATGCGGGCAGAGAAAAGGAGATGGATGTAAAAGGCACGGTGCTGTCATCTGTAGTATATGTCTGTCTTCATGTATTTCTCTCGCGCGCCCACCCCGCATTTTCAAGGTTTCCCCCCTTCCACATAGTTTGAGGCGCGCATTAAATGCCCAGGATCTGATAAGATGGCGAATGAAACCCATGTCTTCTGAGCTAGTTTGGCTGAGTTTGTTTATCAGATTTGTTTTCTTTTTGTGCAATCCCGGTAACGGGAATATTGATGATGCTTATTTCACCCAATAGGAAAAGTGGATAGGGCGCATAGAAAAAATGGAAGGACAAGAAGGGGCAGGAGCAGGAGCGTACAGAACTGTTATGGTGCGCTGGTTTATAACTCAATACTTGCACGCAGCGCCTCGTCCTCGCTCCCAAGTGAATAAACCTATCCATCGTTCTCGTTCGCTCAGGGCGCTGCGTTTCCGTGTTAGGAAGCAGTGCATGTACAATATAGTTATATACGTTTTCATACGAAGTTCGCTGGAGGAACGAGGGATCGACACTCATCTCTCTCGAAGGAATGGATTAGACTTCACTCGAGGCGCTGCTTAGTCTACATGACTCCAGCGTAGACAACATGGACGGCTGACTATGTGCGGAGTAAAGTTCTCTAATGCACTATCTTTTTTTGAGCTGAACTAATATTCTCCGATCTGGAGAGACAGGCGGCTTGAGGATCTGATAAACAAAAACGTAGGCCGACGCCAGAATAGGTTTTGAAGATCTGATAAGTTCTGTCTAGCTGCAAAGAAAAAAAACAACCAGTTGGTCTCTTCAATGTGCTTGGTAAGAGGACTGAGCACGGATGCAGAGACTGTGTAACGTAGATTCACGCCTGTGAAGGAAAGAAAAGAATAAAAGGAATCTTCCATACTATGCCGTGCCATGTGGACCAAACAAAAACATAAAAACATGGCGCTCGACGCGGCTAGTTAAGCATAGTCTACGTGCATGTTGCGGGCATGGCAGTCTAACAGGAGAATCACGGTTCTCTTTGTAATGGATACTAGACCCATCCGGACTTTCGAAATGCTCGGCTGGTTACGCTTTTGTGAGACTACGCAGTTGTCATCACAATTTTTGAAGAGGCGCAAAGTTGACCCGATGCCGTGTCATCCCCTGTCCAAATCCATATCGACCGCATTGTTATATGGGGTCGTTTATTATACTATTTACATAGTCTGGTATATACATCGGTAGAAGCTTTGGTTGCTCATGAGACCATGTTACTGAACTGGATGTTACTTTTGTAAAGTGTACAATTTTGTACAGGCATTGTTTGTCAACATGCCTAGATTATTCACTACTGCAACGTCTCCGGTGTATGCCTGCTACCATGTGTTCCGTGCAGCCGCTGCGAGAAGGGAATATTGGAGGGTTGCCCTTGAATGCAATTCCTTGTGCCACTCGAATTGGCACATTCATGGGCGGAGTGGAATAGGCAATGCCTTGGGAATGGCGAAATGAAAGAGATGGATGCTGAGCAACAGCATATCGGAGCACCTCCTGGTCCTCGTCCAGCACTTGTTTATCGCTGATATATGGACTGTGCTCTTCAAAGTTTTGGTGTATTTGGTGCGCGGGCAAATGGTCATGGTCGAATCCATCGGAGGACACGGTAGAGGCAGCGTCATCATCATCATCGCTTTCATCTGACTCCACAGCGTGCGGATGGTTGGCATGTCGCTTGGACTCGAACGACGTCGAAGAAGATGAGAACTGTATAAGATCGAATTCCATGGCTGAGGAACTCGATCTGCGATGAGAGGGATAGCTCATGCTGGCAGAGAACATGTTCGAGCTGCTGTATTGCTTGGAAATCGAGGATCTGGTGGGAGCCTGTCCGTCCGCAAAACGGATCTTGACCGATGTTGGAAGTGGATCGGTGTCTTGTGAATCTTGCGCACTTTCTTCATTCATGGGTGCCGAGCGGCTGGTGTAACCCAAGTTACGGTGGTGGTTCAAACTGACGCTGCGGTGCAGCGTTATCGTAGGTATCGTAATAGTCGTGGCTCTGGTCCGTGAAGCGCTCAATAGTGATCCCTTGAGGGCGATCTCATCGTCACTCTCAGAGTAGGTGCCCTCAGTTAACAAGATCTGCTGGAACTGCTCACTCGAATCGGACCGATTGTTGTTGTTGGTTCGATCTACGCATTCACCCTTGGTAAAATCAGCCGGTTCTGATCGCATTCGATGATGGACGCTGGAGGGTGGAGGCACAAACGTCGATGCCGAGGGCAGTGCTGTCACTTGCTTCTTGAAGTACTCGTCCGCTGCTTTCTCATCCATGAATGTAGGCAAGAATCCTTGCAAGTGACCAATCCGATGGGCAGCGCGTCGGCGCTTCATACAGACGTAAAAGAGGATCAATGCAACGATCAACAGCAGGGATCCCAGCACTGCCGCACAGATGATCAATATGTTTCCCGAATACATAATAGAAGCTGAGGAGGATTCGGAGGCGTTGTCGGTAGGTGCCACTGCCACAACTGGAGAGACAGCACGTTTGTGTTGGGTGACAGATCGAATCTCGTAAATGCACACCGTCGGATCAACGGCGCAGTGAGAGGCCGTGCTAATGTCTATAATCGAGTGGTAAATTTGACTCGCACGGGATCAAGAAACGGGTCGCAGGTGGAATATGGTGTGGCAAGCAGAGTTGAGCTTAAAATACTTTGCAAAAGATGGGAGCAGTTTGGGGGCTGCGAGCACGATAAATGAGTGTTGGTAGAGAGATGCGAAGAGAGCGAAAGTAGAGCAAGAAAAAAAAGACATCAAGAGGTCGCGAGTTATGAACGAGAGAAGAAGGGGCCACGGAACCAAGATTCGGAAGGAGGCAGTGGGCGATATGCATACCTTACCCCCCTCCCCCCTTTCTCTCTTCCACTGTTTCTTATTCCTGCCTGAAGTGACCACTCAAGCTCTCTCCATTGTCTGCAAGGGTAATCTTCCCTGTTTTGGTTCATTTTGACAATATCATACATTATCGCCTTAATCGCTCCCGGTACCCGTTATATATTGGGAAGAACATTTGCCATATATGATGACGTCAGGGAGTGATCGACGACCATGGATGTTGTCTCCATACCTTAATGCAAAAGGAGAATGCCTTGGTTCAAGCGGCTACAACGCCCCTATTCGAGTAATAGGAGACATTGCATCTTGCTTAGATAAAAATACCACGTCCAGGGTGTATCCCAGGGAATATGTCAAGTAAAATAAGGGGTAGAGGCCTCTAAAGGCACTGGACAAGCGGCAGCTTCCTACATCTGGAAGACATAAGGGTAAGGCTCAAAGGGCAACCTTGTAGCGCGCTTGGATGAACGCGTTCCCGAGCTGGTATCGCCGCGGAAAAGCGAGACTGGGAATAGCAAGGGCAGCAGATCCAATGATAAGATATGGTTCTCAGCAGGCCCTCTTTTTTTAGACGTTTACTGATAAATCTGCAAAATGCCGAAATGCTATCGAATATTAAGCGAAGAGGCAGGGTGGAGAGTGTCCCAAGAAGGTGCGAGTCTGCCTGAAGAAACGTCAGAGACGTGTTTGGGATGTAGGGCAGTGTGCAGCGGCATGTAATATAAATGGAGATCAAGGTGTGAATCCCAACCACCTAACACGCTTGTGTCGCTGAACGCTGCTATCATTGTGCCAAAGTGTTCCCTCGCACAAGGCAAGATTCCCATCAGATAAGGGTTATATAGCGTAACTACCCCTGTTAGTCTGTAGGATTAGAAGCAGGAAGCGAATCGCATGGCGACCAACCTAATCTTTCCAAAAAGAATAAAAAAAATTGCTTACTCCTTTAGGGCAGCACGGGTAAGCTGGTTTCTGATCCTCTCTCTCATGTTCCTGTGCGATTATTGAACAAGGCCACAGTTCAGCACCGATATTCATAGAGCCGAACCTTAGAAGAAGCATGGGAATCCTAAAGTTTGGATACAGTGAATTTGTGGAACGACACCAGTTATGGAAGTCATGGGCGAAATGCAGCAAGGTTCACAAAAACCAGAGGGCGTGTCTCATCCCTCATTCAGGCCGCTTTTTATTTTTTTGTGAGCGGAGGGAACGACAATAAACGGTATGGTTGCAAGATTCTTGGCACTATGAAGGTTGTCTGTACGAATAAGTCTAGTCTACATCTCCAGGCGGCGTAGTCGCGACGTTGACTAACCTCCGAGGAAGGGACTTGGTTTCTGCTGCGGGGATGAGTATGGATATGGGTGTCCCCATGGGAAGAATGATGAGCCAACGTAATTGCCTGTGATTGCGTATAGTCTAATGGACAAACGTAATGGGCTGCACCTGCCAAATAAGTCCACGATGGAGGACGAAAGTGCATGGTGCGACATCACAAAAGAAGAAGAGAAGGGGTCTCAGCGTAGAATGTTGACACGATGCGCGAAGGGTTATTTGAATCTTACGATTTGCACTCGATCTTCGCTTCGTGGTCTTTTTTGGATGCGTTTCGGTGTCCCACGCCTAACTCTATTAGATACTACGGAAATTTTGCGCGTCTTGGCAGCTGCAACTCCCCGGGAACGACACCAAGCCGTTAGCCTGCCAAGGCGACCCTTTAACTTCGTACTTGACGAGTGCTTCAATGAGCAGGAATACATTAAAGCGAGAAAGGTATTGAGGCAGCTTTCGTCCCCAGTTTACTGGTCGCGGATGTCTACAGACATGTATGCATCCAAACAAAAAAAAAGATATCCCCAGGTTGATCGGACTCTTGGCCCTGGGAGATGGAGTGAGCTTTTCCCCGCAGTTAAGGTTGCGGACCAAAAATGGTGTTCATTTCTTTTTTTATAACCCGTTGGTTTCTTTCTTATAAAACCAATGGTTGACATGCTCATCCCCACCCTTTCTTCTCTCTCTCTTCTCGAAGATACCCCTATTCCACTTTCATATATCTCATTTGTCGCTTTCGTTTTCACTGTGCGTTATTCCTTCCTTTTGATTTGCTCCGCATCCCCCTTGCTGGAATCAGCACGTCAACGCCACCAATTCCAACAAACTTATCATTAATTAAGGAACAAATCCACCTTGAAATCAATGGGTGTTGGTGCCTTCTGCAATGATATCGAGGGCTGGGTAAGTACGCACCAGGGTCCCTTTTGTCACCTCTATGGACACCAAGACTCTTCGCTCACGGAAGAAGGTCCTTTGACACCCACCAAATCTTTTTTGCTCACTCACTCACTATGGCACTCTCTTCTCTCTTGAACAATTCCACACACGCACCCCTTCAATGATACTCAACAGGGTCCAACAAGTCTTACGCGACCGGATCTCACGCCCTGCGTTGAGAACACCATTCTGCTGGGACTTCCCGCTCTTTTGGTGATCATCGCCTCATTCTCTCAAACCATCTACATGTGGAAATATGGAAAGTCCCATAATCTCGGCCGCGCCAACATCATCTACTGGCCCTCACAGATCCTGATGCTCGGTAACGCCGTCGCACTGTTTGTCAGAGCCGGTCTTTTGAAGGACGGTGACTATATACCTGCAGCCATGTTCAGTACTATTAGCATGGCCATCGCCTGGGTATGGAGTGAACAAAATGCATAGCACTATGCCCAATCGTTGCATAAAGACGTATCATATCTCACTAACAACATCCCATAACCTCTTTCTTGATATTCCAACGACAGTTGACCGTCGTCCCTCTCAACTACTATCAGCACTTGCAGGAGATCCGTTCCAGCGATGTCATCTTTTCTTTCTACTTCTTCTCCATCGTCGCATCTGCCATCAATATCCGCACCATGGCACTGCTAGACCAGACCAACCAGGATCAGTTTAAAGCATTCGTCGCCTATTTCGCCATCAACATTCTCGGCTTCATCGTTGAGGCCTGGCCCAGAGGACGCACTGAAGCCCAGCGCAAGAGTAATGCCAGCCGATACAGCAAAGCCAACTTGTTCTCTCGCATCAGCTTCCAATATCTGCAGCCGATTGTCAGCTCCGGATTCAAGACGCCTCTTAAACCCAAGGACATCGCAGGCATGATGCCCGAAAGAATTAAGACCGAGTACAGCCACGACCATCTCAATCAGCTGTGGCAGGCCCAGGTCACAAAGCATAAGGCGCGCGGAACAAAACCGCACCTGTTCACAACGGTCATAAAGTCCTTTGGATGGCAATGGTTCCCGGTCCTGTTCTTCCGTTTCGCGGCCTCGACCCTGACCTATGTCCTGCCTCAGCTTTTGAACGAGCTGCTTTCTTTCATCGGATCGTACAAGGACCCCACTCCCAAGCCAGTTTCTTTGGGTGTGATTTTGGCGTTCGGCATGTTCTTTGCCTCGCTTTTGAACTCAATCTGCATGGCCCAATATTTCCTCTACGTCATGAACGTCGGTATCGAGGCCAGGACCGCGACGATCGCAATGATCTACCGCAAGTCACTCAGGCTCTCAAGTGCCGCCAAGCAAAAGTCGACTGCAGGCGAAATTAACAACCACATGTCTGTTGATGCCGAGAGATGGGCCGAAGCGTTGCCATTTATGCCCATGCTTATCTCCACGCCTTACGAGATGGCAATTGCGATCTGGATGCTGTACCAGCAGATTTCTTGGTCAGTCTTTGCCGGTCTCGGTGCCATCTTCCTTATCGCCCCATTGAACGGTATTATTGCACGTGTTTTTCTCAAGGTAATATAAGATGCAACGCTGTGCATAGGTTCGATCTCTAGACTGGAGATTCCCCTTGTTGCAGCGATAATTGACGCCAAGTTTATTTCTACAATCAACGTTTACTACATTCGTAGCAAAAAAATATCAAGCTGGCTGCTATGGACGAGCGTGTCCGTCTCATGAACGAGCTGCTGGCGGGCATGAAGGTCATCAAGCTGTATGGTTGGGATGACTCTTTTCGTGAGCGTGTTGGTGTGTATCGTCGCCGTGAAGTGTCCAGTCTCCGCAAGATCGGTATCATCTTTTCATTCATGTCAATCATGTTCCAGTCTGTCCCCTTGGTGGTGTCTTTGGTCTCATTCGCTGTCTACGCCACTCATGGAGGACCCAACTTTGGACCAGGAGATATCACGCCCCAGCGCGTCTTCGTCTCGATCAGTTTGTTCGGTATGCTGACCCGTCCAATTAGTATGATGTCGCATATTATTGCCGAGACGATTGCTCTCACGGTTGCATCGACTCGCATTCAAAAGTTTTTACTGGCGGAGGAAATCTCAGAGTCAACCACGGATCATCTCAGGACTTTGCCTGACGACCCCAGCACACCTTTAATCGAAATCAAGGACGGTCTCTTTGCCTGGGAACAAGAGGGCCCCGAGATCGAGACCGAGAAGGAAAAGAAAATACGCGAGAAACAAGAGGCCAAGAAGCATAAGCAGCTCGTAAAGGAGGCCCGCAAGGCTGGAAAGCCCGCACCCGAGAAGGAAGTACCTGTCGAGAAAAACTACGGACCTACGCTCATGGACATCAATATCAAGGTTGCTCGCGGAGATTTAACAGCCGTTGTTGGACGCGTTGGACAGGGCAAGTCTTCGCTGCTAAACGCGATCATTGGAGATATGTACAGGCGCCAGGGCAGTGTGAAGGTCTATGGAAGACTAGCCTATGTTCCACAGCAGGCTTGGATTGTCAACGCGACTTTGAAGGACAATATCATCTTTGGGAATGAGTTCGATCAGGCACGGTACGACCATATCCTCATGGCCTGCGGTCTCTTGCCCGACATTGCGATGCTCCCAGCCGGAGATCAGACTGAGATCGGCGAGCGTGGAATCAATCTGTCGGGAGGTCAGAAGCAGCGTGTCTCCTTGGCAAGAGCTGCTTACGAGAATGCAGATGTGTACCTATTTGACGACCCCCTGAGCGCTGTCGATGCTCATGTCGACCAGCATCTCTGGCAACACTTGATCGGGCCCACCGGTCTGCTTAAGGACAAGACCCGCCTCCTCGTCACTCACGCCATTCACCACCTGGAACACACGGACCGGATCATTGTCATTAAGGAAGGGAGAGTTGCTGAGGTTGGAAGGTATAACGACTTGATGGAAGCCAAGGACTCGCTTTACCAGTTGATCACGGAGTACTCAGTCAACCAGGGCAGGGCACGCAAGGAGAAGAGCGCCGAGCAGGGTGATGATGATTTATCAGACGAGGACGGCATGACTGAAGATGGAGGCGAGAAGGAAGCCCTTGCTGTTGTCCAGAAGGATGAAAAGGCCGAGCTGGTTGCAGAAGAGAAGATGGAGCTTGGAAGCGTATCGTGGGGAGTGTATGTTATCTATGCCAAGGCAGCTTCGCTCAAGTACTCCTTGCTCGTTGTTTCCTTGTTTGTCATCGGGCAGGCGGTCCAGGTAAGAGCTGCGACAGCTGGTGTTCGATATGCGCCTTCATATTGGCGCACATTTATTTCTTTTACTCATAGCTCTCTCCCTTTATTGCCTATAGATTGGGACCAATGTCTGGCTCAAGTACTGGTCGAGTGTTGCTGGGACAAATCGCCATACTATCGCGGAGTTTCTTGGAGTCTATGCAGCGCTTATCGTCGCCTACATGGTTTTGAACGTCGGATCCAGTTATATCACCATGGCCATTGCCGCCATCCGTGCGTCAAACCGCTTGCACGACCTTCTCCTGACAAAGATGCTGCGCCTTCCCATGTCCTTCTTTGATACGACCCCACTCGGAAGAATCGTTAACCGTTTCAGCAGCGATATCTTCTCGCTGGACGAACTGCTTCCCTGGAACTTCATCAATGTCTTCTTGTGCGCAACCTCCGTCATCGGAACCATTGTCGTCATTGCGACCTCCACCCCTATCTTCTTGGTTATGGTTCCTCCGCTGGTAGTTATCTATCTCCTCACACAGACATACTATATCCGAACCAGTCGCCAGCTTAAACGTATCGAGTCTGTGTCCAAGTCGCCAATCTACCAACATTTCAGCGAAACCCTGTCTGGTGTCACGACTATCCGCGCATTGGGAGCGAACGAGCGCTTTATACAAGACAACGCTGGTAAAGCTGATATTGCTGCCAACGCTTACTTCTCTTGGGTCACATCCAACCGCTGGCTGCAGGTTCGCCTCGAGGCCTTGGGTGCCGTCATTGTCTTGGCTGCAGCTCTTTTCGCTGTGTTGAGCAGGAACACTCTGGACTCCGCAAATGTCGGACTTGCGCTGTCTTATGCATTGTCGGTCACTCAAGATATCACCTGGCTCGTTCGCAGTTACTGTGATCTCCAAAAGTAGGTCGTTGTTCATTGTTCGCGATTGCTGTCTCTCTGTCCTTTGTTCTCCATTCTAAAGTGCGTTTGAATTAACGTTTACTGCTCTTCTATTCCAGCCAACTTGTCGGTGTAGAGCGCATTAACGAGTACGCCAGCAAGAACCCCGAGGCACCTGCGCAGACAGACGTCAAGCTGCCTGAGAACTGGCCCCAGGCTGGTCACGTCGAATTCAGGAACTACTCTACCCGTTACCGCGAGGGTCTGGATCTAGTTATTAAGGACGTCTCATTCGAGGTGCAGCCAGCTGAGAAGGTCGGTATCTGTGGCCGTACTGGTGCGGGTAAATCCTCGTTGACATTGGCACTGTTTCGTATTGTTGAAGCAGCCAACAGTCACTGGGCCAAGGCTAGTCATAACGGTGCCGACTCGGATGCAGATCCCGCCAAAACCGAAAAGACCAAGGATCTGGAGAAGGTCGAGGTGGAGGAGGACGGTGGATCTATCTGGATCGACGGTGTGGACATTTCCACGGTTGGCCTGATATATCTCCGCCAGCATTTGGCCATCATTCCCCAGGAACCTACGTTGTTTGTCGGCACATTGCGCGAGAACTTGGATCCGTTTAACGAGCTGCAGGATGCTGATCTTTGGGAGGCATTGGAGCGTGCGCACTTGAAGGATCACATCTCCTCGCTCGCAGGTGGATTGTCATTCAAGGTATCGCAGAACGGAGACAACTTCTCTGTCGGCCAGCGCTCGTTGATCTGCTTGGCCCGTGCGTTGCTCCGCAAGACCAAGATTCTGATCCTGGATGAGGCCACAGCCGCTGTGGATGTCGAGACAGACGAGCTGATTCAGAAAACAATCAGGAAAGAGTTCAAGGATCGGACGATTTTGACGATTGCGCATCGCATCAAAACGATTATGGACTCGGACAAGATTCTGGTTCTGGAGAAGGGGCGCGTCGAGGAATTCGAGGCCCCACAGACGCTGTTGCAACGGCCCAACTCTTTGTTCTACCAGCTTGCACAGCAGGCTGGCGAGATCAAGCACTCAGAATAAGAGTGCCTTCGGGCTGCTCCTCTTTCCATCTCTACCTTGCTTTGGGAAGCAGCGCTTCTTTGTACATTCCTAATATCTCGCTAGTAAGCATTTTTTTCCTACCACATCTATTACATTAATAAATACTTCCTTACTCATGAGCCTATTGCGTGAACAAATGTAGCTCATCCTGTGCCAAGAACATGGGCGGGGTGCCAAAGCACATCTTTAATTGCATTTTTTTATCAGAAAAATACTAGATGCACGTACAAATTACCCTCAGTAGCCATGGGACTACTCGTGGAGGGATGGTTTATTTATTTGCACGGTTTGGAGTTTGCAGAGAGCGCGTGCGTGGGCCAAGTTCGTCCTTTAGCTGGATCGAAAGGAGTGCAAGGCCCACGATAGATTGACGGAAGGGGATCGGAGATGACAGTTTCGTTCTTGAGCATGTAACTGTGTTGACTGCTAATGGTCTTCCTAACCCAATTCACTCCCTTTTTTTTCGTCTTCTTGGCCCCCTGGCTCAGGGACTAAACTTAATTCAAGGCAGCATCAAGCCTATTCGCTCTTCCCTCCCTTTGTCACTGTCCATGTCCATGTCAATGTTCATGGCACCATGCAACCACTTTTGAGCACAACACTCACGCCTCATACTTATTTCTAGTTGGACCCGAGAAAAAGCAACATTAAAGATTGCAATCGATCACTGTCCTTTCGGCACCGTAACTACATCCAATTTGAAACTCGGATTGTCTGTTCTCAGTCGACATGTCTGACCATGCTAGCATTCTGTCTGCCAGGCGCTATAGGGCAGTCTTTTTTAATGATGTTGATACCCTCATCGTCTTCTTCTCCGTCCTTTTCTCTAGCTGACTCATCCGTGTAATTCTCTGACACTAATTCCTGTCGCAATATCTGTCGCATTCTGTAGCCCCCTTCTCGTCCTTCTCTTCTTTCTTACTCCTACATACAATATAATACAATGTAATTTCCATCTCGCAGATGCTAATAAAGAGGAAATACAGCCACAAACGACCAAGTGTCCAAGAAACACGATCTGTCTCGGCAGCTATCGATACCCTCTTCCTTTGTTGCTATCTTTCTCTTCGATCTTGTTCTTGTTCATGTATTTATCTTTGTCTACTCTTGCTCAATAATACTTTCCACTCACTCCATTCTCGACTGCTGTCCAATCATTTGCATCGCTCGTTGGACGGCTGCTCTTGATTCTTTGAATGGACCGAGAGCAGCGAACCGTCCCCCAGCACTTGCCTTGTTACACCCACTGCGCCCACTGTAAAAACAACTGAACCATCCGACGTTACTATATGCGACCCTCTCACCGCCAGATCAGCTTGTTCATCCTACTTCTGACCCTATTTAATCATCTCGCTCAATTCCTCCTTGTATCGTCCTTGATCCCCCTTGTCTATCTGCGCACCACACAGATAAAAAAAAGTGTTCACTGAAGACATTCCTATTTAATCAAATAGGGTAGGGGAGCACCACTCTGTATTATCCAAACCCTCTTCTTCCCTTCTCCCTACTGCCTGCAAAGTCATGGCCCCCTTCCATCAGAATCTGCCCCAGTCTCCCTCAATTGCTTCACGTTCAGACACTCCCCTAACTTTCCCTCTGCCCCGCTCCGTACCAGTCCCCGTCTTCACCAATACGCCGTATGCACCGGACACAAAGAACGTGTCCCCCGGTCATGGTCTCTTGACTGACCAATCATCGTCCCCACTGCTTCCTCGGCTACACGCGCATAAACAGGAACAAAAGCAGGGACAGGAACAGAATCAGGAGCAGACGCAGAAACAGGGACAGGGACAGGGACTCGGCTCTCCGTCCCCTCCTTCCGCAATACCTCCTAATCAGCCCACTCTGCGCCAGAATTACGAACCAATGCCATCCATACAGTTTCAACAGCTTCAATATGCCTGTCGGTCTCGATCTCTCGATGAGCAGCAGTATCTTTTTTACCAGGGACAAAGCCAACAGATCCAACTCCAGTCTTTTGTTCAAGCCCGAGAATACTCTTCGTCCTCTCTGAAGTATACAGATCGCAAGAGGATTTTGCTGCACACCTTAAGTTCACCAGATCCGGGGTATCTAGATGCCCTCAGCGGCTACTTCAGTCCACATATCGGCCAACCTGCTACAATAGAATCGCAATCTGGAAATATCTCTCACGCAGAGGATGAAGAAGATGATGTGGAGATCGAGGAAGAAGACGATGAGGAGATCGAGGAGGAAGGATGGAGCGGTCGTGCGAATTGTTCCATGTCAAGGAGCGTCGTTAGGTAAGTAAGGGCGGTACTTTATCTCATCAATCAAGACGATTTTGTGGGTCATATCGAAGTTTACGCTGACTTTTCAATCACACGCCACACTTGTTTAAAGAGATGTTCAGAGGAGAGAGCGACGCTGCTCGCGGCTTATGGGAGGGCCTGCAGCGTGGGCAGGAACACCACTGAATACTCAATGGACACCAAAGAACAGCTTGCTCGTTTCGCCCGCAAATGACGGCACTATCACTACACCGCCACCATCCGCGCGAGTTCCTTTTATGCCCAGACGAAGGCGCCACTCCTGTGTGGCACCCAATACCAAGGAATTCCGTGCCCTCGCAACAATTTTTGGCTGGGTCACTGTATCATCCTCCAACAGCTGGTTGAAGGGATCCGACGGGCAAAAGTTACAAGCTGCAGAGTTTATGATCGAGGGCACACTGCAGCGCTGCACCGGGATCCACCCAGCATCGTGCGAGAGCGATAATGGCTTGGACATGGGCGAAGCCTTTCGGCCTAGGTCGATGATGGCCTCGTGCGCACCACGCGAGTCTAGGTGAGAGAAGGCTTGCACTCGCGTCGTTTCACCCTTGCAGTGAATTCCAGAGCTGATGCTGCGTTCTTGATTGTTTATTCCAGGGGTCCAGAGCTCACGGACAGCTGCGTTCGCATTTCAGAGCAGGGTTCGCGTTTTTCGAATGGAGGAGTGGGGTGCCCACGCAAAAGTGATAAGGGATTGAAGTCAACTCCTACTCAACGCTGCCTCACAGCACTCCCTGGACAGCAGCCAACTCCTCTACAGCCATCAGTGGAGGATGAGGCAATCGCTCACTCCCAAGCCCTAATGAATGAAAGTGGTGATATCGTGCCAACAATTTCGGAATTGAAGGGCGCGCAGGAATCGACTGAGCAATCTACAGTGCCGGTGAACGCGCCGGTCGGTCGGGCAGGGTTTGAAACTCAGTTCGATACAGGGGGTACGCGCTGTAGGAAGAAGTTGCCGGCGCTTCCTCTGGCCGTTGATTATGAGGTGAACTCCGGTTACATGCCTTTCTCTTGGGAACTTTATAGCCAGTCCCTTCAGACATCGTCGGCCACCAACGTTGAACCGAATCCTGCTTATTCCCAGGACAACCACTGCAACCATGGCATCCCATATCCACCGATTAATCAGACACATTATTGCAGCACTGATGCCGGTATTCAGAGGCAATCTTTAGGAGGGACGCTACCCTCATCTGCACCGGAATCACCACTTTTATCTGACGCGCCACCAGTGCCCCCTCGATACCCCGAGATTGATTCTCGTGTGTTTGACCATCCGGAAGATGAAGGCCCCGACAGCATCGTGTACGCCCCATCTGACTCGACCGGAGACATCTCTGCTCCTGGACGTGGTGAGCCCTTACCTATTATTGCCGCCACAATCGTTAAGCTGATTGAAAAACTAACCCATCAGCATGGAATGGGTACGTGATCTATTAAGAATTGCTATGTCAAAAAAGGCACAGATGTACTTAATCCTTTCCCTTTGGTAGACTCTGGGTTCACGACAGACTTTTTTCTCACGTACCGGCTGTTCATGTCGCCAGTGCAGCTATGCAAATATCTCATCCAGCGATACTTGTGGGCATTGGAGCAGGACACGGAATCTCGATACGTTGTTCGAGTTCGGTAAGTTTAAGTTCAGTACAGCTCATCTTCTTTCATTACAGGATCATTTGGACAAAGTCCTCACAATGTGGGAATTACAAACGTTTCATATCTAATACTGCTATAGCACGTTCGTTGTATTCCGTTATTGGATCAACAACCACTTTGCAGACGATTTTTTGACCTCAAAGTCATTACGTTTCCAAATGGCCTTGTTTCTAAACGAAATGCGTTTTCATCCACGCGTGCAGGCCTCTGCACGAGATTCCCGTATTATCCGCAGCCTCATGGATTTTTTCAAGTACCAGAGACGGCTCTATAAAGGTCTTGCAGAACAAAGTCTGACGACAGAGCAGGAGCAAAAACTTAGGCAAAAGGATGAGAAGACAGCTGAGGATGTTAATGATGCGCATTGTGGCAACGACGACCTGAAAGCAGCAGAAGTAGAACGCTTAAGTGTGGTGGCGGCAATACAAAGGTCCTGGGATGCGTTTGCAAACAAGTCGATCACAAGTGACCTTCCCAGTACTACTCAACACTCTACCCCAGTCAAAGGACGCCATCGCGCATCGACCTTGGCAGGTACGACTTTAAGATCCATGGTCGAAGAGTCTCAAGGCAATTTCATGGTAAGGCAAGGCGTGGGAATATCTATTGCATTTCATGGGCTGACCACAAAGTGGGCAATTATTGACGCATACCTGACATGGCGACTCAATTTAGGATTCGAAACCACCTCTCTCAAAGGAGGCTCGGTCCCAATCCATGTTAAGACAAATGAGCGAAGGCAGAGCGGTGATGACCAGAGAGCGTCGACAATCGACATCGTCCATCAGATCCAACAAGAGTGGGAACACTTGGTCCACGATAATGACGATGGGTATTAGCAAATTGCGACAGAAGAGCGAGGACATTTATCAGCACCTTGTCCATCCTATCAATGCGCTGGGCAAAGCTGACAACAGGAGCTGCGTCTGCTGGACTCCGGCCTACACGGGGATCAACGAACATCACGTCTTGAACACGGCACGGAGTCACCCCAACTTGCGGCCGTCTGTCGTTGTAACAAATGCCTTCCAGGATTCAGCCCAGTCTCAATCATCTGTGGCTCACACGACTCCTGGAGTGGCCTCCAATAAGTCGGTCAAGCGCCTAAAGTCATCCATTAACCTGGGTCGGTCCACACCAGCAACGGCTCCTTCACCTACGTCCTCGCCCACCCGAAATCAGTTCTCCAGTATTTCGAGCCGCCATTCACGCTCCAACTCCAACTCTTCCATGGGCTACCACCCTAATCCGGACTGTCCCTATCACATTCCATGCTTGAATGCCTCCAGTAAAGATACTTCTAAGAAACCCAGCGAGCCTATGGATGAGAATTCAATAGCGACACTTCAGGAGGCCTTGCAGGATGATTTCATCGACATGATTCCTCAGCTACAGGTTTCTCGCATGACGAGCTTGATCCCTCCTCCTTCTCCAGCATGGCAGTGCTCTCCTTGGTATACGAGTTCGCAGCAGAACAACGCCAGCACGGTTTCGCCTGTGTACAAGCCCTTTATTCTGTTTTATCGATCTCAAATGGTAGCACAACAGTTATGTCTGCTCGAGCAGCACTTTCTAGAGCAGATTAGATGGGATGAGCTACTGGAGATGGAGTTGACAAAGGCGGGAAGGAGGAATGGAAGTAAGGCCCAGTCGTCGTTCAGCGGTTATCTGTTCAAGGTTGAACTTGAGCGCAGTGGTATCGAAGCCAGCAATCAGCGGAGCAACATGGTAAGGCAGCAGCTCTGTATTAGAGTAAAGGTCATGATATGGATAAGCATAACAGCACGAAAGAGAGTTAACCCCCCCCCTATCTGTCTGTATGCTTTCCTAGTTATGCATGTGGGTCGCTTCTGAGGTTGTCAGCACGCATCCGATTGAAGATCGAGTGCACGTTATTGAAAAATTCATCCGGATCGCACAGGTACAACATATCGCGCCGACGCCCAGACTGGCTCAACGCATGTCAGTGTTTTATGTTCGTGTCACATTTTGACCCCGCCATTATTGATCATTTGCTAGAAATGTTACCAATATCGAAACTTCAACTCGCTCATTCAGCTGGTCATGGGTTTGGGATCCTCACACCTTTGCGGACTAAGACGCACCTGGTCCAGGGTCGGAAACTACGAGATGCGAGTCCTTCAAGATCTCCAGGACTTTATTTCGCCTTGTAGCAACTGGAGGGTAATTCGGAAGGCCATGAACCAAGTCAGCTACAAGGACACGCTTGGCGACAGCAACCAGCGATTCAATTTCCAGACACAGGACAGTGCTGTTTCCGCCGGCAGCGTCTCTGGTATGAATCTAACCATGCTTTGGGTACATAAACGGACATTGTTTTTGTGCAATATACAAGGGATGGTTTAACAGCTCTTGGTGCATTTTTATGACCTTCCCAGGGCAAGAGTCGAATGGGCCCAGTGTGCAGCTACTGAGCGAATCTGAACAGTGTGGACATAGCAAATATCTCCAGTATCAAGTATCGCTAGAAAAGCAAGGATGCATCCCCTTTCTAGGGCTCTTTGTCTTTGATCTCACGCATATTACAGTCTCTTCTACATGGTATCTTCCTCAGACACCAAAGTCAAAGGATGGAGGAGGGTGTCAGCGGGAACCGGGATCGAATTCTATGCCCGCTATATCGATGAGGACTGATTATCCAGTCATGACAGCAGCGCCATTGGAGGCGCCGGACCCAAAGGATCTAGAAGAATTGCTTCCGACAGGAAAGCTGCTGGTGCACTTTTATCGTTTCCAATTGATTGGTAAGATAAGTTGATGGGAGAGGGGGAGGGGAGGGGGGCCAGACTGTTGAGGTTGGATATTATTTTTTGGTCCTTACTGAGATGTTTGATTTCCTGTGAGTGGTAAAATAGCCAAGACGATCAAGTGGTTTTTGGCATTCCAACAACGATCTCAAAAATACACGTTTCCGGTGGACAGGATCTTGTATTCCAAGTGCCTCCTACTTCGTGTGTTGAGTACTGAGCAAGTGCGAGAACTTGCCGACAGCTGCGAGTGTGATTGACCTAATCTCTCAATCAAAGACACCAAAAAAAAAAAAAAAAAAAAAAAGCTCCTAAGAATTATACAAAAGTATCATTACTTTCAACCAACCAATTATGACTTTAACGACATCAATGATGACCCTTTATCCGCCCCACTCAACTTTTAAATACCCTTCATGGTACACCCTCCGTCCGGCGTCTCTTCCTCATGCACCCATCTCGCGCTCCATCACCCATCGCACCCATTGCACTTGTAACAACATAACGCACACCTTACATAGCCCAGCCCTACCTTCTATTGCACGACCCCTTCCTTACTCCTACCAGGCTTCTCTTACGAAAAATCAATATAGAGCATATCCTCTTCCAATATGACTACTGTTCGTTTCTGTAGAAAATAAAGTACCTGTACAAATCAATCGGCTGACAGCAAAGAAAAAGGGAAAGTTGCTGCACTTGCGTTGGGAGACGACTACTGTAGTACATACGAGGCAAGTTGCATCTCGCTCTTGCATATGGAGTTTGGTGAAACGCGGTTAGCTTATGAACTAGTAATTCTCATTGATAAACAAAGAGTCTGTCGCGTGTATTTAAGTTCACCGCTCACCGGGTTGTGTAAACCATGTGCGGCACAAGGAAAACGAGGCATGCCGAGGATCTCGGTGGTCTCCTGCATGACTGGCGCACTGTCTGTGGTGGCTGAAAAGAATGGCTTCCTGGATATTCCAATTGGCAGGACCAATGATCCCTCCTTGAGCCTAATGACTTATTAATAAGCTGAGCTGTGGCAGATGCTGGATGAGGATATGGTTGTGGTACCATGTCCAGAGCACACTCAAGTGCATTGAATTCATTCTCAATCCAGCTTGTTGGAGCGGCTGCTCTAGCTATCGGCTGTAATGTAGCTAAAGAGGAGAGTTTGATCCAGCAGCTCTCGGATTTTTTTTTCTGACAGTCGGACAGTCGCACGCGATGCATTAGCAATCCTCCTCGAATAGTAACTGCACAAGGGAGCCTCGCCAGGGGGGTTGACATGACCCAAGAGCTCTCGAAGGGCACTGGAGTCCAGTGTGGTGAATGGGAGCATGTCCATGATGATCCACTTCGGAGCAACAGAGATGATCTTGACGCGCCTGGATTCAGATAGGGGTAAGTCGATTATTTTTGTTTGGACTATAGTGGTTGAGGATGCCTAGGCCTTCCCCTTGACTTCAAGGGATATTGCGCGATAGCGACTGCTGAAGTGTGATGTCAAGGGGGGTAGAGGAGGACTTGACCAAGGAATGGGAGGTACATCCTGGGTTCAAGGCAGAAAAGGCGCCAGACTCGTTCATTCTTGTGAAAAGCGCGACGAGCCTTTAGATGGCCTTTCCAAAGGCCTATTGCCATGAAGACTGGATCACTCCACGTTGCAAGTGTAAGAAACATGCTGTGTTTTAATTAGATCGATTTGTTAAGACTATGGTACCTGGAACCGCTTGCGGCAAGTTAATTAGATCTGGCTCTGATAGCTGGCTCATAGATAACGCTGGAGTCACTGTTGATGGCTGACTAGTAGTCGTCCATACAAAGGATGATTCTGGGCTTGCTGGGGCTCTCAAAGGTATGAACCCATTCTCGAGACATTGATGATGAAGGTTCGCCGTCCGAGTACAAAGACGTGATGTAGAGGGAAGGCGAAAGAAAGGGCTGCTGTTATCATGTTTCCCTGCTATCCTAAACTTTAAAAAAAGCTGTCCTGTTCATGGGGAAAAGTAGCTCACTCTATCGCCATTCATCTGTGGAATTCACCGGCTCACCGCGGTTAGCCGTTCACTAGTAAGAATCACTATTATGAATCACTATTATGAACAGAGCTACGGTCTAAGAGACAACTGCATGTGCGCGTTACTGCCTGTCGTTCGATATATTTGTGTAGTTGTGAACAGTTGAACGTTAAATTTGGGCGTACAAAGCATGGTGAACTAGTGCGAGTAGATCTTCCGAGTATGGGTCGCACAGGGCGGCGGGATGAGCTGATTGGCCATCGTTGGCTACGGGGTTCCTGAAAAATAAAATAAAATAACCTTGTTTGCAAGAAGTAATTTTGCTTTACAATCGTGGATGTGATCACTCCTCCTTTCTTTCCTTTGGCTGCATTTCCATTCCTTCCCTCCATCTCAATCGCCATTCTCATCCTTCTCATCTCCTCCTCCCTCCTCCCTCTCTTCTTTCTTCCTCCTCTAGCTCCGCATCCCACTCCATCTTCTTCTTCATCCTCCGCTCTCTCTCGCCCGCTTCTCTCCCCCCTCCTCCCCTAACTTCTTTCATTCAAAATAATACTCCTCCCTATCTCCTTCTAACACCATGCAGGACCTCAAGGAGGAGTACCACGAGGGTACTATTCCGCAGGATCAAGCCGTTCCGGCCACGAAGAGAGACCTAGACCTAGATCTGGACCTGGAAAGGAACCCCAGCTTTGAGATCAACTCCGACCAGAAAGTCCTCACTAAGCGTGAGATCCAGGGCTGGTAAATATCTATGCAAAACAAAAACCGTATTCGTCCTTATTAATGCTTTACAAAAAAAAAAAAAAAATGGAGGGGACCTAAAGAAACAGGATGCATGCAGCCTTTCTCCGTCCTAGAAATCATTTTTCTGGCCATTGCTGCTACTGCTGCTACCGCTACTTATACTTGGCCTGGATCAAATACTCACATCCCGCTTCACTCTCACACACACATTGCACATTGGGCTTATCGAAGAAGCTCTGTCCTGCCTGTTTACATTTTGTTTACAAAAAAATAAAAATAAAATAAAATGCAATTGGCTTTGTTTAATAACCCTAACGCGTTTCTTTTTTCTTGTTCGCGCGTGACGAATCACAGGCTGGCATATGCTGTCGCTGTAAGTTGTTGTCCTCCCCTCCTCCTCTTCCTCGACCGACGAGTTCATGACGGCTATGAAGACTTACACTCCAACTTCTTGACTTTGTGTGTATATGTGTGTGTATCCTGTTAGGCCGAGCCGTACAGTGTTGTCTGTATCTCTGCCCTGGCACCGATTGTTCTAGAGGCCTTGTCGAGCGGGTACGGACGTCAACATGATAACAGAGACCTGCCCTGTAATACCGTAAGTGCAGAAACGTCTTTTGTATATGGCGGCGGTCGTAGAGATGGTGGTGATGATAGTGATGATAGTGACGATAGTGTGTAGTGTGGAGTATGTACTTTCTTTCTTTTCTTTTTTTTCCGCAACTGGAAGTATTCTTCTCAAAAGGAATAAACGCGGGTTACTTTTTTTTTTCTCCTTTTGACCGCGTAGTCCCCCCCCCCATTTGCGTTACTGTAATACATGCATGTCTCCCCCCCCCATATTTGTTCTTCATTTTGGTTGGCACATGCTCTTGTTTTTTTTTACAATTTTAAATGTCCAAAAAGAGCTGGGAACGCATAATGAAAACTCTAAAACAAAAAAAGTTCGTTCTTGTGGAACTAACGGGCGCCTTCTTTTGCTGACATGATAGGATGAAACGGACTACAAGGTAAACGATGGAGCAGTAGATTTCTTTTTTTTTTTTTTTTTTTGCAACAAAAACGACGAACAGAGATATCTCTATGATGCAGAGAGAGAGAGTGTGTGTGTGATACGACCGTGGATGGTTTTATCTTCCCTGTCTTTTTTTTAAAAAAAACTCGCTCTCTCATGGGAAAAAAAAAAAAAAAAAAAGAGTTCGTGTCGCGGTTTCTCATCAATTGTGGGTTGCAAACCTTGTTTTTTTAACAGGCGCTCTCCGTTTCTCCGAACCTTTTTTTTTTTTTTTTTTGTTTCTTCTTTTTCTCACATACATACATAGTGCGTTGTGAAGGTTGGGTCCCTATGGCTGGACACGGCGTCGTTCTCGCTGTACTGTATCTCAGTCTCGGTCTTCTTGCAGGCCTTTGTCTTTATCAGCATGGGAGCTTTGGCTGACCACGGCAGTAAGTTCTCTTTCTCCTCCGCGATGAGCAAAATCCGCTCAATGCCCCGCGATAATTCGATATGCTAACTTGATTGTTTTTTTTTTTTTTTTTTTTTTGATGATGATCTGGAATAGCGCGTCGCAAGACCTTTTTGTTGACGTTCTCGTTCATTGGGAGCATTTCCACCATCCTGTTTGCAGCCGTACGAACCGCAAGTATGTTATCTTTACCTATAAAAAAAAAAGGAAGTTGGAGATTGGGCGGTGCTGTTCATGAGACTAAATCGTCGAATGACACTTTTTTTTTATTTCTTGAAACCTCTCATAGGCCTGTACTGGCTTGCAGGAGTCCTGGTCATCATCTCGAACGTCGCATTCGGAGCCAGTTGGGTCCTTTACTACGCCTTCATCCCCACCTTGGTCCGTGATCATCCCGAGGTCGTAGACGCCCGAAAGAACGTTCGTTCAGGAATCGAGACCACCTGGAAAGATTATCAGTCCATCAAGGACAAGGTCTCGAATTCCTTGTCCTCCCATTCAATGGCGGTCGGATATGCTGCGGGTGTGGCCCTGTTGATCATCGCAGCAGGGATCGCGCTCGCGATGGGACAGTCGACGTATTCTTTGCAGATCGGTATGGCCTTAGCGGGACTCTGGTGGTTCTGTGTGTCGTTCTTCACGATGAAGTTCTTGGCACCCCAGCCGGGTGAGCCGTTGCATGGAGACGTGAATCTGTTTCTGTACTCGTGGAGACGCCGTAAGTTCAGACCCTATCTCTCTCCCCTTCCCTCCCCTCCTTCCCTCTCGCCTTTCTTACATATTTCGAGCTATCCATTGCTAACACATTTGTTTTTCTCTACTTTTGTGTATGGTCCCTAGTTGGCAAGACACTGTACCAGGCCAGTCTGCTCAAGGAAACCTTCAAATACCTGGTTTCCTGGTTCATCCTCTCGGACGGTAGCTCGACCATTATCTCGCTCGCGATCTTTATGGGCAAGAAGAAATTCCTCCTCAACAACACGCAGCTCATGATCGGTGCCATCCTTGTACCCCTTTCTGCCTTGATCGGCACCTACATGTGGCTCTTTATCCAACGCAAACTCAACCTGACATCCAAACAGGCCCTCCTGGCGATCTCGGCCGCCTTTGCACTGGTCCCTATCTATGTCCTGATCGGATTCTCGGACGTGTTCGGCTTGGTCTACAAGGTCGAGATCTGGCCCTGTCTGATCTATTTCGGACTCATGCTCGGTGCCTTCCAGTCGTTCTCACGGGTCATGTACGCATCCCTGGTGCCGAAGGGCAAAGAATCCGAGTTCTTTTCGTTGTACGGGATCACGGACAAGTCCTCGTCTTGGCTGGGACCACTGATCACAGGAGCGATTATTGAGAATAATGATACCCGCTGGGGATTCGTATTCCCGTTGTGTATGATGATCATCCCGCTGGCGTTGATCGTCTGGGTCGATGTCGAGAAGGGTATCCACGACGCGGAGCGGTTCAGTGAAGAGCATACGGATGAGAAGGACGGGCTCGAGTAATATGAAAACCACGTCGTTCAAAAGCGCGATCTGCGTGCCCTCTAAGTATCGTAATACTCCTCCGCCTCCCCCTTCCTCTCCCTTTCATAGCTGTTATCGACTAATAAATAAATCTCTCCAAACTACGTATTAAACTGGGACACAGAGTGGCAGACCAAGAATAATCGTTTATGGCGCGTTGGGGTTCGTTCGTTCTATGGTACAATGCATCAGTCTATGCTGCTTTTTTTTATATCTCGTCGTTGTCCTTACTCACATCATGCCAGGCCAGTTGGTCGAATGAAAGTCATCCTGGAGTCCTGTCAAATTCGGCATGAGCTGATGTCGGAAGGCCTGCTGCTGTTGCTGCTGCTGTTGCTGATAATTGTTACCGCCGCCATTGTTGTTATTACCATTATTACCACTGTTCAGATGGTTGTTGGGGTTGTTGTTGGTACGGGTATTGTTCGCGGCCGCAAGGGTCTGCTCCAAAAGCGCCTGCACCTGATCCGCACTGAGTTCCTCATCTATCGGACCTCCGGGACCTGTACCGTCCGTCGGTTCCATCTTCAAAGGCATGAAGATTCCAGAGGTATCGGTGGCACTGCCGGTCATATGCTGCTGCTGCTGTTGCTGTTGGGGTGTTGGGGTGTTGTACATGCTCCCAGCGGCGTTGGTATACATGCCATTGTTCAGGAATCCATTCAAAAGTCCATTAGCATTATTGTTGTTGGTGGTGGCGGTGTTGATATCTGTGGAGGTAGCCGTGGCGGTTGCAACGTTGGTTGCAGGGGATAGGACATTAGAGGTATTGGAATTGTTGTTGTTCATGAGCTGCGGATCTAACAAGAAGCTGGTGCTTGAACCAATGGCCATGGCGTTCATGTCTCCCCAAAATGTTGGATTGAACGAGTCATATAGTCCGGTCTGTTGTCCTAGCTGGTTAAACACCTGCTGTTGCTGCTGCTGCTGCTGCTGCTGTGCGTTCTGAATATTGAACTGCTGCTGCTGAGCCTGCTGTTGCTGCTGGGCTTGTTGTTGCATCGTCATCGTCATGGGTTGCTGCGAGAACGGCTGGTAAATCTCTCCAGTGGATGACAGGACATTCGTCGTCTGTATCTCCATACCCGTAACAGGAGGCTGGCTCAAGATCGCCGCCGTTGTCTGAAACTGCTTCAAACTCTCCATGACCTGAGGCCCGCCGAACGGTCCAATGTACTGCGACACCTTCTGCAACTTTCCTGGGTTATAATACCCAGCATTATCCCTCGAATGGTTTGATGCAGTATCCTGAAACGAGGCCGGAGACCCGATTGAATCCTGCTGCTGTTGCTGTTGCTGCTGTTGCTGCTGCTGAAAATACTGTCCAGGATTGAGTCGCTGTTGCCCCTCATGTTGCGTATGGCTGTGTCGTTTCCGTGGAGTGTCCCGCATCGACAGTGGTGGAGGCGAGGTCACAGAGCTGCTACGCGCCTTCGCGCGTTCCTCACGACCAATCTTGACCAGTCGACTAATGTTGCGATGATCGTCCGCACTCAATTCTCCATGCGTATCCTGCCCATAGCTCCCAGATGCTGCTGCTGATGCTGCTGCGATGGCGGCTGCGCTATAGGCCCCACCTCTGCCAGTCGGGATCCTGCTCCGTTTTGCAATCGCCAGGCTCTTGATCGCGCCCGCACAGACATGAACGCTCGAACGAGAGAGTCCCTTGACGGTGTGCATAAACTCATCAAAAAACGAAAGCACACAGTTGATGCTTTGTTCGTCGCAATTAGCCCGTGGTGAGGAATAGAACTCGCGGAAGAACCGCATGATGTAATCAAAGTTCATCTGAGCGGCTTCTGCAACTTTGGTGTCGGTCGATTTCAAGAACATAGCATGGATTCGGACCGCGTTCAATAACGCGTACTCGCCTGCACTCGTCAGCTCAAAGGCTTTGCAGTAGGTCTGGGCTATCACTTTGGCAATATCGGTGATCTTGGTCGCGGCCTTGATGCAAATGTCCTGAGACCGGTAAGGCGAGCGTTTGAGATGTTCGGATGAGGTGAGGTAGGGTTTATGCAGGAGGATCAGTGCGGATTCGTACAACATTTGTACAATGCCTATAAAGAAAAATAAGAAATAAAAAACTCAAGTGGTCAGAGTCATTGTTTTCCCCAAAGAATAGCAAGATCTGGTGGCAAAAGAGGTCTTCGTACCGGCTCGGGAATTGTACATGGTTCGTGGATTATCCGCCTTCATATCGAAGCTGAACCGCAATGCTGCCGGAAGCTGAAGTTGCCACTGAATTAACTGCTGCTCGTAGCTCTTTGGAAGACTTCCCGGCACCATATCCTGGACTTCGGCCGCATTGAACACATATCGCTTGATGTTCCTAAAGATACGCCATAGCCTGCATATCCATACCAGGAACAGCGTCTGAATCGTCTCTGCCTCACTGTCGCCCTCCGTCGGTACCAGCATTGGCACATCAATTTCCGTGTCGTCAATCATGGGCCTTCGTCCTGTGACACAGGAGGTCGAGCTGTCCGCGCCATAGACACACCAAAAGACCCGTTTCCTGGCCTCCTGTACTTGCTTATCCGGAATCCAGCGATCGCATTTCCGGTGAAGACCCAGATCAGAAGCCATCAGGATCGCCTGCTGCATGTAGCTGTGACCCAATCCAGAGATCCTTGGATATCGTGACAGCATGATTAGTCCTTGCACGGTAGAGAGTCTAGGGATGCCGATACAGTAGTCCAGAACTGTCCGTGCACGCTCAAAGAAGGGCGTTGCCAGCGTCTTTGGGTCGTTTGGGTTGGTGAAGCAGGATGGATGGGTGCAGTCTCCTGTTAATGCTGCCGCCATGAAGACGCTGTTTAACAAAAATATACTCTGCGGCTCAAATCGATCCTCTAACGCTTGGAGCAGAGTCGTTTTCTGAATCATTGGCAGGAACACATAGTAGTGCTATAGAAAAAAATAAATGAAAATGATACATTAATAATACAGTACCAAACAAGTCGACTTTCTCCTTCAGAAACGACCGTAACCCATACCTGGTAATAGATGTCGAAAAGAGCGTCAATGACCTTGATCGGTGGAATCACAAATGCATCCGGCGGAATAGCGACATTATGGGCATCGTGCACATCAAATGAGATCTCCTCATCCCAAAATTGATTCTGATCTGTTGAGGTGAAGAGCATCGATCCCTTGCCAAAGTAAACAGACGCATCAAAGACCCTAAGCTTGTCCATGGTTGCGGCGAGCTCGCCCAAATCGCTTTCATCATCCCCATCGCTCTCCTCCTGCATATGATCGACTGTTGAGGTATATGATGCTGCAAAAGACGACGCAGGCGATTTTGCGGACCTCGTAGACTATATACGTTGTACGTTATGAAGGGAAGAGAACGCTGAGTTGTCTGTTCCCACGATTCCATTATGTAAAAGAATTGGTACAGGCTGATGATAGAAACACTTACCTGGAACTCCGGTGTAAATAGAGGGTTACCTTCTGACTCCTCCTTCAAAAACGGTAGCCGTGGAGTTCCCGATATCGATGAGCCCCCTTTCATATTTGACATGGTTGGTGTCGCTGATGGGTCCACAGACTATCATTCATGCATCAAACAATTGGTCTATTCGTATTAGTTCGCTTGAGAAAAATAAAGCTTGCTTTCACACCAAACCAACATGTGCCAAAAGCCTCCGTACTCCATACCGTAGATGTGCTTGTATTCATAAAGCTGCGATCCCATTGTGTGTCGAAGCGGCCTCCGGGGATTTCTTGAGGCGAGTTGATGTCCATCCACCCGTCATCATTCGAGGACATTTCAAGCCCGATATTGGTGTTGATCCCCATATCCTTCATCGCCCGACTTGCTGCCACCGCTGCAGCTGCAGCTTTGGCTGCGGAGGTTGAGGAGCCTTCGCCGTTGTCGTTGCTAGGATTCTGTCCATTGCCTGGTGTAGGCATGACTTTGCTCAGCAGAGACTCCATCTGACTCAGTCGTTCTGAATATGTGGATTCGATTGTTTCCAGACGGGCTTCCAGGATCTCTACCTCTGAATGCGGTTTCTTGCGCTTTGATGCCGGAGTCTTCCCGAGTAAGAAAGTGCATTCCATAAGTCCTGCATAGAGACACGGGCCACACGTTGGTCTGGCCTGGTCACATTTTGTCTATGGTCATCCAAGTGCGATGTTACAATGTTACAAAAGGAAATTGGTCAGTGTCCATCACCTTTTGGGTTTCTACGAATAAAGAAATTGAATTGTCTTTCATTTCCTTTTTATCAAAGCCCAGGGCGAAAAGAAAGATAACACAAAGTTTTCCGCGGGTGCCGTGAGCAGAAAAACCTTGGGCGAGAACGTTTTCAACAAACGCAGGTCTGGTGCAGTAAGGGCCCCATTTATCCCTTTATTCACTCGTTGACTCATTCACTCCATTCACTTATTTATCTACTCGCTTGTTCCCTTCGTGGTTGTGATATCCGATTAGTCACAGCCCGGCCGACAGAACCCAAAAAATTAGCAATTGTCGTCCGACACACTGCCGAGTGCCGAGTGCCAAGTGCCGAGAAGGGAGTGGGTTAAGGTTGTGAGGGAGAATGAAAAAAAAAAAAAAAAAAAAAAAAAAAAAAAGATTCTCGAGCCCGATGGGACGGATCAGATCCGTGTTTGGGCTAGTTGGAGCGGGTTTCACGCCGGCAAATGGGATCCGTTCCTTTGTCCTCGTAATAATTTTCTATTTGATCCAATGGTCCGTTCCCTTGTATCCCCCTCCCCTTCTCGTCGTTGCCCAGACGTCTCTGCGCAGGCACACACACCATCACACCATACGTTGTCTGTGTCTTCCGTGGAAAACATTCCTTGCCGAAAAAAAAAGGAGAGGACAGGGGGACCCTCTTCTAGTCGAAAGCGCACTGCCACCCGCGATCCTTCTTGGGTGAACCTCTTTCTATACCCATGGGCCAGTTTGCTCCATGGACAGGCTCTCTTTTTTTTTAACGCCTGCTCCAATCCAGACTAGGCCATCAGACACGCACTCGGACACGCACACTATACACTCACATCCACACATTCAGGCGCTTGCTCAGCAGGAGAATAATGAAATGAAAAAAGGTACCCCTTCTCTTCTCGCGTGCGCGACAAGTCGGCACGACAGACACTGATGCATTAAGAGTCAATTGGGCTAATTACCTTTCTTCTGCGACATTGATCACAACCCAGGACTACGGCCGTTCTCTTCTTTTTAGGTTTTATTGCGGTGGTAGAGAGGGCCATTGAGAGATGGGAGATACGTGTTGGTGCTGCTGTTGTTGCTGTGGAGTGTAGAGGGCGTACAGGAGTGCGGGGCGGTGGTGGTGGTGGTGGTGGTGTCAGAATCCGCCCTGTGTTGGTTCTTTGGCAGTGAAAAGATGGATATGGAGAAGGGAGGAGGTTCTACGCAGGCTGTGGATTGTTGCTGCTGTGGTCTTGTGAGCCGCGGGTAGTGCAGCGGGCCAAGAAGCGGATTAATGAAACGTGCAGGATATGTGTGTGTGTTGTGTTAAAAAGGAGGATGCAGAGCCGTGCGATGGGGTATGGGAGGCTGTATGGTATGGATATGATATGGTTATACAGGGTACAGAGTGGAGAGTGCATCCAAGAGAGAAAGGAAGGAGAGAGAGAGGGAGAGAGAGAGAGGAAGAGAGAGATATGTGTGTGTGTGTGTGTGTGTGTATGGAGGAGTGCAAGAGAGAAAAAGAGATGGAGAAAGAGAAAGAGAAAGAAAGCGTGTGGGTGTGTGGGTGGGTGTGGGTGTGGAAGAGAGAAGGAGTGCTCAGTGGTTTTGGATGGATGAGCGATCAAGCACAGGGAAAGAAGGAGAGAGATGCGCAGTTATTGGTGGGAGTGGAAAGTGAGAGAGAGAAAAGAGGGACGCAATTGATTGGACAGGTGTTATGCTGCGGGAGCGAGGACAATATGATGCCAAGCACTGGCTGAGCATCGGACGCGCTTGATTGGATTGGATTGGATCTGACCTGACGTGATTCCACCTGGTTCTCCTCGATCCTCCTCGATTCGATTCGATTGGAGTGAAGTGGAGTCGAGTTGGCATTCTCATCTCGGGCCCCTCCTCCTCTTCGCTCTTCTCATTCGCGTGTCTTGGCCGTGCCAATTATCTTTTTCTCATTTTCTAACATCTTTCAGTGCGCCACCAAATGAGTGCACCTCTCCACAGAAGCTATCTAGACCATGTTTAAGCTACTTTCCTTTCCTTCTTTTTTCTTTTTTTCAACGGTGGAGAGCTTAAGCGATTGGGATCCAAACTGTGTGGTTTGAGCGGCAGAGCGCTCAAGAGTAAGTGATCAATTGCTCTTCAAAGTGCGTGTGTAGCCTGTGGATCGATCCGGCGTTGGGTCTGGAACATAGCGAGGGAGTGGAGCCAGGAGATGCTCATGGGGGAGAACACTGCGCCACAGCAGCAGTGGGTGGAAGAACGAGACACCCTTTTTCTGCTGCTCCCTTCGTGACCCTCTCCTGCACCCACCTCCCTTCCTGCTGCTCATCTTCGTCACTTAATCCCCCCGCCAGCTCCACCTCGGACTCTCACTCACTCTCCCTCCCTCCCATTCGCACACATACACTCTCTCTCAGTTCCATGCCTGCCTTTCTTCCTGTTTCCAAACCCACACCATTCCCTTCGTTACTACCACTACCATTACTTGCACTCGTACTGCAATCACCAAAGCTCATCTCCCCTCTTGTCCTTCACTCCACTTCTTCGCAGACCATCCTCACGCTGCATCCACGCTTCGCTCATTCCTTCTGACGCGGGATCCCATAGGCAGATCGTTCGATCGCTCACCCTCATACCTTTTTTTTTTTTTTTTTTTTTTTTTTTTTTTTTTTCCTTCTGCAAACGGTCCCTCCCACCTTAATTTCGTGCTCTTCCCACACTTCGCCTCCCCACCGGATCTCCCTGTTTAGTTAGCAGCTACTGTTCAACTTCCCTCACCGGTTGAACAACCAGGCATCCTTTTCTTTTCCTTCATTTATTTATTTTCATCATTTCGAAACCACCGACCTCCGTATTTCGAGCGATGGACGGGGACGAAGGCTACTATTACACTGGCCAGACTCCGTTCAGACAGCCCAATGAATCCAAATTGCGCTACCATGCTCGAAGGCTGGTCTCGATACAGACCCTAAGCCGGTTAGAGTACACGGTCGAGGAAGCAGAAACCAAGTTCAACCGAGCCCTGGGACCTATCGAGCTCACCTTTGTCGGACTTGGTAGGTCTCTCTTTGATATTTAGTCATGTCTTAAGATTGTATGCAATTGAAGACAAGTTTTGGCGCAGCAATTCCTTCCTTATTCGCTTCATCCCTTGCTGTCTTGGCCCTCTGTTTCTTTGCATGTCCATTTCTTCTTTGACCGGGCGGTGCACCCGTTGAACTCAGCCAGCGCAGGGTCTCAAATATGGGCAAAGCAATAGCCCAATCAGTTGATCGATCGATCTCTCTCGCACGCGTGCATTGGAATGCTTGCTGAGTTCATATTCTATCGAATGGCCACAGGTGACAGGTGGGGAACCATCTCCATAACTCTATATTACAAATCCACGATCACCTGCACCAGAGCCCCTTTCTAGACTATCCTTGGTCAACTGGCAACTATATGCCAATCCCAGCTGCTCTCTTTTCTCTTCTCAGAAATGCGTAACATTTTAATTTAGCAGAGCCACATCCACCGCAACGCACTGGTTTTCTCCAGAGGTCGAAATACTGCATCACATCTACTCATCTACCCATCTACTTGACTACTATCGGCGCACAAAAATAGGTGCTGTGGTCGGCAGCGGTGTCTTTGTTATACTAGGTAAGTTTCAGGCGAATCACACACCAACTCGAGCGTCTTCTCTGTCGTTGTCACTGTCGCTGTCGTTGTCGTTGTCGTTGCTGCCTCGGCTTACTCAACACGGATACAAACAACTGTTCTTATTGTTCACCATAGGCAATGCTGCTGCAACCCAGGCTGGTCCTTCCGTCACGGTCTCTTTCATTCTCGGAGGCATTGTTTCTGGAATCGCTGCGCTCTCATATGCCGAAATGGCCTCTATGATTCCCATCGCCGGCTCTGCGTACACCTACGCGTACGCGACCGTCGGAGAGCTTCCCGCTTGGATCATTGGATGGAATCTGATTCTGGAGTACATGATTAGCGCTGCAACCGTCTCGATCGGCTTCTCCTCGTACTTTGTTGCATTCATTAAGGATGCTTCCGGCACGGAGCTCTCTGAGAAATGGACCATGGCGCCCATCACCTGGAGGGACAATAACTTTAATATGTCGGGCGACTACTTCAACGTACCTGCGTTCATCATCTCAGCCGTCGTTACAGTGACCATCTATTTTGGGATCCATCTCACAGCCAGGATCAATAACGTACTCGTCGTGTTCAAGATCTTGGTGCTGGTTATCATGATCTTTGCATTAATCCCGTTTATCAAGAATGAAAATTATCACCCTTACGTCCCACCCAACACAGGGAACTACGGCGAATATGGTACTTCTGGGCTGCTACAGGGCGCATCGTCAGTGTTCTTTGCGTACATTGGGTTCGATAGCATATCGACCACTGCACAGGAAGCAAAGGAGCCACAGGTCAACATCCCCATAGGAATCATGATGACCCTTCTCATCAGTGCCACGATATACATCTCCCTCAGCGTCGTCGCCGTCGGCGTTGCGAAGTATACGGCCCTGGGCGGCGGATCGCCACTCGTCGACATGGTTCGGATGACAAAGATGCGCTGGCTTGTGCTGCTGACAGAGCTGGGTGCGCTGGCTGCAACAACCTCTGTGATTCTCGTGCTTTTGATCGCACAGACGCGTGTCTTTTACGCTATGGGGAATGATGGACTCATCCCACGCGCTTTTTCGAAGGTCCATCCAAAATACAAGGTAAGCTGGCAAAGTCATGTTCGACGCACACCGCATGTATTGTTACCAATCTAGACCATTTAATCATTCTTTTTTCCTAACATGATCCCAGACGCCCTATATCTCGACTGTGATTTCTGGAACCATCTGTGCTATTTGTGGAGCATTATTGCCTACTCAAGTCCTCAGTGATATGTCCTCCATCGGAACCATTTTTACGTTCTTTGTCGTCAACATTGGAGTCATCATCCTCCGCTATACCCGCAAGACCGTGCCGCGCCGTTTTAAAGTGCCTGGAGGTAATTATAATAAAACTCAATTCCGAGTCATTGTCTGCAATGTCGTACAAGCACACCCACATTTGTCAGACGGATCCAATAATAATTTATCCTCTTTTGTGTCACCCATGTTTCCAGGTCCATTCTTAATTCCGGGCATCGGCGCAGCCACGTCGTTATTGCTACTACAGGGCGCAAAGCGAGAAGCCATCATCCGGTTATTGGTCTGGATGGCAGTGGGCGTGCTGGTCTACCTTGTCTATGGCAGAACCCACTCTGAGGTCAACAACCCACAGATCGTCCCAGACGAACCGATGCAGGTCTTGCATGAGAACTTTTCTGCCGAAGGTGTAAACTATCAGCGCTACGAGGGATACACGGATGAGTATCTTCAACGACAGTGCGAACGACAGATGGCACGGAGAATGGGACATGGAGAATATCCAGAGGGAGACGTAGCCATGGAGCACAACCGCGAAATATACCAAAGGGAGGAGGAGGTCGAGACAGGAGGTGGTGGCGTTGGGAACGGCCACAGACCGAGAGAGGAATCGAGCTCGAATGATTCGTCCACTGCGTATGAAACAATACAAAGTCGAGGAACCGCCCATGTTCATGATGGTCAAGGCGCTATACGCTAACTAATAAACACCATCACCGTCTGACTAGAGGCGTCCATGATTCTTCAAGGAGAAGACATCTATCGTCTATGCAATTATTTTATTTTTTTGAAAGATACAGAGAAGAGAGATGGGTTTTTACAATGATGCATGCATGCTAAATAGGTCTTTTGTTGTAGGAGTATGTAGAGTGGATTTGGATGAAAGAGCCACCAGAGACTACACAGACTGAGGACTGGGAAGGGGGGAGGACTCGACTTAGATACGCTTCTGAGCACGGAGGCCAAGGTGGATCAAGAGACGAGCGACATACTCGACCAAGCTGGCCTGGGCCATGAACAAGAAGGAGGCAGTCAAGATGGACTGGACAATCTTGCTGGAGATGCCCTTGTAGAGACCAGCAACACCCTCGTGCTTGATGATCTTACGGAAGCCATCCATGATAGAACTATAACGCTCCTTGGCATCATCCGACTGCTTCAGCTGCATGCGAGACTTGATCACACTATTCCCCGGAGCAGATATAACCAAACCGGCGGTTTTAGAATAAGGCGTAATCGACACAATTCATGTTGGAGACAAAAAAAAACGCGTCCATGAATTCTCCAGAGCACACACTTACATGTAAGGATAGGTGATGCTGGTGGCAGCCAGCTTGCTGACAGCGCCCAACAAGAAGAAATCAAAGCTAGTGAGGGCACGGGTCTTGGAAATGGCCGTCTTGAACTTCTCAAAGACCGTGTATTGGATGATCGGGTTCGCGACCAAGACCAGGGCGGGCATGACTCCCTGCCAGAACGACTTGAATCCGTTCTCCTTGATCATCTGGGTCGCAGTCTCGATCGTGCCCAAGGGACGGGCGTTGGGGGCGCTGGCATTGCGAGTCGCAATTCTGGTCTATAATATATAATATAGGCAAAGTCGCCAGTAGTTTTGCGGATCGAAAAAAAAATACAATACAATAACGCGCTATGGTCAGCTTGAATGCACTCCCCAAGATCATCCGTAAGAAATATGGAGGGAGGGTTGTACAGACAGCACTTACGTTGATGACCCAGATAGGGTTGGTGATCAACACGGTGGCGGCACCTAACAGACAGGATAAAGATTATAGAAGAAAAAAAGGGATCAGTGAAAAGTTCCTTTTTCATTTGACCGCAACGGATTTTTCTGTCGTTGGGAAGAAAAAAAACCCATCTCTACTCACCAGCAACAGCTCCCGCAGACATGGACTCCAAGGTGCTCATCTGGGCCTTGTTGATCACCCCCTTGGTGAACTCGTAAAAGTAATAGTAGCAGTAGTTCGTGAGCGAGATGCCGAACAAGGCGCTATCCAGACCCCTATTATGTCAAGCACCGAAAAAAAAGAAGCAGAGGGGGGTCAAGAAGAGATCCAATTGCGCGCGACCCACTCATGCCATCCATTTGCTTTTTTTTTCATTTCTTGAACTTACGAGTAAAGACCCGAAATACCCTCCTTGGCGATGATCTTTTTGACAGCATCCAGGCCGCTCTGAAAACAGAACAAGATATTGCAATCAAGACTAGTTAGATTTCAGAACATCATCCATCTTTTTTTTTTTTTTTTTCCTGGGGTGCTTGTTGTGGTCGATCTAGCTTGAACGTCCTGTCACTTTATGCGGACCGCCCATCGTTCAATGGTAGGTAGACCATTTCAATACTCAACATCACACAAAAATAAAGAGGTCCATTTTTACCTTGTAGGCCTCCTTGCTGGTCTTGTCCTTCTGAACCTGAAGTCTGCTGCTGATGGTGATCAATGGGTAGGTCAGAGCCATGGAAATAATTCCACCTCCGGCTCCTATAAAAAGAGAGAGGGTCAAAGAAAAAAATAATAATAATGGTTTAGATATATCAATTAGCCATTGAAGAAACTGGGTCAAACCGGATAGGCTGGCGAATAAAACGAGTAGACAGGGACATATGATGCACAGACAGAAAAAAGGAACGGAGCTGGGCAGGTTATTTCATCGGTTGAGAACACGTACCGGCAATAGCGTGAACGGTGCTGTCAGACATGGTGGATGAGTTGTAGAAGAAAGTGTTGAATGAGCAAAGGTGATGAGGACTGCAGGGAGAGTGCTGATGTGAGAGTGTGAATGAACAAACAAAGAAAAGACGGAAGAGAGGGGAGAACAGCTGCAGGAAATCGCACAAAGCCGGACGATCAACCTCCACAAACTCAAGGAGTAGCCCGCCTTCGTGCAACGGAGGGTAGACTAGGGAAAGCCAGCTCTCCCGGCAGGTCACTTTTCCGCTGTTCTTCTCTCTCATCTCTCTCTCCCCCGCATCACATGAAAATAGGGTCTATAACCTTATATTTTTTTACTCGGCCCTGAACCAGACAAAATCCACCGCTCCCACGCTATCCCTCCACTCTTTATCGGTGAGCCACGACAGTGGACAAGGAAGGGGGAGAGAAAATTATGCCCCGGTTTGCCTGAATGTATAGCCTTCGCAATGAGCACAAAATATCCGGAGGCAGTTCTCGCTCGCACTCGGTGAAGCATGCATGCGTCCTCTTGTTCCTCAATTGCGTGTCGTCATTTGTTTTTATTTCTGTCCAGGAGAAGGAGCTCCGTGGGCATTCGAATAAAATGAAATCCGTTTGTACGACAGGACAAAAGAATGGTTGCCTCCGAAGATCGAGAGCCCTCTCACTGTTGATTGATGTCTGCGGACGGAAAAAAAAACCTGGCCCTGCGTGTCGGAGTGGTCATCGTGTTCGTATCGAAGCAAATGTGAAGAGTCGACTCTTTACAAATACATTCAGGCGGGACAGAACTGGGCTACTGAGATCAAATTTGTGCCATAGGATGTACAGAGTAACACTACAAATCTATTGTAACTATAGAGATGCGCGACAAGGCCCTCATGGCAGGTTCGAAGAGGGCCATAGATGCAAGCAGAACCATGAAGACCGAGGGTCCAAAGATGTTGAGGATGATGAGCATCAAGATTTGCGATAGAGGAGAAAGATGCATAGCGTGCACAATGAGCAAAGAATTCTATTCTGTATGGATCGAATGTGGGTAGCAGTGTGTATGTGTGTATGTGTGTATATTGTGCAGCCGTATTCAAAGTAGCAAGCTTTTTAAAGGTCGCAGACACACCCATAGAAAGCAACAGCCTTGATCTTGAACTGAGAGATATCAGATGCATACCAAGGGATCCTACTCTCTTTGATTAGGAGCCAAGCGTGGTGCACCAGATCGAGGTCTTCATAACACAGTACACAGCCTTTATTTCGCCAGTGGGTTGTAATGAAAAGAATTCGCCGGCCAAGCTCTCCATTTCCAGGACTTCAGCCCTGGCCAAGGATCGGTCACCTAGTTCTTTGCCTACAGATCAAAAAGATCCGAGAACTAGTCTACCAAAGGAGCAGACATAGCACAAGTTGTTTGTTATATCTTCCTGCACAAGTAAAGGAGACTGCACTCGATTGTTGTTTTTTTTCCCTGTTGAGCACAACCGTTTGCTCACCCAGGGAGTAAGCGTACTTGAGCTATGCTGTGTACGGCATTCTATGTCAGAGGACGCATGCGAGACGCGATACGAGGGCGATGAAAGCTATATGGAGATGATCGTGATCTAGGAAGGATGGGAAGACAATACAAAACTAAGGAAGGAATTCGATAAAAGAAGGGGGGATGGGTCATGACAAGGTTGATCCAACTGCAGTTTTGTGAATTATGATTAAACCTAAAATGCGTTCAAGCGACATGAAAGAATAAAATTTTATGCCAACCTGATCCAAAATGGGTTACACGCAGTAACTACGTGTAAAACAAGACAATCCAGGGTAGATTTTGACGAAATGAAAAAGTTTCCGGTCTGATCGCTACTTCGACAATTGAACGCATTTTTTTTCGTGCGTCTCTCATAACCACAATTTTCGGCCCCATCACAAAACTTTCAAACTAACCAACTGTATAACAACTATACACCGCAAGCAGGCAGGCACACACGTACGACATGCACGTCTGATACTTCTTCGCGTCTGCCAGTCACCATGTCGCTTACCAGACAAAGAAAAAAAAACCTGCTGATGCCAGCCATAATGCTCTTCCACTCACAACTACAAAGTATCCTCTTTTATTCGCACTTCCGCTTATTTCTCTGGCCAACGTCACCTATAGCCATTTTTTTCATCACTAATCGCGGCTCGTTGCGTCTATGGAGCAATGGACCACCACTATTTCATCGTTTTCCTGTAACATTTGTATTGCCCACACACACACTTCGTGGTAAATGTTAGTCTAGATATCGTAACACGCCGTTGCGCGCACATCCGGCTATAATCCACGCTCTGCCTTGCTACGATAAGTACATAAATCCAGCATCGCCTCTCTTTATTCTCTTTCTACGTGGACGTCAGTCAAAAAAACGAGGTCTTTCATAAAAGCATCGAAGCTAATTGAAAGAAGACTGACCAGAAGAAAAGACAAGAAAGATAACGTAGTTACAGTGCCTTGATAATCGTGGAACTGACCCTGGCGCATAGAAACCTGCTACTGGTGTTAGGTAAGATATCGGCTGAAAAAGGCGTCTGCATTCTTTTCCAACTTCAGTGACGAGTTCAGCAGCTCACACTGCTTGTTTTTCGTTTGTACAGAGGTTTGCCCATGTAATCACCATCCTCGACGCTCAGGAAGAAAGCCTCAGTCAGTATCGCTAGCATCTCGAGGTGTGTCGTCTTCGAATAGGTCATCCTCAGAAATCGACAACGCAGTATACGAAAGCACTGTTACGTAAATTCACGAGATCGGCAGAATGGTCCTGAGGCAAAACATCCCTCAAGAGCGCTAGACTCGGATCATTTCAAGGATGGACCGGACTCCAACGCATATGAACCTCCGTGATGAGGTTCTAAACAAGAATCCACACGTACCAATTGAGCGATGAATTAATAATGCAAGACTTTTCTTCATACCAACATAGTTTCGCCTTCTATCGCTGGTCCAAAGAGTGCTTAGTGCGTTACACTGTTGCAGTGTCCCGAATTCAGACCTGCGTCGTTCGTTTGTTCGCGCCAAAACTTCGATCCTGTGCGTGCACTTGCACAATTGATTACCAAAAGGTAAAAATATATCAAGTTTGACAATTTTAATATTCGCTTTTGACTCGCGCAAAATCACGAAAAGGGATCGCCCTCTTCATTTCGCCATTCACATCCCGAAGCAAGATCGATTCACAGCAACCATGAACCGTAATATTCCCCTTATTGTCGCCGTCGGTGTTGGTGTTATGTCCGGGTTCTATATCTGGGAACCCACACTCAAGAAGTACCAGAGGTGGGTCCTCTTGATCCATGCGTTATCAGATCTACATCAACTACCAAGATCTTATCTAACCATTACAACTCCTTACATGGTCGCTATTTCTTCTTAGGGAAAGCAAGGGCACTTGGCAGTACGAAGTCGTTCAGCAGACTAGGGCCGAGGAGATGAACCGGCACGCGGATGAGGTCGCGGAGGCAACCGGTGCTTCTAATATTGCTTCCTCGACGATTCCGGCTACCCCATCAACAGCAACACCACCTCCAGCAACAGGGAGCAAGGATTCTACTGAGAAAGTTCCAGGGTTCGATTCCAAATCGACATAGACAAACGCCGCGTAGGATAACATTATTTCACAGCTACATTCTCTTCAACACCATCGCATTTATTATCGGCTGCAGTAGCATGGCATTTGCCTTTTTATTTTATTTTTTTATTAACGCCAGGTCCCCCTGGCGCAGGCGTACCAAATAAAGCATCAGGTGACATCATTCGGCTACTTTTGCCTCGCCTTCCTTGCAAACACACAGAAACGCTTACGCCTTCTCTCTTATCCATTATCCCATCACCACTCCACGCTCCCACGGTCAAACATCGGCGCTCGACTGACACCGAATCCCCACCTTACCCTTTTTAATTTCACACCATGGCAACACGGAAACTCCAGAGTAATGACCCTTCCGCACATCGTTCCACGGTCGGCAGAAATGACTTCCTCGTTGGAGAAGAGAAGGAAGGTTGATCAGATCTCGGTCCCTGTCCAGCTTTCCATTTTCTAAAGCGCCCTTTTTTTCTTCTTCCTCTTCTCTGTCCTTTGCTGCTTCTGCTTTCTGCTTTCTGCGCCGCGTCGGTCTTGCATGCATTTGTTTTATTTTATTTTTCGCCACCGCTTTTGCTGACTGAAACGGACGAATCTTAGCCGAAATCGATAAGGTCCTTAAGAAGGTTGCTGAAGGCGTCGAGACCTTTGAGGAAACCCTCGACAAGATCGAAAAGTCGACTCATGCGAATCAGAAGGAAAAATACGAAGCGGACCTCAAGAAGGAGATTAAGAAGCTGCAAAGGCTTCGCGATCAAATTAAGACATGGATTTCCTCCAGCGATATCAAGGACAAGAGGGCACTCATGGATAACCGGAAGCTGATTGAACAGGTTAGGACGCTTGTCAAGAAGATATTTTTGGTCATACTTACAGCATTTTTCTTTTCTTTTTTTTTTTTTTTTTTTTTTTTGGCGCTTGAGCTCCTGCTGATCTGATCCAATTGCTCCTTCGTTAATGCTTACGATAGCAAATGGAAAAGTTCAAGGCGATCGAGAAGGAGATGAAGACCAAGGCATACTCCAGGGAAGGACTGATAATGTCAGGGCGCATGGACCCAAAGGAGAAGGAGAAGGCAGAGACGTGTTCATGGGTTGCAGAACGCGTGGAAGCATTGAGTATACAGATTGAAGCTCTAGAGGCAGAGGTTGAGATATTACACGCCGGTACCAAGAAGGGCAAGAACAATCCCGCGAAGGAGAGGATATCAGAGCTCGAGGAAAAGATCGAGAGGCATAAGTGGCACCAAGGGCGTCTGGAACTAATTCTCAGGCTACTGGAAAACGGACAGATCGATGCAGAAAGGGTGGGCATAAAACATTTATTCAGACCGGTCACTCCACAGGAAGTCGATTCTATTATTTTACTGTCGCTAATCCGCCGCATCTTGTCCGATTGGGTTAGGTCCTTGCTATTCAAGAGGATGTCAACTATTACGTGGATGAAAACTCGGTATGCATGGATTAAGCAAGAATTCAATCGTGTTTGAAGACTTTTTATCAATCCGCATCCAGGCTAATTCATTTGTTTTACTCTTGCATATCAGGACCCTGACTTTGAAGAATATGAGGAGCTCTACGCGGATCTGAATCTGGAAGAGGAAGAGGACTTTTTCACCGTTGGAATGGAGGACCATTCAGGGGCGCAGGACCAGGATGATTATGAATCAACACCAAAGAAGACATTCAAAGAACTGGAACCAGAACCCTCGCCCACACTCATACCTACGCCCACGCCTACGCCCCCGAAAGCAGCGGCGAAGACGTTACCGACAAGAAGTAAGCGTTGGATGAAACTACGGGAAAAATTCCGTGCAGCAAATTTTATATGGCGCTATCTGACGTTAAATTGTTAACCATCATAGAACCGTCTTTGCCAGAACCAAAGGAAATGAAACCAGTACCGGCAGCAAGTCCAGCAGCAACAAAACTAACGCCAGCGAGTACGGCGCAAAGTCGACAACCAACAAAACCACGAACAGGATCTGTAGAATCCCCTGTTATCCAGTATGCAACAGCAGTCGCGGCCAATCTACCAACAGAGCCGGCTCGCGCACCCGCATCATCGGCATCCCCAAGCGTTGTAGCAGCAGTACTGACAAAGGAGTCGCCAAAAGCAGCAAGCACGTCAAGTAAAGTGGAATTATCATCGCCACGGACGGCTGCACAAACGACAGTGGCGCCATCATCCCTCGTATCCATATCTGAACCCTCGCCGGCTCCAGAACAGGCGAGGATCCAACCATCATCGGCAGCGAAACCATCGGATCCAGCCTCAACGGTACCGATCTCAGAGTCAACACAGGCTTCAAGGGCAACCGCGGATTTATCACCAGCACTGCAAAGCAGTGGCCCGTCGCCCTCTCAGGCTAATACTGAAGTATGTCTGTTAAACTGACGTATTGCTATACATGCAGTATTTATGTGATAGCAGCTAACGTTTTATATTGCAATTGTCTTACATATAGAAGACGGCGCAGAAGGAGGAAACGCCTGCTCAGCCAAACACATCGAAGCCAGCGGCGGTAGCGGAGCCAGAGATTCGTTTGCCAGCAGCATTGGCGGACCTTGCCCATAGCTTTGAGGCGTCAAAGGAGCGTGCAATGTTAAAGGAAGTTGGGCTCTTTGTACATCGAATGCTGGAGGCCAGCTATCTGTTCATCCCTGATGCAGCTGACACGGAAAGGTATGGAAATGAACCAAGCTGATTATTGATGAGGTTTGAGGAAAAACGTGGGATCATATTCTAACCGTGCTGATATTGTTGCGGTGCTTGTGCCTGATAGACCCAAGTTTTATACGCCAAAGAATCCATATCCGACGCCGTCCTATTATCCTCAGACGCCACCTCCGGGACTATTTGAGAACCCGGCCATATTCGAGAAGTTCGACATCGACACTCTGTTTTTCATCTTTTACTATCAACAAGGAACCTATCAACAGTAAGCACTTTTCAGTTGACTCCACTTTCTATATCAGAGGACACATGCGGCATTTTCTTTTTCTTTTTCACCAGGTCTATTTGCAAATTGTTGACCATGTCTTTTTTATTGACTGAACAATCGCTTGACGCTCGTCTCGATAGATATCTGGCTGCAAGGGAGCTCAAAAAGCAATCATGGCGATTTCACAAACAGTATCTGACCTGGTTCCAGCGTCATGAGGAGCCGAAGGCGATCACGGATGACTATGAGCAGGGGACCTATATTTACTTTGATTACGAGGGGGCCTGGTGCCAACGCAAAAAGACGGACTTTCGATTCGAGTACAAGTTCCTGGAGGACTCTGAGCTCGTTTGAATGCGATTTGTTTCTTTTACCCTGTATTTGTTTGCGTTTCTTTTTTCTTAGAGCTTGTTCCTATTTTTTCTTTGTTTGCTCGACATGTCGTCCACCGTTATTTCGTGTCTTTTCGTTCTTTTTTTTTTTTTTTTTTTTTCCTTTTCCTTCCGCAATATAATATAGTAGTGATGTTCAAGCATTGCAACCGAATGTGAGTTTGAGAACTTTTTATTGTTCTGGGGTAGGGTATCACGTAGAGACCGAATCAACACATCTGCGTGCGTGCCCCATGCCATGTATGGAATCAATGAGAAAGAGATATGGGGCCATGCCTCGACACCCGGGGAGTTTAACTATGAAGGCAAGGAAGAGGAGCTCTTGTGGACGGTCTTATTTCCTGCTCCGGGTACATCCTCGTACGAAAGCAAGGCGTGAAAGTCAAGGAGCCAGTTGTTGTTAGTTAGTACTCGCGATAATGAAAGGAGCATCCTTCACGGTTTCATTATACTCTACTGCCTTGTTTTTTACTGTATGCCTAAGCGGGTCTACAACAAAAGCTATTGAATGCAATGTTCTGGAGATGGAAGTAGCCTCCGTGAAGCGGGAGGGAGGGGGGTAGAGTCCTCGTCAGGAAGTCGCGGCCCAATATATTTTTAAAGTAGCATCTCAATTCAATTAATAAGATTGAATTTTAACTTACAAATAGACAAACTGGCACAATTTACCAATATAGAACAATTAAAGCTACGGCTTTCTGATGGGGACTCAAGCAGTGAAAAAAAAAAAAAAAAAAAAAAAACTATCGACGGAGGACAGAACGCAGTCTGAATTTACCCAGCATAGCCTTTTACTTCAACATCGATCAATAAGAAAATGTGGAGATGAAGTAGACAATCAATCTCCCCTGCTGTTCTCTTCTTGCCAGTGGACAAAAAAAAAAAAAGTAAGCGGTGGCTGTTCCTACAATAAAATCAAGGCCCCAGCATGCAAATGAGAGATGGCGATCATGAACCCCCCCCCCCCTCCCCCACGCTATGACAAAGAGTAGGATGCTCGGCCTGCAATGACGCGCGTCATAGATGCAGCTGCTGTAGGTAGATAAACTACAGCTCTACTCTACCGAGCGCGACTGCATGAACTTGCAGAAAACTGAATAAAAATGAGCGTAACCAGGTTTTGAAGCACAATGCTTTTTGATGTTTATATATCTGTGAAAGAAAAAAAATGAATGGGTATAGTTGATGTGTGCCTATTGCAACACATAAAACAAAACAAAAGCAAAAGATGGATCTATCGACGAGCAAATGAAGAAGTAGAGGAGGACGAGGAGGACGAGGAAGGCGGAGACCGCGTTGGGGCAACGGGAGCGGCCGTGAACTTTGCCATGAAACTGATGGAGGCCGCCCGTATCAGCTCTTGCCACTCTGCCGTGGATAATCCTTCCTTTTGAGTTCCCTGCTGTTGCTGCTGCTGCTGCTGTTGCTGTTGTTGCTGTTGCTGTTTCTGGCGCTGCTCACGTTCCTGTTGATATTGTTGTTGCCACCGGTTCTGGTATTGGTTACCGTGCCCATAATGTCCCGAGTTCCTGTTCTGCTTTTGCTGCTGCTTTTGTTGTGGCTGATGCTGATGCTGCTGCTGTTGTTGGTGGTGGTGGTGGTGCTGGTGCTGGTGGAACTGTTGACTCCTGCGCTTGACTTTTGCATATTCCTCTCCGGCCATTTTCTCGAGCGCTTCCTGAACGAGGTGCTCACGTTCTTTGATCCCGTCACGGATGCGTTGACCGATATGTTGATCTGAATACCAGCCCAGTAGACGGGTCGCGCCCGTGGATACGTAGGAGAATGCGAACATGCAGGAGAGGATTGTTATGCAGAGGACAGAGGCGACGACGAACTCGGCGATTGAACGGGTCAGGTTCCGGAGCGAGGGGATCTTGAACGCCGGGAGGGACGGGAGTGAAGGCGTCGAGGCACGATCTGGTTCTGTTTCATGCTGTTGAAAGGACTTGTGAGAGCGTCGTTTACGTCGCGAGAAGGAAACTTCCTCTTGCTGCTGCTGCTGCTGCTGCTCTTGAGGGAATCCAAACTCCGTAGGATAGTCGAATGATGATTCGGTAATATGGTGATACTGCTGCTGTTCGTCTTGGTAGTACAGATCCTCGTCCGCTTGATAGGAGTATCCCTCCGCGAATCGGGATGAGACTTTGGCACGTCGACGACGTGGACGACCATCGTCGCTATGGTGTACCTTCGCATCCGAAGAAGGTGCTGGGGATTGGGACCTGGAAGATTGCTCGCTGAAGCTTGCGTCATCCGAGGACGTGTACCGCTCGCTACTACTCGTGTACGATCGGCGGTCGGATTCGCTTTCGACTTGGTCTTGGCCGATGATCAGGTACTCGGACAGGGAAGATGACGAAGACGAGGAGAGGGACGGTGAGGAGGACGAAGAGAACTGAGGGGCGGCAGTGGCACGGGCGTCGGTCTGGACGTGGAGGGATGAGAGACGTCTTGCCTGTGGACCTGTGGGCCTGAAAAGCTCTTCTTCAACATCTTCGATCGTGACCGAGACAGGGCGTGCCGTCCTTGTCGATCGTGAAGCAGCCATGTTTGTCGTCGTCGTTGCCACGGTAGGAGAGGCAAGAGAGGGGGCGCTGTCGTCTTTATCTTGTTCCTGTGCATATTTTACCGTCGCATCGGTCGAGGGGCAGCCAGGGGCAGTGGCAAGGCGTTTTTGTTGTGCGGTATGGTCACCTTTGTGAGATTCCTTTGGTGGCTGACACGTTACTGTCTCGAGGGAAGAAGTTCCGAGGATTACACCATCGATACAAGTAGAGGGCTCTGCATCCCGTTCATCCACAATAGGAGCGGACTTAACGGAGGCATTCTCGGCAGAGGGGGAGAGCGACGAGGGCAGGATGGACGGGAGGGGTGAAGGGGGCGATACTGCGGTTACGGCTTCGTAGGCTGGTGCTTGTTGTGCAGGATCAAACGTTGCGGATTTGGCGTCCGTATCCAGAGGGGCATTGTCAGTGCTGAGGGAAGGATCCTGTGGGGCGATGCTGATGTCTATGTTGGGGTGGTAGTGGTCAATCGTGGACACAGGGATAGGGAAGGGTGTGTCAGCAGCTGAAGTTACAGCTGCAGCGGGAGAATGTGAGGATGCAGAAGTGACAGCGGCATCCGTGGTCTCCTCGTGCTTGCATCTGACAGTGTTGTCTTCGCAGTGGTTTGGGGTGCCGCTTTGTGCTGTGGCTGTCCCTGAGGAGGATTTTGTGTTCCCATCTCTCTCCATGTCCATGCTGGGGGTATTAGTATGATTCTCCTTTGAAAGATTTTCTCTTAATATCTTATATTGAGCACTCTAAAGAGAGCAGGCGGGAAAAAGAGCGGTGCAAAAAAAAAAGTTTTGTCCGAAGGGGTGTTTGAAGAATAGGAAAATGAGAGAAAAAAGAGGCTGCGATGAGAGTGAAGGTGGATTTATACAGTGTAAAGGCGGCAATTGGATACAAGGAGAAGGAGGAAGTAGGAGAGGAAAGAAGGAGAGTGTTCCTTTGGATGTGGCACTTGATACGAATTTATATGAAGTGTGCGATGTGTCACGAAGAAGGAACCAGGGAAGAGGGACAGGCACCGAAGAGGAAGTCAGTTTAGTACTAATAAAACAAGGGTTCAGTTGTAGAGGAGACAAGAAAAAGTTGATGAAGGGATGGAGTCAAGCGATAAAGAAAAAGAAGAAGAGAAAGGAGGAAGTAGAAGAAAGCAGAAGAAAGAAAAGAAGGGAAGGGTGGGCAAGGATTAGTGTTTGTTCTTATTTATTTGCCAAATGGTATTCTCCACGGCTCATGTGTTATTTGGTTCGTTCAACAGGTGGGCTTTTTCATATGAGGATGGACAAAAAGATGTGGGGGAAGTAGGGACTGGAACCAGAGCTAAATATACCGACTACATATACTACAGTAACCATCGGACCATGACCCCATCGAACCATAGACCAAAGCTACAGCACAATGACAGCTTCCATACGTCCAAATGTCCTCTGCAAATCATGCAATGACACACAGGGAAGGGATGTGTGTTCTTCCGATCCATCCCTCCACTCTTTTCCATCCGTTGGAAGGAAAGAGAAAGAACAACCAACGAAAGAATTACACATGTAGTCCACTAGTCTACGTTGTTGGTTGATGGTTACGGTGTTGTTGTTTGTCTTGTCCAACCGGGAAATGAAAAAGGCGCGCGGGAAGAAGGGGAGCAAGGTAGCATTGGGGAAGAATGGGTGATTTTTTTCTTGGGCCCCTTGGGAGAGAGAAGGAGGAGCGTGTCATTACAGTGTATGGAAAAAAAAGAGGTGTAAGAGGAGAGACCTACAGAGGCGCATGAAAATGAAAAGTGCTTCTGGGAAGTTGGATTCAGAAGAATGGGGTTGAACCATATCCGTATCCGTACCCCCGCTATTCCCTACCCCTAGAGATACTAGTAGAGCAAACGATTCTCGCTCCTGTTAAGAACCCAATTTGCTCCTTTGGCTTCCCATAGCTCAGGATGGACGACGCGCTGCCTTGGTCTGTCAGGTGAAAGACACAGGGAGGATTTCTGGGCTGCAGATGGCGCAAAAGCAAGCACTCAGGAGAGTGTAAACACGCGTTTATGGCTGCATCCCCATTCCCCCTTTGAAAGCAACAACATCGAAGCGCTCGCTGTCTACTTTGTCTGCTAGACTATTTTCCTCCCCTGCTCTTCTTTGTCAAACGTGTTCCCGCTTCGCTTTTTTTTTTTTTTTTTTCGGTCCTTGTCTTGGCTCCTGCTTGCACAGACAGCATAACGACAAGCAAGAACGAAATGGACGGACGTATCCGCCATGTACGCACTGGGCACAAGATAGTGCCCATAGACGACAATAGCGACGTGGTTGAGCCCAGACTGACTGACTGAACAAGGGTCCCTGTATCACCTCATCTTGAAAGAGGGTAGACTCCACATACACGGACAGACCGCGCTGTCCAATTATAAATTTTCATAACTGATTTTCTACTTGACTATCTTTTTTTTTTTCTCATCATTTCCACCCATCGCACACTCGTCACATTCGCTCATCGCATTCACTTGTCACATTCACTTATTGCATTCTCTCTTTCCATTCACTCTCACTCCAACAACAACACTCTTCTCTTCACCAGGCTCCTTCTCACCAATGGTCAGCCCTCACTTTTGAGCCCATAGTACCCTAGTGCATATCTCCTCCTACGGAAAAAGTACTCTGCAAAAGCGAATCCAGCACACCGTATGTCTCAGTCCTACCTAGGGCTTCTACTTCCCTTTTTTTGCTTTGTCTTATCAACCCCACCGCTCCTCTTTCCCCAGCCATGTTTCATGTTTGTAGTCCTTCGCGCCATCTTGCTGCAGACCGGGTGGATCCCCACACTCCTTCCCCGCATGCTTATCCGCCTGCACCAATGACTATGATAACATACCCGCAGTCACCCCACACTAGATCCTATTGGCTTGGTGGCACCCGGTTTATTTTTATATATATTTTTTCATTCTCCTATCCTTTTCAACGCGACGCGTCTGGGTCAGTGCGTCCGTAGGACGTAGAAAAGGGTTTCGCATTTGGTCCTCACGGACACCCTGCCCGCACCAATTCTTTACGCAGTACTTTTCTCCTTCTTCTTCTTCTTCGACTTTAGTATAAAATGAGGTAACCTCATTAGACTATAAGCATCATAACACAATCATCCCCCTGGAGTTTTTTTTTATCTCTTGTGGACTATCCCCCTTACTTTACGTCCCTGACGGCGTTTGTACACCCTGCATACTTTGCATTCTTTTTTTTTATTTTTACAAAAAGATATATTTACATATTAGCGTCGCAGCATGAAAGGAAGCAACCGCCTCATCATTCATACTAAGGACCATGCTTGTTTGCTAGCTCCCAGTCCTCTTCCCATCACATACAGCTACCATAAGTGGGCCGAAACGACAGATCACATGTAGGCGCACACATTTTTTTAAATGGTGGGCACAGCACCTACTCGTTCTAATCATACCTTTTTTTTTTTTTTTTTTTTTTTTTTTTTTTTTTTTTAGAACACGAGATAATCCCAGCATTCTGCTTTTGAGGCTTTGCACCCGCAACGTAACGAACTGGCTCAGTTACTAAGCAGGATTAACCCGGGTTTCTAATCAACACATACAACACCGTAACCTCGACCCTGCAGTGAGAAACAAAGATGTCTGGAGAAGCGATAACAACAGGAGGAGTTGTAGACGGACCCGTCCCCATGTTTGGTACGAGTTCAAACTCGGCGACCTTCAGAACTAATCCCAAATCAACATCAGCAGCAGCAGCAGCAGCAGCAGCAGCATCGGGAGCAAGAGGAGGCGATAATCCTTACGACCATGATTATGACCGATTACTTGATGTGCCACCCTCGTCCTTGGCCAATGGAAGACTCGTCTATAACATGGACGGGATCGTGAGCAATTCTGTTACGCCGGTATCATCCACTGACGGAGCAGTAATAGGAGGAGGAGGAGGAGGAGGAGAGGAAGAAGAAGGAGGAGGAATGACAGCGTCGTCGTCTGCGACGATGGCCGGGATACCTGCGGAACGATCGACCAACAGCGCAGCAGGAGGAATGCCACTGTCACAGTATCAACAATATCAGACACAGGGATCAGAAGGCGTGAGAACGCCGGGGGTAGGACAGGCGCCCCATAGGCCGACTCAATATAGCGAAATAGAGCTAGGAGGACCAGGATTAGGAGGAGCAGCAGGTGTGTCTGAGGTCAAGTTGAGGCGGTTCCTGGAACATAACCAGAGGTTGAGGGAGCAGCTACAGATGCCACGGATACGTGTCTCGGAGGCGTCTCAGAGGTAAAAGTCTTTCCTCCCCCCCTTCCCTCCCGTTTCGCTTTCAGACGAAAAGACAAATGGACCATTGTGAAAGGAGGAAGTATCCAAAACGCAGGACCCCAATCGTTACTTACTGTTTTTTTTTTTTTTTTTTTGCTTCTGCATTCTTGGAAACCTAAATGATTAGCTTGATAGGATATGTTACATCGACCGGAGACCCGCTGCTGCCCATGATCTGGGGCTCTTCTGGATCTGACCCGTTTGTGAAAAAGTCTTCAAAGTGCTGTAACATATGCTAGCAACACAGCAAACTACTTTAGTCCTCGTAAAGAAAATAAAATTAAATAAAAAAGTACAAACCCATGTCCTCCTCTCTCTCTCCATCGCTTTTGCAGTCTTCGTTTTTTTTTTTTTACAAACGGTAGCAAAATGAACAACCAATTGCTCAACTATATATACAGGGTGCATGGTATTCTACTGCATGCATGGTTATTGAAACCATAAACATCAGAGGAAAAATAGTATGTAAAAGTACTGCGGAGAGAGAAACCATACAACGTGTTTTTTTTCCGTCAATATGTCATGTCCATTGAACATGATTCTTCCCACCTCAACCGATAATCGTTTCCCGCACATGGCTTTCCCTTTTTTCGCTAGTGGTTCCTTGAGAGCCAATCCGATTATTTTTTTCAAACAACAAGATCACATCGCTGTTTTGTTATGCAGTGCGAATGTATAAAAGTATATATATATTTTATCATCGATGAATATGTGCGTGTGTGTGTGTGGTGTGTGTATGTGTGTTTGAGAGAAAAAAAAAGATGCTTGGATGGAGAGAGTAATAACATGGGGGAGAATGTAATTACTTTTTCGTAAGAAATACAAAATGAATAAGAGGATATCTTTGAAAATGAGCATTAATGAGGAAGAAAAGAAAAAGATGGACGAATAGATCGTTCGGTTGAAGGTCGAGCAGCAATGGCCAGGACTATTAAGCCACGGGTGGCGATAGTGTCACAATCAAGTCGCCGACATCCTCGACATCGATCTGCTCCGTTGCCTGGTGCAGTTCTCCCATCGCACTTGCCATCTATGTAGTTGGAAAACGATCATAATGATAAGGATGATAGTGAGTATTCCGCACAACCATTAAAAAAGCGTCAACAGTCAAAGAAGGGCCCAAAGGACATGGGGCATGGGACATAGTTCATTGCATTGATTCGTGTAACGATCTCTCAAATTTCTTTTCCTTGTCGCAGTTCTTTGTGTTCAACTTTTTCAACCTACCCATCCAAGGGTCTTGGAATCGATCGTCTTTTCGGCGAGGACCTCGCGTACGGACGGTGCCCTGACAGAGTTCACGGTCGAGGAAGCCGAGGACTTTAATGCGCCGTCCAACTGGTCAATTGAGATATCTCCTCCCTTGACGACCGATGTCATGCTGTGTAGTTTCTTGATGGCCTGTTCGGGTAACTTGACGGTGTTCAGCGCTGTGATGTATTCGTTCGACCGGTTCTGTGCCTCCTGTTGCTGAAGGCGTTCGAGTTGAAGCGTCGAGGGGATGTCGATTAGGTTTCTAGAAGTGAAGAGTGTCAATTAATTGATTGTTGGGATATGAATGAGAAAAGAAAGGAAGGAGAGAGAGAATGAAAAAGAGAGGAAGGAAGAGAAGAGAAGCAAATGCACGTTTATATAGACGAAAAGAGAAGGAATAGAAATGGTCTAGATTTGGATCGGCACACATTTGACTTGAAGACACAAGATAGTTTCTTTCAATTGACGAGTAAATACTGTCAGCAAGGAAGTATAGGAGTATAGGATAAACTAGGGGTTCTTTTTTTCCTTCATGCGATATAATAATGATATGCATCCGTTAAAGCAACGACACCAAACATGTAATGAACACTTCGCACGCCCGACGGGGGAAGAATATTCAAGTTGACAAGACAGAGTAACAAAGGAGGTGAATGCAGGGAGAGATGGGCAATATCGTATGTTTCGCGGTACCCGATGGTGTGAACGGTGCGCAGGAAGAGTACGTGAAGGGATGTGTTGTTGATAGACTGATTGATGGGGCCGGCAGATGGGCGATCCATAGTATAATAACACTGCGTGAGTGATTGCGAAAGATGCGGACCAATTGCTTGTCGCGACATTTGTAAGGATACCATGTGCTCTGCCGCGCTTTGACTGGAAGGTGGTCCATGGTCAAAGGTAAGGTTCATGGGTCGCGCTTAAGCTCATCTTATCCAAGCAGCAGTAGTTTTTTGTTATTGTTGTTGTCATTGTCGTTTTTGTCGCTATTGTCGTTGCTATGGCCTACCAAAGACCACAGACCATCAATCGCATCAACAACGACTATACTTTGACCCTTTTCTGTGCTCTTGTTGATGTCGTTGCCATCTCGCGTACTCTGTCTCCTTGCAGAGAGCGCTGTAGTTTGATTTGTATTTGTTTTGCTTCGCCCTTTTTTTCTTTTGATGGCTGTTCCTGGCCGTTGTAGAGAATTGCGTAATGAGGGTAATACCGTATTTCAATGCAACAGGAATTGGAATAATCATGCACCCTGACCCGATCCCCTCTTTTTTAGCTGCTCAAAAGAATGCCGTTTGGTCCAACCACAGACAAAGAGCTCGCCTACACCTTGAACTCTTCAAACAAAGATGTGATGTTCAGGCTATTTCGGCTCTCAGCAATACACCAAACAACTAATAATAAAATGTGCATTGCAATTGAGCGAAGCTGCGCGCGCACGCACCAGCCAGGTTCCTTGCCGACAATCACTTCCCTCGCCGTGCTACCGATCAACCGACCCACCAACCAATCGGTCTAAATTGTTCAATACAGCACATGTGAAATGTAACTCAGGGGGAAAGGGGATGAGACGTAAGCAGGTACCACGAAACTTAAAAAATCCTGGCGCCAAAAACCATCCTCCCGTTCTTCATCCTTTCCTCGTATCGACACATGCGCACCCACCCACCGCGAGCCCCGGCAGGTCATTGGGCACTGGGACTGGGCATGGACATGGCCCGAATAAGATCGGCGATAAAATCATAAAGTAAGAAATAAAAGAGGACTTACCCAGCCGTCCTTTCGACGATGCGTTGTAATGATTCCAGTTCGCGCACTTGGTTCTGTTCACCGTAGGCAGCAACCATGGGATCAGTCCTAGTTTGAATCCGCATAAGCATAAAAAAAGCACGCACACATATGAATGTGATAAGCGTACGTGGAAGATTAGTCTAGACGTTTCATTACTCATTTTACTCATTCCCTGTGCACCGTGCCCTTATTTTTCACGTCATATTATTCGTTTGTTGCAAGCTGGGATTATTGGGGTATGTGTATTGTTTCGCAAAGGCGCAGAAAAGAGCAGTGCGATGGGCGGCGCGTGCACCTACCCTTCCCTCTTCTTCCGCAAAAGTGGTGTAAACAACCCTACTTCGGGCAAATCCTCCTGTGCTTGCTTCCCGCCCAAATAATCCTCTGCCATTGGTACAGCACCAGCAGGACAAAAAAAAACACAACAGCAACCAGATCCTATAAGGGCGGTGCATAAATAGTCTGTTCCAAGGCAATAAAAAGACGCCAGCCAACGCGCTGCACACATGCTGGATCATAGGGTCAAGCCCCATCCCAAAAGAAAACCTCCGCGCTGGAAAACAAACCGAGAACGAGTTTTTTTTTTTTTTTTTTTTTTTGGTGTTGTGGACAATCATGCAAGCGGCTCCTTAGAAAAGGGCCCTTTTTTTTCTTACTCCATATCAACAATAAAACAGACAGTCGACGAAAACAATAACCCGCTCTGCCGAAACAAATAGATCACGTCTTCTTAGTTCATGCCGCTCCCCTGTTATTTTTATATGTGTAATACGGCGAATGCCGCTAGCTCAACAACAGCTGATGGACACAAAGTCTATCATTGTCAACAGTTCAACTCATTCGCCCAAGACCCCTGTACCCGACTCTCTCGGCCGATGAGCTAGTGCCGATATTGTATCAATTCGATAATAGGACGAGTAGTGACCAGTTCTGTGTAATATAATGCACCACTCCACTATTTTCTGAACGAACAGCTCTTATGCAAAAAAAGAGAAAATAAAATAAAAAACGAAAACAGACAACAAATAAACCCATTCCTCATAGAAACATGGTATAAAAAAAGAAGGTATACAAATTGTGCGCAGACGCGCGCGCGTACCCGCGCATTTCTTCCACTCCCTCAAACATCATAGGCTCATTATTGTCGCCATGTTTATTTTCTCGATGTTCTATTTTATGCCCCATCCTCCTATCAATCGTGATAATTGTCAAACCCCCAATGGGACCTCTCCTCCCCAAACTCCTCTATGCCTCTTTTTTTTGTTTGCTTCCAAGCTCTTTTTGTGCATTTGTATTAATCGCGTCCTGTCGCGCTTTGAATTTTGGTTTTGTATACCAAAAATTACAAAAATAAAAACGAATGAATAAATGGCTTCAACTTACCCATAGGTACAAACAGCATGGCTCTCATTCAACAGACGGATCCGTTCAGCCTAAAAAAAACAGTGAGGAGGCGAAAGGGGGTTAGTTTTCTTGAACGGCTCTTTTTTTTTCTTAACTGCGTTGTGTTCGATATCATGTTTCTGGCTGATAAGGCAACCGCATAAAGGCAGTAGACCAGATCATTGTTTGAAGAGTAAGGAAGGAAAGCACGATAGAGACTGAGCATATGCAGCAAAGGGAAGGATAGAAGGGGATTCGCGGATGATCTAGTTTGGACCGATCACCATCCGAGGTCCTTATTCATGTAATCGAGCGCAGACCACTCAAGTCTTGGTCCGTGTGTTGCATGTGTAGCAAAAAGGCTAAACGCTCGTATCGCTCACGCGCAAGTGGTCCGTCATCGATGGCCCCCCTCTCCATAGAAATAACGCGATAAATCAGATAATCGGTTGAACAAGAACCACAAGGAAGAGTCCTGAGCAGCCCTGCGAGGGAAAAAATAATATGTGTGGTTGTGTAGATTTGCGTGCGGTGCATATTATTTTCCTCGTTGTCCAAAAGAAGTTCTTCCCGTCGGCTCCTCCTGTTTTACCAGCTTGTCAGAAATATGAAGTATTCGCTCTCCGATCCGCAAGTTGTTCAAAAAAGGAGATAGAAACAACGTACATAACATAAAAAATAGCAGTGAACAGGAGAGCAAAGCAGCAACGCAACGTTGTTTCTTGCTGTCTTTCTTGACTGAAAATGGATGGAGCTGCAAGTTCCTTTGCTAGCGGTTTTTTTTTTTACTTGTCTCGAATATGCTGGACGCACACTTCATATATACATAAAAGGGAGAGTGACAAATGGGCGGAGCAAGAAAGTAAGACATCACCACTCAGCGTGCCCTTCTTTTTCACTGGTGCGGGAGAGAATAAGGAGCACACAGACACACAGCACGCATCGCTGTGGAATAAGAAGAATGAGGACTCAGAATGTTTGAGCCAGGATCGAGGCGTCAGAGGGAGCCATACATAAACAGGTAGTATTGGCAGTGCTGGAGCGTGAGAGCACCAGTGCAGCAGTAGCCCTTTCCTCAGTGGTGGATTTCATGGAAAAAAATAAGCTGCAAAGGCTGATTTGGTCCAAGTCTGATGAGGGGAAAGGCATCTCGATCCCGCCGGCGAAAGGAGGGGGGAGGGGGATCGGTGTGCATGGCTGATGGCGCTAAAGTGCTGTGGGTGTGTGGGGGTAGTGTGCATAGACCACCTGAGGGAGGGCAGGGTTCTTTGTATTATTATTATTATTTTACCTCGTCGCGATCAGTGTGTTTGCTTCCACAGCAGCCCATAGTGAGTTGAAGAGAGTGGATGTGATGGCGAGAAAGAGGGGGTTGGGGGTAGCGGGGGATCGAATGAGAGGGATGGGATGGAAGTGAAGGGATGGGTGAGCTGGCGAAGTGGCACGGAAGCAGTATGGTGGAATGCAAGGCAGGAAAGTGAAGATGCAAGAGTAAGAATGAGAGGGAGAGGGAGGGAGAGAGGGAGAAGAGGTGGGGGAACATATTTTTGAGTTGCCACTTCAATTGATCACTCGTATCGGCTGTTCCCTGTGTTGCTGCAGTTTGCAGTTGCTGCGAAGTGCTTTGTTTGCACGCGATGACACGCAGCAGCAGCAGGCGACAGGGGGATGACCATGTTGTACTATCGATGACAGCATTAAGCCTCACTTACATTCTCCTCTCTCCCTTTCTCTGGCGCATTCCTGGCCGTCCTTGCCTTCTATAGCACCAGCTAGAGCCGTGCATGTTGTCGAGATGATACTGAAAAAGACGACTGTCGAAGAAACTAAAAGGGAAGGCGCCGCTGAGGTCAATTGAAAGCAAAGACCAGCACAAGTTCCAGAGGAATAAAGTACTTGACTCAACTGTTCCTAGCCTGTTCGACGTCTGTGCATCCTTTGGCTTATACGCAGAGAGCGCGCGCCTACTCCATAGTTCCAATCCGCTATTTCCAAGCAACATTCAGTAAATCCTCGTATATACCCTTAATAGTCTCACTCAACTGTATTTTATGGTAGGCTTTCAGTACCCAAATGGATCTCCCTCTATCCATTTAGTAATTTTACAGGTGCGGAGGAATCGCAGTCAAAATGGAATGGATGGTCCCCCATCGATCGATACATCGGCACACAAGGCGGAAGACATCCATCCATACATCGCAACAATATCATCAATGAAGCGCCGATCCGGGATCAACAATTATTTTGTTCGCGCTAAAGTCTTGATGGCCTTCAGGAGGACTAGTTTGGGTCTGTCAATCAGCATCAGCATCTATTGATCACGATGTCATGCTGGAGCTCTAGTCAGCCTTGGACGAACAGGTCCTCATTCAGCACCAGTGGAGAGCTCCGGAATAACAGAGAAGAAATACTCAAGGACCGACTCTACGCTGCTATATCAGGACACTTTGACGGACTTTTACAGGCACCTGTAAACCAGCAGTGTCGCTAACGAAGGAACCCTTGTCTTTCGTATCCAACTGCGACTCTTATAGAAGATGGCTCAGCGTCTCACTTACCGCCGTCGTTTGTCGTACAACACCAAGTCCAACAGGACTCGCGTCGTCAAGACCCCCGGTGGTCGCTTGACTTGGCTCTATGAGAAGAAGCCCGGTACCGCCCCCAAGTGCGGTGACTGCGGTGTCGCTCTCCCCGGTGTAAGTCGGCGGAACCATGGATGTAGAAGGAACTCAGGAAATTGACAGGAAAAGCCGTAGAGTGTGTAAAAGGGTCTTGTAGCGACACAGGACGTATGTCGGGTCAAGGAATGAAGTTTTGGGGGAGGAGACATCAGGAAAGGCAATGGGGTTCAGCAAGGAGGAATCCCGATCAGCTTGTTGCCACCGCCAAAGTTCCGCGCTCGCATAATGGCTCAAGTAGGCTATCGACAGCAAGCGACTATTAGAAAAGTTTGCAGCAGCAACAAGAACACCAGTATCACTTTTCGGAGTCCATTGTTCAGTACCTGCACGCAAACAGAACATGTGGTTATGGCTCTGTCAGGGTTCTTGGACCGTTGCAACAATACTTCAACATCTATGACAGGATACGCGTTCGCTAATTGTACTTTCCGTCTGTGCTTTCGAGACAATTATCGGATTATCACTCAACATGTGCAGGAACAAGTGGATCACGACTGAACAGTGTTTTCGCCTTGCTGGAGCGAGCCCTGCAGCACACCCAATCATATCCTACTTGGAAGAAAGAACGCCTGTTTCTAACGAAAAATATCTCGATCTGTCTTCCTCAATTACAACGACATTTAGGTCCCTGCTCTCCGCCCTACTGAGTACGCTCGCATCTCCCGTCGCCAGAAGACCGTCAACCGTGCCTACGGTGGTTCCCGCTGCGCCAACTGCGTCCGTGACAGAATCGTCCGCGCTTTCTTGATTGAGGAGCAGAAGATCGTCAAGAAGGTCATCAAGGCCCAGGCTAAGAACGCTAAGCCCGTCAAGGCTGCCAAGGCTCCCAAGAAGGCTTCCAAGTAAAAATAAAATAAAAAGAAAAAGGAACGGATTTAAGGGACGACCACATATCCGCGGTCACTGCAAGCAAAAAAAGAAAGCGCCTTTCAATAAAACTGTTTGTCTGTCTTCTGTCATTCATTGGGAAACGATATGTTGATTGAAGAGGATGTAGGATCAATGACTGGGTGCATGGTGCATGGTGTATGGTATGCCCATATTTTTAGAAGCGCAAGGTGCTCTCGTTGCCACGGCAACTTACATGCAGGGAGAGACACACAGCAAAGACGCTTCAAATCCTTCCGAAATGTGGAATGTAACACAATGCGCTTACATGTCACTCTTCATTAGACGCGTGTTATTTGCGTGGACATCTGTAGCGACTGGGTTCCCGGATTCTGGCTAGAGGCACGGCAGCGAGAGAGTGCATTCGTGGACCAATTGCTCTGCGCTTCGACTGATGTCTGTATTCCCGCACTAGGCTCAAATAACGGCGGCGGAACTTCTTCTCTTTGATATAAAGCGACGGATCGTTCGCGACCTATCTTCAATTTCATCTCCTCGCCAGCCGTCCACGCAACGCCCATTGCTCTTTTTATTATTATTCAGCTCTCTCGCTCCCAACACACCATTTAGGGTGAAAGCCGATGTCCTCGGCACGTACCACATCTTTGTATTTTTTTTTGTACCTTCACCTGTGCATCGGGAGGGTACGGATACCGTCAAAGGCATCGACGGTTCCGAATAGTACCCTCATCGCCAGTTCTCGAGGGCCTCAGCAAAAACGGCCCTTACATTGAACTAAGAAAGCAACAACTACACTGCATCCCGACGACACCTCGGTACAAAACAAGCGTTGTATCGCACGCGTCGCGACCCAGAGCAAGTCGATGTGGTCCGAGTCTTTCAATCGCCATTGAACTCACCATGTTCACAACTTGACTCAATAATGCGCTTATAATCTTGTGCGTTAGGCGTTCGTTCGACTAAGAATTAGATGTTTGCACTCTTGTGCGAAAGGCGCACGCAAGCGTCTGCGATCGCGAGAAGCAAATGGCTTTGTCTTCACCAACAACGAGCCCTTCTACTGAGCCAACTGGCGATGATTCGGCCATATTGGTGTATTCCTCCCCGGAGCACCATGTCCCAATGCCCGACTAACTGAATAGGTGGAAGTTTTAGCTCCTTGGTCGGGACTATGTCATCAAGTCGCTGAAGTTCTCCAGCAATCTGCTTCTTGGGACTTGCAGCCAATAGCAGCTAGAGCAAGCAGTGTCAATTGAAGGTTCTCAGCACGAAGTTGGATGCCTTCGAGCGCACTTTGTTGAGTGGAATGTGACTATCGCTCATTCATCCACCCTCTCTTCCCGGGTCTCTATAGGGTCGTCCTGCGCTGGGACCTCCTGTTCGGGATACCTGCCGCAATAGCCATAAATCCATGGGACTTGGACGATGGCATCATTGACTCTCCTTACGATCCAAAGAGAGTATTGGGGATGGTAGCAGCAGATCGCACAGTCGGCGTTACTGCCGCGTCACCTTGAATTAGTAGTAAACTAAGGACTGTTGGCATTGATCCACTCAGGACCAGTGCTGGGCTCCCAGTCCTCTCTGCCTGCATTGGTAGGAAACTGTGATCTCCGCTTTACTTAAAGTTGGTCCGCTTCCTCTTTCTTGAACCCATCCTCTTCTTTACTCCCTCGCCCCTCGTCAAGGTCCAACAGCAAACCCGCAGGAACAACGGGAAACTGAACCCCGCCGCCGTCGTCTTTCATCTCAGGACACAACCGACATATCACAACCAGGAGTGGCCAGTCCTTTTCTCTCACATACACATACAACTACATGTTGTCCAACGACCCCGACAAGGGTGATCCCTTCAACCGGGACAACTCGCTCGAGCTCGACCGCCTGGACCAGACACTAGCGCACCGGTACCAAATCGATCCCCTCTCGGATTCGTCCGACAACGACGAGGACGACCTCGAGGGCGTGGACGAGCACCAGACCCTGACAGGGAGCAATAACAAGGGCGGAAAGGAATCATTACAGAAGCATCATCTCCATCCGGATGCATCTCATCATCCCAACCCTGCGTCCTCACACCATCGCACAGAACTCGAAGGCGACAACGATACGGATACGATTGATGTCCACATCATCCCCCTCTCCTCCTCCGAAGCCATTGACCGTGAACGGGGCGACCTCCAGAAGAATGTCACCTTCAGCAATGGCCTTACCCTGGTTGTTGGCATCATCATTGGGTCCGGTATCTTTGCCTCCCCAGGTCCCGTTCTGGCCTACTCCAAATCCGTTGGTGTCTCGCTGATCATCTGGTTCGTATCAGGACTGCTGGCGTTTGCGGGATCGTTATGTTATGCAGAGCTCGGAAGTGCGATGCCGAGTTCTGGAGGTGGTGAGCATGCATATTTGAACCATGCTTTCGGCAGTCTACCTGCGTTCCTGTTCAGCTGGACTTCAATTGCACTGTTGAAGGTAAATAAGAAGACCCTCACCTATGGATTGGTGCCCAAGTGGGAGGTGGTGGTGATAGGCATTGGTTGAATGAAACCGTTTAAGCTGATCCTCCTTTTTTCTCTCTCTCTGTTTTCCCTTTGATTTCTGTTCTTCTTCAGCCGGCAGGAAATGCAATTATCTGTGTAGGTTCCCATTAATTCTTTTGGTGCTGAAATCGGCTATGAGGACTGAAGCAATTGCATAGAACGCATGGACTTGGCGACGAGCGATCAGACAACGCAAGGATTCTGAAGCAGGAGAATGGGATTGCTGGACCAAAGAGGACAGGGGGAAAAAGCTATCGAAAAATCATAGCATTCTCCTTCCCGAGACTCAGACTAGCACGACTTTTTTTTTTTTTTTTTTTTTTTTTTTTTTTTTTTTTTGGAAGCAACTGCTGTATATTCACCCAGGATGGTCGGTGGATATTGAGCAACCAAAGTACTGATCTCGGCACAATCGACATCTTTCTGGGGGGGAAAATACCCAATCTATAGGTCGTCTTTGCAGAATATGTCACCAACATCATTGCTCAATCCGCCTGGGACCCCACACAGCCGATGCGCCACTGGTCCAACAAACTGATCGGCGTGGCCTGTGTCGTCGTCCTCTCTGGACTCAACTCTCTCAGCGTCTCACTGGGCACACGGATCCAGGATGTCTTCACGTTCATGAAGGTCGTCACACTCTTGGTCATCGGTATCACCGGCGTCGTCGTCCTGGCCCAAAAGACGCTCTCGAGCCATAACTTTGACCACGCATTCGAAGGCGAGACCCAACCGAGTCTTGGGGACATTGCCCTGGGGCTCTATTCGGGACTGTGGGCGTACGATGGCTGGAATAACTTGAACTATGTGTCGACAGAGATGAAGAACCCGACGAAGGATCTGCCGAGGGTCATCTTTGCGGGTGTGCCGATCGTGATTATTTTCTACCTGTTGGCGAACACTGCATATTATGCGGTACTGCCACAGGCGACTGTCATGAGCACCAACACTGTGGCGATTGTGAGTGCCATCCTGACAGTATTATTATTTTTTGTTATTATTATTATTTCTATCTTTTTGCATATTCAAACAAGCTGACTCGTCTATGTACATCTTCTTCCTATAGGATTTTGGAAAACAGATGTTCGGGAACACGGGCGGCGTGCTGTTTGCGATCTGTGTGGCCTGTAGTTGTTTTGGCGCCGCCAACGGATCGATCTTCACGGGCGCCCGCGTCATCTACGCCTCAGCGCGCGAGGGCTATCTCCCAAAGATATTTGGCAAGGTCCACGAGAAGCGCAAGACACCCATCGCGGCCCTGGCTCTTCAGGCCGTCATGACTTCTATCATGATCCTCGGCGGAACCTTCTCAACCCTCGTAAATTTCTATTCCGTCGCCGCTTGGCTCTTGTAAGTCAAAGTACCGTGAACGGAACTGAATCGCTCGACCATCGTTATCAAAAATTGCAGTGTCTGATGGGGGGGGGGGGGTTTTTTTTTCATAGCTATCTGAGCAGCATTCTCGGACTGATCTACCTGCGTTACCACGAACCCAATCTGAAGCGGCCCTTCCGGGTATGGACCATCGTCCCCATAATGTTCACCTTCTTGGGTCTCTTCCTGTTCCTCATGCCCTTTGTCAAGGCTCCGCTCGAGTCCAGTCTTGCGATGGTCATTGTCCTCGCAGGACTACCGCTCTGGGTCCTCAAGGAACTCGTTTCCGGCAACAAGGGCACGCGGTGGCTGGACCTCAAATCAAAAGTCATGTATTCTTTAGGCTTCCAACCCTCCGGCGGACGGCATGAGCGTCTGGTCGGCCATTGATACCGTTCATCTTCATCCTCATAAAAAAAAAAAAAAAAAAAGGCATAATAATAAACACAGATAGAATCGAATACGACCTCATCTGTGTATGTTTCTTGCTGTTGTATTTTGATTTTTGATCGGGGTTCGTCAGTAAAAAGAAAAAAAATGCGTCTTGTCTAATGAGTTTAAAAAAATAAATAAATCCCTAATCCTTCTTCTCAACATGCTCTTGGTCCTTCGCATCTGCTGCTGCTGCTGCAGTGGAAGAATCAGCTGTGTCTGCCTCCTCGAGCTTGGGCACATCGTGAACCACGGGTGCCAAAGATACGGGTTCCATTTCCTTAGCTGCATCACCTTCTTTAGGCTGCTCCTTCTGGGTCTGCTCGGCTGTCTCACTCGCAGTCTCGAAACCATCGTTGGTCAGCGTCACAGGCTCCATTGCAATCTCATTTGCCGCTGTCGTCGACTCTGTAGCAACACTACTTGACGATGACGATGACGCTGATGCCTTTGCTGATGCTGATGGCTCCTCGAAACTGTCGCCGAAGGGGTCTACCTCATTCTGACCAGGAGTATCCAAATGTGCTGTTGACGTTGACGCTTCGGCGGCCTTGGGGTCTACACTGAATGGTGGGAAATCAAAGTCGTCCTTGCCGTCCTCCTCAGCCGTCTTGAACTCTGTGAATCCATCCTGGAAGTCCTCCGACCAATCCGTCAGTGTAGCACTAAACTGTGTAGCAGGACCCAGCTCTGATACTTTAGAATCTCCAAACGTATTGGGCCACTAAAAAAATACCCAGGCAATATCGAGATCCAAAGGTCTTGGTCAGTACATTTAGAAAACAATTGATAAATATCCATGTTGGGAAAGATTACCCCTCCACCTACGGGTGAGTTCCAAGTCTCCTCATCTACGCCTTCATCATCATCACTGTCGTCAAAGTCCACGGTGTGCCTGTTTCCGAATGGATCCTCCAGACTCGACACGGCCGCAGCCGCGGCAGCACGACGCCTCTCAAAGTCCGTGTCCGTGCCATATTCGCCAATCCAGTTACCCTCCTCGTCATCCTCATCCTCATCAGACGATCCAAATTTCTCTGGCAGGTTGTTGGTGATCTGTTGACTCAAATAACGCGCAAACTTTCGAACGTTAAAAAGGTAAGGATAGGAAGTGGGTTTCGGTTCGCATGAGCGTCAATTCTCAAAGGCGTGACTCAAAGAAAAATAACAAATCAGAGATGAAAAAGACGATTACCTGATCACTGGCGACGTCGCCTTCATGGCCCACACCAATCTCTCCGCCTAGGAAGCCGCTGTTGCTGCCGTAATCATCTCCATGATCATCCAGAAAGTCGTCATCATGGACATCATCGAGCGACTTATGCGGCTCCATCATGTTGGGACGGCTTCCTCCAAGGACCTGAGCATCGCGCTCCTTGGTCTCCTTCAACACCTTAGAGACATAGTTCCACCAGTCCTCCAGGTCGATGAACTCGTAGAGCATTGGCAGCAAGGAAGTCTGCGAATACAGTTCCAGCAGCTTGACAGTTTCGTCCGCAATGTACGTCAAATGTCCCATGTATCCGAGACGAACGCCTTTGGGCTGAGCACTGTTGGATGGAAAACAAGGAGACAGAACCGTTAGAGCCAGAAGAAAATAGCATAAAAATTTTAAGCACAGTCTATACACTCAAACGTGGAAGCATACCACTCATGATCGCACAAGCGCTGAGCATCAGTAATGCGCTTTGTCAATTGTCCATCCTTGAAGATCGAAATTGTCAATCTCCTATTCCAGCCCTCCGTAACACCTTGGTCAGCCTTTGGTGGAATATATGTTCCGTCGATATCAGGACGTCCGATATCGCCCATAGGTCGGTGGAACACTTGATGGACCATGTCATAGACAACCGTATGCAGAAAGTTGTTCCATGGGAACTGGAAAAAGAGGTCGAAACATGTGGGGATGATGCGATGATCGACAAACTGCATCTTCAGGAAATCGCCCACGGGTATCGAAACATCGCCTTGAGGTGTGGTTCCTGAGGTTGCGGCGGTACTATCGTTGACAGGAGAGGTTGTAGATGACTCAACTGGTGGAGAAGGCGAGGCTCTGGGCGTAGCTTGGTCGTCCAGTTCCAATGAAGATGTTGCCTGCTCCAGCTGTGCGATGTCGCTTTTAACTTCTGTTGATGGTGCTGGCTGCTCACTTTGTGCTGTGTCGTTCGACTTCGCCTCCCCTTTGTTATCCGCTGTAGGTTCCTTGAGCTCTTCACCATTTTCTTTGACAGGCTCGGCAACAGATTCCTTGTCATCGGCAGCCGTGGCCTTGATGGGGTCGGATTCGACCTTGGATGCGTCGGCATCATCTGTGTTTGATTCTTTGGAAGTCTCTACGGTGGACTCCGTGCTCTCAGTAGCTCTGATCTTTCCAGTCTCCAAATCCTCCTTGACAGAATTCTCGCCGTCGGTGGTTGAAGACTTGATAGCCTCCATCTCCTCCTTGACAGTCTGAGAGTGCTGCACGATCGGTTGGTCGGCTGAGACAGTGGGAATTTTAATGGTTCCATCGGCAGAGACAGAGATGATGGGTTGAGAATTCAATACCGCCATGTTGGAGCAATGAAGTAGCTCTGCAAACATCTCGCAAATCTTCAGTCGTTCAAATCCTAGTGGAACCTGCTTTCCGATAGATGTCTCGATAGGACCAGTCTAGATTTTGTATATATAAGATGATAAGCACGTTAGTCAACATAACTAAGGTAAAGTCATGCGCTGCAATGGTATGGCAATGGATGGCAAAAGCTCACCACTGATCTTGGCACAACGAGCAAACCCTTGAAGTCCTCAATCCTAGAAGCTAGCACCTTCAGCAAGTCGCTAAGGTCCACGGCCTCCCGAATAGTCTCTGTTGAGTTTGGCGGAAGAGGCTCGACATCATAGTCGCTAGTGGCGAGAAAGAAAATATGAAAGAAAGTATGAAAGTACATAAAGACCGTGTTGGTTATCCATTCTAAATGTCTTCAAACGACTCGTTAGTTCTCCTTTGTCATTACCTGTTGTTTCTTCGGATCAATTCGATAAAAATGGTGACGCCATTGATAAGCGTTGAGGTTGAGAAGGGAGCATTGCGGTCCAACATGAAGCCGACAAGCTTGTCTACAATCACTTCGCTCTTCAGTTCACCAATCAGCACATTCATCCCGATAGAGGGTTGTTCAGGGTGCGAAGACTGTGAGATCGCAATAATGTCCAGCAATACTTGCGACGCAACCGAATGAACCTATAATCAGGTGGTGGGTTAGTTATCTATTGTTCATACTTTATAACAATCGTCGTTGTCAACCGAGCAGTTGTAATATACCTCCGCATCAAGGTTGGGGTCCAATCGGTCCACCAGCCATGGCATCAAGCCTTGCTCGCTCAACCACTACGGAGATGTTGAAAATACAAAGAGGTATTGCACGCAGTCAGAACAAAGAGTAACAGAAATAGAACCATAATTCCCAGTAGTGTAACACTGATACGAATCCGCACCTCGACAGTTCCTTTGCCCCCTGGCGATTCCTCCATGCTGATAATCTTAAGGAGAAGGTCCATGATTGAAGAGGTAGACATATGCAGGAGCAGCTTGGAGACAACATCTGGCTGCGACTTGATGAATTCCAACATCTGTATATGAAAAATTTGTGGAACAACGGTGGTCAGTAAGTAGGCACTGGAAAGGCGAGCGTGTCCGATGGCTCCCAATGCGTAACAGTCCGGCTTCAGTGCCAATTGCTCCACTCTCTGACATACCTCTGAAGTCTTCTTCATAAGAAAGACACTGATCACTTTGGCAAAGTAGCTGGCCTGCACAGGGTTCAGGGGAGGGGGTCGATCCAGGAACTCCCAGAACTTGACCAGCATATCAATATTCGACAGCGCCGACTCGAAGATGGCCCAGACCTCGCATGCAATCACCTCGCAGGCAATGAACGGATACCTACGAGGTAAGCAAATAATATCAGCACGTGTTCAAATTCGGCTGTGCTGCGCAACCATACTGGAGGTCAAGATAAGTGGTTCGGGTGCTCTTCTATCCACGGCATGGCCTGTGGTGCTGCAAGTCTATGTGGTTAATTGATTGCTCACAGCTATGGCTCCTTATTTCATTTGCAACCCACATGGATGTGTCGCATGCCCCTGCAGCCCATCTCATCTCTTTTATCCCCATCATATTGCTTTGTTTTTGTTGTTATTATTTTTTTGTTCATGTCTTGTGCCACAGAGAAAGAAAACATGGTCCTGCAACTGTGTGAGCGAGTGTCCACGCTGGGATGGTCCATAAAGTTCCCTTGGTGGTGTTTATTATTGCGCTCGTCATCCTGTGTTTAGTGTTTTCTGTGCCAATCCTCTCCCGAGTCGAAAATCCATCGGGCGACGTAATCACGCTACAAAAAGCGTATTGTTTCTCCTGCAAGCATGAGCGCGAGCATGTGGTATTCTTCTGCTTCGAGCGACTTACTTGAACCGTGCACGGTCTTCGAGATCATCGCTAATGATATAACTCAGCAGCTGTTGAAGAACCGCTGGGTCGCGCAGACTATATCAATAGATAGGGAGGCAAACAGACAGGGAAAAAGTCAGTTCCTGAAAACCACGCAGCGGTATCAATCTCGTGGATGTATCCTACGTATAACGCCAATAAGCTGTTGGCTCTCCGGTTGGTTGCCGTGGTATCTTTTTGCAGGGTCCTGTGATTCACTGCGGGATCCAAGTGTGAAGGCGCAGACGAGGTCTGAACAGTGTGGACTCGTCTGTACCTCCACCCACTGCGTCCAACGAGAGTCCACTGGGTCCTGCGGAAGTAGTGCCTGGACATGCAATGCACTTATCCACTCCATTCCTGTATCATACGGTCTCGGCTTCAATTTTCCCATAACAGTCGGCTCCTGCCACTCCCATATTGAGTGGAGTCAATAAGACAAAGCAAGGTCCGCGTTGGCGTATGTCACGCAGAGCTGACCGAGGTCTGAAAGAACAAAAGAGGATAAAACGACGCTGTTTGCAGGAGAAAAAAAGGGAAGGATAGGTAGGTTTGCGTACTATTCGATGAGCCTTGGGTTCTGTGCCTTGCATTCCTGGATCAGATCATCCTGTTCCAGCAATTCTTCAAGTGAGACGTTTCCGCTCTCAAGGAGATGGTCGATAACCGAGGCATTCTGGTGGCCGAAGCGCCAATACATTACGACGTTTTGGATGGAGAAAAGAAAGGGTAAGGGAGTGTTGTGATGCAGAGACGTATGCTATTGGGATGCCAAGATGCTTAAAAGAGAGTAAAGAGAGTCAATGAAAAGATGAAGAGATTTCAGAGCATTCGTTACAAAGAGGCAGGAAGAAGAGAGGAATGTATTTTGCGATCGAAAGGTGGATGCAGACGAACGCACAATACAATCAAGAAGAAAGGGAGAGGTTGAAGGGGTGGAAAAAGAAAAAGAAAAGGGAGAAGTGGGAATCGAATATCATTCAAGGCACACTTCCCCGTTTCTTTTCCTTCTGCTGGTTGGCTGCACGGGACAGAGGCACACTCGAGCCATGGCCGCCTATCCACCCATGATATCCACACGTCCATCCCAGCTGAAGTCCTACTATGGCTGCACGAAACACATGTTCGGTCCCTCAATGGATCGCCAGTTTTCTTTCTAGGTCTTTTAGCTGTAACCAAGACTCGACGGCAACTGCAGCCCTGGCAAAGGGAAACGTGCAATTGCCACCAATTTATATTTCTTAACTCTTCACATGCGACATCCTCCCGCTATGCAGACAGCTATTGGGGAGCAATTGAGGCAGCTGAGCAGCAATTGAGGCAGCAGCTGAGCAGCAATTGAGGCAGCAGCTGAGCAGCAACTGAATGGAGCTTTGTTTTTTTGCTAGCCTGCTGTCAGTGTATCGGTTTTATTACTTTCCCTGTACCTGAACACCTGTCGTTGAGTGCTTTCTATTATAAATACACCCACCACCTTTCCCCCTCGGCCCCGCTATGGTTTTCTGGCGACCGTGGCATTGAGAGATGGATCTGATACATGTCTGGAGGAGATCCACATGCATACCCCAACCAGATGGTCAATTAGTCGCGGTCAGGCTGGAGATAGGAAGACGAAGACGAGCTCGACGACTGTGGCTTTGTTGTGCCGATTTTCCCCTATGGGCACAGCGACATTTAAAGCAGCTGTTGCTCGCTTCAGCTTGACTTGATCATCTTCCCTCTCCGCTCCCGACCCCGCCCTTTCATCTCGCCATGAACATCCTGAAGTTGAACGCCGTCAAGGCTTCTCCCGTAGGTGTCTGCCCTCGATAAATTTCTGTTGTTGTTTCTCTTGTGCAAGGAAGAAAAGGACCCTGAAAGATGAATCTCGACCTGGGTGCCTGAATCAGAACTGATCAGATTCATGCCCTCGTCTTTTGTTGGAAACATAAAAAACTTGATAAGGAGGTCTTCAAGCTAACGTAGCCTATGCCAATTGCCTCTAATTGCTGCATCCTTCATAGATCATGCGCCAGCAGTTGCGCTCCTTCAGCGCTGCCCCCTCTGTCTGGGTAAGTACCACTCACTTGGCCTATGGCGCTGACCACAAATGCAGCTAATTGTTGATGTTGAATGTTGCACCCCTGGGACAGCAGCACGCTCCTTAGTAAACTGAGACCGCATCTGTCCTATTAACAACACGGTCTTCCCTCGCCCGGCTCGCTCGCGACTATAAAAGCATTCTTGCGCCCCGCTTTGTTTTCTTTTCTCCACTACTCATTGATACATCCAACACACAACTGACCATGTCCATCACCCCTACTCTCGGTCCACAGGCTCAAAAGTTCCGTCAGGAGGCCGATACCTTCGGCAACCTCCAGGTCCCCGCCGATAGATACTGGGGTGCTCAGACTCAGCGGTACGTGTTTTTGTCGTTGCCTTGAATCGAGTTGGAATCGTTTTCTCATTCCCACAAATATGTGAAGTGTTCAGTTTTCCCCAGACCCTGTGAATTTTACTTTATCTTACCCCGCTTTTTACCCTATTTTGACAACGAACTGATCTTTATGAAAAAAACCACTCTTTGCCTCGACAATATCCAGCTCTCTCCAGAACTTTGACATTGGTGGTCCCACCGAGCGCATGCCCGAGCCTCTTATCAAGGCCTTTGGTGTCTTGAAGCGCGCTGCTGCCCAGGTCAACATGACTTATGGTCTCGATAAGACCGTCGGCGACGCCATTGTCAAGGCCTCTGACGAGGTCATCGAGGGCAAGCTCCTCGACCACTTCCCCTTGGTCGTCTGGCAGACCGGCTCTGGCACGCAGACCAACATGAACGTCAACGAGGTCATCTCTAACCGCGCTATCGAGCTCTTGGGAGGCGAACTGGGCTCCAAGAAGCCCGTCCACCCCAACGATCATGTCAACATGTCCCAGTCCTCAAACGATACCTTCCCCACGGCCATGCACGTTGCTGCTGCCATCGAGATCAACCAGCGCCTCATCCCCGCTGTCACCCAGCTCCGTGATGCCATCCAGGCCAAGAGTGAGGAGTTCAAGGACATCATCAAGATTGGTCGCACCCATTTGCAGGATGCTACCCCCTTGACCCTCGGCCAGGAGTTCTCTGGCTACGTTCAGCAGCTATCCTATGGCATTGAGCGTATCCAGGGCACCCTTCCTCGTCTCTACAACCTTGCCCAGGGAGGCACCGCTGTCGGAACTGTAAGTTTTTTTTTTTTTTTGCCAGGATGAGGATCATCGCACGTGGGAAAAAAGCCTGTCTGTGGAGAAGAAAACGAGACAGCCGATGATGACAACTGGACATTCAGGGAACACAAAAATGGCATATGCGTGGAGCGTTTGTGTTTCTGTTATGGGCCAGACACTAACCGACCTACCGCACACTTGTTCTGAATTATGAATGCATTTTAGGGCTTGAACACCCGTGAGGGCTTCGATGTCAAGGTCGCCGATGCCATCTCCGGCATCACCAAGCTTCCCTTCAAGACCGCTCCCAACAAGTTCGAGGCCCTTGCCGCCCACGATGCCATTGTTGAAGCCCACGGTGCCCTGAACGTCCTGGCTGTCTCCCTGATGAAGATTGCCAACGATATTCGCTTCTTGGGTTCTGGTCCCCGCTGCGGTCTCGGAGAATTGAACTTGCCTGAGAACGAGCCTGGTTCATCCATTATGCCCGGAAAGGTCAACCCCACCCAGTGCGAGGCCATGACCATGGTTTGCTCCCAGGTCATGGGTAACAACACCACTGTCAGTGTTGCTGGTTCTAACGGTCACTTTGAGTTGAACGTCTTCAAGCCCGTTTTGATTAAGAACACCATCCAGTCCATCCGTCTCTTATCGGATGCCTGTGTCTCCTTCACCAAGAACTGCGTCGTCGGCATTGAGGCCAACGAGAAGAAGATCAACGCCATTATGAACGAGTCGCTCATGTTGGTCACCGCGTTGAACCCCTACATTGGCTACGACAGTACGTTGCACACGATATGATAAATGACACGAAGAGAATATTATTGCTCGATCCAGAATTCAAACTAACTCAGGTTCTGTTCTGAAATGATCATAGACGCCGCCAAGGCCGCCAAGAAGGCCCACAAGGAGGGTACCACCTTGCAGGAGGCTGCCATTTCTCTTGGTCTCTTGGACGAGAAGCAGTTCAAGGAGTGGGTCCGCCCCGAGCTCATGTTGGGACCCACTAAGGCCAACAAGTAAATTCCGCCCGAGCAATGTCTCCCGACTCTTTGAACGGATGAAAGCGCGCGATGCTTTTTTGTTCGACCTCAACTGTTACATATCCTTTCCTACATACATAGATCATCAACATTCTTTCTCTCTCTCTCCCCACAACCTCCTCCAATGAACGAAAAATTCAAATCGTAATTTACAATAGATTAAATGGTGCTTGAATTTTTCTACTTTGTGGAGAAGTCAAAGAATGCATTTACTGGACTCATCAACTCAACGCGAAGGGGTGTGCTCGATGAGCAAATAAGGCCTTCGTCAAGTGCGAGATTGATGAGGACGAGGATAAGATGCCCCGTCGGCCGCGCCCTACATTCTATAATATGCTGTACGTATAGTGTTCAGCAGACTTTTTATTTTTTATTATAACTACTATTATTTTATTTTGTCAATTGAACCGTTTCTTTTAGAGGGTAAGGGTGCCAACGGCGGCCATCAGGGCCGTGGCAAAGACCAGTGCCAGTCCTGTCAGGACGGAAGTGCGAGAGGACTCGTGCATCAAGAAGGCTCCGCCTCCGGCACTGTTGCCCGAGGGCTTGGACGTGGGCGAGTTGCCCGGGTTGGCCGATCGAGCGGACGCCAAGGACGAGATCAGGGTGGCCAGGGACGAAAAGTTAGGGAGTGAGGTAATGCTGCCGTTGCCGGGGGCCGAGGATGTGGCGGGCGCAGTGATGGTCGAGGTCGGTGCGGAGCTCGAGGAGGATGAAGCTACAGTGATGGTGGTGGTCACGGCACTGACGGAGGTGGGAGTCTCCTGAGCAGCGACCGTGGAGGTGGAGGAGAGGATGGCCAAGGCGGCGAGAAGGAGAATGGCTGTGAAAGCTGATTTGGTCATCATGGTTGCTGTTTAGTTGGTCTGGGTTTGGGATGTTGTGGAGGAGAGAGTGGAGGAGTGAGATCGAAAAAAAGGATGCAGGCGGGAGTTGGACAGGTGGATGTGTGGAGAAGAAGGGAAAAAAGAGAGGAACGGCAGCAGAGGAGCAGGTATAAAAACGGCTGGCTGTATCGGGGTGTTCGCGAAGGAATGGATGGGTGAGCAACGCCCTGCTGTTGCGGCTGAAGATGATGGCCGGGGGCTCTCACTCTCTAAGGTTGTCCGTTTGGCACCCTTCTTCCTTGCAAAAGGTTGAGAGCAATTTACTGAGGGTCTACTGCTTTTTGTCAAGCGGAGGAAGGGGATTAGCACATGCGAGAAAACAAGAAGCAACGGCTAAATAACATTTTATCGCCTCGTTTATTCTGTGTAATGTATCTGGACCTGGCTGGGGCTATTAACGTGTCTTTATGTCCGTAAATAACTCTTTTGACCACCAAGCGTCCGTGGTCCGAGAGACTACCATAACTCAATGCATGAAGTCAGGTCCTAGCGCGGCGCTAGAAAAGGCATGTGCATTACTGTGAAGGAGATACTGGGATGATATTTTCCGAAATCACGCTATCGTAAATGAAGGCGACCACTATCGCCATTCTGGTGCTCGCTGGCGACAACGTTACAGTAGTCAAGCGTTCGCTCATTTGAACTATGGTTGCACAGTTAATATTTATCATATGCGAGATTAGAGGGCGAAAAGTGGCCTTATATCCAAGCAAGCTCAAAAATTATTTCCATGCATCCCTATTCATCAATGTGCTTTGAACAGACGCGCTCTTCGCTGACAAGATGGCCAGGGCAGCAGCCTAAAGGTAGACCATATTAGAATTGGCGGACCATACCCATCATGCACCAGCTGGACCAGCCATGAGTAACATTGGGTCAAAGAGCACAAGTAGCAGGATGGATATGACTATTCCTCTTTCTTCCTAGAGTGAACGTCAGCTCCTAGACGAGACTCGTTGGCAACGCGGAAAAATGAGCCGCATTCACTTTGACTCAATCGCCCAGTTGCTCGAGCCTCCCTACAAAAACCAAACCCTAGTATACAGGACCACAGCAGTCAGTTCCTTCTTCTTCACTTCGGCGTGAGGTCTAGGGAACGACCCGAGCCTCGGGATAGTTTCCACAAACCCCAGGGAGAAGATACACAATAGGTCATACCGCGCCAGACCTTGCTGTCGAAGCGTGCTCTATGCATTATCTATCTTGCGCCGTACAAAGTGGTAGACGCAGTGCTGGGATGTTTGCATAGGCCAAGCAAAATGGACTCCAAAGATAGGGTATCCTGCTGCTTGCCCTGTGCAAAGCAGCTAATGCGGTGGGAAAACAAAACGTATCACAGGACCTACTGGATACTGCCTGCAGAGACAAACGAAGGCCCTGCAGCTATGCAAACGACAAAAGAGAGAAAAAGCACGCAATGGACCGAGCATTGCTCCGCTGATATAAACAGTCTTGCTCACCCACTTCTTTTCTATTGCTTCTTTCTGAATATAACGCATACTAACTTGCAACGACGTCCTTCCATACTCAGCTTCTTTAAAGGACCAAAAAGAACATTCTCACCTCCTCCGCGGATTGTCAACAGTGTATTCCAGGTAGGGCACTGACCAAGACTCAAAGGATGATTACTCTATCATCCCCCTGCCTATATCCCGCCTTCATTAGCCTTATTGCCCGCAGCTCCAAAAGGGCGGAATATGTCAAGCGGAGGAAAACACAACAACGTGCTTCAACCTTCTGTTCATGCATCAATTGAGGAAGTGAGATTGTGTACAATTGCTATTCAACGTGTTTCGTTTTCTTTGATGCTGCCGATGATTACTCCGGGGAAACATTTGGGTCCTTTTCTGTTTTCCTATTTGAATGAATAACAAGAACAGAATGGACACTGCCCCTATCTCATTGCATATTTCGCATTTTTGCATTGCGTTCATCCCATCGTTCCAAGGAAGGAAGGAAGGAAGGAAGGAAAAGAAAATTGAAGAGGGGACCCTTCGCCTCGGTGGCGAATAAGTTGGAACGATCGTGTCTCTGTGGCGAAGTGCAATGACATGACGGGAGAAGCCCTCAGACTTTCGAGATCATTTTAGAATATTGTATTTCAGTTTCTTAGAAATGGCTGCGCGATGGCATTCAGCCATAGACATGGTTACGTGCTTGGCGCAATGGTTTTAGTGCCTTGTGCATTGGGCTTTGCTCTGTGTTCTGGCACAGGATAAAATCTTATCCTGAGATTAACGAAGGGGAATTTTTTTTTTTATTTCTCTCTCTCGTCTCCCTCGCCTCTCTCACTGCTTTTGAGATTCTCCTGACAAACACACCGCCTTCCTGAAGATCTCCCCACAGATCATCGCGTCACTTTACTGCCCAGAAAGGGGTCTTTGTCTAGTGCGTGTCAGCGTTTTTGTCGGTCTTTCTTTTCTTTCTTACTCATCCCAATAGTCGTCATCACATCTGATACTCACTCCATTCCGGCATTATTTCTTGTATCTCTACAGCTTCCCGGCACTGGACTTCCAAAGCACACGTAACCTATATACCACACGTTTAGCCCCTCACCTCATACATTCATCATCATCATCGTCCGCCATTCTTTCTCCTCCTTATTTCATCCGGCTACTCTTCGACAAACCCCTCAAAACAGATCGATATATAATCAAAGGTATGTCATCCATGACTTTATGGTACGCATTTCGATTAGGGTTTTGGAACAAGAGAATGACGCGAGAGGACGCGAAACGCGCTGGAATGGTTGGACAGTAATCCGCAACCCATACAGACTTGCAACTACAAGGGATATGGGTAGGAGAGACAGCGCAGCATCCAAGGAGCGAAACAGCATCGTCAAGACAGAATATGTACGCGGTCATTGGGCCAACCCACATGGATTTAAATGATTACGGCTGCATCCATGTTCTGGATACGGCAAGGATAAAAATGAACAAAAAAAAAAAAAAAAAGGATAGTTGACATTATTAACCGTGCCGAAGCTCACTTGGATGGAGGGGGCGTGGAGGAAATGATGGGCAGCGAGAGGTTCTTCATGCTATGGTACACCTGATCGACGCTGTGTACGATATGCTCTCGAAATTTCTTTCGATTCGATTCCTTCCATTCAGCCATCCACCCAATACCGCACGCACTACAAATGGATATTTTACCGCCAGCCAGGGCCAAGCAATTTGGATAGAATCGTTGGGTTAAGGCTAATTTGGGCTGGGAGAGGAAAGGAGGAAGTGCTGCCCTGTCCGTTGTTGTCGTTCCGCTGCACGCAATTAGACTGTGCTTGGGCGGACTATCCTCATCCCTGTCCCTGTCCCTGTCGTTGTCCATGCCTATGTTCATGTCCTGCACTTGCTACTTTTTTTTATTTTTATCTTCCTTTGGGTCTTTTGTATATGCGGATCGATGCCCCTGCTCTTTTTTTTTTCTGGGGTCCCTTGGTATTTCTGTGTTCCTGGATAGGCACCTGCATTTTAGGCATTGCCATTAAACCGTGTAATGGCTGACAGAACAGAATAACACAACAAGAATAACAAATGCGGGTTTGTTGTTGTCGGTTCTTGTAAGTTGAGTTGGAGTGTGGGGTTGGGGTTGAACCCGTGGTAGTCTAAACGAGAGCAGGGGTAAAGGGTACCAAGGACAACAAACACGCAATCATCCGCCCCCTCCATACACACTCAATGCCATTATTCAAACAGACTTCATACAGCACATATTGACCGCCATGGCCGTGCAAACACCCATCGAAGAGACGCTCTGGCGATCGCAGTTTCTGTTTCTGTCTCTGTCCTCGTCCCCCATCCCCCATCCCCCATCCTTGCCCTCGTCTCTTTCAGATTCCACTTCGCCCTAACCGAACCCAATAGAATCCACCTCTCCCGTCTTATTCAGCCGTCGTTGTACCTTGTGGTCCTCCTCGAGACACTTCAACACAGACCAGCTTCCCTTTCTTTCTTGTGTTGCCTTACTCGCGTCATTTCTTTGTATGTATTGATTCAATATACTGTTGTACATGACAATATATTAACCACGATTATATAAAAGCACACCTGTACCCTTCTCAGTCCCTTCCCTCCCCCCTCCCCCTTTCCTCCTTCACCTCCTCCTGCTCTTATTCACGTTGCCTTTCTAGCCCTCACGCCTTTCTTCTTCTTCCTCTTTAGCCTCCTCTTTCTTAGCCCTCGCGCTACCCTCAGTCCTCCAACTACAACTACCGCCTCAATACACACGTTTACCATGGACGGCGTCGACTGCGACTGGTGCCTGGTGTGTGAAAAGCACACTGCGGAAGGCGAGACCTACTGCTCAGAGGAGTGTCGCTCCACCGACCTCATGTCCTCGTCCGCCTCATCATCGTCGTCCTCTACCTCTTCCGCGGGGTCTGCTTACTTCAGTCTCTCGCCCTCGAACTCGCCCGCAACCTCCTCCCCTTCGTCCCTCGGCAGCACCAGCAGCAGCAACAGCTATACCCTGCCACCCTTTGTTCGCAAGCAGCGGACAAGTATACCCAATATCTATGCACAGTGCACCTCCAATCCAAATCCACCACCCTCGCTCATGTTCATCGCCGGCGGAAACACTGCCTCAGCACTCACGCACCATCTTTCGATGCAGCAGCAGCAGCAGCAGCAGCAGCAGCAACAGCAACAGCAACAGCAACAGCAACAGCAGAATCAGCTCTACAACGAGAAGACCGACAACAACCTTCCTTCAACAGCATATCCATTGTTTTATGCCACGCTAAATGCCCTGCGACCCATCTCGCCTTCAGGTCCCCATCAGTAGCCCTGGCATAAGTGACGCCTGGATCCGAACCGAACGATCACTTCTTTACCAGAGTCGATGCAGTTACTCACAAAAAGCAGATACAGAACCAAGAACAGACGATGCGAGGGGTTTTCCCTCGTAGCTCCCTTTCGTTGTCCACCTTATCTTTTCCTCATTTGTCCTACCATGCGTTCGAATGCGCATTTGGCACCTTTTTTTTATACCTTTACGGAGACGAGCGGGATCAACCAACCATCAGCACAGCTGGTACCACATCGACATGTCAGAACAGACACAGTGACATTCCCGCCCGAGACGTTATTTTACTCCCGTATCTGAAGAGGGCCCGTCCCTTTTAAGCGATCGTCGCTGTCGAGCGGGATAGAACACAAACGAAGTGACAGCTTCTCCTATCCATCCGATGTCAACGCCTATGGTTTCCAAGCGCATTCCAGCCTGTGTGTAGTCAAGTCCCTCAAGCCAATGAGTGAGCCTGCCAGAACCCCTCCCCCTGCTCGCCTCCTATACTCCTTGCCACAACAGGAGTCGGTACGACGATCGGCCCAGTCCCAATCCCTCCTTGTCCGATCCTCGCATGAAACCACGGCGCAGACTATTTTTTTTTTTTTTTTTTGGTTCCTGAAAAAATCTTTGCTTTCTGACCAAAAATGACGCGTCTGTGTGCAAGACATTGGATCGGCAGGAAATTCGTCCCGATAGCTGTCATCCCCGCAATGGTCTTCCTGTCTGGTCAATCCGACCCTGTCACAACTCGTTACCCACGTCCGATGGTCGCCCCAAGTCTGCACTACGATCTCTACCCAGTCTACTATTCTCAGTGTGCTGCTGGTGCTCCTTGTCCAGCAGTGTATAACCTTGTGTGTTTGTTATTTTTTCCCTCGCCCTTCCAGATCATGACTAGATTTGTTGTTGCTCTTTGATATTTTTTTTCCTCTTCTGCATTGTTGTGTTGCCCTGTCGCTGCTTACTGTTAACTACCATCTTCTGTACAGTTCTTATTGTTCCTTCCTCTTTGTACCTCGACCAGTTGTATAATCATCTTTTTAGTCTTTGATTTTTTCAGTCTCTTCAATACGCCTCTTTCCCTATTTAATTGTACCAAGCTATACACGACCGTTGTGGATGCGTGGATTGTATTATATATTAGAAAACTGAATAAAAACAGATGCAATATTGTATTGCAAACATGAAGGCAGTTGCGGTCATACGTCTTTTTGATAGTCATGTTGGAATCTCGAATATGTTCCTCCGGCCTAAATCAACATAATCCATATGCAGACATTGTTTGCTTTTAAAAGAACCGATTGGAACGCCATGGGAGAGGCAGTTGTGGGGCCGTTGTAAACGCGTCCAAGGTCTTAGTGCGCCTAGGATGGGGGCTCTTTTGATAGTGCGACGAACGTTCTCATAAAGTGTCGATCTTCGATCCCAAACGCGCGTCTAACTCTCTCACCCCTCCCCTCTCCCATCGCTGTTCGACTTTATCCATTTCCTGAGACCAACCTGCCGCATCCTGCCTGAAAGACACTTACTATCTGTTCAGTACTATCAATATCCTCAGATCCTACCGACACCTCTGGCATAGTCTGCACGTGAAGAACAACTTTGGTGCACTGGAAACATCGATATCAATGGCGCATTTTTCTCACCTCAGATATGATGAGCGGCCCAGTTCGACCACCTTCCGCCGCCAGCTCGCTCTTCTCGGCATTATCTTGCTGACCATGCCCATGTTCATGCAAGTCGTCCTGGCACGTTCAGTAGTGTCCACAGAACAGGCAAAGAGATTGCTGTCGTCACCTTCATCAGTTCACAAGAGGGCGATTGATCATCACGGAGTTATTGCTCCTTTTTCTAGCATCTCGGGTGCTGAAGAGGAGCTGATTTCGAGCCAGTCTTCACAACGGTCGACTTTCCGTATGAATCCCGCGACCTACCCACCTAAAGATCGTATTCCGGACGTAGACTCTCCTCAAGTCAAAGCCTGGATTGCGGAAATTGACTGGTCCAAGGTGCCCAATATTCCTGTGGCCAAGGGTCTGCCGGATGTGCCTCATTTTCCCCAATGTCCTCCTGACGATCAATTGGACCGCTCCGCTTGCTGGTGGACCTGCGCAGGATGTGTGGCCGAGACGGATATCGTGACCTGTCGCAATCAGAACGCATGGGGGTTGACGTATGATGACGGCCCCAGCCCAGCTACAAGGCAAATGATGGAATTCTTGAGCGAGAAGAAATTGACGGCGACGTTCTTCATTGTCGGAAGTCGTGTTATCGAATACCCAGATATTTTGAAGGAGCAGGTGGCCCAAGGTCACCACATTGCTATGCATAGTAAGTAATGCAATCCATTAAGATCTGCGCCTGTTTAGTCATATAAGCAAGTGTCTTTTTTTTTTGTCGCTAACGCTTTTGCTCCTCTTATGTTTCTATAGCCTGGTCCCATGCTGGATTGACGACATTGACTAATCATGAGATTGTTGCAGAAATCCGATGGTCAGAAAAGATTATCCGCGACATCACTGGCCTGACCATGAAATACGTCCGCCCACCCTATGGTAAAACATAGCATTGCTGCCCTTTTTTTTTTTTTTTTTTTTTGTCCTTCCAACTGAATCTATTTGGTTGCGTGATCTAAGGTGATACCGATAACCGAGTTCGCGAGATCCTGCGACAAATGGGCTATACAACCGTAATCTGGAGCGCGGGCTGGGACACGAACGACTGGCGCATGCTCCAGAACCAGATCCAAGAATGGGAGATCGTTGACAAGTTCGACAAGAACCTGGGTTCGCACACCATCGTCAAGTCCTCGGTTGGTCAACCCGGCGGGCCTATCTCATTGGAACACGATCTTACCAACGCGACTATCAGCCTGTCCAAGAAACTGATCCCGATGGCGATGGCCAAGGGGTTGATGCCGATGAGTCTGGCACATTGCTGGGATGATCAGTCGCCGTACCAACGCGGATCCAAGCTTGGGCCAGGTGGCGCGATGGAGAAGTCGAACAACGGTGATAGTACGAGCGGCATGGAGGATCAGGACTATCACATTGATCCTGCGAAGGACTCGACGAAGAGCGAGGGCGTCACTGCCTCGACTGTTGGAGCAGCAGGGGCCTTGCCGGTGTATTCGATGGCCCTGGGGCTGACAGCCTTGGCATCGGCTCTCTTTTTGGGTCTGTAGATATCCTCCTAGGTATATGTTTGTCTCGTAGATTGCATATCTCCTTGCTTTTTATTGTTGTTTTCCCTTCCTCTTCCCGCAGCGTTCGCGTCTGTGCCAAAAAATCTTAAATGAAACGGCTGTTAGAAATACGATCACTTGCGAATGAGACGCGTCCTTTTTGTTTATTTTTGTCAGGAACGGTCTTGTATATAATAATATATGATCAAAGGCAACCACCAACAGAGACGCCACCGTCCAGACGCGTATATTTTATTGTTTTCTGCTGCCATCCCCCCTTCTCTCTTCTTCTTCTCTGACCCCTCCCCTACACACCCCTTCTGTCAACCGCCCCTCCTGTTTGTGCTTCATTCCTTCTTCTTCTTCTTTCGGTCAACAAACGCGTTCCCTTGCCTCCACTCGCCCACTCCCGACGTAGCTGCCCCTCTGCACACCTTGACGCACTCGAACCAGAGCAAACACTGCGTCTCCCCACAGCCATATCCCTTCTCCGTCCATCCTCCTCCATAATGTTTGTCGTCAAGAGAGGTGAGTGCTTCTGGCTGGCGTGCTTTTGTCTCACTCCTACATACATACACATGCATACACATACACATATGAAATCTCCCTACTAACTAGTACCGAGCATCTCCCTCTCTATCCCTCTCCAACTCTCTCTAACTCTCTCCCCCTCTCCCCCCTCTTCACCGTTACATCGCTCACCTCCTTTGCCTGTTGCTAGATGGAAGACGCGAGACCGTAAGTGATGCAAGGACTGAGCCTGAATGAGAGAACCTTTCTGATCTGTTGCATGCAGCTCACACCTTCCCATTCTCTCTCTCCGCATAATGTAACGGCTGAATCACAACAGGTCCACTTTGACAAGATCACATCTCGAATCTCGAAACTGTGCTATGGTCTGAACCCAGACTTTGTGGATCCTCCCAGAGTCTCGCAAAAGGTAAGCAGGCATGCTCAACCGTTCTCTTGTCTTACACATGGTATCCTTCACCTTGGTGTGGCCGAGAGAGTATACTGTGCCCGGGTGAGGGCAGCAGAGTCATTGTGCATGCAGGCGTTGTTTTGGACAGTGGATTTGCCACCATTATTGAGCACACAAATCCACACACGAATCCACTGGAAGTCGTTGACGACCCCGTTTTCGTCTGCAAATGAAGGCACTCTCCACATGTCATTGTAGCTGCGTTCACGTATTTTATGCATCTTTTTCAAAGCGGAGTGCTCAATTGACAGTCAAACAGGTTCACTAATAGTAACAACTACCACAACAATAACAACAACAACAATGGCTGTTGTTTTAGGTCGTCCAGGGCATGTACCAAGGGATCACAACAGTCGAACTGGACAACCTCGCTGCCGAGACAGCCGCCTATCTCACGACCAACCACCCCGACTATGCTACGCTCGCTGCCCGCATTGCCATCTCGAACCTGCACAAGGAGACCAAGAAGGCCTTCTCGGCCGTGATCGAGGACCTCTATACCCACGTCCACCAGAAGCTCAATAAGAACGTCCCCCTGGTCTCTAAGGAGACACACGATATCGTAATGGAGAACGCTGAACGACTCAACTCGGCTATTATCTATGACCGCGACTATGGCTACAACTTTTTCGGATTCAAGACCTTGGAAAAGAGTTATCTCTTGCGTATTAATGGTAAGAATACCGCTGACCATCAATGGCGGCAAAAAAAAATCGTCCATAGTAGCCTCTGAACGCCTCTAACCAATAACTTTTGCTATATATTGTTATTTTACTTTTAGATATTGTGGTCGAGCGCCCTCAACACATGCTTATGCGCGTGTCTATTGGAATCCATGGATCTGACATTGATGCCGCTATCGAGACATATAACTTCATGTCGGAAAAGTACTTTACGCATGCAACACCGACCCTCTTCAATGCTGGAACGCCTCGTCCTCAGATGTCGAGTTGCTTTCTGGTCCAGATGGCGGACGATAGCATTGAGGGTATCTACGACACCTTGAAGACCTGTTCGTTGATCTCGAAAGCTGCAGGAGGTGTCGGTGTCAGCTTCCAAAAGATCCGCGCCTCTGGCTCCTACATCGCTGGCACGAATGGAAATTCGAACGGAATCATTCCAATGCTCCGCGTCTTCAACGACACCGCTCGCTTTGTGAACCAGGGAGGCGGAAAGAGAAACGGATCGTTTGCCATGTAGGTGATAGTGCTCGGGTGTGCGCAAATGCGTGATCGACATAGTGCATGCATGCATGCATGCGTATATGTATGTACATGCATTAACTTTATATCTGATCGTGCTTTGATTCTCCATTCCCTCACTGCATCCCAATAGGTATCTGGAACCCTGGCATGCGGATGTATTCGAGTTTTTGGACCTGCGCAAGAACACTGGACATGAGGAACTTCGAGCGCGCGATTTGTTTTTGGGTCTCTGGATCCCTGACTTGTTCATGGAGCGCGTTCAGGAGGACGGCGAATGGCATCTGTTCTGCCCTGGAGAGTGTCCCGGTCTTGATCGGGTCTGGGGACAGGATTTCGTGAACCTTTACAACAAGTACGTTGCCGCCAACAAGTTCCGTAAGATCGTCAAGGCCCAGAAGCTGTGGTTCGCCATTGTGGATGCCCAGATCGAGACTGGCATGCCCTACATGCTATATAAAGGTACGGACTTGATTTTTGCTAGATTCGCTTTATTGCCCCTGGGATGGAAGGACCCCAAGTCGAAAATGATATTTACGTGATTCACATTATTTCTTTGTGGTTTTGCGCAGATGCATGCAACGCCAAGTCGAACCAGAAGAACTTGGGTACTATCAGCTGTTCGAACCTATGCACGGAGATTGTGGAATACACTGCTCCCGATGAGGTCGCTGTCTGCAACTTGGCATCGATCGCGCTGCCCAAGTTTGTGGATGTCAAGAACAAGCGCTTCGACTTTGATCAGATGCACAAAATTGTCAAGATCGCTACCAGGAACATGAACAAGGTCATCGATCGCAACTACTACCCCGTTCCCGAGGCCGAGAAGAGCAACAAGCGCCACCGTCCTATCGGTCTTGGTGTGCAAGGGCTTGCCGATGCGTTTGTGCTGCTCCGATATCCCTTTGATTCGCCCGAGGCTCGTCAGTTGAACAAGGACATCTTTGAGACTCTCTACCACGCAGCTCTGGATGCCTCTTGTGAGATCGCCAAAGTGGATGGACCTTATGAGACCTATGAGGGCTCGCCTGTGAGCGAGGGGATTCTTCAATATGACATGTGGAACGTCAAACCAAGTGGTCGCTGGAACTGGGACCGTCTCAAGGAGGACATCAAGAAGTATGGTGTACGCAACTCGCTCTTGGTTGCGCCCATGCCCACGGCCTCGACCAGTCAGATCTTGGGCAACAACGAATGCTTTGAACCGTACACGTCCAACATCTACCAACGTCGCGTCCTCAGTGGAGAGTTCCAGGTTGTGAACCACCACTTGCTGAACGACTTGACACAGATGGGACTCTGGAACGAGTCGATGAAGAACCAGATCATTGCCGCTGGTGGTTCGATTCAGGGTCTGGCCGAACTCGATGATGACTTCAAGATGCTGTACAGAACCATCTGGGAGATTCCTCAGAAGGCGCTTCTTGAGATGGCAGCAGACCGCGCACCGTTCATCGATCAGTCACAGTCGCTCAACGTCTTCATGTCGGATCCCAGTGCCAGCAAGATCACATCGATGCATTTCTTTGCCTGGAAGAAGGGACTCAAGACGGGGATGTACTACCTTCGATCGCGACCTGCAGTGGACGCTATCAAGTTCACAGTGGACCAACAGGCACTTCTCGAGAGTTTGAAGAAGCAGGCCCTCATGGCCAAGGCGGTCAAACAGCAGACGACCATCCAGACCTCTGTCAATGGATTGACGACACCGGAACTCGTGTCTCCGAAACTGGACGAGGCAGATCAAAAGGCATTAGATGCTATTATGTGCTCGGTAAGGGAGTCATGATCCATTTCTTTGTATCGCTTGTATTTGATGAGCAAAGAGTTCAGCAAGTCCTCATTCCCCTCTATTCTTATGCTGAATAGCTTGAGAACAAGGATGCATGCGTAATGTGCAGCGGATAAAATTCTTTTGACTTGTTTCCTATCGTCCTCGCTACGTTACTTGAGGTGTAGTGTAGCAGACCTGCTTCAGTCGTGGAGTAAAAACGCTTCACGTCTTTTGTTGTATTTGTAGTTTTCTCTCTCTTTTTCCTTTCATCTTCTTCCCACGATGCGATCACGGAATGTGTGGATCCTTCGGAATGCACTCTTTTTTTTTTTTTTTTTTTTTTTTTTTTTTTTCTTATATAAAATATTCTTAAATAATATCAGGGAAAGAATTGAAAATGGATGACAATGGTCGGCGTGATGGTAGCCATGTCAACACAACGATGTTTGAGGGGGGGGGGTTTTTTAATATTAAAATGGCACTTTGCTGCCGTGTATTGCTCTCCTCTGGATGCAAAGATATATCCAGTTTTCCATTTTCTGGTCCTTGGTCCGAACAGACGGACTTGTCATGTACTGCAGATGTGAGGACGCAAGCGATCCTGCACAGGCCTGTTGCGAGCGGACATTCTCTCTAGACCTCTAGACCAGTTTCTTGGTCTCGAAGAACCTGCGGAGCGAGCGTAACTGGGTAGCGCAGGTGATGCCCAAGACGACGAGCTGGACAATGGTCCAGGTGACGGTGTGAGCGTTCGTAGACTCACTCTTGTCGCGGAATTCTCGTTCGTGGTCCTAATAGGCCGCAATATAGAGGTGTTGGATCATAATAGCGCAATTAGAAAGGACAATGAGGGATCGGTTCGATCTAAAAGCAGAAGGAGGAAGAGGAGGAGAAAAGGTTTCCTTACACGAAGATAAGACTGATCGCGTCTGATATCGCCGACCTTGTGGCTCAGATCACGGACGCGCTGGGCAAGATCTATTGGAACGATCGATCGAGACATGTCAGGTGGGAGGAGAGGTGACTTTCTTACATTGGTATATAGTCGATTGTTAGGTCGACGGACTTACCACTCAAAGCTCCATCCGGAATCTGGTTATCATCCTCAAGAATATCACGGATCTCCAAGTCCAGGGTCACTCTCTATTTTTAAAGAAAAAAAGATCCAGTGGCAATCAGCACATCGTTTCGTCCATATTCAATTCCAGAAAGAAAAGAGAGATAAAAAAAAAAAGAAAAAAAAAGAAGAGTTCCACCATCGAAAACCGAGTAACTTACGAGCTTGGTAGAACCGAACCAGCCGGCATCCGCGGTGAATAAGCAGATGGCGTGCTCTCCGGACTCCGCAGACGTGAACTTGAATCTGCCCTTGGGGGCCAACTTCTGACCGTAGACTCTGTTACCGGAGGGCATTTCCTGATTGGCGACGACGTCGTCAACAGCGACCATAAAGTAAGCGGAAGTTGGGGGGGGGGGGGGGGGGGGGGGGGGGGATGCGAGGAGTATAAGAGCGTCAGTTCAGAACGGACTAGAACGAAAGCTGAAATGGGGGAGGGATCTCTGTCAGAGAATCTGTTGAACGTGTACCTCGACAACGACCTCGAGCTGGATATCCTTGTTCAGGACAAACTTTCGTGTATCCTGATCCCATTCCTCGGCAGTGTAATCACCTAAAGAAACGTCGTTGTTGAGATGATGTTAGTGGGGAGGTCATCAACTTTTGGCTGATCAAACTGAAGAAAAAGTCCCCTCCTCTTCTGCAAGATGAAGGGGGAGGGATGGGGAGTACCAAGTCATCCTGCTCGCATCTCTTAGTTTAGTTATACCTGTGACCATGGTCTCCTTCGGAAGCTCCTCAGTGAAACACTTTTGCTCGGCGCCCTCGAGATAAAAGTAGAGGCCAAAGACCGAGGGGAGAACGCTTAGGAGCACCAGAAGGGCGATCGTCCACCGTGTAACGTTGATGGCCATGGTTTGAGTAAAAGTAAGCTGTTACGTTCTTTGCGTCTGTTGACAGTCGATTGTTCAGCAGTTGAGGACTCCTAGAGAGCGAGATGTTGGTATGGGTGAGGCGTCTTGAAGGGAGGAGATGATGCTTGACAAGACGGATGAAGTCCAGGTGATGACAGGGTGCACGCCTTTTTGAGGGAAGCGCGCGACTCTCTTCGATCCACGTCACTTGACTTATTTTGGACTGGCCAGTGCCCTTTTCTTATGGCTGTTTGCCACCAACATACTACCACCATTCAACAGGGGGGCTTTTGGTTCAATAGCTTAAATTAAAAAGACCTCGTTTTATTCATTAAAAGAGTCGTAGGATCATACGGTAGCAGCAGCAGCACCAGGGATCTCGGGCGCAGGCAGAGGTTTATACCTCGGGATGTTGGCGCCCTCCGGACAGATCATCGCGCCCATAGGACCCTGCTTCATGATCCTCCTCAGCACACCGTCCATAATAAACGCAGTCAAGCCCCAGACATCACATCCTTCCTTTTCCACATGCCACACCGGATACATATACTTGGAGTCCCTGAATCGCACCAGACGCTTACAGTTCTGTGGATCCAACAGATGGTCGATCGGGATGGTGAGCACCTTCTGGATCTCGTCTGGATTGAACCGGATCTCGCTCACGTCGTTGATCGGCGTACGAATGAATCCCACATAGGGTTGGACCCGCATGGTGCAGTCCTTGTTGGGCATGGCTGTGTACTCGCCCAAGATCTCGACGTCCTTCGGGGAGATAAAGACTTCCTCCTCCATTTCCCGTAGAGCTGTGGCCAGACAGCTCTCGTCCGAGGGGTCGCGTTTTCCGCCAGGGAAACTAAGATAGATAGCATCGATAGACGGAGCGGAAAGAGAAAAAAAAAAAAAAAAAAAGGCGAGTGAGTGAGTGAGCAATAAATGACCATTGGAATGCGAGAAGGAAAAAACACGCCACGCGCGAAAAACAGAGCTATGAATAGCATCCGTTCCACATGTATCCATCCCAACAAAACCCTTGGTTTGAAAGTAATAAAGAACGAAGCAATTGGTTTCTCCTCAGAACAAAGAGAAGAGCCAAAGGGTAAAAAATGTTGAATGTTGACTATCCGTACCTGCACTCTCCTCGATGGTTCCTCATATTACTTGACCGGACCGTGATCAGCACACTGGGGACGCCCTTGACGATGCAGAGAGGCTGAAAAAAAAAAAAAAAAAAAAAAAAAAAAAAAAGGTTATTTATATGACACGAAAGAACCAAAAACCACGCCAGATTAGGATCTGCTCACTAACTGGCTTCCGATAATTCTAATCGGACGACATGCTAGCGGACAAAGGAAGGGTTTGGGGCCAAATCATCGAGCTTCTTACCATGAAGACAGCAGCCTCGCGCAGGGGTTTGTCTTTACAATAATCAAAGTGGTGGCTAGCATGGTGCATGTCCTCATCCAGTCGTCTCTTGACCAGGTCAAGGAACGCCCTGTCGAACTGGATCTTGCTGGGTCGTGGTGCTGGGCCCATCATGGCTGGGATCGTCCGGGATGCGTACGAGGCGTGTCTCAACGATGCCTGTCGCTTTACTCGCTCTTGATGAGATGGGTATACGTGTTGGTGTTGCTGGTGAGATGGCGACGGAGCTGGTGCGGGAGGTGCATTGAATGGCAGCTGGTAGCGGTACTGTGGAGGAAGAGGTGTGTCCATCTGGTAGAGAGGTGCGAAGATCTTGGTCTCTGACTGACTGACATTGGCGTTGAGGAGGAAGGGTTGGGAGGCGAACGAGGATGAGGCAGAGATCTCGTTCTGGGACACAAGGCTGCTTCGTGATCTCGAGGCGGTGGTGATGACCCTGGTTCTGGTTCTGGCTCTGCGGGCGGTGGTGGGCGGCGTGACAAAGTGGGAGAGCATGGAGCGCTGAGGACAGCGGCAAGACGCAGGCAGCAGGAATGCAGACATGTTGAAAAGAGTGGGGAGCTGAGAGTGAGGAAGCAGAGGGAGAGAAGGGCGGGTGCGGGTGGTTGTGCGGAGAAGAGAGAGGAGTGAACAGTGGAGACAGCTTCAGAGTGGAGGGGCGATCTTGGAGCGACATAAAAAGAATGAAATTGTCCCTTTTATGCTGCGGTCGCACAACGACCGTGCACGTTCCAGTCTTCCAGCTGGATCCCGACAAATTATCGTGCCACTCTCTCCTCCTCGCCCTCTTCACCGCTCACTCAGTTCCTACCACACTCCTGACTGGTGCGCCTATCAGCTGGGCCCGCTGCCTTCATGTCGTTCCCACGTCACACGCATCCATATCCATGTCGTCTATATCGGTCGTAATCAAACCTCCCCCAGGGTCGATTCCTAAAAGACCCTCGCTCACACTCCCCCTCCCCACACTCCCCGCAATCTGCCTTTTACTGTAAGGTCCCCCACTCCAATCACCAGAACAAAACAACAATAACCACAACAACAAAGCCAGGTTGCTGTTGTTCCCCGCAGCCGACCCCGCATTGCGTGTACTTGTCTGTCTTCTGATCCATATTCGCGCCTCATAGGATGCGCATTTGATGTAATCGTGTGTTCACAAGGGCCTCCCCTGCCTATCCAAGAATGTTTAGACACATGTATGTAGCTAATTTAAGAGTGTGAATCATTTGCAACCATCAAATATCTAGACGCGTGCTTGGGATACCGTCGATCCCTGGAATCCAAACACGCTACTTGGGCAGTAAAGCGGACTTATCCCATAGCTTTCTTTTACTTTGGCTTTTTTTTTTTATCAAAGACTGACGTTATTTCAGCATCCACAGTTGTACGTGCCAGTTCTTTCAGTTTGGAGAGAAGAGAGAGAAAGAGCTGCGTGACTTGGCGGAAACCTACGATCCCACTTATATAGAACTTTTACTTGCCCGCGTTCTCCACTTTTTTTTTAATTTCTTTTGTTTTGCTAATGGATCATTGGCTCCTGCGATGCACTTGGACATATACCCCCCTAGTGGATCCACTTTAGTCACCTGAACTTTTTCGCGTCGTGTCGACGTATATATTACTCTCTCTCTCTTTCTCTCTATGTACGTCGAAACGCGCCTTCATGTCGACCTCTGCAGCGTACAGTTCGCATTTAATTCACGATGGATTTAGAATCTCAGATCTGAACGAGAGCAGGCTGTTATTGGACAGGAGTTCCCGTCTTCCTCGCCAACATCGCGGTCCCCGTTCAAAGAGCCATTCTGGTAAAATACTCCGCCAACGTATCCTCCAGTCAAGGCATTTCATCAAGCGATGCATGTAGCTCTTGAGAATACCATACCGGTTTTTTTATTACTTTTTTTTAATTATTATTGCGATAAATTGATTCATAAAGGGAACCAAGGTATAGCGAACTATGGGGACTGAGCATTATTGTGGATATGCTTGTCCCAGGGTATGACTTTATCAAGATAGCGCGCGCTCAATGACCTACATATACTCTGGAGGTACAAATTGCAATTGTTTAGAAAGCGGAAGAAGGAAGAGCACGATCGCGTGCATGCAGTTTGTCAGATAGATGGTGCATCATGGCTCAGTTACGTGGGACACATATAAAAAAAAAACCATCCGCCTGGGTAAACCTGGGTCCATGGCGCCCTAATTTATTGTGCGGAGATCTGGGGAGCCAAGTAGGCGTTTCCTCTCAAGTAAACATCTCCTCTCAAGTAGCCGTTGTCAAAATAGAACCAACAACAACAACAACAACAATAACAATAACAAACAAAACCAGTTGAGGTGCACAAATGGAGAGACAATTAGTTGATGGCGTACATGTACGTTCTGGAGGCTGGTTCCTGATAGACTGCAGTTTGATTCAGGAACCATCTTCTCTTGTTGAAACAACGAGTAGTTAGAGTACTGAGTCGAGGGTGGAAATCACTCATTTCCCCCTGGATCCTGCCACTTTCTGGCGCCCCCCGTGTATCCGGGGAGTTTGCAGAGCCTCAGTTTGGTCTCATACAAAAACATTCTGCGGGATAATTTATGAACGTTAATGAAATCAAATTTAAAAAGCGCGCTACAAAACGCGGCTCTCAACTGTTCCGTCTTCTCAATTCGTGGATGAGAACAAAGGAAGGCTGATATTCCTTCCACAGAGCCTTCTTATGCGCATCGTGGGAGTCGCAGTGCTCTCATCTGAGGTTCGGTTGCCCAGCTGATTATCCTTCCTGGTTACCGAATTCTCTAGGAATGAGACGAGGTATAAAAGAGTAGGGCTTCCCCCAAACCTGAGGAACCTTGTCACTCCAACTTTGTAAACGTCCTTCTCCCTGCTACGACCCCCACACGCCCTACAGCGCCGGCTACCGCCTATTCTCTCCTCGTCGTCCTCCCCTATACCCTATATCCACAACACTCAACAACTTACCAACACCACAACACTTAAACAAACATGAAATTCACCGCCCTTCTCGCTGCCAGCATTGCCGTCCTGGCCGTTTCCGCCAACGCCCGCACCGTGGGTACTCCCAGGGCCTTTGGCCCTGCTGATCTCGAGCGTTTCGCCTCGGTTGTCCCTGAACACGAGGCCAACGCTGAGATCCTGCCCTTCCCTGGTCCCAACCACAACGACGCCTTGGTTCGTCGTGCTGATGCACCCAAGAAGGCCGCCGTCACTTTGACCAAGGAGCAGCAGACCATCTTGGACACCCACAACAAGTACCGTGCCCTCCATCAGGCCCCTCCTCTGAAGTGGAACGCCAATTCCGCTAAGTTTGGAAAGGACTGGATCAAACAGTGCCAATTTAAGCACAGCGGTGGACCTGTAAGCGCCTATTTTTTTTTTTATCTTTTTGCATTCCTGCATGCATTTGTCTTATTTAAATGCGACAGAGCCCGCAAGTACTGGTTGCTAATCTCTTGCGATCGATTTAAAAAATGTATGATAATCCCACGATAGCACGGTGAGAACCTCGCAGCCGGATACAAGAACTTCAAGGCTGCCGTCACCGGCTGGTACAGCGAGGTCAAGAACTACAACTACAAGCAACCTGGCTTCGGGTTGAACACTGGCCATTTCACCCAAGTTGTTTGGAAGGGCACCAAGACCGTGGGCTGCGCCAAGAAGCTCTGCCCTAACTCCTACGGCTCCAAATGGTACATCTACATCTGCGAGTACGATGGCCCAGGCAACATTGTCGGTAACAACGGTGCCTCCTTCAAGAAGAACGTCTTGCCCCTCAAGAAGAAATAGGTTCTGAAAAGAAGGATGGGGAGTAAACGGCGTCCATAGTTATAGAACTGAAAGGAAGGAGAGAAGGCATCATCGATCAAGTCGAGGCGGGTCTAAAAACAAGAAAAGCTGGTCTTTATTGATTTTTTTTTTTTTTTTGGACCCTTGTCGCGAGAAATAAACGGGACCTTTCTAGAACTACATACTTTGTATAATAATTAAAAAAAACAAAAGTAATGACGCGCCGTTACTTGCTTGCGGTTCGATACATACATCTCTGTGGAGGAGTGAAGGTCCAGACTTTCAAAGAACGAGCTTTTGTTTTCTAATCCAAGGGAGGGGTCTCCAATTGCGCGGCCGTTGCAAGCACATAATAATACACGTGGCGTGCCTGCAGGCAGCAAACACGCTTCACCTTGGATTGCGTGGCCAAGTCTCATTATTAATCATTCGAATACGCAGTTTACACCTCTGCGCCCAATCATACCGGTTACCAAGCCCTCTCTGGCAACATAATTATCCCCTTAGTCTCCTGTGGCACCTGCGAACGTGCTCGGTGTACACCGGATGGCATGGCCACGCGCTTCGTTTGAACACCAACCCTTCAACTACCCCTTTCCCCTTGGTTTCTCCGCAAGGCGTCAGTCGTGCTCTTGCCAAATCGGGTCATCAATTGCTCTGCGTCGTTTTAAACGCAAGCGGAAAAAGATACAGCACTTTTGCCGGCCCGATAAGGTGGTCCTCAGGCGGGTTTGTCTAAATGAGTTGTTTTTTTTTGTTTTTTTTTCCCGTCTGTGGGTCCTGCCGGCGAAGCACCTTGCGATGATCTGCCTATTTCTCGGGTCCGGTCCGTGTGATAATGAAACGGTCATCGCTCGGACTCAATAGAGACATCATCGAACCCTCACAATCGCCCTTGCCCCATTCATTTCTCTATCGTCATCTCTCCGTCCCCTCCCCCCTCTCCCCCTCCTCTCTCTTCATCTCGTAACTATCTAGCGGAATCGCATGTCTCTATATGATAGACTGCACACTAGAGCCAGCGAACCCCCCCTTCATTCTCTTTCTTTCTTTTGCTGCTAACACTATGTCTAAACATCAATTGGGACCGCTACCCAGTCGTGCTCCAGATGATCTCTTAAGAATAAAAGCCTCTTCTCCCCTCCCCCCCTGGTATTTCATAGAAAACATCAGCTAAGACGATGAGGAGAGATGCTCTGTGAACCAATTTAAACGTTTTCACGTAATGCCGCAGTATACGGTAAAATGTAATAAAAAAATATATTGCATATAAATGAAAAGTTCCCAGGCGATCATGTATACATTGCGCTTGCTTGCCCTTCCTTAGGCTATGACGGCGAGGTCACGGCCCCCCTCCCCCCGCGATAGTCGAAGGTGTCTTACACGGTCGACATAGACAGTAGAGATAAAGAAATAGTCTAGTGCATAGAGTGCATGGTGTCTGTGATGATGGGCTGTTGGGCCCTCCATCCCTCTCCATAGTGTTGCGATGTTTTTTCCGGGGGAAGGGTGCGCACAATCATCCTACACTAATTGCCATAAGGAGTAGTTGACGCTTTACATAGCTGATTTGATGGGCTTTGCGATACGTGAACGCGTAGACTATCTTCCTAGGAGACTTTGATAGATGCCACTTAGTTGACCCTGCTTTTTCTTTTAAAAAAAAAAAATAACTGTCTCCTAGACCTCATGGGCTTCCTATCATACTCCGAGGAGATGAGGCGCAATGGATGGGTTCTCCTAGAGGACAGGCATTATGGACACATGGACATAGCCTGACTCGAACTGCTGTATGTTATGGATGTGTTTTCTCACTCCTGCTTTTTTTTTTTTTTCTTCTTTTTTTTTTTGAAACGACCTTGGCTCTTGGCCCCGATGGGTCACATTACCATCGTGAACTCTCCCTTATCGGCGGCTCTCATCGATCCTACATATATTTTTCATAGGCAGCCAAAGAAAGGAGGGATGGATGGACCCGTGTACAACAAGAGACAGCAGCAACAGAAAAAAAAAAACTCACAAGGGTGAGCTTTGCTCAGGGACAGTTGGAACAGTGGCCCATCCAACAACAATGTCGCGGAGCGATGAAACGGAATAGGTTGGGAAGAAGGAGGCGTGCAGGGTAGATGCATTGCTATGCAAAAAAAAAAAAAAAAAAAAAAAAAAAAAAACACGAAAAACCAGAAAAGCAGCGACAAACTTGACAACGGGGTATGACTGTAAAGAAAAGAATGAAAAATGCAGGTCGCCAAACCCCTGTGAGCATGATCATTTTCTGTTGCATGCTCAGAAAAAAAGAAAAAAAAGGCGTCTCTCCCACCTCTAATTCGATGCATGTCCTGGAGTCAGGATTGGTGCATGGTGCAATAGACCATCTATTTTTCTATTGTGTGTTTGTGTTGTTTTGTCCAGAATTCATGCAAACCATAATGGAGAGCACCAAACACGCTGGCTCCTAATCTCTCATGGTCAATGGTCGATGGTCAATGGTCAATGGTCGATGCTCGATGCTCGATAATGACTATATAGACTATCTTTCATGGACTGGCTCTCTGGATTAAAATGACCGATAGGCGGATGATTCATCGTCTATGGTCCAGCTCGAATGACCTTTGGTCTCTGGATGTTGTATATTTGTAAAACGCGAAAAAGGCCTGGGTCCGGTCAGTCGCGTTTTCTTGTGGCACGTAGGAGACGGCTAGAACACAAAGGGAAGCATGACTCCCGAGGTCTTGGTACAGGTACAAAGAAGGAGGTACTGGCACCAGAACCGACCATCTACACCATTCGATTGACCATCGTTTCTTTCCAAAATATCTCGAACAGGTCTGCGACACAAGCCTTTGTCTGTTCATGCCCGACCTGTTACTAACCAGGGCCATCTCACGTAACTATCGATCGCAGGCGATAGACCAGCATCTTGGGCTAGTCTAGGCCAACGAGTTCTGGCCTGACTGTCTGTTTCGGTGTACTGACACCAGATATTCTCGAACAATCATTTAACCACCGAAAGACACTCAAGGCCTACGCTAATTGAACGAGCCTGCTGTTCAAGGACCATATCTTTGAATCTTCGACTTGTGGGATAACGTTTGCATAATACAGGCGTTCTGGAGCCCTTATCAATTGGCCTATGAAGGGCAGTGAACGCTTGAACGCAACTACAGTTTTTAAAAACGATGAGACCCGTTCCATTAACTACGCTAAAGCTCGACCTCTCAAACCTGTCCTTTCGTCACTATGAAACCCCCTGGGGCCCCATAGGTGATTGCACCTCTGTGATTCAGAACTCTTCCAATCAAATAGTCGCTCCGAATGGGAATGGCCGCCGAAAGTCCATCTCGGGACGCCTAGCGCCTATCAATTGTGCGTCGAGAACCACCTGTGAGCAGCGGTAATTGACCGAAGGCTGTGGTCTCCGACTCTTGTCATTTAGCCATCGTAAGATACATGGAACATTCTATAATTGAACACCAGTGTCGGTTTCCCACAAACTCAAACTTCAATCAATTAACCCACCATAATACAGCCTCTAGTAGCGGTAATTGAACGAAGCGGTGCTGCTCGGTCGCCCATAGGTTCTTCCCATGAGGTTTATCCATCAACAAGACTACGTCGTTAGGTGTCTATGAACTGATAATCAAATAGAGAGAGCGGAACGGCTACAAACAGTGGTAATTGCATGTGTTTAGATTCCCAAACTTCTGTCAATTGTCATCTCGAGACAGTCATTCGAGATTGATAATTGCATGATGGGCGCAGACCTTGACCCGAAAGTTTACTTGGCAATTGCGGAAGTGGGATAGCCGAAGCGGCGAAAGGTTAGGCCCACGTTTATACATAAAAGGAAATGCTAGGTAGAAAATCAAAATGAGTAAGCAAAAAAGAAAACACGCTCAGGGTCGACAAACCTCGTCATTTTCAATTGATCATGCGTGCGCGGTTGTCTACTACTGTACTCCTTGAAGCGCGCCAGGTAGAGCTTGTGTGCCTTGATCTAGCCGGGATGGGGACAATAAAAAGTTCGAAAAGCAATTCGCGTATTTCAGGGTCACACTGAGGAGTCGACCATGAGATGCACCATAGCTGCGATACACGTAACAGGACATATTCTACACTGCTCGCTTGTTAACAATGAACATCCGTGGTATTAACTGATGCATATACTCCTGTTCATCTCTCCTGCTTTTTCAGCGCGCGTCTCACAGACGTGTGCGAGTGAGAAAGTAGAGTCTGCCCAGAGCAAAAGAACACAGGACGATCGGTCTATGTGGTCCTTTCTTAAATCCGGGTTCGGTAGCTACACTTTAGGATATCGGAGCATTTTTTTCCACAGCTGCAGCATGCCACGATTCAATCGACACGTTCCTGTCTGCTCTTGTGTCCATGTTATTCTCCTTACAATGGAAATATGTTTTGGATCGCACGAAACTGGTTTATGTCGCTTCTTCAGCATACCCCCCTCCTTCCCCCCTCCTCCCCCCTCCTCCCCCCCCTCTTCCTTCCCCCTCCCCTGCCTGCGTGTCCCACAACCATTATGCCATGGATCCCACCCACTGCGTCAAGTAGGGGGAACACTGGTGTGACTGAGAGTTGTGAGAGGCAATGGATGGGACAGACAAAAAATAGAACCAGGCACGCATGCGTTCGGTTCATGCATTCACTTCCCAGGGGTCTTCTTGGTGAACGGGCTATCCAACGTCCTATAGCCCGGTCCAACGCCCTATAGCCCGGTCATGGGCACATGTCGTGGGATATAAATACCATGACTGAGTGATAGAGATCAGGGCGTTCATTTACCTGATGTCGTTTCCATTTATTAGTATTTGCTATTTACAGCAATTCTGGTAACCAGGCCAAGAAAACATGTATCCCTCCCACAGCCGAGAAGGAAAAAAAAACAACCAGGGACTCGGCTCCAATTCAGGGCAATTATTCATGAACGCACAAAAGGACATGTTTATAAAAAAAAAAAATGCAATGTTCTATTTGAGCCATAGTGATAATTGCTATATTTGTCGCCAATGAAGCGTGGAAGTGCACTCGCCATGATTGCCCAGTTCGATACCATGTCTTGGCCGCAGCCCGTTTTCCTTTTTTTCCCTCATTGTTTGCGGATTAAAGTAGCACAATGGACCAGATGGAGAATAGATTTTGTTGTCGGCTCAGGAAAAAATAATTGAGCACCAAAGAAAAAGGGGATTCAATCGAAGGCGAGAGGTTTTTGTCGTTCTGCCTACCCAGCCTTCGATCGCCTTTGTTTTTTGCCGAGGAGGACTTGCTTCTGGGCAAACATCAATTCTCTCGAGTGGCACGGGTGCATTCTGTACGTTCGACCCAAGATCGAGAGCTGGTCGAGAGAGAATGCGGTCGACTTTTGACTCTTGACCCTTGAGCAGTTTAGTGGACTGCAGGAACGGAAAAGAATGAACACGGCAGTGAGGGAGCAGTGGCGATGAGGCATGGTGTGGATATAATGCAAGAGACAGTCGGTATTTTGCCTACTGACAACGAAGAAATGAACGGGAGCGAGTGGGGATGGGAAGGCGTGTTGTCAAACGAGAGAGGATGGGGCTGCGCGTCAAACGAGCGCGGGCATGGTCGAGTCAGTTGATGTGGCGGTCCTCAGTGGACGGTATTGTAAAGATTTCGCTCAATTCATTCCAACTAAAGGGCCCTTTTGAATACTCGAGTTCAATTGAATGCAATTGAGTGCGAATAAAGGGCTGCGGACGGAACGCGTCCTTTTGCCGGAGCAATTGACCTCCTTTTGTTTATCCCAATTCATTCGCCCTATTGAGTCCTGCCAAGCACCTTCAACAGTATAAAAGGGCGGATTGTCCCCCCATCCTCTCAGTTTTTCTCCTCATTTTTTTTACTATCTTTCCAGCCCTAATACACACGTCTGTCTCTGAAAGCTTTGCACCCGTACCACGCACTTGCACACCTGCCCACCATTCTCTCCTCCAGGAACCATCCCCACCTCCTCGCCTCGAAAGCACCCCGCATTACCACCATAACTCCCACGCACCTCTCGCAAACCCAGCACCAGCACCGCCAGCACCCATCTACCATGCTTTGTTCCCTCATCCGTAAAATGTGTTCTACAACTCCAACTAGTCTCCTCCAGGAACAGCAGCTACAGAAAACCACCGCCTACCTTAACAAAGCCCTCGCCAGCATGTCTTCGCACTCTTGTCTCGCGGCCTTCGAGCCCTCCACCTCGTCTCCTTCCCTTGCGGCCTTCGACCCCCCCACCTCGCCTCCTTCGCCCGCTATGAGCATGCAGAGCATCAACGGCGACGACTTTGACGACCATGAGCACCAGCAGCCTCGCAAGATCAAGGTCATGATCATCGACGACAACACCATCAACCTGTCTATCCTCTCGCGCCTACTCAGCAAGCACTTCGCAGACACGATCCAGCTCGCCTCTGTCCATAATTCGGGTCTCTCCGCCCTTGACCAGCTCACCAAGGACAAGGTCGACCTCATCCTCATGGACATCGATATGCCCGGACTCTCTGGTGTCGAGACCACGACCGCGATCCGCAACAACAACTCCCATACCCAGCACTCGATCTTGGAGCAGAACAAGAATGTCCCAATCATCGCCGTCACAACCTCCGATGGTGAGGAGCAGCGCGAGCTCTACCGCCAGGTTGGCATGTCCGGCTGCGTCTCCAAGCCCATTAACATCTCCAAGCTGCGCATGGCTATCGAGGAGGCCATGAAGACCGTTCCAACCGTCGCCACAGGTTGATCCCTCGGCCCCCGTCCTCTCTTTTTAAATACCACATCCCAAAAAAATTTTGCTATTTTCGCAACGCAATTTTCTGCCTTTTTTTTGACACCCCCCCCCCCCCCCCCTCCAGCACAAGGCGTTTGTGCCTACTCGACAGCACCACGAGGAACTCCTCCTCCTTTTGTTCGTCGAGTCAATCTCATCGCGAGAATGGGCCGTCTTCTTTCTGGGGCAGAACGACCACTTAAGGTCTTCTCGATGCAGTTTTTCTTCTCTTCGCCCAATCAGCCAAGTAACAAAAAGAAAAAAATTAATGCACCCCCACCCAACCCCACCCCACCCCCTTTGGTGTTCGATATTGCATCCTCTTTTATCCTATAAACACCTTCCTACCGGTAGAGGTCTTCCTCTTTGTAGATATAGATACCCGCCTTTTTTTATATACCCTCAATTAGTTCAACAGCAACAGCTGAAAAATAAATATGATGATAACAAAAAAAACCTGCTATTGTAACTGTGCACGATTGATATGTTCAAATGTCCAAACGTCTTCAATGGCACGCAAGGCGCATGCTCTCTATACAGCTCTCTCCCCCTCTTTTGACCACAACCATGGAAGATAAGACCAATGAAGCTCCTGTTTTCACCCCCACCTTTGCAGAGCACTTTGATAGGGCCAGGAATAATGGTCCCTTAACAGCTCTATAGCGAACCGGGCATTTTTACTGTTGTTCACGGAGCAGAGGGCAGTGTTGATCAAGGAGAGTCGCCATAGCCCTCAACGCTTGGCTAATATCCAGTCGGATGCTTGTTGGCGTGGATTGCAGATGACCAAGAGTCAGTGCTGCTGCTTCCAATGCCGTTCTCTCGGTCCAAATTAGCCGTAGTCATACCATGAGGTTCTCTTTATTGTTGGAATAAAATAAATTGCTTGGCACCTAAGCCCAACGTGTCCAAACACGAGTCGCCCTCACGCTTTGCCCGGCTGTAGCACGTTTTGAATAATTTTTTTTTTTAATTATATATTAGGAGCAGTCTGGACATTCCAAAAGACCTCGATCGCAGACGTGTGTGCTCAATTGTCAATTGTCAGCAAGAAAGAGAGCAAGAAGGCGAGAGAAGGAGAAGCAGGTGTATGCGTGTGTGAAACCTTCTGTCGGTCGCGCAAAAGCGCTACACAGCCAAGACAACCGGCATATCCTTTCCGAGGAGGGTTTTTTTATGCCGTGGACAAGGATCGATCGCGGCCAAGACAAGGCAACATGGGTCATGCATTTAGGAGCAGAAGGTGGTACGGCCGCAGTACCAATTGCTGGCCCCCTCCCCTCTCCCTCAATAGTTGAGTACCCCTCCTTTTTTTTTTTTTTTTTTTTTATTAACATAAATCCCCATGAGCACTAGTTGAGTACCCCTCCTTAGGTGTTCCTTTTCTTTATTCGCTGGCCTCGGGTTGCTTCGCCTCCCTGCCGTTTTTGTCAAGCCGGCGGGGCGCAACTATCCATCGGAAACTGCGCATAACAATCCTGGGTGGTCAGTCACCGTGAGCAGTTACTTATTTGCCATTGCAGTCACTGGCTTGGTCCATTCAAAACAAAGCTCCAGTCTGATTTTATTATATTATACACCCCACCTGTAAAGCGCAGACGGACGTGCCGCAGAATCCAGGGGGGGAGGGGGATAGAAGGCGTATGCACAGTGCATGCATAGTAGACTTATGCGGAGAGAAGAGAGGCAGTGTCCCTTGGGCGATAACAAGAACCTGCGGACGTGGTGTGATCTGAGAGCTGAAACGATAAAAAAGCGACGCAGCTGGCTGAATTTGTCAGACGGCGCTGTATTTTTTTTTTTGGTGAGCGATGGCAATGGCGGCGAATGGATACGACGCTTCGACTACCGCTTTTTTTTTTTTTTTTTTGGTCAGTCCTTATTTCCTAGGTCAGCAGAATGACCATGAGGATGTCTACCTTATTTTTTTTTAAAGAAAAAAATAGGGTGGACTAGAGCAGGAGAGCGTACTATGCTGCCTAGAGATCACTTGGTTTGGGGGGAGGGGATGGGAGGAGTGAAAGTTCTACTGGTCGATCATCCACAGGACCGAGGCAGTGGGCAACCATCAGGGGGTCCAAAGAAAAAAGTAAACACCCCAGACCTTGTATCTCCCTCGTGGCGAAGAGGGAGATTCAAGTTCTGGATTCGGATTGCTTCCTCGTAGACTCTTTGACATCTCTGCCATGTGGCACCTTTTCTGGTTTTTTTTTTCCTCCACGGGGGGGTTTTTTTTGCTGAATGTACCTTTTTGTTTGTTGCAGCTAGGCTTTTACATGTAAAAAGGTTCTGACAAAGCGACGCATGCATTCATCGGGACATTCCTTTGAATGCCATGAGGAGATTGAAATCGATTACATCTTTTTTTATTATTTTTTTGGCGCGAAAAAAAAAAAATGCTCAAGGTTGGAGTAATAAGGGTCTACATCTGATGTCTGTTTTCGTGTTGTTTTGGTTAGCTCGTGAGGACTACAAGGGTGGAGGTGAGTCAAAGAGGGAAACAAAAGCGACCCTCTCTGTTGCGCAAAGAGAATATCAAAAAAAAAAGCCTTACATCTCGAGCTGTACCTTTTGATCCGCACCCATCCTCCCCTCCTCTCTCTATTGTTACATACCGCATGGCGGCTACATTAGCATCTGGGAACAAAAAAAAAAAAAGAAGAAGGAGAAGAGAAGAATAGCCTAGATGTCTCTACCACCCTTCACGGGTGAGGATCATTTCGATCCACGAGTGAGGAGTGAGGAGGAGAACCAAAAGTGAAATATTGAGGGCGGTACCCAATTTGCTGAACATGAAAATATCAATAAACCCGAGAGCCGTGTCTTTATAAGAGGACCGTAATCACACCCGAGGAAACCAGAGTTTTTTACACGCGACAAATTCCCAAAAAAAGACCTAGTTCTCGCTTGACCCCAACACATGTAGAAAAAAAGGCCGCCAAGGCTCAATCGGGACTTCCTTGGGGGAGGAGGTGTGCTGGACAAGACTGGCTTGAATACAATAGAGCAAAAAAAATTCTTTGCATGATTTACGTCTCCGCTAGAAAAAGTTCTGTTTTGTTCACAACAACAATAAAAAAACATAAAAAACGTGGCAAACTTTAATCCGAACCCGTCTGTTGGTGCTATATTTTCCCTTGAGCCACCGTTACGAAAAAAACTGCCGAGCGCTTTTTTTTTATTTATTTTCCTTTTTTTCAGCTGCGTGATTGGTACTCTCTCTCCAGTAACCGAGGCTGGACTGGGAGGTGGGAGACATATGGCACGGCCCGGCGCGCGATTTCTCCCTTGTGCTTTCAGCGGTATATATTTTCAATAGACGAGAGCCGCGGTTCTCCTCTTCCTCTTCTTCTTCCGATTCAACCTCAGCTTTTATATTGGGATAAACGAAAATTTTCCTCTTTCCGGAACGTGTATATGTGTGTGTACATAACTCGAGTCATAATTTTTTTTTTTTCTTTTTTGGTGTTGTTGAGCAACAACGGCCTGTTATTCAAGGCACATGAAAAAAAAAAAAAGTCCAACAACTAGAAGTTATGACCATATCCAGGAGAGGGGATCCTTCGGTTGACGACCTTCTTCTGGATCCTTTGTTCGTGGAACGATAAGGGAGAGTTCGCGAATTCCTCCTTGTACAGAGCCATTCGTGTTGAGTACAAAAAAAAAAAAAAGATCCTACAATCCCCCAAGCTCGGGATTTTCGAAACCACACATCACCATTGGTTCGATTTGTGTCCGCTGCATCAATCGCCAGGTTCGCGTTTTCTCCTGAAATTTGTTCCTCCCTCAATCCCCGTCATCATCCCTTCCCTTCCTCTCCATACACCGTCCATCTCTATCTATCGCTCAGTAAAGTGTGTTTTGGCCTTTTTGTCCGAAATGGTCCAGACTGGTCATCACACGTTGCATACCTTTCTTTTGTTGTGGAGTAGACCTATCATCTTTATTGTTGGTGTACAACTCTCTCCTTGCTTTTGTTCTAGTTGCTTCGATCCGGCTCTGAGACAGAGCCGCATAAGTTGTTGATACTAAACGCCGACCGAGCAGTAGTATGACCACTCCAAAAAAAAAAAAGAGGGTCATTCAACGATCCACTCATGACGCGTTACTTTTTTTTTATTACTTGGGTATCGGATAAGGATGGTCCAGAATTTGTACAAACGAACCTAGAGACGAGTCGAGGCGAACCATGTACCGTTCCCCGCGGTCGCTGTGTGCGCATGTATGCATATGTGTACTGCAAGGGACAAACAAACATCATCATGTCGTGCATACGACCATTCGTCCAAAGTTCTCTCTAGTAGGGAGGGAGGGGGGTTTGGTCAGCCTGGCCCGATATTCCAAAAATTCAGCCACACCAACACCATTCGCGGAAACGCCATGGGCGTAAATAAGGCCATGCATATCTTGGCCGAACAAAAAAAAAAATATCCTAAGGAACGGAGTTCACAGGCCGATCGATCGACACAAAAAAAATAGGCATTACCTGCTTTGCCCTTGTATTTTTAGAATGCAAGACAGCAAGGCAGCAAGACGGTAAGACAGCCCCAGGATCTGGGGTGGCGATGGACAAAATTCTTATGCTAGACTACATTTAGCAAAAATAAAAGAGAGGGACAGGTTCATACCAGAAAATGTTTATTATTTTAAGACGGGGGTGGTGCAATCAGGACGGAATTATCTTTGCCACAGAGAATGAAAAAGAAATGGTGGAAGTGGTTTAGAGAACACTTGAGAATTGTCTAGACAATCAACATGTGAGGAAGTTTTGCATTAAATGGCCGTCGAATGCATACGCCTCCTCCCAGCCATTGCAAGTCGTACAAGAGGACCTTTGTTGTTTATTCCGACGATAAATGGCGATTCTGCCGTTTTTTTTTTTTTTTTTTGCGGTGCAGTTGTCGATTCCGTGCCACTCTTGCTTTGATGTTGTGGTGTTGTTCTCCCAGAATGCTGCATGAAGTCCTTGCTTGCCTTCTCCGCCCCTGAACGAATAAAAGTTGTTTTCTTATCGCTGGTTGCTGGGTGGTTCGTTGCCGTCAATCAAAAAAAAAAGGCAGAGGCGCGACTACTGTAGACGCACGTTGGTGCAGGCGTCTGCTGAATGCCAGAATTAGAAGTAATCCAATGGTGGGCGAAGTGGTTTTTTTTGACGACCGAAACGAAAAAAGAATTCTTTTTCTTTCTCTATTCGTTCTAGAAATAAGGGGGGGCTCTCATTTCCCTTCATCTCCTCTCTCTCTCTCTCTCGTTCTCTTTTTTTTCGCTCTCTCTTATCTGAGTCCATCCAAGACCGTCCCCCCGTTGTGTGCTATCTTATTTCTCCGCTCGAGAAGGAGAAGGAGAGGGGAAAGGAAAGGCGACTGAACCACAGGGGAGGATTTGGTAACGAATGGTTGAAATTCACGACTGTTGCGCCTAGCGTTTCTGTGAATTAGCGCAACAGCGCTGTAGTCCCGCGATGAGTCGACTTGTATGCTTTTGGGTTTGAAGCCCGAGGGTCGCCAAGAGAAAAGCCCGTTTGAGTCAAATGAGACATTTCCAAAGAAGGGTCGACGACAGAACAGTCGAGAGTTCTGTTCCTTTCTAATTCTTCTTAGTGCGGCGGTGCAGGCAAACAGGAAACTCAATTGCTCTTAGTCTTCTGCGTGTGTGATTTTTCTATCCTCTGCGCACACAACTCTCTGTCCCTCTCTCCGCAGTTCACGGGAAAAAAGAAAGCCCCCTCCCCAAATAGACTAATAGTTGCGTCTATCCACAGTGTCCCTTGAGCTGGACTATTACCTCAGTTGACTCCCTGGTCCTGTCTGTCCATTGGTCTCTGTCTCTGTCCCTGGTGCCCTCGCACAGACATGGGCTCAAAATTTAGGGCTAAATTGAAACGGCCATTCCTTCGACTCCTCAAGCGAACCAATCACAAGTGGCAGGGCCTAGCGTGTGGTGCTTTTTTTTTTTTTTACTGAGCTTGCACCGTTCGTTGTAGTCTCGGATCCTTTTTGCTTCCGTCCCTCCAACGACTGTAAATGGCTCCATTTAATCGAAGCCGTGCGGTGAAAACAGTTCACGGACTATTAATGAAGCGCTAGCACGCAAGAGGAGTACGAAGGACAAAGGGCAGGCAAACAAAGGAGCATGCATTTCGGTTTCTCAATCTCCAGTGCAAAGGAGCCAACACCTCTGATGGACCTATGGCGGACAAGGAAACCCCTCATCGATCGATCTCCTTTGTCTATGTGTGTGTCTGCGAGTATACACATCATGAGATTGTGCTTGCTTTTGTGGTCTTTCATCTGCTCACCACTGCTTACCTGCCACCTTTCCAAGGCTAAAGAAAAAAAAATAGCTCCTCATATCAAGTTTTTTTTTTTTTTTTTTCATTTTGCTTCCTAATAAGTCGACCAAGGACCAAGGGTTTCTGTCGTCTGATTCGATCTATGTATTCCACCCACCAAAGAAGAAGAAAAAAATAGATCCAAATAAAGAGATGTGAAAATGTTTATGCATATGACCAATTATTCTTGAAAAGATGTAGACCCTCTTGGCGAGGTCAAGCAAAATGCGGTGTTTGTTACTATGGGCAGGCACATAAATAAAAGGTACTTTCATGATCATTTCTGATATGGGCTGCATTTTTTTTTTGCGGGTGTTGTTTTTAACTGATTTGTGTGTCTACCGCACATTCCACGGGGCCGGCGCACGATTTCTCCGCTTTGTTTACCATAAATGGAAATTTAGTCGCCAACAGGGTCAAACAGCTTACGAACCCATTTTGGTAAGGCTGCAAAATGGGAGTTCATTTCCCAAAACTGCAGTCTGCCCGATAAGCAACAAAACAATCAAAAAATAGCCCACAGGTACTTCGCCATTGTTCAACCCCCAGAAAGAAACCCTCTCTCATATCCTTCCATGCCGTTGAGTTCGGGGTCCCTTCCTACAGAGTATATTGCTGGCGACATGAAATTGCAATGAATGAAGGTTATATTAAGTTATATTATTAAATAAAATGTGGTGAAGGTACCGTGAGAGCACTTGGGTCTTGGTTCCTTCATGCCGCTCTTTTTTTTTATATATCTTCTCTGCGTATGCAACAGTGATAGTTGGTGGGTGCCCAGGGCTTGTGATGGGCCATTGGTGAAAAATGATAACCCCGCAGTCTACGTTGTGTATCTAGACCGCTTGTGGTCGGTTCATGCTTCATGCAACTTTGTTCATTCTTGGTGCGGGGGAGAGGGGAGGGAGAGAGGGGACGGCATTTTCGCCAAACTGTCAGTTACGACCAATTGGTTGACGCTCATGACCAATTGGCAGTTGCAAGCGGCATAGTTCGGTGCAGGAAAACACACACACACACGCACACAAATACACTCCACACAAAGCGACATCCGTATGGAGATGTGATATGGAGCTGACATCAGGATCCCTTGCTCCAGTACACCAATTCTTCGAATGAAATGTATACACATGAACTTTTCAACATTTATTACTACCAATCTTTTTTATTTCACCGGCTTTGCCAGACACGGACAGCTCAGTTGAACAGCGATATACCTAGGCGCGCCGCTCTCCTGTGTGAACCAGTCTCTCGCTGAGACCTCCCCCCCCCAAGAGCTGACGATCCTGCATGCTTTCGTCCCAAATCAAAATTAACTCTCGTAAATGCGGTAGAAACCATGCAGAAACCTTCACTAACATGACCGGATCTCATGCGCAATTGGGGGGTGGGGGGAAGAGTCAGATCAATCCTCTGTTTTGGATCTCAGGGCTTTGTTGCCAGACACAACTGCAACTGCGTCGGCGCACATACATCCGGGAGCAAGTTCGTCTCAGTTTGCATTAGTCCACATCATCCTTTGGAACATTGAATTAACTCTGTGGAGACAGAGCCCGGATGTGCAGCATTCGCATACACGTGTCCATTATCCAGGCGACAGGGGGGTGGGAGTAGAACGAAGGGGGTGGGAGCAGGACGAAGGGGGTGGTAATGCCTTACCAAAAGAGGATGTTGATGAGCTTGGAGAAGCCTTAGCGCGACATGGCGTTGCTCTTGGTCTTATGGTGGAGGGTTTCAGAATCGATGCTGGAGGAGGATGATAATTATGTCGAGATGCGTCGTTGTGAGCACAGGATGTCTAATATGAAGACGTTAGTGGTAGCTTTGACCAACCTGCTTTCTTTTTTTTTTTTTCAGTCATTTGATATCTCTTATCCCCAAGTGGTTGACCGCAAACCGAGTCTCGATGCCATCTGTACCGGTTGCGAAGGGTTGCCATCATAATGCCCGAGTTGCGAACCAAGACATGAAGCGGTGATCCCATGTCCAGCAAACACTTTGCTGCATCTCTGCACTTGCGCATTTCATCCGGATCCATAAACCTTTCAGCCACCAGCTTCAGCTTGATCTCGGCGTGGATACATCTGTGGTCGTGGGCTGTTGCACGCGTGAGAGAGAAAGAGCGGTGTGTGTGTGTGTGTGTGTGTATGGAAGAGTTGAAACGAGGATCCTTGTAACGGGATTATATGCCGGATCTGGTGCGATCTGGGTCTACAGTAAACATAAGTCTTATGACGCGAAAAAAAAAAATCGCGTCGCGGTACACTATACAACGAAACAAGATCTAGTCTATAGTGTCGATGGGGCTGAGCTGGCTGACATCCACGCTGCGTGCGTTTCCATTCATGACCCAGAGAAAAAAACTAACTCTCGGCGGATATACCCTTTCCATCCACACAGGGTCCAACCTTATCTCTCGATCGTTTTTCACGGGCCAGTACGTGTGTAACCTTCTCCGTGGACAGGGGATGCGGATTCCCCCCCCCCTCGAAAGGGCCAAGGTCTCGTTTGCCAAACGGTCACTTTCGAGAAGAGGAGCGACGATAACTATGGCAAGGATGATGGCAACGACGAAACGCGCCAGACGTAGGTCCTACAGTCAACTAGATTCTTAATTTTCGATTTTTTTTTCTTTGATTTAATTCTTTAATAGATGAGGTATAAGATGAATTACAAATAGCTGCTTTTCTTAAGCACCAATCTTTTCGCGGACCAGTTCCTCGCTGAACTTCCACAGCTTCTCCTGTAACTCCTCGTCCTGAGCATATGCAGCTAAGCAGATCGAAAAAATAAAATAAAATAAAAAAAGTCAGTTATTAGCATTTAACCCAAAATTTGAATGGGCCTATAAATCTTTCTTCCAAACAGCCTAAAGGAAATGACCACTTACTCGGCTGGAGCTCATTCGCGATTGGAATAAAATACCTTCCCCTAATATCCTGGCTTTCAACCTCCGGACTCGTCGCCAGATACAGCTGCGTCAAGGCCCCCATTTCCGGGGTCACCCCAATCATATTCGTCACCCACTGCACAAATCCAAACTTATCTTTGGCGAACCGGATCAATTCCGTGCTGACATATCCTGGATGTAACACGTTCACATGGACGTGCTCCCCGGCCATGCGACGCGCCAGGGCTTTCGTGAAGAGGATGTTGGCGAGTTTCGAACGGCCGTAGCGCGAGACGTTGTCGCTTTTGGATGGGTCATTGAGGGTCTCAAAGTCGATGCCGCCGGAAACGGGGCCTTCGTGGGCGATCGAGGATACAATGACGATTCGCGAGGGTTGAGATTCTTTGATCCGGTCGAGTAGGGTCGTCGTGAATACAAAGTGTCTAGTACGGACAAGGATATATGGGAAAACAAAACGTGTGGTCAGCGTCATGAATTGAAAATGGCATGGCCCTGGTCCATCGCTGTCTCTCTCTCTCTTTTACCCCATGTGGTTGACGGCGAACTGGGTCTCGATGCCATCAGCACTAAGCTCAAATGGAGACACCATGATTCCCGAGTTGCAAATTAGGATATGAAGCGGCAATCCTCTCTCCAAAAAACTCTTTGCTGCATCTCTACACTTGCGCATATCGTTCAGGTCCAGATCCAGAAACTCCAGTCTGGGCTTAGGTGCATTGGGATATTTCTCCTTGATCTCCTTCTTCGCCCTCTCGATCGCAGCCATGGCCCGTTCCTTGCTCCGGCAGGCCAAGATGACGTGGGCTCCCTGACCAGCAAGGCCTACAGTGGTGGCATAGCCGATTCCGGTGTTCGCTCCAGTAACGATGGCGACTTTTCCTGTGAGGTCCGGGATCTGGTCGTAGGAGTACCGGTTCGGGGTGAAGTAGGTCTTCCAGAACTTGGGCTGGCGGAATGAATTCATGAGCATCATGGTGTGCTTTGTTGCAGTGTGCTTTGTTATAGAGTGGAATAAGTTCCCTAGGTGGGTGCTAGGGCGTATATTTATATAAAAAAAAAAGTCTCAGCAGCTGCGAATCTAATTGCCATGGCCTCTCTTCTAAGGTACCTTATGAGTATTAACACTCCTGACGTAGGGAATACGCTTAATATCCATAGGGACGGAGATACTGTACTTTCTTCGATCGTGCCCGTTGGTGACGAACTCATTCCTCATTGACTACGACAAAACGCGCGTCCGGGACACAAAAAGAGAAAAAAAAAACCTACTGACTTTCAATCATAGACGCACTTTTTGTGAGCTTTAATGAGCCATAAAGGATGGACCAGAGGTTACTCCTCCATGGACACATAAACCATGTGTTTCTCCTAGAAGAAATAATTCTCTAGACTACCTATTGTGCCTTTTTTTTTTTTTATTGCAATGTCAAATTTCTTCCCTCAGATTAAACTGAACTCGCCTACAAATTATTCGAATCGGTTGCCTGGTGGTTGGGTACTGTACTGTGTGCCGGGTTGGTTAACCAGCAGGGGAAAAAAAAATATTTATTAATATTATTGTTGCTGTTGCTATGGGGTGTACCTAATTTATATTAACATATCCACAGCAGTGTTAGTCCTTAAGGTCCTTGGGCGCCAATCTTCTCGCGGACCAAATCCTCACTAAACGCCCACAGTTTTTCCTGCAACTCCTCATCATGCGCATAAGAACCTAAAGACAAAAGACAAAAGACAAAAAAAAAGAAAAAGAAAAAAGGAAAAAAGCTGTTAGTGATCTTGTGCACCCAAGGAAATACTATAGCAGTGAATTCCTCATGCTTCGCCCACTTGTGTTCCCAATGCTTCGCCCAAATTCTCAGCACCCCCCCTTCGTCCCCTCTCTTTCATCCCTTTTTATGATAACATGACTTACTCGGCTGGATTTCATTCGCGATAGGAATAAAATACCTCCCTCTAATATCCCGGCTCTCGATCTCGGGACTCGTCGCCAGATACAACTGCGTTAACACCCCTTTCTCGGGCGCCATCGCCACCAAATCCGAGAATGCCTGGGTCACCCGATCCTTGAATTCTCGCTTCGTATACTTGATCTGGTTCGTGTTGACGTATCCTGGATGGGCGACGTTGACGTAGACACGCTCGTTGCTGAGACGACGCGCCAGGGCCTTGGCAAAGAGGATATTGGCGAGTTTCGAGCGACCGTATCTGGAAAAGGACGTGCTTTTGGAGGGATCGTTCAGGGTGAGGAAGTCGATGCCGGATTCGACGGTCGCTTCGTGTGCCATGGAGGAGAGAAGAACAATGCGGGAGGGTTGAGAGGATTTGAGCCGGTCGAGCAGTATTGTTGTGAAGACAAAGTGGCTGATAGAACGTTACGAAGGTGAAAAGGAAATAGGAATGGTTAGTAAAATGACGGGGGCCAATAGCGAAACCCGGGTCTTTGTTTTGTACGTGCGCATATGAATGTAAAATGTGCGTCATATCCTCTTCAACTTACCCCATATGATTGACAGCGAACTGGCTCTCGATCCCATCAGCACTCAACGCAAACGGAATCGCCATAATCCCCGAATTACAAACCAATATATGAAGTGGAAGCCCTCTGTCCAAAAACTCATTCGCCGCATCTCTCGTCTTGCGCATATCATTCAAATCCAGTTCCAAAAACTCTAGCTTTGGTTCCGGGGAATTGGGGTACGTCTCCTTGATCTCCTTTCGAGCCTTCGCAATCGCTTCTGTCGCTCGCTCCTCGTTGCGGCAGGCCAGAAAGACATGGGCCCCGTGGGCGGCAAGGGAGACGGTGGTAGCATAGCCAAGGCCGGAGTTTGCTCCGGTGACGATGGCAACCTTACCAGAAAGGTCTGGGATTTGTTCGTGGGAGAATTGTACGGGTGTGATAAGGGTCTTCCACCATTGCAGTTGGGTTAATGAGTTTGAGAACATCATTGTCGGTAGAGTCTTTGTGGTGTATGTGCGTTGTGGAGAAGGTGGGAGCGAGAAGAGCGGAAGGGGTGCGATGAGCGAGTGAGTGAGAGAGGGAGAAAGTAGCGAAAGATAGGAGAGCAGAAAGTGTGAGACGGGTTGTTGTACAGAAAGCTCTTTTTGTTGAATACAGGGACCTCCCAAATCCTACATCTCCAATCGGGGTTTCGCAACTTGGCCTGAATAGGAGTTGCGTATCCGCGATCGCCCTTTTTTTTTTTTTTTTTTTTTTTTTTTTTTTTTTTTAGAGCAAGCTCCACAACAGGTTATTTATTGCTCCGTAAAAAAAAAAACCAGAAAACAAACTTCCGCGATCAACTCCCTGAACAGTCGATGCCGATTGTAATTGTTTTATGTCATCCCAAGAGGGTACGTAACACCCGGGCATGGTTCATTACATAACAACGTTTACTCTAGCTTTACTCTAAAATGCTCCGCTCTAATGGCCCCTCGCATTCTCCACAGCCGCAAGCGCGTCCTTGTCTTCTACGACAGCCGTTGACGACTCAATGTCCTCATGTTCCGCCAACGCCTTTCCCTTTCCCTTCCCATGGTGATGATGTCCATGGCGTGCATGTCGCTTCGCCTTTGGGACCTCAAGCATCCAGCCCAGCAGCCCCTGCATGCTTGGCCTCACCATCTCACGCTTCCACATCATCCCCGTCAACAGCACCGACATCGAGATTGCATACATCAATGTCTCGCCCGTCCGCTCGACTCGCCGACTCAGCCGTCCAGACATCACTCGACTCCACATCGAATACATCGCTCTCGGCAGCACATACAGCGCCATTTCCGCCCGTCGATGGGGTTTCTCGATCAGGACCGAGAACCCGCACATGAATGAGCCCAGCAAGGGGCCATAGATATTGTCGATCACATTACTGCTGTACCGTCTTCCTGTCAACTTCATGACCAGAGGCATGATCTTGGATCGCCAGGAGCAGATGCCGTACCAGATCAGGGCGATGTACGTGGCGAGGAAGGCGCTCGATCGGGCGGCGGCCAGCAGGGTCGAGGATGCAGTCGAAATAGGGTTCTTTTGCAGCTTCTCAAAGAACGCCTTTGGACTCAACAAAGCAGGCAGCAGGTGGACTGGCAGATAGATCTATATATTACGAACCAAACACAAAGAGTTCCATCGTTAGAGCGATGGTACTAGTTTTCGTTTCCGTTGTCGGAAGAAACTGCGATGTAAGGGTGCGTGAACGTACACCTGCAGAAACCATGAAGCCCTGGATCCAGCGGTATCCCGTGTGGACCTAAAGGATGAAACGTTTTGATGTTAGACTATTCACACAGTATGCTATTTATCTTACCCATACCTTCCAGGACAACCTCACAGGGATCCAAATTACCTCACAAGAATCGGCAATGCCCTGATGTACGACTCTGCAAGACAGGCGATTGCGCAATTCAAAGTCGCCTATGAGAAATAAAAAAAAAAGAATACAAAGATCCGTTGTTGTGGAGGAATTAGTGCACCAGACGATGCAATGCATGTTGCAGACAATCATGAAATCGAATCTCCAGCAGACAAACGTACCCATTTTGGGATCAAATCCAAGATCTTCACACAATCCTATGAGCAAATTGCTGACTTCCGGTGGGTTCGACTGTCCAAAGTGCACCCTGTCCTCTCTCACAGCCCGCAAGGTCTCCAGCAGTCTTTTGTCCATCCTTGACATCCTCGTGATCCAGAATGCATACGGTCTATTCATGCATCATACGTGTCATACAGCCATAAGAAAAAAAAAAAAAAGAAGACAAATCCGTAGTGAGTTGAGTTGTTGTTGACCCCCACTCAGAATTTGATCCGGAGCACCATCATCTCCCGATCCAGTCTTCCTCCCTCGTCCGCTTCCTTATCTTTATCAACCTACCCAGGCAAGCGCTCGGGCTCATACAACCATGAGAACATGATCTCAGTACAGGCCAGGACAAAGACCGCGACGGCTCCATATGAACCCAGCCAACTGGGTCCCCACCGATTCTTGACCGCCACATGTCCAAAGACATCCAGCGCCCGCACGACCGCAAACAATGAATAATCAATCGTCGCGTGTCTTGAACGGTACCGGTGCATGAACACGATCGCCGCGGCCGAGGACAAGAACGAGGCCATCATCGTGATCCGTTGCCCTATATCCGAGGTCAACTCGATCTTGTCCATATCGTCCTTTGTCCACACCGTTCCTGCATCGCTGTGGTCTCCTCCTTGATGTTTCTGTAAAGAACGTTGTTGATCTCCCTGTTTCTGATGTTGCTGTTGCTGCTGTTGTTGGCGCTGCTGCAGGTGCTGTGCAAGGATCGCCTTCTTCATCCCCCGGTTCAGGAACACTTCCAAGAGCTTATACCCGCCCAAGGTGATCATCAACAACATGCTCATCCCGTCCCTTCGTGCGCTCGTCCCATCCTTGGCCACCGACAAAATCGCCCTAAAAAACGCTGCGACGGGATTTTGGCCCCTGGGTGTGACCTTGCGCGGGTTCAACAAGAAGCCTATGACGGTCTTGATGAGCTTGGGTGCAGTCGCAAAGACGTATCCAACCCCGTATGATCGGATGCATACCCGCACGGCCGCGGCGAGTTCTGGAGAGATCAATGAATTTGGACTGGAGCCCGAGTTCGACTTTGAGCTCGAGGTCCGTCGTGTCTGGTGGGTGGTAGTGGTGGTGGTGGTGGCGGTGGGTGATGGAGAGTGGGTGGATGTGGTGGCATTCGACGTCGCATGCTCTGGTGGGTCTATGGCATCGTGCATGGTGTGCTAGAGGAGAGGAATGAGTAGCGACTGTTGAATGAGCAGTGGTGTGTGGTCGCTGTTGGTAAAGAGGGAGAGAAGAGAGAGAGAGAGAGAGAGAGGGAGAAATGCTGCCGAATGCCGTTTGCTATATTGACAGCAGGAGGGGGGGTTGTTTTTTGGTACTGTGCCTGTGCCTGAGCCAGAGCTTGCTTGGGCTTGTTTATGTGGAGAGAGACGAAAGAACGGTGGAAGGTGCTGCCGGTGATTCGCTGCAGGGATGGAGTCCGGAGATAGAGCAGATGGCCTGATTTCCGCCCTCCTTGCATGTGAAGATGTCTTTTTATTTTCCTCCCACTGCCCCACTGTTCCATCCCGTTAACACGCAAAACGGTAGGGGAGAGGAGGATTACAGCAGCAATGGATCCGTGGATGGATGGTGCTTATTGTTCTGTATCGTCTGTCAAGTGCAAGACCAAGAAAGAGAATGCATGTTTGTTCAAGGATGGTTTCCTTGACTTTATTTTGTCATGGTTGTTGTCGCACCTAGCGCGCATCTGTCTGTAGTCGCGCAAAGAAACATTCCGGGTCTTGGGCTGAATGAACCAGCATCCAGTCCTTGACAAAGCTGTACACTTGACATACTACTTCTACTGCTAGTATACCACTACTGCCACAAAAAAAGGAGGAAGAAACAAAGGAGAGGAGGGAGGGGTGGTATGGATGAATGGTCTAAGAGAAAAGATACATGGTCGTGATCGTACATGTGCATGGTGGTTGTTTGGTTGCTACCAAGTTGGCGATGGCAGTGGTGAATGTAGGCAGTCGTGTTTGTTGTATATGTGGGTGTCTACGCTTCGATACCGCTGTCTGGTGTTGCAGGCCTGTCCCTGACAACGGAAGGGGAAGAAGCCTCCTGTGCAGCTGCCCTCCTGAGACACGCATCCTGGATCCCCTTGAGGAACCCTGGGATCCCATGCTTGGTAGCCCAGTTGACGATCGATGATGGGATGTGGCCCTATTTGTTATGTACGTGTACGTATACGTAGACAGAAATGACTGGTTAGAGAGTGAAAGAAGACGGTGGGATTGTTGTTTGGTGGCGGTGGTGTGTGCGCTCTCTCTTCTTTCCTTCTGTCGCACCCATCAGGGTTCATGTCTTCATTTCATTTCCTAGTCTGATTATCATCGTGCGTATTTGTTGTCTTGTTGTGTTGTGCTGTTGTTTGTTGACGATACAAAGGGGAGGGTTATCATCATCATTGCTCTTAAGCTCGCTCTCCCTCCCTCCCCACAATCATTACCATCATCGCAGATAAAAGTGTCTCCATCGAATGACCCCCATCTCTCTTCCATGTTCATCTTCAAATAAAGTGATTGCCGCCATAAACAGGTTTTAGTAATCGCATATCCCATATTGTGATGAGCCCATTACAAGGACTTCAGTGGCATCCTCACGCATGCAATGAAACCAAGAAGCCTCTTCGTCATTGTCTTCCTTAAAGGTGTCGGGTCAATAAGTAATTCCTCTGTTCCCCAGAGGGTGTTGTGTGTAGGAGAATATTGATAAAATGACGAGTACATAATTTAAAAGGGTAATGTTTGTTTGAAGGCTCCATTGAGAGAGGCAGGGCGCAAGAGGAAGCAGTGTAGCATCATGATGAAAGAAAGAAGAGTTGATATTTTACCTTGGGGTCATCAAAGTAACCGAACCAGACATAGCATCCCTTGCCGTCCTCAGATGGGACCATGACCACATCCTGGCGATACTCCTCCACACGCACAGACTTGTTCATCGGTGGCAGCTTGAACACCTTATGCGGCTCTGATCCTGATGTCGGCAATGACACTGACGAAGCAGCAGCAGCAGCAGATCCTCCAGGGACTGTCAACAAAGATGAGGAGGAGGGCGAAGGGGAATAAGACGACATCGAGGGTGGGACAAGGGTGACCATGGATTTGTAGTTATTGGTGCTGTACAGGTTCTGCAGAGCGCCATCCTGTGCCCTGGTCTTGCCTACAGTCTGGGAACTGACGCAGAAGTGGCCGTCCTTGGGTTCATGGACCGTCAGCTCGTAAAAGTACTCGCGGGGTGAGAGTGGCCAGGGGAATTTGGTGGTGTAGTGGATGACACCGTGGTCCATCCGCTTGAATCCGACCATGTTCTTGTCCCAGGTCTTGCGGTAGTCGAGATCAGTGAAGACATCGGCAAGCAGGCTTGCGGGCACATCGGGGTAGTGCCCCAGAGCCTTGTATTCATACAGGGCAGTGTTTGGCATGGCCTTGCGGTAGATCCTGAACCCGTGGGACTCCAGGAAGAGCTCCCAGTCGTCGACCTTGGGGACCTGCAGCTCTGCGAGGCACTCTTGGAATTGTTGATCCGATAGCATTTTCTAGGTGTATTGGGTCGAGAGTTGCTTGGTAGGGGGTATAGGTGTGAAGGAAAGGAAAAGAGAGAGAAAGGGAGTGTGGTGTGGTGTGGACTTGACTTCTGTGGGTGGGCGAGAGAGGAAGAAGATCAGTCGCTGCGAAGGGGCGGTGTGGGAGGGAAGGAGAAAGAGAGAAAGAGAGAAAGAGAGAGAGACAGAGAGGGGGAGAGAAAAAGAGAGAGAGAGAGAATGAGGAGGAAGAAAGAGAATGAGGATAAAAGAGGATGAGAGCAAGCGAGAAGTAAAGTGAGAAAGAAGGTGTAGATAAAAACGATGAGACACGAGAGAATCTGCGGGCCAATGATAGACTTGGCTATAATCTCTATATTAAGCCCTGCCCTGCTATTGCGATTTCCAATTCCATTCAGGAAAATGTCCTTTTCACCCGGCACTTTTTGGGGCAAAAAACAGGGGGGGAGGCACACGTACACACTCACACCCACACATGGACACTCACACATGGACACCCGCACGCCCTATGCTGACACCGGCCGTTTGCCTAGACTACTGCTAGGCCATCGTCATTCACTATTTACAATAGAAAATAATGAACAGTCGTAATAATAAACGGCAAGGGCTCGTGCTTGCAGCAGGTAAATACAGATGGCGGAACATCTTCCAAAACAGCCGCACCAATATCTCTCACAAGTCAGATCTACGACTGCAAAAACCCCTCTTTTTATTGTTTAGCGAGATGCCGAGGAGTAGCTTCAAGGACAGCGCTACCGGATGCTAAAAAAGAGACATCGGCATTGGCATATGAGTTAAATAGGTGATGGAAGGGCTCATGTGCGAACAATTATTGCACAGCCATTGGATAAGAGAGAGTAACAGAGAGAGAGAGAGCCGTCCGTTGTCCATTGGCAGTCGTTTTAATTGCCACCAACTCTAAGACGAATACCCGCGGAGAGAAACACATACGCATAGGGCAATGCAAAAGAGCGCATGGTGCTGTGGGTTGTTTCGAGGAAGCAATTGAAGCCAGGACTTGTTGTTGTGCTTTGAGCAGAGTGATGATGTCGATGTGTATACCGCTCCCTTGCGAATGCAGCTGCTCCTTGGTTTGCCATGGGAGGCAGGGCCGTGCAGGGTCCACATAGTTTACACCTGTAAGGGAGGGGAATTCATATTCGATGCATTTACGGAGACTGCTTTGAATCACCGTCTCGCCCTTTGTTCCATTGATCGCCAGTCTCATTCATTCTTCATTCAGTCTCTCAGTCCTCTCGCTCTCTCATTCCCTCACTCTCTCCCATCGTCGCCACCAACCAGTCTTCCTCCCTCCAAGCGATAGCCATACCTTCACAATGCGACCCTCAGCTGCACTCCAAAGAATAGCCCATTGGATACCCCAGTCTACATTCCGCAATGGCTCTCTCTGCCACCGCCCTCTACTCCCGATACCGCCACAACGCCTGATCAGTGCCTCTGCAGCACTGTGCCCTGACACGCACCAGATTCGATTTAAAAGCACCGATCAAACCTATTCGTCCCGGGATTCCTTCAGTCGTGAGGGAGTCGCCAAGCGTCGTCGACACGAAGCAGAAGAAGGCCAGCAGGGCCACCAGGAAAACAATCGACGTGTCCAAGGCAGCGACGACACGAAGGATGATCGCAAGGAGGCAGCCAAGGATAGCAAGGACGCCAAAAAGTTTCGTCCTGCTCGATTACCCGTTGTCCTCTGTCATGGTACATTCATTCACGTCCATTTCTTTATCCACGGGATTACAGTCCGCTAGAATCATGATGACCACATCGAATTAAACATACAACTTTTGTTTGGGCAAATGCTACCTCTGCTCCCCATTTTAGGATTTTTTGGGTTCGACACGCTTGGTAAGAATCCAGATTTTCGGTTCGACTACTGGTATGGTGTCCGGGAGGCCCTCGACGAGATCGGATGCAATGTCTACACAGCTCGTGTGCCGCCCTTCGCAGGAATCCAACAACGCGCTGAACAACTCAAACTCTTTATCGAACAAACTGTACCCCATGGATCAGAGCTTAATCTCATCGGGCACTCCATGGGTGGACTCGACTGCCGATATATGATCTCGCACCTCAAATCCCCCCACTTCAAGGTCAAGTCCTTGACAACTCTAGCGACGCCTCACCGTGGATCGTCCTTTGCAGATTATTTCATGTCCGATATCGTTGGCAAGGTCCGTCTGGAGACCTTTTGGGCGATGCTGAGCATGGTCAGCGTCGGACGCGGAGCTGCCGAGAACCTGACGACATATTACCTCCAGGATGAATTCAATCCAAAGACACCGGATGATCCAGAGGTGTCGTATTACAGTTATGGAGCGTCCTTTGTGCCGGGGCTCTTTTCACGATTCCGGTTCTCGTGGGGCGTGATCATGGATCGGGAAGGACCGAATGATGGACTGGTGAGTGTAAAGAGCGCAAAGTGGGGAACCTATGTGAAGACGATCCCGAATGCGGATCATATGGATCTGATGAACTGGGTGAATGCCTTGGCATGGAGTCGGGCACGATTTCCGTGGGTCTTGGGAGGATCGAGTCATGATCCCGATGGCAGACCGAAGGGCGCCTTTGAGACGGATAATGATGATGAAGGTGACAAGGACCAGCCGAAGGAGGAGGCGCCGTTGTTCAATGCTATAGAGTTGTATCTCGAGATTTCGGATATGCTGCACGAGAATGGGTTGTAGCGATAGATACTCTTTTTTTTTCCTTTTTTTTTTGCACCTGTACCATAGCCAACAATAGAATGAATATGAAATAGAGCTGGACTGATGGTTGCTTTATTGGACGTAGATCTGGTTGATGAACTTTGCGAGCTCAACGTCCCGGACAGAAAGACCCTGGACGTCATGGGTGGCCAAAGTGACTTCGACACGGTTGTAGACCTAAACAATCAAAAAAATTCCCACGGCAATAACATTCGCGCACAAATGTCAATACAAGGCATACCAGCGCCAAACATCCCTCTGTTTGCGCCCGCTAAAATTAATCAACGTACGTTGAACCATTCCGGATGGTGGTCATGCTTGTCAGCATAGAGCGCGACGCGGGTCATGAATCCAAAGGCGGCGTTAAAGTCCTTGAAGGTGAGGGTGCGCTTAATAGCCTCACGTCCCTCGACCAAGGACCAGCCACTGAGCTCTGGACGGGCAAGAGCCTCGGTCTGTTCTTGTGAGTTCAACTTCTGAAGAGTCATTGTATGTTTCTTTTTTAAGCTGGTCGTTGTGGAAAGATACCGCAGGGAGGATGGTGGTTTGAGTAGTGTGATGAGAGAAGGAAAAGTGGAGGAGGTGGTGGAAAATGTTAGTGGGAGATTTCTGACTGGTTTGTAGCGAGCCTGGATACGAATAAGAGAAGGGAACAGAAACGACAGGGGGAGCGGTGGGGAGCGAGTGATGATCCGTTGCAAGAGCATTGGTGGTGGGATGAAATGGACTCCTGTCTTCCTTACCGAGAATGGGAGTGAAGAGGGAGAGAAAGAGAGAGAGAGAGAGAGGGAGAGAAGAAGAAGGTGCTGGGAAATCAAACAGGTGCAGCGTGTGAAATATTCCCGAGTTTAGAAGTCACTTTTACTCCGCATTGCAATTGAACGCTCGAACATTATTGAACATGTTCCATGTCTCCTTTGCCACCAACCTACACCTGTATGCGTCCTATGGTTTGAACACGTTCATGAAGACAAAGAGAGAGAGAGTGTGTGGGGCCATTGAGACCAAATGGGCACAGAGGGACCAGCATAGAAGACCAATTGAAGAAGCAATTGCATCCGCGGGAGGAGACCCCGTCTTTTTATGCCCAATTGTATATCTTTGTTGATGTTGATGTGATAAACGTGTCTGTGTGCAACGGTACATGGGATGACCCCTCCGACAAAAATAACCTTCTTTCACTTTAGGCTGGCGCGCTTTCGTTCTTTCTTTCTTCCTTCTTTTCAGTCTTCTCTTCATTCCTCCATTTGAACACTCATTCAGCGCCAGCTTTTTTTTTTTTTTTTTTTCCTTCAAGTTCCCTCGCGCTCCAAGTTCCGGTGTTTGTTCCTGGCCCTGGCATTTATCTTATCCCGCTTTCACACACACACCTTCCTTTCATACCTTCAGGTCCCGCTCCAAGCTATCTCAACATCTCTCTTTCTTTCTTCCATTGCGATCTTGCCTTCCCTCTCACTCAACTCATCTCATCTCATCACCTCCCAGAGCAACACATTCCTTTTTTCACAATGGGTTGGGCACCGATGGAACCAGACCTTGACGCCTGCGGGATGACCAATTGGGTTGGATCCTTCGACCCCATCAAATATATCTATTTTATGCTCGCCACGGTCTTGATCCCCTATCCGACCTATGTCTTTGTCGCGACAGTCTTCAATTGGGAACACCGTGCCAAACGACCTGCAAGGCACTACCAGGATATCCTCCATGCGACCTCCTATGGACTAATCGTCTTTATTTTCGGCAACTACGCACGAACGTTGAAGTAAGCTATGACCGACAAATGCTATAATAGCCACACGAAACTTTCTCTCTCCTCTTTTTTTCTTTTTTTCTTTTGTCATTTGCAGTGGACATGAGCTAAAAAGAAAAGAAAAAATGGTTTGCTTTAATAATCCACCACTAGCTGGATTACCATCCTGGCTTTTTGGATTACCTGGCCTAGTTACTCTGTAAGTGTTTGCAATTGAGGACAGCTGGGAAGCACTGGGTGAAGGAGGAGGAATGTTTGGTCATGTTGGGATGCCCTGTGCGTTTTTTTTTTGTACTGTGAGCACCACTTGTGGAACCCTGACCATCTCTCTTTTTTCTTTTTTCTTTTGGGTACATTATCCAGCTGATCGCAGAGCAACCGTTTGCAAAGACCTCGCTTCCCTCCTGGAAGACCTGGCCCTTCGGGATGTACGCCCTCTTCGCTGGAGCCACGGCCGTAGTCCTCGCCTTTGCAGGTTACCATATCTATCTCGGCGTGATCCTTAATAGGACCGTGCCCGGATTCGTGGGATACTACCTCCTTGCGCTCCTGATCCCTGTCATCCTGACACTTATCGGATTCGCTTGTCTCAAGCAGCAGAACCAGGACGCGTTCGGGCTCTCGAGGGTCTATGGGGCCATGTTGCGGCTGCAGTGGAAGTGGGCGACACGGACAGCGAGACGGAAGGCTGAGAAGCAAATGGCGCTTGCGGATGGGTCGAAGACACAGAAGAAGCCGACGATCGATCCTCCGCCTGCTCAGCAGTCAGCGGAGGCAGGAGCACCCGTGCAAGCAGGTACAGTCGTGATCGAAGTGGGGGATCAACACCAACCGAGTGCCCATGTTAGTCGTACAGGAAGTTTTGATCCACTCGTCGTCGACCGGAGTAATAACAACCCTCCTGTTTTTTCAACGGATTATAATGCAGTGGAGCAGCAGCAACCTCCGACGACAACGACGGAGCTGCAGACGGTAGCTCCGTTTCAGGCGTATGTGTGGTCGGTGACTGTGCCAGGGTTCTTTCATCCGCACCATTGGCAGTTGTTCTATACACTGGCGTTCTTTACTAGGTTCGATCATTGGGTCTCTAGGGTTGGAGCCGGTATCACGCTCGGTTGTTACATGCAGGGTATCATGGGTAGGTTTCGGTTTTGTGCGAGGAATTTTTTTTTTTTGCGATTAAGTATGCGCGTTACGACTGGACTGAACAATGTAGCTGACACCTTTATGTTCGTTGTGATGAATTTTGTGTTGCTTGATAGCGTATGGATACGACTATTTGATCGAAGAGTAAACGAAAAACGCGCCCGGAACTGAGGCCATGCGGAAAATACGCGTCTTCGGGAAATGCGCGCCCGCGCGGTAACTTGACCTTCACTTAAAATCGCACACATACCACTATCCCTATATACATACATAGCATAATAAATAAATGGGTCCCCTTCCTCAGGTCCCTCTCGCCCCCCTTGGCCATGGACCCCCGGATGTGAATCCAATTGATCGTATCCAAGAGGAGGTGGTGGCGGCGGCGGAAGAACTGCAACATTAATGACGACACTTTGTGCATCGTTAGCAATTGTGGTTCAAGTTTATGCGGATAATCGATTGAAGGGCGACGACGCAAAAAAAAAAAAAGGGACGAGAAAGCTGAGGGTGGGGGGACGACATATCTGTGCGCACAGTGCGCGTGCCTAGGAATGGAAAGTCACTCGCCGCTGGACTCTTTCTTTTTTTTTTTTATTAAAGTCTTGCTTGAGACCGATCGTTTCATGTCTTTGCATCAACCCTCATTCGAAATCTCACTTCTTCATTTCTCCCAGGAACAAAGGACCTTTTTTTTTCTATTTCTCTTTGACCCAAGAAAGGACGAATATCACCATGGGATCATCCACAATACTCAAGCTGACACACTTTCACCACTCGACCCATGTCCAGGTTGAGGGTGCGTCTTTTGGTTTGCTCAATGCTATTCGGTTACTGTTTTATACATACGCGCGCACACGGAGGAGCGTACTGGATTGCTGGAAGAGATCCTTAACTACTTTATTGTTGTTGCTGGTTTTTTATTTTTGTTCTCCATGACAGATCTTCACCCAAGCACTATCATCGCTCGGTTCATCAAGGAGTTCCCGGAGTGCTTAGACCCCTCGCCAGTCCTTCGGTGGCTCGACGGCGATGGTGAGTGGATCGAAATCCGACCAGGTATGGATCTCGAGTGAAGCACCGTGAGCCAACTTTTGCATGCTTGCTCAGAAGAACTATGATCCCTGAAGTCTAACCAAAAATGATGTCATTGGGATATTGCTTAGACGATCTTGATCTGGAGGAAGTTCTGAAGCAGGTCATGGAAAGAGATGGAATAATCCACATTCAATCTGGAGATATTACTGGGGTACGTACCCATGGCATTGGGGGTATCATAGTTGCTCGGAGGATCATCATCTCGGTTGTTTAATATGGGGGTTTTTTTTTAGGTTTTTGAGCCCACAGACCTAGGAACGCTGATGAAAAGGCAAGTCAGAATGTTGCTAGCACCAAGAAGAGAGAGTGAGAGGACCTCATCTGGAATCGATACATGGGTTGCTAACAGGACGTCTTTTTATGGTCTCGGGAAACGTAATAGATACGAGAAGGTCATGGATCTGTTCGATAATTTGAGCCGCACAGTCGTCAAGGTAAACCTATCCTAACCCTCACAATCACTCAAAAAAGGGACACGCATAGCCTCACGCCATCACCGATATTTTTTCCTCACGCTCCCCTCTCCTTCTCTATGACCAACCATACAGCTCCCACCGATCTCCAACATCCTGATCGTGACAAAGCCCGATCGCAAGCTGACAAAGCTGACCAAGGAGCTCTCGATCTGGCTACTCGAGAACTTTCCGGGAATCACCGTCTATGTCGACAGAAGGCTGCAGGAACAATCTACCTTCAAGTACCATAAAATCCTGGAGCGTAACCCGGCGTGGAAGGACCGTCTGCAGTTCTGGACACTGGAATGTCACAAGCAGTCAGGAAAGCTGATCCATCTGGCAATTGCTCTCGGAGGCGACGGAACGGTGCTTTATACGACGTGGATGTTCCAGAATCGAGTGCCGCCGATTGTTGCTGTATGTCTTTCTTCTGGGAAGGGGCTTCAAAGAATGCAGCAGCGTTCTGGAATTGTATGCTTGGGACTAACACTGCTCTCCAATTAACTAGTTCCATCTTGGAAGCCTGGGATTCTTAACGAACTTTGACTTTAAACACTTTCGACCCATCATGACCAACATCCTGCGCGGCGAAGGCATGAACCTCAACATCCGGATGCGATTACAGTGTTCTGTTTATAAATTCAGTGACATTGCCGACAGCTTATGCGACGGTACGAAAGCTCTCAGCCTTGACGATACTGCTGCCACCAGTAGTGCAGATGGGAACCTCGAAGCCGGAGCTTCCAGCGAAAGCGAGAATGAAGACGACCATCGGAGGGAAATTGCAGAGTCTAAAACGCGGGTGAAGATTATCCGCCAATTCAAGGAAATGGACTCGAAAGGAGGGGCCGAGGTCGCGGATCTGGGTGTCTGTCATGAGCAAGGGCACACGCTGATCAGAAGGTCACCAAAACCTTATCCGGAGGAGTCTACGACGCCAACGGATTCTTGGCAGGTATTGAATGAGGTCACGGTCGATCGTGGCTCGAATGCGGGGATGTTGCAACTAGAGTTGTTTGTGGACGGTAGTCCGGTTACGACGATCTTGGCGGACGGGCTGGTTATTGCTACGGCGACGGGATCGACCGCTTATTCGGTAAGAGTGCCGTGCACGAATACAGTATGCTCTTTGGTCTTTTTTTTTTTGCCAATATGCCTTCCTCAATCTCTCAACAACTTATTTGTCTTTTCTTTTGTCTGTGGTGATATAGCTGTCGATCGGTGGCTCGTTGATTCATCCTGACAAGAATTCGATTATCATCTCGCCAATTGCTCCGCACTCGTTGACAGCACGACCTATGATCATCTCAGGCACTAAACGCCTTCGAGTGTGTGGTACGTACTTCTGGTTCGGGGGTTTATACTTATCGGACCAAATTATTCAAACATTACTTTTCGCGTTCGCGCAACCCATTAACATCAACCATCTTTTTTTTATCCTTTTTTCTCAATTCCCAATAGTGCCCGCATCGAGCCGGACGACAGCATGGGCATCCTTTGATGGAAGACACCGACAGGAACTCGGCCGTGGGGATTCGGTCATGATCACAGCGTCCAAGTACCCGGCTACGACGATCTGTAGGTTCGACCAGAGCATCGATTGGTTCACGGGATTGTCTCAGGTCTTGAACTGGAATAGTCGTGTCCAGCAGAAACCATTGGATTCGCACCTGTGAGCTAGTTAAAGAAGAAGAAGGAGGAGGAGGAGAAAGATCGATCGTAGAAGTAACCAGGCGCAACAGCGGCAATGGAGGTCGCATTACATAAAGAATGAACTTGTAATTAAAAAGATATACTCAAAACCTATTCATGAAGGGCAACCATCTTTTTTTTTTTTTTTTTTTTTTTTTTTTTTTTTAGTAATGGATCCACCACTGTTCAAAATCTCGCGCATAAAATACAGCTGTTTATTTCAAATCTATGTACAGTACAAGTGAACAAGCTCACGATAGGGTTGGTTTGGGCTGCCGATTGAACAGGATGCTCAAGATGTTTGCTTCTTCCCTACTCGCCGCTGCTCTTGCTTCCACTCCTGTTCCCGCGCCTGCGACTTCAGGTCCGCCACGATCGGTGGTGCCGCCCATCAATTGCAAATCCGAGAACATCTTTTTGCATTTCGTACTCGGCTGGACTTCATAGCGGATCATATCGTTATAGGTCCATCTCGCCTTCTGATGCTCCCCTCTCGCGACATAAGCATCCATCAGATCACCCCATGCTGTTGGGGAGATAGCCTTTGCCAGGGTCGCATCCTTCTGGCTCAGGAGCTTCTGTACCTCGGTAAGATATCCGTGATGGATGAGTCGTCGGATGACCGCGTGTGCCGTCTTTTGATAACGCTCGAGTTCTGGAGAGATGTCACGAATCGTCATCTTGTCGATCAGCTCGGCAGCCCGGTCGAGGTCCTGGGCGCGTTGGATCAAGTAGGTGAGGTAGGTCCGGTAGGAGAAGGAGGCGTTATTGACAGTAACCGGGGTGGCACTGGGCTGGAGTTGGGGTTCGATGAATTTCCAGATACTGTCGACGCGTTCATGACTAGGATCCGACGTCCTCGTCGCCATTGTTATTGTTGTGGTTGCTGTTGAGGACGATGGCGAGGCTGAAGAGCCAGTTACCGGGGTCATCTTAATATAATACTCCAACAGTGCACTCAGGTCATATATCGACGTCGGCTGCAAGTTCTTCTCCCGCATCTTCTCGACCATCGCCCCCGCAACCGCCAAACTCCCAGCTCCCGCCCTCGCATGGGCCCTTGTCAAGGCCGCCAGGACCCTCGCCGTCAACTTAACGCCCATAGTCTCCATTTTCTCAAACGCCATGGTCGCCCGTTTGAGTTCCCCACATTTGATATAGGCCTGGATCACATAAAAATGGTCATCCGGAGTCCCGTTGGCTTCGAATTCGAGTCGTTCCTGTTCCTTTTGAATCCAGCCAATGTCCTTGTGTTTGACCGCGGCTCCGAGACGGTCCTTGCGGGCCCGACTTCGTTGTCGGACGAGATGATCTTTCTGGGCGTTTGAATGGACTGTCCAATGCTCGATCACGGCTTTATAGTCGTCCTCGGGTTTGTGGATCTGTTCTGCGAGTCGTGTCCGGAAGGAGACTGTCAGGGCCTGTTATGAAGAAGTTTGGGAAACGCGGGAGAGGATGGGTGAAGGGGGGTTAGGGTTTTTTCCTGGAGTAATAATAACGACAGTTATATCATATCCCTTTAAAGTTTGCTCTACCTGATAAAGATCTTCCTCTTCTTTCGATGACGACGACGAACGCGCAGACGAACTCGAGGTCGAGAATAATGCGGCGGACGATTGCTGACGCAGATGTTGCTTCAACGGCTGTTGTTGATACAAAGTCATGGAAGACGATGTTGAAGACGACGGAGTCGGTCGTGGTGGCTGCAGCCACGAGACAGCCTTCTCGAATCGGTCATAGAGTCCGAATCCGAGAGAGGAAGACGGGCGACGGGAGGCTGTGGAAAGGGCTCTTGTGCCTGTGGTGAGCGCAGCGGCCGATGGGAGCTTGGCGGCTGGATGCATTGTGTTCAAGTAGACGGGACGAGGAGGTCGTTCGTCCTTGGGGGACGAGAAATAAGGAAAAGCCGGGTGTGAACTGGGATGTGCGAAAGGTGTGTGTGCGTGTGTGTGTGCAGTAAGGGCAGGAGGGTCAGGAGGAAAGAGGGAGGGTTGTCTGCAGAGACAAATCAGAATAATGGGCAAGGATAAGAGGGATTCAGTGGGATCAGAACAGGATGTGTTGATGGAAGCAATGCGATGTAATGGAGAAGGAGGATCCGAAGAGCAGAGCCAAAAGGGGTGATGGGGGGTGCGACCTCGATAAATGAAATGACGTGCATGCAGGCAGTGTGTATGACAGTCGAATCTGGTTTTGTGGACAGTTTGCTATCAAAATCGTTTTGAATTAACCTCTCTAAAAATGTATTTTAAAAAGAGAAAAAAAGGTCACATATATGCCGTGGCATAGCAATGTCAGCATCCCTTACTGGACATCCTTGGACGTGTCTCTCATGGTACATTCTATGCAATTCAGCAACATGACCACTACAAATCCCCAGAAAAAGCCTCGTACCTCGCGTTTTGCCAAGGCGGCAGCGAGATACCATAAAATGACATCAGCCTACTCACATATTCCTGCTCAGAACAACAAAAAATACAAGTAGGGTGTGAAGGATATTGAGCGCGATATTAAACGGCGATCCAAAGATCTTTGAATTGTGCTAGGCGCGACGACAGAGATGTATCCCTTCTACTTCCAACGGCTGACCCGGTTAGGGTTCCGATGGCCAGAGTCGTTCACTCCTTTGAAGAGCAAGTCCAATTACTCGACATATATCACTATCTTCAGAGGCGCCAGTCCGACCTTTCGCACAAGCTTTCCTATCGCGCTTTTGGGCCTATGATAGGAGTCCCAATTTCGAAGAGTGCTGTCCGAAAAATGGTCGTTGAAGAGGCCAACGTACGCGCTTCAGCCATCAAGTATCTCTCGGGCGCCTGCTACAACATCCATCCTAAGAACCATCTAATTGAGGAGACCCTGCTTCGGTGGCTACAAGATCAACGAGCAAAATGCGTCCTTGTTAACGGCAGGATGGTCAAGGGAGCCTGTATGGCTCTCGTCGATATTCTGGACGATTCTGACGACACTGGTTCAGACGCGAAGCCATCGTTTTCAGCCTCATGGTTCAACACTTTCAAGAGTCACCACCAAATATCCTATTGCCAACTTCAGGGAGAAGCAGGATCGGTCAACATGGACGCGATTGAACCTGAGCTTGTCAACATTCGTGCGAATACTGAGTCAGGATGAATGAACCACAGCAAATTCATGGAATGGCTACAAATGTTTGATGACGATCTCTCCCAGCCGACTCTTCTCCTCCTCGACTCCGCAGGTGCGCACAACAACATCAACATGCGTAATCCAGGGGAAAACATCCCTTGGAAACATCTTCGCATACAGCGGCTCCCAATAAACACGACATCAGTAACGCAGCCTCTCGACGCTGGTATAATCAGTGTTTTCAAACGAGAGTACCTAGAGATTGCTCAGCTATGAAACCTATCTGGTTCGCAACTATGAGGAAAAGAAATGTGTCTCCAACGAACTCGCTTGGGCATTGGTCCCCTTATGCATGGAATCGAGCCAAGCCTGCAACGCTGCGAAACTGTTTCACCAAGACACCAGTCCTCCCGACGGAAATGCGCGAGCAGCTTCGACGACAACCGTCAACCGTTGCGGAACAACCACAGCCGCTTCAATATTCTCAACATGACAAATACGTCGAGCAGGAAAGGCTATATTTCGAGCATCTCCTCGCTAAAGTTGGGCCGGAAAACTGTTGGAGCTTTAGAGTTTTAAGGGACAAGGATGAGTAAGAGATGGCGGTGGAGGCGCAACGACAAGTAGATATGGAGGAAGATGAGGAGGACGATCAATTTGAAGAAGCAGCGAACTCTGCGATCCTCTAAGCTCACCGATCGGAGACGAAGAATGAGGCGGGGCCATCCATACGCTAAAGGGCCTGGCAGGAGGAAATGAAGTGGCGCAACGCTTATGCCTTGCAATTGCCACTCCCTTGCTGTTGCGTCCAACACTCGCCAGTTCAACCTTCCCCGCCGTTGCCACCACTCCCACATCCTCGCCCTCGCCCTACTCATCATCACACGCAATCACACCCGATCATACCTATGATGCATGTCAAACCAGACTGACGCTCAGTTGCCGTCCCAGTGACTTCATCATTTAAGCGAGCGCCATGACCCTCTTCCTTCCTTTCTCATTTTCTATACCGCTGCCCTCACCGTCTCTCTCTCTCGCTATCGCCTCTCTCAAGCCCTTTGTCTCCGCAGGGTAGTATCATTCTACTTCCTTCGTCATTTTTATTTTACTTTGAAGCACTCGTAGTTGGGCTACGGTCCCCTCTGTCCCTGCCAAAGTTCATTGGTTATTATAATCGTTGTCCACTGCCCTTCTATTGGTTGTACAATAACTGAGGTCGGTCGTGTTGGCTTTGGCTACGGTCATGCGACAGTGGTGGCGAGCACAAGTCAAATATAGACTCAATGTTGGTTGAATGATGTCCTATCTAACAAACTTACTGCAGTTTGTTAGAATCCCATAAAATGGAGACAAAAAATATCTCAAGGAGAACGATACCCATGACCCCATTACATTTTTCAGATGGATGGGGTTTGACATTTTATAGGTCCGGAGGAGTGTTGCCAGAAATAACCATACATTCACCAGCAGCTCGTCAATCGCACTTCAAAGATATCGTCTGTTTCAATGCTCAGTCTTCGCTGGCGGACGACATGTGCGTGTTCATGGTTGTGGAGATGGTCTGCACGTTTTATTGCCCTGTGTCACATTCCGTTCCTCATCTTGGCGGGAATCGTGCTATTGGGAGCTGATAACAAGATCTTGGATTTGGGTATCAAAGATATGGTCCACAAGTAGGTGGAGCCAGCCTTTCTCCAAGTTCCAGCTCAACGTGCTCGAATTTATTTGTGAGGATGATATATTATCAGTACGTGTTCGTCGGAGTCGGGGTAACCGGGTTTATCCCAGATCTAGCCGATATATTTATTTCCCTGCACAGAAAGCAGCTTTCGTCTGTTGCAAGAACTGCACGTTGAGCTGGGCTTGAGGAGAACGCTGCGGAAGTCGGGCTTTTTATTTCTGCTCCCGTATTTAAGCGCTCACTTTCTCTTCCACAGCTTCATCTCCTCTTTCTGCTATCCTTCATTTCACTTGTATCCACACATATCGTATACATCCACACATTCCAATAACACAATGGCCAAAGACAGGAAAGACGGCAAATCCGATAGCGACAGCTCATCTGTCAGCGAGGCGCCCGCCAACCAGAAGGATTCCCTCCGCAGCTTTATCTCCACTCTCGCCACTTTCTCTGGAGACCTGTCTGCATTGACCTGCCCTAGCTTCCTGCTGAGCTCCGTCAGTCTACTAGAGTACAGGCAAGTTGTTTTCTCCATTGGGACAACCTATGCCTTAAAAGCACGCCACTTTCTCTCCCTCCAAGGTGAATGAGGATATTCCGTATATTCAATAATAGTTTGTTATGGACTCCTAGCTTTTTTTTCTTGGTGGCAAAGCAAGTGGGACATTTCACACATCACCCACTCAAGTGCATTGCTTATGCTTTACTGGCTGTTGTCGCCGCCCTTTATTACGATCGACCTTCGGCCGACGACTTTGTCGGATGAGGACCACGACTGAAAGTATAACTCAATAAACAAGTACTTTAGGAGTTACAGCCGGGAATGGTTATTAGGGTTCAGGCTGATTTCCTGTTGTCGGTGTTGGCGTTGGTCATCTTCTTGAAGTCCAATCTCAGCCGTATCACGATACTTTCGCTACGACATGCCGATCCTTATAGAGACTCGTTTTTTTTTTGTTTTTTTTTTTTTTTTTCCCATTGCCAAAACTAGTCAATTCTGGGGTGACCATCCAAAGCTATTCGCAGCGATCCCGTCTGGCGAAACCCCTGAGGATCGGTTGCTCAATTGCACGCGCTGGTTCATCTCAACCCTCTATGGCTCGTATTCATCCCGCGCAGGTCAGGAAAAGAAACCGTACAATCCCGTCCTAGGTGAGCAGTACTTCGCTCAATGGACAGGGGATGAACAGACAGGCGATACCATCCTCAGAGCAGAGCAAGTCAGTCATCACCCTCCAGTAAGTAATTTTTTCTGTGTGTTCTCACCAGCCAGACATTTGTTTTGTCCCGGCTGGCGATGTCACTCAATGAAAAAAAGAGAGAGAGAAAAAAAATCCCCCCTCTCTCCGGAATGACTAATAAAAAATAGCAGGAGTGTCATAGCACGGTTGCACAGCGAAGGAGATATTAATCTATGAGGTATTTTATGCTTTAAGATTATGGGCTTCCACCTTGAAAACAAGAACGCTGGCGTTGTCTTGGAAGGGCACTGCGGTCAAAAGTCGCGTTTCGCCATGCCCGCTGGTATCGATGTCTACCAAAATGGACACGCCATGCTGACGCTGCCAAAGTTCAAGGAGACCTACCTTATCACCCTTCCCTCACTCCAGATCCGCAGCATTATCACAGGACGACCAACGGTTGAATTGGCGGGCTCGAGCTACATCGTCAGCAGCACAGGACTTTTCGCCTCGATCGAATACAGCGGCAAGGGATATTTCTCGGGCGAGCGCAACAGTTTCAAAGCGAAGCTTATGCCGATCTCTGGAGATACTCCTTTTTACATAGCCCAGGGTGTCTGGAGCGGCGTGTCGAATTACAGCAACGGAAAGAAGGGCTCCGAGAGCAGATTGTTTTTTGATGCGAAGGCCGATCTGCCGATCGCGCCAGAGTTGAAGCCGCAGACGGAGATGGGGCCGCTGGAGTCGCACAAGTTGTGGTCGGATGTCACGAATGCGATCAATAACAAGGATTACAGTACCGCCTCAAAAGAAAAGTCGCAGATCGAGGACGCGCAAAGAGTGTTGGCGAAGGAGAGGAAGGAGAAGGGTCAGACCCAGGCGGACGCGTTAAGCGTATTTTTGCTCGTGGATGAGGATGCAGATGAGAGTCGTAAGGCATTTAAGGCACTAAAGGGGCAGCTGATAGAGCTCGCGGGTCCGAAGGCACTGAGGGAGGATGAGGCGAAGCCCCACTGGAAATTGAGAACGTAGGTGGGGGCCATTCCTGTGGATGCGTTTCTATAGACTTGCGATAACACGATACAATACAGGCAACCGCAAATTCGGAGCCTGTTGATGGCGGAGTATGTCTATGTAGGTCGCGTTGATCCCCTTGAATACCGATACGCGTCAATTGCACAGCGAACCGATCCCGTTCCTGCAGGTTGGACGCGTCAACTGCTGCGTGGAAAGAGGCGTTCGATAGATATGCCGCCTTTAAATTATTCCCTCCGGAGATGTTCTCCGCCAACGCCTTTGTTCTTCTGCTACTTACCACTGCGGGATACAACGCAGCGTCGATGTGCACTGTATGGTGTCGATGCAGGCCATTTTTGGACGGGACCCACCTCCCTCCCCTATCGACCGCTCGAACCCTGTTTTCAACCAATCACAAACTGGTTTTTAGTGTTCTTGCTCGTCCCCATGGGTATGAGGGGGCGAGAGTGTTTAGTCTTCACGTTCGCCCCCCTCTTCCTCCTCTCTTTCCTTCACTCTTCACTCCCGTTCCCAAAAAACAATTCACTCTTACTCACATACCAAAACACTCTCACATCCTTAAGCGTCCCTGCCCTCTCTTTATCCCCATCCTCATCCTCATGAGCTCCTCCTTTTGTCGAGACCCAGAGGGCTGGGTAAGACTTCGATCGACCTTTGCTTTCCCCTTTGCTTCCCCCTTTGCTTCCCCCTTTGCTGCTCTGGTTTTGTCACTCTTACTGACTATTTGCTATATATATTCGACCATTGTCCGCAACCCCCCATTCCACACCCACAGGGTCCTACGAGCCATGAGCGAGCAGATCTGACCCTTTGCTTCGAGTCGACGTAAGTAGCTCTGTCAACATTAACTGGTCTCTCCTCGTACTTTTCGTTGAATCGAATAGCCAGGCATCTTATCGCTCATAAGAAAAAAGAAATGTAGATAGCTATTCCTGCGTGCTTGCTTGCTTGCCTTTGTGTTGTTGTTGATTTGTGGGAAAATATTCTCTCATTCCAGATTCGACTGTAATTGAATAAAGACGAAGGATCTGGACTGGGGGAACTTTTGCTTAGTGTAGTTGTGTCTGTGTCCGATGGTGTATTGTGCCATCTTTTCTTATTTCTTATTCCCGGAAAAATCGTCCTTAAAATGGGTAAAAGAGAATATGAGAGCAAAGAAAAAAAAGCAAGATTAAATGAGGACTTTTGTGTAACCAAAACACTGAAGGGAGAAAACCTTAACTGCGCGTCAGAGCGGTCCAACTGGTTCGAGACTCCTGAAATAGAGAAGGGTCATTTTATCACAGGGGGTGTACCATATCTAGAACGCGTCGCGTTGCGAAAGCATGCGTTGTGTCTGCGAGGGGAGCGCCGCATCGCGGTTTGCTGTGGGCTGCAAGGGCAACTAACTGTCCTTGCTGATCACGCTACTGCCATGCGATGTCGTCCTATGTTGGTGCTAGGCCACCACGACAGAGGATCGAGGGTGCTACAGCACCAACAATAAAATGAAAAAAAGAGCTGGTGGTTCTGCTGTGGATGCGAGATTTGGAGTTTAAGTGCTCTGATTCGCGTCGTTGTTGCTGAGCACGGAAGGAAACACCTGTGCTATTCTTTATTCACGTTGCAGCGCATGCAACTGTCCCGCCAGTCGATGACAATTTCTAACTATCTATCGCTTTGTTCCCTGCTTCTCTTGATCAAAATGGGTGCTGTCAAACAAAAACAAAACAAAAACAGCATCCTCTTAGGCCTACCCGCCATTTTGGCGCTCATCGCTTTCGCCGCCAGGATCTTTGTCCTCATCACCCGAGGAACCCGTCATGGTCTCGGCAAGACCTGGATCATATACGGCCTCTCTCAAATCCTTGCTCTCGCTGCCGTGGCATCTTTAATCGCTAACGCGGTCTTACTCTCTCAGCTCGCGGATGGGTATTCTCCCGCAGAGATGATGGGGACGGCTCTGATGATCGCCGCCTGGTGTTTAGTCGTGGTCTTGAACAGTTTCGAAGCCGAATATGAAATTCGCGCGTCGCCCTATATCTTTTGTTACAGCTTTGTCTCCATCGTCGCATCCGCCATCTCTGTCAGAACCATGCATGACACCAACCAAACCGATCGGACTCCGTTCAAAGGCTTTGTTACATTCTTGGCTATCAACTGCGCGCATTTTATTGTCGAAGCATGGCCTCGAGGCCGCACCGTAGTACAACGAAAGACTGGCGCGAGTCAGTACGAGAAGGCCAATTTTTTCTCGCGCATCAGCTTCCATTTTATGCAAGACACTGTCGCGTTGGGATACAAGAGACCTCTCCTCCAGACAGATATCGCGACCTTGATGCCGAAACGCATGCAAGCCGAGTTTAGCTTTGAGCGCTTATCAGCAAAATGGGACACCGTCCGGGACAAGCATGCCGTCAAGGGTACCGCACCCTCGCTCATGAAGACCATCCTGACGTCTTTCAAGAACCAGTGGACCGTCATCATGATCCTCCGTATCCTGACCTCTGTCATGACCTATGTCTCGCCTCAGCTCTTCAACAGTCTGCTGGGATTCATTCAATCGTACGCGATGCCCGATGAGACGGACAGAAAACCGGTTTCATTGGGGGTGATACTCGCGTTCGGCATGTTCTTTTGCTCGATCGTGGTGACGTACTTGAACGCACAGCTCCAGGCCGCGACGGTCAACTTGGGCATTGAGGTGCGCACGGCATTGATGTCAATGATCTATCGCAAGGCGCTGAGACTGTCGAACGATGCGAGACAAAAGTCCACGGCGGGTGAGATTACAAACCATATGTCTGTAGATGCGGAGCGTTGGCCGATGAGTCTGTCCTTCTTGCCGATGATCATCTCAGTCCCGTAAGTTTTGTATCTCATCACCAGGATGGCGTGTTCATTAACAATAGTGCAGCGCATCTAAAAGCAATTCCCCTCCTTTTTTCCCTTTCTTCCTTTCCTCCCTAGCATTGAAATCGCTATAGCCATTTGGATGCTGTATGGACTCATTGGCTGGTCCATTTTTGTGGGCTTCGGTGCCGTGGTCTTGATGCCGCCTATTCACGCCAAGCTCTCGGCTTTCTTTGCGACCTTTCGCGCTGCCAAAATGAAGGCCATGGATAGCCGCCTCCGCCTTGTGAATGAGGTTCTCGGCGGAATGAAGATCGTCCGACTCTATAACTGTAATTACATATTCTTGCTGACGCATGTCCATCTAACGATATGGGCCAAGAACAGTTAATGAAACCATTTTTTTATATTTCTTTTTCCTCTCAAAAACAGGGGAGGAGTCCTTCAAGGAAAAGATCGGCGTTGTTCGTCGCGACGAACTCAAAATGCTCAGAAAGTTCGGTGTAGTTTTTTCATGGGTAGGCCTGGTCTTCCTGTCGACGCCTCTGGTCATTACCTTGGTCTCCCTCGCAGTCTTTGCGACCCATGGCGGACCCAACTTTGGACCCGGAGACATCAACCCGCAGACCATCTTTGTCAGCATCTCCCTTTTTGGATTACTCTCCCGCCCCATCAGCGCCATGTCCAGTACCCTCTCCCAAGTCACCAGCATCACCGTCGCCACAACTCGGATCCAAAAATTCCTTCTCGCCGAAGAACTCGACGAGTCCATGATCGAGCGTGAACCTGAGGAGGGACAAAACGATGGTCATCCTGTGATCGAGGTTCAAAACGGCATCTTTGCCTGGTGTCTCGAACAGGCGCCGATCGAAACCGAGAAACAGAAACGCGCGCGTGAGAAGGAAGAGGCCAAGAAAGAAAGAGAGGCGGAAGCGAAGGCACGTAAGGCTGGAAAGCCCCTTCCGGCCAAGAAGGAGCCTGTTGAAGTCAATTACTCGCCCACACTCACGAATATCAGTTTCTCGGTCCCCAAAGGCTCCTTGACCGCGGTTGTCGGACGTGTCGGACAGGGCAAGACCTCGTTGTTGAGCGCCTTGATCGGTGAGATGTATAAACGTCAGGGCACAATCCGAATCCGTGGTCGAATCGCGTATGTGGCCCAACAGGCCTGGATCATCAATGCGACGCTCAAGGAGAACATTACGTTCGGACTTGAGTTTAATCAAGATAAATACGACCGTATCGTTGCTGCATCAGGTCTGTTACCAGATATTGAGATGCTGCCCGGAGGGGACATGACCGAGATTGGTGAGCGCGGAATTAATTTGTCTGGCGGTCAGAAGCAACGAGTGTCATTGGCCCGTGCGGCGTATCAAGATGCGGACATCTATCTTCTGGACGATCCACTGAGTGCGGTTGATGCGCATGTAGACCAACATCTGTGGGAGAACCTGCTCGGTCCCAACGGTTTGCTCAAGGACAAGACCCGTCTTTTGGTGACTCATGGTATTCACCACCTGGAGCATGTCAATCAGATTATTGTGGTCAAAGATGGTCAGATTACGGAGAATGGACATTATGACGAGTTAATGGATGCGAAGAAGGGATTCTTTCAGCTCATTGAGGAGTTTTCAGTGAATGCTCGCAGAAATCGAAAGAAGAAGGCTATGGATGGAGCGGTTCTCGAAGGCGAGGCGGTGGAGGAGGAAGAAGAAGAGGAAGGAGCGAGTGAGACGGCTACGCAGAAGGGAGATAATAAGGAGGTCACGAAGACGCCGCCCAAGAAGGACGACAAGGCTGCGGAGCTGATTGCTGCTGAGAAGATGGTGCTAGGACGCGTTACCTGGGGGGTTTTCGATATTTATCTCCGTGCTGCGTAAGTCCTTTTTGCATCGGGTTCCATTTGATCTGGTGTATGCACAAGAACAACAATGGTGTTTCTGACCTCATTTATTTGCTTATACCGCGATGGAAAAATAGTTCGTACCCTGTTTCTGTGGTCATTGTCTTTGCCTATCTGCTTATGCAGACCTGCCAGGTAAGAAAAAAAAAAAGCATCTTTGGAGGATCACAAACGCGAAAAGAGGACCTTGGTACCAATCTAGCCATACGATTATTATTATTATTATTAGGTCGGCACCAATATTTGGCTGGAGCATTGGACGAGGATATCAGAAAACGGCACTCGCTCACCCGCAGAGTTCTTGGGAGTCTATGCCGCTATCGTCGTCGTCTACATGGGGCTGAACTTCTTCACCACGTACCTGCTCATGGTTGTGGCAGGATTGAGAGCCACTGCACAGCTTCACGACGCCCTTTTGAACGCAATCTTGCGCCTTCCCATGAGGTAAACCACAGAAGATCCTTTGATCTATTGAACGTAGAATTCGCTACGAATTCTTCAATGCGGACACGGCTGACATGGGGTTCTTTGCTCTACTATTCGAAACAGCTTCTTCGACACGACGCCGTTAGGCCGTATTGTCAACCGTTTCTCGACCGACATCTTTGCCACTGACAACACTTTGGTAAGGAATGACGCATGCCGCAGAGCAATTCTTCCTATTAGAGGATCAAGAGCGCGTTTACTAATTCATTCAATCTACTATGTATGTAATACATCTAGCCATGGGGATTCATGACTTGTCTGATGTATAGCGTCTCTGTGCTAGCCACCATTGTGGTCATCGCTTCTACGACCCCGATCTTCCTGGCCATGGTCCCCCCGCTATTTATTGCGCTTGTCTCCATTCAGCGCTACTACATTCGTCCCTCGCTCAGTCTGCGTCGCATTGACTCCACAAGTCGTTCGCCTGTTTATCAGCACTTTACCGAATCCCTTGTCGGTGTCTCGACCATCCGCGCAATGGGCGTTAGTAATACCTTCATTCTCCAGAACGAGAAAAAAGCCACTGTGTCCGCAAACGCCTTCTTCACCTACCAGATGGTCGCACGCTGGCTTCAGATCCGACTCGAGAGCCTCGGAGCCACCATTATTCTTGGCGCAGCCCTGTTCTCGGTCCTGAATAGGGGTTCTTTGAATCCTAGCATGGTTGGTTTGGCCTTGTCATATGCGCTTACGGTCACTCAGGATATCACTCTCCTGGTGCGCTCGTACTGCGATCTGCAGAACCAACTGGTGTCGATCGAAAGAGTTGACGAGTACCTCCGCAAGAACTCCGAGGCGCCCATTTCGCTACCTACAGATGACGACTTGCCCGAGAAGTGGCCTCAGGCCGGACGTATTGAGTTCAGGAACTTTTCGACACGTTACCGCCAAGGTCTAGATCTGGTGATCAAGAACATCACATTCGAGGTTCAGCCGGCCGAGAAGGTCGGTATTGTTGGACGCACCGGAGCAGGCAAGTCATCGCTGACACTGGCACTGTTCCGTATCATCGAGGCAGCAAACAGCCACTGGGCCAAGGCGAGTCATAACGGTGAGGATGAAGACACGATTCCACCAAAGTCCGATGAGAAGAATGCTGAGCTGGAGAAGGTCGAGGTTGAAGAAGATGGTGGATCGATCTGGATTGATGGGGTCGACATCTCAGTCATTGGATTGAGTCGACTTCGCAAACACCTCGCGATCATCCCTCAGGACCCCACGCTCTTTGCGGGCACCGTGCGCGAGAATCTGGACCCGTTCGAGGAATTGCAGGACGCAGACCTTTGGGAGGCACTGGAGCGCGCGCATTTGAAGGACCATATATCGTCACTCGCCGGTGGATTGTCGTTCAAGGTATCTCAGAACGGAGACAATTTCTCTGTCGGCCAGCGGTCCTTGATCTGCTTGGCCCGTGCGTTGCTCCGCAAGACCAAGATTTTGATCCTGGACGAGGCCACGGCGGCGGTGGATGTGGAGACGGATGAGTTGATTCAAAAGACGATCAGGAAGGAGTTCAAGGATCGGACGATTTTGACGATTGCGCACCGTATCAAGACCGTGATGGATTCCGATAAGATCTTGGTCCTAGAGAAGGGGCGCGTAGAAGAGTACGAGTCGCCCAAGTTGTTGCTGCAGCGTGAGGATTCGCTGTTTTTTAAGCTTGCGCAGCAGGCAGGCGAGATTAAGGATAAGGAGGAAGAGGAGGAGGGGCAGTAGTAGTAGTAATAGTAGTAATAGTAATATGTATCAGTGATAGATACCATTCACCACTCGATTCTCGTAGTATTTCATATATACCGTTGACATATTCCTTCGTCTGTTTCCGGAACACTGGTGTTCAGAATCTTATGTGTATTTCGTGCGTAACTTTTCCCTTCATTATTGCATTTAAAAGTTTTTTATGCTACCGCTTCCCATGCCCCTGATACAAATTGAAAGGTGCCTTGATTTATGCCTTTATATTCCAGATCCGTATACCTTAATAGTGAGGATTGAGTCGCTCTCTCTAAAATGATATTCCGCACCAAATTAATGTAACAACTAATATTTCCTGACCCAAGATTTATTATTTTCAATAATTGATCTATGCTGTCCTCAATGGTGTCTCCGCGAAAACATATCGTTGATTTTCTCCCTTCTAGTTCTTGGGTGGAGGCTTGGATGCGAAGGGGGGGTTGGTAAAGAAGGCCTTTGATGCCTCCGTCAGCTTTCGTCCCTGCTCGCTAGCCCTCCATGCCGCGATCTTGGGGTCCTTTGCGACCGTTTCCTTGACCTTGATCAAAGGCTCGGACTTGTTGATGACCTCCATGATTTGCGCTGCCTGTGGCTGCAGCGTGAGATGCTCAATCGCCACAGCGGTTCGGATATCCGCCAAGCTCAACTACCATTTCAAGTCAATTGGTCAAAAAAAGAAAAAAGATTCATCAACAAAGGAAGGGATTCAGATAGGCCTATCCCTCTCGAAAACACAAAACGCTTCACTGTTGTTTTTTTCTATACCTTTTCGCCAACATAATGACCATTGTTTCCATTATCATGCAGGTGCTTCTCATGGGTCTGGATCCAAGTCGGGAGAGTGTTGTTCAAGAAAGCCGCCAGCTGCCTCTCCTTGACATCAGGGCTGCACAAGGTCACACCCTGAGCAAAAGCTGCCTGGAAGAGGTGGGACGAGTTGTGGAACATCTTAATCAGGTTCTCCTCGTATTCGTTGTCGCCGAGGAGAGAGAATTGCTTGGCGAGATAGTGCTCGACGACAATAGCTTCCGACAGTACAAGATCCTACGTGGCGCGCGGGGAAATGGAGTGGGTTTAAATGTAGTTAAGCCAAGAAGAAGCAGGAGAGATTCATGCGTGAGCAGAGTGCAGACAGTTTTAAAAGATAAGAGAATCCTTTTCATAACGGTTCTTACATTTTCGTCCTCGGTCTTGATGTAAAGCACTGGCAAGACATGGAACGGTGTCTGAAGCCTTTCCTGACCCCAATTCTAAATAAAAAAAAAAAAAAAAAAAAACGTCAATTACTGAATGAGGAAACGCGAGAAACTGCTGTAACGTCAACATAAAAAACTCCAACTTACGTCTGGCGATTGCGAAAGGTTCTCCCACTTGGCGCCTCCGTACTCCAACATCTCGCGACTCGTGGTGCCAAGCGCGTTGATGGGCCAGTACAAGAGCTTGAACGAGGCTGGCTTCGCGAGCGACGCGGCGAGTTTGCTGGTAGAGGCACGGCTAAAATGAGCAGCTTGGAGTTGGGCCATTGTGTCTGAGGTGGGAAATGGGGTGTAAAGGTGGAATAGGAGGTTGTTCTGGATGGTAGAGTGGTAGAAAAGGAATAATGAGGATGGAAGATGTGCGGTTGGGGAAGTTTATATAGAAGCTGGGAGTGCAATGGCGCCAAATGACGGGGTGCAAGGGATCTCATTTGGCAACCATTGCCGCCGTGCTCATTGAAATCTGGGCTGCGCATCCGAGTGGGAGAATATGAAGCCTCTGATTTTATTTTTTTGACGCGCTTTACAACAGTGGCATGGAATATCTTTATGCTCATGGCAAGAGCAGCATAGCAAACCTTCAGTCCAGTATTGTTGTGTTGCCTGATAGTAGATAGCAATAAGGTTCGCGCTATTTATTTTTTTGGGAATCCGCACCCAAGCTCCATGCACAATGTCATTGGCTCATATCCTCTCTTTTTGGTGGCAACAAACGACTACCAGCGTGGTATGTCTCTGTCTCTTTCTGTCAAAAAAAAAAAGACCAATGCACTCGTGAACTGGTATTTGACTTTTTGCTTTTTTCATCTCTCTACCATGTACCCGCCTCCCCCGTGCATGCTTCACCCATGAGCTTCACACAGATATCCTACACTTCGGCAGGCTGACATCGCTGTCAACGTCGTCGCTGTCGGTGTCGGTGTGTCGTTGTAAGTAGTGTGGTTGCCGGAGATATCGCTGTCGCTGTCATTGTCAGTGCGGGGTATGCGGAGTGGTATGTTTTTTAAGATGAAGGAACGGTTGGGTCGGCGACAGCTTGACGAAATAGGAAAATGAGATGTCTCTGCCATGGAGCATTCATTCCACTCGGTGTACTTGGTTTCGCAAGCTGTCTATTGTCGCGTACCCGTAAAAAGCTGCTCAAGTTTTCCTATAAGACCTCATGGTCCAGGATCTTTTCGATGAAGGGACTTGAAGGTGGAGTTGGGTTGACATCACTACCATGCCGGGAGTCGTAGTAATTTGGATCGAGGTCACCTTCCTCGTCATCTTTCTCAACCTGATCCTCCTCAACGACTTAGCTCTCCTTGTGCGATAAAAACAAATGCCGGTATTCATCATGGTCTAACGCGAAGCGGACGGATTCAGCAATTGCCTCTGACGGGCCCTTACAATCGTTCTTGTTGAGATAGTGAAGAACTAGAAAGTTTTTCTGGCCTATCACAAATACTGAACTGAAGGTTCGCTATGCTGCTTTAGCTATGAGCTTAAAAGTCTTTATGGATTTGTATTATCTGAAGACAGACTTAGACAATGCTAGGGAGAGCCAGTAACGATATTTCACAAAGCCCATTTCTAGCTGGCAGAGTCGAATAACATGAAGACTCAAGCTTATTATCCGAGGGCCAGGACCATATATGTGTTATCTTCTTTTATTGAAATAAAACGCGAAAATCCAGAAACTACCCGTAAGGAAAAAATGAAATAAATTCTGCTCGTATACCATGAATGCCTACTATCTTCTCAAAGGAGAGCCAGGGCGTGCAGAAATGAACCAGGGTGGGAAAAGAGGGTGGGACATATATGGTCCTGGCCCTCGGATAATAAGCTTGAGTCTTCATGTTATTCGACTCTGCCAGCTATTATCCTTCGGGCCAGGACCATATATGTGGATCCAGAGCAGAATTATGAAAGAACCATCGATGTGAAATTGGTCGCGGTAGCTGCATTCAGTCGATAAAACTTGTCGAAGAGTACGGATGAGGACCAATTTCCATGGACAACAACATCATCCACGCGAGCACCTTGTTTGATCGCAGCCGTAGATCCGATGGCACGGGCCTTGGGTAACTTGGCATCCTTTGGCAGATTAAGCTTACGACTAATGAAAGCGATGTGGTTACTGATGCGCTCAGCTCCGACATGTCGGCTAGGATCCCGGACATCGCGCAGGAGGGGGCGATATCGTATCGACGCGTCTTTGGGATGAGGAACATCAATGTCATGTCCTTGAATGCGTCGGAGGTATTCGGTGAGGGTCTTGACTGGGCACAAGAGAGTATCGTCGTGACTCTTGACTGTGGTATATCTGCAGATACGGTTACTGCGGTGTAGGGGGTCTACTAACGGGTTCTATAACTTCTACCATTAGTTCTATTTACAACGGGAGTTACCACGCGAATAGGACTTCGGCAAGGCTGTGCTTCGGTCACTTACTGGTTCGTGGTGCAGGGTCCTCCTTTAGATCGGAATGTAAGAACACAAAGGTAAAATAGACTAGACGTAAATGGAAAGGAATAAATATGGGGATCTATTTAGCTAAATGGTGCGAGCTAGGACTATATTCCTTTGGGAATGACTGGGGTAGTTGCAAGGAGTTCGCATATTGTGATGTCCGATGAGGTGAGGAGTCGTGACAATGAAGTCCACCCCTCTGGAGTCGTTGTATGCCAATAGTTGCTGATCAGGCCTCCGTTGTACCTTTATAATGCCGTTTCACGAGGGTGGGCCGATGACGGATGCTCAATGAGACGATCGGTAATCGGGGAAGCGCTGCGGGGCAAGTACAATGTCTAAATAAGAGCGATTGACGGCGCAAAGGTGGCGAATGATCAGGATCGGCATTTCCTGTTGATTGTATCTCGTTGCATGGGTTGCTGACGGTGGTAGTCAGTACCTGTCGTTGATGCGGTGTTATCCGGACAATCTGGACGAATACAATGTGTGATACAAATGATTTTGGTGGAAAGAAGACTCTGGTTCAGGTACCAGACCGTTTATTCTTTTATTCTGGGGGCGGTGCTCTTCCCCGTGATCTAATATTAACTTTGCAAGAACAACCAACTGATTCTCATTTACTACACCACATTACCACCTCGTGTCTCCTTTGGGATCAAAATAGGGAGGACAGCCGTGATCCGGTCTAAATGGAACTTATCATTGGACAAGTCGATGCACATAATGTCGTTGGGGCGTAGGAAACCACATGTACCAAGGAGCCAACATAACTTTTGAGTAAGAACCACCGTGCTGAGGCTCTCGTTCTCTCCTTGCTGACGAAAATAGTCGACTACGGGCTTGATGTCGATGTTCAGTTCCTTGGTGTGCTTGATCTCTCGCCGACGTAAAGCGAGAAAGAATTGTTGAAAGTCGGGGTCGTTAAACGAGGACTTGTCGTCGTACATGTGAACGATGGCCGACTTGTATGCTTCGACTGTGGCCGAGGACCAGTTGTTAATCGATACGCCTGAAGCAAGCCAGTTGAGGAGCTGTGCTGGCTGCGGTTCCATAGCGTCCACTCCGCGTGCAGTGGCCCATTTGATGTATCGATCCTGCACACGTGAGTATGCTTGCTGCTTGCGTCTCAGTTCTGGGCTGTCAATGATGATGGATGCTGTGTCGGCGTCCCATCCTTTGGCCAAGAGGCGGCGCCGTTTACCCTCCATGCGCATAACGACCAATGGGGGTTCTTTGCCAGAATGTCTGGCGCGTTTCCCGGTGCTGGAATCACATGATGACGGGGGATCGGGATCGGTTGCGCCGTCGATATCATCCTGACTGTCGGGTACCACACTGCTGACGGCCAGCGTGGTGTCACAATGGTTGCTGAGATCTTCTCCTGGCGGATCTTCTGAAGCACGAGAGGGATCAGATTCCATGGGGGGCATAAGTAGACGTTGCCTAGAGGTCGCCAACGATGTCGAAGAGCGTCGTGTCCGGCGGCGCCTGGCGTGGGCTTCCAGGTCATGTATTGTGGCAACTGGTGGTTGATCGGCGAGGCGAAGAGATCGACGTGGTGGGGTCCCCATTTGCGATCCATTTTCTGAAAGAATGCCTTGCTGATTGACCATTCCAGTTGTCCTGTCAGTCGTCGGGAAGGTGCGTCCGCTGGGTTGAACGCTGATGGGACGTATGTCGTCCGAACCCTGGTGCCCGTTTTCAGGCACCACTCCCATAACGATGTCGCCAGTCTCATCAAGTCCGGTGATCGCGTCCCTCCGAAGTGATTGATGTACGCGATTGTCGTTATGTTGTCGGAAATAATATTCACTGTGCGTCCCTTGATCTCTGGGCGACGGAGGGCGATAAAGACTGCCAGCAACTCCTTGTAGTTGATATGGCGAGATCGATGCTGCTGAGACCAAGACCCGCTGTAGGAGTGTTTGTCGATCACAATCCCCCATCCCGAATCTGACGCGTCTGTGTAGATGTCCTTCTGAGGGTTCGATACAATCCATGAGAGTCCGTTCCATTGTTGGAGGTGGGTACGCCACCAAAGAAGTTCCTCCGTTGCTGCTTGAGGGAGAGAGATCGAGCTCTCCCAGGACGAGCCCGATTTCAGCGCATGGATCTTGGCGGCTTGCAAATGTTGAACCTTGAGACGCGCTGGAAAGACCGCTGCAGTCATGGCAATGGCCTTGCCGATGAACGACGAAAGCTGACGAATTGTGCATGTCCCTTTGTTGGCCAACTTGGATGCCTCGCGTCGTACGTCGCGGATCTTCTGTCCTGGTATCTTGAGGGTCATGGACCGTGTGTCGATCTCGAATCCCAGGTATTGCAGTGTCTGCGAGGGCGTCAGACTGGACTTGGATGCCTTGGTCAAGAAGCCTAGGCTCTTCAGTTTGTGTAGTACCATCTCTGTAGCCTTGAGAGACTGTTTCTCTGTGGTCGCCGCGATAATCAGATCGTCCAGGTACGCCGATATCCGTATCCCTTTCCGCCTGGCCCAGCGTAGAAGGGGCTTGAGGACTTTCGTAAAAACTAGGGGTGCTAGTGATAGACCGAATGGTAGAACCTTGAACTGATAGAGTTGGTCCCTCCACTGGAACTGAAGAAAGTGTCGCGATGATGGGTGAATTGGGACGTGTAGGAATGCATCGCTCAGATCTATAGATGTCAAGTAATCGTTTCGATTTATTAAATGGCAGACGTGTTGAATTGTTTCCATTTTGAAGTGTTGTATTGGGAGGAATTGGTTTAGTGCTCGTAGATTCAGTACTGGCCGTAGGTCTCCTGTCTTTTTGGGGATGACGAACAATGGGCTTGTAAAGCCGGGCCCACTCGTGCATTCGATTGCTCCCTTGGTCAGCAAAGCGGATACTTCGGCGTCGATGGTCTTCATTGCATCCTTCGATAGCGGATGAGGCGGAGAGTGAAACTTGGACACTGGTGGCGGTTTCTCGAACGGCACTTTGTAACCCCCTTCGATGATGGACAGGATGTCGGAGTTGTCGGTAATTCTCTGCCATGCTTCTAAGAAGAGAGTGAGTCTCCCTCCGACTCTCTCTGTGTTTTTCGGCGGCTGCTGCTTCGGCCACGTCGCTGGCTGTCTCCCTGTCGGTGGCTGCTGCTGTCCCTTCGTCGGTAGCTGCCGCTGTCCCCCCGTCGGTTGTTGAAATCCCGGTGAAAAGAGGAATTGTTGTCCCCATAATCGTTGCGGCGGTATCGCTGATTGTTTTTCTGCTGGTTGTTGCTAGAATTAGAGTTGGATCGGTCGTTGCCTGATTTGGTGCTGCCGGTCTGGTGCTGAGATTGAGGAGGTCTTCGGGGTTTGAACGCGTTGGTGATGGTCCGAATGGATTTAATCTCCTCTTGAAATTTGCCTGGGTCCACAATATCCAAGGAGTCCTGCTTGTAAGTGGCGCCCTGTGAGCTGCGCAAATTGTCCATGCGTATGGTGTTGATCCTGTCGGCAGTCGCAGCCAGTTGTTCTCGCATGAGAATGGCAAATGTTGAGCATAGCTCCACCACGTCGTCGGCATCCATGGGTCCGCTGCCTTCCATGGACCAGATCTGATGGAGGAACATGTCGATTGGTCTCGTGAGGTTGACCAGACGCTTTTGGAGGTTGCGTAGCTGGTGATCATGGGCCTTCTGTGGCGGAGAGAGAGGAATGACATTTGGGATCTTGGGAGGTTCGTATCCCATCGCTGAATTCTTGGGGTAGCGGCGGAACTGTTCCCAAAATTCGTCGTCCGGGGTGTCTTGCTGAAAGAAAGATGCGGGGTCTGAAGGCTGGATAGGAGGATATCGTTCAGCTTCCTCTGCAGAAGGATGGTAAGTCTTGACGGAGATCGGTTCCTCGAGCTGAGGGTCTGAGTCTCTGGAGCTTTGAAGAATAGCGATCTGGCGGGCCATATTGGCCACCTGTTCTTGAAGGTTGGCAATAGTGTTTGCATCTTGTGTGAGAGGAGTAGACATGGAGTGATTTTCTATGTATGCGGGTATGTCCCTGGCGAAACAAAAGAAGATAGTAGGCATTCATGGTATACGAGCAGAATTTATTTCATTTTTTCCTTACGGGTAGTTTCTGGATTTTCGCGTTTTATTTCAATAAAAGAAGATAACACATATATGGTCCTGGCCCGAAGGATAATGACTATATATTATTAACTTGAATAGAATGCGAATTTCCATTTCCTCATAATCATGACCAAAAATGGCCACGTTTATGAATGATCATTGTACAGGAGTATTTTCTTGTGCATGCATCCAATTGCATGGTTTAGTGACCAAATCTATTCTTCCTGGTCCGCGCCGTCGGATGGAGCGGTGTGGGAATAACAGTAGATTGACCCCTTCACGAGCGCTTTACATTCATCCGTAGCTCTCCAGGCAGCGATCTCTGGATTCTGCTCCACCGTCTCCTTGACTTTCCACAACTCTGTGCACTTCTTAAACTCTGCCGTGATTGCTTCGCCAGATGGTAGGTGCGAGAAGTGATCCATCACGTTAGCCAAGTGAATATCCGCCAGAGAGAGCTATGAAATGTCAGCAATCCAAGCATTCAAGCAACAAGTACAACGAAAACGGTGTAAGATCTCTGTCCTCAAGTATTCTGTATAGTCATTCTTCGTCCAGAAAGATGTCTGTACACGGCCTTGCCTTGTCCCCAACGTAATGTCCGTTTGATCCATTGGCCTTCAGGTGGAATTCATGATCCGCAATGAAAGTTGGCAACGTCTTCGTCATAAAGGTCTCCAGTGCGACCTTGCGCTTGTCCGCGTATGTCCATGTCACACACATGAAGGATCGCTCACGAAGGTAATGGATGTTGCTGTAGAATGCCTTGATAGTAATCTCTTCCCACTCGTTGTTGCCCAATAATCCGAACTTCTTTGCGAGGTAGTGGTCAATGACGATAGATTCTGACATTACGACCTCCTAGTTCAATGGCGAATTAAGAGTGTTTAATAAACATAGGTAGATCAGCACTCGCTGTACTGACATATCATGAAAGCTACACAGATGCCATCAATGCTTCACCTTGCCACCTAGGCCGGTAACTGTCAACACCGGCATTACTCCGAACGGTGTGGGGAGCTTTCCAGCTTGCCACTCATCGTCCTGTAGTGCATGAGTATAGTCAAAAGTGCAGCAATGTTTTGTTAGTCTATTACAAAAGCATCAAGGATAAGGTAGGGACGGTATCGACGCATAGAACTCACAGCGGGCAACCGGTTGCTCCACCTGGCCTTTCCATACGTCAAAATATCGCGGGATGTGGCTCCAACAGAGGCCACATCCCAGTACAGCAGGCGATATGAAGCACCTGGATCAGCCAATATCCTTGCATTCTCCTCCGAAGACGTGGCGCCGATGAAGGATTGCCTCGCAGTTGTCGACATGATTAGAATCTTCAGCTGTTCCGTAAAATGTCTTGTTGCTGCTGAGGACTCGCGGTGGATGGGACTGCGGCTTGAGGTGGGAGGGTGAGAGGTATGAGGGAGTATGGTATAAAAGTGGTGTTTATATACGCATTATCGAGGTGCAAGACAGGTCGTGAGAGTTTTATTTCACAACGCTGGGACCTTTTTGTTGGACGAATTATAACGGCGTATGGTCTATGTTGGCCGAAGATCGAGCCTCGTCGGATGACGGTTTCTACCAACAAGGTGTGTGTCTTGAAGATGCTGACTAAACCCGAGCAAAAAGCAGGAAGGCATGAAGTACAAGGCAAACATGTATCTTATTTCTTCTAGCTGACAATTTTCTATCTTTTCTCGCTCTTTACAGGATCTCCTCGTGGCAGACAACACCCTCGGCTTCAATGGCCTTGATGAGCGGATCGTTGATGTCCGAGGACATGGGTGCGAGGACGCCGGGCTTGTTGATCACGCCATCCAATACCAACTGGGTAGCAACCCCGCAGGGCATGCCGACCAAGCGGGCCATAGCACTGGCGCCCTCGGGGTTACCGTATTCAAGAATAGTAGATGTGCGGGTTTGCTGTTAAAAAAAAGGAAAAAAAGGGAAAAAAGCGTTAATCCGCTGCATCTTCACAAATGATATACAGAGAACATCTTGCACGACAATGATAGCTTATGTTACCTTGGTACCGTCCTTGAGCTCGACCTCGAAGCGGTGCTGGAGCATAACCATATCACGCTCGCCCTTGGCATACATCATCTTGTCCTCCAAAGTCGCGCACAGCGTGTCGAGATAGTTACCGCGGCGGTGAACAGGCGTCGTCGAGAACATACCGAGCCTGATGATATCCAGAAAATTTAGCACGGGAAGTTGTTACTATAAAGTCGCATGTATTTCTCTTGCATCTATGAAATTATGCACAAGAACATACCACTTCATGCCCTTGATAATGCGCTCAATCTCTGCTCCCTTGATCGAAGACTTTTCCTTAATCAACTCAACAAGGTCACTACAAACAACGAGCAAAGGAAAAAAGAGGTCAGCCATTACTTCATTCAAAACCAGTCAACTTTGTATCCCTGCCCCGATTGCTTGCTCACTTACGCCTCAGCATTGCTAGAAGATCCAAGACGTTTGGCGAGAACATCATTCTATCAACACCAAACACCCAAATGTTGACGTATGGTTGGTTAGAGTTGCATGACACACGAGGAAAGATGACTTAAAAGATACCTCCCCCTCCCCATAGACATGGCAGTCATTCGTATTCCGTGACTTACCCATGCAATCTCGGCGGCATTGGGAGCCAAAAAGTCCTGAGGAGCATCCTCCAAAAACCCAATATCGACCAAAGTCTTGACAAACTCGGGGAATCCAGCATAGCGGAGGGTACCACGGAGAATGGTTTGGGCCTCAGGGATGTTGTAGCGCTCCTTGTAAGGGGTCGAGTCGCGGTTGGGGTAACCGACAAAGGCGAATGCGGGGTAGATGGGAATAGGCTTGGCCGAGTTCATGAGATCATCGCCCGAGTATTCAACAACTTCGCCATTCTCGTAGAATTTGGCGTTGTTCTTCAAGGCTAAGAGAACTCCGCGCGACGACCACGAGAACTTGTAGCCGAGAGGGTTGTTGGAGGCCTCAGGGGCGGGGAGACCACCACAGTATGACAAGAAGGAAAGGACCTAAAGAATTGTTGAGGAAGTGAAATCAGAGATCCGGATCAGGCGCAGTCAAGAGCCAAGAAAGGCTTGTCAAGGATACATTTGGGTCGCTTACCTTTCCACCCTCGGCGTGAACCTCGTTGATGGTCTTGAGAGCGTACAAGTGATCGACACCAGGGTCAACACCAATTTCGTTCATGACAACAATGCCGGCAGCCTTGGCACTATTTTGATTCGGAAATAGGGACCAATAGGTCAGACTCCCTTTTCTTTCCCTCGTTCAATGATATTCGAAGTGATGGCTAGATCCACTTACGCTTCGTCGTAGGCCATCATGGCGGGAGAGACATAGGAGGTGGTGACAACATGAACCTTGGCCTTGATGGCTGACTTGATGACCTGAGCATGGTGGGTGTAGGGGATCAAGGAGATGACAAGGTCGTGTTCGGCAACAGCGGCATCCAATGCAACCTCGTCGCTGACATCGAGGGAGATGGCGGTGGTACCGGGATAGCCAGCAGCGAGCTCCTGGGCAATGGTAATACGTCTGGCAGCTATGGATGGGCAGATAAGGCGAGACAGAGGATGTTAGATCGAGAGACCGGTCAGGATGGGTCATCTTAGGCGGAAGATGGATCTGATACCGATAGATCAAAGAGAGACACGCTAGGTCAAACATTTGGTACTAGCGTCGTCCCTAATGACGAACGAAAGGGACAAAGAACGTAGGGTTTTGTGACGGGTAGCCCCCAGTCGAGCCAAGACAAGAACATATTCATAGTAAAGTCTACCCACGGTCTGGCTCCTTCCGCTGCAGACAGCAAACAAGGTTTGGATTGGAGCACCAAAGAAATTTTGCCCGACTCATTGGCGATCACACATCTCCCCAGGAAAGATTTGATCCTTTTGAAGATAATCGACTGAATCATCTTCCGTCCCCCCACACATACGCATATATCCATCCTCTCTTTACGTCCATATTCTCCAGACGAGTCGCTTCACTCTCCGCTCTTCCAATGCCTACATAAATTACACCCTAAAGATCTATCGAGATCCGTTGTCGCTGATTATCAACTGTAAAAGCGCCACTAAAAAAAGAAAAGAAAAAGAAAAGATCTTCCCTCCTTCCTTCCTTCCTGGGTCTATTCTGCGAAAAGAGCAATTGAGAGACGAGCTCTTTACCGATGGTGATCTTATTCTCTGAGCGACGGCAGAGATACTCAAGGCAGGGCTCGGCGACGAAGCCGGATCCGAGAAGCAAAATCTTCCTATATGGTGGGAATAACATGACGTCGAAGCAAAGGGGGATCAGGTAACGCGTTAGTTCCTGTTGCATATGATGAAGAGCGCGTCAAATGATCACTTGGATAAACAGGATGAAAGAGCCGCTTCCTTACTTGACAGCCATTGTATGTGATGATATGATGTGAAAGGGCGGTGAAAGGAGGGAGGAGGAGCACAAAGGACGTGGACTGGCCGCCTTTTTATGGACCGAATGATTGGGGAACAGAGCAGTCCATTAAGCCACCGTGCCACCAATCTTCTGTGGCAACCTCAGACAACGCCCTTTGTCCACAGTTCTGCTTGTTGTTCATTCCAATTCTCGCACAAGACTCGATTCACCATGGCTGTATGTTGTCCAGAAAGAGACAGAATTGAATAAATACGCGGACTAAGGACATGAGGGAAACTGAGCAGCTTTATTAAAAAAAAAACACACACACACATTCCTCACTAGGATTCAATCAGAGCACACGTTGACATGGCCGCCAGCGGTGCAGATCAGTTTGTCGCCCTTTACTACAAAGTCTTTGACAGTCAGCGTGAGGTACGACGATCGCCCTTCTTATCCCTTGGGATGCTTCGTTCGCTCCCAATTACCTGGCAATGGGCTGTTTATCCCAGGACATATTGCGTCTCCAGCTTCTGACCCACCTTGCTATTGTCTATTTACAGGTTCTAAATCGACTCTACAGGGACAGCTCAGCGATTCTCTGGAATGGTATTCAGCGCTTTTCTGGATTCGGCTGCAACAGGAAGTACTCTGAGGCATGTCTATTAACGACTGGACATAACTCGTCTTCATAGGAAACGCATTCGCGGGAATAAAGCCTTTCTCTGAATTTTACGACAAGTTGCCCAAGAGCGAACATTCTGTCGAGTCTTACGACTGCCATCCCTTGCCAGGTACGGAGGATGGGATAATTAACAAATCTTTTTGCTTCAGCCACATAGGAGCTATTATCTAACTCGCTTTTAATATATTTCCATCTATTAAATAGTACGTGGTGCGACCGGGCCGAACGCACCATGCGGTATCATCCTCAACGTTACTGGCACTGTACAGTACAGCAACGAAAAGAAGAAGCGGCTCTTTTCACAGTCGTTCGTCCTGAGCCCCGATTCGACCAATGGCAGCTTCTATGTCTGGTCAGATTGTTACCGTTTCGTTTAAGAGGTTCTTCAGCAGGCACAGGGACAAGACGATAGATCAGGCAGATCTAGAAGACGACAATAATTTTGTATAATACCATGGAGAATAAACAACGCAGATGGATGAATCGTAAAAATCGACGGCTTTTATTACGGTACAGTCATTTTTTAAGCGGCTCGAGGCAACCCAGAGTGGAAGATTCATGCAACTGTCTCAGAAAGCGTAATCACCCCATGAATCTAACCAAGCATGCAGAAGGATCTGTTCAGTCTGCGTTGTCCAATCCTTTCTTCCGTATAATCATTTTTTTATGGAATCGAACTCGTTACCATCCGTGATGCTATGCCAGAACTTGTAGAGCAATGCCATGGACAAGAGGTCAAATATCGTCGAGAACACGGACCCGCTGACACGACTGCGTGCTGTTTCCGCGATTTTAGAACTCGCACCAAACAGAAGAATTTGGCCGACTGCGAAACTCATCAGCGCTATAACTGCCTAGACTATTGATGTTGTTAGAAGTAAATTCAGCCAAATGTTCCTTAAAATAAAATAAAATAAAATAAAATAAAATAAAATAAAATATATAGACCATTTACGCAACGGCTTACGCTCATCCAGTTTTCGAATTACCAGAATAATGACCAGGATCATGTATAGTAGCGCCGCAGCGGCTGGGAAGACGGTCGTTAGAAAGAAGAGTCCTGGACTATGCCCATGGTGCGATTCAGTGATATCCATGGCAAGATCCAGGGATAGGAAAGTGGTTCCTGTCATCCAAACAATATTAGTGCCTACCACAAACTAAAAATTGCTTCGCCCAGTGTTAGATTTTAAATACGCTTATTCACATCCAGAGAATCGTCCTGGTTGATGCAACATGCCTGGATCATATATTTTGTTCCGTCAGCGACGAACTGAAAGACTGTGGAAGAATGACACAGGTCAGCTTTTTCCATCGTCCATGTCCATCTTCGCTCTCAATAGCACATGCCGATTTTCTAACGTACGGATTAGAGCGTTGATGATCAGGGTCCAAAAAAAACACACAATCGTACCCAGGTGCAATGCAGAAGTCCAGACCATAAACATCCTACTGTCGCCCCTGGGAACAATGCTCCCGATCGTAAAGAGCTGCAGCAGCAATATAATGGTAAATATCACGAACAGCAGACTCATCTCGGTTCTCCCTGAATTTGAGTATCAGTATCAGCAAGGTATAGTCTTGTTGGGATCATTCTTGTTCCCAAAATGATATGGATGGGGGTTCTTTATCCACAGCCATGAACATACGGCTGGCCTTGCAAGCTAATTGCTGTACGATAAAGATGATCCCCAGGAGAGAAATAACGAATGTGCCCAGATCCCGAGATAGTAAGGAGCATCGACCCATGACCGATTCCTGCAGAGTGTTGTTCAAAAGGTTGCATGTTGCAAGCGGTACGCAGGATGAGAAGCATAGCGCATTGTAATCGCCGAACCACGATGACATTTTCGGGAGACCCTTGCTTCGTCAGTAGGCACCGTCTTTGGATGTCGCCCTTGGAGCGCTGTTGCCAGCTCCTTTCAGAGTAAAAGCCGGACCTGGTTGCTGTCAAGTTCTGGTTGAGGTTCCTGCGAGACCTTGTGGTGAGTAGCAGCAGATATTCAATGGTTGCGCAAGGAAGAAAGTAAGAAGCGGAATACAGAACACAAAAAGAGTTCCAAGAACTGAACTCGAAGGAGGGAGGAAAGGTAGAGGCTACAATAGGAGGTTGTCGATAAAAGATTTTTTTTGTGAAGACAGCTGTGGTGGCGGTCGCTGTAGAAGTGAACGGTGGGAAAAAAAGGGTGGGACATCAATGGTCCTACCATGCTCCGTCTAACTATGGGTGGTAGCTCTATAACTAAAGGAAAAAATGGACAGCTGTCCTCGTCCATGCCTTGTACTGCTTGTATGCTGCTGTATGCTGTAATGCCTTTCTCCTTTCTTTCTGGCGCTGCTATACCGTCTCTTTTGCATCCCATCCTGATACTAGCTGACCTGACTTGGCTTGTTATCGTTGACTGTTCACAGCAATGCTATCGGACATATTCTTATAGTACATACTATTTATTATTATTGAACACCAGCAGCTCCCATTCTAATGATCTCGTCGAAGGTGCAATATCTATACATAAGTATCCTGGTTTTGGTGCTGCTGCGGATTGTCATTGTTGTAGTATTTGTTGCTCTGACCGGAATAATTCATGCTCCCTTGAGTCTGCGTCCGGCCCATCGCCTTGTGGCCATGCGTCGATTTTGGTCCGTCAAATCCGTACTTCCCAGAACCATAATCATTCGACACCTGCGTAGGTGACGTAGATGTGTATTGCAGGGCAGACGAATCCTTGTATCCAACGCGTGGTGAAGGCTGGTGTTGAATCGCCTGCTGAGGAAGAGGTGTCGTCGGCGTTGTCGGGGTTGAGTGTTCAGGGCTATGATGATCGCTGCCATTTTGGAACGGATCCTGATGATGTTGCTGTTGGTTTCCACTCCTGCTTCTACTCTGCATCTTGGGGAAATTCACCGGCGGCAAGTGCAGCGCCTTTTTGTCCTCATATTGAGTTGCCTTTCCAGTGCTCTTGTAGCTATCCGTTTGATGCATCTTTGCCAACTCGAGATATGAAGGCTTTGAACCTGCGCCTCCCGCATTGCTTCCGGTGTTACTGTTGCTGCCACTGCGGCTGTAACTGTAAGGATCTGCGGATCGGTCGGCTCTGTAGCGGCCAGCAACGAAAGAGGTCATATCCTGGGCGCCATATACCTTAGGACCTTGTGCTGGTTGCTGCTGCTGAGATGGGGGCGAACTGATGCTGTACGTGTCGTCATAGCGCTGCGTAGCCGACTTCGTCAGACTTTGCTTCTGATCATCGAAATAATCATCGACGAGATCGTCGGTTCCCAGAACATGCTGTGAGTGGTATTGTTGATTCTGCTGTGGAGATTGTGCACGGCTACTGGAATCGTAAGGATCTGCTCCCAGCACCTGGAAGTGATTGTTAGATTTGGATCCCTTCCTGACATGTTCCATTTCAAAGCTCTCCATCTCCTGTTCCTTTCCGTCATGGCCATGGTTATCACGCTGCGAATGGAGGGACGATTTGCCGCGGCTTGGCTGCTTGCCCTGACCAGGGCGACGGCCTCCCTCTTTCGAGCGGCCGGTACTGCGGCTGCCATGCAAGACCTTGTTGCTCAGAAGCTTCGTAGCTACGTCTGGAACGAGTACAGAGACGACCTTGGAGCTGAGGACTGGGTTCTCAAAGTTCATGACCAGTAGGTTGCCGTTTTTGCCGCCCTTGAACAGATGTCTCTCGTTGCGAGCAGAGCCATAGTCATAATAGTCGATCTTGGGGTCATAGTTTCTGGACAAGAACAGCTTGAAGAGTATGGTTACAATTGGCAGGGGCACGACCACCAGTGAGTGTGTGTGGGCGCCCTTGAGGTTGAGGACACCGATCATGACGATCTGAAAGAGGACTAGCGCAGCGAGAAGGCGGTTGTAGACCACACGGAACAGACGACCTCCAGTCTCGATCCTGGTGCGGAAGACGTACATGAGCTGGTACTTGTAGACGAGTGAGGCGAGTGAGAAATAAACCACCGCAAAGAAGAGCACCAGGGGCGCGATCACAGAGTAGAGCAGTGCAACCGTCAGAAGGAACATATGGACGGAAAAGTACAGAGGAAAGTCGAACACATCAGGCTTATTCATGGCCTTGCTCTCGCGCGGGGTGAGAGTGGTTTTGAACCAGTAGAGGACAAGAGAGACGAGCTGGAAGAGGTCTAGCAGGGCTCCAAAGTTGCGGAGAGAGATGTAGTTGACCCAGAACAAACTGGTGTCAATTACATTCTTGGAAAGTAGCTCCACAATGTTGTTATGCTCGCTAATGAATTTCTTGATGTCCTGCCAGGTTCCATCCGAGAGGCTGAAGTTGCTGAGGGTTGCCTTGATCTGGGCAAAGAAGCCGACGATAGTACCAGCGAGAGCAAGAACGATAAGGTTGTTGAGGGTGAAAAACAGGTAGAACTTTGCGAGAGTCGATCTGTCTGTGCTGGACTTGGTGATGTTGCCCTGGAACCATGCCAGGTAAACAATCAGCTTACGGATCAATAGAAACAGGACATCCATGAACAGGACAGGCAACAGTGATTGGACCAAGCTGGCAACGAACGTGTGCTCCTCAAAGTAGGACTTGGAGGCTGGAATCAGTCCGACGATGCTCTCAAGCTTGGCGATGGTGGACAAGAAACTCATCGGGATGAAGAAAAGGAGCGAAAATACCACGAATGCGGTGTTGACGATGATCCTGCGTGTCTTGCGCAGCTGCTTCGGGTTGGCGACATTGAACCAGATGATGTCTTTGGGAATTGGCGAGAGGAACAGCTCAGGAGGGTCGATCATCTTTGAGCGCTTGCGCAAAGTCGTCGCGCTGGACAGCTCCTTGGCAACGCGATGGGCTGCGTGGATGGTTGCATATGACACGAATCCATAGTTGGTAGGCCGAGACTTTGAGACCTGGTGGCGAGTCATCTCGATCTGGTCCGTGAGTTCCTCGATCTGCTGAGAATAATAGTCGATAGCGTCCACCTTTTTCGATCCGCAGAAGCCGCCAACCTTCACCGTCGGCCGCTTGGAGGGCAGTCTGTTGGGGTCTGGGAAGAAAAGTGTACGGGCAGGAAACGTTAGTACCTAGTTCGCTCTTCCAATAAACCTGGATCGAGCTGTAAAAGAGCAAGGACTCACCGGCATAATACTTGGCAACGACCTTCTCGAGCGCCTTGACCATCTTTTTGTGCTTGTCCATCAGCTCCGGCAGCTTTTCAATCTTGCGTCCTACGAGCGCCTGCACCGGCTTGTCGCTGAGACCCATGTCGTTCATGAACTTGAGCAGTTTATCGTCGTTCTGAAGAGTCGAAGGCAATCCTGCGAGCATGATGGTTCTGGACGCCACGTCCTCCTGATATGCCTCGCTCTCAAAGTATCGGATCCTGAACCCGAGAAAGGTCTTGTAGTTATGTAACATGGCAATGTACATGATCATGCTGAAGACCCAAACGCCTCCGACATGGGCCCAGAGCCACCTGAGGTCGCTCATTCCGGCCATGGTCAACATAGAGACCTTGTCTGTAGAGGCCTGGTCTGTAGGCATGTTGCGTTGTGCTCGTAATGTGAAAATAATGTTGATGGGGATCAGAGCACCACATCCGATGACGGCCATAGCGAGGAAGATCTGTCGACACATGCGTACAAAGCGGATAAAGACCACCGCATCGAGTCCAATTTTCTCGACTAGTACTTCATCCGGGCAGCTCCAGACAGGCCGCATCCATGAAAAGTAGCCCTCTTCTAGTCTTGGTGCGCGTTTACTGCAAAAAAGAGAATAGGGAACTCCAGTTAAAATATCGATCGACCAGCTTACAAAAGGGATAGCCGTACTCGCGGATGCTGTGTAAAACGGTGCTTACTCTTGTGGTGAGGACTTGTATTTCCGGGCATAGATGACTATGTGGTAGATGGAAATGTATCACAGGGTGTCAATCACATAAGCACGGAGGTTTAATCGGGGATTGAGTAGAACATAAACGAGACGACCACACTAGACAGGTTTGGCACACTCTACTTAAACACTAGGCTGTTTCTCTCCCTCCCGCCTCTTTCCCTCACAGACTAAGGGCGGACTTTACCTCCATTCCTGGGTCTGAGCCAGCAAAAGGCGCCAAGAGTGATGAGAGACAGGGCAACGTTGGTGCCCAAGTTGATGGCCAGAGCAATAGGCTGCTTGTCGTTGATGGCAGAGTCTGGATTGTAGATACTGGACATAATGAATGAGAGCCGGTAATAGATGCAGGAGACTTGTTCCTATTCCTCTACTCTCAATTCCTCTCTAGAAAAGAAGAAGTGGTCCTGAGGTGATTTGGAGAAGGATAAGTGAGGTGATACTACAGTTAAATGTGTGAGGAGGGGGATGTGGTCGATCACAGCGTGAGGTGAATAAGACGAAGTAGAAAATTAAAATCTGAGACTGAGACTGAGACTGAGAAGGTGAGGCGGTGGAAGTTTCAGGTACGGGGGAGAAGAGTGTCCCTGAATATGAAAAGGGAAATGAGATGAAAGAAAGAAAGTGATGAATGAGAAAAGAGAGGGATGATGACAAACAAATACGAGGAAGAAAACAAAGAGGGCGAAGGAAGAAAGATTGAACGAGACAAGAAAGTAGTAGAAAAAATAACATGCACCAAAGTGGGAAGGCTATCTCATATAACGCCCACTCCCAGTAGCACAATTTATTTTATCAAAGTGCAATCGCCCCTGGTAACAAAGCTAAATTGCAATTGGACTTTCTTCCTCGTTCCGATGCGCTACATGTACATGCCAACCAGTCGTTTGGTGCAACTACGTAAGGATTTGACAACGATAGTCATGTCATTGACATCCGTATGGTAGTTGATAATGGAAACGTCCGTTCCCAAGTTTTGAGTGTTGATATGCTTAGGCTGCTTTAGCAACAGCTTCCGCTGGTCTAGCCGGTTCTATGACGAAATTCGCGATGATGGCAAACAATCATTCAAGCCTAGAGAAAAACAAGGAAGGTAAAGGTGTCCCAGAACAGAATAAAACTTCGTCTAGTATTAGTGGTAGCGAAAGTGGTAGCCGTGAAGTGTTGTCATGGACTTGTGTTCCCAATGATGCAAAGCAAACGTAGACTCACCGAGTACGAGGAGCATCTTTTCAGAATGAATAAGTGCGGGAAAAAAGGAAGAACGGTCAGGATGACAAGGATTTCGAGCAAGGTGTAACATGCGTCGTCGCTCAACGGAATGAGGAGATTTAGATCGGAATATCTCTAAGGGCTACTGGTGTAGCAGACTGAGTCGAAGACTGAGGGACGGGTGACCATGCATGCATGTAGAGCACTGCAGCCACGGCTAAAAAGGCACCAGCCCCACGCCCCGTTTACCGGAGTAAGGGAGGACCACAACTCCAGAACTAATTTCACTTCCTGGGCGCAAGCTTTATACGAGAGCAATTGCTTTAGTGCACTACGCCCGATACGAAAAGCGTGGATGATTGTGAGCATGGCTCTGACGGAACGATGGGAACAAGGAACAAGGTTCAATTGCGATATGTGGGCTGTATTGAGCTTCATTGAAGAAATTATAATCCGGCTACATATGCTCGTACGCTCGAAAGAGGTTCCGGGCCGATTAAGACGTTCGTGAAGAGAGCCATACACTATTGGTCATTGATCTCAAAGAAGTGCCTTCAGTTTTGATGTAAGAAGAGAAAAGGCTATTTATTCGCATCCAACAGATCTGCTTTGTATTTCTATCTTGAGTTGAAGTGAGCATACTCGCTCAAAATCCGCCGGCACCAGCCATGTTCTGCGACTCGCGTTGCACGCGTGCGATGTATGTTCGTGAAACGATGTTCCATGCCTCCATGTACCGATCCATGCACTTGGAGACGCAAGCCTTGAGTTCGTATCATCAAAAACGTTTTCCAAGTAATCGTCCAGTTCGTTCAGTTCAAATACAGGGAGCAAAGGAAACATTCGTAGCGGTTAGAGAAGCCCATAGCAGACAAGAACAGATAGCAATTGAGACTGACCTGTTCACCGCTATCCAGACTAGAGCCTGGCTTAGGAACACATCTGGCGAAGCACTTCTCATTGATTTTCTATATCATCCAGCATACAGCGCAATAAAGATGCAGACCGTCAGGAATTACGGAAGAGAGAAGTCAATTGGAGCAAACCGTTGAGAAGGTCATCGAGGCAGAGCTCTGGACATTCATGGTAATAGTGACCGCACATACGTTGATCAGCTCTTGGGCATTGGCGAGCGCGAGTTCGCTGCGAACCTGATCCATGACCTGCTGCTTCTTGGCGTCCTATTGTCAAATGGCCTGTATGTTAATCCTCCTTCCGTTGTTCGATTCTGTGAATGCAATTGTTTGTGATCCGAAGGCACTAGAGTCGGTACCAGTGCCAGACGATATTGCAACGCACCATAGAACCGCTGCCGTAGCTTCCGTAGTCAGACATGTCGTATATGTGGGCGAAGTTTGAGCTGGTGGAAGAGTGAGGAAGATGGTGGTGTAGACTTGGCCTCATCTACACGTGACTAGTTTTGGAGGTATCTCCCACCGCGGTCATCCTTCCCTTGCATCATCAACGTTTCGCCATCGACTCAAGGATAAGTCCATATACCATCGCTGGGGAACAATACTAAACAGCCATGGCGCCACCACGAATGCCTCGACCTTACGAGCTGAACCCGGACCTGAAAGCGACGCTTCGCGTAGAGTCATTCCAAGTAATTGATGGCGAACTGGGACTCAAAGCAGCGATGATTGCAGCACCGGAATAGCGTGTGGTCTTTGGTCATTCTCATATTGACATTAAATATCCATGTAAACGGTAGGGCACGTTCAGCTCAAAGGCGTTTATCGAGAAGCTGTCGAGCGGAATTATCGCCACGCGCATCAAAGAAAACTCCAATACATTCGACCCAAAGCCGTTTATCCGCACTTTCGAGAGCTCGCTGGAGGAGCTTGAGAAGCTGGCGAGCAAGATGCAGAAGCACACAATCGAATTAGAGCGAGAGACACAAAAGGAAGAGTTGGCGTTCAAGAAGCAAGTCAAGGAATTAGGCCTTGGTTTTGATGTATGCCATGTCAAATGATAAGTAGGTTTACTAATATGGACTATGGCTGCAATATGAGCGATCTAACATAGCTTTTACTGGAACCATAGGATGTTCAATCAAGTTTGGAGAGTCTAGAGTCTCGTATTAGCGAAGTTGGAAGCACAGCAATCCGTATCGGTACGGCAATGGCAATCGCATACGTGTGGTACTCAGATGGAAATGAACGCTGACACTCAGCTCAACTTGCTCACTATTTGTCTTAACTTACCTAGGTGAAAAACTGGAAACGGCTGATAGTCAAAGAGCGAGAGCGGTTCTATCAAAAAAGCTAATGGAGTACTTTATGCAGTTCAACGAAGGACGGTGTCCGACTCTGGAATCGCTCATGACTCAGCAGGGACTTGATGGGCAGATTGAGGCAGCAAGGATTCTTAGACAGCTTGCTATTCTCGCCAAGGAAGTAGACCTGCCCGACACACAGGTGGCGCGAGAAGGGATTGAAAAGTTCAGGGAACAGTTTGAGACCGACATGTTGTCCTCCTTCGACAAAGCATACAGACATGCGGATCCCAAGGTCATGGCGGTAAGGGCACACAGGCCGCTGGGCACAGCAGTTACTAGACGATACCGGAGATTGGAGCATGTAGCTGACTAAGACTTCTTATCTTCTTTGCACCATTTTTTAGCATTGTGCCAAGGCGTTGCTAGAATTCAATGGTGGACATTCCTGCGTACAAATTTACGTCAATCAGCACGATTTCTTCATGTTGCATTCCAAAGTCAATGAAAGTACGCCTGTGGAAGGCCCAGACCAGTAAGTTCTTGGTCTTTCTGTATCTGTCAGCGTTCTACATGGACATACAATTTAGTCCGCATGTTAATTTACCATTTTAACCATAGAGAGAACCTCGCAAATCCAGTGGCGGCCATCCCACCAATTGACGCAGGCTTGATCAAACTATACGACGACATTCGCACAACGGTTGAGCAAGAAGCAGAGATTATTTCGATGGTCTTCCCAAACCCCGCAGCAGTGTTTCAAGTCTTTATCCAGCGGGTTTTTGGCCAATCGGTAGGATGTCAGCCATTGAGTCGTACAACCAATATTACTCACTGGGGTCTCATCTTCTAACCTAGAGTATTTTGTGCTCAATAGATTCAACAATTCATCGAGACACTCTTGGAAAGAGCACAAGCAAAATCGACGCTCGCCTATCTCAGGACCCTTTCATCCATTCACGAGCAAACCGTCTTGCTAGTCGAGGACTTGAAAAAATGCGAGGATACCTTAAAGGTCGGCGTCAACACTAATGTCAAGGGATCCAACGTCTCCGTCACTACACAGCCACTTGCACAAACTCTGGATCGCTGCCTCGACGATCTTTTTGTCCCCTACCTCGAGAGTGACCGATACCAGGAAAAGGAGTTACAGTCGCTCTGTGAAATTTATGACTCTATGCTTGCCAAGTTCACAGCATACCAGGTAGACTTTTGCAAGATATAATTTGCTTCAGCGCCACTTGATGCTTAGACAATGGTAGGGATAAGCTTTTAACCTATCCTTCATTCTCCGCCGCACTAGCTTCAACGCCGAGGCGGCAACAAATTCAGGGCTATCATCACCCGCACGTTCAACCAGATCATTGACTCTTCCAACAATCGCCAATCACTTCCACCTGTGGTCCAAGAGAACTTTGCTACCGTCAAGAATCCCGAAAAATACCAGAACATGCAAGTCTCGGACGACGACGGTAATCTCTCGGTAGAAGTTGTTATCAAGCTGCTCAAAATCCACGCAGAAAGTGTTGTCAGGAGTGTGGGATTGCTGCCTGTATCCGGAAGGTAAGACTTCTATTATCACGGAACAAAAATATGTGTCGCCTTTTATCGTACAGTGGGTGTTAACGCTCTATCGGTTTACCTTGAATATCATATAGGCCAAAAAACACAGCAGTGCTGTTTCAGCTGCTGAATGACTATATCGGCATGCGTTACATTGATGCTGCACTGGACTCGGCACTGGAAGACTTATCAGCAATGGATCCCAAGTTTCCTCCCGATATGAGGCCCATGAAGCGCGTCAAGCTTGTGAGCGGCATTGTTCATTTGCTTCAGATGCATTTCCAAACCACTATTGTAAGTGCATCGTTACCTTCGTTTTATGATATTGCTCCCATACTACCAACCTATGGCTGTTATTCATCAAATTTCTTTGTTTTTTCCAAATAGCTACCACTTACGGTGCCCTCACCGCAAGTGTACCGCGAGACAGTCATTCAGAAGAACAAGCTGATGGCTAATGTAGAGTTTAAGGCGAATGCCACGATACAAAAAGAAATCGATGTGATCCTGGCCTGGTTGGAAACCTGTCTGAGCCGCCAGCGTCGTACTGATTTCAAGCCCAAGGACGACGAGATTGACTTGACAGGACTGGCGACAAAACCTTGCATGGACTGCTGCGAGTTCTTGAGGCGGATGTATGATATGATCCGCAAGTACTTTGATGGCAAGAATATCGAAATGTTTTGCACAGAGATTGGCATCGCCTTCCATGGGTATGTTTAAAAACTATTGCGCACCGGATCGAGACACGTATGAGACTCAAGAAATGCTCATCGTCCGATTTGTATTCGTTATAGGATGCTTCTGGAGCACTTCAAAAAGTTTTCGATCAGTCCGGTAGGAGGAGTCCTGCTCACGAAGTAAGTGATGCCTCTTTTCCTTGGCCCCTGGTGACGGCTCACGCATCAGCAGCTCTAACCAAGTTGCTCCTTTGATTTTTCTCTAGGGATATTGCGAAGTACCAAGAGTCCGTGAAGGCATGGAACATTCCATCACTTAACGAGCGGTTTGAGATGTTACGCCAGCTCGGTAATGTGTTCTTGGTCAAGCCAGAAATTTTGCCCTCTGTCCTCAACGAAGGATACCTTGCCAAGGTCGATTTCAAGAGTTTATACCCGTATCTTCAGATGCGCGTGGATTTCAAGACGTCCAAGATCGATAAGCTGTTTGAGAAACTCAACTTAAGTGTGGCAGATGGCTCAGGATCCAGCAGTGGAAACGCTAACACAGCCAGCAGGATGGCAGCATTAGAGGACTTGACAGGGGCCAAGTTCCTAAGTTATTCAATGCGATAGACACACAGAAGACTACAGCTTTGGTAGCTGTCAAGTAATATACATTTGTAAAAGTCGAGCTGAACGGGATACATTGTGATGCTCTATTGTGCTGTTCATTTCTATGATACACTGTGAAAAATGAGGCCAAAAAATGCGACTCTTCTTCCTCCATATTAAGACTGGGCGCATTGAACACCTGGTCCCCCGTGTCCATGGGCATCATCGTCGTCGTCAGAGTCGTACGCATTGCCGGTATGCGTCTGGGCGCCATAGTCCTCCATGTCTCCTTCTTCAAGTGTGCAATGATCGACCAGCTCGGGCTCCATTGGAGCGGGCCCACGGTTAGGAAGCAATGTCTCGAGCGACTAATCGTCGTGACAAAGATCGAGAAACGGATGATGGTTAAAACCTGAATATTTAGGAAGCGACTGCAACATATAAACACCGCAATGACCTGTCAAAAACAATACCTTCAAGCTTGCAGCGGTCGCCCACCCGTCCTTAGGGAACTCAACCTCGAAGGTGATGTACAGATCGCCTTTATCGATCGGCCTCTTGAAGTGCGGCATACCCTCTCCGCTGATCTTCTTGACCTCGCCTGGCTTGATAACACTTCCTGCAGGTTGCTCCACATGAATTCCGCGTCCATCCAGATGCGTAAGCAAAATCTTGGAAAATCCGCACAGGGCCTCGACCAGCGAGATGGTGATCTTACACGACAGATCTGCACCGCTACGTTCAAAGAGCGCATGGGTCTTCTGGTTGAGGACCAAGATGACATCTCCAGTGTCGACACCTGGCTGTTGATCGGCTTCGCCCTTCATGGGGATCTTTTCGCCATGACGCATGCCTTTCTCGATAAAGATTTCCATGACTTTCTTCTCGTTGACAACCTTGTTGCCCTTGCACTTTTTGCACCTATCCTTCTCACGTATCGTCTGGCCTTCTCCATCACCTATTTGAAGAGGGCGTAAGAATAAATGAGTTAGATGGTAATTTTTACTAGCACTAGTCCTAACAACACACACACGCAAAAAAAAAAAAAAAAAAAAAAAAAAGGCAGGAAGACTTACATGTGTTGCAGGTAACCTGCATTTGCTGCATCATACCAGGGCCGATCTGACGGACAACCATTTTCACGCCACGACCCTCGCAAGTCGTGCACTTCTTGACCGCACCGGCCTTGCCTCCCTTTCTACAGAACCATTCGAGATAAACAAAGAATCGTCGATTCAGTCCCATAGGTCTCACGGTTTGGAATAAGGACAAAGGATCCAAGAGAAACTTTCGTCATCTTCCTTACCCGTGACAAAGCCCACAGATGACATTTTTCTCCAAGGACAACTTGGTAGTCTTGCCGTTATATAAATCCTCGAGTGTAACATTCAAGTTGTGCGAAATATCCTCTCCACGTCGAGACCTGGGGCGACGACTGCCACCAGGGCCTCCTCCGAACCCATCATCCATGCCAAAGAATCCACCGCCCCCAAACATTTGGGCAAACATCTCCTCTTGCGACATGCCGCCTCCAAAGCCGAACCCACCGCTTGGACCGTCTTCACCATAACGATCGTACGTCTCTCGGCTCTCAGGGTCACTCAATGTCTCGTATGCGTGGCTAGAGACGAAGAAGGACGAAAGGAGAAGGAAAAAAAGATTGCGAATAAGCATGAATGGTTTGATAACGAAAGCTAGTTCAAAAACATCCACGCAAGGCTGTATACGAAGTGAATACAGAAATTGCAAAGTAGAGTCGTTTGTTGTTACCTGATCTCTTTGAACTTGTCTCCAGCATCGGGGTTCTTGTCGGGATGATACTGCATCGCCAACTTTCTGTACGCCTAAGAGGAAGCCACGGTAATAAGGTCTTTAGTATGCTATATGACGAGGTAGTGTAGTACGATTCGGATCTCGGTGGTTTACCTTCTTGATGTCAGCATCGGAAGCGTCGGGTGAGACGCCAAGGGTATCGTAGTACTTTGTGTCTCCACGCATCATGGTCGTAATGTTCGATGTGCTTGTGGAGTGATGATTATGTTTGGGGAAGGATGAGGTAAATAGGGAAAAGGAGAGAAGGGGTCTCTTGTTGTTGGTCGGTGCCTGAAGGAAAGCAAGCAGGTTCGAGTGGCTCAGCTAGTACCTAGGACTGCTCTTCTGGACTTCAAAGAACCACACAGAAGTATTGAAGGAACCCTGAGCCCCGGTGCCCGGAAGCCCCACCGGCTCCCCATACCATCGGTTTCTCAGTTGCCTCCTTCACGGTTTGCGACTTCAAATCGCCCCGCATGCGATTTTAATTATTGTCCTTCTATTGCTGTCCTTGGTATCTTTACATTCTGTCGTGTGTTGGGATATCGAAGCCTTTGTAGAAAACGACTTTGAAACGGATATTTCCTTTTTAGGACCATCTCCAGCCCGGCCGTTTCTGTTTCTCGCGCATAAAAAAAAGTGATCACTCGACGCTCCTTCTCTTTCTCACTCCCTCTTTTCACCAATACCTTCGATTCCCATTCCTCAATCCCTTCCCTCGACAATGAATCCCGCTTGCTGGAAGCCCTTGTCCGGCAATTCCCTCCGCCAGGCTGCCGCATGCTCGATCCGATCAACCCTTCGACCCTCCTCTACAATCAGATCCACCGCCGGAACTCGATCCTATGCCACCAAAAACACCGCGTCAGCACCCTGCACCAACAGCGTCCGCAAGACACTCTATAACGCCTTCCCTAACCGCTCTCACCATGTCCGCTTTAACGGGTTGCATCCATCTTCCGCTATCTCTTTCAATGGTATTGTGTCCTCAAGGTTCATGCCCGTGATCCGGCGCGGCTTCGCATCCCAATCATCATCTTCCTCCTCACAGCAAGCAGGAACCAGTAGCGCTGTCTCCACAAAGAAATCCGGAGGATTCATGGACAAGATCAAGGACATGGTCAAGAAATACGGCTATACCGGCGTGGCTGTCTACCTTGGTATCTCCGCGATTGATCTCGCTGCCACCTTCGTCATCGTGAAAGCTGCTGGCATGGACAAGATCGAGACTGCCCAAGACTGGGTCGTAGATCATGTCGGGGCCTACTTTGGATACAAGCGCAACCCGAAGCATCAACATTCACACAGCGATGATGACGACTTGGATCTGGATAAGGTCGACGACGAGCAGGTCGGCGCGATCTATAATAAGGCCTCAGGACTGTGGAGCGTCTTTGTAATCGCTTACGGAATCCACAAGCTGCTGGTCCCACTTCGTGTCGTCGCCACGAGTATGATCACCCCGCCTTTGGTCAAGTGGCTGGTCAAGAAGGGCTGGATCAAGGAGGCTGCAAAGAAGGGCGCTGCTGTCACGGCCGGAAGCGCTGCTGTCGGGACTACGAAGCCATGAGGAATGCGGAGTAATTGGACTGAGGAATTGTTTGCTGCAATGACAACGGATAGACTAGACTGGATTAAGCAGCATGCAATACACAGCACAATAGAGGAAGTTTGAGGGGTATTAAATCGCTACATATGAATCACGTAAAGCAAAAGACATGAGTATGTATGCAACAGTGCCTTTTTAAAAGACCTATCACCGCTAACGTATGAGTTTAGAGCCACAGAGCCAAAGCAGATGCGCAGTCCCAGACACGAAACCTTTTTTCGCGTTTTTTCGTGCCCTTGACGCGAAGAGAACCGCCTATGTCTGTATTCGATAGGCCTCTAAGAATCTTCTTATATACATACCTTATACATATTCATTCGCTGTCTCCATTTGTCACTACCCGATAATGTTCTTTATCGATAGGATTGGATAGGGAAAAGGATGGCCTGTATCGGTGCATAACTTTGGGAACCCTCATTTACTCGACCGCCCAAACATTGTAAGTGCTTCCAATGCTTTTCGATTTTCCAGGCCCCTCTCAATCCCATCTTTTGGTGATCATCTCCTGCAAATGAAAATCCTCGCATCTCTTTCAGGCCAGCCAGAAGCTCCAGTCCGTCTTCAAATTTACGAGACTCGGGCTTAATGCTCTCTTGAGTGTTTCACCACTCAAAGGGTTTGAATGAGCGAGCGCTTGCAGCCCGCCTGGTATTGCCAGTTGGCTGTACACCGTCCGTTACGTTTTCCTTACATTCGTTCGGGTCGCAAACCCTATGTAATGACCCTTATTCCATCCTTGGAACGATAATGGCTCGAACAACATGTCGGGCGAGCTTGAGAGGATGTAGTCGGCGTAGATGTCGCAAAACCATTGCCAGATCTGCATTTTTTGACGGGACAAGTGTCAGATCTTAAGGCTCGAGATGAGGGAATGGCCATAAGTTAATCAGTAACGCTTGCAGATAGGCTATCGCTGATATCAAGGGCCTGTACGCCATGTAGCCAAATCGCAAGCTCTTGCTCCATTTGAGCGATACAAAGGCGCGAAGCATTAAGACTTAACCGTGCGGAGAACGTTCGCATGGTGAACGGGACCCCGGAAATGAAATCCAGCTATATAGGTCTCCGGATGCGTCGTAAGACTCTGGCCATTCGGAGATCATTACGTAACGCAACTTCAGCGTACGTGACCTTGAGCAGGTTTGAAGAAACTGCGGTAGCAATTTCAGAATGGCCTCGAGGTATATCAGCTTCAGCGTGTCCAAATGCATGCATTACGCAAGAGAATCCCAAAGAGGGTAAATGGGTTTGACAGGTTGAAGTTATAGACTAGCTTATGTGCATGGTGACATCCCGTATGGTCAAGGCCTGTTACTTTTAGTGTATGGAACGTTGCTGAAAACGATTGTATCCATGCAAGGATAGGGTCTCCTTTCCCTTCAGGAAGTAGCCGTCGAAGAAGAGTTCTTGGATGTGGTGCTTGTACCGCTCCAGACCGGGGCCTAAAGAGAGCTATTTTGGTATGCGGCTAGTCGGTGGCGATTCTGCACCATAAGATGGGGACGAAGACCGCGTGCCAGGTCCTGAAGACTTGGAGAATGTCAAATGGACTTCATTTTATCATGACGGAGCATGTGTGACAGTATGACAGTATGGCAGCACGACAGAGAATGCATGAGAGCTTGTGAAAGATAGAGGGAAGACGATCACCATTGTTATATCTTGGCTGTGGTTCACAGAAACCATATCATATCTTTCGACTTCGTCCCTCCTATGCTGCTTTATTGGCGGGAAATGTGACAGTGCTATGCATACAAAGAGGGCATTTGGCCTTGGTCATCTTGGCATGCCCTCATACACGAGAGTTCTCCTTCGTGTTGCCCTCCATACCTGGTGCCTGCAGGTGCACAGCAATGACGACAAGCCGCCGACGTCCGTGCGTCCAACCTTATTCAAGCTGGACACCCAAAGCAGGTTTACGCGCTTTCAAAGGCATAGCCAGAGAGATAGAACATCGTCTTCATCAACATGAATGGATCATTTTTCATTATGAACAATTAAAAAAATGCTGTTACACGCACCAAAAAGTATCACGTCGCGATCATATTATAATAGTCTAGTCGGTAATCTTTCCCTCAATGTAATCATTAAAATTAAAATTAGCCGGTGGCACAGCGAACGCATCCTGAAGCAGCTCCGCGGCGGTCGGTCGAAGGTTGGCATCTGTAATGAAGCATCTCGCCAGGAACCGCTGCCCTTCCTCCGAGATGTTTTCTGGGATGGGAGGGTGGGCACTACTGCTTCCAATCTGGAAACAATACGACAGGAAACAAAAGCGTCAACAGCAAGTCCATAGCAGAAAAAAAAAACGTTTGCTGAAGAAGCCATCACTTACGGTGAAGAGCGCTTGCTGAGGAGCGTAGCCCTTCCAAGGCTGCTGTCCTGTGAACATTTCCAAAACCAAGCACCCAAAACTCCAGATATCAACTTTGGCTCCATATGCCTTGGAAGTAACCATCTCAGGTGCCATCCTAATTAATACAATACATGAATACAGATTGTCAGCGTATGATGGTTTACGACCAAAAAAAAAAAAAAAGACATCCCAACCTCGATGCTCACCAAAAGATGGAGCCCTGAAGCGAACCAACGTTCTCGTCATATCCTCCCTGGCTCTGCGCATTCCGCTTTGAGATTCCAAAATCTGAGATCTTGCAGACTCCTTGCTCATCCACAAGTACATTAGCCGCTTTGATGTCCTACAGTGACAGGAAATAAAAAGGCAATGGGTGAATATGGTATTCCCTGACATCTTCAAAACATTGTAGCCTCCATAAACTTACTCTGTGCACAATCTTCTTGCTGTGAATGTACTCCAGTCCCAACAAGATCTGCCTTGTGAAATGTCGGATGACAGCTTCTGGAAATGGTCCACTTCGCTTCAAACAGGACTCAATCGATCCTCCAGAGACATATTCCAAAAAGATGTTGGCCGTTTCTTCGTTCTGGGCAAATCCCAGGTACTGAACAATGTTCTCATGATCTAAATCCTTCAGCACCTCCATTTCTGAGAACAGAGCCTCGACAGATGTCTTGAGTCGATCGCAGTTGCGCTCTGAAAGTGTTTGTGGCAGATCCACTTGCTTGATCGCAATCATTTCACAAGTGTCAAGATTGAAAGCGTGATAGACCCTTCCAAAGGAGCCACGACCAATGAGACCGCCCTTGAGATACTGAAATGTCTTAATGGTCCCACTCTGAGGGTTCTGGTATATGCCTTGTTGTGACTGATCCATGACCTTAACCGACTCAACTTGAACGACACGTTGTTGTGACTGGTCTATGGCCTTAACCGACTCAACTTGAACGACACGTTGTTGTAACTGTTGTTGTTGCTGTGGTTGCTGCTGTAGGTACGGCTGAGGACTGGTCGACAATACATCTATCACTGGTAAATTGTCATGCAAGCCCTCCTGTAAGAGGGGATCTTGACTCAGCGGAGGAGATTCCGGAATAATGTGGTGTTCCTGTGCTGCTTCTTTCACAATGTCTGCAATGGACGACCGCGTTACTACTGCAGGCGATCCAGCAATCGGCGAAAGCTCTTCTTCGTACTCATGCATGCCCAAGCCAACAGAAGGTCCAGTTTGGTTAGTCGGCATCACCTCAGCCAGACGGCTGCCCCACATCTTTGTTGACTTTCTCCGCACGACCTTCGATCCAGAATATTGCCGTGAGAATCGATCCTTAGCTTCCTGAGCAACAACGCGGATCGATTTTTTATGCACAATGCTTGCTCGGTGACCCGCTGGAAAGCTGCCTTGAGGAGGACTGGAGCCATGGGTCGAGGACATAGTTGAATTGGAGCCCCAGCCGTCTGTCATGGCAGGGCTGACGTCCTGGCTCTTGAAAGCATTTGATGAGGCTTGGGTGGATCCTGGTGTACCAAGGATAGCCTGTGCAGGAACCATAGGAGATCCACCATAGGGTGTTGGAGGACGAAGTTCGATAATGGGATGATCCAAATCGTGGTCCTGGAAGAACCGACCAAAGTTCTCAAGCAAAAAGTCCAGGGGAGGACGTTCGCCCCAAAAGTTTTCAGATTCTTCGTGATCATGATTCTCCGTCATATGCATTTCTCCGGTGGGACCACCATCAATTGAGCGGGGCGAGTTCAGGTTTGAGTATGAGGATCCATATTTGGCGACAGGCTGGAATGAGTTCCGTTTGGTGGCACCTGCGCTCAAGGGTGATGCAGGTAGCCCGCTGCTATTCAGGTTGCCTACATAGCCCAGTGGAGCTACCATGGGCACTTCTCCGAACCCCGGATGATTGGCCCTGTTCATCTCGTAATAACTGGCGTTGGGACTTCCGCTCTCGTAGTTGGGCACTATGCGGTCCCGAGGCTGTCGATAGCCCTGCGTTCCTCCAGGCGAGGCTGACCGATCGCTGCTCCGGAGTTGATGGTTGACGAGCTTCCCATCCTGATCCGTATTGCTGCCAATGACAAGCGAAAGGTTGGGGTTTCTTGCCAGCATGCGCTTGCCGCTAAGAGGCGAATGATTCAACGGAATATCAACCCCAGGAGAACTGCCAGATTTGTGCATCCTGCCATGAGAGGTGTTGATGACGGGTCCGAACCGAGGCGAGGTCTTCGCACTGTTGGTTCCCATGGAGGGGCGTCGAGTATCATCAACCTGGTAAAGCGGGTGACCTGGATTATCGACGTGTCTGTAAATTTGCTGCTGATAAGATCCATAAGGCGACGTGCTCATAGAGCCGCTAGGACCCTGAAGAGGAGGTCGACCTGTGGTATGAGGATGCTTTGAGTCTGGATAGGGCTGATGCGGATGAACGGAGTTCCAAAGTTCGTCTGGAGGCTGCACAAAAGGCATGTACGGGTCCTGTTGATACAGATGGTGGGCAGAGTCCGCTGTTCGCTCACGTTGATGGTATGCAACATTGTCCTGAGGAACCGCAGGCCCTTGGAAAGGCGAGTTCCGTCCTTGGTTAGCATAATGTGAGTGTTGCTGAGAGGGCGTTGAAGTGGTGGGATTTCGCTTCGGGTTCAAGATGTCCATGTCTGGCGGAAGGATAAGTGGCATAATGGGCGTGACGAGAAACTTTACAGAACCCTTGTTGTCCGCATTGAGCACCAGATCCATGAGTTCCTTCTCGCTCAAAGGCGGTCCTCGACTTGAAGGGTCTTCCGTTACAGCTAAAAATGTAGTTGACAATCGTTGTCGTTAGCAGAGGGGTTTCATTGCCGTTATATAGGATCATACAGGTCATGTCTGAACACTTACGGCTCTCTAGCTCTGTCGTCTGGAAAATCCCGTACTTGTTCTTCTCAGCCAAAATGCGCATTCTTGAAAAGATTCTCTCCTTGAGCATGACCGCATTGTCAATGCCGGTGATATCCACGTACTTGAAATTTTCATTATCTAAGGTAACCTGGATACTCTTTGGCTGTAATAATGTGATCATTAAGAACACTTAAATTAATGATTGCGATCATCGGTCTCTCACAGAACAACGCAGCAGGCACACGTCTGCTTACCTTCGGTGGAGCCACTGCAGACGCTGGCTGGTATTGGATAACATCCGCACTGCTGTGGTTGCGTTTATGGCTGGAGCGTCGGCCAAATCCAAGAGTGCCACCCACGACTGTCGCATCCGCATGTACACCAGGCTCTTCCTCGTGCACATTTCGCTGTCCACTCGTACGACCTTCGTGAGCATTCACAAGACTATGCGTCTGAATGTGAGGGACGGATGGGTTGTTTCTACGCTCATTTAGCGATTGACCATTTCTTGCTGCTGCTGCTGCTGCTGCTGCTGCTGCATCCCTTGCTACCATAGGTGACTCTTGACCCCGTGCTGGACACGGATAGCTGTGTCCTCCAGGCGATGGTGGAGACACAGGTGACATGCCTCGGCCGGACTGTGGCACGTTCAATCCGTGGGTCGCTGAGTACTCTCTTGAACTACCCCTGGGCACGATCTGAGGAGGAACATTAAGATTTGGACGTAATACGCTGACGGAGTAAGCGATTGAAGACTGCCGAGGCGTAATGGTGGGTATCTTGTGTGCGTGCTCCGTGGTCTCGATAGTGACCTGCGTCGGTAATCGGGCGGGCAATTGCCTCAAATCAGGGTCGCTCACTGGTCGTGGAGAATTGGTTGGGCGGGGTGGCTGTGTGAAGGAATTCTCTGAAGAAGTGGGATTGTCATCCAGAGGCTCTAATGCATCAATGGACGCCCTAGGTTGGGTGGAGGATGGTTGCAATGCCATTGGTGTAACAGCGGCAGATCCTGGTGTTTCCTCTCCTGGGGATCGATATAGCCTTGCGTATTGCTGAGAATCCTGATCAAAGGAGATGCGAACAGTGTTGATCTCTGCAGGTATGGGGTGCGCGATGCTGATGCCACTGTTGTTGTTATTGGGATTCGCATACGGTGAGGGTGCAATTGGTCCTGGTGACATGGCTATTGGGCGCGAGCCAGATCCAAGGCGGTGGATGACTGGAGAGCCAGAAGCTGGAGATGGAGTTTGGCCACCTTCTGGTCCTATTGACGAAACGGAGGCAGCGGTCTTGGTCCCCTCGACAGCGTCCTTAATTTCCAGTAGCAATTTCCTTCGTTGATAATATGTGCCGTTGGGATCCATCTGCTTTAGTATCGGATTCGTCAGTCCCACAAATGCTTTCCCATGAATCTGGTGCTCTATGGTTACGAGAAGCAACATTCGCAGACAACGTCAAAACCAAAATCAGGTCAGTTGCGGGATTAGTTGTTACCTTATTAGATGTTGACATCGACTTACCGACAAAGAGTGGCTCCAGGTAGGCGTATGGTGGTTTTCCCCGGAGCCATTGCACTACCCTTTCCATTGTCCATTCGCCCGCGGGTGTTCCTTCCTGCTGTGAATTGAGACTCATTGTACTAGTATTTGCCTAAAACACAGGTACAGGTCATGCAAAATATGGATTAGTATCAATACTAAAACATTCTGTTACAACTGTCCTGGATCTTCTCAAAAGGAGGATCCTTACTCGGAGATTGGATAGAGAATGGGATCCATCGCGATCGACAGTTGGACTTGTAGCCGAGGTTGTTACGGAATCCGAGGCCGAAGCGAAACCCGTTGAGGCCGAAGCAGAAACAGATGCGCTTGAGGCAGACGAGGATGCGTCCTTAGTGGGCACCGGTGGATAGTACAGAGAAGAAGAGGATACTTGTGGGGGTATTGACGATAAGGGCGTGTTGATTCCCGTGGTAGTGATGGGCGGTGGTGGAGGAGGAGGTGGAGGTGGCGGCGGAGATGTCCGTTGGAAGGATGTGGGCGAGGCCGGACGGATAGGTTGCGGATGCAGCTGCGTTTGCGACAGGGCAGCCTGAGGAGGTGGGGTGTTGATCACATTATGCAGCAGCTGGCGTGGTCGGGTGGACGGGGGTGTGAAGGAGCTCTGGGGAGCAGAAGGGGTCAGCTGCGCGGGGACAGCCGAAGGAGGTGTCTGTGCTGTCTGCTGCTGCTGTTGCTGAAGCTGATTAGCAGCAATACTCATTGCGGCCGAAGGGTCGTAAACGGCGCGCTTGGAGGCGAGGAGGAAGGAGAGACGATTGGAGGGACTATGACTGGAGCTGCCGTTGATGGAAGACGATGACGACGAAGAGGAGGAGGTTGTGGCGGTGGTGGCTGTATCGAAGGACGAGGACGAGGGGTGAGCAGTAGGTGAGCTTAGCATAGCTCTAGGGTAGAGAAGAGTGGACAAAAATAAGGGTCCAGGAACCGAGGTGTGAGATGTGCTACAAGAAGGAAAAGGGCATGTATAGGCGAATAAATATACGGCTATGTAATGGGAGATGAGGCCTGGTTGATGAGGACAAGGAGAAGGAGGAGGAAGATGATGAGAACGATGATGATGGAGGGAGAGAAGGGGTTTGGGATCCAATCACCAAACACATGTAAAACAAGGGTGGGATGTATGCCCCATCGTAGCATGCCACACACTCCGCTTCCTACTGTATACTTCTCGCCTCTCGCACTTATGCAGCATGCACATGTACTCAAAAATATTTCATCCACACCGCACAGGTCTACATAGCCTTCAATTGCTTCAATGGCTGCTGCCAGTAGTCGCTCTCCTGATCCTGCTCGCAATTCTTCTCCTTGTTGGTCTTTTTTGTCATCACAGCATGAAGCGTCACGTGTGTCAACCTCCTGGGAATAATACAACACGATAGGATATGCATCATTAGGACAGGAATACCAGGTCTATAATATATTATCTCATGAGGGGCATGAAGCATCCAGTGTGAAGTGTGGAATGTATTATGTGGAGAACAGAGTCTGTAGTGTCCATTGACAAACATTCTAGGCCTATCATCGCCTCTTTTGAGCTGAAACTCGGCGCAACCAAGTTGTAGATCGGTTGGAGTTGATGATCATCCAACTTATCGCGCTGAGCATTATCTACTTGGTTATACAGGGCAGTGCTTTTGGCTCCATGATATTGGTTTACTATGATGCCTGGGACTAGAAAGATTCTGAGCTGCCCTAAACATGAACGCCCTCGATACGGTTGCTACGGTTCTGATGCAGTAAAATCTTACTCGTGAAGAGATAGTTTTTGAATAAAAAGGCATATAGCAATAAGCGATGTGGATTTTCTTTTTGCTGACTTTTCTGGTTTATTCCTGCTGCTTATCAAATTAACAACACAGTCCTTTTAACGGAGACGACGGGCCTCACGCTCAGACTCCATGAGGCAGAGGATATCGCCTAAATAATAGTATAAATAAAAGCGCCAGATAGGAACAGCAGGTTAGATCTCTGCGCGACATCCCCATAGATAGTAAACTATGGATATTTCTGCAGTTTCTGTCAATGAGATACGTATATCCTGATTGTCACTGCCGGAGTTGACCCAAAACAAAACGAGATGTCGAGACCTATGGGCAAAGCGGCATTGGTCGACGGGTCCGGTAGTACGAAGAGACAGTGCGCGTGTTGGATGAAGTAGCGTCTGTCCTCTTAGTTAGCGAACCAAGCCCAGCTAAAGTACCGCAGTTGCAGCTGATTACGATCTTGTTCAGTTCTCAAGCTATAGCCGTTGATCCACGCATATGTTCCGTTTGCTGCTCCTATTGAGCGCACCATTAAGTGTCCGAGAGACGAAGTCACATTCCGGCATGCTTGCTGAACGTCCAGATTGTGATATCCTGCTGCGGCGACGACGAGCCTCCAAACAAAAAAAAAAAAAAAAAAGTCGCACATGAAAGTACACTTACCCTCACGGACGGGACCCTTGACGTTACGGATAACGTTGCGGATGCTGCTGGGGTTAGAGGGGTCCTCTTGCAATTCAACCTTGACCTGGGTGACACCACCGCGGGAGCCGGTACGGCCAAGAACCTTGGTGACTTTGGCGTGCTTGACAGGGGTCTTATCCTGAAAAAGAGATAATGTAACAGCAGAGATGTTGGGTATTAGAAACAGCTAGATCTTTGTTCCTTGATAAAGAAAGTGATGTCCTTTGAAAAAGTCGGTAAAGGTTGAACATGACTGATGAAGTCTTTGGTCGTGGATAGTTCCTGCTGCGTTTGCCGTTGAGTAATACTACCTCCAAAGTTGAACTATAGCGAGTCCTGTTCACTCCTCGAATCCGATTATAGCCAATATGATATCCTTGCTGTTCTTCAACGAGAACCCATCCCTAGATCGTGCCTCAGTTCACTCGCAGTGAAACTCCATCGCAAGCATCTCCATCTGTACTTATAGTCCCCCACAATTAACAATGTTCTTTCGTGCTCCGGAACGGCCCTTATCCGCGCCTGATATAGGCAATTGTCGAGACGGATGGATTGATATGTCAATCGATGCAAGTGCCAGGCATCCAGGCAGCAATCCGGGTTCCTCCACGTGACTAACCATTTTGGAATGTGTGTGAGAAGAAGGAGGCTACAAACTGACCCACTGGGATGCACCACAAAAGCGTCCATTCGCCTGCTACTCATTCTTATTCGGTCGACTAACATTTGATTAAGGGTTAATTGCTGATCCTTGTATTTGAATGTGCTTCCTCGGGCTCGTCCAAGGTTCCTCCTCTATCAAAAAAAGCAATTTTTTCAGGTGCGCCTTGGAGACATTCAATCCGTCGTGGACAAAATCACAGAGGAACATAGGAATCCATCCATCGATAACACAAAGGAGATCACCTATATCGATTCGGCAATTGAGGGATTATCGTTAATCCTATCGCCATGAGCGCCATCCGCACTGCTCAACCCATACACATTTCAGGATTTAGCGTCCATGGCATCATCACGCTGATCGGCACGGCAGATCTTATGAGCCATCACCATGACAAACGCTCCGAAAAGGAGCAAGAGGGAGCATTGGATCATTATACGACCGACACCACTATCCTCGACCATAAATTCGCATATATTGTTCACCGCGGCTTTTTGACAACAGGAAAACTGACATGGATATGTATCTGCGCATCACTCACTAGAAATGGCCAAGGAATCCAAGGGTACCAAGCGTTCTACCATCCACGACGTTGTCGCCCGTGAATACACCATTCACTTGCACAAGCATGTCCACGGCAGGTAAATAATTACCTCTACCATACACTTGTCTGTTAGGATTCAGCAGCAATAGCTCGATTGGGTGTAATTGACGACACGGAAAGAGGGGGCAAAAGATTCTTTCGGGCTAAAACTATCAGGATCCATTTGACACATGGGACAGTTAAGGATGCAATATCAACTAGCCGTTGTACAAGAGCGATGTGATACAATCTTTGCATTAGCAGCTGCGAAAGGAAACGAACAGCGATAGTCAGGAGGCTAACAACAAAGCTCCCAACACATAAATTCGACTCTCGTAAAGTTGGCATTGGAATTGGCACCACACACCACTCTTTGATATGTTATCTCCAATACGGTCATTGCAACATGGATTTTCGACTGACGTCTGGATCTCTTTTTCTCTTTTCGCTCTACAAACAGATCCTTCAAGAAGCGTGCTCCCCATGCCATCAAGGCTATCAAGGAGTTCGCTCAGAAGACCATGGGTACCTCCGATGTCCGTGTCGACCCCAGCTTGAACAAGCAGATCTGGTCCAAGGGTGTCAAGACCGTCCAGCACCGCATTCGTGTCCGCTTGTCCCGCAAGCGTAACGATGATGAGGAAGCCAAGGAGAAGTTGTACACCTACGTCTCCTACGTCCCCGTCACCTCCTACAAGGGTCTTGAGACCCAGGTCGTTGACGAGTAAATCTTGGATTTGCTTTTTTTTGATCTGCTCGTATAAGACCGGTAGATGCAGGGATTACTATTATTTCCATAATAAAAGACCTGCTTTTACTCATTTATGATATCCTGGGCGAAGCTGTTTGGGAGCTTTAATGGATAATAGGCTATGATACATCGCACATGCGTTTGGCTACATCGAACTGTAGCCCCTGCAGTGCACTATTATTGAACTAGTTGGTTATCTTGCTGTGGAAATTGGTGCCTTGGAGCGTTCGTACTCTTGGTCCGTAATATCTCGCTCACCTGAGCTCGATGGCGGCCGTGATCCGTTTGTTCTCGATACTTGTCCTTCAACATGACTTGATCGCGGTGCCGTAAGATGTTGCCATTTTGCTCATCAAATCGCTTCAATCGGGCCCACTGAACTTTTCGTGATCTTTGTTTTTGACCGGGACCTGTCGCCGCCGCTGCTGCCCCTGACTCTAATCGATGCTGAAAACGCGGGACGAGCTCCATCAGCCGCTCTACCTCTGCGCGTGTCCATGTTCGGTTCTTTCTACGCTCCTTGCGTATCGTAGACTTTTGTGCGAGTTTAGGTGCCGTTAAAGAGGCTGGAGTCGAGGTAATATCTGGGGCCAAGGCTGAAGTTGAGGTTGAAAATTGCGCAACAGCATGCGTGCCACGGCGGATGCTCTGGCTCTCTCCAGAGCCGTCTCGTTCAGTGTTCTCCTTCTTCTGATCATCTTTGATAGTACTCTTTGGGTCTGGGTTCGCAGGAGGGAGAGACACTCGTCTTGGCTTCAGAACTATGGGCGGTACGTCGTCACCGTCATCTTCGAACTCTGAGTCGCTCTGCTGCTTTACTGACGCTGAGCCGACCCCAATCGCTCTACAGACGCGATCCAGCAGACTTATAGCCTCCTTCTTTTCCATTCTCGGCGGCGGCGCTGACGGGGACTGCGGTGCAGGTGCCGAGCCTGGAGAAGATACTGCTGCCGCTGACGTAGTTGGTGCCGTATCTGATGAAGGTGGTGCTGTTTTTGGCATCGACTGTACCGCATCTGGGGTAAGACGCGCAGGGACGGGCTTCGAAGGTGCTTTACTAGGTGCGAATGGTTCCTTTGACGAAGAAGATAAACTCGCAGTTAATATAGATGGTGCTGCTGTTGTTGTTGATGTTGATGAAACTGTTGCCGGCGTTGCTGATGCTGATGGTTGTACTGGCAGTAGCTGGCCTTGATGTCCTTCGATAGGTAAGGACGCTTCTTTCCTGCCTTTTCCTTTGTTCTTCTGCAAGTTCGTATCATCCTTCTCTTCAGCTGCACAGGGCTTGCTTGCACGCCTCACGGTTTTCACTGGCGACGAATCTTCCCTCTCTTTCTGTATAAACTCCTGCTCAGAGCCACTCTCCTCAGATGAATCCCAATATTTGACCTTAAAGTCGTGGGCCTTAAAAATGACAGGATCTTGCGTCAGAAATGAAGGGGATTGGACCTTCGGGGATGGGGAAGTCGTCGATGCATGCTGTCGGGGCTGCTTCTGGTCCTGGTCCTGGTACTGTGTCTCTTCCTTCTGCTCTTTCTTCTGCTCTTCCTGTTCCCCGTCTTTGCCGTCTTCCTCGTCTTCCTCCTGCAAATTCCCCTCTGCATCTTGCCTAACAGCCTCTGATATTTCGAACCAGTGTGAATCCATGTTCTCCAGTGTAGACCAACCATAGTTCCTTATCGAGGGGTCGCTATAAAGCTTTTGAACTTTGCTAGAACGCAATTCTGACAAGTCCCTGACGAGGTTGATCTCCCGAGGATCCTCCAAATTGAGGACACAGTATCGGACTTGTTCCAGGACTAATTGAAGGGTGTTTTGGTAAAGTCCATATAGTCGACAATCGTCCTTGGCCGCACGGCTCGCTATACTACGTATAAATTGCTATCACCAGGACGGTATAAGATATTGTCAGCGGAGCAAATTCTATTGCAGCGCAAAAAGGTGCAATTTGTTGCCAACAGAGACGCCTTGTACATACAGCAGCAGCATCCTGTATCCGTGCAGGACAGGGACCTTTTGCATTTGAATATTCTCCTTCCATGTCCCATGCTTCCTTCATGAGATCCGCCGGCTGATAGTTTGATATGTCCGCTCCCGACCGTATATAGACGGCCATGATCTATAAAAGAAAAAGAAAAAAACAATACACAGGTCGCCATTCCGTGTCAGGCATTGGTTCCTTCATCCACGTATCATCCTGTTCACGTTTTTCAACATCCCTCGAACCCCATTTTATTGTATTTACCACACAGATCATTTGCATCACCATCCTCCAGAAGATGCCCTTATCCTCTCCGGATCTCTGAGCATCCTCCTCCAATTGTGACCGAAACATCCGGATATATCCTTTCAATCCCGTCCAGCACTTTCCGAGTTCCAGCTCAGGTAGAAACAGCCGATGCACCATCACGGACAGATTGTATCGCGCCACAAAGTCGTCGTCCAAAGCGTATTCCAGAATGTCATGTTTCTTCAGAAAGGAGTCGCTGCTCTCCTGATTCATGCTCGCCTTGCCGCCTACATAATTGTCATTCAAGAGGGGGGAAACGTGTTGAATCTTTAGCCATAAAGGTCAAGGTTCCCAGTATAGTCGATCCTCTCCACGCGAACGATATTATCTGTGTCGATTTGTTTTTCACATACGTGCTAATCGACCCCATTGATACTCAAGGTCCATGTGCTCTATCCGCACCTGGCGGACAGGATCGTCCATAGCGAGGAAACTTTGTAGAAAGACGTGATTCCAAGCATCCAGCGCATTGAGAATCTCCTCCGAGAAGCAATCGCTCGTTTCCCTTTCAGGCATCACTGTATGCGGTAGCGGTAGTGGCGACGTCCTATCGCTGTTATCATTATGGCAAGAACGTTGGGATGTCGTCCTTACTGGCGAGCGTGTCTTGCGAAGAGACGGTCGTCCTCGCTGGGCTCGTGGCATGGCGAGTGATCTCTCTCGCTGTTGTTGTTGAGGGGAGGAAAGGGTGTTTGGACAAAGAATACAGCGGCGTCGGCGGAAACCTAAACATGAGGGCCTGCAGATTGATGCACATGGACTTCCCCATATTGTATATCTGGGGCAGATCGATGCACTCAACACCTTCGTGTCTCGTCGCGCATGCGAATCTCCTTAGACAGCTGTTCAAAACCAATAGCAATCTAGAAGCATAATCATATTCTGCTTTCTTATTCTTTTCTTTTTCCTCTATGAATGCGCCTCCAGATGATGCTGTAATGAAATAGAAAACAATAGACAGACCAAACTGGTTTATTTGATCCTTTTTCTTGTTTTGCTGCACGTTTACTTGGAGGCCTTCTTGGCGGCCTTGGGGGCCTTGACGGGCTTAGCGTTCTTAGCCTGAGCCTTGATGACCTTCTTGACGATCTTCTGCTCCTCGATCAAGAAAGCACGAACGATTCTGTCACGGACGCAGTTGGCGCAACGAGAACCACCGTAGGCGCGGTTGACGGTCTTCTGGCGGCGCGAGATGCGAGCGTACTCGGTAGGGCGGAGAGCAGGGACCTAAGTCGATTGAAAGAATATCAAAAACGTGGTCAGATCCAACTCGATATAGCAGCAATTGATCGAACGCCTTCCGACGCCATCATCCAAGCGGCAATTGATCCGCGCACTTCGTTTCCCCCTGTTCCTAGGCGATTAGTCGAGGATATCGAATGTATACGCATAATGTTGCTGGAATGCTGGAATGCTGGATGGTACACAGTCGAGCTTTTGTCGGGGCGATTGAGCATAGACGGTAGCAAAAAAAAGTCGCAGACTTGCACCGTGAAAGTGATCCCTGATTCACAGAACCAAGTATGACATCCTTCAGCTGTTCGCCATGTGCAGCTTAGATTCCGTCTTCCTGATTCGCTCCTTGTCCATAGACTCCTGTCTCCCCAAAGTCCTTTCCGCTTTCCTCTTTCTATTCCGTCGACTTACACCGGGGAGAGCGACACCACAGTCACCGCACTTGGGGGCGGTACCGGGCTTCTTCTCATAGAGCCAAGTCAAGCGACCACCGGGGGTCTTGACGACGCGAGTCCTGTTGGACTTGGTGTTGTACGACAAACGGCGGCGGTAAGTGAGACGCTGAGCCATCTTCTAAAAGAGACGCAAATACAGCAAGAGGAATTCCTGCGTTAGCGATCTGTTTAGGTCTATTTTCGCGGTTCAGATCCTTAGATCCTTTTGTGATGGCGGCAAAGCAGCAGCCTAGGGCTGAGTGCTGATACTGTAGTAGATGGCGGTGATTGTTCGATTGTATGCTTTGCTGAAAACTTCGGTCCTTTTTATTCCTGCGTTGTCGTTCGTACCGAGGCAGATCGATCCATGGTCAAAAGAGTGTGCAAATCGATGGTTGGTACTTCAGATCCTGATCCTTGCGATGAGATGCAGGGGTTCCCCTCATACATTCAGTTCCATTGAATGTAATTGACGGACATCCCGCCAGTTTCGCTCGTTGTCGAGAGATCATAAGTGAACGAGTCGTGATCCCCAGCATGAAGCGATGATGAACTCCTCCTGCAAATATTGCGTCCAGAATAATTTTAATGGTGAATGGATTGGTTGAAACGGCGCCGGTCTCTGCTGTGATAGCGTGAGGCGATGCCGATATCGATGAATGGATGGATGGTTGCTTTGGCCATTCCCGCCATGCAATGGATGTCCCGGCTGTTGTGCCAGCAAAAATCGAATCATAATTACTTCTACAAGTTGGGGGAGAGACTGTCAAAATCTCATTGAGCACTGCTTCATATTCGGCCCTAGTCCAGTGGCTTGACCTCGCGCACGTGCGGAATTCAAATGAAACCAACCAGCCAGGAGACACTTGCCCTTGCATGGTCTTCCGCGAAGGACACGCACAGCGCCTTCCGAACGCGTTCATCCTATGTTGCCTGCTGGAAAATGGAAACGCGCTTTCATGCAGTCATGTAGTTGAGTGCTTTGGCAGAGTCGTCTCTATAAAAATGCTCCTTTTTCTTTTCAGTCTTACTTCTTGATATATTTTGTTCCCTTTATCTCCTCATTGTTCACAACTGCATCCGCATAGCTACCATCCACTCTATACCTGTATTCGCCTAATTGGATATCACTATTCGACAACAATATTCTTCCCTCACTTTCATCATGGCCTCTCCACAAGCATCGACATGCCCATTTTTTCTTCGCATACTTATCTATTTCCTCGGCGCTCTTTCCTCTTTCGCTATCGGTGTGACAACCGTATATCCTCCCTTTAACGCTGTACCACCCACAAATTCTTCACAGGTCAAGGCCTGGCTCAAGGAAATCGACCTCTCTGGTGCTCCGATTCTCAAGCTCAACCACGGATTACCTCCTACCTGTCCACCTGCTAGACGGATCGACCCTAAGGCCTGTTATTGGACATGTCAGAGCTGTGCTGCAGACGATGTAGTGATTTGCCCCGATCGCAATGTCTGGGGGCTGACATTTGACGACGGACCAACAAATGTGACCTCAGATCTGCTGGATTTCTTGCGACAGCAAAAGCTCAAGGCGACATTCTTCTTGATCGGCAGCAATGTGGTGCAGTACCCGCATATCGCCAAGGCGGAGGTAGAGCAAGGACATCATATTGCTTCACACACGTAAGATAACTTGTCACGCCCGACCTCTCACTCTCTTCATATTCGGACGTGCCTCCTTTGGAGTCCATTATAATTTTACGTGCTCTATGGAGCCCTTCAATTGCTCTCCTGAGTTGAGCTAAGCTGGATATGACGCAGGACGTGAAGAGTAGTGAGCAACATTCAGGAGAAGCTCTAAGGGTCTAATGACTGAAGAAAGAGAAGAAAGAAGCTGGATAACCATAAATTCTACTTCAGCCTGGGATGAGAAGACGGCCGTTGAGAGCAATGACGATTCAGGAGACAAGATTCTACGCGAACAAGGCCACGTTTCCACCAATGCATTTCATTTACTAACACGATCCTCCTTTATCTCAATGCAGTTGGTCCCATCACGCTCTGACTACCTTGACCAACGAGGAGATCGTCGCAGAAATGAAGTGGACAGAGAGAGCAATCGAGGATGCGACAGGATACAGGGTCAAGTACATGCGACCTCCGTACGGTGACATTGACAGCCGGGTTCGATTTGTCCTCAAAAAGTTGGGCTATGTTGTGGTTGACTGGAGCGGTGATACGTTTGATACCCAGGATTGGAGGAGTAAGAAACCGAGGATCGCACTGCATTCTTTTTTTTTTGTGCTATGGTTTATTAATAAGATAATCATTTATTGTTATAGTTCTCGCGAAACAAAAAACTCCAAGCCAGATCATTGCCACCTTCAAGCAGTCCATTAATACGTACCTCAACAACAATGTGGCCCACAGGAAAGGATTCATCTCGCTCGATCATGATCTCACAGCCCATACTATCGAAGTTGCCAAATCTGTGATTCCCTACGGTCGAGCGCATAATCTTACTATCCAATCTGTTGCTAAATGTCTTCACGACGCGATGCCCTACGCAGCCATCAATGGAGTGAGCGTTGATGATTCGCCGCATCCAGCTCCTGGTTCTCTCGGATTGAACGCCGGGGCTCGATCGAATACCTGCACAAACAGTAGCAGGAACTGGGTGGCAGCGGACAAGGCGGTCGCACATATGGCTGCAGTCAGTAGTGCCAGTGCACTGAGATCCCATGTGCAGGGTCAGCACTTCTTGGGCGCCTTGTTGCCCTGGCGCTGGAGGTTATCTGTGGAGGACGGGGATATGCAGCTGGCACGCAATATTCTAAGGTGGCTGATGGTCCTGGAAGCGGTTGCCTGGTGGGGAGTGGTTCTAGGGATGTATTTCGTCGCCAACATGGCATCGTTCTAGCACTACGACGACTCTACCCGCATGTGTTTATTTTTTGCATTTTTGTATCCTTGCCAGGGGTGGACCCTGCGGCAAATATCTGGATGGGGGAGGAGGAATGGATGTGACTGAAATTTTGTAGATATCGGTGGGTCACTGTGTGAGTCAAATTCGTTGGAAGTCCTCCTCCCCCGTTTTCCATTCAAGTTCCTGAATCTCCACTTCTCCCACTCTTTCATTCCATCACCTTCTTCTTCACTACACATACTCACTCCCACATTTATATATTACAATGACTCGTGTATTAAAGGCCGGTATCCTTGGTGCCACAGGCACAGTTGGACAGCGTTTCATCCTCTTGTTGTCTCAGCACCCTGGCTTCTCCATCCATGCCCTCGGTGCCTCCCCTCGCTCTGCAGGAAAGTCCTACATCAAGGCGACCAAGTGGAAAATGTCCCAGTCCATTCCTGCGGACGTCCGCGATATGGTTGTTCAGGCCTGCGAACCCCAGAACGAGTTTAAGGAGTGCGATGTTGTCTTTTCGGGACTCGATGCCGATGTTGCTGGCGATATCGGTATGGACACTGTCACTGTCTTTGTTAGATCTGCAAGGAAGAAGAATGGATCTGAGATCAGCGATGACTGATTTGAATTTATTCCTTAGAAATGGCATTCCTTAAGGCTGACCTGGCTCTGTTCTCTAACGCCAAGAACTACCGTACACACGAGGATGTTCCCCTGATTGTGCCCATGGCCAACTCTTCGCACTTTAATCTGCTTCCTTTCCAGCGTACTAAGCACCAGCTCTCCAAGGGATTCTTGGTCACTAACGCCAACTGTTCGACCACTGGTCTGGTGGTCCCTCTGAAGGCGCTTCAAAATGCTTTCGGTCCCTTGTCCAGAGTCGTGGTCACTACCATGCAGGCTGTTTCCGGTGCTGGATACCCTGGCGTACCATCGCTTGACATCATGGACAATGTGGTTCCATTCATTGGAGGCGAGGAATCAAAGATGGAGTGGGAGACACTTAAGATTCTCGGCGGCTTGAACCAGGAAGCCAATGGGTTTGAGTTGTTGAAGGGCACCAAGGTCTCGGCGACATGCAACCGCGTGCCAGTGATTGATGGACACACGGAGTGTGTCTCAATTGAGTTTGAGAGGCGTCCTGCTCCCTCAGTTGAGGAGGTGATCAAGGTGTTGGAGAACTACCGCACGGAAGCTCAGGAGCTCGGATGTCACTCTGCACCGGAGCAGGCAATTATTGTCAGCAGAGACGAAGACAGGCCACAGCCTCGTCTGGACAGGGAGAACGGCAATGGATACAGTGTTACGGTTGGCCGCGTGAGGGAGTGCAATGTGTTTGACATCAAGTTGACACTGCTGGTCCACAATACCATCCTGGGCGCAGCGGGATCAGGCGTGTTGCTGGCCGAACTGGCGCAGAAGCTGGGTCTCATTGTTTAAAGGTGGAAAAGAAGGATGAGGCATCGCAAAGGACGAACGAACAAGTGAAGGAAGATATTAAAGCAACTCATAGACATACCTTCATGCCAATGCGATGTTCACAGTTACCCGGGTTAATTCTCATACATGTTTTTTGAATGCTTGTTCCTGCACCCGCTCGGTTTCTGGTGGAAAGATGTTTGTCAAAAGAACGAGTGAACTCTAAAGCAGCTTAGTGCATCGTCTGAGTTGAGAGCACTTCTAGAGGGACGCACATGCACCCAAGGCCTCTGAGAACAGGGTAAATACTCTCTCTCCCCACCTTCTTGAGAGAAAAAGGAAAGCAGGGGGACCAGTGACCTCTTATTTATCTCTTGGAGTTTCCTACTCTTTCTTCTCTCCTCTCCCTTCCTTCGCTTTCCCTTTCTCTTTACATACATCCGTTCATATATCCCCGCCTGCTTAACTCTATTTACCCAGCAAACCCTGCCTTTCGTCCGTTCACTTCTCGCCCGTTATCTGTCACCACCATCCATCCACGTCCACAGTACACATCATACTCTCATTGACGCCGCATAGCATTATGGCTGCAACAATACCCACTTCCCGCCCGCCTCCACACCACCACCAGCAACCATACCCCTCCTACCGTACTATGCGGCGGCATCTCAAAGGCATCATCATCTGCACAACCCTCTTCTGCATCTTTGTGAACCTCATTATCTACCTCTCCGCCGATACTCCTGAGCCCCCTGTCCTCCAGCCCGCAGAGCCAGTCCAGCGAAGACCTGTCGTCATCCCTGAACTCTTACGAGGCGGGCGCCGGAACCCTCTCCATGCACCACTCGCAGCTGATAACTGGAAAAATGACTGGTTCCGGTCCCAGGAACTAAACCCAGAGACCTTGGGTGATCTGAAGAAGGAAGCTGCCATGGATCTGGTCTACACGTGGGTCAATGGCACGGAACCAGCCTTACAAGACATGAAGGAATATTACAAGGATCTATCGCCCTTGTTCCAGGCATTGAAGGCCTTACCCGAGGGATCGTTGAGACAGAATAATGCGGGACGGGGGAGAAATGGAGCTACAGTGGACAAGAATGCAGATCAGACCGTGAACCGATTCAGGGATATGAACGAACTCAAGTACTCACTCCGATCTGTGATAAAGTATGGAGCATCAAATATGTTTCGCAAAATCCATATCCTGACAACGGAAGTCGTCGTTGATCAGCGGACGGGCGAGAAGCGCGGGCAGGTCCCGCAGTGGTTGGACTTGGACAGAGCGAGGGATAAGGTCGACCTAATCACGCACAGCGAAATTTATGATGACAAGGAGCATTTACCGAGCTTCAACAGCCTGTCGATCGAGAGTCAAATGCACCATGTCCGGGGCCTAACTGATATTGTAGGTGGCAGAGTGAACGGTTTCATGACTATGTCTCTACCTAAACCTCAAGAGCTGTATCTCTGACCTGAATCCATTTTTTATTCCTCGCAGTTTGTTTACCTCAACGACGATATGTTCTTTGGAATGCCTGTCGATATTGCGGACTTCTGGACACCACTCTATGGCTTCGTCTTCCGAATGGATCCACTCACAAAGATCCCACCGCACCCACCAAAGCCTCTCGAGAACACAGCTGTCGTGGGTGAATGGCAATCCCTTCAGTACACCAATTCGATCTTGGCGAAGCAGTTTGGAGCCCGCCATCGTGTCTACATTGCCCACATCCCTCACGTTCTCAGCGTGCCACTCATGGAAGAGATTCAGGCGACTTGGCCCGAAGAATTCAACAAGACGAGCTCACATCGATTCCGAGGCGAAGGATTCGCACATGAGATCCAAGTCTCGTATCTATTGTCGCATTACACAATGGAGCGACTTCGGGAGACTCAGTTGACATCGTGGTGGAGGTACCGACTAGACAAGAATCAGGATGGGCTGCTGGACTGGGAGGAGCGGGAGGAGCTGATCCGGATGGTGAGGCATTATGATAACTTGCAGGCTGAAAATCAAAAAGTGATGCCAGACTTGGTCAAGAGGACATTTGTAAGCGGCCTTAAGGATCATGATAGGCGGCTGGAGAACGTGGGGATCTCGTGGACTAACCGGACGACTTATTTCTTGACGGGAATGGATGAGTACCCCTTCATGCTGGCGTATGGCGACCTAACAAAGAGCTCAAGGCATCAGTTCACCAAGCCCTACTTGATTCAGCAGTACCAGAGGAAATGCAAGTTCGAGATTGATTTTTGTCTGGGGCCTGAGTTCAGGAACAGCAGTATCCCGTTCGTAGATGCCATGACCGGAAAGGGATCTGTTTTTGAGCGGTTGGCGTTCACAGAGTTCCATTGCGGGGATTGTTTACTCCATATCGTGCGTCAGTCAAGTCCGAACCCCGGAATGAGCGCACTAATGCCTCTGGATCAGAACTCGAAGGCCTATGGGGAGGTACTGAGGGACCTGGCAAAGTACAACTATGTGGTCGGGCACTCTGCTTTTTCGTTTCTCCAGCTCAAGTCTGGAATGCAGGCGGAGAGTGCGCTCAATACGCTGATGCGGCAGTGGGAGAAGCAGGCGTTCTTTTGTATCAATGATGATGTACAGGACAATCCGTTGATCATTGAGAGGGTCAAGAAGTTCTTCTCAAACTTCTTGAATCTTCGGTTTCCAGAGCCTTCGCCGTACGAGAAGGAGTGATTCTGAGGACCAGCTTTAGCTCCATTGGCCTGCATATCCGTATAAAGTACTGGCTGTAAAGATAAAAAGTGCTACAAACGGCTGATAATGTACATCTTCTCCCTCCATTGGTGTGGATTGCTCGAAGCCTTGAACCTCAAAAAAAATTAAATCCCTCATACATATTTGCGGTTCAACAAAACAAAAAGTAGAGCAGATCAAGCCGATGCGAGAAATCAACTTCCTGATCCTCAGTTCCTCATTTCTTTCACTCATTCGCCAAGTCATTTCATTTTTTTTTCTACTGGTGAAAAAAAAAAAAAAAAAAAAAGGACCGATAAGCTCAGGAACAAGGGTCCTCTTTTTCAGGAACAAGAGTCCCATTTTTCAGGAACACTATTTTTTCAAGTGACGCAATAACGGAATGCCAGGAATCACAGCGTCTGTGCCAGCTGGGGTGCAGGGACTCCCTCAACCCAGCGACAACTTTTCCCGCAGGTTCCGCAACAGGGGTCCGTTGATTCTCCGTCAGATCATCGATCCAAAAGTACTGAATCAATGGGCCCAGGATCCAGAGCATGTTGCCCAGGCCCTGAATAACAGTGTCCAGGAACAGAAGCAGAAAGAGGAGGGGTTTGACGCCGCAGTGTCTTTGCTGTCGATCACAGAGTCGGAGACTCTCCGTGAACCGCTGCTGCCGGTTATGGTTGCCGAGGACACCAAGAACTTCATGGACAACCCGCAGTTTACCAAGAAGATAGCCATGACCGCCCGCGAGATCGTTACCCGAGTGCTTGTGCGTCCATCGTCCTCGATCTCATGCGATGCAGGGTCTGATATCTATGCGGACAACAACAGCACCAAAGAGACTAGCGCACAGACAGCTGTAACAACAACATCCTCAGTATGCATTTGTCCTCTCTGCGAGAACAACCACGCTTTAGACTCAGACTCGGACTTGGACCCACATGATTCGTTTATCCGCTTCTACTACCGCGGCCACGTCCCGCCGTCCCTCTACACTGCCCTCCAGATCCCCGCCCTCCTCGATTCCCTCTCTCTACCCTCGGACACTACTCCTTTCGCCAGCGCACCAAACAAATCTCTTATGCGGATCTGGATCTCTCTCGCTGGCGCGACGACCCCATTGCACTACGACCGTTGCCACGGGATCCTTATGCAGTTGGTCGGTCGAAAACGCTTCGTCGTGTTCTCGCATGAGGATACCAATAACCTTTACGCCTACGACAGCATCGCCGGGCCAGGACATGCGAGTAAAGTGCGTGGATTGGGACATTGCTTCCCCTTTGTCTCTTCCTCTTCAGATAAGGCACAAGAGCTCTACCAGCAGCAGCAGCAGCAGCAGCAGGAGAGGAAGCATTTGGACGAAAATCTGTCAGAGGTGCTGGAACGATGGCCAAAGATCAAGTACACGGATCCGTGGGTGATTGATTTGGAGCCTGGTGATGCGTTGTACACCCCACCGGGGTTCTGGCATGAGGTGACGAGTGTCGATAACTCGATTAGTATCACGGTGCCCTGGGATATGGACGCGAGCGAGCTGGAGCATGTTCCCAGGCATATGGCCTTCTGAAATAGACTTTATCATTACATCTAGAGCAGGATTATAGAATATAGACTCATAGAGCATAGAGAAGCAATATTTGGAGATTTATACCCATTGAAGAAATCCATAACATGGCATGAAACTCGTCTGCAGGCGTTTCTCGACGTGGGAGGTTCTACAACCTTTCGATGTCAGGGTTCATGACAGTAATCGGTCAATCAAGGAATAGTTGTCCACCATCTTTCAGTACTTCAGTGGCCATGTGAGCGGATACGATAGATGATTCATCTTCGTTCTATTGTTTCATAAAGCCCCTTCAGGCAACAACATAAGAGAATGAGGCCCGGTCCACACTTGCCATCTCCAAGATACTTGCTGAAATTATGCATTCCTCCCGCAAAGAGCAAGTCTATTGTATTCGCGTCCCCAGGTCAAGCGCGTTTTAGACTACTGTCGTTTCCGAGAATTGATCGTGGTCAGATTGGTTCAGGGAAGTATCCAGCGATGATTGTGCGCCTCAATCGAGCCATAGAATCAAGGAGCATTCATTAGAAACTCTTGGAACAGTTGAGAAACCAAATGAGCAAGGATTGCGAAGACATTCTTCATCCCTATCCCGTTTTGTTAATGAATACCGTCGCTTATAGCCTGGAAACGTCGGAGGTAGTTAGATATGCAAATTACAGATCCGATTCACCAAAAAAAAAAAAAAAAATCGCATCGCGAACAAGCTCGCTGAGCATATTCGACCCTATATGTCATCGTTCTCAACCTGCCATACGCCTATATGTATTTTCATATCCGTGTAAACCTCCTCCCCCCCTCTTTCCTGCCAAGAAAGAGAGTTTCCTCCCCTATGGATGCCGCCCAAAATGTGCGGATGCATCTTTGTGCCTGGAATTTGCCACCAATGTAATCCGTTCGAACGACTACGCCCAAATGTGTTTTGGATATTCCTCCAATATCATTGGCAATCCAAAAATGTCCGGGGGACTGCTGAATCCAAAAAGTAAACAGCGCTTTTTTTTTTTTTTTTTTTTTTTTTGTTAGCAGTGCCCTGTTCCTGCTGTGTCGCATATCTCTCTGTATCTCTACAACAAACAAAACCGTTTCCTCCTTCCCACCTCCTCCATTGCCTACCCTATTTCCCTTTCCCCCTTTCCCTCGCTCTTTTCACATTCATACACTTTCAACAAGATGGTCAAACCATTGGGCTTGCCGAGGGACTCTCTCGAACGTCGACGCGGCGGTCGTGGTGGACCAGCACCTCGTCGCGACCGTATGGAGAGCGGTGAGCGGGTAGCCAATCGCATGAAAAACGACTATAACAGTCAATTCAAGAACAAGGGCTCGAACAAGTCAGGATCCACTGGAGGACGTGTAGAGAAGAAGAAGAAGGGGTTCAACCCGATGGCGAAGGCGCATATGGGATCGGATGCTTATAAAGGACATGGTACGGTGTGATGCAGTGAATCAATGTTTGGTCTCTTTGTTTTTATTTTGGGATAGATAGGTCTCAAAGTGGAGAAGGATTCGCGTTGAAAAGTCTGTGTGCTTTTTATTATAATATCTAGCTAAGAAACTGAAGGCAGAGCTGATTCACAAGGCCAAGGTCAAGAAGGATTTCGCCAAGGTGTTGAAGAAGGAAGAGGAGAATACCCCAGAGTTCTACAAGAAGGTAAGCTACCATTGCTCAAAATTAATTGGAAAAAAAGGCGCTCAGCTATCATGCTAAGAGCAAATGATGATTAAATCTCCCATCTTTTTACTCCGACATAGATCTTTGGCGAAAAGACAATTGACAACGAGGGAAACGTTATCGCATACAAGAACGATGACGCTCCAGAAGCCGAGGATGATGCCGAAGAAATGAGTGGAAGCAGCGATGACGAGGATATGCAGGGATTAGGATCTGACGAGGATGAGGAGGACGAAAATGAGGAAGATGAGGTGGAATCTGAAGAAGAGAAGCAATCCAAAAAATCAAAGAAGGGAGTGGCATCAACATCCGCAACAGCGAAACCCGGAAAACAGGAAGACGGCAGTTTTGTGCGCGCACCTAAGCCAAACCCCTTCAAAGCTGCGATTGAGAAGCGTGAGGCCGAGAAGAAGGCCATTCAGGAAGCCCGAGAGGTGAGTTGTGTCCCAAACTGGCATCCTCAAGTTGTTCGAGGAAGGAGGAAAAAAAAAAGATCGTGATAGAGCATCGGTGCTAACATATGGATTTCATGTTCGTCGGTTGTCGATAGCGCGTACAACGTGAGAGGGCTCTGGCCAAGAAGGGCCGAGATGCATACTACGCAAACCGTGAAAAGACAACGAAGAAGATGCGTGAAAAGACACCCAGCGGACAACCCGTCCTTGCCAACCAGATTAAGATGATGCTCGGCAAGATCAAAGAGGATGTCAAGGAGAACACAACGCGCGCACCGGTTCAGAGATGGGGTGGACGTGGCGGTCGCAAATCTGCGGGACGCGGAACTGCTAGGGGTGCCAAGAAAGGGACTTCGAGTGCACATCGTTGAGCATGGACAGACATTATACATCAAACATCCGGAAGCAACATATGGGCTGTATTATACGATAGCGTCTTCTTACTATTAAACAACTCTATTGCATTATCGATACGTTGATGGTCGCGCGTATTCTGAGCGCGCCTGGTATATGTGAACAGAAGCTTGTGATCGATTATCTGTGGAGCATCTCTGTTACCTCGACCCTTCGCTCCACATCCTCTACATTAGGTTCATAAAGCGCCCCTGCGTTCTCTACCAATTCTCTGTTCCATTCGGATACTCGCTTTTTCTGGAACAGGGTCAGTCACTCAAACCGTGGCCGGACATCGCCTGCGCGTCGCCCGTTGCCCTGAGTCTTGGCCAGCTTGCTATGGCCACCGAATGGAAATCGGGATGCTAGATTCTCCTTAGCCCTCTTCCTGAGTAACTCCTCTGAGGATTCTCGAATAAATTTGATGGAGACATGCATCAACTTGGGGGCCAGGCCCTTGATCGTATTTCTCGTGCGAAACTGTGGAGAAAGTCGGGCCACCCATACGATGCCTTGTGGGGTCATTTTCACATGATTCGTCGTCCCCAGACTCAGTCGTTTCAAGTCGCAGAGCCACGTCAAAAGACATAGACCTGCTCGAACTTTAGACTCAGCCCAGAGTGGTAGATGGTGAACTTCTGAAGCTTTGGATAACACGCGGAAATGTAGTCGAAGATAATTCGGTTCGACATGAAGATCTTTTTGGGATCGGCCTTTTGTCGGCCTATGATGTCGATGTCGGAGTGTTCCGTGGTTGCTGCTGCGGCGGCTGCATTAGGTTGTCATTTTGCAGGTCGGTTGCGCTGCGCACTAGCAAGGCCCTGCGCTGGGGCTCGGAGTCTATTGGTGTGTTCGTGCAGCTTTAGGCTGGGTTCACTAAGGGCTCGGACTGTCCCGCGTGGGTGGCGAGGCTATCGACCCATTTCGTCATCACATCCGTCCTATGGTTTGAGGGATAGAAAGTGCATGATGATCGTCTTGGTTAAGTGCTTTATCTCGACGCGAATGATAGAGCGATTCGGTGGGCGGACACTGTCTAGTAAGGGGTCACAAGAACGCGCGTCCGCTGTCGGCACCCCAGATACACCATCCACTCGAAATCGGTGTTGTCTCCAGCGCAACGCTAGCAAAAGTGAGATTGTCGACTCCAGATGTGGATAGTGTATAGCCATCCATTTCCTCAGCTCTGTAGACAAGAAAACTTTGATACTGCATGCCGATAAGTTTCAGCTCCCTTAGATCTGGACAGTGACAGAGGATTCGCTCCAGCGTAGCCATGGCTAACAGCATATCCTTCAGACCAACCTCTGGAGCTTCGGGCGGGAAAGGAGTACCGAAGATGGCTTGAGCATTAATAGGAGGTGTACAATCAGATATGTGGCGTCCATGGTTGGGTATAGGTCGTGATTACTCGACTTCAAGGAAAATCAGACGAAGTTCGGGAGTACGCACAGCAGGTGCTCGACACAATAGGTCTTTTGGGTGGCCTTTTGCAGCTGGCTCTCGGCGATACATGACCGCAGTGGAGGAAGCAGCGGGAAAAGCTAATTTTTGAGATCACTGAAGGTGCTGACGACGAGCTTCTGTAGAAAGATTCCAATAATGATACATACGTGAGAAGACAACATTTAATTCCTTTTCTGACGATCTTTTTGAAGCATTCTTCAATATCCGGCGTCGCTGACTCTGTAGTCCCAGCCTCGGCTGCAAAGGGTCGCTTGCCGTGAGCTGCAGTGTCCTTACCAATCGATCGTATGCCTTCTGATTGCTGGACCTCTACTTTAGAATCCTTAAAAAGAACTGAGCCCCAACTCAGACGACAACTCATCATCTTATAGACCCATACTGTCCGGAGTCGGCGGAAGTGAATAGCAGTTGCGTCTCGCTGTTTGATGGCGAAATAAGTATAGTGGATGATAGTGTACTGAGGAAGTATCACCAAGATGTACTTCAGTATTTCGGGAGTAGCAAGTGGGTTTAGGTTTAACGCCAACGGTGCAGTCGACATGGCAGAGATCGGTGTTGGCGCTGTAGGGTGGTTGTTGGTACTCAGTTGCGGAGGAAATCCGGTCTTGCGAAGGCTGAGCTGCTTCACGGCGTCTTTGGTGAAGAGAGTGAGAAAATTAGCGGGCTGATGCAGATATGCATGTCTTTTATGGCAGCCCCAGCTCCAGTCCGATTTTCGCCTGGCCAGCCATCGTTCTGGACATTTGGATTATTTGGATTATATACGTGAATGCATGTTTGTTATCTACTCTGGTGCATACGAGCACCTCAAAAGAAACCACTTTGAACCAGAACTGAGGAATTGATGTGCATGAATACGAATATATTTCATGGATACAACTACTTGATCTGCTTCTCCTTCTCGGCTTTTTGGGCAAGCCGCATCGCTAATTGATGCCATTGGTCCCACAAGTCTTGTGCCACCTCGGCCGTGTCCTCCACGGCTTCCACTGGGAACGTAACCCGATCGCCCATACTCTCCTTGGATGGACCACCAGGAAAACATCCATTGCCGAGACACGTTCGTTGCGCCTGCCATTTCGCTTCTTCTTGCAATGATGCCGCCGCGTACGCCCGGTAATCCAGCTCAATGCCATTCTCCAATGCCTGAACAAGGTAATCGATAAAGATCCGCCATCGCGGGTAATAGAACTCCTTGGCAATTCCTGCCCATTCCTTAGACGCATAGTTCGACAGTGACGTTTGACCATTCGGACCCCACCATGTAACCTGCGTCCGAGCCTGCTGCTCCAAATAGTCCGCGTAGAGGTTCATGTCATCCAGAGTCCTGTTTCGGGTGTATGTAGGGACCGTTGAATCGACGACTCGGGCAGAGATACGAGCATCTCGAATCCATGGTCCTAGCATGAAATGAGAGTGCGTTGCCAATATCCTATCCGTATCCAAGATCGCCTCCAACACGAGCTTACCCCAAGATCTTGTCAGCTCTAGATCCTTGGATCTATAAGCATCAACAAGTTCATGGTGCAGACCAGGCAGCACGACTGCAGCCATGATCTCGCGAGTCACGTCCACGAGATCGTATTGGAAACTAGATACGTTCAAAGGAAGGTCGGACAACTTTGGGAGCGCTGTCGATTTGAGATTTGTAGGCCGATAGGTGTATGACTGTGGATCGTCAGAGTTCAATAGCGTGAGCCATGAGGCCATGATCTGATAGCTGCTTCCACGGTCAGGGCGTCCACTTTTCTGCTGGGAACCTCGGATTCGGCTTGTAAAGGACGCTGTGGGGGTAGAAACGAAGGCCCTCTTCTCGATCCTTGGTGCTTCCTTAATCAGCATACCGCTGGTTATCCTTAAGACTTGCTCGATCGAGTTCTGGATCACACCAGGACCTCGTCTCCTCATTGATTCCACCGTCTCAGTCGACTGCACAAGCTGGCCCCAGGATTGAACTACCTTGGTCTGATTATACCAAACTAACGATGACATAAAACCTCCGTAATCCATGTCGAGTGAGGGAGTGACATCCAGCCTCGACTTAGACTGCGACATTTGCCCGTTGCGGATGTCCCATACGGTTTGTGAAAGTGTGGTCCATGCCTCAAGAACCGCGTCCGAGGTCTGGTTAGGTCCATAGCGGCGCTTCAGATATGCCTCGAGGTGCTTTTGGCCGTCCAGTGGAGGTTGACTTAATTCTTGACCGGCAGGTTTGATGTTGTCATTCGTAGTAGATGGGTACGTAGCTTCAACAGACTCCCAAGGAATGTCGAGGATGAGTTGGTAGAGGTATTCGTTGTTGTTGATGCCCTCCATCGTAATCCCCATACCGCGCATCGCCTTGGCGGGTTCCTGATATCCTTTGAAGGGTTCCGTGAGAAGCGTCGGCAGCGTGCCGTAGAGAGCCTGGCCACCACCAAAGTTGTTCAGCCTACGGCAATCAAGGGCATCCACGTTAGTACATTTGTCCATACTAAACCAACCGCTAGCCATCGCAAGGACGAACACACATAGACTTACATGCTCCAACCCCAATCGATGCCAAAGAACCCCTGTGTTACATTCCAGAGGGGTGCCACGTCCGAGTACAGATCGATCACAAACGCATCTCGTCCGTCGTTCACCGTCCGGATCCCATCAAAAAATGCCTTAATTTCCTGCTCATGCCAGAGATCTCGGTTCAACAGGAACCAGGACTGCATGGTCCAAACTGCATTTGGGTCGGCACTCTTTAAAGCTCCCATAACACCACTGGTGATCTGTTTCAAGCACTCGATTTCCATGCACACTGGATGCAGCTCATTATACAAATCCAGAAGATAGTAATTCTTGTTGCCTTTGTAACTGAGACCCTGCTGAACATAGAGTGCGCTCTGAGTCTGCAAGAATTGCTGAGTCAAATTGGCGAAAAGCGGCTCCGTTGAGGCGACAAAGGTGACGCGGGAAAATGTGTCGCCTATAGAGTTCCAATCCGAGGCGTTTTGGAACTTGACGTCAGGAAATTTTTTGGTGAGCTCCCTAGGAACGAAACCGTTAAAGGACGGCAGTACGGCCGTGATATTGAAGTCGTCCATCCTACCCATAATGCTAGAAACGGATCGCATGAGCAGTGCAAAGGCTGGTTATTTTGGTGAAATAAAGATAATGGCTACTTAAAAAGATCGCTTACAGATATATGAACGTACTGTCCCTGCAGCTCCCATTGACTGTCGATCCAATCATTCTTGTACTGTGTATCATTCGGGAAGCCCCATGAGCCTTGAATATTGCCCATACGTTGCCAAGGCATGTATGCTGGCCCAGCAAAGAATCCATTGAGCTCCTCTCGTGTCAAGCCCAGGTTTTCGTACATTTGTCGGAAGACATACTCCTGTCCAACCATCGCCAACGCCATATTGATGCCATTTAGGAACATCCAGTCTACAGAAGAATACGCGCACTGGTTAGATAATGGCTATACGGCGTAACAAATGCAAAGGAATGCCACCTACCAAGCTCCCGCTCCCATCGTGTCCAGTCCCAGAACACAAACGAGTATCCGAACGTAACTACGTTCATGTAGTATCGCCATGGCACAAAGCTCGCCCTGATGATTCCCTTGGCCGTATCGATTACTGGAGGCACTGTTGGCATGTCACTGAACCTATCGCCGCTCCATGACATCTCGACCTGACAGATGTTTCGGATGTAGTAGTTCAGTCCTGCGCCTAAACCTGACAAAGTGGCCCCCTCGATCACGACGCTGACCCCATCACTCCCGTTTGAGATCCTGAAGGTGTCGTGTATGTTGGTCGAGGACGCAGGCACGAGGTCTGGTTTGAGGGAAAACACGAAGTGATCATGGTATTGCACCGGCAAGAGTCGCTTCACAAGCGCATAAATTGGGTCCTCCGGCAGTGTGGCACGCTTGAATACGGCCTTAGTGAGTATTGCGGCAGCCGTATCGACTTTTGGTTTGGTCAACGTGGGCCTTGTGGGCACTGTATGAGGCGCGCATGACGTTGGTGGTAACCGCCGGCGTGTCGGTACAGCGTGAGCACGGCCGATGCTGTTGTTTGAAGAGCAAGTAAGGCATATTGACAGGGAGGCGATCAACAAGAGCGAGAAGAATTTCCGAGTCCTGCGGGGTGACCTCTTCGAGCGAATCGAGGCTGTATCGGCATGGTGCTCCGTCCAGGAATTGGTCATTTTGTGAAGTTTACTGAAGATGCGGGCGCTGTATGTCTGTGTGCTGGTGCTGCAGATGGTGGGGCGGTTAGTGTGCTGCTTCGGACAGGCGGTGGGATCCGGGTGGGTGAAGTGTGGGAGAGACGGATGGAGAAACAGGGAAAAGGAGAAGAAAGGAAGGAAGAAGAGGGCTGGTTTAGTCAGTTTGGCCAGGTGTAGAGTAGATTAGATTGCATGTAGCAAACAAGCGGGGTTGCAATCGGAGGCGGGGGCGAGGGCGTAGACACTGACGGCCATTCCCAGGGCGAAAGAGCATAGGAAGAGCATAGGAAGAAATAACGGTCGGAATTGTCGGTAAAAAATAATTGGCAAGAGCAACCATTCATCGTTAGAGTTCATCCACACGATGGAAAACGATTGCCGTCGACTAATAGAGCCCAAGGGCTGCACAACAGTACACAAGCCAAAATTTCTGTCTGAAAGTAGACTACCTGCTGTTGTCGAATGGGGGACAAGAGGATGAAAGCATGCGACTGAGCCCATGCTACGATGCGTTGTAGTACTGTAGTCTATTTGGTCACTCTAGAGTACATGTACAGTACATGTACAGCGAAACCTTTACAAAGTCTCACTTTCTTCGCTTACTTGTGAAGTGAGAGGGGACGAAGCTGCCTCGCTCACTTGCAGCTCCCAATTTTATACGCTCGCTCTTTCGTCTAGTCTTTTTTCGGTTTCAATCACCTTACTTAATGTGTAAGTCGCGGTTTGAGGTGCTCGTCTGAGGTGCTTCTCAATACTAGCCCACCCACTGAATGCGTATCATCATCTTCTCCCTCAGGCCTTTTTGTCAGCCTTTTCTGCAAGCCGTGCGGCGATCTTGTTCCATCGATCCCACAGATCCTGCGCTACTATTACAGTATCCTCCACGGGCTCCAGTGCAAACGTGTGCTTTGAAGAGCACCTGCTACCGTGACTACTGCCCAAACAGGTCGTCTGCTTCAGCCAAACACTCTCCACCTTGAGCGAATCTGCCAAGTATGCCTTGTAGTCCAGCTGTCGACCCTTCTGCGCGGCAGTCACCAGTCGGTCCACAAAAATCTTCCAGCGCGGGTAGTAAAATTCCTTCACAAGTCCACTCCATTGCTTTCCCGCATAATCCGCAAGACCCTGTTGTCCAGCAGGAACCCACCATGTAATCTGGTTGCGCGCACTGTGTTCCACGTAGTTCTGGTACCGGCTGGATGTCGAGCTCGAGGCAGTCTTGGCAGCGAGGCGCGCGTCACGGATCCAGGGACCGAGCATGAAATGCGTATGTGTGCCAAGGATGCGGTCCGTGTCCTTGATCGCTTCGAGGATTAGACGGCCCCAGTACCGCGTACGAGCAAGGTCCTTGGCCTTGTATGCGTCCACGAGTTCATGGTGCAGACCTGGGATCACGATCGCGGCCATGATCTCGCGGGTCACATCTACGAGATCGTAGCGGAAACTAGACACGTTCAGCGGGAGTTCTGATTCCTTGGGTAATGGGTCGGCGCGCTTGAGAAGAGTCACATATGTGGAATCTGTGGATGGACCGGTGTATCTCTCACTGCTCGTGTCTGGGGTTCTTTGGCCGATGGTGTTGAGGATTGCGTCGCGAATCCTGTTCGAGAAAGCTTTCGACAAGGCCGCTTTGCGTTCATTAAGATCTAGGGGTATCGAGGTTAACGTCTCGCCACTGTGGTCCGTAGGCTCGAGACTAGCCCTACCGCTGACAGTCTTAAGCGCCTGCCCATGTCGACGTCTCCTACGCGAGGTCTCCGTCTCAGTCGACTGAACAAATTGGGTCCATGCACGTACAACCTTGGCCTGGTTATAGTCGAAAATAGTCGGCAGGAAGCCGGTACGGTTCATCTCCAAAGCTGGGGTGAGATCCAAGTACGACTTTGGCTGGGCAAAATGGTCTCTGCTACAGTCCCATACGGTTTGTGAAAGTGTGGTCCATGCCTCAAGAACCGCGTCCGAGGTCTGGTTAGGTCCATAGCGGCGCTTCAGATATGCCTCGAGGTGCTTTTGGCCGTCCAGTGGAGGTTGACTTAATTCTTGACCGGCAGGTTTGATGTTGTCATTCGTAGTAGATGGGTACGTAGCTTCAACAGACTCCCAAGGAATGTCGAGGATGAGTTGGTAGAGGTATTCGTTGTTGTTGATGCCCTCCATCGTAATCCCCATACCGCGCATCGCCTTGGCGGGTTCCTGATATCCTTTGAAGGGTTCCGTGAGAAGCGTCGGCAGCGTGCCGTAGAGAGCCTGGCCACCACCAAAGTTGTTCAGCCTACGGCAATCAAGGGCATCCACGTTAGTACATTTGTCCATACTAAACCAACCGCTAGCCATCGCAAGGACGAACACACATAGACTTACATGCTCCAACCCCAATCGATGCCAAAGAACCCCTGTGTTACATTCCAGAGGGGTGCCACGTCCGAGTACAGATCGATCACAAACGCATCTCGTCCGTCGTTCACCGTCCGGATCCCATCAAAAAATGCCTTAATTTCCTGCTCGTGCCAGATATCCTCCACCACAGGAAGCATGAACCAGGACTGCATGGCCCAAATGGCCTTGGGATCTGCGGCCTTGAGCGCCTTCATTACTTCGCTGGTTAACTGCTTCAAGCATTCGGTTTCCATGCACACCGGATGCATCTCGTTGAACAGGTCCAAGAGATAGAACTGGTTGTCAGCGTTTGACTCAAGACCCTTTTGATGATAGAGCGATTGTTGAGTCTGAAGAAATCGCTTGGTCATACTGGCAAAGAAGGGGTCTGCTGAGGAGATGAAGGTGTTGCGAGAGTATGGGTCCTCCAAGAAGCCCCATTGTGAAGACTGGTTAAACTTGACGTCAGGGAACTTTTTGGTGAGCTCCCGAGGCACGAAACCGTTGAAAGCTGGCAACACAGCCGTGATGTTGAGGTCGTTCATTCTGCTCATAACACTACAGTCAACAGTCAACATACAATTTTAGAATGGATCATTCCCATGGTGACAAAAAAAAAAAAAAGTTTGCAACTGGGGATCTTAACTTACTGTCCTTGCAGCTCCCACTGACTGTCGATCCAATCATTCTTGTACTGTGTATCATTCGGGAAGCCCCATGAGCCTTGAATATTGCCCATACGTTGCCAAGGCATGTATGCTGGCCCAGCAAAGAATCCATTGAGCTCCTCTCGTGTCAAGCCCAGGTTTTCGTACATTTGTCGGAAGACATACTCCTGTCCAACCATCGCCAACGCCATATTGATGCCATTTAGGAACATCCAGTCTACAGAAGAATACGCGCACTGGTTAGATAATGGCTATACGGCGTAACAAATGCAAAGGAATGCCACCTACCAAGCTCCCGCTCCCATCGTGTCCAGTCCCAGAACACAAACGAGTATCCGAACGTAACTACGTTCATGTAGTATCGCCATGGCACAAAGCTCGCCCTGATGATTCCCTTGGCCGTATCGATTACTGGAGGCACTGTTGGCATGTCACTGAACCTATCGCCGCTCCATGACATCTCGACCTGACAGATGTTTCGGATGTAGTAGTTCAGTCCTGCGCCTAAACCTGACAAAGTGGCCCCCTCGATCACGACGCTGACCCCATCACTCCCGTTTGAGATCCTGAAGGTGTCGTGTATGTTGGTCGAGGACGCAGGCACGAGGTCTGGTTTGAGGGAAAACACGAAGTGATCATGGTATTGCACCGGCAAGAGTCGCTTCACAAGCGCGTAGATCGGGTCTTCTGGCGCTACTGCGCGCTTGTAAACAGGTACCGACTGTCGATACGCGGGCGTTGCTTGAACATAACCGATACTGCTGGTGTATAGTGATGTCAAACAGATAAAAAGTAAGGTAGCCAAGAGGAGCAAGAGCAATTTGCGCGTCGTGGTGGATGACTGCCTCGGTTGGGCTGGAATCATGCTGTGATACTGCGATATTATGATGGCTAAAGAATGAAAAAGAAACCAAGCGAATCGTCAGGATTACTACTGTTGTCTCGAGTGGATAAACTGCGTGGAGATATGGGCACAGTCGATGATGACGGTACAAGGCGTAGTAGCAGTGAAAATGGATATTATAGAGTGAAGAACGTAGACTAAGATGGTCCAACAACGGAACCGCTCGAAGGCGTAGTACCATCATTCATTCTCCCAGCGTGTATATACTAGATAGTCACTTGCCGCCATCTTTGGACCTCTCCTATGCCCTCCCCACAACGCACAGTCATCTTCAGGGTGAAACTAACCGCCTTTTTTTTTTTTTTTTTTTTTTTTTTTAGCTTTGTGTCCCAGATACTGTCACTCAAATCGGAGATTACGATGGTGACGAGCAAAGGGGACAGAAACTGGGGCCAGTGGTATGATATATTCATTTTGGAGGAATTTGCTAAGATCGCGAAGGTTCGCATGGATTACTTGCTATTGTCACACGACCAGGTCCTTGAATTTGTCTCCGGAAGAAAACGTCGATGATGTTCTGGTGTTCTGGTAAAAGAGGGAGACGATGGCGAACTGCAGCTAATAGCTCTTCTTCCGTATGACGAAGCGTCGCTGCCCCCCTTTTATACGATCTTTCGTCCCTTGGCGCTAGTAGGTTCTCGCGGTACAAGATTTGCAGGGCGCCCTGGTATGTAAGCATACGTGCGCACATAGAAAGGATGGGATGACAAGGCAAGCAATCGCGCCTGCCAGAGCCCAAGAAGATCTATCCTTCTATCCTTCTATCCTGTTTTTCTGTAGCCTTGCCATCGCGTGCACTCATTTGTTATGTTGATGGGGTCACAACGCCGAAGGCAATGCGCATGCACAACATCTGTTATCGATCGAAGATCGTCCTGGTCCGCATTCTAATCCGCAAATCCATTCCCTAGGCTATTTGCGGCATCAGATGTTGCTGTAAGAGGGACTAAAAAGTTTCTCTCCGGAAGTCCACATCCGAACAGGATCTTTGTGCCCTAAACAAAGATGTCCTTTGCAGCAGCTATTATCTTTGCGCAGTCGACGAGTTTTGCAGTGAACTTGATATGCGTTTACTTCTCATTGCCGCGTATTCTTCCAATCCCTTGCTATATTTATCGTGATAAGAACTCAAGATGGGCGTGCGTAAGATTAGAAACTTTAAGATCCAGGACTGAAGGACGGGGCTTGGACAAGAGAGCGCCGTTCCTGGAGTTAGTCCAAGGACAATGTTTGAAAAACGAAGTCGCGTTACATTAGCGGTTTGTGGGCATTATGAAAGACCGTGTTCATGGACAGTCCGTTTGGCAACACATTTCGGTACTCAGCTTCCCCGCGTGTCAGACTAAATAAGCTTGAGACTTTTTACAATAATGAATAATGGTGACGAAAATGATGTTCAATGGGGTTGGAAGCCTAACCGCGTCGTATCTGGTGGATGAAGAAGCAGCCGCAGCTTGGTTTCGGTCAGTGCTCCGCTACTTTAAACGAGTTACAAGCTCCATTTAAATATCCAGTAACGGTTCATGTTGGCATTCAATGTGCCAACCTCGCCGTCCAGTCCAGTATCTTCTTGAGTTCATTCGTTTTCAGGATTTAAGAGTACTGAAAAACACAAGTAGGTTCATTACATGACAAACTATGCCTCATGTTTCATCCTAATATTAACATGTCCCTTCTCCTTGGACGCTTCATGGACGATCGCAGATTATGTCTAAGCGAAGCAAAAATCGTTGCTTTATGACAGGGCGGTAATTCAATCATGACAACACCCAGACGGTTCTGATCTGATCAAGTACACCTTATTGGAGTCCACATCAGTGCTTACAGGAAGTATATACCTACTTCATGTGGTGGGTATTTGCCAATTGCAGCGAGTACTTTGGGTGTGTAAAGTGAATGGGCTGCATTCTTGTAGCTACTACCAGAACGGGCTACAGGAAGCAGCAGAAGAAAGGGGAGTGGTTTATGGATCCATTCGCCAGCGGCCACATAGCAGTATTTTTAATGCGACAAATGATCATTGTTGACCCTCGGTCAATTTATTGCAATGCTTGGTATAACTCTTAATCTCCTTGAGGACGATGGGTCCGGCGACGATAAGGTCGCGCCATTTCTTCCGTGGAGGAGTACTGCCGCGAAGAGTTGGATCCTAATGTCGCTTGGTCAGCTTGGTCGTAATTCTCATCGTGTAGATCGCGGTTCGTGATCTCCAAACGTTGAGGAAGTGCGTAGTACTTGATACCGATGTCCTCCACGGCCTCCTTCAGTGCAAAGTTGAACTAGAAGTTTGTAAAGAAAATGGTGTCAGCAGAGAATGTATGAATCACAGATACGTGAAAACACCATAGAAAACGGTAGTTTCTCTGATAGATGGTTTACCTTGGTCCTCCGGGCCCAGCGACGGCCAGAGTCCTGCCAATTGCCCTTGTGCTCGATGACCATGCTGATCTTCAGTTTAACGTCCATCTCCTGAATCTGGATTTCCATATCAGGTGCAAATTCTTTGCTCTCCTTGGCCAGAAAGTCGCGCATTCTTGCACGGAGTTCAAGAATCTTAACTTGAGGCGTGTAGCAATCAACATTCAGAACAATTTTCTCAGACATGTTGGGCGATCGACGGACGTTGTGGATGGCCTTTTGACTGAGGATGTTGTTGGGAAAGTACATGCGCTTGCCGTCCCAAGTCACAAACATGGTACTGTTAAGACCGACTTCGCGAACGTACATGTCGTAGCCATCGATACTGCACAGATCTCCAGAGTCATAGGGGTGCTATTATATATAGCAATGATAAAAAAAGTCAGAATACATGGCCCCCCAGCTTATCATTTCGTATTAGCGTCCTGATTATTGAGGAGCCAACTTACTGTGATGAACAAAAAGACGATGTTCTCGAACAGAGTTTTGAGCGAGTTGCCAAAAACAAAGCTAAGTGCGACTAGGAAGGAGCCGATTGATAGCATATTCTGTACAACGCTCGTTCCAAAAATCGATAGAATGATCAGAATCCAAACCACCGTGACGATGGTCAAGAAAATGATATCCAGCTTGCCTACAGCCTGCGACAGATCTCTCAGTGAAGTATGCAGATCCTTGCGCTCCTTGTAGACATAAAAGATCTTCTCCTTCATCTCCCTTTTGGAAATGTCACCATTGCCGTCCTTGTCAAAGATCATAAACGCCTCCTTGGCATCCTCTTCAGTATCAAAGTACGGGTAAAAGTCCTCGACGACCAAATCTTCGCCGTTGCCTTGAAGGTTGTAGAACAGTGTCTTTGCAAGTCGTTTGGCGTTTTCGGTCGAATTGATGTCCTTGGCAGGAGTGTCGTCCGCCATAGCGATACCTTGCAGTGTTCGATTAATTCCTTTGAAGATGTCGTTATGCCTGGGGCCCCTGCTGTCGCGCTGCATCCGACGCACCGAAGGTGCGGCCGATCCGCGGCTGTTGTGTTCTGTTGGTGTTCCTAATGGAGTCGTGTTCGATGACCCGATCAGATCGTTCAGATGAAGCGTCTCAGTGTTGTCCAGACTGTGAGACCGCGATTGTTGACGAGACCTGTAGCCGAGTCCAAAGGGCGACATATAATCTGCGTTATCCGCTGTGTTGTTTCGGCTATGTGTCGGACGAACCCTCTTGTTAACTCTCTTGGAAGTTCCCAGACGATCGAGCACCTGCAGGGCGTACTTGTTTTCCTTGATACGGTCTGCGTATGCGGTTTGATGGAAGTTCTTGGAAATAATCTGGAGAAGGACCTTCTCCACAAGCACGAGTGCGCAACCGGCAACGATGGCGCCTAGTACCTTGATTATGATAGGCTGCCAGGTTTGGTCCTTGATGATTGGAAATGTTATCGACGAAAGGAAGGCGAAGGAGCCCGTAGCCCAGCAGGCGGCGATCAACCACTTGAGGTACTTTTTGGTCGCAACAAAGATCAACAGCCTGGACTTCACAGTCTCCAGTCGGTTAATGGCAACAAGCGAGGTGATACGGACAATCACGACTGGTATAATGTCGACGCCCCAATTGGTGACACAGACGATGCACCACATGAATGCCAGACAGCCAAACACCGAGACGATTGAATCCTTGCGGACTTGGTCCTTCTCCCACGCGGCGATATCCTGATTGTACTGCAGCATTGTGTCTTCCGTGGCACCCGAGGGTGGGTATGCTGGGTGAGGTGGGACACTCAGATAGATCTGCGTTAGGACTGCAGGGATGGCGACGATCGGTGCAATGGTAATCATCATAATAACCATGCGTAAGAATGGCGATAATTTACGCCAGGTCGATCGCGCTTTCCTGTCCTTTTTCTTGCTATGAATTTGGCCATTATCATCAATATTGACATCCTCGTCCCAGTCGAAGTCAGACTCGTCGCTGTTCATGGCCTGACGAGGTGGAGTAAAATCGTGCTCCATGGCCTGGTCTTGTTTGAGAATGCGTTCGATTTCGATCATGGTCGAAGACGGTAAAGCATTTGCGTCTGAGCCGTGTTTCTCGCTGTTGGCGCTTTTGGAATTGCTGGTCCTGTAGGTGCTGTAGGGTGTAATTGGCTCGGAGGCAGGTGTCATATAGGGGTGCAGTTGATCAGAGCCTATGAGTTCCTCTGCGGGAGGAAAGGACGAAGGTGGACGACCAGAGGGATCACAGGGCGAGCTGGGTGTAAAGGTCATGGTCAGGGGGATATCTAGCGAAAACGGCCGTCGCTTGAGGTTAGTGCAAAAGGTCTTTTCCATCTTTGAGGCGGTATAGTTAATGAATAGAGGTATAGAAGATCGAGTGAGACTGAATGGCCTGGAATGCTCAATCTTCCTCGATCCTTTACTTGGTCGCACAAAAATACACAACACAGCTCGTTTTGATAACAGGAGAAGTGAAGGATATATATCAAAAAGAGGACAGAGAATAAGATAACAGGCAAAGTGAGGACAGATAAGCTGATGGCGATGGATACATGAAGAATCCGACTTGCATGATAACGATGGACGGTTCATGAATGGATGGGCACAGTGCGATTTGGAATGGGTGATGATATCGGGCACGGTGCACTGCGAAAAGCCGGCAGGCGCACACGATAGGAGCAATTGGATGGGAATTCTGATCCCAGAGAGGTTGAGGTCGGTTGTAGCTGGTTACAGCTGGTTGTGTATCTACCTCCGGCAACGGTGAGGAGGCCATCGCTCGCCTCGGATTCTTTCTTGTTCTGAGTGTCCTTCTGCCGCTTGAACTTCATTGTTATGTGTCGTTTGCTGTGTGAGAAAGCGATTCGTTTAAGTGAATGATCTGTGGGTGAAACAGTGAAAGAGTGCCGTGGAGAGGAAGTGCTGTAAATAGAGAGCGAGGTGAATGAGTGGGACAAAATGAAAAGAAGTGTGAAGTTGAAGTTCAGGGGAAGAGTAAACAATGGGCAGATCCAAGACCTGTTCCCTGGCGCCGACATCCCTTTTTTGTTCCAAAGGCGTTATTCGATGACCAGAAATTCGATTTCATTCGTCACTGTTCTTTCATAAAACCTGGTGCTAATGTAATTTAAAAAAAAAAAAAAAAAAAAAAAAGGATTTTCAGGTTTCCAGGCAGCAATGACCATCATACATTATACAAGGGTCCTTGGTACCCAGCTTGACCCGAAATAGAACTTCAAGAACCCATCGTAAGATCTGTACCGACATTTAGACTGCTCTCCGGCGTGCAACCGGGGTATGTGCGCCCCTGCATCGGGACCCTGCACCTATCACGTACGCAATAATTTACATTGAAGAAAGCACATTACGCAAAATGGCGCGCTTTATTTGTTCATGCTGACAGATGACAGGTCCGGGCACGCTACCGATAGCCCAGTTACGGGGAAAAACGCCTTTAATACCGAAAGAGCAGATCCATGTTTACACCGGGGTCTATCTGTTGGATCAGTAATTGCTTGTGGATAGAATGCACTTCTTTTTTACTAAAGGAAGCTGTAGTGGGGGAAGTACTTTTGGTGTACCAGTAGCGCATTGAACTTGAAAATCCGACGAAACTCAGCACACCAATTTTATAATTGAATCGAACTTGAGGGGCTTGAAAATGGCCCTCATATTATGGCGGGCAGCGTGAGGCACTTGTGCTCCCTCTCTTTCAAACCCCACTAAACATAATACAATGGTTAGTGCTGGCAGATCTATCCAGACCACCCAATCCATCCATTTATCCATCCATTGCCAATTCATCCATCGCCAATTTATCGATTCTCGTCCGTCATGAAGCAGTTGCTCGTTCACCATCTCAACGATCGCGCCAAAGGCATCATGTGCACCCCGGATAATTGATCTTCTGCACCTAGTCGACGATGAGTGCTGCTTCAAGAACTTACGGATTCAGCAGAAGGGATCACTTACAATTGGAAGCAGGAACCCTCTTTCTTGAACCAATTGGACGTCGCACTTTACAACGCTAGACCAGACCGAGAATGGGGTTCATGGCATGTTTTGCAGGATCTGAATTAGCGTTCAGGATAGACACTAAACACTTTGCAGCCAGGAAGAGAGCTAAAGTGTTCAAACGCGAGGACATGGAGATCTAACGATTGGATTCTACGCTGTACCTGCGCGAATAGGCTGCTCGTCCCGTTATCTCCGTCTTCTCCGAGTCTGGCAAGGAGGCCATTGGCACCCAGGTCTTGCCTGCTGTCTTCAAGGCTCCCATTCGTCCTGATGTTGTCCAGTTCGTCCACAAGAACATGAACAAGAACCACCGCCAGGCTTACTCTGTCTCTGAGAAGGCTGGTCACCAGACCTCTGCCGAGTCCTGGGGTACCGGTCGCGCTGTTGCCCGTATTCCCCGTGTCTCTGGAGGCGGTACGCACCGTTCCGGCCAGGCCGCTTTCGGAAACATGTGCCGTGGTGGTCGCATGTTCGCCCCCACCAAGATCTGGCGCAAGTGGCACGTCAAGACCAACCAGAACCAGAAGCGCTTCGCTACTGCCTCTGCTTTGGCTGCCTCTGCCCTCCCCTCGTTGGTTTTGGCCCGTGGTCACAGAATTGAGCAGATCGAGGAGGTTCCCCTTGTTGTCGGAAACGGTGTCGAGTCCTTGACCAAGACCAAGGCTGCCGTCGCCCTCCTCGAGTCCATTCACGCTTACGCCGATGTCGTCAAGGTCTCCAACTCCCGCAAGCTCCGTGCTGGTGTTGGTAAGCTGCGCAACCGTCGTCACCGCCAGCGTCGCGGTCCCCTCGTCGTTTACGCCGAGGACAACGGTATCGTCAAGGCCTTCCGCAACATTCCCGGTGTTGAGCTCGCCAATGTTCGCCACCTTAACTTGTTGCAGCTCGCTCCTGGTGGCCACATGGGTCGCTTCGTCATCTGGACCCAGAACGCCTTTGCTCTTTTGGATCAGATCTATGGTACCTACCGCAAGGCTTCTGCCCTCAAGAAGGACTACTCTCTTCCTTCCCACATCATCTCCAACCCTGATATCACCCGTATTATCAACTCTGCTGAGATTCAGGGTACCTTGAAGGCTGCTGGTCCCGCCAAGACCCCCCGCCCCTACACCCAGAAGAAGAACCCCTTGAAGTCCATGGCTGTCATGAACCGTCTCAACCCCTATGCCCAGACCCTTCGCCGTGCCGAGATCCTCAAGAAGACCCAGAAGAAGTCTGCTAAGAAGGCCCCCAAGACCTCCGCTGCCTTCCTCGAGACCTTGCACGCCGAGTAAATTGTCTGTTCTCATTGTAGCGCAGACATTCATAATGGGATGTTGTGATATGCTCAGTAATGCACTCTTGGAGACACCTCAGGATGGATCTGCAAATGTTCACACCAGAAATATCGGATCAAATAAAGCCCATAACTCAACTTTATGCCAGTATCATTTTATGATTATTATTTTACTCCTAGCTCTTTTTTTGAGCTATGCTGTAGCCGTGAATGCGTGCCTGTGGAGCTGAAGAAAAAAATATGACTGCTTTTTACGTGGCTTATGTTTTTGTGTTTTTTTTCTTTTTTTTTTAAAATGTTCACTGAGGGATATTGTCGCGAGTCGACCGTTTGTCCATACAACTCTCCGTATCGTCTCATCGCAACACATAGTACAAGCTCCATCACAACCCATTCTCACTCACATTCAATGCCAAGCACGCGACCAACAAGGAAGGCCGCGGCGTCTTCTGCTGCCAAGGCCAAGCCCACACCAACAAAGAAGGTGGCTCCTGCTGCTGTACCCAAGAGTAAGAAGAGAACCGTGGCTGAAGCACAGCAGGAGTCTGACGATGAATTTGGAGAAATTGCCATCGACATAGCCTCGGACGATGAGGATATGGACGGAGATACAGAGGAAGACGAAGAGGAAGACGAAGCTGAAAAGTTCCCGGAGGAAGAAGGACAGGACATGTCTGCTGCCGATATTGAGGAGGACGAGGACGAGGATGACTCTGAGGGGTCCTACATGGACGGCGACAGCATTGTTGACAGCCAGGAAGAGCATGAGGAGGAGGAGGCAGAAGGGGATGATGATGAAGAGAGCGATTTCAGCGACCTTGAGGAGGACGATATCGATCCCAACTTTGGACATAACCTCAACGAACCCCTCCCTGCCGAAAGTGACTACAATCCTATCAAACGAGAATACCCAGAAATCGACCCTGTCTATGACAGTGACTCCTCGACGGAAGAGGTTTGTACCATTTGCATTACTCAAGGAATGCGATGTACATGGTAATTACGAACCAAGTAACTGATCGGTGCCATTCTTATCCCCACTATCTTGCCAGAACGAGAACACTGTCGGCAACATTCCTATGCACTGGTACGACGATTACCCACATATCGGATACGATATCAACGGCAAAAAGATCATGAAGCCCGCCACCGGCGACGAGCTTGACAAGTTCCTCAGTACCATGGATGATCCAGACTCATGGCAAGTTCCTATCTTCATGTTCAACTACTTTACTGATTTTTGAACCGCAATCCAAAATGCCCATAAGTATCAAAGCTAACCGGATATGCATATAATTGAAACCAAATTGAATAGGTTATCGGCTCACAACTATAAGGAGGGTCAAGATGTCAAGTTGACAGCAGAGGAGCTCGAAATCATCCGCAGATTGGAGGGCAACAGGATTCCCGATGCAGACTACAACCCATACGAGGATCAGGTTGAATTCTTCACGTCAAAGACCGAAATCATGCCTCTATCTGCTGCTCCTGAACCGAAGCGTCGTTTCATTCCCTCGAAGCATGAAGCGAAGAGGATTATGAAGATCGTTCGCGCCATTCGTGAAGGTCGCATCGTTCCTCGCAAGTCTGGCTATGTTCCTCCTAAGCCAAAGTTCTACAACCTCTGGAACGATGCGGAGGACAAGCAAAGGGAGGAGCATGTTATGCACATTGCTGCGCCCAAGATGAAGTTACCCACTCACGACGAGAGTTACAACCCGCCTGCCGAATACTTGCCAACAGAAGAGGAGATCAAGGAGTGGAACGAGATGGACAAGGAGGATCGTCCAAAGAACTATCTCCCACAAAAGTATAATGCCCTCAGGAATGTTCCAGGTTACGGCCAGTTTATTCAGGAGCGTTTCGAGCGTTGCCTGGATCTCTATCTGGCACCTCGCGTACGCAAGAACCGTCTCAATATCGATCCCGAGAGTTTGATTCCCAAGCTACCCTCACCTCGCGACCTGCAGCCTTTTCCCACCCGCCTTGCCATCGAATTTCTGGGACACGAGGGTCGTGTTCGTTCAATCTCTGTCGATCCCTCCGGCTTGTGGCTCGCATCTGGATCTGACGACAAGACTGTCCGCATTTGGGAAATCGCTACTGGCCGCTGCATGGCTACCTACCATTTGGATGAGCTCGTCACGTCTGTTGTCTGGGGACCCAATAAGGAGGTTGCTATTCTCGCAGTCGCATGGTAAGTTAAGGATATCTGTTACATAGCATGCACAGTTTTGAATAGCTTGCGTGCATTATTCCAAAGGAGCTAGTTAGTTGACTGAGTTCTTCCTCTTTTCAATATTACAGCGGATACAAGGTCGGACTTATCTTGCCCGAAAAGATTTTCTCATCCGAGCTCACTTTGCACTCTGAGGAATACCTGAAGGCAGGATTCGCCAGCAGCGTCACATCAGAGACGAACTCTAAAGCGACATGGAAGCAGCCAACACCCGCGGAATTTGATCAGGGCATTCGTGTCTGGGTTCATCTTCAGAAGGCAGTGAAGCAGGTTACATGGCATCGTAAGGGAGACTATTTTGCCACGGTTGCGCCGGATGCCAATAACTCCGCTGTTTTAATCCATCAATTGACTAAGCACCAGACTCAGCAGCCCTTCAAGAAGAATAAGGGCGCTGTGCAGAGGGTCATGTTTCACCCCAACAAGCCCATGTTCTTTGTCGCCACGCAGCGTTATGTTCGCCAATACAACTTACAGCGTCAGGAGCTGGTTAAGACCATGCAAACTGGTGTTAAGTGGATCTCATCGTTAGATATTCACCCTGCAGGAGACAACTTGATCATCGGGTCGTATGATAAGCGTCTGTGCTGGTTCGATCTCGACCTCTCGTCTAAGCCTTACAAGACTCTGAGATACCACCAGCAGGCCATCCGTTCTGTCGCCTATCATAAGCGCTACCCACTCTTTGCGTCATGCGCGGATGATGGCACTGTGCAAATCTTCCACGGCATGGTTTATAACGACTTGCTGCAGAACCCATTGATTGTCCCCGTCAAGATCCTTAAGAATGTTCACGAACGCATCGATGCCCTTGGTAAGCGGAAGATTGGTTTTTTAATTGATAAAGCTGTTTCGTTGTTCATGCGGTATAATTGTTGCTGATCGAGTCTTTTTCTTCTACATGTACTTTACAGGCGCACTATGCGTGGAGTGGCATCCTTCGCAGCCATGGCTGCTCTCCAGTGGTGCCGATCACACGATCAAGCTGTTCTCGTAGGCCTCGCAGCGCACGCGTTCATCAATTCATTCATCTGCATTCATAATAAATATCCATCTAGACTTACGAAACGCTGTGCGGGTTTGATGTTGCGACTTGCGAGTGCACATACTGTGCGACGATGGCATCGAGCAGTCAATTGACTGTGGTACCTGAAAACTTTAATCTGGATGTTAAGGGTAAATGGGCGACCTCCGCGGTCCAGCTGCCCTCATCACTGCCTTATTGCAACAATGGACCATATACTCACTTTCATACATCCATCTAACAACCATCTCATATTTACTGCTCTGCAGGGTACCGTCTCTGTCTATCGTTGGAATTACACAACAGCGCGACAAGAATAACGATCCTTCCCATTTCTGACAAAGCACCAGTGCATCATCCACTCTCTTGTAGCCTGTCTTGAACGCTTCTCCACACAATACGCCGCACGGACACTGCCCAATTGATATTCACCATGAACAAAGACGAACCCTCACACTCGACCACACAAGTCGCTGCCTCAATACCACGGCCTCTACACCTTTCCCAGTCTTATACACCTCAACAGCCATCAACCTCACTAGCCGTGCCAGATCCCACCCTCGCCCCCCTTGCACAGACACAGCACTCCTCACAGACACAGCACTCCTCACAGCCACATCCGAATCAAGCCTCCCTTTCGCCGACCCCAAACGAGTTTCCTCAAGGCGAAGACATCCTCTCGACGAATTCCACCAAAAGTGTGTCCCTTACATCGCGGATAGGGTCGACAGGGTCCCAATTAGTATCGCCAACACAAGAAGTCCGAAAGAGAACAGGACGTAGAGTGTTGCACCGACCACGACCCCTGGACCTCGATCATGCAAAGCTCAATCGGGGGGGTAGTCAGCAATCTCATCAGCAACCACCTTCAGCTCCGGGGATAGGGACTGAACAACGGCCAGTCTCCGCATATTTGGCGTCTGCTACTGAGTCAGGACCAGTTACTGGGGAGGAGGGTGGAGCACAGCGTGAGCCAAAACACCGAGGAAAGTTCCCACTGCTGCAAATCAAAACCGACCTTACCCCCGCAACGTCTTTTCGTCGGATATCCACGAATGGTCCAGCATCTGCCCTCAGTCAAACGAACCCAGCGCAGCCTGCTGTATATGGCATGAGCAATAAAGTCAATGAGCCTCAACGAAAAGAACCCAGCAAGTGGCAGGTTGGATTGGAGCGGATTCTGAAAAAGATTCAACGACGGAAACGGGCCCCCTCCAACTTGGTATGGTATGCGACACACTCGACAGAGTCTTACTTATCAGGAACGACATTTGATTTTCAGTCGGGTGTATTGACGAGCGACGTTGATCCAGAAGCAGAGGAGTTACATTTTGGACGCGATCAGCCACCTCGATGGGTCGTCAATTCTTTGCAAGACAACGACCCGTTCTTTAGCGACGACACTGTAGACTTGATGCTGGGGCTTCGCGACTACTTGGTCAAGGCAACAGAGGATGGATGGGACATTGCAGAACTGAAGGAGGAGATTTTTCCCATGTAAGTCCGAGACATCTCATAGGACAGCGTGTTCCAAATACCTTTGATGTGAGGAGCTGCATGCTAATAATTTACTCCGCATGTGCATACTACGTGATATAGTGAATCCAAGTCCATATTTCAAAGTCGCAGGAACCGATCTGTGTCGCCACATGGTAGTCCTCATCGAACATCACCAATCATCCGCCCATCTGCACCAGAATCACCAGGAGCAGCATCACAAGATTCAGGAGCGACTTCACGACGTGAATCGAGGGGGTCGCTCGATTTTGAATACATTTCTCAGCCAGCTGCTGACCGCTACGCCGACGAAGAAGCAGGGTCGTACCGGTTACTGGACTATTTCATGGCAAATCTATCCGATGTCATTTCTCACGATTGTCACTACAAAATTCAGCATCCTCGCCCATCGCGTCCAGATTGGATCCTCCACTCGATTGTACTCGACATCCTTCTTTATTTCTCAAAAGCCTTGGCACATGACCACAAGGCCATGTACGATATCGGCATGTTAGCCCTATCTGCATTCCCCGTCTTCGAGAACAACTGTCTCATTCGCCTCCTGAATCTTCTGACGGATATGATCTTGCCGTCGTTCGCCCTCGCTCGGTCACAATCTTTCGGATCTTCGCAAAGATTACCTTCGATGGCGCCCTTAAAACCAACCTCCCCGCTATCGCCATCCGAAATCCGAGTTCAGCTCGATAACAACCAGACATTCGCTATTCAGGTGCATTCGCCTACAGAGGAGCAAGGAATGTTAGCTGTTCCTCAACGAGGGGAACAATTCATTAGTTCGCTCGGTTCGCCTCACATACCTAGTTCTAGATCAAGTTCGACATCCCTCTCAAGAGCAAGTCCAGGACCTACAACCCAAGCTCAGGACACCATGGATAAGCACGCCAGTTCTCTCATTTCGCTCACTCTCCTGGCTGTACTCCAACAAATATCCTTTTCGAAATCACCACTTCCCGTTGTCCAACAGCTTCAAAAATCGATGGGCGACTTATTACGGATAAAACCGGACCTCTCAGTGGACTTGTTGGAGGTGATTACGATTGTCGAGAACGAGAAGGTAGTGCGCCAGGCGTTGGAGGTCATGTGGTGGATCGGCATGCCATGCTTGGGACATCATATTCTTGGCGAGAAGTTTTATCCGCTCGACTATGATTCCGTATTGTTCATGCGGCAGAGTCTTCAGGAGTGGCAAGGCGCGGAGACAATGGGTGCTATAACACGGAACAACACTGTAAAATCGGACACTGTGTTTTCTTTTCGAAAAGATTTCATAGACGAGCACACGACACCCAGGAATGACGCTTCAGCCAGGAACAACTCTGTAGGAAGTTTCGGGATTCGGTCCAAGCGTTCATATCGATCTGTATTACCATGGAAAACCGCCAACGGAGCAGAATCTATACCCTTATCTGGTTCACTACCACAACAATCAAACAATTCTGCAACCACGGGCGCGGATTTTCTTGCGGATCATGAGCTATATCCATACATGTTTTCTTCACCGGATATCGAGGACGACGACGCAAACAATATAACCCACTGCGAACGATGTGAGTTAAACATGAAGGGCTTCGGACTTTACTGTTATCACTGTCGGGGGGCGCTCCATTTGGAGTGCTTCTACTCCATCAAAAAATACGCAGGCGTCGACTGCATGCAGCTGGGCTGTGCATTGGATCTTGTCTCGAGACGGTCAAGGAACCAGCTCATCTATCCGCTCGAGAATTGCGGGAACAAGAGTCATATCGACATGACATGTCGCATAAGGGCCGGTCATCAACTTCAGCTGGTGAATTTGTTTTCAACCTGTTTATGCGCCGCGTGCAAGTTGCCTCTTTGGGGTCTCCACTACCAGGCGTATCGATGCCAAGAATGCTCACAGTTGATGCATGCGGAGTGCAAGGGTACCGTTCAGGACTGTGGAGTAACGTCGCAGCCACTCACTCTTCGCCATTCCTTCCCCACTCAAATAAGCTATGGCGATTTAAAGCAGAGTTTTCAGGAGTTTTTTCGAGAGCTCATCGCTATCTGGGAGACCTATCATCCGACGGCGCCGTTATCTCCAGCAACGCCATCATCTACTCAGTCTAAGGATCGGTATTCGTACGAAGAGGCGAGCTGTAACGCCAGCACATTGACATTGCAGTTGGAAGTCTTCAAGGCAGGAATCGCGCGTGGAGAAATTCAGGTGCAAGAATGGGTTCTGGAAGGGCAGATCACAGACGAAAGCTGCATAGGGTCGAGTGGGTTTGAGCTGCTGACCCTTCAGAAGCATTTCGTAGATCTCGTACGACTCTTGCGACTCCCTGGCCATTCAACAGCGCCCACATTGTTCTTATCGGATTTCTTCGAGGACAAGAGACCTGACCCTCTTCTGCTCTTTTCGTGTAACTATTGGAGCCACTTTGCTGCTCTGGCGAAAACCATGATCAAGGACGCAGAGGCAACTCGATTGAGTTATAGCCACGATCCCTTTTCACCCCCTGCTGAGGATGTTTTGCAAGGGGATATCTTTACAACCAGTCCGGATACAGGGCAGGATCAGTTACTCGCAGGACTCTCGGCTCAAACGAGCCATGTATCATTGTCGACTATCTTCCGATTCTGCATGCGAAGACTTTGTTTTCACAGCACTTGGACGATGCAACTAGTCTTACAAGAATGGGTCAAGATCGGATTGCTGGAGCGTCTCGATGGAGAGCTGTGTCTTTTTGAGAATGCGGTACAGGATCCAGCTTTTTCACCACCCGCGGCATCACTCTTTCCCCAGTTCACTACTGGTATTGCACCCGGCCTTCCAACATTTCAGACATCGTACTTTGACAGCATCAATGGCGAGAACGGCGTTAACAATAGCTGTATTCACACTCCAACATTTCGGAACGTACATTGCCTCTTCTCCATGGCCACCGCCATCGATCCTACCCCAGATGTCGAGAACCTGATTCATGCAATTTGGCGTTGCCTAAGCAGTGTCGATCTGTCTGTGAATGAGTGCGGCTTCTTACTTTTGTCACGGCGATGCTGGCCGGACCCATTCATGTCGCAATACACGACCGAGCGGCTACTAGGATGTGTCTTCCATTGGCTTTTACTGGAAGACAGTCATTTGTTTGATATCCACAAGAACTATACATCCAAGGGTAAACGGATCCCAGGTGTCAGGAGTGATTTGGAGGAACAGATAGGCATGAGGCGTACAGCCTTGAGCGCTAACAACCGGCCTCCCAGACTTGGTGGTCCAGCGGAGAGTTCGACTGCTGCAATTGGGGCTACAGCGGCAACCGAAACCAGTGGCAATACTACTAGCTCTCTGACGGCGGTGACGGGCGGTACGATTTTGAGCGCGACCGGCAACTCGAGGAGCAGCTCTGCGAACTCGAGTCTCTTTGGAACAGTTGGTTCGTATGTCATGACAAGGAAGCTGATGGCAAAGAAGTTTGCATTGCCATGGCTGAAGAAAGTCATGAATTTGGACCAGGAGGGGTACGTGGACATGACTTACCGACAAATCCGTATACTGGAGAGAGAGATGGCTCCTGAAATGAAAGAGCAGTACGTTTCAAAGGAGGAACAGGAGGTAAGAGTACAATGGACATGATGTCCGCATATCTGAAGTGCTTTGCGACTATTGTCTAGTCATACTGATGAATATCGGTCTTTGCCATCCTTAGAAATTCCGCCATACGCAGTCGGAGCGTTACCTTGAGTCTATTACTAAACTTCGGCATGCCGGATTCCTATTCTGTGCGTTCTCAAGTGTTCTCTGCCGCTGGCTAGAGGAGGTCGAGGAGATGCTTGGGGGTATGGATGTCTCCAGTAAAAGTTTTAAGACCCTAAATCGACTATTCATGAAAACGAGCGCCAGAAACGGAAGTGGACTTGGACTTGGCATTGTTCAGGGCAACACCCACTCAGTACTCAATGGACCATCTGCATCTGCATCTGTTCAGGCTGCGGTTGCAGGCGCTGGCGGTGATGTTGGGGGACAGGGTGAGGGAGATAACGAGTGGCGAAATCGACTTAGAGCAAGGCTTCAGCAGGGCAGCGGGAGTGGCAGTAGCTCGCCGGCTAGTGTAGCAGCAACGACTATATCGGACGCTGTAGTTAATCGGGTTGATGATTCAGGAGAAACCCCATTAAACACGCTTCGGTCAATACTGAGTACCACGAATGGACAGAGTAAGGACGAACATACCAGGAGGGCACTCATTTGGCTGGATTTGATGGTGGAAAGTGGTGTCCAGCTTCCTCTGCAGGTTTTCTTGGATTGCTGCAGCGAGCTGTTGGGTGCTGCGGAGACGTCATTACTCACGCCTGCTGGAAAGGCATCTGAGGGCTCATTGGATCCAACTGAAGCTACAGCAGCGTCTATTTCTACGGCTACCGATCAGGCACCGCAGCCTACTCTGACCTGTGCTGGACTCCTACAGAACTCAGGGGACTTTCTTCGGACATGCTGGGAGCAAATTATGAGCTCTGCCCACCGTATATCCGAAGTAGAGGCTGGCGAAATCTTGGATGCTGTGTTGACAGCGAACAGGACGAAAATTCTTGGAGTGATGGGCGATAATCCGACTATAGATTCTAAGGATCTTGACAGGTAGAAGATACACTACCACTTTCAACATTGGATATTCATGTATGACATTAATGGATACTGACACGCCCCCCCCCCCCCCCCCCCCCCCTTTTTTTTTTTTTTTTTCCTTTTTTTTACTTGCTTTCTCGGAACATTACAGAGTTCAACAGCTTCTCAAATATGCATTGGCAATCATGATGTACGTATATGGATGTCCGCTGCAGGTTATTCAGTCTCTTGAAATCACACCCGCAAGCCCGAATGTCAGGACTCTACTAAGGTATGCGAACACGATCCCCATATTTGCCCTTTTTTTAAAATGACAAGTATTTGTCCCTAACACCAGCTCCACAAACATCTACTGTTCATAGCCAACAAAGCAAGAGCACTCCAGCGGCAGCAAGTCATTCACCGCTGCAGCAACAGCCCCACCATCGACCTCAGCATCAGACAGAACTCGACCGCAACTCGGTGCCGATCACCATTTTCTTGGCAAGCCTGCGATCACATGCACTATCATTCCAGGGAGAGGTGATTAAAGCTTTGGCGACGATACTGGAGCACGCGCAGCATGTTTCCAACATGGATGATTTCATTGATAGTATCCATATGGAAATAATTCCTTGGTAAGGCTAGGGCACACACTCAGAGACACTACGTACTATATGATCCGAATTGAGATGTAGTGCGCTAATATTCGTGAATCCTTTGCTTTTCTAGCCTGTGGGAAATGTTATCACCGTTGAATGATCATATGGCCGATACGACGCTACCGCTGATCATGCTTTTCGCCTCCAAACGCCCAGGATTCTTTCACAAGACCGTCTCTCAGCTCTTTCATGACGACGACTGGGAGGTCCGCTTCTCAGCACTCGATCCAATCTTTGGGCTATTCTCCAAGTTGGATGACGCTTTGGTCATGAAACTCTTCTTCCGGCAGACTGTACCAACCACATCCCCTTTGGGCACGATGCAGAGCGGTAAGGGAAAAGGCAACAACAGAGGTCAGCGTAACCGAGATCGCTCACAACATCAGACCAGGACAGGAACCAGTTCATTCGAACCTGAGACCAGTGAAAGCAGTGGTACGGGCTTGAGCGGGCAGGCACGAAGGGGTGCGTCGACTCTGCATGGCGAGCAAAACCATCCAAGCACCTACCAAACTTTGCGTCAGAGCCCACTTCAGCAGTCGGTCTTATACTCACAATTCCTGCCAGAGCAGCTCCAGATTTTGGGACCGGCGTTCAGTTTCTTTGTCTCGTCTATGTGGGATAAAGAAGAGGCCGTTCGGACTAAAGCGAGGACACTACTGAAGTCGCTCCAGCCAGTTCATGTCTGCCACGCGCTCAAAGCATGGGAGCTGCATTTTATTGATAGCCCTCCCGAGATCCAACAGACGCTACTGAAACTGATGACTCGACTCAACAACTACTTTCCTGGCTGGAAAATCATGGACTACAGTCAAGTCTTCAGATTACTGACGAGCGGCACATTGGGCCGACCAACGAACAAAGGCTCGAGTGACCCTTTTATGTCGGGAACTGATACCGGTAGTGTAGCGTCGGACCCACAGGAAGAAAGTAGGTTGAGCGGGTCTGGAGTACACTCTCAAGGTATCAGTGGACGGAGGCCTGGGCGCGCACCTGTGGGCTCCTTCATACCCCAGGACAGCGCTAGCGATAACATAGCCGGAGATGCATTAGCAGAAGGCGCGGAGCCTATTCATCCTCACCACGGACCACAGCCCTCGATTGCCGAGTCATCAGTTCTCGATGTGCCCCCGATGGCGTTCATGCCTTCCGGTGAACCCTCTCGCAGTAAGCAGCGCGCTTCCATCGTCTCGGCATCCAGCGTTACGACGACTTCAGAAGAATCTTTGCCAGCAATGACAGCGGAGGCAGAAGAGCGTGAAAGGCAGTTAGCACTGGAGGACGATATTCACTGCAGTCTGTTGAATCTGGCGCTTCAAATGGCAGCAAACGGTATTGAACCCCGACTGGACGAAGTTATTCAGCTCAAATACCTGGTCGTCTTCTATCTCGATTTCGAGGGCTGCGAACTGCTGAGTTTGGGCCAAGGAAAGTTTCAGGTGCGATACGGAGAGTACATTCCTCGGCAGCGAACGACGCCACTTTATGAAGGAGAGGAGGAAGATCTCAATGGCAATGTTCTTCTCAATGATCCAGGGCATGAGAGTTTTGTCATGGTAATTTGCAAGAACCTGCAGTTGATCCTGGACAGATACGTCGAGATCAAGCCTGACTACGAGAAGGATGCGCCGACACTTTACGATCGTTTACAATCAAGGGATACGAGCTTGTATGGTGGTGGAATGTACGGCTATGAAGGAGTGGCTATGCAGAGCGATCTGCAGACACAGGTCCCCCAGGATGGGCGGACATTCAGCGCCACTACTACCACAAGCAGGGAGTTATCCAACGAAGGCACCCAGGATGGTGAAGACGAGTATGGCCAGGAGCACTACCATCGGCGTTATGGTCTGTTCTGCTTCCCGCGTTATAAGCATCATCAGGACGATCACTATCGCAACCATCACCACCACGTTGAGGATCCATACAATCTGCAGAGTCCAACTACGCAAAAGAGCCAGTACCAGCAGGCCTACTACTCTCTGCATGGACAGCATACAGCACCACTGTACCAGCAGCATCACCATCACCACTATCACAGAAACCAGAATCGACGCCTGGACGAGAACGCGCCCGTGGTGGGAACGTATTTTGTAGATGTGATTCTGAGATTCTTTGGATCGGAGACGGATCTGAGCGCTCTCCCCGCAGGCAGACTGAAGAATTGGCTGGAATTGCTTCTGATTGTGATATACAAGTACGTCAAGGAGGTCGACCCTCTTTCTGACTTAGTAATCGTGTTGATGAAGCGCATCGTCGAGATGCTTATGGGCAGGAAGAGTGGTCTCGCCACGACCGCAGCTGCAGCTCCCGTGGGAGTGAATGGTGCGAACGGCAACGAGTCAGGGGGTGCTGGTGGTACAGGAAACGTGGGCACTTCAGCATCGCCATCCGGAGAAGAATCAATGTCAGAAGAGAATATTCTTTTGGCAATTTCGATCTGCTCAACTCTTCTGAAGAGATCATCGACTATGACTACTGCGCTTTTGTCGAGAGAGATTATGGCTATGGGACGATTGATGACCAAGAGGAGGGACGATCCAGAGGACCCGGTTTTGATCCGCGCACAAAACTTTTTGCACGACGCATTTGTGCATTTTATGGGCAATGGTCTTTTCGTGCTCGTCTTCAAGGTGAGTGTGATACTCCTACAATGGTTTATGGAAATGTAAGGCGTGATAAGAATATGTTTACTGATGCAATGGTTCTGGTTCTGGTTGTATAGACGCAGCCTGCGCATATCACCAACACTTTTGGATGGGAGGAAGAAGGATGGGAAGTGGATCAAGAACTCGACCTTTTCTATGTCCTCGCAGCAGTATTGGGTGAAGACGAGATGGTCCCACTAGATCCTACTAGCACCTCATCCTCTGCAAACGGCCGCCTGGTGCACTTTCGCGATCAACCTATCCGGGACATCTTGGACCGCGTCATGATCTTCAGGGACCTAGAGCCCATTCAAGTGTCGACTATCTTGACCAACCTGGCCCTCTATATCGAGCGAGTCCACTCCAAGTTCGAAGACCCACACCTGCTGCCCGATATGGGCCAGTTCTTGATCAAAATCACAAAGTATACGGCTGAATGGGATCACCAACAGCACCAAAAACAAAAGGAGCAGATCCAGCAGCTTCGGATGGCGCAGGAGCAACAGCAGCGGATGGTTCAGGAACAGCAACAGCATCAGCAGTTTTTGCAACAGCAAGCGCAAATGAAATCACAGGCGAAATACAGAACCTCTCAAGCCTTGTTCTCGACGAACACTTCAACCATGCTCTCCAGTGAATCGTCTCTTCGTATGTCAAATCAACATCAGCAGGAGCTACAACCGGAACAAAAGCAAAAACAGGTGCAAACCCCAACTCAGACGCCGATACTGCAGCAGAAAGAGGGCGTATTGTCCATGACATCAGGATCAACAGTGGTCGGAGTGAGTGAGCCATCGACAGCTCCCTTAATTTCTTTACCAGCGCTGCCGGCTTCCGCTCCGCTGTCGACTCCAAAGCCAGTTGTAGAGGCACAGAGAAGAAATACAGCGACCTCAATAACGTTGACCCCTACGACGCCGTCTTCATCATCCACTTCGACACCTGCGCGGCAAGAGCAGAGCCATCAGTTGACCCATCAGTCGACCATACCTTCCTCCACCACCTTTGAATTGTCGCCCTCTATCGCGACACCTAAGCCGTCCTTTGTTAGAAGCAAATCGGATATCCTCAAAACCATGACATCCTTTGATTCGGAGAACAGCCCGTTCGCAAAGTTGCGGAACAATCGACAGGAGAACACCCACGACGGCTTTCAGGCGCTACCGCAACAGCAGCAGTCATACCATCATGATCCACACCTTCATTTGCATTCCCGCCGTCAACCGAGCCAAAAATCCCGGGCTCATCGACAGGTTTACGGGCATCATTGGGATTACAGCAACGCTGTCTTGCGGATGTGCTCGATCTTGATGATCCAGAATCCACTTAAGGGACATCATTTGATCGCGGCGATCAAGCATGTCTTGAGACAAGCGCTGTATCGGGACAAGATCTCTGCACCGGCTCTGATCCGCATAGTGACCGGATACTGCTATATGGCGGAACTAGACTTCTCACTCTCCCTGGTAAATATATTCGGAGAGTTCGTCGTCGAAGAAATGAAGACGTCGATCCAGCATCATGCGCATGCCAAGCACGACGATCATTTAATAGTACATCATAAGAACGGGATTGAAGGTCAGGATTTGGATTCTTCTCGGAGGAACAGCGTTTTCCGACGCAGCAGTGGAAAAGAAAGCGAGAAGGAAAAAGAACACGCGATGGGAGCTGTGAACCTGGGATTGGGAGCAGTGAATCTTGGCGTTGGAGTCGCCGGAGTAGGTGGAGGATATCATCCTGGCGGGCGCACTAAGATCCTGGCCAGCAATCTTCATCTACTACATCATGTAAGTTACAAATTTGGCCTTGCACTCTCTCATTATGCTCAACTCATTTCTGACATATCGCTGATCAATTTTATCTTGCCTGCTATGGATATATAGTTACTGATTTGGGACTTGGATCCGAATTATAATCAGGAATGGACCCAAATCAAGTGGGAGATCTTGGGATCAATGCGTTTCCCACCTGGACATCCGATTTTGTTTCCTGGAGCGAATGAAGCCTTGCGTCAGACAACTGCTTCCATTATTAGTGACTGGGCTGACCGGTGCCCTAGTTGACCATGCGAGAAAATAAGGTTTTGAAGAGCACATCGGTGGTAAGGAATGGTTCTGGAGGGCTATACGTGTATTATGCATTGTTTATCATGTCGAACCTGTATACCACTTTGAATGTGGTATAGATAAATAAAAGGCCGTATCAGAGTCTTACTCTGTAGTTTCCCAGTACTCCCCTTTTTTACATAAAGAACTCCACGACTCCACAGCTCACCACGTTCTACATTTTCTATCAACCTCTGAAGTGAATCAGGGGCAAAAAAAGTTGCCTGACAGAAATGGGAAAAGAGGTGATGGCCCTTCGCTGTTCTCGTGCACTGATCGCTACGCGTGAATCAGCCAAGGACGCGAGCAAGACGCGCACAGCACATTGACAGTCGAGCGCGTTTCTAGTAGGAAGGTAAAAGGCGGGAAACTGGATAAACCCTGGTCAGACCATATAGCCGCGTTTATATGCACAACACTTGCTCTTTGCCCCTTCAAAAGCGGCACCCTGGTTCCCAAGCGCCGCCCGGTACCCATTTCTTGGTGCCCTTAAAGCCAGGGCATATCACTGCTAAACGCGTCTTCCACTGGCCAATGGGATCATAGCAACTCCGCATTGAGTTCGGGACCAAGCCACCCGATAATGCTCGGTGTTTTTTGTTGCCCAGTTCAGCGAACTTGATCAAGGCCCGCATCACTCCCCTCCGAACATCGCATACATCCGCCTCCTTCACCATGTCTGGAATCTCTCTTGTCAACCAGGTCAAGGCCTCCAAGTTCTTGTCTGGATTCCTCCAGCCTGTCGCCAACGCCTTCGTCAACGCTGCTGGCTACCGTCAGCTTGGTGCGTCTCCCCCCACCCCTTTTTTATTTTTTTTTATTCACGATTGTTTCCGAACCTTACCAGAGTATCTGCAGGAACTAGAAACATCACCCAGCAATGGATGCATCTTTTCACAACTGCAACCATGCAACCATGGATCGCACTGGCGAAAATACGTTTAATTCAGGTCGACGCAGGAAGCTTTGGAGTCAGTATCGCTTTCAACACACCGGAGAAGACAAAGGTTGTGTACCGGAGACACTGCACTGGATCTGTTACACTTCAGCATGTCTGAATCCGAGATGCATACTGGACACATGCACAGCATCAGGAGCCATGCAACTTCCGACTCGGTCGGCTTGAAGCATTCATACTAGAAAACCAAGGATACATCGCAGGTGCAAATTCAGCCGTAATACATCAGTAGGGGCAGCATATCCATGGCCTCCTCAGCACACTTTACAAGGGATAGTCAGGAACGTTAGCATGCTTTCCAATTGCATTGAGAGTACTTACCATCATGCTCTCTCAATTGCACCTTGCTCTCCCCGTCTCGATGATAGGTTTGCGCTACGACGATGTCCTTCGCGAGGAGACCGATATCATTCGCGAGGCCATCAATCGTCTTCCTGAAAACGAGAGCTACGAGCGTGTCTTCCGCATGAAGACTGCTTTCCAGTACTCGCTCTCGCACACTGTTGCCACCAAGGACAGCGCCCTTAAAGCTGAGGATGATATCAGATACCTGACCCCCCTCATTGACGAAGTTGCTACCGAGGTTACCGAGAGAGAGGATTTCAACAACATCAAATCTTTCAGCAAGTAGGAACACTCCAGCACAGGACAGATAATCGATAAATGTTGGAACGAATCGAAGACTAATAGAGGCACCAGGACCACAACGCTAGAAAACTAGAAATAAAATAAACATTACTCACGCTACACATGCAAAACAGCGTTGTTGGGATATGGAAGGAAATACTACTGGTTGCTGAATGGCTTTCATTACAAGTCTTATAAGGCCATATGGCCGCTTGGATCTATGATATCAAACACACGAAACGAATAGAACGCGTTGCCCATCTCAATTGCTGCGTGCTTTACGCCAATGCGGATGGTTACCGTCCTGCTGGTAGCCTCTATGATCGGATCTCGGAACGGTACCTCTGACTCGCCTTTCTTCTAAAATTGACCCCTGTAACCTACAAAATTTGGCCATTTCCCTGAAGCGATATCGTACTCGGTAATATAAGTGGCGTCGCCCATGCTCTGTTCGTTGATGTATCCGCCCAGGTACATAATCGTGCGCCTCGCGCTAATATAAACCGCTCCGCCAAAGGTCCTCTGGTTGAGTACGTTTGGGGGGATTATGCTGTATTGACAGCTGGCCACGAACGGGTCATAAATATACATACTGAACGAGTCTACTATATAGATAATTCCAGTGCTGGCGTCGGCTATGGGGTAGAACCCAAAGCCAAGAGGCTCAGAGGGCGTTGTTGTTCCATACCTTCAGGTGTTGACTTGGAAATCATACAGGCCAACCGTGATGTCAGCACTCAGGTTCACGAAAACCAACAAGGTATTAAGGTCGGGTATTGAGACTCTAGAAGAGGGGACGGCTGCTGATCCATTGACGAGTGTCTTCCAAGGCAGGGTGCTGACCGGCCAGGATGTAGATAGATCTGGCGCATAGGATTGTAGGTAGAGCGACACTTGGGCGCTATCGACCACATGTCTGTCACCTTGGATATAAAGACTGGAGCCAATACGGGCAAATGCCATCTCCTGAACAGGCAATGGGCCTTGTGCGCAAGACACGGTCGGAAGAATGCCTACCAGAAAAATAAGGAGCGCAAAGAAAAAGGCTACGGCTGGCGGAGAGTAGGATGATCGGGTCATGATGGCGTCTGGTGTTATTGGGGGGAGGAGGGAGGTCGATTAAGTAAGGCCAACGGATACAAAACGCTTGATCAGAGTATCAGAGTGTGTATGCGCTGCATGGGAGAGCCTTGCCAGGCGCAATATGGTTTAACAATTTTAAAGCGCGTCCACGACTTGTTCTAGCGAGGGCTCCTGCATCTGCATAGCTCAAAAACGTTCTAATAAACCCCTACATAGAAGCTTTACTTCGTCCCTCTTTATTATTCTGCTTATTCGCGTGTTGCTGCGATGATGCTCTCTACCAGTTTTTGGGAGCAGCTAGTGATACGCCATACGCCTTGTAAAAGGATAGAGAACGCGATGACAATGATTGGAATTCTCTCGGTCCTGATTCCAAGTGCCCAGTCCAAGTTGGTGCTCTTAGTTGTCTCGGGTATTGTCTTTGCAAAGGCGGAGCCGGCGTCAGCGTAGTGGTCCTTCTCTCTCATTTCTCTAAGCTTGAACATAGCCACCATGGTCTATATCTCCACTTGATCTATCAGATCAATTCTGCCCTGGATGCTACAGACGAGAATAAAGTTGTTGACGCATTTATGCGTTTCTTTACGTTTACTGTCTTTACCCGCACTGATGTCTCTTATGCAGCGCCTAGCCATCTTGATCCTCAGTCCAACTTCATAACATACAACACCTGCCTCTAACTTTGTGCGCCTATTGGCATAGCACAATCCACGGGTGCATTGAAATAATGGCCGTGAGATTTATCGCCATCTTGCCAACAAGGACTACTTCGAACATCTTATAACGGTGGTAGCGCAGTAGATGTTAATACTGGTGCACTTGCTTCTCCGAAAACAGGACATTTTGCAAGAGAACACAGGGCAGCTCAGCCAGACCAAAGTTCTAGCACAGCCTTCCTGGACAAGCGATAGGATCAAAGGCATAGCGTCATTCAATATATATATTTGCTGGTAGAAATGTTGCACTAAGCACATAGAGTACTGCTTCTGTTTTGCTCCAATTCCCACTACCTCAGCGAGACATGGACCATAGAGTCTGCAATATCAGGCCGGACAAGTGATGCATCCGTGAGGGATTCGATCCCCATCTCTTTTCTTCTTCGCCTTCTTTCTAGCGTTCGCCGCCGGTAAGCCACCTTGAGTCTCCGGAACTCGTTCTCGTCTAGCCTCCAGCCGATCCAAACCTTGCCCGTGATCCGGGCCTGATGCATATTCCTGAATACTGATGCGTCGACCTGTTGCATCACCATGTTGTTGTTAAACCTTCCTTCGCAGCCTGAATCCCCACTCCACTCATCCGTTTCGTCTTCATCGTTCTGAGATATTTCCTGATCTAATATCTCATCATTGGATCCGCCATGCTCCCCCTCTTCGTAGTCGATATCGTACTTGTCTATGATCATAGTCGACATCTCAGCCCCTTGTTCGTGGTACCCCTGCAGCCGCGACCCATTAAAGTCCCAACAGTAGACTCCCTCCCTTCCCTCGTGTGAGCGTTCGCATAGCGTGGCAACGAGGGTTGTGTGATCAGGGGTGACCGTAATGTCCAGCAAGGTTAATGGTGCCGAAATAGGACTCTGAGGCGACTGGGATGTATGTAGCCGGGATTTAATACTTCCACGCTGCTGCCGGCTTGATGCGAATGAAGTATGCCCGGAGTCCGTAGATCCCATATTATGCTGAATTGTAGTAATATCAGGGGAGCGAGTCGCTGTCCGTATATAGTGTTCGGTGTTCGAACTCCTCGTCTTCCAATGTCTCACATTACTTGGCTGAGGGTCGCTGAGTATAGAGACGATATTTCTTGTCTGCTGGAGATGGTGCATTGGCAATCTGGGGGTCAGCGAGTAAAGTCGGTCGCCTGTTCTGAGATCCCAGACATTGATACAGCAGCTCATATTGTCGTCACTGTCCATTGCTATCCCATCCCGCCACCGTTGTTGACCCGCCACGTCCTCATCGTGTCCAGCATCCTCGTGCTCATGCTGCCCATTTTGCTGTGAAAGGCGAGTCATCATGCTGCCTCCTTGGTTCCATGGTCCTCGACCTCCTGTCAACAAAAAAAAGTCTGTCATACACATCTTTGATGGCTGATAAAGCCCAGGGATCTCGTAGACCAGACTTCCAGTAGCGAGTGAGAAGACAAGTACCGACCCTGAGAATTCTGTAGAACAGGCAACAAGCGAATCACCGACACATATATGCTCGATTCCGGAAACCCACTCGTCTAAACCTGGTGTAGCAGTTGAGGCGAGATAAGATGCCGAGTGTATGGTGCCATGCGAAGACAGTGACGAGTTCGGGTCAGGGTGGATATCCCAAACACACAGCGTAGAGTCCTAGTGAAAAAAGGCACAGGTGTTAGAATTGTGGGATGGAAACATTAAACGTGTGATATGAATGTATAACCATGCACTTTACAGCGTTGCCGCAGACAACGACCCTGGAGTTCATGCCAACACAAAGAACTCTGCGACGCGCCCCTGTCTGCCAATGACGGATACATTGTTGCCCCGGCTCCTGAATGGACATATCCCATAGCCGCACTCCTCCATCCATGTGCCCTGTAACAAGAAACGAATGCAAGGGCGAGGAATAGTGGCACAAGATATCGTTCGCAGAGTCTTCGCTCATCTGATGTCCCAGAGGTGGAGAGAGCAGTGTTTCCAAAGATGAGGGAAAGCCCTGTGGATTCAACTGGTCGTCGTGCTGCAGCTGCTCTGTTATTGTCGTGGTAGCATTTGCAGTCGAACCGGATTCATCACCACCGCCACCAATATTGTTGCTACTGTCTTTGTTGAATTTCAGCGCTGAAGCCGTTCGGATGGCAAAGACAACCCGATCATGCTCCTCTGGATCCTGCGCCATGATATTTGGTGTTTGACGGTTCGTTTGAGAGCCTACTCCATGTTCAGCTCCAGAAGGCAATTTGTCGCGATAATGAGGATTGGATCGTATCAATGCCGCCTGGCGACTCTTCGGGCGGGACCCTGTTCTCATCATCTCATCACTGCATCCTGTTGAATCGAGATGACGCGTGGGAAAGCTGGCCAAACTCAACGCCGTCAGTGCCGATCCTTCATGCTGAAGTCCAACAACTGCCATAGGTCGCCGCTTGCCCAGTATCCTCCGGATAGCACGATGTGCTGGCGTCGACAAAATCCGTCCAGAGGTTGATCTCGACCTTGAAGATGATCTCGTTCCTGCTGAAGAGGACGACACTGATGGGCTCTCTGAGAGGGTCTGCGTTGCAGAAGTAAGGGTAGTGAGTGATGGGAGCATGAGTGGACAGTACCCTTTAGCGCGACCGCGGTACCAATTACTGGTCAGTCGGTAGAGAGCTCTCCAGTCCTGCTCCTGATCCCCCAAGATCCAGTCCTCGCCTTCATGATTGATCGCGTCCAAAGTATTCAAAGAGTCTTCTTCATGGTCTGGCTGATGTTGGTAGAGAGCGTCTGCACGCCGCTTGCCCTTCGGGTCTGCTAGTCGTACGCAGGTGCAAGTGTTGGAAGAGGTTGCCGAGATTTTATCCCCGTCTCCGTACTGACCGGGTCCTGACTCGCACTCCGCGATGCTGTCATGCTCAGTATCGGTCCCTAAGTTCGGACCGATACGCGAAGATGTGCTCGCCGACGTTGCTGTGCCCAGCTGGCTTGCATCGTCTCGATGCCGTGCCGTGCAAGAAGTGCATAATGAACACCTCCGCAAGCGTTCCTTGTCGCCACTGGTGTGCGAAGACAGATCATTGCAATCGGCGGACTCTGCTAACATAGCAGAGAGCGGAAAGCAAAGACGCAGGTCACGGTCTTTGAGGAACTCCAGTTTCCACAGCCCACGAGCAGCGGTGAAGGAGAAATCCCTCCAGGCTAGATGTCTCCAGAGAAATTGGCGGTATCGTTGGGTGAGGGCATACCAGCGCCGGCAGGTCGCAGCCGCGTTAAGAAGTGTGAGATGGTCTAGGTGAATGAGGACCAGGAGGATGATCTCTGTGGGAAGATGAGCGGGTGCATTGAAAGCATTGCAGCTGAGGTCCAAAGTGGAAGTTGTTGCTGCTTCAGAGGCTACAGTGTTTGTGTTGCCTAGGGCCGGCGTAGCCTCGGCCATGTCATTGTGTTGCATCTCAGATGGTGAAGTGTACGAGAAGGGCTTATCTGATGAAGAGGAGAGTGGAGGCGGAACACTAATAGACGTTGCGAGATTGAGAAGGATGGAATGAGGATCCGTTTATTTGATTGAACAAGACATGGAGCTGCTATGGAGGTGCTCGCGAAGGCTGCTGGAAGAGTGAGCGTGGAAATTGGCCAGTGCAGAGCTGCCTGCAGCTCTTGATACATGACATTCCAATTTGATCCCTATTGAAAAAACCGAGGATGCCCTACGACCAGTAGCCGACGATCTCGAGGTACTAGGCGATTTAGAGGTGGATAGACGCGCATAGCGGCTGAACTCTTTGTCAATTGAGGCATAGACAAACGCGTCTTCAGTGATAGACAGCAGCTGATTCTGCCCTGCCCAGCAGTGAACAGAGCACGACACGTGTGCCCAATGTTTGTGTCCTTACTCTACCCTTCAACAAATGGATATACCGATTTATGGTGGATAATAAATTAGTCTATTGGGCTAAGAGACGGACGCTTGTCAAGGAATGCAGACTATGGAGCACTTGCATGTGGAGTCTACATGTGGAGAAGCAGCCCGAAGGAGATAGGCCCGGCCCCCACAAAAGAAGGTGTGGGTCATCCCGCCTACAAACAGCGCCCCAAGCGCACAAACAAAAAACCGTTACTCTGTTTACATTCCCGCAAAACCTTTATTCGCTTGCTCCTCCTCTATTTCTTTCCTCTCCACAGCCCTTGTTGCTGGTGTTCTTTGTTTCCTCCGCATTGCCGCCCATGCAAAAGAGCAGCCTCGGATGAATTCTGTGCAATCCTGGAGCTTGCATTGTCAACAATGGTCGAAGAAGCAAAAAACGTTTGTCTTTCGTGTTCATGGCATTCTGTACCATCTGTTCATGGCATCTTCCTCTAGAGTTTGTGTTTTAACTTTTGTTCTTAGCTACCTTTTGTCCATGAGCGGTATATAAACAAGTGGAAGGCATACACTCTAGTATCTCTCTTGTCTCTCTACTCCTCCCCTTCTCCGCTCTGCAGGTGCTTACGCTCCATGTTCCAGCATCAATAGCGCTTCCCGCAATAAGGATAAGTCACTGTCGCTTCCTCGACCACTCCACATCCCACTCCAGACTCTACTTGCCCGACCTTTCTTGACAATGGCCAACTACACCAGCGCTACGGATCTAAAACATGTATCTGGGCTGCAAAGGCTCCGACGCCGACTCTTTTACAACAACCCCTCAGACGAAACAGAACTCCAACCGTTCATTCAGGAGCCACTCGTCAAAAAGTCAGAGCTTTGGGGATTCTTTCTTTTAGGATTCGGTTACTACTCCTGGCCAAATGTCTGCGCTTCGCTGTTACTCCCTATTCTCCTTCAGGGCATCGCCAGAGATGCTTCCCACCTTGAATCTAATCCTTTGATTGCTTGTCCGGACTTGGACTCAGACATCCCTGCAGGTGATCGGTGCCAGGTACCGTTCGGCTGGATCCATGTCACACCAACGTCGTATGTGCTCCTGCTAAACGTCGTCTCAGTCTGGTGTACTATCTTTGTGACAATGGGCGTGTCCGCGCATGCAGACCATGGTCGGACATCAAAAAAGATTCTGTTGACTTTTATCACGGCGCTGTGTGCGGTTGCCTGCCTGTTCTTTGTTGGCGCCCTGAGACCGGAGGTTTGGTGGTTCTCTGGAATAGTTTATGTCCTTGGTAAGTGCTTCTGCAAAGGCGAACTGTGTCTGATAATAAATACAGTATGCGCTGAACGCTTCTCAAATTTGTGAATATAGCGGCTATCATGTATGGCGTCGGGCTCAATTTTTATGACGCCCACATCTCCATTTTGACAAGATACCATCCAGATGTCGTCCGTGCTGAACTGGCCTACGGCGAGTCCGCCCCTGAATACATTGATGCCAAGGTCAATGTCCAGACATTTCTTTCAGGCGGCTCCTCTGGCGCTGGATACGCTGGCGGTTTGATTCTCACAATCTTCGTGGCTATCATCCTGTTATTCACAGATGCCAGTCTCCTGATGGTCGGCTATTGTGTAGTCATGGCCGGCATCTACATATTTATCTTCACGGTCCTCTATGCCCGACTGTCCATCCAGCGCACATTCCCACCTTTACCACCAGACGCTAGCATACTCACGTACGGATACAAGCGTATTGGAAAGACAGTCAGCAAGGCGCGCAAACTGAAGACGCTTTTTTACTTCCTGTGCACATGGTTCATTCTCGGAGACGGCCTCTCTGCAACGTCCAATATGGCCATTTTGATCGCACAAGATCAGCTCCAGCTCGGTAATACATCCATGATAATTGCTGCCTTGATCCAGTTCATCACTGCGGGCGCCGGTATTGTATTCTGGATATGGGTGCAAAACTCGCGCGGCCTCTCGCCTCTTAAAACCGTCATCCTCAATACCATCCTCTTTGGCATGCTTCCTGCATACTGCCTGCTGGGGCTAATCAAGGACAGCCCCATTGGTCTGAAGCATGAGTGGGAACTATACATGTTGGCAGCTTTCTTTGGATTCTTCTCAGGAGCGATCTATTCGTCCAATCGCGTCGTATATGCACAACTCATCCCATTTGGACACGAGAATGAGCTGTTTGCGCTGTACGAGATGTCGTCCGTGAGCTCGTCTTGGATTGCGCCATTGATTTGCACAGCGATCATCGAGCGTTCAAGTGTACGGCATACGTGGTGGTTCCTGGCGTCACAGTTCTTCATCCCTGCATTTTTCATGATATTTATTAATGGTAAGTTCCATGAAGTTGAGACGTTTTTTTTTTTTTTTTTCTCGTTCTGCTATTAACATAATTCCTTTTTACACGACGGCGAATAGTGGACAAGGGTCGTACGGAGGCTACAGAATTTTACGAAGCTGAGCAACTGAGTCAAAGGCAGCTTGCCGAACACGAGACTTCCGGGATGGTGCAAGCGGACAACGCCTCTGGTTTTGAAGATCAAGAGTAAAGTTCTTTAGGTTCTTAATTTATTAAATCGTAATACTATGCTAGGTGCTATATACTATTTGAATCGGCTTTCTAGACGAAAGACACGGTGCACGAGGTTGAATAGTCCAATAGAGTACTTTAGACACGTATTACTGTGCATGGCCTTGATTGAGGTGCTGACGCTATGCGGTTCTGCCGCACCGATACCTTCCAGCCAACCGTTTTTTTTTTTTTTTTTTTGTAAAGAGCTGGGAAACATGACCCTGAATGGCGGTGTCCTCTTCATGAGAATCGTGGCCAGCCTTCCTACTGTAGGTGCAGTAAAGGTATGCCAAGCATACTTATATTTAAAGACCCCTTCCACAAGTATGCAGTCAACTGGTATGTGGAGCAGTTCTGGCACAAAGTTGGAGCTCAAAAAGTCTCTTTTCCAGGGCCAAATACATGGGATCGTATCGGATTCTATGAAGCGTGACGAGTCTTAAATGTCTTCACGGGTTGGGAACGGCCGCGGACGAAACCAGCCGGCTTCTATCTGGTTCCTCTGATGACGGACAAGGGAGGTTTTTTTTGGGATTGACGTAGCGTAAACCATGGTGGCAATCCATTGGGCGCAGTCTCGAGAAAGTTTTTTGTGCGTCCATGTAGAACTGCTCAAACAGTTCTACAGTTCTAACTCCGAGAGGCCATATCTTCTTGGACGCAACTTTGTAGCCACGAGGATCCAAATTCCGGCAGGCTTCCCTGTTAACTCCACACAATCCATTCATTTGCCATATCGACGAAGCAACTGTTCCACTTTTACACGTTTACACTTCTCCTTCGTTGGACCTATGGATTCTCCCAGAAATTATCGTTATTGTATGCGATGTTGGCGGACACGGTGTCCACTGAGCAACTGAGATGCTAAGAAGCAGAATTTCGCCCTTGTGAATCAGGATTTGGTTGTTATTGCTATATATTAATGTGATGGAGCGTACGATGCTCCGAGAAAATAACGTTCCTAGTATCTGCAGTCGTATTGAAGATGGCATGCGTGGTGTCCGGGAGGGCAGCCAACCTTTACAATAATCAGACTGAGATTTCAACTTATGATGATGAGGAGTTGGTGCTTCGAATTCATAAATTCATGATACTGCAAATTGATGAATGAAGGGAGGACATGGACTGTGCTTAGATGCCTCAGGAACAGATAAAAAAATACGGGATAAACAACCCCTGATTACCTGGTTGCTGCTCGCCGCAGAGGTTGCACATCAGACTTTATTCACAAAGACCGTCCACAAAAGAAGTGTGATATGCCGGATGCGAGGATAGCCCTCATTTACTCGCGAAGTAATCCATCCCTGGTCCACAGCCTGCCAAGGTCCTCATCATCAACGTCGCCAAGGTGTTTCGCGAGGTGCAGCGTCCTGAGCTATATCATGGTCACTATTCGAGAGTACATCGCACGCTGACTCTCTCCCAGGCCCGTCAAAGAATGATCATCCACCTCGATGTAGACTGTCATCCTTCGCATACCGCGATACGCCCGCGGTTCACCCTTGACAATGTCCGTCACCATCACCGTATCAGCCTGAAAAGTCGTTAATTTCAGACAGTTCTCCTGCAAGATTTGCACCATGGCACTCGTCACCGCCACGCAGCCATCGAGTCACAGACTTGCAATCAATTAACAGAGCCGAAGTCCTTGCGTTCTCAGCTGCGGTCACTGTTGGTATACATCCATCACGAGAAGTCCTGCCACACCAATCTTGCGGTTCAGAGTCAATGCTCGGGACGACCTAATTCCTCTGCCGTCAAGTCCTGAAGCTGTTGCATTTTTTTTTTTTCAATAACTCCGCCAAGTCCTCATCCTCCACATGTACCCACAACATGTCTATTGACTTGAGTTTCGAAAGTGGCTATGGATTCAAAGTAAGCGCCTTGATGGAAATACTAGCCTCCTTGTCATACCCCTTTCGCTGCTCCGACGGCCTGAATCAACTCCTGTTCCCACTCGATAATTCTCCTCTCCAGTGAAGTGACTCGAGATTCGGATACTGACGGAAGAACATGGCTTGACTCTGAGGCGATAGATCTGTGGGCGCACTATTGTCGATACAATTGCCGATTTCTCCAGCTTAAAGTGCCTCGGTCTTTCAAAAGCGAACACAGTCTGGTTTTCCATATGACGGAGCCCATTGTTCTATAATAGTGCTGATCAATCTCGCACGCTAACTTGAGTCAACGTCAGAGAGCGAGGTTTCGAGCAGACTTGAAGGAATAGACCCTACAGCTCGTCCAGGATGTTTGTCAGCGCGAGCGAAAAGTTACTTAGGTTGGTGCATAAAGCAAGCGCGCTAAGGAATGCCCTCAAGAATTGGGGTTCAAGCGAATGGTATCTTAACATGCCGCATCTAATTTCCCGCAGGGTTACAGAGAAGACCCCAGACAAAAGCTTTGCTGGCTCGGGATGATCCATAGGAGACTCCCATAAGTTGATGGGGAGGACCCAGAACCGGCTGCAGTCGTAGAGGGAAAGATACTCGCGGGTATACTTTCCCATAAAGCTGATCTCGTGGATGTAGCTCTTGTAAAGGCTACGAGCATTTTCGGTGGGATAGATGGAACCTCTCTATCTCCGTTTCGGTGGTCTGTCCAGCACGATGGAGTGGTATATACCTGGGATAAAGGTGTCATGAGAAAGCTTGTTGGATAGCTGCTTGCCAATATAGCCTCCACGATTTCAGGAATATCGAGTGGATTCGTTTGGACTGCCGCGGTAAAAAAAAAAAAAAAAAAAAAAGGTCTGGTAAACAAGGTCTGGAAGGAATGCACTTTTTATATTCTCGCCGATTACACCCTTTAAGGTCTGCTCATCGACAGCCTGCATCGCTCGCATTTACGCTCATGATAGACTCGTTCTCCCACTCCACCTTGAATTCAAGACGCTGTTGCTTATCGTTATACATAGCGAGCTTGTTCCAAAGAGTTGTTGTTAGATTACTATATTGTTTTATTTGATTATGAACGAAACATATATACGAAGTACTAAATCAAGCTGTCGCGGAACCCGCGCTGGTGTTATCATTGTTCATGAGGTATATGTAAGATGTGGGTATTGCAATGGCCAGACATAGGCGCCTAAGCATGTGCGTGGCGTTATCACAGGAGATGGTCAGCCTTTCGGGCCCGTTGCCACCGCACAACCTCCTCGTACACGGTCCAAGAGATGGCAGAGTGGATCGATTTGCGTATCGTTCTCACGAAAATACCATCAAGGAACCCGATTGCACCTTCCTCCTATTAACATTCACGAGAAACAATAAAGTATTGATTAAGTTTGGAGTTGCCATGGATAGACTATCAACGAGAGTCTGGTAGATTATATATGCATGCACAAGGCTTTTGTAGTGTATGTGTGACAGATACGTACCAGTAGGACCTTGCGGGCACCTTGGAACACATTCTTGTATTCTGCAGGCTTCAACTGCATTCTTGTTTTCAGCATATCGAACGGGTGCGTTAAGGTTGTGGAAAGAAAACCCGCAGCGATACCGGATACCATATGGATGGTGGGTGTGCTCACATCGAAGTATGCCGAAGTTGCCCTCAATGCTATATATTTACCACATCGGAATCGTACAGTAAGAAGGCAACACATGTCAGAATACTGCCTGTGTAATGGGAGATATCGTCCAACCATATCCAGTTACATCGCATGAATGCATTCGTGTACATACCTGAGAGATGGGATTTGCTCTGCTCGTAGAACAGAACATAGAGACCGGCAAGAGGAGCGTCTCTCATAGCGGTCGCACCAAATCCTGCCCACAATCCTAAAGTAAATCATGTTTGTGATACATTAACACTGGAGCCCATGCTAGTACAGACATCAATCATGATAGCATTAGTGCTTCTATGGTGTACCTCGAATTCCTTCGTTCCTGAAGATGGACGAGAAAGCTCCAGACATGCTGTTGTAATTATACAGATTGCTCTAGAACGCATAGTTGAGTATTCAATAGTGATTTAGGCCAAGCCGTAGCAGTATTCGCATTTTTGCGCAGCGTTGTATCCAAAATGAAAATAAAGGAGTAGAAGGCCAGCCTACCTCATAGCGCACTTTAATCACCGTCGCAGGCATCATCACAAAGCCGATCGCAGCTCGGGATGCACCGCCAGCAATCAGATTTTCGGTATTGCTCAGCTTAGGCAAGGCACTGCTGCTGGACATGGTCTCTGTCCGTTCCAGGCCATTGATCTTGCGCTTTGCGAGCAAAGTTCTCGCCTCGTTCAATACTGTAAAGTACATGGCAGCGCCAGGCACATTTCTGTGCGAGATATGAAGATGGAGCGACTCTGGCATCAGTTAAGAACGTTCATACTGGGAGAATGGAGCTAATCCACGTTTGCAATAAAGTTTGGCAAGAGTGTCGTGGGAGCTTTCCAAATGCTCGTAGCACGGCAGTGTATGGTTCCTAGGGGTGATACTTTGGGGGTCTTTGCTTAATACGAATTACATCGCGCTTATTAAAACATACCTGACAACTGTGGGAACGGTTCCACGCCACAGACTGAGCACCGAGCCCTCTTTGATGATGCCGAAGACAGTCCTCCAGATCGTGCTATAGTCCCATTCAGGACAGCAGAGCGCGAATAAAAGGCGACCGTGGGATTAGATTCCGGATGACCGAGCGGGGCCCTCAAGTCACCAAACGAGGGGACCGTGAGTATTTTGTTTACCTTTCCAGAGGAGCGATGGTGAGGCCGGCCTGACTGCCCTGCTTGATAAAAGCAAGATGGGCTTGCTGCTGCTGCTGTAGCCGTGTCTTGAGCAGGTCTAGGGGCTGGACAAAGACGCAGGCACATAGTCCGGAGACGGCTCCACCGATGAGGTGTTCAATTGGGTCACTTGATTTCTGCTTCGAAGGCATGGTGATGTTAAAGTGGGGTTTGATGGAGAGGAAGGGTGAGGTTGGGTGGAGACGTGAAAAGGAGAGGGGTTCTGTGTGAGGGTAGGGGTAAATCGCAAAGGCGCAGAGAGGGAGAGAGAGATAGAGAGAGAGAGGAAATTAGGGTGCTTTAAAGAAAGGAAGACTTGAGGGAGGATAACAGGCGCTGGCTGGGAAACCGGTCTGTTGGTCTGGTCCAGGCTGGTTCGCTATCGGGAGCAATTGAACGGATACGCGGTGCTGTGCTTTGTACAACTCGCGGGCTCACTTGCGCCCGTTCTCTGCTCCCAGCGGAAGCAAAAGGTTCCGCTCGGCTGCATTTGCACCAATGTGCAGTGCAGTCACGGATGTAAACAGCTGTTGGGGGCTTGCAAAAAAAAAAAAGAAAAAAAGAATAAAGAAAAACGAGACCAAGCTTTGCTGGTACAACACGCTTCATTCACATTCAGGACATCGGCTCGACTACAAGGCCATCCCATCCTCCATCCCTTATTTCTTTCCTTCTGTATTGCTGCCCATTTCAATATCATTGCAATATGAAGTCGGACTTCAAGGCATGTAAAACCGGACATAATTCATACTTGGATACGTGGTCAGCTTCAAAGGAAATATCACGACGGACAGGATCCATGAGAGCAGTCGATAATAACCAGGACTTTGAACCTATGCTCCTCTAGTTCTCGAATCTATGTGGAACTGTCTACAAGCAGGGAAACCTCATTTTCACGCCTGACGGCAACTCGGTTTTAAGTCCCGTTGGAAACAGACTGACAGTCTTCGATCTGGTCAAGTATGTATACACCAAGTGGAAATGAACCAGTGGGTACCCCGTCATCAATTCACGATCTGCTAAGGCACTGACTCTGTTTTAACGTTTGTATTCCCTAGCAATAAGGCGACGACGTTCCCATATGAGAATAGGAAAAACATTGACAGGATTGCTCTCAGCCCAAACGCCACTCTCTTGATCTCCGTTGATGAAGGTATACGTTGTTTTTCACAAAAAACGGTTCGAACAATTAGAGGAAGTGAGCTACTATCAATACTGACCATTACCTCAATCATTTTTTCAAAAATAGATGGTCGTGCCCTACTTGTCAATTACAATCGCCAGATCGTCCTACACCACTTCAACTTCAAGACGAAGGTGTACGACCTTCAATTCAGTCCAGACGGAAGGTAACGATTAAATCAGGAAAGACTCGAGCTATTTTTCCGCATTATTTTTATAGTATACTTCTCACCGACTTTTGCATCGTTACTTTTGAAACCAGATTCTTTGCTGTTACGCATGGAAAGCAGATTCAGCTTTGGAAGACACCAGGATTCCATCGCGAGTTCACCCCAGTTGTTTTTCACCGCACCTACACTGGACACTATGACGATGTCATTTCCATCTCCTGGTCCCCCGACTCTAAATATTTCGTGACCACTTCCAAGGATATGAGCGCCCGCATTTACTCTGCGGACAAGATCGAGGACTTCGTGCCATTCACTTTATCAGGACACAGAGATGCAGTCATTGGAGCGTGGTTCTCGAAGGATCAGGATTGCATTTATACTGTCAGCAAGGACGGAGCCCTCTTTGAATGGCGCCACCAACTGATCAACCCAAAGTCTCAGAACGGCGAGGACTCGGATGATGAGACGGTAATGGAGGTCGATGAAGGCCCACGGAGATGGTCTGCTGTTCAGAGACACTTTTTTTTTCAGGATCATGCCAAGGTTATCTGCGCTGCATACCATGCAGCATCAGGAATGATGGTGGTCGGGTTCTCGAACGGTGTCTTCGGTATCTGGGAGCTCCCTTCTTTTAACAACATTCACTCTCTGAGGTAACAGCAGGCACATGGACATCGTCATTAATGAGGAATGTATTGTCCAAAACTGGAACACCCTATTTACGATGTGTTTAATCTTTCGTATCAACATAGCATTTCACAAAAGAAGATTGATTCTGTGACAATCAACAAATCTGGAGAATGGCTGGCATTCGGTGCATCAAAACTAGGACAGCTCTTGGTCTGGGAATGGCAATCAGAATCATACGTGTTGAAGCAACAAGGGCACTTCTACGACATGAACTGCCTCTCCTACTCTACGGATGGACAGAGCGTAGTCACTGGAGGCGACGATGGCAAAGTCAAGGTCTGGAACACTGTCTCTGGATTCTGCTTCGTCACCTTTTCGGACCACGCATCCCGCGTGGCCGCAACGGAATTTGCAAAGAACGGTCAGGTCGTCTTTTCCGCATCGTTGGATGGGACTGTAAGAGCTTACGATTTAGTCCGTTATCGTAATTTCAGGACATTCACATCGCCCACACCTGTCCAGTTCTCCTCTCTTGCAGTGGATCCTAGCGGAGAAATTGTCTGCGCAGGAGCACAGAACACCTTTGAGATATATGTTTGGTCTGTTCAAACTGGAAAGCTGCTGGATATTCTCGCCGGACACACTGCTCCCATTTCTGGACTCGCCTTTTCACCTTCTTCTCAGTTCTTGGCTTCCTCCTCCTGGGATCACTCTATTCGCACTTGGGATGTCTTCGGTCGTGGAAAGAGCGTCGAAAGCTTTACACATATGTCAGAGGTTTTGGCGTTGGCCTTCCGACCCGATGGCAAGGAGCTGTGCGGGTCAACTCTGGATGGCCAGTTGAGTTTCTGGGACGTCGAGGACGCCCTTCAAACGAACGTCATTGACGGACGCCGCGATATTTCTGGAGGACGCAAGGCGGCAGACAAAATCACAGCTGAGAACTCGACTTCAGGAAAGCACTTCAACTCTTTGTGCTACACTGCGGATGGATCTTGCATCATTGGAGGTGGTAACAGCAAATACGTGTGCATCTACGACATCAAAGCCAATATTCTGGTCAAGAAATGGCAGATTTCCAAGAACCTGTCCTTTGACGGAACACTCGAGTTCCTGAACTCTAAAAACATGACCGAGGCAGGGCCCATGGATCTGATTGATGACGACGATTTCAGTGATTTGGAGGATCGTCAGGACAACGCTCTCCCCGGAACGAAGGATCTGTCTAAGCGAAATGTCCGTCCAGAGATTCGTACCAAGGCCGTCCGATTCTCGCCCACAGGACGATCATGGGCTGCCGCCTCAACTGAGGGACTGCTGATCTACTCTTTGGACGACACGCTGATGTTCGATCCTTTCGACCTTGAGATTGACATTACACCGGAGACTATTCTGGAGACATTGGATGAGAAGGATTATCTGAAGGCTCTGGTCATGGCATTCAGGTTGAATGAGCGGCAATATATCCAGCGTTGTTACGAGGCGATCCCTCCATCAGATGTTCGACTCGTAGCAAGGCAACTGCCGACAAAGTACCTGGAGCGGCTGATGAAGTTTATTGCCAGCTACATGGAGGACTCACCTCATCTGGAATTCCACCTGATCTGGTGCACAAGTCTACTGATCAGTCACGGCAGGTACCTGAAAGATCACTCTGGCGAATTCTTGACAGTCTTTAGAGGTTTGCAGAAGGGTGTCGGCAAAATGCACGAGGACCTTGCAAAAGTGTAAGTGCCTTTTGTTCTGTGTTTTTTGAAAGAATGGTGCGGAGCGACCGTTATGGTTGAGTTGCATGCTAATGTCTTATCCGCTCTTGTTTTTGCCCATACAACCTGTAGATGTAACGACAACACATACACATTAGAATACCTGTTGTCGCAAGCAGAAAAGAACTAAGGCGCAAACATTAGCATGAGCATTTCTACATCATCTTTAGCATCTTTAAACCAATACACGCATTTGCAACCAATCCATGTTCTAAAAAAAGAAATGCTGTGCACAACCGCAGCGCACGGTGGCAATCTGCGAGAGCTTAACAGCAACAACAGCAACAACAACAACAACTGGATCTTCTCGCCCTCCCTCGCCCTCCCTCGCCCTCGCCCTCCCTCGTCGGCCGTACAGGTATACGACCGTAATGGGCTGACGTACTATCCCCATGCCACCCTCATAAACAAACATATAAACTGGCCTCTTATTTTTTTGCGCCACAATACATCCTTATTCATTTTGCGCAAGCACACCAACGCTATGGCTAGGATATAGTTCCCATCGAAATCCTGTTTGAGATAAGCCAGCGCCTCGATCGCCGCTACTTCTCGCGCTGCGCTCTAATCCGGTTTGCAGACCGTGGGGTACTTCTTTCGGTTCATCCACCTAGTTTAGTGTCCTCTTTGGAGAAAAGCAAGGGGCCAATCAAGCCGCTATAGATGAGTTCTAGTCGAACTCGAGATGGATAGCATAATCACATACTAGGCCCACCACGATGCCGCCTATGAAATTGACCTCCCGTGAAAAATCACAAGAGTCTCGTCAAACGGAACCAAGACACTGGAGTCTCTCTCACTCTATGATATGACCTTCCCCGACCAGATCTGAACAACGCTCCCTGATTTGGAGTCCCTTCTTCAGTTTTACACGTCCTTCGTATTCGGCCCTAAAGACCCAAGCTATGGTTCAATTCACACCTCCAGCCCGGCACATACGAGTCCTTTAGGATGTCCCTATACGACCAGAGGGACCTTGAGCTGGCTTGTGTTCGTTTCAACCCGCCACCGCACATGCTGAAGCCCAAGCCCCAAGGCCTAAACCCATCGCCGCCTTAGGGCAACCAATGTAGCTTCCATCAGGCCATCGACGTGTAGTCTTTCAAGGTATGGATGGATTGATATCCATAGCCGATTCTTCTTTGATCAGGCTAGGTATGATGCACATACGATGCATTGGCAAAACAGACTGCCAAGCGCTGGTTTGTTCCTTTGTCTCTTCACCTAAAGATGCGCATATTCAATTCCACACGGAAGCTGGCGCTGGTACTGAAGGGCTTCTCAGGTTCGCACATTGACGCCGTTAAATCCTTTGCTGCATTCCGCTTTCGTTTTTTTTTGTGCCTCCCACAGCTCCTATCGCAATGATAGATGCTGGCTCTTTTACTCTGGCGTTTCATTCGATTACAACTCTCTGCCTCCAATTCTAGCCTATCTGTTTTGCTATAGAGTTATCGCTCCAGTGTTTAGCAAGAATACAATTAGCCGAGTCTTTCGAGTAGGCTGGCGTGCTGCGGATGGACCATCAACAAGGGTCCTTCCTGGTGAATCAATTGACACCAATGATTCCGCACCTATTCAGCTCCACCAATTGCTCCATGGACCGGGCACGTTCCATATCCTCGTTTTCGTCTCTGATATGATAAGCGTTGCCTCTGCAGATGCTGCTATGACTGCAGCGAAGTTGACCACGAACCTGGAGCAATATCTTTAAGAATGGCGGTCCAAATGAGGCTATAGACGATCGTCTTGCTCATTGCTGTTTCAGATCCACGCTCTCGCTACCCTAAACGGAATATTATCTCTAAACCCATCCAAGGTTCGGCCTAATACTCTAGTAGACGAAGAGCGCTAACGAAGATAGGGGTCTACGCGGATTAATCAAGTACTGTGCAAGGATGATATGGCATACCTATCAAGATCAGCGTGGATCTATAGTCCTCCCGCCAGATTCGTATGTCGACTACAGAGCGATGAGAATCGAGGGGTTAGCGTGGCAGGATGTGGACGGGCACTTTAGGTCCACCTTTATGTTCATGTTCATGTTTCTTTTTTTGTCCAATGTTTTTATTCCATAGGGATATCTACAAGTTGTGTTTTTAGCAATAGGCATTGACTCAATTGCATTCTTTTTTTCTTTTTTTTTCACTGCGTTCCGTTTCGTCTTTTACTTCTTGCCTGCAACGCCGTTGTAAGGGTAGAAGCCCTGTCCAGACTTGCGTCCCAAGTTGCCCTGAGCAACCAACTCCTCCAAAAGCTTGACGGGAGCGACCAAGTTGGCATCGATCTTGCCATCCTTGCGCCAGCCATCGACAATGAACTTCATGGTATCCAGACCGACGAACTATATATCGTTTCAAGCAAACGATAGAAAAGCAAAAAAAAAAAAAAAAGCGAGAACCGGGAGTTAGCGGACATCGTCTCACGTGAAATTAGATCAGGGCATGAACCTAAAAACGAAACGTACGTCGGCAAGCTCGAAAGGACCCATGGGGAATCCAGCACCCAACTTCATGGCGGTATCAACATCCTGAGGAGTAGCTTCGCCACGCTCAACAATGCGGAGAGACTCCATCATGTAAGGGACCAAGAGACGGTTGACGATGAATCTATATTCCACAAAGATTATAAGAAAAGATAAAATAAAAAAGTAGATAAAAACGTTAGAGCCTTTGTCAGCCCTGGGCTATAAAATCTTCACATGCCACTTGGTACCCGGCTTCTTGCGGTGGATCGTACAAAGATCCCCGAAGGATCTCATTTCTTTCCAGTCTCTCTACTTTACATTTCTATGAAGAGAAACAGTGTATTGCTTACCCAGGGGTGTCCTTGCAGGAGACAGGGGTCTTCTTCATGCGCGTGCAGACATCCATGAGCGAATCGAAAGAGTCCTGGCTGGTTTCGTTTGTGCGGATCACCTCGACCAACTTCATCTGGGGGACGGGGTTGAAGAAGTGAAGTCCTCCGAAGCGATCTGCCCTCTTGGTGGCTTTGGCAATTTCCTCGATGGGCAAGGAGGAGGTGTTGGAGCAGAAGAGGGTGTGCTCGGGAGCGACCTTGTCCAACATGGCGAACAGCTGCTGCTTGGTCTTCAGGTTCTCGACAATAGCCTCGACGATCAGATCTGCATCCTTGGAGGCAGCCTCAGAGTCGGTGCTGATCTTGATCTTGGACATGGTCTTGTCGATGAATTCCTTTTGCTTGTCCGCATCCTCGGGGAACTGCTTCTTGGCAATACGCTTGAGGGACGAGGTAATAATGTCCTGGCCCTTCTTGAGGGCCTCGGGGTTGAGGTCGACCATCGTGACGTTGAACGCGTTCTGGGCCGCGACCTGGACGATACCGGCGCCCATGAGCCCTGAGCCGAAGACGGTGATATTCTTGACGTTGGTGGGGGCATAGGCAGAGGACGAGGTCGAGAATGAGGAGGTCATGGTCATGGAGGTCAGAGGACGCATGAGGGCGGCAGGGTTGGCCGAGGCCACACGACGGACAGCAGAGAGCATTATAGGAGGAGCGAGGTTTTTGGTTGGTAGCGGGTGGAAAGAGTGAAGAGGATGGAAAGGAAAGAGAAAGAAGAAAAGGAATGGAGCAGGAGGAATAAGAACAAGAATAAGAGCAAGAACAAGAACAAGAACAGGGAAAAAGAGTTTGCCCACGGACAACGGTGCGCGTTCGCATTGGGTGTGGGGGGGAAGGAGCCGCCTTTCCTTAACTGCATGCAAACAGCCATTTAAGTAAGTTTCCAGCGCATTCTCCAATTGCACGATGTCCATGAAACAGGGTACTGAGAGTGTGCACTGCCCCTTTTTTCTGAATGGATTATGGATTCCAATTTATACTCCTCATGTATTTGAATGCTGGTGTCCCCTCTCTTTCTTTCCTCGTCTCTTCTCTCGCTACTACCCCACACAACCGTCGCATCCCTCTCTCTCGCTCTCTCTCGTTCTCCACATTCTGCGCACTGAATCCGTCCAAACTAACTCTCAGCCCTCAACCCCCCTCGTCCTTTCAAGATACATTCCCTAATCAAACGCGCCTCTATTTCGTTCCAAGAATTCAGAGGCATGAATGACACCTACTCCCAGGTCCGCGAGGAAGACTCGCCAATCCAACCTCAGCCCATTTCCAATCGGGGCAATGGGCATCCAGATCACATAATCGTCGCAGACATGACCTCCTACGGCACCGGAGACGAGACCATCCGCAGCAAGGCCCCCAGAAGACGATATAGCCACAAATCGACAACATCCAGCTCGTCTTCAAGCTCTGGTCTGTCACGGCCGGCACCATTGCCATCGGGTCTTAGCCGATTCAAGAAAGCAACCGACCAGATCGTCGCTGCCCGACGAATGTCGAGTAAGTCCATGTGAGCTGTAACCTTCCCCCTATTGGTCTAAGGGACGCTTTTTTCGCATTCTGATCGATATAACCTGCTTCGTGGTCTTGTAGCGTACGCCATGAATGGCCAGGGTGTTGATGTCTCGGATATGGACAGTATCTTCAGCTGCATCGAGGTACGGTATTGCGCTCCTAAATTGAGTGCAAGTCAGGGAACACAGCGATAAGAATGACGATGCGGGGGGATGGATCACTCATGACATAAGGATGAGCCAGCTCCCTGGAATAGCTTAATTTTGTGCTTTAAAGTCCGTGCGCCTCTAATTTGAATCTCAATATTGCTGTCAATGCTGTGTGGATAGAGCACTGTCGATGTACTGGCAATGGATATGGACAGCGCCCGATATACGAAGCGGTCAGGGATGAACAACGAAGAATTCTTGATGTGGCTGGAACAGCCTGTAGGTGAACAAACAATGTGCACGATGAGGCACGACTGTGGATCTTGATCTTTCGTTTTACTTACTGTTCCATTCACATTATTTGTTCAATAGAGACCAGAGTGGTCGAAGGTACGATGGATCAACATCAATGGAATGAGCTGGGATGTCATCAAGGCCATCTCTATCAAATATAGTACGACGGGCTGCAGCTTGCTTCTACGAATGCAGTTGTGTCTGCAGCTGTTGAATTCACTACTAAAATTCTTCTTTGCCCTGCGTTTGATATCCAGGTCTGCACCACTTGGCCGTCGAAGACTTGTTGCATGTGCCACAACGAACTAAGGTCGACATTTATCCTAAGCAAACATACATCGCATTAACTCTTCTGACTTTAATGGAGACCCTTGAAAACGGCGAAGTCAGGGAAGTCGATCCAACAGCAACCTCGACCGGAATACACCCAGACATCCTGAGCCACCGCTTACCACTGGACAAACTGGACCATTACAAGCAACAATATCCTGTTAGCTATAACCGCGAGGGAGGTTTTAAGGTCGAATTGGAGCAAGTCACCATGTTCCTGCTGGACGACGGTACCTTAATCACGATGTTCCAAGTATCTGGAAAGTCCGTGGTGGCACCCATTGCCGGACGAATCATACAAGACTTCTCGATCGTCAGAAAGAATAACGATGCCAGCTTTCTGCTTCAGTCAGTCATTGACGGCATTGTGGACCATGCGATTCCCATCACGGACGCCTTTCGCCAGGCGATTAATGAGCTAGAGACACATGTGCTGGCATTACCGAGTATGAAGTTTACAAAGGAACTTCATCAGATGACAGCGCAGCTTTCGACGTTGAAGCGTACATTGGCACCGACTCAGACTCTCGTTCATGCGTTGCGGGGAAAGGATGAACGAAGTCCTTTGTCAAGTCTATCCAGGACATATATGGGAGACGTGGCGGATCACTGCAATACCCTTGTGGAAGACATTGACTCAATGCTCTCTCTCTGCGCTGCGCTTATCGACATGGTAACATAACGCCTCCGCTTTATGGGACAATCACGAGTGGAGCGACGTATTCGGTGTTAATATGCCTCGATCTTCCATGCCGCGTTTAGATTTTCAACCTTATCGCATATGATACGAACGAATCCATGCGGCGCCTGGCTCTGGTCTCGATTATCTTTCTTCCCATCACATTCATTGCTGGAGGTTCGTCCCATTACTATGGCTTGCGTTTCGTACCTTCTTTGGGCTAAGTATTAACCATGGGATCTTGTGTAAAATTTAGTATACGGCACGAACTTTGAGGATTTCCCCGAGCTGAAGCACAGTACGTTCATTGATTTAGACACGCACAGCAGCCATCTCGTCTTTATGAATAGCCGGCTAACGATCCTCCATTGATTTCGGTAGACATCTCTTACTTCTGGATTATTTGCGCGGTTGTCACTGCGTTGGTAGTAAGTATTACGCCATGGTGAGGTTGACCCGAGACACACTGTTTATTATCATGCTAATGCAAAGCACTGTTTGCGGATATCAACCATAGCTCATTGGCTTTATCATGGAATGGCTCAAAAACCAATGGAGGGCGTCGAAGGTGGAGAAACGTCTTGGGCAGAGAGAGCCTGTCAGCATCGGCACTGGTCATTCGAGAAGCGTCCTGTGGTGTGTCTGAGCTGTGTGAATTCCTAGGGCTATGTGGCAGCGTCTCTCAGTGAGACCTTGACAGCATAATCAGCATAAATAATAAAATGTGCTGTCTTAAAAGCCATGCGTAACTCGGTAGATCCTTCTTTTCTCCACACTCCTCCAGACACCCACACTAAGAATACACTTCCTTCGACAGCAAGATACACTCCAACATGGTTGCTATGATCAATAGATACAAGGTACACTTTGAAGTGGTTCGGAGGATGGATTATCCACTGTTTGTTCGATCCACCGCTTACACCTCCTTCTTTATCGCTGTTTTTTTTTTTTTTTTTTTTTTTTCCCTCCTGCTGCTGCTTTTGTCTACTGCAGGCGCTACCTCAAAAGACGCGCAACTACATCCAACTCGGTAAGTTAGCGAGACCCGTCGGCTTTTATGGACTGGACAAGTTCAGCCGGACCTTTACCAGAAGGGTTTGCTCTTTTTTTTTTTCCGTCCTTGAACCAACACTTTTTATTGTATTTTATTTTATTTTTTGTCTCTACACGAGCATGTTTCTGTGCCATGTAACTACGCACATGTTCCCATAGCCTTTCATCTCTAATATGACGCACCTACTCTACCTACTCTACCTTTGCCCAAACAGGTGGGGCGAGTGCGGCTGCATTGGGATTCTACTACCGCAACAGGATTATGGATATGATGGGCCCTGCGAGACGCGAGGCCAGAGAGGCCGCCCATCAGGCTGCCCTTGACGTTAATCAGAGGACGAAGCCTTAAGCAAGACAAGGCAAGAACCGTGACTGGACCATTCGAACCTTGAAGGAAAAGCAGGCGGGGGCGGATTAAGGGGAAGGTTGTTTGATCCGTTGATTTCCAAGGGAGAGAGGATCGATTGTCATCGACGCGTCGCTTATCGCACGCACACTTTCTCGCTTTTTTTTTTTTTCTTTTTCCGTCGATATGCAACATTAGTGCTGTGTTTCTTATCTTTCCATCAATTGTATCGCCATACATTGAGTAAAGTCTTTTGGTCTCTGGTGGCAAATATGTGTGGTGTGTTATATGTGCTGTATGTGTTGAGCGGCCAAGTGAAATGCAACCAGTGCAGCTGCACCTGTTTAAGTCGCGTTTTGAAAAACGATTCTCCGCCTTGGGCGCTAACCTTGTTGCGGACGATAACGTTGTCCCTGCAGCTGGGAATGGCCTGATGAATTCGATGAGAGCATTCATTTTTGTTCCGTGCGTCATTTGTAAGGAAAGAGGGCCCCACAGGACGCATGCATCGCAATCACGATGGCAGCGGTAGTTCACAGGCCCATTGTTTGTGAGTGCGAGCTCGATGGGCGGGGTGACGATGTCATGCGCGCATCATTGCTGCTACTTCACCGTACTGCAGCGGTGTGCGCCTTCCTATTTTTAAAGCGGCCGTTGACAAAGACGCGGTGGGTGCACTGTGGTGCCTGAGCGGGGTAAATCACCTTCTTGTTCGCTCTAGATGCCGGTGGTCTGTTCCTGAGAAAACCCCATGCTGCTGTTGTTTGTCTGCCGTCGGCGGTCGTCCCCTGGTGCTGAGGCGACATTCGCTCATTGATTGCCCCATGGTCATCGCACTTCATCCTCCGTCTTCATCGCCCGGCCAAGTTTGCCCCATTCGGTCACTGGTGCAACCACCGTAGTCATATTCCTCAATTGGAAACCTGTGCTGGCCCCACGCAGCTACAATTCGCTCATTTCTCTTGCCACTAATATTGACGTACTTTACTCTTGATTATGGTTTGCTTATCTATCTTCGCGCACAATTGCATATATACTCTCCATTTCACACCTACCGCGTCAAAACCCCCCAGTCTCTAACAGCCCTTCTCTCTGCTTGCAGCTCGCCATTGCTTTCCCTTTCTTTCGCCTCAGGATCCCCTCCCGACCTCGCTTATTATCGCTACAACCATTGCCACTTCCACCCACCATCTCTTTATATTGCTCAGGAACGCGACCACAACAAACCACATTTTTATATACTACAGATGGGACCACATAAACATAATGAGCGATCGTGCTTTCGCCGATATCTATGCCTCATCATCCTCGCCGCCCTCGTCATCATAGCGGCTGCCATCGCAATACCGCTCGCCATCATCAAGCCATGGGAAAAGAACAAAGGCTCCTCAGAGTTAGGAAATGGATCAGAAACACCGAACTTGATCCCCGATAATACTCCCATCACACCATCATCCGACAACTCAGCAAAGGTTAACAGCTATACCCCAGCTCTTGATCAGCCCTTTGATTATGCCGGCGGGACTGTCAAGATGCGCGGCGTCAACCTTGGAGGATGGCTGGTCCTGGAACCCTTCATCACGCCCTCGCTCTTCAATCCCTATATCTCTGCCGGTGTCATCGACGAGTGGACACTTTGCGCACATTTGGGACAAGATGCCGCCAAGACCCTGCTCGAGAACCATTACGCGTCCTGGGTCACCGAGGACACTTTTGTGCAGCTCAAGAACCTCGGCCTGAACCATGTCCGTATCCCAGTTGGTTTTTGGGCCATGGGCAACCTGACCGCTGGAGAGCCCTACGTCCCAAATGTCGCGTGGAAGTACTTGCTTCGTGGTATCGAATGGGCTCGCAAGTACGGCATCCGTGTCATGGTCGAACTGCATGGTGCGCCCGGATCTCAGAATGGCTGGAACCACTCTGGCAGGTCCGGTCAGATCGATTGGATCAATGGAACCATGGGCCCCATGAATGCCCAGCGGACGCTGCCATATCTGCAACAGATGGCGTCCCTCTTCTCGACCCCGGCTTATGTCCACGTAAATCCTATTGTGGGCATGCTGAACGAACCTGCTGCGTACGTTATTGGTGCCGAGAAAGTTATGGCCTGGTACAAGCAAGCATTCGCAGCCTTCAGACAGTCAACTGGAGCCAGCAAGGGTCCTTGGTCAATCATTCACGACGGTTTCTTGGGTCTCGAGGCGTGGTCCGGTTTCATGAAAGGCGCTGACCGCCTTATGATCGGTATGCACCACGACATCTATGTTTGTTTCCAGTTTGAACGACCTCTGATCTTGGTGACAAAAGAGCGCCCACTAACATATAATTCGTGTCTTTATCACTATATCCTTGATATCTTTAGATGTCCATCAGTACATTATGTTCAACGAGAACTTGATGAACATGAACCAGACTGCTCAACTCAAGTTCGCATGCGAGCAATGGGGCTCAGCCTCGTCGACGAGCACCAAGAACTTTGGCCCCACCATGGTCGGCGAATTCTCCGTTGCTGTCAATGACTGCGCGACATATCTCAATGGCATTGGTGTCGGCTGCCGCTGGGAGGGTACCTTCCCCGGCTCTAAACCCCACTCTGCAAACAGCACGTGCGCTCACGAGAACGATGTTTCGTTCTACAGCACCGCGTACAAGCAGTTCCTAGCCAATTTCTTCAACGCTCAATTGGATGCGTTTGAACAGGGCGCGGGCTGGTTCTACTGGAACTTCAAGACAGAATCCAATCCGCTGTGGTCGTATTTTGATGGAGTCGAGAATGGATGGATTCCCAAAGATGTGAACAACCGCGGACCGAGCTTTTGTGCCACGAACGGCTTTTCAACCAGCAAGGCTCTCGATTCATAGACATACCATAACCCTCCTCCATATATGATCTACAAAACAAACTCACTGACGATCTCAATGTATTTCTTTTTTTCATATCCCGCGATCGCTACCGAGATTTGATTCGTAGTACCATGCACTACAATTGGTCTTGTTCAGTTGTTTCTTCCGCAGCTCGCCACCTCACCATCAATTCTTTGGCCTGTGGAGGAACAAGTTTGTTGTATCTATAGATTCGCGAGATCCATGCTTGTAAAATCTTGCGCCCATTACCAGTGAGATGGTCTCATCGGCTACACAAGTGTTTTTTTTTTTAATCCTTGTTTGTGTATTTTTAATCTCAACTTGGGATGGACTATATGACGTTTCAGTGTCCCATATCGGATACCGCACCTCTGGATGGATGCTCAGAATGTTCCTAAATTTCAAATGTCTCGTTCCCTCCACAGGCCGAACTAGACCCTGTTCTGGCCGCCCAAACTCTCCGTAAACAATACACCGGCGCCCATTTTCTGCAGGAGCATGTTGGATGGATGAAAGGTGTATACACATCGACTATATACATGTAGAAAACCACGGACCGTCCAACCAAAGATTGCAGGTCTGTGTGCGACGTACCAGAAATGAGAGGCTCACCTTATCGTGCAGGATCTACAGAAAAGCTCCAGAAAAGAACATGTCAACAAACTCGCGCCGCTACCTTAGTACCCTAATTTTTTTTTCTATACGACAAAGCGCTAGATCAACCTGTGGTCGCTTGTCCGTATGGCTCCGCTATGGCTCCGCTTTAGGCTATGCAATAAGTGCATTTCGGCGCAGATACACTGCCTTATAATGTGTTCGATAGAACCTGTTTTCTACGGCTATAAATCTAGACTGGCCTCCATCTCCCGCTCTTCTTCTTTGCCTCTTCGCCACTCTGCAGCCACTTCACCTCCCCTACTACTTCCTTATTTCCGCTGTCGCGACTTTTTCTTCTTTTTTTGTTCATTTCCGTCCTTTTCCATTCTTTCGATCATTTCAATCTTCCTGTCTCCCATTTGCCCAGTCTAGTCGCTATGATGGCCAAGAAAAGTGGTTCGCTCTCTTGGGCCTCGCTAGGAGTCATCGCCACCGTGCTGCTCCACGCGCTGGCCTCGAGCAACCTCGCCATGGCGGCTCCTGCGCCAGTAAATTCGACCGCGTCTCTCCAGGGTCTCGTGCAGCGTCTTTTGCCGCGATCGTACCACAATGCCTTTGATTTCAAACTGGTATCGGACTTGGCACCACCAACACCCGAGAACAAGTATGACGTGTTCCGCGTCTCGAACAAGAACTCGACCAATGCCGCCCGTATCATGATCGAGGGAACCACCCTGTCTGCCCTGAGTCGCGGACTGAAGTATTATTTGGATCAGGCTGGTCAGGTCGAGCTGACCTGGAGCGGCAACCGCTTCGATGAGCTCCCCCAAACACCACCACCCGTGCCTGATCTGGAGATCGACACTAAAAAAGTTGCTACCGCCGGACACGTCCGTGGAAGTATTGTCCCCTGGAGGTATTACACCAACGTTGTCTCCTATGGTTACCAATTTGCCTTCTGGGACTGGAAGCGCTGGGAGCGTGAAATCGGTATGAAGCGTAGTCAAATTGTTTGCCTTAAGGAAAATTCGTGCTCTCAATCGCTTAGATTATCAGTTTATCTAACAATGTTTATGACTTTCTTGTGCAGATTGGATGGCTCTGAACGGCATTAACATGTTGCCTGCCATGATCGGTCAGGAGTACGTCGTCCGCGAGTTCTACCGCAGCCTGGGCCTTACGGACGAGGACATTGACAGCTTCATTGCCGGTCCCGCTTACATGCCTTGGCAGCGCATGGGTAATCTCCAAGGTTCCTGGAACCACGATCTTTTGAACAGCAGTGCCGCCAACGAGCTCGTCTACAAGAAGAAATGGATCGATGCTCAGTGGGACCTTCAGCAGTTGATCCTGGCGCGTCTCCAGGCCCTTGATATCACTGCAGTCCTGCCCACTTTCCAGGCCTTTGTTCCCCGAGCACTTGTGAACAAGTTCCCCAACAACGAATTCAAGAACACGAGTGTCTGGTCCTTCTTCCCCGAAAAATACACCATGGTCACCTATGTAGAGCAGACGGACCCCCTCTTCAACGAGCTCTCTACCAAATTCCTGCAGCTTCAGCAGAAGATGAATAATGGTTACCAGGCTCACTATTACCTGCTGGATCTGTACAACGAGTTGGTCCCTGACTGTGTCACTCCTGAGTGTCTTAAGGCGACAACGACTAGTGTCACGAAGGCGTTGCAGGCTGCAGACAAGGATGCGGTTTGGGTGATGCAGGGATGGTTCCTGACGAACACTGCCATTTGGACACCCGAGGCCACCGCCGCTTACTTCCAAGGTATTCGCGATGCCAACGGCACGCCTTTCATCTACGATTTGGCTTCAGAATCCATGCCCATCTGGAATTCGAATGATGGATTCTATGGAAACAACTTTGGCTGGAGTTTGTAAGTTCATCTCCGCTTCTTTTCTATCGCCTCTTCGTGGTTTGGTTATCCGAGTCCAAAATACATGTTGTTCATATATATATTTTTTACTTTTTATTATCTTCACCTAGGCTTAACAACTTCGGTGCTGCCCAAGGTCTGTTTGCAAAGCTTCCTGAGCTGCTGACCGTTCCTTTCGAGGCCTACGAACAGTACTCCGGCAACTTGAAGGGTATGGGTGTCACTGCTGAGGGTATCAACAACAACGAGTACATCTATCAGACCATGCTGGAGTTACCCTGGCACAGCCCTAAGGAGACCATCAACGGCACCCAGCATCTCCAGCAGTTCATCCGCCGTCGCTATGGTGCCACCAAGGCCACGGCTCTTGTCCAGGATGCATGGAACAAGTTGCGTCAGACTGTTTGGGATTGCCAGTCCGGCCAGGCCTCGCAGAGCAAATCCTTTGTCGAAAAGTTGCCCGCACTTAACATGACCAACACCGACTGGTTGGGCACTGTCTTCTGGTACAACCAGACCATCGTCGTCCAGGCCTGGGATCAGCTGGTCCGAGCCGCCCTCCACGAGCAGCACGCCAATGTCCCCAAGTCATTCAAATTCGATCTGGTCGACACGACCCGTGAGGTCCTATTGGCAACCGTGTTCCCTGCGCTGCACGAGTCCCTTATCGACGGTTATGAGACCAAGAATCTCCAGAAGATCAGGAACTATGGTCGCCAGATCATCGCCCTTATCCGCGATGCTGATACGCTGTTGAACACCAGCCCTTTCTTCTCCCTTGGCAGCTTTATCCGCGAGGCTAAAGCCTCGATCGACCCCACCGGTAAGCTGAACCAGAAGGTCACTTTCGAGACTAACACTTCAGGAGGCCCCTCTAAGGCCGGATACGAGCAGTTCTTGGAGTCGAATGCGCGTAACATCGTGACCTGGTGGGGTCCTGAGGGCACTGGCCCACCAGGCTCGCTGCCTGATTATGCCTCGAAGCAGTGGGGTGGTCTGCTCAACTCATTCTACTTGCCTCGCTGGGAGTTGTTCATCCAGCAACTGGAACAGGCTGTTGCCACCAAGACCGCTTGGGACCCAGAGGATTACTTGAAGAAGAACTTGGCTCGTGAGGCACAGTGGCAGGCAGAAGTTTGGGGCCGTCGCCCTGGAGAGACTGTTCTCAACGGTCAAGAATCCACGGAGGTTGTGCGTGAGTTGTGGGACAAGTACCGTGCTTTGGCGGTCAAGATTGCTGCTGGCGGCAAGGCTTAAGAAGCTTGTAAGCACAGTATAAAAAATATAATATTAGATAGAAGATCCTTAGATCGCTTATTTTATTTATTTTTTAAAGCGACTTCTTTTCAGTTCAGTTTGACATTTGAACATTGGCGCTTTTGTTATCTAATCTATAACGTTTATTGTTTTTATGAAAGGTACATGCTATACATACTCTTTAATCCTCGAAAGAGGCGATGGTACCATCCAGAGCAAACTCTCTAGGGACGCCTGCAAGATTCTTTTCCAGATGATAATCGAACATAGCAAAGGGTCCACTCTTGGGCTGAGTGGCCGTGAAGGATGTGGTGGCCATGGTTGCGGACAAGCTGACTGCAGATGTCGTTGAGTTGACCATGACTGGATCTGCCACGGTCGTGGTCGTGGCCGTGGTAACCGTGGAGGGTTCTAATCCAGTTGATTCTTCGAGAGGCTTGTGCTTAAAATACATTCTGCCATAGAACGGGTCTTGCCCCTCCAGAAGTATAGGAAGCCAGATGCGATCATCTTCCCACATCTGGTCAAAGGGAATATCCGCAAAATTGAACCATTGCGGACGCATTTCTTCACATCTAGGAAAACGATGTAATAGGATAGGGAACATGTTCAAAAAAAAAAAAAAAAAAAAAAAAGAAACGCGCGCTTTGTCAATTGGAATCAGTTGAAAATTATATATGAAAAGATCCCAGGAAGTGTGCGCTGCAGTGCAGTGCTGAGCTTACTCTCGGATCTGGCCCTCATACTGATAGGCCTTATAGACATGCACCTCTAGACCGACGGGATCGTTTTCAAACACGAAGAGGAGGACGCCGGCCTTTTGGAAGCGTTCAGGACTGACAGTGATACCGGCTTCTTCTTCCAGCTCACGTAGGGCACCTTGCTGAATTGTCTCGCCCGGTTCGACTTTACCACCGAAACTATATGGTATGTGAGAAGGAGGTGTGTTATTAAAGCAAAGATCGGGACAAATTAATTGTTGAGGATGGAAGAGAGCTAATCTACATACCCATTCCAGAGGTGGGCGCCAAAGCCTCGCTTCTTGTATCCGAGTAGGATCTGCAGAGAGATATAGATGGGCTAATTAGAGTGCGGTTTTGGGCATAGTTGTTCGCCCTGAGAAAGTGGTGCAGTTGAGTATTGCGGTGCCTTTTGCAGGTCCTTGTCAATGACCAGGATGAGGGTCAGGACTTTCTTCGATGTGATGCGGAAGGGATCCATGGCGATGTACTCAGTTCAATGTTGGATGATGGACCGAAGATGAATCAGTTACTGAGGGAGCGAAGAGAACGCGGCTAGAAGGGCGGCAGGGGTATTTTTTTTTTCCTTTGCTGGAGATCAAGATGGTCACTTTTTGCCACCAAAAATGAGTCTGTTGTGTTTTGTTCAGGGTCGCGTCTTTCTTCCTCTTCTCTTTTTTTTTTTTTTTTGTATGCACGTTTTGGCCACACCCTCACGTCTCCCGCTCCCCAACTCCACCGCGCTCACCCGACTCTTGCAGAAACGACCGCTGCGACAAGCATTCATTCAGCCACTTGTCCACACCTTCTCCTTCCACTCGGGATCCATCGCCATGGGAATTCACGGTCTCTCCAAGGTCATTGGTGACAACGCAAAGGAGGCTATCAAAGAGGACGACATCAAGAACTACTTTGGACGCAAGGTCGCAATCGACGCTTCGATGTCCATCTATCAGTTCATGATTGCTGTCAGACAGCAGGATGGACAGCTCTTGCAGAACGAGAACGGAGAGACGACAAGGTAGGCCCTTACGTTTATGTCGACATGTCAAGCGGTTTGCGTGCGTGCTGGTTTTACTAAAACAAACCGTTTTGTACTGTGTTGTAGTCATTTGATGGGCATGTTCTATCGTACGCTGCGGATGGTCGATAACGGTATCAAACCTGTTTATGTCTTTGATGGCAAACCACCCACCTTGAAGTCTGGCGAGGTAACGACAAACGATTCTGATTGTCTTGTGGGAAATCACAAAAAAAAACACCAGCTCTTTCTAATGTCCACTATATGTATTACATGCATTTTCATTTCGTACGAAAACTAGCTTGCGAAGCGCACAGAGAAGCGTAAGGCGGCCACAGCAAGCAAAGAAGAGGCCGAGGAGATTGGTGACCAAGAAGCCATTGACAAGTTCAACAGACGCACAGTCAAGGTCACACCGGAACATAACGCAGAGTGCAAGAAGCTATTGAAGCTGCTTGGCATTCCATACGTCGATGTAGGTATCATTCCTCTTGTCGTTTGTCATTTGTCGGTTATATTGAATCATGTCCGCATGCTATTTGATAACTTATTGCTAACATGCTTGCATATGGTCTATTAGGCGCCATGCGAGGCGGAGGCCCAGTGTGCTGCATTGGCAAAGTCTGGAAAGGTGTATGCGGCAGGATCGGAAGATATGGATACCTTGACATTTGGATCACCCATCCTACTGCGCCATTTGACGTTCAGTGAGGCCAAGAAGATGCCCATCAGTGAAATTTCGCTCAACAAAACTTTGGGCGGACTCAATTTTACCATGGATGAGGTATGCTGGATGTCCATTATGCACAACTCTACGGCCTTTTTTATTTTATTTTTTTTATTTTTCTGTACATTGATGTCTCTATATTTTGAACTGACACTGGACATTCTTTGTTGCGGTGCTTGCTCACAGTTCGTGGACCTGTGTATCCTGTTGGGATGCGACTACTGCGACTCGATCAAGGGTATTGGACCGACACGAGCGATCCAGTTGATCAAAGAACACAAGAACATTGAGACGATTTTAGAGAACATTGACCAGAAGCGCTATCCTATTCCTGAGCACTGGCCCTACAAGGATGCGCGCGAGTTGTTCTTGAATCCTCTTGTCAAGGATCCCGCTGAGATCGAGGTAAATCATCTTTGCTACATTAACTCTTTGGTTAGATCATGCCAGGATTGATTGCATCCAGGGGGCTGACGATTGAACCTCCAATATCTATTGTCTCCCCATTCTTTTAGATCAAATGGGACAAGCCAGATGTAGAAGGCTTGGTCGAGTTTTTGGTCAGGGACAAAGGATTCAGTGAGGAGCGTGTGCGCAAGGGATGCGAGAGACTGGAAAAGAACTTGAAGACCGCGACTCAGGGACGATTGGATGGCTTCTTTACAGTCCAGGCGTCGTCGGATAAGAAACGCAAAGTTGAGGAGGCTACAGGCGGCAAGTCAAAGAAGGCGGCACCAGCAAAGAGCAAGGCCACAGGAGCTGGACGTGGTCGGCCTAGAAAGTAATGTTTTTTTCTTCATATCATCACTCTGTAATATCGATCGCCCTCGACTCTCGATCGTTTTCAAATAAAGCTGTATCACCATTGATATGTTGAACGCGGGTGAAAATTGGTGGCAAATTTGCTGGTCACTGTTTTGATTCAGTCACAAACATATTTGCCTTTCTTTTTTTTTTTTTTTTTTTTTTGGTCCTGAGAGGTAGCTCTACAGCCGTTAACCTCATCTCATCCGCCAAAACGTTGAGCACGCCATGTTTGTCGAACTTGCATTAACCTCGTCCTCTGATGTAGGCGATGGTACCACATACCTCTGGAACCTGCACACTGGATCGATGCTGGGCTCGTTCAAGCAGAATATCACTCCTCTCCAGTCCATGGCCCTAGTGAACAATCCACGGAACCTGGGTAGCATCTTTTTGAGCGCGCAGGCCGAGAAGGGCATGATGCACGTTTACAACTTTCAGAAGGTTAGCAACCTCTTTTCATATGTTCCAACTATGGTATATGTTCTATTTCGCGCTCAATTGCTGACTGAAATGAATCTGTCGATGAATTAGGACCAAGTGTATATGAAGTTTCCATTGCCAGACAAGATTGTATGCCTGACAGTGTCTAGCCGCGGAACGTACTGTGCAGGAGGAACTGAAAGTGGTCGTATCCACATCTGGGAGGTAATACGGCGACATGTGGATCCGTGTCATACGAAGAAAAAAGTGTCGTTGGCGGAAACGGACCGGGACGGCAGTATCTGATCAAACATGTATTTTCGTACCTCCATGGATCTAGATTGCAACAGGAATTCTTCACAGGACATTCGATGCACACTACAAGAAGGTCACTGTCCTCCGGTTCTCGTCCGATGACACTGTCATGTTCTCAGGAAGTGAGGATGCCGTCGTTCATGTCTGGATGCTCAACTCACTTCTCGACGACTCATTCACGGATTCACCCGCACCACACTACTCCTGGACAGATCACACTCTCTCCATCACAGATATTCAATGCGGGATCGGTCGGTTCCATGGCGCCCGTGTCCTGACCTCGTCGCTGGATCATACGTGCAAACTCTGGGATCTCTCAACAGGCCTCCTGTTGACGACGTTCTTGTTTCCGACAAAGATTCTTGCATTAGCACTGGACCCATCAGAGCGGTTTTTTTTTGCAGCATCCGGTACACCTGCGGCTACGGCGTCTGCAGCAAACGAGGCGGACTATTTAATTTATCAGGCGTTGTTGTATAAGGCTAAGCATACGCAGCAGGGATATACGACGGTTGAGGCCGTGGATGGTGATTCGGGCTTGGAGCAGATTGGATTGGGAGGCGCGCAGAGGAATGGCGCTAGGGGCGGGGATTTGGTGATGAGGGGTCATCATCACCCAATTTTAAGGTTGGCGTTGAACTTTGACGGGTCGGCATTGGTCAGTGGAGACTCGAAGGGACACCTCATGGTCTGGGATGTTGCGAGTCGGCAAATGATCCGGGACATTAAGCAACACAAGGGTATGCTTGCGCAAGTTTTTTTTTTGAGAACATTTGAACTATGTCCTCCTGACTGCTAACCTCCTACAAATCTATCATATTGATTGCTCATGATGTGCTATAGGTGCCATTTCGTCAATTCACACACTTATCCAGCCCGCGGATCTGTACTCCAACACCACGCTTTCTGAGAAGCCCAAAGTCTCCCCCATTACGCCCTTCAAGCGGATCCCACAGTCCCGGATGGGCGAGGGAGGACCAGAAGTGAACGGCAACAACTCGATTGCGGATGATCCTCAAATTATGATCTCGACTTCGACCTCAAGTGTAGGACAAGCAGCAGCCCTTGCACAATCACAAGAGTTTCGGATTCTGGAAAGTGCACGTTGTGCATTAGTAGGGTCACGGTCCGGAGGGCTGAGCACTGCTGCCTCAGGAACGAAATCGTCAGCACAAGACTATGAGGAACTGCAGAAGCGATACCAAGAATTGGAGGCGAAGATGGCAGCGATGATGAGCGCAGGTGCAGCGGCGGCAGTGGCTCAACAGCCCGTGGTCTCGTCCTCAGATATCAGCGCGGCGTTGAGTGGGTTGAGGAGTTCAGGGACCAAGAGGCGAAAGGCCTAGGGACATCCAATTGCCAGAAATAAAACAGCACAGCCAATTTTTTCATTTCCTTTTGTGTCACCACGACCGACTTTTAAAACCATTCAAGGGGAAGGGGGACGAGAAGGAATCATAACTTTCCTCATTCCTCTTCTTCCATCGAAAACACATCTTCATCCACACCCAAGAACAAAGAATGTCCATGTGGCACTCATCAGTCGCCGACCCTTCTCTGCGGCTTGGTCCAGTATGCACCTACAAGACCTGCCGACTACAGAGCCCTAACAACGAGCACCGCATGTATCGACACCTCGACATCCCCTATTTCCACCTTCACCAAGGAGAGCGGATCCGACTTGAGCGCATTGGCAAAGAAGGCGACGAGGAGCGACCGTATGAATGCCGTTGCAAAGAGCAATTCCATTACCAGCGATGGTTAATAGACCATATCCATCACGGATGTGTTGAACTCAAGACAGCAGAGCAGCAGAAGAGTTCTGAAGGCATCCAGAGTCCAGGTATCGACCCTTTGTTGTTGTGAACTTTGAGGAATGGTGGAATTCAATGGGCGCAGTTCCTCAATGTGGATTTTATTTCGCTTTCTAAATCAAATATATACATATATATCATAAATCTGGATCCATTTCAATGATAGCGGTGGTTTCCCCTTCCAGTCCCCTCTCCGCGCAATCGCCGTCGCCTTCTCTCTCGTCACCGCGATCGATGACGGACTCTGGAGGACCACCAGATTCTTTTGGGACCCAGCTCCTCCAGAAACTGGATAATTTGAATCAGAGGCAAGCCCCCATGGGCGCCATTACTATCACATCCACGACCTCGACCCCATCAGTCACTCGAGAGTCGTCTCAGAAATCTGCTACTGCATGTCTCGACAGATGGGAGGGCAGCACTTCGGATTTGAATGGACGGGTGGACAGTTTGGAGTCGCAGTTCTCGGATATGGAAAAATCATTGGCGCAGATGATGGAGAAATTGAATGGGGTCGAGAAGAAGCATGAGACGTTCCAGAAGGACACGCAGCGCGTGAGGGCCTTGTCGGGGATGATTCTCGAGTTTACAGAGAGGATGAAGAACGAGGTCCCTAATGAGAGCAAATGAGGAGCAGTAGAGGCGACCACATGGCGGGGTATTCCTCCGTACAACAATTACATGTAAGAAAAAAGAAAGAACAGGGAAGGAATGTACAATTCTGGGCTATGCTGGTTTCATGTCAGAGCAGCCTTTGAACGCGTTCAATTTGACTCAGGAACGCAAACTCTACTCTTAATAAAGTGCACGCGGTTATTGTGCCTTTCTATTTTATCATGACAATAAAATTGACACGAGCCTCTAGAATAACTACATCTTTTAATACAACGAAATACGCGTTTTCCGCTTCTTCCTGGGAGATGTAAAGTAACCAGTGGTGTTTCTGCATTTTTTTTTTTTTTTTTTGGGGGGGGGCTAAAAACACGAGGTACACTTTATCTCGACCACCTTCTCTCACACACCCCGTTCAGCCGTCTCTAGACAACCATGGTCTCTTTTGAAAATCCTCATTGGCAAGCCATTACGATATTGGTGTAATGAACATGAAGATACAGGGTATTGGCCACCCCCTTTGTCATATCACCATCCTTCATGTAGCTCTTTAGGTATAATAGTTAGAAAATTCCGAACGAAATAACTTTATCGCCGACATAATTAAATAAAATTATTGCTATCATTTGGAGTGCTGAGCGAGAGACAGAAGGAGTGAAATTATCGTTGTTTAGCAAAGTCCCTTTTTGCAAGGGTATTCATAGTCGCCGCAGTACTGGAAGTTGAACTTCTGGAAGCAGTAGTTGATGCGCTTGCATTGGGTGAGGGCTGGAGCGTTGTCGTTCGCGTACATGACCTGCTGTTGGTCCGAGGTGTTGGTGACAGTGCACAGTCCGCAATTGACTTGTCCGTGTGCGCCAATGACAAGATCTCCACCTGAGCAGCCGCTGGCGCGCTTCTCAAGGTCGGCAGGGGCAGCTTGGATGAGGGTGAGACCGAGGACGGCAAGGGCAACGAAGGAGAAACGCATGATGTTAAGCTCGAGATGGTCTTGAGGAGATGTCTTGGTGAGTTTGTTTGGTAATGAAGCAGAGAATGAGAAGGATGAAGATGGAGTTCTTATAGTGGGAACTGAGGCATAGTTTTAAAGTGGAGCGATATAAAGTACTATACCTGCCCTGAGTTGACCCATTTGTTCCCAGGAAGAACGTTGGGAGAACGCGAACTCTGGGTTATGGTATTTTGATGGGAATAAATCCACCCTTGCCCTCACCCTCGCCCTCGCCCTCGGTTAAACCCGATGTAATGCCAAGCAGAGCAATAATGGCGCTGAGTAACCTACGGCGTAAACCCAACTCATCTAGAGTCGAAATCTCTGCAGGGATAGCACAACATGTAAATAATCAGGCTCTCTGAGCCGCATGTAGTCCCGCCGACCATAGTAAGAATGTTGTATCCGAACGGAATAGAGATACCGGATTCATAACAAGCAGTAATTGGCTCCATATGCTCTTCTAAAAGCCAAGGGAATACACGAGTAGAGGTCTCGTTGTTCGCGTCCTTTTTTTTTTTCTTTTTTAACCATCGAACTGTGAGACTTTAAATCCGGCCTATTCATCAATGCGATTGCTGCCATTAGGGTCTCATGGTGGAACTATGAACCTTGAAGATAGCCCCATAGAGTAAAAGCTTCAGGCTCATAGTTCTAACCATACAAACTCGACACTCTAACTATGGCTGGTGGGCCTGTACCATTGTCCTAGTGAGGTGTTTGTTTGGTTGCGGTGTTATCCATGGTTATTCCTAAGAGAGCGTTGGTGTCCACAATCGAGCGCGAAGGGATGCAGTGTCCAACCGACTAAAATTTTCCCTGGAGCCTGCCTTTGTGTTCAAGCTCCTCCGTTCAGGCAGCTGACAGAAAGTAGACATCATTTTTAATTCCGCGCTGGGCTCATTCAACTTTTGCTTTTAAGATTGGGCTGAAGGGCCCTCCAGCTTTGCAGGGTAACGAACGGAATAAGAAAGTAAGAATGCTAGTACCTGTAAGAAGACGGTGCCTGTTACTGTTTGATATGAAGATAAGAGTTCCCTTTTAAAATGGGCGACCTTGGAAGTCGACTCAATCGCCAAAAAAGGGTTTGTCATCAACTGACGAGTGCTGCACAAAGGTCGACGTGTGCGCATCGTTCTCGCGCGCCCCATTCGTTTTCGCATCTCCGGAAGCTTACAGTTGCGAATGTCCAATCGATCGTGGACATTGTGCGAACGTATATTTCTTGTCAAACCTTGTTGCAGCGGAAAGTAGACACTGTTCGTCCAACGTCCCAAAAGATTTATATTTTATTGGGATAGTACGCTGTTTCTCCATGGAGCGGAGGTATCTGGATCTTGCGGCCGTTGTACATGCTGATGTGAAAATTGATGCGCTGCGTTTCCTGCAGGGTGTGCTGAGCGTTCATTGACAGCTGCATGCCCCTGTCCTCGCCCTTTGCCTTCGCCCTTTGCCTTCGCCCTCACCCTTGCCCTCATCCCTTGCATGGTTACAGTAACACGTACAAGACGAAGACAAGGTGATACGCAATGCAGAATGTGACAAGAGGATCCAATTATGTTTAAGGTGCTCTTCCATGGAAGGTATTTTTCTCGACGTTGCCATCACATATGTCTTGGCCATGGAGACACCCGAAGTGAGCAAGAAGAAATGCACTCAAAAAAGAGTTCGCGGCCTAGATAACGAGAAGAGTGCGCTGCCATGACCCGCCGATAGACGCTTGATGCAGCTGAAGAGAAAAGGTTTGGAGAAACTAATTATGTCGGATAGAGGTCGTTTCCAAGGGGCGCTGGATGCACGTCCTCTCTTCACCGTATACAGGAGAGTGCTTCGATGAACAGGACGGAGGATTGGAAGAAGATAATTAGCCCCGCTAGAACGCGACCACTCACAGACGCGTCCGTTTCATTTGGTTGATCAGGAGCACAAGCAGTGTCCCAAGTGCCCGTAGGTGCGCTGAACTCAGCGATTGGACGACAGTTGATGCCGCCGAAAACACGACTCCGGGAAAGTACCGCGTGTATTTGAAAAGCCGAAGGACAACCAGGGCTTAACGTTCAAGAGCGTCAGCCCTCACAGTGCACCACCAATCCAAACTATGGAAAAGCCTCATAGAAAATTTGGAGGAGCTCTCGTCCCAAGCACACCCAATGTGGACATGTGGGGTGGGGCGATTATATCACACTAAAAAGGATCAGTTAGTAAGTTGGTGGCGATCCAGGTATCGGCCTAATCTGGTTGGTCAGTTGCGGTGTGCAGTGCCCAGCTTAGCGAATCGGGCGTAGTAGAGTGGACTGATGATCATCCTCATCGTCAACTCCATTCTCATCCTCAACTTCGCCCTCGTTCTTGTCCTTCTCCTCATTCTCATCCCCATTCTTAAGCACAACTTGCCTTTACAGAAAAAATGAAATTATCGCCCAATACCATGTTCAAGTTGACCAAGTACTTCTCGCGCTCCAAAAAGCCAGCCTCCAGCATAAAATCGCCCCTCCTAATACCAGAACTCTTGTTGCTCATTTTCGCCTATCTTAACCCCTTCATCATCCACAATTGTGTCCCCCTTGTCTGCCGCCAATGGTACCAGGTCTCTAGGTCCTTCGTACCAGTCGTCTGGGACGAGTTTCCGCCCAAGCACAAATTCAAGGTTCAGGATTACTGGCCAAAATGTTTGCAGCGGAGCCGGAGCTTGATCATACGCAGCCATGGTTACATACCGGGAGTGACATATATTTCAGACAGGGCATGGCGAACATTGATGGACAGGCTGCATGCGCTATCTTCGGAGGGCCAGCTCAGCATCATGGACCTCGTATTACAGCGACCACTCGCAGTCAAAACTCAATTGTTCCCGATGCTGGCCTACGTGGGAACCGCGCTAACAAGCCTACGAATCGAATCAATGAGATGCTCTGGAGATATTCCTCTTAACAGGATCTTGATAATGTGCTCGCGGCTTGTGACACTCCATCTGACGGTTGAAGACAAGGCAAGCATCGAACAAGTCCAACCAGTTTTACATGGTCCACTGCGTCTACGATATCTGGTGCTGGGGGAACTTGTGATCAAGGAAAGTAGCTTACTGGAACTCTTGAACGCATGCCCTGATCTGGAAGAGCTTCGCTTTATACGGCTGGAGGCATGGAGGAACATTTCCGAGGTGACTATTACTCCGCTTTTCAAAGTTTCCTTTTTGGAATTCATGGAGCGCCTATCAGTGCTCTGTCCCAACTTGACGAGCGCACACCTCTCAAGTGGCTACGGTAGCGGTTGGAGTAGTATCCAGGAGGCCGGTCGTATCGTCCAGACGTTGGAGTTGTTCCCAAAGATCAATGAATGGAGCTTCGATTGTCCCGACGCAACACTGTTCAAGGCACTCATGGATTGCACGCAGGATACACTCACGTCACTTGAGATCTGGAATATCATGGGGCCAAGACATGTTTGTGGACTACTCTTGCATCGGTATTTGTGCAAGACTCCACATCTGTTAGACCTCAAAGCTTCGGTCGTCAAGTTTTCAGTCCGCTGGTTTGATCTGGAGGGGATCCTGGGTACCGATGACGACCAATTCGACGAACGCGATGGCAGAAATCATAATCCCACTGTTCCTTTACGCCGAAGGATCTGGGCTTGTCGTAGCCTGCGCACTCTACACTTTACATGCGGTCCAAGCAGGAGACATGACAATGTTGCCCAGAATTCAAGAATACTTTTCGATTACCTGACCAGAGTATGCCCTCGACTGCGGGATCTAAAGATCAGGTCTACTGACAATTCCCTTACCTTGACCCTAGAAGGCGGATTCTGTCTTCTCTCGCGACTTTGCGATCTTCGCCGACTGGAGATTACGGGGCACAAGGAGAGATTGCGGTGGAAATGGCATATGGCATGGATGGTCAAACGCATGACAGTATCTCAGAGGTTACGGACGAAGATCCTGTTGGCGCGACGCAGAGGGCTTATGGAGAAAGGATCCACAGAAAAGTTAGGATCTGGCGGGTTTGATTTGCAGCAGCAGATGATAAGCAGCAATTCGGATGTGCATGGGCGTAGCGAGAGTAATGGCAATGGGATTGACCAAGAAGAGGACCCGGGGTTGGACTACATAGTCGATGGGGTGGATATGAAGAATCTAGGACGTTGGAAGAACGTTACGGATCTGCTTCAGGATCGTATGTCGAAAGACTGGTGCTGCTGGCCACAATTGGAGTGCCTCAGTTCGATATAATGATAGAGGGATTTACCCAGTAGTAGCTTCACTAAAGAAACTGGTCCCGAAATACCGACCTAACGTCGAGTTTCTCTTGAGAAGCAAGTAAAGCATTCGTGTAACGAAATAAATTTCAGTGCATGTTTTATTGCTTTGCATCTTGAGTTCAGGTACTCAGCGCAGCCATGCCCAACCGCACAAACACCGACACAAAATTATATTCCACGCGTGATATTTGGTCCTTGAATGGTGGACAGGATGCGATTGCAAGCAAAAAATTCTCGCGCAATTGCATTCCATTCATTCCACTACAAGATACGTACATTCGCAATCAAAGTCGTTGTCTCCACCACAACAGTCTCGTGATATAACACCACAAAGACAACTCACCAAGCAGCGAGTTGAATGTAGGGACTATGGTCCACACTGCCTTTACGATTATCTCAGGAACAGCATTGATATTCTCAAGTACTCATAAGAGGAAATGTGCAACATCAATCGCTGTTTCTAGTAGTTTTTTCACCCATGACGCAAGCAATGGCCCAAAGGGCTCTTTAGATACACCAGCATGGAGGTGGATCGACTATGCTACTGCCACGGAATCAGATGTTATGTCAGCTCATGTTCAAAGTTGTGAAAGTAGCATAGGTCATTGATAGATTTGCTCAACAAGACGCTGGTGACTGGGAGGGATATGGTGCCAGTAGGGGCTTTTCACAGCCTCAGGAAATAGATGGAAAGGCTGACTGTGTGGGAGTCATGGTTGAAGGTGTCGTCCACGGAGGCCGATATTAGAAAGCGGCTCCGGTATGCGTCATCTGCATATCTAAACAGGCTATTTCCAGAGCATGGTCATGTGCCAGGAATAGCTATTGTGAGTGAGCGAACGAGAGAGGGGTAATGTGAATTGTGGGGTTGGTTATACGGGTGGCCAGAGGCACCACTCACATTGGTTCCTGCTGTCAAGTAAGGAAAGAGAGGATCGTCGGATATACAATGATATAGTACAGTAGTACAAATACAAGGGGGGGGTGGGGTATAAGCCTGCTCTCGATATAAAAACTCCAGCCTTCCGTCCCTCCAGCTTCGTCTTCATTTCCTACCTCTGCCACTCTTTCACACTTCACACTTCCTACACCATTGCAAGCAACGGATCATCAACCTACCATTTAGCCAGTCAATCTCCATCCAGACGACCTATTCAATCTCGCCCAACACATTCCCGTAGTTATCTGTATCTGTCACTTTTGTCCTCCCCATTCATCTTCGACATATACCCAGAAACCTCCTAAGGATCCACCACCACTCGACTTGATTTTCACACTAATACCATGACACAGCCGTCGAGTCCTTCGAAACGGTCAAATGCCGTCGACGAGCCTGGATCTGGCAACTGTTCTGTGCTAGAGGGTAAGGCTTGGTCCGCTTTATTCTCACTTCACTCGCTTTACTTGGCTCTCCCTCTGACCGCTCAGGGGCCGGTGGTTCGCTCTTGTGAAAAAGAAAGACGACATCGGCTACCAAGGATTAGGTCATGCCTGTAGAGGGGGGCGGTGACAGGAATGAGTCGTACTACATATTGGATTTTGAGTTTCGAATAATTCCTTCATGGGATGGATGCCAGACATGTGGTTGGATGAAAATGGTGTCCTTCCTCGACTGAATGACACACAAAAAGAAAAGGAGGGCCGCAGCAGCAAAGAGCAAGACTAATATACATAGTATACATACACACGGACGAATGGCTGATGAGCCATTTGTGGGGACGACATCGTCATCCGATAAGGGCGGGGTGACCCCTTCCGTCGTGCTCTCTACACGATCGGACACGGGGATCGGAAAGCGAACTACGCACTGGTGTATCATGCGTGCAGAGCAATTGCTAATGATCGATGTCCCTGTTCAATCCCTTTGGTCGCCCCTAGTGTCGTTCAGTATCCTCAACTGCACCGTCGGGTCGGGAATTTTGGCCCTGCCTTTTGCCCTCAAGTAAGGAAAACGAAATCGAGTAGGATGTAGGGCCCCTGGAAACACAAAGACACAGGAGCACAGAGAAGCAGGATGCTAACCACGATTTGTCATTTACGCTATCGCTTCTTGCAGAGATAGCGGATTCGGACTGGGCCTTACGCTGTCAGTTGTGGTCAGTGTCTTGTGCTGGTTCGCATTGTACATCCTGATTGTAACAGGACAGCGCATTGGAGTGTACAAATATGCGGCTCTTTGTGAAGGTAGGCGATCAGGAACGATGTCTGCTCTGCAGGAGGAGGCACTAGAGATCATTCATAGAGCATCCAACTGACACCGCCGTATTTACATTATTTAGCAACCATGGGATCATTCGGCGTTTATCTGCTGAGCTCAGTTCTCTTTTTCCAGGCAGTCGGTGCCTGCATCACATATATGATCGTCATCGGAGATACCATCCCAGTCGTCCTCGAGATTGTCGGCATCAACGCAACAAGGCAGTGGACCATCTTTGTGTCGTCTTTGATCTTTGTAAGGCTCTAATTGATCCGGCATACAGGAAAAACATCTCGTGGAGACTGGATCCTTCTGCTGTTTGGCAGCAAGTACACTAGCACTCACATTTCGTGTATCATTTCGTTTCTCTTTGCAGATCTTGCCACTGCTTTTTTACAGGTCAGTCGGATCGTTGGCCAAGGCGTCGATCGTCTCAGTCGCGACTCTGCCTCCAATCCTGCTCGTAGTCGCCATCCGTGGTTTCCACTACGCTCCAGAGCATAAGCGCTCATACGAATTCGTCGGCGATAATGTGTTCCCTGCCATCGGCGTCATGGCCTTTGCTATGCTTTCAACTCAGGTGCGGAGAAAAAGAAAACGATTGCTGCAAATATACCATCTACTTTAAGCAGTTGGACGACGACGGAAGAGTGTATTAACTCGATTTATTTTCTTGACATGTCCGGAATGTAGACTGCATTTTTGAATTTTACGACCATGAAGCAGCCGACGCGAAAGGCATGGGCGCATGCGACTATTATTGCAGTCTTCCTCTCGTGGCTGGTCTCATTCGCGTTTGCGATTTTCGGGTTTATTGCGTTCGGAGTCGATGTCAAGGCCAATATCTTCAACTCTTTCCCCTTGACAGATGGACTCATCAACTTTGGACGTGGCCTGCTCGGGTTCTCCATGTTCTTGACCTTTCCGCAAGCTGTAGGTCCTATTTTTTTTCTATTGCTTTCTCATACTACTAGATTTTCTCGCTTGTATTTCTCGTATCCTTAACATTCTTGTAATGATCTCTTTCGTTAGTTCTATCCTGCTCGCACAGCTCTCCACAGTGCCTTTGGCCATGAAGACAACGTTAAAATTCCTACGGACAACCAACATCTCTATACGACCATCGGACTGTTCGTCCCTATCCTTATCTGCGGTGTATTTGTCAAGGACCTCGGACTGCTCTACCAGCTCATCGGAGGATTCTGTTCTACTTTCTTGGCCTATATCATTCCCGCTCTATGCTACTTCCTTGTGTTCTGGAAGAAGAACAGTGCTCTTGGTAGCTCCTCCAGACTGATCTCGGAGGACGAGCATGGAGAGAGCCGGTACGACGACGAGGAGGATTCTCAGGAGGATGAGGAAGAGAGGCTGCTGAAGAAGGCAGCAGCGAACAGGAAGCAGCATCATATGGGACATGAAGAAGAACAGGATGTCGCTATAACGGGAACAGCAGTGGCATCGTATGGAGCTACGGACTCTTCATCGTCATCGGCATCGGCATCCTCACAGGAGGATTTGCTGGCGACGGCGGCGCACATGAGGCAGGGTTACACGAACAATGGTAGTGAGAAAACGGATCTGTGGTTGGATATTGGTTCGGGTGTGTTGTTGGTCTTTGGAGTATTCGTCATGGTCATCTCAACGTCGCTCACTCTCAAGAAAATGCTGGGTGCTGTGTGACAAACGCTGCTCTCCTGTAGATTGTCCCTTGTACAATATAATATACAATAAGTCGACTATGGTAATAACGCAGCATGCGTTATTATTATTATTACTGTTATTACTTGTATATCCTTTCTCTGCCTTACTGGTAAAGTTTGATGAATCAAATAGACAAGGCAAGGCTTACATAAATGACCATAATTGATATGCACCGTTCCAGTCGGCGCTTCTTGACTCTCAACGAGTTGTCGGTTCAGCACGTCGAGCCACTTGAAGTCCTCTACCTATTAAAGGGCTGCGTTGGCCATGTTCTGGCCAGCGTTGTGCTTACGATCGCGCTGGAGACTGGTATTAGGGTTCAACTTGCGTGTTAAGTAGTGATTCTCACCGGTGAACGGTTAACCGACCGGTGAAAAATAAATTTCACCGGATTTCACCGCTCACTGAACTAAAATACACGAGACCGATTCTTTGTTCACTAGTGAATTGTAGTGCAATTTTCGCAATCTGCTCGAGGATACCCTGCTTGTCGTCCGGATCACATCTGCGCAGCACGGCGAGGTTCTTTGCGAACTTGCGAACGACTAGTCTCGCACACGGCTCGTGTAGTTGTTGTCTGTAACGATGACGGGGACAATCCACTGGACTCGCTGACTTTCAGCTTCTGGACCACGTCTTTTGCCTTGTACGATGTGAAAGTGTGGTTACGAAGGTCCTTTCTAAGTACGATATATATTCATTTACAGACAATAAAATCAACAAGACAAAGGCCAGACGGTACCTTATAAAGCAGTTTCCGTCTGCGCCATATTAAGGGCACTCTTCTCTGTTTGTACGCACTACATAGGTCATATAGTGCAGATGAAACGGGTCTCTCCGCGAAAGAATGATGCCAACAAAGTCTTGGCTCTGCATGGGCGTCAAGGACTGTTATACCAGTCCTCCGAACATTTATTCAGGCACAACGACGGGCTGGTAGGCTAGACTCTTTTTGTAAAATTTCTTCAAGTGTGGACAAACAATAATGCAGAGGTGCCTAGTTCTGCTGCTAGAATTGGAGGATTCTTGCTCTTTCCCTCCCCTCTCACTCTTTGTAAGAGGATCAGCATCGAACAAGCAGGGTGTCCTGCGGATCGGAGTGCTGATATCACCGTGACTAGTGCACACATCTTTGGGACAGTCAAACCCTTCGCCGCTTTCAGAGCGCGATCTTAATGGCTTCAAATGCATCATCGTGAGTGAGGTAGGTACAATTCTGGCGCTAGGCAGCCACCTTGACCCAGTTCAGCATGGAGGAACTAAAGATACCATGATCGACCAATAGGCGCGCCATGCTGCCATAAAAACCTACGCACATGTCTTCGACCGCTTTAGGGTGGATAAAAAGGAAGCGGAAGGTGTAGCTCTTAAGGGCATGGCAACGCATGGAGAACCCCGCGGCTGTATCGGTACTGTGACCACTTTCCTTTGACTTGAAAGCAAGGTGCAAACCGGTGACAGCGGTTTCTGTTGTCAACGGTATCATCCCTCTTCCCTCAGAAGGTCGTAAGCTGCTATGGCGTGTATAACAAGGTTTGGGTTTGGATTTCTTCGAAATTGTGGACTGCGCCCATTTTTACCACGACTGCAGATTTCTCGTGTGGTTATACTAACACGGAAGAAATGAAGTGCTGCAGAATATGCGCATAAACATGGACAATCCTTGGAGAGGGACGCGTGTGTCGTTGCTGACAGCCCTTTTTATCCCTCCCAGTGCTGCTGTTCGCAGCCACGACGTGTATCGACTAAGCAGTGTCGTCCATAACAAAGTGATTTTCTCAAGGAGTGGATGCAGTGCAGTCATATGTGAGCACCTGATGAAATAAGAAGAAAGCTGGAGAGGATACAGCCAGCAGTGGTTATGCTGGAATAGATAGTTTGGTCCGAGTCCAACATAATCGCGGTGTATTGTCTTTAAGGACTGTTGTATGCCCGCATACTGCCGCGAAAGAATAATATCGCTGTATGTGACCCATATGATCATCGTCGCTGTAGCCGCTTTTTCCTTGTCTCACTCGTTCTCTTTCCTTGCTGCTTATTCTTGTGTCTTTATCTCTCTTTATCCTTGTAAGTTCTCAGGTACATCATTGGGCGCTTCGATAGACGTCCTGACTGAGACACTCTTGTGGTGGCACTACTTTTGCCATGTCTCTTCTGTCTATTGCTTACTATCTATTCTATGCTTGCATGCTCATCAAAGGAGGCCTCTCTTCCTCTCTTCCTCCCATCCTCACTCTCTCACTCCCTCTCTCGCTCTCTTTGCTCCTTTGCTGTCAAGACCAGGCTATCTTACCACCAAAGTATATTTCATGTCCCGATAGGTCACCGGTCAGATATATTTTGCCACCATTATTTCCTTGCTTGTCTCTGTCCGCTGTCTCCGTGCTGTCTATCACCCACTATCTCTTTTTTCTTTCATGTGAAAGGTCCGAAAAGACTATACCAATAGGAGGCCGCTCGAAGACACTCTCTTCGTTGCAGATAGCAGCGATGACGCGCACCGTCTGTCGAGGAGGGAGTGTCTATCGAGGGCCGAATATGAAGCCCTCCTCTATTTTTCTCTCTTCTCTCTTCTCTCTTCTCTTCCTTATCTTCTCCCCGATCTTCTTCCTGGTCTTCAAGGTAAGCTCTCCTTCCTCCTCCTCTTCCACCTTTACCCCTACTCCAGCTACTTCCACTTTCACTCCCAGTCCTTTACTTCTGCTGTCTCTTGCCCTTCTTTCTCACTGCTCTCCCCCGCTGCTCTCTCCACTCTTGTCCACCTCAGTCTCGTTCATCTGCACTTCTTGTATCTCTCTCACGCACTCACTCACTCAGCGCTCCCTTGTCTCTATTGCTTCTAGCTCTCTCTCTTTCCCCTTCTCCTCCTTTGTTTACTTTTGCTTTTGCGTTTGCTTTTGCTTTTGCTTGGACTTTTGCATCTATCACTGCTCTGACTCTGGCATTTGCCTAAGCTTCCGCTTTTGCTTTTGCTTGTGCTCTGGCTTTTGCTTTCGCTTTTGCTTTTGTTTGGACTTTTGCTTTTGCTTCTGCTCCGGCGTTGCTTTTGCTTTGGCTTCGACATCTGCTTTTGCTTCTCCATCTGGCTTTGCTATTGCTTTTGCTTTTGCTTGGACTTGCGCATCTATCACTGCTCTGACTCTGGCATTTGCTTAGGCCTCGGCTTCTGCTCTTGCTTCTGCTCTTGCTTTATTACACCTCTCTAAAAAAAAGAAAAAAAGAAAAAAAGAAAGAAAAAGAAAAAGAAAAAGAAAAAGAAAAAGAAAAAGAAAAAAAAACACGAACAAGAAAAATACAATTCCCCACCCCCAAAAAAATAAGAAGGTCAAAAGCCGAACTTTTTTTCCCTTGTGGTTTTTTCTGGGGTACCATGGCTTGCAACCTGCCCGCGGTGTACCCTGCACAGTCTTTACTTTCCCAAGTAAGACTGACTGATGGCAAGCCAATCCACTTTCCTTTGTATGTATCGCTTCGAATCCCACACCTTAGTCAGCTTAGAGTCAGCAAACGTCAATGTGAAAATGAAATAAAGAGTGAGTAGAGTGAGGATTGAACCAAATGATGAAAAGATAAAAATGTGCAATAGCAAGAAAAGCCTTTGTCAGCAATATAATGAAGAGATTTGCACTTGGTGCTCGCGCTGCATTGAAGGGACATAGTGATCGACGCATATATCTGGCCCGGGCGGTGCACAGCCTCGATGGCATCACATAGATCTTGACCTCCAGAGCACCTGTGCAACATTCACATCTACCCGCAATGAAGGGACTCAGGGGCTGTTTTTTCTGGGAAAACCCATTTCTTTCACCATAATCGAACCTTCACCGCGACTCATTGACTATGAGGAGTGCGTCAGATAGTCGGTTTCGTAGTTGCTGTTCTGTTGTGGTGGTAAAAGCAGGTCCATTGGCTGAGCCAGACGCGCTTTTTCATGTGTTTTTTTGTATCCGATGTTCACCGCAAACCACCCCTGAGGGTTTTTGTCTTCGGTAGGATGTGTCCTCGCTATTTTTCTTCAAAAATTATTACGCTGGTTTTCGTGTGTCAGGCCGTCTCCATGCATTTGGTGGTGCAATATTTTACCCTTATATATTTACTTACAAGAAAGTCAACAAGACAAGTGAGATATCCTTAGTTCCAGGGCAGACGGGCACCTTATAAAGCGGTTTCCGTCTGCACCACATTAAAGGTGCTGTTTTCTGCCCGTACCTATTACATAGGTCAATATAGTGCACTAAGGAGCACCTTCACCCCGCGGAAGAGCATATCTGAATCAACTGAGGCAACCGCAACCTGGCCAGGGCGCGCTTTCGCTTTGACACCGATACAGACGTCCGTCTCCCCCGTTGCAGTGGCACACGTTCCAGCCCACCTCCTTCAACCCGGCAGTGAGACCGGTCTTTATCGTCGAATAGACCAGCTTCGCGACGGCCCAACTCCCCTTTACTTTCTGAATCGACTGAACAAGCTTCCGCTTCCGAATCCGCGAGAATAGGTTGGTGCTGTCAGAGCCTACCATCTCCTGAATCTTATTTGCCTGATCGTTCATGGCCTCCACATCCTTGCTGCTCTTGATCCTTCTCTTCTCCCGTGCCTTCGCTTTCTGCGTCGTTGGTGGACCATCAAAGTGCAGGATGGTTGCTGAACCTTGGGTAAATATCTGCAGCAATGTCTTGTGGTGCGCCTGAACGAGTCGTGTCATGACCGAATTGGATGGAATTGACAGAGTCGTGGACTGGGCGGCGCGTCGGAATGCCTCGTAAGTCACCTTCTGATGGGTTGCACGAATGTAGGAAAAATATATGTCGAGAACATCCACCTCGACCTCTCAGATCAGGGCCATATCCACGGGTGTTACCTCCACCTTCTGCTCCTCCAAATGAAGAAAGGTGCCCACCACCCCCATGTGTGCGTTCTGACAGGAGCAACAAATAGAAAGATGAACAAGTATGTAAACGAATACAGAAAAGGAGCAAGTGCAAGGGAAATGCAAGGCAGTTGAAAAAAAGACGATGAGCAGCAGGTGGAGCTGAGGTGAGGAAGAAAAAGAGAGAGAGTTGAGGTGGTGTTTGTTCGGGGAGTTGAGGTTTTCGATGGGGTTGGTGGAAAAGTGGTGGTATCAATTGATTTCTCGAAGCGCTGTGGGGTGGGCCTGACTCTGACTTGCGCTCAATCAAGTAATACTTTGAGGGCATTTTTTTGGTTACCCAGAGTCTTCTCCATAAGAAAACTTGCTGCGAGCTATTGCGATGGTGATGTCGAATAAGTCAGACTTTGCAAGCGATGCAACTTTTTTAGATCACCTTGGAGAGCTGTTGTGTAACTTGGACAGGTATGTGCTGTAGTTTATTGAACCTTAACTTCACGTTTCCTCTGCAAAGCACAGCTCGTTCATAAGCGTGTCCTCTTCAGTATCCTCCTCCCCGTCTTCCTCGCCTCCGTCTTCCTCATCATGGTCAACCAGCAACGGAGAGCAAGGGGCGACCGTCCACATTCATTGCAGTCTTATATTTCCTTTCATTATCCATTGTCCGTCTCATCAAGTCACATCATTTTGGACCTGCTATATAGTACATTTGCCAATGAGGAATCAGGTTGCCCTTCTCGAAAAGTCAAAATCCTGTCTCGCAATTTGCAGTTACAGGCGTGCGCCCTGTGATCATCGGAGAGTGCATGTTGTCTGTTTGCGTCTTTTTCTGTGCGACCTTCACTCTTACTACACTCGTCGTCCTGGCGGTCGCTGTCTATACCGTTAGAGCGACCCTAGTCGAAAAAATCAAGGAGACCAAGAATGCCAGTGCCTGCACCTGCACCCATAAATCATCTTACGAGGCCTGTTATCAAAATCTGTCAACGAGAATCTCGTAGTGCCAGGACAAGCGCAACAACAGCGGTGGCGACATTGGTGGTTATTAAAGAGCGTCTCCCGCATCTTGTTATGGCGACTACATTCATCGCCTGCGTGGTTCGGAGGGCTTCGCTGATTTCAAGTATGAGTTTTATCGCGCCAATTGCGGGAGCAACTTTCGGTCCATCTGGTCACTTACACCTGGACTACACGGACTTTGGACTGCACAATTGGTGACCACTAGATTTTACTTTACATTCCATCGTTCTTTCTTTTAGTACATCTTGCCATTAGCCCCTCGGCAATATCTATCTCCATGCTAGCAGCAGGCGCAACTCCAAGACAGGGGCTCTTGAGCTACAATGGTTCATGATGGAAGCTTCGAACAACGGCCTGGAAACGCAAAGACTACCAGAGTAAATATCACCTTTAGACATCATCGCGGAAGGATTTTTGTATGGTTAGGGATACTAATGCGGACAAAACTCAAGGTTAAGATCCACAGTGTAACGATCTGGACAATGACGGGGCAGGCTGAGGTACTCGCAGCCTGTGAGGTATGCGAGTCAATGTACGGCACATCATGAATAGGAAAGTCAGGTTAGAAGAGTGCAGGAAGCTTAAGCGATGCTCCCGTTGTTGGGTCTGAGGCCTTTGCCAAAGCTGTCAGACCATTAATCCAAACAATGCATGCGTCTATTTCTGAGAACTCAGGGGCGCTGTCAAAGAAGCCGAAGTGGCCGCAGGCTAGCAGATCTGGGTGTTGTGCGAGATATTCTTCAAGCCTGTGGTGAACCATCCTTGGTTTTGAAGGCGAGAGAAGTGGTTGAAAGGGTAGCAGCGACCGCCTACCAAAAAGAGGTGGCAAAGAACAGCACTCATCAATACTCTGACAGTTCGGCAGCACTTTTTTAAAGGAAGAAGCCAGATATTTGCACTTCCAAGTTGAATATCTGCCCCCTGCTATTAGCGACAAGTTTTTAGATATCCTCCTGGAGCCCATGCGACAGCACTCAGGCTCCTATGCTGCATGGTAACCACTGCTTTATATAAGAGACGCGTGGATCCCATGATCTCATCCAGGGCGGTTGTCAAGCCAATCAATACCGCAAACGAAACAGTCAAGCGAGTTGATGGAAAGGCTAAGGAGAGTTAGGCATCAAGAGAAGGAGGAAAGGACATGCATACCAGCAAAAGAAAAAAAAAAAGCTGTCGTCGTATTAGGCTTATGTCATGGACTCTAGGCTATCAGTGATCAACGCCTTGGTCTATATAAATAATAAATGAGTGTGCTTCGTGTTGTGATATTCGCGTCGTCTGAAATTTCGACGTGCACGTTGTTTTTGACACCAAGCATCGATGGGATTCGTTGTTTTCATACTACTCCTCCCATTTGTTATGCTCAACTTGGTGTCTAGGCTACTGACATTAAGCAAAAGGTCATTTTATAAACTTGGGGGCAGGCCCTGAACGTTGTGGACTGGTCTATGGATGCCAGAGTCGGTTCTGAATACCACCAAAAAACAGATCAACACGTCATTCAGGAATAGATATCTCATGAGTAAAGAAGTTCTTTGTTGATCTGTAACCAAAGGCTAGGAGTATGGATTTCTGCAATGGCATCAAAGATTTGATCCCGTATATGCTAAAGGACTATATAGATTCCAAACAGCAGATAACATACGTCGAGATGGTCCTAGAGGGGTTTTAGCACCGCTGTCGTTTCAGCTAGTTGCTGCACCAAGTAGCCAGAAGAATACTTACCAGAAACTCACGCCGAGCGTGAGATAGTTTGTACAGGGGAAGGGGATTCTATCTTGAGGCTTTGTCTTTCCTTGAGTATCATTACGGGGGAAAATGCAGCAGATCCTGGGGCATGTAGTCCCACGCTTGTTTCGTCTCCTGCATCAGTCTCGCTGGGCTAGCAAGTAACACCCGTCTGACTCCTGCGTCCCTTTGTTCCTGTTTTCGAGTCTCATAGTATGTGTGCATCAAATCTAGAACAGTGGTCTAGAAAAAAACAGCGCAGATATGTTAAAATGGAAGAATGAGTGAAGTAAATTATGTAATGCACAAAAACATACCCGGAACAGTAACATGGTCCAAGCTTTGCGAAAACAGTTCTACATGCGACTCCAATCTCATTACCGGGGTTCGTCTAAATCGTGTCACGTTCGTGCCCTTGAGTTCCCAGCAGAGCTGAACTTGTATTACCGGGCCTATATCAAAGGCGAAGTCAGAATTCGTAAAAAGAAACCCATGCGTGCATAGCGTGCATACCTATAAAGTGATGTGCTTACCCCCAATGACGAGTCCTGGAACGACAGCTGCTCCCCCAACCTCTTGTGTGCGATGGAGGAGAAACATCGTGCAGTTGACGTGGAAGTTTTGACGTGCTCTCAACAATGTATTTTCTGCCGAACGTATTCTATGTCTTTGCCACTTCAACGACTGCCCAGTCTTTCACTGGCTCGTTAAACGAGCGCCAAAACATATCTCCTTTCTTGCCCATCCGAGCTCGTCTTTGCTCCTTTGTACCTGGCCCCTCTGTCTCACTATTGTAAAGAATCATGTTCTGGCGTTTCTTCGACTCTACTCTAGTAACATCTCCTGGCAGCATAATGCAATCTGGAACTCCCTTCGCCAACTTTCGTACACGCCCCATGACTCGTTTTGCCATCAAGACCGACAATTTATCAGCGATGGTAAACGCGAACGGATCGTCAGCATAGATATCGAACCTGAACATGAAAAATTAGCAACCTTAAATGCTTGATAAAAAAGAAGAAAAAAGCCAAGCAAACAGTTGACTTATCAGTCCTCAAGGCAAGCGATACACAAGCAACCCTTAATCTTATCGAAAGACTGAATGTACCCCAAGGCTGAACTAGAGAAGGGTGTAACTTGTAGCCATTGTGAACAGATCTCGCGCCAATCACGCGCTTTGAACCTGCTCTCGAGCCACTTGTCGTCGACGTCGAGTGGAGCGCGCTAAGTAACAATTACAGTAAAAGATATATTGAGCAAAAAAAAAGACGGCATAGAGAATATCCAACGCAGAAATAAAGAAGCTTACTGGTATTCGGTGCAATCTCTCTACTCCTGCCGGGCGATACGCTATGCTGGCCAGCGATGGCAGATTATACCAACTTGGGGCACAGTGTAATGGGACAAGGGTGAGTGGAGCGACTTAGGGAGCCGTATAGGGCAAGTGTTGTACAAAGTATGGGGAGGAAACAGACCAGGAACCATCGGCCCTGTCGTTCTGTGTTATTTATTGTTTATTGACCAAGAAATTCCTATAAATGCATGTACAGCCTGTACTTGGTATGGTCGTATGAATGTCTGTATCTATCCCGCTCATCGAGTCATATCAAGTGATGTGCCTGATCCTTGTATCTAGCTATCCCGTTTGCACTCTATGTAGATATACCACACCACATCGCTGTCGGCTTGGAGGAAACGCGCGCATTTGCGGGCGTACAGAGGGATCGACCCTTATCCTCGATCCCCAATTAACCCCAGGCCATCGATGAAAGGCTTGAGTGAGGTGGTCGAGGGCTGCATGGCGAAATAGTTTGGGTGCCACAGGCCTGGAATGTCGTACGTTAACATACTAAGGTACATGGTTCGCGCCGTGCTAGCTTCTGAGCAGGGGGCCATGGGGGTCCCCTTACCCTAACTAAGAGAATGCTGGAGAAAACTGCTACGAGCACTTGACAAATACTTATGAATAGACGGATGTTCAAGCTAATAAAGTTAGGAAGCTCCAGAGCGGAAAGAACAAAAGGGGATAAGGTGCGTGCAGAGTACGCTCGGTGAATGACTGTGGAATAACGCGCACATATGCTAGTTCTTCTCACGCCCTCTAAACATGTGTGCGGGATGGAGCATATGTCTGAAACCATTAAGGTGGATCAGGATAGGGCGGAAGAGTAAGTAATCTTTGGGAATGATGCCGTGTCCATCTCACTTCGGCTGCTGTTTCTGCAAGGACGCCTTCATCCATTTGAAAGCAAAAACGTAGAGACGCAAGTGGAGGAAGGAAGTGATGGTAGCGAAGTGTTACAGCAAATGGATGCAGGAAAAAGAGAGCGAGAGCGAGCACGCGCGTCTATCAAGTGAAAGCAAAGGGACACATAGTATGTACAATCGACGATTCACAGCTTTTTTTATTCCGATCTTCTGAGGTTATACACTATTCCTTGTTCTCTTCTTTTTACAGTTGGATCCTCTATTCCTCTCGGGAAGCCTCGTAACCAGTGGTCTTCAGATGCGACTCGAGGTGGTCGAGGATGAATGGGTACACATCCTTGTACGCCCTGTCGCCGACAATGCAGTCCAAGTGACCATAGCCCGGAATCACCTCTCTCCTATACATCCCCTTGTAGTCGGATGCCATATTCGTCATCGGCAACAGATCCCTGAGCTTCTCAACAGTCTTCAAGGTCGACTCGGGGACGAACACCTGATTCTTTGCACCATGGATCAGGAGCACAGGGACGTTTTCAAAGGCCTTCTTCAAGTTCTCCTCCGTCACCAGATTCTTGCCCTCCGTGTCCATCAGTGTCTGCTGCTTGCACCACCCCATCACTAATCCCCTCAACGACTCAATGTTGATGGAGCCCAGGATTTCGTCCAGGTTGTCGTGGAAGTTCTTCGACAGCTTGTCGTGTTCCCAGAGTAGTCCAAAGCAGAAAGAGGCGCGGTGGCAAACAGCATTGTTGCAGTACTCGTGCAGAGGCATGGGCATGAAACGCAATGCATTATCAACCGCGCGATCCAACAGGGTCACCTTGCCCGCTGCTGGCTTGTTGGCTTCCGCTGGCTTATTGGCCTCCGCTGGCTTCGCGTCTTCATTATCCGAGGATGATGCAGAACCCGAATGAGTAACGCAATCGAACTCATCCTGTCGCAGCACCTTCTCGAACAACGGCACAAGCTGCAAGTTCTGCTTGATTCTGTTGGCGACCGTGACCAGAGGATGGGTAGCAACTTGAGAGGAAACGACGGATCCAACACCCTCGATCTCTCCGTTCAGCATACCGGCCCACAGGGTGACCGATCCAACACAGTGAGCAACAACTTGGATGTTCTTAACGCCAGTCTCTTTCAAGATGACCTTGACCGCAGCGGCATGGTCGTGGGCGCCACCATAGACGGGAGATTGGCGACGAGAGTCCTTAACAAGGACGGACATGCGCCAGTCGGACAGCCAGACGTCGTAATCGTGAGCCAAGAGGAAGTCGCAGAGGTTGTGAGGGATCAAATTGGTGGCGAATATCTCCGAGCTGACCGAGGCGCCATGCAGCTATTGTTCGATCGAATAGGCTACGTTAATTAAGACCGATCTTTCAGGAAAGACATCAACCAAGAACATTTCACAGGCTGTTTACCAGAAGAACGGGTCCCTTCTTGCCCCTGTAGCGGGTCAAGCGAGTGTGGAAGCCATCAGAGGAGACAACCTCAAACACTTGTGCTTCTGGACGCTGGCGTGGGAAGGTCTTACGAGTATGCGTATCCTCTGGATATTTGAGGTCGTTCAAGAAGGGCAAGTAAGTCTTGACGGTAGCGCTGATCGTCGACACACCAAATTCCTTGATAGCCCTCAAGTTAGCTGTAACACTGGTTGTGTCGCCCTATTGCATCAGAAACACATGCTGTTAGCGGTGGGAGGATACCTGGCAACAATAAAACAGGAGGGCCTCCATTGACTGAACTTACGCGGAGTGCCGAAATCTGGCTGAAAAAGTCGCCATCGCGCTCGCCCAGCTTGCCCCGTCCAACGACCTTTTCAGCGCCATCCTCAATCTTGTACACTGTCACAAGGATGCGTGAGGGCTTGATCCAGCCCTCCAGGACATGACCAGTTGAAATGGGCTTGCGACCCTCGAATAGGTAGCGGTCGCCAGAGGCGCAAAGAAGGATCATCTTGTACAGGATCGCGCACTCGTCCGCAGGGTCGTCCTCTGTGCCAGTGAAAACCGTAAACACACCAGTCTCGATCATCATGGGCTGGTCAGACAGGGCTCTGCAGGAAACCGTTCCGACGATCCTGGCGCGATGATCAGTCCTCTTCAAGAACTCCTCGATGGGTCCTGTAGAGAGCGTCAACACCATGTTCATGGTCGAACCAGCAGATCTGGCCTGGTTATCGGCGGTCTCAAAGTCCTCAGTCAAAATCACAGTCGAAAGGTGTCCCTTAAGTAACTCTGTGAAGCTGACTCCTGCCTTCTTTTTCAGCTCCGCCTTCTCAGACGACTTGCCCCAGGACGAGAAAACAGAGGGAAGTACTCTGCTTGGTTTAGCCCCGTCATCAGAATCGCTTGAAGAGTCGCTGCTGTCACCAGGGAAGTGCTCCGTGACAATCAGACCACGAACTTCGCCCTCCGCTTCTGCAACGTCCTTCAGGGCCGACTTTCTGAGCTTTTGCGCCCACGCATAAGCTTCCGTCTCGTGTTCGTTGTACGGAATGGGGAACTGCGGCGTCTTAAAATCGATAGGCTGCGTGGTGGGTTCATACTTGATTGTCCAGCCGCGATCGCGGGCCAACAGAGTACATGCGCGTTCTGCAAGGGCTGAGATAGTCAAGAAGGGGTTGACACCCAAGGACATAGGCATGACAGCGCCATCCATAACATAGAAGCCTTCGTAAACCTCGTCGCCCTGACCGGCAAAGACCTGACCCTTGTGGTTGATGACGCCTTCAGCGCCCGTACGACCGATACTGCAGCCTCCGATAGGATGGACAGTGACCACAGCATCCTCTGTGGCCGAAGTCAATGGGTCACGAACATAGGTTCCGCGAACAGCCTCCGCCAAGGTCTCCAACAGCGGATCAAGTCGCGAAAAGTTGCGGGTGGTCCCAATGCCGGGCCAGTTGATACGAACGCGATCGTCCTGAAGGCTCAATTCACCGCGAGCTTCATCGTGAGACATGACTAAAAATGTCTGTGTGTTGGCCATGGCTCCTCTATACACGCCAGCGACATAAGACGACAGCTCGCGTGCGTTTCTACCAATCTTTTCCTGGAAGGATAAATCCTGGGCGGTCTTGATCGACTTGCTTGATTTCTCGCTCATGAACTGGTAGATGGTTCTCAGGAGCAGTGCAGCCTGGGCAGGGATAGCACCTTCCTCGACCACATATCCATCCATGACATTGGGTGTGTCGCGGTAGTCGATGAGCCCTGTGATGACGGGGCCGACCTTGTTCTCGAACTTCTTGGGGTCTTCATCTCCCATTGAAACTCCGTTGACGAGGGTCTCGCCATTATAGGAAAATGCAAGGAACTATAAGATATTTAAGGAATAAGGAACCCAAGGAGATGATTGAGTATACAAAGGTTGGTTTTCACATGGGATGCGATGGATGTGAAAAAAATGTCGGCTCAGGAACCGCCACAGCCTAAGGATGCTCCTTGTAGGAACAACATGCGCAGGCTGTGGGAAAATAACAAACAATTGTGTTCAGCGTGACCAGATGCGTCTACATACGTCGCCGTTTCCGCTAAAGCGCTTGCCCAGTTGATCCGATGTCTGCAGTCCAGACCTATTTGACCGTAACAAGATCTCCGTTGACCCCAATGCTCCGGCTCCAAGAACAACGATATCGGCTGTGACGAACATGGGTGCGATGGAGGACCCATGTCCGTGCAAGAAGACCTCACGATTCGGCTCCTGCCACTCAAAATAGACGACATAGGGCGCCGGCTGGTTAGGTTTCGTGTTAGATCTCTCGACACGGACGACATTGCAGCAGGTGAAGATCTCGGCGCCGTGGTTCCATGCGTCAGGGATATAGTTCATGAGGGTGGTGTTTTTGCTCCAGTCGTTGATTCCTGTGGTGTCGTTACCCGTGAGGGTGCTTGGCTTTTGGAAGACTCCCGCGGGGTTGAGCGCTTCCCTGAAGTGCACGGTGATTGGTGGACGCACAAACTTGTCGTGGACTCCTGCGCCCTTGGCCTGGGCCTCCAGGGTGGCGAGCTTTGGCAGGACAGGCCAATCCTCTGGGTAGGGAGTCGGCTGCAGCATGTCAATAGCATGTTGAAACGACTGCTCCAGGAGCTCTTTATCCTTGTTGATCTCCTCGGGCCACGCATCCTGGTCCCAGATGCGCGGCTCGGGCCTGAGGGCTGTGTTGGCGTTCAACAGCGATGTTCCTCCGAGACTAGAGCAGGCATCAAGCCAATTGGGTAAGTAAGACACCAGTAAGCATATACATTTTGAGAGAGAGGTGTTCATTCAACTCACCCGCAGGCGACGAATGCCCATTGGTCCTTGTTCTTGTGGATTTCGTAGAGACCCGTCTTCTTGCCCTCATGACCATGCTCGCCATTGAACTGAACCTCGGATGCAGCCTTGAGGGTGTCCTCGGGGTACTCGCCAGGCCAACGCTCCTCGCCTCGCTCGAGAATACAAACACGTTTGCCAGCACGGGCGAGACGCGAGGCAGCAATTGAGGCACCGTAGCCGGATCCGACAACGATAACATCGTAATGGCTCTTGAGCTTTGTCAAGGGGAGGCTGAGCCTTGGGGGGCGGTTCTTGTGGCCAGGCATGTCTCCAGGGGTATATGATTTTATTTTAATGCAAGTACCAGAAAAAAGAAATAGAGAAACGAATGAGGAGGAAGACAATGAGAGGATGGGATGAGGAAGGAGGGAAAAGACGGTACCATGCGCAAGAGTATTTAATGTCACCACGATGTCCAGCCTCACCAACCCAGCCCAGCCAGCCTGGTCTTTTACCCGTTGCTCTCAAGCGCAAGTGCACGTTCTAGGGTTTCCACAGCGCTTCCCGTTATTCCGTGTGCTTATGCGATTTGTTTGTCCTTCAGTGAGTGGAATTTCACTGGGAACTGCCCCGAGGAGAAAAATAAAGAGTGCATGGGTGGGGATATCAATTGACCACCTGGTTCGCAGGGTAGCATGTGAATGGAAGGTCTACCTATCTCTACCTCTCCTTTACTCCCATTGCCTGCATGGACAAACGCCTAGAATCGCCACAAATGGCTCGGCTGTAGTCTATTGGCATGCGTTATTTTATATCCTGGAAGGAACACGTCAAAAAGAGACGACGCCTCGAGACACTGTTCTCATAGTTGTCCTAGATCTTCACCAGGCTCGTCCTCGTCGCCGCTGAACCCGCAACAGTCTTCAAAACCGTCGTAACCAGGTTCCTCCGCCAATATGAGCAGATGATACGATTTGTCGGTCGTGATCCCGCGTTGATTCAGCCATTCAGACAGCTTACGCGAAAGAAGATATTTGTCGTATGAATCTTCATAAATGGCTAGAAGGCATCCACCACCAAGCCTCTTCAGTCGCTTCCAGCGCTCTACCATCCAGACCAGTTCCTTCATGCACACCTCATATCTGCCACCCCAGAAGCCGACCTCCTTCAGGTTCGTCAACCCCGCCAACAGATCCAGACCTGCTCTCAACCGCATCGGAAGCGGCACCAGAAGGTGTCGTAAGCGCCGAGGGCTCCCAGAGTCATAGGACGTACACGCCTGGTAAAATGTAGCCAGCATATCCAGCACCTGCAACTGTTTGAATATCGCTAGTCTTTTGTACACTGCTCGGCACAGCTGCAGCTCCTCCACCGTGAATCGTCGAAAGGGTCCGTTATCCCGAAATTCCATATCAATACAGATCTGCCATTTTTGCAGACCCTTGCAGGCCCACGGCCTCGAGTTCAAGATATCCTGTGCAGTAATAATCCTTGCAGTGGTCTTCTTCAGTCCCGGACAGAAGTTGAGGACCTCGATCGCCCACCTCTCGTGGCGTTCAGTGGAATATAGAAGGTCAACGAATTCCAGTGTCGCAAAGTGTCGCGTCCTTAGCACATCGAACGTCTCAAGTGAGACTGTATAGTGCTCGACTTCGAGCCGACGCAGAGGCCGCGGGGATGACTGTAAGAGTTCACGGTGGTTTGTATCAAGTACCCTAGCAATTTTGGTCCTGATTCTGATCGAAGTGAGTTCCGGTCACGTCGAGGCCTTAAAAAGGTTGCCGAAGTCGTCGATGGTGTACAATGACTTGTGAAACCTCCAGTAGAGGGTCCGGAGGACAGGGCATTGGCGGATCAGTAATTCGAGCTGTCGTCTGGGGTGAGTATTTATTCCGCGAAGACTGAGCTCCTGCAGTCTTGGAAGCCGCTTAGCAGTCGCATCTGCTCCGTTGATACGTCTTTGCGGCATCGACAGGTCGAACTCGGTCGATTCCAGCTCCAGGACCTCCAGCCGAGCAAAGACTGTCCAGAGCGTCTTGAAATGTCCCCCTGGATCTGACATTGCTTCGGACGTAATGTCCTCAAGTTCCAGCTTCCTGTACAACTCAGGATAGGTGCCCACATAAGGTGTCCGCGTGGCGCTGTGTTCGGCTCATCTATTCAATCGACCAGTGCAAGAGACTGCAGGTGAGGCTGGTTTTGAGAAAGCATTTTCCTGCAATTCTCCCAGTAAATAGCCCCGCTCTTCTCGTCCTTAAGCGACAAGCCCGCCAGAGTGATCGACTCGAGCCGATGGCAGATCGCGCCGAACTGTAATGGAAGACCGGAGTCATGTTTATGGATCGATAGGGACTGAACCAGGGGCGCGATCCTTGAAAGTGTGCTCAGCAACTCATTTTGATGTTGATGATCCTGGTTATCACGGTTCGGAGAGGGGTCATCGCTGTCCTGATAGTGGTCTTTGACAGGCAGGGCTTTATAAGTGAGGCTGGTGGGTATAGATCTTGCAAACGGCTTATCGCGATCGTCCAGTTTTTGGGTCAATCCGAAATGTAGATCTTGCCAGACAAGGGGCCCAAGGGAATAATGAATCGACCTGGAGACGGCAGAGAAGGCAAGCATGTCCTTGGCATCCAAGTAGCTTCCTATCAAGAGGATGATATCGCACAGTTCAAGTACGTGAAGCCTTGGCGACGCCGCCGGATTGGACTCGATGCTGTTGTGAGTGGACATTGAGAGGCAAAGGAGAAGGAGAAGGCGTGAGCACTTATGTATGGTGTTTACTGCGGTTGTGGACTGGACCCCATCAGCTCAATATATGACACATCGTTTCCTTCGGCTGCGCCCCTACACTGCGGGCGGAAGTCGTTCACACTACCAATACTTTAGGCTACTTTTTTCTTTTGTTTCCTGAATAAATACAAAAACCCCCCGCCTACCTTTTGTTCCTTATTCTGCACATGATATGCCTGCCTCACGCATCTCCATATTCGACATTCCACTCGTGGTCGAGGCAATATGCGACCACCTCACCACAAAGGATATCTGGCGTTGCTATCGCGTGAACAAGTCCTGGAGCGATCTCTTCAGTCCCCACCGCTGCAAGCATATCCAGTTCTTGGACCTAGACTCAACACAGACCTGGTACATCCTCAACAACGCTCATCATATTCGGGAACTCAAAGTCGACCTCGCAGATGCCACTGATCTTCTCAACAGTTCATGCACGCGGCTGGAAAAGCTATCCTGTGTCAACTTCGGATACATGACCTGGCCATCCACAGTCCATCAGGACGAGTGGGCCTTGGATTTTACCCCTCGCTGGATAGACCTTGAACCATCTATAAATGCCCTCTCGCTAATCAAGATGAACCCGCGACTGAGGGAGTTGAACATCTTGTGGTACCCTGCCATAGGAATCCCTGTACGACCATTCACTCCCACAGTACTCAGCGCCCTCTCCAGTCACCGATTTCTGCGGAGTATGTCTATCAGCTTACGGTCAACGCACAAAGAACTCGTCGCACTCTTGACACATTGCCCGCCTCATTTGGAAGAGCTCGAACTCCAATGTAAGGTATCTTATCCTTTTGGAGAGGAAGGACAGCACATCCCGTTAGTGCTCTCAGGACCAACGAATCTTCGATGTCTTATTGTTCGGGATACATTTATCAGAGACCAACCGAATATCTTCTCGACACTGCTCAAGTACTGCCCCTTGCTCGAGAAAGTCGAGCTACCACAGGCGGAGGGCTCAACGTATCGCGACTTTATCAACATACTGGTAGAGCACTGCCCGAAACTACAGTCCTTCCACCAAGGTATGACGCACAGCCTCATCGCGAGTAGTGATGCAGCCAGACTACTGAATGGATACCCGAATGGACTACGCGAGGTCAAGCTAAACGTGTATATCTCCGACGGGGATCCAACCTCGAGATCTCAGGAAGGCCTTATGAGACCGCTTGCGGCATATTATTTCAACGTACTTGAAGTCCTGAGATTACAAGTGAGAATGGGCCCAATCTCTGCTAGAATCGTATCCCTTCTAGGACTGTGTCCGAGACTAAGGGTACTGGAAGTCATAGGCAATATTACTATGTTGGACGAGATTGTCTCGAAAGAACGCTGGAAGGTATTAATGGCTCGGTTGGATGGGGCGATAGATTCAACAGCAGATGCGCAGACAGAGTTACTTCCCTGGGTCTGCAGTAGACTCGAGTCCCTGATGCTACACATCGCCAAGCCCTCAATCAAGCGCATCGGTACAGTCATGCTTCAGAAGCATCCGATGACCGAGGATGCCATTGAGGAGGTCAGCATTTCGACGATATTTCAGGCTGGTTTGTTCTGTCAAACACTGAAGTCCTTGAGGTGCTTGACAAATCTGGAGCTAACCTGGGAAGCTTCCATTGTTGAGGCAGTTGGGATGATACCATACGATCGGGGGTCCTTATATATGGAGCGAGTTGGACTGCCGCGAGTATCGCAGAAAGACATGCTATGGATGGGCATAGAATGGTCTACTGTGACCGATCGTTGATGGATGGAGGATAGCGAGCGGATATGTCAAATCGCCCTCAAAGAGCGAACGAAGAACGAACGTTTAAAGGAGCACAGTTCTTGCTGCGGTGGTACACTTGTGGACACGGATGATGTGGAAGCCAACGTGGAATGGTGTCCTAATCATAAGACACCTAATAGAACCCGGAAGTTATATGCGCGTAGGTCGCAGAGGAATACTCGAGAGTAGTTCGAGACGCAACCAAGGTAGCTTGCCATCATAAAATTCACTTGAAGAGCAAACACTTGAGAGGATCGTTGAAGCTTTTTTTCCTTGGGAATGATAGACGCATTATCGGTTACTCCGCCCACGTTGACAAGTGAGCTGCATCACCTGACCTGGAAGGCCATGGAGTTCAACCTGCTTTGAAGCGGGCCGCATGGTCTTTGAATACAACAACGACAAGCTCAAGCAAGCACTCAGATCAATGGATGCCCTCGCAGCCTACGGATCTGACTCGGAAGAGTCAGGTACAGAATTGGCCCCCATCTCGGCTAGTACTCTTGCATCAACCTCAAGTCCAGCTGCTTCAAAAGCGTCAGCGCAGGGTTCAAAGATCAACTCACTTTCTAACATGCTGCCTCCACCGAAAGCGCAAACCAGCAGTACATCAACCATGAAAATCCAGCCCTCATCAGGATCAGCATCAGCTGCACCAAAGACAAGCAAGTACCACACACTTCCAACCCTCGAGTCTGATTCGGACTCTGACGAAGAAGAATCAGCTTTTAGGAAAAAGGCCAAGTTGGCCGAGGCATCCAAGAAAGCAGGTGGAGGAGTCGGTGCCTTGTTTGCGATGCTTCCAGCGCCCAAGAGTGCCGCTGCAGCGTCTTCGTCAACATCCTCAGGAAAGCCGGCTGCAGCGAAGCCGGGATTCATGCCTAGGACAGTCAAGAAACCAGTACCAGCAGCAACGCAGGCAAAGAAACCTACGGCTAGTGTCACCGATGCCAAGGGAGAGGGCACTGATCAGGATGATGATGAGGATGATGATGAGGAACCGGCTCCATTCTTTCCTCTGGGAGCAGCGGCAACAGCGACAACATCGGCTTCTTCGACAGGAAAGGCAGCCTCAAGCACATATATCCCGCTGTTCTTTGACAGGAAGCCGTTGACTACGCAGGAACGACAGGCACAGCAGGAGACTGTTGTGGATATGTCGACAACGAACGAACAGTATGCATATCCGAACAATGAGCAGTATGCTTATAATGAGCAATACGCATACCCGACGAATGATCAGTACGCCTATGCAACCAACGACCAGTATGCCTATCCTACTGATGATGCGTATACAACAGAAGGCTACGGAGTGGATGCCTATGCACAAGAAGCACAAGGAGGGAGCAGTGGTTCCAACAGGATTGAGCTAGACGATGCCGCGGTAAGCAAGGATACTCAAATCTGCTGCGGATAATACTAACTGTATGGCATATTTCTTAGATGCGATTGGAATCCACTCATGTATGTTGTTTTCTCACAATTATAGCTGCACAAACTGGGCATGAGGAAGGCAAGGGATGTCCCCATCAATGTTATCGATGTCTCTGCAAGGGACCAAATGAGCCAAGCCCAACATGTGCGACAGGCCATGAGCGCGAGCAATAGTCAGCCCAAGCCCGTCGATCTGGCCTCGATCAAGGTAACGTCCTCAACACTTTTGTTCGCTCTGCGTTGAGATTGATGTGATCTTTAGAAAACTAATAGCTGCTGTCGTCCTGTTAAACTGTGTAGCATCTAAAACCAACGGCTGCCTTGAAGCGCAAGCACAATATCATGTCCCTGGCATATGAGGCCAAGGCTAACGAGGCGCAACTGAATGCTTCTTGGGCGGCAAGTCGTCGAACGAAAGCAGAGACGCAATCGAAATACGGATTTTGAGTCGTCCTTTTCGCTCTTGTACATTAGTAGTTAGAAATAATAATAAAAAAAAAATGAAACTCGTTAAAACTTCAGCACATGGATGACAAACCAAAGTGTAGTTTGATGCATTATGCCATTACTACAAGAAGGCTGCTCTGCAAGATGTGCCAAAGCTTTTCAGGCCCTTTTATTTTTAATCTTCAGCCAGAACTTGGCCCAAGGGTCAATATTTATTAATTTGATGAGGTCAAAAATATCGCGTATTTTCGGAAAAACAATGTCCATTGAATGTGAGAATGCGATCCCTACTGGCGATGTATCTACCAGTCGTCGCTGTCGTCCTGCAAGTTGGTTACTGCACCGACCGCAAAGATGGCCAGGTTACTCGTCAAGTGCATGCCGAGGCCAGTATACAATCCGCGGATAGCCCAGGTTCCATACCACGGCGTCTTTACATCCTTCTCACCACCATCCTCGTCGACCTGCTTCTTCGAGCGCCCCCTACGCTGTCCTCCTTCCTCCTGAATAATTCTGTACACACAATCCATGATGCCGGCATAGGGTCTCTTCCTGGTCTCGACCACGGTCTCGTATCTCTTTCCAGGGATCTTTGCCTGGATCTGGATCTGGAGACGCTTGCGGATAGTTTCGATCGGCAAGCGGATCAAAAGATCGAGTGTGTCCAGACCCAGTTCTGCAACTGCATAAAGCACCGGTGAGTCTGCCGCAGAGATGCCGAAGATGCGATCGATGATAAGTGGGATCGAGTTTGACAAGAGCGGTGTGATTGTGTGATAGAGAATCGTGGGAAAGAGGTTGACACCTCCCCAAAGAGCAATGAATCCTTCCTCTGAGACAATAGTCGAGATGCAGTTGAGCATACCGGTGTACTTTCGCTGCTTAGGATCCGAGGTCTGAACAACAAGACTAGAGTTGAATGCAGAGGAGAGGTACATTGTTTAGTAGAGCAAAACCATGAGGCAGTCCGTTGCAATACCGACATGTTAAAGTGTTGCCTACCGAGTGCGGACGAGCTCCAAAGGCGAGAGAATGAATCCGACGACGAGATGGGAGGTGACCATTGTTGCGATGTTGGGACCGACTCTGTCCAAATGGACGAGTGGGATCGTATCATCGTACAGATCAAACGTGTCGTTCAAGGTCGCTTCCAGAGTCGGCTGAGCAAAGAGGTGCAAGATCTCATACACCCAGTTTGTGTATTGTCCCTTCCAAAGAGAAAGGTATCCCTCAGTGGGGTGGTAGGCCAATGCCTTCACTACCTGCCACACGCCCTCCTCTTGGGGTGGCAGCTGGAAGGCGGGTCTCGAGCTGTCGTCATATACATTGGTTCGAATCAAGTATCCTGACTGATCAAAGTCCCTACGCTCCCGGAAGACGACTGAGCTGGGATCTAGCTTATTGACATTTGAGCGAGGCGAAGGAAAATGGTCGTGACGGGTACTACTCGAGTAGTATCCTCCTGATCCCGATCCGTCATTAAGATACTCTTCCTCGTCCATTTCCTCCTGCATCCGGCGAAACTCTTCATCACGTCGCTCCTAATTTTCATTAGAGAAGGGCTCAATTAAACATGACGAGTTGACACTATCCATCGCAGACGAAAGAGAAGGCACGCGAGGACATGTTGATCTTATGGTACCTGCTCTGCGAGATCTTCATTGTTAATGCTCGGATCGGAAGTGTTATTGGGCATATACTGGACTTGCAGCAACGTCTGTCCTGCCTCGAAGGGCGCAGCTATCGCGAGCGTTAGGTACTTGATCAGGCCATAGTTGAGGAGCTCCTTGGCAGCAGCCTGTGTGGTGACATCGTGTGAGGCAGCCAGGTCGTGTTCGAGCTGGGAAGCGTCTTGGTAGTAGGACTGCAGGGGAGAGTCCAAGGGTGAGCCATAGAAGGGCCGTAGAGGACTGGTGCTGCTGTTGGCGTTGGGGACACCGCCAGGGGAAGGAAAGTTGAAGTTGGATGCCATTGGTTTGCGGCGGGGCTGAATGAGGACGGAAGGAAGACCGATCGTGACAGGGCTGGACGCGGGTTCAAGCCGTTTTAGATTCGATATGTAGTCTGTCTAATTTGGTGGCAGACTCGAGAAAGTTTTTTTTTTTTTCTGCGAGTGATATTACAATTCCTCTTCTTTACCCCTTCCACCTCCTCACATCATCATGGCACCATTCGCAAAGCCGGAATCCGTGCTTCGCAGAGCCGATGGTAATAAAGCAGACCCCACCCCATCCTCCATCCTCCTCCCTTCCTCCCGTTCAACGCGTGTACACCTTTTACCTGGAGCCAGCACACAGATCGCACCACCCCCAGAGCAGATCCGATCGAGCTCACGTTTAAAGTTCACTGCTGGATACCACTCCACCACTCCACTACGACAAAAGGAAAACATCCGCTGACTGGCTACTTCGCCGCCTATCCATCGATACAATCCTGCCATACATCCACCTATCCACCTATCCATCGATCCATATATCCCGCCATCAAGCCCACCATCCATCGCCCAACATGACCCTGCGCCCTGAACGACCTTTTTGGCCAGCTTGGATGTTACATGGTGCTTCCAGGAACACACAGACCAGCACCCGCCAGTGCATACCCGATCTGATGTCTTCCTCGGCCAGTCAGCACCTCGTCCACATCAGGACCCAACACTGTTCTCACACCTGCACGTCGCTTCTGAATGAATCCTTGTAATAGAGCTCATCGCTGTCGGTCAGAATGCCGCAGCCCTCGAGGCCCTCCATGACGTGATCATCTCAAAGAGATCCCGCAGTGTCCCCCTGGCATCCCTGGAGCCAATCATGCTCAAGTTCGTTGAGCTCTGCGTCTCGCTCCGTAAGGGCAAGATCGCCAAGGAGGGTCTCCATCAGTACAAGAACATTTCCCAGAACACCAGTATCGCCACTATTGAGGTATATAAAAAAAGAAAGCGCGACCATAGAAGAAAGTGTCCTGTTGTTTTGTTGCTTTGTTGCTTTGTTTGGAAATAGCGCGCTAACCCTCCGACGCCATGGCTGTATACGCGACAAAACAAACTAGCTGGTCATCAGAAAGTTCATCCAGCTCTCGGAGGAGAAGGTCCAGGAGGCTCAGGCCAAGGCCGATCAAATCACCCTGGACGGCCTGGACGATCTAGAGGCGACCGAAACCCCCGAGTCGATCCTCCTCAGCACCGTCTCTGGCGAGCAGAACAAGGACCGCACCGACCGCGCCGTCGTTACCCCCTGGCTCAAGTTCCTCTGGGAGGCCTACAGGACCGTCCTGGACATTCTCAGGAACAACGCCCGTCTCGAGGCCCTTTACCAGACCACTGCCCATCAGGCCTTCCAGTTCTGCTTGAAGTACACTCGCAAGACCGAGTTCCGCCGCCTCTGCGACCTCCTCCGTAACCATTTGCAGAACATTGCCAAGTACGCCCACCAGCCTCACTCCATCAACCTGAACGAGCCCGAGTCGCTCCAGCGCCACTTGGACACCCGCTTCCAGCAGCTGAATGGTGCCGCTGAGCTTGAGCTCTGGCAGGAGGCCTTTCGCTCGGTCGAGGATATTCACAACCTGATGACCATGTCCAAGAAGATGCCCAAGCCCTTTATGATGGCCAACTACTACGAGAAGCTGACCAAGATCTTCATGGTCTCGGACAATTACCTCTTCCATGCTGCTGCCTGGAACAAGTACTACACCCTCGTCAAGACCCAGAACAAGTCTGTCACCGATGAGGAGCAGACCCGCATGGCCTCCTTGGCCTTGTTGTCCGCCTTGGCCATCCCTGTCATTTCTTCCAAGGACAACGGTTATGAGGTCGACGAATCCAAGAACAAGTCTCATCGCCTTGCCGCCCTCTTGGGTCTCAGTCGTTCCCCCAACCGTGCTGGTCTTTTGAAGGAGGCCCTCAGCAAGAACATTCTCAGGCATGTTCGCCCTGAGCTCCGCGAGTTGTATAACATTCTCGAGGTCCAGTTCCATCCTCTCTCTATCTGCAAGAAGATCGAACCCATCATGAACAAGCTGACTGAGGACCCCGAGCTTGTCAAGTACGTCAAGCCTCTCCATCAGGTCATTTTGACCCGTCTCTTCCAGCAGCTTTCTCAGGTTTACACCACCGTCAAGTTGGACTTTGTCATTCAGCTTGCCTCGTTCGCTGCCCCTTTCAACTACGATTCTGCTACAATTGAAAAATTCATTATGAAGGGATGCAAGAAGGGCGAACTCTCGATCCGTATTGACCACGCCACCCAGTCTTTGACCTTCGAGACCGATTTGTTTGCTTCCGACAGCAAGACTGTGACTGACGGACCCGTCTTGCAGTCCTTGCCCTCTGATCTCATGAGGACTCAGCTCACCCGCCTTGCCACCTGCCTTAACACCACTGTCTCTATGATCTCACCCGACGTTGTCGAAGCGAAGAAGGAGGCCAAGAAGGCTGCTTTCGTCAAGGCTTTGGCCAGTATGAAGGAGGAGCACAAGCTTGCCCTTGAACGCAAGGCCATCATCGAGCGCAAGAAGGAGTTGATCGAGACTATGTTGGCTCGCAAGGAGAAGGAGGAGGCCCGCGAGAAGGCCCTCCGTCTCCAGGCTGAGCAGGAGGCTCTCAAGATCCGCCTGGCAGAGGAACGTCGCAAGCGCGAGGAGGAGCGTATCCGTGCTGAGCAGGAGGCTATTCGCAAGAACGAGTCACTCAAGTTGGCCGAATCCCTCAAGAACAAGGCCGGTGTCGATCTCAACGACGAGGATCTCGAGAACTTGGATAAGGACAAGTTGGTTGCTATCCAGATCAAACAGCTGGAGAAGGAGAAGAGTGAGATGGCTGCACGTACCAAGGCCATTGGCAAGCGTCTGGATCATGTCGAGCGTGCCATGCGTCTGGAAGAGCGTCCCCTCTTGGCCAAGGATTACGAGCGTCAGCAGAGAGCGGACCGCGTTTATCATGATGCTGCTGTCAAGGCTCAACGCGAGGCTGCTGCTACCAAGCACGCCCATGAGTTGGAGCTCAAGAAGCGCATGGTCAAGATCCTGGATGATTACCGCCAAGTCCGTCACGATATGGAGGAGAAGCGTCAGGAAGAATTTGCTCAGAAGCGCGAGGCTGCCCGTCTCAAGATCGAGGAGGAGAAGCAGAGGCGTATTCTGTGGTTCAGAGAGCATAAGGCTGAGCTCGAGCGTCGCAAGGCTCAAGAGGAAGAGGAGAGGATCGAGCGTGAGGCTGAGGCTGCTCGTCGTGCTGCCGAGGAGGAAAAGAGACGCGTTGAGCGTGAGGCCCAGGCTGCCAAGGAGAAGGAGGAGTACGAGGAGAGGAGACTCCAGTTGGATGCTATCGCTGCCAAGCAACGCGAGAAGGAAGCTCAGATCGAGGCCCGTCTCAGCGGCGCAAGAGCCGGATCGGCCGCACCTGTCGTACCTCCCAAGCTTGTACCATCACCATCTGGAGGGGAGAAGCCCAACTGGAGAGAGCGCTTGGCTGCCAAGGAAGCTGCAGCTGCAGCTGGTGAGATCCCTGCCCCCGCTCCCTCGACCAGTGCCTACCGTCCCCCTGGTGCTCGTGGATCGGAGCCACCCCGTCGCGATTCACCTCGCGATTTTGGACGCGACTCTCCTCGCGATTCTCCTCGCGATTCTCCTCGCGATTCTCCTCGCGATTTTGGACGCGACTCTCCTCGTGATTCACCTCGCGATTCACCTCGCAGTTTTGGACGTGAATCTCCCCGCGAGGCTCCTCGCGAGGCTCCTCGCTCGGAAGAGCCGTCAACTGTCCGTCCCCCATTGTTCGGTAAGGCTGGCGGTGGATGGAGAGAGCGTGAGGCCAAGAAAAATGAACAGAACCAGTAATCAGCGGTCAAAGATGTGTTCACTGTCCTATCACCACATTACTACAATAAAATGACCAACCTACAAACACTTGGATTATGCAGAAGATATGGTGTTGGGCGAAGTCAAATACACCCTTATTTAAGGTTATCAAGATCCAAGAAATCGCGATTGGGCACTGCCAGCAATGTGGCAACATTTTATATAAATGTGAAAAGACGCGCTTTGCTTCCCCACGCCTATGTTCTCTTACTCACTCGTCTCTATTTGCACAGAATACTGAATCGATATGCGCTGAAGCCGCTCTTTAAAAGGCCCTATTGGTGCGCTGTCTTTCTGCTGCAAATGCCTCTCACTATACGCGTGGTTTATTCCGCTGCATCTTATCTGCACCAACTGACTCTCCATTGTCTAAACGCTCGAACTCTTAAGCCTCCGCGAGGTGGGGAACATATCCTTGCAACAGGGAAACCATTCGCCATCCCAGCTCATGACCTAGAATAATATTATATACATGTGGATTTTGTGAGTACTCCTCCCTTTGTGAAACAAAGAAAAGATGTGGTTTGCGTCCAACAAGGCAGGTCTTGCATATGTACATGTATGGTGAAGATGAAGAAATGACTTTTCAGGAACATCCATCTACAAGCAAGAGTTGGAAGAAGAATTGGATATGGTGAGCATTGTTTGATGCAGGTAACAAGTGAATCCATTTGTCAGGCTATGCATCCAGATGAGGCAAAGGGAGGGGTAGACGTTTCCATTACACTACTGTTTCCATCGCAAGCTCGAATGATTGGAGCCAGCTGCTTCAGTCCCTAGAATAAAGCAGGGGTTCAATTGCGCTGTGGCACACAATCCCGCTGGCTTACACACCACACGCATACACACAACGCATACAGGCAAATAAGGAGGTTGTTGGAGAATATTGCGGAGAGAGATGTACGGAAAATACCATTTATGTTGTCTCTGTTTAAAACGCAGCACCTTTTGCTTGCGATGGGGATGAGGGGCAGAGAGCGTCCAGAACTGGAGTTATCAATTCTTTAAATCACGGCTTGTGTACTTCCCTGACAAATGTCAAGGCGCATGGTCGGCTTTTGTTTTAGGACCATTATCGTAATAATACGAGGAGGCGCTTAAATAATTGATGAGGAAACAAGGTCTCGTTCACGCGAGCGAGAGAAAAATAAAAATAAATAGACGCGACGGACCACATAGTGCGGAGACATATCTACGAAAAGGGAAAACGGAGCCCGATAGAGATGAAACAGGCGAGGGCCCAACAAAACGGGTCAGCTAAACCGCCGAGATATTCTTTGCACGCCTGAACAAAGCGCCTCCATACCGCTGCACCCTTCGTCTCCTCATTACGGGAGCCGCCTTGCTGCTATTCCGTTTTTCTGTCCCATTTCCTTTTGTAGCCATTCGAAGGAGGATGGGCTCTTTGATTAGGATCAACGGTCCTAATCGAAGGATATGAGTTGGATCGCACCACTGAGCAAACAGGAAAAACAATCCGACGTGTCGAGCAATCCAATGGTTTCTAGCCCGACAAGTCGCGCATTGACACGCCTCCCAGTCTCTGGAGTGTGTGGGGGCAAGAAGGAAGGGGAGGAGGCGCGTAAGGGTCCATCTGGAAAAGACCGTCCATCCAAAAAAGGACGTCCATCCTAAAAAAAAAAAAGGGCCAATAGGGAATAGAGGGAATAGAGGGAATAGAGGGAAATTGGGCGCTTTTTTTTCTCTCTTCCTCCTCTCTCTTTCCGCTCCTCCACCCGCAGCCCTTTCCGTCGCCCATCACTCATCAGTCAACAATGATGTTCCTGCTCAGGATCTGATGACCCCACAGAAAGCATCATCTCTGGAAACCCCCGCCCCACCCCGAACCCCCCTGCGCCTGAACCACAAGTGTCCTTTGCCGTACCTTGTCTCTGTCTGCCGCATAGAAGCGTATGTCATCGTCACAGCGGAACATTGTTTTTCTATCGCATGCAGGGACAGCGAACCTCCTCCGCCTCCCCCAGGGTACACTGTTTAGCATTGGGGTGCACATTTTGTATTCTCCCGCAAGACGTCCATCCATCCCCCGGTGTCTAGCACCCTGACGGGGTCTTTTGGCCCTTCGAGCTCCAATGCCTTGATCCAGCCCAATTAACGTCATTATCTTCTATTCCACAGTATCTCCTTTTTTTTTTTTTTTTTTTTTTTTTTTTCCTCCACAACGCTCTGCCTTGCACACACTCTACTCCGCACCAGCAATGGACCTTATCCACAGACTTAGACGATCTATATCGCATCGACCTCGCCATTTGTTCGACCTGCCGGACGAGATCTTGTGTATGATCTTTGAATACTGCTGCCAGGACCTGGACTTCTTACTTTGGAGCTGTCCCCTTGTCACGCTCGAGAACCAGTTCTGCCACGATTGTTTTCACTGCACCCTCTGCCATGGCCCTGTCCCACAGATACACCGAGCCAATCACAGGCGCCGTCAGCACGGACTGTCCATATCCTCAATATCGGGGACATCATCAACAACATCGAGAGAAACCGCAGGGAATTTGTCATCCGAAGGAAGCAACAGCAGCCATACACACGACAGGGGCCATCCACTAGAAAACATCGCGCTGAAAAAGAGGAGAAAACGATTCCACAACACAATAGTATATGGCAACAGCAGCAGGACCGATCGGTTTACCATTGATTTACAGCGGCACGAGACACGAGGGGCACAGCCATGTCCGAGGAACGGAAATCGTCCATGGTGCCAGCACCTCCAGCAGCAGCATTCGACCCGGATACCCCTTCTATCGCGTATCTTCCCGCGGTTCATATCACGTTCAGGCTGGCGTTCGTTCCCCAGTCTTACTTTTAGGCGCCTTCTACTGCGACCGTTTGATCATCTCACTTTGATATCGTCGTCTATGGGATCTACCCATTCTTCCGCAAAACTCTCTCTTCATGAACTTGTGCATCGCCTGGAGGGCTTATTCTCATTTATCTCGCCCGCAGATGAACAGTACCTTGAGGAGCAGCCAGAGTCTGGGCCGCAGCAGGTCAGTCCGTCCAGCTCCCCAGCTTCAGCAACAATATCCAGCGTATCCGAACTGCCAAATGGCCATAGCTCCAGCTCCAATCCTTTCCATGGCAGCAATCTTCACAGGCGGAGAACAGTAACCTTGGACACGCATTCCACCAATGTATCCAGGGGCTCTTCCATGAGCGGAACAAGAGGTAATGCAGGATCTATACGGGCGCCGACATCTCAGAGTCATGGCGACGGCGCTGAGCCATTTGATTCATTTTCTGAGAGCAGCTCCGACAATGACGAGGACAGGGATGACTTTGACAGCTCGATCCATCTTGCAGCACCTTTCCAACTTTTGCTTGTCAGCAGGCGAATCGCCAATGCAGCCGTCAAGACCTTGTGGCGCGACGTTGTCTTTCACGGCCAGGATCCGTACCAGATACGGTCGCTATTGACAATGCTTTCAATGGGAGACGGTTTATCGGACGGTTCTTCTGATCTTGGTCGCCATTCTTCCGGCCTGGGAAATCTCGAGGAGGTGGACGAAGCGGAGGAGTCAGAAGGTCAGGAGGATGAACGGATTAATCAAGCACAGGACACAGCTAGGAGGTGTGGAGTAGAGATGAAAGCTAAACCATCAGGAAGCAAGGTTTGCCATTCCGAGCATGGATCATACCAACGAACACCTCCTGGACAGACCAATCGTGAGCACGGGGCGAAGTTGGCCTGGGCCGAATCTTGGAACAAGTCGCTGAAGCAATTCTCGAGATCCCAAGAGGTTTCAGGTGTTCGTGGCTCTACCACCGAGACCGCAGCCAAGGGTCCAACTCACACTACCAGTAAGCGAGCAACACCTGGTGAAGAGTGGAGTCGTTTCTCTAAATCATCGAGCGCCAGGCAACAAACCGGCCTTTGTAGTTCGAATCGTGGTCAAGGACATATATCTCCTATGGCAAGAGATCGGGCGTCAGGGATGCGATCGCGTGAGCCAAGATGGCCTTATCGGCGTTACATTCGGCGAGTGGTGCTGAACTTTGCGCACCCGCATGCTTCTCCGCACATGCTCGTCCAGGCTCTCGAATGTCTCCGCTCGCGTTGCCCGGATCAGATTCTTGCGCTGGATTTGCATGCCAACGAAAAGATGCGGGATGCAGGATTGGAAAAATCTGAGGAACTAGAGCGACTGTTCGGCTCAGGACTCTCGAAGCTGCGCTATCTGAGGTTACAGGGAGGATTCGTGGACAATCAGTTGCTGTGCGCATTGATCAAGGGTTTAGGCGCGCCTAAACCTGACCCTACAGACCACAGCGACCACAGCGACCACAGCGACCACAGTAATCACAGCAACCACAGCAACCACAGCAACCACAGCATTGGCATGCAAAATACGGACCGCGCTTTACCATCTATCCCATCTTCATATCCCAGTCCCCCATGCCGTCTCTCCCAGGTGTTTTTAGGCCCAGGATCAATCACGGACACGGCGATCGAGAAGCTTATTGCAGCTGCAGGATTATCTCTCGAGGTCTTTGCAGTCACCAGTTGCGTAGATGTAGGAGGAGGCGCGCTGGCGGATTTACTAACAAAGTGTCCAAAGTTGCGTGTACTGGGAGTCCATTGTTCGCTCGCCCGCGACAAAGAACTACTGGAAGGATTGGGCATCGAGGTCGATCTTCCAGCTGCAGGCACCATGCTTCCTGAAATGGGTGAGCAATCAGGCTTAGCATACGGCGCCAGCAGCAACCCCAACGGCGGATCTGCTCCACCAAGAATTACTAGAAAGACCATTGTTGCACCACTGGAAAGATTGGAGCTGGGAATAGTGAAGTTGACAGGAGCTGGAGTTACGGAAATCTTGAAAGGCACCTGCAATACGCTACGGTTCTTAGTTCTGGAATCGCAGCATTTTAGCGAAGAACTCCTGGAAGACGTTATCTCACCATTTTGCACGCAACTGGAAGGGCTTTATTTTGACGACCCGGATCAGATTCAAAAACATCAACAACAGATGCAGGGTTTAGGATTCAGTGCTGGCCGTCGTGGATCCCATCGCCCGAATTGTCACTTTGAGTTTGGTCGATCACGGAGAACGTTTTATTCGGACCCAAATCGCCAGTATCAGCAGCCATCGACGCCGCCTCCATCACCACACCAGCGTTCGTTCAACCGCCAACATCCGAACCAGTTCTTGGGAACAGAGGCCATGGAGCAACAAATTTCGAGTCGATCGAAGCCGACATCTAAAGTGAGCGCATGGCTCGGGGAGACAAGCACAGACGAATGGATCACGTATGGCGACTGTGCACTATGGACAAGTGCGGCATCACCAAGTATTTCGTTCGAGAATGGAGATGTGAACTCGGGTAATATGGGACTCCGCGACCATCATCCCCGCTGGCAGCCTTTGCCATTGCACCATGCCTATCACAGTCCAGCATTCATGTCGACTATAACCAATCCCTCTCGATCTGGTGTACAGAGAGGACTCAACCCACTGAACAACGCGTATGTGGGTGACTATGACCATATACTGGAACGGTTCCGGGTCACACACGCGACTATCGAGAATCTGCTACATACGTTAAGACGCCTTGAAGCCTTCACTGTGATGCAGATGGACTTCATTCTGGAGAGTCAGGGACTGTCGGAGTGGAATATACTGATGCAGCAGGACGAGATCTGGGTACAGAGCATAGGATTCCGGGCACTACAGCCGTTTTACTTGTGCCTCTTCCTGAGCACCATCTATTTCGGAACATTGCGATGGTGAACAAAATAAAGCTTCGTCCATAAAAGGAAATCAATTGTGTTTAAAGCACGGCTGCAGTGTTTGCATGGCATCCCTGACCAACAGAACAGTAATGGGCGACACTCAGGACTCGGAGGCGATCTCAGCATACCTCACAGACCTGCAGGACCAGGTCCGTGCACCGTCGCCACCGCTTGCGGCTGCAGTTCGTGTCCTCGCGGAGCCATTGTCCTTCCTCGGTCTCCTGCCCAGTCGTGCTGACACAAATGGGACCACGAGAGAATCATTCCCACATTGGGCTGGACCTGTTCAGCAAACGGCCTCCAAGCAGCTGTACTTTATCCAGCACCTCCTCCCCAACCACCTTGACTTTATTCTCGATAACATCACGTTGGACTGGCTGAGCGCACTGCCTTCAGCACAGCAGACGGCCTTGTTCGACACGTACTTTATCCCAGCACTGTCACGCCAACAAAACGCCTGGAATGCATTGGTGGCCGTGATGTCCTTACAGACCCTTGTGAACAGGATCAATTCCCGGTTCAGCGAGAACCATTCGTTCTTCAACAAGACTGTCCTGCGTCTGCTTCGGAGACTGGTAGAAACGTACTCGTTAGCGGATTTCTGCCAGGGTTGCTCAGCCTTCGGACAGATGGATTACAGTTCAGGAGGCACTGGCGGGCCAACATTGGATATAACAGCCTGGGACACATTCCTGTCAAAGTTGTTTTCGGTCCCTACCAGGATCGCGAACGCATTTGGAGTGTCGCTCAAAAATGAAATCGAGGAATGTTTTCAGGAGGTAGTGTTCATCCAGCGGCAGACTGCACAATTACAGCGCTGTCTGGAGAGTATAGGGGATATGGAGCAAGGGTTGCAGAACCAGTATGCTAGAGCACTTGCGATCGTCGTTGCGAAACTCTTGCGCCTGGGTTATGGAAGTGAGTGCGCAACAGCTTTGTTTTCATTGTTGCCTGTCTTGAGAAGGTTACCAACCAAAATATATCTGTTTATCTGTTTCTCGGTACATTAGGGATCTTGGTCGAATTGGTGGTATCTGTACTTTGGGGTTCAAGTGTGAGCACTGTAGCGTCAGGATGGAAACTGGTATTATCACACACGTCTTCACCAGGGACAACACAGCTTTTTCTCACAGCATTAATGGATTATCTCGACAAAAATCAGCTGGATTTCAATAGTGGTGACAATCTACTTCGTCAACATCGTCCGCAGGATACGATATCGGAGGATCAAAAACTCGAAGCCGTGCAAAGAGGAGCGAACCTACTGATATCGATTGGATTTGGAGCTGAAGAGAAGAACAACGGGATGGTTGGAGAGGTGTTGCTACAGGGACGGGTCTTTGGTCTTGGCGCGCTGCGCATGTTGATCTGCATTCAGAGTGGCTGGCCCACAGGTGTGCGGTCGAATAAAGGTACGTGTCGATCCGTACCTTGATTTTTGAGTTGCCACATCACTGGGAGACATTGCTGACTCGATCGTTGCGCTGCTTAGATTCGGTTCTGGCGCAGACTTTCAAGAGATCCCTGGAAATTTGGTCCGATTCTATACTTGTTAACCATTCATCCGTCGAGTATCAGAGATGTAGGGGGGGGTTTTTTTCCGCTCCACAGGTCAGGAATGCGATTCTTGTCGAGAAATACATTCGTTTCTGACATCTTTGTGTTTTCTTAATAGACATTTCGTATCAAGTTCTGCTCATGCTTGGATATCTCGACCATAAAGTGATATTCGAGATGGATTTGATACCCATGTTCGGTGCTGGCATGACCGGTTGGCTCGAAATAGAGGATTTCAAAAAGAAACAGATCGCACTGGCAAGTCTACATGTCTGCACCATTGATTAAGAAGGTATTTATTTAGTGCGCTTGTTCCTGACACTGTTGTTTCGATTTGATAATTTAGGTGGTCGCGGAGGAGTTTTCGCGGATCGTGGATACGATTGGGTCACCGGCAGATTTTGACCTGAATAATGAGGATAAGGACGTTCGGCTCGGCCGATCCCTTGTTCGCCTCAAGGACGGTGCCAAGCCGTACAACCCTACCACGCTTCCATCTTTCAACACTATTGGGGGCCCCGGTACAGAAAAAGACGTAGCTGAAGGAACATCGACGACGCCGACTGTTACCCAAGGATTCTTGCTACAAGAGGATTCCGACGATGAAGAAGACCCAGACGCGATTGAGGGTCCCTATTCCAAAGCCGCGAGGGCAAGGAAAGACAGTAGTGACGAGAGTAGTGATGAAGAAGACGACTTGAAGCCCTATGAGATGGAGTACGAGTCAGATCCGGATGAAGATGCTGGATCGGTCAAGAAAGCCAAGGTCGCAGTGCCAGTCTACCTGCGCGATCTGGTATCCTATATCCGAGCGAGTGAAGATCGCGACAAGACCGAAATTGGACTGAAGAATGCTGCTGAGCTGATTCGGCGCAAGGTTGGCAGTCTGGAATTGGGTAAGTCGCATTGTCCTGAGATGTTCAAGCTCTATGTGCGCTCCAAATTTGATCCGCAGGCTTGCGCTAACGGAACGGGCTATTTATTATCATTCTTAGAGGAATACGCAGAAGAATTGGCCAGGTCACTGGTTCTATTGCAGGATAATTTTGACTTGCCCGGTTTCTACAGATCCAGAGAAAATTCATTGATAGCCCTGATTGTAACTTCACCTGTCTTGGTTGCAGGGTAAGGACCTTTTGGGAATCATCCGCAAGCAGGCTAATGGTTCTCTTCTGATTGATGCTGATCCATTCCTTTTTCCGCGTTTATCGTAGGGTGTTGACGCAGGAATTTTACGCGCGAAAGAACTCGATGGGGCAGCGACTAAATATTTTGACCGCTCTAGCGCTTGGTGCACAGGAGCTGTCAGGGTCTGATCGTCCTCCAGCAGTATCCTCATCAACATCAGCAAAGAATGTCTCAAGGTCACTTCCCAAGAAGTCCGAGATACCCACCGCTGTTGCAGTTCAGAAGCCGTCGTTCGATTCAATCACATCAAGTATTTCCATGGAACGAACGCGTCGCTTTTCTCAAAAGTCGCATATCGAGGCGAGTCGTCCAGCACCCAAGGCCAATGCGTTCTCAAACGTAGCACCGATCTTTTTAGGTGGACTACTTGGACGTTGGGGCGGTAACCGCGGTGCAGGAATGGAACGTGGATATGACGCGTTGAAAAAGGCACCAGTGATAGTCCTCAAGAAGTTTGTGATCACTCTCGGCGTTTTGGTTCATTATGCAGGTACGATGTGGGTCTTTGATGCGCAAGGTTTTATTAAATTCGTCTATATTTCATGCTAACAAACAAGATATTATTTTTCTACAGGTACTTCACCGCATCTAATTCCTATCACTAGGGAACTGTTTCAGTTCTTGCTTGCACTTCGATATCATAATCCACCGGCCCAAGCAACTCCAGGACCGATACCAGGAGCAGCAGCCACTACTGCAAGTCTGACAGGATCAGTATTTTCAACACCTTCGCTGACCTCTCTGAGACTGCCGGGCGACGTTGGGGTCGCGACCAGACTTTCATCTACAGGCGCTGGAGGCTCATTGTCAGCACTGTCTTCAGGGTCGTTGCCCTACAATCCTGACCTGGTAGAAAGCATCCTCTTCGATCTCCTGATTTTGCTGACACCATCGACACAGACACTATCGGATCAGCTTCTTATGCATGAATTTTATGCAGAGATTATGGAGTGCCAGCAGTGGGCAATGGAGCTATGGGAGGTGTACAAGCTTGAACAAGGCAGTGGGGAGAAGGCAAGGATGTACTGCGCGGCATTACTGCAGCGGTCATTTGAACTCTTGGAAGTGCACATGTAATAAAACACGCGCTTTGCTTCCCGAGACAAATAAGGTTTTTAGCATTCAAGGAGGGGATACATTACCGCTAAAAATATGTTCAACCATGCGTTCAGCCCCCCTCAGGAGTTGGGGAAACGGTGCTTTCCCCCTCCCTGCACATCGCTGCAGATGTGCTCTCATCCCGCGTCATAACAAACGATTACTATTTCAAAGTCGATGTAGACTTCGCCCTCTTTTTCTTGATTCTTCTCATTCCACCTTTCTTACCCTCTTTCAGCCGGCGTCATACCAAACTGCTCACGCCGCGTGCCTTCTTTGTCTGTTCCTGACCTCATAAACAGTGTTCACTCGTCGCTTCTGCACACGCTTGACTCCTCATTCGATCGAATAGCACATACCACACACCACAGAACACAACCACACCATGGAGCCACCATTGCCTCAACCGCCTGCCAGCGAAACCTCTCAGTTCTACAGCTCGGCCACCCGTCCCGTCCGTGTCGGTTCCTTGCTCCTCCAATCTGTCGCCGTTACAGTACCAACGTTCTCAAAGGAACTCGACCTGGGATCGATAGCCAACCCTCAGAAACACTCGACCATCAAGCAATATCTCTTTGCGTCTCTTCTTTTCAAGCCCCTCGCTGCACTCTTACTCGACTGCTTCTCGTTGGTATTCTTGTCCGCATGGGTCAGGGGCTCGGTTGGCAAGGGCAACAGTTCTGGACTTGTTATCTATGCCCTGGCAACAACTGGATCGTTGGCGATTGTGGCCTATGGAGGATGGAGGGCGAGTCAGGTGCTGAAAAAGGGGCATATCCAGGCCATCTTTGTGAACAGGGAGGCCTACCGATGGGTGTGTCTGAAGAGTCGGGATAGGTTCTTCTTCTTCGAGAGGGTCGGACAAGGATATGGACAAAGGGATGCACTTGCTTTCTTTGCTTGGTTCACACTCCGCGGTAAGGATCATGTTTACTCGCAAGGAAAAAAGAAAAAAAGAAAAAAGAAAAAAAAAGCTGGGTTATTAGTGTTCTCGGCAACAGGATTCACTAAATGTCATTGGGCTGTATATTTAATTCTCGGAAGCATAGATTGGATGCAACATTTGCTTTGCGACCTGCCTCGTCTCGTCATCAACTCGACTATTCTCGCCCAGGTCGCCCACCAGCGTTCGTTGATCAGCAGAGGTGAGGCTCCAACGTTGAACCTTCCAGAACTGAGCACGATCACACATTTGGCATTGGCGCTCAACATCATACTTCAGGTCTGCAACTTGGTTCAGTTCCTGGGCGCCTTGGTCGTCCTGCTCCTTGTGCGCATGGGCAAATTGGTAGCGCTGAGAAAGGACGAGCACCTCCATACGTACTGCCAGAGGAATCTGAACGTCAGGTAAGCAACATGCGGATCGCTCGTGCCACACAGAGTACTTACACAGTGCCATTGGACTAACTCCCTGAAACATCTGTCCTGGATTTACATATAGAATCGTCCGCCTTTACAAACTCGCCAAATCGGGAACAACAGCACCGCTTCGGGAGAACAATCAACTGGAGCAGCAGATGAATCAATACAGAATGGATGAAGAGGGCGGGATTGATCTCTCGCTTGCAGCACTGGCTTGGGACACCGAGACTCAGGACGATCATGTTGATTACAACCACTATGCGTACAGACCAAGGCCTATGACGAACACTCCGTCCTCACGTACGGGACAGCCTGCAATGGAAGATAGAAGAGGGTTCTATGATGATGAGAGGATAGAGATGACGGAAAAATTGCCATCGTCGCTTTCTTCGCCAGCCCCGGTACCGGGGACGTTCTCGTATGCGCAGATGCAGCATTTGGAGCTGCAACGACAAAAATATGGCGACAATAAGGAGCTGTACGAGACCATGGAATGGAGGCCGTCAGCATCGAATCCTGGGGGCCAGAGTCAGCCTGGTAATCACTTGCAGAGTCAATACGCTCCACCAATGACAGGGAGCGGCACGTCGGGAGGATCATATGCACCGCAGCCGGGAGGATCATATGCATCGCAGCCAGGAGTGGTCTCACCGCCCATCTCACCAAAGCCATAGTAGCAGGTAAATTGGAAACGAAATAAAATCTGCTACAAACCCCCCCTGACCATTGATATATTCGGTGTATCACGTATCATGTTCAGGTGCTCCAGATTTCCAGGGGCGTAAAGTGAGCGTTTTGTCGGTACTCTTTTTGTATTTGAACTCTCGACTATGCTGCGCCGTACTCCAAACCAAAACGCTGCGAATGACTGTGGCGATGCATTGGAAGATGCTTGTCTTTTTATCTTTTTTTTTCCTCCCACTTTCCACCACTTCAGCATATTTCCCAGTTTCCCAACAATGCGACGACCAGCAACCGTCTTTGAGATACCCCACCTGTTGGACGCAATATGCGACAATCTCTCAGGGCGCGATACCTGGAACTGCTACCGCTGCAGCAGGTCCTGGCGGCTCCTCTTCGACATCTACCGCTACAGGCACATCCGCTTCGCCAATTTGAACTCTTCGCAAACATGGTATATTCTCCATCACAGCCATCAAATCCAGGACCTCCAAATCGATCTCTTGGATGGGGGACTCCTCCTCAATTCTGGTTGTACAAACCTCTGGAAATTGGTCTGCGTCGATTTCGGATACGCAAAAACGGCCGAGGAGTACTACGAATTCGAGGATTATTACAACATCCATCCGAGGGGCCCTGAATTGATCGACTCCTCTATCAATGCCCTGGGTCTCATCGCCAGGAACCCGAAACTGGAACACTTGGAGGTGAGGCATCCATCTCTCACACATCGGATGCAGGTCCTCAACGGTTCGATCCTCAGAGCCCTCTCGACCCATTCTTCCTTGACGACGATTATCCTCGAGGTTCAGTTAAGCAGCTTGCAGGCCGCATTGTTCTTGAACCACCTCCCCGAGGGCATCGTCGATCTGCAACTATGGACAGAACAAACCCGTTCGGATCTTCACGAATACCATTTCTGGGACGCACGCTTTCTTGCTCCCAATACAAGGCATCTCACCGCTCTTCGCAGCCTGGCTTTGGTGGGCACGATGCCCTGCACAAGAGAAAGCCTGGTGGTCAAATTCCTGAGACGATGTCCCGCCCTTGAGGTGATCACCGTACCGTACATCCTCACCCGCAACTATGATGATCTAGCCTGTACGCTGAGGATATACTGTCCAAAACTCCATACACTCAATCAAGCGATCGCGTGCAGGCTCTATCTTTGTGGGACCAAGATCAGGCGGCTACTGGGAGGCTTCGCGTACGGCGCGCCGCGGGAGTTGTGGTTGGGGACCGTGTGTTTGAACGAGGACTTTTGGGGCACGGATCGCGACTTTTTATGGGTGCTGCTCAATAGGTCCAGGGCTGCGGAAACACTTGAGGTGCTGAGGATGTGTTCACAGTTGCGTGGGTGGATGGAGGTCCCACAGATGTTGCGTTATTGTAGCAACCTGCGAGAACTCTCTGTGGAGAGCGACCAGAACCGGGACGATGGGGTCGAGCTTTCGGATGTGGTTGCGTCTCTGAGCGGGCCTTGGGAGTGTTGGGCGACGTTGGAGATCCTGCGGCTCGATATCGTCACGACGCCTCCTGTCTTGGACGAGATAGAAGTAGAGTCTGTGGCCGAGTCAGAGGCAAGTTCAGGGGCAGAGTCAGAGGCAGAGTCAGAGGCCGAGTCAGAGGTAGAGTCAGAGGTAGAGTCAGAGGTAGAGTCAGAGGCAAGTTCAGAGGCAAGTTCAGAGGCGGACCTTGGTCGAGGCTATTATGGTCGACGGAGCGAAGAGCAGTGGTGTACATTGCGCTATATAGGTCGCCTGTTTGAGCGTCTGCATTTGCTTCCAAAGCTGACAGTTCTGGAGTTGAACTGGAAGTCCAGCTGTTCTGGAGAGGATCCGATACCATTGGAAACGGCCCTCGCCTACGTGAATGAGTATCTAGCAGAGCGGGGTACGGCACTGATGACAAAAAAGGACGTGGAGTGGATGGGGTTAGGCTGGCCAACGTTCGAGGAGATCCGTCGGGATGCGGAGCTATGGACAATGTGCGAGGTCGCTGCTACAGAGAGGACTGGTTGCGAGTTTTATTACTATCCTTCTAGATCGGATGTTGAGGAATTCGAGGACGAGATCGAGGAGGAAGAGGAGGAAGAGGAAGAAGAGGAGGGATGCCAGGATATGGATGCGCCGTGGCGGCTGAATCGAAAGCGGTACAATAAGGAAGGAGTGATGCACTGTCGAAGGTCGCTGAGGAATAGTCCGACCTGGTTCCGGACACGATCAATACACTAACTCTTTCGGCCCTTTTTTATTATAATAAATGCCCCTCAAATGAACATCACTCGTTCCACCGAAGGCGAGCCTCTACGGCCCTGTCATCAGAAGTGTCTTCCGTGATGTTGATCCCGTGTTTGTTCAGCAACTTTTTTTGCTCGCCTGCCAAAGAGAGAAAGAAGCCGCCTTCCGCTGTGCAGCACCATCCCCCATCAAGGCGTCTGAGCTGCTTCCAATGTTCCAGAATCCAGGCCAACTCTCTCTCGTTCACCTCCTCTCTCCCGGGCCAGAGCTTGAATTTCTTCAGCTTGACCGAGCCAGCCATCAGTTCCAGACCTGCATCCAGACAGAATGGGAGTGGAACTTTCAAAGCACTGCCCATTGAACCCCATATAGTGTCGAATTTAGAGAGCATATCCAGGACACGCAGCTCCCTGAGCGCAGCCAGCTGCCTGTAAATGCCGCGACATTGTTGGATTTCCTTTGCTGAAAGTTGGTTTCTAAACTGGCCACGTTCAACAACATCCATATCAATGAAAACCGTCAGCTCCTTCAGCCCATGGCAGACCCACGGCTCACCCTCAAGGATGTGCGAAGCAAAGATAGTTTCAGCGCTGAACCGCTCCAGCCTTGGGAATGACGTGAGAACCTTGATCGCCCATTTGCCAGCATTGCCTAGGTAGCACAAGTCGATCGACTGCATGGTCGCAAAGTGTTGGTCCATAAGCAGCTCCAGTGTCCTGGGCCCAAGTCCTGACAGGTGATAGTCCAGAACACGAAAGGGTTGCTTGGCAACCTGTAGCAGTCTGAAATGGCTCTCCTCTGGTATATTGATTCCAGCGGCTTTGAATGTTATCGAATCAAGATCTGGCCATTTGGATTCGATATACAAGGCACAGAATTCAGCGTGGGGAAAGCCCCTTCCATATGTGGGTCTCCAAAGCAGGGTCTGGAGTGCTGGGCATTGGCAAATGAGCAGGTGGAGTTGGTCAGTGCCGCTTAAGGATGCCATGTTGATTAGGGTGAGTTCCTGGAGTCTCGGAAACCGAACTCCCGCCCCCGTCATCGCTGAAAGCTCTGTCTGTGTCTTTGTAGCGTCCGCGGGCAAAAGTAGCGAGACCGATGGGTCAAATTCGATCCTAGCCAAAGTCAGCTTCTCCAGTTGCTCGCATATCTCCCAGAACGCCTTCGAATGCTCCACAGGGATTTTGCAACCACTCATACTCAGCGATCGCAGGTTCCGACTTTGTGTGCAGTCCAAGAGGGGGCTCCACATCCGCTGTTTTGGGTGGCCTTTTGTGTATTTTGACTCCCAATTGACTAGCACGAGCGATCGCAAATGACCAGAATTTCGTCGGATCATCCGTTTGCAGCTTTTCCAGTGCTGTCTCATGTTGCACGTCATATACGATGGTATACCTTCCATAGCGATGAACTCAAGCCGGCTGCAAGCCTCTCCTAGCAGCAACGGAATGAGGGAGTTTTGGTGGTGGATTGTGAGCGACCTTATCCAGGGTGTCTTGTCCAGAAGGTCGATTAGCGCTTCATCCTGCTGCTCTTTTTCAGTCTTCTCTGAGCAGGAGAGAAAGGCGGGAAGAGGGTCGAGGCTGATGGACCGTGCAAAGGGTGCACTGTCGTGGTCGATGTTGCAGGGCCGTCCGAAATGAAGGTTCCGCCAGACCAGAGGTGCGAACGAGGCATACAAGGGTCTCGAGACTGCAGACAAGGCGAGGACAGCGGATGCATCGAGGTGCCACGATATCCTGAGGACAAGCTCCGGAAGGGACAGTACGAAGACCGCGACTCCTGTCATTGGTGGTTCTGTGTCGTTTATTTTGGCTGCCACTGTTGTTCGTAACGGTGTCTGTGGTGGCGATAAGCGTCGCCGCGTTTATGGGGGGGGGGGTGAGAAAGGGACGAAATCACCGTGCTCATGATGGAATAGAAATGGCGCCATGCAGTCACAGCTTGAATTGCTTTACTAGACGAGTTAGCTTACTATATCACCCTCCTGGATATCCTGGTCAAGCGCACAGCATTCTCCGCAACTCTGCTTGTCCAGCTCATTCTCATCTCGTTCAAAAATCTGACAGCCATCCGTGTTGATTCCGCGTTCGGCTAGCCATTTATGATGTCTTCCTGCCCGAAGGAAATTATCCTGGACAAAGTGCGTCTTTCCCGGCGCCGTGCGCCATGCCCCTCTGATAGCCTTCAGCGCCTTCATATGATCGACCATCCAGACCAACTCCCGCCGGTGCACCACGTGCTTGCCACCCCAGAAGCTAATCTTCTGTAACCTGCGCAAGCTCGCCAATTCGTCCAGACCGGCTTCCAATCGCATCGGGAGTGCTGTGAGAGAATATTGCGGGTGGTTCGAGCCCGATATTGGCTGGCCGTTCGTATACAAACAGGGATACAAAATCAGCATATCCAGGTTACGCAACTCCCGTAGGGTAGCCAATTGCTTGAAGACGGCTCGACATTGTCGATGTTCCTCCTCCGTTAGCCTGCGGTTGGGTGCGTTGTCGGGAAAGCCCATATTAATAAAAACGTCCAGTTCTTGCAGTCCCAGGCACACCCACGGCTTCATGTTTTTAAGGAACTGTTGCGCGTGTAAAACATTTGCTTTAAGCAGTTTCAGATTCGGACAGCTCGTGAGAACTTCTAACGCCCAGTCATTACTCACTTCCTCGCGGTTGTAAATAATGATGGTCTCAAGGGTGGAAAAATGGTGTGCCTTCAACAAGTCGAATGCCTCAGTCTGGGTCCAGGCAACGCATAAATTGAGGCAACGAAGTGGTATCTTGGCCGCTCGCAGAAACTGTGTGTACTGCTCATCAGTGAACCGGTCACTGTGGCTCATGATTATAATCGAGTCCAATTTTGGCCATGTGCCCGCTGCAAAGTGATGATAAAACTCCGTAGTTGGTGTTTCACACGTAGAGTAGATGCTCCAGGTCAAGCTTTGGAGTTCTGGACATTGGGCGATAAGCAAGTTGACGATCTGGAGCTGGTCGTAGCGCGGGAATTTTATCACAGTGAGTTCCTTTAGTCGTGGAAATCGAGTTGTCGGGAGGAGATGGGTCGACTGCACGGGTGTGCTTTCCGTTGGCGTTGGCGTCGGCGCGAGATGTGTTCCATTAGTTGCCGTAGGTTCGTTATCCGCCCTGTTCAGGCTATTCCTGGTCGGTCGCAGCGGTAAATCGAAGCTGGTATGATCCATGTACAGAGTCTCGAGGCGCTCACAGACCTTCCAAAATGCTTCTAAATGCTTTCCGCGGATAGCACAGTTCTCAAGGCGCAGCGATCGTAAATTCCAGGCCCGGGTGCATCGCAAGATCGGGTTCCAGACTGGTCGACCATACTGGGCCTTCTTATCGGGACTATAGAACCAATCGACCAATGTTAGGGACCGTAGGTGGGTTCGATTCCGCATCATCATCAACTTGCAGCTGTCCCAGTGCTCTGCTACGTGGTTCTTCTTTTCGTCCAGAGATAGTCCTGCGATCGTTATCGATTCGAGTTGTTGACAGACCATTCCAAGTTGCAGCGGCAGAGTTGCGTCCTGGTTGTTGATCGTCAACGACCTGACCCACGGAGCGTTGCTCTGAAAGGTCTCCAAAAATGGATTTCTCGGCTCCTGTCCACCACCGTCGGCTGTACGGTCGGGGGCGGAGACATCAGTCGCGGCGACGTGGGTCAAGATTTTGAAGGATCTTGCGAGTGGCGCCTGTTCGGGATCAAGTCTGCATGGGGTCCCGAAATGAAGGTCTCTCCATACGAGGGGCGCAAAGACGCTGTAGAAGGATCTGCAGACATAGGAGCAGACCCAAACATCGGCTGCATTGAGATAGAAGGCCACCTGGAGTAAGATTTCTGGAAGGTCGAGTGCGCGCGTCATGGTTGTTGTCGGTGTCACTATGGTTGTTGCTGTTGGCATATCTGTCGGTGTCGCTATTGCTATCGTTGCTGGCGTTGCTGTTATCGTGTGCGCCATGAAATGAGAGAGAGGGCCAGTGAGATTTTATATTGTCCTGCTGCGGCAATTTACAAAAGAGTTCATGACTCATGTGCTATATGCACCATATACACGTTCCAGAACAGCGACACGCTCAATGCGCGTCCGTTAGGAGGACAATGGTAATGACGAACCTTTGAATACCATCGTCCCTTTGTCCTCTCTATAGACGCCGCAGCCTAGACTATGTCACTCTCTCTTTATCTGCTACATTCTCTGTTGACCACTTCGAATCAATCCGTATCTACTTTTTGGCGTAGATAAATAGAAGGTAGGATCCGAACCTTTTCTTTTATAAGGCGCACTATAACTCACTTCTTTCTCCCTTTACCTCATTTCTCCGTGCAGCCAAATTCCTCGCGATGAAGGTCTATTTTGTCCGTGCAATTCCCTTCATCCCTTGAGAACCATAATAAAATCGGTCGATCAGGCTCTTGCGCTGTAGCTGACAGAAACTGCGATTGGGGTCAACTCCATGGATAGGAGCTGCTGTTTGGATGACAACGCAGCGAGATGGCACAAGTAGGCGATGGGAAAGCTGCTGTGGAAAACAGGGAGAGAACATGCATGACAATAAGGTTCACGCCGCCACCAGCCTAAAGATGCACAGATCGACTATTGAGTTTCGTGTATAGAAAGTTAGATATTTTATTCAGCTCAACGTTCGTATCCCAGGGTATTGTCATGGCCGAAGTTAACCTCAGCCGACGGAACGATGGTCAGTAATAAAAAAAATCAGTCTTACCATGTCATTCGCTTTGTTGCGGAACGAGCACTTCTTGAGCGATACTAGCGATTCCTTCCTCTAATTGATCGCTAGTGCACCTGGATCAAATGCCTTCGTTACAAACAGCCGGGGCTACTCAAGGCCAAGGTCAGATCTGTAAATAATATGGACCTGAATACGGTATGCATTTTTTTCCTGAATGTAGACGGACTGTAGGCCTCTCAGAACTCGATCCTCCAGCGGACCAATTGAGACCAAAAGCATAGGATATGTGAACAGTGTGGAGGATCGACGAAGTATTTGATGCGTGCCGACCCTTGGATATCTGACTGGGCTGTGTATGTCAACGAACCGGGTTGTATCCAATCGAATGCGTGAGGCGGTGCCAGTTCTCTGTACGAGAGGAATGAGGAATGAGGAATGAGGAATGAGGAATGAGGAATGAGGAATGAGGAATGAGGAATGAGGCATGGAGTGATCCTTTTGCGAAGCCGTGGGCGGCGGGAGCTGTCCATACTGACAAATGCCTGCGCCCAATTGACATGTTTTTTTTGCGCCTGAAGGGATCAAACCAATCAGCTTGGGGTTTGTTTTGCCACTAAAAAAAATGGGCTCCGTACACACGGAATGCTGTTCGTGATCAGACTGTATACATTCAACAACGCATCGATGCAAGGATTCGTGCGAGGGGCAGCACCATGGCTCACAAGAAGTTCATCTCAGCAAGGTCAACGGCTAGGACTTCCAAGGCATTCAGTCGCCTTCTCTGGACACAGGAGACATGAACATCCACGTCATTTCATTACCCTGCCGAAACTGCCGGATCTACCCAACCTGCTCAAGCCAATCTCGTCGTCGCGACAATACAAGGACCGCACCCTTGTCAAATACTCCCAGCAGGAATTCTACAGCCTCGTTGCTAATGTTGACGACTATCACTACTTCTTGCCCTGGTGCACCCACTCGAAAATGTCAGATCCTCTACCTGCTGGATCCGAACAAGTCACCGTCGCAGGATCAGGAGCGGGGCCAAGTTCAGGATCCGTCACCGTGAGACATGGTGAACTCGGGATTGGGTTCAACTCTCTCCAGGAACGATACGTCTCTACCGTAACATGTCAAGAGCCATGGGCCGTCCGCGCTGTCTCGTATGACTCGAAACTGTTCAAAGAGCTTTCCACAACCTGGAAATTTACGCCCAATGCCCCAAAGAACACGACTCTGGAGGCAGCCATGGACCAGGATCTACAGGAGACACATTTACTTAGACGATTAGCAGGAGAGCCGGACGCAGTATCACCACAGCCGCCATCGCCAGCGTCACCCACAAATCAGTCAAATCAGCCTGGGCACCAGCTTACAGCCGCAGCCGTGTTCGGTGCTGCCGCTGTGCCAAAACCTAGGACATCCGAAAACCGGACAACGTCATCTCCATCCAAAGTATCACCGGTACAGAAGTACACCATTTCAGCCTCGAGAGTGCCTTCTCCATCTCCCTCCCCTGAGATTCGCATACCTACACACCAAAAGCCGCTCCCCTCTCCGCCAAAGCAAACCATACAAAGAACATCTTCGCCCTCGAATCTGGCGGTGATGAAGCCGAGCGATTACCCATCGTGCTGGGTGGATTTTGAGATCCAGTTTGAGTTTGCGTCGCCGGTGCATGCGTCCATGTCGTCGCTGTTCTTTGACCAGGTCAGCAAGGAGATGCTGAAGGCATTTGTCGATCGTGCGGAAGAATTATACGGAAAGCGGTAGACCCTCCACATTATCGGGAGCATAATAACGGTTATCAGATAGACCAACGTGATAGAGAGATACCTAAGCTTGTGCCAGTTCAATCTAGATGCTGTACTTAATGTAAAATCGCCTGCTCTGAAAACCTGCGTATCTTTTTATCTTGTTAATAAAGCACACGGATAACGTCGTAATTCTATTGAAAGGTGTCCTCACCAATTGCTAGATTGCCCAAATATCCTCCCCATTCTCAGCCCGATCCGATGTGCGGCGCAGTCTGACCTCTTCATCGTCATCGTCTTCGCCCTCATACTCGCAATCTTATCTATCGTAATCCTCAAGAAATTCATTGCGCGGAATCCGTATACCATGCGTGTTGAAGATAGGCGCTCACTCCGAGCCTTGACTTATTTCCCCAATGAGGGACGATCCTTCCGCTGATTTTCTGGAGTGCAAACTAATGCTCAGCCATCCACATCCACATCGCGCCCGTCTTGGTCATATCCTGAGATCCTAGTGATTATATTTTCTCTAGCTCTGTTAGTCCTGCCAGCTGGCCTAGTCCCATGGCCAATGTGATAGGCAAGGACACATTCTTTTTTCCAGAAATGGACACCTGATTCCCATATACCATCGGAATATCTCCGGTCCAAGGCCCTCAATGCACGCAGCCTGCTCAACTGCACATGCGTCGCCCAGCTCAGTTCCCTGAGCTCCTCCAGAGAAATGGGTGACTCCAACGTCCGCAAATTGAGCCCACGCAGCATACTGCTATATCGCTGCGCGAGTTGTTGATAAATCAAATATTCCGGATAATTCACGGGCGCGTCTAACTTTCGAAGGCGCGGCATAGTTTCGAGGAGTATCTGATGATCCTCTGATTCGTAATAACTTCCCCAGATCCAAAGGGTAATAGACTCGAGGTCTGGCCAGCATGGTGAGGTACAAAGATCCAATCGGACGTAACTGGGAGGCTTCTGCTCGTCGTACCTTTCCTGTGCCGTGAGGAGGCACATAAGGCGATTTCTCGAAAGGTAAGAGGTCGTAGCTGTCGCCCATTTGAGGGACCTTAGTTTCGGAGACCAGCGGATGATGCTCTCGAATTGGATCAGAAAGTTGCGAGGACCCAATAGTATCAATTCGAGCTTCAGGGGCCATGGAAATCGCATGTCGATATCCTGTTGTGCGCTGCCACGGTTTCTCGATGGCGCGATAGCCTTAGGTTCGGGCCTCAGTATGTTCTGGGGTAGTTCGAAAGAGATCTCAGTCAGCTTGAGCCCTTCTAGCCTTTAAGCAGATGTCCTAGAAGGCGCGCAGGTATCGGTCGGTATGGAAGATTGCAGCGCACAAGACAAAGACTGTTCAAGGATGAATGCGATGGATGGGGCGAGACTCAGCAGTGAACACCAAAGCTGGTATCTTCGAGGTTTATGCACAGGCAAGTTCATGTCACGTAGAGAGTGATTGTAGCGACCTTAGATTCTGTTGGACGAGATCCCTGCAGCTTTTCCAGCACCTCTGACAGTCGTGGCCATGGTAGACGATCAAGCGTATCCGCAATGTTATTTACCCGAGATATATCAGACGCATCCGCCGTGATTCGATGGTCTTCTTCCTTTTTCGAATGAGATGCTGAACCAGACGAGCGAACCAAAGGTTGCATACTACGACTTGCAGACAAGTACACAGCGTGCGAACTGACGACGACCTAGGTACCGGATTCTCTCAAGCAGGACCTCGGTCGGCAATTGTTGGATAAATATGACTGTGCAAATGGCGGTATAAAAAAAAACTAGAGTATGTGAATACCCTCCATATGAACCACCAAGGAGACATGAACAACACTCCAAGATTATCAAAACACACACAAGTCCCTTCCTCTTATTATTGTTTGCTTTTATTTCCTACAGTCTCTAATCATTGTCAGGAGTTGCCTTAGGCTTACTACGGATGAGGCCAAGGTTTAGTCCGCTCGTTCCTGCACCGCCTCCCGCAGCGAAGTACCCGCTCAGGTTCTGCTCCAGCTCGTCAGACTGGGGGCCCGTGGACGTCGTAGATAATTTGTCACCATCCGCATGAGTATCCAATTGTTGTCCTAGCTGCTGCACATCAACAATAGTCATTTGAAGTGGAGGCAGGGCACCACCTTGATCCTTGCCTTCGATGATGACATTCGCGCAATGATGATAGAACTTTATAAAAAAAAAATGTAAATCGTGAAGAGAAGTTAGTATACTACAGTCTGTTGTCACTATCAAAGAAGGCTACCCTCCTCTCTCAAAAACTCTTTGCAAAGCTGAAAATACCAAAAAAAAAAAAAAAAAAAAAAAAAAAGATCCCTCACCTGGTTCGTTGAAAAGGCTGTCCATGACATCGCGAATAGACATCTGTCCGAATCTGTACAGCTAGGGACGTTGCTCGGCACTAGCACTGGCCACCGGTAGTAGAGATCTGGGCAGGTCTTGGTGTATTGTCCAATGACATGCCAGGTCTTTCCGGCGTTGTACGACAGCGAGAACTCGCAAGCACCACCGCCATGCCGTGCCTGTGGCACACCTGCAGGTGGAGGGAATACAGTGCTGTCCTTGACCTGGAAGTTCCAGAACGTAACGTTGATCACTTGGCCGGCCTGATAGGTCGTTACTGGACCCTTCCTATAGCCGCCTGATGACCGAGTCGTAAATTTGGATGAGATAAAAAAAAAGGGTAAAGACGAGTCAATGAGCGGAACTTCTGCGCTGAGATGCGGACTGTGGTGCTGAGAGGTGTGCTTTACATACCACAAGGAAACGGCTTGCCTTCAAAGCCGATCCAAGCATGGACATCGCTCCTTGGGCTTTGGGACCAAGGTCCAGCCTGAGCAGGTGGGTTTGAGATGGCGATATGGGCGGTGGTTGTGAAGAGGATGGAGAAGAGTGTCACTGCGACAGCGAGAACGCTGTTGGCGAGTGTGGTGGATTTCATGCTGGAAGTAGTTTCACTAAAGTGAGTGGGTGAGTGGTGTGTGCGTGAAGGAGAAGGAAGAGAAGGAGGAGGAAGAGAAGGAGGAGGAAGAGAAGGAGGAGGAAGAGAAGGAGGAGGAGAGAGAAAGCGCGGGAAGAGTAGAGATGGAGCGATGGGGTGAAGGGGTGAGGGCAGATAGGGTGCGGAAGTACAGGAAGGAAAGGGTATCAAGAAGCAGAGAGGAGAGAGGATTGAAAAACGATTTCCCTTGAGGACAAGGGCCGTTATTAAATAGGATTGGTTTCCCTCCATGGATGACACAAAGACGGAAGGTTCTTAGGTGGCATGGTTCGTTTAGCAGTAGACCGGCCAGGGAAGCTAGTCTGCAAGTGGGATAGGACGCGTAGGTTTGGATTACATACGATTGAAAAAAGAGACTTATCAAATAACTCTCCGACAAGCAAAAATTGTTTACCAATGAGCCCTCATTCCCCCTAGGAGGTTCACCCGCTAGTACAGTACGTCTTTACACAAATGTCTTATTTCACTGTCCATCGATAGACTAGGTATCGATATAAAAGTAGTCTATCCCATGCAACCACTGTATCGGTCAAAGGAACAGCGGTGTGTGCTGTCCATGCCAGCCATCACAATCGGTTCCTGTCCCTGTCTCGGGGCACGGTCGTTCAGGACAAAGTTAGCCACGAGAACTTTATCTTGATTGGAATTGGTCGCTTTTATTTGTTTCAGGGTTCTCATCGCTGAAACGAGGCGCACTCACACACTGGCGCCACCCCCTAGATGATGCAGCATGAGACAAGTACAGCTCATTCCTGGCTCTTGCTCGCTCCCACGCGCCCTTGTTTTTCCTCTTCCGGATACGGAACAGACCCGGCTCTCAGGAACTGTAACCATCCGTAATCAGCACCGACATTGCTTCATAATCCCATCCCATACAGATATCCCTACCCTAGCCAGCGCTGCATGAAGTTTCGGATGTATTGGTCCTCCCATTTCAAGCTCTCCCAATGCCATACTATCCAATAGGCATCCTTCCTCCGCAGCATCATGGACCCCTTCAGTTCCTAACAAACCCATGGGAGCCACCCATCCTCCAACACTTGCTAGGCTAGAGTCGTGTGCGCCGAAATGATCTCCATGGCCTGGACAGGACGCTGACACCCATAGACCCGCGTAGCTGCTGCCGAAGTCACGCAAGGCTAATTTCTTGAAGAGTCGCAAAATGCCAAGAATGTTGAAAGCTACCGGACTATCAGACGCATTTCGTTGATAGAGAGGTCGATTTTATTTTTATTTTTTGGAGGCACGCTTGTCTCTGTGTAGAACCCTTCTGCATCACATCCTGGACAGGTAACCCTCCAGAGTGGCCTCCAAGGATCCGAGATGTGACCACGTTCCGTTTTACAAGAGTGGAAGAACTGTTCAGAGGGCCACACAGAGGGGCATGGTAATCGCCATTGTCCATACACCCTCAACAAGGGCTCTGGAGAAGCAGACATTCTACAACGATGAGGTTGAGCAGCCGAACAGGGGATGCGGAAAACATCTCGTTGAGCTTGGGATCCAGTACTCACGGAAATCTTGTCGGTGGTGTCAAGCCTGCAGATCCGAGAGTGCTTGATACGTCGGTATGAAAATTGCTGCTGCTATGGTTGTTGACGGCGATGGCTTTGATGGTGGTCTCATCAAGGCTGCGAATGCTGAAACTTGAAAGGTCCAGTCTTTGCAAGGTCCTGTGAAATGTTCAAGTACCCTACCCTACAGTCGAAAAGAGAGATGTTGGTGTGATCGGAGCAGCTCATAAAGGGGGTCCATGGTGATTCACCGTATGAGGACGCCCAGTTGTCGCTCCAGCCCTCAACAGAAAGCAATCGCAATTCCCGACTCATTGTTTTTGGTCAAATTCTTGAAGTTCCGGACGTGCTCCTGAGGATGTTCATCAGCTGGAAAGTATCCTTTGATGGACTGGAACGTCAAACGATTGTGTGTTCTGTCCGAGAGAAAATTGTGCGGGTCTGCAGTACTGATGATAGCTGAGGGACCGTGTTCCTGCGAAGGATGTGAACCAATTGCTCAATATGAAGTTCGTTCCGATCAAGACGGAGAATGCGCGTCCGAGGGCTTCGATGGCAGAAATCTGGAGGGCTGTTGATGCAGTATCGGCCCTAGGGTGCCAATGTTGAGTAATGACGGAGAGAGTAAGAGAAATGCCGGTACATCCGCTACGTCCAAGTATTGTTCAACGAGGAACTGTACTTCAGGCAAGTGGAGCCCCTGTCCTGTGGTCGTGTGGGCGGGAAGACTGTCTGATAGTGTTGTTTTGAAGTACAAAAGGAGGAGGATGCCAACGATAACAGCCGCGCTCTTGTTATTTTGTTGCCTCCAAAGCATAGTCGCAACCCGGTCCTGCTTTATCTATGCATCACTCTTAGAAAAGCATCTAGCTGGAAAACAGCGGTATTTCAGGCGACCGCTCAAAAGGAGATACGGCATGAATAGACTGTGGAAAGAAATCACGTTGCCATATCTGCTATCGTGGAAAATAAATGGCTGCTAGCCTGCTATACGGTCCGGGGACTTGATGCCCAAGTTGCGGAACTGAATAGGAAAACGGATCTCCGGATGGGATCCCCCTCCTTACTTCCTCCTCGGACACGTGTGATATATATGTAATGCATGGTGTGGCGATGCAACCTGACACATCCTGCCAAGAGAGTCGAATCGACTGCTCCCCCGCGTTACACGAGCGAACATCAGGGTTCCCCTCCCCCTCCTTTCATAGCGCTGTTTGCTCTATTTATTCCTTCTATCTGTTATGTCTGTTAGTCTATTGTCCGCGTGCGCCTCAGAAAGCGACATGATAGCCATCGTCTTCATGACTCCATTGCTCCATGCAGACCATCAGACGGAGGGGGCCGCAGCGGATCAAACTATTGTATTAGAAGGTGGGTTCCGGCGGGTTCTTCAACGCGTATGCAAATCAATGGGGCAGATACCTGGGGTGACAAATTAGGATTTATTGGTGGGCCCTCTCTCCGCTTTCTGGTTTGATCTTTGCCACCAAAGGAGCAATGGGCGCATCTGAAGAAGGATGTCGCTCTGTACTTTTTATTTGTAAACGTCGTTTGTGTGTAAAGCTGCCACGATGCAACATTTAAACAAAAGGGCCGGGAGAAAAGACAAATGGATGGCGAGGGCAACTACTGTAGTAGTCTCTCTCAATTGCTGTTATGCAATTTGTCCCGATATCTTTCTATCTATCTCTCGCTCCCACAAACAATAGGGAGGTCGACTGCGGCGTGGTGCATATTCTCTTTTTCCTTTTTCCTCACCCTTTTGACCTTAACCATACACGACTCCTCCTATAGGACACGAGCGTGGTTTTGGATGTGTTTTTTTCCACTCTCCCCCTCTCCATGCTGAATGGCAATGGGACGGCGGGGGGCAGTCTGTCGGTCGTGTGCTCTCGGGCAGCGATATGATCAATTGTATCCCCCAGCCTCGACTCGACTCTACTCGGACATACGCTCTTTCCAAAGGAAATGCATTTTATGTGGTCCCTGGCTGAAGGCCCAATTGGTGCACGGGTCTATGGGCCATACGTCGTATACATCGGTGGCCATGGTTGAACAAGGAACGGGGTGCTTCTTTGGCTTTGTTATATAGCGTCGTCTACGTTCTCTCTCTCTCTCTTTTTTTTTCTTTTGTTCTTCGTCCTTCATCACAATTCCATTCAGTGCCGGAAAGACGCCTTCATTCACCTTTTTCCATCGGACAATCTTCTCCTTTGCCACCCAATTCACATCCCCCATTCCAGAAAGCAAGCATAGCCCTTTCTTAACAGCAGCGCACCACTGGGAGATCTCAATAAAGCATCCGTATCCGAGCCTCAATTGGACTCTCTCCTCTCTTCTCTTCTCCTCTCCCGTCAGAAAAAGCATACTGTTATCCTATCCCCCACTTGACATCAACTCGACTTGACTGATGTCTGACCACTTGAACACCTTGACCACCTCGGGCACCAACAACTCTGCTGCCAACTCCCCCACTGCCAGCCCCCGCGTTGTACCCATTCCCCCTGAAGCCTCCGCTCTCCTTCAGTCGCTCCTCCGTGAGAACAACATCGTCATGCCCACCAACGCCAACGCCAACGCCAACACCATCAGCCAAGATTTCTGTCTCTTCGAGGCCAACGAATCCGCCTTTGACTATCCCCTCTTTGCTGAAAGCCTCAAGCTGCAGCAACAGCAACAGCAACAGCAACAGCAATTCACTCAACATCAACAACAGCAACAGCAGCATCCTACGAACATCATTACTACCAACCCTCTTTGCACTCCGCAGACCCCGTCCATGGACCTGCCCGAAGGCAACAACCGGTCTATGGATTCGTTTGGATTCGACGGCTTTTCTGCCTTTTTAGAAGAGTCTGCTAGTAGCCACAGTGCCCCTTCAGTCGCCCTGATCCATCTGAATGAGGACCCGTTTGACAATGCTATGAATCGAGCCAGTTGCGCAGACGGCCTCATGAGTCAGCAATCTCAGCAGTCGGCCCCGTCACTCATGAACACACCTTTCACACCCTATCTCGACACTCCGTTCGAGACCCCGTACCTGGCCGATTTTGGGTGGGACAATAAACGCACGAGCCAGGTCCTCTTTGGTGCCGGGCAGGACATGGCCAACGGCTGCGGTAATAGCCATGGCCGTAACCAACCCCCCGTCATCGCGTGCTCGCTCTTTCCCGAGTACGACTTTGACATCGCCGCTGCTCTCGAGGGCTGTGCATACAATACAATTGAGCCTGCAACGCTCCTCATGGCCTCGCCCGCGATTCATCACCCGACTGATTTTTTGGACGACAACGCGTCTGACACCTCCTCCTCCGCCTCGGACCTTTCCCTTGGCTCGCCCTCGCCTTCTCCCGCTCCCGTCAAGGCCCTTTCTGAAGACTTTTTGGATTCTGAGAGCGAGGACCTGGAGCAGGGTGATGAACAGGACGACAATGAGGCTGACTCGTCTGAGGACAATGACGAAAATGACCTTGACGACGACGATGACGAGTACGTCCCTTCGCGGTCCCAGGCATCCGCAAGCGCCATGTCTGGATTCAAGCGAAAGGCGCCCTCCTCCTTCGCCTCTGGCCGCGCCACCAACCGCACCAGTATCGACGATGCCACCCCGGCCAACCCATGCAAGAGGACTCGCCCAGAGCTGGCGAGTCCTTTTGGGGGGAAGAAGTCCACCAGGAAAAAGAAGCCCGACGCTGACAAGCGTTTCTTGTGTATCCACCCTGGCTGCGGTCGTCGATTCGCGCGTCTCTTCAACCTTCACACACACGAGCGGACCCACGACCCTTGCCAGGTCCGTCCATTTGTCTGTCCCGCTCTCCATTGTACCAAAGCGTTCTCTCGCAAGCACGATCTCCAGCGCCACGAGGCGTCGGTCCACAAGGGAGAGCGCAATTACAAATGCCCGACATGCTTCAAGCCCTTCTCGCGCCAGGACGGCCTCCGCCGCCACCTCGTTGTCAAGGGCAGCATCTGTGCAACAGGACGCGTTGATGATGCCGCCGAGACCGAGACAGGATGGAGTGCGACTTGAGAGCATAGGCTGCGTCAGCCCAGCCACCCTTGCACTTGAACAATTACTCTTGACGACAGGCGAATCCGACTCTTTTGGATGGCCCTGGTTCGGTACCGATGATATCCATGCCTCCATAGGCGTCGATCCCTCATCTCTCTTCATTCCGACTTTTCCATGGAACCCCGGGATTGGACCGCCTTTTTATAAGGCTGGTTCTCGAAACATGGACACCGTATATGTTCCTTACACTGATGGGACTACAACTCTTCTACAACAGGACACAATTGGACCTGGATATGCGCGGGATATAATGGGAGTGGATTTCGACGATCTCGCTCTTTTGGATTGACGGACCATGAAACCATCTCAGCAGCAGACTCTTGTTGGACATTTTCTTTCTTTGATATACTGGTTTTTCGGCGGCTACAGCACGGCGCGCTAAAGGATGGTTTTTTCGGGAGACGGACATGATCTTTTCTCTCTTTTCCTTCCACTTGCGCCCCCCGATGTGTGTTGGCTTTGGTTTTATCTTCCATTTGGTTTTATTCATCTTCGATACTGTCAATACCCTTTTCTTGGAAAATCTCAGTCCCCTCTCCCTCTCTTTTCTTGAGGGTGTTTTTTCTTTCTTTCTGTATTGTTTGATAGCGACCACCTGCATGCATGCATGTATGTTTGCGCATTAGAATACAGCGTCCTAGACCATACTCTAGATAAATGTGCATGCTTCTTCTAGGGGGTTGTACTATCAGAAGAGTAAATCGCCTTAATGGCAGAGGACAAAGAGACAGGGGATTAGAGACAACAGAAATAATAAATAATACTTTCACAAGTAAATGAAGGAGTTACAGAACGCGGCGCTGCGGCTCAACAATAAGAGAGAAAGTGATCGAGAAGGCGCGTGGTTCTAGACGAGGATTACGTGTCGAGGACAATGAAAACAATCTAGTCCGCCCCCTCCCTCCCTTCCTCCTCCAAGCCGATGCGAGCATTCAGAAGAGGGCTCACAGAAATGTACATGGTACTCAAAAGGATAGGGCTTCATCGTTTCTCTTTTTTTTCTTTTTCCTTCCTTTCTTCTTGCACTTCTCTTGCTCCACAAACACAAACACACTCCATATTTCGTACATATTCTACCCCACACTCCGGACCATCTTAACTGCAGGAACACACACGCGAATGACACCAGCAGCGACGGCACATCCGGGTGTCAGGGCCAAGAAGCGAGTGGCAGTGATTGGAGCTGGTTGCGTGGGCTTAGCAGCCATCAAATCGTGCCTTGAAGAACCGGAGCATCTCGAGGTGGTCGGGTTCGAGCAAGAGTCCTACAGTGGTGGTCTCTGGCGCTATGTGGATGTCACGGCCGAGAACACGGACCCGCACTCATCCGTTTATCAGAGCACGATCATCAACACGTCGAAACCGATGATGACGTTTTCGGATTATGCGATCCCAGGATCTTGGCCGATGTATTTGCATAATAAGAAGGTCGTCCAGTACTTTGATCTTTATGCGGCACATTTCAAGCTGGTGGAACATATCAGGTTCAGGACAAAGGTCGTTGAGGTCAAGGAGCTCAAGGATGAGAAGCGAAGGTGGTTGGTGCGCTCACATTCCTTGGGCGCACCCACGCCGCCGTCATCTTCAACGATGGCTACGTCAGAGATTCAAGAGGAAGTGTTTGATTATGTGATGATGTGTACTGGACACCACTCCGTCCCACGGTACCCATCCTTCCCCGGTATGGACGCCTCAGACCCAGACGCCTTCACGGGCCAACAGATGCACTCGCATTTTTATCGATCCCCGGACGAGTTCAAGAACAAGAAGGTGGTAGTCGTCGGATTGGGGAACAGTGCTGTCGACCTTGCGGTGGAGCTGTCGATGAACCAATCCCAAGTGTATCTCGCGATTCGGTCCCCGATCTGGGTGGCCCCCCGCTGGCTCTTTGGCAAGCCCCTGGATTACTACACCCTCCGATTCAATTACTTCCTTCCGTTTATCGTTCTGAAACTCATGGCCGCATTCCTGTTCAGTCTCGCGGTCCCGGATGTGCACCCGCTGATGCGACCGAAGCGCCGACCCTTTGAGGCCCATACGACAATCAATTCCATTCTCCCCGAGCGGATCTCGACGGGCACGGTCGTGCCAAAGCCGAACATCAAGCGGATTGGACCAGGCAAACGTGTGGAATTCGAGGATGGAACGGTGGTGGAGGAGGTGGATGTCATTTTCTGGTGTACCGGTTACAAGATCTCGTTCCCTGCTCTCCATCCCGAGGTCCTCACGGACGGGCACGGCGATCTTTCAAAGAACCAGGTCTGGCTTTGGAATTATATGCTCCCGCCTCGCCACCCGAACCTGGCCTTCATCGGACTCTTCCAGGCCGTGGGCGCGCTCATGCCTGTGGCAGAACTCCAGACCCGGCTCCTGGTGCAGGTGTGGTCCGGTAAATCCAAGCTTCAGGAACCCATCCCGACCGATCCAGGAAAGATGGACGAGGAGATTTTGAAGATGAAGGGAGAGATCCGGAAGCAGTATGGGGATTCGCCCAGACATACGATTCAGGTCGATTTCACGCCCTATAACGATAAGCTGGCGAAGCAGATTGGGTGCTTTCCAAGCTTTGGGAAGCTGGTGAGGGCGTTTGGGGTGGTCGAGGGAGTGAAGTTGTGGCTGGAGACGATCTTTGGGCCGCCGATTCCAGTGCATTTCCGGTTGGTGGGACCTCATGCCTGGGTCGGGGATGAGGACGAGGTGCGGGGTCAGGGAGATGAGAAGGCGGGAGAGGCGGCGAGGCAGGCTATTTGGGGGTATTCGGGGAAGAAGAAGTATGTGGACTCGAAGTACCTGAGGGACGAGACCGAGGAATTGCTGGAGAAGGAGAAGAAGAAGAAGAACGGGGTATTGGTACAGCCGCAAGAAAACCTTGTGGATCTTTGAGCGGCCCTTCTTTTTTCGTGTTTTATTACTGGTATTGCTATCCTATACCGGTTAATGCAGTTTAGTGATTGATATGAGAATAAAGAAAAAGAAAAAGAAAAAAGAGAAAGACAGCTGTTGGAAAGCGAGCCAGCTTGGTTCCGGAAATGGACTCCTCCATGGTGCCTCGGCGAAGCACTTTGAGGGGGGAGGAGGAGGGGGTGTGATCCAGGCACGATTTCACAGCATAAGTGTATTAAGGTTAATAGTCACCCATGGAATCCTCAAGCCACTCTCAACAACAGACCTCAAGGAAAAAAAAAATGCCCTTTTCTTCAACTCAATTCTCCTCCTTCATTCCAAACTCAGAGTCCAGCAAGCCCTTCAACAGAACAAAAAACAAAGAAAGGAAGAAAGAAAAAAACCCCCCGAGACCATGGTTGTTATCACATACTGCGTGGAATACGCCCAGTCTCAGAAGAGTGTCTGTTTGAAATGCAACAAGGTGATCCCGAACAAGTCTTTGCGGGTCGGACGCATGGAGCGTCAGTCCGAGAAGGAGAAGAAGAAGTTTGCAAAGTTCCGGTGGTACCATTTCAAGTGCTTTGAGGTAAGCAAGCAAGCAAAAGAAAGAGAAAAAAACTCCTTCCCCCTCGGTCGTCAGCGAAGAAGAAGAGGAGCGTTGTTACAAGGAAACAACATTAGGAGGGAAGGAATCCTTCCAGGAATATTGAAAGTATACTGACAGCCCATTACTCGTCCTCAACGCCCCCTTGTTGTTTTGTTAGATCCCCGAGATCATGACCAAGATCCCAGTGCACCTGATCCGCGGACAAGTCGACCTCCTCGACAAAGTATGCCACTGACAACCTACAGCCTGTTTTTTTTTTTGTGTGTGTGTTTTTCTTTTCGTTTCCAACCTTTCAACCCTTCCCCTCCTCTAACTGTCTCCACTATTTCCTCCCTACTCAATCTCTCATTATCGCATAGGACAAAGTACGCCTGGAACGCGTGATCAAACTCGGAGTCGGAGCCTCATGGTCCCAAATTGTTGAGCAGCACAAAAAGAAGGCCCAAGAGGACGCGGACGCCGCCGCTGCCGAGGCCCTCGCCAATGGCACACCCCTGCCTACTCCATCTTCGAAATCCATAGACTCTGACGATGACGAAAACGACGATGATGGCAACGGACAGAACGGCGGGAGGGATTTCACGGCCCAGTTGACGGGTGAGGTCGACCGGAAACAGGAGCGGAAGAACCGAAAGGTGAATAAGTTGAAGGCCAAGACTGAGGGAGCCAAGGTCGAGAAGAAGAAGCAACAGAATCAGAAGGGCGCAGCAGTATCGGCATCAGGAACAAAAAGCAGCAGCAGCAGCAGCAGCAGTAATAACAACAAGAGTGCAGGAGCAAGCAAAGGAGGAAAGGAAATGTCGGCGGTCGAGAAGGCGATTGCGGCCTCGAGGGCTGATAGTAAAAAGAAAATGGAGCAGATGCAGAACAAGTTTGGGAAGAAGTAAGGGCGAGCTATCGTCTGAGGCGAACCCCACACGCATGCACATACACACACAAACACACAAACACACAAACACACACACATCACAACAGCAATAACAGCATTCAGGATAGGCATTAGGGACGAAGCATCAGGACAAAGCATCAGGACAAAGCATCAGGACAAAGCGTCGGGGAACAAGCGTCGAGAGGAATTCGCATCATTCACGAAAAAAAAAAAAAAAAAAAAAAAAAAAAAGATATTAATAAAATGATAATAAAAACTGAAACTCATCAGGCACTATTGCGCTACATTCCATCCATATTGCTATGCTGACATGGACAACGACGACGGCGCCAGCAATCATCTGTATGTATGCATAGATAGGATCGAAAAGGTAATGTTTATAATCATGTTTTTTTTTTCTTGTATTTACAAGTCTTTGGTCGACTGCGTTTACTCTTCGTTCATCTGTGGTTGGGCGAGATATGGTGTTGGGGTTGGCAATTTTGGTGGCAAAAATAAAATCGATCTATTCCTCACACAGACCATTTGTTCATCTCCTCAACCAGCCGATCTACTGTACTCCCCCCACCTCCTCCTGCTCCTTCTACTCCTCTTGTAGTAGATCCAGTCCCAGACATGCCACCATCCTGCCTGGCCTGCAACAGATTTGCCAATCCGCCACGCTGACTCTTCCAATGCCTTCCACCACCACCACCACTATTAATACTACTCTTGAGTCCCGACAACGACGACGACGAAGACGACAATAAAGAAGTGTGTGTAGTGACCAGATCATTAGTCGCCAACCGCATGATCATTCCTCCCCCACGCTGCTGTCCTTCGTCCTCCAGATCCAATCTAAACGCCGACACCCTCTTCCAGTCTGACAGTCTCCTCCAATTCGATCCTGCAGAAGACGACGACGACGACGACGCATTGTTATTGTTCAGGCCCGTGGATGGGTCGGCTGCGAGGGCTGAAGGTGGTGTCAATCCAGTCGAAAACTCGTCATTTATGCTCAGATTCGACAACAAAGACCCATAATAGTCCTGCTTATCCTGCTGCTGTTGTTGTTGCTGTTGTCGCCCTTGAGATTGCTTAGTCCCGTCCTGAAAGGGATTCACACAGGTAGCGGCCCGTCGATTCGTCCTCGCAGTCATATGCCTCAAATGCACCGGTAGTCTTGACCGATAATGAGCCTTGTTCACTCCTCCCCCACTCGCTCCCGATCCTGTCACCAACAACGACAACGGTGGCGGCCGTAGCACCATATCCTCACCTCCATCCTCCCACCGTCCCTCTGCCGAGAGCGGTGGCACAGTCCGAGGCCGTCCAACGACCCCGATCGTCCTCAGATGATAATCCCGCTGGGCCGAAGAAGTCCAATGCTGATAGGGTGGGAACTTGCGATACGTGAATGGATTGTAATGGAGATGATGGCGAAGTGTGTAGCCATGGTTATGGTTATGGTTATGGCTATGATTATGGTGATGGTGGTGACTCGGATGGGTGTAGAGTAAGGCGTTCGCACGTTCGGACCCTGGGGCGGGAGCATAATAGAGCCGGTGCCGGTGCGGACGCGGGATGGAGGCGAGGAAGGATTCGCGTGAGAGGTGTGGTAAGTTCGCGTAGTCTGGAGTTGCAGTGTGGAGTGTTGTCTTTGAAGGGGCAGTGGAAGGGTGTGAATCGTCGGTTTCCATATCCTGGTCGCCGTCGTTGTCCGTTTGTTTTGAGGAGGAGGATGACAATAATGGGGCGGTGATGGTGGCGGTAGTAGCGGTGGAAGAAGAAGAAGTAGTGGTGATGGTTGTATCGGTGTCTCCATTTTGGGATTGCTGCTGCTGCTGCTGTTGCTGTTGCTGTTGCTGTTGCTGTTGCTGTTGCTGTTGCTGTTGCTGTTGCTGTTGCTGTTGCTGTTGCTGTTGCTGTTGCTGTTGCTGTTGCTGTTGCTGTTGCTGTTGCTGTTGCTGTTGCTGTTGCTGTTGCTGTTGCTGCTGAAGAAGCAGGGGGACAGATAGACTGCGTTTGCGGTGGAATCCTGCGATGGCAGCCCCAGAGCGACCTCGTTCGATAGGCTCCCCTTGCTGGGCCATCGCTGGTTCTTGTTGGAGGTGAAAGGCACTACGGTGGTGATGGAGTTGTGGATGGGGGTGGTGGATGTGCTGCTGGTGAATATGGATGAGATGGGGGTGGAGATGTTCTTGCTCGTTGATGTGTTGGGAGGGGAGGATGGTTGGGCTCATCAGCAGGGCCGGTGAGGGCGAAACTGATGAGCCGCTGTTGTTGCCGCTGCTGTTGTTGTTGTTGTTGTTGTTGCCCCCATAGCGTTCCTGGATGAAGCCCCGCTCCTGCTCGTGCTCCTGTGCCTGTGCATGGACCGGTGGCTGTGCCTTTGACTCCTGCTGATGTGGATGAGGCTGATGGTGTGGATGATGTCGATGCTGGAGCTGCTGGTTCAAGAAGTGTTGTTGTTGCTGTTGCTGTTGCTGTTCCTGCGCGAGGGCACCACTGTTGTATTGATGAAGCATGCAGAAGTGCGGTGGCAGGAAGGGATCAGATGGGATGGGGAAGAGGAAGGAAGGAAGGAAGGAAGTGGAGAGTGGGAAGTGATTGGAAGGAAGGAGGGAGGGAAGGGGGGAAGGAAAGATATAAAAAGATGTGTAGAAAGATATAAAAAGATAAAGACGATTAAACAAAGGAAAGGGGAAGGGGGAGCATGGACGACGTGTCTTTCCTCCTTTCCCTGGGACCCTTACACCCTCACACCGACTCAATGGGTGGTCCTCGCCTCTCCATACGCCCACTGGTCTCCCTTCCCTTGCCTCCAGTCTGCTATCGCATGGAGGCTAAACGAGCACGCGTAGCCATCCTTCCCCCCTACCTCTTGTTTGGCTGCTGGTGGGACAATCGGACGCGCCTGAGTGGTTGAGTGGTTGAGTGGTCGATCGGATCTTCATTGCCTGAAATCGAGGGGGCTCGACTCCACGCACACGACTTCCTGGCTGGCACACCTTAATCTCTCCAGATGAGTCCTGTCTTTGTATCTTTTTCTGCGCACATCAGCATGTATAAAAACATATACAACATATACATGTACATGTACATACACATACAGCGCACATACCGGACATCCACAAGCAATGGCCAGATCGTACCACCAAAAATCATTCGCTCCCCTCCTCTCGCACGGACACACTGGACCTCAAGTCCTCTGGTGACACAGCCGCTTAGCCACGACCAAAAAGCGTCACCACCAAGTCGCGCCCTGCTTGCCAATCAGATCTCCCTATGCTGCCCGCACCGTACCCGAGGAAGATGTTTATAAAACCATGCCCAGGGACCTCTCTCTCCTCCACTTCCTCGATCGCACCCTCCCCTCCATATTAACCTTCCTCTGAACGACATCCCCCTCTCCTCCAAACACTCCGTCGCAGCATGAACACCCTCATGGACATCCCCGAGCTGCTGTCAACAATCTGCCACAACCTCGACAGACACTCTCTGCTCGCCGCTACCCTTGTTTCCCGATCCTGGAACTACATCTGCTCCCCTCTCCTCTGGGAATACTGTCTCTTCTCCGCAGAGCAATACGGCCTCTTTCATGACATCTTTGACAATCATGCTCAACTTATCCGCCACATGGATGCCAAGCACCGCCTTATCGGAAACGAAATGCGCTTTGTTGCCCAACAATGCACCAATCTTGCTTCGCTCAAGCTACAAAACTGTCATGTCGCCCCCTCAAGTCTCGAGATCCTATGCGAGGGCATCCCTCAGGTCCAGTTCCTGGCCTTTGAGCTCTGCAGAGGTGTCAACAGCTCTAGTATCGCTTCCAGACTAACACGGCTACCGAGGCTGTCGCGTCTAGATATCGTTGTCCATGTACAGGAGCGAGGCAATGGCGACTGGCGAGAAAACGATGTTGCCCTCATGCTGACGGGATGTTCGCTTCTCGAGTACCTCAGGATTGTAGGACCAGACTTATCGCATATCCATCTCCGTAGTGTCCGTCGCCACAGTTCACCACTACGGCTGGTCCAGCTGCATTTGGTGTCCACATTCATATCCGAAGGAGCGCTAGAGAACCTGCTGGCGAAATCCCCGAATCTCTCCACACTGATCCTCCTGATGAACGCGAATAAGAACTCGATGGTCCAGGCGATTGCCAACAACTGCCCGAACCTTCGGATGCTCGAGCTCAAGAATTCCAAGAGCATTGCGACCTCTGCATTTGGCTCTGTCTTCAAGAAATGTCCATTGTTGACGAACCTCGATATTTCGTACACACTCATCTATGACGCTGCCATCTCAGCCCTCGCACAGCATTGTAGTCGGCTTCGGATCTTGGATCTCACAGGCTGCTCGCGTATGACACATGTTGCGTTCTTGGAGCTGATGTCGAGGTTGACGAATCTCAAAGAGCTGTTGGTGAGCGGGTGTACTCGACTGAGGATTGCGGCCTTTTCTGATGCGACAGTGTGGGCCAGTCGAGGGTCGCTTGAGGTGCTGGATATTTCCTCGGTCGGGATCAAGGTTGGGTCGGATTCGTTGGAGGGGCTGGTTCAGCACTTGAGGTCGTTGAAGAGGCTTCGACAGCTGTATCTGGACGAGGCAGTGAGTCAGCATGGTGATGTGCAGCGGCTCCTAGAGTCTTTAGATGTGGTGCTGTCCATAACCGAACCTGCTCACCAACCACCCAACTGAAAGTAAATTGGTGGCAACACAATTCCCAGTCCATATCACATGACGAGTGTTTTGGTGATGAAAAAGAGAAAAAGAGAGAGTGGGTCCTGGCTCTGTTCGGCTCCTTCTCTCTTCTCTCCATCCTCACTCCCCCCATCCAAAAAGAAAAAAATCTTTTTTTTTTTTTTTTAATACTCTTTTTCCTCTCCGATTGCCTTTGCCCAGTGCACTCCCAAGGGAAAAACAAAAAAAAACAAAAAAAAATAAAAAAGAATCAAAAAACAGCCCTCACTTCCACCCTTTCCCTTCAACCGAACGACCCTCCAACGGATTTCTTCAGTGAAACTCCCTTGTCTTCACCTCCATCCAACCAACCCTCCTTTTCAATCTCAATCCAATAATGTCCTCACCTGTTGCCGCCGCTGACGTCCAGGCCGCTGCTGCCACCCCCGTCGCCACCTCTGCCGCACCCGCTGCCAACCACCTCAGTTTGGAACAGCAGCAGCAGATTGCCGCCGCTCAGGCCCAGGCTGCCCAGGCTGCCCACTTCGCACCCGTCCCAGCCGCTGCCCCAACTGCCTCGGCTTCGCTCTATATCGGCGAACTCGATCCCTCCGTCAACGAGGCCATGTTGTTCGAGATGTTCAACTCGGTCGGCCCTGTTGCTTCGATCCGTGTCTGCCGCGATGCTGTCACTAGACGTTCGCTCGGCTATGCCTATGTCAATTTCCACAACGTTGCCGATGGTATGTCCCTTGTCACTATTACTGAATCCTTATTCTTACTTTGCCACCAGCTGTCTGTTCCTTTCTTTGTTTCTTTGTTGTTTGTCGTAGGCGGCGGTGGGTGATTAGTCTTTTTGTTGTGATGGAAGAATTTTACTATTGTTATTATTTTTTTCCCCCAGAGCAGGACCGGACTGGACTTTGAACGGGAACAGTACGGTGCAGGACGGGACATGTGGGGCAAGGTGGCAAACACAGGATACAAAAGCAAAAGACCCAACTTGTCGGATCTATTAGGGTTAATTCGAGCACCATACCTGCAGCATTTTTTTTTCTTCATCGATAGGGAGGGAGTCTAGCAAAAAGAAGACGGATACCACACACCATGCATACCATGCGCCTTTTTCTTTTTTTCTTTTTCCTTCTTTGTTACGGCTTTACTGCGGAGAAAATCAAAATCAGCCAGTCATGAATGATTCTACAGTCGATAGCGAGCAACAACCTGGCATGAACACAAACACAAACACAACTTTTTTTTTTTTTTTTTGTAACATCTTTTATGCATCTTTGTTGTTCGTTGTGTTTTTTTTTTTTTTTTTCCTTCAGGTAGAAAAGGCATTTGATCATGGAGAAAAGAGATTGCTGAAGGACAGACGGGTCTAAAAAATACGCTGTTGTTCACAGGGGTTGTTAATGTGCAACTAATGACTCAGGATGGCACTGGGATATCCTCAGTGGTTGTGAAACGACCATGGAACCCAGGCACTCGGCTTCCTTTCAAATTGGATGCAGTGCGTTCTCACGGTCTATCGAAACCCTGATGGCGTGTTTTATTTCTTCCTTCTCTCCTTCCTTTTCTATTTCTCTCTATCTTGTGGAAACAGATGCTTTTGGATTGTACGCCGCCTCTACTGAAGGCATGCTTGTGGCTAACCATAGCTCGCTCTGATCTCTTTGAATAGGTGAGCGTGCTTTGGAGACCTTGAACTACACTTTGATCAAGAACCGTCCCTGCCGCATCATGTGGTCCCAGCGCGACCCCGCCCTTCGCAAGACCGGTACCGGCAACATCTTTATCAAGAACTTGGATGCTACGATCGACAACAAGGCCCTTCACGACACCTTCTCTGCCTTTGGCAACATCTTGTCGTGCAAGGTCGCCACTGAGGATGGTCAGTCCAAGGGATACGGTTTCGTTCACTACGAGACCCACGAGGCTGCCGAGAACGCCATCAAGCACGTCAACGGCATGTTGTTGAACGACAAGAAGGTCTTTGTTGGTCACCACATCTCCAAGAAAGAGCGCCAGTCCAAGGTTGAGGAAATGAAGGCAAAGTTCACGAACGTCTATATCAAGAACTTGGATCCCGAAGTCTCCCAGGAGGAGGTTGAGGCTCTCTTCACCAAGTACGGCCCCGTTACCTCGTGCGTCGTCTCGACCGACGAGAACGGTCGTTCCAAGGGCTTTGGATTTATCAACTTTGAGAACCATGATGATGCCAAGCGCGCCGTCGACGAGCTGCACGAGTCCGAGTACAAGGACAGGAAGCTGTTTGTGACCCGCGCCCAGAAGAAGGGCGAGCGTGAGGAGGAGCTCAAGAAGCAGTACGAGCAGCAGAAGCTCGAGAAGCTGAGCAAGTACCAGGGCGTCAACCTCTACATTAAGAACTTAGACGATGATATCGATGATGAGAAGCTGCGTCAAGAGTTCTCGGTCTATGGTGTCATCACCTCCGCCAAGGTCATGCGTGACGAGAAGGCCGCCGGCGAGGGTGAGGAGGCCAAGGGCCCCTCCAAGGGATTCGGATTCGTCTGCTTCTCTTCCCCTGACGAGGCTACCAAGGCTGTTACGGAGATGAACGGTCGCATGATCGGAACGAAGCCCATCTACGTTGCTCTTGCACAGCGCAAGGAGGTCCGTAAGTCCCAGCTCGAGGCTCAGATGGCTCAGCGCAACCAACTCCGCATGCAACAGATCCCTGGACAGATGGCAGGCGGCATGTACCCACCCCAGCTCTTCTACCCCGGCTTCCCTCCCCAGGGCGGCCGCGGCATGGTCTACCCTGGCCAGCCTGGTATGATGCCCCGTCCCCGCTGGGTTAACCCCGGCCAGCCTCAGCAGATGCACCCCGGCGCCCCCATGCCCGGCTACCCCATGGGTCAGGGATTCCCTCCCATGCAGGGCCGTCCTCGTGGTCAAGGACCCCGTTCCCAGTCCCAGCGCGGAGGTGCTGCCGGTCAGCAAGGTCGTCCCCAGGGCCCTCCCTCCCAAGGACCTGCTGGAGCTCCCCGCGGCGCCCCTGGCGCTGGCCGCGGTGGTTACACCCGTAACACTGGACAAGGCCGTGGTGGTAATGCACCTGCCGCGGCTGCCGCCCCTGCTGGCGATGCCAACACGTTGACGGCTGCTGCTTTGGCGGCTGCCGACCCTGACCAGCAGAAGCAGATGGTTGGTGAGCATCTTTACCCCAAGATTGCAGCCCGCCAGCCCGACTATGCCGGCAAGATCACCGGAATGTTGTTGGAGATGGACAATGGAGAGTTGCTGCACCTGTTGGAGGATAGTGAGGCTCTGGATGCCAAGGTCGAGGAAGCGGTTTCGGTGCTCAAGGCCCACGAGGGTGATGATGAGAGATCTGCTTAAGGAAGGGACCAAGGATCGAACAAGACTGCGCGAGGAAAGACAAGGAAACGAAGGGGAAAAGGATTAATCAATGGGATCGTCGTTGGCTTTACTTCTTTATCCTCTCGTTCTCTCACCCTCTCTGCACCAACACACACACACATCCTTTTGAGCAGGTTGTATCAATGAAATAAAATTTCGCCTGGGCAAAGGTCATCTCGAAAGAGAGTTAAAAGAAAAGAAAAAAGAAAGAAAGAAAACTACCACCATGCGTTGCACGTTTTGTTTCTACAAGGTACATCGGCTCCTTCGGCTGTCCCGTCTTCCTGCCAATTGTCGCGTCCTTTGAAAATAAGCACCACGTGCCTTATGGGAGATGGCACTTTATTTTATTTGGGCGTAAGTCTATTTTGCGCAGACTCCCTCTGGCCAAAGGGCGGTTGCACAAAGGATCATCCGCCCCATCACTCTCAAACCCATCCTCTTGTTCATCCATTCGAGGAAGAAGAAAGAAGAAAAAAAACCAACCCAACTAACTACAACCAACTACAACCAAGAAAGAAGAATGGCACTCCCGGACGACCCAAAGACGATCGCAAGGCTGCTCGAGCAAGTGGCCCAACACGCGGCCGGCCAGCTCGACTGCTCGACCGAAGTCCAGCGGCATACCCTTCCCCTCCGACCCTTCCCTGCACACTCTGCGCAATTCGTTTCCAGCTCCTGCAAAGAGTCTTCCGGCTCCACCGTAGGAGCAGCAGCAGCAGCAGCAGGTACAGGAGCAGGGTCAGGGGCAGGAACAGGGACAGCGGTTGGGACGATGGATGAAGAAACACGGGCGTTCCTAAAGCAAGGGTTAAGTGAACATGGCTCTGGGTTAGAGAAGACTGTAGAGGAGCTCCTGACGAGGATCGGACCGTCGTTGGCGAACAGTGCGGGGCCACGGTATTTTGGGTTGGTGACTGGAGGGGTCACGCCGGCGGCCCTGTTGGCGGATTGGGTGGTCTCGACCTATGATCAGAACACGATCCTCTGGAGCGACGAGCAGACTTCGGGATATAGTCTGATCACGGAGCTGGGGATGCGGATGCTCGTCCAACTGTTTGATCTCCCCTTGCCCGAGCAGGTTGGGGGCCGCGACGGTAACGACGTCGTCGTCGTCCATAGTGAAGCCAATGGTGATGGTGATGGTGGACATGAAGAGTCCAAGGGGTTCAGGGCAATGACGACGACGGGGTCGACGGCCTCGAACATCGTGGGCATGGCTGCTGGGCGACAATGGCTTGGGATCTATGATCGGGATGGGACGGATTATGCACAGGATGGGTATGATGGGCAGGTGGTGGTGGTGACGAACATGGCCCATGCGAGTGTGTGGAAGGCGGCGAGTATCTTGGGGATTGGACGGAAGCAGGTCGTGGAGGTCCCAGAGATGGGGATGGGGGACTCGGAGGAGGATGAGCGTGAGGAGGCCTTGGAAAGCAAGGTGAAGGAGTTGAAAGAACGGGGAAAGAGTGTTCTTGTGTTCTTGGCCTTTGGGGAGGTTAACACGGTAAGTTTAGATTGATTCAGCTTCGTCGTTTGTTTTTTTTTTTCTTTTTTTATTACTATGGTCTGAACTGTAGTTTGTGGTTTTATGGAGTAGAGGAAGGACGAAGGAGATTAAGACGCTGGATTATTTTCATTTTTTTTTTATCGACTCGACTGGGTGGATGTGTAGGGCATATTCCCGAAGAACACGCGTCGGATCGCGGAGATTTGCAGAAAGTATAACGCGTACTTTCATATCGATGGCGCCTTTGGGATCTACGCGCGTTGTTCTCCAAAGTACGCGCACCTCGCTGACGGGCTTGAATTGGCCCATAGCATCACCGGTAAGGACTCGATTTTCATGGTGGATGAACAACACGCGTTTATTTCGTTTACTTTTTAGTTTTTTTCTATTCACCTCTAACGCATACTTCTTTTTTTCTTTTTTTCTTTTTTTCTTTTTTTCTTTTTTTCTTTTTTTCTTTCTTTTTTTTTTTCTTAGCCTGCGGACACAAATGGCTGAATGTTCCTTACGACTGCGGCCTCTTCCTGTACCGGTCCTCACTCGAGACCGCGATCCTCGAACCGATCTTCTCCTCCACAGCCGCATACCTCCGTCCCTCCGGCACATCCTTCTCGCACCCGATGAACATCTCGATCGAGAACTCTCAGCGGTTCCGCGCCCTCCCCGTCTGGGCTACCCTCCACGCCTACGGTCGTGAGGGGTACTGTAGGATCGTGGAGGAGAACTGTCGGTTCGCGAAACGGATGTTTGATTGGATGAAGGTGGAGAGGTGTGATTTATTTGAGGTGCTCACGGAGGAGTGTCCGTTGAACATCGTTGTCTTTGCGGGGATTAGTCTTCCTAACCGTTCTCAGGAAGGAGGAGGAGAAAGGGAGAAGGAGGTGTTGGAGAGGAGGAATGCGAAGCTGTTGAGGGCAATCAATGAGACGGGGGTCGCGTATTTCTCACCGACAGTGTGGAAGGGTCGAGCAGCGATTCGGGCGGCGATCAGTAACTGGAAGACGACGGTTGAGCGCGATTGGGAGCCTGTGAGGGCTATGCTGGAGGAACAAGGGGAGAAGATCTTGAGGGAGGAAGTAGTTTGAGGGGCTTTTTTTTTTTTTTTTTTTTGCTGAGCATAGATCGTACTATAGACATAGACGCGTGTTGTTTCTGTTGGAAATGAATTACTACCCCCAAGATGTGCTATGGTTGGTGTGAATTCTCAACCCATCCCCGTGCGTTCCTGGATCGGCGTGCACGGACAGTTCGCGTCTAGAAGAAATTGGCCCCATTCAAGCCTCGCTGAGTTGAATCTGCAGGAGAAACAATAGGATAATCCGTGACGAAGATGATGATAGCGATAGAGGACCTATACAGGACGATGACGCGTTTGACAATGGGGATATTGATCCCAGGAACAGTCGAGCGCCTGGAGGAGAGCAAGGACCGAAAGCTAAAAAATAAAATACAAAAACTGAAAAGGAAACCAGCAGTGGACAGTGTTCTGGATCACATCAAGAAGATCGATCATCACACGGAGGCCTAGTTAAAGGAAATCGAGGAGATAAAGCGGCAACTGGCTAAGGAAGAGGCCGCGTCCGTGGAGTGGAGGGAACCTGCGGAGTTTCAAGCAAAGACGGGAGCAGAGAAGAAAGAACTTGGGGTCAAGCCTGCACGGCAAAAGAGACAATACACGATAAAGCCGATTTAAGAAGGGTGCAGCTCAAGTAGGAGGAGGTGTAGCTAGAGCAATCAAGAGAGAAGGGGCCCGAGAAGAAGCTGCGAACGAGTTCTTTGGAACTACAACGGATATTCTTGAGAGGTGAAGGAACGCAGATGGGGTTACTGAGGATGAAGTTGCTACTGCGGGCGAATAAAAGGACACGTCAACTTGCTTAATATTAGCACACACACTTCTCCTCCACGGTAGCCGGAATTAACATTGTGACGACCTCCTCTCAAAGATATACAAAAAGCATAGCTCTTGTTGATAGATCTTTTACTTCCCACCCCCTCGGGGGGGGAGGGTTAGAACGCGTGTTGATGGGTCGGAGATGAAATGGGTGTACTGGCAATATTGCTGCTGGACGCGCAAGAAATACCCCCCCCCCCCCCCTTTATTCATCTCGAACCCGTGACCTAGAATAAAAATAAAATAACACAGCAAAACACAGCGCGGAGTCAAAGATGCGTACAGCAGCACAGCTATTTTGTGAGAACTGACAGTGGCGCGTGCATAGTTCAGCAAAAGAGTTTGCTGTCTAGCCTAGAACTGAGAGAAACTATGCTTGGCGCTGTAAAGCAGCCAGATTCGATGTTATAGTCTGCTTTGCGTGGAATTCTAGTAGACATTCCTGTGGTGTATTCACCATATGATTGTCTTGCTTATATAAAGTGCCTCATTTCTCTGAATCCGCCACCACTCGGCGCCGATTCTTTATGAAGAGCATTGTGCCTCTGGGACTACCTCCTATATTTCTAGCCTCCAATTATAGATGCATTTATAGCCATTCCCTAGTATATAAGGCACGATCTGCCACTATTAAACGGGCACCTCGTTTTTCACAGATCCATCGTTCTCACATACTCCGCAATCCCCATTTCAACTGACACAGTGGCAGCCTTATTCTAATTTATACCAACAGCGCTATAGATAAAGCCAGCTTAAATATTCTTTCTCCTGGGTGATAGAACGTATTCCTTCATTACACCCTTGGCTGCATTATCCCAGCTACATCAGCGCCCTTACGCTCCCAACCGCATCAGCGCCTCCAGAAGCGATTCACTAATACGGAACCATGTTCTGCTCCAATGGGTTCGACTATATCATCTCGCTTATCGTCATCGGAGATTCGGGCATAGGCAAAAGCGCACTACTCAGGCAGTTTTCCCGAGGAGATTTCGAATACGATGTTAAGCCAACAGTTGGCACTGAGATGGATTTGCGTCCAGTTTCCGTCTTAGGAAAGAGTCTCTGTCTTCGACTTACGGATACTGCTGGGCAAGAGAGATATAAGTCCATCACTCGACAATACTACAGAAACGCCGCCGGTATATTATTAATATATGATGTGACAGCACGACAGACATTCAACAACTTGCCTAGATGGCTCGAGGATATCAGACAATATGCTGGCGCCAACGTGTCAATCACGGTTGTCGGCAACAAGAAAGATTTGATCAACCAAAGGGTGGTTTCGTACGCTGAGGGAGAAGCCTTTGCCAGGGAACACCACCTCCCTTTCGTTGAAACCTCGGCCAAAGATGCATACACCGTCGAAGATGCCTTTATGAACACCACTGTGGAAATCTGCAAGAAGATTGAGCTTGGCCTGCTCAGGAACAAATCACACGGAATCATGATCGGGGAGCCTGAGCTTCCTCCTCCACCTCCATATAGTTCTCAATCCTGTTGTTGGTAATACAATTCGCGGGACGTCTCTGTACCAAATGTCTTCAGCCAAACTGTCGCAGGTAGCATCCACATATAGAAACAAAAAGTAGTTTCAATAAAACAAGAGATCCGGGTACGTCTCATGACAATATGTGGAAGTCTTTGGTGATCAGCGCGTCATATTGTTTATATAGAAATATGATAGCATAGCTACCATAGAGGAAGAAGGCGGACAACTAGACCAACTGACTTGTAGCGGCCAAGCGTTCATAGCGATGTTACTTTTTCCGATCCTTCGATGTCGGCTCTTCCTACCATAGCTGAAGCAGAACTCGGTAAGCGGTGGAATAATTCATCAAGGAATTACGAGCATGTAAAACGTACCATAAATAGGTACTGTGTAGTGTGCATGTACAAAGGCCGTAGAGAGGTCGCATCTAGAAAATGCTAGTGGCCGATCCTACATTAATGTCCTTATCCGGTGCACCCCAGACTTGTCCAACGAGAGACGAGAGTGCCTCCTGCTGGGTCATCTTGAGCGCTAGTTTGGGAGCTTTTTCTTGAGCCAGGTCTTGGGATGAGTATGGTGGGGGGGCAAGGTCGTCCTGGGCCAAGGTAGGGACAGGGGCAGGGAAAGGAACGGCGGCGGGCTGCTTCTTAGGGGACTTGAAGAGAGTCATGGTTTGTTGTGGCTGCGGTTGCTTGATGGCTGTAAAGAGGGTGCTGAAGAGATAATGGGGAGGAAGGCCAAAAGGACGATCCCTTTTAAGCAGCCACGGGGAGCTGAACACTGTGCTGAGGTGGGGGTAAAGGATATCAGGGAGACACTGTCGCACAAGCGACTTTCAAGTTTTCGACTTTCAAGTTTTCGACTTTGAAATCAATTGTCCATGGACGGTGGGAAAAATGGCTTGGTCGTAGAGTTTTCACCAAGAAGTCCCAGGCCCAATGTAATTTCTCAGTAGCTCTTTCCTTTGCCCCCATTTTGCACCCGCCTATGTCCTACCTTACACTCCTAGCCTATCCTCATTGTCATCCGCATCTCTGCAAAACAAAGCGTGTGCATTATCAAATTAGGGATAGAACTCGCATCAATTCAATATATTGCGCCCGCGACTCTCTGGCGAGGGCTGACTTTTGGACGGACTCTACTGCTGTGCTGAAGGTTAGCCGGACCAATAGAGTTAGACAACAATGAAGACTCGGACAATTGACGAGGCCCTAGCGGTCTCACGGCGGGGCGCGAGTCAATTGACTTCAGAGGAAAATTGGCATTATTTCTCACAGGTGGACACATTTTTCTAAGGATTAATGACTTGGTGGAGTCCTCGCCTAAAAGTTGCAGTGAATTTTATTCCTATTTTATGAGGATGACGATGGGGATAGACTAGGAGTGTAAGGTAGGACATAGGTGCAGAATGGGGGCAAAGACGTCAAATCGAAAGAGCTATTGAAAAACAATATTGACCCTGGACCTTCAGGCGAGGATTCTACCAAGTCATTGATCCCTCGGAAAGTGCGTCCATCCGCAGGGCCTTTTTTTTTAAATGACAGTTTGCCTCTCGAGACGATTGGCTCTGTGAATCTATCGCGCTCATCCGCGAGACCGCCAGGGCCTCGTCAGTAGAGTTCGAGCAATCAACTTTAGCCGCAGTCGCCATATCAGATTAGTCAGGCGCTTTGGTACCTCGTATATTCAACTGCAGGGATAAGTGGATAAGACAGACGTTCGAGTTTATTGCAGATAGCGTGGCAGTCGTTTTTCTTTTCTTTTTTTTTCTTGTTTTTTTTTTATTTGATGTATGTAGTGGTAAGGACAGGTACGCTGAAGGACTGACAAAGAAGTAGGGTTCATTGGCTGTGCCGTGAGCGGGCGGAAGACGCGTGTCGAAGGCGCATCCAGTCGAATTAACGGTTGTAGCTATATCCCTTGCCCTAAATTCAACACTTTTTTGTATTGGGATTGCAATTGTGTAAAATACTATTATGATTGCCACCCCACCCCCCACCCCCCCTTTCTAAGCACATATTGACACCTGGCCCCCGGTGCACCTAGAAATATAACTTGGTTGGCATTTGCTTGGAGTTGGTATTAAGGAATGAGCTGAAATGGGTACCATTGAACTCAAAACAATGCAGGCTTATATGAAGTGGACAAGAGAGCCATCAATCGTTACATGGAGATAGTGCAGGAAAAATTTCAACCCATATGTGGGATGAATTTTTTTTTCTCCCTTTTTGTAAAGGGCAAGGGATATATTAAAATAAAAATTCCTAGGGTATTCAAGGGGTCAATTGAAGCAAGCGCGACAAGCAACTAAAAAGCTTGTACAGACACACACCGAATATTCATTTCTGAAGGACTCGAAGGTGAAGGTGAGAAGGAGGTTGTGGGCCATGATGAGATCGAGGGTGCCGCGCTTTTTTTTCTTCTTTTTTTTTTTTTTGCTGCGTTGAGCGTTTGTTCCTAGTCAACCTTGTATAAATTAGAAATTGGAAACTTAATAATAATAATGATGACTGATCAAATTTTATATATCTAAAAAAGGGGGACTCAAAATCAGCCATATCAAAATACAGCGGTCGACGAATATGATTATTAAATAGTTCTTTTGTATCGGTCGGTGTATTCAGCTCGTTCGCATTGACCACTGACTATGAATGTATATACAAAAAAAATCTGCCGCAGTGGATCATTTCCTGTGCTTGTGCGGTGCTTGAATGCACTCTTTAGCGAGGAGGCAATAATTCATCGAAATCGGGTTCGCCGCTACCCGGCAATCCCTGGCCTTGCACTCGTCCCTGTCCTTGTCCTTGCCCTGGGCCACGATGCGGTAATCCCTGCCTGACATCGTCCGGCATGATCGGATCGAATCTGGCTCCCTGGGGCACTGCGTCTGGAGGAAGGTACGAATCCGCGTCCGGTCCTGCTCTGAACCGTCCCGTCGCGCTTGCTTGTCCGCTTGACAATCCAGAACTAGGATTGTTGGTTGAAGAGCCGCGCTGGGGATGCTCGTGTTGTTGCTGGTTAGCGAAGTCCTGACTGTGGTCTGCGTGCCAGGCTGGGTGGTCGGGCGTGAGGACCATGTCGGCGCTGCTGCGGGTAGTAGACGGGTTGGCTGCTTGGTGGAGCGGGTTTGAGGATTTTGAGGGCGTGGATCCCATCGAGGGGAGGCGGTCGTTGTTCCCGAGATTGAAGGACATGGTTTCTGTTGGCGATGAAGATGTAACAAGTGGTTGAAAAGTCAAGGATAGCTCGAACGCTTTGAGGGAGTAACAAGTCAAGTCGTAGAAGAACAAGGAAAATGTCTTGGCTGAGCTGATCGCGGACTGAGATCATAGACCCCGCTATGTACGTGGAAATTGAATACGTGAAAATGCGACCGCATAAAGTCTGTGTTGAATCTCCACTCCCATTCTCTCATTCACACTTCTTTTCTTTTTTACATTCATTCAACACAACGCATAATGTCGCGGCATAGGAACGTACGCAACCTCGACCTGGATGGTAATTGAACAACACACATGTTCTTCATCAGGGACGGAACCGCTTTGCACCGTCTCCACGTTATTGACTGATCGCCCCCTTTGCCATACTTTCGCACCCCTTCTCCGATATATTTCACACGAATAGATGTCCTGGACGACGGATACGACGAAGAGGATTATATCGAGGAGCAGCCCATGACCGAAGAAGAGCAAGGTAGCGATACATCCTGTCAATCGGAGACTCGATTCCTGCTCTTATTGTTCCGTCCTGCACAATGGATACTGACTGGATGTCACATCTTTTTTTTTCTTTCAAATCTGGGTTTTCTTCGGTCTAAACCCATCTCAAATATGACATCAACTGCGGTCCTCTCTACCTTCGTCGTCGTCATCGAAAAAACGGGAATTATCTACGGAAACCCAACCAAACCCTTCTCGACCTTTCAATCGCATGCTCGGAATGACCTCTACGGCATTCATCCCGCCATATTGATTTCTATCGGAAACAATAAAAGCCCAAATGGCCGATGCGATAGAGAAAGTGAAGGCGATGCTTGGAGGTGCCAAGTTGTCGATCAAGGAAATCCAGGATGCATTGTGGTATTACTATTTCGATGTCGACCAAGCGGCTGTTTATCTCATCGGTAAAGTACTCTTTTTATTCCTTTTTTTTTTTTTTTTTTTTTGCAATTGAACTACGCCTCCTTTATAAGACATATGCATGGCACCCTCTGTTTCTTATCTTAACATCCTAGTTGTTTTTCTGAAATAGATGAGCTGGCAAAGAAGCAGAAGGCGACCTCATCTGCCGCAGCAAAGAAGAACAACAACGCGGCAACTAAACCCGCGCAGCAACAGGGCAGCGCCGCAACACCTTCAGGAACAACTGGAAAGCCCCTCTCTTCTCCTTCGGCTCCAGCAAAAGGTATTGCAATATCAACCTGAGTCCTTCAGGATGGGGATGAAAACATTAGGATTGGAAAAAAAAAAAAAAAAAAAAAAAAAAAAAGTTTCATGTTTCTAACCTGCTATATCCTCCATATGCATTTTTTTCTTTTCTTTTTCTTTTTCCTCCGCCCTAGTCAAGGAAACTCCTAAATCAGCAGCAACATCAACTCTTGCACATCAGGACGATAACGACGACATTGTCGAGTATTTAGATGATGATGAAGATGTCTCAGAAGGACAATTGCGTTTCGACCTCTCCGCCATGAACTTTGGACCACTTGCAAAATTCCCAATCAGCACTGGCACTCAGCCGTCCAAAAAGACCACGTCAGCGACACAAAAGGCCGCATCGGTATCACTGACATCGCCGGATCAATCAGAGATGTCCTCGCCCACGGGATCGGCTCCACCATCGGGCGTGTCGACTCCGAACAAGGCATCGACGAAAGTGGGCAAGAGAATTGATGTGGCTTCGGAGTACCAGAAACGTGTGGCAGAAAAGGAGTCTCTGAACTTGGTCGTCATTGGTAAGGAACTGGACTTTAAAACAGCAGGAACACCTAAAAAAAAAAAAAAAAATTGCTAACGCCTCTTTTTTTTTTTTTTTTTCTTTTTTTTCAATCCTATGAAAATGATGTTCCTGGGAACATTAGGCCACGTGGATGCTGGCAAAAGTACATTGATGGGTCATTTGCTATATCTACAGGGCGAAGTTACGGAAAAGACGATCCGAAAGCATGAGCGAGAGGCCCAGAAGATCGGCAAGGCCTCGTTTGCGTTTGCGTGGGTGCTCGACGAGACCGGGGAGGAACGCGCGCGTGGAATCACCATGGACGTTGGTGTGACGAAATTCGAAACTGCAAACCGTCGGTTCACGCTCCTGGACGCTCCTGGACACCGGGATTTTATTCCGAACATGATCTCGGGCACTGCACAGGCAGATGTGGCGATCCTGGTGGTCGATGCGACGACGGGGGAATTCGAGGCCGGATTCGAGCAGAACGGACAGACGAAGGAACATGCGCTGCTGGCAAGGAGTTTGGGCGTCCAGCAGTTGGTCGTTGCCGTGAACAAGTTGGACGTGGTCGGGTGGTCGCAAGAGAGATTTGAGGAAATCAAGCAGAAATTGGAACAGTTTTTAGTCAGGGATGCAAGTTTCAGGAAGCAGAACTTGATCTTCGTGCCCTGCTCCGGGTTCACGGGCGAGAATCTGGTGAAGAGGTCGAAGGCGGGAGATGTGTGTAATGGGTCAGCGGTTAGCGGCACGCCTATGGGTGAGAATGTGAAGGATGTGGTCGAGAGCTTTGGTTGGTATAAAGGCCTGACGTTGATCGAAACGATTGATGGGTTGGATGCGCCGACGAGGGCGGTCGAGAAGCCATTCAGGATGTCGGTCACGGATGTATTCAAGGGTACCGGAGGAGTTTCTGCGGCGGGACGGCTGGAAGCCGGACATATCCAGGTCGGAGAGGCGGTCATGGTCATGCCTGGGTCTGAGATGGCCGTTGTCAAATGTGAGTATCCCCGATCTGTGACGCATACATTTGTAGGATGTTCCACGACATTCAAGGTTATCTAATGATTATATTGTTATCTTTATTTTATTTTTCGTATTGTGCGATGGATATAGCGATGGAAGTGAACGACGAACCGACGCGGTGGGCTGCTGCAGGCGACTCAGTGCTGTTGACGCTTTCGGGGATCGATATCTTACAAGTTAGTAATGGATCGGTGCTGTGCGCAAGGGACGCGCCTATCCCTGTCACGACACACTTTGCAGCCCAAATCGTGGTCTTTGATGTCAAGATCCCCATCACCGTTGGATTCCCTGTAAGTCCCTCTCCTTGACTTTGTCTTTGTTCTCTATTATTTGTACTCTCCTTTCTTGTTCCCGACATTGTGTTAATCAAACTATTATTGCTTTAAATTTGTTCCGCGGACTGGTAATAGATTATTATGCACCACCAGAGCCATAACGAACCTGGCACGGTTTCGAAACTGGTTGCGACTATCGATAAGGGCACAGGCGAGATTGTGAAGAAGTCGCCCCGCCATCTGGGCAAGAACACGACGGCCATGGTCGAAATTAAACTGAACGGACGGCCTATCCCGTTGGAGACGTTTAAGGATTCGAAGGAACTGGGAAGGGTTATGCTCCGAAAGGGCGGCGAGACCGTCGCGGCGGGTATTGTCACTAAAATCTTGAGCTTTGGGTCATAGACAGCACCACAAAGAGATGAAGGGAATGTATGCTAGGGAGAAATAAAGACATTTACACTTAAACATTATAATAAAGACACGGTCTTCTTATGTTGGGATATGAGGTTGTTTTCTTTATTTTATTTTTTTGATGGGAGACGTAAAGTACATGTACAGGGGTGGCTAGGGGATTATGACTTGAAGGTGGGGGGCAAGGGCCAAGTGTTATCCTCTGCAGAACCGACACTTGCGCCATCCTCCTCCTCCTCAAGCTCTTGCTTCTGAACCGGTGCGCCTCGACCTCTCAACGACTGCGGATGTGATTGCAAAGGCGTGGGTTCATCTTTTTGGCTCTGATATCCACCTCCGGGACCCCTGGATGCTGCCACGACAGCCGCGACACTGGGAGAAGGCGCTGTAAGTACCTCCCTCTCCCTGTTCTCTTTGCTCGCACCGTTGCTAGCACCACGTCGGACTCCATTTCCCATACGCGGAGATGCCTGTTGTTGCTGAGACTGTGTCTGCATCGATGGAGAGGTTTGTGCGTTCAAAGGGACGGCCGTAATGATTGTGGGCGATGTTGGTGGAGAGACCATCGCGCCGCCGGTTCGGCGTACAGGACTCGTGGGGCTCGTGGGACTCTGAGGGGTCGAGCGTGGAGGAGGTGAGAGACCCTTGAACGCGACCTGGTGCAGCGGATGTTGTTGCTGGAGCTGCATGTCGGTGGGCAGGTCCGGTTGTTGATAGTGCTTTACAGAGGAAGTGGGCGGGAAGGGCATGTTGCTCTCGTGGTAAATGTACTGGGCCTGGTGGCGTGGTGAGGAAGGAGTCGGGACCATGATCGGGGAGGGTTGGGTTCGTGAGGAGGACTTCATCCGAGCGTGCTTGGGGGACTGCGGTGGTGGAGACGATAATTCAAAAGAGGCTTGACGCATGCTGTCGCTGTACAGAAGGTCGCCGCCGTAGTCCTCGCCAGCTGTGGCAGTCGCAGTGCTCTCGGGGATGGTCTGGAAGGAGCCGCCCTTGACATGTATCCGCTGCAGAGAGACGCGAGGGTTGGATTGCGGAAGCTGCTGGAGTTGCTGTTGTGTTTGTTGTTGCAGCAGAGATGCAGGGTTCAGGGCTGGGCTAGTAGGCGGGAGAGGATACCCCAGGGAGCCGCTGGAGGAGGTGCCATGTTTGGAAGATCCGTGTGAGAGCCTTGAAGAGATGGTTGAGCTCGTGTGGGTCGCAGAGCTGGTAGAAGGCCTTGGTTGTTGCGGGATGCTGTTCTTAGAGTTCGATCGCATGGCTACAAGTGGGAATGACGGTAGTGAAAATCCACCCCCGCTAAGTGGTGGTGATCCTGGGGTGCCATCCTCTCTAATTGTGCGTCCTCCAAAGACAGACTCGCGGATATTGCTGGGAGTTTTCGTCATTGCCTGGCCGTTGTTGATCTGGATCGTCAATGACCGTGTAGGCGACGTAGGGCTAACAGGTCTCCAAGAATCTCGGTTTTGTCCATTCATGGCAGCCTCCTGGTCCATGCTGTCTGACAGAGCCGCCATGGCAGCGACTGATGCCGCAACCGTCGCTCGATGACGGTCACTTTCCTCCAGGTATACGATGTATCTCGGGTCATCATATCGTTCCAACGATCCCTTTTCCGAGTCCTGTGAATCCAGTTCATGCGAACTATCATGCGTCAACCCCGTCTCTGGGTCTGAGATATTAAACTGGTGTCCGGATTTCGAGGCTCTGTTTGCTGAACTCTTCTGTCCCCCCGAATGCGACAATGTCATCGTCGCCGTGGTCGTCGAGGGCTCATGCAGTCCACGTCTTCGACTCCTGACGGACTGTGCAGCGATCAAGGACATCACCACAAAGAAAGCCAAGGCAATCGCGCAAGTCCAGAACACAGCCATCGTATGCGGCAATCGGTCATTCGGCATCTCCAAAATCCTATCTTTGAAAAGAACCCAAAGTATACAGAGCGTTCCTGCAAGGACCGTCACCGCGCATCCACCAAAGCCAGTGATCTGTAGCTGAATGAACAAGAACCGTGCTGGTGATCGCGATTTCAGATTTCCAATTCCAAAAGCCGCCCTCGGCGCCTTGAGTGCCGCCTCTGCGATAATGATATTGGCTCGCAGGATAAAGGTGTACTTTAGTCCATAGTAAAAGAACATCAGGGCCATCGTGTACAAGATCAGGACCCAGTTCGAGTATTGCAGAAGCATGAGAACCCTCGAGGCATAGTAATGTCCGGAATCATGCAGCGCTCCCGAAGCGATTCCAAGACCTGCGCCAAAGATCGTTGGGTAGATGGCACCGATGGCGAGCATGGAGTTCTTCTGGACGGTTGTCGGGGTGAGTACATGGATCGGGGGCAGGGGCTTGGTACCAAAGACAACTTCGGGATGATAGACTGCGAAGATACCCTCACGTGTTGTTACGGGCATGGCGTAGAGGAGTCCAACAAAGTATGATGAGAACGCAAACGCGACGAAAATCCTAGTTATATCAAACAAAATATTAAGAAATTAGCAAGCTGAAGGAAGAGCGGAGCAGTACAACTGGCGTAAATGAAATGAGGTGTTGTTTACCAGTAGACCTGCTCAATGGCGACGCGTAGCCACATGGTATGCTGTAGAGCACCGGAGACTAGGATGAGATTTGCAACAATCTTGACGAAGCAGGCGATGCTCGTAAAGAAGACGATGCAGTCCATCTGTTTGGAGAAAAAAAAAAAAAAAAAAAAAGCAGACAGACAGATAGAGCACGTTAATCTTCTAAAACACGGCCTGCCACGCGTTCTTTCGTCTTCAGATCACAAAGTGTCTGGTTTTCCTGTGCTTACAGGTTTGGGCCGGATGCCGGTGCCGACTTTGACGAAGAGCTCTGTAAATATCTTGCTGTTGAACCCTCGGTTGCGATAGCTTAGCAACCAAATGCCAAACAAGGCAACGAGGAAGTGTGCGGCCGAGGAAGTGATGAGCATGTACTTTACGAAATCCGAGTCCTTACAGCCGGTGGCCGAGCGGGTCCAATCACAAAGCAGGCTCGGATCCAAGGAAGGGTCATCGTAGGTCTGCTGGGGTATCGTTGGGTCAGGGACCGTGGTTGTGGGGGTGGGCGATGAGAGGGATGTGGCTGTACTGGTTGCGGAGATGGTTTCGGATATGGTGGAGAGGATGGTGGATGTAACGGACGTTATGAAGGAGGTTGTCGTAGGGGAGGCGGTAGAAGAGGAGGACGAGGATGAACTTGACTCGCTCATGGTATGGTATCTGCATAAAAGGTATAAAAATGGCGGTTAAGGAGCTGAAGTGCCTGTGCCACAGGTGTGATGTGGAGAAGCGACAAATATAAACATTTGTAGGTATGCACACGTAAACGAATGGGGATGTAAATGGTTCCCTCGAGTGTTTCCTCCATAACAAATCTTTTCCTTCTCCTTCTTCCTTCTTTCTCCACACACGGCGCCGAAAAGATGATTTGTAAGAAAATGAAAAAGAACCCGGCTCACCGGAGCGGAAGCAGGTTGGCGGATTTGTTGATAGTTTGCAGCATACTTTAAGAAAGTAGATGCAATCTACGGGCCTAGACTAGACTGGACCAATGTAATCCCGTTAAGGTTCTTCCTGCCATCCTAGTGCTCTTTTTTCTTGAATCCACCACATCACCCCCGCATATACTCACAAATTCTATTCGTCCTCCTCTGAGTCCATCCTGACACCCGATCTGGAGACAAAGGACGAGCCTGAACAAACGAAGCGCGTAAATCAGCCTATTGGCGCGACCCTTTTTTTTTCTCCAACTGATCTCTCTACCTAGCCTCGTAACGAACCTGTTCGCTTAATGTGTAGTACGCGTAGCCGTATAACTAATCACTTGCGACCAAGATTGATCCAATAAACAATAAAGCAAATGGGCAATAGAGCTATATAGCATAAGAAAAGCTCTAATTTACGGAGCATACCTCCCCATAGATTCATCATGTGCCCTCTCTAAGTACCAGATGCCCCAGGAACGGTGGGAGAAGCCTATGCTAAGATCTACACCACACAATGGAAATTGGGCGTAAAGTGGCCCTGAATGTTGCTGCACACATATTCCTTAGTGTGACAGTGTAAGAATTTGATATGTACTATTGATTCTTACCTATTTACAGGAGGGAGGGGGTGCAAACCAAGACAAATGAAAGAGAGAATGCGGTGGACGTTGATAATGAAGATGGAGTTGAGAGAATTAACATGAATGGGAAGGAAAGCTAGGGTAGTGTTTGTCCGAGGAGGAGTGCGTGAAAGTACTGGTTGGATTGGTTTAAGGTTGGTTCCTGGGTGGAGTACGAAAAAAAAAAAATAGTCTCGAAACAGTGGGGCCGAGAGTGTCGAAGGGATCAGGGTGCGGATGTGAATGTGAATGAGATGAAGAGATGAGGAGAAGAGGACGGACTGCGATGGCGAAAGAGTGAGAGAGTGAAAGAGAGCAGGGAGGATGGAAGGGAGGGGAGGATGGAAGGGAGGAGAGGCGCAACAACAACACGCGCAGCAACAAGAAAGAGAGAGAGAATAGAAGAAGGACCGATGTGGGGTAAAGTGTCGGTGTCCGACCCTTCAATCAATCCTTCATTATTCATTCGGCATATGCATATGTCTGAATCGACTGCAGGAACTAAAAAAACTACCAACACCCACCCACCTGTTTGCCCGCAACAGCCATATGAATGGCCATCTTCATACTGTGCCGAGTAAATAAACGCGCCCCACACCCCTTTTCTTGCTTGCTTGCCTCCTTTCGTAGTTTATGCACTGGGTCATCACCTTAAAGTGCAACGCAACCTGCAAGCCCATCTTTATGTCCATTATATCTGGATCCACTCGTTTGCCCTGTTTCCAAAACTGAGAATAAAAAACGGTCGAATGATCGACGGACACCTGAAGGAGGAACAACAAAAAGATTGCTCCGCAACTTGAGAACCCTTCCCTTGGCTCAGCTCTGTGCCCATCAGGACCAGAACAACCCAAACCGCATCCGAAACCAAGATTCCACAAGTGCCTAGAATTCGGGCGTAGATCTCTCAAAGAGGGCTTCGTTTTAAAGTGTAAAAACTCCCCTGTCCTGCCTACAACGTTTTTTTTTTTTTCATACAACTCCTTTTGCTCCAATTGCTTCTTCCTTTTATTGACACACAGGACACAAAGGCGGTCGTTATTGTCGGGTTTTTTTTCTCCTTTGCAGCATGCGATCGATGGTGAAGAAAGATATCTCTGTGCACAAAACAACAAACTCCACTCCACCTACGACAAATTGTCATTTCGTGCAACCGGGCTAAAAAAAAATAAAAAAAAAAATGCAGGCTAGACATGTGCTTGTGTTCACATCAGACAGACGACAACGGCATGAACGTGCATTGGTACTTTGATCCACCTTCTTGTTGGGCAGCCAGATGGACCATATGCGATGATTAATGTGCAATACATCATCGGACATATTATAGCCGTGGCATCGTTTGGAAAAGAAGAAAAGAGGTAGGCATTTCCTGGGAACCGAATAGACACTTTAATAGAGGTCGTTTTTTTCTACTCCACAAATTTCTTCAAGCCCAAGAGCTGCGCCTCAATGTACTTGGCATGTGTACAGGCCCAATCCCCAGAGCTGTCAATTCCGCCTTCTTGGCAAGCAGATGGAAACACAAATTATAGTACTCTACTCATTCCACCACTGTGAAATGCTTCCTAAAGCTATCCTTTGAGCAGACAACACCATAGTCATCCTCATCTGCACATGCTTATCTTGGATAGCTCGTATCACTTTTGCTGGGAATTCATTTGTGTCGATAAAATGAACCCCTGGACTCGTGTACAAAAATTGCGATAAATGGTCGTGTAGTACCAAATATCATGCGCGTATGTGTATGCATTGTGCACAGTCTCGCTCGGCATCTTTACAGGTTGTCATACATTACAAGCAATGCTACCGCATACCACAAGGAGCATGGGCCAAGCGGCTATTCCGGGTCGGTGCGGCGCGGCCGACTATTTTAGTAATGGTGGCGCGCCACCAATTTTGTACTGAAGGCTTTTGCCCGAAGGGGGAGAGATGTACTCACGCGCGGTACTACGGCGCGACATGCTTGACGCGTCTTGGCTATGATTTACGACGCAGAGCACTCTTGATCATCTCAAGGGACATCTCTCTTTCATCCATGTGTATCATTATGGAGATCTGTGCGCTCTATATGAACGTGTACCTGTAGGGTAGTTTATGTGTCTGCGCCTATGCACATTTGCACCCCTTTGACCTGATGCTTCCCCCAAGAAGCGAGATCTTTCTGTACTACAACCTGTTGCAGGCTGACATATAAGTGAAAATGTTAAGCAACAATCCAGAGCGACTTAATTTGCTTTATTCTTTTCCGGCTGCAGCTTTTTGCTACTCAGATTTGTTAGTTTCTTTTGTGAAGGAAACAGGAGAGGGAAAGGATCGAAGGATGGGAAGGGCAGAGAAGAGAAGAGGAGAAGGATTAGTCTATCTCTCACATGGGTAGTCTGCATGGGTGAAGAGAAAACCGGAGTGATCTCAATTACTCTCAGGAAAGGTGCCAGTAGCGGACATTCATTTGTCTTTCATTAAGAAGGAAGGAATGATAACAAAAAAGAGCAAAATCGAAAACCAGGGCAGCTGTGAGCGGAGACACGCCACACTTGTGCTCTTCTTTTTTTCATAACAATCGCAACCTCTGGCCTTACAAAATGAAGATCTCCATTCTATTCTCGATCGCCGTGGTCATTATAACTGTTGCCGATGGCGCCACTCCCGGTGGGGACAAAGTCCCAGCCCTTTCCCCTGTCTTTAACAGGATTGAACCCCACTTCAGCTCGGTCTTGAGCCGTCGCGATGATTCGCTCAATCTCGAGACCGATAATCTCTTAAAGAAACGAAAAGGTATGGCGAGTCTGACATGTAAACGAAAGCCAATTTATGTAGTCCATGGAGACTGGAAACGATGGTTTTAAAATTAACGCTGTTGTACTTTTAATCTAAAAACATCGCTTTGGTTTAATCTGTCCTGGCAGAACCGGCCTTTGTTCCAACAATCGATCCCGGTGCTGTCCCCTTGGGGGTAGATGCTGCCCCAAACGTGGTTGTTGCGCTGCTGGTAAATTTTGTGTCAGGCCAGGATGTTGCCCCAACAATCAAATGGGATATGGCGGGAAGGATTGTTGCCCTAAGAACTCCAAGCACTGTAAGGGAGGTGCATGCTACCGAAAATGAACCTACTGTGCATGGCTTAAAGGAGAAAGACAGGTTGGTGCCCAAATGGCAAGCTTTGTCATGCTTGGGGCACGAGTGCCATACACTATATAATCTCGGATAGAGTAGTTTTAAGAGCGAGCAGGCAATCTGCCATTAATCTTTGGAAGCATTACGGGTCTTGCTGGTAATGCCGTTATTCTACAATTGATCCATCCTGAGCCTATCATCGGCTACTAATCCCTGAAGGTGACCAACCGTTAACTGCATTCATGCACGACGGTAAGCAGTAAAGCCTTTATCTAGTCTTTTCAAACGGGCATTGAACCAGGATCCCAGCGATTTGTCCTCTGTTTTCAACTCTTGACAGCACCGCGATATTCTCTCGAGATCGAGATGAACGGATTGAGTATGTGCGTACAGTTATCGAGAGGCTGAATACGACCAACCTGGCCTTCAACACAAATAAGTGTAATTTTACAGTACACAGATCTCACTGCTGGTTTTTGTGATTGGTTTGCACAAAGTCGCGAATGCGGATGATTGGGGACCTCCACGAGCTGCTAGTCTCTTTCGTGAGCTTACCCCTATCTTCAGCAACCTTGTTGCACCGCTCGATCGACCTCGCAATCGAACGGAGCCATTCGTGTCGAACGAGGAATGCTCTACATTGGTATCCAACGCCAAGCGATGCATCCATACTGCTTTGACTTTGTTCCGATTGCTGTTGCCGTGGTCCATCCGTCGTTGGGTCACTGTCTCTAACTACCTTAGGTATACACATGGCTTGGTTGTAATTGGCTAGACAGGAGTGAAAATGAGGTGGAGTTGGAAATAACACACGTCAAGGCTGGCCAATCCGTTGTCCTCTATCAGTTGGATTCACCTCTTCTCATCTCTTCTTGTGCTTCCAATTACCTTTAAAGATCCGCCATGTTTAAAACTCGCTTGCGTTTCATAATTATAGAAAGCGTCTCTGTTGTCAGCTCGACGCCACATAAAGCGAACAGCAGTAAGCCGTTTCCAGCAACGGGTCGAAAAAGGAAACTAGCGGCTCAAGGCGGTCCTACCACAAAAGTGCTGGACTAATCAGCTTCTGCAACGGGCAATGGATTTTGAAGATGTTCTTACTCGACGCAGGAAAGAGTTTGAAGCAGAAGTGTCTGAGCGTAGGGCAGCATTCAAGAAGGAAAGAGAGAAGTTCGATGAAGAACGGGCGGGCCTAAGAAAGGAACTGGAAGAAGAATAAACACAAGTGAAGAAGGCGATGTCAAGGCACGAGGAACGTCCCTTTCTAGAGTGAAGATAGATCCTTCTGTACGCCAGCGAGTCATGCATAGACCCAAAGTAGCCGGTGGAGAAATAGATGAAACGTCTCAAATGGCCGCATACGGCTGCTGCTCCCATTGCATAGTCGCATTTGCGTATGATTCAAGCATTCGTCTCCCATGTTGGAGCCATAGCAAAAAGAAATGATGCCCCGTCGACGGCACCAATTGCATTGGGAAATCCATGTTCGAATCTAAAGGCATGCTTGACCGCTTGGTCACATCCTTTACTGCTTGGTCCGGCCAATAAACAAATTGTAGCAGAAGTTCCCCGATAGCATAAATACACCGCCATATATAGCTGCAGACCGACTCTTCGCTGACACCGAAGATAAATGCGACCTTCTCCATGGACTCACCTCTAGTACCCAAGCAGAATAAGACGACCTTTAATTGGATGACGATAAGCTGCGGAGGGACTTGACCGTCTTCTGTAGCGGAGGTTTACAAGACCATCAAATTAAGTTGTTGTGAGGTGAACAATATCCTGGAACCCGTCATCATCGTACTCCTCGAGGACTCGGTCCTGCAAATCCTCTAAAGATGAAACTCGTACTCGAGACCGCAGATACCTCCAAGCCGAGAAAACGCCGTGGACATCATCAGATTGAATAAAATCGACATATGAATGTAGACGCAAAAGGGTTATGTCTCCGATTTTGGTGAAGAAAGACGAGCGCATCGTAGTATGCCTCAAGTAAAAAAAGGGTCGCTAATTATACCCGCCATGATGAACCTAGCATGTCCTTTTGCAGCCTCGGTGAAGGCTTCCTCAATATACTTGACCAGACGCTGCTTTGGGGTGAATCTTTGTCTAGGCATGGTGATGAGCAAGGCAGATAGGGAACCATGGTGGGGAGAGCTTTGACATTTTACGGAAGAGCCCGTTCGAGTCAGCCAATAATTGCGCGTTTTCGGACCCAAAGATTGAAATATCTATCTCAGCCTTGACAGAAACCCGCCCTCGCCCGCTTAATGAACCTTACTGGGGAAAGCGCCATTGTAATCATTGCAGAGGAGAGAATCAATTATATGCATGCACATGCATGGTACAAACATGTAGGAAGAGTGAGGGGGAAGAAAAGAAACGCAGAGGGATGATGATAGCGAGTATGTCAATCAAACTATCCCTCCTCCCTCTACTATTCTAGGGTGAACGAATAGTCTTGGTAATTGCTCCTTTCATCTTTTTCTCCCTACTTCCTCTCAGAAATGTACCGGTATTGCTCTCATCTCTTTATTCAGCAAAGGCAGACTCACAGTCTCTCGAGACCCTCGTCCATTAAAAAGACGCTCGCAGATCTTAGCGACGTTCTTGAGAAGGGAAGGATCCAGTGCGGCATCCCCGGAATGAGTGTGGCCATCCTCCACAAGGGCAAGCTCATCTTTGCAGAGGGGTTCGGAAAGAGAAACGAACAAGAACCCTTCACCTCGGAGGTAAAATACGATATGATCTGCTTTACTTGACGATTTTTTTTATCTCATCCGAGGGATATGCTAAGAGAAAATACAATGCGACCATAGACATTGGCACCTATCGGATCTCTCACAAAGGCCTTTACAGCCACAGCCATTGGTGAATTGATTGCAGAAGGAAAGATGGATTGGGACACGACATCGGTTAACAAGTACCTGCCAGAGTTTGAGCTCAAGGACCCAGTCCTGACTTCTCAATTGACACTCGTCGACCTTCTCTCTCATCGCACGGTATGTTTTGCGATATTGGACATTGTTTACCATGTATATGTACAGAAGTGAGAAGCAGTTCGGTTCACTAAGCACAAGAATTTGCCTCTAGGGTCTACCACGCAACGTTGGATATTCCTGGTACAGGACCACAGAGAGCAGAAGAGACCTTATCAAGCGCTTGAAGCACGTTGAGATGACCTCCAAGCTAGGCTCCAAAACTCAATACAACAATATCATGTACGCGGTCGCAGGAGAGGCTGCAGCCAACGTCGCAGGAATTCCATACGAGAAACTCGTTGAAACAAAGATTCTAGAGCCATTAGGGCTAACCAATACTGGATTCTCGCCTATGGAGATGAAGAAGCGATCACCCAACCATGCCATGCCCTTTTCTGCGGAATCATTACGGGACGCACGAAAGGGACTCTACGTGATGGACTCTCTAGACGAAGTTTACATGGCATGTGCACCTGCCGGTGACATGTATTCCAATGCCTTGGATCTAGTTCGCTGGGGTAAGATTGTCATGAGCAGCGGCAAAATTGATGGCGACCAGGTCCTAAATAAGGAGGCTCTTCGAGAGACCTTGACCGCGCACACCATCACGGCAAGTCTAAGGGGCTCATCCGATTTTGGGCGGGTAGTTGCCTATGGCATGGGCTGGGCCCTGGATTCTTTCAAGGGACAGACTTATTACACGCACGGTAAAGTCATTTGTCCATAAACCTGTAGAAGACAAATGTATGCACGTCTGATACACAACGGCATTGATGCACAAAGATGATAACACTATTCTTTCAACGCATGTAGATGGCGCCATCTCCGGTTTCCAGGCACGCTTGGACATTTTTCCAGACGCTGATTTGGTCGTTGCTCAACTTTTCAACATAAGTGTCGCGGATTGGTCCCACGGTGTTGCGTGCTATATTGCAGATGAGGTTCTCGATTTGCCCAAGACTCGAGATTGGATCTTTGATTTCGCTATCAAATCAACTGAAATGGCGTACAATGAGCGCGAAGCTGGACTCAAAGGCAATCTTCCCAAGCGTATTCCAAGCAAACAGGCAGCCCAGGACTTGCATGCCTATGAGGGTGAATACACCAATCCGATATTGGGCGATGCTTCCGTTCGAGTGGACGTGGACAAGAAGACAGGAAAGGAGACTCTGATTTGTAAGATAAGCGCTTTTGACAGCAAAATGGAGCATTATCATTTTGACGCGTTTGTCGTCCGTCTGAAAGATGCACTCGCCGCGATGGCAGGTCTCGTGACATTTCGAACAGGAGGTCATGGCAAAGTGGAAGGGCTTCACTTCTTTAATGAGGAGTTCAAGAGGAAGGACAATTCCAATGCCGGCCCTTATGAAGCCAAAGAGAAGCAATAAATTTCTAATTTTTGACCAAGGTGGTTCAGCCACACGTATTTCATCAAAAGCCCCTTGATACTACTAAGTAAAGCCGGATTTGATATATGGCTGAAGATATACACTAACTCGTTGGGGTTGATACATAATCGCGCGCGAGTTCGTGGGTTCTTTTCAATTGCAATGGTGTGTAGCGCAGAGTGTCAATTGAGCTGCGCGCTCAATTGCTCATGTTGAATTGTGGCTGGTTCTAGGCGCTCTCTCTTTTGCACGCGTTACTTCAGAGTCGCGTAGAATCTTCGCCTGGTACTCTGCCATCGTATTCGTCCCAACCCATCCGTCTTGCCTCAACCCATCGGAACCAATATATGCTCAACCAAATATCTTTATTGCCATTACTATTGTCATGCTCGCTGAGTACCATCGCTCCCTACGTAGATCTTTGTACTATTCTCAGCAAATATACCTCGCGTCCCGTAGTAGCCATCCAAGTACCCTGACCAAGAATCCTAGAAACACATAGATAGAGCCATAGCATCCATAGCATAGAATCTCAGTTTGCAATACAATTCTTACCTACCTTGTCCACCTGTCTGCCTTTCTCTTCCACTGCCATAACCCATTTTCCTAGTCTGTTCCTGACAAATGGCGAATAGCGAATGGGCTATCTGCAGCCAACTGACTAAAGGAGTTACTGGATGTTTTAACGCTTCACCACAGTCAAGCAGGAAGAAGATGGGAGTCCAATCTGACCTTATTTGGTGTACTATGCTTGCACCTGTGAAGGACTGGGCGGTAGGTGAGGCTTCAAGGGCTTGGGACGATATGAGACAGAAATACATACATGAGAGTACACTCAAGCTTCCTCGGCAACTGCACGATGGCAAGGTCGATGAAAGTAGGAGAGCCTGATATGATGAGGGATGTGCAATTGTCAGGGCTAGTCATTGGAGATAAGAATCTTTCGCTTGTTTGTCGTTTTTTGGTCAGTATCCCGAAGGACCTGCACTGGTCTTCAACTCACCATTGACTTTATCATCTAGGGCCTTGCGTACAATGCTTTGCTCTGTGCTGTGGTGCACAGGGAATATAACCAGGTTGTTAAGATGGGACCCCACACCACTGGGTTCATCATTGAAGAATCTTTCTGTATCGTCTTTCAAAGCACCCTGTATCTTCAGTTAGGATTTTAATCAATCTAATGTCTCGGACTGATTCTCTTTCATTCTAGACCAGTACCATGCATTTTATGGACATGTACGATCGCCTCAACGAAGAATTAAACAAACAGAGGCTTAAACACCGTCAAAAGGATCAAGTACTAGCTCGCGTCTCGATGGGATAGATCTGTTGAACTCTTCGCCCTGAATCAGTCTTCGGACTGAATGGTACATAGGTTGAACGGTGTTTTTAAATTGGTTAGCTTGCATTCAACGCACTGAAACACCGTTGAACGAGATTTTCAAGAACTGAGTAAGGCACCTAGCTTGAGCCTGCCGTGGATATTATATTTGCTGCAAATGTTTTTATCCCATATATTTTGCTTCTGTCTTAGACCCAGAATCATCGCTCCCAATGCGGACAATGATTCCGGACCAATACGTAATAAAAGCACAGAAAAAGACGCGTCAAGTGACACGAACAGGCGCGCCTATGGATTGACAAACAGATGGAGTGTATTAACTTTGATATAAGTAGCGGTAGACGCGCACTGGAGGCTATCCGTCGCATAAAGATGGAAGTTACGGTGCTACAAGTGCAGCAGCTATATAAAAACATAGAGCACCACGCATAAAATAAGATACGATCAATCACTGTTGGTGTTGCATTAATTCATAATCAATTACATCAGAGACTAGACGTGTCCACGCGTTCAGGCATGTTGAAGAACGGTCGCTTATGTTCTGGGTAAAGAGTCTACAGTCTAGGGTCTAAGGATTGAGATGTCGATGCTGATTGAGTTGGAAGATGATGCGCCAGTAGCCTGTCCTGGCCGTTTACATGCAAATTGAAATCTTATTCTAAAAATATTGGTGCTAGCACTTATTGGCGAGGACTCTAATACGCGATGCTTTATTTTTTTTGCTAGCACGCATGTCCCGTCCTCCCTCCCTCGATGCCCAACTCTCCTTGGTCTTTCCATCACCTCGCTTGCTTACTAATCCTCTCTCTTCTACATTTGAAAGGTAAGTACAACGTGCTTTGAAGACTGTTTCGTTTGTGGTGCTAATTGTCTTGACAACCGCCTTGGTTGAGACCATGCGGTCCACGCAACTCCTGTAGAGAGCAGTGGTTACCATGCGACATGGGAGTCTGGGTACTGGTGCATGAGCTCCAGGAGGATATCTAAAAGCTCTTCGCTAATAGTAGAAGGCAGATACTCGACTTGGAAGTGCAGATATCCGGCTTCTTGCTTTAAGAGCAGCCTGCGCTGCCTCCCCTCCCCCACACCGTGCAAACAGAGTGGACGGAAGCTGGATCTGGTAGCCAGAGACACAACACAACCAACAAGCGCGACTTGTTTGTAGAGAGTCTGAAGGCCTGGTAAAATCTATAATTGCAAGGAGATAACTTAGGTTGTTCGAGTATCGGTTTTGTTGTGCAGTAATACCACGGGCAACCTTTATGTCCTTTGCAAGTAATGCACTATTGTTTGAGCAGTGTGATAGTGCAAATTCGAAGGATTTTTTGCTGACATTGAAGGCTATCGATGCCAAATTTCAAGGAAACGGCTACATGAGACGCGAACTGTTTGTCGATCGACTCTGGAAGCTAGACTGAGACATGTACAGGAAGAGACGCGAGGTCGCTTTGGTGATCGACAGCGCACCAGGACATGGGAGGTGCGAAGAATGGGGCTTCCTCAACGTCGCCATCATCAGGCTACTTCCAAACACAACATCCATGATCCAGCCGCTCGATGCTGGGATTACCCGGTCCTTGAAGGCCCACTACAGTCAAGAGATGCACCAAGAGATGCAGGTGGTCGAACTCGTTCTCCGTAACCGCACCGTTGAGGAGATTCCCATCGAGGGATTCTCGCCAGCACCTTCAAGCCCCTACGCAGTTGAGGCCTATTCTCAAGAATATCTTCAAGACGCTGTAAGATGTGTTCGTTGATTGTCATGGGCTTGGGTTATAAGATAAAATATATTTTTCAATCGGATTGAATACGGGGCTGGCCCCTCCATAATGATCCCAATGCACAGTAGCCCGCCTATGGTTCCATGGATCCATGTCCGCTGGTGGAGAGAGGAAAGAGAATGGAATGCTCAATGCAAATCACACTTGCAGGTTGCACAACATACACATAAAACTTCTTCATACTTCTCATCCTTCATCAGCACCCTTGTTCCATCATCCTTCATCCTTTCACACCCTCAACCATCATGTCATCACCCGCTGGCCCATCCCCATCCTCATCCGGGGTCAAGACCATCATCGTCGGCGCCGGTGTCTGCGGTCTGCTCACCGCCATCCAGCTCGAGCGTGCTGGCATGGACTACATCGTCATTGAGAAGGCCAAAGACTTCTCTCCCCTTGGTTCCGCTCTCTCCTTGACCCCTGCCTGCAATTATATCCTGGACCAGCTCGGGTGTGTATTTTTATTTTTATTTTATTTTTACTACCACTGCATACCATCGCCAGTTATCCATCTAGATGGAATTGCATTGCCATCGTAGCCAACGGACAGCTGTATGCCCAAGATGCCTCAGCTTGGTGCAACCCTTTCATCTGACATAACCCTGCTTTTCTTGTGCCACAGCCTCCTCGAGGAGATCCACAAGAACTCCCATCCTTGCCGCAAGATCGATTACGTCCGCGATGACCTGTCCAAGGTCGGCGTCATGGACGCTGGCAACCAAAAGTCCCGCTACGGCTACAACGGCGTCCTTATCACTCGTCCCACCTTCTATAACATCCTCCTATCCAAGGTTCCTAAGGAGAAGATCCAGTGGGGTAAGCGCATGATCGGCCTCAAGCAGGACGAACACAGTGTCGAGATCGAGTGCGAAGACAACTTGGTTGTCCAGACTGGCGAGGAAGGTGCTGCCAAGCCCAAGGTCCTGTTCAAAGGTGATATCTTGATCGGTGCCGATGGTGCATACTCGTCTGTGCGTCGCCATATGTACCAGGCCATGAAGGACGAGGGTATTGAGTTGCCCGAAACCGATATGGCCCCTCTGCGATTCGACTCCAACTGTGTGGTCGGTGTTACTGAGGAGCTGACGGAAAAGGAATATCCAGCTTTGGGAAACAGATCCGGGGACTTTTATGTCATCATCGGCAAAGAAAGAGCCATCCAGGTAAGCCATGGCGACTTCGCATTGCCAGGTACCGACAAAAAAAAGGGGGGGCCAATCACTGAACGAGCATCGGTGTGATTTTAGGTGTACCTGTTCACTTTTGCAGAGAACAGACTAGGATGGCAGATTTGCGGACAGATGGACAAGCCCGAAGAATACGACGAAAAAGACTTCCGCTTCAGCGACTGGGTAAGTAAAACGCTCTCTTTCGCTCTCATGTATGAACTGTTTACAAATAAAAACATGGTTTACGCTTAAGAGACCTGCTGACAGACGCTCTACGGGCATATTTGCATATTTGTGTGCATTCCCGCCTGCTGTTCTGTCCGTTTTCCGCCTCAGAAACCCACGGCTGCGGATGAACTTTGCGAGATGGTCCGTCACTACAAGAACCCTTATGGTGGCACGGTCGGCGATCTCATCGACCGCACCCCCAAGGAACGTCTCTCCAAAGTCATGTTGGAGGACAAGTACTTCTCAACCTGGTTCCACAAGCGCACTGTCCTTATGGGCGACGCCTGCCATAAGCATCTGCCCTTTGGTGGCCAGGGTGCCAACCAGGCCATCCTGGACTCGGTGCATCTCGTGAACCAGCTGTATGGCATACCCTCGAACTCACTGGCAGATATCACAAAATCCTTCCAGGCTTACTATGACTACCGTAGCCCTAATGCGAAGGAGGTCTTCAAGAGTACCACCATGGTTGCCAACGTCCTCAGCGCTCGCGTAAGTCTTACGAATCATGGTATATCTCTTGCATCTTGCGAGTCAATTGCGCTACATGTCCCTCTAATGTGATTCGTTCCTTCTTGCAGGGGTTTGTCTCGGACATGGTGCGTTTCGTTGCTTTGGGCCATCTGCCCGAATTTATCAACAACCTGGGTATGGATGGCATGAACACGGATCGTCCGTACCTCTGCTTCCTCCCTCCTCCTCCCGGTCAAGGCACCGTCATGCCCACCCCCCAGGCTGTTCCTGTGCATTACAAGGGAGGCCCTATGGCAGCTGCTGTACCAGTTGGAGACCAATAAAGTTTTTTAAGTTTGTATAATTTTCATGGATACCGCAGCAGCTTTTCAAGTGTGTGTTGCACAGAGATGACGACGGCACACGCACGCTCTTTCCCTTCCCTTTTTCTCTCCATTCATTCCTCTCATTCCATTCCACTCACACCACTCACACTTGCACTCAAGCTCAACACGCCAGCAACAACACCAGGGAGAAGCACCGCGACAGAGCCTTCAAGCTATGCGCACGCTACACCTCACGCTGGCCACGCTTCTCGCCACCTGCACCGCTGCATGGCCTTGGCAGCAGATACCGTTCTCCTGGGGAAGGGGATCCAGTTCGCCATCGCCACCAATCCAGGACACAGGAAATGCACATGTATTCTCACCACGGCGACAAACCCTTCGACTGGAGAACATCCTCGTCCACGGGGCACCGCACTCAAAACACTCCAAGGTCTTTCGTCGACTCGCAGTCGATGATGAAACCCGACAACAGATGGCGCAGATAAACGCTCTGAACGCTGAGAGCTCCAGTCCTGGGTCTTCGTTTGAGCACCCCATTACGGACGCCTTCTTTTCTTTGTATGATGACGAAGGTGATGATGCTGATGAAAAGGGCAGGAAGGAAGGTGCGCAGCTTTTCCCCCTTCCTTGGAAACGAGTCCCGGATGCGAAGGACCAGGCAACAGTGGTGTCAATGGTCCGGATGGCGCTGGATTGTTATGTAGATCCGAAACGACAGGGGTGGGTTGATATTGGGGATCCATGGGATGTGGAGACGGAGATCGGATGGCTTGAGGCTGGATTGAGGGGATATGTGTTTTCGAGCGAGGATAAGAAGACAGTCGTGATTGGGATCAAGGGCACGTCGCTGAAGTTGTTCGGGACCGGAGGCGGGCCAACAGGGACAAATGATAAGATCAATGTGAGTGAGTGGATCAATTGGCTGGTTAAGTAATGTGTTGTAGCCAGATATTGTTGAAGGAATCTGATTAACTTTTTTTGGCATGTGGGGTTAATAGGATAACAAGATGTTTTCGTGCTGTTGCGGAAAAGTTGATAGGACGTGGTGGCCGGTGTGCAGTTGTGCAACGGGCGGGAACCAATGTAATCAGCAATGTCTGGTCAATGACCTGATCACGGATCGCGACGAAGGCGATAGTTACTACGGCATTGCACTGGTATGCGAAGAGAACATCTCTTTTTTTTTTTTGCTTTTGGACCACGCAAACTTTAACATCCGTGAATGTTGACCCGAACAACCCGCATTCTGACCCAACCTGACCTCGCCTTAACTTGATTGGCCTTCTGACGATGCGATAGAGAGTACTGGATGCAGCAAAGCAACTATACCCGGATGCGAGTATCTGGCTGACAGGACATTCCCTGGGCGGGAGCGTAGCCTCTACGGTCGGGATCACGAAGGGTTACCCTGTTTTTACGTTCCAATCGCCGGGTGATGCACGGTTCGCACAGCGGATTGGGATTGTAAAGTCTGGAAATTTGACAGCATCGGAGCTGAAGCGGATGCCCGTCTGGCAATTTGGACACACCGGTATGTCAAAAGGGCCAGAAAGAAGGTGATAATGCGTTATAAACTATATGTCAATAGCTTTTTAACATGAACTTCCACTTCTGATTTTTGATTTTTTTGGTGTGTATATGTGTAGCTGATCCGGTATTCATGGGTACGTGCAACGGTCCAACATCGTCCTGCTACTCTGCAGGATATGCGCTCGAGACGAAGTGTCATCTAGGCAGGTCGTGTATTTATGACACAATGGGCGTCCTAGGTTGGCGCCAGAATATCCAGGCACATACTATTTTTACGTTCATTAGCGTGGTCGAGAACTGGGGGAACATGACAGAGGGACGGGAGTTTGTGCCAAAGTGTGAAGCACAGGCGGATTGTCAGGATTGCACGTACTGGGACTATGTTTGAAGCCACGAGAGCAGACAACGAAGATTACGACTGCGTAACGGATCTGGAGGAGGAATAATAATGAAGAGGAGGGGTTTATGTTGCTCATATACGTAACCTTTAAGCGTTCCATTGCAAAAATGACATATATAAATAAAGGGACAATCTATTTGACAACCAGGGTTGCCACTGCTATTTGGCAACCCCTATACTAACTCCATATAAGGCCAACGTTTTTTAAATATCGATTATGCCAGTAGTCTTTATGGTACCTGGCCCCGGCTCTTTAAGCTAGAATCGTCATCTGTCTCTTAAAGGACTCCACAATGTAACTGATTTCCCATTTCGTCATCGCTGAGTCCGCCATCGACAAAACCCTGTTTTCCGTCATGAAGAAGGCTTCTCCCAAGGTCGCAAAAGGTTGCATGGGGTGCCAGGTGGAGGAAGGGATGGTTTTTAATCTCTCGCCGCGTTGTTTCGACTTGAAATTCGCAAAAGATACGAGTCTTGTTTTACATGGGATTTATGCAGGGGTTGCCAAATAAGAGTGACAACCCGGGTTGTCAAATAGATTATTCCAATAAATCGAAACCATTTCCGTATCCAAATGTTGCAACAAAAAGATTGTGGAGCTCCTAAATGTGTTAAACTTGAGCATGGCAAAAGGAAACTGGAGAATGAGAGACTTGAACTCCCGACCTTCCGCTTTGGAGACGGACGCGCTGCCAATTGCGCCAATCCTCCTTTCTTTCCGTTTTAATGAGCGAAAATGAGATCTAAATCTCTCAATTACCTTAAGGCACGTGATAAACCTAAAAAATCCGGTTCCTGGCCCTCCTGGCCCCACAGGCCCCCGGTTTCAAGCCTAGATGATTTGGCTGGAGTTCTTGCAAGTGCAGATATCAGATTAAAAGACGCTAGGGGTACAGCAGGTCGCGTAGCGAGCAAGACACGTTTGGTACTTACCCATGCGGTCAGCGATTATAAAAGTAAGATATATGTGTCGGTGTGCTTGTGCTCATGGGGATTTATGTTAATAAAAAAAAAAAAAAAAAAAAAAGATATATGTGTCGGTGTAGGCCGGGGTGCATGGATTGCAGAGATGTGTGGGCTTTTGGCAACAATTCTTATCAGCCCAAGGGAAGAGAACGTCGACATCTACATCGACAATCTCACAGTCGTCAACAATTTCAAGGAGTTGGTGCAGCAGCGGGATTCAGCAACAGCAAGGCAGCGTTTGAGATCTGCAGATGCACAGTGGTGGGCGATGGTGCATTATGCCTTATTGCAACAAGGACAAGGTATATCTGTGCATTGGGTACGAGGACATGCTGGACACCGTGGCAACGAGGCTGCAGACACTGTTGCCAAGGCAGCACATGGGATCGATACAGGACTATGGAGGCTAGACGCAACGCAGCACCATGATTTGAAGTGCCACGCACAGTTTGCAACACACAGTGCAGACCTGGACTTGAGGAGGATACTGAAGCTGCAGTCCGCGGTACGACACCATTATCAGTGGACATTGCAGCATCGAACGAGGACCTACATCAAGTATTGGCGGTCGGTAGCGTGGGCGCCCACGCTGCGGATCTTACACGATAACAACCCACCAAAGCGCTTATACACCAGCCTGTAAGACTGTCGTTTACGTTTGCACAGGATCAAGAAGTTGCATGGAGATTTGCCGACATTGCAGGTGATGAAGAAACGACATCCAGATACCTACCAAACGGACATATGTCGTAGGTGTGAGAGGGAACCAGAGACGAACGATCATCTTTGGCGTTGTTCAGCTACCTTGTGCGACCAGCGACAAGAGTGGAGGGACGCGGTGGAGGAAATGGAGTTGAATGGATATCGTGCATGGAGACAGGCAGTGCGAAAATGGGAACAGGAGAGAGAGGAGGCCGAACGGAAGGACAAGCCCTTCACTGCGACTTGTCCCAACTTCTCGGCAATAGGAACGAAGGCTATCTGGGAGTCAATGCAGTGGATTCAGGGGACGGCGGAAATACGAGGGACATATCGGGTTGCGGAAGGAGAGGAGCCGGAGAGTGAGGCAGATTGGGAGGTCAAGGACTTATACCGAGGTTTGGTGCCAACGGGACTCATTGAGACCTGGAAGCAGCTATTTACCACCACCAAGTGGATTGCGACGATCATGGTGACAAAGTTCGTGAGCAGGATCGAAGAATTTGGCAGGACCAAGATATGGAACAAACGATGCGAGGACACTGTCGCCTGGGAAAAGTCAGTTGGAATCACCTTCATGAGCAAACGCGCCGGAGGACGCAACGGTGATCGGGGACACCAACGTAGTGTTGGTGATTTCTCTGATTTGAAAGGGAGACGGTTACTTGCAGCGGAGATCCAGGAAGGTAGACGGACCGCGGATTATAGGGTGCTACAGCATTGCTTGGGGCGAGGGAAGTTGGACATAATGGAGGGGTTATTCGGTTTAAAAACAACTTTATTAACATTGGATCTGGATTAGGAGACGTGTATCGCGCAACAGGTCACGCAGGAGTTAAGTTAGGCTAGCTATGCGACATGGGTTATGAATTTGACGCCTCAAGCCAACATAGTTGGTAGGGGATGCGGCTCTGCCGTGCATGGAAGGCATCTATGGCTTCAAGGCCTTTGCGGACCATGCGTCGCGTGCTCATGGGGATTTATGTTAATAATAATAAAAAAAAAAAAAGCCGGGATGGATATAGCTATGCTGCTTGAGGGAGACGCTATGGGACACAGCCTCTACGGATTATAAATCCCATGTCGTTGAGGGTTCTTGTTAATAAAAAAAAAAAAAAAAAAGAGAATAGGTGTTAGTAGTGAAATAATGATCAGATGTTTTTTTTTAATGGGGTCCCACGTATATCGTTATGAATGATGTGCTGAATGGTGTAGACGAGTATCTAGAGTTGTGTAGCTTGATGGAGATGAAGCATTGGTTTTTGTGAAGTTATTCGCAGGCGGAAATCAGCGTTAATTTTAATGGCCGCTTGTGAAGGAACACAAGATGTAAAGTCACCGTCGACTGAGAACGAGAACATGGGATCACTGTTATGAGCAAACGCGCCCAGAGGTATAACTGTGATAGGGTCACAGACATGGCAGCAATGGTTTTATGGAATTTACCCTGAGGCCACAACAAGCATTCGACGTGAAAGAGATCAACGGTGCCGTGGATGATCGAGTGTAGGGGTACTATCTGGAGCAGTTGAGACTCGATGAAATATAGTCGGGGTAGACAGCTTGCTGTTTGCTTTTTGCCCCACCTGTAGATTTCCTCCAGGCCGCTGTTAATAAATGCCATTTTTCGTTTTTTTTAAAAAAATAATAATTGAGTGCGTCAAATGTATTAGGACATCTTGTGCCTGGATTACCATCGCCTATCCACACCCTCGAGATCCTTGTGCACATCCTCTCCTTTCTTATCCAGTCTAGTTTGCGATACACCATCTCACTCGTATGCCGCCAATGGAACAAGGTCGCCCTCAGTATTATTACGCGAACCATCCACTTCTCGGCCATGCATGTGCCCCAGGAACTAGATCATCCTGCGTTTCTACAACGACTTAAGGCAGCCAAAACACTCATTCTCGAAAGGATCGCAGCTCGGTACTGCGAGAGGATGATGTGGCCTTTAGCTCTTGGACAGGAAGATGCAGTATGGGCAAAACTAAAGGACAGTCTCGCACTCTTTTCCAGCAGGCCAAGAGGATCAAACATTCGCTGCCTCACACTCGATATTAACGCGGATTTAGATCCTTTTTATACTATGTGGTCGCTGGTCCACGTCGTGGGCCTCACATTGACAAATTTCCGGCTCGACAGGATCTCCATAACGTCGACTATTCCCTTAGCGAGATCCTGAAATCGCGCCCTCTGCTCAATGATCTCCACCAGAGGGGTGCGACATTCCATTCTGGTGAAAGCCTTATATTGATACGTCAAGAAGGCGACCTCGTACTGGGCAGCTTACAGACGTGTACCCGAGAACCTAGTCCTCCTTGAGTCCGCGTTGTTGCATAGTTTCTGAGGGTGGAGAGCTGGGGATTAAAATTGCAGGTACCGTGCTGAGCATACATGGATGAGCTTAGTATCCACAGGGACACGAATCGGCTGACGACTGTCGAGATTACGATTCCCAGATTCAGCGAATCTTTTGTCAGGAGCAAGAGGTGAGCGGAATTGGTTCATGATTTCCTGTGCTTAAGTCCTTTGCTGGGACATTTCCAAGCGCCCGAAGTCAACATCCTCATGGAGCTACCGGGATGCCGTAAGCCCCTTCGGTCACCGACAACTAAGTCAGAACCGAGCGTACCCTAGATACCAAGCACGCTGCCGCCAAAGATGTGAGCCTGTCAGCAGTTGAAGACGTTGCAACTGCGTATGAATCCACAGCATTGGACAGTCCCCAAACACGCATACAGACCTATTTTTGGATACATTGGTTGTGTATGTCCGAATCTGGAGGAATTAGTCATCAAGTGCGATGAGATCGATCTTCGCGCGGGCAGTGGTCTGTGCCTGCTTTCGGGACTGTGTCGGTTGAGGCGATTCAAGTTGGTGGTCCAAGATTGACCATGTTGGTTTGACGAGGATCAAATGAGCTGGGTGCAGCGGCAATATATCTATGATTCGCAAGAACACCGACGTGCTCGGTTACAGGCGAGGAAGGAAGGTCTTTGGCGTGGTCTTAGGGACTATATGCTAAAGAAATCGGATTCTAGTATTTCGGAGCTGAGCGTTCGGCATAAGGTCTTCAGAAGAATCGTTCCGAAAGGCGCAAGTTACGTGGTTGGCGGCGTGGGCTTGATGCATTTTGGTCTACTGAAGGATGTGTTGTCGTATTTTCGAGGAACGGAAGAGCTGCCCAGACGAGTACCTTTGGCTGGAGATGAAGATATTAGAGATTAGCCATGAAGAATACAAGCCCAGGCTTCGTATACGGGGGCAATGTGAACTGATAGCGTCAATGATTAGGAAGTACCAGTCAGAGATCCGGGCCAGGGTCTCTAGAGCAGACCCGCGCGGTTCATAAAAGAGAACGTTTACTCTGTAAAAATTGTGAGGAATGATAAAGAACACCATGGACGCATTGGCTGCGTGCGTTTGTGCTTGCTTACGTGAGTTCGTACAACAAAGCAAGCCCTTGCAGGTTTGTTGTCTGTCGCGTGCTCATGTCGCCAATCAGCGGGTTCTTTAAGACATTAACATCACTTAGAAACGCGAAAAAGAGACTGGGCTCAGCTGGAGGCGCGTTTTTTGCTGGGAACCCTGATGATTAAGGTTGTTGTTTCGTTTACCAAGGGATAAGCGGTCATGCGCGGCAGCCATTTGCGATTCAGTCTCTGGTTATTTTAAACGCGTGCATCATGACTATATCAGGCATGGCCTAGACACGGCACAGAAATGCCAGATGCGACTGAAAATGCCTCTGCACAGCAATTGCGCAACTTACAGAACGGACAACACATCTTTCCTTCGTTCCTGAAATCTAATTCCTCATCTGACCACCGCCCTCCTCATTCCCCATTCTCATCCCTCGTTCTCATTCCTCTCTAAAGAATTTTTAAACCTCGTCGAACAATCACCAGCTCACATAATATATTATCTTTCGCACAATGTCAACATCCATCGATGTGTCTTCAGGATCCATGGAGGGGAAAGAGGAGTCCCCTGCACAGAAACACCTCAAGTTCTTTAAAGGCAGTCAATTGCCGCCGCTGATCTCCAATGGCCCACCCCATGTCCTCATTTCAGGTGCAGGATTGGCTGGATTGTTCCTGGCCAATTTGCTCGAACGGGCCAACATTCCTTATCAGCTCTTTGAACGGGCCAAGGAAGTCCTTCCACTGGGTAAACGATACAACGACTCAACGCACGTTCCAACTTTTTCACACGACTAACGACGAATCAAAATTTGATCTCATAGGTTCCATTATGTGCCTGACCGCAAACATTCTGCCAGTGTTTGAACAGCTGGGGCTATACGACGACCTCATGAAGGTGTCACATCCAAGTCTGAGCACCAAGATCTTGTCTGCTGACCTAAAGAAGATCGGCGAGTTCAATGCCGAGAACGACATTGAGGTGTAATGGACCATTGTACACCATCCCGTATCCAGTTATCAGTACAGTTAGCACCACCTGCTTGCATATCCTTTTCCCAAAGACGTTACTAACAGCGTTAATGTATTCTGCCCGCATACATAGTACTGGATACCATCGGGCACTGTTTTCCCGACCAGAGCTATACAAAATCCTACTCTCCCGCATCCCACCGCACAAGATCCACATGTCCAAGAAGGTGATGTCCTTTTTGCAGAATAAGGACGGCGTGATGGTGCGTCTACAGGATGGTTCTACTGTTCATGGCGACATCCTTGTGGGAGCTGATGGGGCACATAGTGCTGTCCGTCAAACCCTCTATCAGGAGATGGAGAAGCAAGGAAAGTTACCGCAGTGCGATACGCGAAGGATGATGAAAGGATATATATGTATGGTGGGCACAACGGGTCCATTAGACCCGGCCAAGTATCCCGGCGTTGATGTCCCTGCATCGGATGGTACGCTGCTTATTGGTAACAGCTCATCGCCATATGCAGTAAGGAAATTGTTCTATGTACCTCTCCTTGAAGCACAAACCTTCTGGTACTCATTTTAAACCTTTTTTTAACGGAAACGATAACGATTGTGATAATAATAGTGGAGCATGTTCTCGGTCCCTGGGAACAAAATGTGTTGGAACGTGGTGCTGCAGCTGGACGTGGATGCATCCGAGGACGAACAGTTCCGAAACTCGGAGTGGTCTTCGATCACGAACAAAAGAATGATCGAGGAGGTTTACCATTTCAAAACACCGTACGGGATCATGGGTGACTTAATCGATGCCACGCCCAGTGAACAGATTAGCAGAGTATTTTTGGAAGATATTCTCTACGAGACTTGGCACCATATGCGGACAGTACTCATTGGAGATGGTACGGCATCTAATTGGAGGGCCTTGCCTCAAGAGAAAAAACAGTGATCGGGTTGTTCAATTACTGTCAGCATCTGAAAGCTAACCGCTAACAACATACTTTCGTCCATCTTTTGGTTCCCTATTTACATGGTGTCCAAAAAAAGCTGCGCACAAGGTTTGTGGTTTGATCGAAGAGTTGGAGCGGTACTTCATTTTTCGGTTTCCAGCATGCATGTCTGCATGTCATGTAGAACATGCAATATACTCATATTTGACCATTTTCACCTTTGTGTCCACTCAGTTGCTGCCAAGTACTGGCCAAGGAGCCGTGAACGCAATGCAGGACGCAGTTGTCCTTGCTAACTGCCTCTATGATCTTACACCATTATCCATTGACGGTATCAAGACCGCGTTGAAGGATTACCGCGAGCAGCGTTTCGCCCATGTGAAAACTCAATACGAAGCAAGCCAAATGGGTGCAAAACTACAATACGGCCATGTAAGAAAGGACACTCTTATAATACCGATTCTATAAAAGACATAACTTTGTGTTTGCTGATTTTTTTCTTTCATCCCTATCGTAGACTTGGCAGGAGCGTATTCTAAGGCACTTCGTCTTCAACTATATGCCGAAATCAGTACAACGGAACCATATTTTGAAGGATTCTCAGTACCGGCCTCAAGCAATGTTTCTTCCCCCGGCACCCAAGCGCGGCTCAGGCCCAGTTTTGGCACAGAAGCCCTCAAAGCGATACGCGGAGAAGCAGACCATGTCAGGTTCGACAATGGTGGTTTAGTAATAAATAAAAGACTCATTCATGAGGTGCTCTTTGATCAAATGCTTTAGCCAGGCATCTCAATAAAATGGCGTACCAGTGCCTGATCTTCAATCTTTTTTTCTAGGGAGCCTTGGGAAAACTTGTGCGTTATTGAAGGCGTATGCGCATGAGGGCGTAGAGCCTGCAACAGCACAGCATGCCTCGATGCATCAAATTGATGGCGGCATTTAAAAGACCTTTTGCCTATGTACATCTTTGTCTTAGTCCACTTTGTCTTTATCTCTCATTCTCATTCTCATTCTCATTCCCCTTGCTTCCTCCTCTCTCGGCACCATTCTACGATACTTGGTTTCAAAATGAACGGCGAAGACTCGGTTCAAGCACATGGAGCAACAGCTAGCACGACGGATCGCCCTCCCAAAGTCCTGATTTCAGGTGCTGGCCTTGCTGGTCTGCTGTTAGCGAACCTGCTGGAGAAAGCTAATATCCCCTACGAGATCTTCGAGCGCGCCAAGGAAGTCCTTCCCTTGGGTATGTATATACTGATTTGCTTGTTTGTTTGTTCCAGCCACTATATATACTGCCAATGATGCTTACAGAGTCTTCGGCAAAATAGGTTCGATTATGTGTCTGACTGCGAACATACTGCCAGCGTTTGAGCAACTGGAGCTGTATGATGATCTTATGAAGGCCTCTTATCCAAGTCACAGCACCAAGCTCCTCTCTGCCGATCTAAAGCGCATTGGTGAATTCAATGCCGAGGAGGATAAGGCTTTGTACGAGTGATGTTTGGAATGTAATTGTAAATCAAACGAGACAACATCATTAGGGCCTGTGTTCTCATCGATGAGATCATTTTGTTCATGATTCACGCGTAGAACTGGATATCACCGCGCTCTCTTTGCTCGGCCTGAGCTGTATAAAATTCTGCTCTCCCGTATCCCGCCGCAGAAGATTCACTTGTCCAAGAGGGTGGCCTCGTTCCATCAGGACAAAGACGGCGTCACTCTGGAGTTTCAAGACAATACCCCCGCTGTCCATGGCGATATTCTTGTGGGAGCCGATGGCGCTTATAGTGCTGTGCGCCAGCATTTATACCAGGAACTGGAACAACAAGGGAAACTCCCGCTCGCCGATAAGCGCAAGTCTCAGAAGGGCTATATCTGTTTGGTAGGAACGACAGGTTCTTTGGATACTACAAAATTTCCAGGCGTGGATGTGCCAGCCTCTGAAGGTACCTTGTTAGTCGGCGACAGTGCATCGCCATATGCTGTAAGTGTTGTAACTTCCTTGCGTGATCATAGATAGCCGTTATGCTCTGTAAGGACATCCATGGCTATTGAGCAAATGGCACTTTATTGAATGACTATTTCTTATCGATTGTTGCTAGTGGAGTACATTCACTGTTCCCGGAAACAAGATTTGCTGGAATGTAGTGGTACAGCTAGATGTAAATGCGTCCGAAGAAGAGAAGTTCAAGAACTCGGAATGGGCATCGACTACCAACGAAAAGATGATCGAAAAGGTCTGCGAGTTCAAGACGCCATATGGCAAGATGGGCGACCTGTTTGATGCAACACCCAAGGACCAGATCAGTAGGGTGTTTCTGGAGGACATGGTCTACGAGACTTGGTACCACTCGCGTACTGTCCTTATTGGAGATGGTATGTACGCTACCGTATTTTGTTTGTAAATGAAAGGACTACTGGCAGACAACTCACCGGTTTCGTTTCCTTCATTGTCGACTTGACTCTTCATACATATAGCTGCACATAAGGTAAGATAAAATCCCTCTGAAGATACATCAAGGTTCCGAGGCGAATGAATAAATTACTTGTTGTAAACGCGTCTTCGTTCTTTCTTTGCGGTCTTACCTAGCTACTTCCGAGTACTGGTCAAGGCGCGGTCAACGCCATGCAGGATGCAGTTGTTCTCGCAAACTGCCTCTACGACCTCGAGTCTGTGACGCATGAGAACATCCAAGCTGCGCTCAAGAACTTTCGCGAACAGCGGTATGACCATGTGAAAACGCAGCACGAGGCGAGCCAGTTCGGAGCTAAGATTCAATATGGACATGTAGGCTAAAAAAGCATTAGAGAGGTTGTGGTTGGCATCATGAGGACGTAGAATGATTCTGGTCTAACGTGATGTTGTCGCCCCTCTTTTTTTTTGCGCGTAGACTTGGTATGAGCGTATTCTGAGACACATCGTGTTCAATTATCTGCCCAAATCGTTGCAAAGAAACCATATTCTCAAGGATTCCCAGTATCGTCCCCAGGTTGCTTTCCTTCCTCAGACTGCCAACCGTGGGTCTGGTTCAGTTCAGCCGCAGAGACCGTCAAAGCGCTACGCTGAAGAGCAGGCCAAACTATCATCGACACAAGCAGTGTAGAAACGCGAACGACTAAATAACAACGTGGTGGATTGGCGATATTTTATTCGGTGTCCTGTCATATAAACGTATGAAAAAAAGGTGCATGTTGTCTGTAATGCACGGGATGAAAAAACTAAATGTGTGTATGACTTTATGTGCGAAGTCTAAGGTGGACCGTTGAAAAGTCATAGACTGACAGTTAGTCTATGCTCCTTAGGTGTTTGTTCTCGTGTCTTGAGGGCTTCTTTTTTCATGATCGCGTGGTGCTTATTCTTAATTTTAGTACTGGGACCTATGCAACAGCTGCAGCACGTACCGTGCACTGAGCGGTTCATAACCACCTGTGCAGCTGTTCATTGGAGGGATAGCCTAAATGCTGTCCGTGCAGATGTGGGTAACTTGACTGTAAACTATTCATGCCGTCCTTGCAACGAGGCACTGGCAAGGAATGCAGGGGACCCTTGACTTTCCTTTATCCTGGCTTGCATTTTGTCAAATTATAATGTAGGGAGGCGAACCTCGCGCAAACCAAATAAACGGCACGTCGTCGACTCTTTCAGGAGTTCGTTCCTCTCTTCTTTTGTGGTCTCGCGGCCTCGCCTTTTGCACATGAGTATAAGGGAAAACAAACAAACAAAAAGCACTGGGTTTTGATGTCATATATTGATGAGTTTTTGGAGTGTCCTTCGACAAGAGGTGTCTGACCATAGCCCTTCATTCCAATTCATCATTTTTCATGCGTCAAAGAGTGAGGACCGGAGGGCCATTGAGGGGGCTTTATCGTTGCACACATGCAGCGTTCGGTATTCAGAGAATGAATCCCAGTGCGAAGATCTCAAAGAAAAAGGCCGGTCTGCGCACTTTTTTGTGCCTGAAGTGCCTGAGGCCCTCTCCCGAGCAACCAACCTAAAAAAAAAGAGGGCGGCGAGGAGAATTCCCGTCCAATCAGCGCGGCTATCGGCTCAATCGCTCCAATGATTCTTGGATTAAACCCTTAAGCAAACGCCCGCTTTCAATCTATTTTCTGTTTATCTTTCCTCCTCTCCTCTCTTTCTCTCTTTTCTTTTCTTCTCCTCACCTTTCCCCATACTCACATCCATTTCCTTACCCTTTTTTTATTACAACACACCCCTGTCCCTTTACTGACCATCTCTTTCTTCTTGGACGTACTATCCAACCCTTTTCAGAACTCGTAACCATTTCCAGCACGCACATAGTTGCCAAGATGGCCCCCTCCGCTTAAACGCCTTGTACATTTGTACACCGTACCCAATTCGCACCAGAACAGTCAAAAAAATTAGAAAAAGCTTTTCCAGAACCCCCCCGTTCCCCCCCCTTAACCCCACCCCCAAGCATTACCTTACAACCTTTACGGTTTAAAGCAAGTTAGCCACCATGGTTTCCTCAATCATCCCCCCCACCAACAATAGCAATACCAATAGCAACATTCCAGTACACACCTCGATTATCTCTGTAATCGCCTTAATTGCCTTACACTCCTAAGTACCCTACATCCTTTTGAACACTCCCTTTGAGCAACCCATTGTTCTATACCCAAGAAACTTCGTCTTCTCCCACCATGGCCATCTCATTCGACTTTACTATGTTTGATACGACCAACCCCAAGCTCTCGAAATCGGCGGACGCTCTAGAGTCGGCCCTTGCCCAATGTATGTATTTCCTCGTCATGTTTTCACGATCTGGTAAAGTTCACGCCATATCTTAATACTTTTATCCTAATTTTTCTCCTTAGTCGGCAAGCACGCCAGCGTCAACGATGATATCGCCGACAGTCTCTTCGCCGACACTCCTGCTGTCGTCTCAAACAGCGGCAGTGGTTTCGACGAGTGGCTCGCCAACGATTTCCAGTTGGGAGCCTTGTCTGGCGATGATATCTCTTCCTCATTGTCGTCAAGCCCATGCTCGGCACTGGATGATTCGCCCCTCTTGGGCTTGGATTCTTTCAGTGCAGCTATGGGTCAGTCGCTGTTCGACGTGACCTTGGGCTTCCCTATTAGCAATAATCTGGCTATGCCTGTCGTTCCCACACCTGCTCCCATTCCTGTCCAGGTCAAGGCTGCGCCGCTTCTTACAACTGCTGCGGTCCAGCAGGCTGCCGCAGCCCTTAACATCCCCTGGAGTCACGATTTGGAGATGGCTGTACTGGCTCAGGCTGCCAGCCAGGCCTCTGCCTCTGCTTCCGCACCAGCCGCCGCATTCCCCATTGACAACGCATGTGCGATGATCATTCCCAAGGTCGAGCCTGTTGAGAAGAGCTTTGCTTCTGCTCCCACGGTTGATGTATCCAAGGCCAAGGACATCAAGAAGCGTGCATTCACGCCCGAGGATGATATGGATGAGATTGTCGCCAAGCGTGCCAAGAACACGGATGCTGCTCGTCGCTCCCGTCTCAAGAAGATGCTTCGCCTGGAGACACTCGAAACCAAGGTGGCCGAGCTTGAGGCGACCAACAACCGCCTGACGATGAAGGTGGCGATCCTTGAGACCGAGAAGAATGGCCATCTTTCCAAGGAAGTCGATCAGAGCGCACGTATCGCTCAGCTCGAGGCTAAGCTTGCCGAGGCCCATGCTGCACTCACGAGCCGTGCCTGAGCATTCGCTTCTTTTTTTGTAGTTTCTGTAATCATCATTTGTAATATCTATCATTGCTGTCAATAAAACTTTTCGACTCTATCGATATCTTGATATTAGTGCTTGTTCGCTGGAAAAAAATGACCTCTTGTTCTGAGATGAAGTGGTGCCTACACTGTAAGCAATTGCTCGTCCCTTCGAATATCAAACAGCTTATCCGCCTACTATGTTGTACGATCTAACTCCATTTGATTCGCCGTCGAGATCCGAATGCCTTCATGGAGAAGGACACCGCACCACTAGATTTACTAGAAATCATAATCCTCGTCGGGTCCTTTCTCAAGCCTTAGGACCCTTAGTGGTCAAATTAGCGACATAGCAACGCGTTAATAAACAACAAGGAAGATGGTCGAGGCCAAGCATTAAAAGCACTGCCCCAAGGTACTAACGTTTCGATAGAGCAGTGCCCATTTCGATAGAACAGTGCCCATTTCGGCAGACTTTCATCGTTAGTCCACCGCTTCTCTATAAATCTGATAAAGATATTGACCGTTGAGAAGCATTCTTTGAATCGATCCCATAGCTCCAGGAGCTCAACTTTAGTCTTGGTTCTACGGATCTGTTGCAAGATCGGGCGCATATCATTTCCAACTGAAATCTAACAACGCATTGAAATTGGATATTAATACATAGTTTTTACATAGTTGGAGGATGCCACACCAATGTGTGAATATTCAAGTCAGGCCTAGTGCAACATCCTTACCGACACGCTTGGCCTGACCTTCTGCTCCCACGATTTTGCAACGTGAAAGAGGCAGTAATATACGGATAGAGACGCCTCATTCACCTCAATGTCTATCAGCAGTATTTTTTCCCTCTAGCTCCTCTTCAAGTGCTATCATATCGTTCGGTAGATCAAGCCCATTTCTCACGGCTGTGAAAACACTGCGACTAAGCGGTTGTGTGGGGACATCGGATGCTAACGCATGTCTCCTTCAGACCCTGCATCACCAACTCGTACGGCTCTTCTTCATGAATGCTTGATTCTTGCAATGAGTTCACGTTTGGCGGCAGCTCCGTCTCATGTGTACCAGACCGACGTTCCATGGCTCGTTGGGGAGTTCTGCTCTTGACTGCCTCATTGCTTAGCGGTAAGGAATAGTCCGTATCGGAGAAAGCATCGTCCTCATCCTTGTCATCCTCGTCGACTAGTCGTACACTCCCGGGAGATAGAAAGAACATCTTGAATTTCTCGTCAGTCGAGACAGTTCTGTTTCTTGATGGCTTCTACACGATCATGGTACAATTCCATTATCTCTTGCTTGAGCTGTTCCACGTCTTTGTTGTCGTTATCGAGATCGTCGGCCGTTCGTAAAAGATCCTTAATTTCTGGAGGTATAGTAAGGACGCGGGCGAAACAGATGCTAATGGTGACCTTTGTCACAGCGTCCCAAGCAGAACTAAGGCATGGCCACAGCAGATTGTTAGGAATTGCTTTGCCAGATTCTGCCTCTGCTCGCCACTTGGATACAACACGAATCATATCCCGACTATATTTCACTTTAAATGAGCGAATGGTCCCTGCATCCAAAGGCTGGGGAACTGAGGTTGTTTTTGGTGGTAGTCGAATGATATCAATATTCCTGTGGATAAGGTCGCGGGCATTGCCGTGTCCTGGTGTGTTGTCGATCACCAAAGCAATATGTCGCCCCTCCATAGCAGTGTCGAGCTCCCCAAGCCATTTGTCGAATAGGATACGGTTCATATATCCTTTACCACCGTAATGGGGTTTCAGTTGTGCCTCTAGCACGGTATTTAGCTAAAACGAAGCCAAAAAAACACGACGAAAGGGCTGTGTTAAATTCCACTGGTTTGTTAGTGCTGCATTTGGAGGCACGCTTGCTAAAGTTTGGACGCCTTACACCCGATCCATCAATATTACAGCACAGCAGGATGGATATCCTGGGGACCTTATCAAGTATAAACACTTACTCTTGATAATCTCGGTCTGAAATTGCTCTTTCATTGACCTTCATCTTCCGTGGGTAAATATTTGTAATCGTCACTGCGTTCTTAGTGGCTTACTTGTTCAGCCTTGTGAATGATGCCTTCTGCTTCACGGGACATGCAAGTGACTTTCCTAGGCCCGAAGCTGTATTTTTCTCATCTCCCGACGGAGGCTGCTGAACATTTTGGATCCCATTGTCATGCGGCGAGCATATCCTTGATGAACCCTGCCTTCAAACCTAATGGAGTACCTTTAAGTCGCTTCTTACTGTCAGATTATCCAGCCACAGAAGTAGTCGAGGAATTTTTCATCTTAGCTTTAGTCGCAGGGTGTTTTTTTGCAGGAGGTTTGACCGATGTTGTAACTGTGGTTTTCGGTGGAGGCTTCACGTTAGTTTTGGACTTTGTCACTGGGTCCTTGATCGCCTTCGATGTCGTCGTCTTGGTATTAGTAGATATAGGTTCAGTATTTGGCATAGTGGAGTCGAGAAGGAGTATGGGGATGGGGTTGGGGAAGTTTTTTCTCTCACATTCAGCACTCAGGCACCATGGCGTACTAAGGTTTACATAAAAGATTCCGAATCTGGGTAGAACATATTAACCTTATTTCTGCGAGCTAAATTTTGGTGGCGCATTTTGTTTGTGCATCACTGGTTGCTTTCGGCACGCTAAGCCCAACCCATGCCGTCCCATGGCCTTTCTGAGCTGCGCATATCGTTTAAATTACTCATATGGTCTCATTGGCGAGCATCAAAAGGAAATTTTCGTTGAAAATGAATGAGAGTACACTGATATACATTGATACTAAAATAAATGCTCCTGTGTGTCCTTTACTGATTCTCTTCCTCGTCTTCACGTCGTTCCCTTTCCACCTTGCGCTGCTCCTTGGTCTTCCTAAAGTACCGCGTCTCTTCCGGGTCAAATCCACCCTCAGGTGCACCAAAGTACGCCCATGAGGGTGTCTCAGCCATGTAATCCAGACTCGTGAACTTCTCGCCCGATTCGACCAGATCAAAGAACTTGTCGTAGTCAATATGTGTGTACCATTTGTCGCCCTTCTTGAACTTTGTGGACGCAACCAAGATCGAGCACGAATGTGCGTGTTCGGCCGCAATCTCATATCCCGCGCCCAATTGCTCCTGGATCAGTTCGACAAACCGGACTACTTCTGCATGGTAGGGAACGTTAGCCATGGTGAGGCCAGAGGCACCTCCGTATCCACAGTAGGTCACTCCCTTGATTTCGATAAAATCGGGCTGACCGCGACGGATGAGCTCGACATAGTTGGCAATTTCGTCCGTGTTGAAGTCCTTAACAAGGGTCAATCTGTAGACTGTGCGCTGTCCCTTCTTCCCAAGGGCATCCAAACTATCAAGGAACCGCTCCCAAAAGTCGCGGAACAGGGGACGGTCAATCTTCTTGAGAGATTCCTTGGTCGAGGCGTCCACGCTGACATACAGTTGTGTAACGGGATCCATGTTGGCAATGGCATCGGGGAACTGGGCGTTGGTGACCAAGAAGGATGAGATACGCTTCTTATGCAATAGCTTCACGAATTCGTTGATGTGGGGGTACTATGAGAAGCAATGAAAACCAACGAGGACGGTTAGAAACAAGTGCAGATGGAACGCAAAAGAAAGTTACAGTTTGATGAACTTACAAAGATCGGTTCCCCGACCAGGGACAAGGCACAATGCTTGACCTGGGTCGCCTCTACAAAGCGATCTGCACGGACTCCTGGAACACCCTTGAGCTGCTTCAGCATGCCGTAATGGTTCTCCAAGGCGCCCTCCAGAATGAACTCGGGATCGTCCACCTTCCATCTCCACTCAGTTCCAACGGGATTTGTATGGTGTCTCCAGCTATATTCAAGGATCATTTGAGTAAGCCGTTGTTAATAAGGCAGTGCATATCAGGAGCTGTGATCAAGCATCAAGTTGATGAACATGTGCTGACAACTTACCAGAAAACACACTTGTTGGCACAAGCCAGGGAAGGCGTCGTCTCCATGCACAAATGGGACTGAATCCCGTAAAACGAGTGCTTATAACAGAATCCGCGTCCACGCAGAGCAGCCTTGGTCCAGCGACAGATCTTGACTCCAGAGTGCGATCCAATAATCTTATAGCCCTGTTTCGTCAAGGATTTGTACAACAGAGGACTGACCATCTCGCGAACCTCGCGAGGCTTGATCGCCTTGCCATCCTTGGTCTCACCTACAGCACGTTTAGCTCGGACCTTCTGGTTTGCATAGGCCTCCTCATCAAGGGCCTTGTCCTCCTTGGCCTGTTTGATCTTGCGTGCAACATTTCCCATATCCTCAAGATCGACCATCTCACCCTCCGAAGCATTGCCACCGTCGATCGTGGGGAGTCCGAGCTTTTCCTCCTTGGTCTTTCGTACGGGTTCACCATCCTCGTCCAGCTCGGCATCGTCATCATCGTGTTCCGAGGCAGAGGCACCGTCTTCCTCGTCCGAGGAAAAGTATGCCTCATGTGTGTGGCTCTGAGTGGGATCCAAAAGCGAGGCCAACAAGGCATCGTTCCATTGCTTGAATGAGCCTCCCTGGTCTACAATATTACAAGTCAATGTTAGTGTTGCTCATTGCAGGAACCTCGGGACGTGATCTGGCATTACGACAGTTCTCTTCAAACTTACCTCCGTTCTTGTCTCCTTCGCCAAGAGGCCAGACACGCTGGGCTCCCATCTGTCCGAGCCACTTATCCGCTGATCGAGGGCCGTTACAGAACTCTTCAGTGTATGCCGAGTCGCCCAAACCAAAGACCGAGAACTTGAGTTTGTTCAAGGACTCCTTCTGCACACGCCAATCGAAACGAGTGTCCTCCAACCACTTTAGGAACCAGTCATTGGGTCCCTCAACGTTGTAGGTCGACAGAATAAAAACGCAAAGGCTGGACTCTGACAAAAAATCCTCCGTATCATAATCCACAATGTCAATCACCTTGGGTTCCGGAAGTCCGTGATCAGTTGCAGATTGAGCTAGCTGCTGTGCAAACAACTTTGCAGTTCCAGTAATAGTCGAGTAGAAGATCTTCATGGGCTCAACGAGCAGAGGCAGGAGCAATGGATCGAGTTGAGTGAGAACTGGGGGCGGAGTCAAAGTTGTTGATGAGGAGCATGCACAGGCATGGGCTGGAGCAGAGACATTGTTGTTGCTAGTGTCCTTGTACTTTCCGCCGCAGCAGCCAGTCGAGTTGTCTCCCTCAGGCTTATTCTTCCCACCACAACATCCAGAGTCGGTAGCGGTTGCGTCCATTTCGGCCTGCTTTTTCTTGGGCTTTTTGCGGATGACCTTGGGCAACCTACGGTAGACTTCCTTTTTGAGCCCCTGGTGCTGATAGGGCTTTTGCTCAGGAGTGGCATGCTCCACAACACGATCGACGGCTTCAGGAGATAGTTCTGGTATGGTGGGGTCCTGTTCCATATCCTGGACGAGCTCCTCGACCTTGCTTTGAGGCCGTCTGCCGTGGGAATTATTGGGGTGAGTTGGACCCTGAGAGTCGTCCGGAGAGGATTTGTTCTTGTTGGCGAGGAGGATGGAGAGAGTGGCGATTCCGACGGCCATGCAGACCAGGGGGATTCGGTACTCCTTCCAGAGCTGTAGAGTGGAGGATGAAGAACTCATGTTGTGTTGACTCCTTTCACTCCTGCTGAGGTGTGGATTGCGGGGATGAAGTGTGAAAAAGAAAGACCTTTCAGTTGGCACCTTTTTATTTTTATTTTTTGCTGTTGTTTATTAGCAAGCCACTGCTAAGTGTAGCAGGGTTCATAAGCTTTACTGAGACTCCATCTCTATTTGTAGCAGTGCCACAGTGTGCCCTTGCTGAGGACACCCAGCTCGCAAATGAAGCTGTTAGAATCGCTTTCGGCCGGCACAGCCGCCTTGGCCCCTTCACCACCATTATCGCCTTCCTCGCTAGCACCCTTGCCAGGAATCGCCTCGTCGATCTTGGCCTCCAGGTTCTCGATCAACTCTTGCCACCGGTCACGTCCGTACACTACGCTCGCAACCTTGGCCATCAAGTGCACGTCTTTAATGGGGCGCGAGCCCGAGTCGGGATATGGCCACTCGGATGCGTCCCTCACGCCGTAATCGGACACATACCGAGTCGCATCCTCAATGGTACCGCCTCCGACCACGATATCGACACTGACCCTCGAATTCACACGAATCACGCTCTCCTCAATGGGTCCCTTGTGACGCCACAGATCAACGCCATGGCTATCGGCCTGCATCGCAAGCAAGTACAGTCCCTGCAAGTTAAATACTGAGTAAAAGAAGCTGATTGGGCGGATGGTTTCATGAGGTTGGGCACCGTCCTTGCGGATCTGAGATCCAACGCGCGCCTCCTTGGCATCCTCCAGCATGGCCTTGGCCTCGTTGTTGCGGCCGAGGAACTCGAGGATGGAAATGTACTGGACAGTGAAGTAGGTGCCGTGGTTGTTCCTGGCATTCTTTTCTTGGTTGGCTTGAATCGAACCGTCCATCCATTCGAGATAGGAGGTGAACCACTTTCGGAGATCGGAGATCAGCGCTGGCTCTGCCTGCAGAGCCTTGGATCCCTCGATTGCTCGCAGCCCGTCAAACATGCTAAAGAAGATTTGTCGATACAATCGATTAATAAGCTTGACTTTTTTTTTTGGAAATTGTAATTGCAATCTGCACAATAAGCTGAAGACGTACCCATAGACCTTGAACATGTCGAGAACACCCTGGGCTCGACCCAGGTCATTGCCAAAGATCAAGCTTCCATACTTGATGTTCGGATTCATGTACGTCTCTCTGTCCACAAACCACTCCTTGATTCTGTAGACGATCTTCTCTGCATAACGCTCCTCGCCCGTCCAGAAGTACGCCATACCCATATAGTAGCAATCCCTGAACATCTTTCTCAGCAATCGATAGTCGTGGACAGAGTCCATGTCCGGGTTGGGCTGACCATCGAGACGGATGTACGGCAATCCATCAGGAGTTTTCGGGTTCTTCCAAAAGTACCGGGCCAGCGATGTATAGTCGTGAATGTCGCCCGAGGGTGCGATCTTTGACTTGGGCTTGAGCACGACCGAGTAAACAGAGTCGTTACGGTAGGCGATGTTGGCCTGACCCAAGATGTAGGCAATAGCGGAATCGCGCGACAGCAGAGCTCGCGGCTTTCCGTGAAGATACTCCTTCATGGCTTTGGCGCCAATCTTGGTCTCGAGGATCTTTTGCGAGGAAATAGGGAAAAGCGATTCGTTGAACTCTGTAGGCAGGCCGTCCTGAGGTTTCTCCAGATCACCATCTTCCAGGGAATTATCGTCCTCCTGCTCGGTTTTGGGCTGCTGCTTCTCTCCCTCCTTGGTCGTCTCTTTGTTCTCAAACAGAATCTTGTCATTGTTGACCTCGCCGAGTTCCTTGTCATTCTGTTGCGCCTCCTCCTTCAACCTTTCCTTCTCTAATAGTTCCTCCTGACGATTTTCTTCCTCTTGTTGTTTCTGCCTCAGGATCCGCTCTTGATCCTGCTGTTCGTATTTCTGGCGCTGCTGTTCTGCGTCGACCTTTGGACGTGTTTGCTTCGCGATAGGTTGTTGATTTTCCTCGGGAGCGAGTGATGATTTGCTGGAAGTGCGCCAGTCATAATCGGGCAGTTGGTCCAGGGCCTTATCGGAGTATGGGGTGAAGGTGAAGAGGATGACAAAAATGCAGAGCCCCAAGAGGATGGTCAACGTCCGCTTCGTTGGTCCTCGAAGGTATACCATTGTGGGGATTGTATTTTCACACTAAAAAAATAAATGATAGCGATTCCTGGTAAGAAGACGTGCTCGATTGTACACAAAATGAAAAATGGAGTAAGGAATGAGAGGCGGGAAAGCCGGGAAGAAGAGGAAAAAGTTGAAAGCGGAAGAGAAAGGAAGAAAGAAGAGAGAGAGAGAGGGGACCAGAAAACATCTGGAGGAAATGCACAACGCTAAACCGATCCAGCAGACTAACTGTCCATCGGGCTATTCTAAATATACAAGTAATTCCGCGGCAACGTGAAGCAAGCAGGAGCAGCACCACCGGCGTACAAGGTGCCTACTTGACTGGCTGGGTGCCCTTGTGCCCTCAGTCTCGCTCCGGCTGGGGCGTATTCAGCGCCTAGACCTCACTTCTGAATGAACCCTATTCTGGACATGAGCGGAGCCAGCGCCATGGATGTCTTCATTTGTTCTTTTTTTTAATTTTTTATTTCCCCGCCAGAGAACAGGAGAGCCCTGTTTGATCGTGAATTGGAATTGCAGATGTGCACTTGTTTGGTTCTGAGGAAAAGACCAATTAGGGCCCACGACTCTTTTTGGGCAAGATCTAAATAGACCTTTGAAGGTTCAGTGGAGGAGGGGGATGGTGGTGGGTAAGCAGAGCAAGTGTAGACGATAATCCGGCCCAAGTATTCAGTCCAATTGAAAAAACATACAGCTTACCACATGCCCATTTATCAAATTACTGGAGACTCTTATATTCTTATATTTCCGATTGGACTGAAAACTTGAAGGCACTTCTACACTTGGGGCCACTTCCCCGGATTAGCGGGGATGACTGTAGGCATCGCCGTGGACATTTCTCTTCTCTCTACCAAGGATTGTGTCTTTGTTTCCCGTTGAGAGCATGTGCAAGTCCATGCAGGAAACAAACACGCCATCAAATATTTAATCTATCCCACCATTTCGTCCCATCATTTGCAGCAGATGCAGAGTCCATAACGGATTGAAATTCTGACGACATCGTCCAGGAACAAATCCGATCAAGAAGCAACTGTTTCATAGATGGTTTATGGATGGTGCACTTCCTTCTGAACTCTTTAATCAACATCCGTTGGTCATGATGCGTCTTCATGCTAATCTCATTTCAGAGAGGGGAAAGAAAGTATCAAAAGCCACTATTCACGGCTCTAGTCCATCTCCTCGATGGCAGGCTGTGGCGGCTGTGCGCTTCCTGAACCCAAAGCTGGTCGTGATGCTGAGGAGGGAGGGCCTGAGAACAGGCTGCTCATCAAATCTGCCAACATGTTGGCCTGCTTGGGCGCCTTGATACCAAAGAAGAGCTCCCCAATCGTCGTCATCAACTAACGTCCGAGCGCGATGCAGCAAAGAGAATTACATATTAGAATAAACGAGTTTCAATCATAATGCTCATTCGACACGTTGCAGACTAATAAGACAGCACTTACAGCGCCAAAGTTCTCGTCAATGGCAAGGGCAGGTCTGTACTTTGCTGAGACCTGCTTGAAAATCGCTGGGTTGCCCGTCTCGCACGCCAGCAGCAGCAGCTGGGTCAAATTCAGCAACGAAGACTTAAACGTCTGGATAGTCTTTGAGCCATCGGATGTCTTTTGTTCAGAGGCCAAATAGGTCGGGGGCAATCTCTCCATAAACGTCCTGAAAACGATATTGGCATCTCGCAAATTGCGCATGGCCAGTTCCTGAAGGACTCCTCGCAACAGATACGCACCCTTGTCGTGACTAGGCTCCAGTTCTGACCATTCAAAGAGAACATGGCCCAATGCCTCCGCGCTTTCCTGAGTACCGACCAGGAAATGTGCCTCTGCTTGGTTGTAATCCTTCTCTGTTTTGATGCACACCAATGAAAAAATGTGCATGTATTAGATTTCATTGGCCAATGCAAGACGATAATGATTGCGAGAATATATCCTGGCTTTACCTCTCCAGAAGATCAATCCAATGTAATGCTGAAGAAGAGGGTCCCCGTTCCTGTACTCGCTGTTGTTTGCTGACCAGCTATTGGTAGTTTGGAGCGAGATATGGTTTTATAAGTTCACGTCAATTCTACCTTGCGCATTTCTTAGAAACCACGATGCGTCCTCGCCTGTACCTGATAGCGTTCTGTAGGAAGGACTTTCGCTGACTGTTCTCATTGTCCATCAAATCGGCAAGATCGAAAATACGATCTTGATCCAATAATAAACAGTATGGATTAGAAACGCCGGCTCAAATGAAAATATGGGAGCACTACCAATACACGCTGCATGAAGAATTACCTCGCGACTCTTCAGTGACAGGGACCTTGTCGAGATTGTAGACCTCGATGAGATATATTGCCAGATCTGTGCCTGAGCCAGTCTGCTTGTGCTTGAGAAGGAGCAAAGACCCCGAGTGCAATAGGTCAATTGCATCCTTGTAGTTGTGCGCTTTCACATATCTATGTGAAGAGAGTAGAGCTATGTCAGTCCCCAGACCACTTTCGAAATCAGTCCCAAGACAGTCAGATTCCCTTCCATTGCCATTTCTTCTCGTCCATCAGTCCCTTGTCCTTGCTCAGGGTAGAGTTTTCGAGTGTCGCCTTTCTCCTCATGCTGTCCTTTGCAGATGAAGATTCGAGGCCCCTGCTTACCGATTGGCGACAGTGCGATACATCTGATGGGCCTCATAATAGTTTCCGTCGCTGACTGACTTTTCGAGCTTCTGCAGCACCTTTGCGGTTCCTCTTGCAGCTGCCATGGTTGTATGTGTTGATTGTTGCGAATATATAAGAGGGAGACGCGAGAAACGGGTTCGTGTTGCTCGCGGTTCTATTCACTTCCACAAGCACGGTGCCTGTGAGGGTGACTCGATGTTGTGGTGTCGAGCGCAGGAGGCCCTTAATAGGGTATGCAGGATTCGAACCTTGTCTCTTTTCTTGGTTCGACTCTCGGCAACAGGTACACCTCCGTCGTAGAAACATGAAGTTATAATCCGAAGCAATATCTAATACAGGGTCTTCGAATCTCGACAACAGCTTGGGTACACCACCGACGGTCAAACTATCCACCACCCTTTTTCACCCAATCAGCATGGAGGATCAGCAGGATCGGGCGATCTAGACAGCAACTCCCCCAAACCAACGAAACCCAATTCTCCCACGTGTGTATGTCTCACGTGATGTCTGAAGTCCTCCTCGACCGCACATGCCTCGCCAAAAACCCGATGCGCTCCCATGTGCCTACACGATCCAGGTTCTCACTTTCAATCTCCTTGAACTCTTCTATTCGACTGTCATTGCTGACAAAACGGCTCCGGGCCCGTTCGACTTCTCCTCTCCGTACCATATACACAATATACATACCCGTCTTTTCCGCCGCTCAGCATATCTTTCCCGGTCCTTGGCCGATCTATCTTGGACCCACACGCGCACACTCACACGTTGCAAAGATGGGCATTTACCGACCACTCGTGGTAAGTAGTACGAAGTCCCTAAAAATGACGATTAGTTCCATGTTTCGAGATAACTCAGCTGTCGACAAATATGTCCTCTTCAATGGGAACTGAATTAGGTCACAGCACTTTTGGAAGGATGTCAGCTCCTGGAATGCGACTCGCCTGTTACCATGGTACGGAAGCGGACATTTTTCAGATCCATCACGTTTTATCAACATGGTTACCATACTAACGGTTTCCATCCTTCTATCTTCATGATTAGAGGATGAACTTGATGGCATCGAGCAGAGATGATCCAAGGATCCTGTATATCGGTATGGGCGTCGGTTTTCACAGCAAATCGAAGAACATCTGCAACGCACGCGGAAATATCAGGGAATACCGTGTTTTTGATATATAAAACCAACAGACGTCTTGTCATCGTCCATGACATAGTCAACGGGGACCGGATTCTTGTCTACCACTTCTCGACGCTGACGCCCTCGGGATTACCAACGTTGACGAAGCGAATGTCGGATCCAAGATGCGCAAACGATGTAATGCTCAGCAGTATGATTGAGATATCAAGTGTTGCGATCCTTGCAACATGGAGGTCTCATCTAACAATATTCATGACTTTGTCAACCTAGAACAGTGACGACAAAACGATCAATGTCATAAAAACTGGATACCTCGGCACAGAAGAAGTTCTGGTAACTGCAGATGAATCTGGAGATGTCTGCGTATGGTTTACCATGAACCTGCAGCGCGACCCACTCCTATTGAGGTAGGTTTGTTATGGCCAATCACCGTTTTTTGTGTGTCATGTATTTGGCATTCTCATTGCGCGGACTAATCTCAGTCGCCGTTATTTCTTTTAACTAGTGTAACAGAGTCCGCATGGGGGATCGCAATACACGCAGAGCAGCGCCTCATCGCCATATCGTCCAACGCCCATACTGTGACAGTGTTTCATTGTGGAATTGACTCGCGGCCCTCACAGCGACTTTTCTCAGGATATACAGAGCCCTCGGCGTCGGGATCAAACGCGTCTTCATCCTCGTCATCATCAACAACAGGAGCAATGCCAGCGCTCGTCGATCGCACATCACAGCAGATTCTCAGAGGCCATGGGCACAATATTCCGTGCGTGACATTCAGTCCCTGCGGTCGCTTTGTTGCCACTGCATCAGTCGATCAGACCTGTCGGACCTGGCGCTTGTCAGATGGGAAGCAGATCCAGCAAAAGTCCCTTGGTCCACTCTGGGGTTGGGGCGTCTGCTTCGTTGACAGGGACTCCTGGATAACTATTTCCAGAACAGAGTACAAGATGATCCCCAAGGACCATTTGCGACCGGGAAAGCTACCTGGACAGAATGTCAGGGATTCTCCGCTCTCGACCACAACATTTTCGCAGAGACGGCTACCACCTGGACGGGATTTTCGCATGATTAGGAGTAGGTGGTTTGCGGGGCCGTTGCATAATACATCGTGCGATGAACAGGAGTCGGGTGATGAAGCGGATGAAGATGGCCATCGGTGGACGCGCGATGGCGATTTAGGAGATGACAATGACGATATGGACGACCGGGATGCAGCATTGTTTGGCATGGATGACGATGAAGGCGAGGATGAATGGGAGGATATGAGCAGCACCGATGGAGATGACGACGAGGGGATGGAGAGTGAAGAAGACGTGGTCGATCAACGTTCTGCAGAGACAGCTCCTCCTGCGCAGGATGCAGAGATATCGATAGATACCGGGGACGATGGTGACAACGAAGGCGCAGGAGCAGACACGGAGGATGGTGGAGGCACTACGACTGAGGAAGGGATCGCTGCCAGATCTGTCACCGCACGAAGCCTAAAGACAGAGCGGCGGACAAGTGTCGCAACTGTCGCGAGAGCACAATTCAGCCATGGCGAATCGTCTTCAGAACAGGAGCAGTTGCGAACTACATCCTCGCGGTCGGCGACTTCAGGTCCTGTAGCTATGCCGGAGCCTGAGATAGCATCGGGCGATCTAGTACATTCAGAGGTGGAAGAGGTAGCCATCAACCAGGACCCAAACCTCTTTGTTAGTTTGATCCGCACCGATCAGAGCATTGATGGACGATCAACATATGGGCAGCCATCAGAAATACAACCAGGGGTCGGACTATCTGCAGCAGCAGGACAATCGCCAACATTGCCTCCGCAGTATCCGTCAGAGCTCCTATTGTGTGCCACTGCTCGAAACATCTACCTTTTCAGTCGGCATACGCCACCTGATGAACCTGAGGATAGAACACAGGGTGCAGACACTGCTCGAGATGAGGCGTCAGAGTCTGCAGAGCGGTTCGGAACCCACAATACCGAGTGGATGTCGATGTCTATCGTACAGGACAATGAAGACGACGGAGAGGAAGACATTGTTCCTACTCTGACGGATCTGGCAGCTCACGGAGATTATCTGGATTGGCATCATGATGAAGAGGGCGCTGAAAGCGAGTACGATCCTGATTATGATACTGACCCGTATTACGAGGATATGGACGATTTCATGGGCACCGCAGATGAGGACAGCGTTGAGGACGAAGGGAATAGCGATGAGGACGAGGACATGAGTGATCTACTTGGCTTCCAGCATCAGCACTCGCGGCGTGGTAATAATAATGCGAACAACAACAACCAACCTCCAACGGTTCCGCTACTGCACACACTCTCCGTCGCCCGTGCAGCAGCAGCACGAGCAGATGGACGCAGGTTCCATCATCTGGAGCATTATGATCGGCTCTTTGTGATGCTGTTGGTTCCAGAGCTGAGTGTCCTGGTTGCGGCAAGTCAGAAGGGATCGGTCACGATTTTCCGGCTACTGAGGGTCCTTGACGATCTTCCACCACCGTTACCGCCACATTCACCACCACCAGTCACTGCTTCTTCTTCATCTTCAAGGGAACGGGTGATGGCCGTGGAGATACCTAGTATGACGCGCAGGCATCGCGAAGAGGCAACGCGTGAACGCCATGCTTCTCCAAATCGCGCAGATGGCGAGAAGGACAAGAATGTAGCTGGTTCTAAAGACTCTGACGACAAGAAACGGGGAAGCAAAGTGGAAAAGGATTCGGAATCTGCGGGTACGCAGCAGCCGGCAACGATTGTGACCCAGGGTGCGAAATACGTCTTGTTTCCAGAGATGTACCTCCCTCGACTCGAACCGCCGCCGTTTCCACTGCTTGGAATCTCGGTTGTGCCTATCCAGCGATCGAGCTGTCCCTCGCCTTGGAGTACCGGCAGCACTAGCGGTTTTGTAGGTATGAACCCGACGTCGTCACCTTTATCATCATCAAGGTCTGCATGTTCGACGACGTCGCCGGGTGCATCTTTCATGTTGCATATGGTGTATATCGACTCTCAGTTCTATAGTTACGAGATCCGGCTCCGTAACGAGAAGGATGACCCAGTTGGCTTGAGTAATGTCTTTGTATAGTTTGTTTTCTTTTCTTTGTCTGTCGTATATTATTACATTATAAAAGCAAATTACAATGGCGCCAATGTTTGGTTTTGCATGCTATGCATGTCTCTCTATCTATGTCAAAAAATAAAAATAAAAATAAAAATAAAAATAAAATAAAGGCGCTCTCTTTTTTCCGTGCGCGCCCTACTAGCTTTGCTTTGGCTATTTCAGCGTCGGCTTGACTGTGCCCTCTGCACGTCGTCATCGTCTGCGTCTACGTTTCCAAAAACATCTTTGTCCGCCTCAACCTCTTCCTCGTCATCATCCTCTTCCTCCGTAGGACTACCACGTCCGCTTCCACCGCTACTACCTTCCGCACCTTCGCCTTCGCCTCTAGCTTGGTCGCGGTTACCGTCCGAGCGATGGTGACGATGATGACGATGACGACCCTGCTGCTCGTCTTCATCCTCCTCTTCCTGTTCCTGGTCTACAGAACTCGGCGTAGCCATTCGATCATCCTGCGCCTGGACCATCATCACTGCCGTCTCCGAGGTTGGCTCCGCATCTTGATCCTGTCCAGCGGTGATCGTGGGCTGAAACCGACGCGCATGGTTGTGGTAGTACGGACACAGGGGCAAATGGGTATTGTTGGGTGTCCATGCAGATGCAGACGCCGATGACGATGATGAATCCTGTCCCGAAGACGTCGTAGCCGTAGTCGATGTTTCTGATGCTGATGCGCACGAGCTTATCCCGCTAGAAGCACTGTCTGTACCATGCCCGTGGTGTCCATGATGGGGATGACGCTGATAGTGGTGTCGATGATGGTGACGACGGAGCAAATGGTGCTGCTGCATCATCATCTCTGCATAGTCCTGCTCCGCCTCGTCAAGGTCCTCTATTTCTTGCTCCAACTCCATTGTCAGCGCTTCGCTCAAGTGATTCTGCTGCTGCTGCTGCTGATGATGATCTGAAAGAGTGCCGTCCGCGATCATTGCAGAAAGAGAATCCGTCGAGCCCGGCCCCGCCATGGCACTTGACCCTTGTTCACTTTCCGCCACCGAAAGACTCTGTACATGCGCCTCAGTCTCTCTCAGAGTCAATCCCAGATGCGCCAAAATCGCCGAAGAATGCTGACCTCCCGCCACCATGGACGCAACTGTCGATCCCATGATTCGATAGCTCCTCTGAATGCTCGATAAAGTTGACAAAGGCATCGTCGGGTTCTCGTGCATGAAGTGCCTCAACTCCCTCACGCCCTTGCCCGAAAACACACAAAATACCTCCCGCTGGTGCGCCGTAAATTCAGAGGGGGGCACCCGACAAAACTTCTGGTATTTTGGTGACGTGAACGCGGGTACGCCCGTAACAGACAGATGCGTCAGCTTCGTGCACTGGTTCACCAGAGCCGCCACGGCGGTGTCTGACAGATGCACACAGTATGACAAATGCACCCGCTCCAGCGTCTGCGGCACAATCTGCGACACCAACATCGCATAAATCCCGTGGTCCGTAATGTTCGAGCACTTCACCAACCCGATCCTCCTCAATTTTGGCAACTGCGCCATCGCGAACACAGCCGCATCCGTTAGTTTGGAACAGCATGCTAAATCCAAGTATCGGATTCTGGTACAGTGCTGCGTCAGCGTCGTAATGGCCCTGTCCGTCAATTTGGAGCAATGTCCCAAATGCAGATAATGCAAATGCTTGCCCAGCAGCTTGATCACACTCGCGCCTACATCCGTGATCTGATCACATTTCGTCAACGCCAGGTTGCGGAGTCGTGGTGCCGCTGGTATGATCCTCGCCAGGGTCTCGTCCGTGATATGCGCGCATGATGTCAAGTTCAGGACTCGTAATTGCTCGAACCGGATAGGGGATGAGGTTGAGGACGATATCGACCCAATGGGAATAGATGCAAAGGCATGATCCGTGAGATTGGTGAGGAGGGCCATGTTGATATCTCGAATTTGGGGCAAGAATCGGAAGACAGCTTGGATGGCGTTATTCGTCATGAGATTGCAATTAGTGACATCAATTTCCATGAGATGTGGGCAGTGCTGAATGAGGGCGAGGATCGATCTATCTGTCAACAGCATGCATTGTCCTAGTTTGATCTAGCAGAGTATTCGTAGAAAGCAAAAAAAAAAAGAAAAAGAAAAGAAAAGTGAGTACAACTGCAATCAACATTGCTACCAATGCGAGACCCATCTACCTATCCTTCGAGACCCCATCACCCTATTTTTGGCGGCCCATTCACCTGGGCCCCGCCGCTCGCCTCCAAAAGAAACTTACTCGCTTGAGACTTGGACAGCTGGTTGCTAATTTGACTACAGACTCATCTGTGAGAGTGACACATCCTGTCAGGTAAAGGGTATGCAGTTTTGGACAGTGTTCTGCTACATGTTCGAGGACTGAGTCCGTCACTGCAGAAATGTCTGACAGATCCAATGAATATAGGCCATGTCCGACCTCCAGGATCTGCTTCAGCCCTTCCTCCGTGGCCCTAGTACAGCCCGGCAAAAGCAATCGTTCCAATCGTCGACAGCAGCTGAACTGGATTAAGACATCGTCTGTAAGGTCCTGGGCCAGAAAGGAGAAGTTGAGACGTCGGATGTAATCAGCATAGGGGAAGACGGTTTCGGATCGGCCAAGGGATATGGTCTGACACATTTTTTCGACGAGAGGCAGGCTCAGGAGTGCCGGGCGAGACCAGAGCAGGTCCATGCCACAGGAGCACCAGAGCTTGCAGACGAGGATAGCGGTGCGCAGGTCCTGGGGGGCGCTGAGGAACTTGAAAATATGGAGAATCAGCTCTGAGGGGATGATAGGGTGCGGTTTTGTTGAGGGAGGCTGATTGAAGTGCTCCATCGTTCCTTGTGAGTGAGCTTTCTGGTTAAGAATGGGTGAAAACGAGCGTTCACGCTCCTGGTCCGAGTCGATATCGACGTCCATGTGTTGATGCATCTCTCCTTGCGAGATGAGCATGGAGGTGAGGGAGCAGACGGAATTGAGGGAAGGAGGAAGGACAAACAGAAAATAACAATAACAAAGAAGACGTAGGGATAGCACCGAAACGGAGAGGGAGGATGTGAGAGCGGTAATGGGTGGTTATCCACACCCTGTTAAAATGATTTGGAAGGGGAGGAGTTGGGGTTGAGGCGGTGGGGAGAGCGGCGGGTAGAAGGGATGAGAAGAGGATGGGAGAGTATGGAGAAAAGATGGAAGAAGGGGAGGAAGGGGAGGGAAGAGGGTGAGAGTGTGGATGGGATGGGATGGGATGGGATGGGATGGGAAGGGATGGAATGAACGGGAATGGATTGAAAAGAAGGAAGGATCACAGGAATAGCGCCTTGAATAAAGGGCACGGGCGGTCCATTGCACCGAATGAGTACACCAATCGGTGGATACATCGATTTATTATTATTATTGCTATTATTATTTTCATTATCATTACGCTCCTTACATCTGTCCATGGAGTCTACCGACACGTCGATGTCGCCGTCGGTGTCAATGTCGATGTCGATGTCAATGTCGTCGTCGCCAGTAGTGTCTTTCTCTATTCTTGACTCGTATATGTCACTGCCATGTCATGTCCCCAGGCACTTGGACATCGACCCGTCCCTTTTTTTTTTTAACTTTTACTTTGGTGGTGACAGTTTGAAAACCACCCTAGTCCTCATTTTTATCTATTAGATCGCACCTGCAATAGTCATCGTAAGAGAGATAGATCGGCGATATTAAAAAAAAGAAAAAAAAAAGAAGGGGCCGCAGTGAGCATCAGGGGCACAGCGCATTCTTCCTAAATGCGCCTGCTTTGCTTAGCAGCCTCCAAGGAGCGGCATTTGCCATGTATGCCACATGGATCGACTCACATAGCGCAAAGGACAAAGAAAAGAACAGCATGTGCGTGCCTGTTTGCCTGTGATTGTTCGATCCGTGCCGTTCACCCAACAGAAAATACAGGTGAGTGTCCTGTGAAAGGGCACCCTCGCTTGTCGTGTAAACCATTCCTCCCCTTAGGAGCATGGCAAGCGCTGGCCAGTGCATACCGCGCACAGGGACATACAGTACACAGCCAAATCAAACCTATCGGAGCATGAGCTCCCGAACTCTCATGGGTTCTCCAGCATGATTACGGTCTCCAGGATCTCAGATTCAGCAAATTGCATTCCAGAAATAGACTTTTATTTCTTCGTCAATAAGCAGGATTTCTGCTTACAGAATAGTGCTGAACTCCTCTCCATGACCTTTGGATGCAGTATTGGATAGCAAAGGCCCGTCCCTCAGGATCAGGGAAACATCCACGGCATACCATTGTCGAGCGCAACGCGTTTCAGTACTGATCAATAGGCACCCCTCCATCGTTGCGTGGACAATTACATGGTAGTACAAAGGGCAAAGGGATTTTGCCACGTACTGCACCTGAACAATGATCTCAGCCCTCTCTCGTCAAGATCATCTCATCTTCATTTTCTGATGCCCCAAAATGATTCCCAAACGCCTACTTCCATTTATTGGAGTCTTCGCGCTCAACCTCCTATCCCTGGTATCCCACCACTTCGATCTTCTAAGCACCATTCGCAAGAAATGCACCAAAAGCGATGACAACTGCTTTATCTACCGACCGTCGGACAGACGACGGCTCACGTCAAAAAGAACTCGACGAGTGCCTGGCCAGTGTCACCTCGAACGCAATTATTTCACAAGCCCATGTCATGGTCGAGAAGGACCACTTGCCCCTGCCATCCTTTGCTGAGCTGTCCTCCAATCTCACACAGGCTGAAGTCTCAAACCGGTCGCTTGTGGGCGGCTTTTTCAGTACATTTGCCACCACTTACTGGACTATCGAGTCATTTTCTCTAACGCTAACGTTCTCTTCTACTCCTTGGTCGACTACTTTGCCAAAATGTCGGACAAGATTTTTGATTCGACCCTTTATGCGATCTCACGGCGGCATTTGGATCCTGTCGACGGCCTGACACCCCATCCATATCCGTTGTATGGAGGTTACGATACATTCGCTTTCAAGCCGAGAAGCATCTGCATGGATAAGTAGAAGCTACAGGATATGGTTTCGAGTCTCGACTATCCGCTAGCTGTCCTGTGAATGGAGAACAGGGTGCTATATGAAATCGACCGACAATATCCAAAGATGAACATGCTCAATTCAGTATGGAAAACCAAGGCGCTTCATAACCATAACTGGCCCAAGCGATCTGCAGGATGGGAACATCGAGTAAGTCTCAACGGAAAGAGCATGGTTATTGACGATCCATTCGTCGTCTAAAGACATATATTCTCCAGAAGGCAGCCCAAGAGTTTATATTGTACGATTAGCAGAGGAAAGAAAACTATTTCAATAAACCTATGGAAAACGCTCTCGACTGCCCACTCTGAAAAGGAATGGTTCTACGCTATGCGAAGAGCAATTTGATCCAGGGATGGCCTCAAAGAGCCCAAGGACAAGGTCAGCGTTTCCACAGAGACATGACAGCGGCATTTCTCCTTGGGGTCGCTGTGTGGCTTCCGTGGGGGGAAGAAGTCCTGTCATTGGTCGACTGCACGTAAGCTTTCCTCTGCCCTGCCTGCCTTCCACTTCCACTCACCTCCTTCTTGCCACCACCACCACCTCCCCCTGGACGCGCTTTCATCATCTCCTCTCTTTCATCCAAAATACCCTTTCCCCCCTTGAAACCGATTCCTCCCTTATTATGGCCATGGCATCAACCCCGCGCTCTATTCCCCTGACCTGCTCTGGACACACGCGTCCAGTTGTCGACCTCCAGTTCTCGAGGGTCATGTCCGACGGCACCTACTACATGATCAGTGCTTGCAAAGGTACCTTGCTCTCAGCAGAGGCACCGTGCATACACGTATTGTATACTGTATAGCACACGCCACTAACATGCATCAACCTCAATTTCCACGCCTTCTGTTTGGCGGATCTTTTTTTTTTTTTTTTTTTTTTTTTTATAAAGATGGCAATCCCATGCTGAGAGATGGCCAGACAGGAGACTGGATTGGAACATTTATCGGACACAAAGGTGCAGTCTGGAGCGCGCGTATGAGTACCGATGTCACTAAAGCTGTTACCGCCTCGGCCGACTTCACAGCGTAAGAGGGTCCTCTTCTTCACATCTACTGGTGCATGTTGTGTGTGTATCTTGTTCAAATGTTTGCAAATCAATCATCCAAAGCATCCATACTGACCTAGTCTTTTGTTTTAACCTCCTCCTCCTCCTTCTCATGCATAATTTTCTCCTTTTTCGATGGATTATGATGATAATGATGGGTCGAGAGCAGTAAAGTTTGGGACACATACACGGGCGACATCCTTCACTCGTTCCCTCACCAACACATTGTTCGTGGATGCGACTTTTCCGGAGATGGTAGCCGCATCGTCACAGGAGGCATGGAAAAGAAACTGAGGATCTTTGACTTGAACAGAGAGGATCTCGCGGGCCAGCCCTTGCTCGCCGCAGACGGACATTCCTTAATGATTAGGAACGTTGTCTGGGATGGCGCACGGAATATGATCCTGAGCTCGGGCGATGACATGGAGATCAGGTAAAAAAAAAAGGATAAAACATATTATCTAATGAATCTTGGTTCTCTTTCATTGCAGCGGATTGATAATCGCATTTTTGCACGGTGATCTTACTCGTCACGGTTTTTTTTCTTTCTTTTCTGCAATATAGGGTATGGGATCCTCGTACCTTCAACCAGGTGCACTCTTGCAAGATGGATGGACCCATTGCTTCGATGGAGTTGTCAGCAGATGGACAGTACATCACCTCAACCACTGGAAAATCGGTCTACTTCTGGGATGCCCAGACGTAAGGCTTTTCTGAATCAACCTTTCACTCCTCTTTGCTGCTCTGGTTCATTTGAGATACATGTTGATAATTTTTTTCTTTCGCTGTATGTCTAAATTCCCGAATAGTTACACACTGAGGAAGCACATCAAGACGGAATATGACGTTTCGGCAGTCTCGCTTCATCCAAACCACACCCGTTTCGTTGCCGGTGGGTCTTCGGATCTGTGGGTCCGCATCTACGATTTCGAGTCGGGCCGTGAGCTTGAGGTCTACAAGGGTCACCATGGACCCGTTCACACGGTCAGTTACAGCCCCGATGGAGAGCTGTATGCCACAGGATCGGAGGACGGCACCATTCGGTTGTGGCAGACAACACCAGGAAAGCGATATGGACTCTGGCAGGGCGATGGTAACGAGGATGCATGAGGTCACTAATGGCCAAGGAAGCTAGTTGCTATGCATGCAAAATTCGCAGGGTCCTTTCGCTCTCGTTTTCGCGAATGTAGGACAAAAGGAACGGTCTTGAGAGCGAGCACGCAGGAATCACACGAGCAGACATACAAGACAGACAGACAGACAGCACTCGCAGAAACCTTGAAAGAAATAAACGATTGTCTGTTATAAAAGAACACACGACTCTTTCGATAGCATAGAGTTTATTGATAAAGTCTATCCAGCGCAGGAGAAAAAAACAGGGTGGGATTTGAAAAGGCGGAATGGCCGCTTGATGTCTAACTGTCTTGAACAGACAGGGCATTATCTGATCCGCTTCTCCAGTTTTTATTTTTACTATTTCCTCTGCTGACCGAGTCCTTTATTTGAAACTACTCTTTCCATACGACCGCTTGCCGACGTTGAAGGGGATATAGCGGTACTTGATCATATGCCGGATCTGTCGCTTCATCGTGATCGTGAAGAGGACGCAGAAGTAGACGAGCAGGATCGGCCAGAAGACCGGGATGTCGAACACTCGGAAGAGTGTACATCCGAACGCGATTATTATGGACCTCGTCGCTGAATGCCTAGGTGCGATCAAGTGGGCGCAGACAAAAATATAAAAGGTGTGAGTGAGTTCGATGTTGTTACTCAAAGATCGGCCGTTGAGTAAGCGCTTTTTTTTTTTTAAGGAAGCGAGGGGGGGAGGGGGAGAGAGAGAGAGATTGTCGTTCATGTCCGCAGTGTTTTCCGCAAGTCCTTGTTGAACGCCGTCCTTTGCTCTATCCTGTCGTGTCCCCTAACGTAATGCATGTAATCGCCTAGCTGCATAACTCTCCATGGTGGTGAGGAGCCCATAACGTTGAACACAAGATGTTGATGCCTCCACAAACCGACCGCCCAATGCTCACAAGAAAAAAAAAAAAAAAAAAAAAAAAGACGTTCGATCGAGAAAAAGAAAAGAGAAGAGATACACAACGGACAATTCTCCTTGCTGCGTTCCATTGGCTCCGTATCTCATTGGTCGGTCGATGCTTTGTTGCGGTAATCCACCTGTTTGCGAGCCAATGTCCCTCATAAAAATAAAATAAAAAAGCGCCCATCTCCTCGTTCGTCCTGATACTAATGACATGATACGATGCTGGATAACATGTTCAATACAAAGAAAAAAAAAAAGCCGAAGTAACAAAAACTTACCAGAACTTGAACTCTGGTAGCCTCCTGACGAACGGTCTAAACTCCTCATCCGATCTCATCGGCAGCGTCGGTCCCTCCTCGGCAGCGTCCGCCGCCATGTCCATCTCCAATGAAGGGTCGAATTTCGGTTGCAAGAACGCCAAGAAGAGGTTCAGGAGGTAGATACCCAGGGCATAGGTCACGATATACCAACCCTGAGCAAACAGCACCCTGATGAAGTAGATCAGCAAGACGACACCCGTGAAGGTCCAGCGTTCTATTGTGTGAGGTGTCACCCTGTCCAGGATAACTTGATAACGCTATTTTGACGAAACATGAAAAAAAAGGTGGGCGAAATGTCAATGACAGTGGGAGGGGAAAAGTTCAGAACCTACGATCAGATAAGGCGAGAGACGTCTTCTGAGGTCGAGAAAAACTGTTGTGTTCTGTCCTGGATGCGGATGGACCATCCAAAAACCCCCCTTTAGTACTCCTGAATCTGGATCTTCATCCAGAACCCTGCCCTGCATTATAAGACGATTTGCCTTTGGTCAGATATCCCTTGAACAGGCCGCCTTTGTCGATCGACTGAGATCGGGTCCTGATATGAGCCCTGAGAAAGGTTCTTCGACTCGACTCCTGACAATGATTGGACCCAGCTTTTGATAATGCCTGTCAGCATCCAGACAAAGGCTTTCATGAGGCCAGGTTGCTTTTAAGGTTGTCCTGTCTCGACCTCCCCAACAAAGATGTCTGAACAATCACTCAAAGAGATCACAGTTGTCGAAAGAAAACAAGAACAACAGTAAGAAAGTGTTATACCTGCTCCAGGGCAGACTTTTGTGCCCAAAAGGTGTTGCCGCTCTCTGGTGGTTCGGTGTTCATGGTTGATGCTCGGTTGATGCTTGGTTGCTGGATGAGATGAAGGCTGGTGAGACTTGTGTTTTGAGTTGCTGCAGGTTGGTTTGACAGGGAAATTAAAGAACGGAACATTAGAGAAGTTGAATGCTACAAATTGACGATCGAAGACCCTGGAGATATGGAGATACTTACTCGGAGGGAGACTATACTGAGGACGGAGACGATATCCTTGGCCCGGATAAGGATGTGGAAAGACAGGAAAAGAGATGGGGGGGGGGGGAGAAGGTGGGGTGAGAAAGCGAAGGTATGCGGTTCCCACTCCGTCCCAAGTAGGCCCCAGTTTTTTTTCCCTTCAAAAAGGCAGTCATCATTGTTCTGGCGAAGACCAAAAATAAAAATGGGGGAAACTGCCGACTCTCTGAGTAACAACGTGGTGTGATGGGACGAAGGAGGCCATTCGGTGGGGGAGCAGCTAACTGAAGGCGGATACTGCCGCCAGCATCCTCGCAACTGCTGTTTGATCAGACATTGCGCCATCGGCGCCTTTGTTCTTCTCCCTCAACGTTTTACCGATTTACTTGCGTCAGAAATGAAAACAGCATTTCCCGCCAAAAATAACAAAAAAAAAGATACCATTGCTGGACATGGACATATGGAATCGTTATACCGTATGGCATCAGCATTCGCTCTGCTTTAGACTTTGACTTGGATGTCCACATTCTTTTGGAGGTCCCTCACAATCATAGGGCTGGCACAGTTGCTGCTCAAAGAAGACAGGACTCAAGAAGACTCATTCAGTGTACTGTTCTCGCTCAAACCTCATAGCAATCATCTTCCTCTGTTCTACATGCATCCCATTTCTGGATCGAGCTGGGAATATTATTGGATTATCGCAGCACTTGCATGCGAAGCAGCCTATGAATGATATACAGGCATGCGGTGCAAATGAGCAGGCTGCGGCGACAACGGAGGATATGCCACAGCTTTACATTGAACTGGTTCGCAAGCTCCAGCCTCAAGGGCCATATCACCCCCTGGGGTAGCCATTCCGGTGAGGGATATCCACTGTTGCCATAGCCCCGTAACCTTAGTCTGAAGCAATGGTCAGAGTAGCCCTCTCTCCGAGGAACATATGGGGAGCAACCTCGCCCCAGCCGCGGAGGACATGGCGGCCCCGATCTGGGTCATAGAGGACTTGTTGCGGTCGTGGGACGAGTCGAACTTGGAGTCGTTCTCGAGTGTGCCGAAGTGCTGTAGTTGACTGACTCGAGGGGAAGGTGGCTTGGTTTGTACGACAATCCGAATGTGCCCTGAACTCAAAAAAAAGAGGTCCGGAGAAAACGACCGCGCGTCAACTATTTGAAGGAGAGGCATAGCGTCCGAATTAGCAGTACGCCCCCCCCCCTAAACACGGCTCTCTTCCTTCTCCAGAAACACACCTTTGCACATAACAACTACACTACTGAACGCCATGGCCGCTGAAGCATCGAAGGACTTTCGTGCTGTTTTTGACCCCGAGAAACAGAGTACCTATCAGCATTTTCTTCCTTTGTTAAAAACACGTCTGTCCAATTTCGTACCTCGAATTTAGTTAACTAATTTTTTTTTTTTTTTTTTTGAACTGCTGCAATAGGCATTGAACGCGAACTTGCTGAACTTAACACGGTCCCCAAGGACAAGATCCAGGCGGTCGTCGACAATATTCTCCAGCGGATCCATGCTCTAGAGAAAACAGTTACCGACAAGATCACTGTCCTTCCTCCATACGATGTCCGCATCTGTTTAGAGGTACTGATGACGCCTTGCCTCAAAAAAATAAAACAAAATAAAAAAATATACTATGTATGATATGTGTTTAACCAAGCATCTAACGATCTAGGCTGTGAAATCCATGTCCGAGACACTGAGCCAGCTTCGCGGCAAGTTAGTCCCGAAACCAAAGTTTTCCTTCAAGTCGCGCAAGGCCCTCACACCGACACCATCTTCTCCCTCCGCCTTGGCCGTGTCCAGCACCCCCATTGCTTCCAACAAGTCCCCAAAGCCTTCAGAGTCCACAATTGACGAGCGCCTGTTCATGAAGTTTGAGGACCGTGTGGGCGAACATCTCTTCATTGGGACCCTAGAAGATCCTGATTCCACTGCTCAAATGGATCAGACCATTTATCTGGGCGGTGTTCCTGTAGAGTCGGCACATTCGGTGCAGAGAAAGGCCAAGGACGTGGCCTTGACGAACTTGACGGACTGTACTGTCAACCTCGTCCACAGTATACCCCTCGGAGCGATCCATATCAGGAACTTGAAGCGATGCACCTTGGTCATCCCGCCGGTCTCAGGAAGTATCCTGCTGCACGACTGTGAAGGATGTGTGCTAATTGGAGCGTGTCATCAGGTAAAAAAAAAAAAAAAAAAAGAATAGAAAGAAAGAAACGTCGTGTGCAGTTGTGCTAATTTGGTTCTTTATTGCTCCATGGCGACAATTAAAAACTAGTCGCGTATGCACACCTCCACAGATATGGATATCTACCTCCACGTTACAAGCGAGCCCATCATCGAGGACTGCACCGAAATGCGCTTCGCTTCCTACCCATACCAAGACCTCCTCCCTACAGACCAACTTCACCGTCTTTTCGCAGCTGTACAGCTGAACTCGGATGTCAACTATTACGACCGAGTCAAGGACTTTAACTGGCTGCGTCAGCAAAAGTCGCCAAACTGGCGATTGCTTGAGCCCCATGAGGTTCACAATGAAATTGCACAGACAGTCCTGGCAAAGGACGGTATGGGGCCCGCCTGACAAACACATACAGGGGTTCTTCTGCGGGGCTGTGAAATGACAAGGAAACGACAACAAGAGAACCAAAGGACATGTCGAGTTATATCCGCACATCGAGACAAGCGATTGTGCTATTATTGAAAAGAGTAGACTATAACCGTAAAAAAAAAAAAAATAAAGGGTTCTATGTGTACTAAGGTATATTGATGTCTTGCAGCGTCCATGGTCTGTGTCCTGAAAAACCGTGCGGACGTAAGGCACACCTAAAAGATCTCGAACTCAAGCTGTCAGTGGAGCAAACAGAAAAAAAAAAAGATGTGGGTGTTAGAAAACGATATCTTCTTCGGTCTACTGCCCGGCGTGTCAGCAATACCAAGTGCAAGGAATTACATAGATCATGCCGACTTTCTGTGGATCTCTCAGGTGCATCCTCGCGGGATGATACAGTCGCCTGTTCTCCTGTTCAATGAACTGCTCCATCTTCCGAATTGCCTACCATCAAACAAATTCAAACATGGACCATAAAAGACGGGCATTAGTCTTGATCGCTCGGATACTCGGTTGCGACTGCTCCAAAACCACGAGAACATAGCATGACATTTACCCGCTGATAATGCGTCCCAAAACAGTACTTAGCCGTGTATGCTGTAAGACAATCCAGAAACGTATCTAGACAATTCATGATCGACTCTTCCGCATCGCGCATGCACTCATTGATCCCCTCTACCGTCGCCTTGAGTTCTTGACGGGTTATCTACACAGAAATACCAGCATACATAAGAACTGGTTATTAAGTGTCCGTTTATCCCATAGCAAATAGCAATTCACGATGCTTATCGCTCGATCTTTGCTTCCGCAAATGTTCTCTATGGGTCTTCATACTCGTCCAAGGAATTCCTCTGGAAACTGCTCGGTTTCGAATCGGGTTGCTTCGTCGCCCAAATGATGGTCCCGCTCAATCCGTACGACCAATCGAGCGGTCCCAGTCGGCTGCTCTGATGAATATGCATTCACAGAGGACCGCGTACCCCGATTACTGATGGTGGATCCGTTGGGTCCTAGTGCCGCGCTTGCAGCTGTGCTTGTGGAAGGGTATTTGGGCGCAGTGCTTGGAGAGAATTGGGAGGGTAGTTTCGGTAACGGTTTGGAGTGTGGATGGGGTGATACGATGGTTGAGGCATCCGAGGGTGCGTGTCCTGGAACGACCTCTTTGACATTATCATCTCCTACTACTACTGCATGGTTGCTGTCGCTTGCGAAGGTGGCCGAGGTGAGGGTAGGCAATGGGATGGGGACCGAGACGGCATCTTCTGGTGGTGGTTCTGATGGCAGCTGCCACATGGTATATAACTTGGTGATGAAGTGATGGTCTGCCCGTCTTTTGATGGGTAGTGTCTTGTCTGGTTGTTCTGTTTGGTGTGATGGTTGATGATGCAAAAGGCTGGAGGCGATCCTATACTTGGCTGAAACGTAGTTCAACTAATGCAATGGAGCTGCTTTTGCTTGCAGAACTGAGAATGCAGACTCAAATAGAACCTGCAGTAAATCCATCCAGTTACAGCCAATGCGAGAACCACAAAGCATTTGGCAACCGCGACAAGAAAGACGCGTCTTGGATGCTTGAGGCCCCAGAGTCCATAATAAACCGGCGTCCCGGCACCGAAACAACACTACCTCTCTTTAAGAATCCCAGTCGTTCTGCATCGTTTGGTACTCTAGTCAATCGCTTTGAGATACACCTGCGATTGAGCTTCCTGCTGGGGATCTGGGTTGACCAGCTCAACGGACCAGCTCAAAATGAATATTTGGTTCGTCTGCCCATTACAGGCTGACTGGAGCTATGGAGAGATGCAACGCTGTGGGCAGTTGCTGGAACCCAGATAACCGGCACCTTTGTGCGAAATAAATGTCACTCTACTTATAAATCCTGGCCTTCCTGAATCGCGTACAGAGTGTAGCTACGAGCTGATCGCGAACCTCGCAGGTAAAAAATTGGTGGCAAAAAAACCGTCATACGAGTTATTATGTGGGTCTTGTGTGCTGCAAGAGTCCACTGTGTCTCTTGAAGCCTTTGCTAAATACCGATTGTCTCTCGAGATGTTGAACTGCAACTGCATGATCCTCAAAAGAGAATTAACCAAGATAGAGTGCAGCTTCCTTTTGACAGACACGTTGAAAAGATAAGCTTCACCATTTGTCCTTTTATATTAAACAGCAACTTTGACGGCGACGCCTCTGCTGGTATTAGTGGTTTAGAGACTTTTGAGGCTATAGGGAGCATCAGAGGCCATCGATGGTCCTGATCCCGTTGTGTATCTCTTTTATTAAAACGTTGAAGTAGATCCTGATCTTCATGCTTTCGGATTTATGTGCGCATTTGGACGCCTTGAAAACAGCTGTGCCTTGTCATGCTACCCGTTTCATCTAAGAATATAGCTGCTACTCTACTTGTTCGATCTACGAAACAAGCCTTGTCGCCGCAAGTGACTGCAAACATCTACGTCCGCGGTACTTCTGTGCAAAATCAGGTATATTTGATGATGATCAAGGATATGGATCGAAGAAGTAAAATGAGTACCTGAGTGTTCCGCTTGTCCAGGAGATGGAACGCGCCATCCAGGATTGTCTGGTTCTGCGTGTTTCTTTTCTTCAAATGGGAGGCGTGTAGTGCCAATGACCGAAAATGTCCAGAGCGATCTCCCGACTTTAGTGAGCAATTGTGCTCCAGCGTCAAGAGTTACGATAACAGAACTATGCAGACATGTTGCAAGAATACGCGAGATTATACTCCGTCGATCCGAGGCATGTGCAGCGAAGAATGGAAGCAGGAGTCTTGAAGGGTGAAAAAGGTTCGATTTGTCTGATTTGAGTGAATTCCACGCGCATGCCCTGCTCTCAATCGCTATCTCTGACACTTGACACAGCAGCAACTTTCCATCTCATCCCATCCTCTTTGCATCCGATTCATCTTTCTTCACTCGACACATCCCCTCACAAGAATGTCGCCGGATGTGTCATCGCTCAGGTACCGTGCCATCGCCGGTGCAGCGACCCTGGCCAAGCCAGCAGCAGCCGCCTTAGGAATCTCTGTTTCACAGATCCCTCCCCACCACACCCTCACGTCGCTCTCCATCACCCATGTCCAGTTCTCGCAAAACAACTTTCTCTCGAAGCTGCTAGCCTATGTGACACTGTCCCCACTGGGTATCATCTGCAGTTATGTCGCTATCGTCCTCACCTCTCGGGATCTGAAGCCCCTAGTCATGTTTGCAGGCCAACTCGCCAACGAATTCGTCAACCAGGTCCTGAAACGGCTCTTCAAGCAGGCTAGGCCTACAGGTAACGTGAAACTCTTCAATTACTGGATGCAGCTCTCTGAATATCTCAATGCAGTTGAATGTCTGAATGTCCAACTGACGCAGTGAATCTATGATAGAGTATCTCGGAGATGGCTATGGAATGCCCTCTAGCCACTCTCAGTTCATGGCCTACTTTGCAACCTACACCGCGATTCTCATGTACCGAAGGTAAGTTGCGTTTATTCGCTTCCAACTGATGTTTATATTGCCGTCTGCTTTGAGGAGATCTATGCTAATCTCATCGTATTAACATAGAGGAGGGGCATCTGACGGTTTCCTCCCACATCTCGTATCTGGTTGTGTCGTCCTTTGGTCCGCTCTGGTTGTCTACTCTCGGTAAGTTGATGCTGTGCCGTTTGAAAGCCACTACACTTCCTTGTCGTGGTCAGTTTTAACCGTATAGACATGATCGTTTCTGACCTTGTAAACGCTCTGCTGTTACGATTTCAACTGTAGCGTACATTTATATTATCACACATGGCAACAGGTGGTGGCAGGAAGCCTTTGCGGTATTGCGTTTGCACTGGGTTACTACTACATTGTCAATAGCGTCTTGCGGCCACAAGGTGTCTTTGACTGGATCGTCAATCTTCCGTTGGCAAAGCAATTCTACGTCCGGGACACAGACGCGATCCCCGATCTCGCCAAATTCGACTGGGAGATGTGGCAACAACATCGTAATGCCGACCATACCAAGCAGGAATAGATTGTACATTCCCCTTCTCGATAACGCTTGATGACTAAAACGATTCAACATATTACCAATGTCACTCGAAATGCTTTTACGATGATTCTTTTTTTATTACTGCAGAGATTATGTTACAAGGAAGGATATAGCGGAGAGTGAGTGGTATTTGCGCAAAGGATGTCCTTTTTAAGCACTTGACCTTAAGCCGACAGCGACAGCCAGGCTATTGATCAAATTCGAGGGAGCCAAGGACGACATCAGAGTAGTGGCCTTGGCAGCATCAGCGGCCTGTGCTGCCTCAAGGGCTTCCTGCTCCTTCTTTGACAAGGGCAAGCCGACAAGCTCGTCATCAAACTCCTGGAAGATATCGATGTTTCGGATGAAGGCCTGGCAGGACTCCTGGACGATCTGGTTGTGGGTCACCTCATCGACTTCAACCTGGTTCAGACGAATGCGGTATTGGTCCTTGAACCCGGTCTTGTCCTCGATCTCGTCAAAGCTGTAGAAGGCAACACCCTTGCCCTCGGGCAAGTCGTTGTACTTCTGCAGCTTCTTGGCCAGGATCTGACCACCGGAGAGATCACCAAGGTAGCGGACATAGGCATGAGCGATGAGCAGCTCGGGTTTGGTGGCACTGCAGCGCTCGATGGCCTCGATGTAGGCCTTCTGGGCGGGCGAGACAGGGTTCAGCATCTCACGCCATTCGGAGCCGTTAAAGAACTCGAGATCCTCCTCGAGGGCCTGCTTACGGGAGAGCTCTTTGGGGAAGTAAATAAGCTGGATGTTTGCGTTGTCCTTGTGCTCGTCAAGGGCCTTTTCAAGAGCGCTGCGCGGCGAAGAAGAAAAAAAAAATTGTTTGAGTCGTTGGAAATAAGGGGTTTTTTGTGCAAAATCGATTATCCTTCCCCATGCATTCCCAATGTGTAACAGTTACTGCGACTGTGCTCGCGTTCTTACCTGTAGATCTGGTAGAGAGAGATGAGGAACCTGCCATAGACAGCAGGGGAAATCTCGCCCTTGAAAAAGTACTTGACGAACTTTGAACGCTCGGCCTCGGCGTGAACGGTCTTGGTGCCTTCCTTGAGATCGACAGCGAGAAGAGTCATTGTAAAAAGTGGGTCTGCTTATGTTTTTAGTCACAAAGGAAAAGACGAAAGATCGTTGGAATCGAGATTAGAGACGAGTCGGAATGGCTCATTCAGCGAATGAGTAAACCGTCAGGCATAAGTGAAAGGAGCGCGAGGGACAGGAGACGGACCTTGAGAGAGAGAGAGATTGACGAGGACTTGTAGTGCGTTTAAGCGAGCGTGGGATAGTTCAGGGACAGGTGTGGGGTATAGGTGTAAAGGTGAATATGAGGATGGAATGTGGATGAAAAAAAGAGAGGGAATCAGTGGATGCCGGGGTGGGTATTTATACCCAAGGGACGGGGCAAACGGCGTGGGAGAAGGTATCCACTTTTCGTATTGTAAGCAGAGAATGGCGCCCTTTTTTTTGTTTATGAGGCTGTTAGATTGCTTGTATTCAGTCCAATTGAATCGAAGTGGTACCTGACCTGACGGATATGTCAAATCTGATAAGAAAATTCTATTCCTTCGTCTCTCTTCTGGGCACACAGGTCTCAGCTTCAATCATCTGCACGCCCTTACTCGAAAAAAACGCAACATACACTCACATCTGACCATCGGCCAGGAATTGCACTCTTTCCTGCCACGGCGCTGTTTGCACAGAGTAAATCTTAAATCACTGCCGAGATGGCCTTAAACAGCACCGACCATGACTAGTGTCTGCTACCAAAGGCCTATATTTCAGTAAACAGCATTTACATCCGCACCAATCTTTACCCTACATTCTTTCCTTCCCACCCCTCTTCATCCATTAAGCACGCCGTCGCCGCTTCATAATCAGTAAATGCAAATAAAAAAACATTCATCGCGGCTCAGGTTTTCAATCCACTCTTTTTTTTTTCGGAACATCATGCCGCGTAATCAACCATGTCTTGATCGGAACCTCAAATACTTATTAGTCATGTCCGTTCGACTCTTCTCGCCCTTCTTTTTTGTTCGTTCCTATTGACAAAAAGGATGGATCCAAACACGAAAGGCCGTGATGAAGCTCCAAAGTTCAAGGCAGTTATTTATTTATTTTTTCTTGGGAAGACCTATAAATTCTCCGATTGGCTAGATTTTCCTCGTACACGACTAATTTGTCACGTATAGTTTCTACAAAATCAGCTGGGCGTAGCCGCACTATCATCATCCTCAAGAGAGTTATTCATGGTTCCTGAACGGCCATGCTCTTCAGTTCCTGGTATTGAATGAATGAATTGGGATTGATACCTTGCCAATAAACGAAAAAAAAACTTCTCATCGTGGCACCGACTCTGGACTCGGGAACGGTGTTTATGCCGCTCACTAGCAGGGATGAATAATGATGGTGATGAAAAGACCATGGGTTACAGCCGATTGTTGTTCCATGGCGTAAGCATAGACTGTGAGAGACGGCGGCAACGAAGCACTATAAGCATTATAAGCAGAAGGCGTCATGTCTGCAATGATATGATTGGGTCTTATGATGAGGTGCAGTCTGGATGACCCGTTTTGGTGGCGTTGTTTGGTTCCGTAGATCCCTAGGCTGGCAAAACTCGCGTTTCCGCTTTTGCCAACAGTCTGCCCGTGTAGCACGTTTCTCTCTTTCCTCTTTAATTTCTTTCGCTCTCTTCTTTTGAGGCGCCAGCGCCCATGATTCATTGTCTCTCATCCTTCCTCAACGTGTTAAGCGAGCCTATCATGTGTGGAAGAGTCGTTACTCTCAATGGATGAACTGGACCCTACCCCTACGAATCAGCGAATGCCCCGATAGTCCCAGAAGGGTCGATAAACACTTGTACGTGCCAAGATAGACAACCCGGCGGAAACACAGGATGCCGTGATAATAGTAGGTGCTGTGGGATAATTCTCGTGCGTGGCAAAGTTGATAGATAAGTAGCGTTTCATTTTACAAAGACGTGTTACAATCTGCAGATGAAGATGTCCATATGACAGATGAACCGATACTTTAAGAGAGGAATTCGTTCATGAATGGACCGAGATACGAGAGCACACGCTTACTTTGGGTTGCATATCCTTCGGACGCCGGAATGAGGAAATGGAAGGGATGGGTCTGAGCAGTCTGATCCGAAGAGATGGTCAAGGAAAGCGAAGGCGACTATGTCTTGGCAAACATATGATTAATGCTATGCTATGCTGTGCTGTGTGTGGGCCGTTGGCGTTTGATGGCAGTGTAGAGCAAGTGTGTGCTTGCCTTAGTTTACAGCCCATGTCCGGCATATAAAATGAAGCTCTCTCTCTCTTTGAAGTAAACGCCCTGTGCAGCTCTGCCTCCTTCCCCTTAAAAGAAGCTTCTTTGTCGTGTGCTTCACCTCCGCTAATTCGCTTACATCTCCACCCACACTTTCCCCCTCCCCGCTCGGCCCTTTCCTCTTCTGCACTTCCTTCCACGGACACACACACATCTCCACTTCATCTCGCGCCTCCCTCCAGGCTCTTCTCGTCTTGTCTCCTCCCCCATACTCTTTCACATACCCCACAGTCGCCAATTCGTGGGTTCTGCCCTGTCCGAGCAGGACTTTGTCATTACATCACGCGAAATCATAAAGATGCCAAGCGCCTAGTTCCTGACTTTCCATTTTCTTTTTTATATATATTTTTCACCACACCCCAACCCTTCTCTTCCACATACCCTTCCGCTTCCCCTACTCAACACACCCGACTGCCAACATGGAGGATGCCTGGGAGAACTTTCTTGAGGCAATTGCCGGGCTGCTGTCCATAGCCTTGACGAATAAAGAGACGGAAAAGGTCATTGCCGGATTCAACAATTTCCAACAGCGACTGCAGCGTCTTAGCAGGTACTGTAAAGCCGTGCGATGCATGCACACTTTGCCCCTGCGTTGAAACTGGAACAAAAGGGTCCGAGACCGTTAAACTTCGGACGTTGGGATGAACCCTCATGAACTGACGATGACTCATTCGTTCTCGGCATCGCAACTGTAGTCATAACCTTCAGCGGCTGCACCTCGAAATCACCCAGGACACGAAACGGGTCAACAAGTGTAAGCACGAGGGCAAGACTTGCACCCAGAATGTGACTCGAGGATTCCTCAAGACCTGGGTTATTGGATACGTGGTCAAGTACATGATCGGTGTCTTGCCCGCGCTCCTGACGGGGAAGGCCCTGAAAAAGTAAGTCGGTTATGCCCATGCGAAAGGCTCCTTTTATTTATTGTTGTTTTCCGGCATTTTTTTTTACAGCAGAAAGTGACAGGTATGGCAGCTATCTACAAAACACAACTAAGGAAAAACTGGAAGGGCCAGCAACAAGATCAGCAAGATAGGCAGAAGATCTATTTTGAAGCAGGAACATCCTTCCATTACGCATGAATAGAGGGCATCATCCGACTGACCCGACAACCACGAGCATTCCGAGTTGTTTTGTTACAGCTTGCTTCCCGTTCTTTGCTCGAATCAATCTATCATGCATTTTGAAATCTCGGATGGAACGGATGTCAAATGCTTGACGGTGTTTATTTTGGCGGTGAGCCTTTTGACTGGTCCCATTTGGCGATGTCAGGGAGAAGAATGGCAGGGAGGAGCGTGTTTAGATCGTATCATCTGTGCTGCCCGGTTCAACGGCGGTAGTAGGGTTGCTCATGTGCTTAACATAGATCCAGATGAGGGCTCGGTATTGTGGGTGAACTATTAGTTCATTCAAAGGGGGAGAGGATGCAATATGGGTATTGGGGGAAGGGCTGCAGGTCATCATTCTTGACTCTCCACAGAAAACCCTTTCTGTTGCCTTCACATGCCAGCCAGGCACCTACACATCACATACTCTTCCGCATGTATGTTTTGTATACCAGTTATTTTATCCTAGCTCTATTTTTTTTTTCTCACGTTTTCTCTCGCTCCATCAATTGAATCGAAATTAGTCCAGGGATATTTAAGAAAAGCGGAGGCAGAGACACTGTCGGATTCGCGTTCTTCCTGTCCTCATTCTTGTCCGCCTACAAGGCGGTGCTCTGCACCATGCGGTACTATCGGCCGGATCACGAGGGTGACCGGCTGAACGCGTTTGTGGCCGGATCTGTTGCAGGACTGACACTGTTGCTCGACAAGAACAAGAGTCGCAGGACTGCACTCACTCTCTACCTGTTCACGCGATCGATCCAGTTCGGATCGAGCTACACGATGAAAAAGTGGGCTGAGCACCGGGACGCCAAGAGGGCTGCGAATCGCCAGGCGCTCATGGACAATGCGGAGTTTACGGGACAGAAGCAGACACTCGTGACAAAGAATGGATGGGACGATATTCTTGCAAAGGTATTAACGGCATCGGCGGCAACCATTCTGATGTCGCTCACGGCCTCGGTCAACTTGTACTCATGTGTCATTGAGCCGGACGCCATGCCGAGGTCCTACTGGAACTTTATCATGCAGCACTCAGGTCTGCCCCAAAAGTTCGGACCCATGTTCCCGCCCCTGATAGAGACATTCCAGTCTCAGTACAAGATCCTGAAGGAGCTGCCGGGCGGCATGGAGAACGTTGGCATCCCAGCGGGCATGTCATCCAAGGACTTTGTCGCACAGAACATTTCGCCCAACATTGCGACATTGTTTCCTAGCGGTCTGCACCACGACTTTCAGCTGTGCGCGTTGCTTCACCCCCTGACGCCTTGCAAGGGACACGCGTTAGATGTCCTCACAGGCGAGTTTGCTCGTGCAGCCAAGATGTACGGTACACTGAACTTTGTAAGTTGCCACTCAGTTGTTACCGTATTGGATTCTGGTATATATTGGCACGTAAGGCAGAAAGATTCTCACTGACGACGACTTCTTGGTTTCATAGATCGTAACTCTCGTCTTCCAGCATAAGAAACTAGCGACGAATCCTAAGGGAGTCGCGTATCGCTATTTCAAATCGACTTTGCGGTCATGCCTCTTCTTGACAATGTATGTCTTGGGCGCGTTCAGCACTCCCTGTGTGACGCGTAGGGTCTTCAAGAGTGAGGTCCTTTTCACGTAAGTCGCGAAAGCTGCTATTCACTTTTTTGGGTTTCTTTACAATTATCAAATGCACTCACCTTTTATTTCTCTCTTCAATAGCTATCTTTTCAACGGCATTATTTCTGGATTGGCGGTCTTGATTGAAGCGCCTGGACGCCAGATGGAGTTGGCATTGTACTGCCTGCCCCGTGCGCTGGAGACTGCGTGGAACCTGCTGTTGAAGCGTGGGCTGGTCCGCAATGTTCCTTATGGCGATATCGCATTGTTCAGTGCATCGATGGGAGTGATGATGACCCTGTACCAGAACGATCCCAGCGTGATTAACAAGCACTACCTCACAGTTTTGACCCGCGTCTTTGGACGCAACTAGAGCAGTTGTTTACTATTTTAACATGCACCACATCAGATAATAAACAATTGCCAAATGAAATATGTGACAAGTGAACCTGACTGAAAGCTCATCCCATCATCTTGACCATCGACCATCACTCTTTCGACACACCTCGACAGCGCATCAGCCAGGAGCGGAATAACAAAAGAAGCCGATCAGCATGTCGACCATCATCCCACAGACCTGGAAGTTTGACTTTACATCCGTAGACGCCTCATAGTAAGACAAGCAGCCAGGGATGGGCAAGGGAGAGGTTTCTTCAGAACGAACAAGACATTTAGAGATGATGTTCCACGAAGTCGCGCCATCACTATGCCATTCTACTCGCTCACAAAAACATCCACCACCCTTTGCGACAAAAAAAAAAAAAAAAAAAAAACAGTAGCAAACGCAGCGTCGCAGACCCTCCAGGATACGTCGGTTTAAAAGATGTCGCCTCAAGAGGACAGGTACGCATGTTTTGTTATACAACTGGATAATCTGAGTACGACACGACAATGTAATGCCCGTTCTCGGGTCTGCTAACGATTGGTTTTCTTGGATTGTCCGTTGATAGAAAGGATCCAAGGGCAAGGAAATAGACAACGAGCTTTTGAAAGTCAAGGTACATACACATCATATCCCAGGAAGCTGTCCATCAACCACACAGGGACTACTCTCAGCACATACATTATCCGATCGGCCATTTGGAATCAATCGAACTTACCAAAAAAAAAAAGCGACTTCTTCCTCTCCGTCTTCGACTGACCACTGGTTTTTTTTTTCTTGTCTGCATTGTTTATTGATCGATACGACATTCACAGAAAGCATGGGATACGGCATTGGCGCCAGGAAAGCAGCTTCCAATGCAGGGATTCATGCTGTGGATGAGCGGTAACAGCGTCCAGATCTTTTCCGTCGCCATCACGGCCATGCTCATGTTCTCGCCTATCAAAGCGGTCCTCAACATGTCCCAGGGTAAGCATACCTCAATCTTCTAAAACCTCCTGGGGCTCAGAAGTTCGTTTTCATACTTTGCATGTTAAGGTTGGATCGAACCGACAACGAGCGACATCATGACATTTTCTTCTTCTTCTTCTATGTATTTTACTACTTCGTTTATAATCCTTCTAGTCTTTGAACGCTACGAAACAGTGTCGCCCGTGAAGGTCTCCTTTCTGGAGAGCAAGTTGGCGTTGCCGAAACTGACGTTTGTGGCGATGCAGATCTTGACGATCCTCTTGGGCATGTGGAAGTTGAATTCGATGGGGTTGTTGCCGACCTCGCATTCGGACTGGTTGGCCTTCTTGGATCCCAAGGTGCCTCTGGAGTACACTGCGTAATGCCTTGCCCTCCCCTCCCTCCCTAGGAAAATTGAGATACAGACGAGTGGATGGACTCTACATGGATGGGGAGTGTAGGATATACAGGAGCAGCAGCAGCAGCAGCAGTATACGGCCAAAGGATAGAATGGACACAAATAAAACAACTTTTACACAAATGCTTTGCTAATCAAAGTTGTACCTATCCCTTGCGGAGGGGAGGTTATTATTGTTTTTTACTCAGAACAGCAACGTCGGTGTCTCCGAGGCGATAATGATTTCATCCGCACAACACCACTCTAATACAGGAAAGGGATGTGATAACGTAATGTATTAAAAAGAATAATTCGAATCAAGTAATAGTACAGGACTAAAGCTGGGTATTCAAAAGAAAGAAAGATCATATCGCAATGTTCATGATGCGAAGTTTTGAGATCGTTTCAATGTGTTCATGTCGCTTTGTAGGTCGTAGCAATAATATCATATCATTTGCGGATGTGTGATAGCGTGTGTGTGTGTGTGTGTGTGTGTGTGTGTGCATCAATCAATACGCGCGAAGTGTGTGCTGATGCTGGTGCTGCTTCTCCAGAGGTGCCGGACTCGTCGGCCCCCCATACTTGTCCTTCCAGATCCACGAATTCCCCATCGTCTCCAATCCCTGTGCAGCCGCCATTCGATAGTACTTTGCGGACTTGTACATGTCCTTCTTCACTCCTATGCCGTGGTAATAGCACCATGCCAGATCGTTCTGTGCATCCGGATCTCCCTATTTTTTTTTAACGTGCAGAGCGCATTAGTATCTTCAACTACCAGAGTTCACGACACCTTTCAAATACTGCATGCCGCTGTAGATCGAGAGGACTTACCAAGTTGGCCGCAATCTCAAAGTAATACGCCGCAGTCTTCTTGTTCTTATCCACACCCCACCCATGTCGGAAGCAGATCCCGAGCTCATAGATCGCCAGGACCAGTTCCCCCTTCGCCGCCGAGCTCGTGAACGAATCCCTCGAATTCAAGTCTCCGACCGCATGCTCCGCACTTTTCTGCAGATACTGGAACGCCAGGACCCGATTCGCAGTACAGCCCCATCCATGTCGGACCGACAACCCGTACATCAACATCCCCACAGGGTCGCCAATCTCGGCAGCCGTTCGGAAGTAATGGGTCGCCTTTGAGATCTCTCCGATCTCATGGAACTCGATCCCCTGTCGGACGTAGTCCTCGGCCTGCTCGGGCATCGGGTTTGAGGGGCTAAAGGCTTCTTCCGGGCGGACGTATCCGCCGCTAGGGAAATGATGGGCTGGATGCATATTCAAGGGACTGTTCTTGTTATTGCTGTTGTTGCCGAGACCAGCGCCACCGCGCGCCGTTGTCGGGAGTGGATGATGTGATAGACCACCACGAAGAAGACTGCCAGACGGCGAGAGTGCGCCTGCTCGACTAGGGGACTTGGAGCGGTTAGGATCCGAACCTGGTACGGATCCACCGTTCCGCCCTTGCTGTGCGTCTGGCCGATGACGGGAGTATTGAGACCGCATACTCTGGGCACTCTCATGACTCGGCCTGGGTTCATGCTGGCCACGTTGCTGGGCTGCGCTTTGTGAACCAGCTGATGAAGAGGTATTAGCCGGGGTCGGAAGGTAGTTCGACGGATAAGGATGCTCTTTCCAGTGTTGCGGCTGCTGTTGAAGCTGACCATGGTGCTGGTACTTTGACTTTTGGTGCTGCTGTTGAGATCCGTCCATCCGTTGCTGCGAGCGACCGGCACCGCTGTTCTGATGATAAACATTGTCTGCAGAGATGCTCCGCTCAGGAGCCATGGTCTCCTTTGACCGCGATACCGGCGGATCATTTGTGGTGTTGGCTCGGACTGGCCGTGGCCGACCTGCATCGTCCTGACGAGAGCGCGAATCGTGATATCTGTGTCCCTGATCGGTCGTCGCCAGCGATGATCCAGATCCATAGTTGCTGCCTGACTTTACGTTCCCCTGTTGCTGGTAATGAAGGCTAGAAGATTCTTTACTCGTCGGTGATTGCTGCTGTTGCTGTTGCTGTTGCTTATGTTGCTGAGAGGACTGTCCCTCATCCTTTTGTTCCTTGGCCACTGTCTTCACTCCTGATACGGCAATCGATCCCGCCGCAGACCGATCATATTGCACAATCTGCGGCCTCTGATGCGAAGCGAATGGGGTGATATTCGCTACGCCCGCTCTGCCCATATAGGTCATCGAGAGTCGATGAATCGACCTGCGATATGACACAATCGATCCAGAATCACTGTCCTCGTCCGTATCTTCGCCTTGCTTTGGCGGCTTCTGCCGCAGCTTTTGCTGGTACTGCAGTGCCTGCTTCTCGTACTCCTGCGAGTTCTGAGTTGGCTGGTCCTGTCCAGTATTCCGGTCAAAGGACAGGGAGAGGGAGGACGATGGGATATCGGTGATGATCGACGGCCGATCAGACCGTGTAGGAGAGGATACTGTTGTCGTTGTTGCGGAGGGCCCATGGCGCGGTGAAGTTGAAGGAGTAGACCCGTTCTGTTTCAGTCCATTCTGATGCTGGCTGGATCCTGACGGCGTGGAAGATGAGCCCGGGAATGTAGACTGTTTCAGGGCGGCGACTTGTCCTTGAGCGCGTCCATGCTCCTGCCCTTGATTCTGTTCGGCAGGAGATGGCTTCTGAACCGACTGCCGTGGCACACTGCCTCCATAAGTCGGGTGTAGCTGTAGACCATGCTGTCGAGACGGCGGACTAGAGGCATACAGCCCTAATGGCGTTGAAGTGCTGCTGACTTCGCGCTGTGCTGTGGTCTTGCTGGAAACAGCCTGTCGATCGTTCCGAACGCCGTCACTGCCTGCGCCCGCTCTCATTGGTGCCCGATCGCTCTGTGGAGAAAGCAAAGATTTGTCGTCGATCACACGAGTATTTCCCTTGTTGACTGTGACAAAAACTTTGGATGCTGGGCTCGAAGGGGATATGGGCGATGGGAGGACGTTCTTCAGTGAAGAATAAGCTTGTTGCTGCTGTTGCTGAGAAGGGTGAGGTTGCGGGCTGGATTGCTGTTGATTCTGCTGTTTGGAGTTCTGTTTGCTGCCTTCGCGTGTAGAGACCGTAGGCTGTGCTTTCGCTTGTGCGCTGGCAGTGTGAGATGACGACTTTGTTGATGAAAAGGAGGATTGAGTCGTTAGATCAGAATGGGATGCCTTGGACTTTTGGTCCTGCCGGTTCTTTGATAGCAGTTGCGAGGGTGAGGGTGGCAGCTGAGGGGCAGAGGGCTGTCTGATGGGTGGGTCAGGGTAGAGGGTATATACTTGTGGTTTGGAAGGGCGCTTTTGCTGTAGCTTTCCATGCTGTGGTGGAGGCTGCGATTGCTGTGGGCGGTGACTCCTCGAGGCTTCAGTCTTGGCAGCCATTATCGGCGATGGTGTGAAGTGCTTGTCAAATGGGGTTTCTCGAGAGCTCTCGGGCTAGAAGACTGCAATATCGGATGATATTACGATGGTGTAACCACAATATACAGCACTTGCAGTAGTATGCGGTATCGACAGTGGACGTGGGAGGAAGTGCACTTTGACTTGGGTAAGGAATAAAGTGTGAAGCGTAAGCAAATACGATGAATGTTTGGAGACAAAGAAGAACCTACAAAGTCCATGGTACAAATTGCAGTACATGCAGAAGATAGAAAGAAAACCGTAGGTGAGTCTGATGTTCAATGCAGCAGCGTTATGCTTCATCCGCTTAACTTCCTCCCCTCTTATCTCCATCCATGGCCCGTGACAAACTTACTCAGGCAACCCTTCGATTGCTTCAGGTCCAAAAGTGGAAGGAGTGAAGGTATAAAGTATAGTACAGTTGACAGCACTGCAGAAAAGATACTAAGCAATAAAAGTACAAGGGTGTGCTGGACAGGAAGTGTGAAAAAAAAAAAATAGCAGCAAAATAGAAGGACAGGATGGGGGAAAGGAAAAAGGAGATGTACGCCGTTGCATCAATCAGGTCATGAAAGAGGAATGGTGAGGGACGAGGGAGGGATGCAATGAGGAAGGAAGGATTGCACAAAGGTTGGGATGAGAAAGGAATCACCAAGAGAAGAGGCAAGTTGAACCGCTCTTCCACACAAACAACACACGTCGGGTACCGAATGAATTCCCCACAAAGCAACGGTTTTTGTCTCTCTTCTTTGCCATAAGCAAACAAAGCAAAGCAGCTCACGGGCTCCTTTCTCTTTTCTTTTGTTCATACGCATAACGCTCCTTTTGTATGCTCTCGCGGAATACTTTGCTTGTTCGTGCTGCATGGTGCGTGTGCATCTGTAGACTATTGTGAACCATGAGTAATACTTATTCTCAGCAGCTTTGTGCTTCACATGCAGTTCAGGAAAGATTTGTACTCGTACTTTTGTCCATTGTGCCCCTCCTGTCTATCGAACAATGGATCAATAATTACCTCCGCCTATTCTTTGCGGTCTTATCCTCAAACAAAGAGGAGGCTGACTACAAATCGGGCAAAATGGCAGCGCAACGTCTCTTTCTTAACTCTTTTTGTCTTCCCGCGCATTTTAAGTTTTCTCCTCGGGCAGTGCGCGTTCTAGGGCGAGACGAATGATCCATCTGCAGCTTACGAATTCAGTCTACTAAGGACACATAAGCATGGGTACAACCATAGACATGGAGTCTCATCCTCTCTTTCTTGTCATGAGCCATGGCCATGTCCAAAGCGATCAGATGAAGACGCGTCCAAGGCGCGTTTCGCCTCCGGCCGGACTCGGTTCCTTACTAATTAGTATCTTCTTCTCCTGCTGGTCCCTTTGTCTCGGTCCCTGACGTGTATCGTGTGGTCCCTGGTTCCTGAAATTATTTGCGGCTAGTTTCAAGAAACACGTAGACTATTCTTAGCCTGAACCAGTCTCCATAAGTCAGATTAGGCGCAAAGGGACCTGATCCACTCAGCTCTTGTGGACCCAAGATTGCGCTCAATCGGATGTTTACAAATTGCTACCCCGTTGCAACCATTTTATCGTTACTGTTTTTTTCTTCTTTGTGCTCCGTAGTTGCCCAAGGCATGTTACGCATTTGCCTGCTTTGCCACTTTGCCACTACACGGTCCTCTCATACGCTCACATCCCTCCATCTGCTCCTGCTCAATGCACAAGGAATGCGTAATACGATTCAACGTCGAAACTAGCACAGAGGAGCAAAGTGTATACTGAATAGGCAGACTGCAGCCTTCAATCTAGACAGCACGTCTCCTTCCTTTTCCAAAAACTCCTCTGCCGCGCTCTTCTTCTAGTATCCAAAGCAACAGCACTTTCGCTCTCATTGAGTAGGCTCCGTCTTTTTATTTTATTCTCTTTGCTTTCCTGGATGTCGAGTCGCCACCTGTTTCAAAACAGATACAACTTTTGCTCCTAATACACCAAACTATGCCACTCTGTTCATCTGGAAGTGGTTGCTCCTATTGGTGTGAGAAAAGCGGGGAGGGAGGGGACACTCCTTCAGATAGAGAAACTGTGCTGCAAAACCAGCGCCTCCAGGAAATCCCCTTTGGAAACCCCTTTAAGACTATTAGGGATCTCCATTTTCGCTGCCTATGATGATCCTCTGGCAACCAAATACTAGCAACCTTGTTCGAATCATGCTGTTCATATATCTTGGATGTCAAAAACGGTTGCAGTTGCACTTTTTTTTTCTCGAAAAATTTCTAATCTGCCTAGGATCAAGACCTGCTCGTGCAAATAAAGTGAGCTCTACCGGCCATCGTCAATCAAGTCGGCGCAACAGCAGTAACAGCAGCATCATGTCTTCAAAAAAAAAATCGACAACATCATCAGTTACGCGGACTGTGTGAACGAGACGATTGTGAACATCGACTCTGAGCATGCTGAGATCGATGAACAGCCGGGCAGTAGCACCAGCAACCGCAAGGGGCACAAACTGAAGAAATGCATGAGCTTCAATCCCACCAAGGCTGTCATTGGCGGCATCTCCCAGAGTGCAAACGTTGTCAAGGGTGGAGTCACACAGAGTAAGCGCGCGCTCCACCGCAATGCGTCCATCCGCTCAGGTTTCTGGCTATGACTGGCGATTAACCGGAGGCCTCTATGCATTTTTGTAGTTCCATATACACCTTAATAGGGAATGGGCTTAACGACGTCGGCGGCGAGCTGACAAACGTTCCCGGCATCAGTCAGGGTGTGTCTATCCTTGTGGATTATCGCAAATTTCTGGACCGAGGTAATGTGATCGATCTGGCAGTGGCAGTGGTTATCGGTAAGACACTGCATATTGCGTACACAGAAGACCCTCAGATGTCATACCCCTGGGCGCAGCCCTTTGCCTTTGACGCCACTAACTTTGCTGCACTCTCTTGTTATCCATAAAAAAAATTCGTTCTACGCGCCTACAAATAATAAGCGCTGCTTTCACTGCAGTAGGCGTTCGAGTTTTTTTACTCATTTGTAGACGTGGATTGCTTATTCCTCCATATTTTGGTTTGTTGACGACTGCTTATTACTTCAGATCGTCGGTAGCTTGGTCAAAGACATCATCGCACCCATCCTTGCTCTCGCTTCTGACAGAGCACTTGAAGAAAACTTTGTGATTTTGCGCAAAAATGGTTCCTTTCCCAGTCCATATGTGAGTATTTCATGATGTAGGGTCGGGTATGAGCATTCCAGCGTTCTTGGAGCAGTACTCTCATGTTATCCTTGTGTGTAATTCTTATTGAAATAGTACTCGACGCGAGCAGCAGTGAAGGCGAGCGACGCCTTGTCCTAGAACTATGGTAAATTTATCCAGGGTCATCAACTTCTTCATCATCCCTGCTTGCGTCTTTATCGTTGTCAAAAGTAAGCTCGCTTTTATTCCTAAGTGGCGTACTATCTAGTTATTCGTCTGCTATCTGTTCTCTCTTCTAGTTTATCAAATGGGTCGAAACACAAAAACGGCTATAACGGAGAAAATATGTCCCTACTGTGCAGAATCCATTAGCCTGAAGACTGTCCGGTGCGGAAAGTGCACAAGTTGGCTAGATTTGGACGAGTATGCAAAAGCCGAGAGCAGGCTTGCCCAGAGACTGGAAGAAGACGAGCACAGGGTCGACATCCAAAAGGAGGAGTACTCAATGCATGATGGAGTCAACCGCTACTGAGGCTATGGATGGAAACAGTTGAACCTTCATCACCCGAAAATAGTATTTCCCTGCACAATGAGATAAATCCACTCAACTTTATCATAGCAAGCATCGATGACGAATTCAAGGCGCGGTAGCCAGACGTCTAGAACTTTAAATTCCTCAGTATTTGAGGGCGCCGGTAGCATTCATTCTGGTCGTTCGTCCGAATAGGGCAAATAACGGCCATCTCTACAATCAATCAGGCTCCAGAGGTGTTTTGCCCGATCCTCCAGCAACTCCTTCCGTGTGAGATCTTCCTGGTCAAGTCCAACAGGCCTTGAGAGACAATTTAAGGTTCTTAACCAAAACCTAGAGAAATCAAAAATTTAGGATTGGCTACAGAGCGTGCAAATCCAACTCGAGGAAAGCGTAGGAGCTTGACGATGAGTGGACGCGAAATCCACATGAAGGAACGAGAGGCTGAAATTGAATGGTGGTCATACGCAACACAGCCTTTGATGTAGCTGCGTGGGCTAGAGCGCTAAGAAACGAACAGGAAGGGACGTATAATTTTATTTTCGGAGCAGACAGATCTGGGGCAATGCGAGACAGAATATATGTCATTAGGATATACGATACATGGGGAAGGCGGGTGCCATTAGGCGTACCATTGGCTGGGCACTCATGAGCGGTTGGATAAGTGGATGCGATGCAAAATGTGAACATGTGGGGGCCTTGAGGAATTGCCCGAATGCATACATATGTGGAAACAAGGAGAGAGTCAGAGAAAGAAACGTGTATATATCATCTTGCATGCATCAGCTGCAGACACCCTATGAGTCTCTTTCTTTTATTTTTTTATAGCGGAGGCGCTCTTAAATGCACGCACCGGATAGGCTGACCATATAGCTAGCTAGTATGGGCCGTGGCCATGCTGTCATCGGCCCATCGTCCGATTCCCCCCACACGTGCTCTGGACAGGAGCGGCCGATGCTGGGATGCGAAGTGGGGAATAGACCATTGAGCAGATGCAGGGAGTCCACATGTACCTAAAATTTCATTCATACCCAATCAGAGCGCGTCTTCTTCACACGACGCATCTGTCGGACATGGCGAACCTGTGCTTCGTTTGTTCAGCTCTCAACCATGGGTGGGATGGGATGGCCATAGAGTAGGGAAGTGCCCCGCCGGTTAACAGAGGGCAGGGACAAGGACACAGCTTTGGCCATTGATTGTCCCCAGGTGCACTTTTGTCACAGATTGCAGCGATGGTGATGACGATGGCAACAAAAGTCTGCATCCCTTGGACATACTTCATCCTTAACCCCCGGCATGATGTCCTGCCCCAAGCTACTGTACGCACCCCCTTGCCTTGCCAAATGATTTGCCATCATTGCTTGGTTACCCCGGAACGTGTACTGGATACTGGATACTGTATACCGTATACTGCATGTATGTGTTATTGTTGGATGCGGAGGGAGAAGAGGAAGGACCTTCCTCTTGATCCTCTTGCACAACGCAGGTGCCTTTTTTCTCTTCTGTTTCTTCTTTTTCTTCTTTTTCTTCTTCCTTTCTCTCTCCCCTCCTCTCTCTCCCTCCCGCTTTCATTCTCTTTCTTTCTATCTCTCTCTTTTCTATCTCTTTTCTCTTTTTATCTCTTTTCTCTTTCTATCTTTCTTTCTCTCTTTCTACTCTCTTCTCCTAAAGATCTCTTAAGCAAACTGCGAAGGTGTGCCGGACAGATCTCTTGGATTATCTGATCCATCGTCTGCAGATCCTTTTCTCTCTCCTAAAGAACGATTCATTTTGTGCTGACAGGGGGGGGCGATCGCAGATTATTCTTTACCGTATCATGCAACACCCGTGCCTCGCCTCTCAGCACCATCGCACTCGTACCACTGCCACTGCCGACGCCACTGCTATCTCCCACTTCCCTCCTCCTCCTCCTCCTTGCTTAGTCTTGGCTGCTGCTTTCCTTGACCACACACAGTCCTCTACATCCTCAGTATCCCCATTGTCCCCAACATCTAGATCAACGTCGTCATCAACAGCACAGCCCCTCCTATCCACAAGCACTGACGCGACACCAACACACCCCTTCAACAGATCAACATCGGTTCCCCTTTCAGCACCACCGCATCATCAGGCCAGAGCCACAACCAACATTCCACCATCCGTCTCACCTGCTGGTACAGCCGAGACGATCGAGTCTACTGCAACACTCGCTAATAAACCTACAGCTGCACTATCCTGTGATCCCTGCATGGCCGAATCCAGCGCATCTCAGCAATCGTCTTCCCCACATCGCCATGCATCGGCAGCACCTCTCTCGCCAGCAAACGAACCAGAATTCGATATTGTGCATCATCCTATTAAGGACACGTTGCTGATCGTCTCATCGCTGCTCTCCTTGATGGTGCACAAGAACGATAGTCAGTACAACCCCCTCGTCGATCCTGTTACCCTCTTCCACTCACGAGCAGTTCCTCGGATATCGATCGAATCATATCTTGCTCGAATCCTGCAATTTATTCCATTCACAAACGAGGTCCTGCTCAATGTGCTCGTTCTCCTGGATCGGATTGGGGGATTGAGCGGTATGGAGATGACCCTGTCCGGGAGGGTCGAGTTTGGTCAACCCAAGCAAGCGGGGGAATCTTCAGAGCGACTCTTTGGCAACACTGCAGCACCCGCTCTACCACCAGTAACAGTTCCCTCGGCATCTACTGCACCAGCAGTAACATCTCCATCAACATCATCACCGACCTCTTCTTCCCGCTCCTCTCAATCCTGGGCAAGTGTATCAATATCAACCCCTTGTTCAGCATCCAAATCATACGAATTATCTCCCTCGTTCTCGTCGTCACCCTCTTCTCGATCGTCACCACAAATACCATGGGTAGCACGCTCTTCATATTCTTCGGCACATCCATCGACCTGCAGCAGCGCCTCATATTCCTCCCCGAAGAAAATTTTGCGAGACTCACGATCCTCAGCCAACTTGAACTCTGATTCGCCAATGGTGCAGAAACGTGCGAGGGAAGAAGCCGAAGGGAAGGAAGTAGGGGGACCCGACGTGTTTGGCGACCAACCGCAGCAATATCACCCACACAGCCAACAGGAACAATCACAGCCCCCTCTTCTACAGCATGAGGGCGATAGGGATCCTCCGCGCATTTCAAAGAAACCCAGGCTTGAACAAGGCCCCTCCTCACCAACAATGTCAGCGCCAAGCATAGCACCCGCAGCGCAGTATACACAACATGCATCTGCTACCATCGATGCACACGCCCCAGGCGGATCAACACCAGCGCCGACACCAAAGCTGACGGTCGCCCCAAATGGGTTCCGGATTAACAGCTTCAATATCCATCGACTGCTCATCACCTGCCTCATGGTCGCAGCCAAGTTCACGTCAGATCTCTTTTATTCAAACGCCCGATATGCCAAGGTAACTATACTCATATTAAGCTGCCAATAGATCTTTAATGCACAATGCAAGATGAATAGTGCACGTTCTTCATTCTCTCGTCCTTTTTGCCTACATTTATTTGTGTCCATTGTGCGTCCATTCTATCACATTATATTAAAAAGAGGGCGTTGCATCGAGGAAGCAACATGTGCACAATTATACGCTATAGCTCACTTCATTTTCTCATTCCTTCGCCCCCTCGCTTCAGTCAGGAAAATTTCTTCATATCAGACAAAAAGTGCTCAGCATCGCACAAACTCATTTTTGAACAGTTATGGAGTGATGTCTTTTTGCAATTATGAGATTAAACAAAGATGCCCTTTTATCGGTTTGTGTATTAAATATAGGTTGGCGGTCTTAGCCTATTGGAGCTGAACCAACTCGAGCTCGAGTTCCTCTTTACAACCCGGTTCGAATTGAATGTCAAGGTTGAGGAGCTCCAGAAGGTTGGTAATGCGCTCTTGCGGTTCAAGAACCACGAGATGATCCCTGAGCAGCCAGCACAGTCTTTGCAGAATAAGCATCAGGCACCACTTCATGGCCCACAAATGCGTACACCTATTATTGTTGCGGCGAATGGCCATCATAGTAATGTCACCACTACTGCCACTTCGGAAGTGACAGGCCATGGCGGTCAGAGCCAGCAGGCGAAGGCAGGCCGCTTCTCGATCCCTTCACCCACCAGTCCACGGAACGGACCCATGTCGGACAGAGCTGTTCTGTCGGCTACGCTATGTTCTTCGTCGGCGTCATCGACCACGACAACCAGTGCCCTCGTATCCACCGCCATTGCATCGTCGGACAGCGTCGGAAACGCACATGGGGCGACGGCGGTTGTCGCCTCTGAGGCGTCGTTACAGCGCCCTCAATTGCTCTCTCCTCCAGAGGAAAAGCACACGTGGGCAGAGACCGAGGTTCAGATGACTGAAGAGAGAATCGATCAGGCCCAGGACCAGAAAGAAGCGTCTGGGTCTGCATCCTCAAGTACTGACTCGGCCTTGTCGTCGGACCCTTCATCGTCATCATCGCCTTCGTAATCCCAGCACTTTATAGTATTATTGCATGTATATAGTTATATTGTTTTCCTATTTCTTCCTCTTTTTTGTTGTCTTTTTTTTTTTTTTTGCAGTTCATAGTAGAACATACAAAGTGCTTAGAGTAACTTGCACGCGTATGGTTCTTTGTACATCACATCCAACCTAATACAGCATCGTATAGTCAAACATGATCTTCTTGAAGACGCGTTTCCAGGATGCGTACATATGAGGACTGGAAATGGTGTGGTCACATGTTAAGGGTGCAGAGGGCAGCCGATTTGTTTATTTAGATCGAAAAAATTTTCTTCTTTTTATTTGTTCTTCACACCTTTCCCCCCCCTTCAGTTTCCCCTTCTCCTCAAGGTATGCATTGTGATCGATTGTTACCCTGACTCGACTTCAACCTCTGTTTCCTTCTTTATTGCCTTCATGGCCAAAGAGTCCCCAGCCTGGATGATCACCTTTCAACAAATTCAAACTAGAGTTTCTGAAAGCATACATGTTTATAATGCAAAATCTGAGCCAACATAACCCAAGAACTCTTTGGACCAGTTATCCTCCCTATGGGGTATCTTTTTTGAACAATTGAATGGTGCGGTTTCTGACGCGTTTGTTTATTTGCATCGATCGATCGATAGATGTGTACCGCCTTACCGGAACGAACTTGGACGGACTGAGTCAGCGATGAGAGTTTTTTATTTTTGAAATGGTAAGGATCTATTTTCTCATTCATTTTTTTATTTTCATTTTTTTTCATACTTTTTTTTTTCGTGACCACGATCGGAAGAACGCTTTCTTGGACAATTGTCAACTAGGATGAGACATAAGCAATTAAAGCTGGAATTACCGCCTGAATCAACAGTGTTGATAGTTATTGCACCCTACTGAAAATTCGACTTTTGCAGAAAAAAAACCAGAAAGATTGCTTCCGATCTATCCTATCCTTCTTTTTTTCTTTCATGCTTCATATCCAAAGTCGCGTGGGTCTTGAACTAATTTCATCCGCAAAAAATCGGTTTTTCTTTTCGGATTGATTAGATATCTCAATCAAGTCTTCAATGGAAGTGACGCGATGAAGTCGTTGTCGTGTTGAGCAGGATAGGAATGTCAATCGGTAAGCATTTTGATATGTTCTTTGACGACGACGCGCTCGATGGGACTGGAGAAAGGGTTGCCTAAGCTGATGAGCCCTTAAGGGTATGCACTGGGCACTGAAAAAACCATGTGGTCAAGCATATATACGGCCTAGAAAACCGTGGACTGAACCTTAAGCAACCAATCATCTCAGTCCTTTTCGTCTTTCTCAAGTCGAGACTGTCGAGCTCTGCTTAATATAGATTGAAGTTTCTAACCGGTCTGGTATTATCTTTTGTCTTTTTTCAGATTGGTAGATTGACTCCTCATTGATCATGCCCTGTTCCTCGCTCTGGAGCATCCATTCTCATGGCACGCAGGATCTTAATTGGTAAGTTCTCGCGTCCTCGGGTTCATCTCGGTGATTTTTTCTCCTTCCCTTCCGAACGGTTGTTTGTTTTTATTTTTGCATCGAAAATGATGATCCCCTTTTAGATGACGAGTCTGAATGTTTATACACTGAGCGGTTTTCGCAAAGTGTTGTTACGTGTTGAGACTCTTTTATAATACCATTCATGCATTTCTGATTTTCTTGCAAGAATACAACAACCCGTTCTCTCCAGAAAACCCGGGTGCTTGTTGATATACTGTATATTTATTTTTGTTAACGACATTTTTTTAATTATGTCCGTTGGTCAAAGTAGATCGACTCCTTCATGCGTTCCCAAGTCGCTTTGGCATCGTTTTTTTCAGCTTCAAGTCTGGATCGGATTGAAAAGGTAACGATTGGGACCCATGGATCCATGACCCTTCCCTCCTTTGGCGAAAGAAGAAGACCGAAAACTTTTAGTATTTCCTGTCTGCATGAGATGAATTTCAATTAAAAGACAAGCATATGTCTGAGTTACGATGACACCTTTGACCGACTGATGCATCCCACAAATACGACCACGCGTTCTGAACGGAAGCTCGAGAATAAACAACAACAGAAAACTAATCGTCCCAACGGTTGTTTGCTTCTGTTGATAGGGTACTGTAACAGGAACATGCCACGGCAACAAAGATTCCTTTGTTCTTTTCCCGAGCGGCCGCACGACTTGATGATATCTCTTCAAGCAAAGTATCAAAAGGTAAAACACCAACTCCCTTTTTTCTCTCTTTCCATACCTTGGGTGTCTTCCCTGCTCATTCCTCCTTTCAGCTCAATGATGATTTATTTAATCACGACGGTCAACTTAGCACAAAAGTGCATTGATTATAACGGCTGTGACAGGCCACTACCTTTCTGACTCTGCATGCTCTCCTTTTGATGCAGAGGTTTTGTTTTGGAGAGAATGGGATTATCGATACACAGTTTTTTTTTTCTTGAACTGTTTTCGCTTGAGATGTTGACATGCAAACTCATCGTTTCTGAACGTCCCTTCTTTTGCTTTAGGTATGTTATGGGCTGTCTTTTGTTTAATGTAGTTGATATTATTTACAATGAACAATAAACTGTTGTCAAAACGAATACTTTTATACTATGTGCCTCGCTTCAGTCTGTGTCTCGCACCAGTCCACGCAAATGATAGAGTTTATTATGTAGCAAGTGACCATTAAAAATTAATGACACTGCTGTCCTCTGCCACGACTTGATGAGGTATCATGGCAGGGGCATGGTCAATTTCAACACATTATCTACAGAAAAGAAGCAGACGAGGAAGAAGAAGAAAAAGGATACCGGTTACTCGTGCAACCCCATTCATTATTCATTATCGATCAACTTTGATCCTTAAGTCGCCCTCGATAGACGCACGTCAACATAGAAGGCACTGTTACACTTACGACGATGCTTGACTGCAAAGAGGAAGTAGGCGACGCTGTCGAGTTCTTTGGCATTGACCGAGTTCCAGTGCTTGGTCGCAGCAGTAACGAGGTCGTCGCGTGCCTTTGACTTTGGTTTCAGCTTGTTTAGCCGGCAATACCGGCGTAATGCTGAGATATCCATATCCGCAAAGTCGACCTTTTTTGTTTTTGTGCGTAGTTGTATGTCAGACGCGTTCCATTGATGAGGGCGTCCAGCGGTAGTTGTCCAGAGTGATGGGGATCAGAAAAGGGATGGTTCACATCGTTGAAGTAGGTAAAATAATAATATTAATATTAATTAGTTCACTGAAGGGACCCGTTACAACAGCCCTGATGCTCCAACCCCTACTCGTATCCTTTCATTCAGTCCTTGGCCAGGAGAGGTATGCATCGTGTGTGCTTACAGTGATAAGTGGTGCCTCTGCTTTCCGTTTGGCGGTTCCACTGCTGACTGTCAAACTGGATCCTTTCTCACCGTGTCCTGTTCCTGAGGAGGAGCGGTCGTTTCCTACTCCTGAGCCAGCACGTTCCAAAACTGCGTTTCCATTGCTGTGTCCACCGTGTCCCCGTTCAGAGTTTCCCTGGCGGTCGTGCGGGTTGTTGTTGGAAGACTTGGCTCCAGTGGAGGTCGAGGATCCTGCGTCGGATGCCTTTTGTTTCGGTGCCATCGAGTCCTGAGTGAGTGAGCGGGCGAGTGTGCGTGCCTTGTCTGAGGAAACAGGCTAGAGCGGGAGAGAGCGAGAACGGGAGCAAGGATGGGAGCGAGAATAGGAGTGAGTGGGTGAGGTGGAGCGAGACGAAGAGAAGACGAGGCTGAGGAGGAGAAAAGAGGATGGGGAGAGTGGGGGGCGATGGCAAAGGTGAAAAAGATCAGTGGTTCGCTCGCTGCCCCTCCTCTTGGGCAGGTTCTTCTTTTTCACGGTCACTCCCTTGCGCTCTGCACCCCGTTGGCTGCATGGATTTCCCCCCCTCCACTTTCCCCTCTGGTGCTCTGGTACAGCCGTGAGCTCTCCTCTCCCCCAGCATCAGGTCGATCCCTCGACAATGGACCCCGACGACCAGCACCTGCGAGGAACCCAGCACCGTCCACCCGTCCTCCTTCAGTCCGATGACCACGACCACTCTGGTCATCACTCCCGTCGCTCGTCGAATCCTCACCCCCTCAGCTTTGGTCTCCCGGACAAACCCCTGTCGCGACAGGGTCACCGGCACGATGATATGAACAACGACTATGACGATTCTTTATTCGGATACCACTCGGATCACGGAGACCATCGACGAGGAAGTGGAAGTGCCCTGGATGAAGACGAGCGACCCGCTCCTGTGCACGCGCAGGCATGTCAGGATTCGTGCCCTGTGCAGGATATTTATACAGAGACATGTTATTCGCGCTTCAGTAAAGGCGCCCGCACGTAAGGGCCCCTACCCGCCTTAACTTTCTTTTTATCATTTTTTCCCATTTCGAAGGGCTCAAAGCTGAGCATCGAACCAACATATATTCACGCATTTGCCTTGTCTATATCTCGATTAGGAATCTCTATGGACTGGCGGTGATCAAAGAACTGGAGAGTAGCACGCCACCAGCACCACGGATACTGGATCAAGGAATTTCGTCCGCAGAGGATACATCAACTAATAACGATCGCGTGAAAGGATCCAGCATTTTTACAAGCAGCGGCGACATTGCGTACAAACACCTCCCAGCAAGATATGCCCTCGTCGCAGCCGGTGGGACCATCAAATGCTTCATGGGACTTCAAGAGTCATTCGAGTTCACGCTTGGAGAGGCTGTTAAACCAGTAGGCAGCATAGCTGATACTGGAGCCACAGGAGCGACTGAATCACCATCATCATCAGCGGCAGCAGCAGCGGCAGCTTCAACAACAGCAACGGTGGTGAACCAGGAGATCATTTCCATGGACGCGTTTGAACGCAAAGACGGACGTGGCTGTCAATTGGTCATCGCCGTATCCATTGCGAAAGTACGTAAGAGCGGTCATTACTGTCGGATAGAACCCAGCTTGATCAGCGACCATCATTACGAACGGAACATTTCTCTCAGTTGCTTGCGGACTAAATTGTTTCTCTGTTGATGACTTTAGGGCGAGAATCCTGCACAATTTGAGCTGCGTTTCTATGGTGCCAATACGTTTGGCGAGAGCATTCGAGATCTCTTGGTTCAATTGCCAAGTAGGTGCTTCTGCACAGATATATATCTTTTGGATCGCCTTTTAGAATCCATCTTTACCCATGGTTATTAACAAAAATGCGACGTTCTTGCTTTGTCAATTTTTGTGTTTATAGACACTACAGACATTCAGTCCATTCCAATACCCTGGGCACCGACTAAGATTGCCCACACCCCACTGGATGACGACCCATTCGAGATGGCAGTCCTAGTAGCAGGGAGTGATAGCAGTGTTCATTTCTTTGTTCAGGATCTGTCAACATCAGATACTTTGACCGACAAATTCTTTGATGAGCGACCTATTGAGCCTCATGTCACAGTCCTGGCGTCATTCACGTACTGTGAATACTGGTACGGAGGCCTTGCGTGAAGGAAGGACTCGTCATTGAGCAAGAAATACGTTTGAGGGCCATACTAATGTGATATTTTTGGCTTTATCGCATAGTGTATTGAGTCTTGACGTAAAGGACTATCCTACATGCCGAGTCGTGGCGGCAGGGACACAAAACGGGACGTTGAATGTCGGGATTATCCCTAGGGACCCTAAAACACTGAAACTGACCCGCTCTCAGACTAGGTGTCATACTGTCGTCTTATTTGCACCGATCACGACTCTCAGCGTGTTTACGTCCCGAGTCCCGACAGAGCATCGACAGAAGCGGGGCGGGGTCGTTGGTAATAAGGATGGTCAAGGGCAGACGCAGGCTGATCAGCAGGCTGAACAGAGCGCGCAGACAGCGACTAACGAGCAACAGAAGAAGGAAGATATGAAACCACATGATGTGGAGGTGGACGAGGCTTTTGAGGAAGAAGAAGAAACTGGGATCCATCTGTTGGTGACCTGCGCGATCGAGCAGGCTTGGGTCTACAGGTAATAGACACAAGAAGCACTCATCACCGTCTTATCAAGATATTTGCAGAAAGGTCCTAATTTTGCATATATCGGTCCCTTTCTTTTTTTCTCCCTAGCGATATCAACAAGTTTGGATTAAGTCGGAGGACAGATCTGGCAGAATGCTCGCATCACGACAGCATCCTGACCGCCCATATTATGGACGCCGATTGGGACGGACACAACGAGATCATGATCGGGACGTATGGTCGACAGCTCATGGTGTTCAAGGAACTCCCGCCGGGACAAGATCCGTACTCTGAAGCCTCTGAACCAGACATATATAATCATCAACATCAGCATCAACATCAAGAATCACAGCATCGACCTCAGCCCCAGTACTTGTATCCGCCACTTCCGGATCAGCAGCCTCAACAATCATCGTCAGCAGCTGCCAAGAGCTCAACACTACCCATCCCTCCTTCACCTCCTTCACAATGGGGCATGACCTGGAACCGACGTTTCGCGACCCCCATTTATGGGATCGCATCCGCAGATCTGAATGACGACGGATTGGAAGAGTTGGTCATCACTACCATCAACGGCGTGTCCCTGTTCCTGCCCGATCCTTATGCGGCAAAACAACGACTTCAACAAGCGGTCGAGCGTATACAAGAGATTGAGGAGATGAAGGTTATCCTCGAACGGCTACGGAAATCAAATGAGGAACTTGCAGAAATGCAGCAACAGAAGGAGATTGAAAGAGAGAGGAAAGAGAAGGAGGAGAAGGAAAAGAAGGAGAAGGAAAAGAAGGAGAAGGAGGAGAAGGAAAAGAAGGAGAAGGAGGAAGAGGAAAAGAGGGAGAAGGAGGAAGAGGAAAAGAAGAAGGAGGAGGAAGAGGAAAAGAAGAAGGAGGAAGAGGAAAAGAAGAAGGAGGAAGAGGAAGAGGAGGAGGAGGAGGAGGAGGAGGAGGAGGAGGAGGAGGAGGAGGAGGAGGAGGAGGAGGAGGAGCAGTTAGAGCGAGATGCAGAAAAGCAGCGGGAGAAGGAACGATTAGAGCAGGATCAGAAAGAGCCTGAAATAGCGTCAGAAGAAGCAGACGTAGAAGCAGTCGTAGAAACAGACGTAGAAGCGAAAGCAGACACGGAAGCAGAAGCACATGCAGAAGATGCCGAGAAGAGTGCCGAGGCACATCAGGAAGACTCAAGGAAATAAAGCCAACATGCACGTATTGTCATTCTCAGTTTAGTTCAGTTCAAGTGTCTTAGCATTCTTATACAACGGATTGTTTATGTCTTCTTTCTTTTTCAAACTGTACAGGTTTCTACATGCAGAAAGAAGAGTGGAATGGTAGAGGGACGGAGAGGGAAGGAAACGACTGGATGGTAGAACAGAACAAAGGATTATTGTATATATCAACAACAAACACGCGACACGTAACGACGACCCTTCGTTTAAAGTCTGTCCATGAAGTTCTCCAGCTTGGGCATTTCCACCTTCAGACCCTTGCGCTTGCGGATGCTCAGCACCAATGCCTCGAGCTTGGCGTCCTCGCCCAAGGTACCGTTCAACATCTCCCAGTGATCGAACACAGACTGGGGGAAGGCCTGACCACTGGTGGCCTGACGAAGATCTGACGTGAAACCGAACGACTCCGCGACGGGCAGGTAGGCCTTGAGCGTGTACATGGGGGTACCGGGGCGCTGCTCCTCACCGATCATGTGGCCACGACGCTTGTTCAAGACACCATAGATACCACCCATGGCCGTCTCAGGGCACGTAATCTCGACCAAATAGATGGGCTCCATGAGACCGGGTTCTGCAACCATGGCCGAGGCATAAATGGCGCTACGACAGGCTGGAATAATCTGTCCACCACCACGATGGATAGCATCAGCGTGGAGGACAACATCGAGAATGTTGAAGCGACAGCCGCGCATCTGCTCATCAGCAAAGACACCCTCACGAGTGGCCCACTGGAAGGCGGCAACACAGGAATCCTTGATTTCGTTGAGGTAGGCGACTCCCTTGGTCAGATCCACGAGCAAGTTAGGGCCAGTACCGTCGGGACCGAACGACCAAATCTTACGGGCCTCAGTGTTATCCCATGCATATTCATCCGACATGATACGGGCACGGGCCTTGAGCTCATCACGGGCACCAAGCTTTCCGCTCTCGATGGCATTTGAAACCTCCTCACCAAGAGGTGCGGCCTTGATGAAGAGACGGTTGTGCTTGTTGGGGGACTTGGCAAGGGCAGTGACTGAAGACTCGGCCTTGACGGTTTCCTTGTACTGGACGACGGGGTCCGACTTGCGGATGGGGACCTGGGCGTGATCCTCCTCAAGATCCTTCAAGCAAATCTCGAGATGCAACTCTCCGGAACCAGCAACAATGTGTTCTCCCGTATCGGAGGTGAAGCAGAGGACACAAGGATCCGACTTTGACAGACGCTTGAGACCCTCGACCAACTTGGGAAGATCGGCAGCGTTCTTACACTCGACAGCGACCCGGACGACAGGGGAGACAGAGAATTTCATGACCTTAAGGTTGTGGGCAGTATCCGAGGTGGTAATGGTACCGGACTTGAGCAAGAACTGGTCAACACCGACCAAGCCGACAATGTTACCGGCAGGGCAGTCCTCAATGGGCTCGACATAGCGACCCATCATCAGAACAATACGCTGGACAGACTTGACAAACAAATCGGTCTTGCTGCCGACCTGGTAGTTGGGGCCCTGGATGCGGACCTTGAGACCGGCACGGACGGTACCAGAGAAGACACGACCAAAGGCATAGAAACGACCCTTGTCGGAAGTGGGGACCATCTTGGAGACGTACAACATGAGGGGACCGGTGGGGTCGCAGGCACCGATGCTCTTAGCGCACTCGTCATCCATGGGGCCTTCATACAAGTTCTCGACACGATACTTTTGCGCAGTGATGGGCGAAGGCAAGTGGATGACAAGCATCTCCATGAGAGCCTCACCGGCGGGAAGGAACTTCTTCATGACGGCCCTGAGTAGCAGCTTTCCCTCCATCTCCTTCTCCTCAGACTTCAAGGGAATCTCGAGCTTCTCGGCAATGGCCCAGGCATCCTGCTTCTTCTTGTTCATACAGGTGTCGAAGAGCTTGAAAATGGGATCCAAGACGAACATGTTGAAAGCACGCTCCAGCGGCTTGCCCTCGGCAGTGGTACCCTTGTTGGTCCACTTCTTAGTGGCGGGGTTGAAGTAGTTCTCGCCCCAGAGACGGGACATCATCTTCTGGCGGTCGACACCAAACTTCTTGGCATAACGCTGAGCGAACTGGCGGATTGTGAAAGCCCATCCATGAAGAGCGGAGGCGAAGGCGACGGTTCCCTGCTCGGGGTAGACCTGGACATCACCGAGGACCTTGTCGTTGTAGGTGGCAATGATAACGTTCACGGACTCAATGGTACGGGAGAAGGACTGGTAGAGATCCTCTTTATTGATCTGCAGCTCGAGAAGGGCACGATCGACCTTGTTGATGACGACGACGGGCTTGATACGCTCACCCAAGGCTTGACGCAAGACAGTTTCGGTCTGGACACAAACACCGTCAATGCAGTCGACGACGACTAGGGCACCATCGGTGACACGAAGAGCGGCTGTAACCTCGGACGAGAAGTCAACGTGCCCGGGGGAATCAATCAAGTTGATCAAAAAGGCAGTTCCTATAAGAAAACAAGAAACAGCGCAAAAAGTTATTGGTACGTTAGCATATTATTCAGCTTGTAAACTGCGATTACTGTTTGTCAGGCAATTGGCTCTATTTACGTGTATTTTTTTTTTTTTTTCACATACCATCGGTCTTCTGCTTGATATCCGAAAGATCGTCCTCTGAAATCTCGAAGAACAGAGAGATGGCGGTCGCCTTGATGGTGATACCACGGTCCTGTTCGTCCTGACGGGTATCCATGAAACGGGCCTCACCAGCACGAGCAGAGGAAATAATACCGGCCATCGAGACCAGGGAATCCGTCAAGGTCGACTTTCCGTGATCGACGTGGGCAATGACGGACATGTTACGAACATTCGTAACCTTGTCCATCTATTGTGGATGCAATTCATGATAAGAAAAAAAAAAAAAAGGGATAAACCGCGGTTAGTCAAAGTTAAAATACGAGTGGTCTGTTATGGATATATATGGTATGAAGGTCTCCTCTTCTTGCCTCCTCCAAAGCATTGTGTCCATCGATGTGGTTCCCACGCTCATATTTTTTGAGCAAAATGGATATGTTTGAGGGAACGAACGGGATCAATTGTTCGTTTCAATTGTATCGCGTACGGTGTGGAGAAGAACTTGAGATCGCATAATGGATGATATCGTCGTTCTGTTCCCCACATCCAGGCCACGGACCCTCTTTCGTGTCCCCACGGGGGCTCATTTGTGTACGTGTGCAAGAGAGGGTTTGTTTTGTGTTGCGTCTCGTGTTCGCGTTGGCATTGGATTTTTTTTTCCTCCTCCTCAGCTGACCGGGCCCAGTCCCAACCTAAAACCCCCGTACAAAAGAGTACGGTCTTGTTGGACGTGGAAAGACACGTCATACAACCATTGGCCGTTAGAGCATACGACAACAATGCACGCGATTCACACGCTACCCATCGATTTGTATCGATCCAAGCGCGACTGTATACGCACGATAGAAAAGTATTGATCTTTAACGAGTCGGATTCCCACTTGTCAAGAGTGGGGGGGGAAGTATTATGGAACACTTTTTTTTTTTTTTTATTCTTGATTAAAAATGAAACCAAATGATCGTATTGCGCCGCATAATATACACCAAGAAAGAAAAAAAAGCGAGATCAACCCATGCAAGTCTGGTGGGAGCAAATCCTCAAGGATGAACTTTGCCATAGAAAACCCCCCTTCAGTGTGGGGAAATACACTTTAGAGAACGCAATAAAGTATGAAAGAAAAGACTGCTTCCCATGGGAAGCATAGGGACGGAGTCTAGAATGAACGAAAAAATGCTCATAACGACTGAAAGGAAATATGTGGCCCCAGCACTCTGAATCGCGTTCATTCCCATGGTCTCCTCCATTGCCATTGACCTTGACGAATCTCCCTCCACAAAACACAGCTTCAAAGAAGAATAGTAACCAAAGAAATGACCATGGGAAAATAATAATAATAATAATAAGACGAGACATAGAAAGATAACTTACCAAGGCGCGGATTTGGTCGATGGTAAAGTTAACCATGTTCGCTTCTTATTCGGAGTTGAAGGGACTACGTGAAGAGAGGAATGGGGAAGGGGAGATGAGGGTGATGAAGAAAAGAGAAGAAGAAAAAAAAAGAGAGAAAAGAGGGAAAGGGAGAAAGAGTACAGGTATCCTTATATATGTCTCTGCTGCGTAACATTGCAAACCACAGACCCCCACTGAGACCTGCGTCCGCCTTCCTGCACTCTTTCGGCTTGGCCAAATCGCGCCGATCGGACAGATCTGTGTCCAAGACACCACTCATCAGTGGTCATCGCAACCACTTACTGCGTCGCAACGACAACGAGCGCTCTTATTCGCTTTCGTGTTTCTTTTTCATCATCAACTACTTCTCCTGCTTCCTTTTTTTTTTTTTTTATCATGGGGAGGGTCTAGCTGGACTTGTGGACCCAGTCGACAAAACTGCCCTAGTAATTTTTTTTTCCATTTGTTTACACAACTGATGTTGCAGCAATGGAGGGTTTCCTCTGTGTGCACACAATGATAGCGCTCGCTCTGCTGGATAGACTATCGATCGCAATCGATGGGTTCGTTCTTGGCGAGTTTTGATAGACACAGATGTCATCATACGACGCTTCGCAGGACCAAGGTCATTAAAGTCAACCTATGATTCAACTAGAGGATTGCTTGCTTAAGGTAGCTCGACCTGGACGGGGAGTCGGCGCGTGGAATTGCAATGTTATCGATGGATGGGTAAATGGAGAGATGAGTCGATGGATGGATGCAGTGTCGTGGATATCGTTGCATTGCCTCCTTAGGACATGTCGATGGCTTCCATTGCTGCAAGGGAGAGGTTGGCTGTCCAACCCAACCATGCACTGTCGAATTCGCGCGCACGAGGACCGTGCGCAGGAGGGAAAGGTCAGCAGCCCGCCAACCGAGCTGTGAAGATACTTGGAATGAAGAGCTGCCATCCAGGCGTGTGGGGGGTGGTCCTTGTCTGCCGCAGCAAGCAGTCGCGCCGCGGCTGCAACAAAAGAGGAGAAAAAAATAATAAAAGACGCTCTGGGACGTGAAGGAGCAGATGTGTGTTTTTTTTTGGTGGCAAAACGCGTAGCAGATCCTCTTTTGCGGGTGAGTGGCCAGTGAGGCTCTACTCCTCAGCACACACACACACACGGGCACACACACGCATACATTTATATTATATATGCTTACACGCACACGTACACGCTCCTGCTTGCCTCGCGTGGAAGGACTGGGCCGATCGATCCATCTCCCCTCTTTCTCTCTTTCCATCTTTCGTCTGCTCCCGTCTTCGGGCGTTTACCAGGGCACATCCACTCTTCGCTGTTGTTTTTTTGTGAGCAAAAAAAACTAAAAATAAAACACGCATTTCCTTCTGTCCATCAGCACTCCCTTTTTTCATCACACTCCATGACCCCATTCACCCTTCTTCGTCCCCCTCTTCTTCTTCTTCTTCTTCCCTCTACCTCCTTTCGCCACTCGTCTCCTTCGCATCACCCCGGCGCTCCAAGAGCACTCTCACGAATACTTCCCAACTCGCACTCCCGCTGACTGGTGCCAGTGGTCCATCAAGACCCCATCCGAATCCCTCCCTCTCTCCTTTCAATGATGCCATCCATACCACCACTGGGCCGCTCATTGGTTCTCTTCATCGGCTGTGCAGTCTTTGTCCAGTTCATCTTCTTCATCAGAAGCAATCTCTTCTCCACCTCCCCCCATCGAGACTTCCCCGAGCCATACGACTCACCATCCTTCCACGGGGCCGACCCCACCAGGAACCGACACCCGACCGTCCCTCTCTCCCTCCACGACCTCGAGATCCTCGATGGACTCTCAGACACTATCGCCGAAACCGAAGCCTACCGCGTCTTCGAGGACAAGGAAGCCGGACGAATCCACGGCACGACCATCAAGAACAATCCCTTGCTCGTCAGACAGATCAGGGACCAGATCCGATGCTGGACCACCCATGGCTCCTGGCAACGACAGGGCAACGAGTTCCAGACCCTCAAACACCTAGGCGACTCACGCTTTACCAAATGCGACAAGAACTTTATTAAGGCACTCGATCGTGAAGGCAATGGACACTATCTGGGCGAATTCGATCATGTCAACAACCGACTCCTGATCCGTGAGGCCGTCAAGTATAAATGGGTTCCGGACGAAAAGATCTGCGGACCGGGTTCAGGACCAGGAATGATGGGACTCGAGGACGACAGAGCAGAATATCGGTCCTATACCAAATCGAAATTCTGTCAGGCGATCGGAAAACGGAACCTCTTGGTCGTCGGCGACCTCACGCAGTATCAGCTTCACGACGTGATCGTATCAGCCTTCCAGTCCTCGTTCGTCTGCTATGGAGAGCTAGGCTGTCTCCATCACAGTTCCCATGGGCTCTGTCAGAACGTTGCAGTCAAGTACGCCAGGAACGACTTGCTCTCCGTTCCCTGGGCAGTCGACCCCGAGGCGGATGAATTCCCCAGTGCATCGACGGTCGAGCAGACATGGGCGACACCGGATATGCTGCTTCAGTACCCGATCTTGATCCTGAACAGGGGCCTGGTCTGGAGACCAGACGAGGTGTTTTTGAGCGAGCTAGTCTTTACGATGAAACATATCTGGAAGTATTACCCCAACACCTTGGTCCTCTACCGTGCCACACATCCGATCTCGCCCAATTGCACACAGTTCAAGAACGAGGGCGAGGATGAGGCCATCGCCGACAATTTTGGCAAGCCTATCTCTGCGGGAACTGTTCTCCGGAAACCGCTTGATACGCCACCCAAGAGACAGGAGTCTCATCATGAAGGCAAGGAAGAATATCGGCCCACGTTGGCGGATATTCAACGACAGAACCGGATGGCGAAACGGGTAGTCGAGGCCGCTGGAGGCATCTATCTGGACACGGAGGCCATGTTTGCGATGCGACCGGATGGACGGATGGGCGATGGCGATTGTTCAAGGTTCTGTGCTCCAGGCCCATTGGATGCATATGCAGACCTGCTCTACAATACCTTTAGGATCCTGCAATAGTGAATCTCTCTTTTTCTTTCTTTATGTAGATATTGTAATATGTTTAGTCCGCATCCGTCCACTGCCCATTGAACAATATTGTCTGATGCGTGAAATGCCAGTATTATTCGTTTCTTTTTTTTTTTTTTTTTTTTTTTTTTTTCCATTGAATGATTCAATACACAAACGGAATTAGAATTGCGCGCCTTTGTCCAGCATAGGCTTCCCCAAACCGACTCCTATACCACTGATCCGTCTCCTTTGCCACGATACCCAGGTTCACGACCACCCAAACCCAAGCGAACAGGAGTGTCATCGGTGACAACGACGACGACGACGACGACAGGGTGAGATACAGCGCAAAGTAGATCACCATCTCTGCCGAATAATGCGGTGTGACCAGGTACTCGAACCAATCCCCAAACGGCACCCTGTACTCCTGCGATCCTTTCGCTTCCTCCGCACCACCTGCCTTGGAGGACCCCCTAGTCTTGACCACTACTGGTTTTCGTAAGTCCGCCAGAATGACATGACACCGATGCTGATGCCACGACGCCCAAACGAACAGCCCCACACCGACCACACACCGCCAGCTCTCCAACAACCCCTTCAACTCTGCCTGTGTATTTTCTAAATCGTATTCCCTCCACTGCGGACCAGATCCGACTCTGACCCAAGATTCATACGCATCCACCCACAAGGCTGGAGCCATGGCCGCATAGAAGGAGATGCCGACCAGGTAATGTCCCAAATGAATCTGTGCCCCAGTCGAGGGCCGTTCCACGAACCAGGATTCGTACCATCTCCGGAGGACGTGGATCCAATAGCAGGACATGGCGAGGAGGACGGCTGCGGGTGGAGTCCAAGAGGAGATTTGAGGCGATGGTCCTGTGGGCATGATCCCAAGCCAGTTCAGGAGGGAAAGAAAGCTCCAGTAAGGGTATGTGGATACCAGGATATGGGGAAGCGCCCATGATCTCGCAGAGGTGTACTGGACGAGATCGATCGAGAGATAGACAAACCAGATCGTCGCAAAGACGTAGAAATGTCCGAACCAAGTCTTGGGCACCCTCAAGGTCTTGAGAACTGAAATAAACCGGCCATGGTCCGTGTTTGTGTCCCTGCGCGGAGTCGCAGAAGAATTGGAAATGTTTGTTGTGTCAGTGGATGAGCAAGGAGAGGAAGAGGGGGCGTCTAGTTTGCCATAGGTGAGGATCGAATCGCGGAGGGGCGGTAATGTTGCGGCGAGGAGTGCAGTCGAGGTGATGATAATGAAGTATAGCTGGATCAGCTGCGAAAGCGAGGGGATCCAATCTGCCATGGTAGACATAGTTGACATAGTTGGCATGGATGCCGCGGGGTGGGGAGTGTGATGATTGATGGAGGGGAGGATAGAGCCGATTTCCAGATCTGGAAGGAGACGCCTTTCGAAACGCGTTCCTGAACGCGGTGACCCGTGCTCCCCCCGCTTCGGTAACGATGGCGTCAAGACTCGATCGGATCCTGATCACTTTTTTTTTGCTTCTTACATCTCCTCCTCCTCTTCCTCATTACAAACACCATGGCCACCTCCTCAACCTCCTTAGACTCTCAGCCCTGCCACAAGCAAGCCTGTGCGATCCAATCCTGTCTGACAAAGAACAACTACCAAGAAAGTCGGTGCAAGGACGTTATCGAGAAGCTGGAGCAGTGCTGTCAAGCCCTCATAGATGCCGGCGGATCCTCGCCCAGCTGCCCCACCAAGAAGTACAAGAAAAAGACGCCCTCCTTAGAGCCACCGTCATCATCATCATCGACCTAAGGGCCTTCAGAGTAGCATTGAAGCCAACATGCAATAAACAAAGACACGCTTCCCAAAGCATTCCTCCTCTTCAGTTGTTTCGCATGCTGTCAAGAGAGTGTACGAAGTGACATAGACATAGACAACACCATGGAGACCATATTGTGTTTGTTATTACTATCGTAAACAAAAAAAAACAATGGTTCGGATTTGAGAGGATGGAGGGAAGGTGAAGGTGGGTAGTTGAGGATGGGCAGAAAGAAGATGGATCAAAAAGGGCGCGTCAAAAGAATCAGCTAAAACAAAAAAGCGTTCAATCGCACTCAATTGCCTGCTTAGTGCTGCTGAGGACCTCCGCCAGAAGCCTGGGAATTCCAACCGGCCGCCTGGGGTCCAGCATTCGATCCGTAGGGCTGTCCAAACGACGATGGTGCATTCTGCTGCTGACCCTGCTGACCCTGCAACCCTGCGTTCGCGCCACCATAGCCACCCTGAGGGTATCCGTACTGGAACTGGCTGTTACCCTGCTGGAATCCCTGGCCTCCAAAGCCATGCTGCTGGTAGCCCTGGCCATATCCCTGCTGACCACTGGCTCCCTGGCCACCATAAGGCGCGTTGCCCATGCCTCCGAATCCACCGCCATAGGCTATATAAAAAATATAAAAAATAGATTGTCGAGACAATGTCAGCAAAGCTGCCTTTTTTGGATACCATATTCCCGCCTTTTTTTTTTTCTTTTATCCGTCTTTACCGTTGGGTCCGCCGAATCCACCATATCCGCCGCCATATCCTCCGCCACCATAGCGACCACCGCCATGTCTAGACAAATAAAAGACGGGCGATGGTGAGTTGCGATGTCTTGGAATCATTACGTCAGCAGGGTGGCTATCTGGTGTCCTTACCCGTAGCCACCGCGACCAATGTTGGGATCACCACGGACAGAGGCACCATGAGGGCCAGTTACATTGGCAGCCTGCATGCCCTTGGGGCCTGGCACAATGTCATATTCGACCTGTCAAAATAAGAAGGAACAAAAGAATAAGAATGGGCCTATCCTGTCCTGTCGGGACCGTACACGAAATAAGATAAAATAAAAGTGTCGATGGACAATCGTATTCGTTTCTACCTCTTCACCCTATCAGGTACAAACAGAAAATAAGGATGGATCAGATTAGCATGGGGCGTTCTCGAATACATGTTTGGGCGCTGCTCTTTGTGTTCAAACGGATAGGATACCTCTGCAAGACTCTTAAATCCGCCATCATTGTGGATGGCGGTGTGGTGGACAAAGACTAAAACGAACGAATGGATGGGTCAATAATAAATTAATTATTCAGTTACCGTGCGCCCACGGAAACAATCATCAAGAGCGGGCTAGCAGCGGACAATAACAAAACAAATGGAAACAGCAGCAATCCTCCCTTGGCAAGAAAAAGGAAACAGCAGCAACAATAGCGAGACCAACACCAGTAATACGATAAGGCATCCAGAGGGAAAAAAGAGGCGTAAACAACAAGAAACAACAGTGAAAGCGACGATGAAAGCGACGCTAAGCACCTTCATCCCCCGACTGAGAACGGCACCAGGCGGTACTCCAGATTGTCCCCACACTTTTCTCTTGCGAGACAAAATAATGTCGTGTGTCGCACCACGATGCCGTGCCGACCTCCAACTCTTTCGAGGCATCGCACTCGCCCGTCTCCTCCCTGGATCTTCCCCGTCGCATGTCCTGTAATTGTTGCGGCTGGTGCGAGTGTTGATGTAAGCTGCCACCGTCCTCTCTCCCTTTCTCTCTTTTTTTTTCATGATATGCTGACAAACAACCGGTTTTGTACGTTAAATAAAGACCTCTGCCGATATGGTTCCTGCTTGCTTCATGAAATGGTGTGCGTCTGTCTGTAAAGTGTCCAGTACACCGCGACGATGCTGTCCATTCCCACGGCGACCTTGCTCCACTCACTCTCTCCTACGTATGCCTCCATTGGTCCTGCAGGCGAAGCGAGCAGAGAAGAGGCCCTTCTGATCCTATCGTCACTTCCTACTTCGACCCAGCATACACCAGCATACACCCTCCACGCATCTGCTCACAGACAAATAACTCGCACTAATCTGCCGAGCCCAACCTCACTTGTTTAATTTCGATCGGTTGTCGGTGCGCTCCCCCGTTCTCTCCTGTCTACTTAGGCAAGCCTCTCTTGTACTCACCACTCTCTCTCTTTGACCGATTGAGTAAATGAATGAGTGAAAAAGGATTAAAGAAACTTTTGGAGTGTCTTTGGACACGTAAAATAAAAAAGGGACCATTCCTTCAGTATTCGCTCATCATTTCCCACGAACAGGGGAACCTCTCCATTTTTTCTGATCCCTGGCCTGGCGCAAAAAAAGAAAAAAAAAAAAAAAAAAAAGAGGCGCCAAAGAAGAACCTGCCCCAGAGTACAACTGCCGACCTCGGTATTCCTCTCGATCGAGAGTAGGACCCAGTCCCCAACAATAGCGTGACAGCAAGGATCGCAGACAACCGTGCCCTGGAACAGGGGATAAAATCGAAAGGGGCCGACAAGTTCAAGGAGGAGGAGGACAGGTCCGCGGACCCATTGACAGAAAAATAAAATAAAATAAGGAGCACAGCGCGAAGGGGTCTGAGAGTGAGGAACCAAAGGCAGTGGAGCCATTGGAGGATCTACCGACCAAGGGTCCGATGACCGAGGCACTCTGTTCGAAAGCGAGTGCCTATCACTGATCACTTCCTCCATTCTGATATACAGCTACAGTGCTCAATCGATGCATTGCATTGCAATCCTCTACTACTGCTCCTACTGCTGCTGCTGCTGCTGCTGCTGCTGCTGCCGGTCTTGTGCTTTACACAATAAAATAAAGTAAAGAACGGGCATGAAGCCAATTTGGCAAAGAATGGATGACTTACTCTCGTCCACAGGGTTGGCTTCAGTACTCTCTGAAGGGATAATGAAACCAAATCCCTTTTGGCTGTTGAAGAACTTGACTCTTCCGGATCTGCGGGCAGCGACGGGGGCAGACATTTTTTTTTTTTCTTTCTTTTTGATTACAGGGAAGGACCAGCAAAAAAAAAAAAAAATGAAAAATGAAAAAGACAGAGAAATGAAAGAAAACGTACAGTCAAAAAAAAAGAAAAAAAAAAAAAGAGCAGATAAAAGTGGATACTGTTGTAAGGACTTTTTTACTAACTGATGCAAAGTACAATGCAAGTTAATGGATAAACGAACAGAAAGAGCGATACAAGATAGCAATTAAAACAGCAAAAGGAGCACTGACGACTGAACCACTGACTGGACTGACTGACTGACTGACTGATTGACTGACTGACTGAGAGACTGATTCACTGACAGGACTGACTGACTGATGGACGACTGACAAAACGGAAACAGATTTCAACAGAATGGAGAAACAACAAAAAGAAGAGAGGAATGAAGAAAAAAGAAGGACGAACAGGCCAGCCAGAAGGCAGGCGTATGCATGCACGCTACTACATTTCGACAGGGGGAGAGTACAGAACAATTCAAGCTCAAATACGTCACAGAACGCATCTTTGCAGGAAAGTACTGCATCTGAACTATGAGAGTGTTACTTGCTGACACACATTTATCTTACATGGTCTATTGTCCCTTGGCGCCAGGCGTTTCCATCCCTTCCATGGGTGAGGCTGCTCGCTTGCGTCCGCCAGTCCATCCTTGCCCTTATCCTCGCCCCGCTCTGCTACCGCTGTTGCTGCTACCACTACTGCTTTCCCCGACTTCTGTGTGTGGTCTCGTATCTTGCATCCAATGGTCGTTCCTGTCCTTACCTACTGGCTGAAGATAGAGCGGTCGCTGTTGATGGAGTAAACGGCTGCTGCCATAATATCGCGGCGCATGAAAGCGCCACAGGCTGAGCAGTATAGCCTGCATATCTCGACCTGTCCGACAAACTTCTCGCACGTCGGGCACTTCTTCGAAGTAGCCTAGGGACCTGGCCTAGAGGACATCAAGACAAAGTCAATAAAAGCATAAAGCGATTTTATATAACTTGGATCTTCAAGTGATAGTGCTCTTACCTTCTGAACAATGTACGACTGAAAGGACTCGTGCAAAGAGGAAGGTCGAAAACTCGCCCAGACCAACCCCAATCACAACCTTGTTGGCTTCCTCTCTCCAACTTGAGTCTGTCCTCCGCGTCCCTGGCCCTTCTTGCATCCCACTTATGCTTCTTGAACCGGTTGTTGCCGTTGTAGAACTCATTCAGTTATCTCCAGCTCCGTAAAGTAGCTCGCAAAGCCGGCTCCCTCACCGCGCAGTGGCAGCAGCCTAGTCTCAATGTTGCTGATGGATTCTATTCCATCGCCTGGTACAATGTTGTTGTTTTTTTTGCTCTTCCATCCATATTCTGTGCTTGACACAGGCCCTCATTTTCCATGGTAATCTACACGAGCGAGGAATATGGTGCTTTATTTCGAGGAATGGCAGTGAGGGAGGGAAGAGTGAGAGATAAAAATGTGGGGCTTCTATGTATATGCTGTCCTTCCCAGACAGCCTCTATCCGATTGTGTGTTGGTTGTGCTGGATTGACAAAGGCACCTTTAGACGGTCTCCAGCAGGACGTGCTTGCGGATCAGGGTCGATACGGTATCAAAGACAACCAGCAGGATACCTATTTTTCGCCAATGCAGAAATCCATTCGAACGCGTCAGATACACACGCACATGCGCACTTTTTTTTTTTTTTTTTTTTTTTTACAAAAAAAAGCATGATGCCCTTTGGATCTTACCACCGCCCGGACCCAAACGAAGAACCTTCGGTACGAATCCCTTGTACAAAGCGCGGAATCTGCAGTGGAAGTGGGAGAAGACGAAAGAATGAGCGAATGAGGGAGGGAAACATCTAGCAATAAACAATGTCGTATTGACAACAAAACCAACGCTGGCGGTTCTTACCCTTCCTCGCGGTAGACCATGGCGACACCGGGCAATGTCCAGTTGTACTTGAGCACTGTTCCCTTGGCCTGGTTCTGGATACGGGTCTTGACGACATCGAAGGGAGTGTTGAGCATGGTGGCAAAAGTACCACCAACAGCACCAGCAACAAAGTTACGAGCCAGGTTTCCGTTGGGAGTCTGTAATACATGGCAGCGACAAGAACACAGGTCTTAGAATCACTTCGCTGTCAACGTTGCCGTCTAATAGTCCTGCCTCTATACAAAGAAATCGTTACCTCGGCCTCAGGGATGGCATTCTTGACTCCCTGGATGCACCCAAAGTATCCACCGTTCCACATGGCGTGGCGCCAGAGAGTGGCCTCCAAGCCGTTGAATAATGCCAGGGGACCCTCATGTTTGACGATCTTGGACAAGGCATCCAACGATCCGTTGTATTTGCCGGCCTAGTCGCAATATTAATAAAAAAAAAAGGTGCGATGGACCGTCAATACACCACCACAAGGAATCAGCTGCTTCATCTTTGGCCCTCTCTCCTAGATATTCTCTTTTTTTTTTTTTCATGCGGCCCTTACATTGCCCTTGTCCTGGAGACGAATCTTGACCAATTCGAAGGGAACGACGAGGAAGGCCTGAAAATAGGAAGTAGATTGGGTTTGCAGTGTCAGCTTTGGATTCCGTTGTCATAAAAAAAACCTCCGCGAGTTGTTCCTCCTTTCGATTCATGAACAAACGAGAGAAAAGGCGAGCTCGTTTCGTTTACCTCAGTGATACCGGCGCTGACACCGGTCAAGATGGCGAGACCCTGCTTATTGATATCGCTGCCGAGAATGTTCCTGTACAGAATCGTGTACTGCTCATTCGCTGCAAATTTGGTTGCACGCTTGGGTGCCTCGACCATGATGGGAGGGATGATACCACGATAGAGCGTGCCGAACCTGGATTTCGTTTTACCACATGGAAATGTGAAATCGTATGGGCCAAGAAGATATGAAAAAAAAGCGTTAATCCAAAATATTGCTCTCATAAAATCTCAGTCTAGATCGTGCTTCGTGCTCGGATCTGCAATCCATGCATTGACTCTTGGCTGCTGCATTCACAACAGTGCGTTCAAAGCGATAATGGACCCCAAGAAAACTAAATAATAATAATCGAAACACATGGTCATACAACAAACAACCCAGACCACTACAAGGTGCACATCTTCATATTCATTACCCTTCATTCTTGATAATCTTTTTGAAGCAGTCGCCGATCGAGCTGTATCCATCAGCTCCTCCGGTTCCGACCTGAAGCTGGAAGCGGGTCTTGACGACTATTTTTTTTTTTTAGTTCCCACAGGAATTCAAGATAATCAGCAAAACAAACGTATGGGGGTAGATAACGCCACCAACAAATTCGATTGCGAATAGAAAAAGGCACTTACCATCAAGAGGATACATGGTCAAGATTTCAGACACACCAGCCACAGCTCCGGCCAAGAACTGCCACTGGAAGGGCAGGGCTATATTGGAGGGTCGGGGAGGGTCAAGGAGGAATGTCAGATTCAGAACTCGACTTTGTGATTCCCATCAAGATCAAAACGACCTCAAATGATTTGTGTAAATCAAATTGATTTGATATATGATACGATCCTGCAGAGATCCAAAGTCATCCAGCGTGAGGCATCCTTCGCCCATGTTCGTCCGCAGTCGACAATGCTTTCAGGAGCAAATCCTTCTACAGTTCCTGTAGACCCAACTGCTGATCAAATATGATCAAATATCCCTGAAGATTTGGTTCCTCATTGCAAAACGCCCGTTCGTTGTCGAGATGCCAAACTGACAGATTTCTTACGCTTTTGTGCCTGTTTTTCCTTGATTGCGGACATTATGGATATGGGGGTATGTGGAAGTGGGAGGGTGGAGTGGGGAGGTGCTGGAGTGGATGTAAAGCGAGAGAAAGAAAGGAGAAAAAAAAAAAGAAAAGAAAGAAAAGCAAGAAGAGATAGAGCCAAATATGAAAATCGGATAATACTGCGATGATAGTAAAAAAAATGACTCCCTCTTTCCCCACATTATCCTCCAATCACAATCTGTCCTTTAAAGTACACCTCGTGTCAAAAGCCTGTACCTGGACCGAGCCTGGCTGCTGGTCCCCTCGTATACTTCCGTGTTACCCCGCAAGGAAAATAAAGTCTCCAGGCCTTCCACTTGCACATGTGCGCTTTCTGCAGAGCTGTCTGTGGCAATGCATTCCTCAGCAGAGTAGCTGCTGTGGTCAGTCTCATTTCCACTTTTCACTTTTGCAATCCATCCCAAAAGTTACCAAGGACCCATTTTTCGGGGAAAGTCGCTTCAGCTACTCACAGGTTGCACCCACCCTGCATGTTCATTTCCCCACGGTGCATTAGATCCACTTTTTTCATTTCAAAGTTGTCTTATCCTGGAGTTCATTTGTCTCTTTTTTTTTACTTGCAAGATCACGTCTGAGCTTGCAAATGTGGCATCAATTCCAAATACACAGACAGCCTTCGCACGTTCGCTTTATTTTATTTTATTTTTTGGACGCAAGGAGTGAACGCTACAAAGCACAATAGTCTTTCAGTCAAGCAGATAGATCCTTGACCCAATATCGCCAACGATCCAATCCATACCCTTGAGCAGATGTGCACCCGTCTTGGCACTGCAGGCGAGGATCGCCCAATGATGTGTCTGGATATCGTCGAGTGCCAATGCCTATTTTTATTTTATTTTTTGGAGAATGAATATGAATCACGCGTTGAGTCTTTGCCATCAAAAAAAAAAAAAAAAAAAAAAACCTCCTAGAAAGAAATCAGACCATGGTCAATGTTGGTGGCAAAAAAGCACGTAACACAACTTACCTCGCGAATTTGATCGTCGGTCAATGCGCCAGGAAGATCTTGCTTGTTTGCAAAGACCAACAACGAGGCACCCGACAAGCGCTAAGAGACCAAAACCATGAAAAAAAAAGAACGAACGAACGAACGAACGAACGAACGTAGGGGTTAAGGACTGTTGGTCAGATCAACTGCTTCTTACAAAGAAAGAGCCAATAGCACAAGGGACCATGAGTCGCTTCACTTACTTCCTCCTGGAGCAACTCATGCAGCTCCTTCTTGCAGTCGTCCAGTCGAAGTCTGTCTGCGGAATCAACGACCCAGACCAGCCCGTCTGTCTGCTCAAAGTAGTTGCGCCAGTAGGAGCGGATCGACTTTTGTCCACCAACGTCCCAAATGTTCATTTTGAACCTGTGAAGCAGCAAAGTGAATGTTAAAGTCAGCAATGTGGGGAAGAACGAGTGGCGTTAATTGGCTCCACATGGTGCGCGCTTGGGAAGATCAGTTGAAGTATCCAATTGGTCAATTGGCGTCAATTGACCACAGCTGTGCTTACCCTTTGTGTTCCAATGTCTTGATGTTGAAGCCCAGTGTGGGCGAGATCGTGTCGATGTCCTCGCCATTGATACGTTTGAGGATAGTGGTCTTGCCTGCATTGTCGAGTCCGAGCATAAGCAGCCGAATCTCCTTCTCCTTTTGGCGGTTCTTTTTAAGAATAGTCAGGAGACCCATCGTGCTTGCTTGTTGTAGGGGTGATACAGTTCCGTGAGAGGATTTTATTTTTATTTATTTTTTTTACAGAGAGGAGCGTATACGGGAATGAGGTTGAATGAGTTGGGGGTGCACCAAGTGCTGGATGGTGGAGATGATCTTTTCAAAAGGCGAGCGAGTGCAAGTGATGCAAGCGATGGGATGCACAGAACGTGGTGCCTTTTCTATATGAGCCGTGTGACTGTAAGCTCTCTGTGGAAATCCCTTCAAATCTGCCGCGCTTCGCCCCGAGGGAGATTTGCGCGGTTGCTCTCACTGGATCATGGACCTACATATTGTACGTCCATGTCAAATATCTATGGAGACACACCTTGTTTACTACGCGTTCAATCAAATCTGTGGCCCTGTAATGGTTCTCGAAAAAGTCGCAGTTGACCCTCTCTTCCCACGACTACAGGTCTGACATAAATGAACAAGGATAGTGGTGGTGCGACAAAATGCCTTTATTCTCTGAAGTATGATACAATACGTGGTGGTAGAAATGTTGCTTTCTCAAGATTGGATACGCATGTTTGGTTTGCTCTTACTACTGGTGCTGAATGGACTGGTAGTCATTGCTGTCTTGGTAGTATCCCGCATTAACGTCCTGTTGCTGGAAAAGCGTCTGCTCATCCAACTTGACATCCTCCTCCCCGTCCTTGTCCTTCCCACCCGTTGCAGCTTGCCGTTCGATCTTGGTGGTCTATAGTTTTAGCGAATGAAAAAAAGAGGGTTTAGTTAAGCTGTTGTCTTGATGATACATTTGCATGCATTACTGAGCATAGAAGGTTCATACCTCTCTGTACTTTGCCAAGTAGATCTTAAGCGCCTCTGCATAGTTTTCGAAACCGAGAGACTGCATTGCCCAAAGGATATCCTCACCATTGATCGTTTTGCGCTTCTCGAGCTGGCATCGATCGCTTGCTATTCCATAGGATGTATTTTTTTTTTTTTTTTTTTTTCACCAAGCACTGCGTTAGTCTAATTGGTCTCATTTCTTGCTTTGGCAAAACACTGCTATCGCCCATACCTTCACTTGTGATAAAGGAAATGAACTCTGAGACGCATTCCTGAACTGTCTCCTTGGCCTCCTTTGCGATTTTAGCATTGTCAGGTAGGGCCTTCTTCATGATACGGGCGACGTTCGCGATCGGCAAAAAGCGATCCTGCTCCTTGAAGTCGTCCAGCTCATCGCCCGACTGGTGTTGCTCTGACATGGCTGGTTTCCAGTTGTGGAGTTCCGCTTTTGTGTCGTCCCTGTGTTAGTTCCGGTAGTGGCGTTCTGCTCAAGTGCGGTTGAAGAAGAGAGAGGGAGGAGAGATGTTTCGTCTGTCCTGTTACAGCTACGAAGCGATGACCCACTTGACCCTCCCAACGGTTTCGGTCAGTCTTGGAGGTCAAGAGTCCACTTTACCCTTAATAAAAGGGAGTGACATCTGCTCCCGTCCACCCCTCATAAAATGTTTATTCGTTCGACTGTGCGCTGTTTCCGCTCCCTCTCCTTTCCGAACCCCTTTCTGCACACTCCTCAGAGTTGATCATTTAAACAGGGAAGACCCGATCACTTTAAACTCATGCCGTCGCGGAGACCTCAACCTCAACCCCAACCTCAACCGCACGCCGGTGTCAACCCACAGCAGCAACCGCAGACCATCGCCACCCTGACGCCCGCCGTCGTGCAGGCCGCTGCTCTGTCTCTGCAGCAGCAGCAGCAACAACAACAGCAGCAGCAGCAACAACAACAGCAGCAGCAGCAGCAACATGTTCAACAGCCGCAGGACCACCATACCGGCACGGCTTCCAACTCCAGCTCCGGCTCGAGCCCAAAACTCGAACCCGTTGCTTCAACCTCCTCTAAATCCACGGGCTCCCGCACACCCTCTGTCCATGTCGGCCGCAACGTCACCCTCACGAACGCCCACCGCAAACAGATCTGTGAGAAACGCCGCCAGAACCCGGATATGACCCTCAACGCCCTTGGCGACTGGGCCTTCCAAGAATTTGCTCTCCAACGCAAGCCCGCCATGGGCACTCTCTCCCGGATCCTCAAGGCCCAGAACCGATATAGCCATATGACAGATTCGGAACTGCAGAGTCAACGGCGACGGGCAGTTTTGTGTACAGAGCTCGATGATGCCCTCGTGGCATGGATCCATGAGAACCAGGAACGACACGTCCATATCTCATACAAGATGATTATTGAGAAGGCCAAGGAGTTGGCGGCGTATATCAAGACCATGCCAGGAAAGAGCGACGCGGAAATGCCGAGTTTCTCGAATGGTTGGGTATCTGGATTTACAAAGAGGCATATGTTTGTAGGGACGGCATTGAATGCTCCAGGAGTGACTCCAGCATCGTCTTCCCCAGCAGCGGCAGCGGCAGCAGCGGCAGCAGCGGTGTCGTCATCGTCGGCAATAGCAGGAGGGTCGTTAGTGTCCCTAGATTCGGCGGTTCCAGCTGACCTGCCATTCTCGACAAATGAGCAGCTTGTTCAGCGGGCCATTGAGGTTGGAATCGCACGGGCGAGGGAACTGGAATTGCAAGAAAGCATGGATATGGACTATGATATGATCGACAATGGTGTTGATGATTCCATGGTAACCGCATCGATGGAGGATATCGTATCAGACATGCAGACGGATCTGCATCACCAAGTCGTCCATGCCGTCGTCTCCTCTGCGTCAACTTCAACAGCACCAGCATCTGTACCTACGCATGCACCGGCATCGGCGCAAGCACCTGTGCCAGTACCGGTATCGGTTCCGGTGGTACTACCATCTGCAACACTGGAGCCACCAACGAGGAAACAACGGGGCAGGAAGCCTCGTACACCGCAACAGCATCAAGTTCATCCCGCGACACCAACTGTCATACAGGTATTTTATTGAGCAGTGCTTTTTTTGTCATCTCTACGTTCTCAGTCTTTGTCTTATCTAATATTTTCACATTTATTCTCATAACCTAGCAGCAACAGCAGCAACAACAACAACAACACCAAGTACTTCTACATGCAGCAACAACCACGAGCGGAACAAGCGCGGGAGATTCCATAGCTGTGGTTGCACCGCCAGTCATCACCACCACAACGACCACAACAGCATCTTCTTCTACCATGCGACCAACGCCTACATCAAGTGAAGCTCTGGCAGCGGTACGGATCGTCATCGACTCTTTGAACGTCAATATCCCAGCGGAGGTGGATCTGTTACGGCCGCTCTTTGATATGGAACGGAGGCTGCAGGACGAAATCCATGCAGCCGAGCGGCAGACGCCATTCAACTGGGTCAAGTGAACGAAAGCGCGGGCACGACAATATACTCAGCACTGCTTCTCTAGTTATATCCTTCTCGAATAAAATTGGATGAGTTTTTATTTTTTGTCACCCAGTCCGAGAAATAAAATAAAATAAAAAAAGACTCTTGTGAGATTCAGTGCACCGAAGAAGTGCCGATTGTGCATTTGAGTCCTCTCGATTTTCTCGCCCTATCTTCCCTCCCATATCATCAATTTTCGGCCTTCAAAAAAAAAAAGTCGAGGAGGGTGACCGCGACGCGCTCCCAAAATGATGACATCCAGACACCAGACTCTGTGTAGATATCGCGGTTACGAAAAAATAGCTCTGCAGTGGAGGCGGAGTGGGGATGGAGGAGGGGCGTCAGTAAGAAAGTGAAGACTCTGACGCCCTGCATGCCATATTTCTGGAAAAGGACTACGTGCGTGTCATAAAGGAACAAATCATAAGCTAAAAAAGCTGAAGATGATCGTAATTCACCTCGAGTCGGCAGGAGCTGTTTCGCTCCCCGCGGTCGCTCGCTTGCTTGTGGGTCAATAGACTTCAGAGTTTCGATCGAAGTGTCGCCAACACCGTTTGGATATCCTCGGCCTTGATCCGTATCTCGTGTATGCCATTGCTACTACAGCTGGCGCTCTTCTTGTTGGCTGTCCGTGTTGATGGAAGTGATGCCCTGAAGGCGCCCGCGCGCTGATTTGATGTTGTAGGCGCAGGCTGATACAGCTATAAGCGAAGCTGTAGTTCTTGCTGACATTGCTATCGATATCATGCTCGAATCTTGGAGCTGTCGTCTGCCGACCTGCCTTGACTCCACTGTAGTATCAGCGCAGGGCTTTCAAGTTAATGTTCATGTTAAAAGAGCCGATCCACAGTGCCACTAAGACATATTGGGGGAACGATGCTTACCTTGATGGAGTTCGAGCTCGAGCTGATTCCCCACTGCCTCTCGTGCGCTCCTCTTGTGCCCTCTCCTGGACCTCCACTTTCGTTCTTCTTTCCGAGTTTTTTTTCTTTTTTTTCTTTTTTCTTCTTTTTCTTTTCTTTTTCTTTTCTTTTTCTTTCTGATGTTTTTCGATATCGCTTTTGGACAGCTGCCATCCTCCACCCTCCCTCTCCTTTGCTAGAGCCCTCCAATGCGCACCGCCCGCACTCGTTTTGCTGTCCCTCCTCACCATTCTTCCCCATCGTCTATGACTTTACCCCATTCGCCCTCTCCCTCTTGTGCCCATGCACACTGGCCATCCCTCCGCAGAGGAGCCGACCTCGCGACCAGCAAACCCCTAGGGTTCGGGACTGTCTCCCCTCAGCCAAGAGAGGGTGATCTGCTGTGCGGTCACTGCCAGCACTGCCCCTGCCTCCTCCCTACCCGCTCCACCTCTACCTTGAACCCATGGCGTACTTACCTCTTTGCATGTGTCCAGCCTAGGACTAGGACCCTTGATCGACTGACGCGCTCTTTCTCTCCCGCTGCCCAGATGGGGAGCACTACTAGGCTTGATGTTGCCGAGACATCGCCGCTACCACGAATGGATCAGTTAAATAGTGCGTCAGTATATCGCTGTTTTCTGCATGTTGAACTCAACACACATACATCTCTTTATCCAAAAGGGCACGCGCAAACGTACCTTCGTCTTCCAGATGTCAGTAGCGGTTTGTCGACCATGGGTCTACCGGTGTGCTACCTCAAAGACGAAGCCATCTCTGTCACAGATCTGCCCCAGAGTCCCTTCCTAGGATCAGGACCGCTGGACATCCCCTTGACCATGATGTTTCCGCTCCGAGCCTCACAATCAGCTGGCCTATGAGTCGGCAAGTGTCCCTTCGCGCGACCATAGTCGAGTCCCCCCAGGACGATGAACCTGGAACAAGTCCAGGATCGGAGAAAACGGCGGGGACGCTGTCTCAGCATCAGGCCATGCATCCATCCGGGTGAGCAAGAGTGAGCATGAGCACGTCGACGATCTATAGGATCCCTGGACACAGCAAAGGGTAAGTATCTTGGTTTGACCCCAGAAACAAGGAGGATGGGCAGGAGAGGGCCGGCTAGGGTACAGCACTGGATGACCAGCACAGCAGGCACCCAATCCCAGCTGGGATCGACAGCCCCTCAGCTTCGAGGTCACTGGACCGCGAGAGGACTCTTGCGGGTGGTGACCAAGCGCACAAAGGCACTCGAAGAGGAGGATATTTTCGGATGGGGTAAGGGCAATCATTGACGACGGGAAGGGTGGTGGAAGGGTTGAGTGGGGTGGCGGAGGAGGGGAGAGGATGGAGCGCACTTAGCTTTTTCTCTTTTTCAAGCTTGATAGGTTCAAGTAGTCTGTTGGGACTTGCTGGGACTCGACGGGTAACAAAGGCCTTGGCGCGTTGAGCGCGTGCTGAACTGAGCCTGATTGGACTGAGCGGACGGTGCGTGGTTACTGCCGCGTCTCGCTCGAGGCAGAAGGAAGCGGAGGCTACAACGTATGCAGTTTCAAACAGTAGCAAGGGCAAGGCGACAGGTAAGAAGCGAGAAAACGATATAAACACCTATCATTCACAGGCATGACAGCGAATAATGATACCTTTGTGGACTCCTGGTTCCTTCTCCTTGATGAGTCCCTGTGTGCTGGGTCGCGCTTGCATGGAGGCCGCAGTAGTCGACCGGCACATGTGTTAGGGTTAGAGGACCAATCGCTCTCTGGTAGGGAAGGAAGGAAATGAAAAATATGGTCAGAATCAAGTGGCAAACATCCTCTGGCGCTTGAGAGTGGAGTACAATGCACCTGTGCTGTGAAAACTGAATTTCAGGACGTACCTTCCTGAGACTTGGCTGGCCTCTGGGATGATCCGCTGCAGCTGAATGGCTACTGCTGCTCTTGAATCCCTCGAATAACGGAGCAGAGACGCTGCTGGGCGAAGCAGAGAACAAAAAGGGGTCAGAAATCAAACAGCGGGCTCAGACACAGGCGCAGGCATTGCAGCCATGGGCGCAAAACGCAATTCAAGAAGCAGAATGAGTAATTCCATTCGCACAGTAACATACCTGAACGGCACTGCGATGCCATTTGTATCCTCAAGAGAAGGACGGACAGACAGATGAGAGGATTATCTGTGTGCTTCTGGTGGTCTTGGAGGGAGGAAAGTGGGGAGTGAAGGAAGGAAGAAAATGCCAGCGCAATTCGACGCGCAATAGAAAATAAAAAGAGACGCGTCACCGAGTCGCATACTTTCGGCAATTCATATGAGGTGCCCCAGGATTTGGTCGACTCCTAATCAAAATACTGAAGAGGCGGCTTTTCCGTAGCTATTGATGTATGTAAACAAGGCGAGGTTGTGTAGAGGCGCGTCGCCCGGTCGTCTGCACACCATGTTCAAAAATAGAGAGTACTTTTACGACCAAGTTATTTTTCATTAGCAGCAGCTCGTTTTTATTTCCTGTCCACTATAGAACCCTTTAGATTAACACCTGAGGATTGTAACCACGTACCTTTGAGGTCAATGCGACCATGAGATGCAGAGAACAAGGTCTTTGTGGTGTCAGTTTACATGGATGGAGCACGAAAAAGGGTTAACACGCGAGTAGATTCCTTAGGAGGAGACAGTGTGTTCCTCGGCTCTAGGCCGTGTAGATTCTAGTGGTAAACAGCGTTTCCTCTCAGTCTGAAGAGGACAAACTCTTCGGAGAGGACATATTATTCCTCCAAACGGTAGCCCATACACACACACACACACACACTTCTGCATCCTCATACGATGCGTACGTATACTTATATGTCTACGTACATGCGGCCATTCTCCACTCTTCTGTCTTTTAAAAGGGACAGCGTCTCAGTTGCATGAAGATGTGCCCGCAAGGAGAGCGATGCCATGCTTCTTGCCGAGAAGTGGTCTGTGCAGCCACATGCTGGAAATAACAGTCCTGCAACTTGTCTCAGCATGCGGGCACGTTTTAACAACAAACGCAAGAACACCTCGTCCCTCATCACTCTCTTTTCATCAACACTTGTTCCACTGCCCTCACAATGCCACCCAAGCACTCCCAAGAAGCTGCCCATGACCTTAGGCCGAGAAAGAGGGTTGATTCAAAATCGCTGTATGCCAGACTAAAGCCTTTCGTAGAATTCTTCAAAGACCCCCCTAACGTGGACGGCTTGACAAACTCTGTTCGTCCTCCTTGTAATGGTGAGTTCGGAAGAAACTTTGTTTCTGGAAAATCCGCTTCGAATCCGGAGCTAACGATAATTACCAACGATTTTTAGCCGCCAGTGCCTCGTTAGGCCCAGAAGCCTCAAGAGGTGGTGGCGAGGAGGCTCCGTACCATTTATTGCAGCTCGAGTTCAGTGGGTCTGACAGTTTATGTGAGGCAAACCGGCCAAGGGTTTTTCTAGAGACATTGTACCTCAGTGATCGCATTAGGCAGAGGATGCGGAACAACTTCGACAAAGTGAACCTGATGAAAGGAGGCAACACTTTCAAGGATATAGCATCCGAACTCGACCAAACAGAGCCAGAACTTCAGGGAGTTACGGGAGTTGCGCTGGCGTAATGTTTTAATCGCATTGTTACTATGCGGCGCGAGCTCGAGCAGGAGCTGGGTCGATTGACTAGTGACCTCTGGCAACCAACTAAGTTCTCGGATGTGGCTAATGAAATTGTCGCTCTCGTGGACGACATCCAGGAAGCAAAGGGCAGGAAGACAGCAGCGAAGGAGGGCAAGCAAGTGGAGGAAGTTTCTAGAGCGGCAAGGGCTACTCGAGCTTTATTCGCAACAACATCCCGCTCTTTTCTGCCATCACAGCCGTCAGCGTTATCAGCACCATCAGCCTCTACATCCTCAGCGCCGTCCTCCATGCACTTGGCGCCATCTTCCTCGTCGTCTTCACCGCCATCCTCTTCCATGGGTCCTACTACACTGGCAACGGCATCGTTACTATCTTCGGACTCGTTTGAACCCATCACCTCAACCGCTACCTCACCATTGGCCTCTACAGATATACTTGTGGCTCCTCTGGCCACCACTAGGTCGTCGACCACATTACATTCAAATCGCGGGTCAAATGCTGTCTCGAATGTAACCCGCTTTTTATCGCTCAGCTCAGCAACAGAGTGAGAGGACTCGCCCTACTCGCAGCAACCCCGGCAAGGCATTAAGAAGACGCCTTATGCATATCGTAGAGTGCAAAGATTGTTAAAGTCTGTTATTGTGAAGCAGGATGAGGAGCTGACGGCATTGAAGAACACAGTAGACAGCATCAGCCAAAGGACTGACAGCAACAAAAGCGAATTACAAGAGATGCGGAAATATGTCGACACACAGCAAACGATGATCTTGGGGCTTAGGAGTGTAACTGAGCGACTGTCAATACAAACGGCGCCTGACACATCAAGGAGTGGAGCTGCTGGCAACATAGGATTTGGTACTTACCAATACCCCTGAACCCCTGACATATATAATATGTCTCTAAGGGCAGAAAACATTGCTCCGAACCCTCAACAACTGATGATGGGAATGTACAGTCAGCCGATGTAGTTCTAACAAATAAAATATCTGTCAGAGAATTGACCCGTCGCGTCTCCCTTTTATTTAAATTTCCATATTACTTTTTTTTTTCCTTGAACGATATCACATTATGAGGATCCCAAATTGGTCCCCAGAGTAGCTGTGGGCTCTGGTTTTCTCGTAATATCTTTACTCACAATCATCATCGCTCTTGTCGCCGAGATCTATGCTATCATAATCTTCAGTCTGGCCATCAAATGCTAGAATACCGTCATCGGCATCCAGGTCCTCAATATCGTCCATGTGGTCTTCATCAAACACACCAGAACAATCAGGCTCTGTCATGACAATCCTCTCATCTTTCCAGACATCGCCCGGCGTAATATAATCCTCAATGATGGGTGGCTGTATTCGATAGAAGCTCCTCGTAGGTGTATATCTCCCAAGATGCACATGCAGATTCGCAAGAATGGTTGAAACAAGATAAAGCATCCCGACACGCATCAGCCCAACCCTCAATCGTTGAAGGTAGTTACAAAACTGCCAATTGTTGGACATAGCCAATCGATTTTCAGTGCGGAAGGTACCAGGCAGGCGAAGATAGCGCGCCAGGAGATCGAGACCTCGCTAATGAAATCGATAGTAGAGGAACGGGTTGACTGTGCTCTAGTTCTATGGGCTCTGTACTGGGACTTGCAGCGGGATTGCATCAAGTAAGTTGTGCACGACCTCAAAGAAACCGATTTGGGCGCCCTGGAGCGCTTGCGTCAGCCCGTCCATGTTATGAAATGGTTTACGCGTTTTATTATTTATTTACTTTTTGCTTTTTGCCGAATCGATCCCCATGAGATGGTCGTGTAAAAGAGTTATACAAAAGAATAGGGGAATGCGCCTCATTTTTGTCAGTCGAAGGGTATGGGCTTAAAAAATGAAAATGTGTTGTTTAAATGGGTGCCATTTTCGAAGCCTTGATACTGTCAGGCATTCTCATCTGATAGTCACCGTTCTGTGTGATGTAACGAACCCATGGAAGGGCTGCATATCCTGAGCGTTCCTGGATCTTGAGGTACCGGACCTGAATGCCCGATGTTGTGAAGTAGGGGATCTCAAACTTGATGGACATGGGTGGTCGCTTGTCAGCATCCTCCACTAAGGAAACAGAAATGGAATGCGCAAGGATATGTTTAGTCAAGTAGTGAACAAGGTCTGCCTTATTGCCAGATCCCCTGCGACAAAATTCAATCAAACATACAGTTCTTGACGGATGGAAGTCCAAAGTGTGCTCTCATCGAAAACTCCTTGCCTCCCTGGAACTGTTTGATCTTCCAGATAACACAGGCCTTTTCAGGAACATATTGTACTGAGCCGATCCCGCTCTATCAGAAAGGAAGGGACAAAGGAAGAATGTATGAGTTCCATTGATCAGGCTTGTAGTTGCCCTTCGAAAAATCCAATTCCAATGCATCGTATCATACTCTGAATTTTGGCGTGTCAGCATCCTCGGGGACAGGGATGTGGATCTCGACATTATTGGCTGATGAGCGACGCTTAAACTGAGCCTTAGCCTAATACCATAAAGAAGGGGAAAACTGGAGGTCAGCCTACTTTTGCTGCATGTTTGCAATACGAGACTCAAAAAAAACTCATTGCTGCCGACAAAAAGACATCAAACGTACGCGGATAAGATATTCGACTCTGCTTCCTGTATAGTTCTCAACCAAGGCCTCGACCCAGATCAATGGCTTGACCTGGGTGTTAAGGCGGTAGGTCATCAAGTCGAATTCGCCATCTGGAGGGATAAACGAAATCGTCCTGTCGTTCTCGAACTTTGAAAGGCGTACGCACTGATGGAACTTTACATCTTCCATTTCGATCGACTTGCCCTTCGTAGGTGCTATAAAAACATATGATATAGAAATAAAAAAGCAACGTGTCAATAAAGTCGTGATTCCTTGACAAGGATAAACCCAAGAACAAAGGAGGCCCCAACCGACTTACCACGTCCAGTGCTCTCGAACATGACCTTGTCGTTCAATCCCAGTCTCAGCTCTGGCATGCCGGACAAAAAGACCTTCATCTTGACGGCGCCCAAGATCTCGCTTCGCAGCACATTTCCGTTGGCATTGACCAACAGATTGACAGATTCGACCACGTCCAAAAAGACCTCGTTCTTGCGATATCGAATACCCTCTGAACGCCATGAGACCGCATTGGTGACTGCCATCGGTGGCCTGACCTGGACCTCCAGCTTGTAGGCGTCCTGAGTGATGTATTCCTGCAGAATCTTGGACTCTGTCGTCTGTGGGTATCCGAAATCCATCATCTCGTCCAGCAACTCATAGATGATCACAAAGTTGTCCCGGATCGACTCCTCCTCGAGCTCTTTGAAGTACTCTGTCAGGACCTCAGCGATCGTGTGCAGGAAGAGCATCACAGTTGTTGCATTTGAGTTTTTGCGGGTGATGGCCAGCACTGCAAGAATATCAGAAGATGAAAGACAAGGACGAGGATCCCATTTTAGTTCATAGCATCTCCAAGGCTCCAAGCTGTGCTAATGGCGTCCATCCTGTGCTCCATATCCCTTGGAGTCGCCTTCATCACCCTTCAAGCGACCGGAACGTTGCATTTATCGATGCGAGTTGTGCTCCTGAAAAGAAAAAGAATGTGCGTTCGAGACGACTTACAGAACAGGTTATTGTGTCGGATATAAAGATAATTGATGCCGTCATCGGTAAAGCATGGTGCTGGTGCCTGGCTGTCCTCCTCGGCCTCGAGAACGAGTGGCAAGAACTTCTCGACTGCAGACATGGGGATGTCGCCACGATAGTTGCGCGAGATCAGAACCTTGCCCTTGAGATCAAGGATGAAGATGGCGGACACTGCTGAGGCCATGGTGATGGTGCTTGTGCAGTTGCTGAGAGTGCTCTATAGTTCGATTTGGACAGCTCGATGCGATGCTGATGTTGATGGCTATCCGTGTGAGTGTTTCGTTTGGCGGTGAAGATGATGAAGGGTGAGATGATGAGTTCCTTTTAAAGCTCTCGCGCCCAAGAACAAAGTCAGGTGCAGATGTGACGTGGTCCTACTGGGCTGGACGCGAGAGCCCTCAGACGCGATTTTGACGCGAAACACGACTCTGACCTGATAGCATTGACGCTTTTCATTATAGAAGACATTTTGCTGCCTCGTTGTCATATTCAGAAGAGACCTTGACCGTACACGTCCTCTGCTGTTTTCGCAAGGCAACTTGAGGGTTTACTTTTTTTTTTGTTTTTTTTTATTTCTGGTAGAGCTGCTGTGAGAGTACTCTCTGTTGGGGCTGATCACTGCCAAGTCGCACTGTCTGCCTAAGCTGGGGCGTCCAGATGTCCACTTACCCACTACATCGTCGCACCGCCATGCTAATACCAGGGGCGATACCACCAAGGACGGTACCAAAAGGGGCGGCGCCAAGGAGGGAACATGCCCCACTTCTCGTGTTCCTCCGCATCCATGTCCACATCCATATCCACATACCTGGTGGATCCCTTCAGATTCAGCGTGCCAACGTCGGCATCCACGTTTCTCAAGTCTTTCGCCTTTTCGGCCTTGGAGGTCTGATACACGAGCTCCTTTCCGGTTGACGAGACAAGGACGGGTGAGACGTAACCATGGTCGGGCTGGTTCTCCACGCCGTAGTGGACGACCTGGCTGGGCATCATGCCAGTACCCTGGTTGAGGTTTCCGTAGTTGATGGGCGCAGTCTTGGTGTTGAGGGTTGAGGAAAAGACAGAGGGGGTTGAAAGACCGCCAATCATCTGCTTGTCGATCGGGGACTTTTCGAGCTCGATCTTGGGGCTGGAACCAAGGTCGACAAGGGGGGCGGCCGAAGCGGTGGCGGCGAGAGCAGCGCCGAGGGCAATGGTGTACTTCATGATGGCGAAGTGTGTTTTCGAGTGATTGGTGTTGCTGAAGTTACTGGTTGCAGTGGATGAATAGGTGAATCGCAAGGTGAGGAGAAGACGTTTTCGACGATGGGGCCAGCTGGATTTATAGTAAATGGAGGGTGTTCATATTGTGGGAAGCATCAATGCTTGAACGCGTTTGAACGATATTTATTAAACTAGCTCCTCCTCGTTTGACGCCATACACCATCGTTACCCTGTGAGAAGCGAAGACCTGTTGAGCTTCTGATATTGCTGTGTCCTTGCCAACAAAAGAAGTCGATCAGCCAGTAGCCGGGTCTCTTATGGGATTACCAAGGAGCGAGTTTTCAGTCCTTCACTTCTATCTCTCGGATCAGCCTGAGCGGGTTAAGCGAGGACCCGATCAGTGTCTGCATCTCTAGTTGATCCACAATACTTCCGTCGCGTCCATTGATCACTGACACTTCCTCGCACTAATCTGCCTCTCATCAAATCAAATGCCGCGCGAGATCGCAGTGCCTAAAGAACGCGTCCCTGACGCGTCTTCTATATTATATACTTTTTCTTCTTCTGTACGATAATCTCTGTCGCTTCTCTTTGCCTTCCACTCACTTTTCAGCTTTCTAAAAAATGCGCCTCATCATCGCGTTGTCCGTCGCCATTCACTTTGCGGCCTGCACCGCTCTTCCCATGGTCGAACGCGCTCCTGTTCAAATCTACGCGCCCAGCCCAGCCTTTCAAGTCAACCCCCCCCTCAGTACCATGCCGACGCCATCTCTTGCCCTGCTACATAACTCCCTGGTCCGATCACCGGCGCCAACACCGCAACACGAGCCGCAACCACAAAAATCCACCCGCCCTGATTACGTGCCTCAATCAGAATCCCAGTCTATATCGAGCTCTGTTCGTTCCGAAGTCCCACCCGAGAACTTGCACATAGGCGAGAAGCAACTCGAGGACCTCCTCAGCCTTGCGCTGGATGCTCAATTCTATCTGGAGGTCATGTCGGACAAGGCGGATGCGAAAGGTCATCAGGAGTCCCTGGGCACCATCCCGGTGCATCTGAGGGTCAAGGAGTTGACAATCGGCGGCGTGTCGGTTCCAAGCATCCATGCTGAGAGTCTTAATCGCGTGGTGGGGCCGATCAACTTTGGGAATGTTCGAATTTGAACAAACGGAATGCAGCACAGATAGAGGGGAGGCAAGAGTTGGTATTGGAGCTTGCTCTGTCGTCAGTTAGGATCGACGCGGATAGGGCTAACATTGCTGCTTTATACTGAGCGATTAAAAGAAAGAAAGAAAAATGTATCATGTAAGATGTGCACTGGATTGACTTTTTTCACAAAGTTTTTTTTTTTTTTTTTTTGAAGAATGGTTTGAAGTAAGCATCTCTCTTCAGTAAACTATAACATGGGTAAAGGGTCTACTTTTTCAAACAAGTTTGAAGCAGGAAAGATCCGACTGAGATTGCATTGCAGAGGGGGGCAACGAAAAGCCGAGTGCTTTTCCTCGGTGATTGTGATTGTGGTGGTTAGGGTTATCGACTTGGAACAATGATGTCGTGAACTAAACACAATGGATCAGAGGACACAAGTACGATTTGATAGAGACTCGGTAGCATGGAACACCACTCTCACTTGCATTTAAAAAATTGGTCCGCACATCGTCTAGATCGATGGTACCCTTCATTGAACCACAGCAACTCGTCCAACGCCAGTTCGCAATAAACCGCTTTGATATTAGCCCTTGATACTACTGGAAAATAATGTCGCTAATGGTACATATAGAAATAAAAAAAAGGTATACGGATATACCACTGCGCTTCTAAACGTCAAAGATCCAGTTCTTCAGCTCCGTGATCCCCTGTCTCATCGCCTCACTCTCTGGCTTATGCTGGCCCCACTTGTCGATATTGTCCGTCGAATACTGCGCAAACGCGCTCGAGTCCTGTACCACGTTCCTGTTCAACATTGTCTCGCATTGCTCAAACCCACACGCCTTACCCTCCTTCACATAGTCCAGGTACTGTCCGAACGTCTTTTGAGTCTTCGTCATCGTCTCGCTCGCACTGTTCTTCAGGTTCTCCTGCTTCTCACGCTCGAGATCCGCCTGTCGTGCCTGCATAAACTTGATTACACGTGTCACATCCACATATCGTGGCATCGCCTTCCAGAATTCCGAGAGAAACGACCATACGTCCTCACCGTACTTCTGAATCAGCGAGACCGGCAATTCGGCGCCGATCAAGATCTCCAGCTCCTCTGCTGCCAATGCTTGGGCCTCAGGATGGCCCCTGACATAGGCCCGGTTACGGTCCGCCAATCGGCCCAGCTCTCTATTCGACATATTTTTCTTCTCTTCGTCCGATTTGACCATCGATGCTGGGATACCTAGAATCAGCCTGTTGTTCTCGATCTGCTTCTTTCCTGCGGCGAAATCTTTATAGAACGGACACTGCGCCTTAGTCGCTTCATCTTTGTAATCCGAGGGTCCACAGGCTGTGGAGATGAACCGCTGTCCGATCGCCGTTGCCGTGTACTTGAACCAATTCTCCCAATACCGAGACGAATCGACACTGATCAAGGTCGGTACTGGTTCGGTCGTGGGCATGAAGACCGATGTGCCGATCGCGTTTCCGTGCGGCGAGATCAGGACCTGAACGTCTCGTAGCAGGTAGGCCGTCTCGGCGAGTCCACATCCGTGATCGAAACTCATCCATTTGACTCGGAATCCAGCTTCGACGAGACTGTTGATGAGCTCCTGGTCATTGATCAGCCTTCTTGACTTCTCGCGCTGAATGATCCCGACCACCAGCTTTCGCTTGCTCCCCCCGTTCTCTTCAGCTTCCGTGTACCGATTCTGATAGTCCTGCTCCGGATCTGAAACGTCCGGAAACCGCTGTCCGACTCGGTTCTTCTTCTCTTCCGGCTCTACTCCATGACCTGGGCCGGCCTCTTCAAAATTGTAATACCTCGCCAGTTCCAAGCACTTAATTGGTGTCCCATCGTCCTTCTTCTTCGCTTTTCTCAGGACCTCATCAATGGCTTCTCGACGAATCGTCTGCTTCATGATGCTCAGGTGCCTTTCCCATATCTGTGGTGTCTGCCAATAATACTCTGCGATTTCGTCCCTGAAGGATTGGTAGATCTCCGCAGGGATGCTCTTTTCACAGTAATCCAACGCGCATTGAGATCCCAAGCCGATGACGGCCCTCCGGAAACACACGGGTGCATCAGACGGGGGTAAGGTCTGGAACGAGGTCGCGAGTTCATATTGGGAGAGGACAAGTTCTTGACCGGTTTGGAAGAAGTGGTCCATCTCCCAAGTGCCTTGACGGTCAATCGGATCCCAGGAGAAGCGGGCGGCACGGAAGGTCCAGGAATTCTTTGTGCCACCAAATCGCCTCATCGTACTACTCCAGAGCGTAAAATATGAGGCCATTGATGAGAAAAGGGATACAAAAAACAAGAAGGCATCGACAATGTTTAAAACGACAGTGCGTTCACAAAAATAGAGGGGGAAAAAAGTACCTGTACAGAGGCATCATGCCGTTATAAAGCCAATGTGAGAAATGGAAAGGCGAGTATAATCCATGGACAAACAGGGTATCGTTGACATAGTGCGCCTTCATGGTCTTGCTCCAGATCCGCTCCACTCTCGGCTGCCAATAGACATCGGACTGCGTGTCGGACGATAGCAGGTTGACCTTTGGCATATTCTCCAGACGGTATCCCCCGCTTCCTCGAATAAAGGCACCTGCAATGGCATCATGAAGAAGACAACGTTGTTTCAGTTTACGATAACACACAATGGATCGCACACTTCCATTTGCACATCGGAAACCGAGGCCTTTACCTTTACGATCCACGCATAGGTTCTCGACAACGCACTGTCGAGTGCGTCGGTTCGACTGCGTATCCTTCTCCTCCTCCGAGAGATGATCATCTGTACAGGTCCATGTTGCCTCTGGGATCTCGACTAGTCTTGCAACGGTCTTTCCTCGATACTGATGGTTCTCTCTCGTAATCGGCCGCCTTGAACTATCGAATCCATAGAACCCCCCATAGGACCCAAGGTCGAGGACGACGCTCGACTGCTGGAAGGTGAGGAACAGAAAGATGATGATTGAGAACAGGAGCACGAGAAGAAGGTGGCGGCGGCTTTTCCTGGAGCTTATGATATTGTGTGCCATGATTTTGAAAGACGAGGGCAACGAAGCCATTGAGCCCTTCATTGGCTCTATAGGGTGTTGTTGTGTTTGTAGTGGAGGGAGAGGGCAAAGTTCTAGGGAGGCGGTAGAAGAGGTGGTAGAAGAGGAGGAGGAGGAGGAGAAGTTGCTGAGGTTGATGGAGGCGGTGCGATCCAGATGAAGGAGGGGCCTGATGGGCAGGGATGAGTATTTCCCAGTCCAAGAGTCGACAGTGTGCGGGGGAATGTCCTTCGATAGATTTTTTGTGGACTGCGAAGGTGTCGAGCCACCACTCTTTTGGAAGAAATCAACGGTACGGGGGGGGAATCTTACCAGCAAAGAGCTACTCAAAAAGCAGGTGGGGCCGGTGCCTTCCTTTCCTTCCATCCATTCCTTCCCTTCCTTCCCTTCCTTCTCTCCCTTCCCTTCCTTCCCTTTCTGTCCCTCTTGTCCCTTCCATCCCTCCCTTTCGCTCCTACAACTGAGGCGCAGGGCCGTTTCTTCATGAAAAGGCAACGTGAATAAAAATCACGTTTCCTCGACAAACAACAGCCGTGTTATCGAGCGTCCGTTGCCGTTAGGGTTCAGCTTCAAGAGCATGGTGCTGCTTACGGGTCTCTTTCGAGTAGACTAATAGCATTTTGAGTTCAGGTGCAGACCACAGCCGGGGCATCAAACTAAAAAAAAAAAAACATATGTTAGAGTCCTCACCAGTACTCTATCTTTCCCGAAAAGTGTGAACCTTTTTGAAATTGAGTTGCGGTCGTTCTACTCTTCGCGTCTACGCTTCCTGAGGCTATCCTCGGCCAGACAGATCTCAACACCATCATCGTCGATGGCTTCGTAGCCGCGCGTCTCCTCTTCTGAGCGAATTATTTAGAAACTGGGTCTTGGTGGGCGTAGTCTTTGTAGGCGTGACGACTGGCTCCTCGGGAACATGGGGTCCAGCAGGGGTAGACACGTCTTCCCGTCGAGACATAGGTTAGGCGTCTTAGAATCAGTCTAGGAAATGAGGGGGAGATGATGGTGGTGGATGAGGCTGTTGCGCAGGCGAAAGGCTTGTCTTCAGTCCATTCTGGAAAAGATGGATGTGCACGTTGATTATCATAGACTTGTCAACTGTACATTAGACTAGTAGCATTTTGTGTTCAGGTATAGGCCAGCCGGGGCACCTAACTAAAAAAAAAAACAAGACGGACATTGAATGCTGTACCTCTATTCGCCCTCGTCTATGCTGTCGGGATCGATCCAATCTGCCTGCTGTGCTGTACAACACGGTCGGCTGTAGGCTTTTTCCCGTTTCGCGAAGAATTCCAGGTATTCGTCGGTTATACTAAGTCTTGGAATAGTCTTTGCAAAAGTGGTTGCAACAATGTAATGGGTTCACACCTGCATACCCCATAGATATGCTGTACGTAAATACTCTATGCAATACGTGTTCAGAATGGCTGAAATTAGGCGCCTCGACATCTGTCAAGTCCTACGATGGTAGCCCCTTGGCGCCCACTTGATTCTGATGGACATGCAGTTGCAGCATGCATTAGTCGCCCTCATCTCTTAAAAAACTGCTTCCCACCCAAAAACCAATTTACACAAAAAAGTACAAGCGAGAAACAGGTTTGCTGCCTACAGGAAAAAAGGTAGGTTGCCGCTCTCCAGTGTTTAAACCACGTTTTATAAGTACTATAACTCCATTACAGGACGCCTGTGGACCGCCCGTGAGAATCTAGAATCGAACAGACCAGCAGTTCCTGGTCCATTCACTGAGAGTCAGCCTACATGTGCAGCACTATTGCTTGTTCGCGCACAAATGGATGCACTTGAGCCGTTACTTAGCACCGAAAAGCTCATGATGTACCTGGTACCTAGTGCCGTTTCGACCGCCTGCCCTGTATTTTCTACTGGACTGAAGCTGTCAACCTGCCCAAGCTAGGACACTGTCCAAATCGGAATAGAACTTATTCTGGGACACTCGCTTCAGTTCGCGGTTCCTCTATGGCTCGGGTCTCTACAGCCGCATAGACTATACTCTGTACAGTACATACTCGGGTTGCTATATAACCCTTGGTAGTCCACCTCAAGTATGGGAATATACTGGGCTATGGGCGCGTATATATGCAGCCAATCAGAGGACATATCCTACACGCGTATAGCACAAAGAGCTCTCGATGTCATGTTCATATTCACAAGACTACATGTCCTATCTTTCCTGTGCACAGAAATATGCACATTCATGTGCACCCGCAACCCTCTTGCGGCGAAAAGATACTCTGCAAGGCGCGCTAATCTTCGGTTTTTGGATACGGTCCGTTGTCCCCATCCAGGTCCGTTGTCCCCATCCAAGCTGAGTGGCAACTCTCAGGTTGTTGGTTATCGATGGATCTGGGACAACGAAACAAGGCAACACTTTATAGAATGTTTCTTCATCTTTTTTTCCAATACACTCTTCATTTTATATGCCTTGACCTTATCCTAGGCACTTGCCCAATGCATGTGTCGCGAACGTTTATCCAAGCGCGTACCTTTTTTTTTGGTGGGTATATAAGGCACTACATTCTGCTACATTTTTAACCACCACCGCCTCCTCATCCACACAAGTCCAAGTAAGTCCCTAAACCCCTCTCACTCTTAAAACCTGCAACAACCGCCTACAGATGTATTAAACCGATGCGATTTTCACTTCGTTGACTGAGAAGTGCCCTACCTTGCAGGTTATCGATCACGGCGACTGGGTTGAGACTCTATGCGAGCCTGAGGAGCACGCCCTTCAGGCCCGCGCCACGCTGGATCATTACTTTTCCTACAGGAAAGACGACGCCTACGTCTCTGCTGTCGAGTCCCGATATGGAACCGCCCACACCATTGTCGTCAGGGGCAGCAGCTGGAACAACGTTGTGAACCAGCCCAAGCTCTGCACCTCGGACGGACACTTCTGCTTCGATATCGCAGAGAATGTTTGTTATTACTACTTTTCTAATTCAGTGCATCAGGCAAGCTGCTTCGAGTGGAGCGGAGTTGACTTCTGGGCCTAAAGTCGATGAGGACGATGACTGGATGCAGGTCTTAGAGAGTACTTGGGCATTCGCAAATGAGGACTGAAGAGAAATAGTACCTATGTATTTGAGTAGAATGCAGCTCTTTAATAAATGTATCTAAAAGGCAACTCGGCAAAGAAGAGACACAGAATGGGGGACAAGGAGGTTTGTTGAGAAATAAAGGACAGCGCCACAGCATGCATTTTTGTTTCCATTATCTTTATTTTTTACACAAATATACCGCATCTCTTCAAAAATGAGTAGGATTCCCTTACGTGGCACAACCCCGTTGCGCATCTGATTATAGGATAGGGTCGATCTGAGGATAGGAATGACGAGCTTCCATCCTTGTCTCGGATGTTCAACTGCAGATTCATCGCTTTGCCTACATCTGAAGGTCAATTTTGACGTCCCAGCCGTGGGTGGTTATGTATAAGGGCTGTAACTAGATATTTAAAGTTGGAACCGGGATAGGACGAGCTGTGAGGCGCAATTTTGGACTATGGGCATTGCTTTGAATTTCTTTCGCCGCTATTACCTGGTACGTAAACTATGATTATCCGTTCATGAGCTATATAGACCATTGAATAATAACAGAGGCCGAACTAAAGCGAGGAAGGAGTTAGGCGGAATGCGCGTTTTAGTGGAAGTGTGAAAGTGAAGATTTTTTTATTTTTATTCTTTTTTACATTGCGCGGAAGGAACCTGAACTTGAACCTGGATGTTCTCCACACCATTCGCTGTCCTTGGTTGTCTTGTCATGCATGCACCCTTCGTGTCCACTGCGGTTCTTGCTTCCTTCACCTCGTTCTGCTCCTCGCCCCTTATCTCGACCCCTCCCCATCAACCCTTCTTTTCCGCACCATCTTCTGCTCCCCACCACATTCTCCGCAGATTCTCTCGTCCGTTCCCTCGCGCCTCGGTACATGACATGTATGTGTGAAGCGTGAATCCTGATTCGCCCTAGAAGCAAGTACAGTAGTCTTTTATTTATTTATTTTTGGCAGTGGGTGGATGTAGGGAAAGATAAAGAAAAAGGAAGTTTATGAGGCGTTGAAAAATGAGCTCAACTGCTCAACTGTACGCTATGCTAGATTATTGCGCACTAAACCTTATGCATAGCGTTGATGGTGCTGTTGTTGTTTTCTTCCTCTTCTTCTTCTTCTTACTTGCGTGAGCCGCCTGGTGGCGTTGAAGGGTCAATGAAGCTTCAGCATGTCCACGCGAATGCAGCATGGTAGTCTGCGCACAATGGTGCTACAGCAGGCTTTCCCTCGATTGTACCAAAAAGACGTTTACTGAGCAGAGGGATGTATTCCATGGGACAAATGCTTTTAAATACCAAGGCCGCAGCCCGTCTACTCAATAGACGTTTCTATATTGCAGCTCGTTGCCCAATCAGTCTGCTCCATGCAATACACAAACCACTTTTGGGTCAAAAAATGTGCGGGACTGCAAAAAGGGTTTTCTACTCTTGATTGGAGTGCACACTGCAGTTCTCGGGAAACTGCTTAAGCGACCATCTTTTGTGGCGCTCTCCATCTTTCTCTCCTACTCCTCCTCACTCCCGCAACTTTGATACCCCTCCTCACCATCCTCACTTCCTCAGCATGTCTTTCAAGCGTCTCCTCCCCTTCTTTGGACTCTTGTTCCTCGAATTCGTAATCCTTACTGTCTATCACCGTCCAGATGTCCGAAGGATTATGTCGAAAGAAGAGATCGTGCCAAAGGAAGCGATCGTACCAAAGGAAGCGATCGTACCAAAGGAAGCGATCGTACCAAAGGAAGCGATCGTACCAAAGGAAGCGATCGTACCAAAGGAAGAACCCTTCCAACATGACCGCACTCCATGCAAACGAGACCAGGACGGCGACACTCCCCTAACTGCCAGCATAAAAGACGGTAACGACTGCCTCATTTACCGACCCGACGCCAAGGTGGCCCTAATCACCTCCTATTTCCGGACAAACGAACAAGGGCGCCAAAGAGAGCTCGATGAATCTTTAGCCAGTATCTCCTCCAACCCAATTTTTGACCAAGTTCACGTCATGGTCGAAAAGAAACACCAGCCCTTACCGTCCTTTGCTGAGCTGGCACCCCACGTACGACAATCCGTGATCCCAAAACGACCATTCATGGGCGACTTTATCCAGTATGCATGCGACCACCTCATGGACTATCGGGTCATGTTCTCAAACGCCGATATCCTCTTTGACTCCTCGATCGGCTATTTCACCATGATGTCCGACAAGGTCTTCGATTCGACCTTTTATGCGATCACACGCTGGTATAAGCATGAGACTGAGGGCATGACACCGAACCCGTTTCAATGGGGTGGAAGCTACGATACCTTTGTGTTCAAGCCCAGGAGCATCTGTACGAACCAAACGGCGCTCCAGGACTTGGTCTCGAATCTGGATTTTCACCTGGGCGTCATGGGGATGGAGAACAGGCTCCTGTGGGAGGTTAGGCGACAGTACCCGGAGATGAGGCTGATCAATCCTTTATGGCAGGTCAAGACCGTCCATAACCACGCTAGTCCTGAGCGATCGGCAGAGTGGGCGAAGAGAGTCGATTCTGGAGGAAAGAGTATCGTTATTTCTTGGGAATACATGGTTTGATAACCTCCTATCCCCCCATCTCCACCCATCCTTCCTACCTTAACCTCTCACTATGTTAGACTATTTACTTCCTCTTATATACAATAATACTGCACGCATATAACAATGCATCGAAAGCATCTGGGAAGGTTCTGGGTTCTGTTCTGAAAGTACGCAGGCTTCAGAGACACCTGAAATTAAGTTCACACGCACCTGGTAGGTAGTCCATCTTCGGTACCTCCCGGCACCTCCCTCCCCCCCCCCCCCCCTGGACGGGTGATATATAGTTCCGCTGAACAGACGTCCTGAGCCCCCAATACTAGTCTAAGTTACTCCAGGTCCCCCTGAGTTCCCAAGATTGTAATCTCCAGAGGAGGGGGACAAAGATATGGGTAACTGTGTTCAGGTTCTTTCCCCTCCACAAAAAAAATATATATATATGTGTCTGCTGGGCCTGTCCCATTGCTCAGTCTTCTGATGCATGCACCAAGCGTCTGTTGATTTATTGATACATCGACAGCAGATGTCTCCGACCAAACATGCATGCGTGCGTGCGTGCCTCGATGGAAAACAGATATGTGATGTTAGGGTATGCATCTATGCCATTGCACAGCGGAGCCTCCTGCAACTGTCCACGTTCCCAATGAGTGGATTATTGTCATAACTATTACTACTACCATTAATATTACTACCGTGATGAATATCTCAAATAGAGCGAGAAGGGAGGGAGGACACATATAAGGAAGAGCTATTTACTAACAATAGCGACCAGTGGCTCCAGATCAGACGCAACAGCCCCATCTCCACCTCCTCCGCGTCCTCCTATCGTCGCCTGTCCTCCATCATGCTGATGACCATGAGAACTGACTCTGTGCGCAACACTCCTCCAAAGCCTACTGAATTTGCCGCCCGAAACCAAATCCGTGGACTTTGTCCTAAAAGATCTCTCCGCACCCGTCGACATCGTCCTCGGGACCATGCCTGCAGTCGCAGGCGTCTGTGATGAGGATGAGGATGAAGAAGGAGGTGTAGAGGGCGAGGGAGTGCTCAGGTTGCGGTGATGTGTCTGTGCACTCGGCCGGGGCTGTGCAGGTCGTGCGGGGAGTGAGGATGGCGGGACTCGTGAGACGGGCATGGACGTGGATCTGCCAGATGTGCCGAGATCACCTTCTATAGATGGACGGATTAACATGGGCACCGATACACCCCCCGCCTCGCCGCCCGACCTCATCATCGTCGCCCTCGTCGAAATCTTAGCGCTCGGCGGCTCTCCCCCCACCTTCGTTCCCACCTTTCCCTCTATATCCTCATCCACCGCCGTCCTCGCCGTTGAGGGATCCTTCCACTGGTCCAGTTCCTTGAACGAGACCGTCTTCGTACACTTGGCACTCTGACTTTTCTTCAACGGGAACTCTGGGGTCTGTCGAAACTGTCGTGACTGCCGTTGCTGCTGCTGTTGTGGTACAGATCCTCGTCTCGTCTTGTCCGCTCCTGCGGCACCGGCACCGGGGCCACGATGCGGACGTGAGATCTCGTCGCGCATATGAAAGACCATCCGACATTTCGTCGGGATCGCGTATACGTTCTCAGAGGGAGGCTGTGGACCGTTAGAGATGTACATCGATAGAGGTAGGCATCGTGTGCCGTCCTCGTTCTGCCCGACGCCGTGCTCGTGACCGTGGCCGTGGACAAGTCCGTCCTCGGAAGAATGCCTTCTTTGACCCTGGGATGATCCTGATTTAGCTGTTGCTATTGTTGTCGTCGTGGACTCTGCGGGGAGAGAGACAGGTCTTGTATGCTGCTGCTCCACTCCCGCTGCCACTACTGCTCCTGCTCCTGTTCCTGCTCCTGCTGCATCTGTTGTTGCTGTCATCATCTCTTTCGTCGCCCGCATACATGGGACTATTCCTACTCTGCTACCGCTAGCTCCATTCATGCCCATCGACGACGTCAATATGTTCTTTTGACCCTGCACGGACACCAACTCTGTTTGTCCTTGGACAACAGCAGCCATCATCACATCATCCTTCAGAGCCTTTGTACCATCGCCATCGCCTTTGCTGTTGCCTCTGCCGCCGTCGTTGTCACGCCTTGGCCTTGTCGCCCCTGTTCTGCCACGGCCCTCATCATCAGCATCGCCGTCGTCCCAGAAGGCACTGAAGGGTGCATAAGTCCAAAAGGCCGACGGCGCCGACGACGACAGGGACGCTGTTTCTGAAGAGCTCACTCTATTGGCCGCCTGAAGACTGTTACCGGTAATAGAAAGGGCGATGGGTTTGGGCTTTCTGATGGGAACGGCTGCGTGGAAATTGGGTCGACGATCGCATTCAAAGGAGACTCGTCCGGAAGGATTCGAGGGAATGGTTCGAGAAGGTTGGCCTGCTCGCTTCATTGGTCTGTGTTGTGTCTTGCTGAGTTTTCTTTTTTAACTGCTCTGTTTGCTTGATTAGTTCTTGGATGGTGTGGGAGGGAGGTGTTACTTCAACGGACGGTACCTGGTGTCTGGGACCAGGTTGTGAATGCTGAGAATGAAGGAGACGTTTGGATTTGGACTGCGAGGGTCTATTCCTTGAAGAGCTGGAATGGGATGGAGAAAGAGGAAATGTGGAGCTTTGTGTTGCTTTTGTGCATCAGGTTTGGTGTGGAAGGGTTTGAGAATGGCAAAGTACAGTGCAAGGCGGGTGAGATGTATGGAGAAGAGGAACTGGAGGTGAAATAAGGGAGCAGCAGATGACTTCCAGCAAACGAGGAGGAAAGGAAGATGGAGGAGGAGGAGGAGGAGGAGCTGAAGGAGTTAAAGGCGTGAAGGAGTTGAGTGCCTTCACACTGTGGGTTGGGTGCATATCATATCCCGAATAAACTTTTTTAAGGTTGATTTTATTATTATTCTTTTGGTTCACATTCCACTTCTTGCGTGCCTTCGGTTGGACAAGGACGAATCTCCTGCTTTTTTACTTTCTAATGCCAACCCTTGCTGCTCACACCGCCAGCTTATCCGTCTGTCTGCCGTACGCTACGGCGTGTGCTTTTTCTTCTGGCCGACCTCTTCTTCTTCAGCCCTATCCCTATCCCCATCCCTCGTGTCCCCATCCATCGCTCGCCTTTGTCCTACTTTGTTTTTCCTTAACCCCATGTCCAGTTGCTGGGTGCTACCACGCGCTCCAAAACATTCCACCATCTTTTGTTTGCTGATGCTATCCCCTAGTTCCTCGTATGTTTCCCCCCTGTGTCATGCTAGGCCTGTGGGTCGGGTTGTTCCTCATGATAAAAAAAAAAGCCTTTACAACTGCTTCACCCAATTCTTATGTAGTGGAGGGCGATGCGAGTGGAATGATAAAATTCAAATAAAATAAAAAATAATAATGAAGTGGAGCATGGAGCATGGAGAATGGCAAAGGGTGTAGGGTCCTCTGGTGAGTCCAAGGCCACACTCACTCTCCCTTGGAAACGCACATTCCAAGACCCAAGTTCGAGATCGATCAAATCAAAGGAAATCGGGCCAAGTTCCTCTCTGGTTTCTGTTGCGAACACAAACAAATAACGGTGTCAACATACCGAATGCGCGGTAGTGGTCTACCTTTTTTTCCTGTGATTTTTTGGTATGGCATGTGTCATGAATAACCGCGCTCCAGAACAGCGGCAGAAACCAAAGAAAAAAAAAAAAAAAAAAAAAAGGTGGCCTGATCAACTTCACAAGGGCAACAATGTTCCCCCGACTCAAATATCATGCTATCGAGTAACATCCGACTCATTGCCTTTAGACAATCGAAAGGCGTATGATAATAAAGAAATGATGATCTTTATAGAAATGCTATGATAATGCTATGCCAATGCAACTATGTATGAATGAATCTTTTTTGTAGTCTTTAAATGAAATGATGGGTATGCGTCAACTGGTCGAACGTATCAAGGAACGAACGGGATATAAAATGAGAAGAAAAAAAAAAAAGATGGATGAACACATGAGATATGCCTGCGTCCAAAAAGCACAACGACCCCAACGCCATGGATGGAAACAAAAGAATGTCTCAAATGACACTCATCAGCAGAGAAGAGAGTGTAAAAAAAAGAGAAAAATAAAGTAAGAACGATCTGCACCTGGTACGCACGGCCTCTAATAATGCTGCTCAAACATGGCGGTCATGCTGTCCCTGCGATCCAGAAACGAGGCGCCGTTCATGTTGTGAAGCTGGTTTCCAAGTCCGCTTGGCTGGGACGGGGTCGAGTTCCGCACACCGAGTGGGTTCTTCGAGTAGCTGAGACGAATACCACCCTTGACAGAGTTGCTCAGTGGGTTGCCATACAAATCGTTCAGCGCCTGGGTCGCACACTCGATGTTCTCAAACTCGACAAAGCACATCGGTCCATTGGACTTTGTACGGAAGCACAGGCGGCGGTATCCCACGCAGCGCGAAAACAGGGCCCGAAGTTCGTCCTCAGACGTGTTCATCGGCAGGTTTCCGACATAAAGCGTGTTGCACGGAGGGTTTTGGTCACCAGGATTGACAGGCGGACGGAATCCGGGGGAGGCCACGCCAGGCGAAGGAATGGGTGCTGAGATCAACGCCGCTGCAGCGGTGGTGTTGATAGGCAGTCCCTGGAACCTGGGGTTGGGCAGGTCCTCGTTGTTGAAAAGAACGCTGTTGAACCCGCGCTCGGTGTGTGCTGGAATCGACTTTGAGAGGTATCCTGAAGTGGTCGTCGGTGTGTCGTTGTCTAGATCCAAAAAGTTCTTGTTGAATCGCTGTGAGCTTGCGAGGCCAATGTGACGACCGCTGCTGAAAGAGTTAGAGACGGAGTTGGGGAACGAGCCAGCGATCGATCCACCCAGCCCTCCGGCATTGTTGCTCAGACTACCCATCGACAAGGGGTCGACTCTGTTCATATCAAAGACACTCTGGCGCCCCAGAAACGAAGACGAGAGATCCGACTGCTGCTGCTGGATCGAATTCTGATGGCGACCTCCGAATGATTCTGAAGAGCTGAGGTTGGACGTGCTGTTGGGCGCATAGACATCCGCATAGAAATCATAGCTGCTGGGATAGTCCTTCGGGGAGAGAAGGTCGCTGGGCAAGGCAGGGCTGCAGGGGACGGAGTGAAAGGCATCGTAGGCGGCGGACCCAGCGAGACTGTTGCGGTGCTGGAGAGGGTGGGGCAGCTTTGCGTTGCTGATACCGTTGTGGTTGCCGTTGATGCCAATGGGTGTGGGAGGCATGGCGGCAGCAGCAGGGTTGATTGCAACCGCGGAAGTGGCAACCAGTTCGTTGGAGAGACCTCTGCGGGTATGAAGGTTCTTCTTGGCCATCTCGGCCTTGAGCAGGGAGCCCTTTTCGGCGTCGACCCTACGTCCGCTAAGCACGGTGATGGCCTGCAGGGCCTCCTGGTGAGTGCGGAACTTTGCAAATCCAATCTAAATTTCCCCGAGTGAGCGAGCCCAGAGAAATGAACGGGTTAGCTTCATACTTCATATCCGGGATTGTGTCCTTATTTGCTTGTTGGCTTCTACTTGGGATGATGCAGCAGGGGCATCGGTGTTCCCGTCCTTGGGTTCTCATGTTCTGTTTGTGCTCCTGCAATTGGGTCGTGAGGCCGATGAGATTGAGCAGGGGGGGGATGCATATGTCATCTGTTTACTTTTTTCCTGCTGAGATAACACAAACAGCACCAAAAAGAAAAGGAAAAAAAAAATGAAAAAGAAAACGAACCAAAGGATGGGCTGGCAGAGAAGGGCATTTTCATCCATACGAAGGGGATAGTAGACTAGAAAAGGGATGGAAGACGTCTTGCCCGCAGGAAATAGCAGGGAAGCGGGCTAGTGATGCAAGCATGGGCAGGCGAGCATGCGAGGGATGGGCGAGAAACAGAGATGAGGCCCTGATCACAAACGGTCGTAGACTTACAATCTGCTTGCGAGGGTTGATTCCATTCACACCCAGGGTCAGGGCATCGTCCTCCTGCTGGTCCTTGTTCGGGATCTTGAGTGTCGCCGCCTCGAACCCCGGCGTAAACACAAACATGTTTTGGAACTCTCGTTCCTGCATGTCGTCCGGAAAGCCAACGACAAAGATGGTCGAGATCTCTTCTTGCTGGCCAGTACTGCTGGTGTTGCTGCTTCCATTGACAGTGATATTGCCGTTCCCATTAGCATTGCCGTTGCCGTTGCCACTGTAGCTATGGAGACCCGAGCTCAGAGTGGAGGAGGTCGTTGGAGAGTAATTCTGAGCCGCCAGACTGAGGCCACTGAGGCCACTAGTCAGACTGCCGATATGAACACTGTTGCTGTTGTTGTTACCGGCTTGCAGACTGGACTTGGAGATGCTTGAGCTGAGATAGTCAGAGATACCAAAGGAGCCGGATATACCACCGTTGCTATTGTTGCTCAGACTGCTGCTGAGGTAATTGATGCTCTTGACCGAGGAGGAGTAGTCCTGGGGCCCATTGGAGAAGGGACCGCTGCCGACGATGTTGAGGGTGGCAGCGGACATGGCAGCAGATACGGCAGATGTCTGCGAGGGGGGCGAGATTGGGGAACAGTGGGAGGCAGCAGGGGTGGTGGTGGAGGTGGAGGGGGAGGAGAGGATGGGGGAGGAGGAGGAGGAGGAGGAGTTTGAGACGGAGTGGATGGCCATCGTTTTAGGAGGCACTCGTCCTTTGTTGCTGTTGCGTCGAGGGCGGTACCGAGCAGAGTAAGGGAAGTAAAGAAGGAGTGATTATCGATAACAAACACGAGGAGGATGGGGATAGAAAGATGAGAATAGAAGGATAGTAGGATAGAAGAAGAGAAAAGGTGAACTGAAAAAATCTTTATAGCAAAGAAAGAATATTAAAGGGTGGAGATAAAGGGGAGATGAAGAAAGGGATGATGATGATGATGATGATGATGATGATGATGATGATGTAGGATGTAGGATGTGGATGAGGATGATGACGATGACGCTCAGGATGATGATCAGTTAAGGTGCTTTGAGGGGGAAAGTCTTGCCTGGTGTGGGGGACATGGGATGGCCCGCACGCACTGTCTGCCACTTATATCGCAGTGAGTACGTGGCCCGGGTATACATTTCACACTTTTCATATTACGGAATGGCAATCAAAGCAGGGACCACCCCGCCTGTTTCATCTTTTTACTCTTTCTGTCCCGCCATCTTTCCTCCCCCTATCCCTCTCCCCTTCCCTTCCCCAGGCTGGAGACGATTGTCACCCATCTTTGTTGATCCCAATGGGTCTCCTAATGCTCTTCTCAGATCCATTTAGCCACACAGACAGTGGCTAGATAGGAGGGGAGGGGGACATGAATAAAGAAAAGAGATATGGAAGGCGGCAGAGAAGAGAGCCCTGTGTGCGTTCATTTTTCTTTGTTTTGCATCACTCGACTCAATTACCATCCTCTGCACTTCCCAATTGGATTGGGCATTTCCGAATCGATATATATTCCAGGAATCAGCAGATCTTTGATGGTTTTACTTCATAGCCATGTAGCAAGCAGAGTAAGGTGGGCACGGTTCTCTGCAGGAGACTACCCGGGGCTACTCGATAGTCCAGTAGATTATGCGTGCTGCGAAGAGGACCGTGGATGCTCATTTATTACCACACGACTTGCAGCATCCGATCGCCGTTGCACACGAGCAAGTACCAGGGGTGGAACGTGCACTTTTGCATATCTTCAAGTCACCCTTAATGTCATCTGTCGATGAACACTGCTCTCAAAGTTGGCTGCACGTAGACCGCCTCTGCCGCGCGGGACGGAGGAGGTATAATAAAGACCGTCATAGTAAGTGAGAAATTGAAAGAGAGCAAAAGTTCTCAGGAACAACGTTTTTCAACCTGCCTTTTATACTCTGCAAAATGGCACAATGCCACAAACACACAACCCTGGTATAGATGCTCTCTCCCAGATGGACTCGCCCACTTCTCCTTCCTCGGACTGGTTGCCAAACCAAATTTGCTTGAACACATGCCATGCAGACGGCGCAATGTACTTTACTGTAGGACGAAACCTTGTTCCTCACACGTTTATTTTGATCCGCTTGGGTCATCCTCCGTCTGTATCTCTGTCGCTTCATATATCTCTTTTTTGTCGCTGTCGCACTCGTCCAAAGGTTTCTCCGAAAGAGCGAACTCTTGTTTGCTCTCCTCCTTCGCGATTACCAGGCGATCTGTACAGTCAAGCAACCTCGTGAGGAAGCACCAGCCTGTTGAGCTCTTAATGTCAGTCCAGGCCTCGCTTCGCCTTGGTACCTGTCCTCGGAGGACATGAGTATATATATTCCGGACACTGTTTTCGCCTCTCCTTCCTTCCTTCCTTCACTCTCACCCACTCCAACCCCTCTCTATCTTGCTCTGTCCTCTTTGATATACCCCTCCGTAGAAGAACACCCAGCCATGGCACTTAAAGACGAGCACCCCCATCTGTCTGCCATCAGCGGCTTTGTTTCCCAAATCGGCAACAAGATCTCAGGCATCTTCGGTAAGGACGACGACCAGCCCAACCACGACGGGACCATCATCACCATTCATGACCGAGACCAGCACAATATCGATCCACTTCTCGAAGACCCAGAAGAATGCGAGGACTGTAATGTCGAAGCCGTCCATCAAGAGTACGAACGCATCCTTCCAGCCGCCCAATTCAAGTGTGGCCCCGTCCTTCGTTACCAAGACATCCAGGTCGATCGTCGTCGGTGGGTTGGCTCTGCGCTGATCGTCACCGATAAAGAGGCTCAGCCCCCGCGTCTAGTCATCAAGGACCCTACAAAGTCCCGCCTCGGCTACTCCCAGCCACGACACCTCGAGACTTGGCAGGAAAATCGCTTCTACCGCTACGAGATCCAACTGACCCTGATGGCACATCGGGAGAAGAGGATTGAGTTCTGGTTCGAGACCGAGGATGGCCAGCGTGCGGCAGAGCCTCAGAAGTGGAACTTTTATATTCCGGCGCTGGAAGAGGGCTTCAACTGGGCCTTCTATTCCTGTAACGGATTCACGTCCGATGTCGAGGACCCAGAGAAGAACTTCCATGGGGCTAATCCTCTATGGGACGATTTGTTGGTCAAGCACGACCAAAGGCCCTTTCATGCCATGGTTGGAGGCGGCGATCAGATCTATAACGATGATGTACTGGCAATGCCCGAGATGGCCGAGTGGTTGGCTATGGACGAGGAGAACCGAATCGGAACTGAATTCACGAACGATAAGAGGTACGCGGCCGAGAAATACTACTTTGACCACTACGTCAAGCACTTTACCACGGGTTCCTACTCCAAGGCCTTGTCGTTGATCCCCTCAGTGAACACCTGGGACGACCACGATATTATTGATGGCTACGGATCTTATCCCTCCAAGTACCAGCTCTGTCGTGTCATGCAAGGTAAAGCTGATTTTTATTTTTTTTTGCAAGGTTCAACTGAGCCCATAGTCTGTGTTTTTTTAACGCGCAGTTTAAAAGTGCTCCTGGTTTGTCTCACTCTCGCCCATCCATCTCATTTGTTTATTAGGAATCGGCGCAGCCGCTTCACGCTTCTATCTTCTCTTCCAGCAACACGCTAATGCAAACACAACCACTCAGGCTGGTCTCCAAACCTCTGCCTCCGGCAAAGGTTGGAACTGTATCACACACTTCGGCAAGCGAACCCTGGTCGTCCTGCCCGATACCCGTTCAGAGCGAAGCAAGAGTATGATTCTTTCGAACGAGACCTATAACCTGTTGGAGAGCGTGATTAAGGAAAAATTGCTGCCCACGACCAAGCATGTGGTCATTGTTCTGGGAACACCGTTGGTCTACCCAGCCCTGAAGCTGTTTGAAGAGGTACTGGAGAAGATGGGAGACGCGTTGTCGAGGGGAAGCGTAATTGGCAAGATCTTTGGCAAGTGCAAGGCCTTTGGGAACGTTCTGGGACAGTTTGGTCCAGAGCTGTTGGATGATTTGGTAAGGAAGCAAACTCATTATGACAGCTGTTTTTGTGTACGTGCTTTTTTTATATTTCTGGCACCAGTGTCTAATGGTCTGTGGCTCTTTCTGTTATGTGGTAGGTCGATTCATGGGCCTGCACTGTCCATACGGACGAAAAGAAGCGACTTGTTGAGATGCTGCAAGCGATTGCCGTTCAGCGGGGTGTTCGTGTCACCTTTGTTGGTGGAGATGTAAGCTCTTCAATAGCATGGGGCGCTCGCATCTATTTGAGCTTTTTCCTTTGCATGCGATGCTGATGTTAGACCATTGCCATATTTATCAAATTTTTAGGTCCATGTGGGCGGAGCAGGTCGCTTGTTCGGTACCCAGAGCACTGATCGATTGAGCGATCCCTACGACATGGTTCAAGTCGTGTCCTCTGCCATTGTCAAGTAATGCCCTCCACCCCTCCCTCCTTCTCCCTTGCTAACCTATGCTCCCTACTCCAATATTTTTGTAAGGACACAGGCACTAACACGCACTTTTTTTTTTGTTTAATCTTACAACAGCGGTCCACCACCTGGCGCCGTCGTTTCTGCACTCCACAACGCCTCGAAGACCTACATCCTAAACGAATACACCTCCGAAGAAATGACCGAGATCTTCCACCAGGATGTCGATGGCCAACCTCTCGACAACAAGAAACTATTGAACCGTCGCAACTGGTGCACAGTCCGTGAGCTTGTCAACGAGGGCCAATTGAAGTTCACCCTTCGTGTCGAGAACGTGGATCATGTTGGGACTAAACAGTACCCGATCATCGTAGATAGCCTGCAACTTGCACCCCGCGAGGAGTAAATACATTTGTTTTGTTTTGTTTTAATTTTTCTTTTTCTTTTTCTTTTTCTTTTTTTTTTTTTGAGCAAGTGAGAGAAGGAAAAAAACGAATCCACATGCTGGGATCTGTTTTTATAGAGTGCTATCATTGCGAGTGTCCGATCTCATTCCCGCTTTGTATGCTCATGTTCTTCACGATCATGCTGGGTTTATATGTCAACGCCATCCATGTAGCCGATCTGCGCCCACAGCCGGAGACGTGTGCTAGTAGGCTTGACCCTTACTCTTGACATCCCTCCCGAGTTAAATCCTCCGGGGAGGTTGTTGCAGGCACGTAGTTTTTTTTGAATCGCTATCCTAATAGACCATGCAACCTCGTTAACATTCACTGAAATCACAGAAGGTCGAAGGCTATTCTCCTTCTGTCTCTCTATTATGAAATGGTCAATAGCAAGATGTACCAACATGGCACTTGCTCTTCTTTGATTAAAGGCCAAGCGTGACAATAAAGCACGCGAAACCAACAACGATGAGTTTTATAGAGTCAACGAATCCGCTTGCGCTTGCAGAGTTAGGTCTCTGCTTAATTTGAATAGGCGATGCTCCCATTATGTTTCCGTACCGCTGTCAACGGCCGGATCGTATCCAACAATAAGAATCTCCATGTCCCTCTTCATGCAGTCGTTTCCAGTCCCGCCGTTGTAACTGACCACGGCAGCATAGGAAAATGTATGCTCAAAGGACCGGTCTTTGGACTTTGGGCCCGAGTTGAGCCCACCAGCCATGCTATTGCAGCTACGTGCACCACTCGTGGTTTTGACAACCATGTGAGGTGCGCTGTCGGTCATGGGCCAGACAGCAGTATCTCCGGAAGCGATGGTGAGCTCCTTGGGCGAAAACATACCGTTAATGATGTTGACGTCCCAGGTTTTTACACCCAAGGCCGGGGCGATGGCGGCGGAGATGAGAACGAGAGGGATGAATTGCATTCTAAAATGAGATGCATATGTGTCGACAGGTGTAGACAGTTGCAGTAAGGAGAGAATGCTAAGAGGATGGAAAAACGAGGCTTGGATTATATAACTCGTTATCTGGTCGTTCTCCTCGCAATCGGTGCATTTGAGAGGCTCCTTGTAGGGACGAGATGTTTAGATCCTTGTTTAAATAACAGGTCTTTACTTTCTATTACATTTGCTTCCCTTTCTCCTGGATATGGGCGCCTGTAACTTCAACAGCGTAATGTCGCCTGCGTGTATCTGTTTGATCGGTGGATCCTAGCAACGATTGTGTGAAGGTGCCACGACCTACGCTTAGATCCTATATTTAAGGCGGAAAATGAGATATAACGCCTTTCCATGCTGTTTTACTCGGCAACATTCTATTATATTACAATCCATAGAGGTATTCGTAGAGATTCAAAAGCGGTAATAAAAAATCAAGGCCCCATTAAAGGACAAGGGTGCTAGTAAAGCAGGTAATGCCAACAAGGCGCTACGACCTCGCCGGTGATGTATCCGCTCGCAGCGCTGGGCTACTGCGTGGGTGGTGATATCAGGAGCCATAGTACCCGTGCCAGTAACCATATACGTGCCAGTAGCGCCCTGAGGACCCGTAGTCATTATTTCAATGATAGCCTTGGGTCCTACAACAAGCATTCTTGTAGTTCTCATTGATACAGTATCTGTCTACCAGAAATCACCCAAATCAAGTAAAAAAGTGACTGGTTAGAATTCAGAATAGGTTGGGTGTTCGTGCACGTTATTTTTGTATGTTGAACTTACAAATTTTGAAAGAGGGTTCCGACCCCCTATGATTATGTTGATGGCATGAACTTGGCAGGTCGGCACTGGTTCTGAATTTGCGACAGACACACGGTGGCAATGTTCTCAGAGCCGACAATATCGCGATCAAAGAACATTTGACAGCTTCGGCAGTACTTTGACCGCCTCTTGTCGGACTCCAAGAACGCCATACACTGGTCACGAGGGCACCGAGCACTGGTGTAGTACTCGTGCACCCCGACCACAGTGTGTCTCATAGCCTTTGCCTATCAGCAGCGTCAAGGAACAAACAAAAAGATGAGAAAAAGTTGCAGTGCAGATGAGAGATGGTATGCCACCCTTTTTTTTTTTTTCTCCTTCCTACCTTGCCGACAAATTTCTTCTCGAGTGCGCTATGCTTGCTTGGCAGGCCAGTTTGCGAATCAAAAGAGCCCAATCCTACCGCAAACACCACTTTTACACCATCCTGCGAGCTCAGCGGCTGACCAACAAAGTCCTTGCTGACGGCGAGGTCAAGCAAGGCCGCAACTGCGTAGTCATACGTTGCCTGTTGAGCCTTTTGAAGATCCCAGCGCTTCCTTAGCATTCACTGACTGTTGTAAAAGTTAAAAAGGCAGACTCTCGTGGTGGGCGCGGCAGTGCCGTCCATACCAGGCGCCTCCAGGTACGCCAGATATTCCTCGATCTTCTCCACGGTAAATGAGGGCAGTCTTGCCTAAAGAACATCAATGCGTGCCGCGGCCTTCTGCTTTTCTAGGAGACGCTTGAAGAGCATATAAGGCCTGTAGAGGAATGCCCTGCGGATTCGTAAAGACTCTCTTTTCGTAGGTAAGGCGGGGTCGATTCTTGTCGCTGTCATTGTGTAAATCTCACCCGGGTCAATGCCGATGACCACAGTATCGCCTGGTGGACAAGTGCCAGGAGAGTTGAAGTGCACCTCCACGTTTTCTAGGATCTTTGAACTTCGCTTCCAGTTGATGGTGTTGCAAGTGATATCGATCGTATCTGCGCATGATGTCGGAACAGATGAGGCTTCTGAGCTGGATGAGGACGAAACAGCCGCAGTAGGGTCTACGGGTGACAGTTGGTGTATCGACAGCCTCTGCCGCTTTGAACTTTCTGGCGTCGAAGACGGGAGCGTGATGCGTTTCTTTTTGGCGGGTCCTGCCGCAGCTGCGACCGGATCTGTACCAGATTCGCCCCCTCCACTTTCAAGAAACGCGTCGTCGAGGTCATAGTCACCGTCAACATCGTGGAACAGGGTCACGTCCTCGTCGCCGTCGCCATCGTCGTCGTTGTCGTGCTCTTCTTCATCGTCGTCATCGCCCCTGATGCTTTGGCGGGGTGCTCGGCATCGCGTTGTCGTTGTGTGATGCGCAAGAAGATGCAACACCAGTCCGTTCGTGCAGATGATGCCCCGAAGCTTGAACCTTGTGTGGTACTGTCTGTCACTCTGAAACGAAACCTTCCTGTAATACCCGTCAAAGCGCGTCGCCGGGTCCAGTCTGTATAGCAGCTTCTCGATGAGGATCCCTTTCTTGCCGATGACCTTGGCTTCCGCAGCGTTGGATGTTGTATCGCTCAGCATTCGGACTATAATTGGCCGTGTCGTATTGCTTGTATAGAATAAATGGACAAGGTCCGCCTCTGACAAGAACACGAAGTCAGCTGCAAACTTTGCCTTGACAAAGTCTACAAACATGCGCTTCTCGGTATTCTTTTCGAAGAAGTAGTCGATCGGATTGACAGCTTCGGGGCGCTCTTCGTTCTCGGAAAACTATTAAAGAAATTTGAAGAGCTAATGGTCAACACTAGTGCTCCGAAAAGCAAGGAACACAACGGATACATCTTGCATACTCTTTAACATACCTTTGTGCCATAGTAATGGACTCGCACTGCATTGTAGACTGCCGCAACAGCAAGCTTCGAGACCGTCAAAGGGAACACCTCTGGTTCTCGTTGGCGAAAGGGGACAAAGCCGGTGAACGTCGTGTACGCTTCAAAGACACGTCGGGCATGGGTGGCTGTTGGTTGTGGTTGTGCCTGTACATATGCCTGTACTTGCGGTTGTGGGACGCCAGGGACCAACGGCGTATTTTGAGTGCTCATTCTGCGCGCAGGGGCAACCGATACTCGAACAGCCTGGGAACCTCGTCCTTCTTGACCACTGCACAAGAATGTGTTGAGTGCAAAGTAGAAGGCCTTGCTGTCGATAATGTCTGCAATATCCTCCTTCTGCTGTGTCACGTCTGTCGCTGTGTCCTTGGAACGAACAAGCCGCGCGATATCCAGCGCAATAGCCTCGTACATATGCATCTGGATCGCGTTAAGGATCGCAACCGTTGAACGTAGCCTGTCTGAAAGGAACTTGCTTTCTGCAACCGAGATCTGATCCATTCGCTTTACGTTGGCCTGGATACCCCCACAGTGAGTGCCTTGGTTATATGCAGCTTGCGGAGGCGGCGGTTCGCTGCAGTTGCAGAAGTGGGCCGTGGGTTCGATGGGTCGGCAGAGCCCACCCCTTTCCGTTTTCTCGGCAGTGCCCCCTTCTTCCTCTTTTTCTTGTTTTTCTTCTTCATGACCGCCTTCCGAGTCTTGACGGGGGGCTTTGCTTTTGGCTGCGGGCGATCGTGAGGTACGGCAGTCGAGAAGTCAATCGATTGTCGCGGTAGGATCGATTTCTTGTCTGAAAAGATCGGCCGGAACTGGTTCCGCTTTGAGTTCCTCGCAACGTAGAAGGGAACCGCACTAGTAAATATACGCATACATCGCCATGCAAAAGGTGTTAGAGAACTTGATATCTGTACAACGCGTGCGTGAATGAAGTGGTGTCGCACTTAAATTACCTTTTACTCGCATGCTGATATGTAGCGACGGCAAATCGCTGCAGCTTGAGATGCTGGAACTGCGGTGCTGCACTGCTGAAATCAAAGCCGAGCATGTCCTCATCGGCGGCCTCATCTCCTGGTTGCAGTTGGAGCACTTTCTCCTCGAGGTCCAAAAAGATGTCTTCCGATGGCTTGAATCGGCTCTGGTCGATAACCTCATGGGTTTTGATGGCTGCCATGAATCTGTAAGCATCGATCATATGGCTGATATCGGGCGACTGGGGTAGAGCGCGGATGATCTCCAGGTTGCGAACTATTCCAAGGCCGGGAATGTTCTCGGTATAGTCGTTCTTGGACACGATGGCCAGCAATGTCACATAGTCTGCGCTGGGAACCTGAAGTGCATTGGTAACACTCTCCTTGGTGTACAACGCGTAGGTCAGGCCGTAGAAGATCGGCCGCAAAACCTTGGTGACCGACGGATATATCAACAGATCGGAATCTGCTGACACTACGAAGCTACCGGCTGTCATGGTCAGTGTGCGTGCAATGCAGGTGTCGGCCTCGGTCCTGCAAGTGCAGACAGAAAACCCTTTTCTCGTAAGGCATCCCGGAGTGTCTGCTTGGCTGCTGCATCAAATCTGTATACATCGCGGAAGCCCTTCTTGATCTTCGCTACTACGCTCTTCGAGGTCAATTGGCCGTTCGATGACTTCGTGCTCATGACTTTCAAGTCCGCGTGCAACTTCTTGAGGTCCGCTGTCAGTCTGTTCTTTCGCCTGATGTGCTCGTTCCGCTTCTGTTGGGATAGGGCGCCATCGATGTGAATCGTACATTGCGCAGGGGTAAAGTCCTTCGCCAAACGCGCTGCCATCGCGAGACCGACAGTTCGGACCTTGCTTGGATCGTAATCATCCGTGATCTGGCGAACGAGGGATCCATAAAACGCGCCGAAGAGGTCAACCTCAATAGCTTTGTTCTGGTAATCTTGAGGATCCGCGGCAACTGGATCCAAACCGCGCTTCTTCAGAGCACCGTAAAGGCCTCTTATGCCCATGCTGTGATCACTATGGTGAGTTGAAAGCTTAGCAGTGTTAGTGAAACCCTCTCGTAAGGACGCTGAAGATATGGAAGGATAGGCTTGGAGGGTACATTACCTTTTCTACAGGCGTATAGTATCTAGCGTGAAGGTGTATATGGATAGCGAACTGCGGGCAAAGGGCAATGAGGAGAAAGCATGATGAACGAAGGGAGCTGTGAAGTGTGTGGCAGAATACTTATAGGCGAGAAGCAATGTCTGCTTTCTCACAATAAAAAAGACTTTCCACAATAAAGAAAGGCATTACCACAATAACAAAGACTTTCCACAGTAAAAAAGGCATTGCCACAATAACAAAGACTTTCCACAGTAAAAAAAGGCATTGCCGCAATAACAAAAGGCTTTGATAAAGAGCCATCACACTGATATATGTTAGTCGCTTGACACGAAGCACGATCAGTGTTATACAAGTAGCTTTGCCACGGCCTGACACAGATGTCCACCTACATCGCCATCATCGCTGTTTCCAACGTACGCGGGGCAGACGCAAATCTAGATAGGTCGCTAGGGATGCAGTGGAGGATAGGGAAATCAGTCAAGTAGCACGGTCAACCTTCAAAGGACTAAAGCCTATGAGAACTTTTGCTATTAAATTAATTACGGGGAAGAGCATCACTCCAGGATAAAAGAATAAACGGTCTGGTTCATGAACCAGTCTCTTCTCCACATATATATCTTGTATCACACATTGTATTCATCCAGATTGTCCGGATAACACCGCATCTTCGACAGGTACTGACTGCCGTCGTCAGCAACCCACGCAACGAGATACAATCAACAGAGAATGCCAAGCCTGATCATTCGCCACCTTTGCGCTATCAATTGCAACATTTCCCCGATCTCCGATCGTCTCATTATTGAGCATCCGTCATCGGCTTACCCTCGTGAAACGGCATTATAAAAGTACAATGGGGGCCTGATCAGCGAACATTGCCATTCAACGACTCCGGAGGGGTGGACTTCATTGTCACGACTTTTCACTTCATCAGATATCATAGAGTCCTGGCCAAAAATTCGAGCACACCGTAACACTTTTTTGTATTCGCTACGCTCATTAAAAAGAAAAAATCGGCTTTATTGAGGAGAAAGCTACGGAGCTGAGTCACAGCCAAGATGAAACGCGCATCATGCAAGGGCCTTAGAGGAGACTGGAGTGAGGGCAATGGATACATTTGCGACGCTGACCACTGTCCGTGTGGTGCGTTGCTAGCCGACCATGCAAACGAGAGCTGCCCTGGCCCCGTACTCGAACCAGACGCAGCGGATCGGACGCTGCTGGATTGCCTGCAAGGGAGGAGGCGGTTGACAACTATGGAGGGGATGGGGAAGATACCCTTCTTGTAACAAGGTGTTTTCAGCTTTTAACACACTGATGAGGTGTGGCAATTGTTGCGCAGGCCCTAGGGGCAGGCCCGGGGAATGTGACCTGTCTTTTGGCGACTGTGGATCGGTTCCGCTTTGGTGGTGAGGACAGCGATAGTAGATCTTTGCTAGTTAGTCTGATAGATTCGCAGAGTCAATTGACTCGAGAGACAAGTTGTTATAAAAAAAAAAAGCCCCTATAAAAAAATAAAAAAAAAAAGATTTGACGCACGGATTGGGAAGTCAAGGACTTATACCGAGGTTTGGTGCCAACGAGACTCATTGAGACCTGGAAACAGTTATTTACCACCATCAAGTGGATTGCAACGATCATGGCGACAAAGTTCGTGAGCAGGATCGAAGAGTTTGGCAGGACCAAGATATGGAACAAACGATGCGAGGACACTGTCGCCTGGGAAAAGTCAGTTGGAATCACCTTCATGAGCAAACGCGCCGGAGGACGCAACGGTGATCGGGGACACCAACGTAGTGTTGGTGATTTCTCTGATTTGAAAGGGAGACGGTTACTTGCAACGGAGATCCAGGAAGGTAGACGGGCCGCGGATTATAGGGTGCTACAGCATTGCTTGGGGCGAGGGAAGTTGGACATAATGGAGGGGTTATTCGGTTTAAAAACAACTTTATTAACATTGGATCTGGATTAGGAGACGTGTATCGCGCAACAGGTCACGCAGGAGTTAGGTTAGGCTAGCTATGCGACATGGGTTATGAATTTGACGCCTCAAGCCAACATAGTTGGTAGGGGATGCGGCTCTGCCGTGCATGGAAGGCATCTATGGCTTCAAGGCCTTTGTGGACCATGCGTCTCGTGCTCATGTGGATTTATGTTAATAATAAAAAAAAAAAGATTTGACGCAACTGTGTTGGAGAGCACAGACGTAGTGATAGCGGTTTCGTTGGGTCCTCAGGAGGCAACGACGCGCATTGGATGTGAAAGAAATCGAGGAACGAGCGGACAAGCGAGTGCTGCAGAGTTGCGTGCAGCAGGTGGAACTCAACGTGATGGAACGCACCGGCAACTGTAAATTTTTTGATGATTGAGGAACGCGGCTAAAGGATGACCTTCGCGCACAACAGGCCAAGTAGGGAGCAGGGCTCAGTCATCGACCCCAGGCGGGGTCGAGTCGCCACTCATGCTGACGGAGATTGTGAAGGGGATTGGAGTTGCGAGTGGCCAGCAGCGGTGCGGCAAAAGCCGCTTATTAGAATATTGAGTACCCTTTTCTATGCCCCTAGCAATAGGGCTCCCTAGTCTAGAGTCCCTCACTAATAGTCTAAATCCCACATATTCTCGGTTCACTGAATTTCACCGGAATTCACGGATTTCACTGGATTCAACGGTGAGCGGTGAACTTTAATACACGTAACCGACTCTTTGTTCACCGGTGATAATCACTACAATTCACCGGTGAGAATTACTAATAATATCTTTCCGATATGAAAAAGTGTATTGCTTTTTAAGTGGTCGATGATGAGGATAGTGATGAGCTGGAGAACGCTATCGTTTGTCTACGAATCCCGCTACAAGTCGATTTTCAAACACGCCATGAAGTATAACCAAACGCTTAATTTTGAACTAGGCGGATTTAGAGGCGGATAAGAATAAGTAGCGATCTGAGGTGTGTCCGAGGTATGCTGTATACCATGCTTCATTTCAGAGGGTGCGGCAACAATACAGACCTGCCTAATATTATATTTTTCTTCTCCATCCAAATCCATCACATCGGAATGCTCACGGCAAAGGAATCCACGCCGTTGCCGCCACCCCCGATCTTATCTCTCACAACATGTACAGCCCTCCCTTGATGGCAGCGACAAACTGTCACCAGTATCGAACCCATTAGATTTCGACGAATACAACTGGCAAAGGCTGCCAGGAGACAGCGCCAACCTCGGCGTGCAGGCCGCAAGGCGGAGTTTGAACTCAATTGTATTCGTTTTGTCGGTACCGTCGAAGGAGGGCTGTAGCGTGAGGCATGTAACCCAATTATATTTGTTTGTCGGTACCGTCGAAGGAAGGCTGTAGCCTAGGGCATGTACTGTAGTAGTATTGTTACGCTAAACTTTGAATCGCCTTAAGGGGCAAAAGTTGATCCAGTAAATGGTCAGTAGGCCATGTTGACAGCCAACACGGCCTCTAGAGATACAGCAGCAGGAACGACTACTGTTCCTTTCAACTAAAATAAGATAAGACAGATGAAATCATTACTCTTTCGAGGCCACAACCCCGGAAATGATTACACCGGGGAGGAGGGCAAATTGCGTTGTGTAACCTATGCTGCGAGACACGAGTGAAGTCGATGGATTTACTTAAGGGGTTTAGTTGTGGGAAGTGCTGTGCTTTTAACCTTCCCATAATACGCGAGCTCCTTCGTTCATTCTCATTCTCAATGCATATCCCCCCGCACACACGCACACACACACGTTCTTATCGCTGAAGCTCATCCCTCAAGCGCACATCGAGAGTCGTTACGGAAGGTACATCTCTCCATCTGACCGTTGCTCCATCGCTCCAACCGCTGTCTGCGAAAATAGAATGCGCGGCCTCTTTGGCTATATGTCCATACGGGTACGGACTTTTAGCCATGGTTTAAATGGCTCATTCTCACTTTGATCTGACTTATACTATTATTATTGCTTTTTTCACATCACTGAATTTAACGCGTAAACTCTCCCGCCACTCCAAAAGATGGCAAAGCCACGTAGTTGGATGCTCCTAGCCTGTGGATTGTTGCTGTTAACTTTTTCGTACTACGCAATCTACATGGGTATAACAAACGAGTCTTTCGAGTACGAATCTTCAGAGCTCACGACAAGGACGCTCGAATGTCCCATTCCTGACAATGGAGATGTCTGCATTCATCATCAAGCAAACATAGAAGACTTCGTGCAACTGTGTAGAAACATCCTTCCGTCAGTCGGTACCTGTCAAGATCGGACGTACGGAGCGATTGTGACCACCAAGCGATTCATCACAGAGGCCAGCAACAACACATATACGATGATTGTGCAAGGAAAACACCTCGGGAAAGAGATGGATAACTTCGTGCAAACAAGGTCTCATTGGATGATTGACACCATGGGCGAGAAAGGATATGAGGCGCTGAGGTCGTTCGCCGATACCGAGCGTCTCGCCCTGCAGAAGGAGCTGGATCGACTACAACATCGATGCGTCCGTTTCTTTAACGGAGCAGTTGGTTTTAACGGTTTCGGATCCAACTGGCACAACTTGGGTCTGGGGCTTTCCTATGGCCTGCATTACAACATGACGCTGTCGCCTCCACACAAGTTCGAAAACTTCATACCCATGACGACATGCACCTACAAAGAAATGGAAAGGGCTTTCAACGAACACTCTCCAGAGCTTGAATACTCCAGATGGAATGTCTCCACGGTCAACTTCAAATCTCTTCGCGAAGACGTCATGCTTCTGATGGAGAACGTAACCATCATCAGGCCTGAATTTCAGCACAAGGGCCATTTCTGGTGGAGATCTATGTTGACCTATTATGCCGTACGGCCCAATTTCAGGTAACTAAATCGCCAACACTCTGTACAGCCTCACCATCATCAAAGCTGACTTTCAGCAATAAGACTATCTCAAACTGAGATCTATATCGACCTAATATGCCATATTACTCAATTTTAGGATGGGGAAGCTAATCAGGCAGTCTGCAGTCGTAAAAACTCCCTGCATCTCCATCCATGTGAGACACTCGGATAATTTTTCAGAGGCTAAGCCCATTGCATTCCCAGAGTACATGAAGCAGGCCGCTTTAATGAGGAACAGGACAGGAATATCGAATATTTATCTCATGACGGACGACGAACATGTCATAAAGTCGACCAAACATTACCCCGACTTCCAGCTCCGCTACATGAATGTAACAAGGTCGAATAAGGGATGGGCCGTCGACAGAGGTAAGGGTTTGTCCATGGATTATCAGGAGAGGACTTTTCTGGTTGACCTGTTTTCGGCCGTACAATGCCAACACAGCATCGTCACATACTCCAGCAACGTTGGTAGGCTCATCGCAGAAGTCGGGTACGCGATACGAAACAAAGAACCTGACGTCGTGTCTATGGACATGGAATGGATGATGCAACCATAGAATATATATATATTTTTAACGAGAATCCTCAAGAAAGTAGCTCGTTTCTCTCCGAAAATATGTCACCGAAGTCGCTCTTCCCGCGAAGACGTGCAGCCTCTAAACTAAAAGTGTGCTTGCAAACACACATTAATGGAAAATAAAGCAAGACTAATGTAACTAGCTATGCGATATGAGTTATGAAACCAAGACGCCTCAAGGCAACATAGTTGGCAGGGGACGCGGCTCTGCCATGCATGGAAGGCATCTGGGGCTTAAGGCCTTTGCGGACCATGCATCTCGTGCTCAAGTAGATTTATGTTAATAAAAAAAAAAAAAACCTGCCCTGGCTCCCGACTGTGGATCGGTTCCGCTTTGTTGGAAAGGACAACTGCAGTAGATCATTGCTAGTTAGGCCTGGCGGATACACAGGGTCAATTGACTCGAGAGATGGAATGTAAAGAAAAAACTCTGGCCCTTGAGACCCATCTTGAAGCGCTGTTAAATATATATTACATTTAGCGATAGTCGTCGTAGAAATGGCGAAAATAGATGGTAGACCAGTCTTTGCGCGCGGCAGTAGATCAAAGCGCAGTTCTTCGAAGAATAGAAACGCAGTTCTCCATACCTATGCTTGCGCAGGATCATTGTTGGGATGGTACGGCCGAACGGATGCGGCTGGATACCTTTTCTCAAATGTAGATACGAATGCAACGTAAAAAATTTAAACGTGTTCTCGATCCATTACTCTTTTGACATTCTACCCACTGCATAATAATTCTCCTCCTCCTGCTTCTACAGATACCATTTTACAACGAAGACCACCGATGTCTCTCTCTCGTCCTCAACTACACCTTTCCCCTTGACGAGGTCCTCATCATCGAGATCAATCCTGGAATGTGTATCTGCAAGGTCAGGGGGATCAAACTAGTGAGCAAACGTTCCGCTTGGAGGGGACGATTGAATTACAAGGATGCCATTGGAGCCAACTGTATAGAGTATTTTTTCCAAAAATTTCTCCCTCGACCAAGGAAATTTCCGCTCTCACATTCCATCCGTATGAGATCTCAGCCATAGGACGAATAGGCAGATACGCATCCTTTTCCAAACCTTAGTTCCATGTCTGGTCTCTAATCTAATAATCTAATAAAATATGCTGTCTTGCCCATTTCTGCCTTGCCACTTCTCACTTCTGCCTTATTCTTTTTCAAGTTCATTGCCTCTTCTCGTATTCATCGGCTACTCCAATTGATCGACTATTCCTCCGCTTTGTCCATCGATTCTTCTTTCGCCTTATTCTGAAACTCATCTCTTGCCTCATTCCTCATGAGCACCTCACCTTCGAACCAGCAAGCTTCCAAAAATCAGGCCACAAGGCAGACACAAAAACGTCGAGCAGCAAAGCGCCAGATCTCAGAGGATGTAGAAAAAGAGGAAGAAGGAGGAGAGGAAATACTTGTGAGGCGGCGCCGTCGTCTTCACGCCGCTCAAGGCAAGGAACTTACAAGACCATCATCGTTGCTTTGGTTCCCACGCATGTCATCCTTGATTTTGCTGACCTTTGACAGCATGACGTAGAAGGTCGAGGCATGATTTCCCTAGATCAGTTGATTGAAGCTGAGGAAGACCTGGAGGGAAGTCCGGTTGCTGAAGAAGATTCAGAGGGTGAAGAGCCACAAGTCGATAAACGAACCAGAGACCATGGAAACAATTGTATGTGCTGCGCTCACCCAGAAGTTGAGTAACCATGCTGCTGTGCATGCGTTCATTAATCTCCATATCTATTTTTTTTCCCTCTGGCTCCAGATTTGGCTTCAACGATAGACGAGTTAGTATGTTCGCCAGAACTTTTACAGGAAAAGAGAAATATAGATTGTGGCAGCGTAGATGAAGCCATTGCTCGCTTCCAGGAGAACCAGCTTCTTACCAACAAGCTCAGGCTGGAAGAGTCGAGACTGAAGCCAAACAGCCAGAAGAGCTATAGAACATATTTAGGCTTTTGGAAGGTATGCGGATGGAAGGCCATGGTTTGTGCATACTCTCGCGTGCTCATGACACGACATAACCGAACAACTGGCTCATTATGTCTAGGCTTGGTGCGACGCGAAATACGCGTGGGAAATGGGACGGCGCTACGATATATGCGAACTCAAGGCGCTTAGGTTCTTCTCTGAGTTCATGTTTAAAAGGGAGACCAAGAAATCCTTCTATGCGAACCAGAGGAAGGACGTCATTACTCCTTACAGAATTGAAGCTGGATCGGAAGGTCGAACGATCGATTTGAGTGAAGGTACGGTCCATGTGATAGACAAGCGCTTTTCGCCACCTCTCAGGCTTTCGTTATTCCTCGACACTCTTCTGACATCTGATATATTGCTATTCAGTCCTCGAGGTCGTTCCAGTGGACACAAAAGGAAGGAGAATGCTCACGATCCCTTGTGGCTCTGGCAGTAATGAGCAAGCGCTCAAGGCGATTATCCATCTGCAGAAGTGACTGGCTTGCCGCAAAGTACTCCCTGTAACTGAGAGAAGTGTTCGAGAGAGCGGGACCATTGCCAACGCCCTCGAAGAGTACTGAGGTGTAGTAAATGAGAATCAGTTGGTTGTTCTTGCAAAGTTAATATTAGATCACGGGGAAGAGCATCGCCCCCAGAATAAAAGAATAAACGGTCCGGTACCTGAACCAGAGTCTTCTTTCCACCTAAATCATTTGTATCACACATTGTATTCGTCCAGATTGTCCGGATAACACCGCATCAACGACAGGTACTGACTACCACCGTCAGTAACCCATGCAACGAGATACGATCAACAGGGAATGCCGATCCTGATCATTCGCCACCTTTGCACCGTCAATCGCTCTTATTTAGACGTTGTACTTGCCCCGCAGCGCTTCCCCGATTACCGATCGTCTCATTGAGCATCCGACATCGGCCCACCCTCGTGAAACGGCATTATAAAGGTACAACGGAGGCCTGATCAGCGACTATTGGCATACAACGACTCCAGAGGGGTGGACTTTATTGTCACGACTCCTCACCTCATCGGACATCACAATATGCGAACTCCTTGCAACTACCCCAGTCATTCCCAAAGGAATATAGTCCTAGCTCGCACCATTTAGCTAAACAGATCCCCATATTTATTCCTTTCCATTTACGTCTAGTCTATTTTGCCTTTGTGTTCTTACATTCCGATCTAAAGGAGGACCCTGCGCCGCGAACCAGTAAGTGACCGAAGCACACCCTTGCCGAAGTCCTATTCGCGTGGTAACTCCTGTTGTAAATAGAACTAATGGTAGAAGTTATAGAACCCGTTAGTAGACCCCCTACACCGCAGTACAGACAGAGCATTGTGATGGGAACTCTGAAGCACGGCGACGACATGACATTCAGGGGCGAAATCAGCAGGAGCTACAGCATTGAGGAGCACTTGCGCATATTGCTGGGCGCCTGGGGCCAGCCGCTGTCAATCCAGTCACCTTGGCAGAGGGAGCATATGGCGTACGCGACAAGGCACGCCATGGCATTGCGGGACGAGGAGATCCGAAAACTGAATCTGTCTGACTGCTATGTGGATCAGATACTCAATCAGGATGGAGGATCGCAAGCCGTGACAATGCTGGTGTTCACCACCCATCGTTCGAAGACGAACAAGAGTGGGCGACCACAGTATGACTGCGCCCTCAGGCATGAAGATGTTCGCCGCTGTAGTGTTGGTGCTATGGGGTTCTACCTTTATGACCGGTTCGAAGTAAGTGCGATGGTTTTGTTTCCCATTAGTTAATGCAAAGCTCGATGTCGCTGTATAACTAATTCATATTTCTTTTCGCAACAGATCTGGAAGGAGGACAAGATTAATTTCGATGAGCCTTCCTGGCGTAGTATTAAGACGTTGAAAGGCACAGGGCTTGACCGAACAAAGGAAATCTCGTATACCGTAGGGCACAAGCATACGACGGAACTCTTTGCCAGGCAACAGCTGAGCAGCGATGTCAAAGCACATGCTAACCGCCACAGCGCAGCTCTTGAGGCTCAGAGGTTAGGTTTGACAGACGATTCGATCAAGGTGGGAGGTCGATGGACTCAACGTGGCAGCAAATTGCACAGCTACAGTGCGCAACAAAAAGTTCACATGATTTTGTAAAATTCGACATTTTCCTTCATAAGTCCTCGTTGGCACATTTGATTACTCCAGAACCTCGGGGAACTACACTCTGGTATTATATCCTCCACAATGGGAAATTCGAGAAGGATCTGATGACTATGGATTTCTATGTGATTTTAAAGTCGCATGTCCATATGAACTTTATTTTTTGGATAAACGTTGATTGTCAACTCCTTTATTGATATCTCCAGTCATTCTTCCTTTAATACTCGATAGGGCCTCCCTTACTTCTGTAGACCATCGCGATGCGCTGTGGCATGCTATCGTACAGTTTATGGATAAAGTCTATGGGAATATTTGTCCATATGTCCTGCACTCTCTCCCATAGTTCTTCCATGTTCACTGGTGCCTTTGGGTAATGTCCGAGCTTGCGTTTAACGTGCGTCCACACATGCTCGATCGAATTAAGGTCTGCTGAGTTGGCAGGCCACTGCAGGGTTTTGATCTTGGCCTTGGAAAGGAACTTTTGGACGGCTTTTGCGGTGTGAACCTTGGCATTGTCATGCTGATAAACAACTTTTGTCGGATCCATGTCATACCCATCCCTGGATTGGAGAACATAGGAATTGAGGACATCCACGTACGCCTCAGCGGTGACCCTGTCCCGGATCCAACAGGCATCTCCTACGCCGTAATAGGTGATACAACCCCAGATCATCATTTTACCACCGCCGCCTTGCTTGGTTTTCTTGGTTTGAAATGTCCGGATCGTCTTGCCCTCGGGCCTTTTGTAGTAGAACTCCCTTCCAAAGGACCCAATCCTGCTAATTATGCTTTCGTCCGAGAACATTATATCACGCCATTGCTCAGTAGTCCAATGTAAATGGTCGCGAGCGAATTTGTACCGATTCTCGATTTGATCGTCCGTCAGATCAGGTTTCTTAGGCTTGACGTACGCTTTCAGTCCTTGCTGCCTTAGATAGTTCCGGATCGTCTGTACATGGACATGAACACCTTGTGTCGAAAGGACAAGTTCCTGACCATCATGTGGAGTTAATAGTTGTCCGATTGACATTTTTCGGGCTAAAAGAGTCTTCGTGGTCTTGGAAACCTTTGAAGGCCTGCCTCTTTTCTTGATGGGGATGTAGTACTTGTATAGTCTCCTAACCTTGGATACCATTCCGACCGATATACGAAGGGTTTGGGAGATCTCACGAACAGTTTTTCCTTGTTTGAGGAGCGCAAATGCTTTCGCTTTGGTTGATTCCGGCAGAGACTTCATGTTAAGGAGCAAAGTTGCTGAGAGTGAATATGAAGGGGAGTGCAGTGTAGCGGTAGTGTTTAATTGACGAGTGAGGATGTAAAGTACAGAGAATGGAACTATTGAGGATGAAGTTCTTATATCCAAAAAATAAAGTTCATATGGATATAAGACTCTAGAATTACATAGAAATCCATAGAGTCATTAGATCCTTCTCTAATTTCCATAGTGGAGGATGTAAAACCAAGGTATAGCTCCCCGAGATTCTGGAGCAATCAAATGGGCGAACAAGGAATTATGAAGGGAATTGTCGAATTTTGCAAAATCATGTGAACTTTTTGTTGCGCACTGTATCACGCTCTTGCTGCTTCTTGCTGTTCTTGTTGTATGCGGTCGTTGCAGCTTGTCCCCACTTATCAATCTGCTGCAGCCCTTCGCGCCAGATCTCCTTGTGGACATCTCCAGTAGCACTGCACGTCCACAGGTGATGGTTGTCCTCGTCCTGAACATCGCAGACGCAGCAGACACGGTCAGGATATAGACTCGGGTGGCGAGCCTTCATGGTATTCAGGGTGGGCAGCATACCATGCAGCTTCTTAATATGATGTGTCCTCTGGGACGTATCAGCAGCACTGCTGAAGAACGTGTGCACAGAGCGCTTGTCGTGGACATGGGCAAGGGTGGACCGCCACTCCACGTCGGCAAGATCTGGTATCGCTCTCTTGACACGACGTTGGGTTGTCCAGGCCTGATGACGCCTGATTGTCGTCTGCTGCTTGAGTAGCTGCCGCAGATCATGTTCCACAAGATGGTCGTGGCAATGTGCAAAAAAACGGATGTCTTGCTGCTCGCTTAAATCAACCGACCAGGGCGTTGACTCGACTTTTTTTTTTTATTTTTTTTTTTTATTAACATAAATTCCCATGAGCACAAGACGCATGGTCCGCAAAGGCCTTGAAGCCATAGATGCCTTCCATGCACGGCAGAGCCGCATCCCCTACCAACTATGTTGGCTTGAGGCGTCAAATTCATAACCCATGTCGCATAGCTAGCCTAACCTAACTCCTGCGTGACCTGTTGCGCGATACACGTCTCCTAATCCAGATCCAATGTTAATAAAGTTGTTTTTAAACCGAATAACCCCTCCATTATGTCCAACTTCCCTCGCCCCAAGCAATGCTGTAGCACCCTATAATCCGCGGCCCGTCTACCTTCCTGGATCTCCGTTGCAAGTAACCGTCTCCCTTTCAAATTCTCTCGAGCAGCATCCCAGTGTAGAGTGGGGGAACCTTTTTTTTTTTTTTTTTTTTTTTTATAACAACTTGTCTCTCGAGTCAATTGACTCTGCGAATCTATCAGACTAACTAGCAAAGATCTACTATCGCTGTCCTCACCACCAAAGCGGAACCGATCCACAGTCGCCAAAAGACAGGTCACATTCCCCGGGCCTGCCCCTAGGGCCTGCGCAACAATTGCCACACCTCATCAGTGTGTTAAAAGCTGAAAACACCTTGTTACAAGAAGGGTATCTTCCCCATCCCCTCCATAGTTGTCAACCGCCTCCTCCCTTGCAGGCAATCCAGCAGTGTCCGATCCGCTGCGTCTGGGTCAAGCACGGGGCCAGGGCAGCTCCCGTTTACATGGTCAGCGAGTAATGCACCACACGGACATTGGTCATCGTCGCTAATATATCCATACCCATCACTCCAGTCCCCTCTCGGTCCCTTGTATGGAGTTCGTTTCATTGTAGAGTGGGGGAACCTGGACTCGAACCGTGGTTATGACGTCACCTGTCACTGAACCGATGTGACTTTTATTCCGTCCAGCGGATGGCACAAAAGAGCTTCTGTGGCGCAATTGGTTAGCGCGTCTGACTGTTAATCAGGAGGTTGGTGGTTCAAGCCCACCCAGGAGCGACGTTTTCTTTTTTGGGTTAATCTATGATGACAACTCCTCTAGTTTAACAGTCCCATTTTACATGCTATGGGCAACCCGGCCTTCTGGCTGGAGCGAGGCGAGGACTCAAGACGCGATTAAAAGAAGGCATACTTCCTCCAGCATCACCCTAGTCATACGTGGCTATTTAGTATTATTCACCACCTAGACTCAATAAAGTTCCTGGCTTAAAAAAAAAGGATATATGCTGTTGAGTCCAGTGCTGTGCTGCAGATATTGATGGGGGAGGGGAGGGGGTGAATTTTTAAACCCTCTTTTTCACATCATGACATCCAGGCAACTTTCTGTATTCCTACTCCTCGTCATCTCTGTTGGGCTCATCATCAAGGCATCTCGTGGCAACTCGGAGAACTGCGACCCGGCCGACCACAGATGCTTTACCTACCGACCAGATGCAAAGATCGCCTTCATCACCTCCTACTTCAAGCCAAGCGATGACCAACGCAAGGCGGAAATCGATGTCTGTCTGGCCAGCCTGATGGCAAATCCGGTGCTGGAGCAGGTCCATGTTCTTGTCCAGTCAGAGGATCTGCCTCTGCCCTCCTTCGCTGTCCACAATCCAAAGACACATGTTTCCAACGTCACAAAACGACCGCTAATGGGAGATTTCATTCAGTACAGCTGCGACCACCTGCTCGACCATCGTGTCATCTTTGCCAACTCGGACATCTTTTTTGACTCATCGCTGGAGTACTTCACTAAGAAGTCCGACAAGGTATTCGACTCGACCTTCTACGCTATTTCTCGGTGGTGGCTAGCCAAAGAGGGTATGACGCCACACCCTTATCCAGCATACGGCAGTTATGATACATTCGCGTTCAAGCCCAGGGTCCTTTGCACAGAGAAGGCGAAACTCCAAGAGCTGGTTGCCAACCTCAATTACACATTAGGCATCCTTGGAGCCGAGAATCGACTTTTATATGAGGTCAAGCGCCTTTATCCAGAGCTCAAGCTGGAAAATCCCGTGTGGACCATTAGGACAGTGCACATCCATCAGTCTCAATATCGCTCCGGCGATTGGCATAACCGCGTGGACGAGGATGGGAAGAGTCATAGGATAACGAGCTACTAGAGCCTTGATTCCAAACAGGCAGATAGAAAGCATGTCCCTTACACTGATTAAACGCTCTTTCTGCGACATTCCTGGTGAGAAATATGACTGTGTCCAGGATCAATGAGAGCAAGAGAGGGATCTTTAATTACAGCGACCGAGCAATTACCTATTGCTCAGCGGCTTAAGTTAATGTCTGGACTCAGTCTAGCTATCGAGCACAGATACAGCGTGTAAATGGGCTATATGCCACACGGCTCCCCTCCCATAGGAGAGTGAATCGTACTGTTCTATGCGAGCTCTTAAGATGCTGAATGTATGTTGAGGATAAAAATGTAAAAACCTCTAGTGATAATTATGGGGCGAGGATAAAAATATAAACCTCTTTGATGTATGATGTGCGAGGCATAAAAAGCTGATTCCAGCAAAACCTCTTGGTAATGTAGATTTGACGAGGGATAAAAAGCTATTATGTAGCAAAAAACCTCTTTGATGAAGTGCGATCATTTGCGGGCGCGAAGACTTCTGTTATCCCTTCGTCTGTTTCTGCCCAAAATATTGGGCAGATTTTTTTCAGTTTGCAGATTAAAGAGGTTATCTCAAAAACTGGCTAGGAGACCCCCTCACGCCTAAACGAAGTCGATTCTCGCATCAATTTTACGTAGGGAGGAAGTTCGTTTGGAGCAGGTCGCCATCATCGACATGTATGCTTTCCTCAATTCACTTTTTTTGCTCATTTCGCCCATTTCACCCATTACTCTCAATGGACCCTATTCTTGCGTCTTTAGATGTCCAGGATTTTTAGCCCTCTATACCATGCCAACCATCTTGGCTCACCCCCCCTCACAGATAAACGCAAGATATACCAATCAATGAAAAATGAGTGTCTCGAATTTCAAGGCCCCAGGACCGGCACTGGACACCTGAGGCCATATCCCCTTCACCCTATTTTTATGACTCTTATCGTATGGTGTGACATGCATTTTGTGCCCAGAAAAATCTGCCCAATATTTTGGGCAGATTTTGTGACAGACGAAGGGATAGGGCTTTCTTCTTTCCGTTTTATTCTGAGATTTGGGTTTGTATTACTGTGATTATTAGGCTTGTTTGGTGCGGCTTTTGTGCCATGCTTCTCCCAATAATCACGAATGCATTGTCTTTCTACGAAGTTTTCTTCGGGTTCCCAGGTACATTCCTTTGTTAGAGTAACCCTTCCACTTAGTTCTGTACTCCCACTTCCCCTTCTTCGTAGGATGTGGACGATGATGTAGAATTTTCTCCACCGCGTACGTTGGTGTTAAGCCAAAGTCTTCTAGAGTTGAGATGGAGCGTATTTTCTACCAAGTAGGGCTCTTGTACCATCTCACGGCTCATATGCGCCTCCTGTCGATCGGCGTACTACGGTGTAAGGCCCTTCATAACGAGGTGATAGGTTATCGCCTCTGATTGCATCGAGGGTCATAATCTTTGCGCCTTCAGGAAAGTCGTTATGTAGAATAGTCGCATTAAAGCGCTCAATCATTTTCTGTTGTGTTCCTCTCGATCTTTTGTCGATTGCGGGAAAGATGATTGTCGTCATATAATCGAGACGTTTACAGAGTCCTTCATGGGTAAGCAGTTGGTCCTTTCGTTGGAGAAGTTATGGAACCCATTAAATTTTCTTGCAAAAAATAGAGAGAACGGCGATGAGTTGTGCAGCGCCACTACGCGGGTGTTCATCGCCAGTTGAGCCATGGGAACATGTTCGTCCCAGGTATCACTCTTCTGTTTGAATTCTTTTTTGATAATATCTACGGCAACTTTGACGTGCCTTTCTGCGACGCCATTGCCTCTAGGATGATATGGGATGACTAAGCGGTGGTGTGTGCCCATCTCAGTGCTGATAGTGTTCATGAGAGCGTTCACAAATTCAGTGCCATTGTCAGATTGCAAACCACGCGGAAAACCAATGAGGCAAAATATGTCAAAGAGGGCGCGCCCGATGGTGATTGCTTGCTTATCATGTATTAGTTTCAGAAACACGAAGCGCGTGCACACATCGACTACTATCAGAAGGCATTGATTACCATTAGCTGAAGTAGGGAATTTCCCAGCGAGATCTGTGGCCATGTGTTCTCGAGGCAATTGAGCGTGGATGGCTTTCAATAGATGATAACCCTTTTGAGCAATGTTGTATCTTTGACAATCCGGGCATTTCTTAACCCAGGTCAGGCAATCTTCTGCTAGTCGCGGCCATGTAACATGATCAGCATGAATATTCTTCGCCATGACATTAGTGCCAAAATGACCAAGAGAATGGGCTTTGTCCAATACAGTTTTAGCACGGAGGGCGGATTATTCTCAAAGGAAGAAGATTATTCACCATGGAATTTTAAAGACCAATGTGCTAGTCTATCTCTGCCCAGGACAACCAATTTTTGTTGCTAAAACTACCTATAATAAACTACACAAAATAAATCATCACTGAGCCTTTCTATTGCTTTTCATTACCATGGCTATTGCCATACTCAGCTTTTCCTTTTAGGTGACGAATACGATGGCTTTGCTCCTGAAGATGCTCCACCGCGGGCACGCTCCTCTACATCCGTACTTGTTCCACTAGTTGATATGTTCCTAGTACAAGTCCTTTCACATCCACCACTTCGCACTTTTTTCCATCCACCTCTGTAATGAAACGCATCTTCGATTATTTTATATTTAGAATATACATGCCTTAGAACGGCAGTTTAATGTATCTACCCATTCGCCAGTCGTTGAACGATTGTATGTCAAAGTTATGGCCTGCCCAGTGGATCATAAAATCACCTGGGCGGTACATTTCGTATAGCTTCTTGACGTGCCAGTAACTGTTGAAACTGCATTGCGGGAGGTACTTGACATGCTGTTGCTCTTCAAAATTGGGATCCCCCAACAACTTGATCATCCAGTCCTGTTCACTTGATCCATTGCCCATCTTGGATAGAATCTCTCGCATGTAGGACCGCGACCAGTCATTGACTTTGAGCATAAAGACGCCCGCGTTCATGAAATTCAAGTCCTTTGTGATTAGGAGCGAGTAGCGATCATCGACAAATTGCTCGAGTTGGATATCCATATTGGCGATCAAAACTTCGCCCAAAAACCTCCTCCCACATCCACCACTGCCAAACACCCTTCATCTTTACACATTCACTGTTTGACCCTTATCACTCAACACCATTCCCTTTGCTCCTCCTCAACCACTAAATCCCTACTATATTGACTACCGAGAGCATGGATACAGCGTGCAGCCAATCGTATGTGAAGTGTACCTTTGTTACTTTTTACATAGACATTGGTCCCATGCTGACTCGACACGAATTTATCGAATCTATAGTCCTGCCGCTGGACCTGTCCGAGCACCTCGAGCATGTAAATGTGGGCAACTTAGCCACTCCAGAATCATCTTCAATGAATGCCCTGAGAATGCTAATAATACGCCCGAAAGGCAGGTTCTTTTTATTCTTTTATTTTCTTTACTTTTTTTTATGGGATGAGTTTATACTTCTCACCAGGCGCGCTGATTTAATTGCCGCTTACAATCACCGGCATAGCGCATTGGATTTAGGTGCGCTACCCATCGGCCGACTGCACTACGCGGTCTCAAACTTTGCGAGCAGCGTGGATCGTGATCGTTACTGTTTGCTTCTTTTCTCCTGCATGTCAGTGGAGCGACCAGCTTTAATCATCTCCGCACGAATCCAGACACTGGCGAAATTTTATGCTACTTACTGAGAGACCGCCAATGCGCGCAGGTTACTGGAAGATGACTCTGAATGGCACCGTTGTCTTCAGGAAACTGCAGGTCACCAAAGACCTGCGGCCTCGCGCCATCTTTTTGCCATGGTTCTACATCCATGCAGCCCATCTACTCCTCTCGAATTATGGGAAGCGTTCGCTGATGACCCATCTCAGAACTTTCTGTACATTGCTGGAGATCGCCCAAATACTGAAGAGGATGCCAAGAGCACTGCACTGTTCCACGTCAACGGGATTTTGAAGGGAACTGGGACTAGTCTGGCGGTCTATGAGGAGATGCCTCGAGACTTTCGCAACCTCATCGATCGTCAACCCAACAATGATGAACTTGGACAATATGCAGAGCTCGACACTGGAACACTTGCGACTAAGGCGGCACATGACCTAGATCTCTGCAATGACGATCAAAATGCGATGTACGCTGAAATCACAGCAGCGCTGTATATAACAAGGACGAAGGGGCGACAAGGGTGTTTTTTATTGATGAGCCAGGAAGAACGGGCAAGTCTTTTTTGTACAACGCTTTGATTGCCCACATCCGAGGAAGGCGTGAGAAGGACGTGATCGTAGCCGCCTCATCTGGAATTGCTGCTCAGCTCTTGACAAGAGGTCGTACAGCCCACTCGACTTTCAAAATCCCGCTCCAGATCATGGAAAGCTCAACGTGAAATATCCCTATGGAGTCAGGAGCGGCAAAAAGGATCCGAGAAGCAGAAGCCATCTTCTGGGACGAGGCGCCGATACACCACCAGCATATCTTCAAAGCGGTGGATGGCACATTCCGCGACATCATGCAAAGGTCGACCTCCCATTTGGTGGTAAAGTCGTTGTATTTGGAATAGACTTTTGTGAAGTCTTGCCAGTGGTGCCTCGAGGAACTCCTGGCCAGATCGAGGGTCCTGCCTTAGGGACTCTCAGAAGACCTAATCGCATGTACAGACGTTGTTCCTTAGAGAGAATATGCGAACAAAGGGAGATCCGCTCAACCACCTTTCTCAAAATGGCTACTCGACATTGGCGATGGTACGGAGCCAACAGTGGATTCAGGACCATACAATGATTTGGTAAGGATTCCAGATCGATTTGTCTTCAAACTACCCGACCCCGTCACCAGGGACAACCCTTCCGAAAAGCAGTTCATCGGGGAGATTTGCCCCGACATTGAGACCGCTCCCTTGCGGCCAGCTGTTTTAAAAGATCGGGCTATACTGACGATACTAAATGCCGATGTTGACAGAGTCAACGCTATGGCAACCAGATGGTTCTTAGTGGGAGACAAGGCGAGGGGAAGGTTTATATCAGTCAGGACATAGTAGCGGACGGCGTGAACGCTGCCGCGTATTCTGTAGAGTACCTGAATTCCCTCAACCCTCCAGGTATGCCTCCGCATGTGTTACTGTTGAAGATTGGCAAGCCCATCATTCTCCAAATATGGATGGCAAATCAGGCCTCTGCAACGGCACTCGATTGGTCGCTCGAGCGCTCCATCAGAGATACCTGAGTGCAGAGATTCTTCATGGCGAGTTCAAGGGTCGGACAGTCCTCATTCCGTGCATACCACTTACGACCATGGACGACGGAAGTACGCCAATTAAGTTCACTAGGCTTCAGTTCCCTGTCAAGGCCGCATTTGCCATGATCGTCAATAAGGCGCAAGGGCAAACACTTTAGTATGTTGGTGTTTACCTCCCTCAACACCATTTTGGTGCTGGGCAACTTTATGTCGTCTTCTCGCGTTGCACGCACCGAGACAATTTAAAGGTTCTGGTAGAAAATAGTACCATAAATGGACGAGAGGGAGTTTATTCGGGAAACATCGTTTCTGGAGCGCACAATAATTTTTTTGCGCCCCTTGGCCTCGAGGCGATAGCCGCGGGCAAGCTGTTAGTGGTTATTAAAAACGACCTGTGAGAAGTGACACATAGGCAAATACAATAAGAGGAGAGCTGATCGTAAACGGCTTTGCTTTGATAGTTTATAACAATAGTTGTGGCAGAAATATCTACTGTTTGTAGTACTTGAACATGCTGACTCTCTTCAAATCGGTATAGTCGCAAGAAGCCGGATCTCCATCTGCGACATCTGGGGCAACAGCAACGCCTGCCTCAGGGCAGACCTTTCTCAGTCCTGACTCAGTGAAGCGCTCATCCGAGCAAGAAACGCACATATTTCCTCTGCAGTTACTCAAAACATTGTCATTCATCGTTCCATCCTTTCCGATCCTGACCAAGGCGTAGAACAAATCGGTGACATCTTGACCCTTGATCGTGCCGCCCCCGCAGGCGGCAGCCTGGACATAGACGAGAACGGAGGACACAATCACGACGAGTGTAAGTTTCATGGTGGAAACTAATTTGCAAGATGTCGCAGAGGTTGAAGTAAACAAGTTAATGGCTGGTTATACGTTCCATGACATAACGGTTTTTCTCCACAAGAGCACATGGGATGTAAAGCTGAAGCATTACTGAAGCCGGACAAAACGCGACACAGTTACGGAATGGCTGCTGTGGTCTGGAGTAGCATTACCAGGAGGATACTTACATTGTGAAGGTGATGAGGAATGGTAAGAAGCAAATAGGGCATAGTCCTTGCCCTTTATAACAAAATCAAGAAGTAGGGTACCAAAGTAAGTAGATGGACCAGCATAAACTATGACGCGCAGAAAGACGCCTGATATTGCGGTGAAGTATTGAGCTTTGCTGCCTGCGCTGGTCTAGGTATGGATAAGAGTATACATCAAAGCCAGTTGCTGTGCTAAAATTTATGTTGAAGACAAACGATTGGAGACGTGGCGCATTCTGTGAGGTACATTTTTTGTGTTGTTGTTGCGCTTGGAGATAGTTCTTTTACAGTTGTATGGAGTAAGGAAACTCCCAATCTGAATGCTCGAATAATTTGTGTTCCACACTGAATACAAGGGTCTAACGCACAACTACGCACACTGTAGCGAGTGATCAGCACAACGGTCTTCTTGTTCAACTGGAACAAGGAACAAAAGACCGCTGGCTTCGATCCTCCTTTTATACAGGCACAACCCCAAAACCTAATATCAAATCCTGCGTACCCTTGGTGGCTGCTGGCCAACAATGATCAATGACCCCTAACACAAAAAATGTACCTCACAGAATGCGCCACGTCTCCAATCGTTTGTCTTCAACATAAATTTTAGCACAGCAACTGGCTTTGATGTATACTCTTATCCATACCTAGACCAGCGCAGGCAGCAAAGCTCAATACTTCACCGCAATATCAGGCGTCTTTCTGCGCGTCATAGTTTATGCTGGTCCATCTACTTACTTTGGTACCCTACTTCTTGATTTTGTTATAAAGGGCAAGGACTATGCCCTATTTGCTTCTTACCATTCCTCATCACCTTCACAATGTAAGTATCCTCCTGGTAATGCTACTCCAGACCACAGCAGCCATTCCGTAACTGTGTCGCGTTTTGTCCGGCTTCAGTAATGCTTCAGCTTTACATCCCATGTGCTCTTGTGGAGAAAAACCGTTATGTCATGGAACGTATAACCAGCCATTAACTTGTTTACTTCAACCTCTGCGACATCTTGCAAATTAGTTTCCACCATGAAACTTACACTCGTCGTGATTGTGTCCTCCGTTCTCGTCTATGTCCAGGCTGCCGCCTGCGGGGGCGGCACGATCAAGGGTCAAGATGTCACCGATTTGTTCTACGCCTTGGTCAGGATCGGAAAGGATGGAACGATGAATGACAATGTTTTGAGTAACTGCAGAGGAAATATGTGCGTTTCTTGCTCGGATGAGCGCTTCACTGAGTCAGGACTGAGAAAGGTCTGCCCTGAGGCAGGCGTTGCTGTTGCCCCAGATGTCGCAGATGGAGATCCGGCTTCTTGCGACTATACCGATTTGAAGAGAGTCAGCATGTTCAAGTACTACAAACAGTAGATATTTCTGCCACAACTATTGTTATAAACTATCAAAGCAAAGCCGTTTACGATCAGCTCTCCTCTTATTGTATTTGCCTATCGCGCTTTAGCCACACTTCTTACAGGTCGCTTTAAATAGCCATTCGCGATATTGTGCATTTCACACAAAAGTGTAAAAAATATATTCTAAGACTAAGACCAGGTTCTAAATTGCTCAAGAATGTACCGACCTCGAGTAAGAGCCGCTTCAGACAGCGCAATTCCATGCTGCTCGAGTCTCGGCTTTATCTGTTTGGATTTGGGCAATGAGCGCCATCGACTTGTATTATACCGCAAATTTTTTTATTTTTTTTTTATTTGACAAACCCCTGCGGTATAACTTGTTCAAGCTGCAGATCGCCTATTCAAGGAACAATAGTTGTTTAATGGTCACCGATTTGTAGGCCTGTCCTCTTCATCTCAGGCAACAAGGCCTAGTAACAATCAAAGAACATCGAATAATGAACCTGAGCAAACAAGCAATGTCATTCATCAAAAGAAAAACGAGAAAAAAATGTCATATAGTTTCCTTCTATATATCACTTAATGGACTGTCCACTACGGTGCAGGAAAGAAGGATTGGTGAGTCCATTTAGGACGCGAGAACAGAACGAGATGCATGAAACAGGATCGGCAGTAGACGTGAAGGATGTGCGGAAAGGCAGCGGGGCGAGAACGACGACCAATACGGAGTGCAAAAAAAAGGTCAAATGTGTCGGCTGAGTCGACAGTGACACGCTCCTAAGATGTTGGCACAAACAACCACAAAAGAAAAAAGAAGAGATAGAAAAGAAAAAGAGAGAGACAGCAGACTCTGCGCAGATATCACAATTACGAGCAGATAGCTCTGCGGGGTGGCTCTTTATGGTGAGAGTGGAAGAGGAGTGGGGACAAGGGAGGAGCGCCAACTGGGAGATGAGAACGGGGAATAGGAGGTCCTGATGGCTTGCCACGACCGCCGTCTCCCTCCCATAAGAGACTTTTCTTTCCGAGGCGAGTGTCGCGAGTCATCATATACAGTCTTTGCTCCAGACATCCCAGTGGAGGAAGCCTCTTTGGACCAAATGTTTGTGCAAGACACACAGCAAATTTTCTCTCCAGAAGATGAAAGCGAGAAGAGTCAGGATGGTCAAACAGAACCACGCTACCACAGAATGAAGGAAACGAAGGAGTATAAACTAACCCTTGCCACCAAATGTTTGCACAGAGACGCACGCCAAGTTTTAGAGGAGGCGGGAAGGATGAAGTTGCAGGTCAGAGTGGAATGAAAGAAACCACGCTTTACTTGACTCGGGGCGTTGGCCGCGAGCAGTGCACCTAGTTGCAAATAGAAGCTAGTATTAAAAGAAAATGCTTTATTAGCGCCCCTACACCGCAGTGCTAGACGATTTGAAGCGAGGTTATATGAAGCGATAGTATGTTTCAAGAAATGCATCCAAGGATGATGTCTCTAGTACAAGGATGTAAATTGGCAATGGACTTCAAGCGGACATCAAAACAAACGGGCCAGAGAAGAAAAAAGCATGCAGTGCGTATGAAATTCCAATACTCGGCGAGGTTTTACAGCACAGACTCCAAGTTTAGAGTGTAGTTGGCAATGGTACTTGAACGTCAAATTGTACCTGCGCTTTTCATCTGCACTAAATGCCAAGCTCGCTCGAGCTGAGAATCTATCCTGATCAGCTTGTGATTCTGCAAAGGGCCCTGTTGTGTGTCTACCCGCCGCAGATATATACCTAGTCAATATGTAGGGCTTATGGTTCCGCAGAAATGACAATCAACATTGGCACGATGGTGGGACAAGATGTTGGCGAAGCAGCACAAAGAGGCGATGCAAATGGGGAGGCGAGGGCAGAAGGTATATTTATTCTTCACACCTTCCTCTTTCTGCGCTCGCCATCTTCTTCTCACGACTTTTCCCCGCCCGGTATCTCCCACCACTTTTTCATCCAAGGAGCAAGAGAGGCATGACAAAACTCAACCATGACCAGCAGTTCCGAGCCCAGTCGACGAGCAACATAGTCGCCATCCCAAGCCTGCCGGATATCAAGTCTGGAGATCGCTTTGTTCTGTGGAAGCATATCCAGAAAATATTCAAGAATGCGGACTACATCGCTAACGGCAGCGGTTTGGTCCCCTTTATGATAGGCGACGACTATGAAGAGTAAGAGGTGCAGAAACAAAGAGTGAAATATCCATTAGTTGCCGAGAAACGAAAGAAGGACAGCATTCAATTGACATGCATCTACTTCTGCTATGGAAACTAGTCTAGTTCCCCAGAGAGTCCTCTATCATCCAGGCGTTGTTCTCGATGTTGAGATGAAAGATGTCGACCAAGAAGCCATCACTTCGCTAAAGGCTACTTCTTGCAGTAGCACCACCGCCATTGTCCCTGACGCGAGTTCATCGTCTGGATCGTCGCTGGTGGTGGTAGAACGCGCGCGCACCACATTTCAAAATGCAACAAAAGTCATTTCTGGCTCGTAGCAAATCACAGACCTCACCATAGCAACCGAGAAGGCGTCGAGAAGGAGTATTATCGCCCAGTCTGCCGAGCAGGCGGCCATAGCCCAGCAAAATACTCAGGAATACCTCCGGCTCTACACTTCATACATCGAGGCCAATGTCTCTGGCCAGTCCATCCAGGCTGCAAGCATCAAGAGCGCAATGCAGGAACGCTTCGGTCTCTGGGACCCGCAGGTCCTGCAGCAGGCCCTCGATCGTCAAGCCGTTCTCCAAAGCCAAGTGCGGCGCTTCGCATCCAGACATACGAGCTCCACCAGTACCCAATACCTCGACTGTTTATCGTTCTACCGAAATCAAAGCGGCGCAGAGACAAGCTCTTCAAACCATTCGCAAAGCAGTTCCGGCTGTTCTTCCTGTGCGAGTGCGGTGAGCACACCATGATAGAGGATACCACGATCCCGCACGAGATACATCTGGCCAAGCACGAGGGATATGATATCGACCAGCCCAACGACTTCTTCGAGAGATACGGATCCCATGTTCTGACGGTCATGAAGCTGCTCAAGCACGGCTGCACTATCGTCGGTCGTGCTGTACCGCCCTTGGCGTGCTTAAACTTAGCCGAGGGAGTCGAGACTATCAGGAGGAGCGTTGAGGTCGGGGTGTATGGCATCGAGACCCTGGTAGGTAATGCGATCAAGTACATCGAGGATTTGCAGGACCGCAGCGGAGGGCTTCACACATCACCTGGAACGATGGACCTGAATGCGATCGAGGCGTTGGAGGGAGCGGATCTGAGGCAGCTCGAGTCGTTTCTGCGCGCCAGTGACAAGGGTCGCGATCTTGGTAATCTATTCCAGGTCGTTACGCCTAAAGGTCACATCAAATGGGTGTGCTCGGACCACTTCCGCGACAGCTACCGAGAGTTTACAAAACAGCAATTCAAGGATATTGTCGAGGCAAATCGAGGGTCTTATGCCATTGAAAGAGACTATGTTGACATCACTCTTGAGACCAATATCGTCGCACAGCAATTTTACGAGGCGCTGATCAAGGCTCGTGGGGTACGATCTCTGACTGTTACTATGAACTGGGATGTTAGCCTGGACGACCTCCGGATGTTTGAGGCTGCCATTCGCAAGACCAACGTTGTCGACCTAATAATACGGGGACTAAGGAACAGGAAGTCGCTAGTGGATATCTTCAATCGTGGCCGTCAATATGACCCTCTTCTCCAGTGCATGGCCAATGGAAAGATCCAACAAATTAAGATCTACGCAGATGACAACTTTTATCAACACACCAACAGCTCCTCTTTTACGACGGCACCTCAACTACGTACACTGAGTATCTTTTCTGCTGCAGCACCACCAGGGAAACAGTTGCCAGGGTCTGTACTGTTCGGCAACCTCAAACGCTGTCCTTCATTGTTGGAACTCGATATCACGACTGACGACATACATAATACATTTGAGGACCTCAGGAGTAAAGCATCCCAGTGTTTGAGCCTCAAGAAGTTGGTTCTGTATAAGGGATTTTTTACTATTCTCACTGCTGAATTCTGTTATGGCGTGATTCGAACTGCTGAGCTTAGAACTGGTTATCTTGAAGATATCTCGTCAAATGAGCGCAGTATATTTCGCGAGGGTTACCTGACAGGACTGAGCGTTCGAGGTATCAGGACAGAGGATGATGAGGTCCAACTGATGGATATCATGCGCCGAAACCCCAAGCTCTCTACCATTACAACTGAATGCGCACTTAAACGCATGTGTGCCATCCTCGATGCATTCACTGATACGAGAAAGGCTATTCTTGCGGAAGGAGGATCCTCAGTAATCCGTCGTGTCAACCTGAAGTGGGCAGACTAGTCTGGTAAAATTGCACTGAATTTCTTTACAATGTCCATCGAATTTTCAAGTACAGTGGTAACAGATGCCATATCCACCAACATTGTGTACTCTGGGATGGAAGAAGACTGGGCGATAAAACCCTTGATGGAAGATAGTGAGGTATTTGCGGAAGTGTTGGTTCAGTACGGACGGTCTTTGGATACATTGTGCATACACTGTGCGTTTGGCGACAATATGGCAGTAGTTCTGGATATGGTCTTGGATAAACAGGACTCCGCGATCACTTCGTTGCGGTTGACCTCGAGGTTGCTGGCGAATGTTGGACTAGAGTGCATGGGTAGAATCATTGAGAGGTTACATAACCTAACACATCTCAGGATCGTTGCTAATGAGCTGTAAAAGAAGAGCGAGCAAGAGAAGTTGGAGAAGTTGCTGGCTCGACATTGCATGAGGTTGAATTACCTGATTTTGAGTGGGAAGATGCCTGAGTCGTGGATCTCAATGGTCGCCAAGATGTGTCCGACCAGGCATGAACTTCCAAATTGGACCATTTACGACTTATCTACCCGGATGATGTATATCTCCCTCAAGAGCACGCTCGATGAATTGTCGCCATGGTCTCTCCTCCTCCTCAGACCCCCACCGCGTCGTTGTCTCCTCGGCCATCCAGGACCATCCAAGAGATCTCGGGCACTTTGATCGATGAATCGGACCAGATCAACCTTGTGCCATTGCCCACAGTATCCTATCCATGGGGGTTCTTGAGCGACCTAGAGCTCAAAGGGATTCAACTTCAGTCCCAGGATTGGAAGACATTGATTGAAGCTTTTGAATTCACGGTATTGAGGTGTCTGGAATTTAATTGTAGCAATTTTGCGCAGGATCAACTCCAAATTCTTGTCGATTGCATTCCCGAGGAAAGCAACCGTCCAATGCCGCTGCACATAGGACTCATATGTACGTGGATTAGTGAATTTGCCGAAACACTCAGGTTGACCGCTGCGCTCATGGAGAAGGCGCCTCATGTCATCATCGATCATCTATTCAATTAAATTAAACGAACAATGAGGATGGGATACTGCGCCCGAGGCGATGGCCTGGCGGATACACAGACAGAGCGTGCTTTAAGTTTCGGCGCTTCTTACGGAGGAATTTTTTCTAGTTTGATCCTTTAAGACAGACGGGTACTGTATTGTTTGGATAAGTTTATTCGCATCGAAGCGAAGGAGGGTGAGAACGAAGGAACGAGGACGATGAAATCTCCAGTACGAGAATGAGAATATCTGTAAACAGATAATGAGTTTCAACGAATACCAAAAACACGCGGGCCAGAGAGAAAACGAAGAAAAAAAACCAGCATGCAAAGTATATGGAAATGGTAACACTAGATCTAGATCCTACCGCACAAGTTCAGGGAGGGTCGAAGTCTTGCCCGCCATGATATTCCACAATATTATTTCATGGAGCAAAATATTCCAAAGGGAGGATGTGTGTTGAGGTTGCTAATTTGAAAGTCAAATTGGTACCTCCGCTTTTTAGTCTATGCAGAATGTGAAGCGCTTGAGTTGAGAATCTATCCCGACCAGCTTATGATCCCGCAAAGGACCCCTATCGCGTGTCCGTTTGCCGCAGGTACCAAAGAGAAAAAAAAAAGGCACAGGATACAGGGCAGGGGTTTACGGTCTGCATGTACCTGAAAATCACTTTACGGCAAATTGATTTTGTACGACCCTGCAACGCGTATTAAGCTCCTTTTTTTTTTTTGACGGCTGAAGCATTTAATATCATGTACCTCCAGATCTTTTCTGTATTGCAATTCCCTGGTGGTTTATGTCCGGTAGCGACGATAGCAGCCTGCATCGCAGGCCCGATCGATTGCGTGCGTGGTTCCACAGACTGTGGCGCGTCCGCAAGCGAACAAAGAAAGCCTTATTGCCATTTGTTATGGATAAGGAAAAATTGCCAGAGTCCTCTTACCTCACCTGTGGAGTAAAAGCCCTTCATATGGCCATATGAACCTCTAAAGGTGACCCTTGCAGAGGGAAAGATGCAGGTACCTGTCGTCGATAAGGCTGTTATTTGACTCTGAAGGCAACTCCAAACAATACGGATACATCGCGGTTTCGTGGTTCCTTCTCCAACCTCACGAAAAAAGCGTATAAATACACCATCGACCACGCTCCACAAACAGTTCCTCCTCATCTCTTCCTGTCTTCCACTTCAGTCTTGTCAACTTACCACAGCAACAACTCTTTCACTCAAGTCTTCATTCAGTCCTTCTACTCAATCTTCAACCATGCACTTCACCCGCTCCATCACCTCCTTTGTTCTAGGCCTCATCACCCTCGTGGCTCTTGCCTCTGTCACCCAGGCCCATGTCGGTCTCCTTCGTCCTTGTGCTCGTGGAAGCCCCCGCGCCGGCTGCCCTCCACCCTCGAATGGCCAGTACATCGACTATGATCTGAACTCTCCTATCGGGACCCATGACTCCCAGAACGCTCCCCTCTGCAAGCAATCCATCCCTTCTGCCATCCGCACCGTCCTCACTGCTGGTCAGAGCATCCAAACCTCTTATTCTGTTGGCGCCCCCCACATGGGCGGACACTGCCAATGGGCCCTCTCGTACGACGGTGGCCGTACCTGGGTTGTGCTCAAGACCATGATCCGCAGCTGTCTCCAGGGCATCAGCGGTGGACAAGATTACTCGGTTTCGGTGCCCTTGCCTGCGAACGCGCCTAATGGCAAGGCAACCTTGATGTGGTTGTGGAACAATGCGGTCGGTAACCGAGAGCTGTACTCGAACTGTGCAGATGTTGAGATCCAGGGCGGACCCAATGGTGGACAGCTGTCTGGTGTAGTGCCTTTGATTGCGAACTACGGTGCCGGTAGTGTGCTCATCCCAGAGTTTGGTGGTGCGGGCCAGCCTGATGGATCTGAGGCGTTTAATACGCGCAAACCTATCACTATTTCGGCTTAGAGAGCATGGGGTCGTGGGGTCTTGACCAATTAACCTCGTGAAGCATTCACCTAGAGAAAGCAATCTTCATATGTACAAGAAAAAAAAAAAAAAAAAGAGTTAAAGAAGCAATGGTAGCAATAGCAACTAGGGATGTGTAAATAAATACGCTCCAGACGCAGGCGTCTGGGCGAAATACGCTTTCTGTTTTCATTTCCAGCAACAGAGGCTAATTCAATTAGGCACTTCACGGCAGATTCAACGTGAGCAAGCAGAGTATCGAAAGGTGTATATCTGAAGGCAGTCATCTATGTGTATGCATTCACTAAGAGTGGAAGTATTACCAAGAAGCGTACATAGCCGGCATATTAGGCGAAGCAAGTCTAAGTGGGTAGCACAGAGCTCCCAACTAATAAGAATCAAGATGAAGTTGCTACACATAAAAGTTCATTTCACATTTTCATATCAACTGGATCCAAGAGTTTTTTTTTTGTAATATATTTCAATGGTATGTGTGGTAGTTTAATTTACAGGCAGGTCTATGTTGTTTATATCTCTAAAAGATAATATCAAAAGCCCCTTAGCGACGATCCCAACGGACAAAGCGGATCGCAACCATGAGCATGATGATGTTAAAGGCGAGGTAGACGCACAGGATGCCAACGTTTCTCCAGCGGTGGCTAAAGTCCATGCTGAGGGCGCCGTAGAAGTCTTGACCGTACTCATACTGGCAGTACTGGCAGTTCGAGGTATCGTTAGGGTTGTTGATGTATCCGACAGCCTTCTCCATAAAGGCTGCAGCATAAGAAGCACAGGTCTGTCCAGCAGGCACATTAAAGATCGAGAACTCGTCGCTGGCGCAGTGAACTGGGACGTCGTGAAGCTGAGCCGAGACAAGGCCCTCGATGACGTAGTGGTAAGGATCGAGCCAGTACATCCACGAGGACCAGAACTTGGGCATCTGGTCCTTGGCAATCATGACACCGCAGAACAGGTTGAGCGACGAGAAGATGAAGGGGTTCAGAAGGGCAGCGACGGTCGTCGAAGGCGTGAGTGCAGCAATGAGCTGACCAAGGGTGACGGCGAACAAACAGAAGAGAACAATCATCAACCAGGTAAAGAAGGTCAAGGCCGAGTCCGAGACAAAGCCAACAGTCCAGTAGAAGACGGCAAAGAAGACCGTGGCCGAGAGAATAACGTATGGAATCTCAATGACCATGATTGACACGGCAAAGGGCTTCCAACCGTAATATTTACCGGCAAACTCGCGGTAGAACCACTGACGCTCCATGTGGAATCGAGGCTGGACCATGTTGACGAGAAGGGCAGCCATGACCATGATCTGGAAAATGACGAAGACACGGGATTGAAGATCGACCTTGGTAGCACCAAGCTTGTAGAAAGAGAAACCGTTCAGGAGCGCAAAGATGATCATCATGAAGACACGACCAAAGTTGTACTGGGGCAGACGCCAGTAGGTCCTGGACATGCGCTGGAAGACATACTTAAGCTGCATCCTAGTGGGGGTGGCGTACTCGAGACCCTCGTTTGAGGTGACGACAGCGCTAGACTTGCGAGTGGTCTTGATGTTGGCAAGCAAGTTGCTCTTTTCAGGCGAAGCAGCCCAGATCTCAGGCCAGTTGAGGTCAGAGTGGCGGGCATTGACGACGTCGAGAATGTATTCAGCGGGGTTGGCATCAGAGGCGCACTTGGGAGCGCCGTTCTTCTCAAAGTAGTTGATCAAGTCCTGGGAATCGTGTCCGAGCTCACCAAAGAAGACAGTCTTTCCGCCCTTGGCCAAGAGGAGCAAATCGTCAAAGAAGGCGAACAACTGCGACGAAGGCTGATGGATAGTGCAGAGAATAGCCTGACCCTGATCGGTCAACTTGCGCATGAAACGCATGATGTTGTACGAGGCCTGGGCATCCAAACCGGAGGTAGGCTCGTCCAAGAAGAGTAGCTTGGGCTTGGCGACCAGTTCAACACCGATGGTGAGACGCTTGCGCTCCTCGACAGAGATACCGAGGCCAGATTCAGTGGTACCGACCAAGGCATCAGCAATGTTCTCCATCTCGAGAATGTGGATGATCTCCTCGACATAGGCGTTCTTCTCCTCCTCAGGGACATCGGCAGGCTGACGCAGGTGGGCAGAGAAGCGAAGGGCCTCTCTGACAGTGCACTCGGGGACGTGGACATCAAGCTGCTCGCAGTATCCGGTCGTACGCTGGAAATCACGGCGAAGGGGCTCGCCATCGACCTCGATCTGGCCCGTGACCGTACCAGTGTTCTTGCGCTGGGCGAGAACATCCAGAAGAGTGGTCTTTCCAGCACCGGAGGATCCCATAAGAGCGGTCATCGTTCCGGGCTTGACGAGACCAGCGATACCAGTCAGCAACTGCTTCTTGCCCGAGGGATCAGACTTATAGGGAACAACATAGTCGAGGTTCTCCCAGGCAAAGACGGATCCCTTGGCCATCTCGAGTTCGATACCAGAGTTGTCCTTGGCAGCAGCAGGGTTCGAAGCAGCAACAGTCGAAACGGAAGCAGCGGGGCGAGACTCCTCATCCTCGGGCTTGTTCTCGACGATTACAGAACCCTTCTTGAAGATGTTGGTGGAGAAACCTCCCTTACCGAACTCAATCTTCTCCAGAGCAAGGCAGGTAATAGAGACAAAGAGCAACCAAAACAGGAAGACGGCAAGGACATCATACCACATATCCGATGTCTTGTAGCGGTAGGCAGCATAAAGATAATCAGAACCGTCGACCTCGGTCAAACCAGGCTTGGAACCGGCGAGAGAGCAGACCTGGTACTGGACATCGGTGTAAGTGGGGCCGTGAGGAACCATGGTAGGACCAGCGCAGTCAAACTTGAGTCCACGCATTTCATTTGAGATCAGAGCCTTGAAAGCATAGGCCAGAGGATTGATCCAGAAGATCCAGATGAACCAAGGGTGCATGGACTGATACGGAATCATGTAGCCAGAATACAAGATCAAGGCCAAGAGAATCAGACCAGAGTTGCGAGAAGCCGCGTCGAAGGTAGCAGAAACGGCAGCCCACATGCGGAAGAAGGCCGTCATGCACATGGCTGTTAAGAACAGGATGAAGCAGAAGAAGAACCATTTGCCTGCCTCGAGCTGCAAGCCGGACATGAAGTAGAGTACGACAGCAAAGAGGATAATCTGGACGATAATGAGAGGAATATCGACACAGATCTGGGCAATGGCGAAGGCAGAGGGACGGTACATGGCAAAGTTCTTGTGCTTGTACAAGATCGGGCGACCTTGCATAGCCATAGGCAACTCAGCTTGAGAGATCAGGGCGTTGAAGAGCAGAGAAAAGAAGAGAACACCTCCGCGAGTAAAGGTTCCACTTGCGTCTGTCTTCAGCTTAAAGAACACGGATCCGACAATGATAGCTTTGATAACCTGTGTTGCAGAAAAGATAATAAAAATGTTAACAGCCGTCGAAGATGTTGTGAAGCCATTGTCGATAATATGATGTGATAGTGATAGTGGAGAAGACTTACATTAGAGGCATAACGGGAAATGACCGAGCTCATGTCTCCACGAGTGAGCTGGACCTGGCGCACGGTCAGGGTCTTGACCTGGCCAGCAAAAGAAATAGTGTAGGGGTTCTTCACAGAGACGTGCTTCTGCTTGACCTGCTTGGCAGCCTCCTTGAATTGCTCGATGGGGATGTCCTCCTTGACAGAGTCCTGGTAAGTAATACGGTGACTCTCGACCGATGTGTAAAAAGCCGAGGCCTTGAAGACGTCCTCGAACTGTTTGGGAGTGTGGGGAACACGACCCTCGAAACCGCTGCGAGCCTTGCGCTCGTGAGGATCGGTGACAGCGGTCAAGAAATCGGCGGTGGTCTGACGAGCGGGGCACTCGAAACCGAGGTCGATGAAGTACTGACGAGCCTCGTTGGCGGGACCAAAGTAAATGCAGCGACCCTCGTAAAGAAGAAGAGTCTTGTCAAAGAGATCGTAGATGTTCTCGGACTAGTACGATTCCATAGAGATATAGTACGTTAGAAAAGAGCGCCATGAATGATGACGATGATGTATGACAAAGAAATCACGAAGGAGGTACTTACAGCCTGGTAGATGGAGACCATGGTGGCCTTTTTCATCAGGTTGGTCATGACACGAAGGGACTTGACATAGTCAAGAGCCGAGGAAGCATCAAGACCTCGAGTGGAACCGTCCCACATGTTGATGGAGGAGCGGGTGGCCATCTGCTCGGCAATCGAAAGGCGCTTGCGCTCTCCTCCAGAGATACCACGGATAAAGGCGTTACCGACGACAGTCTCGACCTGCTTGGTCAGACCGTACATCTTAGTGAGGACATCCAAGAACTCGTTAACGAACTGCTTCTTTTGGGACTGCTCAGGCAGACGCTTGCCAGGGGTCTTAGTCTTTAAAGCAGTCGTCAAAGTCTGGCGCACAGTCAAGGTGGGATAATGGAAGTCATCTGTGAATGAAAAAAAAAAAAAAAGAAAAGGTCAGATACAAATTCTTCAGCATTGATTGCCACATATCATTAAGAGAAAGAAACAATTAATATTACCTTCTTGGTTGTACAAAACTTCACCGCGGTGGTGCTCAGCAATCTCGTGGGCATTGAAGGGTCCGTAGGTGACTTCACCCGAGACACTCTTGTAGTTCTTGCGGTCGTTGGCGAGGACGCGAAGGAGAGTGGAGCATCCAGCACCTGGACGACCGAGAACGAGGATCATCTCGCCGTCCTTGCAGTATCCGTTCATGGGATGGAGGATGGTCTTGGTAATGGTCTTGGGAGCAGATTGACCCTTGGAGAAGGCCTTCTTGGCCCAGAAGTAAGGGTTGATGAGGTTGGAGAGACCGATGAAGGGGTCAGCAAACGTCTTGATGTACTGGGCACCAACACCCTCGCCCAAGACCTCGAGGTTCTCCCAGACGACTCCGAGGTGGCGGCGCTTGATGCCAGCATCATCAGCGCGGGGAATGATGTCCTGCAGATAATCGGTCAAATCAAAGTCGCCATTGTCGCCAGAGGCCTTCTCGCCGGTTTGAGTGCGGTAGATCGAGGAGCGCCTGGTGAGCTGACGCTCCAGCTTCTTGAAGTCCTTCTCGGCACCAATGACGTTCACACGGGAGGGGCCCTCGCCCCAGCGGCCGCTAATGGCGTCTTCGTAGGTGCCGGTCTCTGAGTGATCATCGGTGTCGACGTCATCGTCCTTTTCGTTGCCGAGGGGGATGACGGTTTCTTGTTGGTGTTGGTGATGGGAGGCGTTGCGCAAGATACCCGTAGGTCCCTTGGGCTCAGGTGCTCCCAAGGTGGTTTCGCTTGGGTTGGACATGATGTCGTGGAGGTGTGCTTAGGTCAGCCGAACTGGGTGGTACAGAGTGTAGATCAACAATGATAATGTGCTGTGCTGTTGTTGAGTGTGAGGTATGAGAGAGCCTTTGTGAAGGAGGGAGAGTGGAGAGAAAGAGTGAGAGTGGAGAGTAGTGGTTTGGTGTCAATGCAGTGGATTATGAAGCGAGGGAGAGGAATGTATTAAAGAGTAGAATACAGTGAAAATAAACAACAAAGAAAAGAAAAGATAAAAAGGTATTGAAGAAGAAGAAGATGCTGGAGAATGAGAAAAAAGAGGGCGATGGAGCGGAAACCGATGGTGCTTTATATCCTTTTCTCATTGTCCTTCCCTCGGCAATTGCGGCGCACCTTTTCTTTTCTCTCTGGGGCGACACCAAATCAGCAGTGGTCGGACATTCAGATAGACCACCCTTATAATAAAAAATAGAAATTTAATTTCCTTATTCATTCCCTATTCAGTCCGATATGTCGCCGGGTCCTTGTATTCCCGGGAGGGAGGACAAGGGTTGTCTGAATCTTAAATATTTGAAATGAAAGATCGTCTAAGACATATCCCAGCATCTTATCTTGCTATCCAATAGTCTCCTGCCCCTGTCCCCTGTCCCCTGTGGCTAAATTTGACCCGAGCTACTCTTTTTATTCTTCCTTTTTTTTATTCTTTTTTCTTTTAAGGTTCCTTTCCTCGGTAGGAGATCAGCCATCCTTGTCGCTATTCTGACACGTTCTCTACCCCTCTGTTCCCCCTCGGTCCTTCCCTGTCCAGAGGCTGTCTATCAAAAAGTCCTCTTCGACTCGCCTCAAACACCTGTTCTACTGCACTGATGCCCCTGTGCTATCTGCGCATAAATTTCGCACGCTTGTTTGTGCCCAGATCCCTACTCCACCCTCGGGCGGTCAGGCAGCGTTTGAGCGCATTTTGCATTTGAAATGCCGCCATAGCTGTTGGATCATCTCTCCTGCTCGCTACAGCATTGTCTCCGTCCACAATAATTTACATCCAGAGCCTCAGCACAGCTTTCTAGATTGGAAACCAACTAAAACATCCAGCAAGATATCGCAAGGGTCGCCATGCTAGGCATAAGAAGCAGTAGCTCCAACATAGACTTGCCCCACTCTGCTCAACGCGAAGGGCCGGCTTCTATTTTCCCTTCTCCAACCGCATTCCCCACACACGCTGTTCGCCACGGTAAGCACTCTCCTATCTCATACAGAACATTATATACTAATGTGCTTTCCCCATGGTCCAATCGAACTCCACTCTATTCATGTGTTCAAGGTTATGGAGGATGGCGCAAGGTGTCCATCCCGTACATTGAGAGCATGGCAAAAATAGGCCAACATGCAGCACCAATGCAACCTGGAGTATTGCAGGTGAACTCTATGCGCCTTTCCAGATACTGTTTTTATACTGATATGTTTAGAGCAGGGGCACGTTATTCCATCCCGGTGCATTTGCCCATGGAGATTATGGAGATCGTTCTCATTGCTCCGATCAGGGACTCCTTGGATCGCCGACAAGGGAGCTTTTTACGCTCGTCAACAGTTTACACCCTGCCCACAGCCAGGTCGGACGTTAAAAATAAAGAAATAGCAATGAACAGCCACGATGTAGATCAACCTGTCGGCTTTTTCTTAACCCGTCTAGCAGAACACACTCTTGCTCCAGGCGCCTATTTTTTTTTTTTTTTTTTTTTTTCATTGGCCTATCAGCAGTACACACGCAGCAATGTGTAGCAGATAAAAGAAAGGGGGTTACTTATGAACCGCACAGGATACCGCGACAGCACGTTATTAAAAAGGCTTCTGTTTCCCGTTAGTGTTGCGAATCCCTTGTACATGCGGAGGCTACGCGTTTGAAAGCTATCAACCGGCGCCCTTTTATTGCCGTAAAATAAAAAAAGGAAAAGGAAAAGGAAAAGAAAAAGAAAAAGAAAAAGAAGGGACTTTTTGATCTTCCGCGTTTTTATTGCTCACAGAACGCAATTATAAGCAGTTTATAAAAAGAGCGTCGTCTTCCCCACGCACAATTCGTTCGAAATACCAGCGATCTTGGACACGATCCCCTGCATCTTTTCTTTCCTTCCTGTTTTCTAACCAATGCTTCCACGCTTTTAGCACATTGGACGCTTGCCCAGGAGAAGACGATCTAAAACTACTGAACTAATCAGCAATTTCCAGCAAAGGCATGCAAAAACCATAGATACAAACGTTGAAACATAAGCTGCGGCACAGAAAATACCCATGCTTCATTCCACATCCGCTTCTCTGGAAGTACAGCGCAGCTGCATGTTTCGTATTCCTTGTATCTGAAATATCTGTTCCTTCAAGCTAAAGAGTTGTCCGTCTGGGTTTCATTAAGGTTTCATATGGGTCATTAAACCAATTTAAGTCGAGACGGCAGGCCCGCACCCGCCTCGGCGAGAAATTTATCCCCACCGCCCAAAGACTCTCGATCGCGCTCCCTGCAGCCAACGCTTAGTGCTCTTTCTCTTGCAACCTTCTTATTCTTATCGCTCAAAGTCGAAGTACATGTACATAGTCCAGGTGATCTACTCGCCTTTTGATCCCAATGAACTATACCTTCCTTTGTCCCACCCACGCGCCATTTTATTCGTCGCCTGCTTGCATGCCTGCTCGGCCCAGGAGACAGGAGACGACAGACACTATCAGAAACAGGTGTGAGATGAGGCATAGGTCGGGCCATAAGTGATAAAGAGTTACCGCGGCATTGGGACTGAGCTGTGTCAGAGATGGTATTTGTAAACATCTGCACCGCAGATAAACATTGATGCTGTTTGTTTCCCCTTTTGAACCCGATGCTTATTCTCATAGTACTGTACACAAGACACAGACCATTGACACGCAAACATTGATATGTATTAATAAACATTATAGATAGTCGCTATTATCGCATAAGGGTTTACCCAAAAGGATTAGCTTGCTCACTCGCCTTGTATCCCTTTTTTTTGTTTACTCCCGCCTTCTTTCCGTTATGCTCATACCCATTAGCCCATTTTGCTCTCCCCCATGGCTCCATTTTCAATTGATTTGTCAGTGGTCAGTGTGGATTCAAGGGAATGATTTTTCCGAAGGAAAAGCACCAAGACGTCATTCGTGAACTCAAAAGGAGACGACGGCAAAATTTCCCCATTTGGATAACAATCCAGAGCTTTGTGCAGATATGCATTGATGTGCATTTAGAGAGAGAGAGCGCTCGCATCTGTCCACGTGGAATAAAGAGAGGGAGTTGATTTTATCTTGCCAAAGTGCATCCCACCAGGGAAAGACTTTGCCGTCAATCTTATCAGATCCCCATACGATAGTCCCAAAAGATCTTATGAATGGCTACTCCTTCCCTCAGGCAACACCCACGTTTGCGCTTGGGCGCTGCGGCCTCACAATGAATGGCGATGCTTAGAATCATCAGGGAATCTATCTGCAAAGGCACTGTACCCGCATATTTCTGCCTGGCTCCTAGTGGATCCGATGTACCCGAGATATGACTGATGATCTCCAGTGCTGTGCTAAGAGGACACATGGTCCACGTTCCCACAAGCAGAGGGGAGGGGATGCGCGTGTTGCCTAGGACGCGCCAGACGATAGTTTTGTCTCCACAAAGGGCTCACAAGCTGACTCCGTACTGCGCTTAACACCTTCTTCTCAACAGATATTTCTATGCACACACACAGACACATACGCATATTATTAGTTCGACGACAGAGGGTAACGGTGCTCTACAAACAAGAGATCCACTGAATTTTATTATCAATCTGCAATACGGACAAGAGACTCCATTCATGCAACCTTGACACGGACACACATATATATCTTGGCCTGGGTGTCCGAACGTTACACCACACTCGCCAATAATCCTCTCAGCCGAAAAGTGAAACAACGAGGCCGAAACTGAGGGATGGGATGTATACGCGGGTACCATGACGGGCGCTTCTCGGCTTGGGCTGTTCAGCTGGGGATGAGAGTCCGAGTCCATAACATGGTCCGGCTGTTCATGGGCGTTCACACGGAGGGCATAGGCAAGAGTAAGGGCAGGAGTGTGGAGATTAAACCCTATAGCTTGACGATGTGATGAGGGGTAGAGATGACACTTTGAGAAGCAATTGCCTGTTGTCGCACAATGGTCCAAGGGCTGGAAGAGGCAATGTTGAGAAAGAAGCGGGATGCGGATGCTGCTCCCTGCAGCACAAGATGGCGACCATCTGCTCTCATATGATTATGGCCAGCCGTGGTCATTGTTCTACAGTTCCAACACATATGCAGACCATCGATCGAAGGGAAGACATGTGCGCCCCGGAGCTCATCCCCGAGACACGGAAGCATCGGAGGAGTCACTCATCGCCATATTTATTCTCTTTCTCCACACTTTTCTTCATCCCTTTTTCTTCTTTTTCTCCCTTTTCTTCTTCTTCTCGCCTTGACATCTTTCTATCCCCCCCGCCATCCTTCTTTCCGTGCATACTTCGCCATCTCGGACCTAAGCTTCCCCCTCCGCTTCCAGTTCAAATCTCGTCTCGAAACTCTCTTCGAATACAGACGAGACCCCACGCCCATCATGACCACTGGATACTACTCCGTCTCCCAAGTTGCGACCCATAACTCTGAGGTACGTTCATACATTACATCCACGTTCCTTCTTTTTACACGCGAAATGTCCTTATATGCCTTGCCTTGCTTTCATGTTCATTGTGCACACGATTTGCAAGCTGCTTCTTAATAACGCGACTTTCCTACGATCCTCTGTCACGTTCGTTTTCTACGCTAGAATGACTGCTGGGTCATTATTCACGACAAGGTGTACGACGTCTCGTCGTTCTTGAACGACCATCCTGGTGGAAAGGTAAACCTTCAATTACCCTTCACTGGATTTTTTTTTTCTTTTTATGATTCGGCGGAGTTGAGAACAAAGTTTTTTTTTGTGGAGATGTGGATGAACAATACTTCGAGAGGAATGAGCATGGAGATTTGATGAGAAAAGACGAATGCAGGTGATCAAGTGAATGGTAAACTGATGCTGGCCCGACTCGTCTTCTCTCATGCGTGGTTGTTGCGACCGATAGAAAATCATCCTCAAGAACGCAGGCACGGATGCCACGAAGCAGTTCGATGCCTTCCACAACGCAGGTAAAGCGCCTCAGTCGCGAATTGCACATTGCAAGCAACGGTGTCATCATCATCATCCCTAGAATGAAAAACTATGATGTTTACTGGCGATGAGATTATGCTATTAGGTGTCCTTGAGAAATACGGCGCGCTCTGCATCGGAGCCATTGGTCAGGCACCCAAGCAAGGTGGTGCTGCTCCTGCTGCCGAGCCAGCTGCGGATGATGATGATGAGATGCAGTTTGGTGACATGATTCCCTTTGGTGATCCATCCTGGTAAGCCCTACTGCTCACAAGAAGCGCATGCAAGATTCCTTTATCTATATTACGCGTCATTAAAACTCGCCTATCATTTTTTTCATCTGCAGGTACCAGCAATGGGGAAGCCCGTACTACAACGAGTCCCACCGCCGCCTTCGTCGTGTCATCCGAGCCTTTGTCGACAGGGAGATCATGCCCTTCGTGCACGAGTGGGATGAAGCCAAGCAAGTGCCCATGTCGCTCTTCAAGAAATGCGCCGACATGGGTATCCTCCCCGCGATTGCCGGTAACGGCAAGCTGCCAGTCGACTACTTCGAGGTCGAGCAGACTGTGCTCTTCAAGGGCGGTGCAAGTGCGATCGTCAACCCTGCAGAATTTGATGCTTTCCACTCATTTATTATCGGAGACGAACTTGCGCGCTGCGGGTCTGGTGGTGTCCTCTGGGGTCTCTGTGGTGGATTGGGTATTGGTCTTCCTCCAATTATCAACCACGGCTCAGAGGAGCTGAAGAGACGCATTGTGCCCGAGTGCTTGTCCGGTCGGAAGACCATCTGCTTGGCGATCACGGAGCCCTCAGCAGGATCGGATGTCGCCAACTTGACGACAGTCGCAAACGAGGCCAATGATGGATACATCGTCAACGGTGAGAAGAAGTGGATCACCAACGGCACATTTGCCGATTTCTTCACAGTCGCTGTGCGTACAGGAGGTGATGGCATGGGCGGAGTCTCTCTGCTGGTTGTGGAGCGTGCTATGAAGGGTGTCAGCACCCGCCAGATGAAGTGTTCAGGTGTATGGTCCTCCGGTACAGCATACATCAACTTTGAGGACGTCCTTGTCCCCAAGGCCAACCTTATCGGCAAGGAGAACCGCGGCTTCAAGTATATTGTCGATAACTTTAACCACGAGCGCATGGGTATCGTCGTCCAAGCCAACCGTCTGGCCCGTGTCTGCTTGGAGGAGGCTATCAAGTACGGAAGCAAGCGCAAGACCTTTGGTGTCAAGCTTGTCAACCACCCTGTCCTCCGCAACAAGCTGGCGCACATGTCTCGTCAGATCGAGGCCACGCATGCTTGGACTGAGAACGTCATCTACCAGACCATGACCATGCCCGAGGACTTGCAGATGATTAAGCTGGGTGGCCCCATCGCCCTGCTCAAGGCCCAGGCAACCCAGACGCTCGAATACTGTGCTCGCGAGGCATCTCAGATCTTTGGAGGACTGGCATACACTCGTGGCGGTCAGGGCGAGAAGGTCGAGCGCATCTACCGCGAGGTCCGTGCCTACGCTATCCCTGGAGGTTCTGAGGAGATCATGTTGGATCTTGGAATGAGACAGAGCATGAAGGTAAGCAACGATATGTTTCTTGAGATAGAGATCCTGGTGCAGTAGCTGTTGCTGCAGGGTTCTGGATGGTCATTAACACTTCCTATTTCATTACGATACCATGTTTAGGTTGCCAGCATGATGTATGGTGCTAAGCTGTGATTACATCGATACATTTTTTAGAGGTTTCAAATTCTCAATAAAACACTGCTAAAACGAACACTTCATCGCCGGCAATTTGGGCGAAGCATTGTTAATGATATTTTTGTTTATTATGATACATCTACACCAGCATCTTGGACATATAAGGACCTGCAGCACAAACACAGAATAAAAGAGAATGGTTAGCATTATATAGTACACCCCCACACTGCATTTGTTTCCCAAAGGAGTGGTCCAACTCACCATCGAGAACGTAGCCCAGCTTAGCATAGTAATTCCTGACACCGACACCACTGATAACGCTCAGCTTGACACTTCCATGCTCCTCCCTCGCAATCCTCTCCGCCTCTTCCATCAGCAGCGTACCGTATCCCTGGTGCTGAAACTTGGAAGGGTCTCTCGAGTGCACAGGGACCACAGATCCGTATACATGCAGCTCACGAACAATGGAGGTCGGACCAGCCTTTGTCAACTCTGGTCGGAACGCCAAAGGTGAGCACTTGCGCAATCTTAACAGCCCGATCAAAATATCCTGTTCCGGATCCTCATAGCTCAAAAAGGTCTCCCATCCCCCGTTCGCTGTGTAATCCCTTCGGATCAGTTCGACCTGGTCTGGCTTGACCTTGTTGTGAATATCAACAATTCCGACCTCGCGCGTTCGGACATCCCTGCACTCTGTCCCCAGATCCTTCATCCTCTGCAGTGCCAACTCTCTCAAGTTTCCATGCTCAACTCCAGATGTGACCAAGGGCATGGGAATATCGCGCTGGACTCTGTAGACACGAGTCCATGGTGGAACCAGAGCCAGAATCCTCGCCACAAGGTCAACAAGGGCGTTGGGTGTGTAGTTCTTGTAACGTCCTGTTCTCCAGAGCTCATAGAGTCCAGTTCCACGAATGACCAATGTGGGGTAGAGCTTCAATCCGTCGGACCGGAAAGCCGGGTTCTCAAAGTACTCCTTGAACTGATCCATATCGCGCTCCATACCAACGTTAGGCAGATCGGGCATCATGTGTGCCACCACCTTGAATCCAGCGTCCTTGGCCAGCTGGAAGGATTCTGTAACGGCCTTCACAGTGTGTCCTCGATTTGTGTCACGGGCCACATCTTCGTATACACTCTGAACTCCGATTTCCAATCTTGTGCATCCATATCGCAACATTTGACTATGCGTCCATAGGAAAAGGAAAATGGATGTTAGGCGCTTGTTTGAAGGCATGGATGATCATGAAAATGTGGTTGATCTTCCAGCATATCCTTGTCGCTCTACCTCAGATGTGGCTTTAGACAGTAGTCAGGACGAGTTTCAATAGTGATTCCAATGCACTTGTTCGGACTGACTTCAGACATCCTGACGGCCTCATCAACATCGTTACTGGAGTGACCCGAGAGAGAGTCGTGCAGATTGCTGATGAACCAGTCCCTGTAATCCTCAGGCAGCGACATAAATGTCCCTCCCATGACAATATATTCGACCTTGTCCACGCTGTGTCCAAGCGACTTGAGCTGATCCTGTCGACCTCTTGACTGCTCAAATGGATTGTAGCGAGCTCTGATAGCGCGCATGCTGGTTGGCTCGTATCCCGTGTACGACTGTGTGGAGTATTCGAAATCGGAGTCCGGACCTCCAGGGCAGTACCTATTAATCGAGAGATGTGTGTCCATGGTAAGAACTTCAACGTTGTAATGCCTCCTTCTGCTTCTGTTCTTTTGTCGTTGAGAACCGAGCAATCCACCTACACACAAATGTTTCCTGTCATGGCAATATGTGGGCATCGATGGGGCTTGCACATCACAGCGACAACAGCAATCTAGGAAAAAAACCAAAGCAGTTATAGTAATGGGTTGAGTACTAGTGTCCTTTTCATTTTATGATGCAGCATATGACAGGAGTAGATATGCCTAGAAAGCAACTTACTCCGGAGGCAGTACGAACGGGCTTGGCCTTTAAATTGGGTAGCAAAACTGCCTTGTATTGCTCGGGAATGGCAGCGATGATATCCACTAGCTTGGGCTGGTTCTGTGCCTTGTGCTTGCGTGAGTAGCGCTGCTTCAGTCCGTTCAAGTTGATGTCCTTGCCAGCCTCATGCGCCTGAATCAGTTCGGCCACGATCTCGCTGCAGACCTTGATCATGATCTCGGCCTGCGAAGAGTGGTAATGAGAATCGCCACCGTTAGTGCATGTGCAATTCCTGCTAGTTGTGAGACATGTCGATGCTACTGCGGTGATTGCTGTACCTGCGAAGGGCCTATCGAGGAGAAGGAGAGAGAGAGAATAAGAGCAAGCGTGAGAGCTTTGCCCGAGCCTTGGTTTGCCTCAAGTTGGTCAAACTATGCAAGACATGGGGGATGTTCGTACCCTTCTTCTTGATGGTCGACATCTCTGGCAAATACGAATATGATTCCAACGAGTTGTTTGTGCTTAAGTGTGTGCGACTTGACTTGATCAGGAGGATCAGCGGCTCGGTGCTGTTGAAGTCAATGCCGAGAGGGAGAGAGAGGTTGAACGAAGAAAAGGTCAGAATGTGGCTTGTATTATTGGTCCTCCAAATCAATGCGGTGTGGGGGCAAAGTCGCTCCCCTCCCCCGCCAACAGCCTCACCCGCGTGCACCATCAGTACCGCGTCAACGTTGACTCATACGGACGACCTGCGGCTGCAGACTACGGCATCCAATCTCACTAAAAAATAAACCGGCGGGAGCCTAGCGATTCATGCCTTTAACAAAGGTCTCATTCCTCGTCGTTCGTTCTGCTGCTCAATACATCCGGCCCTATCCACTTCAACACGGCCTCACCATCCCACGCTCAGCCGTCAGAGGATATCATCGCCATATCATCCGTTCATCGCCAACGCGCCGAGTATCTGATTTGACCTGCGCCGCAGAAGTCCCTTTCACGAGAAATATGTCCACCATGGGTTCGGGCGGATCAATTTTACAAGGCACCAGTGCTACAAACGTGCCACGTCCGTTGGAGATTCGGTTGACAGACCAGGAGGCCGAAATCTGCAAAGCCTTGGACAGTGTCGCCAGAAAACATGAGGAGCAGGGGGGCAAGAAGGTGCAGCTCCGAATCGCAGGTGGTTGGGTTCGCGACAAGGTATGCTGGGTTCATGATACGAAGCAAGGTTCACGGCGGCAGAGTACCATTGGTCAAACACATCTTTTTATTATGGTTGCATCTAATAGCTGCTGGGACTCTCCTGCCACGACCTGGATATCGGAATCGACACTATGATGGGCTACGACTTTGCATTACTGGTCAACGAATACATGGAATCCCTAGGTCATGGGAAACGCACAATTGCCAAGATTGCCACCAATCCTGAAAAGTCAAAGCACCTGGAGACTGCGACTATGGTTGTACTCGGAATGCCATTGGATTTTGTGAACTTACGCTCCGAGGTCTATGATGATGCTAGCCGTATCCCCACTGGAATTGTAAGTTAAGGCTGGGGGGAGAGGGGGGGAGGTGAATGGTTTTTTTTGCTGACGGTAGATCCAACACTATGCTTGAGGCTAATATCATTACCTTTTGTTAGACCTTTGGGACGCCTTCCGAGGACGCATATCGACGCGACATTACCATCAACGCGCTGTTTTACAACATTCACACACACACTGTCGAGGATTTTACTGGAAAGGGTCTAGAAGACCTGAAGAACGGACTCATCAGAACCCCTCTGGAGGCATTTGAGACATTTTGGCAGGATCCCCTTCGAGTCATGCGGTGCATTCGATTTGCGTCCAGGTTCCAGTTCCGGATCGCTGAGGATGCCAAGCAAGCGATTCTCGATGCGCGGATCAAACATGCGCTGAGGACAAAGATTTCCAAGGAACGAATAGGCGCGGAGCTGGACAAGATGATCGACGATGGAGCCGGCCGAAGCACAGCTATCCAGCTGCTGCATGAGCTTGATCTGTATGATGTTGTTTTTGCCCCCCCTGAAGTCGATGGCAACCCAAAGGGTACTACAGCAGTGAATGGAGAGATCAGGGATATCGAGGACGCCTTCAAATTGGTGTGGATTATGGAGTGGCTACTCAAGATCAACCCTGCCCCTGCCAGCCAGGATGACCTTGAGGGACGGATTTTCCAGGCTGAGATCGATCATGGACTGGAAGCACTGTTGTCACGGACGCGTGGATCACCGTTCACTTCTCATTTGTATCCTGTCATCACCACAGCACCTACGCCAAACATTGCACAAATTGTTCCAAAGGACGAACCATTCCCCGAAAAACTCGGCACGCGCAATCTGATCTTGTCAGGAATGTTGTACCCGTACCGCAACATGTCGGCCACTGTCAACAAGAAGAGCATGCCAGCGGGATCGTGGATCCTTCGCTACGCTCTCAAGGGCAGGAATCTGGATATCGAAAATGTCACCAAGTTGATGGAGAGTCTGGAAGCTGTGAAGAGTATTGTGAACACCGTCACACAAAATCCAGCTGTGGATGAGAAAAGTATTGAGGCGGAGCGAGCGAATATGGGCATGGTTATTAGGGAGATTGCATCTTCTTCTGTCCTTGGAAAGAAGTGGCCTTGCGCCTTCTTGTTAGCCATGGGAGTGGATCTACTTCCAATGTACAAGTCATTACGGAAAGGAATCCTAGGCAAGTGAAAAAAAAAAAAAAGCTGTGTTGCACGCGACTTTTCTTTTTTTTTTTTTGGGCAGCAATTACCCTTTTCCTATTGTTTGAATTAAATTGAATTGGCTGCATGAGACATCTAACTTTGCACGCCACGTTTTTTTTTATTTTCGTCCCGCCATAGATGGTGATGCCAAGGCACAGATTGCAAAGTACAATGCCTTCCTCTCCAGAGCTGAATCATACCAAATCGAGCATTGCTTTGCATGGAAGTACCTGGTGGATGTAAGTCAAGTCGGAAAAAAGGATACGGTGCTCATCCATAATGCTGCAGGGGATAGCCACGTTTTTCGGATGCCTATATGGATGTGGGCCCTTACCCTTATTCTAATGCCCATACTTATTGTTACAAATTATGAACCTGCATTAGGGCAAAGAATTGACCCAATTGCTCAAGATCAAGCCTGGTCCTAAGGTCAATGATCTTCTCCGTCATGTCATGATCTGGCAACTTATGCACCCACGGTCCTCAAAGGAGGAATGCCAGAAGTGGATCCTCGAGCACTCAGAGCAATTTGCATAGAAAAACCTCATTCCTGCAAAATAAAAAAAAAAAGGAGGATATGCAAAAAAGCCAAAATATGAACGCGCATTGAAGAGGATGGCGGGTAACTGGATTTCCTCTTTCGGATAGTAGCGAGAGGCTAGATTATCGACCTGTGGGTCTTAATGCAGCCTCGTCGTGGCCGGCGGCCGTTAGGCCTCGTACTATCGTCATAGCCGGCTCTCAGTGACCCAATGTATCTGGCACATAGCACTATGCCGCTGGCGCAAGGAGCACCTCAAACCGGACCCAAACAGGTACAGTAACAAGAAGAGAACAACATGGTGCTAAAATTAAAGACAATGAGAAGAAATGAAGCGTTACCCGACTCTGGTTCTGAGGATAGGTGTCGCAGTTTGGGACTCAAACAAAAAGACAACTGGTGGTACGAGGTGGTCCAAGCTGTTGGTGCAATTGCTACATCGCCATTCAGACTCATGGCAGAAACAAAACCCCTTTTTTTCGTATTCTCTCCTGCCTGAATTCTCTTGTGGAATTTGGAGTTCCAGGGACGGAAGTCGCTTATGCAAAAAAACGGATGCGGTACCCGAGTATAAAAGCGGTGGTCAGGAAATGAAGAGGAATGCTTTTCGAGATAGGTTTTTGGTCCTTCCCTTATGTTGCCCTCTCCAGTTCATGTATCCCTTTTTGTGTAGATTTTCTTTCTCCAGTACTGGCACCAGCACCAGCACCAGCACCAGCACTAGTACCATCTTCAACTATAACTACACTTTTTCAGATTCCACCACGAGTCTGGTTTACAATACATATACGCATACACACAGACACACACACACACAGCTTTCCAATCTATCCAACTCCAGTACCGAGCACGCGTCCCTCTCCCCTAGTTAATTTATTCATTGCAGCCCACTCAGTGGGCACCTTTTTTCATATCACACTGTTATGTACCAGGCAATCGACACCTCATCACCAGCGCTGGAAAATATTCTCACATTGACTCGTACATCTCAACTCTCAATCATGCTCCGCCGAGACTCTCGCCCCGAGATGACGCTTGTCTCTCCAGTCTCCCTCTTTTGTCATACCAGCAATACATCCACAGATTTAAATGCGTTCAACGACGCCTACAAACCGCCCACTCGCTCTGTTTCCAAAACTCTTCGACGCAAAACCAACGCAACCGACATCGTGCACCAGTTCTTTAGAAGCTTCTCTTCTGTGGACCCTGTTTCCGAGTCGAGCATGGTTGCCTCCTATTCCAGTGCTAAACTCGCTCCACCTGTTTCACATGTGGTTGTCGAGGCAGTCGAGGTCCGTGCAGGTCCGTGCCACTGGTTCACAATCCGGGTCCATCCATGTCCCATAGTCATCCCTGGAAGTGATGCCGCGCCGATTCCTCGGAGGTCATATTGTGTCTATAGGCAATATGAAGACATTGCCGACTTTGCCGCCCGTTTAGAGGGAGAAGCCTCGCTGAAGCGGTCTAGTCAGGCTGGTCCCCAGCACATGGTAAAGAAATTTTAATGCCACCAATTACTGTGCGTTCTTGATTCGCGGACCATCTGTCATGCTCACGTTCATAAGAAGTTCCTCTCATTTAATCAGCCTAGCCTACCCAAACTGAGTCCGCGAGACAAGTCCATGGTACACTCTCGCAAGAAGCCACGACGTCCCCATACTGTCTTTGATGCGGATAGTTTAGACCTCAGGGTGGACGTCTCCAACTACTTCCAAGAGCTCTTTGCTTCGGATGAATCAACTGGTCGATGCCGCCTCGCCGCCGAGTTTTTTGGGATCTGGAAAACCGACCTCGAGGCCCATCTGAGCCAAGACGATCAAGACCCTCTGGCTCTCCAAACTGTTGGTCCTCAACCACCACCATCAAAACTACCTGCCACCGTTGTGAGGTCGGTCGCCCTCCCCATCGCATTTAGATATGGTAGCGACACTTCCTCCGTGACCACACCCTCGACGATGTTCTCGTCCCCAACCTCATCGAGTTCTTGCTCTTCGATATCGATCTCGCCAACACTCTCGCCGAGTAAAGTCAGAATCGGATCGGACTTTCCCTGGGACACCAAATTGTTCAGTCAATTGGCCGAGTTGGCGCCACCAAGCACTTTCTCTCTGTACGCTTCTTCCTTGGGTTCCTCATACCACGCCGATGTCGATGACGATGACGACGAAGACAACGATGAGGATTACAGCGATGAAGATGATAACGATGAAGACGACAACTGCGACGATGGCAACGACGATGAAAGCTATGGCACTGACACCGATGAATCGATCTCAGATTCGAGTACCGGGTGTGAAGAAGAGGCAAATGCTCTGAGCATGATTCCTCCTTTGCGTACGCTCAAGAAAATGATCTCCTTCCAGAACCTAAGGAAGCACTTCCGAGGAGAAAATGATCTATCCCCACTGCGCTCGGGAGCATCTACATCGTCAGAGCCACTTAAATCACTCCAATCCTCGCAATCGCTTAGCAAAGTACCATCACGCGATAAGACCTCAAAGAGGAAAAGGCACGTTGAACAAGTGGCGCCATATTCCAGAGCTATCCTGTCTGATGTCTTCCCATCCGAGTCGGACCTTCCTCAAGTATCTCAAGTAACCAGGTCTAGAGAGCCTCCCACTACACCCATTCTTGGGCCCGTGGCCACCGCGTCCTTGACATCCGGGAAAGAGTATCTGGCGACCTCTCCATTATCCATTAGTCCGGTCTTAACAGCAGGAAGTCGATCCGAGATGAAGCGCAGCGAAAAGAACCTGTCTCATTATTCCTCAAGCAAAGCTTCGACCCTAGATGACCAAGTCTTTTCAAGTACCGTCCCATCAAAATCGCCTCGAAAGTCCCCGAGCGGCGAAGCTGAAGCTGAAGGTATACATGAGCGTAAGAGCACCCTTCAAAGTCCGTATCCTAGAGCATCGGCTGCGCGATGGAGAGGCCAGCGAGAGCGATCAGCGTCGGACGGGGTCTACCCAGACTTACCTATCAGCGCCAACTTCAAACGCGGGCTTCACGGACCACTCGCGCAAAGCACCAAGGCCCAGTATTGTTCTGCTCCAATCGATGCCATCCCTCCGTCTTCATCCCATAGATTGGAAGCCCCACCCCGAATCACGAGCCCACTACTGAACAAGCGAATTTCCGGCAGTGTCCTACGCCGCGACAAGAGTCACAGCAGCAATGCGCGACGAAAGCAACGCGTTGATTCAGATGTGGACCAAGAAGGGTACTGTTCGCGAGGACAGGAAAGCGATCGCGGCATCATCAGCTCTGCCTCCAGCAGCGCTGGATTATTCCCCACACGCGACCCTTCTGCGTTCGTGGCGACGTTCAAGATCATTGTGGACGCGGAGAGGATTGTCGCACTGCAGATACAGGAGCAGGAGGAGGATTTCTTGCTGAGTGTCCCGGATTTGCGGTTGAGGGTGCAGAAGAAGTTTGAGAAGATGGACATGCCATTGCCGAGCGAGTTTGAGCTGGTGTGGACGCCGTGGCATGGGAATATGGTGACGTTGAAGAATGATGAGGAGCTGAGGAAGGCGCTCGAGTCGTCGGTGAACCAGAAGGTCACCCTGAGATGTATTTGTTAGATAACCCCATATATCCATAACGCCTAATGCTTAATGCTTAATGACTAATGACTAATGCCCAGAACTAGACTAATGACCCTGTAAATAAATAATAAATTATACACTTGATGCACGATCCATCAGGACGAATCCTTAATAAGCACGGCCAGCCAAAAAGAGTAGAAAAAGCCTGCTGAACAGTTGCGTGCAAAAGCGGGTACGAGCGATGCGGATGCCCTTCATGGTGTACATTCTAGCAAAGCCTAGCATTCGAAGGCACCTGATGGTGTTTGTTGCATCCAGTGCGGTATCCATCCTTCCACCCAGAAAACCGATCGCCCGCATCCTACCATTTTCCACCATGTTCGCCTTTTGGCCTTTTGGTTATCCTCACGAACGCAAAAACACCACCATGATATCCCTTAAACCTTTTTCTCGCACGGACTTTCTTGGTACTGTAGTGTACTATAACCTCGAAAAAAACCAACGACAACCACCACCGTTGCTTTGGACGCGTTATGATTGCGTTTTGCGTATCTTTCTCTACACTCCGCCAACGAGAATCACATGCTTGGTGTGCATGCATGCTTGCCTCTCATATCGGTGTCTACTCCTTCTTTCCGCACGCGTCGTCTTCACAGGTAATTTTATGCAACCTCAGGATCGCGAATCATCGTCACGTATCTGACCAATCGCCATCGCAAACAATCGAACCCGCACTTATCTGCTTCGTACCTACTATAATCCTATATCATCTCTGGATTACCGTAAAATGTACTATGGGATTTTACACGGGTCTTTGGGCTTAGATGTTGCATAGTAGACCTGTGTCCTCATGCAATAAAACGGGCCCGATTAGTGTTGCTGGGCACCAGCACTCGAAGCTGGCCTATTCTGCTCTGAATGAAAAGCATATTGTATTGGGAGGAATTTCAAATGATAAAATCGCACTGATATTCGATGGGTGTAATCGGCGCGCTTTGTCCTCACCTTTTCTTCATCCAAGCCAACTTCCTCAAGGACACTCTTTTTCCTCTACGCACAAATGGATCTTATGCACATTTACCGACACCCAATGCGGCTCTACATCCTTGCCTTCAATATCCTCGCCATGGTAACGAACGCTGGATCCTGTTTCTATACTCCGTTGGCCATAAAACAACATACGTCGATTATCTCGATGGTAACTTGACATTGTATTCAGATAGGGAGCGTCGGACTCACAGCCGTTGGGATTATCGGACTGACCAGCAACACACGCCTCTTGCTCGACTCAAGTATTCTCTCGTGGACGTCGATCGCACTCAGCCTGTTCATATTCTTGGTCTCCCTACTGGGCTGCGCGGCTGCTTTGGCGAACTCTAAAAGTGTTCTCAGCAGTGTAGGTCATCATCATAAGGCCGAAATTGAACCGCCCTGATCTTTGGCAAATCGAACTGATCGTCTTTCGCCCTCGTGGCTCTAGTATGGGGTCATGATATCGCTGCTGATCCTGCTGCAGCTGAGCGTCATCATCTTCGCACTCAGCCGACACGACAAGGTAAGAAAGTACTGTGTTATATAAGCTGCGATAGTCATATCATGCTGACCGTACCACCAATTTTTTTTTGGAATGCAAAGGTGGATGGCATTCTGGACAACGCCTGGCAGAGAGTCTACGACAACAATCCTCGCATTCTTCAGGATATCGAAACTCGTCTCGCCTGCTGTGGCTACTCTTCCGTTGGCGACCGAGCCGTCCCAAAGACATCCAAGTACGCGTGCCGTGAATCGCCCGCGTTCGGATACACTGTTTCATGCCAGAGACAAATCAAGGGCGCGTACCTGGATCATGAGGACCTTCTCTTGAGCGTCGTCACGAGCATCCAATTCCTGCAGGTAACGGTTCTGATATATCACCTTACCCTTGTGACGTGTGAGGAAAAAAAAAAAAACGAAACAGCGATGGATTCAGCTTAATATCGCCTTTGTTTTCTTATCCTGTAGATTCTCGCGCTGGTAGCGGCAGTGGCTCTGTGGTCACAACTGCCTCGCAGTAACGAGATCGAGGACCGATATCGGGTCGAGCACTCGCAGAGACTGCTCCGAGGAATGAGAGAGGACCAGGCACAGAGAGGATACCGTGATACTGGTGGCCAAGGCGAGGAACAGGAGCGTTACGGAGCGACTGAGTGGTCTAATCGCTAGGTGCTCCTTCATCGTAAGGACCGGCAACTGGACTCTCTCTTCTTTTTTTTTTTTGGCGGGTTCTCTTTTCTGGCCCTCGCATGTTCAAACAACCGTGCACTCCGTGCGATCAACAAGGTTTCCGAGTTGTTTTTGCTTGCTTGCATGGCAACCCTCTTTCTCGCCTCCCTCTTCAAACGTTGCGGACGTCCATGTGCTGCGAATAAAAATACCGCGGGAGTATGAAAAAGGTGTTTGCGTTTCTGTGGTAGTCTGCTGTAGTTGGAACAGGGCAGTGACACGTTCTTTTAATAGACTAAGCACGGCCGCTCGTGCTATTTTCTCCCATTGGCGCTGTTTCCCATTGATACCGTTGCTGCTTTGTTTGTGGACATGCAGCTGGGCTCGTTGTTGGGCCCTGGTTTCCCCTGTTTCAGGCTGTATGTATCATTACTCCCCTGAAATCGCGCCCAGAGCTTAAGGGCTTCCTGAGTAGATTTCTGTATCACAGAGGCGAGAGGCGTTTCAATTCCACATAGGAGCAGGAGTCTAGTCTAGTCGATGACAAGACCCTTGCCTAATCCATACGCCAATGCTAATGGGCTCCAGACCATCGGCTATTTATCCTATTACACTGCTTAGCGTAACACTCGATTTGCCTTGGCTAATCCCCCTAGTGCCAGTCTACCCCTATTCGTGCACTCGCCCTCGGTTTCGGTTCCACGTCTTGGTCCTTTCATTTTCCTCCTCTCCCCTCCTTTCCCTCCCCCTTTTTCTATTGCCCGCCCCTATCATCCTCCCATCCTTACCCGCTTACATTCTCCCTCCATCCACTCATCCTCATTTCCATTAATACCGTTAGTCCTTCTTCTTACGCACCTCTTTTCTTCTTCTCTTCTGTTCCTTGAACTCAGTTCACATACATACAAAAAAAAGCCATGTCGAGTGAAGGTGGAGGCCTTTGGCAAATCATTCAGTTCAATGGCCAGGCTGTTGAGGTCGAAGCACGAGTGGGCACTCCACATACGCACGACCAGCCTTTTGTACTACTGCACGATGTTCAGGACATCTTTCCTGGTGCCGCTCGCTTTCAATGTGGGAAGCGGGCCGTGGGGTTCATGGTCGATGTCGATGGAAACAAGTATGTTACACCTTTTGCAGCTCTATGTCTCCTCGAATTTCTTTCTTTGTCCGAACGCTAAGTGTATGTTATTTATCTGTCCAATGTAGGTTGCAGCCGCTGCGTGTACCATATCTACCAGGCACACCGTTGGAGGTGATTGTGTCGGATGTTCAGACAACCACCCCTCCTCTTCGGCCGAGCCCCAGTCCTCTGGCCAGAGAAAGAGCGTCTCGGATATCCAGTCAGAAGCTACGTCCAAGGCTTCTGCGGTCGCAACCTTCAGGACAGAAACAGGAGCTGGCAGAAACACCAGTGCAAGAGCAGCGGCAGCAAGGATCCAAGGAAGAACTGAGGGACGAGGACGGACTACCCGAGTTGTCTTTAGATCAGCAGCTGGAACTGCAGCTACAACAACCGAAGCAGGACCTGATGGAGCAGCGAGAACTACGAAGACAACAGAGACAGCAACGCCAACAGGGAACAGAGCAACAGGCGCAGCTGGACGAGCAGATGTTGCGGCAAAAACTGGTAGGGCTCGAACAGCAGCAGATCCAGCAAGAGCAGGAGCGCCTGCGCCAACAAAAGCTACGACGGCAGGAACAGTTGCGCCAAAAGCAACAGCAGCAGCAGGAACAGATGCATCAAGCACAGCCTCAACAACAAGAGCAAGCCCAGGAGCAGCAGGAGCAGGAGCAGCAGGAGCAGGAGCAGCAGGAGCAGGAGCAGCAGGAGCAGGAGCACCAAGAGGAGGAGCAACAAGAGCATCAGCAAGGGCAAAAACAAGAACAACAAGAACAACAGCAAGAGCAGCAGCAGCGTGAGCAGCAACGAGAACAGCGTCAGCAACGGTTATCACGTCAACAAAGACAGCAACAACAGCAACAACAAGGACGATCAGAAAGAGCCGCAACCCCGCCTGTCATCCCTGCTCCGACTCCACGAAAGCCCAGACTTCCCTCCATCCCTCCAGACGATCCCAACTCCAACGTCCGGATCTCAACCGACTCAGCCAAAAACAAATATCGAAAGTCCGTCATGCTCTACCAGTCCTTCCTCCACCACATCCGAGCGGGCCAAACTGAGCAGGCCAATGTCGTCAAAGAGGATTTCCGCCACCACTTCAACAACCTGGAGCTCGAGATGGCCAAGAATCAGGACCTGCAGGAACGGATGCTGGAGATGCAACAAACCATGCTCGAAATGCAACAGCGCTCGCTCGACCGCCTCGCCGTCATCCAAAACCGCGTGCAGGCTATTCTGGTGCAGAATTACGAGTTGCACGAGTACCCCGTCCCCAGACTGTTTGTTGTCTTGCCCAAGGATTCGACACGATGGGATTCAGATAACCTGTTCCAGAACAAGTTCCGACTGTACTTTTTGTGCGAGTGTGGCGACCACACCAAATCGAGCCAGAGCAAGATTCCACACCATATTCACCTAGCAAAGCATGAGGGGTACGACATTGAGAGACCGAGAGAGTTCTTTAGACGTTATGGACACTACGTGCTCAAGCTGTTGCAGATGCTCAAGTACGGCGTGGCAGTAGGCGGGTTCGCGGTGCCGGCACTGGTGCCCTCGCGAGTTGGAGAATCTGTCCGCAGGAACAACACGTATTCCGTCGACGGCTATTCCTTCGATATCGAGCCTAGTGTGAACCAGGCGATCGAATTCTTGCAGGCGTTACTGACAGACGGCGAGGTCACTCCGAATGGAATCCGACATCCGGACGACATGATGGAATCACTCGAGGGCTCGGACTTGAGGCGACTGGGGGCATTTCTGAAGAATAAGGACGAGGATCACGTACTGGGAAATCTCTACAGGGTGGTGACGAATCAGGGTCACGTTAAGTGGGTCTGTCTGGATCATTATCGCGAGACCTACAACACCTTGGCGATGAGGGAGCTGGAGGATATCGCGACGGTCAATGGTGGTCTAGTAGACGAGCACTACGGACGCGTCGTCATAGCTCTATACTCGTCCGCGGTTGCTACTCAATTCTACAGGGCTCTCGAGCGAGCAAAGTTTGTGCAGGAACTCAAAGTCAAACTCCGTTGGGATATCACGTACAGCGACGCCAAGGCCTTCAAGGAGACCATCAATCGATCCAACATCTCGGCGCTCGAACTCACCTGCACGGCCTCAAACTCTGCGGGCGAGCTATTGAACCGCAACAAGCGAGCCGAACCCCTGTGGCAGATCCTGTCGAATCCCAAGATCCGATCGTTCTCGCTCGATGGGTACTCGGGCTTCTTTCGGAGGGCCTCACTAGAAGTTCGTCCGAGCGAGGTCAGGGTCCTGCGCATCTCGGACGAAATTGACTGGAAGAAGGATTATGCCAAGGTGGTCGAGATGCTCCAGATGAGTCCTCACCTTACGGACCTGACGCTCGGCTGCACCAACATGAACGAGGCGTACAAGGCCATCCGTGAAGCGGCCTCCAAGCGCTGCCCACTCTCGAAACTCACACTTAAGGCTGGCCCGGACGAGCGACTGACAGCCCAGTTCGAACAGGACCAGGCATTGGTGAGCATGGATCTCGTCATCCCCAACTTGACAGCCTACAGTCACCTCCTCAAGGCCGCAGACTGTATCTCGACCCTGCATATCAGTTCGCAGACCAACAGCTACGGCGACTGCGCCCCCATCGTCGATGTCATCAACAGGAACCGCAACCTGACGGAGCTCAAGATCGCATGCTATGTCTCGGAGTTTGGATTGGTGTACGAGGCCATCCGAGCCAGTGTCGTGGCCAACCGTTCGAGTCGATTGAAGAAGGTGTGTATCTATCGCGCAGAGAACCAGCTCACGACCACAGACATCCGTACACCCCATCTCCTCTCGCTCGAGCTGCTCCAAATGAACATCCACGACGGTGTCCTCGCACAGTTGTTAAGCACATTCGGCTCCAAGCTGACGAAACTCAGGATCGACACCGATAGATGGAGGCCCATCCATTCAGCTATACTTCGCGAGGCATTCATGTCTTCGACGACTGGGTCTCGCCTGACTCACTTGTACCAAACGATCGCCGGCGTTGACGAGGGCATCCTGCGCGAGCTGAGCATGGTCATCAACCGGTCCAACCTGGCAGAGTACCATATGGTTATCGATCAGGCCTTCAAGATCGATCCAGAGCGAGCCATGTACTGGGTCGACTATATTACCTGCATTGGCGAGAAGTTGTCCTCGCTCGTCGTGGCCTGTCCAGAGCCGAATGAGTGGGTCGCGGCCTTGGGCAATGCAGATTTCCCAGCCATGGAGCGCATTTCGTTCCACCATCCGGGACAGAGGATCCAACGGGGCGGCCTGGAGTATATGACGCAGGAACACCACCAACAGCAGCAATATTCGAAATCAGAGGTCGACGCGAACTATATGCGCAGGACCGTAAGTGCTCCAGAGATACATGGATATCCAACGAGAGATAGCGCAATTACAGCGAATTAGTCTGCATTTCTTTTTTAATGACCAACAATAATGAGCAGCGAGGACTACCACTGGCCTCGTGAAGAAGACACGACACAATTATCATGATGAACAGTAAATAAAAAAAAAAGAAACACGTTTATTTCATATATATGAATAAGTAGGTATATGTGTCCAGTATAAGAAGGGTGCTTATTTCCGGTTTGCGATATCCGTTATGAAATCAGGCCACGCGTTCCTCTCCCTTGCTTCGATCGGCAGTCTTATACCTGATCCTCCGATTTGAGTTCCGTACAATCTCAAGGCCTCTAGTGCGGGACGCTGACCTTGACCGACTGAGTTTTCCATGCAGTCCACGAACATCTGCAGATCCACATCAGCCATGTTGGATTTGTTGATTTCCAAAATCCTCAGGATCCTGAAGTTCAGGCTCTTCAGGAACTTGTGCCAGTCCGTTTCGGAAGGCGTCCGCAGCCCAGTCCACTCTCCTTCTTCTCTGTCCCCCATTTCTTTCTTTATACTGATCATATCCTCCAGGGTCATATCGGTCTCTGTGGGGAAAAAATTCTCGAGTTCAAGTGTTCTCAGTGTGGGGCCGAAACGTCTTAGCATCTCGCAAAAGTGTCCGAAACTCTCGCTCCTGATCTTCTTGCAGTCCACATGGAGTTTCTGAAGGTGTCGACTTTTCTTGGCCCAGTCTATAATATCGTGTATCCACTCACTGTCAGAAGTGTGCCTGAGCCGAAGGGTCGTCAAGGACTTGAGAAGATCACCCTGAAAGAGCGAGGACCATGACACGGGACAATCTCGGGGCCGTACACGATCGCGCTCGAGCAACAACTCCTTGACTTCAGCCGAGGCGCGCTCGACCTTCAAGACAATAGTTGCTTTACCGCGGTTATTAAACTGGATGTCGGTAGATGGTGATCCTATCTGGCCCGGAAACGGATGGGCTCCCAAGATTCTTTCAAGCTGTCGGCGGAACTGCCGCCGAGGGCTGTCTAGGATCAAGCGCTGCAGATGAGTCGCTCGGTGAATGATGTTCTGGATCTTCTCCGAACGTGAATGGTCAGAAAAGTCCTCGATATCGAGGCCAAGCCGTAAGAGGCGCAAGTGCGAAAGATCAGAAGGGACATCAGTTGAGGACAGGCGCAAGATCTTGGGCGCTTCGATCAGCTGCAGCTCCTTGATCGTCGGGATACCAAGTAGCTCCACCCAAGCATCGCATGACCCTCGGAAATATCGGGGTGCAATTCCCCTAGCACAGGCGATGTGAACGATTTCGATTGCAGGGGCGTTCCTGATGGCTTTCACGTAGTCGTTCATCTGGTGATGATTCGCGACCCACGCCAGCGTAAGATCGATCCAAGTACCGGGAAAATCCCTGGCCTGGAGAAATCTGCAAAACGATCGCGCCTCTTGTGCACTCCTCAAGGTAAGCGTGACCTTGATGGCAGAGTAGGAGTAGGACGAGGGGTAACTCTCGACGGAGCCGTTATGGGTGCGAAGGAACTCCTTGAAATGCTCATTTGAGAACTCGAATCCAGAGCTGGGGAGAGGTCCAGCAGAGAGATGTCTCTGTCGCTTGTTTCGCGACTGATAGTTCGGCTGAGAGGGATAATGAACAGGGTACGATGGATCACTATGGTGGTCGTTAGATGAATGATCCCTGTAGCGTTTATATTCTTGTGAGCGATGAGGCTCGTCCATATACATATCGCGATTCTGGGATCCTGAACGACTAGGAGACCTCTGCGGATCGCCCAAGAGCGCAAGGGGTCGCGACCGACTGTGAGGTCTTCTTGAATGATTGTTTGTTTCAGGGCGAGCGGCGCCCACAGAGCGATCAGGACTACGAGGACTCCTCGAGCGCCCGATTAAATAAGAGCGACCAGATGACTCGTTGGGTCTAGGAGACATTGATTGGCGAGGCGACTCTCTCGAATGATAGTCTGCATCGTAATGACTAGGCGCCTTTGAGTGGTCGCCAGGAGACCTCGGTCGATTATTGGGGTTCCTTGGGTGACTGATCATGCGGGAGCTGCCGTTCGTGTCGGGTCGATCAGAGGATTTTGGATTCTCAGGAAGCCATGGATCGCTGGGGGGCTTGGCGAAGCTACGAGTCCTCGAACGACCCCTTTCGGACGGATGGTCATTATGGGTGTCATGATCTTCATGGTCGTCATGATCATCATGTTCATCATGGGCGTCATCCACGGTCAGATCCAGGCGCTTGACTACTCGCTGGTGATGTTCAAGGACAACTTCCCTCACTAGGTTGCCCATTTGAGTCCAATATGCCTTTGGAAAATAGCCAAGGTTTTCTCCCATCAGGTCATCAATTCGATTCCAGTATGACTCTGGAAAACCATCGAGGACCGAGTGATCGTGTATAACATGGATGACCTGGTTTCGATAGTAGGGGATCCATTCAGCCTTTTCATTTCCGCCCTCATCTTGGCTGACGTGGGCGAAGCACCAAAAAAAAACTACCAAAGGTTAAAAGCGAGTTATGAGCTCGATGTGCCTGTTTGTTTGCTATCAAATATTCATCCGCGTACCGTTTGTGGACCCCTTCCTGAACCCCTTCCATGTCCTCATCATCTCCAAGCGATTTAAACCCAACGCGCTTCTCAAGGACTTTGCCCCCAATCTCCAATCGCTTCATGTGAGGGAATAACTCACGGATAGTGCTGAGGGGAATGTATTTGAGTCCAGATTTGTGAGTACAGATTGGGATGCGCCAAGGGCCTTGGCACTCGCTAGGAATGGTGGCTATGAATTGCTGGCTCACTGGCGGGGGCCGCGGTGTAGTGTTGTCCATCGTGGTCTCCATTTGAGGTGTGAGAGACGCGCGTGTTACGGATAGATGTGCAATATGGTCACAAAGGGAACCGAAGCTAGGCCGCAGACAGTTTTATGGACAGACAGTGCCTGTACCACACTGTGAGCGCATGTTGTATTTTGCCATGTTCTTCATGGAGAGTGGTTCCGTCGGTTCGCAAGTGAGGTTATGTACAAGTTGCCTACTGCAATACCTCGAATTCCGTTCCGATGACAAGCAGCATCCTTCCGCCACAACGGAACCTGCTTCAGTGGCACTATCGACTTAGATATTTGCACCGGTGATCGAATTCATCTCAAAGACTCGGACATGTCTTGACAGCGTCTGCCACAAAGAGCCAATCAGGTCTCCAAATTCTGGCCGCAAAGCTCCCTGTCATCATCATGCGTAGCCACAGTATTCTAGAGCAAATGGCCCCGCTGGACCGCATCACGCACGGAGAATACCGCAAAATTAGCGTGGCACCACCAGTTACCGTCAAGACCAATGCTCCTGTAAATCGTATTCAAACGCTTTGTTTATTGTGCTCTTCCTCCCCTGCAGCCGCAAATATGATTTGGCACAAGGGTTCCTTTACTCCTTTTACTTTTTGTCCTCTTTGAGCCACTCCAAGACCTGGGGCGTATAGTACGTCAAGATAAAGTTGGCGCCCGCTCGAATGAATCCATCCATGGTCTCCATAACTCCTGTCTTCAGATCAAAGACGCCCGCCTTGGCCGCGTGCCAGATCATGGCATACTCTCCCGAGACCTGGTAGACCGACAGTGGATAGTCGGGCGCAATCTCACGAGCGTCCCTCAAAATATCCAAGTAAGGCGTGCCTGGCTTGACCATTAGAACATCTGCTCCCTCGCCCATATCCCTGACAATAGCACGACGTGCCAGCCCACGGGCCTGAGGAGGTAACTGGTAGCATCTACGGTCACCGCTTCCGGGAGTAGAATGGCAAGCATCACTATCAAACATTACAAGAGATATATCGCCAGTCAGTTACAGTTCGTAGCATTGTATCCCTATCAACAAAAGAAACGCGACCTTTCTTTCAAGCAACACATACCGGAAGGGTCCATAGAAGCCCGATGCAAACTTGGCAGAGTACGACATCACGCTGACCTTGTGCGCAATACCCTCCTCGACCAACGCATCCTTGATGCCCTTGATACGTCCATCCATCATATCGCTGGGCGAGATCATATGGCAGCCGTTACGAGCATAGGCCATTGAGATTTCAACCAGACGCTTGACCGATGCACGGTTGTCGATCGTACCGTCCTTGCGCAGGACACCACAGTGGCCGTGCGACGTGTACGGACACAAGCAGACATCACAGGCAAGCAGCAGATTCGGGAAAGTCTTGCTTAGCACATGCAGAGCTCGGATCGCGGGGGTGTTGGGATCATCTGCTGCAGATCCAACAGCATCCTATAGCGATAATGCCCAAGGCAGAGGGAGAGGCACATTAGAACGCGTTTGCATTAGTAGCGGAAGAGCGATCGACTCGCGGCCATTTTCATTTCGATACTTCAGTTAGATCTAGTCGCATGGGATTCATAGCGTCCAGCGCCATACCTTTTCGATCTTGGCTGGCACGCCGAAAATGATGACCGATTTGAGGCCATTGGCAACCAGGGGCCTCAAAAAGTTGACCAGCAAGTTGACTCCCCAGCTATTGGAGCAATACCATAACCACAAAATAATGGTTAGCGCTCTCAAACCAAGATCGCAAAGCCGGTCCAGAGAGATAGAGAGTGAGGTGCTGCGCTAGCAATTGGCAGACGATCCGCACAGGAAAGCACCATGCATATCGCAATGGACAGAGGCAACGACACAGGCACCAGAAAGTGCGAAGGAGGGAATGGGGCAGAGACAAGGGAAGGGGTGCAGCCCTTACCGAGATTGACCAGGCAAGGTTTCGATCTTTTCCTCGACATCGTCATTGTCGGTGACAAAGATGGGGTACATGAGCATGCTGGGATTGAGCTTCGAGCCAGCCTGCCATGTTCTGTGCAAGGGGTGGTGGTAGCCAGCGTGGAGGAGCGAGGTGTTGCGGTTGGGTTCTTGGGTCATGGTGGGGCTGCGTGTGGGAAAAGTAGGGGAAAGACACAGCGCGACACAGGGTTTTATTCTCTCCTCAGCTCATTGGATCACGTGTTAGTCCGTGGCGAAACGCGTTTGAGGAGCAAGAGGTCGCTGCTACGGGCGCATAATGGGGGTCTCAACAATGGGGTTTTTGCATGTGGGTTTGGATATTTTCCCGCGACGCATTGGCCCTCGAGATCCGTGCCTTAGACGCGTCAGCCCACGAGCTGTGTATTTGCAGCGACTGAAACCCCCTAGTGGGATCCATGGCCAGTCTTCAAGATCAAGCTGAAAAAATGGTCGGAGCATGACAGCAGTCTTTGCATTGGGCAGGTCTTTACCATGGTGTCTTAGTTCCAGAGTTCCAGAGTCTTAATCCCTCTTGAAGTAAGACGCGCGATGGGCATAGCCATTTGGCTCTGCTATTTATTAGATTGGATGTGAAACTGCTTGATTTCATCAGGGATGTCCTACGCCTATTACTGCTCCTTGAGGTTCCGGCACCCATGTGCTAGATGCTGAGTATGATCCTGGATATCCTTGACCAGCAAGGTATTTCCTGTGCACATCCCTGCTTCCCTGTCCAGCCATATATACCTGTCGCTGTCATCCTCACCGCTCGGGGTATTATCGCTGGCCGCGTGCTACGCCTGATCACCTCGACCTGTCTCCATAAAGACCATTTCTTGCCTTCTCCGACTCTATGACGATATCCATTGGTGGACAGGTGTCGTCGTTATCATCGTTATCATCGTTATCGTCGTCATCATCGTCATCTGCGAGTCTCACAAGACCATGTCCACGACCCTTCACCACCACCTGTTGCTGCTGTCCCATCTGACGAGCCCTCAGCTCCCGCATATGTTGTTCCTCCTCCTCTTGTATTTCCATCTCCTTCGCTACTCGCTTCTGTCTCGAGATCGCAAACGGCAGCAGCACAATGGGAATCAAGATCCAGGTCGCCAAAACCGGAATGTTGTACTTTAACCGATTATAGGACCCCATCAGTACGTATCGCGCAATTTGGACCGCGTTCAGGAATGGCATCGCATAGACCCACTTGTAAAAGTCCGGCAGGAGCTCCACAGGGTTGAAGACCGCAATCACATTCATAATAACGAAGGTGATCGTAAAGCATGGGATGAACACCACGGGAATCAGGTAGATCAGGAAAATGACCATGGACGCGACTGCACACTGGAGGAGCAACATGCCCGCAAAAAGTGAAACGAACTGCGAACCGCCCGAAGGGAAGGGAACGCCAAAGACGAACAAGAGGAGACTGTACGCCATCGAAAGCGCAGACAGGAACGCGAGCAGCGGGAGCAGCAGACAGGCCATCGTCTTGGGAACAGTCGCGTTTCGGGTCATCGGCTGGATCAAATGCGCAACCAAGTATGTACTTCCTCCGGCAACCAAAAAGATCCAGATGTAGGCCACAGATGTCGCAGACGTAATGATCGGGGCGGTGACGGGATGTAGGTCGAATTCCTCGAATGCCACGGGCGTTCCCATGACCTGTGGTGCAGCCTGCAAATTGGAGAGAGGGATGTTGCTTTGAGCCGAATACGCGAGCAAGAACTTGATCCAAGCCGGGTTGAAGAACTTTGTGAAGAGCAGGAATTGTGTGTACATGTAGGCGACGATGTAGGGCTTGACCACCAACGGATCTCGGCCTCCTTCGTAGATAAACATGAATGCCTTGGTCGGGTCATAGTCTGGCAATGGCACTGCAAACGCCTTGTTCAGATTCGCGGATGCGTTCGGTTGTACGACAACAGCACCCCAGTAGTTACCGTTCAGGACCTGTTCCTGGATGGCGGAGATATTGGGGTAGCGCGTCATGTTGTGGACGTCCCAGTTGATCTGTCCTGGTTGATCGTTGACCTGCTGCGTGAAGTTGAGATAATTCATCCCGATTATCCCCTGGTCCAGATCCACTACCAGAACATTGAAGTTCTTCATATGGTCGGCTGATTGAAACTATCAAGGTTGAGAGCAAGGTGTGGAAGAATTTGAGATTTGGAAAGAAGACTAGAGAACAAATATGGCGCATAGAATAAAGAGCTTTCGCCGCACGTACTTCTGCTCCGAAATACAATGCCATCAGGCCAAAGTAGGAGACGGTCATCACCACCAGCACTTTTGCAGCCTTGATGATAACCTGCTTCCACGTAGGCTTCTCGGGCATATCCAGCATGATGTTGACAAAATTAAACAAGTCGGTTTCTGGTTCCTCGCCGCCTTTCCCTGGGACTCCAGTCTTTCGCTGAGAGCCGTGGTCACGAGAGAGCTGATGTTTCTCCGGAACCATGTCGTTCCTGAGATGCTCATGATGGTGGTCATGAATAAGGTCGTTCTTGCTTCCGGTTGCGCTCTGTAGCTCTGGCGTACTTGCTTCAAAACGAGAGATGTCCTTGCTATTCTTCGAACGATGAAAGTATCCCAGGGTTGATGGAAGTCCAGTCCCTGAAGTTGGTTCATGGCTACCTTTGCTGCGTGAAGCTGGATTATGTTTCGCTCCATCCCTGGTACTGCTGCCGTTGCTGTTGTTACTTTTGTTGCTTTTGTTGTGTTTGTTGTGTTTGTTGTTGTTGTTGTTAGAGCGAGTGGCATGATCGGCTGAAGAAGTGTCCTCTTGCGCTGTACGACCCGAAGCAATCTCCCCTAGCGTTGTACGACCTGAGCACCCTGCATGGCCATTTCTGCTTGTTGATGTTTTGTTCTCCTGTGCCGCTGAACTGAGCCCTCGGCTCGCATCTGTAGTGTTTATTATCTTCGAGGCCTTAGATGTCGATGCTGAGGAGAGAGTGGGCGATTTCAGCCGTGGGGGCTGCTGCCGACTCAGGTTTCGGTCTTGTAGCTCCACATCGCCCTGATGGGGATGGCCTCGCTGGTCTTTGTAGCTGAATTTGGTGTCATGATCAGGATCAAGGGCATGCTGATGGTACTGCGGTTGGTTCAATGTGGGCGTAGTCGCAGATTGCAGCGGCACGGGTAGGGTTGAAGAGGTATATGGCGCTGTGGTCGCTTGTATCGACCGAAAAGCTTCCGAGGGTGACGATGGTATCACTGCTCCTCCATGGCGTGATGTGTATGGTGGCGACGCTGAAGCCGAGGTCAAACGCGAGTGTGATAAGGACGGGGTGTGCCAATGTGATCCCTTATTGGGAATAGAACCTCGTGGCTGTGAAGGCAGGGGCAGAGCACTCAATGACGGACTGTCCATTCCCGAGTGCTCACTTTGATTTGAGGACGACAGCGTCTCGTCGTCGTCGTCGTTGTCGGTGGCCTCAATCATGATATCATTGTTGACGATGATGATACTGCCACTGCCGCTGCTTTTTTTCCTGTTAAGAGGAGCATCGTTCTTGTTGGAGAAGGAGTTGGTGTACTGGGGCACTCGTGATCTTGTGTTTCGTGAAGACATGTTCAATAGCGCGATTCCCCCGGTCAGCCACTTTGCAACAACAGTAAGAACTGGAGAAATCTGCAAAAGGAAACGCTTGTTGAGCTTGGGAGGAGGTAGCGAGGAAGCAGGTGTGTGAAGGAGAGGAGAGACAATGAATATGAGATACGAGTTGCTCTTGCTTCTTGGTGCAAGGAACGGATACTGTACTCAGGAGGAGAACAAGTGAAAGAACGAAAGGAAGAAGAAGAGCGAGATGAAAAAGAGATGAAGAACGGCATTTGAAAGGCTTCTTAAACAGATAACACACGCTCCTTACAATAACACGCGACCAAGAGCTGAGCTCCTTGGTAGAGCCATTGGGTCTAGCAACAACAAACATGCAAACCCTTTATTTGTAAGAGCTATTAGCAATCTTATTTCTTGCCAAATTGTGCTTTTTGCTTGTACCACCTACACAAAATAATTTGATCCGCATGCTATGGGTCATACGCAAGTGGCGACCTTTATTGCGTTAGCACAAGAACCAGCAACAGCAACAGCAGGAGCAGGGGTAATAAAAGTAGCCATTAGGGTGTGGAGAAAGCATGTAGAAAGTATGGAGAAACATGCAGTGCTTAGTAACATTTTTTAGTAGCAATCATCGGGATCTGTTTGAATATCTAGCTGAGTTTATTGCAATTAAAACCACCCTAGATGTGCGTGCATGTCAATTTCATTGTCATGGGAACCCATGCCTAGCAATCCAAGATTCGTTTCCGACAAAAAATGGGGTCCATCCAAAAGTCTTGAAGTTCCAATTAACGCCTCTCGACAACAACCTTCAGCTCGACCGACCCCAGGTCGCCCAGATCAACTCGTGCCCAAGAGTCGCCAATAGACTTGATCTTCGTTCCATTGACTGTGACCTTATCGACAACAATACCGTGCTTCTCCTTGAGCTCCTTGATCACATCCTCAACCTGTACAGATCCGAAAATAGTTTTTGATCCAGGTAAGACCTCGTTCACAGCGCGCGGGAAGACCAGAGGAGGAAGCACCTGTAGACGGTGACGGAGTTCCTGTAACTGAATAATACGCTGCTCCTTCTTCACTGCCTGTTGAAAAACCTGTTCATGTTGTAGTGTATGTAATTGATCAAATTTCGTGTTAGAAACATAGATCATTCCAAAACCGTATGGCATCTTTGACCTGTTCTGACATAGCAAATTTTTCCATGCCTTGTTAGCCTCGTGTGCGTGCTTCATAGAGTCTTGACCAGCACTGAATGCTTGCATAACGTGTTGTGAGCTCCTGTCGATATAGTTGGCGAGTCTCATAGGATACAGCTTGTTTCTCATTCTTCCGGCTAGTTGTGTGTGCAATGAATATAAGCAAATGGTAAGTACGGCAAGAGCTTTGATTCGCTGTATTAAACTTGTCCTCGTCAGGCGCTTAGGCCGTCAAGTTATCCAGAAGACTTACGAGCAACGGTGACAACATCCCCTAGATCAACAAAGGCAATGTAGTTCAAATTAAAAACAGAGCCACATTAACGTCAATTGCCTTTAGTCCTTCGCTGAAATATCTCTTTAAAGGTCCCTGCATTTCACTAGCGGCACACCCTCGACTATCGTAGCGGATAGACTCAATTCCTGTTCGACTCAGCATGTCGCTGTCTCCATACCTGGCTTTCCGAGTCCCTGGACGTTTGCCCTCAAGGTGACTTCAACGGACTTCTGAGACTTCCAGCGCTACCGCCGCCATAAACAAAACACAGGTATATGCAATAGGATAGATATGTTAATATCCTTCCTGTTGAGTATTACTTAGTGCGTCCCGTTCCGGAGCTGATCTGCCTGCTCCTGAAGACTGCGTCCGAAGTGTACCTTGACGATGTGAGTGGCGGAACGGCTGACTGCCCCGGTGAGCGCTGACCTGTTGACTGAAAACATGCTGTGAAGTGCTGGTGCTGTCTAAAAGAACGAAGTCGTTGCTGTCCTGGCAAGTAAACGAAAGTGAATAGGCTCGTTGGCGGCACACCAAGCCGAGGGGAGGGGAGGTAAACAAATCGTCCGAAACGGGTGACTGCCGCTTTCACCATTTCTTGAGCTCCTTCCGCAATAAGTGTCATGGGAACAAGACGCCCTATCGCATTTGTCGTCTTGACCCATCAACACTTTCAGGAATCAACAATGTCACCAACAACAGCGCTCGCTCTCACAAGAGCCCTTATTTCGAGAGCCAGGCCGGGACAGCTTACGACCCGCCAACTCTCACACGCTGCCCGTTATGCCGCGCGCTTTTCTTCAACAGTCTCTGAATCACTCCTTGCCCGCACTCATATCCGTCATACCCACGGAGCCCTTCTTGTCACCAAATTGTCAACTGCCTATACCTTTTCGCGTCTCTTCAGCTCTTCAAAGCAGGAACAAGAATATGCCATCAGGTACATTTTGAATTATTTTACATTACCCAGCTGCTATCCAAGCATGTCATTCCATATACATGGGCAGCTCATCATATTCAACGCCTTGCTTTCAATCACAGCGAATTGTCCAACGACGATTACCACAGCGTTTCCGACGCTTGCATGAATAGGATGGTCGAATACTTCGAGGATCTGGGCGACGAGCACGAAATCCCTGGATACGATGTTGAATATCAGGTGAGTTCATGCAAAAAGGTGTGTTACTCAGCTTGTTTCCCCCACAACCTTCTGAAGGTTCTGAGAAGAACGGATCGCTGACTTTGTCTGTATTCGTTCTATAGAGCGGAGTGATGACTCTTAAGCTCGGTGATAAGGGAACATATGTGGTTAACAAGCAACCCCCAATAAACAGCTCTGGCTATCATCGCCAACCACAGGGCCTAAACGATACGACTACGATACGACACACAAAACCTGGTTCTACGGCCGCGACCATCATTCTTTAAAGTACTTGCTCGACACAGAGATCTCAGAGGCGACTGGAATTGACATTGACGTGCCGCTGGATGGTCTCGACAATGAATAAGCAGCAGGGCGCACGGAGATCATACATGTATAGATTATTGGAGGACAGGACAAGTGCTGGAGATAACCAATAAACACTCTTCAGTAACTGAGCGATCAAAGAAAGATGAACTGGAGTGACGAAATAGTTCGAATGGTATTATTATTTCAGGTATTTTTTGGTCCTTTCTATCAATGGTCCTCGGATGGCATCCATGATCAAAAGCGTCGTTATTCCGTCTCCCCAGCAGTCGATCATGTCCATGCTTGTTTACACAACGCTATATTCTGCTGGCGTCAGGATACTTTGTTTGGAGAATGGCACATCGGAGCCGTCTGCAACCAGAGTCACAGAGATAACCTATTGGCGCAAAAAGGAGCAATTGAGCGAATGGATGAGTTAGCATACATGGTCATTCAAAACAAAAGGATATCGGCGCTCCATGCAATTGGATACGTACATCGACATCACAGATAAGACGTTCGCTCTCAAACTGAACAGAGACAGGGAAGAAACTCTCGGTATCTTCACCCTGACAGTTGAATTCCAATGATCCTGATGGATTGGACGCATCAATCGACGACAATTGCCAGATCAGCGCGCTTTGCTGGGGATCCACAACGTATTCACCATCGGCATCGCCCACAGTTGGCCGTGCTCCTTGTCTATGGTATGCAATGCAACACATGGTTGATCATATTAATAACGGCGGCATATATGAAGCGCGTCTTACAGCACAAGAATACCAAGTAAAATATGTAAACTTACGGCAAAGGGATGATAATGTTGACGTTCTTGAACGCCATCTCCTCGTTCTCTAGCTGATATTCAATATTGACATCACTTGTGCCATCTCCTGAAGGAGATGGCCAACAGTTGACTAGCGGTGCAAAGCAAATAAAGTCGATTAGATTTTTTTTATCCAGTGTAAAAGTCGCCATATAAAATCCCCAAATGGTCGAGCATCCTTACTCGATAGAGGAATAGAGCTCTCGTCCTTGCTGATGAATCTCCAGCGCAATACTCCTGTGGGCGTATTAAGTGGAAACTCCTTTGAAGAATCCCTGAAAGCAATCACATTTTCACTGTTGAATAGAATCTTGTTGACATTTGGATGGGTCTAAGCAATATGTACGGTCAGGCATTAGCAACCCTTCTCCATGGTCCGATATAAATCCAAAGCGATGTGTTGAACTATCGAAGCTGATCCTCACCTTGAACTGAATGCTAGAATCCTCGAGATGACTGAGCGCAAGGCTGACCTTGGCAAAGGCAGGGTCAGAGACGCGCAGCATCAGATCACCCTTGACTTCCATGTTCTCCAGTCCACCATCCCGATTCGCCACGACTGTGATCTTTTCTTCGATATGGACATGCACACTCTCCATGGGGAAAGTAGGCTCCGCTGGAGCAGAATAGCTGGGCTGAAGAGGGGCACGCTGCTGAACAATGGGTGCCGCCTCAACTTCTGATCGAAGGGATTCAAACAAGTCCGTGTTGTTTTGCTTGCGTCCCAGCTGCATGCCTCTAGCCTTTGTAGTAGGTGCCTTGGGCGCAGAACTATATGTACAAAAAGAAGAAATAGCATCAGTCCATAACTCTCTGGAGTAGTCTGGTCGACTTTCGTCGCTGCGATAGCACAAATCAGTGAGCCATACTTGAACTTGGATATGTTGTCATCCATGGAGGGGCTTGGTGAATCATAGCCCTGGCTTCCACCCATGCCTCCCATACCCCCCATGCCTCCCATGCCCATGCCGGATTGACCTCCAAAGCCCATGGGGCTGCTCTGGCCATATCCACCCATTCCCTGTCCGTAGGCGCCGCCCATTCCGCCCATTGCCTTCTTCTGCTCCTTCCTTTGTAGATCCAATAACTTGGCCCTCCTCTTGAGCTCCTCCTTGGCCTCACGTTCCTTATTCTATATCACAGGTGTTCAAACAAGAAAACGTGTTAGGTGAAGACCAGGTTTCATGTCACCTTCAAACACGATCCTAGACGTTAAATCCGACAAAGTAACCTTCTCAATCATCTCCTGGATCTTTTCTTCATGGCTCTCCATTTCAGAGATACTTGCAACCTGGGCCAGATTCACGTTCTCTCTGTATCCAAGCGAGATGATCTCGTCAAAGGAGCTCAGCAGCTCGAATGCATTCCTGTCAATCTCGCGAGCATCCGTTGGCCTGCAAACCGAGGAAACGACTCGGGAGACCAGTTGAAGTGTGTCAATATCTGGAAGACAAAAGTGGGTAAATAGTTAATTCGATACCAATTACTCTGAGTTCGAAGTTCGATCAATATTCGTAGTCGAAACTATTCGGTCAATGGTTGGCGTTACCTTGCAAGATGTTGGATTGCTTGTTGGTGATAAGGACAACGAAAACATCCTCCAGCGGTTGGTATACATAGCGCACATTGTCTGTCTCGATTGTTGTGTGTTGCTGTCCGCTGCTGGTCAACTTTGGGAACGAGGCGATCAGGCCCTCGATTCTCGCGCGTGTCATTTCCTTAAACTGGCGCGAAATCAGAGCTGGGAAGAAAGGGGGGCCGGAGGTTAGCATCGGGAGCAAAAAAGCATTGACAGTGCAACGAGATCAGCAGCAACCAAATGAAGAACTGGTTACCTTTGCCGCTCTTTGTACAGATAGAGACCGCAAGGACGACCTAAAGAACGTGAGGTGGTTGTGGGCGAGAGTGAGGTGATCAGCCTCAACGGTCATCAGAATGTCTACAAGTCGAAACTCGGTTCCTGAGCAGTCGTGAAGGTGGTATTTACCATGGTGGATGCGGAGTGTAGGTTGCAGGTGAGTGGCGAGAGGAGGGAGTGTTTGCTGCAGATGCAGAGGAAGAGAGATGGGCGTTGGTGTTGATGCGAGGTCGAGATGAAGAATGGTTCGCCCGACGTGGCAGTCATCCAGACCTTGCAACGATCTGATTGCTGCCCTTACGAGCCATTTGGGCTCCTGCACGTGAATGATCGCGTCGCGTCCACTTCACGACGCGAATAAAGGGAAAATTTCCGGCAGCTCGCTGTGCCTTCGTTCTTCTGTGTATGCTGTACATGTACAATGAAAAGAGACCATGCTCGCCCTTGTCGACCGACCACAGTAAAATACTCGAGATGTAGGGTCATATTCTTATCGTCATCTGGGAATTGTGCGTAGTCTGCTGTCGTATCCATAGATACCAGTGCTGCCGCCGGCGTCTCTTTTGATTTTCTTTTAATATGCGCACATGTGCCAAAGTCCCACCTTTAGTCTGTGGGCTGACGCTGCAAGGGAGCACGTTGGCATGGGAGTGTCGGTCAAGTGCGCGACAGTAGCCCAGAATAATGATAGGATTTAGAGTTGAGCCTGGAAATACATCTTCTTTCTCGCGCTACCAAAAACGCTTCACCATCATTTTTTTCTTTCGTCGTGCCTCTTCCTTTTCGCCCTTCTCAAGAAGCCAGGATGTTCGGCGCTTTGATATTCGACAACCTTTTGATCCTGAGCCTGCTATGCGAGCATCTCTCCGTCAACGACCTATATTCCTGCTGCAAAGTCAACAAAGCATGGAACACCGTCAGCTTAGCCTATCTGTGGAAGTCCGTCAAGATTGTCACGCCCGAACCTCGATGCGAGTGGCCACCTAGACCGAAAATGCAGCCTATCCTTCAGAACGCTCCACGCATACGGTCGCTCGATATTGCCAATACTCGAGTCCTGGACAAAATATTTGATCCGGTCTACACACCACCCTCGCCCTCGGATGATCCACCTGTCGTCTACACCACCGCCTGCACTCGTCTCGAATCCTTGACCTGCACAATGATGTCCCGGGCAGAGAAGGAGAGCGACCTGGATCGATTAGATTGCCCACAGGCATTGGTGGTCTTGATTGAACAAACCCCACGCCTTGGACGACTAGAACTCAGGAGCATGGATTTTTTCACTTGATAGAGAATACAACGCCATGCTGTTCTCGGCCATCGCAAAACATTCTTCGTTACCATGTCTCCAAATTTTGACAGAATCAGTCATCCCCTTGAAGTCTATCAAATCACCACCCGTTCGATGCCCCAGACGCTGCGGTCACTCACTCTCAAGCTCCCGTTCGTAAAGCGGGAGTGTACCAGGAGAAAATGAAAAATGCCTTTGGCGACCACCCATCAGAATGTTTACCACCGTGGGAACTGCAGCGACCAAACTCTTTACGGAAACTACACATAATTGGGCCGATGTTTGGGTTGGAGGGAACCGCTCTATTCCCTCTTCTCAGGAGCTGCTCCCAATTGACAGATTTTACCTGCCCCGAGATGGATCGAACCCATGCCATGGCCCCGGGGACAGTCCTCTGTGATCAATGCCCACAGCTTGCGGCTCTATCCACCCATCGGGACTCGGATCTGTCGAGGGACCTTAAGATCCTGATCATCGAGGCCTCCCCTGCCTCGACAGCGACAACGCCTTGCCGCCTTCGGTCTGTCGGTATCTTTGGCTGGATCAGGAACAGTGACAACCGTAACACCAACCATGTCACCTTTCTCAACGTTCAGCGATCTTGAGTCTACCTTGGAGCTCCTGCGAATCCAAGATTGTGATATCGAGCACGGAAGGCCCTTAATTGGGCTTGGATAAAGAGAGGTCGCCTGCAGAATCTGAACCCGTCATGATGCTGTCCGTGACAACAGCCTTCTCAGTCTTAATGGGTTTCTTGAGATAGTCAACGGTACGAGTGGCCGAAATATCAACGGAGAAAGCCTCTGACGTGGTCTCTCCATCCACAACACAGAAGAGTGCAAACTTTTCGGCCATCTTATGTTGATTACGAGCGTGATTGTTGGAATATTGTTTGAAGTGAGGACAACGTGCTTGAATGCGAGGTGTTGGAGGGTATGAAGCAGTTTAATGGGAAACCAAATAGGAATGAAGGGTATTGTGGGTAGGGCAAAACTATTGGTCGAGATCAATACTAACATTACCCATTTTTTATTTTACAAGGCACAATGCTGCGGTGTCCTTACTATTCCACCCACAAGTAAGGGCGAAGCCAAATTCACTTCGTTACACCACCATGCTGAGATTACTTGTTTTTTCTCTCATTACTCTGCTAGGCTCCACGTGCTTCCTGCGTGTTACACTTTCCAGAGCCTTCAGCGTCTTCAATATCAGAGCCTTTGCACGCCTACGGCCAGTTCTCGTCAACAGCACAAATAACAGCACAACCATCATCACCAGCGCTAGCAAGGTCCAGTATGGGTAGAACGCTATGATCCAGCTTGCATGGTGAAACTTGCGGAACTTGCACGTCTTGTCAATAGCCAATCGCTTGCTTGGATTAATAACGGTATCACCCTCAGTGAGATCGCGTGCAACTCTGCAAAGCGCGCATCGAGCACCTTGACCATCGGGACCCCATTGCACACCATACTTGGCTCGACTCGTCTGCTTACTACCATCTTTGCTCAACCATTGTGTGGTCGAATTGACAGGGAACCCCGGTGCATCAATGTCCCAGGTGTCGACAAACCATGGTAGCAACCGCCTCTTGTAGTCCTGATTGAACATTGCCGGTGCGTTGGTATACACTTGACGATTTTCATCCGTGTTATCGGTAGTGTGTTTTGCCCTGAATGCCAAGTACTCCTGATACGATTCATCGTCACGGTCAAGAGCCTTCAGATAATGTGCAAGCCGTTCCGGGGATCCATGGTCATCGTACTTGATAAGTGATTTCTCGCCTGGTGTGAATCTCGAGTAATCTTCAGGTCCATCCACCACAGGTACTGTTCCGGCTGCAAGCGCCCGCTCAAATTTCTCGGTCACATAGTCTTCGCAGTTGGAGTTTTCAAGTGCCAGATAAAACTTGTAGTGCGAGACCAGTTCTTCATCCGTCATCTCTGTCACACCATCCTTTTTTTTTGGCCACGCCCTGTTGGGCATGCATTTACCGTAAATGTCCACATCGATGTACTTTTTGAGCTGATTGACCATGAAGTGCCGTCCATTGTTAGCCTTGCAATTGCTTACGATCCACGCGACTGGTGCCAAGGGCTTGCTGTCTTGTTCGTGAAAGCCATGCTTGCGGAACTGATTCTTTTCTGGCAGAGTGTGCAGTGGTGGCCGGCTGACAAGGTTAATCAAAGCTTGTGGGTTCGAGCGTCCAGACGTGAAGTATGTTGCGATAAAGTCCGACCCAAAGTGGTACGTGAACTGGTAAGCAAACAGAGAGATATATTTCTGCTGGTACGCAAATGGCTGCGGTCTCTCGGCTAAGGCCAGCGCACAAGATGCAATCAGGATGAGTTAGAATGAGTTAGAGTGTATGTCCAACCGCCTCAATTGAAGGGGCGCACACACAAAACTTGCCTGTATTTAGCACCCACGACTTTTTGCTGTCGTGCACATCCTGCAATGGCGGTAGGTCCCTGGGGTTCCAATCATGGAAGACAATGACCTTGGCTTCATTGTACTTGCTGCGATCCAGGGTATGCCGGCAGGTGTAGGGTAGGCCACAGTCGTCTGTCATCATGCCTTCGTACCGGTCGGTATCGAACCACTTTGTCCACCAGATGATCGGGTATTCCTTTTTGACTGACATTGTTCCCAAGGTATTTAGACAGTAAGGAAGAAAAGAAGCTTAAGATTTTGTGTATTGACTACGAGAGTCCCCTCCCGGCACAATTTGGGCTCTAATTACGTCTTCGAAGTTCACTCTGCAGCATTTCCAAGCACGTTTACTTTCCCAGACTCTTCTATCAACTTCTAAAAGGTAATTCACCGACCCTAGTGTCATCCCGCCCAGAAACGCCATGTTATGAGTGGCCCCACTTCTTTCATTTCAGCAGATACGCTACGGGCTCTGCTGAGTGGGGGAGTGGCTACGATACTGGTTGTCTTCAGAAGGGTTCTACATGGCATGTGCTCTCTTGTGCGGCATGTTATCGTTCTATTTGATACAATGCCTGGAGGAACGTTGTTGAAGGCAGGGCAGGACCGCCAGAATCTTGTCTCTTACTCTCTTTCTCTCTTCCCTCTCTTGTAACGGGTTACGTCCGTCCAGGTGATGATCCATTCTTCAGAAAAAAAGGCTTCATTAACAACTGTCTTTGGATTCATCAACAACCCTTCAGAGCTTGCACCACCGCTATTTTTTATCAACTGACACTCCAATTGTTTACAGATATCTTTTGACCTGATCTAGAAACGAGGGTCAGTTAGTTTTTTCAAATCATCATTCCGCACAACGTTACACTCTCTGCTTTCACAGCATCGGCTTTCTCGGCTTTGTTTTTTTCTGGTGTGCTTGCTTTCCGAACCGGCTCACCTCTTCTATGAAGTCTGAGCGTCTGACATGCCCTACCATTTGAAAGAATGCAGTGTATTGCCCATTAGCCTGTGCAGCGACTCGTTATTTGTGAGAGGTTCGCTCAGGTGTTACTGTGGTTCTTCGGAAAGTATTGAGTACCGGCTGGACTCTAGCAAGGTCACGCGGACTTACCTGGGAGGCATCTTTGGCAGCCTATTTTTTTTTTTTCGTCCTTCAGTTATTGGAACATTAAACTAACAGGATGTAAGTTCTTTCCAATAGCGGCGATGAGTTTGGAGTTTGCCATCGATGTTATGACTAAAGATCTCGAAATGGAGGGCACTTTCGTCAAATTAGTCCAAAGGCTTTCGATGCAGAAGGGTTCTTTGCAGGATTCGACGACCATAGACGGGCTCAAACGATTTGGTGATCTCACGATTGATATCTAGCAGGTATCACGGCTTGCGGAGCGCGGGTCTGGCTCTTCAAAAGAAGTGGAACAGTATGGCCTACAAGAAACAACTGAATAGAGCGCGGGCGCATGAAGAGATTATCTTGAACTCGATGCACGAGCACCGGATGAAGATCCTTGATCACTCATACAAAGATCTATGTCACACTCTAAGGTATATTCATTGAATCATATCATATAATGCTGTTGCTATACGTATGGTAGGTTTACCTGTGTTTCACTGTCTCATTACACCTAGCATCAAACAAATCTGAGGACGCAATGAGTCAGACCGATATAGTCGTGGAACAGCAAGTGGAGATGGGCTCAACGGGCCAGGCCGACACAACTGAGAGTGATCATGTTTTGGCGGATGCATGGGGCCAGATCAACTCGACAGCAGGACAGCAAACCGCTGAGGATTCATCTAGCAGAAATATGGTAGGCGAGGTTGACAGCGTCTGCATACACAGGAGGCACAAGCGACGTCAGAGGTCCTATTCACGAAGTGAAAGATGCTCAAGAAGCGGGAGAGAATAGTGTGAGAATAATCAGGACGTTAATAACGTGGTGCATTCAATGAGTTTTTTTTTTTTTTTTTTAATGACTAAGCTCTTTCATTATATTTCATGTTGGGTGGACTTGGTGAGGATGTCGTGGAGATTGCGAGCTTCATCTTTGTATCTCTCTTCTGGACTGATTGGCAGGAAGAGATATGGACCTTTCAGGCGGTTACAGTATACAGCATGACGGTCTATGATAAAGGTGTTTTGCGTTATCTTCTATCCTCATACTCTTCTAGGCTGCTAGCAGGAAGAGGTGTCCATCCGGGTACACTGGGCTACTGGCAGGTGAACCCAAGGTAGGTCGGATGCACTGGGAGATTGGCAGGTGCATCCAATGAATTCATTTTTTATGGCTAAATCCATTGCTGTTTTCCTTTGAATGATAAGGCACATCAGAGGAAGGATGGTTTCCCCTCTACCTTACATCGGAAAGGAGGATGTCCTTCACAGGGCATTATCACCCATTCCTATTTCAGGACGCGCAAGGTAGCGGAGTGGAATTTGGATGGATTTCTCACCTCCATAGGACTCACGGAAGTAGCGTTTACATCGATACTGAAGGACATGTCACGGATCAAACGTTTGCCATCTGGGATTCAGATTTTTGCGAAGAGGCTGGAAGACTACTATGGCGGCGTCTTCCAAGAGGTCATTGAAATGGCGAAAAACAATGTCCGCAAGAATGTCACCGCGCGCGTTCAAAATGAAAAAGAACATCTACTGCTGTAGAGCTATGTGGATGACACTCTTGAGATGGATTGAACATTTCAATTCGCTCACAGCTCACAGTGCTAACAAGTCTACTGATTTTTTTAACATTATTATCTCCAAGTGCGTGTCGAACCGTGGAAAGTGGTCGAGGTCTTCACCATGGGAAGGAGAGTCAGTCATTCTGATGTCACCGCAAGCAAAAGCTGCCTATGGTAATTGACGATTCTCCCAACGCGAATGAAGCCATTAACTTGCTAAGGTTTTTGTTGATAATGGTTATTCCAAATTTTAACAGAGGAAAGAAGAACAGCAAGAAACGCAGCTTCGACTCCAACGACGTCAACGTCAAAAGGTTTTTTTTTCTGTTACTGTTAGCATAACTGTTGTTGTTGCTAACATTATCTCTTCAATTAGAGGTTGCATGTGGCTCTAGACGCGTGATAAAGAAGGTATGTCAGTCTCTTCCTCTTAGATTCAAGTGAGATAACTATTTAATTTCACCCGCTACTCTTGTTCAGGTATATGGCGTTACAAGGTGTTCTCGATAGATCGTAAACTTGCTCCCGTTATTCTGTTTCATAACCATTTTTGTGATTTGAAGCCTGCGCCTGTGTTTCTCTCGCGTGCATTATTTCAGGGCCAGCGTCTGTCCATGATTTCTTTGAGAAACCGGGTTCTTTATGGAGTGTTACCTACGCGTTTTGTTATCATGTCCCGTGGTCTAGTAAATATTTGATTACGGGGAAGAGCACCGCTCCAGAATAAAAGAACAAACGGTCTAGTTCCTGAACCAGAATCGCTTCTTCACGTATATATCTTGTATTGCATATCGCCTTCGTTTGGATCGTCACGGATCACACCGCGCTATCGACAGGTGCTGACCACCATCGTCAGCAGTCGACATAACGAAATACAATCAGCAAGGAATGTCAATCCTGATCATTCATCACCATTGCATCGTCAATCGCTCTTAATAGCCATTGTACTCGCCCCGCCAACGTTTCCTTGATCTCCGATCGTCTCATTGGGCATCCGTCATCGGCTTATCCTCGTGAAACGGCGTTATAAGGGCGCAACGACTCCAGAGGGGTGGACTTCATTGTCACGACTCCTCACCTCATCGGACATCATATATGCGAATTCCTTGCAAGCATGGGTGATAGCTTTATAACGATATGCTGACCTCCTGTAGAGAATGGTGGACCAGGACTCGGAACTTGTAGGATTTAGTAATGCGTCGATTGAGAAACTGTTATCTGGGCCGCAGAGCTGGAAAAAGGAAGAGTTGGCGTCATTTGGTGGTCCATCTACGGAGATGAATCAGTGGGTCTGTAAGAACATCGAAACTTTACATATCATTATGTGCGGCGACTCGATGAGGGAGGACGGGGAGGAAGAAGAAGGCGACGAAAGTGAAGGAATTTTGCAGCGGAAGCTAGAGATTTGGGAGATGCAGAACTTATTGTTTCGACGTCTGGGTCAGCTTACGCGTCCCAAGAAGCTGATGTTGGGATGGGAGATGCTAGGCCTGTGTGGCCGTGAGCCCGCCTTCTCCTTGCGACTCCGATCAGGGCTGAAACACTTGGATAAGCTGAAAGACCTGGAGGTATTCCACGTCTGCCACTTTGCGGACGAGATATGCACTGTTGAGAAAAGGATTGAAGGGACCGATGATAAGCCCTTGTTCGCGGGTCAGGAAGAACGACGCTGGATAAAAAAGCATTGGCCAAAGCTGAAGGAATTTAGGGTGGTCGCCTGGAGCTGAGCCAGGGATATCATTAAAGTCGTTTTGCGTATAGCATGGCTGCCAGTAAATGTTGGTCATTATCCAATGTGCTCGAGATAAAGATGCAATAAGTGTTCGTATTTATTATTTGTACAGGCATTTCTTTCGAATGCATGGTAGAGTCGTTTTTTCTTTCGTTCAATGCTTACGGCCCTCTTCAAACAACAATTCTCCTTCATGAATTCTTTACAACACAATCGCTACTACAGATCCCTCCAGGCCTTCTTCCTCGCCCTCGCTATTGGCGACTCCCAAGTCTTTACGTGTCTGGTCCAGTACCTTGGCCACAGCAGCTGCACAGTTCTCCTCACCCTTCTCCAATGCGCTCGAGACCAGGCGTGAGAGCTCAAAGTCCGAGATCAGTGCCTGGTCGTACGGGTTGGGCTTCCCTCCCGCATCCGTGCCGTTTCTGTTGCTGTTCGTGGTACTATGTGCCGTGGTGTATAGCAATCCACGGTTCACCAGAATCAGCAGCTGATTCGATGCACGCTGTGGGTCTGGATGCGAAGGTTTCCTCGTCTCGAGCACGAACCGCGAAATCCTGGGGTCGGCGCTCACGTATGGAGGGTCGCTCAGATTGTTGATCCCAGCCTCATCCTGTGACCGACCTGACATAGAGCCTTCGCCGTTGCTCTCCTGTTGTTGCTGACCACTTCCCAGGGCCTGGTCGATCTTGGCCCGAAGAGACTTTTCGACCCAGGTCGCCACCGAGAATCGGGCCTCTTGCTCCAGCTTCCAGTCAAGGTCTCCAAAGGCCCTGGTAACAGGCAGGCCCAAGAACTTGCCGTCCTTCGTCAAGAAACTCTCGTGTGCCCCTCCTATTGATGCTCCGTCCGTGTCCACGCCGTTATGGTCGTGCTGTGAAGAACCGTTATGTTGCGTCAAGAACTGCTCCACCGTCAATGCTCGTTCCTTGACCTCCGAGACCACCTTGCGATATTCCTCCGAGCCCTGGTACCGGACGGAATGCTCGTGTGTCTCTGGTGGGTTTAATCGTTGAGCTGTCCATTGACCCTGGGCATCAAAGCCTGCCAAGATGGCAACCGAGTCACCCAACTGCGCCAAATATAAGTCGTGCTTCAAAACCGCATCATTTGTCTCACTTCCTGTTGTTGTAGCTGATGATGGTGCGGTATGCGGTGCCAAGAACCCGACCAGTGCTGTGGACCCTGTCACGACCCTCGCAATCACTTCCTGTGTCTTCTTAAGTTCTTCCTCGGACGGAAGCTGGTCCGCGGTCTCTGGCTGGGTCAATGCTACGGTGATAGCTGTCGCCAGCAAGAGTTCATCAAGCTCCTTGAACGTCGACTTGAGCGTGTCGACCACTTGTGTGGGGTCAATCTTACAGGTGTTGGGGTTTTGATGATGATCATCGTCCGAGTGATCGAGCTGGGTCGAGAGCGATTCGTCCAGGATGGGGACCAAGTGCTGCTGGAGGTATTCGGCACATTGTGGGCCGAGGTGTGCTAAATAAATAATTACACAAAGGGGTTAAAATAATCATTTATAGCGGGGTGGATGGTGCGTGCGCATTGTCCGTTGAGCATTGGGCTGAAACGGCCTTGCTTTGAATATTGTATCGGAGGGCACATGAAAGTAAACGCGCCTCTGGCAGGAATGAATCCACTGCTGCATGAGAACCTTAAATATAGCGAAAGAAAAAACTGGTGGGAAAAAACAAGAGAAGAGGGAGAGGGAGAGTGGGTGTATGTGTATCAGCTGAGTTCACTTACGATCATACAGTCCAACCAAGAGGCCACCTTCGAAGCCAGTGGGCTGTACACTAACGCGGCCGTTGTGATCGCCACGGCTGGCTTCTGAGGAAGTGACAGGAGCCTGTCTCACAAAGCAGTGGACTCTGGTTGACGTGGCTGTGGGGATCACAGTAACGGTTGTCACCGGCTTGTTGAACTCGGGTACAGTCATTTTGTGCGGTGCTATGGGATGGTACAGGGCCGCCTTGCTGCTCAGTCGTACGATAGACTGGAGATGGACAAGATAGGGCCTGAAATATGGGTAGAAAGTGAAAGGGTTGTGTGCGGCTGAGGACGTACAATGGTACGGAGGGCAGTGATATGGCAAGGAGGTAGAGCGAAGTGAATTATTGAGGGGTGAAGAGCGGAAGAAGGGGATGGAGAGGGGGAGGGGATAGACAGTTATATAGGCGATTCTTTTTGTGTTGAAAGAGGGCCAGTAGGTTTCCGGTTATTGCAGGTGCTTGAATGCAGAGATGGAAGTATTGGATAAAGAAGCCCTTTTCTACGCCTTTTTTATTGTTTGTTTCCACTCTACGTCCCTGGATTTGTTTGTTGTTGTTTACTGTAGTCGTTGACAAACTGCATTGCAGAGAGCTACATAGTCTATACTATTGTTCTATTGCCCCTACTATAGACTACTGACTACTTTATCATAGATTGCCAGGATTGCATGGATGTGTACTAAGATATTCTACATGTACCCTGCACTGTCTCTGGGAGAAAGCTCTCCAATGAAAGCGGTGGGGGGGGGAAGAAGTCGTCGCGCCTTGAGAGCACAGGACACGCAGAGACACAGGCTGGCTGGTAAAAAAATAAAAAAATAACGAGGGCAGGGCACCATTGAAGGCGACAGAAAAGGATAATTAGAGACGGTAAAAGGCAAAAACGAAGCGCTTTCGAGCTGTGGTCCACGAAAAAGACCCGACGGTAAACCCTTCTTTCAGTTCATGCACGATAACAAAATAAAATAAAAATGGATATACTGAATACTGAGACGAATTTAGAAACGAGGCATGGCATTTACACGGTCTACATTCCATCAGGGTTCCACATCCTGGGTGCCCTGATCCAGTTACCCATCCGCCCATCTGCATACATATCTCTCGCAGTTGCCTAAAAAAAATAAAGAACCAAATCGCCGACAAATTTTAGGGCGTTGAGAATGCTACATGGAATAGCCAGTCATCCCTTCAAAGAAGATAGTAATGTAAAAAAAATGGGCGCCTTGGTCCAGGGTCATAACGTTTTGTGTAGTTGTCGTCAGAGGCAAGTTGCTGAGTGTCTATTCGGGAGATCATTATCGGCGACGTTTTGCCTTATACTATGTTCTCGACCATGCCAGAACTCTATAAACCAATTGACGGAGACATGGCGTTCCTGACACGCTTTCATCAAGTTTATCTTTCCATTACAAGGAAAACGCGAACGTGTCCTGAACCAAGAAAAGAAAAATCTTTCTTCCCCGCAAATGAAGAAAAGGTGCTTAGAAACCACACACTTCAGCTGACGCAGGCTTTGTTTATTGTCCAGAAGAAAGACCTACTCCTCTAATGTGTAATTTTTTTTCCATCGACATCTCAGCTATGCTGCTTTAGTCCATCAAAGGCTTGTCCGGAAGCTGAGAAAAAGAAAGAGGATGCTACTGGGCAGGGATGGTTTAAAGCCTTGTGATTCCCGCCCAGCGAACTTTGTGTTCACGAAAGAGGGCATGATCCTCTTTTCTATCCCACTAAATCCTTCGGTTCAAAATCAAGATACCCATTCGCTTCCGATGCCATAGACGGTTCTTTCCTTTCATGTTGACCAATCCCAATTGACTAATGAGCGTTTTGTTTTCCTGTGAATGAACACTTGAGCATGGGTAGTGTGTCTAATGCTACGCTTACGATATACTTCCAGACTCTCACGATCGAACTTCTTTTAATTCAAATGCCACAATCAGGAAAACCAAAGTTTCGCTTTTTTCACCCTTTTGCTTCGGTTGATCCGCAAGACTCTTGAGATGGAAAAGAGGGGAGGGAGGAGGGCACACTGAAGATCGGCAGTACGCGTGCGTGTTTCGTCCGCCGCCTTCTACCTTTACCTTGAAATCACACGAGGCCCCATGGACAGACGATTGCCGCAACTGCTTTTGATTACCCCTGTTGCAGTGCGTCCATAAACCACGTAGCAAAACTTCATCAAGTTGTTTGATCCATCTGTGCGCCTTCGCGTGCAGGGCGCTGCACGGAGGAGTTGCAAAAAAAAGGCATCCAATGAGGCGGATGTATGATGTATAAACAACAAACAAGCAACCTCTGCAGCACATCTATTTTTTTTTTTTTCGCTGTACAGTTCTGCAGCAGATAGTCTACAAGAACGTGGTATCGCACACATGGGCAGGAGAGAAGAGTCGCCACGAGATTCGACTGCAGTCTCAACCACACGCGGGATAGACATGGCCAAAGTAGCCCATGCATTTGTGCCTTTTTCCATCTTTCCGCACGCGTTTTTCTTTTGACTCGATCTAAATTTCAATTCATCGCTGGTTGGTTTTCCGCTTCCACGGGTTCCTTTCCCAGCTCCTGTGCTCGCCTTTGTCCTTGTGTACCCATGCACTCAACCACATATAGTCAATTCATCCGCAGGCTAAACCATGCATGTATACAGGAGAAAATAACGTGTCTTCTTTGCTCGTATAAATCAAATCGATCTGTAGGGCTGGTCAATGAACAGACCATGTCTGATCTGGCCCCAATAGTTCATACCTCTATATTTTTGCTCCCTCGCGTATCAGTTGTACGGGACTATGCTTTGTTAACCTGCTAATTCAACAAGGACCCTTTGCTCGACGTGTGTTTTGGACCGTGCCCTCTCCCCCAGGGCTAGTCATTTTGGCGTCCTTTTTCTTCTGGACGATTTGTTTACTCAGATATCTTCCTTTGAACAACAACAACCAACAGCTCAAAAGCAGAACGCTCGGAGTACAGTAGACGTATATAGATTGATGCGTAAACTAGGACAGGTTAACAGTTCGGTCTAGAACCGCCTAGCTTCGCTTACACATCCTGTCATACAAACCTACCTGATCCTGATCATGATCCTGACCATGATCCTGACACCCTAACCTAAGGCACCTTCGTATTGTCCGTGCGACGGTAAATTATCGCCATCATCCTTTCCTCTATTATGCATCGCATCATTCGCAAGTCCAATCGAACAAAAAAATGGGCCAGACACTGTACTCCCTAGATCCGGTGTTACGCATAATCGCACGAGAGAAGGCGTTCGTGTCTCCAAGAAATGTACATTAGAGTAGCCATTTATGCGTCTCATGCAGTAACTCTATCCAGAAAACGAGGGAGAACGTAATTGTCTGTTGCAGCCGCGGTCTTTTTTCTTTTGATATTTTCTGGATCAGGGTATCCACATCCGTTTTGTCCTTCCCGCGCGCCTTGAACAGCAGCAACAACAAACCAAAACAAATAAACAAAAATAACGGCAAACATGCACAATGTAGCGGAAGAACGCTTTAATCAGGGACAGGGGCATTTGACATTGCCCCAGGGCCACAGCAGGTATTGAAGTCACCCCAATCGTGTCCCGAACCCATCCTGCGCTCTGGAAGTCATTCCGAGCATCATTTTTTACCGACCAATCATCTCTTCCTTGCCCCTTCGCCACCTCTCCTCTGGCCTCAACGTCCCGCCCTCAAAGTCCACATAGAGACTCTGACTCCTTCTCCGACGCCTCTCGTCCTGTCCCTCAAGCAATGACGACCGATCCGTACCCTCAGGCACCTCATCCTCTGAACTTCGTCGTTGATTCTGAGAAGCGCCGCCGCTACCAATAGCAGTAGGTGGGTTTGAGGATGTGTTCGATGGACGGAGCATTGCCATCTCGCGATTGTACTGCTCCAATTCGAGCACCCGCTCCCACTCTTGCTCACGTCTTAGCAGATCCGTCAACTCGGAAATTACACGCTGCTGTCGCCTTGCGCTCTCGGGGCCGTAGCGGTTCCTGACGTTCCCATAAATGTAGAAAACACCTCCATTGTTGCTGACGCTCGATGAATTCTGAAATCCAGCCTGAAGAACACCAAGTGAAGGCTCACTTCCTGTACTACGTCGCATGAACCCTGTTGCATGTTGCTGTTGCTGATCCTTATCATCTGCATCATTCATACCAGCAGCCCCAACGCCATGTCGCCGTCTCTGTGGGCCCTCGCCATCTTCATCGTCATCGCTCCAACTCTCGCCGTTCGGATTCGTGGCCCAAGGTGCCTTCAAAGACTGGTAAAGATGCTGTTCCTCCAACAGACTGTCCGCCTCTGAAATGTGCTCCATGCCCTCGAACACAGTTCCTGTACTCATCACGCGAGATCGTCCATGACCGCAGATAATCCCGCCACGGTTCCAGTCCGATCGAAATCTTTCCATCCGTGCTGTTGTGGTTACTGCTCGGTTCCTCCGACTGCCCAAGGTACTCCTCTGTCGGTCTACACTACTGCTCGTCCACTCGTCATCGCGTTGTTCTTCTTCTTCGATGGCTTCATGAGACGCAATTGAGGAAGCATACGAGCTGCTGTCGCTACTACTGCCCCTGTTTCTGCTCCACTCGATCGAGTTCCCATTGCGATCGAGGATTTCCGCAAATGACGGACAATGCACTGGAAGGAATCGCTCCCGATACCGGTCTCTGTTCATGGCAGCATTCCGACCTTCGTCTACTGTATCTTGAGAATCTGCTTCTTGTCCCAAATCCGCATGCCCGTCCTCAAGCGAGTCCGCTTGACTGGTTCCACGGCTTCCACTGGCATGATTGAGCATGCTCCTTGTGTCCGTCTGCGCAAATCGGTTCCAGGGGTATCGTTCTGGGTACCCCATAGCCGTATCCCGCTCATTCATCAGTCGCAACAACCTGGTCAGTCGAGCTTGGCGTATCCGAGAAGCCATAGATAGAATAGAAGAATCAAGCCCTGAGCGAGTGGAGCCTAGTAGAGAGAAATCTAACGTATCCTCGGAAGGTGGTGGCAATGCCGCTGATGTTGAGGCTGATCTGGATGATCTTGTTGTTTGAGTGCTTGAAAGTAATGGTCCAAGTAAACCTTGACGATCTGACTGAGTGGCGCCTGACATAATTTCTAAACCAAGTCTCGTTGTCGTATTATTCTCGCTGGCCTCGAGGGTGCCGGTGACTAAAGTGAACCCTGAGTCTTCATCACTGACAGTAGGAACATCAGTGGAGATGACGGTGTCTAAAGTTGGATCAACAGCCAGTGATTCCATTATGCGACCCATCTCACTATGACCATTGTTGCCCGGTTCCTGGTCTCGTAAAATTTGTGCCGCTTCTTGTTCCACATTGCCATCTGTTGGTAATACTGACTGACGGGGATCGTCCGGGGTATGCGGTGTCTCTGTCAACGCTCCATGTAAGCCAAGCGGTATTGTTGGTGTATATCCAATGCTGATATCAGGTGTACTTTCCGCAGGTGGATTAAGGCCATGGTCAGGCTGAGGAGGAATGTTCTCTTGATTCTCAAGCATCGTATCAGGCCTGCCTGTGTCCACCTCATACCTGCCTCGCTGTACGGCGGATTCTGCTGTTGGTGGCGATGTCGCATTGTCCGTGCTGATAAAGGCAACCACATCCGGATGACGCAGCCAGTCGTCCGACGAGACTGAGCCGGACGAGTAATCCCTGGTAGCGTACCTTCTTCGAGGAAGGGTGGCTCTGGGTACGATTGCAAGGTCGTCCAAAGAGAATGTTGAAGGAAGTCGACGATGCTCGCTATTTGTGATATCTTCACCATTAATGCTGTCGTTCATGCTGCTGCCCGTGCCATGTGAAGATGGCTCAAATGCGGAATTGGATCGGTCGAACTGCGGCTGAACACGAATCTCATCGATGGCGAGTGGTTGAGCCAACAGCAATGGTGGTTGTAATGGCCAAGAGTCTTCCAAGGGTTGAGTTGATTCCTGTCCCAAGGATTGATCCACCATGTGGCCATAGATTCGGTCCTGCTCTCGGTCACGGTATTGATCTAGGCCTGGCTCAAGAACAGCGGGTGCGGCATTGAACAACGAATCCTGCCTTAAAATTGTCGAAACCGGTAACTCCACGATGATGTCTTCAAGATTTGGCGCGGAAGTAGTCAGTGCGCCGTGCGCGATCGACGCGATCCCTTCGGCGCTGTGGACAGGTGGCGAAGTCAACATTGGACTCATCTCTGCCTCGTGGTTGTCGACAGTGGGTGAGGAAGCAGCGGTTGAAGGATCGCGTTGGTCTGGTGGAAGCTGCTGTATTGGGTGATATGGGCGAGATATGTCGAACGAGTGATCCGCAGGAGCACTGTGGAAGTCGCTGGCAATCGCAGTGGCAGCGATTGTACCAAGTGGGCTTGAATCTGCCCGCGGTTCCTGTTGCTGCTGTTGCTGATGCTGCTGCTGTTGCAGGCGAAGTTGCAGCAGTTGCTGCTGCTGTCTCTCGCGGATGGCCAGCAGAAGTGACTCGTGCAACTCCAGGGAGCTATTTGAGAACGAGCTTGAATAGGACGGGTAGATTGGAGTGTAGGAGATTTGGTCGTGCTCGTCGCGACTGCTGGTGAGACTGCTTCCTAGGCTCTGAGGACGACCCTCGCCCAAACTGGCAAGACCAACCAGATCTGCCAGGCCTGCCATGACTGTGGCACTGCTAGTGCTACCTGGATTGCTGCTGCTGTTGCCAGTGGCGGTGGAGAGATCAAGGTTGTAGGTACTGAGGCCTGAATAGGGTACAAAGGACGAGGATGCTGAGGAGGAAGTCGAAGACGACGGCGTGAAAGAGAATGGTGTTCGTGAGGGCATGGAGTCTGGTGATATGGGCTGATCGGTTGAGGAATAGTGCAGTCAGCAGACGATTATGGTGGTGACAAATGAAATGGACAGGCAATGATGACAAGAGGGATATGAAGTCGGTGTGGTTCTTGGTTTTTATCCTACGAAACAATATGAATAAATAAATAAAAATAAAAAGGCGAAACACATAGAAAGAGACCGTTGAAGGTATGTGTTAGTCGGAGGAGGGGTATACTAATAGTCAGCATGCCGTGTCCTCTCTGTCTCGTGCTGCTGCTACCATAATATAGTGGGTGCCTTTGGCTACCAGTCTTGGCACTTGCCTTTTTGTGTTTTATTTACAGGCGTGAGATATAAAGGGGGCTGCCGCGGTGGTGTGAAAAGAGAGGGAGAAAGAGAGAATGAGTCAATGAGGGGGCGACGGAATGAGTGAGCGAGAGTAATGATGAATAAATGAGACAAGAGAGGTGGACCTAAGCAAAGCAAAGAGGAAATCGGAGAGAGAAGAGCGCTGATGTTGATTATGATGCAAGGAAGTGGAGGTGGAAGTGGAAGTGAGAAGGATGCAAAAGGGACGAGGGCGTAGCAAGCTGTCCGAGTCTCTTCTTACCGCGAGTGAACCGGGTGCATGTACAAAGGCATTAAGGAGAGGCGGCTAAACGTGCAATTACAGGGGATATCAATACTATTCAGCATGTCAGTTGACAGCAACTAGTCTAGGAATGGGTGAGTGGATGGGTGCGATAGAGCAGTGGGCTCTCTCGCATGGCTGGCCATCCATCCAAAGCTAATCCGTTCAAAGTTGAAGTTCTGCTCAGTAGAGCCTTAACCTTTTTTTTTTTCATCTCGTTCTTCTTCTTACTCCCCTTCTTGTTCCTGGGTATGCCCTCCGGCTGCCTTGAGACAGACATGAGTATCAGGGGAGCACAGGATGACAAAAATGTACACTCCTCATGCACATACGAAGGCTATCCGAACGTGAGAGCGAGCAAGCGAGAATGAAGGGTGCAGTGCATGGTGTGGATGAGATAGATGTAAGCCAAACAAGGTTCTCCTTCTTCATTTCCTCTGTTCGCTTACTCGCTCGTCCCATCCACCCACCACCGACAGTTGCAATATTTATGCTTCGGGGGCAGTGTTTGGGATGGAATATCTTCTTTCGCCTCTCATTCCATCTCTCCATCTCTCCATCCCTCCATCCCTCCATCCCTCTCCCGCTTTCTTCATCCACCTCCTCATCAGCTCCTATCTTCCCTTTGGACCATTTCCTCCTGATTGTTTTCAGTCGTGTCTTCACAACACCTCTTTATTTCCGTTCTGCGCACGAAGGATCTTCCTTCCCCTTCCTATTCCCACTATATCCACAATGGCTTTTCCCCTGAGGGCTAGGGGCTTTCGACGTCGTCAGCAATGCACCTTGGTGTTAGCCCTCTTAACCTTCCTTGTCGCCTTGACAATGGCCCCCTCGTTCTCTACAGCTAGTGTAAGTGGCACCATCGCGCTATGTCTTCACACCTTTGCTTTATCGCACTAAGACCACAATCCAGAAATCAGGAACCAGGAACCAAAAATAAATTCTCAGGAACAGCGCCAATTTGTATCCGCTCAAGTGCAAAATACAATTACTCCTGAGACGAGACACAGCGACCATCACCAACAGACATACACACACACAGCGAAAATAAATGAATGAGGCTCTATATCCCTCCCTCCATTCACATTCTCTCTCTCACAAACTGCATACTGCGCTGCACTCCTCTATACTACCTCCACGGGAATGAACAACCTCTCGTGATGCATACACATTCAAAATGGGAAAAAAAAAATGATCGAAACAGTTTCACAAATAGCAATTTGTGGAATGATTATGTACGACAAACACCTTGTTCGCAGTAATTTAACCTACCATTCTTTAATATTATTTTTTGTCGCACTCAGCCTAGGGATGATCCTACAGTTACTGCTTACGTCCAGCAACCCACACAAGGCTTCGCCCACACCCTCAACAAGCGCCAGGAACTGAATACTACCGCCGTCCCACCTACTACGACACCTCAGGTCACGGTAGGCGGCCTTCATATTTTTTTTTTTATGATTCGCTCTCAGTTTGTTCCTCGAACGAAAAAAGGACCTCGAACCAGTAACAGGAGCGTGAACGAGATAAAGACAGATAAAGAGCCAGCTCACACCCGGCTTGTTCTGCAAAACAATGATCCATTGACTAAACTTCAATATGGTCCGATCGTCCCTTATTATAACACCCATTGTCTATAGGAAACATCCATCAGTACCCCCGGAACTACGACTGCAAGTACCACTTTGACCCCCAACACGACTACCGTTGCCACGACCACAGCCGCGTCTTCAACGGCTGTCAGCACCACGCTCACAACAATCACTGCGACTATCAGTACGACCTCGACTCTGTCCTCGACCGCGACCACCAACGCAACCGCAATACCTACTCAGTCGCCAAGCAGTGGTGACACTAGTAAGGGGTTGGTTATTGGAGGCGCAGCTATCGGAGGACTTGTCTTTGCTATCGGTCTTGCCATCATTGCTTTCCGATGCACCCTGAACCGTAAAGAACGCGCTCGTCGGAACAAGGAGATGGCAGCAACACTCGCCGAGAACTTTGATCGAAGTGCCGATCCTATTGCGTCCCCGCGAAAGGGTTATCTGGAGTTGGGAGATGGGCCACCAACACCCAGTTCTGGACGTGGCGCAAATCTGTCGCGCCAAGGATCCCAAGACGCCTACTTCGCAGCGAACAAGGAAGGAGGTGGTCAAGATTATTACAACCCACATTATGTTCAGGAACGGTATGGAGCTGCCAATGCTGGAACGTATGGCATGTATGAGGAGACGGAGCTGTCAGTCATGGGCGGCAGTGCTGGTCGCCAAATGGCCTATCCTCCCACGAGTGTGCCGACCAACCACTATGCAGGATACAATGACTACGACTACGGCAATCAGCAGGGAAGCTACTATGGTGGAGGCGGACAGGCACCAAGAGGACATCAAGGCTATTAGGGTCACTGTCCCTTCGTAGAGAGCTTAGACTCCTCCCTCGTTACGCGATAGAGCGCACCCTTTCCTTCCATGTATCATAGATGATTGTCTCTCCTCTGTAAGGAAGAGCTATTCCCAGATCCAATACACCAATCAGTTACTGTGCCTGCTGCATACGTTTTCTAATTGCTGAAATTCACTATACTCCCACACGACTTGTCCCGTCCGCTGCATGTATTCATCCAATAACGTTTTTCTACAAGATGGAAAACTCCCTTAGTTCTTTGGTGGCAATTCTCTCCAACTATATAACTATATTGCGTTCTATCGCGTAATAAGGGCGTCAGTTTACTTGTCATCTTGTAAAGAGCTATATGAATCTGGTAACAATGATCTGACTCACAAAACCCAGCTGGTGAGGGGGGGTTTTTTTTTTTAATAACGAAAGAACTTAACCACCTCCGAATGGCGTAACAACGTTCGACCTATAGACACCTATGTGCAGTCGAGAGTAAGTTCTGTCGATTTCTCTTGGACCCAGGAACACTACCTTGTTTGTACTAAATATTGTTAATATCCATTGAGGGAACTATCAGCAATTATAATACTACGTCAAATTGGTACTCTCGCGTTTTCCTGCGGAGATTAGATTTCTGTTCCGCCGATTCATATTTCGCCCGCGATCTTGTCGCTTCTACAATGTGGGGTTTATGTTCCACATGTACAGCACCTGAAAATCATATCGTTTTACATGTATCCATGTACAAACATCATTTATGCACAAGAACATACTTTCGGTCCTCATGTGCTTCATTATATTGCAATTCTCCATTTGCTTCATTGCTTCATAACTTTGTGATCAGCAGGGACAACAACGGGTTGCACTACAGATGCGCTCGCTCGAGGTTCCACAGATTGTAGACTGTAGCGAGTTTGTACGCGACTAAAAGAAGCATTTTTGCCATTTGTTACGGACCGGAGACAATTGAATGAGCCCTCCTTAGAGCAAATAGAGTTGCATGGTCCTTTGAATGGATCTCCAACGGCCGTCTTGTAGCAGAAAAGCACATGCATACCCGGTAAAGTCTGCGTTTAGCCTTGTTAAAGATACTTCAAACAATATGTACAGATCACAGCTGCAATGGCCCCTTCTTCAGCTTCGTGAAAAAGCATGTTAATATGCCTTCTTCTATGCCCACAACCACTTCCTCTTACACTCAAATAATCAACTCTTCTATCCTCCACTCTCTCACCCCTCACCATGCACTTCACGCGCTCGATCACCTCCTTCGCTTTGGTCTTATTATCCTTATGACCCTCGCGTCCGTCGCCCAGGCCCACGGCGGACAGGGTTGCTCGGCCTCAATGCCTTTGCCCAAGAGCAACCAATGGCAAGGCGACCTTCATGTGACTGTGGAACAATGCCGTCGGCAGCCGAGAGCTTTACTCGAACTATGTAACATGCCGAGATCCAGGGCGGAGCCAAGATGGACAGATCAGGGGTGTGGCACCTTTGATCGCGAACTATGGTGCCGGCAGCGTGCTCATCCTGGAATTCGGCAGTGCGAGCCAGCCCGATGGATCCCAGATGTTTAACACGCGCAAGTCTGTTATCGTTAAGATAATGATTGAGAACCCATGACGAATAGCGAAATACTCACCAGATCACAGCAATTACCACATACAAAAACATTGAATAGATGCACTGAAAGCAGCAAGAAGATAAGAAATAAGAACACAAAAAGTGCGCTGAACAATGCGCTGACTGTTTACATACATGAAAAAAGATGCCTTATCCGTGCCTCCATCAGGCCATCGCCTCGGGCGCAGCACCGAGCGCGGATACTCCTTTATTAGTCTAACTACAGTCGATCAATAATAGACACTGACATGGGGTGCCTTTTCCTTGAGTGCATTGATCATCCTGCGTGTTTGACTAGATTCAGTGATTCCCGTATACCAGAGCTTTATGTCCAGCAGTATTGGACAGTTGCTTTCCTCGGGAATGCAATCGACAAGAACCTGGAGCTGATCCTGCGCGAAGTTGCTATAACTAAATTCCAAGTTTCTCAATGCCGTGAAATCAAGGGCTTCAATCACTGCCTCCCAATCCTGGGGCTGGAGTCCAATCATTTCGAGCGCTAGGTCGCTCAAGGACATCCATGGATAGGAAAATGTGGGCAATGGCACAAGGTTGATCTGGTCTGATTCATCGATCAAAGTGCCCGAGATCTCTTGGATGGCCCTGGATGGCCGAGGAGACAACGGCGTGGCGGGAGTCCGAGGAGGAGGTAAGACCATGGCGACAATCCATCGAACGCACTCTTGAGGAAGATATTGATCGCCCGGACAGGTATCTTGATCGTCCGGGTAGGTAATATACAGAAGGTCTAGCTCTGGAAGTTCATGTCTGGTCGGACACATCCTTGCAACCATTGGGATCCACAACTCAGGCGTCTCCCCACTCAATATCATGCGACTAAACCTCCTAGAATATCGAACGAGCAACTGTTCCAGCTTCCATTGCTCGCTGTTCTCCTGTAAATCTTTGGAAAAGATTTCGAGATGCGCTAGGTTATGTGACCTCTCAATAACTCCACCCATGCACTCCAGTCCTACGGCCGTCAGCGACCTTGGGGCTAGTTGCAGCAAAGTGATTGCGGAGCCCTGTTCCTTCAAGACCTTATTTAGAATTACTGCCATATCGTCGCTGAACGTCGAGTGCATTCGCAATGTATCCAGAAACCGTCCATATTGAACCAACACTTCCGCAAATGCCTCATCATCCTCCATCGAAAAGCTTACCCCCCAGCCTTCTTCCGCTCCAGAGTATCCAATGTTGGTGGATATGGTATCTGCTGCCACGGTGCTTGGAAATTCGATAGACATCGTAGCAGGGTTCGTAGTGAAATCATCAAACTGATTTACCCACCGTAGGTTGGCACGACGGATTGCTGGGGACCCTCCTTCCAAAAGAACGGCCTTCCTCGCATCAGTGAGCGCATCGAGGATGGCACGCGTACGTCCGGGTGCGCAACTGATTGTAACGGTAAAGAGCTTGAAGTTTTGACGCATGATACCTATCAGCTGAGCCTCGTAGTCCTCTGGCCTGATATATGGAACATATGATATCGAGAAACCTTCCTGAACCATTGCGTTGTGCTTATGTAGCGGGTCATCATCAAGATATAAAGCTTGAAGCTCTGAAGTTCGGATCACACCGCGACAGATTTCAGCAGTGAGAGCATCAGAAGATCCCATACCCCTATGCAGAATCAACTTCTCGAGGCTCAGAGACTGGGATACTTTGCTTCTGAAGTCTTCAAATGTACCAAGTATGTCGCCAGTCTGGATCTTGAGTTCCTTCAATGCGGGACAGCACTGAAGAATACTCTTCAGAACAAATACCGGAGGCCGTTTGCCGTCTGGAACCGCAGAGTCGATACAGAGTTTGTGGAGCAAGGGCGCCGTCATAAAAGAGGAGTTGTTGATGTGTTGATAAAAGTTGTGATCTATGGCAATTTCCATTTGTTGGATCTTTCCATTGGCCATGCACTGGAGAAGAGGGTCATATTGACGGCCACGGTTGATGACGCCCACTAGTAACTTCCTGTTCTTCAGTCCCCATATTCCCAGCTCAACAATGCTAGTCTTGCGAATGGCATCCTCAAACATCTGAAGGTCTCCCAAGCTAACATCCCAGTTCATAGTAACAGTCAGAGATCGTACCCCACAAGCCTTGATCAGCGCCTCGTAAAACTGTTGTGCAACGATGTTGGTCCAAAGAATGATAAAAACAGCGCCTCTTTCAATGTTATAACTCCCTTGATTGGCCTCAACAATATCCTTGAGTTGCTGTTTTGTAGACTCTCGATAGTTGTCGTGGAAGTGGTCCAAGCACACCCATTTGACGTGACCTTTAGGCGTAACGACCTGGAATAGATTACCGAGCTCGCGACCCTTGTCCTTGACGCGCAGAAACGACTCGAGCTGTCTCAGATCCGCTCCCTCCAACGCCTCGATCGCATTCAGGTCCATCGTTCCAGGTGCTGTGTCAAGCCCTCCACTGTGGTCCTGCAAATCCTCGATGTACTTGGTCGCGTCACCCACCAGGGTCCCGATGTCATTCACCCCGACCTCAACGCTCTTCCTGACAGTCTCGACTCCCTCGGCTAAGTTCAAGTGCGCCAAGGGTGGCACAACAATACCGGCGATAGTGCAGCCGTACTTGAGCAGCTTCATGATCGTCAGAACATGGGATCCGTATCTTTTGAAGAAGTCGCTGGGTTGGTCGATATCGTATCCCTCGTGCTTAGCCAGATGGATCTCATGTGGAATCATGGTATCCTCTGTCATGGTGTGCTCACCGCACTCGCACAGGAAGAACAGCCGGAACTGCTTTGCGAATGGTTTGAAGAGCTTGTCTCTGAACCGTTTTAATTTCGGTAGAACGATAAACAGTCGAGGGATCGAGTACTGGTGGAGCTCGTGTGTCTGGATACAAAGTGCCTGCACTTGGTTTTGGAGGATGGCTTGGCGATCGAGGGCCTGCTGAAGGATTTGCAGGGTATAGATCTGAAAGACGTCGCTAGACTGCATCTGCGGATCCCAGAGACCGAAGCGTTTCTGCATTGCGCTCTTGATGCTTGCAGCCTGGATGGGCTGGCCAGAGACATTAGCCTCGACGTATGAAGTGTAGAGCCGGAGGTACTCCTGAGTATTTTGCTGAGCTACGGCCGCCTGCTCAGCAGACTGGGCGATAATACTCCTTCTCGACGCCTTCTCGGTGGTGATGGCGAAATGGCTCGCTTGCTGTTCTGAGGCGATAGTAGCTGTGTCCTGCTCTCTGAGGTAGTTGTACTCCGACATGGTCTGGTCTGCCTCTGATGAATGATCGGCTCTGTTTACAGAGATACCAGTGTGGCGAGAATAGACCCCTTGTGCGGCAGTAACTCCTAGCTCGACATCCTTCATGACAACATCAAGTATCACGCCTGGATGGTAGCTGATTCTGCGAGGGATAATCCTGGTAAAGCCGGAGTCAAGACTCATTAATGCCATACTATGATTGCGAGCATTCGCCATCAATATGCACTCGCAGTTCCATTATCTCGTGAACTTACACTTCGTCCGTATCATTGGTCATAAACTCGACAAGGTTCCCATTCTCCTTGATACACTTGGCATTCTCATAGCACACCTGAATGCTTCCCCACAGGATGTAGCGTTCTCCAGTGGTGTTGTCCACGCGAGTGAAGATGTTGACGATCTTGGGCGACGATTGGGCTCGGAGCTGCTGAATGAGTTTCTCATTCTTGTCAGTTCTTGTCATGGCCTTGTAATCTCTGGGAGGTATGCTGAGAGGGAATTACGGGAAGAAGAGAAGATGCTGAAAGCCATAAACATTAAGCGTTTTTAGCCCTCGCCCTGAGGAGCTATGCTTCGCCTCTCTGTGTCTATTTCTTGTTATCGTTGCTTCGCCATATTTGGCACTACTAGTCTATCGATCTTACAAGTAGCACTAAGTGCGACAAGATTTTTCTTTCCTACCAAGCGCTTTAATATTCATTGAGCAATCATCCGTCTGGCGTTCTGTAGACTCTGTAGACGTGTTATGATGACCTTTCTGAATCCCTATCACTGCTCCGTCAGCTCAGCTGTGGATCTCACAACGAAATTTAACATGGACCGATATGGCGCAGTTGAAGTGAGATAGAGCCATGCATGCTAGTTGATACTCTCCATATCCGGCCAGAGAGGATCATCCGAAACACTCCATAATATCCATTAGCTCATGGCAGCGCCTTATATCAATGCCCAACCACGAATGACTCTCGCTTTGCAGCGCTGTTTTATCTTGGTAACCACTCCTGCAACCAGAGCATAAATCTTATCTACTCCGATCATCTACTGGCTACTGCCGCCATTGTCTTGGTAAATGCCCTATCCCATCCCTGCTTCGGAAAAGATAATAAATAGACTGTCTCTGGATCCAGTCCATGTCTTGCCTGCCCGGCCCCTACCTAACACAAGTCATGACCAGCCTTAACTTTCGCATTTCCAACCCTGACAACAGGCACATCCCTGATTCGGCCCTCAGGTCGAGCCTCCTTTTGCGAATCAGCAAAACCTGCAGCCACGAATAGATGCGACTAATATACTCGCGGAGCGCCCGTGAGTCATCAACATGTCTTCCATCAATAAAATATTGCGTCGATAGAACATCAGATGTAACGTCCTCAGATTTCGGCATGCCTACAGCTGCTACCTCATTGAACCGCTTTCCCCGGTATCAGCAGGATTCTGGAGATGTGTCAATAGCACCAAGACCCCTTATCTCCCCATATGGCTGGGCAGTAATCAAGCGAATTTCCTTCAAGCAAGGGCACGCTTGGAGTAGAGGCAGAGCGCTGTCTCGGTGAGGAAAAGGCTTCGAAGTGCATGGGCGTAAATGGGGTCCTCTAGGTCGAATTTCTTGAGATATCAGCTATTGACGATTCAATTTTACTGAGGATTCCATTCTTGGGTCCTGTCAGCCAGGCTTGCTTTAGTATAGCGCGATGGACAGCTGGATACACGCTCAAATGCACCAGTTGAGGCATATATTGCGAATCCCTCCCCACGATATAACATAACTACCGAGCACCTATTTGACCTTGAGCGCTGTCAACGAGGAGCCCAGGCAATTCACCATGCGCTTCCTGACCGACAGAAACGACCCGTTCATTTCCACCAGTAGCTCTAGACACTTGATTCCAAGCTGCTGGCTGTTCAAAAGTCGTTGAACTGTACTGGTCAATTCTTTTCATCGCTTGATTCCAGAAGCAGAAGGCACTCGATTGCGGGACATCTCATAGTTTGACTTGCTCTCACCTCATTGATTGACCAGAAAGGCATTTTGACAGCGCGACCTTAGTGCCAACACCGCGTGGGTAGAACTCGTGCCAGTGAACTGTTTTGACAATGAGTGAACGGGCAGCCTCGGACCATTGACGGTGCATTACAGACTTCGGACGACGAAGACAGCATTGTAAAACACGTGCAAACATAGCGTGGAGGATCTCTGGGAGAAGTAGGGCAGCTGCTTGCTTGCTTTGTAGCGTAGGATCGCCCAAAAAGTTGCGCACAGGCGCCCTCAGGGGACTTTTTCTGCCACGCGTCTTAACGTCAAAAAAAAAGGGAGGGGAAGGGCATGTGATATAGAAAGGATCTGTGAAGCATAAATTGTCGTATTCGAACACTAGGACGTTTAATGAAAAGGTTGTATTCTTCGGCTTCTATTCTGCAGCCCTGCCTTTAGTTTCGATGGGTAAGAAACACATGCAGATTCCCGAAATCAAAAATGTAGTCGAGGATGCGTACAATGGGAAATACGTGCTGACAGCCAGCATTGCTCCAACAATCAGAGGCGACACGATACCAGCCCTATGGGAAGTGCGGACGATATAAAATAACGGATTTCGCATACATTAGTTTCAATCGCATCTCGTTTCAACGCAAAGAGACTGGAAATCGAAAAGTCGAGCAAATTGTACGTACAGCCGCGACATGGCAGCCGCGACACCACAGGCGGTGCCTCGGATCTCGGACGGAAAGACTTCAGGCGTGTAAGAGTATAGGACAGCATAGTTAAGCGTCGAAAGTAGACTGAGGATCCCCGAGAAGGTCGTCATGAGAGCGTGGCTACTTAGTACAGTAAAGAGGATGGTAGCCAATGCTGCTCCTAGTGTCGAGACCGCCATGGTATATCGTCTGCCCAGTCTCCCTTCGACCATGAATGTTGCCAGCTAGAGATCAAGGGTACCAATGAAGAGAAAACATGACGGTTAGTATCATGACAATTGAAATATCAGTCCAAAAAACACAGAAGCTGTGCCACATACCACAGAGCCGGGCACGCCTGCGACAGAGTAGATGAGGGTATCCTGATAAACCTGCTTCAACGACTCATTGCCGTCCTGTCCGTGCTCCTGCAGAAACTTTGGATAAAACACATTGAACCCCGTATACGCAAACGCTACCAATGCCCAAATGATCCAGAGCAGAATCGTGCTCAGCCGAAACTTGGGTGACAATAACGGCTTCAATCGATCCAATGCAATGTCGAATTTTCGTCGCCATCGATAATGCTGTCCGTGAAACAGACTCCTGTATCTTCCCCTAGGCACTTCCTGACGAGGATGACGAAGCTCTACAGGCATTCTGCGGATCGTTCCAAAATCTGCGGATGACCTGGCATCACCCGTGTCAGATTCTTCGGACGATTCCTCGGACGAGAAAGATGCAGAGGCGGAGTGGTTGAATCGAGAAGTCAGGGTCTCGATGTTCCCTTCAAAGTTCTCAGATTGAGGCTCTTTGTGGTTGATTTTGTAGATCCTTCGCAGTACAATGGCTGCCTCCGCGTGTCGATTTTGGTTCAACAGGAACTTCGGCGACTCTTCAAGACGGAATAGAATAACGCGACCCACTACCATCGATAGTGTCTATGAAGTGCAGTAAAGATATCACCAATGGGTGTCAACTTCCTGACTGGACTTCAAAAAAATGACACAAGTTTTGTGCGGTGACATACCAGACCACCCAAGGCGAGCAGCATGTATCGCCATCCTTTTCCTTGACAGCCCCCGTCCATATGGGTCTCGCAACTGAAGGGCGGTAGCAAAAAATATCCCAGCAGCGAAGATGCCACTGCCCCAAACGAGAAGAATATTGACAAAAACGTCAGCAGGTACTGATCCTTTTTCGGCGTGAACTCCAGAAACAACGCTCCTAAAAACGCGCGGCAGAAAATGAAGACACATAGGTACATTAGTGACAAAGGGCCTAGCGCACCTCGAAAGTTGTGCTGCTGTCGTGGACGGCGGATCCTTTTGATCATATCCATTGCGCAATTTACCATCCACCTATCAACAGGTTGTTGAGAGGGAAATGGCATCGTTTTTTTGTTTGTGCGAAAATACGTAAAGAAAGGAGGAGCAGTTTAATAAACAGTGAGAAGATGGAGTTGATACATACTTATTCGAAGTCACTTGTGAACAAGAGTCTTACCGGCATGTTTCCGCCGACCTGGAGAGAATGTATGGTATTCCGGACACAGTTAACACGAAAGAATAGAAGACAGTGGCAACAGGACAAATCACACCATAAGTGCTTTGTTGGTCACTCTTTACGACCAGCCGCAATGCGCGCTAAGAGCGATCGAGGGAGCAAAAATTATCTTACCCCGAATCCCAAGAACAGGATCAAGATGCACAGGAGCCAGTACGTGTGTGCGAAGCTGGAGGCGATCCCAAAGACCGTCGTGACAATCAATGTAAAATTGAAGGCCTGTTTTCGTCCATAGACATCCGCAAGCATGCCCCAGAACATGGCCCCGAACATCATCCCCACAAACATGGAGCTGGACAATATCCCGATATACTGATCCTGGACCTCAAATTGGGCTGATTGTGTTTTCAAGGTTACAAAGGTATTTAGATCATTACGCTTGGAGCTACAACAGGATTGCTAGCCCATTTTTGCCTTGTTTCCCTGGCTCCTTAAAGTGAAAACGACGGGGTTTCTCTCAATTCATGTTTACCTTGAACGCGAGGTAGAATTAATGCAATGCACTGACGAATGCATTATCGACAAAGGGTGAGGGCCACCATCCGTGATTGAGAGAAGTGAAAAGATGAGCGAGGTTAATAGAAAAATCGTCAAGATACTCCGTCCGGTCCCTGGTCACTGGTCCCCTGAACCATTTGATGCAGACTGCAGATTACAGATTGTCGTATTTTCCCACAATGAGAAGTGTTCGTTTATCATAGTCATCCTGCGTACCTGCAACCACATCTATAATATAACCCATAAATAAATCCACACGCCAACATCTGACGGTTAGTGAACGAAAGGAGCGGGGCAACATAGAATCTTTAGCCCACAACATGCAGCAGCGGCTTAAATGGTACTCACATTATCTGCAAACCAGCCTAATCCACATAGCACCTGTTATGACGAGTAGAGAGTGCGGTTGTTGGTAGATGAGTCGCAGCGGGCGCAGAAAAGAAAAGCTGATCATTGAAGTATATGTTCGCAAGGCGCATCGACAAGAAGACTATGCGTACCAGAAGCTGCTTCTGGAACCTGCCCATGCCGATATCGTCCATGAGATCGTCCAGGAGGCTCATCTGCGCGAGCTGCTCCTCTGGCGAGAGTGACCGTGGTGGAGCTGTAAGCGGCGAGAATTGCACTGAGGCAGATTGATGCTGTGATGGCCGTGATCGTTCGCTTGGCATGGTGGCTATTCAGGTGTATCAGTGCCGGTTTGTGCTTCACTGCAATGTCTATTGTACGTGTAAGCCTAGAGACAAATGAAGCGGTATTGTTTCCGTCTGCGTAAAGCTGGGCATCAATAACGCAAAAAAAAATACGTAAAGACAAAGTTGAGGAAACGGTGCCAAAGAGAGACAGAATGAACAATGAGTCGTTGGGAATGGCGGATTCAAATGCGGATGGGGGATGAAGAGAGGAGTAAAGAAGCGAACTTGCACGGCCCACTCTCAGCCGTCATTTGTTCCCAGCGTCTAAAGGCCGACTTACGTCCAAGTTGTGCAGCGGCGTGTTGGTACTGTTTGTCATTCATTTTGAATACCCCTCGGCAAAAAAAAAAAAAAAAAAAAAAGGGCGCTGTCCCTCAAGATCGACAGGAGTCTTGAAATCGTATGTAGAGGCCTTTCCTTCACGCATAGACCAGGTTGTCATCGACACGCTCAATATTCCCTTCTCTTACTTGTGGGCGAAGCAGCGCGATGCATTTATTAGATGTTGGTATTAATTAGATACAATGTATAGGCGTCAAGTTGTGGGATTCCAGTCTATTGAGCGGGAATAGCGGTAGGAGCCGGCACTGAAGTGGCAGCAGGTGCAGCAGGGGTGGGTGCAGCATTTGGCTCTGGAGCAGGAGCAGCAACAGGAGCAGGAGCAGCAACAGGAGCAAGAGCAGCAACAGGAGCAGAAGCAGCAACAGGAGCAGAAGCAGCAACAGGAGCAGGGATAGCGGCAACGGCCTTTTCGTCATGATGTTCCTGAGCAACATATGGTGGGGAAGGATCTTGGAGATGCTCTGGCGTCTTGGGGTGTACGACGGATCCAGAGCGCGAGATAGCCTGCAGATTACCGTCGCCAGGTTGGATGAATGTGGAGGACTGAGCGCGCTTAGAGATCTCGCTCCACCACTCCAACATCTCCTCTCTCGAATTGGCGCGAAGACTACATAGGAGACAGTAAAGTTATAAAACAGGTTAGTAGACTATCTCTATTATAGGAAAGGAGCCAAGTCAAGTCTGAGTCGAGTTGCTTACGTGAGAGTCTGAGCATCCCTGTGTAAGAGTCCACCCTTGCCCTTGCCCTCCAGCGAAAAGACGTGCTGCTTCTGGCTGGGTTCTGAGTGAGGTCCAAGGGTGGATGTGGGGAGATAGATCGAATAATCCGGGACAGGATCTTTTTCATGGTCAGCAGTGCCGAAGACGTGGAGCCATCCAGCGAGGGTGAGGACGAAGTATCCGTCCTTCCAGCTCTTGAGTACCGAGGACTGCCGGCTAAGATGAGCGGTCTTGACAGGCACGACATAGATGCTTGTCTTGCAGGGGTAGTCAAGGTCGTTCGGGTTGGCGTCGACGAGGTCTGAGGGAAAGAGGCGGTGGCCATGGAGTTCTGAAAAGTTGTTCCACTCGCTATCCTCCTGGAGGACATTCAAAGCCAACTGCGTGGGAGCCCATGACTGACTGAAGGCGTTCGTAGCGTTGTTGAGCTGGTATTCCGCAAAGGATGCCAGAATCTGCTTGAGCTCCTTGATGATGTGGGCCTCGAAGGTCTTGATCTCGTCCTGGCATTGCTTCAGTGCACGAGCAAACAAATTCTCTTCGTGGACCTGCTTCGCCAATTGGCGCTTCAGTGCTACACACGCATATCAAAGTCATAACATGAGTGCCTGAGTATTGGTGCCTGAAATAAACAAGTAATACCAAAGCAAGTCGTCTAGCTTACCGAGGTTAATTACAAAGGGATCAGACTGCATCTTCTCCATGTCATGCTGATGGTGCTGGCCAGACATGTCAAAGAGGCCGATGGCCTTCGCAAGACTGGCAATCTTCTCCTGAGTTGCCTCGCGCTCCTTGAAGACCTTGTTGCTGTACAGGCCCGAATCGGCCTTCAGGGCCTTGATCCTGCCCTTGATATCCTGCTTCAATCGGCGCAAATTCTTGGCGATGTTCTCCTCGACAAAGCGAGCGGCACTAGCATGCTGCTCACTCCTGGTCTTTGCAGAGTCTCTAATGCCTATACACACGTCCTGAAGACCTCCTTTATCCAGGAACTGCTGTCCATCCTTGAAGGGAACCACAATCACGCCCGACACCTTGTTCATGGCCTTGCTAACGCTAGTCTCGACCTCGGCGACCTCTGTAAAGTACTTTTGCAAGTTCTTGACAACTCCTCTGAAGGCTGTGAGACGGTTCAGCAGAATATCCGCAGGGTTAAGGCCCTCACCGTTCTCGCCAGAGAGACCGCGACGGCTCATGGTGCTTGAGTTGGAGAGTGCGGTTCCTTCGCGAGGGTGAGCCGAGTGGCTAATGGGCGACAATGGCGAGCCGTCCTGGGTATGCTGAGTTGGGGAGGCAACATGCGAGACGCTGGTAGAGTCTGGAGGGGAGACAGTCGCCATGTCAGGATTTGGGATCGAGATAGGCGAGACAGGGTTGGCGGTACTGGCTGGAGGCGTGGCTGGCGCGAGGGCTTCCTTAGTCTCGACAGGCTTTGTTGGTGCAGGGGCGGCAACGGTGGCAGCAGCGACTGGGGCCGGAGTGGCCGCTGCAGGAGAGGAAGACGATGTTTTGCGACTGAAGGTACGCGCAAAGGCCTTTCCGAAGGGGGATTTCTTTTTCTCTTCCGCCATGGTTAAATCAGATGAATCAGGAGAGGAGGAATGAGAATGCGGAATGAAGGGGAGATGCAGAAGGAAGGAGAGGGGGAAAGAGGGTTGGAGAAGAAGGAAAAGAAGAAGAGGCGGAGATACTGCTGTTTGGTATATATGCGAAAGAGTCCAAGACCAATAAAGTGCAGAAAATGGGTATAGGTGTGCAATTGAGTTCAACACAACCCTCTCCTGTAAAAAAAGCGCGCTTTAGTTTGCTTAGCATATCCATCCCGATAGACCCCAGCAGCAGAATTGTAAAGAGGATCTGGTTCGGTTGATCTTACGATGATAACACAGGCCGAGCAGGAAGGAAGGCGGCAGGCACCGGCCATCCCAGTCAGCTGCTTACTGCTTAGCGTAAAAAAAAATAGTAGGAGCCACCCCGATGGCATCAACGGCACCGCAGGGATGCCATAAAAATCATCCTTTGGAGCACCATCAAGAATCTCGAAGCACCAAGAGGTGCGAATTTACTTAACAGACACCCATAATATGTGCATAGATTATCCTTGGCTATCAGATGTACATGTACATGTACCACTCCTGCCATTGCTTCTCCATAGGTTGGGACGATAAATGCTCTAGGACTGGACGCAGTAACTATAACCTTCGTCGTTGCTGCTGATGCACTTTCTGTTCGGGAGCAGAAAGGGGGCGATCGGCACCGTTACAAAGGGTTGCTTATCCTCTAAGCTTGGCCAAATCAACCATCGCTGGTGGGGAATCTTCGGCAAATAATAGAAAACGCATAACTAGAGGAGTCCTTAGTCTGCTTGCGCGCGCCCCAAGGATTGGAGTGAGGAATGGAGTGCTTCTCGCATTGCTCGCTTTGCTTTGTGCTCACGCATTTTTTTTTGATTTGTACGCCCATCCCAACCTTGTTTGCTGGACTACTTGTAGGGTACCCCAGCCTTTGTCCAACACCTGAAGGGGTGCGTGCATGGAGAGGAATGCTTAGATCGGTTAACGATCATCAGTAGACCTGCTTCAGCCCTGGCGCCTTCTGGTGCCTTCTGGTGCCTTATACATCGGTTTCTGTTGATTTGACTACTTCGCCTTCCATTAAGACCCATCGATCCCATTCGTTCGGTATCAGTTCTCACACAACCGGTCAGCCATAGTCGAGCATCACTCGTGCATCGGTGCGCCGCTCACGGCTACCTTCGGCATCCTTTACCTAAATTTCACTTTTCTTACTGAGGTTTAATATTGTGCAGATGCTTCTTTATGTGCTAGAAATGACTATCATGGCATGCAATGCCATTTACTCCCGCGCATCCAAGTACAAATTCCGGACCTCCTTGTGGTCTAAGCGTCGCTCCGGTTTCATCTCCAACAGACCCGTGATGACCTCTCTTGCGCCATGGTCCTTAATCTTCTCAATCCTATCTATCTGGCCGTGCAGCTGCTGGCGAGTCTTATCGTGCGTCCTAGCCTTGTCTAGATCATCATTATTCTCATCCTCGCCATCTTCGCCCCTTTCCAGCGCAAACGTCAGTTTGACACGGGCGTCCTCGTCCGATGTAAACATTGCCTGGCTCGTGTGCATCTCGTACATGATCTGACCTAGCGACCACATATCCATCGCTGTGGTAGCTATCAACTTTTCGGAATCTTGACTAGTGATGGTAGTCGTGCCAGAGGTCGAGGACTTTGTTGTTGTCGTCTTCGTGACAGTGCCGTCCGAGGAGACGGTCGTCTCCACAGTCGTATCCTTATTCGGATCCTCTGCCTGTAACGTTGTGATAGTTGACCTTTTCTGCTGACGGCGCGCGGCGACCAAGATCTCTGGCGCGGTGTACGGTGCCATGTCCATCGATAAGTCAACAGTCTCGCCCACAAACCGCGCATGACCAAAGTTCCATAGCTTCCACTGCTGTTGTATCCTGGGAGCCTCGCTGTCCTTTACTGCGTCCACGGATTTGTTCGAGTAGGAGGAGTAGACGGAATTGCGGTAGCCACCATGACCATCCGGCTCGGAATAAAACTCCTGTAAAAAGATGCTGGCAGGTGTCAGACTGAGGTGAACAACGTGGTGATCGTGGCACCACTTGACCGCGGACGCGATACTGTCTGTCATCGTCTTAATCTCCTCCAGCGTCAATGACCCTTTGTTCAATGGCAGTAAGTCCTGATCCGGGGCAATGATGGGTGTCCCTCGGCGCTCTCTGATATACGACTCGAGAGTGCGAGTGAAAGGGCCTATTACTGACACGAAGCGGTACTCTGCCAATGTCGGTAACGAATACAGCGTGAAGAGTTCGGCAATGTACTGGTCAGATCGTAGATGCTGCAACATGCCAGCCTCACGCTTCCATTGGAATTCATTCTTCATCCATTTCAGAGAACGTTCGCGAGGCTCGGATTCGGAACTGGACGCTGCTCCACTGGGGCCAGGAACCGCAGGTGAGGGTAGGCCATCTTCTTGACCAGTGATCTTGGACGAATCACGCACATGCGAAAACGCCGAGCCAGGGATCTGAATATCTGATGCAGCGCCCAACATCTCTACTTGCGAGAACATGAGGGCACCTCGCTTCGCGTGGGGAGTTGCCTGAGCTGCATCCGAACGTTCGTACCGGACAATGCTCAACTTGAGGGTGATCTGGGTCTTGTGGATTGTGGGCTGCTGCTGCTGCTGTGTGGTATCTGTAGCTACTGCGATACCTCCAACAATGGTCTTCCCAGATGAGCTGACTGTCTTGCCATTTATGATATGCGTTATTGGTGTCGAAAACGATTCAGTGCGACCGGCACCCAAGAATCTCTCGACGGAGGTAGAGTTCGCAAGGACTTCTTGGGTTTCGCCTTGAACAGTGCCAACGCCAGGTCTGGTACCCGTCGTAGCAGTAGCTGTTGTATTCGAGAATGACTCTGTTGTGTGCGTCTCCTTGCTGGCATGATGCGCCACTGCAACTGCGCCTGCTACTAGAGCCTTACCAGCAAGGTCTCTGCTCTTGTATGTCTCAGTAGCCTCGAGAATGGTATCCTCTACCTCGGTCTTTGGTCCTGTCGTGGTTACGGGCAAAGCAGGTGGACCAGCGCTTGATCGACGGAATGGTTTGTAGTCACCGCCGCCCATGAAGAACTTGGCCGTGGAAATTCGCTTGGAACCGAGAACTGGCGTAGTTGAAGACCCCCCATTAGTAACGTATTCTGCCTCAGTCATCTCCTGCGGCTGCTTTTGCTCGGAGATGATCGATTCCTTTCGCTTGTGCTCGTTCACGACAGCACTGGCAATCAGGACAGCTCCACCAGCAGCGGCGCCAGTTGCAGTGCCAGACGATCCGCCAGAGCCAGAGGAGCCACCAGTGGCAGCTCCATTGATATTTGTACCACCGGAGCTCGTAGGAATGGTGCCGACTGCGCCTGGAATGACGGATGTTAGGTCCGGCATGCTGTTTGCGTTAAAGGCGTACTTGCATTGATCGGCTGGAGTTCCTGCGACATAGCCCACAGGTGCGATGATGCCAGCATCTCCTATGTTGCTATCCAGACTGGAGCCCGCCTCTGAGAGCGAGGCCTCGTTCGCTTGACGGCGTTTTTTTGTGGCAAGAAAGATTAGAGATACAAGCGCGATGAGCGCAAGGAAGCCAAGGACACCACCAATGATAGCGCCCGTATGCTTGCGGCTATCGTCGTCAGTCGCCTTGGCGCCCACAGGAAGTCCATTAGTTTGAAGAGATCCAACACTTGTCGTGGTGGCAGTAGTACTGCTTGTAATAAAGACAGTTGGAGTTGGGGCTACACCCACCAGAACCTGAGAAGAGCTTGCTTCAGAGTTAGGGTAAGGATACTGAGGGACGTTGGCTCCCGGAACAACTTCAGGAACGGTACCACCAGGGATTTCAGAACTAGGTGACCAAGGTTCGCCATAGCCACCGGAGCCTCCAGAACCTCCAGAACCTCCAGAACCTGGGCTAGAACCATCAGAACTACCGAAGCCTCCAGACCCCCCAGAACCCTCAGAGCCTCCAGAGCTTCCAGGACCTCCAAAATCGCCGGAGCCAGAGCCGCCAGAGCTCCCAGAATCACCAGAACTGCCAGAGCTCCCAGAACCGCCAGAACTACCGGATTCTCCGGAACCGCTAGAGCCAGAGTCCACATGGCCATCTTCGCCGCCGTGGCCATCAATAAAGGTACCATCTCCTTCAATAGAATCAGACGAGTCACTTGAACCATGCGAACCGGAGCGGCCACCACTTTCTCCAGCTCCAGATCCTTGGTGACCATCCTTATCCCCATTTTTTGTATGATCGGTATGGTTTTCATTCTCGTCCTCATCCTCTTCGTCGTCATCGTCGTTCTCATTCCGGATACCTGGCCTAAAAATCGACACGGGTGCGTTACCCTCAGTCAGCCCGTGAATATCCCCCGGACGAAGATTCGTACTACAGTCCTCAGGCCGATCACATCCGCCGTAGACGATAATGCCGTCGCCGCAGCTGGCGCAAGTCAGGCCACCAGGACTAGGCCCACCCTGGGATCGTGTTGCGATCTCGTACTCGCGGTTCTTACGTTTAGAAGATGAAGAGGAGGATGTGTCGATGCTTAAGACAGCGACGCCGTGATCATTCTGTTTTTACAGAATTAGAGTTAGTCGCCTTGATAATAGCATACTATTGCGTGCTGCAGACTCGAACCCCTTCCTTTTTTTTACCTTTCCAAAAATCCATAGCTGTCCTCCATAGTACACCGCGCGTGGATACTCGACTTCCAGGTTCGGCATCATATGAAAGAATCCACCCTTCATGCTCTTGTTGTCCTCCCTATGACCGCTGTAGATGATATCGACAGGCCGCTCGCTCGACCGATCTGATATTGAGATATCGAGCCATCCCGAGCCATGCGGTCCAAAGAGAAACAAGGTGGTGTTGTCGCATCGACTGCCGTGATCGCCTGGGTGCTTATACTTCTTAGGTGTCTTGTGGAATGTGTACTGGTAGGGGTTGATTGGGGAGGCGGCAAGGGTGAGGTTCGCGGGAAGGACCTCATGACTGAAAACAAATCGTGTCGATAAGGAGTACGAAAAAGTATAAAAAAGAGAGAGAAGAAGGGAAGGAAGGAGAGTGAAGGGTGGTTGAGTATGAAACGGAATGCCTTGTTACGAACAACCGTTTTTGCCTCCATAACTCTCACTATAGACATAGATACACAAAGCACTCACCCGATCTTGATGTCATGGCACGAATAGACCTGATGGTTCACGAGCTGGACCCCCGTCAAATGGTCGCGACCCAGTTGGTCTTTCCACTGTATCACAACAGTGTCCAGGGCCTCTTGAATACGCTGCTTAAAGTCTGTGTGACCATGACGCAGACTTTCTTCGCGATAGGACTGGTACACGACCGCCAATAGATTGGGGTACTCGAACTTTAGGCGCTTCCTATCCTTCTCAACCTTAAGCTTTTCACCATGCTCCACGCCCTCTTCATGGCATGAACACTCGCGATCGATTCGAACGTGGGTCCACGTCCGCTGGTCATGATCCCAAACCGAGAACCCGCCTTCTCCATCGCGCTCATAAGCTGGCACCATGAACATATGATCGCTACTTAGGAAGCAGTTATCAGTATCAAACCGTCGTCCAATGCGTCTCACGCCAACGCCCGGATGCGGAAGCGAGGTCCACTGTGCGTGTCGCCATTCGAGCGACTGTTTCTCTTGCCACTCCTCCCCATCTGCTTTGTCTCCCTTGCACCTTTCTTGTTTCGAACTGTCGCAGGCCTCTGTAGAGTTTATGAAGTTGAAGACAAGGTTGTTTTGGGAACCATAACCGATCATGTAGGTCCGGCCATTGTGCTTGTCCACAGCTAGGCAGGGATGTTGCAGCACTGGTGGAGGTTCTGCATGCCAGCGCTTAATGAGATGTGAATCATGGCGCCTCTCTGTTGAACAAGAGCGAAAGAAAAAATAAAAGAAAAAGAATAGGGATAAGGATAAGGAGTGACGCGAGAAAGAACAAACGTGGGTCGATCGAGGTTCCCAAGGCAGAGAGAGAAGGAACGAAACCGTGGGTCATGTTTGAATTTTCAGGGTATGCAGTACTTCGTTAGAGCACTTGCCTATAGGAATAAGGGATCCCAAAGCGGATCCAAGATGACATTGTAGTACAATGGCCGCCATAAAGACAGCCGGCGTGAGGGCTGATGAGGGACCCATTGTTTTACGGGCATATATTCAGCAAAATCTTTGGCAGGACAGTGTCGAGAAGGAGGGGTATATGAGAGCGAAAAGATGAGAGAAGACGTTGGAGTCGACTTTTGTATGATCTCCAGATGTGTGAAGGTAGTGTATGGATTAAATGCAATGACTGATGTACTCCGGAATCTCGGTGGCTAGTAGCGAGGGCAAAAACAAAGAAGGAAGCCTGTGGAGAGTGTCAAGGGATAACTAAGAAGCAAGTACCCAGAGGCGTGACAGCAAATGACGAGCAAGCGAGAAAAAAAAGAGAGCGCAAGAGAAGAAGAGAAAAGAGAAAGGGGGAAGAAAGCGAAGCTGCGTGTTGCCCGGTAGCGGAAGATGCTGGCGCTGATGGTACTGATGCTGGAGACGGCGCTAAGGTGAGCAAGGAAGTACCACGGGGCACCAGACAAAGTATGTCCCCATTTTGAGGGAGGAAGGGGACTCCAGGTGGTATTGTCGCCCTCATTTTTCACACCTCTACCACAGTCGCACTTCTTCATGTCTGCACCCACCCTACGGGAGAAAAATAAAAGGCGCTTTGCCAAAAGAAGACCCATCCCTGGCTCCCTTTTTCTTAATCCCTTCAGTCTGCTGCCTCTCCTACTCCTCCTTATATCCTTTTCTATGGTCCAATGTAGCTCCTAAAGATACGCTTCATCATTTCCTGCGCCAGTCCTTCTTCTCGCTTATCTTTAGCTGCTCGTTCTTCCCAAGCGTGAAAAGGATCTTGGCTGGCATTCCTTTTGTTCATGTCTAGCCTCCTGAATCTCTTTTTGTTCACTAGTGCCAGGTTCAGACCCATAATCTCATGCCTTGTCCTGCCCTATCACTTCGCACGGAACCCCTCGTGCCTATCTTTTTCTATGTAGGCTCGAGGGCCATGCACGGCTACAGTAGTATACGGTACACTCGCATCGCATTGCAATCGAGTGACCAGTGGTGACAGTAAAGGAGGCATAAACCTGATATATATAGATATCTTCTTCTTTGAACCCCTGGATCGTCAACAATAGCATTCCAGAACTATTATCCTTTTCTGCATCTTTTGGCATGCTGGCTGTTTATTTTTATCACCGTGCACTGGTTTTGACGCGTCTACCTGGAGCAGTCGATGCACAAGGTCTTTATTCATTTTTAGCTCTATACACGTTTCCAACTGCGGGATATACGATTTTTGTGAGGAGGTTGTAGATATGAATGCCGCTAGCAATTTCGATGGTAATTATAAGCGCTTCACAGGTGAAGTAAGGCCTTTAGCTATAAGATTTGAGGGAGAGTGATAGAGTGATAACATAATGAAGAGTGAATATAAAGAGTGAGAATCAAGGGAAGGCTGCAGTGATTGATATGGAGAAGCTGGTTCAGGAGGCATTGGACAAGGCGCGTGCGGGCAGGACGACGATTGTAATTGCACATCGATTGAGCACGTTCCATAATGCGGATCTGACCTTGGTGGTGAGGTGGTGAAGGATGGATCGATTGCTGAGTCCGATCGGCACTATAAGCTGGTGGTACTCGGTGTCTACGCGAAACTATGCAAAAAGCATAATCCCTAGAGCGGCGTAATATTTTACGAACGTAATCTCACGCCAAGCATACAATACGTAAATAGCAGTAAAAATGAATGTCGTAGAAAACGTACATGTACATTAAGTCGTGAGTATTGCTGTTTGGATATTAATCCACTCGGTCGGTCATCAGGGTAAGCCGGTGTTTGGTATACTCAATTTAACCGACCATGATTGTTGATGCACCGATTGTAGACTTGAACAAATAGTACGTCGCTTCCTTTTCCTCTTTCATACTGCTCAAATGTTTACCACAAGCCCAATGAGCGGTGGATGCTCTGATTGGCAACGGGACACCGCACCGCATCAGTTTATACATGCTAACGTTCTTTACAGTACTGGGCGTAATTGCTACTGGGCGCGCGTCGTCGTTGATCGATCTTCAAGCAGACGATCGATCAATTCATAGAAAGAACCAGCTTGCCAAATGATTTAACAGGGCATAATGAGAACAAATGCACGGCTCATCCTATTGCCACTGGTTGTAGGATGGGCAATCAGAGTTTCCATTCATTGGCCCTGACTCGAATGCAATAAAGGGTTAGTGAAAGCGGCAAATGGCTGCTTGGGTCAAACAGGGGCCTCGTAATGAAAATTGAGAGCGAATCCGCAAAAATAAGGCCTTGGCCCCACAAATGGAACCCACACAGTAGCGGCAAATAAATCAGGCAGTGACCAACAACAGTTTCTCCCACGCCTTAGCATTAGCGCTTCCGACGCAGCCCATGGTTTGATCTCTCATAAATTTCAATACACAAGTTGACATAAATCGGGGAATAAGTAGTTGCTGAGTGATCCTCTTTCCACAATAGGCAATCTGGCTCGGTTGTTCATTAGCCGGTGCTCTGTTAAGAAAAGCTGCCCCGTCTTTTGTATGACAACATGACCCCACAGAGCGGGCAAAAGAAATGAGAGAAAGGCGCATTTTAGGCTAGTCTAGTCTATGGAGGATACATAGCAGAAACTTTATTGCTGTATTCTTGTGTGACCAGATGGTCAAGATGCCCTTTTGTTTGTTACCCACCAATAAACAGTTGTTAATGTGAGTTGTTCGTTGGCATGTGAAGAAACATGCAAACATGCACTCACGACGAGCATTTGCGCAAGGTGGGCTACCAAGGTGTTACTGTCACATCTCCATCAGTTCGTTGACAGGAAACAACTCTTGCGCTCGAACCTGGCCACGAGAAGAATCACAGTTTTGACAATCGTGCGTCTATCATGAAACACGACTTCGCGTGATTCCTCGCCACACCCTTTATACAAGAGTCAGCATGTATCAAACAGGCAGGTCAACAAGCGCGGTTGTATGCAAGCATACTACGAGAACTTTGATCCCTGCACTTCTACTTTTCGAAGACCCCGAACAAGTCTGTTAAATGGGAAGTGTGAAAATCTGGTGCAACAGTCTCCACCCCAACAGAAAAGATTGGTTGTGGAAAGTGCCGAGAAGATGAAGGCTCGTCGCGATCGAAAAGATGGTAGACGCAAGCGTTGAAAGTTAGAACGTACTGTACACTTTACGACTCAGTCTCTGAGGGCAGGCATATTTCATACCGCATGCAGCAGAATGGATGTAGTTTAAAGTATGCCACGTAGAACATAAACATCAAAGCGAGGTGCTTGGCATGGCGACACATGGCAATGAAGGCAAAACAGAGTTGTTGTTGTCCTACAACGCGTGGTGCACTCCACGTCCTAATAACCAGACACTGCATGGCCGAGTTTGCTCCGAAGCGCGACCGTAGGGGACGCGTATGGGTCTATCATGGATATGCAAGCATCATCATCAACTGCCGCTACACTTGCCATTTCTCGAACTGCAGCACAGGGCAGTTAGAGCCTTGATGAGAGGCTTCCAAGAGATGGGACCTCTTGATAAGGTTGTGGAAAAGAGAGAGGGGACACCGAACGCGTTGAAGCACTGGCGGAGTCGATTGGTCTGCGCTGTGGCAGAGACGGTTCCGTTGAAGTTCGCAAGCAAGTAATTATGGATCTGGTGAGCAGAGAGAGTATTTTTGGGCGTAGGGTAGGGGGTTCTCCACAGACTGTTAATTTTGGGCCACGCACAACAAACCATGCAAATCATGCCTGCAGCACTGAAGGAAAGAGACCAAAGGTCTAAAAAATATTATGTTTTGTGATTTGATTGGGCACAACTGCTAAATAGAGTTTCGGCTCGCGGAGTGAGCCGAATGAATTGAAGGCGAGTAATTTGAAGAAGTAATTAGTCTCTTCTTCACCCACAGGCGTCATGGAAGGGAGAATGCCACTGCCTGACCGACCCACTCGAGCCTCGTTGCCTCTCTCCACACTTTTTATCTTCAACTCGAAGACTTGGCAGCGACGGAAAACAGGGCAAGGCACGCGTAACTCTCCTCCTCTCTCTCTCTTTTCTCCTCTTCTTTTTCCTTTTCTTCTTCCTTCTTCACCCCGTTCTGCCTCTTCTTGACTTCTTGACTTGCTTCAGCTACTATTTATCTGATTTCTATCTCACACCCGAGAGTGCCACTAATTGCAACACACGCACCAACTCACACATCCCAGTCCGATACCCCCTGTAACATACTGCCCACACCACTTCCATCCCCCACCAGCTCGATCCAATGGAGCCCAGCAATAGCCAAGCTATCCGTCAGAAACGCCTCAAGGCAGGCACAGCCTGCACCAACTGTCGCCGCAAGAAGCTGCGGTGCACCGGCACACCCAATTGCGCCCGGTGTGTCACCCACAACCTCGACTGTGTGGTCGACGAGGCCCTGTTCCTGAAGACCAACAGTCCCCAGAGTCTCTTTGCCAAAGCATCCTCCTCCTCCAGACCCTCACAAGGTTCTTCTTCCAATCAACAATACCACCGCTCCAAGGGCAATGGAAACAACCAGTTGTCCTCCTCCTATCCTCCTCATCACCACCACCATGACCGTGGCTCGCTATCATCCACGTCATCTGGTTCTGCAGACGAGATGATAGAACGCAGGGACTCGATAGATTATCAGTCCGATCGCCGCATGTCCGCCAGCAGTGCGACTAGCTTCTCCAGTCTCAGTCCTTCCCCTTCCCCAGCAGCATATTCATACAACTACACCAGCAGCCAAAATAACTATCTCAATGGTAACCCATACCAACCCTCACCATCCAAGCACACCTCCTCCAAGAAATCAACTTCCTCGTCCTATCGATCTGAACCAGGGGCTGGCCCTCTCGATCCTGTATCGTCTTCTTCACGCCCCTATTCCTCATCATATAATAACAACACCTCCCACATTGACTCGAACCTGGCCCAGTCCCCTTCATCGTCTTCATCATGCTTGAATAACAAGAAGAGGGTCTCGAAGGACCAAGGCACGACCAAGCCCAAGCAAAAGAGAAGGGACTCTCGCAGTGATCGAGATAGTGATCCAGGCTCACCTTCACCGCTCCTTGTCCCACAGGATTCGTCCTCCAGCGGGGGCTCTTCGTCCACTTCCACTGGCGCCAGTAAAGGAGAAGATTTCAAGTCTGTTGTGAGCACCATGAGCTTGGACGGACATGGCCAGCAGTAAGTGACATTCCGCGTTTGTTCAATCAAGACAAATTTGTTGCGGTACTTCAAATGACCTCCATACATCCCTTATTACCACCATTGCCACGTTGTTTAATCCCGATCCTCACCATGATCCAGACGTCTTTATTGTCTGGTTCACCAGTCATCATCCTGAACATTTTCGTAACAATCCCTTTGGAAAAAAAAATACTTACAGGACATGTTTTATTGACCTCCCCTGCCTAGCTTTCACGGTAGTAGTTCTGGCTTCTATGTCTGCCAGCTTAGCTCTCGCTACCGTCAGGGAGTCTGTAAGTACTGCTCCAGTTGTACCTGAATGTGCACGTATATACCGTATCAGACACTCACCATCTCAACCTCTCCTCCTTTTAGATCCCTTGCCAATGGCGCACTTAAACGACAGCGATCTTTGGTCCCACTCGCTCCAGATGACCAGCGAACGCGAGCTGCCTACCAAGGACGAGATGGACAACCTCCTCAGCCTCTACTTCCGCTTCATGTATCCATTTGCGCCCATGTTCATCCGCAGGACATTTATGCAGCAATATGAACAAAAGCGACCAGATCTCTCGCAAATCTTGATCCTAAACGCCATCTTTTGCAACGCCTGCTGGTACTCGGACGATCCATTGATCAAGCAGGACTCGACAAAGTACTTTAACCGTGCCAAGATTATCCTGGATGAGACCTATCACGTCTCGCGTGTCAGTACTGTCCAGGCATTGCTGTTGATGTCGCATCATCAGTACGCTGTTGGTAACTACTCGGGAGGATGGCTCTACACAGGCATGGCAACTCGTATCGCTCATGTAAGTTGACCAGATGGATGGTCTACTCTTCCACTCAACTCTCTACTTGTATTTCTTCTAATCCTTCGACTTTTCCTATCTCCATTAGGATATTGGCTTGCATCGTCAGGATGTACAAATAAACGAGCCAGAGGAGGCAGAAATCAGGAGGCGCGTCTGGTGGGCCGTCTACATTGCAGACCGACTTGGTGGCGGTGTCCTCGGTAGGCCATTGAATCTTCGCGACAAGGAATACAACGTTCAGATGCCGTCGGATGACTGGATTGGCGAGCTCGGTGGCGACGATGAGGTCGAGTACCCCTATGAACCTGAACGAATCATTTCCTGCCGTCTGCTGTGGGCTGTCAAGCTGTTTATGCAGATGGGCAATGTCCTCAACGCCATGCACTGCATTGAGGCTGAGATCAACGGAGCCTTTCTAGCAGACATCTCCCGGACACAGCTTCCTCAGCTCCATAACAGCCTGACGTCCTGGTTCCTGTCCCTGCCCAACGAGCTCATGTACACGCCCTATACAATGTCACCTAACTCAAACCACCCCCCCTCACCACCCACGGCGCTGATGCATATGTTCTATTACACCACCTTGACTATGCTCCATCGACCATATCTCCGCCCCGTCAACTCCGCGGCTATCGACCCCAACTTTTTGGTGTCATCCAGGAATATCTGCACAGCAGCTGCGACTAATGTCTGCCACATTGCGGATTCGCTGATGCTTCACGGACAGCTCCGCGATACATGCTACTATGGTATGGCCTGTCTCTTGGCTGCCGGAACGGTTCATGTGCACAACGCCATCACGCCGACACCAAGCAACCGCGAGACCACCCGCGCTGGGCTCTCCAAGACTGTGAAGGCGGCGCACGAGTTGGTCAAAACCTTTCCTGTGGCAGAGTCGCTGATCGCCGTTGCTTTGGACGTCTTTGCCAGCCAGACGAGTTCGGTCCCGACCGAGATGGCTGCTTCGTTTATTGATATTTCGACCTTTGTCGCTCCGTTTATTGACATGACCCAGCTTCAGTCGACATCCATCGGCAACATTTACGAGGCTGCAAGGCTCGCCAAGTTGGCTAAGGACGGCCCTGGTCCTGCACCCTCGATCCAGCTGCGTCACCCGTATGGAAACTTTTCAATGCCTCTTCCCGAAGGCGGAAAGGATCAGAACTCGACGACCCTCAGTACTATGTGGCAAAGTCAGATTGCCACTGCGGTCGCGATGGCAGCAATCGCGTTTGGTGGTACGGACCCACAACAGGAGCAGCAGTTCTTTGCCAACCCACTCGAACTGCCCGAAGCCCTGCGATTGGCGCCTATTGACGCGATGATGTTTCAAGTAGACGGCACGACCGGGTTGGACACCTTTGGTACTGATCCTCTGCAGTTCGGTAATTTAAATGCTACTGGCGCCGGAGCAACTGGATTCAACATGTCTCAGCAGGCGGACTCGCATCTGCTTCAGTACCAGCACCTTCAACAGCAACCTGTGCAACCCCAACAACAGCCGCCTCAGTCTCAGGCCCAGTCTCAGACCCATGTATTGCAGCAGCCCCAGCAGCAGCAACCAGTACAGCAACAGCCAGCCCAGACATCAGTTCCTGTGACGCAATCTAGCACACAGTTCAGTAACTCGTTCAGTGCGGTGCAGGCACTCAATCTGATGCAGGCAGCTCTTACCTCCTCTCTTCAGGTTAGCAACTCCACTTCACAGCTGCAGCAGTCAACTCAATCGACCGCTCAACAGCAGCAGCACCCCATGATGGAGGATGACACTGCTGATCCACCTTCGCCTCCTGCGATCTCATCAGATGATATGGACATGGAGGCGTCCCTCTCTGACAACAACACACCAAGTCCCGCTTCTGTGTCCTTGTCTGGGGGACCCCGTCAAGATGCTCAGACTCAGTGCGATACTCCATCGGGCTATTCTCCTAACGGATCAACGGCATCACACGAGTCGTTTATGTCATCGTTGACCGAAGACCCTGATCACAGTCTGCCGTTTTTCATAGATGGTCATCATGAGCAGCACTCGCAGCAACAGCAGCAGCAATCACAACAGCAGCAGCAGCAGATGGGTCAGCATCCGTTGAAGGAGGGATTCGGATGTCATAAGGATGTGGAGAAGGTCAATACGCTGTTGTTTGATGGACATGCGATGGAGTGTTAAGCAATGCTACCATTTGTGGGATGCTTTCCTGTCTTTTTCGTGGTTTCCTTTATTAGTCGAGTTTTCTTTTTCTTTTTTCGTTATTTTGTACATAATCTTGTAGCTCTACCCTAGAAACGGCAATAAACACATAGCGCAACAGTCCAAAGATTTAAAAAACGTTGGACGCAACTGCACACTCACCAATTTAACGGCAACAGGGTAAGGAACCAGAGAGACGCGGTTTCTGCGCGCCGCGTACGCTTAAATAGGAGAATGTCGTTATCAGATTCCTGCACATCTAGCCTATCTTGCCACATCTTCGATAGATGTAAATGCTGTTGCTTTAACACCCGAACTTGACAACGCGATCTTTAGACAGCCATTGGAGTTAATCTATATATTATTCGCGAAATGGCAATCCTGCTGAGTACTTATCTGAGAGTATGTGTCCCTCAAAGGACCGAACGATGCCCGTGTCGTGTCGTGTCATGATTGACGACGCGTTGATTTGAGGTCGTTCGCAACCACGCGGGTCTTCGCGCTTGACAAGACGAGGAAGCGTGTCTGCAACCTGTTCATGTTGCAGCACTGAAGTGAAGGACGACGAGCTGCTGCGCTTTATGCTGCGAGAAACAGGTTTGCTTTAATACAGCGGCATTGAAAAAATGTTGCAGTTGCAATGGTTCGTTCTGGTTTCAGCCCAGCTGGCCCATGACATCTTTGCGAATCCTACCCAGGAGAGTGGTTCCCAATCTCCGATTAACTCCATTTTCTCTCTATTTCGAAGCCCCCGACTCTGCTGCTTTGCTCTTTAGAAACCCATCTCGGTCCTCATCCTACCTGCATCACCAACACTATCTTCTACACCTTATCTTTCTTGTTGGGTGCAGGGACACTCTCGTGCCACCATTTACATTCGATCTGACAACCAATCTTTTGCTGCATATTTACTATACTTTGTAGCAGCCCAAAGCTCTATTCTAAAAACCGAGAAGGAAGGGGGGGGGGGGTTTTGAAACAGAACAGCCGCGGCCATGGCAGACCAAAAGGTAGAACTTGACAACTATAGCTGGCCTACTGCCATCAACGATCACAATATCCTATCACTACCGTTACCACCATCAACACCAATACCAACGATACCAACAATACCAGCAATCATACAGCAAGACAGCCATATCCAAACGAGTAATGTGGAACATGATAGGTTAATGAGTGAGAAGAACGAGGCTGCCAATAACGGTTTCCAACAGGAACCAGCGCCCAACGCCGGTACCTCTGCCCTCACTCCAGCTCCGGAGAACAACCGCCAGCGAGATGGTATGTTTGGATGGTTCAAGAAGCTGAATGGCGGCGACAGGAGGCAGCCAAAACCAAAAGTCGAGGCAGTGGGATACTGGCAGTTGTATCGGTTTGCATCCAAGGCGGATTGGGTCTATGTCGCGTAAGGTTTCCTACAATCGGTCTTTTCTATCCTTCGATATTATCGTTGCCGCACTTCCTTATCCTTATCCCTCCCGTCCCCCGTCTCTGGCATGTAACTGACGCTCTTCTCTTTCTCCTCTCTCGCCTGCATATCGTTAGACTCGGATGCATCTGCTCTATAGGTAACAGTAGATCAACGTAGGTCTTTTAAATAGGGGTCAGATCCAGAAACCTTAACCCAACATGCTTCGCATCTCCCCTCTCACTTTTTTATTTTTTCCGCCTCCAGGCCTCGGCGTTGGACAGCCCCTTGTAGCCCTCCTCTTCGGAAACATCGTCAGCGATCTAACGGACGGCAACGAGGGTAAGGGCGCCGCCATCGTCAGGGACGTCAAGCTCTTCACCTATGTCGGCATCGCCATGTTCGTCGCCGGATACGGCCAACAATGTTTCTGGACCCTCTCTGCAGAACACCAATCGAAGCGCATCCGTCAGAAGTACTTCCATGCCATCCTACGACAGGATATGGCATGGCATGATACCAGAAATCAGTCCGAGTCACTCACGACAAGGTTGAACTCGGATACGCAAATGATTTATGAGGGCTTGGCAGACAAATGTGGGTTGGTCCTATCGAACTTGGCCACTTTTGTGGCAGGGTTCGTCATTGGCTTTGTCAAAGGATGGAAATTGAGTCTGGTGCTTTTGGCAGCCGTGCCTTTGATCATTGGCAAGCGAAGACTTGAGTCAGCAAGAAGTACCTGTATCCACTGTGAAGAATTATGCTGTGCTAACATTACACTTCATATTTTTTATTACTGGAAATGAATGATAGCCGCTGGCGCGTTTATGACAAAGTATGCAACCGAGAGCGCTTCGGCGGGACAGGGCTCGTACTCGAAGGCAGGTGGTGTCGCCGAGCAGGCGATCTCGTCTATTAGGACGGTTGTCGCTTTCGGTGGACAAAAGAAAGAGACCGCGGCGTATCTCAAGCACCTGGACAATGCATACAAGGCTGGAGCCAAGAGAACTCGCGTGGCCGGCATTGGGTAATTCACTCTGACAGCTGAAGCATCAGGTTAAGCATGCAAGGGAGAATCATTATTTTTCTTTACTTCACTAACCGTTTCTGCTTCCTTCCATCTTGTAAGGAACGGTCTCATCTTGTTTATTCTCTTCCTCACATATGGTATGTGCCTCATTATTAGCTTTCCTTTGCAAATGTTCAAGCGGAGTCTTATTTCTGACACGAAGTATCCTGCGAATTGTATAGGACTCGGGTTTTGGTATGGATCGAACCGTGTTGCTGCTAGGGAGATAACTTCTGGTCAAGTATTGAACGTGTTCCTGGGCATGATTATCGGTGCCTTTGCTCTTGGGTAAAGCTCCTTCTTCTCATCTCCATAGTGTTCTCTTGGTAACGGATACAATAGTTAACCATTCCCTCTGGCTCTTGTCTAGAAACGTTGGACCGTATCTGTCAGCCTTCGCCAACGCGCAAGGTGCTGCATATCACATTTTTAAAACGATCGATCGAGTCCCCACTATCGACTCGGCTAGCACAGAAGGAGCGAAGCCTGACAATATCCAAGGACATATCGTTGTCAAGGACGTCGATTTCCATTACCCAGGTCGACCAGACGTTCAGATTTTAAAAAAGATGAGTGTTGAAGTCAAGCCTAGCCAGACGATTGCGCTTGTGGGTCAGTCCGGAAGTGGCAAGTCGACCATCGTAGGATTGATCGAGCGTTTCTACGACCCCGTTTGTATGCATATCACTAGTTTCTGGAGCTGCTGGTTTTGGTCTCCATCAGACTTGAGAATACTAATGTGTCGAAATAACTTTGTTATAGCTGGCTCGGTGACATTGGATGGAATAGAGATCAGGGATTACAATATTACATTCTTGCGCGACTCCATTGGAGTTGTCTCCCAGGAGCCGGTCCTCTTCAACGCCAGCATCAAACAAAATATTATCAACGGTATCCGCAAGGATCAAGCCACTCCTACGGATGAAGAAATCGAGAATGTCTGCCGCCTGTCCAACGCTCATGACTTTATTTCCAAACTTCCCGACAAGTACGAGACCATGGTCGGCGAGAAGGGCGCGCTGTTATCCGGGGGTCAGAAGCAGCGTATCGCTATCGCTCGCGCCTTGATAAAAAATCCTCATATCCTGCTCTTGGACGAGGCAACCTCTGCGCTCGACACAGAATCCGAGAGAGTGGTCCAAGTAGCGCTCGACACCGCCTCTACAGGCCGCTCGACCATTGTGGGGGCGCATCGACTCTCAACTATCATGAATGCGGACGTAATCTACGTTCTAGAGAAAGGTGTTGTCGTCGAGACAGGAAACCATAGATCGCTTCTAGAAAAGGGCGGTGCGTATGCGGAATTGGTGGCAAAGCAACAACTCAAGACCGGAGGCAAGGACGTGGATCGGTCGCTTGATGAGGACGAAGCGGAGATGGGGTCCTCGTTTGCTGGTACCCCAAAACCAATTCGACATGGACGTTCGACTCCTGCGAAGATGATGTCGAAGCGATCGAGTATCGTATCAAAAAACAAGGTCGATTCGACGATTGTTATTGGCGAAAACGATGAGATCGAGACTGCAGATAACAATAAGAAGCGAGAGGCAAAGGAGCTGGCCAAGAAGAAGGCGCCTATCGGTCGCGTTATAAAGATCATGAGGCCCGAGCTACCCTTCGCTGTATTCGGTGGCCTCATGAGCGCCATCTCTGGAGCTGTAAATGACATTGACGATCTGCTGCAGAACGCGATCAAGAGCATCTTTGTTCACAAAGATCGCTACTAACATAGCTTCAATGAGTTATCGCGGTAGATTTTCCCTGTGTTCTCGAAGCTCTTCTCCAAGATGCTGGAGATCCTAACAAAGCCCGAAAGTCCCAACTTCACCAAGGACGCCAATTTTTACTCTCTCCTATTCGTGGTTCTCGCCGTGATTGCTCTGTTCAGTAACGGATCCTCTGTGTTTGTATTCGAGCTCATTGGCGAAAAAATGGCACGAAGGATGCGCGAATTGAGTTTCAAAGCCATTATTAGTCAAGAGATGGGCTTCTTTGATGACGAAAGACACAGTACGGGCGCCTTGTCATCCCGACTGGCGACAGATGCCTTCCAAATGCACGAGCTGGTGTCACAGATGCTCAAGACTGTTTGTTCAACGCTGGCAATCATCGTGATTGGTCTCGTCTTTGCATTCACAGCCAACTGGATCCTGACCTTTATTATCCTGGCGCTCATCCCTATCCTGGGGCTGGCACAGTATTATGAGATCGTGGCGCTGACGGGATTCGGGCAAAAGACACAAAAAGCGTATGAGCAATCTGGAAGGGTTGCAGGAGAGGCTATTGCCAATATTCGGACTGTTGCTGCTCTAGCCAAGGAATCTGTCTTTGAGGAGAGGTATGAAGGTAAGAGCCGATCAGTACAAAACGCGACCCTTTTTGATTTTCCAAGTGAGGAACAGAGCTGTTAACTTAGTCTATGTATTCGCTTCGACCCGCGTACGTGCAGCTGTGACACGAGAGCCGCACAAGTATTCGTTGCACAAAGCCTACTTTGCATCGTTCGGTTACGCAGTGTCGCAAGGAGTGATCTATTGGGCATATGCGGTCGGGTTCTATGCGGGTTATCGCCTTGAGAGGGTAGGGAAGATGAGTTGGGACGATATGCTTCAGACCATGTTCGCTGTCGTCTTTATGGCAGTGGGACTCGGTCAAATGGCCGTGCAAATGTACGTCGGCATTCTTTTCATGTTAGGGCTGATGTGTATCGAACGAGTGGGAATTGTTTATTGATACCATTTTGGCTTTGACAAAAACTAGGCCAAAGTATGTCAAAGGAAAGCAATCTGCTATCAACGTGTTTGAGTTGCTCGATAAGAAGACGACGATCGATGCCGACAAGGACGGTGTTGTGTTGGATCATATGGCTGGGCAGGCGGCCCTCGAAAAGGTTGACTTCGCATACCCAACCCGACCCGACATCGAGCTGTTCAAGGGGGTCAGCCTCGAGGTCAGGCCTTCGCAGACCGTAGCCTTGGTCGGCCCCTCTGGATGTGGAAAATCAACGATTATTGCACTGCTGGAACGATGGTACGATGCCTTGGGCGGATGAGTGATCGTGGATCGGTACGACATCAAGGACATGCAGCTGAACAGCCTTCGAGCACACATGGCGCTCGTTGGTCAGGAGCCTGTGTTGTTTGATATCTCGATCGGCGAGAATATCCGCTACGGTATTCCTGATGGCCAGACTGTGGATCAGGAGCAAGTTGTTGCTGCCGCAAGAGCAGCCAACATCCACGACTTTGTCGTGTCCTTGCCTCAGGGATACGATACCCGTGTTGGAGACAAGGGTTCGCAGCTGTCCGGCGGTCAGAAGCAGCGTATTGCGATTGCTCGTGCATTGATTCGTAATCCCAAGATCTTGCTGCTGGACGAGGCCACCTCTGCTTTGGATTCCGAATCCGAGAAGCTAGTTCAGGAAGCATTGGACAAGGCGCGAGCGGGCAGGACGACAGTTGTGATTGCACATCGCCTGAGCACGATCCAGGATGCGGACCTAATATTGGTGGTGAAGGGTGGATCAATTGCTGAGTCTGGCCGGCACTATGAGCTGCTGGCACTCGGAGGTGTCTATGCGGAGCTGTGCAAGAAGCAGAATCTCGAAGTGACGCACTAAACAAGGCAAGCAGGTAGCCAGAATGTCTCCTTGCAATAAAGAGACTTGATTGTACTGAGAGGAGAACTACAACGCGGGCCTTTTTGTTTGTATGCGTGCGTGCTTGTTCGGGAAAAGAATATGTCTCGAAAAGATCTGTGCATCCTTACCGCGCTCGATCTCTCACTCCCATCCTTCTTTATTGCTGACCGTGAGTGCTAACAAGCACGACCAATCCGATCCATGCGGCCGATGGAGTGAGTAAGGAGCTGCAACAACCATTGGCGTTTGTTTAGTTGCAACACCACTCCTCACCTTCCTCATTTTGCTCACGCCCTTTTGCTTTTGAGTCGATGATCCCGTTTTAGTTTTGTACACCTTTTAAGGAAGGCTTTTGTAAAGCAAGCAAAAGACGCGACAAATGGTTATTGGTGGTGCATGATGAAACTGTTGAGAGAGTGCTGTTGTCTTCCCGGACAGGTGTGCCTGCATAACGGTAGGGCAAAGGCTTATTAATTGAGCTGGGGATGCCCCTAACCGTGTGAAGATCGAAGAGAGATCGAAGACGATCTTCGAGTTTAACTGGAGAAAGATCTTTTTTGTATGTCGTCGCACCAACTAGGTGGTGCTAGTCAGTGCAACCTCGTTCGTACTACACCATGCGATGACCTAAGAGGCCTTAGAGATCCAAGAAATATAAAAAATGAAGATGAGAACAGTGGTTGCTCACACATCCCAACTCTTTATTCTTAGAATAGTGAGTGGTGAACTCCATCACTAACGTTACCAGCTGAGAACAACAAGGTTGTTAGTTGTACTTTTACCGCCCACGGTTCAGCTGCAAATCGTTGCCATTTTGAGGGCACAACATCACTCTTTGTAGAATGAGCCAATGATGATCGGCAGCAATCTCCCAGGGGAGGAAGGGCAGGGTCTTTTTCTTACCGGCCAGCAGCAGGGATTGAGATAGCATATATCGGCTTCGTTTAAATTGCTCTTCCAAGGAACCGTTTCCTTTCTCACCAATACACCTTTCTTCCCTTTCTTCCTCTCCACCAGCACTAACTTCATGGCACATTTTCCCCTCCTTTTGCTCTGACTCTGTCTTTCTGACCCTGCATTTGTAACCATGAAGTAGTACTCGTCCTTTTTTTTTTTCTGTCGTACACACTCTCTCTCTTCGTTTACATACATCTCCCTGCTTGCTGTGTTGCTGCCATAAAGTAAGTGGACATATCATTCAAAGGTCCCTCCTCGACGCATCGCAGGAAAGGATTTCCAGGAACAGTAATAACAACAGCAATAGAAATAACAGGAATAGGAATAGGAACAGGAATAGGAACACAAGAGATGATTGAGACAGAAACAATATATGAAAAACATAGCACTTCTCTCTGTGCGAGTCTATCATAGTCTACCCCGCACTCTGCCCACTCTGCACACTGCATTCTCTCCCTTGCACCATCCTTCTAGGCATTCCATTCCTCTTTCATTCTCTTGTTTCATTTGTTCTCAATTCCTCATTCATTCGTTCATTTATTTATTCTCTTTCGCTTTCTCTTTTGCCTACTTTTTCACTTTCTCACTTTCTTCCTTTCGTCGCTGTGTCCACTATAAAAAGTAGGCCTAAGTGTGAACAGAAGCAACGCCCAATTTTCTTTATTATACTGCCCACGCTTGCACTGCACAGCACTCTATCACCGATATACCTCAATCGCAGTTTAAGCCAGACAGATATGGCATCGCCAAGCGATCGACCCAAGGGACGGAAACTGCCCCACCATCCCTCAGAAGCGACCATCACGAACCTCGAGAATGAGAACACCCCTCTTCTTCCCAAGAAAACTAGCGACAAGCAAGTTATTGACCCCACTGCGCTCTATGTCAAGGTTCTCGACGAACACCTGCCCTGGCACAAACGCCCCTCGGTCCTCTGGCTGCTCCCGATCTTCGGTCTCGCCTGGATCGGCAGTGGCATGCTCGCCTCCTCCATTGGTCAACTCCAAGCTGCACTTCTCTGTCGCGAGTATCTCAACCGCCACACATCCAACACCACCTTGCTCGCCAGTGAGGGCGTGGTCTCGTTCCTGTCCAGGGTCTCTTCAAGCACTGGGGGATTGGCTGAACACGTCGCAGTCGCGATGCGACCCGCTGCAGAGTGTCAGATCCCAGAGATCCAGGCGTACACTGCCAAGATCACAGGCCTTATCGAGGTGCTCACCGGTATTGCGAGTAAGTCTTGTTTGCTATTGCTCTAGCTACTGACCTGCTTTAAAAATGGTGCTTACCTCACTTTAAGGCGCTCGTCACTGTTGATTTAAAACAGCTATGGTTGCCTTTTAAAGACACATACCATACGCTCGCATCTTGCCTTTGCCGCGTGAGCATCTATGGCAACGAAGAGCCTGGTGTATTTCTGCTAGCAATAATCCCATCACGTTCTTTTCATTGAATCCAATCTAATCCCAGGCCCCCTCTTTCTCTCTCTGAATCAGGCACATTCTCGATCGGATACTACTCGTCCTTGAGTGATAAGCATGGGCGCAGGACTATCATGTTCGTCTGCTTCGTTAACTCGTTCCTGACCCTCGCCGCCATCCTCGCCATGAGTCTATACTGGGACCAAATTGGATTGCCCCTCATGGTCGCCTCTGGGCTCCTCGTCGGACTACTCGGCGGTACTAGCCTCAGTCTCACCATTACACTGGCTTACACAGCCGATTGCACAGATCCTGCGAAGCGTAGTCTGGCCTTTTCCTGGCTTCACGCCAGTCTCTTCCTCGGACTCTCTGTCGGGTATTGCCTGTTGTGTCTTGCTTGCAAAATCTGTTTTTTTGCATCTTGCCAATATTGCGAAACACTGAGTATTTCTATTTGTTTTTTTTTTCTGCGTGTTCTGTTAGATCATATCTGGGAGGAACGATCGTGAGAGCCACGAACACCATCCTGTCGATCGTCTATCTCGAGATGATCACAACCACCATCTGTTTCCTACTTGTACTGTTCTTTGTGCCAGAGTCCCTGCCGGGCAAACAACCTGAGAAAGTTCAGCGACTTTACGAGACCTTCAAGAAGAAGAACGGCACAGGAACAACATCTCAGGAACGCGTCGCGTGGCATTCACACGCTATACGCGCACTCAGCTTTTTCAAACCCAACGGTCGCAACACCAACTTGGTTCTCTTAGCAGCAATATCGTTCCTGCAGATGCTAGCCATGCGCGGTACACTCTCGGTCATCATTCTCTACACAAACAAGATGTTTGACTGGACTGAATACGAGGTATATATGCAAACAAAGAGGAACGCGCACAGTACGGACGTCATATTTCTGAATTCTCTCAACTGACAATTCACACAACTTTTATGAAACGACTTGATTTAACTTGAATAGGACGGCATTATGTTCATGCTGAGCTCGCTGGTTCGATTGTTCACGATGCTGCTTTTGCTGCCGATCCTAGTCCAGCTGCACCAGAGGGCCTACCAAAGGAAGCAGAACAAGGTTGCAAAGGAAGCCCTCCGTCACGGGAAGCAGCCCGATGTCCAATCTCAATACCTGCAGACACGGGATCCAATCATCGACAGCGTCTATATGTCCAGTCAAGTCCCATTCAACGAGAACGATCCTAGTGCCGCAGCGAGTGTGCAACATTTGGGCGGGACTGCGCTCGAATTGTCGCTTGAGGAACATGAGCGTCGGAATCGTCAGATCTCGGTGGATTCTATCGGAACGTTGGCTCCCTCTAACGGAGTAACATCTCATCCACAAAACGCCATCGAGGCAGGGGAAGAGGACGAAAACAGCTCTGCGGACGCCTACATTGCGCCAGTGAGGACACAAGCGCAGACGTTTAGCGACATGAAGTTCGATACATGGATGATTCGACTGGGCTCTGCGATCAGCTCGATTACTTATGTCGGGTACGGTCTGGCACGAGAGGGCTGGGTGTTCTACCTGGCTACAGCACTGCACGCCGTCTATATCATCTCGAGCCCATCACTTAAATCCCTTCTAACGAATCTGGTCGAACCTTCGCAGTTTGGAGCGGTACTGGGGGCTGTGCAGGTCGTGGACTCGATTGCTGTGATCTTCTCACCGATTGTGATCTCGTGGGTGTATGCGCTGACGGTCGGAACGATGCCGGAGTTTGTGTGGTACAGCTGTGCTGCCTGGGCGGGCATCTGTGTGGTCCTGGCGTTCATGATTCGGCAGAAGCAGTTTCGTAACAACATGGATTTCTAAAAATCGCATATACCCCTCCCCCCTCCCACTCCATTCTTTATCATACCCTTTCTTTTTTCTATGACTCCATCCTTCCTTTGACCTTTTTTTTTTTTCCTTTGTACTCTTTCATGGGATAGATCCATTTCATCTCTTCCTATTCACTAGAAATAATTGTAAATAGTGCACTGTTTTCCCTCTCTTCACGATCTACCTCTGAACACAAATAAATCCAAAGGCTGTATGCCTCAAAAGAGGCATATTTACAACAGTGAGATTTAATTCAATTACTGAAAAATATTTTTGTGAACATCCAAGTGGTCTTCAACGCAACGAAATAGTCGTCAGTTCAGGACAACATATCGAATCCAGAATCGCGGCGCTCATCCACGACGGTCACCTTATGTCCATGCTCGTCCAACGTATACTCCTGCATCGTCGGAGGTTGGATCCCCTCCATCGTCAAAATCACTGGAACATGCCCCGTATGCGGGATATCGAACTCGTCGTGTGGGTGGATCACCAAATGATGCGTATGACGATCGCGGCCGCGACCGTGTTTTTGTTGATGCTCCGAGGCTTCATACTCCTCATTATTCTGTCCACTTTCGGCGGTGGTGCATGTAACCCGTGCGACGTCTGCGCACGTTGCCGGGGTGTCATGGTCTTCCAAAGTAGAAGAGTCCTCGACAGAGAGTTTGTGAGGGGATGACGGGGGTGTGGACTTGTAGGACGAGGCTACCATATTGTCTTCTTCCAGAATTTGTGAAACAGCTTTCCGGATCCCCCAAGTTTCTTCGTTAGGGATAGCCGAGATCGAGGAATCTTCAAGGCGGATGATCGAGTAGTCCAAAGTGTCCCTCAGTTCTTGTGCGAAATCTGAACATTAGTTTAAACGTTGTGAGCACACGGAGTATGGGAGCGTGATAGGGATACTGCAAAGTTTTGCGCCGCAAAAGAGAGAGAGAGAGAGAGAGAGAGAAGAAAAGGAACAGACGACATGGGATTACCTTTGACAGAATCCGGTAGATTATGCTTAATCGTTCCTGCAGCCGCCTCGGCCGTGGATGCAACTGCCGCAGCCATAAAGATCGCCGTCCCGAAAAGCCCGCCCGACAATGAATCCATATTCTTCAATAACTGACTATCCTGTGTAAGACCATAGATCCTCGCTCCAAGATCTTGTTGCTCACCACCTGCCTTGGCCTTTGCCTGGGCTGTGTGGTCATCACGCTGATGCTGTGTTTGTGTACGGTCTGGCTGCTGGATGCTATTGCCACTGCTGGGCCGGTGTGTCCGCGTTCGCAGAGAGACAGAGGCACGTTGTGTCTTCATGGATTCTGTGTCGACCGAGGATTCTTGATCAGCGTCTGATGCAGGAGCAGTCCTCTGCATGGAAGACGGTGCCTTGTTTTGCAACGAGTGTTTCTCCTGATGTGAATGCTTCTCCTGAGCAGAGGGTTGCTTTTCGGGCGATTTTTTAACAATGTCTGCGTACGATATCTTTTTATCCACGTAAGCGTGCCTTGAAGAGTATTTCTCACCTACAGTATTATAAAAAGATTAGTTAGAACAGTAGCGTCCACCATGCAGGGCCAGTATCCGCGTTATCGGTGCGATGTGACTTACTCTCGGTGGGTGTCTGAACGGAAGTCTGAGGATGTGTTTCCTCGCCCGAATCCCGCTCAAGAAGATGGCCAAGGTCCTCGCCCTTCAGCTGTCTGTACGGCTCAGAATTGATAACCGAAGGGGATTCCTTCGCCGCAGCTGCGTATCCAGCTGATGACAATACTAATACGGTTAGCACGGTTGATGTAGAAAGCCTTAGACACGCAAGAGATATAGAGGGTTACGTAAAAAGAACTTGCCAGTGATGTCAATGGGCTTGAAGTACGAGATCTCGCCGCCGTAGAAGCCGGCAGACCCGAGCATGGAGCCCCAGGTGCCAAGACCGTAGTTGTTTCCGTGTGCATGCTGTCTCGAATTATGTCCATCTAGGTCAAAGAAATATCCACAGCACTTACCAGGTCAGCATACTACCACAGCTACTATCACTAAAAAAATGAGGAGTGAATGTCATTCTTACCATTGTTGGCAGTGCCTTCCTCTGCGGATCTTGCTTTACCCTTACGCTCTCTCTTCTCGTCAGAAGCTGAGACATTTGTTCTCTCTGCCATACAAGATGCTGCTGAGACATCCACAAAGTTCCCCGGATCCATAACGACACAAGCCAACATGAACAACAGCACGAGCGGCACCATCACCAGGAACATCAAGATCTTCGGCTCGATGCCATAGGTCTCTACGAGATGTCCAAATTCCATCCGCTGCTGCAACGAGCGGATATCGGGGGTGTAGTTCCAGAGGATGCTGTCGAATGTGGCTATGGGGTCCCAGGACCTGAAGTAATTCGCGAGCGTGGAGAGCACAGAGTCCGTGGAATACTGGATGGTTTCATCATCATACAGCCAAGGAGTGGGTTCGATAGGCAAGTCGATTACAGTGTGCAGATATGGGACTGGGTGGGATGAAGAGGGCGTTGGGGAAGCGTTGGAGATCCAGTTGTAGAGCACATCGAGGGCCCTCTTTGGGTATAGAGGGCGGTCGATATCCCCTGATAGCGAAAAAGCGTGCATGTTCATGGTGCGAAGTAGAGGTAGGGTGGAGCGGAAGGAGTTGAAGAGACAGAGGGATGACGGAGGAGTGCATGTACATGTAGTGGTAAAAAAGGAATGAAATAAAAAAATACAAGCTGGCGCCCACGGTGTCTTCCACAGGCTATGTTCCAGCCAGTTGACCCGAGTGTGACCAAATGGGCAGCATGAACAAACATCGCGTCCACAACACGCGTCATTGGAATCAATTTGGATTTCCATTTCCAAGGGGCCCTTGCGGGCGTGTTTGCAAATAGAGAGATTTAAATAAGAGAGGGAGGGGCGGCTGCTGTGGTAGGCCAATAATCCGCATTGAGTTGCAGCTCTCTTGCGAGAACCTACAGCGTATTGGACTGATAGAAGCTGTGTGCTAGAGGCCGATTTCAATCATTCCGGGTAGAATGAGAAATTGCTGGTAGCCGAATTCTCGCCAGCGATTCGCCAGCGTCCCCACTAAGGAAGGAAGCGCACCTGCGCGGACTTTACCCGCTTGCAATGTCATTCACTGGATCATCGAAATGTCGCAGTCGTAATGTTTCCAAGCAAACGCTATTCAGCCTGCCACAGCAGCCAATGAGGGCAGAGCCATGCGGCCCAGATCCGTGGCCTCCTTTTGTACTCCCCCAGGACTGTCACACATAAAATATATTCCACCGCAATATTCCGGCCTTCAAGCTGGAAAGGACCGAAAATTGGACTCGCAACCCGCTCTCAAGAAATCAGTCACTCTCTACTCCTCTCTCATCTGTCAATTTTCAGCTGTAGAGAACCTACTAGCCTGACATGTCTATTTAAATGAGGGCCTTGGAAATGCATTATCGTGATTAAAGGGGTGTATGGGACTAGTGAAGACATCGAAAAAAAAAAAAAAAGAAAAGTACAACAGCAACAAAATAATAAACGAAATGAGTCGCTATCTTTTACTCGACAAACTCGAACTGGACAGCCCAGAAGACAGCGCTGCCGTCCAAGGTCCTGCATGTGTAGCGCACCGGCTGCCCACCCAGGTATTTTAGCACATTCAGCGATAGTCCTAGCTTGATATTGCCAGTGTTGAAGTCCATATGCGGCGAAAAGAACTCGAATCCATATACCAGATCCGGGTTGTACTTGAAATCCTTGCGATGCTGCTCCGTCTGGAAATACTTCCTGCGTTCTGCTGTGCTGAGACTCGCCTGGCCCGGCAAAAAGAATGTCGTGTCCTCCTCAAGGTGCTGGCGCCACTGTCCCAGAGGCATCTCACCCTCGAGCTCTGTCCCTGCCTCCCAATCTGCAGACGTTCCTGACGAGTTGAGTGATTCAGGCTGAGGGGTCGCAGGAGAGGTGATAGTTCCCGCTTCCTCAGTAATAGGGGGCGAGATCGACCGGACCTTGTGAACCTGATCAGACGAAGAACTCCGTTTTGTTGAATAGCTACTCAATCCACTGTTCTCGTTATTGGATGCTGTGCTGCTGGTACCCATGACCGATGCACGGTTGCCACGCTTAAATTTGCCTAGAAAGCCCCACGCACTCGACACTGCACCAGTGACATTCTCGGTCATAGAAAAGGAGCGCGAAAGATCCATGGAGGGGCGAGGTGTAAGCGGCGGTGATGGGAGCTTTGTGTCCTGAGGACGCCAGGCCGACATGGTATTGATGGACGAGACCAGAGGGCTTAGGATCCAGGGCTGTCCGTCCTTGGAGAACGAGGTTCTGACGACCGGATCGATGTAGCGGCAGACCTTGAGCATCATCTCGAATCCATCTGGCAGATCCACGGACCGGTCAAAGTCTGTGCCAAAGTATAAGTCCTGGCCATCCCACTCGCGCTTGAACCGACCTTCAATCTAAATGGTTGAACAACCAAGTCGGTATCGTTCTAGACATCTTTCTTTCTTGGTTCCTCTTGTTTCTGAAATTTGTAGCATAGTTTCTGTCTCTTACCTGAAATGAAAATCTGCGGTTGCGTCCTTTAAAGTAGTCGGAATTGTAGACGGGTTGTGAGCCGTCGTTCGTGATGCCCACTGTTCAGGAACAAACCATCCGGGTGATCCATATCATGCGATGCCCGAGTTCATACAAGTTAAAATAGAATATACAACGGCGGCGGTACATTACGAAGAGACAGAAAAATGAAAGTGAGCATTGAGGTTAGCCCATTTGAAATATGGAAAAGCATTGATGATAAGTAACGGAGTATCGTATAGCCATCGATGTGCATGGATCGATGGAGAGCCCAAATCCCCCCTTGAGATCCCTGTCCCCACACAGACAGGGTCACTCTCGCCCTCCACTTCTGGTTGTCCGAAAGTGCGTGCATGCGTATGAACTTTGTCCTAAGAGTGCAGTGGATTTGGAAAAATGTGACCCGATAATGCTGGCAGGGATGCACATCTTGTCCTTGGCAACAGACAAGGACACCAAAGCACTGTGGTGGCCAGAAGAAGGATTTCCTACTGTCTTCCACACGCTTCTCCAAATCAACAGCCTCCAAAGCGATATGAAATAAAAGCAAGAACGGGCCAGGCTAATGGAAAGGCACACTGCCTCCTCCTTCTTTGGCACCTCCTGTTGTTCCTGACCACTCCAATCATCCGATTTCTTTTCTTTCCTTGACCAAGCCCGCCCAGTGTCTGTCTCTGGTGCGTTGTTTTCCTGATCCTCAGCCCCATCATTGAGTATTGAGTAATAAGCAGTACATATCATGCCCCTTCTGCCTCCGGACGGATAGCATCCCTTTGAAAGCGAGAGTATTATCTACACCACAAGAGGATTTGTAGAGGGGGGGAATGTTGCAGAGTGTGCAAGGGACGCATGTTGAATGCAGTAAAAGTGTTTCCTTACCAAAGTCCTTGATACGAACAACAGCACGGCCTTTGAAGTTGGGGGCATCGAACTCAATGGGCTGGATCTCGTCGTTGCAGTTGACAATAGACAAATCCGTGTACGACCCGCCGATGGAAACACGTAGCTTGACCATGATTTATGTTTAAGGCTTATAGACTTTGTTACTGTAGGTAGCACAGAGGGAGCAATTGGGATCGATCGCTTGAAGCAAGTGGTGGTGTGTTGTAGTTGAAAAGAAGAGTGGGGAAGGTGGGCTATAGCTGAAAAATGTAAACTGGTAATGAGGAGAGGGAAGACGGAGAAGGTCGATGAGGAGAAAGAAAGAACGAATGTCAAAGTGATGAGTGGCCTGAAGTTCAGCAGACAAGGACAGAAAGCCAAATAACGAATTAAATTGTCAGCGAGTGAGATGCTTATTTTTACAATATGTCCGAGAAACAAGGTCCAAAGTCGATTTTATTTAATCCGCTGCTGCTGCAGAGTTTCGATGATCCTGGAAAGTGAAATGCGGATGTAGAGGAAGGCGACAAAGAATGGATAGGGGAGAGGAGTCTGAGAATGCGAAGAAGAAAAAGAAGGAGAAAAGGATGCGCAGTGCAAAGAATGAGGAACGGGTTCCCTTTAAATAAACCTCGCCATGCAACAGCATACCAGTAACTAATAATCGAAGTGCATACAGCCATACATGAAGTGCATATACATGCACTTCACTGGACTATATATACGCAACTCTTCAAGCCGATGAATAATGCGCCTGTCTTACTCAGCAAAGAACCATCACTAGCGACCACCAGCATCCATCCTCAATTGACATCGCTCTCCTAATATGTGTATCTTTTTGTTTCTGTGGGATTGTGGTGCGCAGTCAAGACCATCAGCCCGGTGGAGGAAGAACAGGAGGAGACAACTCTGCTCACCTTTGCATACGCACATGGCTGTCGACTCTATCTGCTGGTGTCGAAACAAACGACGTCTTGGCTCTTGGCTTGGCTGCGGCCATCCACTGCAGCATGCGCATTACAATTTGTCGTCATCCAGCCGATGTCTCCTTACTACACGCACCTCGCAGTAAGACCAAAGATGGCTCAGAGCAGCTTCTATGTTTCTTTCCCCCTTCAGTTGTGGACCTTCATGATGCCATTTCCATGCGCCCTAAACCCTTGGGCTCACCTCAAGAAAATGACCATATCCTCTCTCTCTCTTTCCCTCTGCAAATGGGAGTTGAAGCATGGCGCGGTGTGCCAGCAGCTGAACAAGGATATAGGACTTCTTGCTATCCATCCAAACATTGCACGTTGGCAGGGGCTCAGGGTCTGGTCGGAGGATAGGTAGGCGGTGCATGCTGGGCGAAGCGGCTCGATGATTTGTTGTTGAAAACACGCATGCACAAATCATGTGGGCAAATCGCATAGGCTCATGCTAACTCCCTAGCTAGACTTTTATTTCCAACAGCCATGACTCGGAGATACCTGCCCTTGGGTCCTTCTTCTGCACGTCCATTGTCCCAAGCGCGTTGATTTCTGGGTGATTATTGTAGCCCTGCTCCTCTTCTCCCCACTCTCTCCGCTTCCATTTAGCCCACTCCTTCCCCTTTTGCCTTTCGGATGGATAGCATAGATGGCAGCTCTGTGGCCCTGCAGCTGGCTCCTACGTGAGCCTTCATTTCCTGCGGCCATGCGCGATACCTCCGTGCTTGTTCACTTTCGATATTATCTTGAGCTTCCAGCGTAATCTAAGCTGTCAAAATACACCATGAATGGACAACAGCCTCCCTCGGCCTTGTGCCACTACCTTGCCCAGACCAGAAGTGAATCGCACCAGCCAATGAGACCAAAACCTTGTTTTGGATGTACGCCACCAAAATTGAGCATGCCTGGCCGAAGCTCTGAACCCATCCCCCTTTGTTCAATTTTTCACTGCAGAGGGGCTGGGACAAAATCTTTCACTTTCTTATGGGGTCACCCTTTAGTCCATTTTGCCCAAAAAAGGAAAGTGCTCGGTGGTTTTTTGTTCACGTGATCGTACGCGGGCTGCCCAAGCTTATTTCTTGCATCCTCTTCCTTCATGTCTCCTGTTACAGTGACAATCCACCTGATGAAGAGACCCGGCGCACGCCTCGCAAGTGCCTTCCCAAAACTCCCAACACTCCTGGAACCCTCCGCAGGACTTACAAAGCAAGGACACATTTTGTTACAGGAGTTGGGAGTTTGTAGCTGTTGGGGTTGTCACCCTTCCTGACGTCCTGACCCTCAATACTGTATAGCGCAATGACATACCCACAGGTCTGATCTCCTTCAGCGCCAATATTCCCGTCGCGTCGTCCTTAGGAGGGAGTAATCCAGTGAGTACATACCGATGATTGGCATGACAACAGTCACTCATTTCCAAGCACAATCCTAACGAACTTCTTGTCCTTTTATGTTTTTCTCTCTATAGGATACTCCGCAAGGAGCTACTGAAGCCCCGCCCGTCCTGACTGGAGCGTGTTCCACTCCAGCGGCGTCAATCTCCTTGCAGCTCGCCATGGCGTTCACCGCTGCAGAAGAGTCCTTGCCAAACCCTTTCTGGTTGCCTGAGGAAGAACGTCAGTCTGGACAAGAAGCACATTCTTCACTGTATTTCCGCCTCCGGCGACTACAAGATATCGATTCGCCTGGACATTCTCGTGGACTCACAACACCATTTACATATGGAACTGTGCCGTCGTCGCTTGCACGAACAGTGGTATCATCTGTGCGCCTTTCTTCGCCACTTCGGCGGACTGTGTCGTCGCCAATTCAAATTGATTCTTCAGATTCGGACGCGTCTTCAGATGATTATGATTCCACGCCTAAAAAAACTTTCTCCACGCCCATCAAGCGAATGTCAACATGGAGGGAGGCTGATTGCACCCCACCGCCATATATCTCGACGCCAACATCGTCTCCCTCCACGTCCATGCAGCCGGAGCTGTCGCCCCTGCAGTTTCTATCTTCGCCATCGCATATTGTACACCAGATACATATACCATTAGTTCAAGAGCACGAAGACGACATTAGCGATTACTCTGTAAGTTATTTCAACTAATGACACAGTCATTTGTATTGTAACATTTTAATCATCCTTTGCATGTTGTTTTACACACGCTGTATTCTTTTTTTTCAGACCTCCCCACTTACTTTGAGGTCACAAGCCATCAGCACTTGCAAACAAGTTTTCCGCTGTGCACCAAAGGAAGAGCAACTGGAAGTTCTGTATAACATTGAAGCAAAGCACGACTGTGTCTTAATTGCTCCTTGTGGCTGGGGCAAGACTTTAGCGTTTTTCCTGCCTATGGTGCTCTGGCCTCGCTCAGTAACCGTCGTCATCTCACCGCTGATATCTTTGATGGAGGATCAACAGCAGGTAGCTTTCAAGTACTCTTGTAACTGTACGATTGCATATGCCTTCAATAAATGTGTCTATGTTACACGACTGACCCCGTCTTTGGATCCTGCCCTACAAATCGATAGAAGCTGGCCGCGGCCGGCATATCGTACTTCGTTCTAACTGGCGCCAACTCGGATGCTATTAACAAGGGTACGATCCAACGCGCACTAAATGGCGAGTACAGGGCTGTCTACTTCACCCCCGAGATCATTTTCAGCGGCAGCAAGGCAAATTTGCTTCAAGATCTTTGGCGGAACGAGCAATGGCGATCATTGTTGGCCGCAATAGTGATCGATGAAGTGCACTGCGTCGAGAAATGGGTCAAGTTTCGCGAGGACTATACACGCCTAGGTGATCTGCGTGTCTGGGCACCTGGAGTACCATTTGTAGGGCTAACAGCGACTCTCACAGCGGACGCTATCCTAAAAACTAAGGCCAAGCTTTTTTTGTCCAAGGCAACGACGATACGTGTGAACGAGGTTCGCACGAACTTGCGCCTCGAGGTGCACACTCAGCCCAAGGATGCCATGAAAGGCCTCCATAGACTTTTGCACAAAGAGAAGACCATCGTCTACTTTGATTCAATCGCTGTTCTCATCCGTGTTTTCAAATGTCTGCAGTGGATAAGGCCCGACCTGCAAGGAAAACTTGGGTTGTACTTTTCAACCCTAGATGAACAGTACAAGAGGACGACCATGAAAAAATTTGTAGATGGGGACATCCTGATCCTGCTGGCTACCGAGGCTGCAGGAATGGGTGTCGACATACAGGATGTTGTTCAAGTGATTCAGTACGGGTAAGTTCATATGTTAATAGCATGGAAATTGAGCAATCAGAACGAAACAAGTTGTCGTATATTTGGGTCGTCAGTCCGCTAGAACGACACTTCTTAATAAAACAAGTAGACCAGAGCAATACCGAGTCACTTCAGCTCAGCCTTTCAAGACTGAGCTGGAAGGGGCCGGTTCTGATCTCTATATCTTGTGAGCCCAAAACATAACACAAGTTATTATCTCTAAAATATTTCGATATGCACTTGTGAATCATTTAGTTTTCCAAGGGACATGACAAGCTTGGTGCAACGGTTTGGCCGTGCAGCGCGACGCAAGGATATCAACGGCCGTGCGATTCTCTATGCTCCGCCAGTCTCTCACAAGACTGTTTCAGATGCACAAGTCCGCCAGTTCCTCCTGGATCACCACAGCAAAAAATGTCTTTGGAGGTTTATCGATGACTTGTTTGGCAACGAGATTCGTGTTTGCAACAACAACTGTTCAGCATGTCATACTGTTAATTGTCCCCCTCTACTCCCTAGTCGCATTGTCGCCAAATCTGTCATCAGAGGAAGATGGCCGAAACGCTCGAAAGAGGAGAAGGCTCTGGCATTACGGGAACTGATATCATGGAGGAAGGATGCCTTCAAGAGGTGGCAAGCAACACAACGTTACGCCAATGGTGCAGAAACCGGGATCCTGCCGGACATGACTGCCAAGAAGCTCTCGCAGCAATTCTCAGGGATCAGAACTGCTGAGGCAGTCGCAACCTTCGCATCTTCTTCCCTCTGGTTTCCTCGTGGAAACCCTCAGAATTGGTTCGTCGAGATCGCACAGCTGCTGGCTAAGATCAACAAGAATATTGATGATGGTCTCATACCAAGTAGCCAGCTGATAGTGGCGTTGGCTCCAGACCTACCAAACGACGGCTCTGACGGCAATGACGATGGAAGTGATGACGGGGAGGATAGATAATTTTGTCCGCGTACCGCAACCAGTTGCCCACTCTATTCCCTCCACTTCCAACTCCTCTTTCCTCCTCCCTTTATTTTTACATCCGCTATTCCTTACTTTCTTCTTCTATCCTTTGTTTAGTTAGTCATGCTTTTTTTAATACTTTCATCTGCGTATTCAGAGCAGTATAACGGCAACAATAACAAAGTCATGTTCAAAATAGTATTATATTTTAATTCTGATCGATAACATTTTCGAGATCCTCGGCTTCTTCAATGTCCACAGCATTACCCCACAGTGATGTATGATTATCAAAAAATCTTCCTATCGCGCCTCCGACCATCTTCTCTTCGCCAACACGCTGAAGATCAACCACCGGTGGTCCTTGTTCGCACTCGCCGGAAGTCCATAAAATGCCACAGCCTTGGAAGTTCTCCTGGATCCTCGAAATATCCAATGCAGTCGACGGCTTTTTGTGTCTAGTGCTGTTGGAACGAATGCCGACCTCTCGTTCGAACATCCGTGAAATGACCTGAAAGGTTTTGATGTTGGTGGAAATGGCGTCCTGGAGGTATTCCCAGCTCATGTTCGAGCCTTTGGCTGAAAAAATGGCTTTGATGAGATAGTTGTGGTTTTCCTGCATCATGTCCGTTGCCATCCATCCACCAGCGACGCCTTTCGGGTTCACAAGCATACTTGACAGGACCCTTCTCGCCCATTCATCTGTCCAAAGATAGCGAATGCCATAGAGGAGGCGTAAAAGCTCTAGGGCATAATTGGTGTTGCCACCCCCATGCATCATTATAACGATGAATGGCAGCAAATGCTTGATGCGGCCAATATCGCCAGCTTTGATGGCCGCGCCAAGCTCAATGTAGACGGCTACATCGCGCAGGAAAAGAAGAGCGTTGGTATTGGCGGTAGTACAGGGAAGGCCAAGGAGCAAAGGCGAAGGCTGAGAGCAATATGACTTGGTGATGCTTTCTGTAATGCTCTGAACAGAAAGCTCCTTTGATACACCACGATCCCGCAAAGACTGATAGAGCAACTGCACCTTCGCATCAAAGACTACCCGCAAGAGCTCATCGGTGGCGTGAAAGATGATCTTGTCCCTGCTTAGGCCCTTACGGTTCAGCAGACATGCAATCGATGCCAGGGTCCCAGGAAACTCTTTGGAGCCAAGGTGAGTCCTCCAAATGGTACCACACAAATTCATCTCCAAATGAAAAAGTTGGAGAACAGGATGTACCTGTCAAGTTTGAGGGATACTTTTAGTTGTCAAGGAATGTATATACAGGGCTATGCTCCTGTGTAACAATCAAGCACCTTCTTTCCGCCTCACATCACTCTTTATTAACTTTGACTTTCACGTACCCACGACAGGCTATGGTAGGGATCAGGATCGAAGCACCGGTGGACCTTGAGCGTCAGCAGCCTTGACACTGTCATTTGATCCCCAGCGAAAATTGTGTTCTTGGGATCGGCAAACCAGGCTTTTGGTAAATTGAGACCGACCTCCGTAATCCTCTGCAACACTGACAGGTTTCCTGCAATGGTAGACTCGTCTAGCTTCATGACTGGAAGTGGGAAAACAGTACTCTTGGTGAGGTCAAGTTGCTCGACAGGAACAACAAGAATGACGGATGTTGTTGATCCTTCCGGTAACGAGCGCACAATGGAGTCCGAAACATGCGATTGGCAAGCATTTACAAAAACCTCAAGGTCGCCGTTGTTGGGGAAAAAAAGGTTGGCATCTGCCTCCGGCCTCTCCTCCACTGGACGAAAAAGAGTAGGTGCGGGCTTGCTCTTTTCTGAGGGTAAAAGGATGATGGTGGCAGCAGTGCCATTGTCGAAAATATCCCGTTTGTTGACGCGCTGATGATGGTGCTTAGCGGCGATATTGATATTATCGTAAACGACATAAAAGTCGTTCTCCTTGACTGCCTGTATTACACGCCTGCACGCATCCCTGGTCAGCGACTTGAGGCAATTGCGAACTTGATTGTACGAGATCGAAAGCCCAAGGCCAGAAAGGACCTCAAGAACTCTCCTCGGACACCCAGTGCAGTGCAGAAAAATGCCAAGGATTGTCTGGAAAGCACTGGCTTTTTGTGACGACATAAAGAGCAGCATTGCTGAAATGCAGCCGCGGACTGATGATGGCTTCCGAGCACGGTGACGCCTCAGTGCTCTTTTTGTGAGATTTTGGACAGGTACATCCTCTTTGAGCACGCCCTTCAAGAAACGCGTCAGGTACTTTGCGCCACCGCCTTTGCCACTGGTGTTGGGACCTCCATCCATATGTGCCTTGTCCTCCACCATTCCATCATTCTTGTCATCTGCCGTGCCAGCAGCGTAGCGATTGAGGAAACCAAAGTCGTCAAGCAAGTAGCCGGCGATCTTCTCCTCTGTGACATCGGTATGTGGAAGCCGCCATTCTTTTTTGACATCATTGTCACCCAGATGCCTGAGAGTGCGGTCGACGACGACATCGACGGCACTGTTGACAAACGATTCGTCCCACCGCTCATGCCTTTTGTCGTGTCGGAGCTGCTCGTCCCAGATCTGTATAAGTCGCCGTGGACCATGTGCCTCGTAGAACGGATTGGTGTAGTCAGTAGCTGTCTTGTCGTCAGACTTGAACAACTCAACAAGGAATCTAGGCAGGGACAAATCCACTGCTTTAATACATTCTAGAACCGTACAAAGTTTGTCTGACATGGAGGACTGAAAATTATACATCCATCTGTTAGAAGCTAAGGCACTGAATACTGTAGCTCGTTTCATTTTCATCAAAGTCAATGCATTTTAAAATTCAAGTTGGCTGCTTACACGTGTTTTGCCACTGGAAGCTGAGATCAGCACAGTTGGGTCAGATCCTTGGCTCGTTGAGTCAGATCCTTGGCTCGTTGGGTCAGATCCTTGGCTCTCCGTCGAAGAAGAGCTGACCATCTAAGTAAACAATAGGATGTATAATGAATGATGAGTTCTTGACCATATCAGGTTCTCGCCAGAGAGCATAAACATTTAAAACAGTATGTCTCATACCTCCAAGGCAAGTCGCTGTCGCTCCATCTCGGTTGCCCTAATATTGGCCAACTGTTTTGAGCAATACATTTAGCAAAACGCATATTGCATTAATAGGTCTGATCTTTGTCCACAAGTAACGCTTGACAACCTACACGTTTGGCAGATGGCGAAGCTAAAGCTGCAGGCACAATTTCTTTGAACGCGCGAATACTTATGCCTTGGTCCAAGGGTGATTTGGCCATGTTGACTGCGAACGATTCTTCTGCAGCGGTGAACGCCATGGCGAGCTGCAAGGAGATTGATGCCGCTGGAGTGGAACACGCTCCAGTCAGGACGGGCGGGGCTTCAGTAGCTCCTTGCGGAGTATCCTATAGAGAGAAAAACATAAAAGGACAAGAAGTTCGTTAGGATTGTGCTTGGAAATGAGTGACTGTTGTCATGCCAATCATCGGTATGTACTCACTGGATTACTCCCTCCTAAGGACGACGCGACGGGAATATTGGCGCTGAAGGAGATCAGACCTGTGGGTATGTCATTGCGCTATACAGTATTGAGGGTCAGGACGTCAGGAAGGGTGACAACCCCAACAGCTACAAACTCCCAACTCCTGTAACAAAATGTGTCCTTGCTTTGTAAGTCCTGCGGAGGGTTCCAGGAGTGTTGGGAGTTTTGGGAAGGCACTTGCGAGGCGTGCGCCGGGTCTCTTCATCAGGTGGATTGTCACTGTAACAGGAGACATGAAGGAAGAGGATGCAAGAAATAAGCTTGGGCAGCCCGCGTACGATCACGTGAACAAAAAACCACCGAGCACTTTCCTTTTTTGGGCAAAATGGACTAAAGGGTGACCCCATAAGAAAGTGAAAGATTTTGTCCCAGCCCCTCTGCAGTGAAAAATTGAACAAAGGGGGATGGGTTCAGAGCTTCTGCCTGGCCCCACAAGGAACTAAACACAGTTGATCCCTGCACCGGCAAAAAACTGAATTGCCTCGTCCTCATTCAGAATCTACCACTCACTACTGTGGAGCAGCCTGACGTCCAGGAACCTTCTGGAATATCCTGGCGAGCAGTGGAGTGCTAGAAAAACTCTTGGGGAGGGCGCTTATGGACCTGCCATGAGTCAACGGTGTGCCACAAAATTGTAGCAAGGTCCACTGCTCCATCCCACAAATTTACTCAATATAATAACGATGATCGGTCGTCATTAGGAACTGTTATTTTCAGCACACAGTTTCCCTTTCACGTTCTTTTCTTCTAATTTTATACTTCCATCGTGCAGCAATGGCCCTGCTTCAAGATAACCCATCGTGGCTCTGTGGGAGGAATTCCACTGAGGGCTGGGTACGTAAACAATAGGTGTCTAATAAAATCGAATGGTATCTCCCATGAACATAAACAGCATCGTCGCTCATGTTGACAATGACCATTAATAGGGCCCGCTGAGTCCAGATCGAATGGACTTCACGCTCTGCTACGAATACAGGTACTTCAATTGATAGCAATGATTCTTGGATAACAATAATTTATCTTACGTGATGAACATTTATGTCCCCATATCGATAGTATCTTTTACGGAGCTGTCGCAACCGCGGCCTTTTTAGTGTTCTTCTTGCGTATCCACCATCTCCGCACCACACGCCGACCGCACAATCTGGGGCAAGCAGCATGGATCTATTGGCTGACCCAGTCGTTTATGTTATTGGCCAGCATCTCCATGTTCGCTCAAGCGTTCACCGGCATTCTGTCCGCAGACCCTTCTTTAATGCAAATCACTGGTACCATCGCTATGGGTTCAGCATGGGTAAGTCTGGCGCCTAGGACGAAGGAAGGCAGGGGCACCAAAGGATCAATGGTTGACTATTTCTTTATCCCTGCTTTTACAATAGTTATGCGCATTGCTGGTAAACTACAGTGAGCACAAGTACACAATCCGATCATCCAACTCGCTGTTCATCTTCTACCTAATCTCAATTTTCGGAGCAGTCTTAGTCACACACACCCACTTCAGGCTGGACTCTTCAACGCAGATAGAGCTCTATCTCAGCATCGCATTCCTCATATTCCTCATCTTTGGGTTCGTGGTCGAGGCATGGCCGCGGGGATCAACAGGAGTACAACAGGCCAGCGATGCACAAGCGTTCGACAAAGCCAATTTGTTCTCCCAGTTGACCTTTCATTTCTTTCAGCCAATCATCTCCCTCGCGGCTAAAAAGCAGATGCTTCAGCCTTCAGATATTGCTAGCCAGCTGCCAGAATCGTACAGTGCAGAAGTGGGATACACTCGGTTGTCAGCACGCTGGAATGAGCGAATTCAAGGATATTATGAAAAATTGCGTGCAGCAGAACGCGGACCCAACGCGGAGGAAGAGATTAGAAAGATCAAGAAGCCTTCGCTACTTGCAACCATCCTAATAACCCATTGGAAGGCACTCGTCCCTGTGGTCATCATAAGGATTGCGATCCCGTTCACAGAATACTTGGCGCCTGCACTGTTGGGTCTTCTCCTGGATTACGTTCAAGGCCCTGACGAAAACATGGAGGAACCCTCAGCGCTCCCATTGTCGCGATCAAACGAGGAAAAACCGCTGCTGTATGGTGTTGCGGTTGTGATCGCTATCTTTGTTGTCCGATCGATCGTCCCCATGCTGTATTCGTACGTTATCCGGGACATGTATCTAATCAGCTGCGAGATCAAGTCAAGCGTGGTGGCCATGATCTACCGCAAGGCTCTCAAGCTTTCCCCAGACGCTAGACGCAAGTCTTCCACGGGATCTATCATCAATCATATGTCGGTAGATGCGGCTTTGTGGGAGGAAGGTGTCGATGAGCTGTCCATCTGGGCCAGTCTTCCCTTTGATTTTGGTATCTGCCTATTCATGTGTGAGTAGCCTGTTCTGTCAGAAGTTTAACTTTTAGCCCTACACATCTATCTACTCAACTGCTTACATTTTTCTTTGAACAGTGTACCGACTCCTAGGGTGGAGCTTCTTGGCCGGCTTGTTCACGATCCTGGCGCTTGTGCCCCTGCAGATTTGGCGCGCTGGTGCTATTGAGCGGCTGGAGGAAGACCGTCTCAAGGCGACAGACGAGCGAGTTCGCATGACATCCGAGGTTCTTTCCAGCTCAAAAGTCGTCAAACTGTATGGATGGGAGTCTACCTTCAGGCGCAGGATTTTGGGATCCAGGGCCAAGGAGTTGGATGTTTTGAGACGTATGGGTATTTTGGAAGCGATCATGAGCGTGGTCTTTGCATCGAGTTCTATCATTGTGGGCCTACTGACGTTCACTGTCTATGTGACAATCGGTAACGGCGTATTGACACCCAAGATTGTATTTGTCAGCTTGAGTCTAATGGATCTGCTACACGAACCAGTTAGTCGAATGGCTGAGGGGTAAGCTGTCTACGCTTCTTTCACTTATTGCCTCAAAAATGTGCTGGCGAAGCGGATGCTAATCAAAGTCGATATCCTTCAACATTTACGAAATAAGAACATCATCGACCATAGCTTTGATTGTCGGAAACAAGCGTATTCAACGATTCTTACTCAGAGAGGAGATTGACGATACACAAGTCATTCGTGAAGAATGCAGTAGTAACAGCACTGAGAATGTGGTTGAGATTCGGGATGCGACCCTATCCTGGACATCAGGAAAACAGCTTGAGGAAGACCCTGAAGAGGACGAGGAGAGCGAGCAGGACGAGCATGGTCAAGGCACCCCCGATCGTCAGCGCTTGTTATCGGAGCAATATGATGTAGCAAATAGGAATAATGGCCAACCCCCACGACCAGTCCTTCAAAAAATTAGCCTCGCCGTACGGGAAAAGACAATAACAGCCATTGTCGGCCGAGTCGGACAGGGCAAGTCCTCACTCTTGAGTGCGATTATTGGCGAGATGTACAAGCTGGAGGGCTCAATCAGCATCCGGGGCAGAATCGCATACGTGCCACAGCAGGCCTGGATCCTTAACGCAACACTAAGAGATAATATCCTGTTTGGGAATGATTTTGATCCTATCCAATACCAGCAAGTTCTCTATGCTTGCGGGTTGGAGCCCGATCTGGTGATTCTGCCTGCAGGCGATCTCACTGAAATTGGGGAGCGAGGCATCAATTTATCGGGTGGCCAGAAACAGCGCGTCTCATTAGCAAGAGCAGCCTATGGCGGCGCGGACGTATACCTCCTGGATGACCCCTTGAGCGCTGTGGATGCACATGTGGACCGACATTTGTGGGATAACTTGATCGGACCACACGGTATACTCAAGGACAAGACTAGGATCCTGGTCACCCATGGCATCCATCATCTGGAACACGTCGATCAGATTATCGTCATGAAGGACGGAGAGATCGCCGAGCTGGGCAAGTACGAGGACCTCATGTCCGCACAGCGATCGTTCTACCAGCTGATCAAGGAGTACTCCACAAAGCAAGCACGGAAGCGCAGGGGTAACCACGCGGTACCATCAGCTGAAGCAGCGGGAGAAAGCCATACTGATGCACAGCAGCCCTCCTCTATCAAGGCAATCATTGATGACATATCCAGTGAGAATTCTGTTGAGGACATATCAGGAGGAAGCATGGTCGGTTCGGACAGCGCAACGGTTGAGGACGACAACAGTCAAGACCTTAAGAGGATTACCAGCAAGGACCAGACCGGAAAGACGGATGACTTGGATCAGGAAGAGGACGAACTCATTGCGGAAGAGATCATGAAGAAGGGCGGCATCGAATGGAAGTTGATCAAGAGCTATGCCAGGGCGTGCACGGTCAGGCTTGCTGTGGTAATCATCTTGATCAACATTGTCACCCAAATCTGCACAGTCGGCGTCAGTTTATGGCTGAAGCATTGGATCTCCAAGACCAAAGAGGAGCTCCAGGCGTCTTTGGCCTTATTTTTGGGTGGATATGCTGCTATGACAGTGCTTTATGTCGTGGGCTATGTCGTTTTTGTACACCTTGCCCTGGCTGTGGCCCGTATTCGCGCATCAGAGCTGATCCACCGACGGCTCCTTACGACCATTATCAGATTGCCAATGAGGTACCTCCACGGCATTTCCTTATGGTTCAGAAGTGGTCATCATGTCTCAGCGATGTTACTGACGTGTCCTTTATTTTTATTTATTCGTACTGTCCAGTTTCTTCGATACGACGCCCATCGGTCGCATAGTAAATCGCTTCTCCTCGGACATGTTCAGTATCGACGAGCACCTCCCTTGGAAGTTCATGGATCTGATATATCTCGTTATCTCCGTGGTGGTGACCACCACAATCCTCGTCCTGACTACGCCGGTCTTTGCGTTCATGATCCCAGTTATCGTGGTCGTATATTATCTTATCCAACAATATTTCCTGTGGGCTGCAAGGTCTCTCAAACGCATCCGCTCTGTCTCGATCTCGCCTCTTTATCAGCATTTTGATGAGACTCTGAACGGAGTTTCGACAATCCGTGCCATGGGGGTGCAGCAGCAATTCATCGAGGAGAACGCCAAGCGGATAGATTACAACGCCAATGCCTTCACTGCGTATCAATCCTGTGATCGTTGGGTGGAGTTGCGTCTGCAAATCCTGGGGGCGGGCATAATTTTTGTGGTAGCGCTCTCGGGGGTCTTTACTCGCTACACGGTTGATCCCAGTCTACTCGGTCTGTCGCTGAGCTTCGCATTGGACGTGATAGACAGCATCATGTGGCTGTGTAGAGACTACTCATCCTGGCAATCGCATGTCATCGCCATCGAGCGTGTCCAGGAGTATACGGATAAATGCACTGAGGCGCCAGAGGAGACAGATACAGTCGTGTCAGAGCGCTGGCCAGATCAGGGTCGTATCGTATTCAAAGACTATTCGACGAGGTACCGCGAGGGTCTAAATCTGGTCATTAAGCACCTGACGTTTGAAGTCTTTCCGGGAGAGAAGATTGGAATCGTAGGTCGCACGGGTGCCGGAAAGTCGTCCCTGACATTTGCCTTGTTTAGGATCATCGAGGCAGCGAACAGTTACTGGGCACGAGCAAGCGACAATACTGGATATCATTCGCAAAGAACACAAGAAGGCGGTTTTGAGACGGATCCTCTTCTTGGCAGATCGGTAACAGGCCATCATCATCGTCCAGACGAGGAAATCGACGGCGGATCTATTGAAATTGACGGAATCAACATCTCGACCTTAGGCTTGACAGAGCTTCGGAAACACTTGGCCATCATCCCACAGGACCCGACTCTCTTTGCAGGCACGGTCCGCGATAACCTTGATCCCTTCCGGGAGGTGCCTGATTCAGACCTCTGGGAGGCGCTTGAGCGAGCTCATCTGAAGGACTACATCTGCAGCTTATCCGGCGGACTATCTGCGGAGGTTGCACAGAACGGCGAGAATTTTTCGGTCGGGCAGCGATCGCTGATCTGCCTTGCACGTGCGTTGCTCCGAAAATCAAAGATTCTGATTTTGGACGAAGCGACAGCAGCAGTGGATGTGGAGACAGACGAGCTGATCCAGAGGACAATCTGCCAGGAGTTCAAGGATCGGACAGTGCTGACGATCGCGCACAGGATTAAGACTGTGATGGATTCTAGCAGGATTTTGGTGATGGAGCAGGGCGAGGTAGCGGAATTTGATGCACCAGGGAACTTGCTGCAGAATCCCGAGTCGTTGTTCTTTAAGCTGGCACACCAGGCGGGGGAAGTTACGATGTAGCTGCCATTGAGGATGTGCAAGTCTTGTTATTATATATCTTATATAGAAGGGGATGCTGTCGATTTCATTGTGAACATGGCAATGGAGCTATGCGTATGAAGATCTTAGAGCTCAAGGTTTTTGTGTAAGGATTGTTCAAATCGCACGGACTTCATTGCATTCTATTATGACTCAGTCAATCGACCGTTCTAAATAATACTCCCCACTCTAGATCAGGACCCGCTGAAAAACTCAACGGCGGCCTTACACTGACACACTGACCAAGCGGCGTGAAATGTAGTACATGTACAAAATTACTACATTTAATCCGCAGCAAGAGGATTGATAAGGAGCCCCGGCAGCAACATTTGTTCTTTGTACGTGGACGTGGTCAGCTCCCATCCAGGAAGATAGATGTGACGAGAAGATAAAAAGGACGTAGTAGAAGGGTCTAGGTCTACAAGCGTAGCCCGTTGTCTTTTTTTTTTTTTTTTTTTTCTCGTTGACATGTCATACGGGCGTATGGAAGGACATGCGTTTCGGTATACAGCCATTTGCCATTTGCCATTTGCTTACCATTTCAGGCCACCATAGAGTCTATTGCTCATACAATCCTTGCCAAACACGCAAGGGCACATTGTATCCCATTGAAAGTCGACGGAATCATAAACAGCACCGCATTTATTTCAAACAACTCAGAAAATAAATCTCAAAAGGTTCTTGGCATCTCCTGCGTTTTGTACTGGCACAGCGTACTGTACTGAACCGGTGATGAGCCAGGGGAAGGGGGCTATTATTTTGTCCGAGACGCTGGCACCTGGTATGGCCCTGCGCGTGGACAGAATATGGTATACCTGCTCCTTGGATGTACCCCCTGTCCGACCTTCACACTTTTGACGGAAGGGAGGACGTGCCGAATAAACTACTTGGAAACGGACAATTTCAAAAACGACACTGATAGCTTAAAAACCGGTTATTTGTTGGGGTCCAGAAGACTTAAACCGGTTTCGCCTGGCAGAAGGAGAGTTACAGAGTTAATGGTTTTTGCTAATCTATGCATTGGCGAACGACAGATTGATCCCTCTGCAGCGTACGATCTCATCCCCGAGAGAAAGAGAGAGAGAGAGAGAGCGAAAGAGAGAGGGAGTGTAGGGATTCATGGATAACAGACTCATGTAGTCGGACTCAGGCATCAGAAAAGAGGTTTTCAGGTGGAAAAATGAATTTGACGCATGGCCCGTGAGGTGGTCTTATCGGGCGGCATGCGACACAAGACATGTGTACTGTAACTGGCAGGGGTGGCCTGTCAAGGAGCCAAGGACGCAGCGATGGTGCCTTTCCAGGCCACCCCTTTCTCTGCCTTTTCTCCTTGGCGAGTGACGTTTTTAGTCCCCAAAAGTCGAAAAGGCTACTCCATTGCTCCATTTCTCCCTCGGTCCATCATCCGTGGAGGTGGTTCGTTCGGGTCCTACAGGTTGGCAACTCAGCTCCAATGGAGCAAGGTCTTTCTTTAACCATCTTGACAATCCGTAAACTAAATCGATCGAATGGGTTGTGCAAACAGGTTAAGGACGACAATCGTGGCGCGTGAGCCCACTGTTCGATATAAATATCTATTCCTTATTCTCGTTTCCCCCTCCACCGCGCCTTCTCTCTCTCTTCCTCTTTCTCTCTTTCTCTCTACTCGACCTCATCTCAACCTGCGACTTTTGGATCGCCACTTCCCTCCCCACTCCACTTCGAAGACACACATCTGAGCGGTAAGTGAATGGTCGCGATAGTGGGCTGACTGCATGTACTCATCCAGGACATGTGTGCGGCGTGTCTCTAGTCCAACCGACACGGAGCTGAAAAATGAGTAATCTTGACCGCCCCTTCCCTCCTTCCTCCTCTCGCTGTCGGGCTGTATTTTTCTTTATTGTTATCCTATCCTATTTATGTATTATCGTATTTCCGATGGGATGGAATAGTCTGAGTGAGATGTGCTCACAAGAACTCTAAAACGCACCGTATCCAGTTCCCTGCCATTCGGAGGAGCTTTGGGGCTGGCTTTTTGGCTTTTTGTTTGTGTTCACTGAGATTGTCAGATTGTCAGGATGTCGAGCACACCGCGAGGCCATAAATACTTTTTGTATTCATTTCCGACTTTTCCTTCCCAAGACAACAGACATCCACCTGCTGTGACGCTCCCTGCTGCCAGTTGTATATTGTATATTGTATATTGTATATCCTTCCTTACCCACCAACCACTTCCAACCTTCACACCTGTCTTTTCCTCCTTTACCGAGACTACCTCTGCCCCTGCTACCGTCCCTGGCCCCTTACCCCTCCAATCTTTCACTGCTACACCCGTCTGTTCATAGCCTACTCGCTCTGCACACCTTGGTCTGACCACCTCTAACTCGTCCCGTTTCTCACTTTCACCCACACCCGCCTTTCCCTCCAACCCATCGTTTTCTCCTACCAACAGCATAGGCTCTTCTACAACCGTTGACAGAGAACCTTCCTCCTTTTGCTCCTCCCTCTCACATCCTCCTGCCCCCTCTTTCCCTCTTAACCCACGCTCCTTCCAGGGACCATGGCTGAGAGCAAGATGGAGCTCGAAGAGCTCGACCATAACAACAAGCTCAAGAACAACGCCACCTTAACCACTGCTGCTGCCGATGCTGTCATCGCCGAGGCCGTTACCACATCCAACCCTGTCCCAGCTGCGGCTGCCACCTACACAGATTCAGCTGTTGCCCATGCTACAACTTCGGAGAAAAGATCCGAGAGTGTGAGAACCCGGTCCACGACTAATGACTCGACCGAGGTCGCTTCGGATATGCATGTCGACGCCATCCAGGGTAAGGGCATCGGCAAGAAGGGCAAGAAGAGCAAGAAGAAGAAAGACGAAGCTGGCGAGGTTAGTACCGACAAGAAGGCCGTCAGCTACTTGGCCCTTTACCGCTTTGCTACCAAGAAGGAGTACATCTACATCACGTAAGTTCTCTGCCCTTGACATGCTCGCTAGTAGATGGGTCGAATATCTAATCCTTCTCTTCCTTTTTTTTCTCCTCATCGATATCAACGAACAGTATCGCCATCATCGGCTCGATTGCAACCGGTGTTGGCCAGCCCTTGGTCGCAGTGCTGATGGGGCGTATTATTACACACCTAACAGCTCCTGTGGCTGTCGATAAAATTATCGACGACGTCGTTCTGTTCGTCATCATCGGCGCCGCAGTCTTCCTCTGCGCCTACCTTCAAATGTGCTTCTGGACGCTCGCTGCCGAGAATCAGGTTAAACGAATTCGGGAAAAGTATTTACATGCGATCTTGAGACAGGATATTGGCTGGCACGACACCGGCAAGCAGGCCGAATCTCTCACCACGCGACTGAACTCTGACACTCAGTTAATTTACGATGGTATGGCGGACAAGGTTGGTTTGGCGCTCTCGAGCTTCACAACCTTCGTTGCCGGTTTCGTCATTGGCTTCACCAATGGATGGAGGCTGAGCTTGGTGCTCCTGGCCTGCGTACCCCTAATCGGCGCCTGTGCGGTCATGATGTCGAAAATCACTGTACAAATGACTTCCAAGGGTCAGGACTCGTATTCAAAGGCTGGATCGATCGCTGAACAGGCGTTTTCGTCAATCCGCACCATCGTTGCCTTTGGTGGGCAGAAGCGTGAGACCGCTGCATATGTCGAGCAGCTCGATCTTGCATATGCCAACGGAAAGAAGCGCTCCTATGTCACCGGTCTTGGTCTCGGCATGTTCATGTTCATTTTGTTCTCGACCTATGGCTTGGCTTTCTGGTTCGGTGCTCACGAAGTCTACAAAGGCAACATGGAGTCTGGACAGGTCCTCAGTGTCTTCATGGGCATGATCATTGGTGCTTTTGCTCTCGGAAACATTGGTCCCAATGTTTCGTCGTTTGCTAGCGCCCAGGGTGCTGCGTACAATATTTTCCAGACCATCGACCGTATCCCCGTCATCGACTCTTCGAGCCCCAACGGAGCCAAACCCGAGAACGTCCTGGGCCATATTGTCGTCCGCGATGTTGACTTTGTTTATCCCTCGCGTCCTGATGTCCCGATCTTGAAGAAGATGAGCATTGAGGTCAAGCCCGGTCAGACCGTCGCCTTGGTTGGTCACTCTGGAAGTGGAAAGTCGACAATTGTCGGCTTGGTTGAGCGATTCTATGACCCACTTTGTAGGTGCCACAGTCCTCGGATGTTTGAACGAGAAAAAAACTTGTATAACCGTGATGCATGTTGACTAACGCTACCATATTGTGTACATGCATAACTTGCTAGCTGGATCCATCACCCTGGACGGCATCGAGATCAAGGACTGGAATGTTACTTATCTGCGCGATACCATCGGAATTGTCTCTCAGGAACCGGTTCTTTTCAACGCCAGTATCAAACAGAACATCATCTACGGTATGCGCAAAGATCAGTCTGAGCCCACGGATAAGGAAATTGAGGCCGCCTGTCGTCTTTCGAACGCACACGACTTTATTATGAAGCTTCCCAACAAGTACGACACTCTGGTTGGCGAGAAGGGCGCGCTGTTGTCTGGAGGCCAGAAGCAACGTATTGCCATTGCCCGTGCTTTGATCAAGAACCCTCGCATTCTGCTCCTGGATGAGGCCACCTCTGCTTTGGATACCGAATCGGAACGCATTGTCCAGGCCGCTTTAGACAAGGCCTCTGCTGGACGCTCGACCATTGTGATTGCCCACCGTCTCTCGACCATCATGAACGCGGATGTCATCTATGTCATGGACAAGGGAATTGTTTTGGAGTCTGGATCTCATGAGTCCCTGTTGGCCCAAGGAGGTGTCTATTCTGAACTTGTCGCCAAGCAGCAACTCAAGACCGGTGGAACTGATGTCGACACCATCGAAGACGATGTTGTCCCCGATATCTCTACCTCCCCTCATATTGCTATTGCCGATGAGCCTGTTGTCCAGTATGAGTTGGATAACCATCGTAAGAGCGGTACTTTCTCCACCAAGCTTCGCCGCATGTCCTCCGTTCGCTCGGTTCCTCGATCTGAAAGGTCGCTGAAGAAGGCCGATGTCTCTGTCATCATTCCCGAGACCCCTGAGCAGATCGAAAAGCGCAAAAAGAAGGAGCATGCCGCTTTCATCAAGGCTCAGAAGGCGCCCATTATGCGTGTGCTCAAGATCATGCGTCCGGAATGGGGCCTCATCTTTGTTGGTGCTATTCTGAGTGGAGGAGCTGGAGCCATTTTCCCTATGTTTGCCAAATTCTTTGGTGAGATCCTAGACGTCTTGCAGTGGGACCCAGCCGAACATCCCACGTACCTTGAAGAGGTCAATCATGATTCGCTCATGTTTGTCGTTATTGGTATTGCCAACATGATTGCGACTGGAGGTTCGGTCATGATCTTTGAGTTGGCTGGTGAGAGGATGGCCCGCCGTATGAGAACCCTCAGTTTCCAGGTAAGAGAAATCGGTCAACAGTTTTTATTATGCATATTGGGATCACCATTGTTAACGCATCTTGTTTATTACTCGCATGTAGGCCATTATGTCTCAAGAGATGGGCTTCTTTGACCGTGAGGAGAACACCACCGGTGCTCTTGCGTCGCGTCTTGCCACCGATGCCTACCAGATGCACGAACTGGTCTCGCAGATCATGAAGCTGGCCTTCCAGGTGCTGGTCACTGTCGGCCTGTCTCTTGGATATGCCTTTTCTCGTAGTTGGCGATTGACCTTGGTCATCTTGGCTGTGATTCCTCTGCTCGCTGCCTCTCAGTTCTTCGCCATGCAGACTTTAACGGGCTTCAGCACCAAGACCAAGAAGGCGTATGAGCAATCTGGACGCGTCGCTAGTGAGGCCATTTCCAACGTCCGCACTGTCGTTGCTTTAGCCAAGGAAGAGACCTTTGAGAGCCGATACTACGACATCACGAAGGCACCACACAGCATCGCTTTGCGCCGTGCTTACTTTGGATCTGTGGGCTATGCGATGTCGCAGGGAGTGATGTTCTGGACCTACGCTGTTGGATTTTATGCTGGCTACCGCTTTGTTGAGGCTGAAATGATGCAGTGGTCAGATCTCTTCTCGACTATGTTCTTCATCGTCTTCATGGCTATGGGTCTCGGACAGATGGCCGCACAGCTGTAAGTGAAGAATGGACTGATATCCTTAACTGTGTCCGTAATTGCGAAGAATCGAATCTCATTGAAAATGTTCTCTTTTTTTTTATATTTTAGTCCGCGTTTCGTCAAGGGCAAGGAGTCCGCTATTAACGTGTTTGAGCTCTTGGACAAGCACACGACTATCGACGCCTACAAGGACGGCATCTCGCCTGACAGTGTTAACGGCTACCTTGGTCTGGAGGACGTTCACTTTCATTACCCAACCCGTCCTGATCAGCAAATCTTCAAGGGTGTCAACGTCTCTGTCAAGCCCGGTCAGACAGTTGCGCTGGTTGGTCCCTCCGGATGCGGCAAGTCGACTATCATTGCCTTGCTGGAGCGTTGGTACGATACCCTTGAGGGCAAGGCCACGATCGACACGTACGACGTCAAGGATCTGCAGCTCGACAACATCCGCAAGCACATGGCTCTTGTCGGTCAAGAACCTGTGTTGTTTGATATCTCGATCGGCGAAAATATCCGCTACGGTATTCCTGATGGCCAGACTGTGGATCAGGAGCAAGTTGTTGCTGCCGCAAGAGCAGCCAACATCCACGACTTTGTCGTGTCTTTGCCTCAGGGATACGATACCCGTGTTGGAGACAAGGGTTCGCAGCTGTCCGGCGGTCAGAAGCAGCGTATTGCGATTGCTCGTGCATTGATTCGTAATCCCAAGATCTTGCTGCTGGACGAGGCCACCTCTGCTTTGGATTCCGAATCCGAGAAGCTAGTTCAGGAAGCATTGGACAAGGCGCGAGCGGGCAGGACGACGGTTGTGATTGCACATCGCCTGAGGACTATCCAGGATGCGGACTTGATTCTCGTGGTGAAAGACGGAGCCATTGTCGAATCTGGTCGCCATTACGAGTTGATTGGCTTGGGTGGACTTTATGCTGAGCTCTGCACGAGACAGAACCTGGACGTCTCTCATTAAGCGCTCTATCTTTTCTACATATCCTCTCTTACTATATCTGCTTTCTAACATAATATATGTGATATACTCGATACATAAAGAAATAATGCCAACACTTGTGCTTCTGTGTACTCTTTCTCACGATGACTTCTTATGAGTGGAAGCCATCCCCTCAATCCCATGAAGACGAGGAGGGAATACAAACTGGTGGCGTTGAAGGCATGTGTAAGGACCAAAGGATGAGGAGGTCGCGATCTTGGCGGACCTCAGCCTCGGCGGTTGTTCTGGGTCGCTTACAAGGCATTTCTGCGAGCGAAGAATCATTTTTTATGGGAGGTAGTGTGTAGGCGAGTTGAATCCAATTGATCTGTTCCTCTCTCCTCACCAAAACGCCTTTCACCTCATCCTTATCCTTTTCCGGCCCTAAGCGCGCCCTTTTTATTTTCTTTCGCTACAACAGCAGCTTTGTCAAAAGCGATGGAGGGCTGTAGACTGATGGGCCGTGGGCGCACAGGAAAATTCTGTATAAAACACTTGTGGATCCACTGCTCATCCCACGTCAAAGCGATGTGGATACGTTTATGGCTCGATATTGGTGATTTGCAGCGCTTCCACGTTCTGTGAGGGTTCTGCCGCCTTGCGCTTGCTTTCAAAGCAAGTCAAATCCCTCATCAGCAAGGTGCCACACACGCCCACGATAGTTTTTCTTCTCTCACTTATGCCATCTGAAAGTATAATGGGGATAAACGAGAAAAAAAAAAAGGGTCGGTTCAGCTGTTGCAGAGTCATTTCTGCCCATAATAATGCTCGTCCTGTCAATCTGCATTTGAAAGTATTGTATTAACGTGAAGGCCTTACTTTTTACCTGGTGAGTAACATACAGGAGTATCTTGCGATCAATAGGTGTCCTTTTTGATCACAAAAAGACGGACTCGAAGTGTCTTAATCTACAGGTTAAATAGTGGCGGATGTCCGAAGCGAGAACGACGATCAATCGGGATGGAAGGGGTATAAGGTGTGGCCTCCTGTCGATTTATAATAAGTTCGGCGTTATTTTGTGGGCCATGGAGGCATATCGCGTCAGTTAAGGAGATGAACGAGTCTAATAAACGCATCCGAGTGTTCCGCGCACTGTCAATGAACGCTTACAGGCCATGGTTACGGGATGCTTCAGCTTACGTGTCCAACTACAATCAGTGACATATATTTTTGTTGGCGTACGGCTCAGCGCCGGGGAACAGCATCATTTTTACATGATCATGATCCTTCATAACCCATCAGTGTTACATGTAAATTTGAAGAGGCATGGATTGTGCTTCAGCCCGCGCTTTATGATGAATATGGAGGGGATACAGCAGAACTTGGAAATGACTCTTTTTTTCTTTTTTTTTTCAGGGGAATGAATGTACTGCACTGCACACACGCGTCTCGGCACATGGCAGAAACAGATTAAAAGTCTCTCCAGCAAGTTTTCTCATTACGCCCATGGGTCCGATTTGATTGAGCAGTTTTATTTTTACATCTGCACGTATCAGTCTGAGCATGGATGGCTGGGTTCGGTGTCTCGAGGAAGGTAGAACAACCGGGATCCCAATAATGGCCGCTGGAATGGGACCAAGGTCGAGAAAGGATTTTTCAATTAAGGTTCGCATGCACTTGACGTTGACCATTTCAACGCCACCAAAAATGAAGGAATAAAATGAGGCTAGGCCCTAATTCCAGCATGTTTTTTTTTTTATGGTTGATCTCCAAACAAATACCACACGACCCAAACTTTTGTAATCGGATGTTGGTAACTTCATGGCTTACGAAATTGTGCTCCTTCAATCCAGTGAGTTGAGCTGGAGCCGCTGCGGAGGCCAGTAGTAAGTATCACTAGTTACAGGGCGAGAATGGCATGGGTTTCTTAGTTTGCAACTGCGGAACATAACAGAGCCCTGTGGCAATGACCGTGGTTCATGAGCGAGAGTTAGTGAAAGGAAGACAATAGCACTAGAACATCATGAAAACGCACTTGGTGCAGCAGTTGCTATGCATGTGTGCCACAGATGGGATGTGCACGCCCTTTCTTTTTCGCATCGAAAATGGAAAGCAGGGCACGTGCCGACCGACTGCCAGGAGGGCGACGGACCAAAGAAAGTGGTGAACATTTTTCAGCGACATCGCATCGAGTGTCCATGCCTTTTCTTCAAACTCTTGTCTTCTCATCATCCTCGCCCCCCGAATTCTCTATTCCCACATCCGCCTACTCTTCCTTTATTAATACCTTGGCGAGCGCTCATTCCACGTCCTTGTCAATCCCACCCGTTCTTTCCTTCTTATACACACTCAGCCAGCCCGCCTTTTCCCTCTTGTCAAGCGACACCCTATTCGCGACCTTACACCAATGGAGGAAAACATGCAGAGGGCCCAATCCCCTGAGAAGCATGTCAATCTCAGCAGTAACGGTAATGGCCATTTCAAAGGACATGGCTGCAGTGATTTAGTTAGTCAGTCCACTCACTTTCGCCCTTGCCCTTCCTCAAATAGATCACATCACGTCTTGCGACCCAGCACAACCGCCACCATCAGATTCAATACCAGACCAGTCGGACTCTGCCCCAAAGAATATCCTGCCAGTGATCACATCGCATTCCCTCTCGCCAGCTCAGGGGAACCAAGGAACTCAAGGAAGCCAGGGACAACACCATCAATCGGGACACAGCCACTTGCATAACCACCACGCGCACAGCCTGTCACAATCCCACAGCAGCTCAACCACGACGCCGCTATTCCAGCTCGTCAACTTCCCCAGTCGTCTTGTCCTCGACAATGTCTATCTCAACGGCCTCCACTCGCTGCGGCGCTTCGGAATCAAAAACACCTCACAATGTGATATCGTCGTGAAGATGCGATCCAGTCTAGGCACCCAGATCTCCTTTCAGCTGACAAACGAGAACCTCCCGTTTGATCCAGGTAAAGCAGCACATTTGCTCCTGGATACTTTTTTTTTTTTTTTTGGCTCTCTTGTCTTTGGCATTTCCTCTGTGTTTGGTTGTTTGTCATGGTTGCTGTGGACACCAAAACATCTTTTTACAAGCATTGCCGCGTGTCCTCTGATTGGCCCTTTTCTGCAACTGGACTCTATATCATTGGATGCCATCCCCTATCATTGGCCTCCCATTCGCTCTTAACTAATCCCTCCGCTCTTTATGTTTTCCTTGCTCTCAAATAAAAAAATAAATGATTCATAGATGCCCATGTCGGGACCCTTCAGACAATCTCTACCAACACCGCAGCCGCAGCCGAAGCCGGATCCTTGACTGCAACAGGTCATCAGTTCAACCAGCTCTTCAACCACGTCAACCTGATCGATGAAGTAACCGTTCCTGCAGGAGAAACAGAATACGTCATCCTCGGATTCCTGCCAGATCCCAGGGGACGAAATAGGAGGGGCAAATGGGACTCTACTTCCACAGGCGTAGATATCACCAATGCGAACTCAGGGAACGGAAGTGCTCATGGGGATGGGGTCCAGATCTACGACGACAGTCGGCAGCGTGACGTTTCTGCAAACGGACTCGGGAACGGGAGCAGTATGGGCAATGAAGAGTTTGAAAGCAATGACCAGCAAACAGACAGCTTTGATTCGTTCGAGGTTAATGGGCTTGTCTTCTTTTTCGCCTACAAAACTACGACCGCTGCCGCCAAGTCCGACACTCTTATATTACCACCAGCTATTACCCAGTCGGATGCTGCTCTTTCCAGTTCACCACCCAACATACATGGCTTTACAGAAGATCTGACCTTGGCTACCACCGTCGCCACAGTCGCAAATATAGTACCAGCCTCCACAACTCACAAGGCGGATTACCAGCTCACAGTCAAATTCCGATCTACTGTCTGTCGGTCTGTACTATATTCCAACATTGGAGAAACTGGAATTAATTTTGAGGATTGTGTCGCCAACCAAGAGTTCGTCAAGGACTTTACTATATGGAACCGGAGTGAGATTCCACTCTATTGGCAGCTCAATGTGGTTGATGTCGGCAACACTGTACGGAAAGACTGGTTAAAGTTTGTCGACTATGAGGACTCCTTTGGAGGAAATCCTATGGAGGAGGGCGTCGACCGTGCTGACGACCAGGGACAAGCTCACCACTCAAAGACGATACGATCAAAGCCTATTCCAAGCTATGGTTATCGCAGGATCCGCGTTATTTTCCGTCCAGTAGAGAATGGCGACTATCTCTTCGACCTACTGCTGGAGAACCTCAACGATGCCAGCAATATTGAGGAGGCGAGCATTCATGCGACTGTTCGGGCTGTTTCCAGAGGAGAGGACACGCTGGTGATTTCAACAGGGAGCACGATGGACTTTGGAGATTGTTGCGCTGGGACGTGGACTCGACTGCCTATGACGTTCAGCAATAGCGGCCTGACGCCGACAGAAATCCATCTTAAAGTGGAGGGCGCCGAAGTCGTATTTGATATTCAGACGGAAGCAGGAACAGAGCTTGCCGAAGTTGCACAGGAATTAACGAGAGAAGGCAAATTTATGCCGGATCCAGATATATCATCGAGTTGGTACGAAAGTTCCCGTCGTTCAGAGTCTTCAGCAAATGCGGATCATTTAGACCACAGCCCTGCAGGAACCCACGGCAGAAGTCTTCTACGAGACTGGATAGACGATGGACCTCACTCACCCAGCGCTGCCGGATTCGCATCATCCTCTCCAAGCGTCGCAGATTCTGCAGGACTCAAGGGAGACCGTGGTGCACGTGAACAGGGGACAGCCATCGACTCTGGACCATCATCTCCTGTTACCTCCGAAGGCTTCTTTCCGGAACACATGCAACAGATCAACTCCACTGTCGAAAAGTATCTTGCTGGTCAGGAACTTGCACACCCTCCCAAGGAGGGCACGGAGGACGATTTGGAATCCGAGCCCGACAACATCAGCATGCAGGACTCTGCCAATCCCAGCATACTGATCAACCACAAAAAGCGATCCAGCCTTCGATCCATCTCATTTTCGGGCGCCCAGCGAGACAGGGAGCTAGCACAGGCACAAATGCATGGATCACAGTCACCAGTGCGTGGAAACCAATCTACAACACGCATAGAGGAGCTCTTTTTGAAGCCTGGAAAAGAGCGTACAGTCATTGTGTCATACCGCCCAGCGCGTGACTCATCGATCGAGAACTTTCAAGCTGGGAAGCTGCTACGAAAATCGTTCCGTATCATCGTGTCATATGCGCCATGGATGGGCACGTCGTCATCTATCCCATTTTCCGAGAACCCGCAAAAGGACCGCAAGATCATTCAGTGCAAGGCCAGAGCGTGTACCTCTTTTGTTTCTATCGAGCCAAAGACCTTGGATTTCGGTGACACAGATGTTGGAGCCCTCAAGTCTCTGCCCATCAAGCTGATGAATCAGTCTGAGATCCCCGCGGTCGTCCAGCTTGATTTCCAGAGCAAGGTTCTGAACTGCTCGCCATCTGGAGCTATCACTATACCACCAAAATCAAGCACCGAGCTAAAGCTGGATATCTACCCACGCAAGGTGAACCCGGACTATCGAAAGCAGCTAACGCTCTTCAACTTGACCAATCGCGCCAACGATCAGATCATCGAGGTCCGCTCAACAAACATTGACAAAAACAGAGTCACATTCCATTCCCTCTTCTACAGAGTATTGTATCCTGGCGGCTCCAACTTTTTGGATTTTGGCAACGTTGTTGTAGGCGGCATCAGCTTGCGAACAATCTACATTTCCAATTTTACAAGGAAATGGCTGACGCTTGAGGTCACTACCAGTTTGCCAGGCGAGTTATCCGTATATGAGCGCGCTCGAGAGCATCACGACTATCTGAACCTGAACCAAATCGGTGGTCTTTTGAATGGTGGCGATGAGTCGATTTCTACGACCCCAAGTGGCCCCTTTGCTAACGATTCATCCAGTGTTGCCAGCCGTGGAGGTGTGTTTTCGTGCATTACGGCCTTCCTTTGTTGCCTTTGATTGTCATATGTCAAACATATTAATCTCAGCGTCGTTTATTTGTGTGTGGACTATAGTTTCTCCGTCGTTTCTGGAAACAAGCACAAGTAAAGCATCGACCATGGACAGCTCAAAGTCAACCATTCTAAAAAGACGCCAGGATACTCGTGATCAACACTCAACAACTGGTTCAGAGTCTGGCACCCCGGCTGTGATCGGAGGCGCGTCATTAGCATCATCCCTGGCGCTTAGGGCCAAGGCTATTCTTTTTCATGGCGATACTTCACAGACATCGAGAAGCACGTCGGCTAATTTCCTGGATCTTGCAACGAGTAAGCCTAAGGAGGTCAAAAAGGTGACGAGACGCATTCCAACGATGAAGGAGCTCTTGGAACCAACATCAAGTCTTAAAACCACGACAGCTGAGCGACCCGGAAAGGGGGCGAATGGCTTCGGTCAGGAATCGAGTAAGTCACCGAGATCCAATGCAGGCGGAAATCAAGGCGGTGGAACGGTTGCTGTAGAAGGAGGAAATAAGCGTTTAGACACCTCAACAAGCAGTGCTCAGCGCCAACAAGATCAAAGGATATCTCAAAATCGTGGTACTACACAGGTTCCCACCAGTTCAAAACAGGACGGTCATTTATTACTGACCGAAACGTCTTTGGACAGTGTTCTAACGGCAATGGATTCCAATTCCGCTGTCGGAGGAAACATGCTGTTTTTCAAGCCAGCGGATGAAGAACGCTTTGTCAAGGAACGGATGAAATTAACGCGCGAGCTCCAGAATGCCATTACCACTGGAGAGCTGGCTCCTATCACAATTGTGAGCATCCCACCGGAGACTGAGCATCAACTCATTATCCTGTTTACGCCATCGTCAACCTTCCGTGACCACATCAAAGGCATCCCTAAGAAGCAGGATGGGCGGATGTTTTTGCGACTGATCGACTTCGATCGGGAGACAGTAGCTTGTAATCCTCAATTTCGACCCTTGTTGGACGGTGATCTCAGTCAGATTCCCCTGCGCGAGATCATGGTTCGATCTTCTCTTGTACGGAGCATCATGGATCTGGGCCAGAACAATATCAATTTTGGAACCATGGATAAGGGTGAGAAACGCACAAAGACGATCGTTATCCAGAACCGAAGCAAGGAGCCTTTGCTGTACCATATTCGCAAGTCGGGATCGATCGCCTCAGGAGATATTATTCTAGGTAACGGCAAGACCGGTGTGGTTCGTGGTTACAGTAAAAAGGAGGTCGACTTTATTTTTGAGCCCTCGCTATCCGGATTATATCACGAGAAGCTGGCAATCGAGAACGTTCAGGATCCAGACAGCAGCCGTATTTTGAGTGTCAAGGCCAACATTCGCAAGCCCAAGCACTTTTCAATTGATTCACAGGAAGTCGACTTTGGCAACTGCTGTGTGGGCAAGAAGACGGCTTCAAAGCGGATCACGGTGACGAATTCGACCAAGCAGACCAGGACGTTTGAAGTACGGGTGGATCCGCACGAGATGATGCCACTCTCGACCGAGTCTCATCATTATGGAGGTGAGATCGAATTCACGCTCGAAGACGATCCTGCTGGTCAAGCCGTGGTCACCAAGGAGATGGAGGATGAGATCGAGATCCTGGAGCAGAAGCTCAAGATTGCTAAAAGAAAGGGCCGCGAGGACAAGGTGCTGAAAGTGACAGCGCGCCTGAGCCTCCTTCGAAAAGGTGGTGTGGAGGACAAGGCTGACTCTCCGAAGCAACTAGGTACGTTTTTAAGCCATGAACCCTTTATATGTGTGATTGCATCGTCTGCCAGGGAAACAAGGAGTAAACTAACAGTCTTGTTATTGACAATAGATATGGACGATGTTACACCAACGCAGGAAAAGGTGCTTGAGTTCTCAAAAGCCGGCCAGATCGGTTCTCCGCTGGTTGAAACCCCAGTCAGGATGGCTGCAACCACGACACCGACCTCCGCCACTCCAATTGCCACTCCAACAACCAAAGAGGCTCCCAAGTTTAAGCGGACGGATCATTCGATTGTTTTTACACTGGAAGGTGGAAAGACTAAATCGGTATCCGCTTATTTTACGGCAGTGCGCGACCAAGCACCATTGCCTGTAGGAGCAGCGGAAAAGGATCGTTTGCGCCTGCAAGGAAAGATCTATGTGCATGAGCACAAGAACAGAGATATTTGCCGGGACGTCGCCTTTTATGCCACAGTAGAATGCAAGGCTTATTTGAACGGCGATGCGCCGGATCCCGGGGCTAGTCAGGATATCAAGACTACCAAGTTCAAGAAGGAACCTGAGGAGAAGGTGACTGAGAGGGGTGCAGACACTACAAATGGAAAGGACTCAGGGAAGAAGGCGGTTTCAAAGGCTACCGAGGTGAATCATTTGATTAAGGAACCGGAGCCACCCGCGGAATACCTCGTCCTATCGCCCAGGGACTTCGATGGAGGAAGGATTGAACATGGCCAAAAGGGCAGCTTCTACTTCACGTTGTCCAACACCAGCGAAAGCCCATTGCCTTTCAAGATCGATCTGGAAAAGAATAACCAAGATGTTTCGCGCTTCGTGTTCGAGGAAAAAGAGCTGGAGGGATCATTGAGACCCAAGGAGGTCCGGCGAATCACCTTTGGATTTTCTGCTCTAGAACTCGGCCGGCTCAAGGATCGACTGCGAGTAGTGAATATGGCCACTCTTACGTCCTACGAGTACACGTTTACCCTGTACTCACACCGACAGCAGTATCTGGCATTCCCATCCGTGGACGAATCCATGACTTTGGATCTCGGACACTGTTACGTTGACACCGGTCGGAAGTATTCCCAGGTGACACCACTTCTCGTTCAGAATGTCACGGATGACGACGTCTACATAACCTGCGCCTCCAACCTCTCGCAGCAAGTGGGCATCTACCTTGACGAGCAAGCGCAGAAGGGTCAAGTCATCAACACCCTCTTGAAGAAGCATAGCATGATTACTGTTTGGGTCGCCGTTCAGCCGAACCTGCTCGGAGGAATTGCCGGGGGCAACTCAAGCCGTCGAGCCGTTACAACTTCCAATGGCCTGGGTTCGACAAACAAGGACCGTGATAGCGAGTGCCGGACATTGGTCGGAGGAATCAAGTTCACAATTTCACTTCCTGAGGATGCACCCCTGCCCACAGCACCCGCACCAGAGGAAGCAGTGGAGACGCTGACTCAAGTCTCTTCGCAAACGGTCAAATTCACCTCGATTATCGGGCGCTCCATCCTCTCGGTGTCTGATACTCTATTGAATCTTGGATGGACCCCTGATGTCGGCAAGCCAGTCTACGGCTCATTCACACTTCAGAATATGTCCAGCTTGCTTCCGTTGGACTTTCATGTCGAATCACTATCGGGAAACATTATTTTGGATCGCACAGGAGGTATCCTCGATGGCTGGGACGTTGACAAGGTACTACCTTCCTCTCATGGGGCGCATGCGAGAACGGACGAGACGATGGGCGGCGACCACGACTCTACCGAGACTGCGCCTACGGATCGTTCACGTCTGCTGATCAGTTTCCGGATAACAGCATCGACGCCGGGGCTGCTGACTGACACCATCCTGGTAACGAACGAAAACAACTGCTCACAGAAAATCGAGATCAAAGTGCGCCTTTTTGCCGATCCAAAGCAGCTCATGACTAGCGGATATGGACATGGATACGCTTGTCCGATGACATTGGAAGATCTTACAGAAATTCAAGAAGTCAAGCCGGGCGTGCCACGCGAGGGTCTCAGTCTTCCGAGTTTGAGCTGGGAGGACATCTATGTCACCATCCACGAGGAGCAGGACGCGACAGGCGAAGGAACTCAATCATATGTTGCACTCGAGCCATCATACGGCGAGACAAAGGCTCAAATTGAGGACAGGTGGATCGAATTTTCCAATGATAGCAACGAGGCAATGGAGCTTGTGCCTCTCACAGACATTGTGGTCGATGCTGCCTGGGGGCCACTGGACTCTAAACCTGAAGAGATAGTTCCCTCTGGCTCGGAGGGCAAGTCGGTCGATGGCTTTCATTTTTGCGGTTCAGTGGTGCGAGTCGCTCCAGCTCAGAAGGTCCGACTGCTGGTATCCTGCCCCGCGCCTGAATTGCGCGCAGGAGATATCGAGAATCTTCAGAATGGCAAGAATGCGTCGTTGGTCGGTAACCTAATGGTCATGAATCGAGTGAAGAACCAGGTTGTCAAGGTCTTGGGATTGACTTCCACATTTGGCATTCCGTATGGCGCTATTTTCCCTGTCTCGACTGACCTCGGGAAGATCGGTCATTACAACTCCTGGGAGCCAGTGAAGGTTGAGTTCGAGCTCAAGAACTCGAGCGAGATTCCACTTCAATACGATATTATACTGGAAGACTACATGGAGCTGACGCAGCACACTGTCGACCCAACCAACACCGATGCCGTTCAAAGTATGAATGTCATGGGTGCAAAGAGAACTCTCCGCGGCCAAAGTGTGGAACATATCAAGATCATGCTTGATCCCAAGCGGATCGACAACTTTAAGATCGGACGAAGAACATTTCCTATCCGCGTCCTGAACCTCAACAACCCAAAGAACGAGATCGCGCATACTGTGGATGCTGTGCTGACAGAGTTTGAATTGGGCTTTGATCGACTTACAGACGGTAAACTGGTGCTCCCGCAACTGATGCATCCTCTGCCCTCGTCGGCCTTACCCTGTGATGCGTGGTTCTCGATCACAAACAAGTCGGCGGAAGACGTTCGTTTTGAAATTGGAGCAACCCTGTCTCCAGATGTCATCGACTATGTCCATCTCGATGTACTTTCTCGGTTCTCCAACTCTCCGCTCCATGGCACCATTTCGCTCAGTCCCCGTGGTTCGATCGAGGTGCGCATCCGCGCCTTCCCCAAGGAGGGCTCAAGACTACCAAGCGATACTTCGGCTCTTTGTACACCAGAGGGCCTGACATTCGGAACCCTGTGGGTTTCGACAAAATCGTCAGCATCCGAGGATGACTCGACATCGAGGCGATTTGCAGAGTCCATCCTGATACACGGCACGCTTGTAGAAGGATCAATGTTTTCTCTCTCGACTCAACGGATTGTATTTAGAAGTCTCCTGGAGACCTCAGATTACGAGGGCGAAAGTGATGACGAGAGCCTGTCAGTGCCTGATCTATCTACGCACACATCGAAGGACGCTTCTGATGACGGCTCGACTTCTGATATCCAACAGGGGTCGATCACCATTTCCAACTTGTCAATGACCTTCCCACTAGAGTTTCAGGTTACGCTGGAGGGGCCGATGGAGTACCCGGCTGCAGAGATCATCAAAGTGACGCCACTGGATGCCAATAACGCTGGGGTCATTGAGGCAGGGCAGCAACTCAAGTTGCTCGTGGAGCTGGTTGATCCGCATGTGATCATCTCGGAGGATATCAAGTTGTTTGTTCGCAACCTGAACTCGAATCTCGGGCAGCAGCAACGTGTTTTAATCAGCATTGTCTCAGATACCCGTGAGCATAGGAAGCCAAACAGGAAACACCTTATCGAAGACGAACGTATCGATCCGCATCATCATCAGAACAAGCTGAAGGAACAGTCTGCAGCCAGTGCAACCTGTGGCAACCAGTCGCAGTCCACAGCACCAGTGGACATGGATGCGAGTCTTCTCCAACCTGTCATTTCTCTCCGTGGCTGCAAACGCATCGACTCTGGTGGTGAATCGGCAGGTGGCCGCTATGAGCTGGACCTTGGACAACAAGATATGGGGTCGGCCAATGTTCTCCGCAAGTTGGTCTTGGAGAATGCGAACTATGATCGCATCTCGTATCGCATCAGAACCATCTCTATTCTCGATAAGAACTGGCTCAAGATCAGCCGTCTGGATGGCACCCTGGAACCACCCTCGGATGAACCACATTCTGGTGGATCGGCTTCTGTGCATACGATCTCGCTCAGCTTTTCGACAAACGTGCGCAATGTGTTTTCGACATATCTGCTTGTTGAGAATGTGGACAATCCTGCAGATACAAAGACGGTGCGAGTGACAATGGAGGTCGTTGCTCGTCAGAACTTGCGACGTGCAGCCAAGGGTAACGAGGCCAGCAACCGCGTCTTTGACGTGTTCGTGAACGGCATAGACTACAAAAACTCTTCTTCGATCGACATGAAGAATTTGTACTACGGTTCGGAGTACACTGCGAGGAGCATGGTTGTCTACAATCGCGAGAGCGTGCCTATGGAGTTTACAGTAAGTCTCACAGGTATACATATCGTTTACAAATAGAAGGTATTGTTTTATTCTGAATGCTGACCTTGGGTATTTTTCTCTTCCTTCTTTAGTTCAAATCGAACATTTCGCTCACAGACACCTCCGAGATATTATTCTCAACATCCCGTACCTCCGCCAAGCTGTTCAAAACCTTGACAGTCCCCTCGGAGAATCATGTCCGTGTCTACATCCGTTTCTTCCCCCGGCCATCTGCTGCCATCCAAGCCGCTTTGGATAGTGGCGAATGCCGAGATCCAGACGAGATGGAGCTGAAGACAGTGGAGATTTATATTAACTGTCGCCTTGTTAAGGACTATCAGCAGGTCGTTGTACTGACTGCAGAGTGCTACATGCCGGCCATTCGCGTGAGCTGGCAAGACTCTGTGTCCTTTGTTGGTAAGTCTTTGCTCAGCAATGTCCACTATTCAGTTGTGCCACGAACTAGTTCTAATCCAGCATGCTTCCATCCTTAAATTTCTACAGCTCGTGTCTTCCGAGAGCCCGAGGAATCGTCGGAGAACGCGGATGAATGGAAGATCTGGCTTAAAGAGGACCACAGGATCTTAGGCGTGTCAAATTTGCTGGATATTCCTCTCGAATACGAAATCGTAAACGACACGATGTACTTTCATCTCGAGTATCCGGAGCCAGACAAAATAATTGATGGACTGCAAAAGCACGAGATTCGCGTCGTCCCCAATATGAAGGCGCTCCTTCGCAATGCCGAAAACTTCAGGAGGGTATGTTATAGTCAGGGCAATGCCTTCCCTTATATTTTCTCTTCAACTGTTTTTTTTTTTTTGCTCATATGTGCACCTTATATTCGTTAATATAAATAGGAAAAGTACGTCCAGGAGAACGTTACGATCTATAACCGCAATCGACCGCTTGAGAACTACTGGATCCCGCTCCGGATCAGCTTTGGAAATGTATCTAGTTTCCAACTCTCGTCTGGATACAAGAGCTCATATGCTTTTGGAATGATCGAGCAACATGTGGTCAACTTTTTGAGCGATTTTAACAGCCACGCTGTTTTGGTCACTATGGGTGGCAGTGGCTGCTTCCCAGGTACCATTGGTAGTGGTCATAGTAATGGCAGTACCTCTGCCTCTGGGTTGGGCGCTGGTCTCGGTTCAGCGTTCAGTCTCTCGTCGGCCGGACTAGGGCCTGATCGGGGACCTAGTTCTCTGAACAGCAATGGGTCGGGAACCTCCCCTCCTTTGCTGATGAACGGTGGTTTGACTCTGTTGACCCCACCATCTTCTGGACCTGTTGCAGGAATGCTAGGGCTTGGTCGCACCACGTCTGCGCTGGCATCGTATCATGGACCATCGCATCATCCGCATTACCAGAGTACTGAGGCACAGGAAACACAGCGCAAGTTGATTGACCTTGAATTCCAGTACCGTTACGTGGTGGACCAGCTAGTGTATTATAGCACGATCAAGACTGGAGAAAACTTTTTCCAGCTGGCTAGCCTGCTATTCTGCACTCTGCTCAACAACAGAATCTTTCAAATCCTATCCCCGGCCTATCTTAAGGATCCGAGCAAGATTTGGTCTACCGGTGCGGCATCATCTGGTCCGACCTCAGGGCTTGGTCCATCCAACCCTAGCTCAGGCCTCGCATCAGCAACGTCTGCAGCAGTCGAATATGACGAAAATGGCGAGATGGTGCTGGTCCAGACAGGAGTAAACGGGTTTACGATGCAGAGCCATTACCGACAGCACGACGAAACGCGGGTGCGTGTGTGGCCTGAGTCCTTGAGGAAATGGGTAAGTCATCAACTCTCCTCCATTGCGCAATGGATATGATCATGGTCATATACAGCGTTTGATACTCACTTTGAATTTATATTTTTCATAAAAATAGGTTGAGGCATTGGACTACTTTGTATCATTCTTTCCGTACCATTCGCGACAGCTGGAGACGCTCAAGGCGTTGCACCACAGTCTGATTTTATCATAGTCGCGTTTTTTGTATTTCTAAATCGTTTATTTTGCTTCATCTTATTAAACGTAACGCGTAAAAAAGACGTAGCAATATAACCAAAATGCTTTTGGATATTGTGAAGAATGCTTGTTTTGTGCTTGAGAAGGATAAAAGAATTGCGGCGAACGTGGACATGGATGTGGATGTAGATGTAGATGTGAATACATTTAACATTCAAAGATGAAGTAAAAAGTCTTTGTTACTATTACACGACGCGAGCTGATAATGCTTTCTGCTAGGGCCAGGATAGTTCCCACACCGGCTGTGGCCAATCCAAGACTCTGGGGAACATATCGAAAAATGTCGGCGATGTACTCACAGCCAGTCCAGAGCGCACCCGTCTCTACATAACTTGTGCCTAGCAGATGCCTGAATCCGGCGGATTGGCCCAGGAACCAGGTCACAGCAAACTTAAACGCAAAGAATGACAGTGCTGATGTGGTACCTCCAGGAAGACGTATATGGCGGCGGCTGGTGAGTATGCCGACATGGATGAGATGACTCAGCATGGTGGGCAGGAGGAAGAATGTGGTGTAATAGGAGAAGAAGGGCGCGAGAAAGTCGGGCCAACTACAGAGAAATGCCAGCGATGACAAACGATGTGTTTTGTTCTAAAAGTAAAGGGAGAAAGCGGTTATTTATGTTGCTCCTGACGCCAAGTTACTGAAATGTACAAGACGTGAGGGCTTACATGATAATGGTGCCGATGCTATGAGACGGCATCGTAAGTGAACACGCTCAACTCGAATAGCAGTGTCAACCAGACCAGGCCGGTGCTTGTCGATGCCAGCTACATTAAAGTCCGCGTAAAAGAAAAGGCGGAATAAACAGCGTGTTTGTGTAACCCCCAGCGCTTGTCTCCGATCTCCCTGTGCAACACAAAGATCTCTATCCCACCTCCTGGAACAATCTCCATAACTTCCGTATGCATCCCACGATGCCAAACGGTCCAGTAGACGCAATGCTCCAATCAAATAGACGTGTTAATCGTGCAGAAAGTGGCATGTCAATATGATGCTCAAAATGCCGACGATGTTGCCGATACCTGTGCTTGTGGCGGTACCATCGATGCATACTGCCGTGCTTATTTTGCACATGATCCGGTTCATCTTTTTGCTTTGAGTCGGTCTCTTGAGCACCCTTTCTATTTCTGCTGCCGTTGCTAAGATAATGATGACGAGGGTCTGCTCCTCCAGCCAACATTCCCGGTGACTCTATCGATGACTTTGACGAATGTTCGCTCCTTGTGCTCAAAGGATCTCGGGCCTGCAAAGTACGTTCGAGTTCCTTGGCCAGATCTGAGATGTTATGAAGTTCATCCTCCATTTGCTCCATGAAGCTACAGACTTCATGTTCAGGCAGCAAACTGCTGTTGCTGTTGATGTGCGAGTGGCTGGTGATTTTCGTGGCCGTGGTCGTGGTGACGATTGTATTGTTGGAGGCATTCGACGGCGGATAGCTTGAGGGTGCGGGGACGGCACGGCTGTTGAGGGGTGTGTTGAGGATAGAGGAGCGGCTGGAGGGAGGGCTGGGTTCGCGGCTGTGAAGCAAGAGCACCAGCGAAGTGTCACCCGAGGATGTGATGTGGCGTCTACGTAGAGTGAGCATGCAAGGCATGAAGGGAAACACATAAAGGTTCCACATTCACACTTAACCATTTGCGCTGTATCAGTGTCCACGATAGTCTGAGGCAATCTTTTCCTTGTCCCTGTTCCCTTCCTCAACACTACTGTTCCTCTACATGGCACAAGTCCATGGGCAATCACTATAGTAGCTTTGACCGATGCACATTGCATCAGGCTTGTTGGATTGAGCGATATGCTCACACAGAATAGTCAGGCTGTATTGGCCAGGTAGGGGAGCGTCTGTATGTAACCACAGCACCTCTGGGAAAGTATCCTGTGGTGGACCAATTACCGTCTGTGCTCCTGAAGTTCTCGCGTTCCAACCAAATCACTACGCGGACCCCATATGGCCGCTCCCCCCTCCTCCCACCTCCTTTTTAAGTTGTGGCCACGTTGGAGCGTCCGTCCCATATGGCTGTCTGAAGCCAAGAATATGCATACTGTGCTACTCTTCCGCGGCCATTGGTGCCAGGTCGCCTAAGCCAATTACATGCATACCCCAGAGTTGTTAGCCCCTTCTCAAATTATATTTGAAATACTAAGGCATGAGTTCCAATTGGACTACGTAAAGCTCTGTAAGAGCTGCTTTGTGCAAAGAATCGACGTCTACCAAAGGCTATCCAGCCCCAATAGCATATAAGTAGGAAAGACTCAAGCACCGCCCAGAAGTTCCTGTAAGGTCACCATTCTGCTACCTCTATAACCTCCAAAGGTAGCAATGCAAGCAACATTTAATGACAGGATTCACTCCTCAGTATCTCGGAGTAAAGCAGAGCCATTCTCTTACAATACGCTGTCCTTGGATGCAAGTATCTGGTTTTCTTCTGGGAAAAGTACATCTTGTAAGAGAATGAAATGCTGCCTGTGCTTGGTGTCAAGAAAGCAATCTCTATTCAATGATACAGGTTTGAATTTAGTCAAGCGTCCATAGGGGCTGATCCTTTGAGCACTGCCCGCCAGTTCCAGTTCCGCCAGGGACGTATTGTATCAGTATCATCTCGCCTCTGCGGTGGGAACTTGGCATCGTCTCGTCGAGGATAGTCCCTCCAAGTCCCTGATATTGTTAGAGACAGTTGAGGTGCGTTCGAACCGTCCTCGACAGTGTCGTCAGATAAAGCTGGAGAAGGCGAAATGCGACGATTTAGCGCCAGGGGAAGCGCCACAGTGGGGCATAAGGTCGAGATCACGATTAGCACGAGAACAACGAACAGAAGGTTTGTGGATCTTGTGTCGCGCGCGACTGCGGCCCATGCGAACGCTGCCTGACATGGCTATTGCCAGCTTGTTGTAATTCAAGAGACGCAAGACAATGGCGTACTAGCAGTATGGTCGAGAGGAATAAAGAGGGAGTGGGTACGTGCTTTTGAATGCAAGGCAAACTGAGGTGTGATATGGGGAAAGTAGCTGGTGTATCGAGAACACAATTGAAAGGGAGGTAAAGAGGAAAGAAAAGGAATGAATTACCCTAAAGGGTCCTTTGCTCACTTTGCCTTCTTTCTCTGATATCTCATCCCTGTCTCCTCTGTTTTCAGACCTGGATCCTCGCCGCTACAATAATGCTCCATATGAATTCCACGGACCAGACTCGATACAAATGTCAAGGACCTTTTCTTCGAATCTGAGGACGTTTTTTCCTTTTTTAAAAGAGAATGTTGTTTATTACATGGCTGCTCTTGGTTTTTTGTTTTTTTGTTTCGCGAGTCCTTAGGGAACCAGAAGACGGGCATAGACAAAAAAATTAAACCTCCATGATCTCGCGGAGACGGCGGGTGGTGGAGCGGACGGTGGCAGCAGCGGTGGTCGACAAGGTCCAGGCACCGCCAGCCATCGTCTTCTTGCATCCACGGCACTTCCAGATACCGACAGACAGACGCTTGACGGCATCCTATGCGTTGTCGAGAGCATATTCAAGAGATAACAATGATGAGCTTCTCTGCTTCTTTTCTATTCCATAACTCCTATGATGATGACTCCTGTCCTGATCCATGTATAACATCCCATAGAGATCCCAGTAGTGCTGTATAAATCACTGCTGAGCATGCTGCACCTGTAAAGAATCGTAAGGAGATTGATACGGAACGCCAAGCAAGAAAAAAACGCAAAAAAATAGAAGCAGAAAACAAAACAAAAAAAAGCAAAAAAATATCGAGTGTAGTATTCAAGCTGTTGCTACTCCGCTGTTTCTCGCAAAGTGGCCTGCTCCAGAAATGGCTTTCAACCAAATCAAAGCACACTCCTGATAATAATAACACGCTGGATCCTGTTTCCATGCCATACTAGAGCACCAGTCCATGCGTCAATCTGCGTCAACGTGCGTCAATGTGTTCTATGGGGCAAGGCGACAGATCATAGACTTACACGACCGCAGAAAGTGCAAGTGTACTTGCTGTGCTGGGTGATTTCCATCTTCTTGACCTGCTTACGAAGCGAGGCACCATAACGGACACCGTATTTACCAACAACTCCGACCTTCTTAGTGCGCTTAGCCTACAAGTCATTAAACAGAGGAGCAGAAAGGTGTTAGGGATCTTCAAGTCTGAAAGGTGTCTGTTTGATGAGAGCTCTGAAGGGAAGGTGTTGGCTGGAAACGATCCTGGTTCGATCAGGTGATCCTGGAGTAGTCTTCGTGATGAATCATAGTGCCACTTTGAGATGCGTCAAGGCAGTCGTCGTGCTAGTCCTGGTACGCTTTTAACTGCGACTGAAGTGATGTGGTACGTCTGCCCTTGGTCAAGGGTTGAGGTCTCGTCTGTCATCTAAACGGCCAGACGTAACAGGCTTCAAGTCCTTCCCCTCGACGCTTTTTTAACGATGACGAAAGCGAGGGAAGAGCGGATTCCTGAAGCACTTTAATCGTGGGAGAAAAGAGCGTCCTTTTGAATCGGTTGTAACATGACGATCCTGTGCCTGGTGTTTCTCCAGAAGTAAGGGTCGATATGGTAGATTGGATTCTGTTTGCCACAATGTCTCCGCGAAACGTAGCTAGAAGTGCCGATGGCGTCAAGTGTCGCTCCCGAATGATGTGCTGACTGATGCATAGTCAGTATGCCCCCAACTGGGATGGATGTATCCATTTGATGCCGATGGATGCAATGGATGCTCTCCCTGCGGTGACTTGCCATCTTTGAATATGGAGTGGAAATGAAAGGAGGACTTCAAATGGAGCGCACTTCTGAGGCAAGTTGTACAGAGCAGATTTTTATTAAGGGCCTACGCACCCATATTCTTCGCCAAGAGTGCTATTGCTTCTTAGTCTTCGCCCTAAATTCTCGAATGTCTGTCTCGACCAGCTTTGCGAGCTCTGCCTTGAGTTTTGGTCTGTACCCGGCTGCGAGGAGCACTTCATACACCATAAGATACGGCGTCAACACAAGCGCCTGCATTAGATTGTCCTGCAGCTTTGGCGCGCGCTTCTCGTACACACCATGTCCAATGAGCTGTGCTATCCATGCAACAATTTGCACTAGAGTCACCACCTTGGTTGCGTCGGCCCTCGTGGTATTGAATTCTGTCGCAAGCTTAGCAAGTCCCATGAACAACGGCGCCGTTATCAAACCAGCGACCTTGTCGAGTTTGATGTAGTACAGGCAGTAAGCTGCCATAGTCAAAACCGCGGCATTGGGCAGGAAGGTCTGGAAGAGTCGTCCTTGGAGCGTTGAGGTCGTAGGCGTATGAAGCAAAGGTTCGGTCTTGGCGGCGAAAACGAGGGCACTTCAGACGATGAGGGGGATGCAGATGAGATAGATACCGATGTTGACGGCATTGTCGTGGTGGCTAGCGTACTGTAGCAAATGGTACTTGAGATCAAAGATGTGCGAAGAATGGTTCTTATCCTCGGGACGAGAGTGCTGTGGTGCCATGTCTTTTCGGTCGCGTGCTGCTGTGGCTAGTGGGAGCGTATGATGTGGAGTCGGCAAAGTAAAGAGAGAGCAGTGAGAGAGGAAGACGGATTAAAAGTCTATTGGTCGCGATCGGATCTTGTGGGGAAGAGTAAGGAGGAATGCTGGAGTCAGCTTCCTCGGCTGGACACATTCAGTTCGTGCGCAGATATGACCATGTCTGCGAAGTGTAACTGGCTCTACTCGCCATTCCGATTATTTTCAGACGCTGCTGTGCTACATGGACATCAGATGCAGTGGAACGCGCGGAAGATCGTGTCCATCCAGACTAGGGCGCAGCAGCATCTCACACCCTTCTAGCGCCTTCCAGGGGGATCCACTCGTGCGCATTTGGTCTGCCACTTACAAAATGCATTAAAAGGGCTCCTTATCTTTCTCTGCTCGCCATGCCGTTATTTCCTCTCCATCCAAGGCTCAAGGCCCGCATCCATGGCTGATATTCTACCGTCGGAACACCTCGCGAGCACAGCAGCGCAGTTGCCTAATGAGGTCCTTGAAAGAATTCTGTCCCTCCTCCCCTGGCGCTCCAAGTACGCATGCCTCACAGTCTGTCGAAACTGGCACTCGGCTGCCATCACTTCTCTGTACCGCTCCGTGCCTCTCCCAGGTCTGACCCCAAGTCTCTCCTTGGCCCCCTTCCGAAAGCATATGCATCTCATCAGAGAGGTCCAATGGACAACTCTAAGCAGGACACCTTCAAATTTCGACGAAATCAAACAGTTTCTGCTGCAACAAAACTCTGCAGGACAAGAATGCAGTGACCGTGTTGACGGCAGTGGACAACTGCGACTAAGGTCTTTGATCTACGGCGGAATATCAAGGGATGACAGCACATACGATTTCCTTTTGCAGCTTCTCGATCGCCACCCGACCTTGAAAGCATTGGAGATCAGCTGCCAATGCTGGAGCACAGCCAGGCTGTCGCTGGAGGACATCCTGGAGCGCCTTCCTCTTCTGACCGGATTTCGGGCGTATGATATCAGCTGTAAGCCTATCGAACGCTCACGCTGGACGAATCGAGATGACTCTGAACATAACGCCTCCAGCGCTGCTTCTTCAGGGAACTCTCTTGTCATCGCCAAAGCAAAACCACCATTTGCGCTTCAAAGACTCTGTTATTGTGATGCTGTCGCCGCAGCCGCAGAGCCCGATAACCTTTTTGGTGCACTTCCCGATCTTATGTCTCTCGACATTAAAACTTCAACACTCGCTAGAGGGTGGTCCAGTCAATTTGACTTCCACATTTCTGCTGAAAGCTCATTCTTGGATGAACAAAAGGCCATAATGCTTTCCGAGTCCCTGTTCAAGAATTGCTCCAAGCTGAGGACACTAAGCATCACAAGCGATTCTGACAATGTCGCTGCTATACTAGATTCTCAGGACTATATTACAGGCGCCTACCATAATCCTGATGGTCAAACCCCGCTTGTCAAGCTTCTACCACGGATCCTCACAGAGTTCCATAAACGTGCATACCGCATCTCGCGGGCATCACTCGATTGGATGGTGCGCTCCACGTGTCGTGGCCTTAAAATTCTGAGCCTGCCTAACGAAGCGACCAGTGAGATTACCAGCCAGGATCTACAGCGTATTTTGGAATTGTGTCCAAGTCTTACTACTTTTGTAGCCCGTGGGCGGAGTCTCAACATCGAGGATATGGCTCCATTGAGTGTGTTTGCAGGCACTGCGCGGCCCCTGGAGGGGGGCGCTGATCTCAGTTGCACGAGCCAGAGCAAAAACAACAGCGAGGGATGCCACGCACCACGGCCCTGGGCATGTTCTCGGACTCTGCGTCGGCTAGTTGTGGGGATGATCGCGCACACAGACGACCCTGACGAACACAAAAAGGCGTGGACGCAGCTGGGACAACTCACAGGAATAGATGCACTCGAGCTATACGGAACCAACCTGGTACCAAAACTGTCGTATGGCATTGGAGCCTTAGGAGACCTTGAGCGCATGTATGCCTTCACAATCGAACACTGGAAACAGCCACCATCGTCAAGCGACCATATGGAAGAGAGCAACGTGAAGGATGAGGATCAGGTCGAGGCAGAAACTTCAGTGATGATGGATGGGGAGACAACGGAGTGGATCGCAAGACACTGGACAAATCTGGGTTCATTGAGACTTGATACGGGAGAGACAAGTGAGTGCGGGGAAAGGATGAGAAAGTTCGTGGAAAGGGAACAAACAGCTGGGAGGATGAGGAAGGTTCAGCTCTCAACGACGCGTCTGCCATAATGGTGCCCTCAGCATCCATTCCAATATTCTGATACTGAAAAAAAAAAATGCGTTCAGCAATCAAATAAAGTTATCGTCGTTTATTATGCTCTTTTCTCATAGCTGTCCAGACCTAAAGTCGCTCATTGCCAACCCGATTGCGATCATTTCATCTCCATATGCGCGTTGCAAGTAGATCGAGAGCCGGTCGCGGTCCACATGTGGAAGGACATCGCTCAGTTTGTCCAAACTCTGCTCTGTCCAGTATTCGTTCACACTTGCAGGTGTCTGGTTCATGGACGCGGACGAAACAGAATATCTTTGATCCATCTGTGCCTGTTGTTGTTCCCGCAACTCTTTCTTGCGATCCTTCTTGCTCGATCGCTTCTGGTTTCTTGTAAAAGAACTGAGCGAAGAGAATGACGAGGTCGAGTACCGACTGCTCTTTTCTGTTTTTTCCTTCATGGGTTCCGGAGCACTACCGCTAGCACTGCGCTCAGGGGTCGGAGAATTGGATCCCATTAGCTGTTGAGGCTGAGGAGAATACCCCTTCAGAGTTGACGAAGAGGACATGATCAGCGAGGAACTCGAGGCCAACGATGAGGAGGATGGACCAGCATAGGTCAGTGGCCTGGTAAGGCCTCCTCCTGCAGACTGAGGGCTACTCCAGCCTCCATTGTTATTGTGGCCGCCACTGTGGTTGTGATTTGATTTGGGAGCTGGGAAGCCGCCAGCAGGGATCATGATAGGTGAGGTCAAAGGCGAATAGATCTCGTCCTTGCTTTTTGTTTCGTCCGCATAGGGGATAGGGGTTCCGTCTGCACTATACGCATGCGTAGGCTGATTTTCGGGTGTGCTGACTGCAGGAGATGATGTTATCGATGTCGCTGAGATTGTTACCGTTTCTTGTTGCGAGTTTGACTGAGTCTGAGATTGCTGCTGCTTGAGTTCATTGGGGTGAGAGGAATTCGCTTTAAGGTCCAGAGATTCGGCTACAGAATTAGACGAGACTGATCCAAGGGAGGATGACGATCGTGATCCGATAGAGAAGTTGGACACAGAGTTACTCCCAGAGCCACCCGAGAGTCCCAACCGCAGACTAGTGGCGGCCGCTACGTTGCTAGGGCGACGAACTTGATTTCCAGACGTGCTTCGCTGGGTCGGGCGGTCCATGAAGACTGAGGCGGTGGCCGAGAGAGGTAGTCCTGTGTAAATGGATGATGTGGATGAATGCTGTCCGATGCTTGCTCCGGCCACTCCGTACGAAATCGGTGAGCTCACGATTTCAGCTTGCTGCTGCTGGTAGGGCGATGGACTGTTGCTACTATGGCTGCCTTGCTGAGTTGGGCTGTCCCTTCCGGGCATGGACAGCCTGCTTCCTGCATGCATGTCTAATATGGTGCGATTTCTCGGTGAGTTGGGCAGTGGGCTGCCAGCGACAGCAATACTGTGTCTCTTGTTCTGCATCACATATGCCGACCCATTCATCGGAGAGCAGATGGGTCCACTGCGGAGCTGTTGTTGCGGTTGTTGCGGAGATGAAGCCGCCGTGAATCCCGACAACTCTGTGACCGAATGGCGATGGCTCACTGATCCATGCGATGGCGGATGGATGCCTGAAGAGACGCTAGAGCTTGAGTTGCCTCGCGCTCGTCCTGTAGCCAACTCAGTTGCAGACTTTGTGCTCTTTTGCTTGTAGAAAAACGAGCCCTGCCCGCTGATGTCAGGAGTCACCGGCTGATGATGACCAGCAGAAATACTGCCCGAGGCATCCAATGAAAGGCGCTTGCTTGCGCTCTTGAACCTGGCTCCGATGCCCTGGCCACCACTGATGCTTCCTGGGACAGGACTGTTAAAATGTGGAATCGTGGGTGTCATTCGACCAGTAACGGTATGGCTCTTGGTCTGGTTTTCAGACGAATGGTGTGCTGATCCCGCAGCGTACTTTCCAGCTACGGCCTTCACTATGGTCGGAGGATCTACGCGGAGAAAGAAGCAGACGTTGGGTTATCTTCATTCTTGGTGATATGTTACAGTTTCCTTTCAGGGTGCAGGGACCTTTACCTTTCATTAAGGCCGGGCGGTCCTGCAGCATGCACCTCAGTACCCAGACATCTAGACCTGTTCTTGCACGCGTGAATGCTTCGTACGCCTCAGCATAGATCTGGTTCTTCTCCTTCAGGCTCATCTTGCGGACTTTATAGGACTTTAGAGGAACAGGACGAATGCTTTGGTCAGGGAACACCAGTTTCTCTGGTTCGATATCCTTGAATTGGCCGCGCCCGAGAACTGCCTCATAAATGCCTTCTTCGGATTGGATCTGCTGGCTCTTGAGGCTGGCACGACGTGTAGCGTCCTGTAGATCCATCAGCGTTTCCGTGTCGTTGGCCTCGCCGCTGTTAGTATATGATGCAGCAGATGCTGGTCTGTCCACGGTTGATTCGAATGACGAAGTCGTGGAGGAAACGGAAAGTCCGCGCTGGGTCTGCTGCTTATCGGGTGATACTCTGAGAAGAGCCTCACGACCCGCTATAATCCTGGCCTCTCTGTTCGTGAAAGGAGTGGTTGGGGTCATCACAACTGCAGATGCTGGCGAGATGGCTCCGTTTAGATACTGGTTCTCGGCAGCAAGGGAGCCCTGTTGCTGGTCCGTGGAACTCCGCCGATTATTCATGGGCGATACAGTTGCTGAAGCGGAGCCCATCTCTTTTACTTCAATGGGCGGCGATAAGAGTGCCAAATTCCAAGTCGGCAAGTCCAATACGCTTCTCTCCATCTTTGGTTCCACCACTGCTGCAAGTCCCACTCCGGAGGTAATCAGACTAAGATGTTTCCTGTCCGAATGCTCATGATTCATGAATTTATTTTGTCCTTCGCTCGGCTCCCCAGCGTGCATTTCAGCCCCGTCTGTGTTCGGATCCACTATGTTGGCTGCCACGGACCTGTCCTTAGCGCCCATAACCAGGGCGTCATTTTCAGGCGTCAACAGGGATGATAGATCATTGGTCGAAAACGACAACTCGGGGAGCTTCAATGGTAAGGATGTGCTCAAAGGAGTATCCTCGGTTGTGTCCGCGTCTTCCGCCTCAACTTCAGCCTCAACTTCAACCCCAATCTGATCCTCCGTCTCGATCACTTCTTCATACTCGATTCTGAACGGTTTCCTTTGACCAAAACTCTCATAAAGGTCCGTGACATCCACCTTGATATCATCATCGTACAGCTGTCCCTCCTGAGACGTATCCTGCGGCATCATTGTTTGTTCAGCCGTCCTTTGAGTCTCCGTTTGGACAACTGTATTGTCTACTAGGAATGAGTCTTGATGTTCGTCCAGCAAATCTGTAGCCACAGCCGTGAGGGACCCCTGAGACAGCGATGGCTTTAGTTGGGTCGGCCGAGTATTGCTTAAAGAGTCATTCGAGCCCTGATCGTCCTGCTGGTCCGACTCAGGCGCAGTCGCAGCAAACTCAGGTGAGATTGGGGATGAGAGGGGTGAGGGAATGTACTGGGGTGCTCGGGGTCCCATGAAGTAACTACCATTCATGACCAACGACGTTGTTCCGAACGCAGACTGCTGCTGCTGCTGCTGCTGCTGCTGTAGTAGTAGTGGCGGAGACTGTTGAATAGGCCTTTCAAAAGCTGCGCCAAATATCGCAGAGGTCGCCGATGGTGGGTATAATTGTTGCTGCTGTTGTTGCTGTTGTTGCTGTTGTTGTTGCTGCTGTTGCTGCTGTTGTGGCGAAGGGAATGGATAATGGGACTGATCGAGTGACTGTCCGATGGTGGAGATAGAGGACGTCGATCCAGACTGGCTGTCTCCGGACTCTGAAGGTGTGAGAGATCCTACGGCAACAAGGTGTCGGGTATTTTGATGAGTACTGACTGTATGACCAACACAGAGCAATTGACCATTCGACACTTGATAGCCATTGCTCTCCATTCAATTGCGTCTTGTACAGCATATACCTTGACTGGTAGCGAGGGCTGACAGCGACTGATCGGACTCACCACCGCCAACACCCTGGAAGGTTGAGACTATGATCAATTGGTAAGAAGAAGTAGCAGATCCCCAGTCAGACGAGGGAGAGGGGCCAGGACAGACATCATTCCTCAGCTGCAAGAAGGCTCGCGCGCTTTCTCCAATTGCAAGCGACGCGGGCTCAAAGGGACAGTGAGCAGTGAAGAGGAGACTTACGTTCGCCCTCGATCTGATCGATCAGTTGCCGCAGGACGTTTGAATCTAGTATGCGCAAAAGCGAAAAGGGCGTAAGCAAGGCTGCTGCTGAGTGCACTGTGACAAGGGAGTGTTCACTCCCGGTTGAGGCGATGGGTGGTTCTGAGGGATACCTTCCGCAGAGGCCATCTTAGTGGTGGTTCCTGGTTCCTGAGACGGGCTGGGTGGGTCAAGAAAGAGTGGAATGAGAAGGATGGAGGGCGATGGGTAGCGGGAAGGAAGGATGAATAAGCAGGAGCAGCGAACAAGGAAGGGGAAGAGGCCTGTTTGCCGACAAGGCCTATGACATGACCACGGCCTCACGACCTGACTTGGCCCCTTTTTTCCATTATTGTTTTGTCATGCAGCAAGCAGCCTCGATTCCACCTTCCGCATTCCCAGCTCCCGCGGTTCTTCTCGTTCTGTTCCGTTCGTCCGTATCAGACCCATGCGCGCCACAGCCATTGGGCAGCATACAGATCTGCATCGAACACCAGCCAGCGCGAAGGACGGCCTCCAGAACGTCCTGGTTCACTTCTCTTGAAGATCTGTTGTGCGAGTCGCATTGTCCTCCAACGGACTTGGACCTGTATGCGTCATGTTTTTCACCCACTGCCCCGAAGGCTATTCCCAATTCTGCGACATGATTACAACACCACAGCCGGTACCTTTGTGGTGTTGAACCGTCGAACCATCCCAATGCGCACATGTGTCTTTTTGAAACGCATCTCCGGCGCTACCTGTGGCTATTTCATTACCTATAGGAAACAAGCGGAGAGGGACGTAGATCGAGTCCATCGTAGGCCGCATTGCAATATGGCGCAGGGACAGCCGCGAAGGTATATACACGTCTATACACATACACTCTCGTACATCCATTCATCAATCCGGTAGATATGCATGGGCTGTCCCTTCCTGCCGCGCCAGTTGGACATAATATAAAGTAACCAAGGTGCTTTAGACAGCAAATTGACCACAAGGCTCCGATGCTTGCATCTTGGATAGTCTATCAGGTGTATTTTCCCAGGACGATTGCTACTTTATCACAGTATGTACCTGTCATTACTCGCAAAGACAGAAATGCATTTGGTCAGGCTCTTGTCGTTGGCGCCGCAATAGAAATTACCAGGACCAATGCGTACTATATTGCTATCGATGTCGCCATGAAAGAAGGAAAGACGGCGCGGAAGCATTTGAGTGGATGAGCACAAGTCTACAGGGCAGCATGAGAGCGCGTTCGGCATGAGAGCAATTGCAATTGCGATTGGACAAGGGTAAAAACTGGTCCAGCAGGCTGCGCCAGAGAGCCAGGAGCCGAGAAGCGGTAAATACTAGTCGTGGGGACACAGGTTGATTGCAGAAAGGTGTACTGCAGTCTAGAGTCGAAAGCATTGGTAAACCGCGAAATATAATTTTGAATTGAAGTGAATACTCCTAATTTGGACGCATATATTTTTTGAATTGAATGATTACTATCCCGATTTGGACAGATTCCTGTTGTTCCCAATTTGGAACGACTGGTAGCTCTCTACAAGCAAACTGAGACGTAGTGCACTTAGGGAATGGGGCTACGGATGCACAACGCCAATGCTCATTTGAAAGCTCATGGCTAGATGATGAACCACACAAATCTTGCAACACAACCGAGAAAAAATGTCCAACAGCACTAGCATTCCCATTGAGACCATCGGACGCGTTAATTCATCGCTTCCCAATGCTTCCCCGAAACAAGACGCGTGGAATATTACCACATCCCCTACTCGCGTGAGTTGTCGTACCCCACCGAGGCCTGGAACCCCTACTGGGTCTCCAGGGTCTTCAGGGTCCCCAGGGCCTCTTGGCTACAACCGACGATCCCCTTACCGTTCCCCGAGTCATAGGATTCGTACTCCTCCTCCTCTCCGATATCACCCACCAGTAGGAAACTTGTTCTTTGTGCAGGAAACCCCTTCCAAGAGTCGCGGCATTTCGACCCAGTCCCCCAGCCTCCACCAGGTGCCTCCGACGTTAACCTTTGTCGAGGATGATCCCTCGGACACCTTCACCTCCAGAAATAGTTTCAGGACGCCAAAAAACTCTGCCAAGCCCAGGAACTGTCCCAAGCCCCCACAGAGGCGCAGAACTCCTACTCCTACTAGATCTCCGGGGTCTCCGGGGTCTCTTGGCTACAACCGACAATCCCCTTACCGTTCCCCGAGTCATAGGATTCGTACTCCTCCTCCTCCTCTCCGATATCACCCACCGGTAGGGAACTTGTTCTTTGTACAGGAAACCCCTCCCAAGAGTTGTGGCATTCCGATCCAACCCCCCAAATTCCATAAGGTGCCCCCGACGTTGGCCTTTGTCGCGGACGATTCCTCAAACCCCTTTGACTCCAGGAATGACTGTAGGGCACCAAAGGACTCTTCCAAACCTAAAAAGCCTGCTTCAGCATCGAAGCCAAGCGAGGATCTTGTCCTGAATAACCCCACCTTCAAGCGTGATAGATCCTGCGTTACGTTCAATGAATACTGCATCCTTGCAATGATTTTCAAGAGTCTCTCCCTCGCTCCAGAACCTGTCCAGCAATGGATCTCAAGCCTTGGCAATGGCTCAAGATCTAAAGAACTGTCATTGTTGACCGGCGTCAGTGAGTCGACATGCAGGAAGGCGATTGATTTTTCGATAACCGGCACCCTCAAAGGTGGCGAAGCCAAAAGATCTGGACCTCCCCAGCAAGCGCTGGAAATGGCCGTTTCTAATAGGATGATGGAAATTGTGGTCGAGACCAATAAGCTAGGACTACCCAACTCATCTAATCGCATTGCAAACCAGCTACGAGATGAGAAGGTACTCGATGTATCAGTCAGCACTATCCGACGCTATCTCCATAAACTGGGACTTCACTGGGGCAAAGGGATCCGCCAAAACATTTTGCACGATGCGCCGCAGAATGTTAAGTTCCGACGTCAGTACCTCGCGCGCCGCCTACAAAACCTGGGAACTCTATCGGATGGAAGGCTGGTGCCCAAACGGCCCGAGGTATTTTTGGATGAGTCGTACTGTCACCTTGATCATGCAGCAGCGAAGCGGTGGGTTTCAACAGGAGGTGCAGTTTCCGAGCCCGGTCGGAAGCCATTGTTGGTTATTTTCGCCGCCTTTGTGGTGTACTACGATGCGGACACGGACGAAGTTGTGGGCAAGTTCGTCAAGGACAGTGTGCATATCTGGCCCGCAAAATCAAAAAAAGGCCTATCCAATGGTCTGGAATCATTGCAAGACGCCGACTTATGGAAGGACGTCCCGGATGTAATTCGCTCATCTAATGTCATAGCAAAGGACGACGATTATCATGGAAACTTCAACTCGGAGACATTTAACGGCATCTTCAGGAAACTTTGCGAGAATCTGCGAGACATGGGACTCGGCCCTTGCCACATTCACCTTGATGGCGCCTCCTATCACTTCAGTAAGGTCAACAGGAAGCCCACTACCAGAAGCACTAAGGAGGACATATTGAATTGGTACGCTGTCACCAATAACCTGGTTCCACATGGGAAGAACGGACGCCCACCAACGAACCATGAAATGCTGGCGTATATCAAGAGTCTACCTGACCAGCCGTTTTCGATTTCAAAAATTGCGGAGGAAATTGGTGGCCATGAGATTTTCAAGACCCCTCCTTACCATTGCGAGCTCCAGCCCATCGAGAAGATATGGGCCGTTGTGAAGAACAAGGTCGCTGCCTATACGACAGGGAAGATGACACCGTTGAGACTCAAGAGAACCCTAACTCACTACTTTTGCGAGCTAAAGGACAGTACATTCATCTCAGTGTGGGCCAAGAGCGTCAAGATCGGCCAAGCATACTATGATGCCCTGGATAAACTGTCTCAAGGTGATATTTCGAGCGCTTCCGCTACCGCCACAGACCATGAGGAGGAGTCTCATTATCCGGATGAGGATGAACTCAGGTCTGTAAGTGAAGCGGACTGGGAGGAAGAGCTCCAAGAAGAATATGCTCGTTATGGCCGGCCATTAGTTATCATAGAGAAGCTGGATGACCATTTCGAATTCGAAGGGGAAGAGTACGAATATGAATAACCACAATTAAACGTGATTCTTTGTTTGAAATCAATGTATGGGGCCGAAAATTAATCGCATAGCCTCTTGTGAAATGCACGATCTTCATTCCTTCAACTCCATCCCTTATACAATCAGCAAGCAATGTCGACCCCTGCCGAGCGCACTTCTGGTTCCCTCATCTGCTCCGGACCCGCAAGCTCCTCATCCAGTTGTGAACTGTCACCTCCCGATTCTCGGATTCAAAGCGAAAATGCCTCTAAGGATATTCGTAGCCCCCTCACACGCGACGAGTACGTGGTCCTAGCCAACACCTTCAAAAAATTTTCCACGGCTCCGCCTGAGGTCCGAGACTGGATGACGAGAGATCGCTTGTCTGAGATTACTGGCGTGGATGTAGAGTTATGCGATATAGCCATAGAATTCTCGAGAACGGGCATCTTGAACATCCCTGAATAAACTGAAAATGGCACGGCAAAGCATACCACAAGACTCGGAGCATAGATGAGGAAGGACTATGGAGAGCAGACATTGTAATGTCTAGCAGGGCTACTACTTCAATGGAGCTCGTGGGTCACGTCTAGGCGGGACTTAAGAGGAATAAATACGATTGCGACGAACCTGCTTTTTATTATACATTTCCTTAATGAGGACGGCAGCAAGAGACACGTCGTATGCTTGGCTTTATGATCCATGACTCGCGACTTGTGCCTCAGATCTCGACTTGATTTGATACGCCCTTAGTAGTCCTTTTCAATTCCATCCGTGTCGTTTGGATGGTGGGTGGTTGGGCCTCCTTTAAAAGCATGACCATGCACTTACAGATCTACTGCTCAAAGAAACCTTATTTCATTAAATTGATTCTCAAGTATTCAGAAATATATCTTGCGGTTCGCCAGTGATTTGGACTCTATGCCCGGCAGTAGCCTTTATGAGAACAAAGTGCATTCAGGGCAGCGAATGAGATGCGCCCATTGGTTGAGAGCCATCAAACTAACTTTTAGACGCCATGTCCAACCGCCCAGGGACAGACCCCATTCGACGACTCAACAGACCCTATCCGCATAAAGGGTTCGACCAACTTCAGGTACATGCACATCCATGCACATGTACAACACATACTGTGCCAGGTACCGTCAACCACCCATCTACTCATGAGTATAAAGAGAGCCAGGTTTCTTTTTTTTTTCTTCCCTGGACACCTTTCCTTCCCCTCCTTTCATCACAAACCTTACCCTTGCTAACGCAAGAGTCTCCAGCCATCCGCCCCATTCCAACCCTTGTCAGGGACTATTATTAAAGAACCATCTCCTTCCCCAATCAGTCATGAAGCTCACCTCCATTCTCTCGCTCGCCGTCGCCCTATGCGTCGTCTCTTCCGATGCTGCCGCTGCCCCAAAACACCCCGCAAAGTCCGATCCCTGCAGCGATCTTGCTGCCCAGGCCCTTAATGCAACATCATCGCTCTCGTTCAAGGCCGTCAAGGGTTGCTACGAAGCCCAGGCATTCAACCGCGACGTTGCTGTCAAGACCCTCGCTTCCCTCGAGAGTCTGCTTGGGAACTTTTACGCCTTCACGGACATCGCCAGGTCCCACACTGGCTCCCCTTTCCAGTCTCCCCGAGTCGACCTTCTGGCTGGACTGAAGAAGATCGGTGCCAAGAAGTGGAAGACTGATTACGACTTCCAAATGGCCATTTACTACTTGCTAGCCTCCGTTAATGATGGTCATCTGGCCTACCTGAGTAAGCAACGTTCTATATTATCAAAGAATTAATTGCTCATGGATTTGTGCGTTTGGCTAATCACTCTATACACACATTTACATATAGGTAACTGCTACCGCACCGCCAGGTTTACTCAACCCATCGCGCTCTATGCACCTGTGGTGAACGGCAAGCAATCTGTGCGTATCTTCAGCGCCGATGCCACCCAGCCTGGTGTTCCTCAGTCGGCCATTGTCGACTGCGAGGTCAAGACCATCGATGGTGTCCCCGCCCTGAAGGCTGTCCAAGACTTTGTCGATCGCACCTCTGGTATCGCCAAGGACCCCAGCATTCGTTTGACCGACGCCCTGGCCAGTGTTTTCTGGTCTAAAGATTGGAGCGTTTCCGCTGGTGCCTTCTCGAAACGCTGGATCGTTCCTGAGAAGGAGACCATGGAATACACTCTTCAGTGCGGCTCATCCCACACGCAGAAGATCAAGGTGCCATGGACCATTAACCCAATCACAAGCACCATCAAGTTCAACTCGTTCAATGACACAAAGTCCTACTGGGCCTCCCAGTGCTTGGCTGCGCCCAAGAACAATGACCAGTCGAGTAACCGTCATCCTGATCATAAATCGAATCTGGCACCTGCTACGATTCTGTTCCAGGAACGTGGATCCACCAAGGTGCCAACGCCCCGCCGAGACGGTCTTACCGACTCCGGATTTATTACTAAGGCTACCCAGGTCTTTGCCTCCGCCACCAGTGCGTTTTACACCATCAACAAGTCCGATACTTGTGTCCTTGTGATCGCCACCGAATCAGTCCCTAACAAGGCTGAGTACACTCAGTTCCTCAAGGGAGTCGAGATCTTGCGCGACGCTGGATGCAAGAAGCTGGTATTTGATTTCACCAACAATGGAGGCGGCAGCATCGATTTTGCCTACTTTATCAATGCCCTCTTCTTCCCTGAAGCCAAGCCCTACTTCTCACAGGATCTCCGATCTGGTGCCTATGTCCAGGGTGTTGCTAAGCTGGCCATCAAGGAAGCTAGTGTTGGGAACTCTCTTTTTGATGCCCGTGGATGGGTTAGCTCAAAGACTGGTGAGCTCTTCACCGATGCCTCCATGTTTACCAAGGGCGTCAAGTACAACCGTGGTGGCAGGACTGATACCTACACTCAGCGAAATTTCTTTGGGACTGGTTGGACTCTTCTGCCCTTGCCCCAGAATCGCACTTTGTCCTGGAAGGCTGAAGACATGGCCATCATCACCAACGGTTTCTGGTAAGGAAAAAGTATCGGTTGCGGCGGCCCACCTTCCCCCCCCCCCCCCCCTCTTTTTCTTTTCTTCATGCGCTGACATATTCATCACTCCAATCGCGACCTTCATTCATATAGTGGATCTGCTTGCACCATGGTTGCGACCCGCTTCAACATTGTCCACAAGGTCAAGACCTATGTGATCGGCGGTATTCACAAGCGTCCCATGGGCTATTTCTCTTTCCCCGGTGGATTTGTCTACCAGAACGACGACATTGTTGAGGATATTCAAAGTCTAAATTACACCGCCAAAGGCGGCCCCTCTTACCTGCCCTCGAACTCGATTGCCAGCATTGCCATGGGCGAGCTCTACGCCTCGGACGCCAGCACCGTTCCCCTCGAGTACGACTACAAGTATTTCAGTGCCCAAGTCCATCTGGACCAGGACCCAGTCCTTGCGAGACATCCCGATAACGTCTGGGTCAAGATCGCTGGTGACTTCAAGCACTAAATGACTTAGATCGCCAGGTTGATACGAAATAAAATAGGTATCGCTTTGCTGCATGGAGCATAATAGTTTCTTTCTTGCTAAACGTAACAGAAATGATTTTCAGGTTTATATATTGCCTAGTTGCTCTCCTGGTGTCTCGTGTCTATGGACAGGAATAATAAACCACTTTTGTCTTTTGATGCAGGCTCATGAACCCGCGAAGTGAAGTTGTTGGTGAAAGCAATTGATCATCTAGACATCCTTATATCCGACAAAAAAAAACAAAAAAAAACAAAAAAAAAAGTCATACGACGCGATAGTTCATCAATTGAGCACTACTGCATACATGTTCTGGGATTTGGGCTGCCACTTTCACATCGTCAACTAAGCGATTGTTGCCTTGACCACAGAAAACATATTTGAGATGCTTGATAAAGTGGATTATTTACAATTCCTAATGGGATGTTAATGGGTGTCGCCTCGTGTTTATTCCATAACGGCAAGCGACTTGCGGAGTTCCAGCTCCCTCTCAAGGTACTGGCGCAACTTGGCGACAGCAACGCATCTGTGTGACATGGCATTCTTGACTGCCGAGTCCATCGAGGCGTAGGTACCATCTTGACCATCGGGCTTGAAAATGGGGTCCCACCCAAACTTCCTTGGTCCAACAGGATCCACAATTGAGCCCTGATATGCGTAGAGGCAAAAATGAAGAGTCAGTACGTGGAGTAATTTTGGGATATTTTGGGATATGGCCATGACTCATGCTGAGGTGGCCGTGGGAGACAAAAGCACTATCGCTGCGCCCATACCTTCACGCTTCCTTCAAACAGGATGGGTTCGGACCCAGGGCCAGTGGTATAGGCAATGGTACAGTATGCCATTGCAGATTTGTCAGTGTACCCCTCCAGCATCTTCACCAGTCCCTCGAGGCCAATGCTCTCCAAGAACCACTTACTAAGGTGAGAAAAAAGGAATAGGGTTAGCGCGAGTTGTTAGAGATATACAAGATGACGTTGTGTTGGTTGAGTTCAGGACATCGATTAGAAAAAAAAGCCTTACATGTAAGGGCCGGGAAGGCCTTTGAGGGCATCGAATCCAAGTCCGGTGTCTTCAACGTAAACAGGGCCCTTAGTCTAAAGATAAAAACAGCGCAAGGATTAATTACGGAGCTCATGAATCTTGTCAAAGCCTCTAATTATTGGCGCGATAAGGTATCGCTCTGTACAATTTCAGCGGCCTTCTTGCATTTTTCTCTGGCAATCTCGTAGCTGGATCCCTGAAGCTCAGGTACTGCCATTCAGAACACGGGATTAAAAGACGTTATTAAAACGGCGCAGAGAGAAGCATTTAGACCGAGGCGTTGTTTTTGGTCAATGCAGAAAGTACGCATGCTTACAGTCAACGCTGATCGACTCGAGCTGAAAGTGCTCTCCAAGCAGGGATTGCATCTCCTCGAGTTTGTTCTTGTTGCCTATCGAGATTTAGGGCATTACAATGAGCGTCGACTCCAAGGATTGATTGGGGCCGGTCCTTGCGGAGTGGTCTGGTCCATTTGCTCTGGGAACATACCTGTCACGAATACTGAGGGATATACCAGGAAGCAGTATAAAGGTCAAGTCCAGGAAAAGCTAGTTAGAGTATGAATGAGTAGCAGCTGCGTCTCATGCAAACAATTTTGGTAGAGGATAACATACAGAGCTTCTGCTTTTGTTCCATTGTGTGAACTGCGTGATGATTGAATGAGTCCAGGAACGGAGGAACAAAAGCTCAAGGTAAATTTTGGTGGCACAGAAAAGGAGAGACAACAGTGTAGCCACCCTTAATGAAATGGGTCGCTTGATTGACTGCTGAAAACGATAAACAACAACCTTATTTTTTTTTTTTTTTTATTGCAGACCTTCAAGTCCGCAACTCGCCCACTTCCTTTCCCTCGCTCCTTTGTCCTGTTCACTCCACCTCTCTTTCGCTTTCTCCTCTTCACCTCCCCGACTCTCTGTGTTCGAGTATCGCCTCTTTACTCCGTTACCTTCCTACACTTGGGAAGCTCTTTTTCCACCCAACTCTCTACTCTCTTTCTCTCTCTGAGAGGCGCTCGACTCTCGGTATCAACCACAAGTACTGTTCTTTAAAGGAGAAAAGCAACCGAAAGCACTCAACATGGAAGAAAAGCTGCAGGAAAAGTTTGCTCTTGTGCAGCAGATGAAGAGGGTAAACATATCGCAGTCCAAACCGGCTGTCTCTTTCCCACTGCACTCCGAATGGCTCTTGGCCGGGTTGTTCTTCAAGTGTTCACTTTCCTCGTATTAAGCTTACTGTCGTCCTTATGTGAATCAACAGGAAAAGGAGCTTAAAGAGGCAAAGGCAAGAGAATCTCAACCCTTTGATATCTTTGCGATCGCAGGAGTCACTCTACCAAGCAGCGGCTTGGGTGGACTCAACATGACCATTCGCCACGATGGACCCTCCGCTGCTGGAGCGACAATTGGCTCGGTTAAGCGACCACGCAAAGACAGGACCAGCTTGATGAACAACGAGATAGCAGGGTCCAGCCGACAAAGGCCGTCCTCCGCTGCAGACGGCACCGCTGGTGGTGATCGTCCAGAGGACACCGCGAGTAGCCAGAACACAAAGTTGAAGCGATCATCCATGGCGGCCAACCCAAACGATTCACAGGATTCTGCTCGTTCAAGAGGTACTGGACGCAACAACACATCCCTGGTAAGTGCCATGTGGATTTACCAATGTGAGTCCTTTGGACTCGACCGTACTCTATACAAACACTCTTGTTGCTCATATCACGCCCATTCTGCTGCATCGCTCCTTAGGACTCCTCGCATGGATCTGCCATTGTTCAACAATTTTCACAAGATTCGTCTCCTCTCGAGCCAGCTACCAGGAACAGTAACAGGAGTTCCAGTACGGCGACTCCACCCACACCCATCCCTTCGCCCAAAACGGACAGCAGTAGTCGGCGCAACTCGGGATCGGCCTCGCCTACCAAGATGCTGGCCAAAGACATGACCCACAACGTGCAAAGCCGGTCGGGAAGCGTTGATGAGAATGAAGAAATGGTGGTCGATATGTTTGGGCGTTCGGTCCCTCGGTCGAGACATCATTCCTCAGACGAAGGGTCGGACTCCGAAAGCGAGAGCGCGTAAGTCGCCATGCCTGCATCCTGCGCATTCCACGCATTTTATACTTTATTCTTTTTCTATAAGCGTACTGACATGGCTTTGCAATCTGTTATCCAGTCATCCTCGCCGAAGACGCAAGCGAAATGAGGAAGATGAGATGGATCGTTATCGACCTTCCTACCGTTCTGGCAGATATGGTTCCAGGTCCCGATCCCGTTCTCGATCCCGTTCCCGGTCACGCTCACCTGGCCGTCGCCAATACTATCGGAGGTCTCGATCGCGTTCTGTCAGTCCTTACTACCCACACTCCAGAGATGGCGGGGATCGGCGACGAAGGATCGGCGGGCGACGTGGCGGAGACAGAGACGGTCGTGATCGTCATTCTGGCGATGAAATGCCTGTGAATCCAGCAGCAGAGGCGGATCCTTACCTGGCGGCGAGTCGCTATTTGGATACTGCATTCTACCCCACCAAGATCTATGTCGGAAATCTACCCAGCTCGGTTTCCTTGACCAGCTTACGAACATTGTTTGCACCATTTGGCGACATCGAGGACATGAATCTGGTCGAGGGCAAGGATTTTGGATTCGTGACCTATGTCGAACCAACAGCAGCTCATCAGGCACTGATCAAAATGAACAGCGCCATGATCGATGGAACCTATATCCGTGTGAACAGGGCCAAGATCCCAGAGCGGAACCGCCGTGGGTTTGCTGGCGTGGCATGGATGGATGAGGACGGCGAACTTGCGAGACTGGAGGAGGAGCAGCATCAGCAGGCGGCAGCCATTGCTGGTGGACTGACTACTGGCTCTGGAAGTCAACACAGGGCACCAGGAGACGGTATGGCGACGCTCGACCAATCTCTCGAGGAGTCATCTCCTGTATCTGTTCGCCCAGTTCATCAACTCCCAGCCAGACCTCGCTCGCCCAAGCTGCCACCCAAACCGACTGGTGCTGCCCTGTACCCGCCCACAGGCACGGACCCTCGTGCCGCCATGGCTGCCAGTCGCGGAGCGGGACGACAGATTTTACGATACGACGACCTTTAGATTTACGATGCTGACCTGTACTATTTACTTAACGGGATCATCAGGAGATGAAGCATGTCCCATCTGTAACATTATCAACCACACACGAATGCATTTATGCTCATCGAGATCAAAAGGTTTGTATTTTACAAAATAAAAAAAAAGCTATTCATCTTTGAGCTTGTAATCTACTGCGTGTCTTTATTTTTTGGTTGTGCTCAAAAGGTAGGACTACGTGCCAATCGATAAGGGTCATCCAAGGGAGCAGCAGCAGCAGCTTACTTCTGCTGGATCGCAGGCTTGGCGTTGACGGCGACAAAATGGTAGACGACAATAAGGAACATGGCGGCACAGCAGAGTCCATTGACAAGAGCTGTCAACTGGTTATCGTCAATCATCTACTTGGAGCAAAAAATTGCGCGAAGAGCGTTAGCGCGGTCCTTCAGTCGCAATAAAGGCAAGGAAAGGCAACAGAGTCCACGTTGATCGTCTTGGACGTCCTGACGCTGTAACTCATTGGTCTGTATTCTTTCCGTACCTTTGGAGATTATGCTGATTCAGAAACGTGGAGTAGGATGGGACGGGATGGAGAAGGCGCGAAGCCAAAGACGTACCGTGCACAAAGCAGTGGTTTCTCTATTTGCATGGCCATTAGAAAGGCAATATCTCCCTAATTACACGTACCCTACATTTGCAAGCTTTTGCGTGGAGAACCAATGCAGCATAATGAACGGAAACACCATTTGGACCTTCGAAATGACCTAAACACACCTACTGCAACGACACTGTCTGCTTCAGCAGCCTGAGATTTGCTTCCAATTGAGCTGGCTGCTTACTCCAACGGATCTCAAGAGTCGCATGCTCTTCTGCCGCGACTGAATCTTGAACCTCGCAAAGCCCAACTAATCGAACATCAACCGAATTCCTCTCGGAAGTCTCGCTCAAATACCACATCCATGTCCGATACCTCGTCATCGAAAAACCCGCGGCCCCAATGGTCCTTATCCAACAGCACTAGGAAGATTTTTAAAGGATGAATCTTAAATCCTCAACTGCGCTGCCCGAGCATTATCGGCCTCCAAATCACGCCCGACGACCTACATGGACGCTGGCATCGCTTTTTACCTGTTAGTGGACGAAAGCGAGGAGTAGAAGAATGTCAGCGTAGGGTGGGCAGCAGTGCATTAATTGGACCGAGCACATCCCAAGGCGATTGAAAGGATGGTGATCCACATAGAGAATACACACGCGCCATTGCAGGAATAAAGACCGCTTACCTTCATACCGTCTACGTCCACATCCACATTTGCATTTCTATTGCCACCCAAAACTGGCGATATTTTCAGGTCTTACCGTGCGGCGAGCCAGACGACGGTGGAGGAGTATTTATTCGGTCTGTAAAGTCCAAACTGACGGCACCCGAAATTATGGCACACTGGGAATAGAGGCGTCTAAAAACTTTAAACAGGATAGAGTGGGATGCTATGCTGAGCTGAAAAAGCAGGTACAAACCGCTTGCAAAAGGGGCACACAGCACAAACCGTTTGGTGAACCAGCACAAGCCTGTTGTATGCAGCTCAGATCTCTGCTATGCACTGCCACCCAGGATGTCTCTCTTGGTCGACTCATCGCAGCTGCATGGCGCAGTCTTTCCCATCTAAAACCCAACTCCTTGCCATTGCTCGCTACTGATGCCCGGGCCTCTCAACCAATGAACCTGATCGAGTACTTCCGCAGATGGGGCCCGAGTGCCGGTCTGTCTGTATCGGACCCCTCCAGCACAACTGTCCAGTTGGCACAGCAGGAACAGCTGCAAAATCAAGTGCCACCGTACCCGTTACGTATCGACAACAGCAGTAATGCTCGCTCACTGCTGCTTCTACCCGAAATCCTCGACCCCGTATTCTCTCAACTTGACTGCAAATCCATCCTCGCTGTCCGACTAGTCTGCAAGCAGTGGGGATCGATTGCACGCCATTGTCTCACGATACGAGCGCTGTGGAAACATGACCTGTCCAACCTGGAAAAGAAGAGTCTCGGTGCAAGAATGACATTCTTTGATGCATTGGAGGTTGTGTGTGGAAGCGACGATTGGATCAAGAGGAACGGCGCCGCGGACGAGGACAGCGACGCTGGCGCCAGCAATAGCACCGGAGTCTCGACAGTGTCGACCAAGAAACACGAGTCACTGCAGGATTTGATCCCCGAGCCCATTCTTATTCTTATGGCCAAGGACAACGCCGCGGCAGCTGACGCTGACCGGATCCGGCTGCGCAAATTGACCCTGAGAATGGCGAGCGATCTCTGCAATTATCTCGACATTTGGTTGCCGCTGTTTCCTTTGACCACATCCTTAGAGCTCAATGACCTTGTCAAGACCGAGATCCGGCTTTATGACATCCTAAAGGCCCTTCCAAACCTGAGATCGCTTACTGTCGAGTACGCCATGAGTGGCGATGTTTCCTGGAATCCGCAACAGCAAGGTCTCCAGATCCCGTCCCAGGAGGAATACATCAACAGTGTCTCTACCTGCTACGCGAAAATTACCTATCCGCCCTTTACCCACAAATTCCTTGAAATCCTGATTCTGCGACATGTCAGGACAAGTCAAGCATATCTGGTGTCATTGCTGGAGGCGCTACCGAACCTTCGAGAGCTCGAGGTACGGCTCATGAAGCTCTGCGAGAATCCTGATACTGAGGAGTTGAATTTTAATCGACAGCGCCTGCACAAGACATTGGCCAGGTCGGCCCCACTTCTCGAATCCTTCCACTTTTCACTGTACCATCATGTGCTGACCTTGGAGGAGGCCATCGACCTGAGAGATCATTTTCCATCACTAAAGTCTTTCAGTGCTGTGGGCAAGGATATGGATGACCAAGGCAGGGGCAATCAAATGATTATACTGAATCACTATGCGAACTACCTGACTAAGCTCGAGATCTTGTGCTATACTGAGAGTCAATGCGACAAATTTGTCGAGGCTTTGCATCGGTTCTTGTGCAGTGCCCGGCATTTGAAACATTTGATCGCCCCCAAGGTGAGGATGTGGGCCGAGTATATGGACATGGAGCCAGTTCGCGACACGCCTGATGATTCCAGCTCGGAGGACGACAACAACCAGGTACCTGACCAAGGCTACTATCGACCCAGGAGCAAAAGGATCCCTAAATCGTTCAGGTGGAGGGTCCATATGAGAACGTGGGCATGTCGCGACCTCGAAACGCTGCATTTGGGATTTTGTGCGCGGTTCGGGTACAGCAACGAGGCTAAGTGTTCAAGAGTCGTGTTCGGGTACATCTCGAGGCATTGCCCCAATTTGAAGGATCTGTCGGTCGTACGGACTGCACTTAATCTGAAACTCGAAGGTGGACTTTGCCTCCTGACAAGGCTGAAGGACCTGGAGAGGCTGAAGATTGTGGGGTACACAAGGTATTTTAATCTCGAACCTGAGGATGTGAACTGGATCGGACACAAGCAGGGTACAACTTCGACAAGGATCGACAACATCACAACGACAAAGGAAACCATTCCAGGCACAGGATCGGTAGTGGTGGCAGATGCGAGGCTCAAGGACAAAGAGGGCCAGGCGATCGCATCTACTCCTTCAGTCGTTCCTATCTCACCTGATAATCTCGCTAAGGTTTTCGCCAAAGATGAGGAATGGTACACCAGCCAGCTATCGAAGGGACAACATAGGAAAAAACGGATCCAACGAATGAAGAAACATGAAAGGGCAACGCCGCGTTCTACCACTGAAACATCCGCACCGTCAGTGCCTTCAAACATGAAACTTCCGTTCAAGCAGCCTGCCGAGTCAGCATATCGATGCTGGCCTTGTCTGAGATCTTTTGTCCTGGCAGTCGATCCTGAACATCTCTTCAAGAACAAGAGGGACTTGGATCTCATTCCGAAACTTCGACCGGATATCAACTTTTGTGTGAGGCAGTATAATTGAATATACGCAATGAAATATATCAGCAGCGTTCGCTTGTGTATTGTGGATCACATTTATTATTATACATTTTGGTTTACTGTACGCTTGTGCATCTTTGCGCTGGCTCCAAGTCAGGTCGCAGACGCAGAATCAGCTCCTGATTCTGGGAGACTGGAGCTGACAAGGAGACCATTTGGTAGATCTCAAACTTCTCCAGCCTCGGCCAGCAACACGCCTTATTCAGGTCCCTGGACGTATTGGCCGACATCTGCACAAGTTTTTCCAATTGTTTCGCCACATGCTTGACGTTGTCCAGAGTCGTCATCTCAGCCGGATCCAGTTCTTCGAGCTCGTCATCGTCCGTCTTCCTCTCGAGGCGCTCAATAGTGGCACGTAGTGCTGGTGTTGACATGCACATCGAGCTGTGCGTCGACCCTATGGCTGGAGTTACATCTGGTATCGTCGAGGAATTTGTACTCACGGCAACCGAGTTGTGTGGCACAGTCCGTATGCGTTTCAAATCCTCGATCAACGCCCTGACTCTTGATTCCCTTGCACTCTTGCTGATGCCCGCAACGCCCTTGCTCATCCTCTGAACCGCCTGCAGTGCACCCGCAAATCCTCCAAGTAAACTGTATCGTGCGTTGTTCTGCTGCATACTACAGCCGTGGTTACTGCTATGCCCGCTGTTGATACTGCTACTAACGCTGTTCCTGCTTGGTTTATCGTCAATCATGCCAAGGCATATCCACTCAAGATCATGCTCCCGCACAAATGGCTGCAGACTTGTACAAATCCTGAGTCGCCGCAGCCGCCGACATCGCGTGAGCAACGGCAGACCCGCAAAGATATCCGCATGCAGGTACATGCGCTCGATTGCAATGTCCTCCAGCTGTGGACAGAGCCTGGAAATGTATCCGAATATCCTGCGGGAGGCGCCCGTTTCTTCAGAGGCGGGGAGCGGCGAGATGGACTCGATTGTCACGTACAGAGTACGTAGATTCTTGCACGCCCAGATGGGTTTGTCATAGATGTTTGACGGAGACCCATTCAATGCCGGGAGCTTGAGAATGAATTTTTCCAGAGGGAGTCGAACCCGGTACGCCTTGAGGTGCAACAATAATGGCGCCTGGCATAGATAGTCATGAAGCAAGCCCCCTAGTTCGACGCTATAGAAGTATCCGAAGCACTCGATCTCGAGGTTCGTCAATCGATCCGCAATGATCTCCAGAGTCCCGGTCTGCAAATCTCGGGCAGGCAAGGACATGGACTGTATCTTGGAGAACATGCCGCGAACTTGGGTGGCATCCGGGATAGTCATAGGACAGCCCGAGATTGAGAAATGGAGGTGAATCAATTCTGGGCAGGTCTTTGCTAAAAAGACGACTAAGCTCTGTCGGTCGATCGAAGCCTCTGCGAACTCAAAGTTAGCGATCAGATGCATGAGTTCAAGGGAACGCAGGTTGGGCATGGCACTTAGGACGATTTCAAGCATGGTTTGGTCGACGATCAGGCGTCGAAGCGCTAGTGTGCGCAGTTTGAGGATATGGATGGGTCGTTGTTGCTTCCAGAGCTGCTGTTCCCGGGTTCTCCAAGTGATGGTGGTGTTGCGCTTGTAAGTAAAAGGTTTGGATTCGGATGACTCGATGACGAGTTCCTCGAGCCCTGGGAGGCTCTCGAAGATGCAACTCAAGTCGACGACTCCAGGAGTGAGGTGCTCGAGACGGAGGGAGACGACGCCCCAGAAGCCGTGACACTGGCGTATCAATGGATCCCACCTCTGATTAAAGCAGTTCCATCCAGCAAAGACGATAGTCCGCCAAGGTAGTTCGTCTGTGATGCTGCTGTCATTGTGGACGAAGGAATTGCCTCTCCTGTTCTCAACAAGGATGGTGATGGCCTCCTGGAAGCGTTCCCAGGCCTGGTCGACATCCTGCTCAATGCCCGAGTGAAAGGCGGGGAAGGTTCTCTTGTCCTGAGCGTAGCAGTATAGGGTCTTGATTTGGGCGGAACCGAGTCTGGAGAGTCTGGCCAGCTGGTCGTCGAGCGCGAGGGTGTCCTTCCAGAGGACGGAGCCCTGGATCAGGGAGACACTCATGGCACGCCAGAGACGGTTGACCCCGCTGGAGCGGTGCTGAAGGTCATGCTGGGAGAGGTAAGAGAATATCTCTTGGAGGATTTCAGGGATTTGTGTTGCCAACGAAGGTTTCGGCGGGCGCACACTCCCTGGAGAGGCGGAGGAGTGCGGTTTAGTGGCGAAGGCAAACTCGCGCCAGTGCCTGAGAAATTCCATTGCGAGTGGGTTTAATGGTAGTTTATCGTGCCTGTTGTGGGTAGGAAGAAGAGGAGGAATGGAATGAAGAAAAAAAAGAAGAAAATGACGAATCAGTCATCAGTGAATGGGGGAGGAGGAGGAGGAGGAGGAGGAGGAGGAGGAGGAAAAGGAGGGGGGGTGTTGAAGTGTTACAGCAAGAGTGAGGATGGGTGCATGGTATGGTCTACTCTGCGGGAATGGGCCCCGTGGTTGATCATCCCCCTCATTCATCACCCTCAACCAACACCCCCAAGCAACCAACCAAAGAAAACCACTGGTGTCATCTGCAGCAGCAGTAGCCACGGATCATCCTTAATTGTTTGCTTGCGTGCTTGCTTAGATGCCCGCGACCTGCGCTCATTCAGTACCGCTCAACGACCTGCTTTTGGCTACTTTTTAGTGTTTAGCTCGATAAATATCCGGCGAGGAGGGCTGCAAGCATGTCGTTCATTTTATCGGTATATATATTCCCCTGCATGTACAAAAGATAGATGGCCATGCTGCACCAAGACTCATGGAGACTAAGGTTGCATGCATGGTTAGATGGCGGGGAGGTAAAAAAAAAAGAAAAAAGAAGAGCAAAGGAGACCGAGGGAGCAACGAGCAACGAGCAACGAGCAATGAGCACCAAGCAGTGTTAGACTCTGTATATCTAAATGTAACCCTACTAGCATGGTTTGCCGCATGGGTTGTTTGTGCATCGTTGCACCGAGGGGGGCGCCTCCTTCATGGTGAGCCTCGACCATTTTTAGTCCGCAGCTAATTGCCGCCATTGTTGTTGTTGTTGTTATTGCTGTTAATTGCGGTTGTTATTGCCGGTGTTGCCGCGCTCACTTCCTGCTCCTTCTATGTTGGCCTGGGCTGCCTCAGCTGCTAAGGTGTCTCCTGACGCAGCGACATCCGCCACAGGTTCAGCCTGTGCCGCACCCACTCCTACGGACCTCTGGACGTCGTCTCCATTTACATTCTGGGACTCCTCGTCTGTCGCAACAGCCTGGTACCCCTCCAGATGTCGGATCTCCTTCACTAACGCAAAAATCGATAGCGCCGTGAGTGCACACAGGACGGTTGTTCCAAGCAAGCCAAGCACGACGATGCCGATCCAGAACCATGCTGCACTCAGCCCATCAGGGTCTCCAGGCAACAGCACTCGGTCGATTACATAAACAACGCCTCCTGCCTGAGCTGCCGAAACGGTTGACCCTATCGAATGCACTCCACCATTCTCGACTGCCTGTTGCTGTTGCATGCCAGAGCCCGGTCGCTTGTTTCTGTAAAGGGATTCATCAGGCCATGCTGGATGGGCACGACCGCCACCAATGATTCGGGCCTCTTTCGTTGACCGCGCTCCCTTCACTCGGACACCAAAGGTCTTGCCGTCGTGGTGAATGTCCCTATAGCTCAGTCGTGCCTCGTCGTTCAGCATGCTAGCCTCGTCATCGTTAATGTCCTCCTCCAGCTTCAGGACTTTGCCCGGGATCACATGGAGACGAACCAGGCGTGCCACAAACTCGCGATCGCTCAGAGCGGCTTCAAGGCCAGCTTTCTTAAAAGCTTCATCTGTGGGCGCAAAAATGGTAAAGTCTTGCTCCCAGTTCGTCAAAATCCGAGTGATATTCGAGGTCTGGAATGCCTGCAAGAAGTCGGCCGTCCCAGCTCCCTGAAGCACGTTGTAAAGGGTGATGGAGAGCGTGGGGGGCAATGCCACAGATGACACAGTGTGGATGACTCCAGAATCGACCAAAAGATCTACAAGAGTTTTTTAAAAAAAGACAATTAATTTGGTGTATCTCCGCTGCCATCTCGGGGATTAATGTAGACCATTCAGTGTGGTATAGCTTTGTATAACTGTACATATTCGTACCTTTTCCGGTGATTTTACCACCAACCTGTTCCGACCGCTCAAGTCGACCTTCACCGACATAGATGGTTCCTCCATTCTTCTCAATAACTAGATTGCTTCCCTCTGACGTCGGCAAGAGTGTCCTCCCTGGTTTGATGTCGGGCGTATAGTGAGTGTTTTCCACAATGGTATAGCGTGCCACAGCCTCGAGAGCTGCAACCGAAGAATTCCCTTCAAGCATCAGGTAGTTCTTCACAACACCCAGTTCGTCCCAGGCCGGACTTGCTGGCGCAAAGACCGTGATACCACGCGCATCTGACAGTCGTCGATCGAGACCCGTGGCAGTCAAGACATGCGTGAACTCAGAAAGGGAGGCCTCCTTTTTTATCTGCTTGATCAAAGGAAGAGGCAGACCCAAAGGACGACTCACCAGGTAAATGATTGACCTACCAATTTGAACTGTAGACCGTCGAATAAGATTGCAGGCTTGGTTGGCATGGATGCAAAGAACAGCGAAGCATGAAAGACAGATTGCCATCCTTACCTGGCTCTCCTTTGAGTTCAACCCCATTGATCGACACGACAGTATGCTTGTTATCTTGCCTAACCTGAACCTTGGATCGCTGTGCATCTCCGTTCAATCGCTCCGTATGGAGCTCCGTCGACAGCAGCTGACCGTCCCGGAAACTGGTATATAAGTTCCTGCCTGGCACCACATGGTATTGGAGCACTTCTCTTGACATGTGGAAGGCATTCGAAAATTCATCTGGGAACGTATCGTCCTGAGGCGCAAAGATAGTGTAGCTCGCCGCTGGGTCGTCGATGTAATGGTTAAGTCCTGAATCTCGCAGCGCGTTCACGAAATTGGTGGCGTTTAATCCCACCAGATATTTGGCAGCTGTCCAGACCAGAGCGCTTGGTAACAGCGGACGTGAGACCGTATGGATGACGCCGTTAGAGGCGAGGATGTCAGTCGTCTCGACTTCGGCATTATCGACCAGCAGCTTATCGTCAAGGCTGATCATCAGGTCCTGTCCTTCGAGAGTGGATACGCTGCTGGTGCCAGGTCGAATGTCTTGCTTGTATAGAGTGCCGGCATGGATGTGATGGTGAAATGTGGTTTCGAGATCCTTGCGTCCTTGCTCATGACGGAGGTAGTGCACCTGGATATCGCTTAGTTTCTTGAGCCCGTCTGCAATCGGTGCAAACAGAGTGAACGGTCGGTGTTGACGCAGTAGATCGGTCAGACCAGCAGAGTGGACAATGTTGTATATTGCAGACAATTCGTCATGTTTCTTCATTGTTTCCACTAGATGATAAAAACAAAAACATGACGACAACCAGGAGAGTGTCAGTAACAAGAGAGGAAGAAGGTCATGAAAGACTTTAGGACGGTCCAAAACAAGACTTGCCGAGATCTTCGGGTGGCGATAGTAGGCGATCCACGACATGAACGACGCCATTGTCCGCCTGCCAATCCTTTTCTAGCAACTCGGCGCCTCCGACAAGCAGGCGCACCTTTCGTCCGGGTCTCCAGCTCGGCTTTGAGACTGCAACCAATTGGCCCTCGTTGTGCTCACCGAGATAGCCTTCCCGCACGAGGAGGGTCTCGAGCAGCATGGCATCCCGCAGATTGTCCGTTAAGGTGTTGTCGGGGAGAATATGATACAGGAGTGTCGCCTGGTCCATGCGTCTGCCGCTGTGTTCGGCATCCCACCTGTCGAACGCGGCATTGGTCGGGGCGAAAAACGTGCAGGTCTTGCGTCGGTTGAGGAGGACAATCAGTCTGAGACGCTGTAGCTCCTTGACGAGGCGCGAGAAGCCTGGGTCGGAGGATATGAGGTCGACGACGGTCTTTGTGGCGAGGACCGGGGCGGTGACCGCAAGACAGGAGAAGAGCAGCAGCAGCAGTACTGCAACCGAATTCTGTGGTCTCATGGTTAATGAGGAGTAAGGGCGGTGAATGTCAAGTGAATGGTAGGCGAATGAGAAGCAGCAAAAGAAAGGTGATGCATCGGTTTTTTGACAAAAGCGTTGAGAACAAAGCGACAGCGTGGGGAAGTGTTCATGGTGTTCTCACTAAACAGCCTTGCGCCTTGCAACTAAAGAGTGAAAAGGGGATGACAGCCATTGCAGTTAAAGAAAAGATGACCTTGTAATAAGGGGATGAAACAAGAGCCAATAAAGAATGACCCAACTGAAGACCCATTGTAACCGGGGACGTGCATTCGACAGGATCATGAATTGAGCGAACCAGATCTTTCCGCACCATCAACTTTTTTATTTTTTTATTTTTTTTTGTTCTCTTATCCCTGGCTATGTGCATCCATTAAGAGCGTACAGGAATCAGTAAGGAGCGTTCACCTTTGGTAAAGTGAGCGAGAGTCCTTCGTGCTGACATGGTAGGCTCAAGTGGGCAATGCTGCAGCATGGGAGTGTGAGCCGTGCAGGGACCATATCGCGAGAGTCTTTCTGCGTAAAGTCGAGCAGAGTGCTGTTCAAACATCTAACGAATATCTAGGGGTTTGGTGCTAGCACGCCGGGGCCCCACGTTCTCTTTCCTTATTTGTTTCGAGGCTATAGCAAAACGTGGGTAAACCGGTTCAGATAACACCCGAGTGGCTAAGAATGAGCGAGCCTACTAATGGATAAAGAGCGCCATATGGGATCGGACGAGGCGGATCCAGTCCGTGAGATCAATTGGTGGCGTTTCGAAGCCGACGACAAAGGACAAAGCGCGAAACGAAAAAAAAAAAAAAAAAAAGGTCCGATTACGTACAGACAAACATGCTGCGGTTTCCACAATGTCTACACAAGAAACATGGGGAGGACTGCACTGGAGGAGGGGGCGATGACGACTTGTTGCAGCGGGTGGTTGGATCAATCGCCGCCCTGGAAGAAAGGATAGAGATGAGCACAATTGTGTGCTCGATATGGGAGGCTCAAGGGGCTTTGCCGGGCACAGATGGGGCAGGTGTGTGTGGGATGTGCGTGTGGGATGTGTGTGTTTGTACATCGTTTAATTTCCTCATGCACTCTGTAGACTGTCGGTAGTCTATATTCAGGGGAGACTGCTGCCTGTGCCTGGGTTGGAGCAGTGTACTGTAATACTGTACTGTGCAATCAGGCCGAGTGGGTGGAGTGAGGTCAGGCAAGGGAGGTGGGTGACCCGGAAAAGAAAAGAGGAAAAGGAAATTCCTTTAGGAAGAAGGAAAAAGGAAAAGGAAAAGGGAAAAAGAAAAAAGAAAGAAAAAAAGGCCAATCCAGTCTAATAATATTGATAGGCTTTTTTACCATGCGCTTTTCATTAATGTTGTGCTGTAGTCTGCAGCACGTAGTGCAGGCCACAGTATTAGGTGTGCAGTATTGGTAGTCCACAGTAGACTATCCAGTAGGGCTGTACATGTGTGTATGTGTGTGTGTGTGTGTACATGTGTGTGTATATGTTATTCTTAGTCTATGGATCAAAGACACCCGCCGTCCCATTCGCATTCGGAGATGGAAAGCGGGACAGGAACAGACGACAACGTGGGTGGTGCAGGGCACGGCTGGTTATGTTATCCCTGCCTGTCTCTTTCTCTCTTTCTCTCTCTCTCTCTCTCTCTCTCTCTCTCTCTCTCTCTCTCTCTCTCTCTCTCTCTCTCTCTCTCTCTCTCTCTCTCTCTCTCTCTCTCTTCTCTTTCCTTTCCTACTTCATCTCATACTCCCTTCCCCCCCTCCCTTTAACCAGCACTCGCCCCCCACACCTCCTCTTCTTTTCCACACCCTTCCCCTCCTCTCCCCCTCTCCCCCTCTCCCCTCTACCCCTTCCCCGTAACAGCAACCCGGGTTTATTAATACTTCCGCTGCACCGCCTACCGCCACCGGCCCCCTCCCTTCGTCCTTCATCCTTCCATCCTTCTCGTTCTTTCGTTCTTTCGTTCTTTCGTCTTTCCCTTCAACTCCCCCACTCTCGCCCCTCCCCCTCCCGGCCTTGAACAGGCACACCCCACCAACCACATCCCCAACTGCTTCCACTCTCATCCTCACCCCCCCCAGTCCCAGCCAACACAGCATGTCCGCCTCGGCCTCTCATATACTGCACCGCGGTCGCAGCGTCTTCTCCAAGCTCAACAAAAAGTACCGACTCCCCGCCTCCGCCGCCCTCACCTCCGCCACCTCCGCCTCCACCATCTGCTCCCTCTCCGCGCCCTGCTCCCATGCCGGAGACCTCTTCATCTCCCCGGAACACCCCGCCCTCGACCCCTATGAATCCTCAGCCGACCAATCGACCCACCTCTCACCATCCCTCGACCTCTCCAGGGCCCGGCATCTCTTCGACCTCGGTCAGCGCCTGCTCTTTGGCCGCAGCGGCCATCCCAAGGACGAGCCCGCAGCTGTGGAATACTACCGCCTAGCCTCACAGCTCGGCCATCTCGAGGCCCAGGGCGTCCTGGCCTTCTGTTACGAATTTGGCCTGGGTGTCCAGGCTGATTATGTCGAAGCCGAGCGTCTCTACATCCTAGCCGCAGAAAAGGGCAACGGCCTCTCTCTCTCCCGCCTTGCCTTCCTGCGCAAATACGGTCGTCCCTCCGTCAAGATCGATCGCATCGAATCCGAGTACTGGCAACAAAAAATCAACCAGCAAGGGCCTTCAGCACTCGCTTGGCTCATGGAGGCCGCAGCCGTCGACAGCCACGACTGCTGCCAGTTTGCTCTTGGAGTGTGCTACCACGACGGCGTCGGCGTCGAAAAGAATGCGACCGAAGCCTTTCACTGGTACAGGAAATCGGCAGAGCAGGGCAACGCACGAGGCCAGGGCATCCTTGGTTACTGCTACGGCGAGGGCTTCGGCGTCGAGCGAGATCGGCAAAAGGCCATGTATTGGTATCGCATCGCTGCAGAGCAGGGAGAATCCGTGGCACTCTACAACATCGGGTACTGTTATGAGGATGGTCTGGGCGTCGAGCGCAACCCATACGAAGCCGTCAAATGGTATCGACTCTCTGCAGAGCTCGGCAACGCTTTCGCTCAAAATTCGCTCGGCTATTGTTACGAGGACGGAGTCGGTATTGAGCAGAATCTAGAATTGGCAGCTCTGTGGTACACAAAATCCGCAGAGCAAGGATATCCCTGGGCAGAGTGCAATCTCGGATACTGCAATCAAAACGGAATTGGTGTTCCCAAGGACGACGCCAAAGGCGCTTATTGGTATCGCAAGGCCGCCCTCCAGGGACATGCTCGTGCACAACATAACCTCGGTTTCTGCTACCAGAACGGCATCGGTGTCCCCAAGGACCCTGTCGAAGCAGTCAAGTGGTACATGAAGTCAGCAGAGCGCGGCAACATCTTTGCGTTCCATTCGCTCGGCTACTGCTATCAGAACGGCATTGGAGTCCAGCAAAACTTGGACGAAGCCGTTTATTGGTACTACCTTTCTGCAGAAGAGAACCACGCCCCAGCACAGCTCTCTCTTGGTTACTGCTTCCGTAACGGCGTCGGTGTCCCCAAGGAGCCCAAGGAAGCCGTCAAGTGGTTCTATCGCTCGGCCATTCAAGGAAATGCACTAGCGCAAAACTCGCTTGGATTCTGCTATGAGGAAGGTTTGGGCGTAGAAAAGAGCCGTGAAAAAGCCGTGTTCTGGTACGAAAAGTCGGCGGCTCAGAGCAACCCATGGGCACAGTGCAACCTCGGCTTTTGCTATGCGAACGAGATCGGAGTGCCCCAGAACTACGAGATGGCCGTTAAGTACTACTCCCTGGCTGCTGCCCAGAACCACGCCCGCGCCCAGGATAAGCTGGGGGTCTGTCTTCAACTCGGGCAGGGCATTGCTCAGGATGTCAAGCTTGCAGTCCGATACTTCCGGCTGGCAGCAGAACAGGGACATCTGGCGGGACAATACCATCTCGCCAATGCACTTGTAAGCCTTGATTGATTGTCTTGTTTGATCTTCTTCACTATCCTCCAGATGGTTTTCCATGATCCTGACGGTTCGTTACATTTTTTCCTGGAAACATAGGAAAAGGGCTTGGGCTGCGAAGTCGACCTGGAGGAGGCATCGATGTGGTTTGAGCGTGCAGCAGCGAACGGCTGCAGGACCTCGCACGAGCGGCTGCAGCGCCTCCTCGCACGTTCGTGTCTTGAAAGTGGACTGGGAGTCGCCGAAAGCGGCCTCTTCCTCGGTGCCATCGGGCATTGTGCCCCAGCAGCATAAGGCGCCATTCGCCCCTTATGTTGCCCAGGTTCAGATCCGACTACAGCAAACAGCGGCTACTGTAACGGAGCCAGCAACATCAATATCAGCATCAATAGCGCAGGAACAGGAGCTGGACCAGCACGGACAATTTACGTAACGGAGGTCCGTCCAAGAAACCGATCATAGTCAAGGACTATTATTGTCCCTGGCAGTGTCATTTATCATCCACACCATCTTCACGTTCCCATTATCCTTCTTGGACTCTGGTTCGTCTTTTGCATTGTTGGTCAACAGCCACACTGCCTGTATTACTTCCTGTTGTTTCTGCATCCGTTTCCGTAATCTTTGTGTTGTATCCCTATGTCGCTTCCCCCACCATCACCACTCTAAAAAAAAAAAAAAAAAACCTTTGCTTTCACTGCATCCTTGTTTTTTCATCGCATGATACCATTCAATAGACCTATACTCATAATAAACACTCAATTGCCCACTTAGTAATAAATAACGAACATTTGAAAGATCGATCTGTCCCATCTACCAGTCTGATCGTCATACGGGTTGCGCGATGGCTAGAACCGAAAGGGATAAACATTAAAACAACTAGCCTGGGCCAAGGCCGTTCCCGGGTATTGCCCCAAAGCCATCTCACGCTCTTCTTCGATCTTCGATCGATTTTACTCTCTCCTCCACTCTTCAAATAATTCTACTCCCCTTGTTCTTTTGCACCCGAAAAGTGACAGCAAAGAGATATGCCAACTGCCAAGGTCATTCTCGAAAATGTCTTTGGCATGCTGGGTATCATCTTCTGGAGCTTCCAGCTATTGCCCCAGATCATAGACAACTATAAGGCCAAGACGACCAAGGGACTTTCGCCCATCATGTTCCTGCTCTGGACACTGGCCGCACTCGGTTTTGGATCATACAGCATTGTCGAGGATCTGTCTGTCCCTATCATTATCCAGCCCCATGTCTTTGGTCTGTTCTCGACCATCTGCTTTTTGCAGTGCTTGTATTATGACCGAAAAGCACGCTGGTCGATGAACCATACCATCCTGATTAGTTTTCTGTTGCTTATTTCTCTGGCTGGCATGGAGGTCGGGGCGTACTATGGCACACGAGTAAGTCATCTGCCGCCTCTGTCACTTGCTCTTCGTCCTTTGACAAGTGCAGCTAATTCATCTACTGACTGTCCTCATTGCAGTAGAGTGAATGAGGTACGAATGAGGTATTGAGATCAACGACTCCTAACAACTCTCTCCGTACCATGTCCTAGGCGGGCCTGCGGCATAGCGTTCCTGGGACGATCCACGCCGCCGGAATTATCCCTGTGGTCCTACTCGGTTTGGGATTCCTTCCCCAATATGTTAATTTTTTGCAACACCACACCGTCCAAGGCGTGAGCATGGTCTTTATTTCCGCCGATGCCGCTGGCTCGGTCTTCTCGCTTATCAGTCTGGCCTTTCGTGAGGCCTTCGATCTGTTGGCAGCCCTGAACTATGTGATCGTCCTCGTCTGCGATCTCATAGTCATTGGATTCTACATTTACTACAACAGATTCAAAGGGCCAACACAAACCCCTACGGACGATGGCGAGCAGCGAACTTGAATCCATATGCACTACAACGCACTCTATTGTCTGTCGTTGCGGACACTCTCCACTCGTCCTTGTACTTGTATTCACACTGAACAAAATTACATATTACTAGACCATACCACTAGACTATATCACTAGACTATACCACTGTCGCAAGTTCTTGGGTTTAAAGGGTATATTTAAAGAAGAGTCAAATGCTCTATGTATGTATTATATTGTATTGTACATTTGCCGCAGTCCAGATGTTAAGGCGCGGATCCTGAGAGTGGGCCTGAAAAGAAGGACAGGGACGACAGTGCCTAAGCAGTTAAGTGCGCGGGACAGATCGAGAAGAGAAAAACAAAATAGTGAGCGAAAGATGTCTTCTAGGCTCGAGCAGAACCATTCAAAGCGATATGAAGGGTCATATGAGCACATACCTCAGCAAACTTGGCGACGAAGCCTGGCTCCTGATCGCTTCCTGAGTCTCCAAATTCAGAGTGGAGCTCTGCTGGGTCCCAATGCTCGTCCACTTTACGGTCATCAAAATCGCGATCGCTGCCAGAGTCCAGCATATCCAGGTCCGCGTCCGTGTAGAGCGACTTTTTCCCACGGCTTCTTGAGCAATGAGCATCACCTCCGTCGTCCGCACGGGCTTTTGCATCATCCATGGAATGTGGAGCATACTTATGTCCTTGGATGGGTCCTAAACCTCGGCGTACTTCTGATGTCGATGTTGATGTCGATACCGTGGCCGTTGTTGTTCGTGCATCGTGATGGGTGTGGTGTGCGTGTATATGCCTCGGGTGCGAGGTTCCAGCGTGGTCTCGACTAGAGCGCCTACCGTGTGATTCTTTTTTAGAAGAATGTCTGTGTCGCCGCTTAGCAGACGATCCTTGCTGCTGATCCTGGTTGTAGCGCCGCTCCAGTTCACCAAATATGTTGCCACGTACTCCAGGTAGATGAAAGTGGTGATGCAGATGCTGCTCAGTCGGAGGCGCTACAGGGGTCGTCATGTATGGCGGAGGCGACCCTGACAATTCACCTGAAAGGTCCTTTGACTGCTGAAGACCAACATCGAGCGTGGCCAAGGCATTGAATGTGCTCTTTGATACCGCAATGTCGGAAGGCGAATCATCTGAGAAGCCCTGGCCACAACAATCAAACGCATGGCCTTGCTCGTAATCCTCGACTTGTGAACGCAAATTGATCACTTCGTTCCTGGCATCTTGCAAGAGGTCGCGGTACTCACCTAGTTCTGTCCGCAGCGTCGAATTAGCAGTAGCGAGTTCTTTGATTAGGGAGACGAGTTGGTTTTGGGCCACCAGTGGTGGGTCCGTGATGACTGAGTGGTACGGGGGCGAGGAGGAAGGAGATGTCTGGTATATGTTGATGGGTGTCGATCCCTGTGATGCCTTCTCCTGCTGAATTGCCTGACCGAGACTTCCTTGGGGTGGTGAACACAACCGATCTGTTGTTTCCTTGAGCCATGCAAGAGCCTCTCTGCTCTCCCTGACGAGGTCCAGTTCCTGCTGCTGTCTTTTCAGGAGTTCATGGCGCTTGCCGATGGCCTCGTATTTTGTCTGCATGATAAAGAGCTTTTGTTGTAGAGATCGCTCTGAGCGCTGGACCTCATGGAGCTCATCCTGCAGTGCCTCGATTTGAAGACGTCCAGCATCCTCGCGCTCCTGAAGGGCTTCCCGCTTGATTCTTTCGACGCGAAGCAAATCTGAGTCTTTTTGACCGTCATTGATCTCCTTGGTCAGATTGAACAGCTGCTGTTCCGTGTGCTCGAGCTGGCTAGAGACGAGCAAGAGGCGCTTCGCTGTCCTGGCTTGATCACTGACAGCGACCATCCTTGACTCTTCCAGCTCCTGATTTGCTTTGGCGAGGCCCCGACTGGTCTTGTTCACCTTTTCGATCTCCATCATGGCGACGCGCAGCTAGCAAAAAGGAAGTGACCCACATTGGCGATAAGTATTTGTGTCTCCAATATACGACTGACAGAGGAAACATGCAGCAGAGAAGCAATCGCTCATCCTGCATAGCGTTCCCTAATTCGATGCAGCTTTTAACGAGGCATTTCCTCACGCCGTGCTAAATACCTCACGCTGTAGCTCGTTGGTCAACATTCGGTGATGGTCTTGATCAATTGGTACTTGCTCTAGATGACAAGATAGAGTAAAGTCAGCAGCACGGACTATTCAATCAGCTTTCTCATTTGCCAATTGTATCTGAATCCGACTGGTTCACGAAGAAGAGAGATTGCGCGAAATGGAGCAACTGAAACATACCGTCGTCCAGAGAATATTGCAGCAGGGCGTGGGGGTTGGCATGGCGCCTAGAGACAATCCAGTGGGGACACCTGCATGCCTGCAGGCAGTAGCATCCTTGAATAGCAGGGTCTGTGTCTCGGTCGGGGTCCAGAGAGTGCGAATCCATCTTTTTCGAGAGCACAAAAGAAAAAAAAAAAAAGAATCGGTAGATCTGATTCAGATGATGATCGAGTGTTAAGATGAACTTCCTCTGAGGCAAGAAAGTTGAGGAAGGACAAAAAGTTGATGAAGAGCAGAAAGTTGATGAATTTGAAGACGAGGAAGGGCAGAAGGAAAGTAAAGTGGAAGGAGCATGGTCAATAAGAGGTTGGGGGAAAGGTTTATTTTCAATGCATAACACTGTTGCTTCCAGGGGTAAGATGCTCTGTAGTCTAACCCCAAAGGTGCCTGTCTGGCCTTGGCACCCACGTGGCATACAATACATCTCCACGCGGATCCGAAGAGTAAAGGCATATTCGGGATTGTAGACGCTAACGTCGCATTGATTCCTGGCATACTTCTCTCCAGTGTGAACAGGACGAATATCGGCATGTCATGAATCAAAATAGTTTCACCAGATAGGCCCTAGGAAGGCAGCCTTACGATTCGGATATCGGTTGATGTGGGCTCGGCTTCGCCACAATTGGGTCGGTAACCTTAGCCGTGATCTGGATCGATCAGCCCCAGAGAGCACTGCCAGAAACAGGATGAGGAATCCTTCTTTCTCTTGATATGTATGCTTTGACAAGAATGAGGAAGAAGAACAAAAAAAAAAAAAAAAAGATAGGGAAGAGGACTATTAATGATTACGGTAGAAAGACTCAGACAGCGAAGGACGAAGCCCGTTACTGTGTCTGTGAACCGAATCGGAGTCGCTCTCGTTGTTTAAGAGGCCAAATCATCAGTTTTGCAACGATGGCTATACAGGTGCAGATGAGAAATAAATATCTTTATAACGAGATTAATGTACCGCATCAGTTTGACAGCGCTTATGGCTGGAAACACTATGCTGATAAAGTTGATGTTGGGGACGCTTCCCCACTCGCGAGCCAGCGCATCATTAAGGCCGCGATATAGGCCATCCATTCATCTAGGCCCAACGTTGGGGGCATATCATTCCAGGCAAGATCGAGATCTTCATTTTCCCGTTCCCCGCAACTGGGGCCGTTGCAAATCTGACCCGAAGCCTCTGTCGGCGCGGTTTGGTGGAAAGCAAACGGCTGTCTCTTTTCCTCCTGGCCGCACGGTCTATGCATCGACAACAACGTTTCAGCCCTTGCGATCGCGCGCTGTGTATGAGCATCCGTGGTCCACACAGTATTGGATTGAGGACCGGTATAGTGGACACCTCCGCCATTGCAGGCCTGCCGGACATGATTCTGTTCGGGAAAAGTGATACTGCTCGGCATTGAGAAAGGGTCCAACATTGCCGCCTGCTCTGCTGCGAAGGGCCTTGAAGCTGCAGTTGCGGATACTGCTCCATCATGGGATGAGTTGTAGTGGCTGGATCCATTGGCTATGGAGGCGTTATTAATTCCCAGGGTTGTCAATGTCATCGGCGTCATGGCCTTCCCCGAGCCATCGGCCAAGCCTGCTGAATCGAGCAGAAACGTCTTTTCAGCAGCCAGCGGCCGCAGATCACCGTCGCGATGATTTGAGGAGCCAAAGGTCACAGTTGAGATAAGCATCATTGGATCGGCATCCAGTTGATGTTGCTGTTCCGGCCGTCGGTCAATCTTCATTCCAGGCGCTGAGGCCTGAGATACGGACGAAAAGATTTTCACAGTTGGATGGCCATATCTGGCTTTGAAAGGAGCAGCGGACATGTCTGTTGTAATATCCATCGCCATTGTATCATCGCCGCCTCCTTGCTGGTGCGCCAAATCCTCTGGCAGATCGTCCATGCCTTGATAGTTGCGCTCGATTCCGCTCTCCTCCATACTAGTGCTCCTCCGACTCTGCATCTTTTCAAACTCATCGTCGGTTGCCAGCAAAGATTGAATCGCCATGATTTTAGAACGGCATTTCTGTCTCAAGCGATCGTGGCCTTCCCTAGGCGCGACCAGGACCCTGCCGTATCCTGACGGCTCCACCGCCCAAGATGGCAGCAAGGGTACATTCTTGAACGAGTTTCCCTCCAAGTCCTTCAGGCTGACATGCTTCAGATCCAGCAAATCCTCAAGGACCTTGGCACGTCGGGCGGCACTGACCCAATGCGTCGAAAGGTGCTTGAGGGCATCGATGCACCGCTTAAGGTTGGCTTTGGCCGCGAATGCATGATGAGAGGGCTCTGGATGAACCGAGGACATGACGGGGCTGGGACTGGACGAGCGAGACGTGCGTTTGGCGCTGGGAATATTGATGAAATGAATCACTCCGGCAGAGAATATAGCGTAAATGCAGCTGATGAACATCGATGTCAGGGATTTTGTCTGCATCAGCATTTCAGTGATGTCTGTGATTGTCGCCGCGGCTTGCGTGCACAGCGAAGCTGAATTTGCAGAGCAAGGAATCTCCGGTCGATGGAGGAGGATGATCAGGGTATTGTAGGTCATGTGGAGAAAGAGCCCAAAGTGTGGAGATTCAGCAGTTGGGTTCTGGAGGAGCTCTGGAAGACTTTGTCGCCATTTTACCAAGGACCTGTCAAGTGCTGAAAATGCATTGTGGCTAGTATCTACGCGGTATCCATGGTCTGAATCTCCTCCGATGTTCAGTTTAGGCGAGAAGCCATCGCTGCTGTCGTCGGATTGAACGGCTCTGGCCTTGATGAACTGCAGAATGTTACCCTGGATCCTGGAGAGCGTGATCAGGTGCACAAAATTGGAAATCAAACTTGATGGTCCTCGAAATGGTATCCCAGCAGCCATATCCATATCCTCCTCATCGAACTGAGGGTAGCCTGTTTCGCACTCTTGCTGGGTAATTGTAAGGGGTCTGAGATAACGCCATGATCGTTATTTCAGGGACGGTGGTTAGTACTCAAAGATATTTTTTGAGATGGCGAAGGTAGAGGGAAATAGCAGCGATCGCTATAACGCCTACCTTCCGAGTCCGGCACAAACAAGCCGCTCCACGACGTAGCAAGACCACCATGTTCGCTTCCGCAGCTCTACCCAAAGTCGGTTACGTGATTGCTCTTGTTCTGAAAGATCCTGGTTGAGTCCTAAGTCCTGCGCCATGCGGATTGCCATACCCACATAGAGCCAAGCCCTCTGGCTTTCACAAAAGCCCATTTGCTGGATCGACATGAGGAGGAGCGCTTGTACAGTCTCGATCTGCGAATTATCGTATTCTTCCTTGATCAAAAGTTTCGCACGCTCATAAAAGACGGTGCATGGCGGTCGATCTGCTCCTGGCTGAGGCGTCCGAAAGAGTGGATTGTCACTGAAACGGGAGGCTAAGCCGAGAATTGCAAAGAGCAGGTGCGATGGTAGGGATTGATGTCGATGAATCTGGTCATACAGGGTCCTTTGATGCAGCATGGGCAGCACTGGGTGGACAAATCGAAAGTGTATGTTCATAAGATGATAGATGACATTTGAGGGCGGCAAAATAATACTCAGGTCATGTTCGATTGTTGCCTGAGGTATCGACATATACCCTGTCAGAGGATTGGCGATCGGGTGCTGATCTGCAAACGAGGCGCGTCGATTACCCCCAAGACCTTGTCCACTGAATTCAGTTATCGAAGCGTTTCCCTCGGACCTTGTCTGATGACTTGCAGTAGTAAATATTCCAAGAGAGTCGTGATCTGGGTCGTGCGACTCTGAGTTGGCCATATGCTGGCTCAGCTGATGTTTCTGTCCCACGTGGGTATCATGAGCATGAGAGAAAGAGATGTTCTGTTGACGCCGGGACGGATGATACTGAGGCGAGTGAGCTAGTCCTTGGTCGAATCCTACGAAGGGACTTGGTGGGAATGCAGCTGCATCGACGAAGGATGGTGACAAACAAATAGCCATGGCGGAGTGCTGTAATTGAGACTGTTGATGCTGTTGATGCTGTTGATGCTGTTGATGCTGTTGCAAAGATTGGAGCGGCATTGGCTGAATATGCTGCTGCCGCCTACTGGTATTGTATGCGTTCTGTGGCGATGTCGGAGGGATTTGTGAAGTCGCTAATGCCGACGTGTTCCCTTGAGACAGCGATGTCAATCCTGAGGCGCCGGAGATGTTCATGGCCTTGATAGAAGAAAAGCAAATGTATCGGCGTGGTGAACAATGATGGACGCCTTTCATGCTAGAATGCCTACATTCCTGTCCAAATTTAGATCCAACGAGGTATTTACATGGTTGATCTCCTCATATGCCTTGGATCTCCTCAGCTTCAGTCCCGTCATCTCAGCCTCCCGTGCCATGGCGTCAAGTTCCGCTCTGACGATTTCTGCGCGAGGATCTTTGTCCTTGATCAGTCCGCCGAGCAATCCCTCCATCCGATGAAGTCGAGCCTCAATGGCCTCAATATATCCTAAGAAGTATTTAAATAAGGATGAGGATATGTCTGACCAACAGGATCACATATACTAGTGCCTCCGAGAACGAATCATCCATGCATTCATTCACCGCTGATTAGCGTGATTGCAACAAGAGAAGGGCGTGAGATGATATTGTCAGCAAAAATATGCACACCTTTGGGAGGTCCTCGTTTCTTGGTGGGATCGTTATAAGTGCCTAATATTATATCGACAGGCAATACTGAGTCAGCACCAAGTGATTATTGGCATAATGACGATGAGAAGATGGATAAGTTTTGCAATTTGCACACATCGCCTCACTTACATTCGTACTTGAATGTCTGGCAGTTGGTGCAGAGCGGATGTATCGCATCTATTGGAAAGACATGAATATGTATTTCTTAATATCTGCTTAATTCGACAACCCGTTCATTGCGTGGCTGTCTGTTGTTGGTTAGGCTGTACATCCACGACAAATGTAGGATTCAATCACACGTTCTATCTTAGCATATCCAAAGAGTTTTCATTCTCCTTCATACCGCACTTGACTTTTTTGCGCCGGCAGGAATCGCATGCCTGAAGGATGAACGAAGGAGAAGAAGAAGAAGAAAAAAGCGGTATGAACAATTACGAAATCTGCTAGGTAAAAAAAAAAGAAGAGGTATAAACAGTAACATTCTCCTGCTGCTAGATATGCCAAGAAAGTCGACCCGAGGCCTCCTACGAGGAGGACAGGCTTAAGTGCATTCACTGGGGTGCAGCTGAGCTGATATGGGCTGTAAGTCGGAGCAATGGAGCCAGATGCCGTTATGTGTATGGTGTCCTTTGCCACTCCATACTTGTGATACCCCTGTGCCCTATATTTCATTCCTCCTTACCTTTGAGACCCTAAGCCGTTTAATGTCAGTCATTGAGGATTGAGGAAGATAGAGGGAAGATCCAGACAGCAGAACCGATGCCTAGGTCTATAGTGGGGTTGGATACAGGCGAGTATTCTTCTGTTGTTGTCGGCAAGTGTACGATCAGGAACAAAGTTTTAGCGCACAGCCAAAGCCAAAGCAGTTCTTCGGAGCAAGAAAGAAGGAGGAAGAGCGAGCTGCAGAACTGGTTCCGAGGAAGGCGAGGGTGGGGCAGATGAGATGAAAGGTAAATTAGATTAGATGAGATTCATAAGAGTAAGGATGCTGTTGATGAGGAATGGCGATGGGTTGTTAAAAAAGAAGCACGAAGAAACAAAATAAGGTGGTGTGGTAGAGCTTCCTCATTTTTTTTAGACGCAGACGGGTGAGAAGGGAAAAAACTTTACTTATCCGAGCAAATAGGGTTGCAGATTGATCTTACGCATATCCGGATGGATCCGATGGCGTTTCGAGCTGCAGAGAGACAGAGCCAACTCTGCTCTGGGGTGCCAGGCCTGGGGATGTACTCTATGGTTTCCAAGAGACAACCCAGACAAATACAAACAAGCACTGCAGGTCGAGTTGACGATGGGGGCGATAGAGAAAAAAGGGTAATTGTTTTGCCTGCAGAAACAGTTGCAATGCCCAATGTCTCTACGATGCGAGTGATACATCGCACAATGGTACATCGCACAATGGTACTACTACTGGCTGCCGCGATCAGTGGCGAGACAAAGTACTTTGGGGAAAAGGCTGCAGGCGCGGAAAGAGGGTTTCCCGGCACTTCTACAGCCATTCGATGACTGATATGCCACATGTATGCGATAGAGCACGCAATGTCAGCGCGGTAGTAGTCTAGTACTGGAGTACTGTATACGAGCCATTGTCTCATGGAGGTATACCTCGATGTTCTTGATTGACCGATCGGATGAGGCGAAGAAGGCGCCTCGGAGCAAATTTTATTGCTTGTGGTTCTGCATAGAATATGACCCTTCTCTGCCGTGTTCCTTGCACAAGGTGTTTTGATGAGCAGTTGAATGGAGATCCTATACAGAGACATTCGTATATCCAAAATCCTACGTATGCAGCATGGCGGAGTTTAATGTAACACCCCCCCCAAAGAGGCACATCGGTGGCGGTGTCATCTTTTGGTCATGAACGCCACCACTCATACACCATGTTCTCTTCATCATGTTGATTTCTCCGCTTCCTTTCATCCGCCTTTTCTCATCCATTTCCCCCCTCACAGACGCAAACGCTCATGTGCGGCAGGACAGCCCAGGGTCTGGTAAGCTACCATTATTACTTTTACGCAGCCCTCTTGCCAACACTCTAAGGCTGACTACAGCACGCCTTCGCATTGCTAGGCATCAGCGCAAATCAGACAGCAGCTCGACAAGACTCTACCGAGCAAACCAAGAGACTTTTGGATTGACGAGGAAAAGTACCGAACTTCGTATGTCCGTATATTTGTAATTTCAAAAAAAAAAAGTCGAAGAAACAACGTTTGAATTTAATTTCCTTGACTGAACCTGCTCATTACTCTTGTCAAAATGATAGATACAATGTTGCACCCACCAGATACCAGCCAGTGGTTCGGGCTGACCCAAAAACCAATTCATATGTCGTTCATTTGATGGTGTGTTTCCATCGTAGTGTATTATTTACACTTTGCTGGCAGTAGCACAGATTCAAAGTTGGTCAACTTACCACTTTTGTACGCTATACTTTTTTAGAGATGGGGCTTGATTCCAAGGCACACAAAGTCCATGCCGGACTACAGCTCTGTTTTAAAGTCCATTAACGCACGTGATGATTCACTCTTCATGGGGCCGACGGGAAAGGCCATGTTCAACCACTCTAAAAATCACAAAAGATGCATCCTGCTTGCAGAGGGGTTAGTTTAACCACACATATTTTGGCGGTGATATCGCGTCTATTTATATTATCATATTTTTAATGCCTATTTTGTGAACAACGTCAGGTTTTACGAGTGGCGAAGACGAGGGAAAGATAGGGTGCCGTTCTACACAAAGCGTAGGGACGGCAACTTGATGTTGATGGCGGCTATCTATGACGTAGCCCAGATTCAAGGATCGACGGAGCCACTGTATACCTATGCAACCATCACCACCAACGCCTCTCCACAGCTCGACTGGCTTCATGACCGCATGCCTGTCCTTGTCCCCAACAATGACCACGAATTAATCCGCATGTGGCTGGACCCCAACCTAAAATGGAATACTACTCTGGAGGCGATGCTGAAGCCCTGTGATGAATTTATCGATATAGAGGAACCCGATGAGAGTTGCGAAGGAGCCATGGTCATCAAAAGAGTCTACGCTTTGGAGACCTATCAAGTGGACGAGAAAGTCAATAATGTTCGGAATGATTCTCCCGAGTTTGCTAAACCATGGAACTCGAGCTCTAATAAGCGAACACTCAACAGGTTTTTTGTCCCCAAAGCCTCTTCAAGCGACGCCGCCGCGTCACTAAAACTTTTTAGAAAGATGAAGCATGGCCATGGCACAACGGAACATGAGAAATCCAGCGAATTCAGCGACAGCGAAGGGGACAATGTTCATCGGAAACCAGAGGACAAAATCAAGTCAGACTCTTTGGATTGGGAGCAAGAGCAGAACAAGGTCTCTGTTTTGGCGGAAGATTCACAGCGAGATACAGGATTTGCACAACAGGAAAAAGTCCTATCGTACTCAGCGGTTCCGGACGACGAAGGACCAAAAGACGAAGAAGAGGAGGACAGCGATTTCAGGCTGGCCTTGGAGTTGTCGCGTCAAGAGCAGACAGACAGCACGTCTAATATGGCATCGACAAGGACTGGCTACCGTGGAACGCATCCAAACTTGAGTTCTACTCCAACTGGAGGGAGCGCAACATTTTGTGATTTTCCTGGATCTGTCGACCTTTTGGAAAAGAGGCGAATGCAACTTCAGGAACAGGATGAAGAAATGAAAAGGGTTTTGGAGTTATCGTTGTTACAGGCTATCGCTAATGGTCATGAAGACGTTCACGCTCACAGCGACACAGAGACGCCACAAGGAGGACATGCGCACGAATCGGCAAGACGGGAGCAAGAAGAGCTTGAAATAGCCATAGCAGCATCCCTAAACGACTTCGACAATCCTCCCGAACTTCAACTGCCACAACAGTCCGTGCAATCGACATCTTCGACGACAACGGCGATGGGGTCTTCAGCATCAAAAAAGACAAAGGTCTCTGCCCCATTGACGCCCAGGAAGCGAAAGCCTAACGTCAGTACGCCGGCTTCGCCCTTGAGTGCTTCCAAGAAGGGAAGACTAGGTCAGGAAAACAAGATCACTGACTTTTTCCGGCATGCGGCTCCTCCCTGAGTTTCTTGGGCAATGGCCTCCTAATGAGAGGAATAAAGCTTTGTACATATTCGACTACATATGATCCATCTGCCATTGACAGGTCCAATGTGTATTATGAACGCGAAGACTTTACTTTAGTTATTTGTTGAGTATTGAAAAGCAGATGGGTTTGTAGGACGTAGATCAAGAATAGTAAGTGGATATCGAGGAGCGCATGCAGACACTGCTTAGAAGAGGGTGACATATCCGAACTTTTCGTTGTAGCCCTTGGTATCCCATTTGCTCCTGGCCAACAGGGCATCGACCTTCTCGGCAATCTCGGGGCGGGACTTGAGGACATCATCAGCCTATAGTTGTGACATGAAGTGTTGGGGATGTCTTGTTGTCAGCCAAGTCTAAATCGATAGACAGATATATTGTCCGCAAAGGTGCTCTCCATAACGCCTTGTTCCCTGTCCATGAGTCCAAGATTCAAGGATATTTGCTGAAGATGCCTGACGTGTAAGTCAAACTTCAATATTGGACGCTGAGCTCTGTACTGGCCAAGATGAAGCAAGTTGTGTCCCTGCATGCTTTACAATCCATGATCCTCAGTATCGCCTGGCGTTCGCCTATCCATGGTCATCCTGCCCAGAATATACTTCAGGGTATATAAAAAAAAAAAAAAAAAAAAAAGGGATGCGTACAGTGAGCTCATCGATGGGGCGGGAGGTTTCAATGTTCTTCAGGGTGGCCTGAAGATCAGCGAGCTCAGACTCGACCTTGGTGGCAGTCGATTTGGCGCGCTCAAGCTAAGCATGGAACACAACGAAATTGGGGCATGTATAAGTTGCATGTGATTTTCAGATAGGTCCTTCTTTCGGTGCCTATTGCCGATACGAAGTGTAGCGCCGTAGTCGACTTTGACTCATAAATCCAGACCAGCAGTGTGTTCATGGTGTTGACAAACGTATCCTGTCCTGCCCGGCCTACAGTATCCCGAAGTATTGTGGAGCCAATGTAAGGCACACGATATGGAACGCCCATTCGCAGCGTTGATAAATATGGTACTGTCCTGTCTTCCCTGTTCGGCGTCGGTATGTTATAAAGCCAGCAGACGCATATCATGAAGCGAATGTCGGTCGAAGTGGCGCAGAGTGCCCGGAGAGTATTTCCTGGACGAATGTAGTAACAATTAACATACAGCCTTGGCCTCCACGGTCTCAATAGACTTGATCTGAGCTTTGACATCGTACGAAGTGGGCTTGAAGGACTTGAAGGACTTCTCGAGCTCATCCACGACGGCTTGGTTCTTGAGAACCTTGCGATAATGAGCAAAGTCAACGGCAGTCTTCTGCTCCCTGAGATCGGTCAGAACACGTCGCGCTTCTTCGTTGCGTTTGCGGAACGCAGCCAGGGCGGCGACGGTCTCAGTCTTAAGACCAAGCGATGTGGACAGCTTGGTCCAGTCGATGTGAATAGCAGCAGCCTTGACAGCGGACATGATGAAAAGAGAGAGAGTGATGAAGCGTTGCGCAAATCCGATCAAAACAAAACGTTTGTTCGCACTATTCATTTTTCACGTGATTTATTGTAGCATGGCGATTGGAGAACTGCCAGAATCTGAGCACGACCCTGCGCTAGGCTTAGATCCAGGAGGGGCCGCAACTGGGATCTCTGTCTTTAGCCATTGTTCCAGCAAAGGCTTCACCGGTGGCCCACCACCATCCAGACGCTCTCGGAAGCGAAAGACAATCGCAGACTCGTTCTCGTCTGGATTCAAGAGCTCCTTGTCAAACCTTGGAGAAAAAGCAAAAACAGAAAGCGTTAGCGACATACATATGGCAAAGATCACTCCAAGGACAAGACGATGGATTGAACTAACCTCGACAGGTGCTGCCTCAGCAGCGCCCTCATGACAATCATACTCTCACCGTCGCCAACATCCACGACCTGAAACTCTGTACTCACGATTCCCTCCTTCCAGACATCAATATCCGTACGCTCGCCCGCATTGATCAGCTTGATTTGGAAATGATTCTCAAACAAGACAACGGCGCAATTGGGGTACATGTAGTAGGCGTTGTTCGGTCCAAACGCAATCGAAATGGTCGGAAAGTGCAAAGGAAAGGTCGCCGTGTTGTTTGTATATAGGTTCTTGGTGGCATAGAGCGAGAGCCCATCGTCGGCCAAGCTAGCGGTGGACCCTGGCGTAGAATGGCTGATCTGGTACCTGGGGGTGCTGGCAAGCGATTTGAGAAGCGACAGTTTTGCAGCTGCAGAGGTCGGAAGTGAGGGCTTGGCGATTGCCGGTGTGGTGGTGCCAATGGCCGGAGTCTTTTGCTTTAATGCTCTGGATGTCGCTGCTGTCGACTTGACAATAGTAGCAGTAGCCGAGGTCTTTGCCGCAGCCACTTTCGTGGCTGTAGTTCTTGATGCTGCTGTTGCATTTGCTGGTGCAGACACTGAGGCTGGTGATGACATACTGTTTTCAGCAGATAGTGACACGTTTGAAGTAGAAGTATCGAGGTTTGCGTTTGTAGCCATGTAGCCTAGAACGTCCTGGAGGGAGGATGCATCTTCCTGTGTCGAATGCAATGCTAGGGCTGATGCTGCTTGGATTTTGTTACTGGTTGCAGCCTTGACCTTATCTTTGCCTGTGTCCCTGTCCCTGTCCTTCCTTGAGCTCGCACCGACTCTGCTTGATTGCTTGACTGTCCCTCCAATCTGATGAATGGGTACCAGTTTGGGTCCTGCTGCTGTGGACGGTGACGCTAAGTACCGCAGAAATCAGCCATCTCAGTCAAGATGAGTATATCATAAACATGTATTTCTGAGAGCCATGATTAGTCGAAGTTCTGTATCTCACCCTTTGCACTGCCGCGCTTTTTGCCGGGCGCTGTCTTGTCCTTATCACATGTCTTCGATCTACCTGCGGTTCCAATTTTCGAGTCTTCAGTCGATATAACCTTGCCAGATGGGTTCTCCGATGATGGTAAGCCCTCCATCTTTTGATCCACCTGTCCCGAGTTCTCTCCACTTGCAGGTAGATTCTGGTGCAGTCCAGTTGCACTTTCTGCCGCTTTTGTTGATGTCTCAACGGCACCAAACGATGATGGTGCAGAAGAAACGGTCGTAGCGGACGAGGATGATGTTTTTGCTGTTGCGGCTGATGGCGCGGTTGGGTTTTGAACATCAATAAAGATCTTTCCGTGCCTCCACTTGACTCCACAGGCATTACAAAGATTATGTGATCCATCTGGACCACGCCTCCACATGGGCGTCGATACGCTACCACAATACGCGCACTGCTTTTGATGAGGCGAGCCAGATGGATTGTTGGGTGTCGATGTATTCCTTCTGGACGTGGTCCCTCCCTTTGAAGTGGCAGCGGCGGCGGTAACAATGGTATTCTCATCCTGATTTGTCTTTAGTCGCTTCACCTTTATTGTTCCTAAAGGATGATCGACCTAGTAATACAAACGCACAAAAAAAAAAAAAAAAAAAAAAGAGTGAGCGATGGAAGACTTGAGTGCAGAACATTCTAGCGCAACACAGGTTTGAATAACAACGTGGCACCTACCCCTCCTATTGTCCGCTTAGAAGGCTCGAGGGTTGACAACGGAACAACTCTGTGATCTGGCAGTTTCTTAAGACCCATAAGCTGCAGCTGATCGTCTGGAAAGTCGAGAGGCAGGTTGTATTGGACATAAACGCGCGGAGGTATCTGTTTCATCTTTTCCATCATGAACCGATATGTTGCTGCGGAGTCGCTAATGGATCGCTGCAGTTCAAACCAAAGTTCCAGTGTCGCCTGCAGGATGACGAGTGTTGTTGCTTGACCTGGCCCTGGTATCGGACCCTGTGCTGTGCTCTGGCCTGTTCCTGCCAAGCCTGGTCGTGGCTCCTCCATCGTAGGCACATAGAACGACGCAGAAATCTTTGCTGCACCTTCACCTTCGGCTGGTGTGAACTCTACTGACGACTCGTATGGAAACAGCCACCGCACTCCAGAATTCTCCTTGAATTCAAATACCATCTGGTGCATGGGTCTCAAAGGTCGAGCCGCTGGTGTTTTGACTTTGGCACCTGAGGACGTTAATGTGGTTGGACGTGATGAAGTGGCGGATTTTTCTGAAGGACCTAATGGCGATACTGCTGGCGAGGCTGTCCCATCCATCTTTATCGGTGTATTAGTTGATTCCGATTTCGATTCCGACTCGTTTGGCGTCGCTGCTGGTGTGTTAACTATTTGATCCTTGTTGTCGCTGCTTGAGCTCGCTGCCACATTGGTATTGCTGGCATCAGAATCGATATCCATGGGTGTAGGCGATGATGATTCCCCCGCTACCATATCGGTTCTCGCCGCGGCCAATTCAACGGTCTTCTCTGGTGCAGGTGATCTCCCCAAGGCAGCAGGCGGTGTTGAAGATGGGGAATTGAGTGAGTCCTCTGTAGGTGTCGACACAGCAGTATTGAGAGCAATTGTGGATCCCGATATTGGGATAGAGGGTGGAGGCGGGGTAGGGTTGAAGACGGCGAAAAACTTTGTGTCGAAAAAAAGATGTGGTCCGATACAGACAGTGTAGGATCCAACAGGCGTCAGTTCTGAAGCGTACTTTTTGCCGCCGGGAGCACGCGCGGGAGGCTCGGGGATAAACCGAGTGAATGCTGTGTTAGACCATGCATACCGCGACTGAGCCAGGGTGGCCTGAAGAAGGGCGCTTTCCAATGCGATGGTCAACGGGCATAGAAGAGTATTAGTGGAGGGTTGATATAGTGGGACTTCCCAAAGTGGAGCAAGCCCCTTACCTGTCTGCGATGCTCATGGTCGGGATACGGTCCTGGGCATCCGGCTGCAACGTTGTTGGAAAGAACATCCTTGGTCTCTTGGCAGCATCTACAGCCAGTCTTTTCCTCTGCGAACCCCCTGACGAGGTCCTCTGGGTCATGGTCGTGGACAGAGTGTTGGTCATGTTGTAGAGATCTAATCAGGCACTGCGTCCACTCGTCCAATAGCAACTGTTGATGAAGTGATCCGACTGATGTCGTTCCTCTTGGTCCTGACTGACTCTGGTAGGGTATCCTATGGCTCTGCAACTACTCCTGAGTCTGGGTGCAGTGCTGATGGCCAGTCTGTGTGGACGTGTTGGCGCGGAGAAAGAGATCAGCTGGAAAATAAAATAAAAAGCCAGTGAGGACAGACCAGTGGTGTACATTCAGAAAAATTGGGTCATTCGGTCTCCACAGCGCGGTATCCTCACTCTGCTCCATTGCTCCCACTCTGCTTTTCTCCACCACCACTACTCCTTTTATCTTTTTGTCTGCTTTGTCTGCTTTGGGGATACCCCAATGTAGATACATTAGGCAACAGCGAATGACGAGAAGACACAGCACTCTGTCCATCAAGCATACTGCTTCCGGACAAAATAGCCGCTTACTTTGGGATGGTCCTTACGAGGCGCTGGTTGTAATTTCAGGTTCAGAACAGGACGCCATTTTTTGTGTGTACATGCATCTGATAGATTGATGTCCATTCAGGATAACAAAGTACAAGCTGCTGCTGTGCTACATACCGCGCATGATTGTGCACCATAGATTGGGCATACCTCTAATATGCAAGTCAGGCGAGATAAGTGCGGGTGGAGCGTTAGACGGTGTAGACTCCATGAGCCGTGGCCGTTTGTGCCTGGGAATTGTTGAACCTGCTTGGCAGACGATCCGAGCCGTAGGGCTCCAAATGCACCACGCCCTTTTCCTTCGCTCTCCTTCCTCTTTTCCACACTCGCGCTCCATTCCCCATCTCTAGCCGCAATAAACTCCCTTCTACTGCTCATCGGATTCATTCTCGAGTTCTCATTCAACCATGGGCAAGTTGACGTCTCTTTTCTCCTCTTCATGTGCAGGCACGCCTCTCCTGAAAAGGAGGAGGAGGACTCCTTAAACTGTGGCAATTAACCCGTCTGTTGTTGTTTGTGGTTCATAATCCTTGCTATCTTGTCTTCTTTACACAGCCCCGATTATAGCAGGCGTTGCGGCAGCATTGGCCACAGGATACTATGTCAACGATAAGTACCAGCTCACAAAGGACCTAACCTTTGTCAGGGGCGCATTCAGAGCACGCAAAAAGTACTTGATTCTCTTGCCACCTTCTTTCAATGAACTGTGTGGTGAGAAACGAGATTTCTGGGAATATACTCTAACGAATTTCCTCTTCCGCGAACTCCCAGATATGAAGCCTGCATCAAGGATCAGGACTGTAGTCTTTACAACCGCTTTGAGGAGCAGTGTCAAATCAGACCCTTTGCAATCGCGCTGGCCTTCGAGGGTGCCTCCTACACCTGGCGCGACCTGGAACTGGGTATGTCTCGAGATCTGCCCGCTATTCCTGCTTCTTTGCCCGGCTCATATCACCCTATACTGATTCAAGTATTGGCCATCTCTCCCACACCTATCAATAACCATAGCCTCAAACCGAATGGTACGCGCCCCTCACAGAAAACAAAGAATAGCGCACTGCATAGCGATGCTCAACGGTGCTATCCAGAGTATCTCTCATCCGGTCACGTTTCCTCACATCGACTTGCGATTCTTTTTCTCTACGTAGGCTCATTGGTTCGTATCCAAGGGCGTCCAGAGCAGCGACCGCGTTGCGATGATGATGCACAATTCACCCTTGTTCCTGATCGTCTGGCTGGCCCTGCTCAAGATGGCGGCTATCCCAGCCTTCATCAACAATCAAATCACCGGTCCTGTCTTGCTGCATTCACTCAAGGTCACTTCCGCTAACCTCCTTGTCTTTGACTATGAGCTCGCACCTGTGGTGGAAGAGTGCCTGGAGGATATCAAAGGGCTTGGATACAATGTCTATACTGTCACGCCCAAACAGCACATCCTTGGTCAATTTTACGGCCATCTGTCAGAAGCCGCTCGTCAGAAAATCGAGATTCCCACCTTTTTTGATTATGCCGAGTGGGGGCATTTGAGTACTGAAGGTTTCCCTAAGAGTGTCCGCAAGCACGTCGAAATGAAGGATCCCGCGGCCCTGATTTTCACCAGTGGAACCACTGGCTTTCCCAAAGCAGCCGTCATGGATCACGGACGATGCACCGGTATGTCTTTGAATCGATCTGCAGAGCCTATACAGCGATCTGCATTAAAAATAGAAGCACTATGCTTACCATAATATCTAATACCTGCCTCACCTCAATTAGTAGCCAGCGTCTCCTGGTCAATGTTCGGCGAGATCACAGCAGACAGCAAGGTCTATGTCACTCTTCCACTTTACCACTCTGCTGGATGTAAGTGTTCTGTTTAGGAGAATCGTGAGCAAAGCTTACACGCACCGTAGTCCAGCGCATCTGATCTGCTTCCTTGTAACATTTTAGCGATCGTGGGTGTGGGCCAGAGCTGGACCTCGGGTTCCACTATAGTGTTGGCGCGAAAGTTCTCTGTCACCAACTTTTGGAAGGACTGCATCGCGTACGACGTGACCCACTTTCAGGTAATCATCTCCGCATTGCTCAGCATGGGGCGACAGCACTTGGCCATGAATCAAGCCAAAGGCACTGATAATACATCGCTTGAATAACATCATAGTACATTGGAGAGCTCTGTCGTTATTTATTAAACGCTCCAGAGAGTCCTTTGGACAAGAAACATAAGGTCAGACTGGCTTTCGGCAACGGAATGCGTCCGGATATCTGGGCAAAGTTTCAGGAGCGCTTCAGCATTCCCACGGTATTTGAGTATTATACCATGAGCGAAGGTAATGATCTGATTCGATATCCGATTGCCATCCCTTCGATTACTTTGCTCACTCTGGAGTGAAGGATATAAAGTCTCTCCGTTTTAACGCGGATGTGTTAACGATACACTACTCTTACTTTGTTCTCATCTTTGCTTTGCTGCAGGTACCGGTGCGCTGTTCAACATTGCAAAGAACAAGCGAGATCAAGGTGCTGTCGGGTTCAGAGGGCCAATCGTCAGGTACCAAGTAATTTTGTTAGATGCAAGTCTATGGGAACTATTCCGTAATTAACCACAGATTGCGCTACACCCTATTTTTTTTATTGCTGCCGTTAATGCAATAAGGACGCTGGCACCTGGATTCAAATTGGTCAAAGTGGACACCGACACGGAGGAGCTCATCCGTGACAAGAAGACGGGCTTCTGCATCGAGTGTGGACCCGACGAGATTGGGGAGCTGCTGACGCTCGCCGACAACAAAACACCTGGAACGCGTTTTGTTGGGTATTTCAACCAACCAAAGATGTCACAGGCTAAGCTGGTTCACGATGCCTTGGCCAAAGGCGACATTTATATGCGCACTGGCGATCTCCTCTATAGAACCAAGGATCAGTACTGGTACTTTGCGGACCGCGCTGGCGATACATACCGCTGGAAGGGCGAAAACGTCTCGACAGCAGAAATTGCAGATTCGATGGGCCGGGTCGACGGCCTCACTTCGTGCACGGTCTATGGTGTTTCTGTCCCTGGTCAAGATGGGCGCGCAGGAATGGCGGCATTAGTCTTGAAGGACTCTATCATTCAGCCTGCGAGCGATGGTCGAACAACCGCGCTAGTAAACGAAGACGCACTCGCAGATTTTGTGCAGCGAATGGGCGACCATGTAGCTAAGAGTCTGCCTCCCTACGCCGTGCCTCGATTCCTCCGCATCTGTGAGCACGAATTGGAAACGACTGGCACATTCAAGAACAAGAAAGTGGAGCTTAGGAAGGAAGGCTTCGACCTACATCAAGTCAAGGACCGCATGTACTGGTGGACACCGCAGGGCTGCTATAAGCCATTCGGTCATCCTGAGAACGGAATGATCGTCGCTGGACGCGCTCGACTTTAAGTCGCTGTCGCCTAGGAATGGATTTAAATCTCATAGAGACGAAAGAAAATAAACGTGCACAAAATGCACTTTGCTTACGCACCTCCGTACTTGGGCAAAAAAAGCGTGCCATTGGTCCGATAAGTCAGTACCAATTCGCAGATAGAGCTCTGATGCGATTAAAGGATGCCACGCCTCCACACTCGGAGAGCATATATATTAAAGCGCAAATTTGTAGCTTCCAATAAATACGTCGCCGAATCCGTCTGGCTTTTATGCCTACAACTTGAACCCTCCTTCCGTCACTGCCGATATCATGGGAACATTGCTAGATCCTCACACCTTCCTTACATATATGTAACCAATTGCCGCATGACAGCGATATCAATGGTGCCTTTTTCCGCAGACAGGGAGACGTCTACACATCCACACATCACTGGTGCTTCATCGGAGAAATCGTAGATGATTCGTGTGCCAGAATTCCCTTTCTACGCCATCGACTTACTGTGAGAGATCGGGATGGTGCAGACATCAATGTTCAATGTCTTCTATCTATCACCTGGTGATATCTTGAACACTTCGCCCTTGAAAACCGGCAACATTACCTTTGTACGTTATGCCATGCAGCATTTCTTCCTGGGTATGTCAGAGAGCCTCCGCATCGAGGACACAGCCTATACCTATGTACTCAAAGCTAACGTCTACTCGCTCCATTCTGGATAAAAGATGCATTTATTCCGTTTTGCAATCGGTATAAGCTGCTACTTATACGAAAATGAATAATACAGGCTGTATCCCTTAGACCGTCTCAGCTGGAAAGAGAGACAACCACCTAGGATAAATATTAACTGATACGACCAGTACAGTTATTCTTGCTGGGGTCGGCGAAGGGGCTCTGGGCAAGACAGGCTACTGATCCATTCGAGGCCAATATTAGCTAAATTCTGAGCCCCACGCAGTCCCTGTCTAGCCATCTCTGGCACCCATCCTCAAAACAGACGAACGCCCGATTCGATGGCTTTGCCATTCTTCGGTCCTTGTTTTGTCGTACACAGCTTGGGCGTTTCGATGACGTGAGATACTCATCCGAACAAACGGCGGTGTACCCGAGGCTGTTTGCCTATGTAGTGCAATGACATGCGGAAACATGGCATCAGTATCGATACTAGACTGAAAACAAGCAAATCGCAACGAATATCTACATACCTTGTGGAAATAATACCCCTTGAAGCTCTCGTGTAGCGATGCCAGCCTGGTATGAGTGTTGAACTTTCCTGGCTCGTATACAAACATTGCTGGTCTCGTTGGCCCAGTATGCATCCCGCCTTGTGAGTCTACAGTTCGCAATGCCCCATGCACGGCATGATCCTTCTCAGCCCGGTTCGCCTTTTTGAGCTCCCACAGCTTTTTTTTCATTGAACGGGATCCGTAAAAATCGCGAAGTGGTTGTAGGACATAGCTGAACTGTCGGAGGCCATGCCGGTGTTCTTCCATGCTTACGAACGACGACGACGGTAGCGAGGCTTCTAATTCGGATATGCTAGGCGTCTCGCATGTGTGCCCGCTTAATCTTGTATCGTCTTTGATTGTGACAGTGGTCCGTTCGCGTTTTTTGGCCTCCAGCGCGGCTCTGAGTGACAAGTTGGGACTGTAGAGAGCGGAGTGTCTGATAGGCAGGTTCGTGACTTGGTTCGGTTTTCGGAGGTCCAGCGTACAAAATGATGCTGAAATTACTTCGCCGGGGTCCACTCCCACCCCCACAACATTCTGGAGGTCTTGATCGAAAGCCTTTGCGAGAGACCCTTTGTTAGGAAATCGCGATGTAATCTCCGGGATCCGCGCCTTAAATTTGGATGACTGCCAACATCGTCGTATGTCAAATGCCATTAGGTGGAGCTGGACTCCGTCTGTTCTCATCATATTGCTGATGGCATAGTGTTCCTTGACGCTGTCATTACTTGGGAGGTCGGGGGGCACGGGGGGCTCCGTGCCTTCGGCAGCTGCTTGCTTCCTAGCCTTGTGATTTGCAAAGACCCTCTTCATGTGCCCATCGAGTGCAGCTTGGCCGTATGTGTTTGGATGGTCCTTCAGCAATCGGCTCATGGTCGTTGTTTTCTTGCCATATGAAGTCTGGTTCTTGAGGGGATCCGCCTTGATCTCGACCTTGTCTCCAATAAACAGTAGTCGGAAAAGCTCCCCATATTTCTCTGCTGCAAGTTCGTGGGCCGTCTCGGAAGAGCAGACTTGAGATTCCATGATATGCCGCGTAGGGTGCGTCTTTGAATGTGGACTACCCCAAAGAAGTGAAAGAATGGCAGCCTCAGAGCACAAGATGAAAGAGTCTCCCAACTTCGACACTGGACAGAAAATAGGATGCAACTCCGACGGCACACGGAGAAAGTACCTCCACCAAGTTTGGATGTGCCCCTTCTTAAATGACACCTTGTCTTTCTGTTTATCGCCGTCGGAGCTCTCGTCATCCTCAACTGGAGGTATATCATCCGTGAAGAAACGAGCACGCTTCAGCTAATAGAAACAAGAAATAAACGTAAGTTCACAGTGGAAAAGCAAATCGACGCGAGATATATCTTGTTCCGGACAGCGGAAATGTTACCTTGTTCACAATGAGCTTGGGCAGTCTCTGGAAATGCTCCCGAACCGCGGTCCGGACCTCCACCGCCAGTTCCGCCTGGATGACACTCAGGGGTATATCTTGGCAGTCCTTTGTCGATGCGCAATCTGCAAGAACGCTCAGGAAATCGTCATAAATCGAGCGCGCAGTTGTTTTCGCCTGAATTGCCGCCGGGTCTTTAGGTGGTCTTCCGCGGGGCGCTACTGGACCATTCAGAATCAAAGAGATCAGATTTCTGATGATAGTTTCTCCATGTTCCTTGTGCAGAATGAGATCAAGTGGGTCCGCGTTCTTGTCCTCCTTGTGCTGGACTTCCGGAGTACTCGCTTGATTGACATCAATGTCCATATTATGTTCTGGTGCCGGGCGCGCTTGATCTGAGTTAGATATGGTGGCAGTGCTGACCTCCTTGTAGAGAAAGAGTTCAAGCGCTTTAAACACGATGATACGAGTTTGGCTCATGATGCGGACCGCCTCGCTGATGCGTTCCGCGACGATCTTGGTCTGGACTACGTTCAGCTTCGTCGCGCGATGCAGACATCCTGTGATCGACCCTGCAGTCATTGTGAGAGCCTTGAAAGCCTCCCCGAACAGGCGCTTAGTCAGGTTAGCTCCAGCTCGCCTCTCCGCTTTTTCACCATTCTCCCCGTCCTCCTTGGACATCGTCTTGGTTTCACTCGCAGCCTTAGGATTGTCATCCATGCTTCCGTCCTTCTTCTTCCGCGGGCGCGGTTCCTCGATGGACATCTTTTCCAATGCGATCTTGCCGACCGGGCATGACTGGCTGACGTCCATGACAACGTGAGGGGAATAACGAGGGTTGGCATATCCGTTCCTGCTTTTGTACCTAAGGGACAATCCCAAAAATTAAAAAAAAAAAAAAAAAAAAAAAAATATCAATAAGATGATTGTATCAAAGCGACAAAGCTGTAAAAGGTCGTAATGAATTTGAACCCGCTAACAAAGTCATACGACAATCATACCTGCTTCGTCTCCATTTCGCCTTCCGGACTTTCTTACGTCTTGCTTTGCCTTTGGGACGTCGCTTTCTCCGTTGCTGGGCGTTCCCTTTCTCGTGTCTGCGGCGACGGCGTCGGGCCTGAAGAATCGTCTGCAGGCTGTGTTGGACAAGGGAAGAAAACGCCAAGCCTGCAGAAGTATCGCTGGCGAGTGTGTCGGCTGGAGGATTTGTCCGCAAGGTTCGAGTCATATTTCTCCTTTGCAGCTTGCACTTCTCGAGCTTCTGGAGTATGCCCAGTATTCTCTCGTGGGTCGTGCACGATGGCGTAGCAGAGTCAAGATAGTCCTCACGTACTTGAACAAAAGCCAAAATGGCGTGGGTGTAGTCGTCCACACTCTTGTTTTGTCCTCCTCTCGCCCGTTGCAAATACTCTTGGATTAGCTCCTTGATAATCTCAGCCCCAGTCGTCTTGGATCCTGGCGCGTCCATTGTTGATCCATCGCCTGCTCTGGTCTCGGTCCTCATCTCTCGGATGATCTTGATATTTCTTTGGAAGCCGTGCCACGGGAGTGCCTTGGAGTAGTCGTTCCCAGTAATGATTGATGCCAGCAACAGCTCACGGTCGCATGCGAGGTCCAGAGACCCGAGCAGGTCAGCCTTCTTGTACGTGGTAAGCTCTCGGTACTTTCCGACGGGTATAGTGATTTCTCTAACACCTTGATATACCATCATATCATTGTCGGCGGTAATGATTGCGAGGTCGTCTTCGTTGTTATCAGCTTGATACAACTCGGCAATGTGCGTGTCTGCTTGGAAGGGACATTCGCAGGTGTGCCACTCCAAGGTCTCCAGCACATTTCTTATGTCTGCCAGCGCTGCCTTGGATGTCTTGTACGCGTTTCGACATTGCTTGTACAGGGGACCCAAAGAGCCGCTGTTTTTTCCTATGGCATTGTCAGCTCGCTCCTCCAGAGTCTTGATCCGGTTGCTGAGGGATATGGCCCGATTTTGTCGCTCCTGGGACTTTTGTATCGAGGCCTTTCCGTCAAAGTGTAGAACCGTGGTTGATTTGCTAAAGTGCTTTGACATGATTTTGTTGAGATCGTGCACTATATGGCCGTAATTCTGTGACTAGAGATGAGGCAGGATCGAGGGATGAAACAACAGAACATGTGTCAGCACTTGGTTGCTATGCTGCGTAAGCTAATACGAAACCATTGGCACATTTAATTACCTGCTCTGTTATTCCAGGTCGGTCTGGTGTCAATCGTTCGTTAGGGCCAATGAACAGTGCAGGATGTTGCGCCCCGGCAGCCTGCACCTCGCTCGCATAACTAGGGCATGCCTTTCCTCGCTTGAATGGAGCCTCGGAGGAACTCAGGGCGCGCTTCTTGATGTTGCTTCTCCTGCTAGTGCTGGCGTCTGCAACAGAAGGCGCGTCTTGCGCTGCTGAGGCTGTGGAGACTGCGGGGGCTGTGGGAACTGCGGGGGCTGTGGGCACTGCGAGAAAAGTTGCCGTTGCTGTTAGGATAGAAGCCGCTGATGCGCTGGTAGTTGTCGTAACCGTTGCCTCAGCTCTCGCTTCCTTGGCGACTCTGTTACACGTCGCTTTGAAGGTCCTTGTTTGCAAGAATCCAAGTACAGACTTAGGACACCGACATGAACTTTCTTGCTCTGCAGATCATAAGCTAGCGTTCCTTTGGTGTCTTTTATAGCTTTGGGTAGCCCAGTGACTCCCATCTGGTACGATAAAGGCCAAGTCAAAGTAGACAGTTAATGAGGATCAAATTTGGTACATGTATCCATTTGCAGAAGCATTCAAGACTCACGTTGAGAATATGCGACAGTGCTTGAGAGCTGATAAGGGAGTAGATGAGGAAAGGAGTGGGGTCAAGGATGTGCGGAATGATGTTTCTTTTAAGGCCCCGAAATCTACGTCCAAAATGTGTGTATGTTCATGCACTATGCTATAGAAATTGCAGTGTTCACGCTGATTATCGATTATTTCATTCGCATCTAACAGTGATTGATCACTGTTCTCATAAACCACCTAGACTGAGGCGGCGAAAAACTGCTGTAGGATAATGTATTTCGCGTCAGGAGTGGGCCGACGAGAAAATAATGGCGCCATAAGCTTCTATACTGTAATGAAGGCAATCATTAAAGACACCTTTCTCCTTATTCAGTCGAGGGGAATATGCTAAATCACATGATTTAGCCCAAAAGTAAGGCTGCTCTCTTCAACTGCTTGCGAAAGGGGGGAGTGTGCAATCGATGGAACTACGGTACATGTAGTGTGCAGTAAGCATACCAGTTGCTCAATTACAATTGCGCGCTTTCTTTCCCCACAAACAAGTCTCTCCCTTTCTTAATACGCCTTTTCCCTCCCTCTCTTTCCCTCTCTCTTTTCCTCTCTCTTTCCTTTTCTATTCACCCGCCTTCTCACAACTGCAGATTACAAATGGCCCATCATTCCAGATACATATGCGCCTGTGTATACTAAAAGAACGTACATAGTAATATATATGGCATGGCACTGACTCTGATGAACATACGACACACAATAAAATTATTTTACCAAACTGTGATCTATCCCTTACTCTGTACTATGCAGCTCGCGGAAGAGATCCACGTTTGATTCCACAAGGAACTTGGGAGACTTCTGGTCCCATGTGCGCATGCTTTCGACAATGAACCAGTCCTCTTTTCGGATGAAATTCCTCGCCACAAGATCTAGCTTGCACCCGATACGTCGCCTGGAAGAAGCATCATATTCAGTTTTTCTATTCTTATTCCTCCGGAGCGTAGATTCGATACCAGCCTTTTCGCCATCGACCATTAGAATCCCATTCACATCGTCCAATAGCTCTTTTAGGAGTGGCCATGACGTTCATGCCCAATAAGCCTCCGAGAGATTGTCTGCAATAAACGGCGAGGGGTCCTTCTTGTAAATCCGAGCCCTGCAACGAAGAGATTCAGAGACAAGACACGATGTTATTCAGAAGCTCAAAAAAAAAGGAAGTAAGCAAGTATGTCATAATAAAGAGAACAACAAGCGACCTTGCCGCTGATGTAATAACAACAGTAGCGCCAGCTGTCGATAGCCTTACCACTTCATGCATGTTGTCATCGCTAGCTCGCAAGTGAACCTGTCATGCTCAGGTAAAGGAATTTTGGAAACATGATCGCCTTCCAACATTGCTCGTCGCACCTGCTTCAGATACTCAGTGGTAGTGACTGGCGGATGCGGTAGGGTGAACTTGTTATGAGCTTGCAGCTCACGCCATTCTTTATCTGTAAAGAGTGCTTTGGTCGACTTGCAGTCAAAGTCAATTGTACATGAGCGGAATCTAGATGAAATCGGTAATTTGTTAGTTTGACGTGCAATACAATGATCTGGTTCTGTAGCATGCCAGTATGCTTCATTACTCACGCCACAGGTGCACTTTCCATTAAGCTGGCGTTAAACATCACATCTTCTACTGTACGCCCCGACTGCAGCTTCCAAAAGCGAGCACGATCAAGACTTTGGAAGCGCTATTTTGAATTGCCATTAGAATAGCGTAAGCAGACACAGTTACTTACATGACAACACGGAATAAAATTCTAATCTCACCTGTTGGCGTCGACCAAGCTTTGCCTTGCTACAGGTCGCATGCTGTCCAAGCGGCCATGATGTTGATGGCGATGATAATGATGATGATGCCACCGGTGATAGTGCTGATGCTGACGCTACCTCCGCCTCATTCAGGCTATCATATAGCAACGCGTCCAGATCGTCATCATTTTTGTCCTTGTCTCCAATGTCTCGTACTAGCCAAAATTCTTCAGACCGATCATCACCATCATCGCTGTTGACATCCTTAGTTTCTTGGACTTTGCGGGCTCGCTTTGAGGACTTAGTTCGAGAAGTTGTTGCATCAGTTGTTGTTCCTGATCCCGTCAGATCTGATAGATGAGGGTTTAGCCCAGAGGCTATCACACCCAGCTTGACTTCAGTATGCTTGATGACAGCCCCTGTTACAGTAGCAAATGTTCTGTCCACTGTGTCGACGGCATCATTGACATTTCGACGTGCAATGTCCTCAAAGCGCTTAGTTGTAGCCTGACGAAAACTGACAAACCAACTATCAAATGATTTAAATTGAAAACAATTCGTTACTTCAGTATATCATAATGCAACCTGTACTCAACTTAGTACCTTGAATACACATAACGCACTTGAACAGCTGCAATCAAATCCATTGCCCATTTCGATAGCTTGTCTGATTTGTTTTCGAGCTTTATGTGATTTGCAGATTTCTTCAGCGCGTCAGCCAAAGCGCCTTTCTCGTTCATCTTGAATTGTACAGCGAATGCAACCCAAAGATCTGTCCAAGGCATACGTCGCCTGTCCATGAGAAAATTGCGCTGGAGTTCGTGAGTTGAGGACTGACTTTATGCTTGACTATTTGAGTTGAAATCAATATCAGCAGAAAAAATAGCTTACTCAGAAGCGTGCAAGCAAACAAAAGGTTTAGCTTTGGACGTACTATTATGAATTTGACGTGGACAATACTATCCTCCAAGCGGAGCTTCGGACCACATGGGTGCAGAATTAACATGAGGAAAACAAGTGGGATCGAAATATTAGTGCTTATCAAATGATGGACCTCATTGCCTTCTTGGAAGAAAGAAGAAATGGAAGAAAAGAAAATGAGGACAGAGCCCTTGCTACCATTGGATCACACCCAACCGTCGCTAGGCGCAAGGGGCGTCAAAGCAGCCTCTCTGTCAACGAACACTACGGTCGATGGTGCCAGGCACATGGCCACAATTCATCACCTGCATACTTGTTAACCAGTGGAATGCCACAGCAGAGATCTGAGCTGTACGAATTTATGCTTTTCCAACACGTGCTGGAGGCAAAACAGGCGCGAGCTGCATGTAAAATGGTCTCAAACCTTTTGACCGCTTGTGAAAAACAGACATTCAGCAAGCGATATACAAGAAAGGAGTAGGGCTATTGCTTGTTAACACTTCACCGACTCACCATTCCTCCCATGTTTCCATTGTCAACCATTGCACTGCAATTTAACAATCAGTTTATTGCTTGGGACCTTAGAACTTCCTCAAAGCTGTTAAAAAAAACAATATTGCGGAAGTTGTGATCAGAGAGGTTGATCTTACGTGCTGAAAGGACTAGCCCTAGCCCTGTCTTACTGAACAATCGCTCTGATTCAGTAGATGTTGCCTGAGTGCACAGGTATGAACGCGCTATTGTTGTTAGTACTGAAGATTCGGAATAGCTTTCGCGTTCCTGCCAATAAGTCTGAGGAGTACCCATTCAGCGGCCTCCGGGTTCGCTTTAACCTGGGGACTATAGGCTTCCACCGCAAACGTTGCTTGCAGTTTTAAGAAAGCCATACTGAGTTTGTCTGGTTGACTGGCCCGCTGCCCTGATCCGCTCTGCTGTCTTGATTTTTCCTCCATCAATAAAACTTGAGCCTCTATCGCCAGGTTTTTTGCTTTGTCTCAGAGACAGTCATCACTGTTATCGTGAGGTCCAGCATGGCGACTGACGCACAAGCGGGGTTGAGAAATATCGCAAGAAGCATGACTTCTGGGATGTTTTTGAGGGGCGACGAGCCCTTGATCAATGCGTCCAGATTCCGACGCAATTCTTACGCCTGTTCCGTGATCAACGAGTCGGGCGCCGAGATCAGACTGTGAATCCCGGGATAGATTTGCGAAATTGTTGAGTTGTCGACTTGAGCTGTCCAATGTGTGAATGGCCACATGGTGTAAAGAGGGTGAGGATTTCTTGAAGAGCCGCGATCTACTCGCTGAGCATACTTGGGCCGAACTCCGCGGCTCTCGCTTTTTCATCCGTTGTTCCTGTTTTCATTTTGTTGAAAGCTGCAGTTACTCCGTCAATGATTTGGAGAACTTTTGTTGCCATGCTGTAGTGTGAATTCCATCGTGTTGCATTCACTGAAAGCAGTTTGTACTGTCATTCGTAGAGTCTGTCATGTTCCTTGTTGAGGACATTCATCGCAACGCTGCTGCCTCTAAAAAATGTCGAGATCTCCTAACACTTGTCAATCACCGCTTTAGCTATCTAACTTTGATTCAATGCCTTGTTGATGGATAGCTGTATCTTGTGGGACGAACAGGGGATCTAGCTAATGTCTGCGTGCTTCCGATAAAGTTCCATTATTTTTTTTTTATGTTCGTTCCTTGATCCGTTGCTCCACAGACCAGTCTCTTTTCCAAATCCCACCTGTTGATAATAGTCTCTATAGTATGAAGTTCAAGAAGAGCAATAAACGTTTAGTTCTCACATACACAATAGGCTAACGGAGCTGAAACAGTATTATACTTACCAAGCCTTCCCAGTAGGTTTTCTGCCGTTTGACTCGTTCCGCGCCATTGATCGCTGAAGCCATCTCATATTGAGGCGCCAGAAAATTAAGCGCGACTCCGAAGAGCTTCCTTTGATCTATACTTGTCCAGCCGTCCGCGGTCGTAGCACCATGAACTACATGTTGATGAACGTAGTTTTTGATGTGAAGCCTCTGGACCCTAACTGCCGCATCTAGTTTTTGTTGCGAGGAATCGGTGCTTGGGACCTGGTATAATGGGTTGAGTTGCCTATATATACTCCTAAAGATATCCGGGTCGATTAATCCGAAGATCGATTCCTAGATAGCGATGGGTTTTATGAGTAAGTTGTCGAAGTTGTCCTTTTCATTTGGAAGTGATTGCTTCATGTTCTTAAGAACAATTCGTCCCAAGCTGTTTCGAATCTCGAGTTCTTTGGTGTAAAGGGTATCTCGTCGTCTTCCTGCTCCTGTGGTAGTTCAATGCCCTGGGCCATACATTGATAGGTGCGGAATTCGTGGAAGGCGTCATCCAACGCGGAATGCTGGTTGGTGATGTGGTTTGTTCGTGCTTTGCCGCCCCCTGACTTGCATCGTTGTTCACAGATATCACCAGAGTCATTCACAACCTGGCATTGAAACTCCGTATCTAGGTACGAGTTGTAGAAATGGCCCAGAGTGCTGCTCTTGCGCGAGGACTTCGGTCTTGGGACCTTCGCTAACAGTCTTTGCGACGGAGGTGCGTCGTCGCATTGTTCAGGCTTGGGTATGGTGCTAAGTTCGAGGGATTAATATAACCGATACCATCGGTCTGGTGCGCTATGACTGTCTCGTACGTCACGTCGACGCTGTTCAAAAGAATTTGCTGCAGGGAGAGCTGTATCTGGTGCGGGAAAGGGTGAAACATTGGCGAGGTCGCAAGAGGATGAAGGAGGCACACGCGAGCGGGAGGGTGAAGCAGGTGCTTGGTAGAGCATGCGTTGAGCGAAGGGGGAGTTGGGACGAGCGCTATGCACACGTCTATGCTGCGTAGTGTCGGATGAGGTCCTTGTGGAGGCAGAACTGGAGCAAGCTTGCAACTCCCGATAATGACTGAAGCTCACATGTAACTGCCCATGCCGAGGTGGCAGTGGAGTGGGCTGCAATACGCGCTGTTTGATGAATGTGTTCTTGTTGAAGCGATTGTGGGGTTTGTGGTGTACCGGGTTGCGTGGAAGAGGAGAGTGAGCCGAATAGATGAGGAGATGAAATTGAACGGTGAAATCTTGCCGATTTGACATTTAAAGGCGGTTGTTGCTACACTGCAAGAGAAGGAGAAGGAGTTTTGGGGGGCCCTCTTTTGCCGCGGCAGGACGTAGCATAGATATTGGCCTCGCTCCTTGCAGACGCTTCCAGCGACTGCTGTGTTGTGATTTCCACGTCTTCTGGCGCGTCCTAGACTTCATATGACCCACCACAAAGTTGGTCTTGTGCAAGGCTGTTGTAATCGGAGGATTATAAACCTTCTCCGCATGTACGCTGATAGCGTCGGGTCGAGAGAGTCTACAGAAGCAATGAAGCGCGCAAAAAACGTGTTAGCAATAAATTTGGGGCCAGCAGATTTCGGGCAGCATTTGGGGGATATCGAGTTACAGACTTACAGGTGATAGCCTTGCAGAAGGCCCACTGTAACTGTCCTTGCTGACCACTAGATGTTCGTCCTCGTCATGGTAATCATCGTCGACATCGTCAACATCGTCGTCAAAAGGGAAATCATTGTCATCTTCGTTCTGATTAGCCATTGTAAAATATGTCTGAAGTGGAGAATTGCGTGTGTTGTGTGAAAAAGGTGGCAAAAAGAGTTTTATTGAGAATGGACTAAAGACATGCTTCTACATTTCCCCCAGCACGTGCTGGAAAAACTTCTTTTTATCAGCTCATGACACCGCTTTTTGTTCCTCATTGAAAATAAAATTAGCTTGAGCGTCAGCATCAACTTCAGACACCGGTCGATTTTTGTTCGATCAGTCTTGGTTCTTGGGGGGGATGTGATCACCACTTGAACCCAGTGATAAATGCCGTTGCTTAATGCCATCTTATACATCGCCATTTCGTGTCCTCTAAGGCTTTGAAGACCCTCACTCCCTCTTGCCTGATATTTCTTTGGCCGATCTTCATCTTTGTTGGGCTTGCGACTATTCTTTTCTCTGATCATTTCGTCTTTGGTGCCCTTAACGCGCTCGAGGGCCGCTAGTCTGTCCCAGCTGCTACCGAATTAACCATTACACCGAATTTTTACGCTTTCTGGTAGGCGATAGGGTAACATTGTTCTCGAACCTCCTCACAACAGTGCGAGGTGTTTCGGCCTCCGGTCGTTCGAGCCCCAGCTCCAGTTTGGCCTTAGAAACTGCCGTTACATGTCGATCCTTCGACCTGCGCAACTTCGGGCCCTGCTCCTCCAGATGATGCTAGATCACAGTAGACACATTGGAAAAAAAATCATGAGAAGTAAATCCGGTTCTGGATGAAGCCGAAAATTCTTTTTAATGAATACGTACCACATAATTCCAGATGATGGCTAAGGAAGGGGAGAAGAGGAACTCCAAAAGGTCTCCTTCTGTGGACGGAAGATGGACAAGATGACGGGTGGCCTTGCCCGCCACTGCTACGTTCCCCATTTGCACCACCTGGTAAAAAACAGCAACATATCCTGTACGAGGAATGTGAAGGAAAAGGATCAAGCCCTAGCATTGATACGCACATCAGGTATATAAAAAAAAAAAAAAAAAAAAACGTACCTGAAACGTCTGCCATCAACACCGACGGCGCCTCAACCCCAAATGCCGCACGAGCTTCCAGCAGGCACCGGCCAAGACGAATATTCTTCCTGTTTTGGACGCCCAACTCAGTCTGACTGATATTTGGTTTTTTGAACTCAATATTGGAGAGTTCAATGTCTCCGAACATGAAAAGGCAGTCCGTCTTGCGGCCACTATCCGAGGTATCCCCAAACTCTGCAGACTGCATTTGGCGCATAGTCTTCGAAGCCAACATGACCTTCTCGCCACTAGGATTCATGCCGGAAGTAAATGGTATTAGAATACATATCTCTTTTGCTCACTAATTTTGAGGGCCGAGCACTCTACTTACGTGTGAATGGTTATCTTCTTGACAAGCACAGAGAAGATAGAGACCCACAACGCTAAGACGTCGTTCTCTGAGGGTGTCGTTTGCCCAAACGGTGGTTGGATCACAAACTTACAGCTATGACCGAGATTTTCGCGTCAGTAAAGCCGCACATGGTTCACGGAAAAATAAGCAAGCGTTCGTTTTGAAAGGAACGTGGCTAATAATAGCAAGACACAACAACTTACAGCAAGATGAGAACTTGGAGGGTTCTATCTTCAATGTCTGCAGCGGCAGGTATGGTGTTCTCGTCCAAGAACTCTGAACTTAATTTGCCCCAATCCGCCGCCAGACGCCTTAGTAGATGATGGACCCCCTTCTCTACAAGTGCGCCCTCGTATTTTTTCAGAATGGCAATCGCAGGGTGCACGTCGATGTGCTTGACCTCACACATTGCTCGCGCGCTGTTAAGGAGGTCAATGTCCATTTGATTAAAGAATGTGTATGCATGTCCAGACATGGTGTTTATCACGCAGGACATCGCCACTCTATTTCCAGGAAAGCAATCGTAGCTTAATTCCACCATGCCATATGTGCTTCGAAAAGTAAACGGTATATGCTGATGTTTCAACTTACTGCGCATTTTTGATATGTATAATGTCTTTTTCCTGGCTGTCCTGTTCCTGAATTTTTTTCAAAGAATCCACAGCGTGTTGAAACAAAAGAGCGTGCACGGAGGGCATTGTTGGACATGGACGTGGATATACGATGTTCTTCTCGCCATTAACCTAACGATCATATATTCGCAGATTAATCAACGTGAAGATTGTCAAGTTCCCAAAGCCAGACATACATTGCTTACGATTTTTATCAAGCAGCGCATAAGCGATTGCAAAGGCTCCTCGGCCTCGAAAACACTGTTTTTTCTCTTTCGTGTCGGTGTAGTTGCTCCAATTGACGAGGCGGATGGCGATGTCGGAGATGGTGCTGAGGATGTGGAAGACGATGAACACGGCGAAGATCTTGATGGCTCTGCAACGGCTGTCGATATTGGTGGCAGTCGTGATACGGGGCGTATCATCAATGTTGCGCTTGGAGATAGTTCTTTTACAATTGTATGGAGTAAGGAAACTCCCAATCTGAATGCTCGAATAATTTGTGTTCCACACTGAATACAAGGGTCTGACGCACAACTACGCACACTGTAGCGAGTGATCAGCACAACGGTCTTCTTGTTCAACTGGAACCGTAATTCATTATTGATATATCTAAGCAAAAGGTACCTGTAGCGAGTGATCAGCACAACGGTCTTCTTGTTCAACTGGAACAAGGAACAAAAGACCGCTGGCTTCGATCCTCCTTTTATACAGGCACAACCCCAAAACCTAATATCAAATCCTGCGTACCCTCGGTGGCTGCTGGCCAACATTATTCGAGATCGCTGTGGTATTGTTGTTGTTGGTGTTGTTGGCCAGCAGCCACCGAGGGTACGCAGGATTTGATATTAGGTTTTGGGGTTGTGCCTGTATAAAAGGAGGATCGAAGCCAGCGGTCTTTTGTTCCTTGTTCCAGTTGAACAAGAAGACCGTTGTGCTGATCACTCGCTACAGGTACCTTTTGCTTAGATATATCAATAATGAATTACGGTTCCAGTTGAACAAGAAGACCGTTGTGCTGATCACTCGCTACAGTGTGCGTAGTTGTGCGTCAGACCCTTGTATTCAGTGTGGAACACAAATTATTCGAGCATTCAGATTGGGAGTTTCCTTACTCCATACAACTGTAAAAGAACTATCTCCAAGCGCAACAATAATATGAAGAGAAGAGCATATTATCCGAGGGAGCCGACCTATAATGTGTCACTTCTTTTCTTTATTTTCTGCACCGAAAATCTAAAGCAAATAGACAAAGGAAAAAAAGAAAAACAAAAACAAAACTACTCGGATGCTCTGGATACACCTCATCTTCTTTGCTTGAGCGAGAGAACGATGGCGACTGGGGAGTGGTGAGGAGGGACATTATAGGTCGGCTCTCTCGGATAATATGCTCTTCTCTTCATATTATTCGAGATCGCTGTGGTATTATCACAGCTGGAGCCGACCTATAATGTGGATCCAGAGCTTTTACTGAGTGTTATCTCAGTAAAATTGGACCTGGTCCTACTCGCGAGACGGTAAAAATTTTGGAACGTGTCGGGAGAGGACCAATTTCCGTGTGCAATGATGTCGTCAATAGACATACCCGACTCGGCGGCGATGGTAGATCCAATGGCTCGGGGCTTGACACGACGGGTGGGGCGTTCAACCTCAGGTATCAAGGTCGAGATCGAATCCATGTGATTGGAGATGGTTTGCATAGAGACAGCTGCATGTAGGCGAAGAGTATTACGAATGAAAGGGCAGATTGTAAAATTCTTGTCCTTGGGATGCGGAACCGTCACTGGGTGATCCTTGATACGCGAGGTGTAGAACTGATAAGCAGCCAAGGGGCAGAGTTTGGGGTCAGAGTTGGCGGATATATACACCACCTTCTCAATCCTCTTGCCCTTGCGTCTCTCCTTAGGAAGAAGAACAAAGAGCTTCAAGTACCGCTTGTCAAAGGTCGTCTTGTTGATGTCAACGCAATGAATGTCGTCCGCGCGGAGGAAGCTACAAATGTCCAGGAGCCAGCAAAGTTTGCGCGTCAACTGGACTAGTGCCATATCGTCATTGTTGGGCAGCGATTGCAAGTAGGCAAGTGCAGGCGAGATGTCCAGGCAACCGATTTCTGCGGGCTTTATGTCCGTAGCCTTCAGCGCAGCGATATAATCTTTGTAAACCATGCTCTCCGTGATTGGCGATCGATCGCTGAACAGGTCTAAAATTGTGGAGCGTTTAGCGAGGACGGTGGTCGGCTTCCAATCTCTTGTGCGGCGTTGGTGGGCGAGATAGTTGATGAGGAGGGCTGGATCTGGGTGAAACGGGTCCTCATCCCGCTCTTGTGCCCATCGGATGTAGACTTGTTGGGTAGGACCGTAAGCGACGTGTCGGCGTTGGGCTTGTGGCGAGTCCAATATCGTATGTGACGCGTCTGAGCTGAGTCCTATTTCCGAGTATAGGCGCCGCTTACGCGCCATGCCTGGAGCCTCGAATGCGGGTTCTTCTCGAGCACGTTTGGTGCCGCGCCCGGAGGCGAAAGTACTGCATTTCTGGGGATCGTGAGAGGGTCCTCGATTGCCATTGAGAGAATTGTCGGATACCAAATCGCACTGGTCCATGCCGGTGCCACTATTGTCGCCTCTAATTTCTCCAACTGAAGTTTCTGGAGAATCTGTGGGATGAGATTCCAAGGGGGACAGATGTAAAGGTTGCCCAGTTTGGTCCATGGTCGTTGGAGGGCGTTGAAGTTGAGCGCTTGGGGGTGAGGTTTCCACGTCATGAATTGGGGAAGCTGGGCGTTCCTAGGAGAGGCAAATAGGTCGATCGAGTGAGGGCCCCATATTGAATCCAGCGTTTGGAAGAATGAGCGGTCGATACTCCACTCTAGTTGGGTCATCAGCCTCCTGGATGGTGCGTCCACTGGGTTGAAGGCTGAAGGAACGTATGTCGTTTGGAGTCTGGTTCCTGTTGTCAAACAATGGCGCCATAGTTGATCCGCCAGGTCCATCAGTTGCGGGGAGCGGGTCCCGCCGAACCGTTGGATGTGAGCCAGGGTCGTCATGTTGTCGCATATTATGTTCAACGTCTTCCCTTGCAGTTGTGGTAATCGAGTCGCCAGTAGGACTGTCCTGAGTTCCTTGCAATTGATGTGTTCCATAGATGTGGAGGGTGACCATTGCCCGGCAAATGTCGAATCGTTGTACACAATGCCCCATCCCTGATCCGAGGCATCGGTGTAAACGTCTATCTGAGCCCGTTGAGGGAGCCAGCTCAATCCGTTCCAATGCTGAAGGTTGTCGATCCACCATGTTAGGTTGTCCTTGGCTTCCTGAGATAAGGGGATCTTGTCTGTCACGAACCTATGCTTATTCAGAGTCAAGATGAACTTCTTAAGCGTGGCAGGACAGAACAAGGGGGAGGAGATGCAGTTTGGGAAATAGGGTCAAGAAAGCGTAGATATATTGAAGTTGCTAGATAAGGAATAAAAGATACAGAACTACGGGATATATATATATGTTTCTCATTGCCTTCGTGTAACGGTCGTACGCGTTGCCAAGAGTCGACCGATCACTTGCCAAGTATCGATCGATCGTGTCGTGGCACGCGACATTGTCCTTCCAACCGGATCCGGCACGCAGAGCGCTGTTCTTGATTTGCATGAGACGCTGGCACATCAGACGTGCTGGAAAGACGGCGGCGGTCATTGCCATGTCCTTGCCGATGAACGAACTTAAAGCTTTTAATGAGCTGACGCCGTTGTTCCTGAGTTTGCGCGCTTCGCGACGGATATCTCGAACCTTGTGACGGGGGACGGAGAGAGTCATGGATCTGCTGTCTATTGTGAACCCCAAGTGCTCGATGACCTGAGTGGGCTCCAAGGTGGATTTTGCTTCTTGCAACAGGATTACCACTCGGTTACCAAGCTGCACGGTTACGACACACAGAGCCAGGATGGGAGCCCGGCATCATGACAACACCACTACGACACTGTACAATAGGCCCCAGACATGTATATATAGACCCTACTTACGATCATTAAACAGCATTCATTTCTACGCATTCCTACTTGACCACTGCCCTTGACCCCTTGACTCTGCTGCTGTTGCACTTCTTTTATCAAGAAGCCTAGTGATTTTAGCCGTCCCAGGACCATCTGGGTGTGTTGAGCTGCCTTGGGCTTGGAGGAGGCGATTATCAGAAGATCGTCCAGGTATGCGGAGATGCGGATGCCACGGCGGCGTGCCCATTTGAGGACTAGGCGTAAGACCTTGGTGAACACCAACGGGGAGAGAGAGAGGCCGAATGGGAGTACTCTGAATTGGTACCTCTGTCCCTTCCACTGGAACTGTAGGTAACGACGAGATGAGGGATGGATTAGAATGTGAAGGAAGGCGTCCGAAAGATCTATGGAGGTCATGTAATCCTTTTTGGTCATAAGTGAGCAGACGGTCTTTACTGTTTCCGTTTTGAAGTATCGCTCTGGCAGGTACTGGTTCAGTTTCTTCAGATTCAGACATGAGCGGAGGTCTCCCGTCTTCTTGGGTACTAGGAAGAGCTGACTGGAAAACCCGGTGTTCGATGTGGCCGTCTCGATGGCTTTCTTTGTGAGTAGAGCCAGGATCTCCTTCTCGATGATCTCCGTCTCCTTCTGGGAGAGTCTTGTTGAGCCTATTGACGAAGATGACAGAGGGGGTGGCGTAGAAAATGGGATCCTGTAGCCCTGTGAGATCGTTTCTCAAATCCATTTTTCGTCCGTTAGGAGGGTCCACGAGTGTTGGTACAGTGCCGTTCAAATTTTTACTCGGAGAGCTGATACTCACAAACTAGCGATCGGATTACCTTGAGACTTTGTAAAAATGTTCTTTGGCCATTGCAGAAGACCTTTATAAAAGTTGAAGTCGGTACCAGCAACCGTTATAAAGTTATAGTCGTTGGTAGAGGCCACATCATTGGCTCAGTTTTGAACCATACCCGTAAAAAAATACTAAACGTAGTGTTATAAATATTTTTACATAAACAATGGATCGCTTTCTTTTGCAAATAGTTACACCTTTCTACGGTACATCATTCTGCCAAAAATGAGGCCGATCCCTCCACTCAAGGTCAAGGAAGCTATAAGCCTGATGATGGATAATGTTTCGACTCGGGAAACCGCTCGTCGACTCGATATTTCGCAAAGAGCAGTCGCAAGGACCTATTCCGCCAATAAGGAAAAGATGCCGATCAACAAGGGAGGCCGTCCAAGAAAGATTGGCAAGGAAACTATCGAGTTTCTCAAGCTAAACCTGAAGAGAGGAATTTTCCGGAGCGCTGTCGACGCCAAGAATCGAGCAAATGCTATTCTTCCGGAGCCTGTTTCCGTTACGACAGTTCGACGACGTCTGAGTGAAGCTGGATTGATTGCCAAAAAGAATGTCAGGAAGCCAAAGCTCACCAGAAAGCACATAAGAGGGCGAATTACTTTCATGCACAAGTACAAGGAGTGGACCGTCGACGACTGGGCCGAAGTGGTGTTCTCCGATGAGTCCAAAATCAACCGGATTTGCTCGGATAGCATGCAATGGGTGTGGGATGACGCGCCAGGGGCAGTAACGGGCCGAACTGTGGAAAGTACCGTCAAGTTTGGTGGAGGGAACGTCAAGGTGTGGTCCTCTTTCTCATGGCACGGGCCTGGATATATCACGATGATTGACGACACTTTGGACTCCCAGCTGTATATCCAGATTCTGCAAGAGGATTTGAAGATGTCTGTGGAGGAATGGGGCATGGCACAGGACGAGTTTATCTTCCAGCACGACAACGATCCCAAGCACACCGCCAAGGTCACCAAGCAATACCTCAAGTCCGCCAATCTGACTGAGGAGGACGGACGCTTGCTGTTCTGGCCGGCACAGTCGCCCGACCTCAATCCGATCGAGAATATGTGGGCGTACCTCAAGAAACAGCTGGCAAAGTACCGGGAACCGCCGAAAAGTTGTAAAGAGCTATAGGAGCGCATCTCGAAGGAATGGTACAACATTCCTAAGGAGTACTGCCAAAACCTTATCAGCAGCATGCCCAGACGGCTTTGTGCCCTTCATAGGGCTAAGGGAAAGCACACCAAGTACTGAAAAAGATGAGTTTTTTAATAAAAATGGAAATTTTGTGGGTATGGTTCAAAACTGAGCCAACCACGTGGCCTCTACTGACGACTATAAATTTACAATGGCTACTGGTAACGACTTCATCTTTTATAAACGTCTTCTACAATGGCCAAAGAACATTCATACAAAGTCCCAAGGTAATCGGATCACTTGTTTGTGAGTACCAGCTCTCAGAGTAAAAATTTGCAAAACATTGGCTCAGTTTTGAACGGCACTGTATAGGTATAGCCGTCCACCTACTGAGGGTTGGTTGTCTGCCCTCGGCCGCGGCCCCGACCGCGTCCCCTGTATGTGTTGCCTTGGGCTTGCTGAAAATTTTGGTTAACGTTGTCTGGCTGTTGGGAGAATGACTGCTGCTGCTGTTGATATGGCTGCTGAGAGTCCGAAGTTTGGTAACTCTGAGAGTGCTGAGTGTTGTTATTCCGATTGTTGCCGGACCGACCCCTTCCACGTCCTCGATTGTTGGAGAGAAGGCTGTTCCTGACGCTGTTGAGGAGTTTCTTGCGTTCCAGGAGCGAATTGGTGTCCACAATGGCTGGACGTGTGCTTTTCTTGGATAGCATACCAAGTCCGTGTGCTCTTTCGAGATTTTGGACACGGGTCTCGTTGACTGTGTGGCTAACTTTCTGTAAGAGACGGCGCATCTGATCGCCGAAGGTGAGGAGTTCGTCTGATTGCATGTCGTCATAACGGTCATCGGTCAGAGTGTCGAGCATGAACTTGTCGATAGGACGGGTGAGTTAGGCCAATTGGGCTTGGATCGAAGCCAGCTCACTGTCGAAGTGCTGTCGTGCTTTCTGGTGGTCAGGTGCAACAGCAGCAGAGTCAAGGGGTCAAGGGCAGTGGTCAAGTAGGAATGCGTAGAAATGAATGCTGTTTAATGATCGTAAGTAGGGTCTATATATACATGTCTGGGGCCTATTGTACAGTGTCGTAGTGGTGTTGTCATGATGCCGGGCTCCCATCCTGGCTCTGTGTGTCATAACCGTGCAGCTTGGTAACCGAGTGGTAATCCTGTTGCATCAGGCCAAGGGACCTCAGTGATAGGCGGAACGGTGTATTTTGGCAGCTTATTTCTAGGACATGACGCGAGAAGTTGGTCGAGCTCTTCTTTCTCATCGTCTGCACCACCGCTTTCAGGGGTAAAGAAATGTTTTCCGTCCAAAGATGGGCATAGCGTGAGGAGACGCTGATCTGGTTTGAGATCACAGATCTGAGGGCGAGGGATAAGATATTGTGAGAGGGAAAATTCCTCTTGGGCGAGAGGGAGTTCGTCGTCGAAGTCATTTTGTAAGGAGGATATAACGCGTGTCGAAATTCTGTTCGTATAACAGGATGAGTTCCGGTGCGAAAGAAAAGAAGATGAGGTGTATCTCCGAGTAGTTTTGTTTTTGTTTTTCTTTATTTCCTTTGTCTATTTGCTTTGGACTTTCGGTGCAGAAAATAAAGAAAAGAAGTGACACATTATAGGTCGGCTCCCGCTGTGATAATGATGCTAAAGGACAAGCATCGACTTTTAAATACTTTATTTCCTACAAATGAACCTAAATAAAATTTTATGATAGTCACCTTCTGTTTACAGTTGAGTGAACCTTAAACAAAATTTGCGCTGTGTGTCGCGTTTCTTATCTTACTAGAGAGTTTTCGCAATCCAAAATTTACACATCAGGGGACCGGGATGAAACCTTAATTTCCCTCCGTAAAATCCCTGATGAAAACAGCTCATGAAATTTACATCAGGAAAATAAAATACTGGAGTCAATTTAAACGCCTGACCAATATAAGGGATGTTTGTTGATTCCTCAGCGAGCCTCACTGCAAGCTCCTCATTAGCCTCTTCAGTCTCATTCATGAACCAACCAAAAGACGAGCACAACAGCTACGAGGACCGCGAAAGCCTTTTAGAAGAGCGGCAAGAAGAGAAGGAGGCATGCTTGATTTTTCAAGCAGAATGGGAAAAGCAGCATGTTGGCGAGGAGAATGAGGAGGAGGGGCTGCACAGCTCTCAACCTATGCAGGAAGCATATTCCACCGAGGAGTGCGAATCGAACGAGGGATCAGTCAACGGGGATACTGACGAACCAAGTTCCTCTTTCAAGTTCAGTCGCAAGGTTCCTTTCCGTTCTCTCACATCAAGAAGCGACTAGTCAGTAGCTCTTCTGAAAGCTATGCTTCCCAAGTCACCCTTTCAATGGACAATTTTTGATGGCGAAACTAGTTTTGCTGTTTTCAAATTTACATCAGGAAGGAAATAGAGTTTCGCCGCCCCGATGTAAACGTTCGACCTCTCTGTTGCAATGTTTGGAATGAAGTCAAAAATCTATCCTGCCTCGACCCCTCTTGGCACACCATTCGACTACAAAAACATGACGACGCCCCAGAAATCGAGCCCGACAGGAACAGGCTCGCTGGCGATCTTTCCGGCATTTCGAGACAGTAATAATGATTTCAATATAAAACCAAATGTCTGGTGTTCTTAAGAGCACACTAAAGTCGATCGTTGGTGCGACTGGCGCTTGTGGATCGAGAAAGGGATCAGAGAGAATTTACACACAAAGATTATTTGGCATAGTCTTATGGCAGCCAAGCGTTCATAATGACGTTGCTTTTTGATCCTTCGATGTCGGCTCTTCCTATGATGCTGAAAATTCAGTAAGCGTTGGATTGTTCACCCGCTAATAGGGAGCGTGAGCTGGGTTTAGACCGTCGTGAGCCAGGTTAGTTTTACCCTACTGATGAAATGTTGTTGCAATAGTAATTGAACTTAGTACGAGAGGAACCGTTCATTCGGATAATTGGTATTTGGGCCTGCCTGAACAGGCAATGGCCCGAAGCTATCATCCGTTGGATTATGGCTGAACGCCTCTAAGTCAGAATTCGTGCTAGAACGCAACGATTACCGCCTTTTCCGATTTTTAATTGAATACGAATAGACTCTCGGGTCCTGAATCATACTATGTGGGGTCGTCTTGTGGAGCGGAAAGGCTTCATGAGGTGCCTGCTAATGTTAATTTCAAATATTGGAAGAGATAAATCCATTGCAGACGACTTTTATTGAACGGGGTATTGTTGAGATTAAGCCCATTGTTCTATAGATTTGTTCGTAAAGAACAGCAGCATCTTTTTCTTTTTCTTTCTCACTTGTCATGGCACTGTTAAGGGGCATTTGATAGCACTTGTCCACTGACAATGGCATTCAAGCGACAAAGCCGAAGAGATTAGCTGCCAAGCGCGGAATCAGTTTTACATCATCACTTTTTATTTGTCTTTTCAACATTGCAGCCAGGGGCAGAGTTGGACGTATACCAGACTTTGACTTTGACATATCCATAATAAAAACAAAAAAAATAAAATAAACGATTGACGGGCGTAAACAGGAGAAAGAACGAGGGAAAGTGGAAGGGAGGAAAGGTACAGAGACAAAAGGGAAAGAGGAAGGGGAAGGGGAAGAGACAATGAAGCATGTTGATTTAACAGGTCTGAAGGTCATCCAGGTTATATGTTGCCTTCCAAGCCACTCCATCCTTTGGCTTTTTAAGCACCCACTTAAATTCCTTGTCTGCACAATTTGCGCCCACAAGATGCAAGTATCCGTCCGAGGCATAATTGGCGATGGCACCATTAACAGGTTGGTCGCCAGTCAGCAGACCAATCTGATAACACCATTTCGACGTGCACTGACCCTCATCCCATTTTCTGAATTCCAGGAAACCGCCACCATTACAACCGTCGGGGGCCATATACCGACCGCTATGACCAAGCCATGCCTTATTTCGGACAGAGCAGTTTTCGCCCACCGTGCCCTTTAGATACTTGATGGTCGGGTTACTGGGCGAAGCCTGCCAGAAAAACCCTGCTGGAGCAGTCTTGGTCGGCGTGAGCCAATTCTTTTCACCGCTGCCGATATAGTTGCCGTTGATTTCGTCGTACAAGACAAACACGTCGCCCGACTTGACAATGTTGCCGCATTCGTCTTTGAGATCGGCGAAGTCAATCGCGTCTTTGTCATTTCCGTTCATGCACCAAGCGTGGGCAGAATGAGCAAGGAGTGACAGGACAGCCAGGGTAGCGAAGCTCTTCATGTTTGTTTGCTATTGGGTGCCAAAGAATGAAAAGAAAAAAAGAGGTCAGTTTATGAATAAGCACTGCTACACCCAAGTGCAATCGCAAAAGTCTAGTCAAATATCTTTACGTGGGGGGGGGGGGGGGGGAGGTTTGTGTTTTGGAGAGGGTTGTGCTTGATAGGTGTAGGCGTCGGTGGCGCTCTTGCGACGGTGCTTGCGATGGTTCTTGGAGTAGTTGTTGGGAGTGCTGAGAGTGCTTTTGCGAATCGAGGGTCTTGAGGTAGGATAGGATGTGTGTCGGTGCAGGACGTTGGGTATGCGCAACTTATATACGTGAAGAGAGATATCAGAAACAATGACTCGAAGTAAACGTTCTTTCTTTGGGTACGGGGAGTGCAAATCCCCTGCGACACCATTCTTAACTATGCCACAATTGAAAGATCAAGGGCGAGTATAGAAGGAAGGACAGAGGAGGCACGCAAAAAAAATCAAGGGGTAGCCGAAAAGAAGGGGACAACACCAGGGACGTAAGAGGATCAAGGACGGGAGAACACCAGGAATGTAGGAGGTCAAGCGCAGGAGAAAATCGCAGCAGCTCATTCATCAGCATCTAGGAATTCTAAAACATCAGAAGAATCATGAGGATATCCACCGCCAACGACTTTCTTTGGCCGGGCTATTGTAATCATGCGGGTAACCTTGTAGCTACGAGACAATGAGATTCAGGCTTTTGTTCTATAGATATAGCGCAGAAGAGCAATTGTAGGGGAGACGAGAAATTCAAGGGGGAAAGAACAGAAAGGGACTATTTGCGAGAGACAAGGAAGAAGAGAGGAAGAACACTGTGTGGAATAAATCTTCACCTTTTACACACCTTCTCGACTTTACTCAGGCTTTCCCTCACTCCTGTTTCCTTGACCTTCACAACCTAAACCCTATCAAATTGAGCTAACGAATAGTCAGTTTGGTAGTTAAGGATTAAGTTAATGCAGGGGCATCCAGAGTTGTCCTCAGTATCAATGAGAGAATTTTACGAAAGCGGTTACTGTTCCCAAAAATGGCGTTGCGAACTGGACTACACTCCTTTTTGCAAAAAAATCCACTTTTCATAGTAAAGGTGAAAGTAGTCAGTGTCATTTTTTTTCCAACTCCACATCTCCTTGTTTGCGGTCAGAGCTAATATCTTCAAATTGATTCGATTTATAATCTTGCGGGAACTTGTCAACGGTCTACATTCGAGAAAAAAATGGCAAAAGGATAGTGAAGAAGAAATGGACATATCAGTGATTTAGTACTTCTCTTCAGATTCATATTTCACGTCCTTGGGCTCACACTCACCAAACAAATTGAGAATATCGATGAGCGAGCTGAACATAGACAAATAGGACATGGTTTCCAATAAAGCATAAGAACCAGTCTATGTTGGTGAGGATGGGAGAGACAGAGGCAGGACAAAATAAAAACGAGTCAACATAATTGTTCCCTCTCATATCAATATCTCCCCTCATGTTCGCCATGTTCTGATCTTACCAACCTGATTTTCGACTGCGAAAGTATAGAGAGAGGAGGTCGAGTATCATTGAAATCAATTCATTCAAACTATAGGAAAAAAACAAAACGAGGACGAAGAGGGTTAAAAAAAGGAAGGAGAAAAGGAGAGATGAGAGGAAACCAAAATGAGCCATCAGTTTTTTTAACTCGACATCTAGTTCATATTGTACCGGTCATGGATGGATCGCTGTCCAACTTACCAAATGAACAGGGGATCATCGCATGTGTTCAAAAATGCAGGGAAGAAAGTAGTCGAAACCGCCGAAACAAGACAGCGGTCGAAGGAAAGCATCACAAATCAGCGATGGACAAGTAACCCGACTGTTTTTTTTAAAAAAAAAAAGATGCATGGGGTACTGTCAGTTATCTGTGCATCTCTTCATCTTTTTGTACTAGTCTCGTATTTGCCTGTATATGAACTCTTTCAAAGAAAAGGGACGTGTTGTGCCTGATGAGGAGTCAGACCAATACTTCAAAAAAATCGTCTTACCTGCACGGGGCCATCCTGTCCAGTATGTCCAGCCTGTCCGTCCTGTCTGTCGTTGGCGTTTTGTTGGGTATCGGGAGGATCGTTGGTTGTGCTCTTCCGCCTAAAAAATGCTGCTATTAGAACCAAGGCGCTATATGCCAATACAGCAAAACTAATATTGAACATTTCCTTACATTTTCTGACCACTATTGGGTCGTTGAACGAGAGCTTTCTTGGACTTGTCGAGGTCTTGGTAACCCCATGATCTCTTGAGAACATTGAATGAGCCCTTTGCAATATCCTCGATGTCTTTCTACAACAGAGAAATAAAAAAATGTCAATGAGAATAACTTAAAAAAAACTCAAACATAGCTAAAATACATACCTTTGCGATCAATAGAGTGGAGAAGGTTGCGATCAGTGAGGCGACCGCGGCAGTCGTGGTTGGGATGGTGAACTTGCCCACTTCATGAAGGACATACATCCCTCGGGTTTCAGCCCGTAATCGCATGTAGTTTCCATTCTCGTAGATGATATGGAAAAGAGGTGCCATTTTAAATCCAGAGTCCAAAAAGGCCTTGCCATAGCGAACATCACGGAAGAAATCCCAAAGGTTCTTCCACTCGTCGTTCTTGTGAGCTGGACCAGAGAACTCGCCCCAGGCAATTTCTGTTTTGCCAACAGCGGCCGTAAAGTCGGGTCGGTCGGGCTTCAGTCCTAGTTCCTTTTGCGTTGCTGAGTCTTTGTTCGGGCTATTGGTCAACAATAAAAACATTTCTTAGAAAGGCAATTCCACCATACGTCAACAAAAGATTTTGCAGCGCATTCTTACAAGTGGCTAGTGACAGTTTTGGATTCAAAAAATGCCTGCATGACTGGCCCAATATGCTTAACGGTATACTCGTACTCAGAAATCGAACGGTCTTCATCCTTCGGGAGATATTCCAACCTGAGAAAAAAGGATACAAAAACAAAATTAGCTTGATTTTACAGCACCAATAGCATCATGTGCTTTGTAACATCGAATCCTACAGCGTTTCAAGCATGATACGGATGGGCCTGTGGTCCTTGTTCATAGGGACAAGAGTCGCCGCCACATCGTCCTTTCGGTCTTGCAAGCAAAGCTAGAAAAAGAGGGAAAAACATTAGTGAGCATCAACAAAATGAGCGTGAAGCAAACAATATTGAACGTACCTTAACAGCTTTCATTGCCAAACTATCGTTAAACTCAACAGAATCCCACTCCGCATTTGTGATCTCGCGCGATTTGATGAAAGCTTGAAGAATTTCATCTGAAAAAACGGATTTCATCCTTTCGGTTGGTCTCGAGGGCACGAATATCCCCATCAAAGATACCACGTCTGCAATTTCCATGATCTTCAGCTGGCTTTTCACAAGGGCATCCACACTGAGCCGCTGGTACTTCTTGAAGAGGCAAGTTGAGCATGCCTTGCCTTCCTGCGGTGCACAAGTATGCGTGATCTTCTCGATTTGTGACAGGAGAATCGCTCGTTCATCTGCGTTGATGATTGTTGATTGATCATCTGATGGCGGTGCGGCTAGGACCGTTCCGGGGGATCCTGGAAGTATGTCTGACGCGCCAGTCATGATCTGGCTTGAATGAGTAGTGGGGAGTCCATCTGTGGTTGATAATGATCCAGGAACTGAGCTCGAGTCAGTAACGCGTCCAAGACCTCTGACTGAGATTTTCGATTCTGATGCCAGTCCCGGAACAGCGGCCGAAGTGTTCAAGCCAGCTGCTGATCCAGTAATGGTTGTCGAGGCTATCAAATCGGTTGCGGCAGTGGTTGAGGAGGTTGAGTCGATAGCAGCTCCAAAATAAAGGGGAGGGGTTCCCAGACGCGACGATGAAGCAGCAAACGATGGTGGCATTCCTGGGGGAGCGGTTGAAGCATTTGGGAATGGCGGCAATTCGGTACTTGCGCATGAGGGTCCTGCTCTTCCTGCACTCATGCCCACCGCTGAATCACCTGCGGTTGACGTTGTGGAGTTCGCGGCTGTTGAGCCTGATGACGTTGAAGTTAAGGGCGAAGCTGACGAGTTACGGGGAGCTTTAGGCGGTGCCTCCTCCAGTTCGACCCAGGGATCGCGTGGATGCTTCTGGCCAGCTAGTAGAGTGGTAACAAAAGGTGCCCAAGAAGTCAATGTATAAGGAATGCAAGAGTCTCCGGACCAATCGTTATATGGCAAGTTTGCTTACCTGCGCTGGGGATGCATGTCGAATGTGCAGAGTCTTGGCCGAGCACATGAGAGTCCAAAAATGAAGCCGGATCTGTGATGCGCGTCGAGGATTCAGTGCCTTCATCAAGGTTATGAGAGGGTAAAGAGAAGGCTGGATTGGGGATATGCGTGGTTGGATTGGCGGTCTGCGTGGTTGGACCAAGGACATGCGTGGAAGACGATGAGGCGTGGGCTGGCACCGCTATCAAGGTAATGCAGCATTGGTTAAGCATTGCAAATTATAGTCCTACGCGAGCAAATCATATGTATCCATACAGTTGTTGACATCGATTGAATATTGGGCATTGGCCCTTCCAATTTGTCTATTGCAATTGTCCACAGGACTGTACCTGAACTCGAAGAAGATGCAGGGATGTCGCCTGCATCCCGCGCAACATGGAGATACAATCCTCGCACGCTTACTTTGGCACGCGTTGACTCAGTTTTCAATAAAAGATTTTCGAACGTCTCCATGAACTTGTCATATCGAACAGATTCACACAAGAATCTTGCGCGCTTCTGAAGTGGTTCCGAGATGTCTTTGTGATGAGCGATTATCTTCAGGTTTTCCATGAACACCTCATGGTGTTGGTGAGGAGTTTTGGTCACGTGTCTGTAAGCGAAAAAAATCTCGACCTCACCCCAGTGTCTAGCATCGTTCTCGCGGAAGAAGGCATGAATGGTGGTGATACGCGGGTCAACAGATCCGAGGCAGCCCTGGAGAAGCCGTGTTGTGCGCATCTTGAAAGGATGCGTAATGTCGTGAAGAATGTAAGCAAATGTCAGATAGTACAAAAAAAAAAAAAGAAAAAGAATGTGATGGGCGAGTGTAGATGCTCCATGACCACATTTGCCATGTATGTACCTCTCGGCAGATACCATGCGCAACTGATCACTATTGCGACTGCAGCTCGAGGTGACAGAACCAAGAGTTCGCGGTTGAGCAAGCTGCACTATCCCCATCGAAAGGAACAGTCTGGCGACCCTCTGCATCGAAACGATTGCGTGTCCTCATGATGAGAAGGCGCAACAGGAATCTCAGCAGAGTTCACCCAGACGCGCTGGATGAATGGCAGCCTAGACGGGAGGAGCAAAAAAAAAAGAAAAAGAATGTGATGGGCGAGTGTAGATGCTCCATGACCACATTTGCCATGTATGTACCTCTCGGCAGATACCATGCGCAACTGATCACTATTGCGACTGCAGCTCGAGGTGACAGAACCAAGAGTTCGCGGTTGAGCAAGCTGCACTATCCCCATCGAAAGGAACAGTCTGGCGACCCTCTGCATCGAAACGATTGCGTGTCCTCATGATGAGAAGGCGCAACAGGAATCTCAGCAGAGTTCACCCAGACGCGCTGGATGAATGGCAGCCTAGACGGGAGGAGCAAAAAAAAAAGAAAAAGAATGTGATGGGCGAGTGTAGATGCTCCATGACCACATTTGCCATGTATGTACCTCTCGGCAGATACCATGCGCAACTGATCACTATTGCGACTGCAGCTCGAGGTGACAGAACCAAGAGTTCGCGGTTGAGCAAGCTGCACTATCCCCATCGAAAGGAACAGTCTGGCGACCCTCTGCATCGAAACGATTGCGTGTCCTCATGATGAGAAGGCGCAACAGGAATCTCAGCAGAGTTCACCCAGACGCGCTGGATGAATGGCAACCTAGACGGGAGGAACAAAATAAAAAGCGTTTATGCTCTCTTACCTTATTTGCCATGAATGTTCCAATCGGTAGATGCTTGCGATGAAGGAAGAGGTGAGGTGGGACGGAGTTTATGCAGCAGCGTTAAAGCATAACTTGGACTTTTACATGCCAAATATGGTGAATGTCAATCCAGACTGACGCTCTTAAGTGGTTGAATCCAGTGCACTTCAGGCGTAAACTAGGTCATCGAAGTGAAATAGGTGTGATACTTTTGCTTCTTTTGCTTTTTTCCCGGGCTTTCTTGGCTTGTTCGATACAGATGGTGTCCTCTTGCGACCACGGGGGAGAGCACCGGTGCTTGTACTGGCGCTGGTCATCGGTGCACTGCTGTTGGTGTTGCTGGTGCCAACTGTGGAAGAGTTCATGTTTGGGTCCTCCTGCCAAGGGTACCGTCCATCGGCCGTCCTGGGCTGTAGATAAAGAGGTCGTTCCTGCTTCTCCAGGTGTCCTCTGACAATCCTGGATATGTTCTCAGCCGCCATCACATCTCTGTGGTGATAATGCTCGCAGTGTGGACAGTACAGCTCGCGGAGGGTCACCTGTGCCACAAAGTTTTGGCAATTAGGACACTTTTTTGAGGTATAGTACTCGTTCAGTCCCACAACAATATACCCCAATGATCGGGCCTAGATTTTTTTTAATAGATTGTGTCAACCCTTCTCTACATATGTCAAACATTTGAACACTTTGCAATCATGATAAATAGCATACATACCAATGGGATAAAGTAGTCCAGGAAGGTTGAATGGAGGGACGAAATGCGCCCTGTGCTCTTGAACTGACCAAGACCAACGCCAATCAAGACTGGATTGGCTGGGTCCCAGGGATGGCCAATGCTTCCGCCTACGATACCCAACAGACTCGCCGCAACAGCCTGGTATTCTGCTTGATTCGCCCTGTCCCGATCTCAACCATGCTTTTTGAATCTGTTGTTGGATCCAGCATAGAACTCCAAGAGTCGTTCTCCTGCTGGACATTTTGGCTCCTCCTCCTCGTCGTCATCCTCTGGGTCTTTCTTCTTTGGTTCAAGTGCCTCCCAGTACTTGGTGATGCTCGCGCCTGGACCCCGAAGTGGTGGGAGACGAGACTCCATTTCTGAAATCGACTCTGGTTGATTGTCCTCCTTTGAGTTTTTTTCTTTCTCAAGCCATCTCCTGTAACGAAAAACAGGTTGCATGACTGCCTTTTGATTCACCGCGAGGTTGTAGTGACCGTCGGGATCCTCAGGTAGATAGGCATACGCACCAACCACGAACGCTTGACCAGCATCGAGTGTCAGGATCTTGATATCGCTTGGGTTGACTCCTGGCCAGAACTGTTCGATGTCCTCCTCGGTCCGGATAACGTTACGAACCTCTTGGAGGTAGAATCTGTGCCTCCGGCTGTCGACACGATCCTGAGCGGCAGACGATCGTCTGGTAACCTCCTGTATCGTACAGATTGCAGCTCCTTCAACTTGAAGGTCGACAGGTACAATCCCAATCCATCTGTCATTGGGGATCCCCTGGAGATATACCCGTTCTCGACGTAGTCTCTTGGCTGGAACTCAGGTTCCTCAAGCTGTTGCAAGTGCTTCTCGAGTTTCTTGAGGGACCGTAATTTGATTTTGGCTCGGCGACCTGCTCTCCGTTTCTGGCAACCCTTCAGGCCTTTAGGATCAATATCGGCGACAAAGTTCTTGATCAAGAACCCGGGCTCTTTCTCGCCCATCCAGCTGTGGACCTCGTCGACAGAAGCATGGAATCCGTCCTCGGTTGCCAGATTTATAAGCCTCTGCATAAGCGCTCCACCTCTCTTGAAGAAGAACCCAGCCAGCTCTCTCTCAGAGAATCCGACATACGGTTGCCTGGACGACGTCATAGGGATAGTCCTTCTGGGGTTCGGAGACAACTTGTTCAGAGTCAGGTAGTTCTCGATGGCCGAGAGATCCTCCCGAATCTGGATTTTCGCGTTGGGCTTGTCCAGCTGCCTTTGATTGGCCCTCTTCATCAACTAAAAATTGAAGATTAATAAAAAAAATTAAACACGTTCTAGAGCCAATGAACACCTGTATTGATGACATGCCACTTCAAGTCTTACCATCTTGTGGAGATCGCAGGTTCCAGTCTTGTACATTCGTTTAAGCCCAGCCTTCAGCTGTCCGACTACGGATCGGACTAGGTCCGTGGGTGTGAACGGCATTCTTTCGTTGATCTCAGCCCGAGTCCGCGGCGGATTGTACAGATGAAGTTCTTCAAGACGCTTGATGAACTTGACGACCTCCTGTTTTGTTGGGATGTTGCCAGAGCACAGATAAACAAGAAAGCTTGAAAGGAAATGCCGCTGCGCTTGGTCACTCCCGCCTGATCCTCCCATATCGGTGTCATCCTCCTCAACATTGCCCTCATCCTCCTCGTCCTCGTCCTCGTCCACAATGCCAGCAATCTGATTCCCATCCTCGTCTTCCTCCACGGCATCATCGGCGTTGTTCTCGACATCCTTCATGGTGACTCGCGGACATATCAGATCGAGAAAGGTCCGATCCTGAGCATCCAGTCCCTCAAGTCCTTTTTCGACCAGGCGTTCTAAGTATTCCCAATCAACATCTGGGCCTTGCGCTTGATGCGAGCCGTCTCACTTGCAGCATCCAAGAGGACAGACTTCACCTCGTGTTGGAGACTGTTTTGGCTGGGAAGAGCTTGCTCGATATTGGCGGATAGAGTGCCGATGTGCAGAGAGGTCGCCGGGTGCTGGTAGGCCAACATCCTAGTGATTTTCAACTTGTAGGTTTCCGCTGTTAAAGTTGATAACGATTTTGGCGCAGGCTTTTGCTTTTGCTTTGGCTTCGGTTTCTCAGTCTTGGGTTCAGGCTCCTTGAAAGGCTTCCAGACGTATTGTTTCATCTTTGCTGGCGGTGATCGCCGTTTCGTTTTGGCCCGATCTTGTCGTTTAAACGAGTATCGAGGGCGGTTTTTCTTGGGAACTCAGGTTCGTGGCAAAGCAGAGTGACCGACTTCTTCCTGAGGTGAAGACGGACCTTGGGTCGTGGTTAAAGCAAGCCGCTGTGTTTGTTGGGTGACCGCGGCGAACTGCTGTGATTGCTGCCCAGTAGCTGGCTGGGAAAGGGAAGAAACCTGAGAGTCCGTCTGACGATCCCTAATGAACACCGGCGACTCCACAGTCTTGAAATGGCTCGGTGTCTGGGGTGATCTCAGGCGCACGATTTGCACGTTGGTTGAGCTAGTTAATTTGAAAAAAAAAAAAAAAAAAAAAAAAAAAATCAGTCAAACAAGTCTCTACAGACAACATGGAACAGAGCAACCACAACAAAAATAAAAATATTACCTCCTTTGAGGCGGACGACTTTTCTTGGGCTGCTCGTAACGGGAACAAAGGTCTTTGAACCTGTCCCAGAGATCGTTGAAAGACGGGCCTACTGGAGTGGAGGTTTGGGAGACAAGAGTCTACTTCTTATCGACAAAGACCCGCAAGGATACATGAAAATCCTCGTTTGTTGTGTTCTTGGTCGAGACCTTGACGTGGTTCAGATAGGCGGCCACAATGGCTTCTGTGTCTGAAGAAGAAACAAAAAAAAAAAAAGAAAAAAAGGTTATTTTTCCTGTTACATTGTCCCAAAACCATAATCGCTCGTCTTATTTTTTTTTTTTTTGACCTTACTGGGTGCATCGAGGCTCTTGATAATGGAAAAGTTTGTTGCTGGTCCCAGGGAATATATATTGCGGTTGTAGTCGTTCGACGACACCACTGCAAGGGCCGTGGGTTGAGTTCGAGTCAATCCAAGTACTGGCAAACATCGTTGAGCTTGTACTTCAGGACCAAGTATTTAGAGATAGGACGCCAAAGAGTCAAGGCAGAATCATAGCCCAACATGTCGCTTTCAGCAGAAATTGCGACATTCTCTGGCCCACAGTCAAACGCGATCGCGACATCCGCCTCTGTCTCACAGATGCGTACTGACCAGCCGGCCTGCTGAAGGTACCCGATGAATGTTTGACGATCCTCCAAAGACCAGTAGAAGTGGCCGAGAGACTTATCCTAACGTCAACGAAGTGGCATTTTCGCGGCTTGCTGCCGTCCTTCATGATGCTTTCGAGCTTGTCGAGGCTTTCAGTACATTTGGAGGCAGCCTTGCTCCGAGATTCCTTGCGCTGCTTCGCCCTCTCCTGCTTCTCTAGTGCTGGCCCGCCGTCGATGTACAGGACCAGGTTCGTTTTAGAGCCAAACCCCAAGACATGCTGTTCAAGCCTTGCATGGGCCTTCTCTGCGGTACAATGGGCATAGGCGTTTTTGATGACGCCGTAAAAGGACAACACGTCGACGAGACCTCTCCGACTGCCCAGGGCAGACACCATCGCCGACTTGTGTATCACCCGAGGAGAATGGCCTTCTCTTCGTAGAAAAGCGAATCCGTCTTTTAGGCCCATTGTCGTTTACATGAGAAATAGAGAGAAGTGATGTAGAAAGTGAGCCGAGAGAATAATAAATTCGAAAGTTTGTGTGAGATAATGTATGCGTGGGGAAGTGAATGAGAGGGTGTGGAGCAGAGATATCAGCGGATTGATTTTTTTGGTGAGACGCTGTCAATTATGACTATTTTGTTAAGCAAAACTCCTATAGTTGACAGCGTCTCACCAAAAAAATCAAGCCGCTGATATCTCTGGTGTGGAGAAAGGGGTGCATGTGAAGATGCGTGTGAACCATTCTGTTCTTGACCCCAAGCCACCAGGAGTTTGAAGTGGCTACTTCTTGTTGACTTTACTTTTGCGCCTCTATTCTATTGACCCAAACCTCGAAGCTGTGGTATCCAGCCGCCTCTTCCGTTGAATGTGCAGTCACACTCCAGAGGGGCTGGGCGAGAATCTCTTCCTCACCCTTGAAGCACACTTCGTCCTCAACATTTCCTAAAAAGGATGGAGGCCTCCACAACCTCAGATGTCCGCTCTCTGACATGGTGCAGTCTTGGTCCACGGCGTAGCAGGGTGGGTACGAGATAAGAGACGGGTACGGAGAGAGTGAATGAAAGAGAATATCCGCGAAGTGATATTGCGCATCTGAGGTTGTGGAGGCCTCCATCCTTTTTAGGACGAAGTGTGCTTCAAGGGTGAGGAAGAGATTCTCGCCCAGCCCCTCTGGAGTGTGACTGCACATTCAACGGAAGAGGCGGCTGGGTATCACAGCTTCCCAAACCTCTCCCTGTCTTCCTCTCTCCCATCGGTTGCCCCTGCATTGCCATTCCTCTCTTGTTCTCATCTTCACTATCTACACCTGTTGTCACCACATTCAAGGATGAGTGGACTCAAATTAAAAGACATTTTTATTGATCCAAGTGATTTCAAATCTCGAGATCTCGTTGTGCCCAACGCATTCCCGCGTGAACAGGATGTGTGGATGGTTAGATTCACCCCGGAAGACTTCAGGGCGTTCTGGTTTCAAGAGTAAGCCGCCATTCAATTTGTTCCCTGCTCTGAACGAGGACCTAATCGCGACATCCGAAAACAGCCCGGCGACACTCTCCTCCCTCTCCATATCACCGTTCCTGGTACCAATGGTAGACCAAAGACCTACGACTGGAGCTTCCGCTTTCAATGCAGAAGGCACGGTCCTCCCAGACCCTTGGCGCTCAACCGACCATCTGTTGGCACTGGATGTCCTGTTGAGATTCGGATGAAAAAATTTGTCGGCATGGATGCGGTGCTTGTGGATTACCGGTGGCAGCACAACCATGACCTTTCGGCCCAGACCTTGTCAAATATGCCCATGGGTGCGAATGAACGCAACTGGATCAAGCTGAAGGTGGCGGAAGGTAGCGACTGGAAGGGGATACGAACTATGCTGTGAATGGGTAAAAACTCGATGTCAGAGGTACAGTTTTTATGCTGTCATGTGTTATTGAGTTGAGCCGTTGTCATACAACTTCTCATTTCTATCTCTTGGCTCTTTTATCCTTTAACAACACATAGATCAAAGCGAAGAAATCTGGCGGTATTGTCCCTCCAGCATTTTGCCTGTCCTATGAAGATGTGAGACAAACGGTATATCGTGAACGGATAAAGAACTCTCGAAAATCATTAAATACAACGACAAGCGTGCAAACCTGGATCGAAGCTATCAACGAATACGGAGAGAACTTGGCGCTCTAAGAAAACATGTAAAGACCCGCATCTCCGGCAATTCCAACTGAAGGTACCCTTTTTTAGAAGCAAGAAGTTCTAGGGTTTCGTATCGGTCTCGATCTCTTACTCGTTCTATATTTTTCCTTCAATGATTTTTAAGGTCATGAGCGACAGCACTAAAATCGTGTGTATGGACTCAACACACAAAACCGTCAAATAATCATTGAAGCCAGATCCAAAAAACGATAAGAGATTCGTCTCCGCGTATCTGTTCACTCTTTTGGTGAAAGATGTGAAGACGCAATTGGGTGTGCCAATTGCGTTCATGGTATGCAATTCTGAATCAACGTAAGTACTACCGTTTTGTACAAAATGTATCTTTCTTTCGCCTTTCCAAAGCACAAAATATAAAAACAACTGGGTTTCTATCATGCTCTGCTGGCTCACATTCCTCATATTTTATTTCTGAACTGCAATAGGGATGTTCTCAGGACCTGGCTGACTTGGGTCAAAGACGAGTGTGGCCTAAACCCATCAAAGTTTATGATCGACTGCTCTGTCGTCGAGACTGAAGCTCTCAAGCAAACGTTTCGCTCGTTAGATATTTATTACTGCAAGTTTCATGTTGGTCAAGCTTGGGAGCGGAAAATGCGGGACCTTCACAGTGTAAATGCATATGGCAAAGAAAAGAATTCTCCTGTCCGCCGAAGTCACTCTGTTATTCCATTCGTCTTCTAATATTTTCAGCTCTTTGATATGCCCCAGGTTGCAGAAAGCGATGCCATGCGGAAATCACTGAACGGGATCCTAAACGCTCTGTCGGACGAGGACCGAGGACTGAAGTGGAAGGCGTTCACAACCAATTTTTCACCATCTGCAGACGCTTTTATTACCTATCTCGAGAAATGGATGGAACCAACAAGACTTGCGAAATGGGCTCTATATCTTCGATCGGTGAGCATGAACAGGTCGTTTGTACGTTGCCAAGGTTTGTTGACGATCCAACTCTGTTAATTTTTGTATTTTTCATATTTTTCATATTTTTCATATTTTTCATATTTTTCATTTTTTTTTTTGGCGTCGTTAGGATTGCCAACACAATGATACCAACAATTTAGTTGAGAACTGGCACAAGACGCTGAGTCACAGTACCTGAGAAGTGAGAGGAATCTGCGTCCAGATGATCTTGTGCACTTGTTGCAAGGGGTGGTGAACATCGACTTCAGGACCCTCTACTTCAAAAGACTCAACAACATGATACCGCATAAACTGTCCTCATACAATTTAAAGGAGAAAGCGAAGGCAGACGCTGTCAACTTCAACACTGCTCAGACTATGGTCATACCAAACACAGACGAACAAAAGGTATAGTATCGGTATCGATACCCCGGTTGTCAGGGCTCTGGACAATGGCATTAACGGTATCTTATTAACATTCCTATTTTACCTAGTTCAAGGTCCAGTCCTTCGCTGTTGTAAACAATCCTATAGCTGTCAATAGGGTAATCAGTAACACGTATGACGTCCGCACAGATGAAGAATTCACCGTCCTTACTGCCTGTCGCTGCAACTATTATGCTCAACATCAGGCGCCGTGCAAACATATGTATCTAACCGCAAAGGTTTTCACATTGACATTCTCAGCTCGTTCTTTTCAGTCATTCGCCGCTGTTTCCTTCACCCTGACACAACAGTCGCATGTATCAACTTCGAACGACATTTGATCACCTGTCAGTTTCCCAAGGCAACGACGATTCTGCACATGGACGGACCTTCTCCTGCTGAGAAGAACGCGACCAACGAAGAACGTCAATCAAAACGCACAAAAGCCCTTTCCAAGGCCAACAAGCTCTTGACCAACATGGAAGAGACCCTCGAGAACAACAGAAAACTACGGAAACAGCAGTTCAAGACTGTCAACAAAGCCATTGTCGACCCCTATTTCAATCATGATCTCCGCCAAGCACTTGCCCAGCATCTTGTCACAAATGGCTGGAATGTCTGCAGATGCCGTTCGGAAGCAGATACCCGCATTGAGTCCATTTGCCAGCAACAGGATATTGTCATCACTCGTGACAGTGACTCGCTTATCTACAGCAACATCACCACAATCTGGAGACCCTTTGGCCGAAACCGGTACCTCGTCTATAATGTCCCGGAACTGTTACGCCACCTTCAGCTCTCAAGAGCAGGATTGACTACCCTTGGAGTCGTTACCCAGAACGACTACGGCAAGGGGATCCACAAGCTCGGTGTCAAGGCAAATTTTATGATTATTTTGGCTCTGGAAAAGGACGGTAAGCCGAAATAGACTATGTATTCTCCCTTGTTTTCATTGCCTTATTCATCTCCATCTCACCATTTTTATTTTTCTTTTGTTCAGTTCCGTCGACGGCTGCGAGTGTTCAGGAGCTTGTTCAGGCCTACTTGGTACACACTACTATATCTAGCAAGCACCCGACAGAGAGACTATTTGACTCGGCTATTTGGATCTTTACCGTACAGCAGTGTACGACTCTTACTCTATCCTAAGTGGTGAGAAAGCTTGATATTGAGATTTTCCTTCCGATCATGGAGATAATGATATATGTCCAGTAACTCGACTTGCTTCTTCAGGGTGTGAGGGGCCCTGACCATTGGGATCTCGAACTGGTTGACTTCAGGAAATGCAATGTATGTGTCCATATCTTTGCGCCTGGCACAATCCAAAAGCAAGCTGTATTTCAGTCGACGAGCGTGTTCGGTATCTTCAAGTTTGCGCTTGGTGTATTTATGATTCTTGACAGGAGGATGTACAAGAGTTGGTTTTTGTTTTTTGCTTGACGTCGTTGCTTGGATCGAGAGCGACCCATATTGTCGTTTTTGGTAAGTTTTTGTAGCCATGGTGTTGAGATGTATAGAATGCAACATGAAAGACGTGTCCATGGGGAACAAGAAGTACGCAACATGTGACTGAATATGTGACTGTATTTTTTTCTCTTTAGAAAGTCCACCAATTCAATCTGAAATTAAGTTTCGACTGTACTTTTTTTTTTGTTCTTTCTTCCATTATCTCATCTCTTCGCACACGTCTCATCACTTAGAAGACTGGAAATGAAATTACCATCAAATGCAACGGTAGGAGCAGCTGCACCAGACTAGCCACTTTGGACCGTCCTTCCCGCATCCAGGAAATTTTTCTGATGATCACAATTGAAATAGATGATCCCTCAAACATGAGCTAATTATAAGGTTGTTGCCATCACTCTAGGTCCTCAGACGGTCGTTCTATGCAATCGCCCTTGCTTGCGGGATAGTGTTGATGATCCGTGTACACAACATCATGCTCTATCGACTGACAACTGCCAGGAGGATCGAGGGCTACACGAATCTCAAAGTTGTCGAGAAACCCTCTGTCTGCCCCTTGCCCCGAGGTGCCACAGTCTGCGTCCATTCAGAAGCAAGCAAGGCCACCTTAGTCGACATTTGCGGAGACTTCTCAGCTTCGACTGGCAGCTGCCAAGACAAAACTTATGGATCTATCGTCACCACCAAGGACCACATCGGCGACATCAGCGAATATACCCTTAGAATCATTGTTCAAGGAAAAGGGTCGGAACTCGGAGATGCCGTCGACAAGTTTGTCCAAAGACGGTCTCGATGGATAGTTGATATCATGCAAGGCGATGGATACGAGCTATTGACGACATTCGACGACCCCCGCCGTCTCGCCTTTATGTCACAACTAGATCTTATTCAACACCGATGTGCCAACTTCTTCAACGGAGCAATTAACGGCAACGGATTTGGATCCAAATGGCACACAGTAGCTCTGGGTCTCTCTTTCGGTCTGTACCACAACATGACCCTGATGACCCCCGAAGTTCTCAGCAACTTTATACCTCTGACATCATGCACCGAGGCAGACATGGAGCGAGCGTTCAAGAAAACCCCTCCAGAGCATCTATTCGCCAACTGGAACGAGTCAACCATCAATTTCCAGACAGTTGGCAATGACCTCGGTGATATGGCCGGCCAGTCATACCTCAAGACGAAGACGCCTGGATTTGAGGACAAGGACCTATTCTGGTTAAGAACTATGGTGGCCTACTACGCCACTCGACCCAATTATCATTTCCGAGAGCAGTTTCGACAGTATTCTCCGATCCGGACTCCTTGCATGTCTGTTCATGTGCGACACTCTGACAAGCATTGGGAGGCAGCGCTTTTGGAGTTTCCCGATTACATGAGCAAGGCTGAGGAGTACAAGAGCCAGACTGGGGTTTCGAACATCTACATCATGTCGGACGACGGCAAAGTCATAAAGTCTACCGAGCAGTACAAGAACTTCCGATTTCAGTACCTGGACATGCCTAGGCCGAACGAAGCGTGGTACACCGAAAAGGCGCGAGGCATGCCTGTGGATATGCTCGAGAGAGATTTCCTGCTGGATGTTTACGCTGCCGCCCAATGTGAGCATCAGATTCTCACCTATTCAAGTAACGTTGGCAGATTGATCGGCGAGCTCTCGTACGCTATACGCAATAAGGAGCCGTCCTTGGTTTCGCTAGATAAAGAGTGGTCAATGTGGCCCTGAGGTGGACTGAAGAAGCGAAATAAAAACTACATTACGTATTTGATAGACTAATCCTGAACTTCCCCAGTAGCGTTGCGAAAGTGAAGCTCTTGCAAACAGTATCGGTGGGTCAGAAATCAGAAATAAATTTTTGATTTTTGACCTGATGGTTCAGCCACACGTATCTCACCAAAAAATCACTTGATACTACTAAGTATCAAAGTGGCTGAAGGTACACAGCTCGTTAGGGTTGATATATAACCGCCTGCGGGTTCGAGGGCTCTTTTTTTGCAATGATGAATGGTAAGCAAAGGGCGTTGACGAAGTGTTCATTCGGTGGGAGGGGGGAGGGGGCATGCAATGAGCCATGTAGCAATGTAGCAATGTAGCAACAGCTAACTTCTTTTCAAGTATGGCGGAGTATTATCTAGCAATCTAGCAATATAGCAATAGTATATCTCATGTTTTAAGTCGCGTGTTCCTCTAGGCATTCTCCTCCTGCTCCTCCTCGTCCTCCAGCTGCGGGCCTGGCTGCCCCAGCTGCCCCATACCCTTAGCGACGTTCAGGTAATATCTGTTCAAGGTCATGACCCTCAGTTGATCCTCCACGACCTGCAAGGCTGACTCCTCCCTTGCCTCCAACGTCGCCCCTTCGGTGTTCAGTACCAAATCCAAGATGGGGTACACGATTGTCTTCTTGAACGAGAATGTTTTCGCCAGCGTGTTACCATGCCCTTTGCGCCATTTGGATTTAAACGTCTTATTCAAGATCCAAAGTGATGGCCGCCCGTCTACGCCCCTGAACCATTCATCCCATTGTCGTTGAAGTGGTTCATTGCGCGGCAGCATTGTAACGTCGACGAGATCCACACTATTAGGTGGATAGTGTACATACCGGGACCCTAATTCTTCTTCGAGCACCATCCGTCTCTCCTTCAAGGACTGCTGTCTAGGAGCTGCTGGGGCTGCTGGGGCTGCTGGAGCTACCGGTGCTGCTGGTGCTACTGGTGCTGTTGGTGCTACAGGCGGAATCTGTTGCCCCTGCTGCTGCCCCGGCTGCTGCTGATGCCCCATAATCGACTGCAGTCCAAGGTGAGCAGTGTGACTAATCGAAGTCGATATGTCTTGTATAATTCCAAACATCCGAGCTACTAGCTCCTTATTACAGCTGTTGTTGTGGGTGACATAGCTGCTGAACTGGTTGACAAGGAGGTGTTCGAGGCGCTTTACTTGCTGGGCTGCCTGGTTGTTGCTTTCTTGAAAGGGATGGCGAAGTTCGCTTTCGGCTCGACTCATTCTGTTGTTCATCCTGCTGAATTCGTTATGGAGAGCTGGGGCATTGACGGAAAGACTGTCCGTCATGGGAGATCTTGCGGTTTCCATACTCCTTAGCAAGGTTTCCTTGAACTCCAAAAACAAGGGTCCTTTGAAGACGCTGTGCTGAAGGATGCGATGGTCCCCATACAGGAACGGCTCATTGGGGAGGCTCATAAGTGCGACGGCATTCTGCAAGACGACTTTGCGTAGGTGGGCCAGAAGTAGCAGCATCCTGATTTTAAGAATATCGGAGAACGAGATTGCCATTCGCTTGGTCGACTGCCGCTTATGATACACGTTTCTGTCCATCATCACGTTTTCGAGCCATTGCAGCCAATCCTCGCGTCCTTCACGCTCCTTGAAGTGATCTTCGATGAACGGAAAAACCTGCCGCTGAAGCTCAGGTGGTGGTATTACAGTGTTCCGGGCCGGCCATAGACGTTCATTAGGGTGTGTACAGCCAGCCATCTGGAATGCAACCTTGTGCGGGATTCTGATCAAGTAATGTGTCGAGACGCGGCCATGACCCCAACTACCATGTTGCTCGATCGCAGATATCTCTGCACCAGCATCCTGGGCATGGCGAGCCCCAGCGCCACGGTGAGCATGAGTGGGTTTCGAGGTAACGGCTCCTGCATCCTCCCATAGCTCTTTTGAGGCCCGGTAGTGGGCTGCAGCCGACAGCTTAGACTTGTTATCCTTGCCAGGCATTAGGTAGTACGCAATCCATCCGTCATCATCGAAAGGTGATCTACCATGCTATAGAGAGATAGGAAGGGACAGAAAGGTATTATTAAATATTTATAAAAAAAAAATGATATTATTGGGCAGAAAGCAGTATCAAGCGTTGCATACCATCCATTGCTCGAACAAGTAGAATGCAAGGCTATTGACAGGACAAATCTCGACGTCCTTATTGCGTACAACAGCTCCGAAATTTTCCTTGCCCTCGCGATTGGTTTTTCCTTGTAACATCGAAAGGACGACCCCTAAGGCAAAGTACCCGTCCTGAGTGTTGAGACGAAAAGCATGCGATGAGATATCTCCCAATGTCGCCATCCTCATATTCTCTCCGCGAGCCATCATAAAATGGGACCAGGATGCATTGAGTCGTTGATGAAGTCCCACTAGTTTATGACGCCGACTACCTCGAAATCGCTGGTAGTTATGGCTCCAGCCTTTCCGCATGACTTGTTTGAGTGATTCGAGCTCGTACCCGTCTTCGATTGTCAAGCTTGCCGCATGAGCCGACTTCCTGGTATTCGCAATCCTTAGCCTATAGCTCTTCATGAGTCCTCTGATGTTTCTGGATCGTGAATGCGGTTCTGAGTGCATGGCAGCATTCGAAGGATCTGCCTTCTGAGATTCGTATAGATCGCAAGCAGCCTTGATGTAAGCATCCACGGTCTCATAAGAAGGAAGTTTGTCGGTCTCGTCCAAGGGATCCACTTGCGCACCTGACATAGCTTTCCTCTTCTTTCTTCGTAGGACACGTATTGGATAGACACCTTCATCCTCATCCGTTTCCTCGGCCAAATTCTCAGCCATATAAACCTGGAATCGTTTTGAGAGTACGAGATGATCCGTGTATCCCTTTCGAGTGCACCACTCCTGGAGAAGCCCCAGAAATATCCGTATAGATAGATTAGTACGATTGCGAAGCGTCTGTTTTCCAGTGACATGGCCACTCTCTAGTCCAACACTTACTCTCCAATGGGACTGGTACCGCGAGTATATATTTTCCGTACTCGCACGCAGCCAAGTTACTATGACGCTGTGTCTGAAGCTCCATTTCGACGCGATATTCATTGAGTGCCAAGTTCCTGGATCGCTGCGCTTCTGCCAATCTGTGCTGCTTGGCCATGAAGGCCTTGGAGCTGGTTGTGCTGGAGGCCTTGGAAGTGAATGTGGACAGTTGCTGTGCAGTCTGGTCGCCGGATTCCATTGTTGCCCTCCTGCGAGCAGGTCGCGCCTTCCCTGGTGCTTGTTCCGCCTTTCTCTTGCTACGTCTATCCAGCAGTTATTCCCGACACTCCTCCTCGTCACTCATTGCAACACTGGTGCCATCGACGTCGTCTAAGCCATAGTCTGTATCCTCATCTGTCGTATCGTCGTCCGTGTCGTCTTCTTGATCAACGCGTTCAGCAAACGTCGGGTCGTCGCGCTCTACATAGATATTGCCAGACGATCCCTCGAGTACATCGCTATATGCATAGGCATAGTCTGGCGTGTCTACTGAGTCTCCGAAAGCCTGGCACGAAGCGGCAGCAGCTATATACATGAATATACGACCGGTGGATGCGAAGAAGGAATAGTAAGTTGGTGTTGTCGATCGGTGTGATGAGTAGCGTTTCAGCTGGCTAATGTCAGAGCATACCATCACCTTGACCAGCATGTGCAATGTCGACTCCATTGGCAGAGAAAGAGGAGAAAGAGGAGAAAGAGGCACTTGTGGAAGCCCCTTCTCCGTTGTCTCTTGGTCTATTGGTGGAAATAGAGTTATGGTCCATGGTGTGCGTTGTGCGACTGATGCAGGAGATGGTGATGCTGGTCTGTCACCAGCGCGGACTGGTCTAGATGTGCCAATCATCCACGCGCAGAATAGGCAACAAAATGGGCCGCGATGCATGGGCATGAACATGTTTGAAAAAAATCAGGAAAAAAAACGTTGCGCGTACTCTCTGCTCCGCACTAGCGCTGACAAAGAGAAGAGCGGTGGGAAATGACCATGCAGTGCAGGGTGAAGTAGATTGTTGATATGGATCGCGGACCAAAGAATTAGAGATGAGGGAGGCCGGGATGGATCCTCATCAACATGGATGAAAAAAAAGGAAAAAAAAGGAAAAGTAGGCGCTCCCTCTGAAGCGCGTGCCAGGTCCATGTAATATTTTGCACGGGTCTACTGCGGGAATCAAGACACACGCCAAAAAAAAAGACACAATGAGCGATGGAAATGACCATGCTGGGTGGTGTAGAAGATGGATGTTGATGGTGCACTAAATAAGTAGAACTGAGGAAGGCTGGGCTACATCCTCATCAAAAAGTGTGATCTCCCTCTGCAGTGCGTGCCCGGGTCTACTACGGCGAGCTAGACAAAAACATGGTGCAAGAGCGGACTGATAGAACACTGTATTAAACTATTTTTTGGAACGAGTCTACATGTGGCCCTGAAAAATGTGGTAAGCAACGCGAACTTGTCTCCTCATCCTCTTCAGTGCCACATCCCAACTGCGCGAAGGTCATCCACGTCGAGAAGAGAAGACGGAAGGCTCCCATCCTTCAAACTGCACAGTCATCATGAACGGCACTCAGATTAACACAGCGAGAGTAATTAGATGTTGCAACAACTTTTAGTCTGCATGAGTAACAGGTGTTAACCAGAACAAGTCGGCCGCGTCGAGAAGGAATTTGACAGGGTAAAGAAATGATTCCTTGGCAAATTTTTCCTTATGTTTCATTGCACTTTGAGCAATGGAGACTTTTTTTTTGTCCGGAGAGACACCTTTTTCTGCTGGATTTTTTTTTTGTCCGGAGAGACCGCCTTTTGCGCTGGAAATTTTTTTTGTCAAGCCCGCATTTCCACACAGCGCAAAGAACATTCAAAAACGCTGACAGCTTTTGCAAACAGTCAGGGGTCGGAGAGGTTCTAGGGTGGAATCTAGTTTATTCGATGATTGATTGCTATCTAAACCGATGTTTGAAGGGCTCTTTTATACTAAACACAGTTGTGTTGGAATACTCCAGAAACTGGGCGCAGCATGGTGATGACCATGACATCATTCTCGAATAAACAGTTGTGCCTGTTGCAGCTTTTGATTTATTTCAACAAGTAAGAACGTAAAAAAAACATTCCTCAGCATCAGACTCCACCACGAGAGCTGGGATATCTCCTTTTTCAGCTGTGGAACCACCACCTTTTCATTACAGCGGTACACAGTGGCTGAAACGCAACCCGCTAGCTCACCCATCACCTCTTCCAGGCCAGAAGGTCTGTCCTCACCAAGAATGCTGATCTCGAGCTTGCTTTCGAATAAACCCAAGATTTTCCGGAGGAGAACGTCGCAGGACTGACCAGTCTTCACCTTTTTTAGGATGTTCAACAGCACCTCCTTCTTCAAAACAGCGTTTTCTCCTTTTGCATTCACTTCCTTAGCGATACGGCTCAAAAGCGATGACACCAAAGAAGCATCTCCAGACCCCGGAGAGACCATACACAGCGTAAAAATTGACGCTGTTTGAGCAGACACCATATTACTGATAAAGTAAGAGGAGGCTCGACCCATTCGGTAGGAATGCTCCGAACAGAGATTAGATCGGATTTGCCGGAGGAGGTCAATTCCGAACTGCGGTGTGGATATGCCAGAGACAATGTCGGATGCCAGGTCGAAAGAACGCCTATCAACAAAAATTCTGATTTTCTCACTGCCAGCGATAGGAAAGGCGCTGCAACAAGAACCAGCAGTAAACGCGCGGTCAGAGGAGCAATTCTTGTCCAATCGTCAAACCTCAGTGGCGAGGATGTTGAAGAACTTGCAACCAATAACAAGACGATAGTCAGTCTTGTCGTGCTGAATCCGACATACGGTAGCTTGGGGGTACAACCCGGAAGTTGAAGGCTGGGAAATGGAGGAGACGCTTTGGCCAATGGAAACAGGCTTTTCAGCGTGAACGTCAACATCAAGAGCTCGGTCATACGACTCGGCAACCAAACAAAGTACTGCGTTACTATTCAGCGGATTGTAGAGGACACAACCAGCAAACAAAACGGCGGTAGCATAATTCAGGAGTGGGTTTTTAAGCCAACAGCCAGAAATTATGTTGTCCCATTCTTCCGGAAGGCGCTAACATCTTGGAAACTCAATCCAACTTGACCGAGATAGCACTCCCTCATAAGGCGAATCGGCCAAAAGCGACAACAGAGCCTCAGCAGGCTCCATTAGAGAAGGACGATCTCGTACGCCAAGGTCCCGAGCTGACAAATTCAAATTGATACCAAGGTTGACAATGCCCTCTTTAGAGCGAGAAATCATCACCTCAGCAGATGTGTTCAAGCGCTTTGGTACACTTGACAGCAAACCGGGAGAGGAAGGCCCTGTTTTAATTTTTAAAGAAAAAAAGTAAATCCGCAATTTCAGTTAAAAAATTGGCATCACCACAACGAGATCAATTAGCGGGATTTGGACGTATTTTTATCAGAGGGACTTAGGCTGTCATAAGAGGGCAAAAAGACTGCGAAATGAGAGAAGAAATTACACAAGGTTAAGAACGGACCAAGCGTCGTTTTTTGACTGGTCTGATCCCGGGTAACTAATACAATATTATTCGGCAAAACTCACCAGATAATTCGCTGACTTGCGACATCAAAGGATCGTCTGCAACCTCAATGACTTCAGCAACGCCGCATGCTGTGACAGAATCTATTGGAGTACTATTGACAGGGTGGAATCCTTTAACAACAGATGCCACACAACGCGAACGCGACTCATGATTTTCTTGACTTCCTTAGCAAACTAACCAGATGAAACTGAGGAACTGAAAGATACATCGCCGGAAACATCAGACAACGTCTTCAGAAAATCAGAAGCAGCGGTACCAACTAAAAAGAAAATTAATTTTGGCGAAGAGAACGGATGAAGGAGAGAGTCCTGGATTTCAATGCAGTTTTTGAGGTCTTACATTTTTCATCCTTAGTTAGGGCTGCAACTTCGACTAAACCCTCTTCAGTGGCAACTAAAAAAAGAAACGATAGCGTGTCAGCCGCTGACAGACTGACAGACTGAAGACTTTCTTTCTGAAATTTTTAACATAAACTTACACCAGATGCACTTCATCTGTAATAAGTGCTGATTCAAAAATGATTCCTTGTTCGCACAAAACTTTTGACACTTCAAGCACCGCAACACGGGCTTGTCCCCATTAAAGTCAGGAACAGCGTGGGCTCGGAACGCTCCAAAAGTCTCAACGACGTCCATGTGATGCCTGACGACATGTTTTCGCAGCGCGTCTCCGCTTTTAGAATATTTGCAAGGAGGGTAGGGACAAATCTTTGTTGCACTCTCGGTGACCCCTGGCTCTTTATCCAAGGCATTCATGTCGAAGATTGTTGAGAGAAAGGAGATTGGTTTGGTCGAAATGAAAAAAAAGACGCAAAGACATGGCTTTAAACTAATTTCGCGCTGTCAAACGAAGTTCCCGACCTCCCTTTAAAACACAGGGAGAGGAAGCAAAACAGTGTGCAAAAGGGGCAATCAAAGATCTAGAAACAGGGGAAGAGGCTGAGGGGCAGCAAACAAAATTGACAGAGGGCGTGGGTACCTGACTTTCCTGCAAACACACACGCAACTTGCATTTGTGTCCACAAACAAACCAACAACGCATTTTTTTTCGACTTGGCTCGCCCACGCTCACGCAATTTGCATTTGTGAACGGAACCACTACGTTGTTGTGGGCGCGTTGGCGAAGAATAGATAGAAAACAAGTCAACACAGAGAAGACAACTATAAAATTTGCTCTATGCTTCACTTTTGAGTGCATTCAACACTCCAAAGCATACAACAATCAATCATCGGCATGATCCCCGACCTGTCAATTCCTTTGAATGTTAGTGGGCTAACTGGTTCTCTCAACATTGTCGTTCCACCATCCATTACAGTTTAAGAATTCATGGACGTTATTCGAAAGTTACACCCCGGTTGTCTGGATAAGTTTAATCCAGTTTCTCTGCACGCAACTTGGAAGAACACCGTCTTGTTTCGTGGCCGGCGAACGCATGTTTTTATCGAACTTTCTCAACAAGATGAGTTTGGGCAGCTTTACTCATCAGGGATACTCTTAAGAGGCAGCATGATGATTTCCGGAAGCCCCTGGTAGCATAACCGGGAATTTTTGAGTCACGTAATTGTTCAAATTCGAGTCCATCAATGGGGGGACAGGACAATGGACAAAATAATGTAGTGAATTGAAATACAGAATAATGAGGACTACAATCTGAGTCCTGGCCTTTCTACGCCGCTTACGAGGACGCTGCTCCATTCTGCTATCGTCCTCCGCTTCAACTTGAACCCCCTGTTCTGCTGTCTTTCGATCCACCTGAGTGCCTTCATCCTTGTAAATTATATCCCGTTCACGCTTCAAGGCACTGCGAAGCTCCTCGATTTCCAGCTGAGCTGCGATGAATCGAGCCTCATAATCCTCGTCCGTGCCACCCTGATCCTGTGGCGAATCATCATCTTTCTCGAGGGGCTGAGTTGCATAATCCTCGCTCGTGCCACATTGACCCTGTGGCAAATCGTCATCATCTTCCTCGTCGGGTTGCGACGCTGGCACAAATTCAAGCTTGGCTGATGCACGCTTGCCTAGTGCCACATCCGAGGGAAAAGTCGGAGACCAATAATCCTTCGTTCCTTGTGTCAAAGGCACTGTCTCCGCCGACAATACCCCCTCTGGCTTCGCCGTCGAAGTGGATTCCTCCTGTTGTTGTCTTTGCAGCGCAGCAAGGCGCTTAGCTTCACGCAAGCTGATGATAGGCCGATGTCCGGACATAATGAAAAATATTGTAGGAAAGTGTTTGTGTTGGGCAGGTGAATGAGGAAGAAAGAATGAGGAATCAACCTCGTTCATCCCTCACCTTGAACATTCATCCATCACTCATTCCCATCCGCATCATCTCATTGGTCCATGGGACATCAGATGATCTCACACATTTGATCAGATGATCTTGACTGTATGATGTCACGAAAAAAAAAAAAAATCCATACACAATCAACCTAATTTACGCGATTCAAAATCTCTGCAGTACAACTCACTCTGCCTCATATGCCATACAAAATCCTGGAACTCGTGCCTCGTTCTCCAAGGGGAGGGGGAGCTGTCGCATATTTCACCAGAGTTCACTATATATTTAGTTTAACAAGTGTACCTCCAGCTCACTATTACATATAATACAAATAAATACCTAGTCGGTGTGGTGTGTGGAGCCACATCTCTTTATCACTCATTTTCAATCCCAAAATATCTCAAATGTAAATAACCGAGTTGGCGGGGGTGGAGAGCATCCTTAGCCGTCTTTCAACAATGGGATGTGCAAGATCGATGGTGTAGGATGAGTACACAGACTGAATAGTTGGGAAAAGTGTGCCGAGAATGTCCACGCGAATACGTGGGCCATTGTGAAAAGGATCAGCGAGGCTGTGGCAACCATAGCGCAGAGTGGCCTGGTACCCTTTCTTGTCTAGAAAGGACCACAAGCCCTTAATGCCCATGGCGATGTTGTGGATAATATGCAGAGAATAGTGGATAAAGGTTGTGAAAGGCGAAGGAAGGAAGGGAACGACGAACATCCTCCAAGGAACAGTGCTTTTTATTCTCCACATTTGATTCGCCAATAGCTCTTTGTTTTGAGATATAAGCGGATTGATTTTTTTTTTTGGTGAGACTTTGTCTTTAAAACCCTTCAAAATCAACTATTCCTTTGCTCCCCCTAAAGTCCTGAAACGCATCCTCCATGCCCTCCACTTTCTCACCAGTTAGTTCCTCAACCTCTAACATAACCAGATCCTGCATCCACGTTCTTCACTTCTTGGTACTTTCGCTAAATTTTCCAGCTCTTGCGATATTGCAATTTTTTATTTCAAGTTCAAGGTTTCCTTTTTCTGTTCTTGAAAGGCATTGACTCCAGACCGCGTAAAGTCATAGCGGACTGTTCCTTCTCTCTCGCATTTGGCTTTCCGAGTTAATGATGTTTAGTCACAGAGTGTTGTTGCAGTTGTTGATACAGAGACGTGTTGTTACAGGGTGTTGTTGTTGTTACAGGGTGTTGTTGTTGGTGTTGTTGTTGTTAAAGGTGTTGTTCACGCGGTGATATCACTCGAGGGCGAGTCGCGGAGACGCGTCTAGCTTATCGCCAGCAAGATTCCACAAAAGAACATGGCGAGATCCAACAATGACCACAAGAACCGACGTGATCGTATAGCCATCCTTTTTCCACTTCTTGATCTCTCGGCTCTGCGCGTAGTCACGAAGCTGTTGCTGAGGGGAATGCCCCTTTCCATCTTTCGGTTCATTCAGAATCCATTCCTTGATGGTCTGTCCAACTCGAAATTTATCACTCCTGAACTTCAGATCCAACACCTCACTGGCATTGGGAATATCCGCGAGGACATCAGCCCTTTTCAATCGTGATCCAGATCCAATCTTAATGTAGTCGATTTGGATGGACTTCCACTCGAGAACAAACAGCTGCTTTTGCAACGGAACGGATACCAACATGTCAATTCGACCTGGCGTTCCCGAGGGCTATTGCAGAAATTGAGAAAGCAATTATTAGTTACTCTAAATAATGCTCACATCACGACATGACACGACATTAGTTGTTGATACCTTGGTAATGGTCGTCTCGACGCCAACTTTCCGAAGGGATGGGTGGATATTAGTCAGTAGGGTGAAACGCATCGAGTTACAGTGATCCTCCTCCTTCTTTTGAAAATCATGAGCTCCGACATCGTGTTGCTGCATACCGCGGGCGTATAAACCAATGATTCTGTCGATGTTTCCGTCTTCGGTAAGTGACCTAAACGCGCCATTCACATCCTCCAGGCTTGCATGATGCCTGTGCAGAATAGCGCTCCCAAATCGCTCTGCAGCCACCAAGTTTGGAATTCGTAGTGCTTTCTTACCGACACAAAATGTCAGTCCACCAAGGTGCACCATGTATGACAACCACGCCGCCTTGCTTTTGGCAAGCTCGCCAGCCTGAAATAAACAAGGGCGAAGATAAAAGGCTGTGTTATTTACTGAATGAATAGAAGCACAAAAACAGCAGCAGCAGCAACAACAATTCATGTGTTATCTCGAACATTACCAGGCTTGCGAGAGTAAATGTTTGCCCAATGTCGCCAAAGGGGATCGTTCTTTCTTCCACATTCTTGCCTTGCTCGCTTCCGCTGAAGAGTCCGTCTTCTAACAATCGCGTCGCCACTGGCGATGCCGCAAGTAGCCGCAGTGATACTTCCGAGGCCTCAGAGTTAGTGACTGAGAGAGGATCCTCCATCGGCTTTCCCATTGCGAGACGCTAGCATCAAGCACAGATATCCACCTCTAACATACTGTGAAAGGAACTCACCTGTAAGTACTCGAGGCATGTGTTTGTGTTATATGTCAAAGGCCCTTGTCCGCCAGGAACGAAATTGAAGCCGTTGTAATGATCCCTCATGATCTTCAAATGCTTCTCGGCTTCGACGGTGGACTCATAGACTTTCTTTAGTGCCAGCGCAGCAGCGACATCTGCTTCCGTCAAACCACAAAAACTCGCGAGCTCTGGCTCCCAGGATACATATTGAGCCACGTTGAATCCAGACGTGTTATCCACCAAAGATTGCGGTCAGACACCCGTAATATAGCATTTGGCGATCTTGCGATTGCCCAGTCCACTCTTCACAGACGCCCAGAATCCCTTTAGCACGCTGTCGGCGTCGGTCCGTCGTGGCGGTTTCCACTGAACACTGTCGATGGAGACAAGGTACTCATTGCTGTAGCTGTCATATTCGTCCGCCATAACGTAAATCTAACAGTATTAGGATAGCCAGTTAGTTGTCGTCATAAGAAACTTACGATCACTAAACAACTGTGAGATATCCATCTGCACATACTCCCTTGATCATTGAAAGGGGGTCCTCGGGACTATCGACACTGGCGAGTAAATCATGAACTACATTCACGCATGCCGTCAAACTTGCCGCGGCACTGTCCTGGATAAAGTTCTCAATGAGATAATTAGCCGACATTCGGAAATATGGTTCATAGGTCCTGTAGAACTGCTTGATCGACTCGTTCAGCATCAGGTTCAAGTTGTGCTCGGCCTTCTCTCGGTCCTGAGATCGGACGACTGCAGAGAAATCAAGCGGCAGGACAAAGTAGCGCCCTGGATCCACACGCTCCTTTTTTACGTGCTCGTCGATGGCAAGGCCCTACAAGCATGAACTGGTGGGTTCAATAGGCATGCGAAATAACACTTTGAGCAAATAAATATGATTGGTAAATAAATCAAAACATCACTTACTTCAAAGAGGGGTTTGTAGTCCGGAAGGTGTTCACGACCATGGAAGTGTGCCAATGTACTCAATCCGAGCGACTTTTCCGACCTGCGGGGACGAAGAAAGACAAGAACTGACTCGTCGAAGGACTCGAGGGCCAAGATGAAGGCGGTTTTGTCAAAGAAACAGAGTTCCGGACGTTGACGCAGTGTCTTGAAGTCGCTTACACCATGGACAGGGAAGCTTCTGAACGTGTCCTCTTTCCAGACAAGGTCCCCTGAGCGACTATCGTATTAGACGATATTCAGCGGGCTGCGCTTGTAGCCTAGAAAGATGAACTGGTGAGTTGCCAAACGTAAGCAAAATTTCGTCCCGAAAATACAACAAAGACAAGCATGGTAACAAGGTCTTACGTGGAGGTCGGACAATCACTTGAACCGTGTTTGTTTCCGCAAACATGCCACGTAGAGAGCTAGTGGCGCTAATCTCATCTTCCACTCCAACAGTGACACCCGGCTCTGTGTTGATGCCTACTCCCTCGGGGGCTTTGTACAGAGAGAGGCTGTATGCGTGTGGGAGAGGGAAGGGCGATGCTAGCTTGACCTTGTTCTGGAGATTAGAGCCTGCGTCGCAGTCGCTAATGTCTACAGGAAAAGGCGTTCTGGCGCCATCGATCGCACAATACACTTTGAGCTGGCGCGACTGGACCTAATGGGGCGCAGTTAAGGAATTAATCTCATGGCACATAAATACAAAAGATTGAATGCGATTGAAATGAGAAATTGCTTGCCTGAGGGAGTCGAAGACGGCTGAGGCGAGGCCCGGAGAGCGTGCGGACTCCTTGCGTACGAAGTAATCCGGCAGATAACATGGTCCCAAGGAATGTAGCGAATGTGTGGTGGAGTGAGAACGAATGGAGCGCCGCACAGCCCAACTTATCTATAATGAACTCCGAAGCCAATAGCGTGACTGTTTCCTTGTATATCCATTTTGTTTCAGCGCTAAACGTACAAGAATGAGATCACAGGTCGTGTTAATCCTCCGCCCCCTCCAGTTGGGTTGAAGGCGAGGCCGAGTACGAAGTCGAATCGATCTTGGATTTGCGTTACCGCTTATAACAAGGCGAAGAAAGTGAAGAGAACTGACTTTATTAATAATTGCTGTGCACGAATATATATATATACTATGATGACTATTGCTACATCGCTACAGCAAGTTGCAGTATCTTGTTGATTGGAAGGATTTCGCTCCGGATGACCGGACTTGGGAGCCAGCCAAGAACCTCGCTCATTGCAAGGACCTCATCGAGGAGCTCCATCAGCAGTATCCTGCCAAGCCCGGTCCTGGTTTTGCGCTCCCGGAGAGTCGCTCCAAAGAGAGAGGTTCTGTCGCGAATCAAGGTTCGGGCAGAATTGCAATTGCTCGCCACGCGAGTCTGAATGAAAGCATATCCTGTTTAAGGTTGCTTGCCCGTTCCAAGCCCGCGTCCACCTTGTCTATTTCGTGGGAGTTACTTTATGTCACGGTTCCGAGCACGGGAGCTTATTGGATATAAGCTATCGATCTGGGGCCTCAAACCATGCTTTATTCACGTACAAACGGCCCACTTAGTTGCCCTAGTCAAACCCCAGTCTGCAATAAAATATCTTCCTACCTTGTACTCGCTCTTGCTCCTCCATCCCTTACTCACCTGCCTGTCTAGAACTTGACAGTGGCGGGAATATGAATGGCTCATTTACCAAGTCGGACTCAGCGCCGTCTTGATAGGCCTTGCGAAACCATCTCTTTTTGATAAGGCAAATACGTAGTACTTACACCTCTTATCAATCAACATCGCTTAAAAAAGCAACAGCAGACCAGACCAGTGATATGAAGAAAAAGGTATGTACAGAGGTAGGATCCGTCTTTCAAACGCACCACATACTGAATGCGAGCGGGGATTGTGAGGTGAACGACATCATAGACGCGCTCAGCATTATGCTCTTCAAGCTGATAGAGCACTGTGGTTAATGACGTGTTATGGTGGCCTTGCTTAATAGTACTTTCGACCTAATTGCAACAAGAAAAGAGCAAAGATGGACAACTGAATGAAACTGGCATTAACAAAAAAAAAAAAAAAAAAGAATAAATACGTAGAAATAAAAATAAAAATAATAACAAAAGATTCACTGTGCCATCTGCAACAGACTCTCTTAGTTAGATGTTCTTCGCATGGACAGAGGCTCAATAAAACAAGGGCTCTCGCACCTTGGTCTCCATCTGCTACAGAGCAAAGCGACCAAGGTAACGCTGATTCATGCTGTAGATGTCTCCAAACAGAACTTTGCACTGCGACATCTGCTTGCTGTTTGGCTTGGCATGCATGACCTTGAAGTGCCTTGTGGCGGTCACTTCCTGCGACTGCTTCGAACACCTGTAGCAAAGTGGATTGCGGACCCAGGGACGACTTCATGTTGCTGTGGATCTACTCATCTCCCTGACTCTCTGAGTTGATTATATATCAGCTGTAAAGTGTGCTAAGACCCAAGGTCAAGCCCAGTACTCGAGACGATCAAAGAATCTTGTAAGATACGGAAGTAATTTAGATTTTATGCCTGTCTTATATCTTGAACCTCTCGTGGATATTACATCTGCTGCGAATTTTTTTCTGGCACATACTCTGCTTCTGTTTTGGACCCAGAACCATCGCAGAAAAAGGCGCGTCAAATGACATGAACAGGTAGGCCGTGTGGGTACGTTCTGGATGTATTTAAGCCAGAATTGTTCTGTATTCATCACCATGCCACTTTCTCCTCATCTCAACATTACATCTTTCCATTTCGTCCCTCCTTATCAACAATACATGTTACTCATATGAAAGCCTAGAACAACAGATTTCCCAGGTCGACTTTGAATGCGTTGCCGTTGACCTGCTCGACAATCCTGTAAGGGCCGATATACAGCGGTTCAAGCCTTCTTGAGGGCCGACTGGCATGTGCTGCGACTGAGAGGTGTTCTGTGCTAAGAAGTACCATGACACCGACACCGAAAGGCACTTTGCTGCGGAATTTATCTGCTTCTTGCTTTTGGCGATCCGGAGCAGTAATGATAGCACCTTGGCTCGAGCGAAAGCAGTCATCTGAGAAGCGACGAAGTCTGAGGCCGATGGCACGTTGGTGATGGACGGTTTCAGGAGTGATGCAGGCATGAGAGGGCGGTGACTGCAGTTGAGGAAAAAGGGCGAAAATCCTGTCGATGGGTTCACCAAATTGTTGTACCAGTCCTTTTGATTGTATGAAATGTAAAAAGCAAAGCATCTCTTCAAGCGTTCGATTGGCACGCTCCGTCTGTCCATCATTCTGAGGGTGATATACCGTCGACATGTTCGATTTGGTCCCCATCATCTTCATCAATGCCGTCCAGAATTTGTCTATGAAACGAGAGTTGCGGTCGAGATGATAGTGCGCGACATACTATGCAACTGGAACACCTGTTCGAGCAATATCGGTGGCGGAGTCCGTGGTATGGCTTCCACAAAGATACAAAAATGGTCCTGCTTAGACAACATGTGGTAAATTAAGGTTTGTGCTTACTACAGTGCGCACGACTTTGCGTTCGTACATTCGATTGCCCCGGAACCTCAGTGGACTGCACCTCCTATCACTTCTACCACTATGCAAGTTCCCTGAAGATCTGATGACACTATGGACTTCTATGTAATTCTAAAGTCTCATGGTGAACTTTTTGTTACGCACTGTAGCAATGTTCGGTCCCTTTTTTCTATTTAGCGATCCTAGTAAAATATCTGTGCGGTATGGCGCACCACTTGCAGAGAACTTCTTTCCATTTTTCAAGGTTGTACAGCTGTATAGTTGTATAGCACATAACACACACACAGTTTACATTTCATCCACGTGCGCAACGTTACGTTGTCCGCGATTGCCCTGAAGACATAAAACCAAAGCTGCGGACAATCGTTCTCTGATGGCCTGATTGTGCCGAAGGGAGGGTTTTCGATAAAATCACATCTAACAAACCCAGTAAACGGTCCGATCAGAGGGAGGTTTTCAAAAAAGATAAAAAAGGGTCGCACCTACAAGTGCGTAAGGATCTTTGAAAACCTTGTCTTGACCAATGACAGACTTGGGCAAATGCTCAGCCAGTTCGTAAGGGCCAAGTAAGGCTCCCCTGTCTTCCGCGAGCTTTCTGTACAGGAACGAGACGCTATGTTCCGCCAGCGTGGGCTGATATTCCTTGGCGAAAGCCAAACACGAGCGGCCTTCGAATTCAGGGATGGTTGCACGAAAAATAGCGTCTGAAACGAGTTCCTTGTCACCTGTACTCATACAGTGGTCAATAGACCTTGGTGACATTGTGTTTAGTAGGCAGGACAATGCCACTCTATAGCAGCACAAGGTGTTCTTTGTTACTCCTTGGTTTTTTATAATTGTGGGCAATCAAAACTAAAAATCAGGTACTTTTTTCTTAATGTCCTTGCGGAGTATGTGGGAATGATATCTGTAAAAAACGAGATCTTTTAATAATGGTCTGTGGGCAATGCAATCAATTAAGGTTTTACCAGGAGAAAAATGTAATGAGACAAGAGAGAGATCTTTAATAGCACCGTCCGGTCCCCTTTGTATAGGTCGCAGAACGGTCTTTTCTGTATAACGTGATCCTAGTAAAGTATCTGTCCAATATGGCACAGCTCCCTCCCATAGGAGGCGTACAGGTCTTCTAGCTCATATTGGGCTGATTGATTACGGTGTGAGGGAAAAGTGAAAACCTCAAGGTAAACAAAATAAAGCCTCTACATGACAGTTGTAATAATCACCTCAAGGCAAAAAGCAAAAAGGCCTTGCGAGGGAAAGCCAGAAGGAAAACCTTTATCGTGATTCAAGGAGAAAGTACATGAAACCCCCTCCTCATACTCCTCTATTTTCTGCTCGCTGATTTGCTTCGTGGCCTACAGCGTCCTCGTTTGCGGGATAGCTCTCGATCAATTGCGCTTATATTGACCTTTGGTGGGCGACCGCATTTAGGTTCCGGGGCGGTTACACTATTAGCAGAATTGCTCATATTATTTTTACGTGCTTCTGGACGCTGTGTCAATAGTGGCTCCTGCTGATTCTGCTTCGCCTTGTGGCTCTTCAAATTTTAACGAGGCTGCCGTCAAGAAGGTAGTCCAGGAAGATCGCGACTCTTCCAGTAGTCTGTGATGCACTTTCTCTCAACAAAGTTCTCTTCTGGTTCCCAGGCCTTCTCTGTATACCCTTTCCACTTTATGAAATACTCCACCCCTCTCTCAGAATCATCCCGATGTTCGAAAATCCCTTCTATTTCGTAAGTGGGTTGGGATGGAGCGTACAAGCGTTGAAGCAAATCGCCGATGCCGTATTTCAAAACATACGCACTGCCTGTAGATCTACGCACAACAACGTAAGGACCTTCATACTTGGACGTCAATTTATCACCCAAGATAGGATCGAAAGTCGACCTTGGCTCCATCAGGAAACTCATTGCGCGATACTGTTCTGTTGAATCGCCCAACCATTCTCTTCTGAGTGGCACGCGACTTGGCACTCGCAGCTGGGAAGACAACTTCAGTCATGTATTGAAGTCGCTCCAAGAGTTCACTATGGGATAATCGTTCATCCTTATCGTTTGAAAAATTATGGAAACCGTTGAAATGTCCGGCAAAAAATAAACAAGTTGTGCAATGCAACAATTCTCGTATTCACGGCTAATTGAGCCATGGTGACATATCGGTCCCAATTGCGTTTCTTCGCTTTGATTTCTTTACGGATAACGTTTACAGCTGTCCTAACATGGTTCTCGGCTATGCCATTGGCTCGAGGGTGATATGGAGTGGCCAATCGATGTTGTACACCCATCTCTGTGGTCATCACTGTCATAACCTCATTAACGAACTCTTTTCCATTGTCCGACTGCAAAATGCGAGGAAAACTAAATGGTGGTAAATATCTTAAATAATTTGTGCACTACGGTTGTTGCTGTCTTATTTTTCATGGGCACGAGAAAGGCGAGCCGAGTACAAGCATCTACTAAAATGAGCAAAATGGTGTTCCCTTTGACACTTTCTGGGAAAGATCCGGCAAGATCTATTGCCATATGCTCTCCGGGCAGCTGGGCATGGATTACAGATAGAGGATGATATCCCTTGCATCCTATATTTACGCATTGACATTCTGTACAGCGCTGAACAAATTCTAAGCAGTCTTTAGTCATCAAGGGCCAAGTTTTGTTCAGTGAGTGAATATGATTGGCCATGGCATTTGTGCCAAAATGGCCAAGCGCGTGGGTATCGGCTAGCAATGTTTCACGTTTGACCTCTGGCACCGTCTATCTGGGAGTTTGCTTATCCTGGATAAGATACATACAGCTATAAACCTTCGTAGTTCCATTAATAGGTGTTCTACTCGTCCAAAGCTCCTGTGGGAACTGACGCGACAATGCATCGGGTAGTACATTAAGCACTCCTGGTCGGTAAACGGCTTAAATGTGTAATCTAGGATAGTCTCTTGCTATCCAATGAGCATAGAGTTCATCTCTTGAGAATGAATGAACGTCAGTGCGCGACGGTCCGTGTACAACGTAAAATGCCTACAGTAGAATAAGTAGACACACCTGGGAATAAATTCACACTTACGTTCCTATCCAACGTTCGTAAGTCTACAACTCGTATATATAACACATGAATCTGTCAGGGCCAATGCGCTGCGGTATATGTTTTTAGGCCATATGGATCTGTACATATATTTCATTCGAAGTGTAACCGTCCTTTTTTTGTTTTTTTTTTGTTTTTTTGAAAGATTATGTCGATCCCAAAGCAAAATTAGAGTACCATGAAGTATTAACCTGGCGTTGCGCTTTTGCGCTTTTAAAAGTGGGGACTTACACGAATTTTCAGTGGCAAGAAATGGCATAGCCGACTTGACATCAATGAACGCGAGGGATCCGTCGATCTCACATGGACATTTATATAGGAGTAGCCATGACCTTGATAAAAATCGAAACAAGGTCAATGGAAATCCTCGTAATCGGAGTAAGAACCCGGTCAAGGACTTTTTCATGCAGACAAAGCTGCTTGGTCATTTCACCGATGGCGTCACCTTCCACATATCACTCTAACTGTATTTGTATGAAAGTATCAGCAGTTAACAACTCAAAGGCTGGTAAGCGTATAAGAGACGAGTTCAAACTGCCTAGGTTAATGCGGAACACCCAAAGCTGGTACTCCGAGTCTAGGAGGATATTGAAGCTTGATCGGAGGACGTAGTAAGGATAATCGAGAGCTCCACTGCGTTACATTCAAAGAGTCGTACCAAGAGACGATCAGTCAGATCGTAGAGTCTCACATCCACTAGGGAAATAAAATAGCCGCGGTCTTGATGAGAATGGAATGTAATAGCTATGGAGAATGGAGAAGGAAGGTGAAGTGCATATCATGAGGCGAGATTCAGGGCTTTGGCCGATCGATCCATGGATGTAACCAGTACTCACTTGTCTTTTCTAGTCATCCTGATAACAGTCCCTTGAGAATGACGAGCGCCACGTTGTGCATACTACAACGTTTGCTCCGCAGTTTTTTTTTTTTTTTTTTTTTTTGGTAGTGGTGGTGATACACGGCCGCTCAACATAAGACCTGCAATGCAGTTGGTGTTGCTGGCAACAAGTCTCCTCAAGTTTTCTATGATAAAAGAAGAGGGCGGAGGAAACTACAAGGCGATTTCTTTCACTCTATCTTTTTTTTTGTCCTGCTCATGCATGAATGCCTTTCAATTGCTACGCTGTGCCGCGTAAGAGCTTGAGAACACTGAGCTTTGTCAAAGCACTAGACCAGCGATGCTCATAATTTGCCGCAATCTCAGTCATGGATCAGAAGAGGTAGATGCAACACAGTGGAGCTTTTTTTTTTTTTTTTTTTTTTTTTTCGGTCAGCGTCACAGTGAAGACTATTCAGGGAAGCAACAGTGTGTTGGCTACAGGGCGCAAAGGCTCGTTGATGGTGCCTGATAGAAAAAAGTTAGCGTTGGATTCCATGCGACATAAGGACGTAGCGTACATCGTACGGCTGCATTCATATTCATCCGTTCTTTTTTATTTTCCTCTTTGCGATGCGGAAACTATTGCAAAACTTCCTCTCCTGTCCTGATAGACCCTCTGCACTTGATGCTATCAATCGTTCTCGAGTCAGTTTCTGCACGCCATGATGCTGCGAGTTCCTGAATAATACTGAATGCGTCAATGACTGTTGCAGTTGCTCTCTGACATGTCGATGGCTCCATTGCAGGCATAAATACCAAAATGCGCGAACCCGTAAATGATGTTGATCGCAAAGACGTACCTAGCAACAAAAGTGAGAGGGAGAGGGGCTGAGAGTTAGAATCCGTAATTACGTTCAGGACACACTCTGGCTTCTGGCCAACAAAAAAGAAAAAAAAAAAAAGATGCGGTACTGACGACTTGAATATCAGAAGGGACTACCTCGGAATTACACACGAGGCAGTGTGCTGTGCCCAGCGATGCTTCACCAAGGGGTTCCACACTAACACTGCAGCACAGCACGGGATACCCACCTTTGACTGTGCGGAGAACGCCGCAGCGTCAAACCTCCCAACACAATCATTGAAGCATGACCATGTGCACTTTGGAAAAGCAGAATGGCCGCAGAGATAGTACCTTGGCTGCATTGGACGCGCCACTGATGGGGTACATCACACCTCCACATATGCGAAAGAGAGCTGTAGAAAGACCTGTGGTGTTTGTGGTTTCTTCTAAAGGGGCCACCTCGGAATTACACACGAGGCAGTGTGCTGTGCCCAGCGATGCTTCACCAAGGGGTTCCACACTAACACTGCAGCACAGCACGGGATACCCACCTTTGACTGTGCGGAGAACGCCGCAGCGTCAAACCTCCCAACACAATCATTGAAGCATGACCATGTGCACTTTGGAAAAGCAGAATGGCCGCAGAGATAGTACCTTGGCTGCATTGGACACGCCACTGATGGCACCTCACACCTCCGCATATGCTTGCGGTCTGATAAAAAAAAAAAAAAAAAAAAAAAAAAAAAAGCGCATGAAGAGAGACTATCACGAGAGGGGTTGATTGATTCGAGAGCAGCAGCACGTTCCTTTGGGCACGCAACGACCATCGCTTGTGGCAAAGTGATGGTGGGAGGGGCAAGATGGAGGGAGTGAAGATCGTTGTGCGCGGATCATGTAGGCAGGTGGCGCAACTCTGGATGACGTCGATGGGCCTGAACGTCGCTGCTTATATCACTCTTCGCAGTATCAGCCCAATTCTCTCGTCCTACAAGTGTCGCTCATCACCGCAGCTGCAACAGCGCCGCTCTACCGTCCACAATGACAACTCCAGCCCACCTCCATCCTAACAAGCGCGTCCTGCTCATCAAGAAGCCTGTATTCTACGACGCGCCGGTCCATGTTCAGTTTTTCAACCAGCACGCTGTTTCTGAATGGCTCCCGGAGAGGTTCCTAAAGCACGGCTATGGAGATCTCGATCACTTTTTTCGCGGCCTTAAGTGGATACGGCAGTTTCCCACTCTCCCACAACACCTGAACGAGTTTTGCCATCATCTCGAGCGATACTACAACTCGGAAGATGGGCGACTAACTCTGGAACTCATCCGGAAGGCCCATCTCGCCTCAAAGACTCAGGACAACTTCCATATCGCAATGGATACGGCTCTTTTCAAGGCGGCAGACAAGCGATCCGCTCAAGTAAACCGTAAGACTGAAAGCCTTTGATACCTGCTGGTTGCATCATGCATTTTTAAGCGCAACATTGTATTGAGACGCCTTTCATTGCCTTTATGTTTCTAGCGTTCGAGGACCCCAAGAACCCGTTCCTTGTCCAAGCTCGCGAGCCATCCAGCATCTGCAGCTCCGTAGCCGCCTCAGCAGAAGCCGAGATTGTAATAGCTCTAGGCAGTCGAGGGCAGGGGTAAGGATGGAAAGGGTTGGAATGCGTGCTGTATTAAGATGGCAACTAGCTGGTCTATATATCTATGTCTACGGTCCGGTTCCGGCCCGGCCGGTTGTCTATAGCCGAGGCCCCAGTCCTTTCGGAGTCGGGGCTATAAGCGGGGTTATCCTGTTACACCTTCCCATTAAAAAAAATAATTTTACAGTCTATGCTGTTTCTTGTACTGCCGTAAAAGTCGCGCACAGTTGGTCATATTGCTCTCTGGTTCCCATGTGGAGTCCTCCCTTGCATATCCTTGCCACTTGACCAGGTACTCCACGCGATTGTTGTTGTTTCGATGCTCCATGATCGTCTCAGCCTCGTATTCTTCCTCGCCATCAATGATCTCTGGTGCTGGCCTCGCATGTGCACGTCGGCCGAATGTCACCGGTGAAGGTAAGTAGGGTCGAAAGCGGTCAACGTGGAATATATCGTGTATCTTCATGGCCGGGGGTAGCTCAATGCGGAAAGAGACCGGTGAGTGCTGTTCCAGGATGGTATAAGGTCCGATGAAGTGTGCCTGCAACTTCTTGGTGGGGCGATTCCTGTCAGCAGCAACAGTGATGTCTTCTGTACTCAGCAGCACCTGGTCTCCAACTTTGAAATCGTGATCACGGCGACGAGAATCCGCATTCTTGGTCTGCCGTTCCTGAGCATCTGCGATGGCCTCTTGCGCGAGGACTAATGCTGTGCTCTGTGCCTCTACGAATTCCATGACACTGGGATTGGGACTGGGCTGAGGTTGTAGCAGAGACGACGGTACGCGTGGGTGAAATCCCAGGTTCAAAAAAAATGGGGACTGGCCAGTGGTGGCATTGCTGGAGTTGTTGTAGGCGAACTCAGCGGCGGATAGGAGTAGATCCCAGTTTGTCTGTCGCTGGTCCACGAAGGCGCGTAAAATGGACTCCAGTGTCTGGTTGGCACGCTCGGTCTGTCCATCGGTCTGAGGGTGGAAGGCGGTCGACATGGCCAGCTTGACGTCCATGAGGCGGTGCAGCTCCTTCCAAAAACGACTGGTGAACTTAGTGTCGCGATCAGAGACGATCGAGGTCGGCATGCCGTGCAAGCGAAAGACGTTGTCAAAGAACTGTCGAGCTACGTCGGATGCTGTGTCGGTGGTGTGGGCTGGGACGAAGTGGACCTGCTTTGACAGTTTGTCGACGAAGACCGTGATGGAGTCATAGCCGCGAGGAGTCTTGGGTAGCTTGACAATAAAATCCATCGTCACCGTCTCCCATCGCTGAGTAGGGATCTCGAGGGGCTGGAGTAGACCGGCAGGTCGCTGGTGGCTGGGCTTGTTCCGTTGGCAACTCTCACAGGTTTGCACGTACTGCCGGGTGTCACGTGCGATGTGAGGCCAGTACACAGTGCGACGGAGTGCATCGTATGTCTTGTCGAAACCAAGGTGGCCGGCGATGGCGGAGTCGTGGGCATCGTGAAGAAGAGAGAGACGAATGTCAGATTTCTGGGGGATGCAGACAAGGTTGTCTCCTCTGCGATCAACACAAAGAAGACCATCAATCAAGCGGTAACGCGGTGGTGTACTTCCCTCGAGGCAGCTTTCATAGATGGGACCGAGCTTGGGGTCGTCCCGGTAGCTGTCTACAAGGCGCTGCCTCAAACCTGAATCCAGCTGAACGGTCATTGAGTTGATGTTGACTGCAGGGGGGTCTTGGTCATGATGGTCCGGTCGTCGCGATAGAGCGTCGGGAACGATATTGTCGACTCCACGTTTGTACTTGAAGTCGAAGTCGTACTCCTGCAGCAACTCCATCCATCGTGCCTGGCGTCTAGTTAACTTGGGTTGGGTTGGGAAGTGCTGAAGAGTAGCATGGTCGGTGTAAACGACAAAATGTGTCCCGTCCAGATAGTATCGCCATGTCCGAAGTGCGTGCACAACCGCCAATAGTTCCTGTTCGTGGGTGGGATAATTGCGTTCGGCGCTGTTCAGTTTGCGGGACGTGAACGCCACGGGTCTTGACTCACCATGTTCATCAGTCTGGAACAAGACAGCGCCTAGCGCGAATCCAGACGCGTCGGTTTCAACTGTGGTTGGTAGATCGGGATCGAATATTCGCAGCACAGGTGCTTTGCTGATCGCCTCCTTCAGGGTGGTGAAAGCGCGTTCTTTGTCCGTGTCCCAGGAAAATTCCACGCCTTCACCTAACAGAGCCGTGAGAGGGAGAGCGATGTTAGCAAAGTTGTTGATGTATGTGTGGTAGAACTGTGCGAGGCCAATGAATTGTTGCACGTCCTTCTGCTTCGATGGGCGAGGCCATTCCCTGATAGCCTTGACGTGGCCGGCGCTGGTGTGGATGCCATCCTTTGAGATGACATGTCCGAGGAATTCAGTTTCTTCTTGCATGAAGGAGCACTTGCTCAACTTCGCATAGAGGCCGTTCTTGCGGAGGAGCGCCAGCACACTTCGGATGTGGGCAATGTGCTCTTGTTTCGTCTTGGAGTAAATAAGAATGTCATCAAGATAAACAACAACCCATTTGTCTAAAACCGGATCCAAAACCTTGAACATCATGTTGGAGAAAGATGCAGGAGCATTAGTGAGACCAAAGGGTACCACATTGAACTCGTAGTGTCCGTACCGACAGCGAAATGCTGTCTTGTGCGTATGAGGCTCAAATATCCGTTGCTGATGGTATCCTGACAGCAAGTCCAGTTTCGAAAAGTATCGTGCCCCTCGGAACCTGTCGATGAGCTCGTCGATGCGAGGGAGCGGGTGGCGGTTCTTCCTTGTGATTCGGTTGAGTCCACGGTAGTCAACGCACATTCGGAGCGCACCATCCTTTTTTCTGACGAAAAGGACGGGCGCGCCATAAGGCGATGTGCTGGGCTTAATGAATCCTTTGGCGAGGAGGTCGTCGAGCTGTCTCCTGAGCTCGTCCAGTTCCGCAATAGAGAGGCGGATCACAGGGCGGAATGGCGGGTCTGCGTTGGGGTCAGTCTCGATTTTCATAGCATCCCCTCGGTCTGGTGGTAGACCGGCGGGGAGTGAGTTGGGGAAGACGTCTGCAAACTCCTGAAGTACAATGGGTCGGACTTCGGGCGGAAGATCAGGTGTGGAAGGTTTGGTATCGTCGTCGTTTTCATCATCGCCGTCGTTGTCATTGTCGTTGTCGCCGCCGATTTTCACCAGAGCCATGAACACTTCCGCGTCAGGCTGAGCTGCAAGAGTATGAAAGTGCAAGTGACTCATCAAGAGGCCACGGGACTTAGCTGTAATGGATGAGGGTGCGAAGCCTCGACACGTCCAATGAACGGTGTTGCCATTATGTGTGAAATGAAGGTCGTTGGTACGCCAGTCGATGTTGGGGTTGATGTGTGTGAGCCATGGTTTACCGAGGATAAGGTCGTATTTTTTAAGGGGGTAAAGAAGGGTGTTGATGGTGTCGGAATAGGAATCTCGTTCGAGTGTGATGGAGGCGGAGTGATTGGTGATGGAAAAAGTACCGTCGGGGAGAACAATAGGAATGGGGGAACAGGAATGGAGAGGAAGTGAATGTCGTTTTTGAAAAGAAGAGCTAATGACGTTTCCTTCTGCTCCTCCATCAATCAAGATGTGGGCGGGGCGACCGTTAATAGAACCAATAAAAGTCAGGAGGGTGCGCTCGGCCTCAGCCGTTGTGAAGGACTGCAGCCGAACGGTACGCTTACGAAGGCGCTTCAGCTGGGTCTTGGAGAGGGCTGGTGCTAGAGTAGCGAGAGAGGCAAGTGGGTCCAGGTCCACTGCCTCAGACGACCTAGACACCACGGATGGGTCGTACGTGGGTTGTGGTTTGTCTGAGACGGTTGGCAGGACATCAGGGGCATGGTGAGATTCGATGGTTGTTTTTGTTGTCTTTGCTTTTCTTGGAGCATTTTTGTACGATTGGAAGGGAGCGAGCATAGGCACAGTGGAATTGTTTTTATTTTTTGAGGAATAATTACTTAACTCTGAGTGGTGCTCACTCCCCTTGTCCAGAAGAGAAGGGGAGGGAACTTCAGCGACCAAGTCCTGGACTAAGCCTGATCGCTGGAGGCGTTTCCCGCCGAAGCAGAACCAACACCCGCGGCAACCGAGAGGTTGTTCATATTGCTGCCACGGCAGTCTCGTGCCATATGGCCGTCTTGTCGGCACTTGTAGCAAGCACCCCGGGCTCGAAGGCGGGCGCGTTCGGTGTCGTTGAGTGGGGCGAGGTTGTGGCGGCCGTTATTGTTGTTGACCTGGCGGCGGAGTGCATTGAGCTCCAGTCGCAGGTTATCCAACTCCAATGGCCATCGGGTCGGGTAGACTGGCGGTGTGGGCGGTGAGGAAGGCATGTGCAGGGGTAGGAGTGGCATGGTTGGCGTTAGTGGGAGTGCGATTGGGTAAGGAGAAATTATAAATGGTGTCAAACTGCTCGGCAGCCTGACACATCTCGTGGATAGACACCGGGCTGCGGCTGTTGATGGCGAGGCTCATCAACATCTGGCGCAGGGCTAACGGGGCGCCTGCCAAGAAGCATGACTTGGCAGAGTCCTCGAGCATAATACGAGCCTCAGGGTGGGTCTCGTTCGTGCACAAAATGGCCAGGTAGCGACGAGTGCGACTGACATAGTCAGCAACAGTGCTAGACATTTTGATTCCGAAGAGGAGGGTTCGGACATGATCATAAAATCCAGCGGGGCGGAACTCCGCTCGAAAAAGCTCCTCGAACTGGAACCAGGGGTGTCGTGTCCGGCGCTTGCAAGCCGTCCCACCAGAGGAGGCCAGTGGGGCCGAGGTACGCAACAGCTGTGACCGTGCGCGAGTCTTCGCTGATGCGAGCACCAATGAAAAAAAACGGCGGACAGTGGTAAGCCATGCTTCGCAAGCGAAGCCATCCCGCACTCCGTTGAAGGCAGTGGGAGACGGGTACCTGTAGGAGGGTAACAGGACCTGGACGGGGGCAGGGGCGGGGGCAGGGTGGATTCATTCATGGTTAGGGAGGAAAAAAGGGATGACAGTTG